CCCAATATTACAATCGACTATTGTAGAAAATCACCAACAAAATTCTGAAGGATATCTTTAGATATTAGAAGCCATATTTATCCAAGATAACTAGCAGGCATACGTATGGATATAAAAGGTACCATACTGGGCCCCCAAATGAAACCAAGGACCAAAAACAAGAGCTAAGAACAACAGCTAAGAGCAACAGCTAAGAACAGCATTACCTCTGTCTAGTTTATCAATATGGTCATATTAAGATTCAAGACTTCGGCAGCGACTATCCTCACTATAAGCCTTCTGTCTTCTGTTCGAGCATGTGTTGACTTTTCAGGGATGATGTTCCCAGGGCCGGTTGATAGTCAGAAGTATGGTGATGTTTATGGCTATCTACAGGTGGTGAATGATGGAACTGAAGTATGCTCCGGATATTTGAAAAAGGGAGCCAACTATCTTGGACTTGACTATAGAAGCGGAACGAAAGACTGGGGTATCTATGCCTTCTATGACTATTAACAAAATCTCATTACTAACTTAGAACTTAGAGTGCGTTAACGGTGCCTATAGTGTACACTACGATTGGACTGATAATACAGGCGCAACATCGAAGGGATCAAGCGGTCAGGCTAGCAATTATACCGTACCAATCACTTACTGTGACAATAATGATCATTGGTACGTATAGCTTGATTTTATATGGAAGGTACTATTATTGACACTATGCAGCTCCGAGATTCGCCCTGTAATTTCATGTATCAGCAAAGGGACAGACAACTGGATTTGCGACCCATTTGACTATACACAATGCTAGTGGCAAGCCTGGTAGCAGTCTCTGATAAGATACCCTATTGGTGTATTTCAGCTAATGTGATACTGGATTAGTGGGCTGGAGTTCTCAATTAACTTGAAGCTTGCTATTTTACTTCTGCTTCGGCCTATGAAGTTTGACAACGATCATAGCATCCCCGGTACTATATGGATCGAAAGGTCTGAATTTTCTCTCTGGTGACTCCGTAATTTGATCAGATAGTGTATCAGTATCTTCATTCCTTTAGATTATCCTCTGTATATGAAGTTTGTGCCCTGTTGTAGCTGGTTAATGACAGAAACACCTCGTCAACGATCCTCCTGAACTCGTGCTCGAACCTTCTGGATTCAAGGTTCTTCTATGAGCAATCTCTTACTACAGCTCCGCGATCTCGCTGCCCTCCACGTCACCCTTACCCACCAGGATCTCTTCCCATTCGATTACCTCATCAACGAGGATACGGGCCATGCTCAAGTTATAATAGACTATGGTGCTACTCTAGACCTCCCAATCTGGTTGTATTTGTATTTTATGGATAGTATCTCCGATTCATAACCTCAAGTATTTGGCAAGATACGGCAGACCGTCAGGAACGAGATACAGCGTTTCATAATTGGGCTCGAGCTAGTTCTGCTGGGCAAGCATTTGGGGGATTATTAAGAAAGGGGCAACTGCATTTAGAAAGCGATCAATATGTTGTTGTACGTTGTGGACCGGCTTTCCATATTTAAAAAGGAGCGAGCCTGTCATTATCTAAGTGAATATGTTCGGTATTTATCTTTCATGAAAATATTAACCGGAAGCTTTACATAAATTGTTATTTCGTGCTTTTTGTTGAAGTTTCGACCTAGATAGGGGACCTGTGAAGAGCTATATGCGGTTTTTTTCCCTTCTATAACGTAAAATACAACCAATACCTGTCCCCTTGAAGCTAACCTTCGTAAATCAAAAATACTATCATTAGAAAGAGAAAAGCCTTTTGATACTTTGTTTTCTCTCCGCTTTTTAACTGCAGTACTCTAGCTGTATTAATATTTGATATATAGGTAAAGGACTATAAGATAGTTTAACATGACAAGAAATAGGTCTTGTATAATCAGACCTAGGGCATTAACCTCCTACCTGATCGTCAATCATTATACCCTGTAAGTAGATTATCTATGAAAATTCAGTGACGTACGAAAGCGGAGAAAGTAGAGCGGGTAGTTTTATATCATCTACAGTAATAGTTTACTGTAAATCCGACGTGATTCTATAACAGTTATACTGAAGTCTAGACACTACCTAAGACTGGAAGAAGTATAGGAGTGATATTTCTTCCTATCGGAACTACGAAGCTTTATTTGTGAAGAGATTCACTAATCAGAGATCACATATTATAGGTGTTATAGATTAACAATATTTAAATTATTCCGACCGACCGGCTTGTTTCGGGTACGAATTATGCATATAACGATATTTTCTTATGAAGGAGAACAAGTTGGAATCGGATCCTTTTACCGTCATTCCTCCGGGAAGTAGCAGAATAACGATATTTAGGTTATAGAAAGAGGATCTTCCTTTCTTTTAACTGAATCTCTTCAAGATTCAGTTAAAAGAATAATCTACCTCTACTATTCTTGTCTAATTTAACAACGATGTAGTATTATATTTATTTTCCCTTACATGACTAATAGGCCGCTACCCTGCAAGTAGTATCCTAACAGAAGAAGAAACTTTAGGGTAGGTAGTTATTACAGCAATTATAAGTAGGGTCGGGAAAAACTTTTGAGCCCCCCTATACGTATATACTTCTAATAAAAAAAAGCTTGATATTAGATAGGTTTCAGCCAGCTTAGCAGCTAAGTAGCTATTAATATTGATACAAAAACTACTATTCCTCTGTAAACCTTGGAATCCTATTCCTATCCCGAAAGTTAATATTTCTATTCTCCTCTAATCTAAAAAATAGATAGATTTGGAAAGAAAAAGTAATTAAGTAGCCAAGATCTCAAAATATCGCTGCTATTCCTTGGAATTTCGTAGATTGATACTAGAAATGATATTGAATCTCTATCTCCAATTTCAACGTTTTGGGTAAGTGTTCAAGCTATTCGATATGATCAATGCGAGCATGCTCCGCAGCCTAATGATAAAATTGAGCCTATTTATGAGCATATTTTACATGTTCTGGGGGTAATATAGGGCATCATATTGAACAATGTCCTATTTAGATTGATTCACTCCAAATTCATACGGATGTTGAAGAATGGTGTGTTAAAAATTATGCATGTGGTGGGCTGGGCGAGATACTAGCGAGATATGTTACTAAATTTGGGATCTGATTGATAACCTACCCGATTTTCAAACAGTATCAATACGTGATCTCTAACTAGATAGACCTCGGAGATTGACTGGTGTGGATGTCGTAACTGCAAACATTTCTTATAGTTAACGATAACCGCATAAAACCTATCAGCTAGTATGCTTACTACTCCCAGACGGGAGAGGTTGTATCAAGCTAATAAGACACAGATCGAATGAAATCAAACACAATCTTCAACTTCCGACTTTTTCAGCATCTCTTCTAAGGAGAGGAAATGTAGCTTCGAAAAATATTTCTTATAATGTCTCCGAGCTTTCTCCTCTGGACAAGCTGTAGCTCCACTCACCGTCCACTGCTCAATTTCAATCAGAGCCAATTCCTCGCTGTTCATATGATCTTTATATTTCTGGAACGATCGGTCAATATCAATCAGCGATCGATACTCTCTTTGGAGAGGGCGATCTGTGCCTCATTAGATTTTTATGATACAGGGAGCCCTAGGGGCAATTTCTAACCGTAGAAGCGTTCCAACAATCTCGCTGCTCCGTTGAAGGTGCCCCAGGACCCAGCAACGTAAGTGACCGGTTCCTTATTTTACCATCACATATTAGATGTTGTCTGGACAAAAAGAGGGTAAAGAAGGAGGCAGAGTAAACCCACCCATTCATCCGCATCCAAGAGCTCTGCAACGGCCTTCGCCACATCTCGCCCACAAGTCCATGCTTGAGGCTCCTCCCCGGTGCCTCGGACACAATACCGCCAATTCTTCACGTCAATAGGAAATTCCCCCTTGATAGCTCTCATGTACGACTTCTGCTCAGGTAAAAAATATTCCATAAACCAGCCAAGGTTAAATAAAGTCCACTCAATATCTGTCGTTTCCTGCAGTATCTTCCGAAGGGGTCCTCTGGTTCTGGCATAGGCGCCAGGGCAATCAGGATAGTCCTCAATGTTCCCAGCCCATTCGGAAGGAATGAACCGTTTGCAGGCAGGTGCGCTTTTACTCGCATTGAGAAAGCCCCTGTGCATATCGAGAAATATATCATCAGGGCAACGTATAGTGGAAATGAAAGCTGTAGCTTCAGTGGATTTGAGGATCGAGAAGACCGAAGTCTCAGAATAGTCGCTTATATGAACGGTTATCTTAGGATGATTGTATGCTGTGCATGTCTAAGAGATGAAGCATTAATTGATGCTCTTTTTGTAGGCCAAGGTTAGCTCCAGTTATACCTGACGAGTCAGAAGTGCTACAGCGTATCGATCATCCTTGGAGAGCTCTTCACAAAGATACCTTCCTAGATTGCCAGTTCCTCCTGCAAGGGCAATGACTTGGGGTCCCTTCATATCCAATATAGAGATATATCAAGCGCAAAGAGAAACCTTGACGAATAGAAATGAGTTTTCAAAATATTTATGGAGGTTTACATTGTCTTTATAGGACTTGAAGTTGATGAGACATCGGCGGAGTTCCATTTATTTCAGTTAATTTTAGAAAAAGAAGAAACATAAGAGGCATATAAGAGCACAAATCGTTTCACACGACAGAGGCACTGGGCGTATGGCCTATTTCAAAAATATCAAGGTAACAATACCCATAGCCGCACATAAAGTCGCTATTATGTATAGAACTGAGTCAACTTCCGCATCGGCAATCTCGGAACACAACATGGAACTGATTGTCATACCAAGGCATACATTCAAATAGTAATACCCAACTGTGTGAATTAAACCCCCCGAAATCAATGGTCCAATAAACATCGCCAATTTCCAACTTACATTTGACAGGGTGAAGGCACGAGAAAACCCCCCATGAGGTCCAAGTATCCCAGGATGTTTGTTTTTAATCTCGTCCACGCCACCTAGAGATACAGTCAAGCTTCAGAATTCACATCTGAGTCAATGTGATGATTATAGTTCCAGAATGTACTTACGCAGCACCTCAATAGCGCCAAAACCGAGAGGTAACGTTCTCCAAACCCCGATCGCCAAGAGTGCGAGAATAAAGATGGTACGACCTTCATTTCCACGATTTGCCCATTCAGTTCCGGCAGTTCCGGGTGTTCCTAGAAGCCAAAGAGAAGGGGCAAGAAACAAGTATCCCATTGATACTGGGTATCGCATACCGACTTTGTCTTTCAGCAATCCTGCGGGTACTACTAAGATTAAGGTCGGGGCTTGCACAAGAAGAAACAAAAGGCCCGCCTGTAGGGTCTTCCAGTTGAAGATGGTCATGACATGGATTGGAATCGTCGTTTCGAAGCTTGCTGTTACAATAGCAAATATTGAGTCAGCAACCAACGCAATAATGATTCGCCGTTTGCGCAGCAAAATCCACCATATTTTTTTTGTCGACCACTCATTGATTTGAGAATGTTCATTATTCGAGGACCTTGGTCCTTGAGCATTCAAAATAGAATGATAAGGCTCTGATGGTCCTGAAGGTCGAGCGGAAAGAAGTGGATCTGTGATGTTTGACCGCTCTAGGTTAGGAGTTAGAATTTCAGCTTCAGAGTTTGAAAAATCCCTTAATCCAGGGAGGCAAGCCCTTGGCGGTTGGACCATGAGAATTTGTAGGATCAGACCGAAAAGCAATACCCCAAACGCACTGGCCCAAGTCATAGCATAGGATGCAAATTTGTATAACGATCCAGATACAGCTGGTCCACAGAGCAGACCCCCAGTCACGAACAAGGCAATAAATCCTAATACCTCTGCGAGATGATTTGCTTCAACAGTATCGCCAATAATAGCCATACCAACAATCCAGATCAATGATCCACTAATAGTCTGTGTGAATCGGCCGCAAAACAGTCCGAGCACTACAATATGTACCTCTCAGCAATGTCGAGTTCCAAAAAGAGACCATTTGCAGTATACGTACAAGAAGTAGACCAAGCCGTAATAGCCGTTCCAATGATGTTGAAAATCCAGGCGAAAACCATTAAGTGATTCTTGAAACTCGTTCTGTCTGACAAATGACCTGTAACGGGTCCAATGATGACCGAGGTGAGCGCGTTCATGGAGAGGATGAGTGAAGTCAAGGCCTGCGTCTGGGACGGACTGGCCTTCATACGATCTTCAAGAATGACAGGAAGGATGGGTATGATAAAACTGAAGAGAAAATTATCTACATAGTCCTGTTAGAAAGTTTCAAGCGTCATGCCTCAGGGTGATTTACCGGTAAACATGGCTACCGATATGACCAGAACAACAAAAGCTCTAGATGACCTCCAGCGAGACCAAGAAGTCCGTTTTTGAACAACATCGTTATGTGTCATGTCGTCTTGCATGTCTTTTCTTTGAGGCGTGGCTTCTTGCTTCGTAGAGTCTGTGTGAGTATATAAGGGGAAAAAGCGGAGGGAACAAGTGCATTAGTATTTAAGGAGATTCCCATCTGAATTTCGGACAAGATTTATCATAGTACCACGCAGAGACCAATATTAGGAGCAATTATACAAAAGAAAGCTACCAGGAAACTGACAAGGAAAAACCATATGGACCTGCCACGCATCTACGCTGGCGGAGAGCAGAGCAAGGAAACTCCCAATCGATAAACCAAATTCTGTACCAAACTATTCTGGTTACATATTGAATCAATGCGAAATTAGACCCCTCACAGAAGCCCTAGGCAAAATTTCCTTGTCACCAAGCTTGACGGCTTCCAGGATTTTCCCAGAATGCAAAATGATTGGCTTACGATGATCTAGTACTAAAAACCAAGTCTATGAAGTTACACAGTGTGCTGAAAAGGAATGAGAATTATAGGGCAAAACAGAAACAACAGCTAATCCCCCATTGAGAAATCTAGAGCGTTTATAGCTCCTTCTTAATTTTTCATCTTTATTCTTATTTTCTTTTCAATCACCAGGAAAATTTGGTGCTTTGCTTAGACTGCACATGGCCAATATACGAACTATGCAAATCAAAACGTCCAAGAAAGAGCCTCCGGAAATATGAAATGCCTTTGACTGGATGAGCATAAGAAAATGGTGGTGAGCAGATTACAAATGATAATCATCAGACTGAACAATTACTTTCCAAATTTAATTATTTGCGGGGGGTACGGTCCCTTTGCCCGATCGATCATTATTAACTTCCCAACGGCCTCCACGATGTAAAATTAACTATTGCTCTTATTGCAAACCTTGTGAATATTGGTTTCAATATGATCCATATCCCACCATCTACCAAGTCAGTACCTTAAATGGGAGAAAGTTGGAGGAGTTTCTTCATCCTATGCTAGGGATGAAATTCGGATTGGGCTAGACGTAACCATCTTTCGCGGGTTCGCCGTCGGGTAAATCTCCACTAAGAGAGCGTGTTTGGTTGCAAAGAAGGGTAATTGCAATTTTTCTGTGGTGTGCAGCAATCATTGCCATATTTACAAAATAGTGCCTTCGGTCGATGAAGGCTTAAGGGAGTAAATTCCATAGGGCATGCTGATAAAGGGGATAGAAATAAAAGAGAATGCATACTGGTCGCAGAAACAGTTGCAAAAAGTCAAGTCAATAAAGACTAGCCAGTCCGAATCGATTTCAGCCAATGGGGGATGTATCTTGCAATCAGTGTAGATGGAGATTCGCAGTGCAGTAGGTCTGGATCGTTGGCTAAAGCACGCCGAGTATTTAACCTGGAAAACTTGGGCATATCCCGCTGCAATTCCCATCGAGAATTATTGCCATAGACCTTGTCCATGAGCATAGGCATCAGCGACCCTAGGTAATGATCTGGCATCTGAGAGAGTGAATTGACCCAGTCTTGGTATGATACCCCTCGCAGGAAGCATTCCTTATTCCTGTTGTTGATCATGTCAAATATTGCTGGGAGGTAGATGCTGGAAGTAGAGTCTGGATGCAGTATATTATACGCCTGTCCTAGATTCACCGGATTTGATGCAATATGGACAATGCAAGAGATCACAAAGTCTATTGGCACAAAGTCTCCCCGGTGTCGAGGGAGAATTGGATAGCGTCCAGTTTGAATGCTACTCTTTATCACGCTGCTGAGGAAGTCGTCTGTATTCATTGCACCGGTTGTGCTCGGACCTAGAACTAGTCCGAGGCGATGAATTGCGATGGGAATACCTTTGTCTATTGCATGCCAGATAATGTTCTCTGCTACAAACTTGCTTTGAGCATATCCCGTATCATAAAAAAGCGCCTCAACGTGGGATATAGGCCTCTCATTTTCGGAAATATTAGTTGACCCGGTTATCACTCCCGTGGGACCGTATGCGCTGATGCTAGATGTATAATGGATTGCTTTAGAACGCCCACTAACCGCAAACTGAATCATGTTTAATGTCCCTACAATGTTAGTTGTTCGGTGGCTCAAATACGGTTGCACAAAGTTGATATGAGCGCCGCAATGAAAGATAACGCTGGCCCATTGCGCAAAATGACGGAATGAGTCACGCCCAATACCTATGTGTTCTTTAGCTAGGTCGCCTGGGAGTGCCAGTATCTTAGTTTCGTTTTTGGGCTCAACAATCAATCCATATCGTCGAAGGGCCTTTCGGATGCGAACCAATGCGTGTGCAGGATCATGCGCTCGCACAAGACATGCGACTTCCTTGACGTGGGGTAAAGTCAAGATATGTGCGAGCAAAAAGGCACCAACAAAACCTGTTGCGCCCGTCAGAAAAACTTTCCCTTCTGCTTCAATTGTCCAATCGGGTAATGAGTGCTCCAGTGGCTCGAGGTCTTTCCCAAGTTGACAATCCTGCAACCATTTATTCATCTCCAATATTCTATCAGGTGTAAATCCTTTGTTCTGGGCCATGCATAGAAGTGTACGCATCCCTTGCAAAGTTGAATACTCAAATAGAGAAGCTGCATGGATCACAATCCCAAAATTCTTCTGAATTTTTGAGGCTAAAAGTGCCGCCTGCAATGACGTGCCACCAAGAAGAAAGAAGTCATCGTTGCTTTGAAGGGTTTCAACTGGAATCCCAAGAAGCTCTTGCCATAGACGACCCAATCCAGTTGACACTCCCTCTTTTGCACTTTCTTGGCCAGAATGTAAATTGAGTTTCAGGGACCGTAAATGCTGCATATAATCTCCAACCAGCTTTTTGCGATCAACCTTCCCACTGCAAGTCAGGGGAAGAACCTCTAGTAACTGAAGTCGAGGAATCATTAGATGAGGAGCGAGTTTAATATAGGCCTGTCTGATACAAGCCGCAGAGATGTTCAGTGATACAGGTGTCACGCATGCGAGTAAGAATGAGCCGCTTCCTTCATCTTCCAGTGTAACACGTTGTGCTACAGCACAAGATACCAGCCCGGTCTCCAAAAGATGCCATTCAATGGATTCCAGGTCGACGCGTTGGCCACGAATCTTGACTTGGTGGTCCTGGCGGCCGACAAACTCAAGGATCCCTGCGTTGTTTCTTTGAACCAGGTCACCGGTTCGATAGTATTTATTATTACTTGTCTCGCAAGGGGGTGTCAAATGGGGTAAGTAGACAAATGCTCTCGCAGTCTTCTCAGGCTGATTAATGTACCCGCCAGTCACGCCAACACCACCGACCAAGAGTTCTCCAACATTTCCATTAGGAACTGGCTGGAGGTTCTCATCGACAATTTGAATGTGGAAGTTTTTTAGAGGTCGGCCGATGGGTATATGCCCCTTTTCAATGTCCGCAGGAGTGATTTGGTGATACGTTGTGAACGCAGTCAATTCGGTCGGTCCGTAGATATTGAAAAGTCGTCGAGGCTGACCATGTGCGACAATACTTCTTATGGTGCGTATATTGATGGCCTCCCCACCAGTCAGCAAGGTGTCGACATATGAGTACGCATAAGGACAGACATGGGCGATAGTCGCCAGGAGAGAAGTCGTCTGCCATATGACGTCAATTTGACTGCATTTCAGTTTCTGTTCAAAAACAAAAGGATCCAACATTTCATGGCGCTCAAAAGTCACAATTGTGCCACCTTGCAAAAGTGAAGACCATATCTCCCACAGTGAGACATCAAATCCAACATTGCAGACATGAGCAACGCGACAGCCATTGTGAATAGAAACGAAATCGTCGAGAACCAGATTTATAAGGCCCTTCGCCAATACCTGGACAGCCTTTGACAGTCCAGTTGACCCCGAGGTGTGAAGGATGTGAGAACATCCGCTTGACCCAGACATGAAGGTGACAGTTTGGTGAAAATCGACATCGGCTGGGACAGATACATGGTCAACCAAAATGTGATGAATATCAGAAAGTCGCTTCTGATTCTCCAAGTCCACCAAGATGACAGATACTCCTAGGTTTGATACCAGCTTTCTGATATGCCTATCATCAAGGTCAACATCAAGCGGAACACACGAGCCACCTGCATACACCACCGCAACCTGGGATAGAATATGGTCCACCCCACGTCGTGCTAGAATAGCAATGGGCTCTTCTTTGCGTATTTGGAGTCTGTATAGTAATCTCACTATCATCAAAGCCTTGCAATGAAGTTCCCAGAAAGTCAATTTGTAACTACCGTGTTCAATACAAACACGATCAGCAAATAGCTTCATTTTCTGCTCCAGAAGCTGGGCTAGACCAATGTCTAGTTCCTGATTTTCAGTCATTCTCGCTAAGAATTACAATGTCAGCTCAAAGTGAGGAGAGGCAAAAGGTGAATGTTCATTACCGGCTTTGGTATAGCAAACAGAACATGTACGTTTCTCTGAAAAAATGACAGTATTTAATACGACAGAATGATTAATCGATGGGATAGAGAGTTCGACGACCGGAGCTTGAACGAAGCTGAAAACTTCTGGTCAAATCCTCTTCAATGTTTATAGCATCTCAGGGACTCAATCGGCGCTCCGATGGATAAATGATTCATTTGTACAACTTTCTGGGAAGATTGATGGTCACCTCAAACACTGTATCGAGATCGGAAGAATGTATCACACAAACTGCAGGCATTGAGGTCCGTGTTTCTTGGTAGGCAGCAATGTTACCGACACTGGAGACTCGCGATAGTTCAAGACGGGTATAATTTAACCTTGCTCGATCCCTGGCATCATTCTAACAGTTACTATTTGACCTCCAGCTTAAGTTGGATTATCTATTCACCGAGCTTACAACTTTCTGATGAGCTGTGCAGTCTATTATCTATCTAAGACATCCAACGGCTATAAAGTTAAAGTATATTCTTGACTGGCTATACATTCACGCGAATTATTTTTCTGAAGCCCGCTATGCATAATTCTCAAATTAATTTGCTAGAGCACCTCTGCTCGAAGTCACAGGTTGATTTGGATACGTTTGACGTGGAAGGTATGGTTGTCATATACCATGTTGTTAATCACATGAATAATAGATGAAGTGGCACGAGAAATCGAAGGCTGCATTGACTGTACTTCAAATCAAGTGCGTTCCCTATGAAATGAATATACTTGATTTCGACGTCTAATACAACTAGTATGAGTACTATACCGAGCTCAAGAAGAGCGAGAGGAAATACCTTCTTCACAAAGCTATTGAACTTGCGGCAAATTTCCACAGGCAGTTTCCCTCATTGACTGAGAATGAACTTGCAGTAGAATTTGGGGTAAGACTGTACCAATACTAATATTATCGGAAGCTGATGGCCATCCAAGGCAGTTCACATGGCATTAGAAATGCGTAACTTCGTCCGAGGCGACATCCATCTCATGGTAAACCCAAGTTATGCCTATTGGAAGGAGAAGATGATCGAAGCGGGAAATCGTGAGTATATCGAAAATGTGTTGTCCGATGTTCACTAACCAGCAATCGCCAAAAATAGGTCTCCATACTTTATTCAATATCATGGATCCAGCATTCGATACGTCCCACTTAGTGATAAAAGTCCCAGCAACATGGGAAGGGCTACAGGCCTGTCATGAATTACAGTTCAACGGAATTAAAACATTAGCTACAACAGTGTTCACCATGGAACAAGCTGTCCTAGCCGGTGAAGCAGGCTGCGTGTCCATATCTCCATTTGTGCATGAGCTCAAGGCAGTTTTAGACCAAAGGTGAGATATAACACAAGTTCATTTGATTATAGAACTAAAACTTTCTTGTGCACAGCTATCAAGATAGTGATTCACTTCTAGATTTGTGCCTCAAAGCACAGAGATGGTACAAACAAGAGTCTTTACCGACGAAAGTCAAAGCTTGTGCCACTATAGGATTAGATGAAATCTTGCAACTAGCTGGTGTCACGGCGCTCACATTGGTACCAGATGATATTAAAATGTTGCAGGCAATCCAGAGACCCCAATTTGAAGTGAGCGGTATGTCGCTCTTTACAGAATCTGGTGTCACACCAGAAATAATGCAGTATCCTTCATATCTTCATGATGAGTTGAAGTATCGAATTGATTTCAATCTCGCTGATCATGGAAGAGCGCAATTGAAGTTGGGCCAGGTAAGAGATGGCATATCGATACGAAGCTCAGGAGCTTATATTGAGCCTAAATCTACAGGCAATACAGATTTTCTGTGACTTCCAAGCAAAGGCGGAATGTGTAGTGAGAACGGAAAGATCTGGCAGTGTCTAGATAAACTTTCCATACCTTCATCCGTTCTCCTACAATACAAGGAGCCGTATAAATCAACGTTTAATTCAAATTATTCCAGTCCACAATCTTTCCATGAATTTCACTCAATTAGTCAAGGGTATTCATGTATTCCAAGGTATATTCAGTAAGGAATCTAAGGGTTCCCCGGGCCATTTTCTGGCCCCTTTGCAGCCATTCACCTCGGATTATCCTCGTCTCCCTCTGAATCTGCAGCAATAGTTGTTGATACATACAAGCCGACCATGGATCCATTGGATAGATGAGGAACTTCTCAGTGTAAACCAATATGGTCGGGTGGGAATGCTGCGGAATATAAATTCTACTAAGATACTGCTACGAACTACAAAATTCACGTAGTCTACGTATTCTTCAGATATATCGAAAGTCCAAATATGCGGGTTCAAAATCTTTTGACATCTGGAATCGCTTGCTTGGTTGAAAACCCCGAGCAAGATGTTTGCTCCTTTTTCACATTGTACGTCTCGGACTAATGGCTGATAATACTCATAAAAATTATATCTAATCTCCGTTATTATGGTATATACTCTTTAGTGGTGACTCTTATACGTCTACGAGCTTCAATATATCGGGTGTTCAGCCTTCTATTGGCAATCCAATGGGAAACCCTCGGCTCGGTAGAATCAACTCACCCAATTCAAGGTAGTCAAAGCTCCACTGACATGCAGTCTATCAATGCAAACAGGACACGGGACCACATCAAATGGCGCTAATTGGGTAGGTTACTTGACAGCGATGTACAACAAGACATCGGTGCTGAATTATAACCTCGCTGTGTACGGTGCCACTGTAAACAACTCAGTCGTTGGTAACGTCGCTGGGGATCTCGTATATCAAATTTCCCACAAATTTACAGATCATTATTGTTTCAATTCAACTGCACAATCAAATCCAATATGGACTAGCGAGGCATCTTTGTTTGCAATCTGGATTGGTATCAATGAGTGAGTCCCTCTTCGGCTATTTGAAACCAAATCATACGTAACTAAGATGCACTCTTTCTCACAGCGCGCAGGTCAGCTACCTAGACCCTAGTCCATATAAGATTGTGCCCTTTGTCGTCAGGAGTTATTTCATCCTGCTCCATGACTTGTACACGTGCGGGGCACGCAACATACTAGTCATCAACGTGCCACCAATCAGCCGTACACCATATATGTTGTCACTGAGACCGTGGCAGAGAAAAATTAATCAAAAATTTGTTGATGCTCTGAATCACGAAATAGAAGCTATGGCTGTGGATTGGCGGAAGAGTCATTCCGATGTATGGCAACGATTTTTTTTTTCGATTTCATTTTGTCGCATCTAACGTACATTATGCCAATAGGCTTTCCTGGAAGTCTATGATGTATGGTCATTTATGACCATGATCCTGGACCGGCCTCGTAGCTACGGGTTCATGGATAATCGTTGTTCGGGGGAGAGATGCATCTGGTGGGACGATTATCACCCTAGTTCTGCGTTCCATCGACTTCTGGCTGCTAATATCCAAGTGAAACTTTCCCATGATTATGGAGAAACAGCTGTGAAATATAATTTGGAGTGTATTCGGTCAGAAACATGACACACATATGACAAAGGAAGCACAGTGAGATGACGCACTACCAATGTGTGACATTGCTAATAATAGCCTGAATTTAGATAATCATGTATCTAAAATGGCCTGATGAGTGAATTCAGCACAGTTATTATGATCAAGTAAGAAAGGCTTTTGTACATAACATAGACAGCAAATCTAAATCGTTGCCCGGAATCTCATGTTTCCAGGATGAAAGGATCTAGCAGAATGATAATTGAAGCCAGCTGAGTATATTCTGAGATATGGAAGGATACTCAAAGGAATCGAAGCAAGGAGTGCAGTGTGTTTCAAATGATATCGATTTCAAGGAGATTATATCCATTTTGAAGCGCGATGGCGGCATCATTGTTAAGGGGTTAATTCGAGAAGAAGATATTGATAAGGCCAACGAAGAGGTCAAAACGAGACTCGAACAAGATCAACCATGGGACGGGGAATTCTTCCCAAGTACGAACCCCTATAGCATCCGCCTACTCTGCAGCTGCTAACATTACGGTTTGAGTGGAAACCCGCCGTGCTCCTTCATTGATTGCCCGAAGCCCAACGTACACAAGAACTCAATTGATGAACCCATTATTTCAAGCGGTCTGCGCACATTTTCTCACAACTCGAAGCTGGTTCTGGTGGGGAGACAAACGAAAAGAGTCAGTTTCCAAGCCATATGTCATGTCATGTACAGCCATCCAAGTTGGTCCTGGTGCGAAGGCGCAGCCGTTGCACCGCGATTCTTTTGTCAACCATGCCATTCTTCCCGAGATCGACGAGTGGAATGATGAGCGAGATGAGAATCGAGAAACTGGAATTGGAATGATGGTTGCTGGCTGTAAGGTCACCAAAGAGAATGGCGGTACCCAGTTCATTCCCGGCAGTCATCTATGGTACGCTTCTACACCGACAGGTAAAGAGAAACGCCGAGTAAATCTGACTTAAATGTCTTATCAGGGCCACGGACCGAGAGTCTCATCCAGATGTGAAAGATTGCATAGTCGCTGAGATGGAAAAAGGAGACGCTTTCATCATGTGTGCCTCAACATATCATGGAGGCGGTAACAATACGACCGCTGACCAAAAACGCCTGGTCTATTCTTCTTTTGCTTGTCGGGGCTATCTGAGACAAGAAGAAAATCAGTTCCTGGCCGTCCCAAGAGAGACAGTGAGGAAGTATGATCGATCAGTTCAGGAGTTTATGGGGTATTCCCTCAGTCAACCAGCGGCTGGGCAGGTCGAACAGCTAGATCCGATCTATATTCTCTATCCGGAGCTGCTAATGGAGATAAGACCAACTGACTTCTGATATTATGCAGTTCAGGTGAGAACTCTTAGGTATAGCGGGTGAAGTAAACAGATTGGTCGCAGAAAAAAGATGGAATCATGGCGGACGAACATTCTTTATATCTACTAGGCTTGAGACTATGAGGAACAATGTCAGTATTTTTTTTTCAAATAGCCATTCTGTGGAAGTAATCTGTGATTGTGGGAAGATTTTGTTACGATAAATCTCAAATTTGCCATCGTCACACTCTTCGTTTTCTCATGCTCGGACTCGAGTCAGGGAGCCTAGCCCGTGAATTTTTCTTCCGGGTTATCTAGGTTGGAATTTTGAGCGAAGGAGTCGTCGACCCAGAGTCAAATTCGGTCCCAGTTAGTGGAACCCCATCAAATTTACCTTTTAAATCAGCTCTTGATATCGGTGTTTGAACGATTATTAAAAAATGAGAATGAATTCCTACGAATCTTTTTTGGTTTCTCTACAGAATAGTTCCATAGTGCTCGCCTACCACGAGAAATATTTTAGGAAACTCATCCACAGAAGCGCACTGCAGCGAGCTAATTACCGTAAACATTACAAGGCCGCCCCAGTTGGTGTAATTCTGGCACTGTCCTGATCCCCATGATGATATCCGGTTTACCTTGTTCCCAACTTGAGTTTCTAAATACTATCATGCTCAACCTCATTATGCTCAAGTCACAATGCTCATGCTACTGTTTATAAGTTGGTATGTATAACCTAGACTGAAGACAACCTAACTCTGAAAGCATATCAATCAACGGGATAATTGATTCGAGAAGGTCATGTTTGGATCCCTCAATGGTCAATCGTAAACTACTAGTAAGCAGAATCACATGGGTAGTGGTTTCGAGTCAAGTATTAATTTGAATCAATTCTTTTAGGAATGTAGCGCGTTATCTCGGGCCATTCGCGAGGCCTAACGAGATACCGCTGTGTTGAAGTTGATAATAATAAGAAAGCTTCTCCTGTTAGCTGCTACCCGGTGACTTAAGTAATGAACGGAGGGAATATGGAAAACAGTACCCTTATTCACATAGTGGTGGGGAGGGAGGGGAAGTCATCTTATTCAGGTAGAATCACTATCATAATAATCGAGAAAGGTCGTCCAGCGGCATTGTTAATCACGTTGATTATTCGAACAGCATATAGAATATAGTAAATCCAAGAGTCTATGCAACCCATGGAACTGCTGCTCAATGGAGAAGAAAACTATACAAGATCAAGCTCAAGATTAATCAGCCATCCTTTTCACCTCTGTGCGATCTTTATGCCCAACTTTGGGATGTTTATATGCTCGGGAATATCTTACCTAGCCACAGAGAAACTGAGCAGGGCATTATTCCAAATGCCTTATCGGTATGAATTCTACCGTACCAATCTTCAGTAGACCCCGATCTCTCTATCTCTATATCGAGCGATATAGTTTTTACCAGGAATTTTATCCAGCAGCTGGTGACAGCATAGATAAGGCTCTGTCCATTACGAAAAGGTATTAATGCCGCTTCCCGTCAACTAGATTGATCTTTCTGCAACACGTTTGCAAGGAGTCTATTACAGGTCTACAACAGGGGATTATGCCTTGGTTACACATTCTCTGGACTTCAATTCACAGTAGAACTTCCAAACCACGACCAGGAATTTCGGCCCGTCCAGATGGGTAAGCGACTACCGGGAAGATCCCCAGTGTCATGTGATCAAGCTCATGTGACGCGCCTCTCGATTCCGATGAACTTGCCCGGTTTTCCAAAGCATCGCGACTGGTGCCCGAAGCCGGCTTCTATATTCCCCGGGCTTAAAAGTCAACAAAGAAGTCCAGGTCATGATGCTTGGTTCCTGACAGCCTTGCATTCCTCACAACGCGACACTTTCGAGCCTTGGCAGACCTCCCCCTCAACCTTGCGACCTCAACACCAAATCAAGGATTCTCACGCTGGGTTCAATTGCAGCATTGTGATTACTCGCCGATCTGCTCCCCATTTTATCTCTACTCGGCCCTCTTGCTGCCGTAAGGCTGACGGTCTCTCTCCAAAGTGCCATTCAATCCCGGAGAGTTCTCCGACTGGTCTCCACTTGGCAGAGCCGGGGAGCATCTTGTTAATAAATCCGCTCGGCAAGTTGCCGTTACCCACCGCGCGCTCGCCACTACCTGCGATTACCACGTATGTCCATACACTTCATCCCCGCCTGTGAGAGATTGTGTGATTTGGGATCCACGCTGCTATACAAACGTGCAGCTATCATCCGACATTGATTCGAAGCTGAAAGGGCAATTCTAGTCTTTTATCAGTCCAGATACCACTCAATCCTGATTCTTGATCGGCTCAAGGCGTATAGCGATATCACCATGCTGGACGGTGGGTTAGGGAAACTACAAAAGAGGATGCGAGGTCGTCTCGGAGATATGGTAAGTTTTCGGTAATCTTGAGCTGCGCGCCCATGGAACTCGCTGATGGTGAGCTACAGTTAAGCCCAGATGATCCTTTCCTGAGTTGTGAGTCTCCTTGCGTATAAGAGCTGCCAGCTTCAACGGCTATCAAGATGATACTAACAGAGTCGTGAATTGCCTAGATTATGATATACGTTGTACGAACCCATAACTCTCTGGTTGAAAGTCCGTCTATGGCAGCTGACACGATTTAGTGACACGAGAGGATATGCAAAGTCTCAAAAACGATTGGCTCACAGATAATGTGGGTTTCATTCACACGCTGAACCTGACTTGGTATGAGAGCTAATGCCATATAGATCATATCATTTTGGGAGGAGTAAGTCCGCTCAAGTTGGCTGACCCGGCACAGGTATAATCTAGAGCCTGGTATTAATATTACGGCGGTTTAGGTATCTCGAACATGAATTTCTTTCTCAATACAAGTCCTCCAATATTGTCCTCCTTCGGCCCAGCATGTCCTTTATGATCCTTCAAACACCCGACCCTCACACTCTCCGTGATGCGCTTCCAGACTTTTCTCAAGCCACCCATGTTTTTCTCCCTATAAATGATTGCCACAACGTCACGCAGGCTGAAGGCGGCACGCATTGGTCCCTTCTTCTAATCTCCATTGTCGATGGATCCGCATTCCATTATGACTCCCTCTTACATGGCAATTTTGAGGAGGCCAGATTTGTAACCCGGCAGTTCGGCTTTCTCTTACAGGAAAGACTGTGGACTACCCTAGGGAAACAATATTTTGAGTTCTATCATCTGAGAGATTCTCCACAACAAGACGGTGGTAGCGACTGTGGTGTTTTCGTGTGCATGAACATGCGTCATCTCCTCTTAAAGCGACTTCTAATGGCCAGCGCACACGAGAAGGTCAGCATGAGCCTCGGAGGGCGAAGCGTCGATGCCAGTGCAGCACGTAAGGAAATGGCCAAGATCATTGAAGGATTCCGGAAGGAAGGCGAGCGTCGACGGTCGTGAGTACTTTTCCGTTGGAATCAATCACCTTGGATTTTGAAGGATTGGAAATATGTCTGTCAGCACTAACCAGAGCCATGTGTAGAGCGAGTGCGAGCCCTATGGGAAAGAGATCCAGGAGCCCTCCCCGTATCGAATGATCGATCTTTTTCTGTTGCATGCCATTAATGAGTATATGCCCGTGTAGGTTTTCCCTTTTTGATCAATACATATTTTTATTGCAGAACAACTCCGTTGCACAAATGTGATGGTCATTTTGTTGTTCAAGCGTTGCATACACTCTGGGTTTTGGTGGATGGTTTCTATGGTTGATATATATATAAATACTTATGTGCCTTAAATTCGCCTCCATCCATCTGTTCCAGGTGCTTTGTCTAATCAGGCCATGTAACTCAATCGAAGGTTCGGGAACCAGCAGATCACGCATAACATAAAATGACCCCTTGTTCGCATCTAATGCCTTTCCGTCTGGCATTCAAGCAAACTGTTAAGCAAGGCCTTCTGCCAGGAGACACCTCTTACACGCAAGACGTCAAAAGAGATGTGGGGTGGATAGAATACAGCATCAGATTCAAACCATGATAGACACGGCAGGCACTGAGACTACATATTTTAGGAAGCAAGCCTATCATCTCATCCTCAAATACCTTCCCAATGATTGGTTAACGAACTTTCTTTGATTGCCTTTTGAGAGCCAGCCTATATTTAAGAGGCTAGAATTGGTGTATTATGACACTTGGTCCTCAGGAGATTTCAAAATGATGGTCAGATCATGGAGCAGATTTCAAGGTCATTATGGAATGAAGTCATTGGATTTCTCCGCAGATTTGGTCTATCAAAGACATTGCAGCTATTCTATATACGAAGTGATTCGATGTATGAATGCTTCTAGGGAATTTAGGACCGGTGATTGGGCGAATGTCCTCTGCTACGCTACGGAATATAGGTCGGTGCTATATATGTGCTAATACGGCTTTGAACAGCGGCGCAAGAGGGTAGCATATTTGAAACCTAGTAGGTACTACGTATATATAACCGTGATAGTTTTAGTAAGCTATAGTTATAATTAGAGGCTGAACTTGCAAAAAAAATAAAGGAGATAGTCCTTGACTAAAAGTGTGTAGGGACAGAAGGAAAAGGATAGTAACCTAGAAGAGACTATATATTGCTACTTCAATCCACAGATACCTAAAGCCTGAGTTGAATAGTGGATGCCTCTTTATAGCTCTTATACTGTAGTATGTTCGCTATCAAATTTACAACCTGCTCGTCGGCAAGATATATCTCTAACTATCCTAACTAGGCTAAACCCCCTTTTGTTTTAATAAACGGTCCTTTAATAGATAGGAGGGTAATAAATTCTAGGTCTGTCGACACTTTCACTAGGCCGGCGATATTTCGGAAGCAGAACTCCGCCTTTAGGTTGTAGTTATCGACGGTCGGTCTAGCTATTCTAGAGACGTTTATATAGGGGGCGGAGGGCTAGGAGTGAAATGCTAGTTCAATGGAATATATAACTTTGATACTTTTTTTTGCTTGTTTGCACTGAAAAGAGTATAGAGGCGAGTGCTTATTAGGATAGATAGGGTGCCTTATATAGCTATATACCTCTAGCTTATACCGTTGATGTATCTCGACTACTTTAGGGATATAATCCTCTGTAAGAAAGGGGTGATATTCTTCCTTAGAGCTGTCTAGGTTTCGGTAGTAGGCGACTATCAGCTTAAGTATACACCACGGGGCTATATTAGTAGGGATTATGGATAAAGTCTAAGTAATAGTAAGGCCTAGGACTTCATCTGCTGTCTAGTTTGTCCTATTTATCTCCTCTTATATCTTGTATAGCGATATATAAGACGATTAATATATATAAATATAGAAAGGCCGTCTTACCTTCTATAGAGCACCGGTCCTCTTATCGGATAATTTTAAGATTATAGCGTTAATTTCACTAATTCGGTAACTTCGGTAACATAATAGCCGATTAAGAGGCTGAACAGCTAGAGCTAGTACTAGCAGAAGACGGAGATCTATAATCTGGGCTTTTTTGGTCTTTTTTCTACCCTGTCGTGTTTGCTTTGGGAAACTATAACGTGCGCTTTACTTATACGCAGTATTTACTATGAAAGCTAAAATATGAGGATCTATGATAGCTTGCACTAGCTTCTAGTTTTCTTGGATTACATCGTTACGTATTTGTTATCGCTGGCGTTAACCACGCGATCCTTGGGTCTCGCGATAGCAAGTCTGCAGCTATACCACTAACACTTGCGTAAATAGCCTTACTTGGTCGGGCTAAGCAAGGAAAGATATCGGTATCGATAGGTCTATTCGACAGATTCGGCGATTGTGAAAAACCTTCGGAGACTGTGAGGCTCGGATCTACGCCTATAGATACGTCCGGGGGTGATAGCTTGGCTATCGAGACCCTCACGACTAGTGGGCTGTTAGCGGCTTGAGTAGAGCGATGAGGCGTATAGCTGTCGTCTTCCGGATACGGAGGAGGGTTGGGATCCCCGGTCTAGCCGGGCCGGCCGGGCTGATGCTGTCTAGCTCACCGGATCCCGGGGTATCCAAAAATCGCAACTAGGTCTGCAGGTCGATATTGACTACATATAGTCGCAGGCGCGGAGGATTTGAGCTTGGCTCGGGAAGGGAGGATAAGTTCTAGCACTTATTAATCTAGCAGAGCGTTCGTTGTCAGATTCTATGTTAATTAGGCGCTATCATTATTTTCCTTATAATCTATTTTATTACCTTCAGTATCTTGAATATGCAAGGCTGTATATACTAACGTGAGATTTAGAAAAGAAGATAAATAAGAATGAATTTTGAAAACTGTCCCTAATGCTACTTACGCGAAGGAAATTTTCTGCGTGGAAACACGACCTAAAAGAGAAAATCATAGGCTATCTCTCGAGGACCGCCCTTCAATACCTATGTTTTTAATCCACTAGGTTCGGAAGATGTTTCTTCTGTACTATCTTCCACGCACATAGTAGGCATCAACTAACCGTCGGACAGGCTCTCGCGACTTAGGTACCGTACTCCGCATCATCACGACGAGTGCTACCCCTACACAAACATGGACCTATCGCTGCACATCTTATTATATGTCTATTGCCACCTAAGAATATAGGAGAGAAATTGAGATGCAAGCGATAGTTCTTATCTAACAATTTAGATTAGAATATGAAATAAAGAGGAAGCCTGAACGTACCAGAATATAGCGCTCGCTTCGCATTGAACCAGAGCGCACATAGGCAATCTGCCGAGGCAGAGAAGGCGGAGCTGCTATCAACAAACTAGCCACCAAACCACCACACACCACGCTGGATAGGGAATCCCTAATGGGAATAGGAACTGAAATTTTGAGAAAGAGTATGTAGTTGTTCAACTCTGATCTCTCTCGGAATTGAAGCTATATCTGTAACAAACGTGTACAGGAAAAATATCACCCAATAAGCTTCCATATAGCATAGACAGTTTCCCCACTACAATACGCATTTTTAATATTATGGCATGTCTATGATACTCTTCAGTTGAATATTGGGTATAAACCGTGTTTGTAATATAACGAAAGACAGTCCAAAACCGTCACAAAACCCGTAAATAACGCCCATATGCGGAGAATCTTCATATCCCACTTATCGACCAGCACCTTGGTAGCATGCAGCATGAGGAACCGGTTCGCCATGCTGCATCAAATATGTATCCCACTACTCGCTTCGCCTATATCTCCATCTTCTTCTAAGCCAGCAGAATTAGATCCTGCTTCGTTCAATGATGTTCATGATGTTCATTATGCTGTAGTATTCCTCTTCCTCCGCTTCTCGTTAAGCTTTGGAATTCCCGTTCCTAACACTTGCCTGCCATGATACCATCTGGTAGTCAATTATGGACAATATACAGGCCGTAGGTCTTTTGAGACTACAGATCTGAGAAATGTGAGTCTTGATTTGGCAAATTTTGACATATATGTGTGTCAAGAGGAGTGCATGGGCAATTTCTCCGTTTATTGAGATACACAAAAGACTTATTCTGCTTACTTTTACAGGGCACATTCGTATGATAGGCCGGATAGTTAGGAAAATATCCAGGAGGTGAAAAGATAGAATCGAAGTCAGTCATAGATAAGTAGCATGAATTTGACTGAAAGAAAATAGGACAGGTTACACTTCTTAGGAAAAGTTCAACGCGGAACTTCGATAGTTTATGAGAGCCGGGCACCCAGCCTGGAAAACTGCTATATATACATATATTTTGATTATAGCTATTCGGATATATATTGAGGAAGGAGGATTATTTGAAGAAGTTGTGAGGAACTATCTAGGCTAGCTAAAGATTGCGAATAGTAGTCTAATCAATCAGCTATATCAGCGAGTATATAATCAGTCTTCTTATTAATTCCTTTATCCCTTGCCTCTTAGAAACTAGCAGTTGAACTCGAGATAATCTTTTAATGTCTCGTGATACGGCTTAGAACACCTTTGAGAGCATCTTAGGTATCCTCGTCGCTTCCTTGTTGGTTGATTCTATTGAGTTAGATTAGCTTTTCCACGATCTTCATTTTTTTTGCATTCTGGAACTCCTACTTGTTGAACTTTTTCTTAGTCCAAAGCTCGAGGTGCATAAGCATTTGAAGCTATCCACAAATTTGAGCAATAAGGCAGCATAGCGCTTTTTCTAGGAATCGAGCTTAATTCTGTATACAGCAATGTAGATTCCAAATTTTCGTGGTCACCCCGGTCGACTTGACGCTGAGTTAAGTCGACGCTAAACTATTTGACGCTGATCTAACCGCCGTTGGACTTTTTAGCACTGGTCTACCTGACTCTAGTCTAGTTGCATTATTGGTTGACATTTTGGGTGATTATCTACGAGATCTGGTGATTCAGATCTGCCACTGGCAATGGCAACTGGCGACCTGATGATTCAGAGCTCGGTGACACGAGCTGCCAGGAGAGTGTGGAAGCGAGGAAGGGAGTGGGATGTGCATGCGGACTGATGCATGTGGGATGCGGGAGTTGGTGATGCGGGAGATGCGGAGGTAGGGCGGTGAGATGCTGCCACCACATGACCTTATCATCAATCTGCAGATAAGGCCGGCAGTTTCTCCGCCCGCATGTAGGATTTGATGCTGGATGTTGCATGCTGGATTGCTGAGGCCATGGTGCATGGCAGGTGCACTCGGCTCCGCCGGGACACGCGGGATGGCCGCGGAGGCGGATCTCTTCTTTCGTTTATTTTTCCTTTGTCGTTCGATTTCATCTGTTCGTTCCAGCGTCATGCTGGCCCTTGCTGGCAACTTCTCATGCGCACTAGGCTGGCACTAGAAGGCGCAAATCCCTGCATAGCACCTTGTAAATAGAGGAAGCTCCATCAGGAATAAGATTATTGATTGATTGATATCTAGTTGCCTAGACAGTATCCGTATCTTAGTAAGTCTCGCGCGTTAATTTTTAACAGGTATCAAGCTAGACTAATCTTGCCTATTCTTAGATAAATTAGTCCTAACGATATTGCTTCCCACAGGCCTTGCTAATAGCCTGGGTTCTTCTTTCCTAGCAACTCGATTAAGCGTTTCGTCAACCTTACTCCCCTCTCCTTCTACCACGATGCCTCCTACACCTGTTTCGCTTGTTATCGAATACGTCGTTTGATTGCTGCTACGAGGATAAGATATCTATTTCAGGTAAGGAGGGATTGGAATCGGCGAGGTCGGCTTCCTTCACTATAGCGTCAGCTAGTTCGTTACCAGGGATACCTTTATACTTAGGGATCTAGCGGACATCCATGTAAGTTTTGTTAAGTCCTTCAAGATATCGTATTGCTGAGATAAGGTAGGCTTAGCCTGAAGGCATCCTCGGACTGTGAATAGCCTACAGAGAAACTCCCCCTATATCGACCCTAACCGTGATTTCAATACTTGTAGGCTTATAATTACCTTGACAAGTATCGTTTCCCGATAGTGTTACAGTCGAGGATAATATAAGTTATATAATTAATAGAGATTCCTTTCCTACTACTAAGGTAGCCGGTAGGAAGTAATAGAGGATTCTAGGTCTTAACTAGGTAGGAAATCCTTCTAGCTATAATCGATTCAAAGGTTTTAGTAAGTATATTTAGTAATATAATAGGTATTACGCGCTGCCAACGTATATAGTATGTTCTTGCAACGTACCTCTCTCGTAAGAGCTCCGATGATCTGTCTTGTAACTATACTGTTGCCGAATCTTTAAGGCCTTATATAGACTCGGGTCTATAAAGTAGACCGAAGACGTATATAGTTGAAGGGCGCCTAGTTAGTCGATAAGTAGATATAGGTATATCCTTATATTATACTATAGAGAGGGTTATGTTAGGATGCTACTTGCAGGGTAGCGGCCTTTTAGTTAGGTAAGGAGAAATGAATATAGTATTAGATCGTTATAGAATCAAAGAAGAATAGTAAAGATGGATTATTCTAACAACTGAATCTTAAAGAGATTCGGTTCGAAAGGAAGGGGGGATTCTCTTTCTTTAACCTGAATATGTTATTCCGCTGTGTACCGAAGGATTGACGGTAAAGGAATCCGATTCCAATTTGTTCTTCTTCGTGAACAACTATCGTTATATGTACGATTCACTCCCGAAAGAAGCCGGTCAACCGGAATGACATCAAATTTGATTATTCTATAACACCGGATCTATAATTACTCAACTAAAAATTAATACCTTCGCTGCTACTATAAACTACTATATCTTCTAGGATTAAATAAATTACCACCTAGATCTATATAGGATCTAGAGAATAATTAAAGAAAGATTATTAAATAGTAATAAGAATATCTTACATCAAGGCAAAAAGGCAATCTTAATCGCCTATTTTATTATAATAAGATTACTATAGAGAATCTTCAAATAGCAAACAATATAATACGCAAGATTAGAGAAGCTAAACAACTAATACAGCGCCTAATCACTAAGTGCTTGGTTAAAACACCGCCTAACAAAATAGGGGTACTCTATTAGAGATAAAAATCGTTCTATTACTAAAAGAGACGAGAAGGCAGCAGAGGCAGATCAGAAGCGGGCAAGGAAGCAGTGGAAGCAAGCATATAGAACATCCCTACTACCAGATGATACAGTATTAGATAGAGTGGAGGAAGCACGTTAGGAAGGTGATATTTTCTTTGTAGATACTGCTAGAATGCATCAATAGATAGCAGAAATAGGAAAAAACAGTATTTCATGTGTAGGTGGTAATTCATACGTAGCGCACCCACAACCCTTCCGGGTTGGGTGGGGGGCGGTGTAAGGCACTAAGATGTATATATCCTACACTTTGATACTGAATCGAAAGTTCGGGGCTACTCCGCAAGCTTACCACCCGGGTATACAGAGAATACCTTGTCAGATCTAGCATTACGAGAAGCATACGCTAGGTCATCATGGCATTCCATACATCAGCCGCTTCCTGTCCCGACAGATTCGCCGTCGCACTCTCAGCCTCGTAACACCGGTCGATAGTCTCCTGGGGCGCATTGCAAGGGCTTCGCAGTCGGTTGCAGATCAAGTCTTCAGGACTGTGGATAGACGTGTCGGAGCCGAATGGGAAGTCCCCCTGATTGCGAGTGGTGTAGGAGTAGCCCGTGCGGCCATCTAGCCCGTACTCATAGAGGATGGTCGGGTCTGTACAATCGCCGTAGTCCAAGCCGCCGCCGCCATCGGTGGGGGTGCAATCACTGGCAGTCACGGTGACAGTAACTTCAAGGGTTTTGGTGTCAGTGGTAGTGACCGTATCGGTGACAACTTGGTTTTGGGTGACAGTTTGGGTGTCGGTCTCAGTCTGAGTGTCGGTCTCAGTCTTGGTGGTGGTAGAACCAGGGACAGTCACCGTCTCGGCAGCTTCCGTCTCAGTGGTGGTCACGGTAGGGCCGGCAGTTTCGACGGTCTCCGTGACGGTTGGGCCGTCCTCGGTGATGGTGATCCAGTCGGTAGTCGTCGCGGTGCAGGCCGTCACGGTGTCGATGATGGTCTCCGTGTCGGTAGTGGTGACGATGTTGGCCGAGGCCCCGCCATCATCGGTGGTGACGGTTGCAGTGCATTGACTGATGGTCTCGGTGACGGTGGCAAAGCCATTGCCGCCATCGTCAATGGTAACCGTGACGGTAGTGGTGGGCGCGGTGGTGCTAGAGGCAGTATCAGTACGCTATATAGGTCGAGTAGATCGTACATATCACAGTATCATTGCGTTATTGGGCCGGGGGGGGGGGGAGCCCACACGGCGATGCCTCACAGAATATATGCATATATTCCCGGGGAAGCAGAGCCAGAGCCTGATCAGGCAGAAGATTCAGTCAACCTACCAATCGCTGATGGTCACAGTCGAAGCGGCCGGATATCCTCCATTCCCGCCCCCCTGGCCACCACCATGGCCTCCGTTTCCTTGACCTCCGCAGTGGTCGTCGGGACCGCCACCCGCTGCTTGCTCGGGAATGTGGCTGAAGCCATAGCCATATTCATAGCCATACTTTTCTTCATTCAGATCTAAGTTTGCGATGTTATCATGCCCATTGGTACCTTCCCAAATCCCACCAGGAGCTGGGCGAGCGAAGACCGGGAGAGCTGGCAGCAACAAGGCAGAAAGAGCCACGAGTTCCACATGCAAGTGCATTCTGGCCAAGGATGAAACTTGCGCCATCGAAGAAAACAAACAGTATTAAAAGAACTTAGAGAAAGAAAAATACCAACTATGGATGTGGCCGTCACGCTCACAGAAAAGAAGGGAACATAAAACGATAATTGGGAATTTTTGTTCCACAGCTTTGGGACATACTTCCCTCTATAAAAGCTGCCTCTCAGGATTGACAGATCTCCAAATGACCAGTAATCAAGTCCACAACAACAGAAAATTCTTCGAGCATATGGTAAAACAGGGCCCGAAGGCATGCTCGGTATCGGGCCCAAGGCCACAGGAATGCCGGTATCTGCGCAAGGAGCCCGTGCTTAGCTGATCGAAACATAGAGTTGCCGACTGGAGATGGTTCGGACCGTCACTCCAAGATTGTCTTCGGCCCTGGTCTCCAAAAAGGGATTGGATGTTTTCTTTGCTTTTCTGTTCTCTTTCTTCCCCTTCTCTTTTTTTCTCCTCGCATTCAATTGAAACTATATCGGTGAAATGATCTCTTGGGGTGTTTGGGGGAACCTTTTTCCCGAAGGGCGGCTCACGGACGGTGTACACGAACGAGTGCTGCGTGTATAGGAGTAAATATGTGAGAGAGTTATTCTTCACCTGGCGTGTTGTGTATGTATCCGACCCTCCAGTTCCAGTTTGAGGGAAGCGGCACTATCTCAAATGAGAGAAAGTAGATCCCCACAGACTTTTATGGGTTGTGTCAGTGCTTTGGCTAAAAAGTTTGTTATTTCTCAGTCATCGGAAGCGGGAACTCTGTTTGGGCTTAATGCTTCTCTAGACACGTATTTCAAGATCTTTCTGATCCTTGGTCCTTTGAAGACTGAACAACCATGAATTTTAGTTTTGAATACCAATTATTGTGAAAATGCAGTATTGGGATTTGATCTGCGAAGGCTCTGCAATGAAGTTCTGTGGGCTAGGGTGATATTGGGTAGCATCGTGACCTTGGCAAACAAGGGAGCAGGGTGGGTCTGCATCCAAGCTTCATTTCGAGAGATGCATACCACACCTTCATAGGGAGACGGAGAGCATTCCGTGTGGCCACCTATTCTTCGTCATCAAGAGCAATCGCTTTATCAAATAAGGTCCCCAAAAAAGCGCATGGGTCTTGTTTTTGGCGAAGATAAGTGTTGAGGCTACGAAAGTGGCGAGCATTCCCAAACGAGGTCCCAGGTAAAACTGCGAAACATGTATGGGAGAGCTGTCTCGTCCCATCCTACGCGCTAGACGAAAAGAAAGCGCATTCAGTCCGGATGGAAAGATGATATAAATGGGCCTGTGCCTATCTCAGGCCAAATCCTCGAATAACGTCGTAACCCACACTCCTGACTCTCCTCTGAATACAACACACGAATGCAGCACGGGGGTGAAGAAAATCGAAATACAAACAAGAAGGGAAGATCGAAAAGGCGCCCTGAACGCCGAACCATGTCGATCGAAAACAGAACAGCAGAAACGGCAAATTCACGCAAGAGAGCAGTCACGTAAAAGAAGTAAAAGGAACCCATAGATGTGTAATGTATGGGGAAGTTTTGCAGAGGGGGAATAGCAGGAACAGAGACGAAAGGTGGCACCCGATCAGCCTGGACCAGCTGACAACCGAAATCTATACAGGTCATGACGTGTAAATGCGCGACGCGGATCGCAAATCAGGAAAGAAGACGTGGAGTGGAAATTCAATTACACGCTCAGCGTGTCGAGATGGGACGTAGGCGTAAGTGGTGAGCTTGAAGACAGGTAAAGTAAGAGTACTGAAGATATTGCGGCTGACGCGAAAGACAGCGGCACAGGGGAGGAAGGAGCCCGCGCTAGGGCGGAGTGGGATTCTGGCCGAGCCCATCCCGACCCGGGCCCTTATCGCGGGACCGCATGTACATGGCATCGGGGGCCGAATCCGAGACAGAGTTGATGGCCCGAGGGACGGAAGTTTGGGGTTGATGCTGTTGTTGTTGTTGTTGCTGCTGCTGCTGGGCAACAACCTCACGGGCATAGAATTCCACGAGCATGGTGCCGTAGGCTTCGAGTTCTTCAACAGGGATCGCCAGGCGAAAGTCATTAAGTAAGAGGAATTGGAGCTCAAGATGATTGAGTTCCACGAGTGGCAACCCCCCAACCTGCATGCAGATCGAGATCGTCAGTTTACTGCTAGTAACGAGGGACATGATAGGTTCTCATTAAGGGTTGGTATAGGACAGGAGGTTGCAGCAACATACCTTGGCGTATCGCGAATTGGTATAAAAGACATCGGAGAAGAATTTACTGGCGCACGTTACGCCCGCGATAACCAGGCGATGGATATTGAAACTATCGACAACGAAAAAGTGCGATAGGTTCTCATCCTCCCCTTGGGGATAAAGCGCAGGAGAGATGGACGCATGAGGGCTCTTGGGATCTTGGGCCGTCATCCCCGTCGAGGAAGGCGGGGTCACCATCGACGCATCTGCCGGATGCCGGCTCGCTGGCGGTTCGGGGGTGTGTGTCCCGCTGGCGTCTGCGGAGGGCGGAGTCGAATCCGAGCGCGGGGGAGATCGGTCAAGAGGGCCTTGGTTGACTAGCTCGGTCATGCGGTCGAAATAGACCAACAGGCTTAGGAAAACCTCGTAGGTGGTGGGGCAATATTTATGGATACGAGTGAGATAGCTGAGAATGGTGATGCTGGGTACATTCTTGCCATGGAAGGCCAGCACACTGCTCGCCTGCGGGCTGAGGGTGCTGGTTCCGTCGGGGGGAGGGATGTGGCGATGCACCTGTTCATGGTGCATGTCGTTGGTGGTGGTGATCTTGGTGAGGAGGCCGGCCACCATCTCGATGATGTCGGTGACTGGCATGGAGCTGATTTCGAATTGTCGTTGGGACGAGACATGGGCAGGGCCTCCGGGGCGATGGGTCAGAAAAACATCGTTGGCCAGGCTCTGGATGTGCGACAAGCTTTGGACCCTAATGCGGCTCGGCGAATTCGCCTCGGAGCCACCAAGCGACTGCATCGATCGGAAGGTGGGTTGCAGGCGGGGGGACTCCGGCAAGGTCTGCCTGGCAGGATGCGCATCCGACCTCATTGAATCGGCTCTGGCAGCAGCGGCTGGAGTGGCCGCGGGGTGGTGGCCACTCGAAGGGTGCTGAGGGTAGGAGGGATATTGGGGCGTCTGGGCATTGGAGTAGGACGGGTGATCGGAGGGTGGAATGCCATAGTTGGAGTGCGAGGTCATCGAAGAGGGCGGCGCTTGGAAGGGGGGTTCGGAGGGGGTACTGGAAGAGTGCGAAGGGGGGTGGGAATTGAGGTAGGCGGGGAGGTCGTTTGCATGCGCGGGAAGCCGAACAGAGCCTACGGTTGGCGGGGCGGTGGTAGAGGTGGGGGTCGTGTTGGCGGACGAGGATCTGGAGCGGCCGTCGTGGGACGCGCGCGCATAGCCCTCCTGGTTCAGCGTCGCCCCCAACATGGTGTCCGGGTAAGGTGGTGGACCGTGCTGGCTGTCGAGATGATCCGACACGTGGTGGATCAGGATGGAGCCCATGTCCAGGCCAAAGCAGAGCAAGCAAGCAGATCAGGCTGGTGCAGCGTTGACCGGGACCGGTCTGAAGGTTGCGCCGAGGCGGGTCAGCAAGGGCGGCATTGGGAGAGGCCAGGCGGAAATGAGAGTCAAAAGAGGTGGCGGGACAGATGGGTGGGATGGTGAGAAAGCAAGCGAGAGGGAGGTAGGCGGGAGAGAGGAGAAATCAGGGAAGAGAAGGGTTGAGCGAAATGAGGGGGTTGGTTGAGTGCTCGATGACGCCGGGCAGCTCGTTGAGGCGGGCGGAGGGGGTTTGGGTTTGGGTCGAGGGTCTGGGCCAACTCTGGCCGCGGATCCCGCGACGGAGGAAAGGGTCTTAGGCAATGCGGGAGAAGAGGGAGCTCACCAGCGAGGCCCGATGGGAGCCATTGTCGAAGGAAGAAAAGAAAGATGACCAAGAAGACAGAAGGAGAGAAGGGAGACGAGAGGAGAGGAGGAACGCAGAGGAGGGAGAAGGGGGGAGAAGGTGAGGTTGAGGCCAGACGTTGGAAATAGGGAGGTTCACGGGATTCACGGGATGCAACGGGAAGCACGGGAGGGACCAGAGCATCGCAGCATCGCAGTATCGCAGCATCACAGCATTGCACCAAGTTGCCCTCTCCTCTTACGGGGTTACGATTACTGATTTCCCGGTACGCATTCACGGGAGAGGGTCTGGCCATTACCATTGGGCCATCACGGGAGCCTGGTAGAGATGATAGACTAGACCTGACTCGCAACTCGGGAAGAGAGTGATATCCCAATGAATATCCTCCTCGGAAATAGCAGCGCGCAGTATACCGAGCAGTATACCGAGTAGTATACCGAGTAGTGTCCAGCGCTGTATCCATGAACAGAGCGAAGCAACAATCACTTGAACTACCAGCTGCGCTCCGGACGCTTGATCCCCCTCACGGCTATGCTCCCACCCGTCTCTATGGCTGATCCTACGGCTGATCGTCGACCACGACTCGATGCGATGGAGTCGATACTTCAACCGAGCTCCAGCGTTTCAAGCAAAGACGGTGTAGACGGACGAATGACAGCGCGATGTCCGAGCCCGTGGTGCCGACAACAGGCCGAACCCTTCAGAGAGGGACCACCGGACAACCATATTATTGGCCGAATAAAAGGGCCGATTGAATTTATGCCCCTCCAGAGAGACCCCAGAAGAAGCGTCCGGTCAAAACGGGGTATTCGACGGATTCGACTGATTCGACTGATTCGACTGATTCGACAGATGCGACAGATGCGACAGATTTGATAGATTTGATAGATTCGATAGATTCATTGGGGTCAATGGATTCAATGGATTCAATGGGTTCAATGGATTCGACCCCGGGATCCTCTCGGAAAACCTGCATTGTATGGAGTCCGCAGGGCTGTCGAAGTGTTGTCGACTCTATGGGTTGGTCCGATTGCATGATGCGCCATTCCCGGTTCTCCTGAATGAGAACCCTCAAACCCCTCTCGAAACCATATCATATCCCACAATTGCCACAAGGTCCTACAGCAAGCCAACTCCAACCATCATGACTCGGAGTATAATACATGTGTAGACGGGATTGGAGTGTCCCGAATGCCAGGAGATTAGAATTGGAACAATTCCTCGCTTCCTGGCTCTGACAGGTTTTGCTCTCTGCGCCATGATGTAATCCCCTAGGGTTTCGATTGGCAACCCAATTGGACCCATTCGACCACTGCGACCAATATACTACTTCGTCTCTCCATCACCGGGGCCGGATACCGCCGCTCTTGGTTTTCTCTGTTCCTGTTTGAACCGTACGCATCCTGTCCCTGCTTCTTTCCGGTCCAGAGATCCATCTCACTCTCTTCTTCCCCTTACGAAGCGTGGGAGACAAATACACTGACGAGGATTTAGAGACGACGGGCGTAATCACCTAATGCCCCATTACATACGTACAGATATATAGTTGTAGATATAGATAGTATATAAATCAATACAAATATATGTGTTGTCGAGGTAGACAGCCCCCTTCACATCACCAGATATCATTCAAAAAGAACATACGCACACACACCAAAGGAGCGAGGCAAAGACAAGAGGCACTCATTCAATCAGGCGTAAAACGTCAAGACTGTCAAGGGAGCAAAAAGAAGAAGAAGAAGAAAGATAAATCTCATGAGACCATTTCATATTTCATTTCCTACAGGGAGCAATAGAAGAGGTCAGACAGGTCGCTTCCCTTCCTCCATTTTCATCCCTCTACTAATTCTACCGCCAAAAAAAGAATGCTATTAGTACACGGCATCGGAAGATTAATGGGTCACGCCAGGCCCCGTGTAGTTGGTATCGGGTAGATACAGATGCCGCACGGCGCCCTTCTTGGTCAGCACCACCATGCGTATGACACCGCCCGAGCTGCCATCCCACTTGATCGCCTCCTGCAGCGCACTGCGGACGAAGTCAATTCCTTCCTCCTCCGTCATCTGTTCCCGCCAGTGGGCATCGGTGTAGCCGTAGATGTAGGTCGAGCCCGATCCACCTATCGCGAACGACTGCTTGTGTAGTGATCCACCCAGCGGTATCGAGTAGACCTGCCCGCCATGTCGGGGGTCGTATCCTGCGATAATGATGCCCGCACTAGGGTGAGACAGACAGTTAGCACACCGCTCTCTCTGCCCGTTCTCTCGATTGCTTGTTGCAACCCCCTTCACCTCCGACACATCGTCCTTATCCACATGGGGGATGCCATAGAAGAAGGAAGGACTTGGCAACAGGGGGTTAGGTAGATCAGAAGCCGGGCAGCGCTCACCTGAGTTGGTCCTTGTTCTCATAGCACAATTCCTGGAAGAGAGACGCCGCCACTTGCGTGCTGGGGGCCTCGTTATTGACTACACCGTACATATTGAGGTGATAGGAGACAATATCCGCGACAGCCTGAGTGTCAGCTGCGGAGCCCGAGCGGCAGCACCAGATGGTATCATGCACCTGTGTCAATTTGTCGGTGACGCGGTTGGCAATATAGGCACCGGTGGTTGTGCGGCTGTCGGCACCGAGAATGACACCGTCTTTGAAATTGATCGCCATACTAGATAGCCCAGTCAGAAGGGGGGATGTTGAGATGGGATAGCTCATTTCGAGCTCCGGTTTACTCACATCGAGGTACCCAGGCTGGAGGATGCCACGAGTTAGCTTTCATTTGCACGGGAGGAGGTAACGCAAGGCTTGAGAGGCTTACTTCACTTCTCCACTCTTCAGGTGCTGCATGTCAACGTGAATGCCATCTGGGTGATGGGGGTTAACTCTGCCGCGGACGGATGACGATAGCTCGGCTCACCTTCGCCCAGCACACCCGTCACACCATGGGGGGCAACCATCTTTTCTTCAAATTGTCGAGGGAAGGTGAGAAAGGAGGAGAAGAGATAAGGACAGAGCACGACTGAGGAGGTCAGGAAGGAGGTCAGAAAAGAGGAGTGTAGGTGGATGCAGAGGAAGCAGGGTGATGCTCCCATAAAGCTGAAGGCAGAAGCTCAACGCGTCCGGCCCGGGCGGTGAGCCCTTAGCGCCCTGTTGATATCGGGTTATCGCCAGCCTCCCCCGCGAGGCTCTGCCCCCATTCGTATCCAGGGATTGGGATAGTTGGATATCTGGACATTGTGAACTGGATGCTTCTCGTGCAGCTCCCTGTCCGAGCCTCGATCTTATTCCCTTCATCTCCTGGTGTTACTCCCCTCTCACCTGCTGATCCTGCACTATGTCCGAATCACCTCCGCCGCCTCCGTCGTGGAGCATCAGCAACATGACCAATAGCGCCGTCCAGTTCCTACGACTGCCCGTCTTGGCTTCATCAGGGTTAGCGGTAGTCGCCAGTGGCCTCCTATACTTCAAACAGAAGTAAGTACATCGGCGCAACTTCGAAACGCGATGGCACTGACTGAGGCGAACAGTGAGTTGATATACCCCCGCAACGTCCCCGTGGATGCGCGAACCAATGTCCCAAGTCCCCGAGGGTTTGGCATCACCGACTTTGAAGACCTACGAATCCCTACCCCAGATGGAGAATCGCTCCATGCCCTCTTCCTCCGGCCGCCCAAGAGTCGCTATCGGCGCAACCTGACCGTGTTGATGTTTCATGGAAACGCTGGTAACATCGGCCATCGTGTGCCGATCGCCAAGGCAGTTCAGGACACGCTGCATTGCAATGTGTTCATGTTGGAGTATCGGGGATACGGCCTGTCAACAGGTGTGCCGGATGAGGCAGGCTTGAAAATCGATGCTCAGACGGGGTTGGACTATCTGCGACAGCGAGCAGAAACCCGGGATGACAAGATTGTTGTCTATGGACAAAGTCTGGGTGGTGCAGTGGCCATCAACCTTGTTGCCGATAATCAAGAAAACGGAGATGTAGCGGGGTTGATTCTGGAGAATACCTTCCTGAGTATTCGGAAATTAATCCCAACGTGAGTCCTGCTCTGGCAAGCCCCCTTGTGTATTGATCAGTCGCCTAACCTTCATCCAGCGTATTCCCCCCAGCGCGATACTTGGCTCGCTTTTGCCACCAGTACTGGACAAGTGAAGAGGTGCTACCTAGGATCACCAAAATCCCTATTCTTTTCCTCAGTGGGCTCAAGGATGAACTCGTGCCGTAAGCTCTCTTCCCCGCTGCGATTCTCACCTCTATCCTCACAGACCTGTCCTGACATGTGCTAGTCCATCCAACATGACCCAACTATTCTCTGTATGCCAGTCTGAGAACAAAGTCTGGCACGCACTCCCTAATGGAGGCCATAATGACTCGGTAGCTGAACCGGGCTACTTCGAGCATATCCACTCTTTCGTTAAGGAGGAGGTTATGAGCGACTAAGCAACGATAAATTTACGAATCACCCCAACCTCTCTGGGATTTGACCCCGCATCATATCAATCGACCACATTAATCGATACCCACTCGAACTGTTGAATGAGAAAGGCCATTGCAGAATTCATGGTCTCGGTCTGGCCCTGTCACCTATCCCACCGTCTGTGATGCCTCTGTCCATAGGTAAGGCTGAATTGGTGGATCTGCTCCCCGTGCTATCGAGCCCCGAATACCATTGTCACTTATTGATTCGGCCCCTCACTTTACCTTCAGGGGCAATGAAGGTTCTTTACTGGCGTCATGTTGTTCTGGAATACAAGCTACAAGCGTAAATTTTGCTATTTTGGCGTTGCTCCTGCGTTTCCCCCGTCATTTTGTTTTGTTTTTCATTTTATTCTGTGATGATTCTGGGTAAGGGTATAGGTGGATATGAGCTTGTCTTCTTTTTTCGGGGTTTCTTTTCGTCTGTAGATCTAGCGGACCTCGCGGGTTCCTGGCGGTGCATGTACCATTTTGCAATTTCCATATTTCAATTTCCAGTTTTTCAGCTTGGTGTTTGGACGAGACGGTGTAGTTGCGATCTTTCAAATTTCCAATCATCCCACCCACTTTGACCTTCGACTTGAACTAATACTGAAGTCGTTCCGGAGCCTGCGAGTTATTTGTCAGCATTCAGCCGAAGCCAGTATAAAACACGCACTTGCAAACCCACCTCATATCACCTTCAGACCTAATCATAATTGAGTGTACTTCTAAATTGCTTGCGGGATTTCCAGGGCACTCTTATGTCCTTCCACCAGAAAGAATTTACAATGGCGGAAAAGGTCCCACCTCCAGGAACCTCCGCCGACTCGCCTGCCGCGAAGCCATGGTACTCCGTCGGCGCTGGGATCTGGGAACTGCTTTTGAACGGAGACTCAGTGCATAAATCCGTTCTTCAATGGTGGGAGCCGAACACTACAACATCGAACACCCCAATCACGCACGCCTTCATCGAGGAAGTCTGTCTCTTGCAAGGGAGCCTACAGGACTTGACACTCCAGCAAGCGTGGAGTGTCGGGTCATATGCATATCGGAAGCCAGGCATGAAGCATGGACCGTATCAGGCTTCTAAGGAGGGATGTTTGATGTTTGTGAAGGTAGTCCCAGATGAGGGTTGAGAATCGAGACCAATAGGCGAGGGGTGTATTGGGAAGTTGATCGATAAGCATTATTACATGCCAAATATGTAACCAGACGTTGAGATGTTACTATACGTGTCATCCAAGCCTTTTGAATAACTCTACAGACTCGCACGATTACGAGAGGAGGATAGTAAAAAGAAGATGATGAATATGCAGCCCCCTAACTTGATGTATAGGCCAGAGTGTAGAGGCCCTCAAGGTCCTCAAGTGCTACCCAGATCACGTCATATCGATGCATACGAGGAGTCAGAAGACAAGAAATGATGAGCTATCAATCGCTTCCCCCCCTTTCCCTCCTCTCACTCTCTCAGTATATGTGATCATAAAGTCATGATCGAAAATAGAAGCTAGAGAACATCATGCTCACTAACCACCTCGGATTGACCAACTTCGCCTACATTTTCAAGGTCACCGGGTTTCTTTGGATCTTGATCCTTTTCTTGATCCTGCTCTTGTTCCGCTTGTTCCTCCTTATCTTCCGCTTCTTCCCAACTATCAACTATTTCCGCAGCAGGCTGCGCGCGCAATGCCTTCCCTGCCCCGATTCCCGAACGAAGAACCAGCCGGTCTTTCTTCGAGACCTGGCCTGATACCTCCGGCATAGCTCCGCCAGAAAGCGCTGCATAGATAGATCGGCTGTGGAGAGTGCTCTGTACTAGCGTGGTGCTCCGTGTGCTAATAGTGCTGCTCTCTACCCCGGGCCTCTTTCCACGAGACGCAACTTGCGCCCAGCCATCTGCACCGGCCTGTCCCTTCGCGGCGTCTCGAGCTGCCTTGGCCTCCAAAGCAGCGACGCGCTGCGCCTCGCGTTCCTTGGTGCGCTCGCGTTCACGCAACTTCACGCACTCGTGTACGCTCATACCACCAATCCCGACGGACGTACCACTGCCTATACCAAAGACGGGTGCGTTCCAGGACAATGGTTTGAGGACAAAAACATGGCGGTGGGGTTCTGGGTCGTGGCTTTCGGTGACGAATCCCCAGTCAGTGGCCAGAGAATGGGCAAATGCACGCAAGGTGGATTTCGCAGGTTGAAAACGGAATGAGCGGTTCGAGGTATCCGTGGCCAGGGCGTGCATGTTTGATTCATAGGCCTGGAGAGTGGATAGTGAGACAGTCGAGCCCAGTTTGATATACTGGTCAAGGGTCTCGGTGGAGTACGGGAGATTTGAGGATGTGAAGGTCTGGACAGTGGTGGATTGATTGATATCAATTCCGAGGGCGGATGCCAGTGAGCGGTTGCGCTCCAAGCGCGCGCATTCATCATCACAGGTAAGAGGGGTTGCAGAAGGCAGACGTTCGGGCTGCTGGATCTGGCCCTTGGATATGACAGCTTTTGCGGCGCCGCAGCGTCGTTCTTGGCGCTGCCGTCCACAGCTACAAGTGACTGTAATTGTTGACGGACACGGTGTCTTTTCCGGACAAGGATAAGGAGCATGGCATGGTTCGGAGCAGGGGTGATTACAGAGCGTCCTGCTCTTTCCACATGTCTGCTGGCACGGTTTATCCGCATCCTCGCATTCGCCGTGTCGGTGGCAATCCTTCTTACAGAAATGGGAGCCACATTTCAGGGGCTTCCCACAGACTTGACCACAGCGTGCATCTGAAAGCCAGCAAGGCACATTTTTCATCACCCGCTTACCACAGAGACATTCTTTCTCAGTCAAAAAGGGACACTTGGGGCAGATCTCTTCATCCGTGTGGCAATTATGTGCGGTCTGGGGGTGTCCGCAAGGTTTGGGTCGTTCACATGGGAACGAGCATGGTGGAGGCCGCGTGCCGCATGGAAGTGGTGGATAAAGGATCGATCTTCCGCAACTACATGGAATCTCTTCGAAAACGGCTTCTCGGCAGGTGTTGCAAGCCCCTTTGTGGCAGAGTTCCGGGCATGTGTGTCTTCCGCATTTCAGCAATCGACCACAAATCCGGGTGCATATATGCTCTGCCTCGATGTCTTCATCGACAGGGCGGAGATGAGATTTCAGTTTGCGCCGCATCGCTTGCCGTTCAATGGCCTTCTGCTCTCCGGTGCAGCATCTTTCCGTACATGAGTGTCGACCGCAATGCAAGGTTGCTTTACACTGCCGAAAGCACTGCGGAGACTGAATATCTCCTTGGTGGCAAATACTCATAGAGGTATTGCGTCCACATTGACAAGAAATGGGGACATGGCGCATACATACACCGCATGGGCCGGTGTGACATATCTTGTCGCAGGAGTGGCCGCAATCGAGCATTTTACCGCAGGGTTCTGAGCAATTCTGGATCGGGTCTTTGCAGGAGGTACGAGGAGTAAAACCGCGAATGCTAGTCAATGAAGTCTTTCCACAGGGACAGCGACTGACAACATCGGGTGATCTGGGGCAATGAGCTGGGAATGATTCCTGCGCATGGCAAACCTTCTGACAAGTATGTTCACCACAGTCGAATGGACGATTGCAGATATCTTTGCAGCTGAAACATCCGGTCCACTCCTCTTCAAAACTGTGATCCCAAACTCTCCGGCTGTCCTTGGCTTCGTCCTTGGAGCCGCAAAGCATTTCAGTTTGGAGTTTACCGCAGTAGCAGCGAGCATCAATATGAATTTCGCAAGCACCACATAAGCCTTCATGGCAAGGAAGGATACATGTATGTTCACCACATGGCAATAGATCTCCACAGATCTCTCCGCAACTCCAGCCATGTTCGTAGTCGGTATCTTGGCATCTTTTGGCAGAGGACTTACGGCCACAGAAGCAATCCTGAGTTGGTCCCATCGCGGTACAAGGCGCACAGGGACCGGCATGGCAAGTGGCATCGCATGGATGCGGACAGCCCATACGGGGGCGAGAACAGGTCTGGCCACATGAGTGCGGAGGTAGGCCGGGGAAAGACTTCGGGTCGACCTCTTTTTCACACCAGCAGGTATAAGCTGATGGAAATATTTCGTGAGACAGGTTGCAACCAGGGCAACGCCAGGCCTTGGGTGTCAGAGCGGCCTCGTCATTCTGCGGCTGTCGGGTTTGCGCAGCTGCACCCTGGTTTGTGGACCACTTCTTGATGCAACTGAGGTGAAAGACTGTCCAGCACAGTTCACAGGACCATATTTTAGAACGACGACCAAGTTCGCTAGTACATATTGGGCATTCGTACAGGTTATGGGCGATGTCTTCGTGGATTCGAGTGGCAATGTCATCCGCAATGGATTTTGTTGTGAGCTTAGGAGTTTTTTGTAGAGGTTTCGGCTTTGCCCTTCCTTTGCCCTTCTCCACAGAAGATGGTTTGCTAGCCAGTGTCGGTGTTCCAGGGGTTCCAGGGACGAAATCCGGGGCGTTCGCGCGGAGGTTGACTTCGGCGACAGGTTCCGCAAGAGGTTCCCGGGCCTGGTCCTCTGGCTCTGGCTCCGGTCTCGTCAATCGAGCTCCAAAACCTTGCGCCCTCAGTCCTCGAGACAGATGCTGTGATAGCTGATCGCTCCGCATTTCATCATGACCACGTCCGCCTCGTTGGGCCGCATCGCTCCGTCCTCTTCTTATTCTGGGACCTCGCCCTTGTTGATCTCTTCGCGGCTGTCGGGAATCGGTATTGTGCCGTTCGGAGGGTAAAATGCCGTCGTTTTGAGATCGCTGACTTTCTAATAGAGGCTGATCATTCGCCGGCGGCGTTGGTCCATTGAGTTGATCATTGTGATTAGCGGTACCTCTCCCACGGCGTCTATGCCTCGATCGCGGGGTGATTGAAGTACGCGGAGCAGCAGAAGCTGCATCTGAGCCAGTCATGGCAACAAAGCCAAGCTATCCAGGGATAGTCGCCACTATGCTCCTCCAGGTGCTGGTTGAATCGGTGGAAGTTATTCTGCTGATTCGGGATGAGGTAACAATCAATGTAGAGACGAGGATGAAGGAAATTAGGAAAAGACAACTCCACACAAAGTAACCGAATAAGCAATAATACCGCCCAATGGCAATGAAAAAAAAAATGTAATCATTCAAAAAGATCGTAGCCCCGAGGGCAAGTGGGGAGAAATGTCCCGAATGAGCAGTTAAAAGCTCGACGGCAGTATTAGGCGGAGACAAAGGCGGAGAATGGATGGCGGCTCCCACCGCCGGAGTGAGTCAATCTGCTTACTAAATGACTCATTTCAAGATGAAGTTACTCACTGGCGGGACCTGTGGGTCGCGATAGGCGGGTACCACGCGGTATGTACAAGATACAGTACACGTACGAAGGACGGAATACAGAGAATCTGTCCAACCAGAACGCTAACGCGGGCCAGGGTAATTGACCATTGAACCTGGCCTACGAGACCCCCGAAAATATCATGCTGGTCTTGTATCTTCTTGAGTCTATCTTCTGGAATGATCCTACGTCTCACGTCGCGTCTCGTTGACGGTCAATGGCCCTTTTCCAAGATCACCTCTTCCAAAGCCTGGGCAGTATACCTTGGTTCCCATCCACAGTGCACTATATTTTCCCATAAAAGGTAATTACCCAAAAATATTTTACTGAGTTTTCCATCTTCTTGTTTTGAAGGAGCCGCTCCCAAATAACGGGTTTTAGAACCACTCAGTTTCACTGCGACGGTCAGACCAACCTAGGTACATTTGTTGGAGTCGACAGGCAATCAAGGGCACTACAAACGCTGAACGCCGATTGCAAATTCCTAAATCTCCATATCTGCATATCCCAGGTAAGTTGGTCTCGGTCTTTGCACACGACGTTTTGTAATTGATTCCATGAGGATTTGATAGAAGATATAAGCATCAAAGTCATTGTATATGGAGTGACGGGCTTGGCGGGGTTCTCCGTATTTGTCGGCATTTTACCACTATAATCACGTACTATTTCCACCGAATATGATTAAAGGTCATTTGCTGTATATTTCGCAGGACATATAAGTCATGACACAATGAAAAAGAGGCGCTAAGTTGGTAGGTTTGATGATAGTGCTGACAATTTTTTATCACTGGACATCTTTATCCTAGGCCCAGGGGGGCCAAATCCCAGAATAATAGAGCATATCATACTAAAATGGAAAGCATAGAGAACGCTCTTTCTGCATATCCACCAAAACTTATCACGATGAAAGAATTGGAAACAGTGAGACCGAATAGTAGTCTGAAGATCATACCAACGTAATAAAGAACAAGGGCCGAGCCGACATGGGGTTCGACAACTTCCCGCAACGGCTCTATCAAGACAGAAAAGCATCATGACAAGGGCTAAATAAAGTCAATATATCATCCCATACGGGACATGAAGCTGGTGGTAAGCTAAATGCAGCCGCTTGCAAGCTGAGGGGATTTCCATCTGCCCATACGTCAACTCCATTTCTTTTTCTGTTTCTTCTATGGCATACTGGCATCCGTGGAGTGTCGAAGATTGAGACTACTCTCAAGCTACATAGAGCCCTCTAGACTTCATAACCCACCAGACCCCGCACTGGATTATAAACATTCATCAATTTGGCATCCATTAGCTCAGAATATAAACGATATGCAAAAGAGAACCCCGCCAGAGAGAATCAAACGATCGCGCTATGCACACAAGATATAAAGAAATAGAACGAAGTTAGGATAATCCAAAATAAAATCCACCCAAGGGGAGACCAAAAATGCCCGAAGCCCAACAGAGGGGAAGAAAAAGTGGTAAAAAAGACAAAGAGATGAAGCCCAAGCAGAATCACGGGCACATCGCAGCCCAACGGGCGCCCATAAAAGTCAACTCAACCGAGCCTTTTATAACAAACCCACCCCACTCTCAAACAAAAACAACAATCTCACCCCGAGAATTGCGGCGCAACCGCAGTGCACGCCATAAATCTTTCTCATCTTCCGAGCGCCGCTCCCGATCTGCCCGACTGCGCCCACTATCCCGGCCGCGATCCGCATCATGCTCGTCCGAGAAGTCACGGTGGAAACGCTTCAGCGCCTTGTGTACCGAGCATCCGCGCTCAGTATCCCGCGACACCAGCGACAGGAAATGGGCGGCCATCTCACGCTGCAACACGTCTTCGCTGCGCGCAGGCGGCTTTGCCTGTCTGTATACAGTGACCTGGCGGCTGTCGCGGTGTGGGGAGCGCGAGTCAGAGCGACGGTGTTCGTCGCTCTGCTTCAGTCGGCGTGGCGGCCGGTCGCCGTCCGTTGGGTTGCTGCTCTTGCGTTTGGACTTGCGCTCAGCGTGTGCATCGGAGGGGTTGCGTGATCGGTGCGATTTTTTCTTGCGCACCTCAAGTTGGCCGTCAACGCTTGAGGAGCTGCCACGGCGGGTGCGAACGAGGGCGCGTGAGGTCCCCTCGTTACCGCCATTGCTCCCGGTTGAGACAACGGAGCCGCCGAACATAGAGGAGACGAGGCGCTCCGCTCGGTTCTTGATGGAGATGCCTAGGCCTGGATCACCGCTGCTTTCCTTGCCGTTGCGGCGGGTGCGCTTGATTGGGGACGAGGCGTCGTTGTAAGCCTGGCGACTGAGCTCGGGAGATTCATCCAGCTCGTGGGACGGCGAACGCATCATCCGATTGAGGCCGCCTGTCAAGCCAGAGTGGTTTAGAATCGGGGTACCGGCATTGTTAATGACACTGGACGGCGCATCCAGCATGGGAGTATCAAAGTCCTGTTGGGGACTGGTGAAGGTCTCCTCCTGTCCACGCTTGCGCTTCTTCTCGCTGGTGGAAACCCGCTTCTCTTCCTTGCGACGATCCTTCTTCTTATTCTTAGGGGCAGGAGTGACGAACTCCGTCGATACATTCGGCGCATCAGCGGGGTACTTGGGTGGGGGGATGGGATCAGCGCCGTAGGAGAACCCGTTCTCCTCAAAAGCGATGTCGTAGTTTCCTTCGTCATCCGTTTTTGCATCCAGCTTGGCCAAGGCTCGACTAGTCTCAAACACCGATGGGGCGTCGACAACCATCTTCATCTGCTCCTTGGGGTCCGCCAGGGAGACTCTGGAAGCATTGGGGGTCTCATCCGTGACGAGGTAATCAAACACGTTCACGGGTTTGCTGTCGCTGGTTTGTGTGTTCGAGACAGCTTTGGCCTCACTCGCTGGGGGGGGGGAGAGGGGGCCGGCGGGGGAGGCTGGTTGCGCTGCGCATTGTCGACATCTGGCGCATCCTCCACGCGGGGCTGTCGATTAGCATTGGCTTTCTGGCCCTTCTTCGGGGGTTTGTCCTGCTTCTCTCGGTAATGAATCCCCTGGTACTTTTGATCCTCGGTCATGCACGACTAGACAGAGCAAAAGCTAATTGTCAGCACGCCAATCATTCGAAGTATGTCGCGTGTCCCGCGACGTAGACGTCAATTTCCCTTTTGTGTGAACATTCTCCCTGTCCCACAAACAAGACCATGGGGTGGTCGATGCGCAACCCGGTGCGAGGAGTGCGCAAGTGCCCAGAACGTACCGTGTGCGATTTATATTGGTTGCCCTGGAAATGAACCATACAATCGATGCAGGTAAAGGACGCGTTGTAGCAACGCCCACGATGGGAATCAAGTTTTTTCTTGGTGAAGACATCTCCACAGGCCTGGGAACAAACACGATTATTAAACGATAAGCACATGGGCAAGAACACCGGCCCTTGAAATTTTGGCTTTTTCCATCGCGTCCGGCAGTTGATCAACCGCCAAGCGCTTCTGGAGGCGCGAGGTTTTTTGACTTACTTCGCATTGAAAGGACACCATTGTTAAGCCAGGGAGTTGTTCCGCTTGTTTGATCACACAGCAAGATGGCCGTCAATCAGTTGAAAGGGAAAGCAGCAAGCTCCACGGATTCGAGGCAACGGCAGGTTCGCGAGTTTGAAATGCGACAAGGGCGGGGAGGAGGATTCGGTCTGCCTGGTGGACTATATCAAGCTGGGGAGGTGAACAATCGGGAGAGCGAGTGGGCGGCAGTTATGTCCGGTGGTTTCCGGATGGTGCGGAGGCAAAAGGAAACAGAGTTATCCCTTGCGGCCGTCGAATGAAGCCTGATGGGTTTGGGGCAGTCGCTCTTTCCCTTTTTTTTCTTTTGCTGAAAAAAAGGAAGGCGCGTAGAAACACGCTAGACCGAATGAGGTAAGCGGAAAGCCCAATCGGGGCAGTCACTGGCGCCTCAATTGAGGCGGGCGGTGGATCCGGTGCCTGGTCACGTCGCGATAAGGACGTGATAAGGACGTGATCAGTCTAGATCAGTCGGGATGGCCGAGTCGCATCAACAAGCGTACCGACAGGGCTCGATGGGACGATGAGAACGAGAGACGAAAGGAAAAACCAGAAAACAAAAGATAAGCAGCCCCTGGCGGCTTTAACCACGCTTTGCATCTGCGAACCGGGGTCACTGGCCCCCCCCCTGTTCTGTTTCATAGTCGCGCCTGAACGTGCACCTCCAGCGCGACCCTCTGCGACCATTTCCACTGGACATGAGACGCTAGTGACTGGCCGATCCCTCTTTCCCCAGGATCAGGGAGCCGTGATCAATGCCGCGACCGGTGGGCCAGCCTGTCAGAATGTCAGAAGACAACTTACATTCCCTTCTGGTTAGTCCGTCCGGATCAGCTGAAGAAGCCGATATTCCCCCTTTTCACAGATTCGCTTCCCCTCCACCCTATTTTTGGCCCAGCAACACACAAAGTCAAAACTGAGCATACAGAACCGACCTGAGCTTTCATTATAACGGTAGATATCGGGGTCATCACCGGGTTGTTGGCCTTGGGCGGAGAGTCGCTGGCCGTGCTTCTGATTCTCTGCTCTATGATACTCGATCGGACCCTGTACGACAACTCGACCCAGCTGTCGCAGAATCTTCTTGTCATCGTAGCCTGTCTCTCGGTCGAGGTGGCGTCATGGGCGACCCACATGGCCCCGACCTCGCTCTAAGCTCCCCATATCACGAGGATGCAGTATGGCGACAAGAGGGCGACATCGCGCGGCCGCTAGTGCAGATAGATCAGGGCAGATTGGCGGGACTAGGCTACTATGTACAACAAGGCATGTCGCTTACATGGCGTAGCAAAGCAACCAGAAAAGAGAAGAAAACATAGAAAGCAGGAACAAGAGATCGGACGGGAGGTCATGCGCCCGTAGGATCACCGGGTTAGGCTGGCGGGGTGGATCCGGGAGCGGGTCATGCTCCCGGCGATCGCCCGAATCCTGGTGCAGGCCGCGCTCGAGAGTTGTAAAGGCGGATCAAATATCGACAGTCAGAGGATCTCATGCGGGAAGGATGAAACAACTTTGTGATTCGCAAATGGCCGCACGATGGCGCGGCCATGGGTATAGGATATAGTATATGGGGAATTATTGGAAGGACATATTTGTACAGAGAGAGACCAGCTCCAGCAGATGTGGTGGGGATAACAAACGGAAACGCCATGCAAGTGTGACAAAACAAGTGAAACGAGGAGGGGAAACGAGAAGGGTATATCCCAGGAATGCAAAGATACCGGCAAATATGGAATCCTGTCAACCGCGCGTGGTCCTAAACCCCACCAAATAGGTCCAGTGTCAGTGAGATATCTGCACACACACACACAGAGAGAGAGAGAGCCCAAGAAAAACAATGACAACTTACGCTTCCTTGGAGATCTCCACGGCCAGGTGATCGGGAAGATCGGAACGACCCGTATGGCTGTCTGCGTGACTCGCAGTCGAAGCAGCTCCTTTGGCTTCGAGGCCCTCGCCACCGCCCTCGATTTCTTCTTCCGAGCAGCCACAGTCATAGAAAGCCCCCAGGTTCGTGCAGTCAAATTCTGATTTGTCGAGCATCGCGTTGACTTCATTGTGGATGAAACACCCCCACCCTGCGGCTGCTTTGCGCGACGACACTTGTGGCGGATATTTAATCAAATGCTGCTGGAAATGCTCGGCGCATTCGCCACTATCTCACGGTTAGCTCCCGGTATGGATAATGTAGGTCGCACAGTTCGGAGAAAGACCGGAGAAAAAAAGGCAAAATAAAGGAAAGAAAAGTGAAGGAGGTTCGGGACAAAAGAATTGGGAGGAAGAGTGTATACCAAGGGTAGAGTCGCGCAAAGAGATGGATGTAAGAGCGGAGGGCCTCCTGCTGGTCTTCGGTAGGCTTCTCGGGGAAACGCGCCATGACGGTATGGAAGTACTTCCAGGTTGCACGACCGAGCTCGGCTCTGCAAAAGCCACAAACGTGGGGCCTCATATTAGTAGTGGTCTCCACCAGCCAGACGAAAAGAAGTGAGTCAGCTCTCTTACTTGGCTGTTGCATTTCCCAGTTTTGGCATCACCACGGGTCCTTTCAGCGTGTCCTCTTGGATAGAGATCCCGGGTGCTGGCGCTGCATGCGAGATATGTCCGGGGGCTCGGACTGCCGGGCTTGGTGGGCCCTGTGGCCGAACGAAGAGGAAAACGACAAAGCATATTGATATCACAGCGCTGATGGCGATACGCCGCGTGATTTGCCGGTTCGCCATACTTGGAGAGAGGGTCGAGGGGGGCGGCGGAGTGAATCTACCACCAAGCGTCCGAACCGAGAACCTTTGAGCCGAGTAGTCGCAAGGGCTACAAGGAATTGCCGACAAAGGTCAAATTAGTGAAAGGCAGGAATGTAGGAACTGAGCACAAAACAAAAGAAGAAAAAAGATTGTCGAAGGGGGAAATGTCGACGGCGGTGGTCGTACGGGCCGGGGTCGTGGGGCTTAGTCATGACGCTCCTCAACAGGTCGCGGGTCCAACTTGAACTTGGCTCGTCGGCATTTATACTACCAACCTGATTTCAGCACGCTACGTAGAAGTCGGGGCTAGTCGAGCTGGTATTATGTCCTGCGAGGTGCAGATTTTGTGCACCAGAATCAATAAACAAGGCAATGGTAGGCGCTGCCTCCCATCTAATCAATAACCTGAGCGATCGGATATATATACGTGTATGCTCCGTGGGATTTCCAACCTTGCCAACAGACAGTCAATGCACAAGCGACATTGGTCAGGATCTTGCGAATTGCCAAGATTGTATTTTTTCATTGGCCGGTATGAAACTCAAGAAAAAGAAAGTATACCCAGATAGGAAACATCCTCGACAGCGCCGTCATGCATGCCGACCTCATCCCCAGCCATGACATCGCTCAGACTGGGAGGCAAGTCCTCTTTCTTTGTACCCCAGTCGCTCTCACGACCCCCAAGTGTCAGCTCGAGAATCATACCCTGGGTAAAAAATTCATGTCCAATCCAGTTTTTAGTGTAAGGCTTCCCGTTGAGTGTCGCGCTCTGGATATAGATGTTCTGATAGGCGGGGTCAAAATTCACTGTGCGAACTGTGGCGGTCTGATTGGTCTCGGGATGAGTAATTTCGATTGCTTCGAAGAATGGAGGATTAATGAAGTAGACATTCTGGCCCGGATTTGGGAAGAGTCCCATCATGCTCCACGCCAAGAATGAGCCCATGGCCCCGGAGTCGTCATTACCAGGTAGCCCATTCTCAGTTGCATTGAATGATCGAGGAATATAGCTGTGTGCTCGCTCTGCAGATAGAGCTGGTCGACCAGCATAGTGGTACTCGTAGACGGTCAAGAAAACAGGCTCATTGCTAATATCGGCCAACCCGGACTCATGGAAATAGTCGAGTCGCTTGACAAATGCATCCGACCCACCCAGCAGGTTGATCAAATTAGCCAAATCGTGTGGGACATAACTGTAGAAGATTAGTGCTTAGCTTATTATAGCCAGGGGAATCAGTAATCATACAACAGATATTCCCAGATACTCGACTCGAATGTCTCCGACGGGTTGGAAGTCAACGAACACCAAGATGCCAAGGCACTGCAAGCAATCGGATCCTGGAAACCCCAGGTCCCGTTTAAATACCTCGGCTGGAAAAATCCCGTGAAGCCAGTATCCGTTCCATTTTGTAAGAAGGAGGTCTGATCCGCCTTGAAAAGGTTCTTCCAATTGCTGGACCGTGATAAGTAAATGGGATAATCCTCCTTGTGCAAGCCCTTGCCTAAGATGGCGATGCTGTAGTCATTGTAAGCATATTCCACAGTGCGTGAGATGCTACGCGAGTTTGTGCCAAAACCAAGGTAGTCAAAGTCCAGGTAAGGAATATAGCTTAATCGTTTCCAGCTCTGAAGACCACCCCGTCCTTCATAGGACCATTCCAGCGGCTCGTTCTCAGCGTCGTTAACCATAGCTTTATAAGCCAGTTCCCAGTCAATGCCGGTCAGGTTCTTGAGATAGGCGTCGACAAGAACCACGTCCGCGTTGGATCCGCCTTGGGTCCAGCCTTTGCATAAGGACATTCGGCAGTCGGGAAGCCAGCCTTCGTGCTTGAATGTGTCAAGTAGGCTGCGAACCATTCTGCTTTGCGTTTGAGGATCGATGATGGTGAGAAAGGGATGTTGAGCTCGAAAGGCATCCCACAGACAGTAAAAGGAATCGAAATAGGGCTCGTCGCTTTCCCACAATGGATTCTCACCAGTCATATCCTGCGGCGATAGCATCGTGCGATAAATACCACTCCAGAAAGAGCGCAGCATGTTTTCGTCTACTCCACCCTGTGTCACTTTTATGGGGCTCAACTTCTCCATCCAAGCCTCGCGCGCTGCATTTTCAACCTTCTGAAACCCATTGACAGGGTCGGGGATTTCAGTCTCAGCATTGAAACAGGCCTGGTCCGAGCTGATATAGCTGATGCCCACCCTGGCGGTCACTACTCCATCATCTGGACGCGCAAAGCTCACATATCCGCCTGCCTGGAGAAAGAAATTGTTGAAACCCCGCGTGACGAATAGCTCTTTCGGCTCGGAACCTGCCCGGTCATTAACCCAGATTCCACTATCCCGGACTTTTGCCCCTGCAAAGTCCGCACAAAAATATGCCCTATATGACCCGGCACCAAAGCTGGGGAGAAAAGTGCCATTGCCTTTGAGCCGACCTGACTCTGGCTCAATTGCGACGCTCGCGTTCTGGCGACTATCCCACAGATCCGTCAAATCCACCGAAATGAAGGGATCTAGCGGGTCCCCATTCCCTGTGCTCTTCGCAGGAAATGTAAAACGGTAAAGCGCAGTCCGTCGCGCCGCCGTCATTTCTGCCTTGAGGCCATTCACCAGCTCCAGAGCGAAGTACCCTGGCCGCGCGATTACAGATTCGCTCTTGTATTGCGTTGCGCGCGCTGTTTTGGGAAACCTGCAGTTATCCAGAGCATTGTCGGTGCAGTACTGTGGGAACAGAGGGAATTGGCCCATTGATGGGTTCCCGCCAGTGCCACTATCGTGCATGTGCGAGAAGCCCGTGATGTTACTGCCGTCGGTAGAAAATCCGCCAGTGTTCTGGCCGTCGACGTCAGCGACGGGCTTCGCAATCCCATACGGAAGACTGGCGCCGGCGAAGACATTGCCACCGGCGGTGGAGCCGATCAGGGGGTCGACATAGCGTATATCCTCCTTGGTTGCTGTTGTGAAGTTGCTGAGGAAGAGCAGGGCCAGGCTCACGGCCAGCTTTGCATGCAGGGCGGGCATGGTGGAATGCGGCGATCAAACCATGCGAAATATGGCTTCGGGCTGCGCTGGGAGGTTTCGAGAAATATACATACACAGCTTGGGCCCTTTGCTGGAAAGGAAGGAGGTTGAGGTGGAATGCTACCATTTGTTGATTGTAGGGTCGCATTGTTGATAGGATCGACAGCAGAGCGTACCGTGAAGCGTTAGTGCAGGATGCAAGGGCCACGAGGGATTGCGGGGTGGTGACAAGTACGTTCAGTTCAGCTGCAGACCAAATGATTTGTGCAAGCAACCAAGTAGATACTCGGGGAGTTGAAAGTCTGAGGAGAGACCGTGTAGGGCCTGTCGTTTGGAATTGGCGAACACAGCCGAGTAAGCAGGTCTTGGGCAATTAAAAAGCTTCACAAATTGGACAAGGGGCGGAGGATCATGGTAATCGAAGCCTCTGTGCGAGCACAGGAGACCGGATGCATTATTTTTGTGCTAGTGGGCAACTAATTTACATGGGGGCTTGACTCCAAACCAGCCAGAGTCAAAATGATACATGGAATACATGGGCCCCAGTGACAACAGATCAAAGAATCAAAAGAGGCAAAAGAAATGAGGGCTCGGAGCCTGCTCGCAATAGGTTTTGGCGATGATCATTGAATCAGTCGAAAAGCATAGTGCCCTTGTTCTGCTTCTTGCCGACGTCATAATTCTTCCATACAGCGACTGCTGGGATCAATAGGATGAGGATACAGGTCGACGCAATGCAGTTCATGCGTTGAGCATAACTCCAGGCGTGGATGCAAGCATTGCGTAGAACTGAACCTACCGGGTAGGTGTTCTGCACATTGATCCCGTCCAGGTAAATCTGAGTGGCATTCGATTTAAGGTTATCGGGAAGCTGACTAGCCAGGGCTTCCACAAAGACGTTGTTGTAGATTGCGGCAGAGACTGCATACCCGATGGCTCCACCAATGCTCGAAAACAGACCGATGAGAGCCAACATCATAGGTGTACCCTCTCTGCCACCAGCGGCCATCACGGCCATATCCTCCCCAATGACGATGGTACCTCCAGCGAAAGCGATGAAGATCTGACACATGACAATGTAGCCGATGCCATGGTCTGCACCACGGAAGTAAATCATCAGTCCCGATCCCAGCAGCATAAGGGGTACTCCAAAGCATAGGACAATGTACTTGAAGCGGCGAGTCCACCAGATGATTAGACCAAGAATTGGAGACCAGAAGCACGAGCCCACATTGTAGATCTGGGTCATGTATCCCGCCATGCTAATGTTCAGATTGTAGGTAATCAGGACAAAGTTATAGAAGTACTGATCCCAGAGGTAGAAGCTGAAATAGGCGACCGCCGCGCAGATACAAGCGCCGAGGATCGTAGGCTTCTTGAGCAACTCGTAGCGAATGAAATGGTGACGTGCAAACCACTTCTCCCACGCAGCGAAAACGAAAAGCATACAGAAGCCCACAATAACCATTGCGATAAAGCTGGCCGAATGATACTGAGACCGGCCATACTGAGCCAAGCTAAACGGCAGTAAGAAGAGAACCCATGCGATCATCAACAAGAAGGCGCCGATCACTAGACAAAGAGGTCAGCATGAAGAAGATTGTTATCAGAAATTGATCATCTTCCCTTACCATCGAACTCATGGAAATAGTGGACAATTGACTGCATCTTGGTCCGGTCACTATTGCGGGGCTGCCATACGCCCATTTTGATTGCCTTTCGCTCGTAGAACTTAAATACCATTGCGAGCGGGCAGAGGACCACCGGCTGAATGATACAGAACATTCCATAACCCCACCGCCAGCCAGATGTATTGTAGATTGATTGCGCCGCCAGCGAGCCGGTGAAGGCAGTGCAGATGAATGGTGTTGAGGCAAAGGCAAAGGCAAATGCTCGGGAACGCAGGCCAGTTGTATCCGCCACGAAGATATCGAGAATCAGATAGACGCAGTAGTATCCAATCCAGTAGAGAACATAGCCGGCCGCAAAGGCATTGGGGCCATCACACGCTGCGAGAATAATCATGCCTAGAATGTAGATGGCAGTGGAGAACAGCAGAGCCTCCGCACGACCCCACAGCTGCAAGGTCTTCGCTAAAGGCAACTTAAGGACGCCGCCGATGATGCTGGCCAGGATGTAGGAGGTGGATACCTGCGGCGCTGCCTTGAAGCTACCATAGACCCAGTTGAGCAGACTTGAGTTGATTGCGGAGTGGAAGGCCAGCATGAAGAAACCGACCCAGATCCTAGTCCCATCCAATATTAGAGAAGTCATGTGCACCATATTTGAGAGACAATAACCGGTCTCATCAGATGAAACGGATCTCTTCTGTGGTTCGGAAGGCTCACCAGGCATAGATTGCAAATACCACCGGGCGGCTCCAGACCAGGGCTGCTGCTTCCGCCTTCTGTTGACCTAATGCTGCCGACTCGGTGACCCGGTCCGGGTTGCGTTCGACCTCCTTCTCATCATCGAGTACGCCGCCGACCCCAAAGGAAGAATTAGACTCTGGGTGCGGCCCTGCCTCATAAGCAGGTGGTACCTCCTGTCCATCCTCCCTTGCAGCCTCGGACTGGGCCTGCTTGGGCTCCTCGAAAGTCGAGGTGTCGGCGACATACTGGGCCGTCCGGCCCTCGTCGTCTCGACCGCGCATCGCATCAGGAGCACCCATGGCTAATGACGATCATCAGTGAGCGGTGAAATAACACCGAAGTAGGGGGCGGAGGGCGGTACAGGGAAATGTATAACGGAAAAGCCGTATCCCTCCAGAAAGCGGGAATTCTGGAGGTCTGACGAGCAGAGAGCAGAGCCGAAAGGGAATTGAAGAGACGTAAACGAGTGGAAGGGAGAAAGGTATTTCAAGGCGAGAATAGGTCCGAGAGCGAGAATTACCGCGCTTGCCCAGATATTCTGAGGGAAAGAGGTGGGGGAGGAGGAGTCGCAGATCTCCTCGATCACTGGGCACTTGTTCAGGTGCGACCGACGATCAGATAATCAGAAGAGGAAACTGAACTTTGAACTCCAACAAGCTCCACAATCAATCAGATAACCCCACTCGGACCAATCAGCATCCGAAGGGTCTTCGTGTGGTTGAGATGGGACGGGCCAGTGGCCGGTCTGTGATTGGCCAAGACAGCGGTCTAGCCCAGTATAGACTAGCGCAGTATACTAGCGCAGTATCGGTTTTCCGCAAACGGGTTTCCGGATTGGGACAGTCTTGCTGAGGTCGTAGTTGCAACTCTTGCACTTTCACCTCTCCTCCGCTACCCAGGACCCCTATGATGCCTGAGAGCCACGACGTCCCCGAGCGAGAAGTCTATGATGCCGTATGAGGTGATGACCTCCTGATGTTCCACCGGCGCTTCGAATCGTGTTGCTTGTCTCTCGGCAAATAAATATTGGTCGTCGGAGGGAAAACATTGCCAAGGCCCAAGGGCCCAAGGGCCCAAGATTGGAGGCTCACTGACCGAAACTTTGTGTTTTTGCTTCTTTGAAAGCTAGACCAATGGCATTGGACACGGTCTTTGGGTTCATACAAGACTTTGCACCCTTCCACCATGAAATGATCCGGTCGTCGTCTCCGAATCTTTGGGCTGCCATCGCCAAGAGCGCCTTTATCCACGCCACCAAACGCCTCTCCGATGTCAACTTAAACAGCTCTTTTTAGGGCTCTGATGTGGGTTGTTGCCCTGAAGAGCGTCTCCGCCGCTAGCCCACCCCGATAACTCGAATTCTGAAACCCAATCCTGCAAGGAGAATAATTGAATCACGTGCTTTCAACGTGGTATGCAAGCCTTTCTTAATCCCGCTCGATCCCCCGGTCACATCCATCCCCCAGGGCTAGCCAATTAACCAGATAGATATAATTAACTAGATTTTCATGTATTTGGTTATCTTTTATCTTTCGTCACTCGTCCGCTTGGCATGAACGTAAACTCACTTGGAAGAAGACGCCGCTTCCCATTGGACCGTAAAGACTCCCGGCAATCCCAGCATCGTTCTGCATGGTAAACCATAGTATGGCATTCTGTCATAACCTCGCCATGTATTTGCTTAAAGACGGGCACCGTCTCCCCTCCAAAATTTACGATTTGGTAACCCATTCGGATGTCCCGGCTCAAAATGTAGCCCTCATATCTGTAGCACCCGTAGACGGGGAATGAAGGAGTATCACCTCCTCTTCCAAGGATGATGGAGTGCATCTAGAACCTTGTTGCACGGGCTGACTATTGGTCGGTCGATCACTCAAGGCCTTGGACATGCTCTGTTTCTCATCGACCCGCCCTTCAAGTCAACTTCGACTGTCAGTGACTTCTAGCACTGGGATTCAGTTTGTTGGCCCAATGTCCTGTTCATTGAGCTTCCATTGTATGAAGAGATAGTTGACTTCAGGCCTTGCGCCCGAATTGCTATATGCATTGAGCTGTTCGGTTCATTCCTCTTATCTCTATGTGGCCTTGTAGGGTACGATTCAAAATGAACCACAAGCTAGTACTCATTGCGATTGGCAAGTGCCTAAAATACTGTGAGCGGTTTATAATCAAGATCTATATTAGAATCAAGTTCCGAGGTTTGATGACCTAGATGGCATATATAGATCTAACATGAAGAGAAGATTGAACAAGTTGGGAGATCGGATAAGAAACTGTAGTAAGACCATCCGCGTTGTCGTCATTTAAAAGCCGGCCTGAGATCTGTAGTATCCAGCACTGGATACCCCAATATATAACTCGTAGTAATAGCATGCTCGTTGGTCAATTGTCAACTATAACTCGAATAGCCACGATGGGAGGCTGAAAAACCTCCCAGGACGGATGCCATATCAAAAATTTCGAATCAACTAATCCTAAAGACCTTCGTGATTGAGATTTCTGGGTAGCTCTGAAACTTGCAGCTCTATATCGGGTGCCCTTCACTACCCCTCCAACCTCTCGGGGCTGTGGGTGCGCCACATAAGATTAGCAGAAACCCAAGAATTTGTAATTCCTTCCTACCACCCTACCTATTTGACTTCATACATAACACCATCAAAGTATTACTAAATTCGATAAATATCGTATGACGGAAGCTTGCATAATTGCATCACGGACTAGGAAGCCTAATATGTCGTGTATCGTGCGTGAATTTAAATGTGAGCCTAGAGCCACGCTTTAGAATAGCATCAATGAAAACTAAGATAGCTAATCTTTGTGCTAGATGCAATCTTGAAGCCTACGCGGAAAAAGCTGTGACTAACTTGATTAAAATATAAGCGATTGCTCTATGAGTGTCACGCCTAAGATTATTGAAGCATAGGCAAATCGCGCATGTTAACGCGCTGGTGAACAACACTTAGCAAGATATAAGCGTATCGCTTTATTAAACGGCCTCCTGAGTATCTTCGATTAGGGCCTACTCAGAAATGTACCAAGAAATATAAGAGAATTCTAGGAGAAGGAGAAGGCCTAGCAAAAATGGCGTATTAAGGTAATTTACTCCATTAAATTACTCAGAATACGCTACTACGTTCAAGTTAGAACTTCGATAAATGTAGATTTTAACCCGGCCATGGAAAATTTAGAAACTTTGTATTTTCTACCAAAATGACAGTAAATCTTCCTTCAAATAGGTCAAGTGAAAAAAAATGACAACCATCCAATGAACCTTGGGTCAATAAATAACAAACTTATCCAAATGAAAGGACAACCAAGCCGACAGGAACTATTAAACATTGTCAAAGCAATTATCTAGAACCCAATAACAGCGAAGAATAGAGTCTCCCAGTGCTCGAGGAGAAGACTTGCTTCCTCCATTTAGTTTCAAGATGTTTGTGAACTTTGGCTTCCATGCGGATGGGTTATCGACGCCGCTCGAACAACAAGGGTGGGAGCGGGGGGCAGTGTGTGTCGTTACTTTAGAAACCATCCCCGTTGGCGAAATCCCCATGGAAAGAGAAGGGGGGGGGGGGTGACTGGGCCCGGACCAAATCATATTATAACATAAGGTAATAAGCTCCTCGGCATTCCGCGTCTCTCCAGAGTTGATGGGAGCCCTAAAAAGCGAATGCGCCTGACGGTCGCGTGGTCCTTCAGTACCGGACCGCCCGTCGGCTTCTCGTGTGTCTCTACACACAATGCGAGCATTTCGCCCCCACTTTCTTTCTTTTTCCCCCCTCCTGCGAGTCCAGATCATTCTGAGGATTGTTTACCAGTTCACAGACTCAGGCGATAAGAAAAAATGAATCTAAACGCACGCCTCCCCGTCCGGGGCCACGGTTTATACTTAATATCCTTCCCTATCGCGAGTTCCTCACGGCCTGGCTGACGCGAGTGGCGCCTTGCAACCCCGGTCTTTGGCTCATTTCGACCGGCTCTTCTGCCGTTGATGGGCATGATGCATTCCGGCAGTACTCGTATCTCCGATCCCCCTTCCCTGCTTCTGGTGTGCAGCAACTTGCGGCTCCCTCATCTCCCACACCCCCGTATAGATCGAGACCGGCATACTGCAAAGACCCGCTCGTGGGATGGGACTCCCCCACACTCCGCTTCAACGGCCAGAAGAGGCGAAGTGGAGCTATCTTGAAGAAACTACTCCATCCACCATTCACCATCATGCATCTTTGTAGAAAGACAATCACCCTGGAGACCCGGGGCCATTGCGCCCCCGGGCGAAAGGGCTAAACTCCGACCCGGTGCAGGGTCACGTCCCGCTCATAATTCCTTATGATGATTTTTTCGACATACGAGTTATCCACCCGGCTTTCTTCCTCGCTGAATTTGCCTGTCGGATGCTGCTTCCGATCTCTCTTTCCCCCCACCCGCCGCTCTCTCCTCCACTCCCTCTTCCTCCTTTTTTTGAGGGCTCCGCGGAACTTCCAGGGAGTCTTGTTCAGTTTGAACCGGCCCCCTTCAGCGCTGGTCGAATCTTATATTTTATCCCGTCTCGTCGATGGCATACACCGTCAACCATTATTTCATTATTTCAACTTCCATGGTCCCGGCGCGTTGATTCTCCGAAAGCTAGAGCCCCCACTCGCATACCCATGAGCCTTAACTACATGTCGCCCGTAGTTTAGCCGAAACTCGTCCAGACGGCAATTGGAGCTCGAAGCTACCGACGGCAGTGCTCTCCCAGTGCTCTCCAGGTGCTCTCCAGCCATGAAAGACAGCAAAGGTATGGATCTATTCCCGAGCAGGACAGAACTTGTGAAAGGTCGATCCTAACAAGATAGTAGACGCATCGTCGATCGATGGATCGACCCCAGCCGCCAGTCACCAAGACATTCCTCGGATGAATGAGGATTTAGAGATATCATCATGGAGAAAAGAAATTGCTGTTGATCGAGGATCTCCCATCCATGTGACCGAGGAAGAACCGGACCGCCCCAATGCAAGCTGTCGCGATCCCAATGTTGTGGACTGGGACGGGCCCGATGATCCGGAGAATCCACTCAACTGGAGTGCGAAGCGTAAGATGACCGCGACAATATCAATCGCCTTGATCACTCTCCTCACGTAGGATCCCACCTCTTACTCCGTCCCCAATGCTCCCCTCCCGAAACAAGAATCCGCTGACATGCATATACACCATCAATAGACCACTCGGGTCATCCATGTTTGCCCCAGGTGTCAACCAACTGGCGAAGGACTTCAAAATTGCCAGCACTGAGCTGGATTCTTTTGTCGTTTCTGTTTATCTCCTAGGATACTGTTTTGGTCCCTTGCTCATTGCGCCTATCTCCGAGATGTATGGCCGGCGCATCGTGTACAATGTCTGCAATCTTCTATACGTGATCTTCACCATCGCCTGCGCCGTGGCGCCGGAAATCGGGAGCCTTATCGTCTTTCGCTTCTTCGCGGGCTTCGCCGGCGTATGCCCTTTAACCATCGGGGCAGGGTCCATTGCCGACATGTTCGTCCAGGAGAAGCGAGGTGGTGCCATGGCGGCCTGGGCACTGGGCCCGCTGATCGGCCCGGTCGTGGGCCCCGTGGCGGGCGGATATCTCACCCAGGCCAAGGGCTGGCGATGGACCTTCTGGGTTTTAGCCATGGCAAGCGGAGCCATCTCGATTAGTTCTCTGCTCACCATCCGGGAATCATACGCACCTACCTTGTTGGCTGCAAAGACAAAGCGCCTGCGAAAGGAGACTGGAAATCCCAATTTGCGCTCCGCCCTCGACTCCGGACGGAACCCGAAAGATCTCTTCATGTTCTCCATCGTCCGGCCCACCAAGATGCTTTTTCTATCCCCCATCGTTTTTCTCCTCTCACTCTACGTCGGCGTGATCTACGGATATCTGTACCTCCTCTTTACCACTATCAGCTCCGTGTTCGAGGACCAGTACGGGTGGTCTCAAGGGTCTGTTGGACTGGCGTATCTGGGCATTGGCATTGGCTCACTGATTGGTCTGCTGGTGCTGGGACTGACGTCGGACCGTCTGCTGAACCATCTCGCGGCAAAACACGGAGAGATGAAGCCGGAATTTAGATTGCCACCGATGATTCCGGGAGCCGTTGCAGTCCCAATCTCTTTATTTATCTATGGTTGGTCCGCGTACTATAAGGTCCATTGGATTGTTCCTATCATTGGAACTTCTTTTCTCGGCATCGGCATGCTGATTTCCTTTGTAAGTCCTGTCAGCTTTTGCACGAAAAGGAATGTCTCTCATTAACTTCAATCTCTACTCTGCTAGATGAGTATCAGTACATATCTTGTCGATGCATATACAGTCTACGCAGCGTCAGCCATGGCCGCCAACACAGTTTTCCGGTCTCTTGCCGGTACAGTCCTTCCACTCGCTGGACCCGCAATGTATGAAAAGCTTGGGTTAGGCTGGGGGAATTCTTTGCTCGGATTCATCGCCCTTGCCATGTGTCCCCTACCCCTCATTTTTTACGTCTACGGCGAGCGCATTCGAACAAGCAAGATGTTCCGATTTGACCTTTAGGCTTTCTTCATAAGTATACCCATGCGTTATTCTGATGTGGGGGTTTGAACCTCGCTCAGCTTCTATATTACGTAATACCAACTTGCACAGTTAGTTATACATGGAGAAGTCAAATAGCCTATATCAAAGCGAATTTGGAGCATAGAATTCTCACTGGCAGTCTTTTTCACGCTTGATGCTCGTTCATACTTGATATTTCGTTGTGTATTTTGGAAAACCAAACTCTGCTCATCCTTTTTGAATTTTATTTAGGAGTACGTGGGCGGGCTCTTTTCACATTTCGACGCAGATGCTGACACCAATGAAAATTATTATATGGCTCTTATCGCAAATATCTTTTTTTTTGGTAGATGACAGTATACCGCCTCCCTGAACCATGATTTGAGGGCCAGTCGTTTATTTTCTTGTTCACCGACCTAGTCCTCAAACGGAGTGAATTGAGACATCCAAGCTTCGGCAATCTCAGCTTCCATCATCAAGGCCTGTCTGCGCTCCTCACTTCTCACGCGAATGTCACAGTCGAATGCCAGTGGCCGAATATTGAACCCTTGAGTATATGCAAAAGTATCATACTTCCGGGTAGATCCATCCGACTCTCGCACAGGCCTGAACTCGAACGCCCATAAGAGACGGGCCACAGCAATAAATAAAGAATTTTCCGCCAGTCCTGCCCCTGGGCAGATTCGTCGTCCCCATCCAAAGGAGCTGTGTCCCTCCTTGGCGGGGTGCAAGTTCGGCGGGGACATCTCTGCCAAGTCTTGCTTGTTCAGCTTGGGAAGGTAGGGCAGTGTCGTTGGATCGACTTTCAAAAACCGTAGTGGATTGAAATTATGGGGGTTCGGATAGTAAGTAGGGTTAAGATTGATTGCCCATGAGTTGGAGAGAATTGTCGTGCCCTGCGGGATGAAGTATCCATTATAGGTATCTGCGACAGAGTTGGCGTGAGGAGTACCGCCCAGTACGGCGACAGGTCTTATTCTCAATGTTTCATTACAAAGCGCTTTGATGTAAGGTAGCCTTAGCTCGTCATCAAAAGTCGGCAGGCGCGTTCGCCCAATGACATAGTCCAGTTCTTTTTGCGCCGTGGTCTGGACTTCGATGTTGGTGATGAGCATCAGAATTGCGCTGCACAGTGTGCTCGCGGTCGTGTCACTTCCAGCCCCGAAGAGAGAGGCGGGAACGAAGGAAAAGTCTCGTTTGCTTAGAACTCCAAATGTTGCTTGGTCCACCTCTCGCGCCTGGAGAAGAAGCTTGGCGAGTGAATCTGGCACTTCTGAAGGTGACTCTGCTTGCCGAAGCTCCTCTTCTACGTGGCGCAGGAGGGCCATGTTCGTTTCTGCTTCTTTGCGGCCTCGACGCTGAATCTCGGCCTTCCAAGGTGCGAGCCAATTGGGAATACGTTTGAGCAAAGGGACTGTCTCGGCTAGATACCTCCCAGGAACGTTCAGGGATGCGGCATATTGCATGAAATCCAGTCGTTGGAGAACGACTTTCGAGCTCATCGAGTCGATTCTATGTCCATAGGCGATGCTAAATACCACGCTTGCGGTAAATCGATCAATCAGTCCTTCATACGAACCCGGCTCATCGAGTAGAGCGCTACACAACCGCGTCGCCTCGGCCTCTTGAGTGGGCTTGTAAAGACGGAGGGCGGATGGGTTAAGCGCCTGATGGAGCATTCGGCGACGAATCTGCCATTCCTTGCCATATGGTTGGACTAGGATGCCTGCGTTGTCCCAGTACAGCTCCCCCATCACCACGAACCGCGGGCGCGAGCTGAAATTTGTACCACGCTTCTCCAGCAAGGCAACTGCGACATTGGGGTCCGATATGATGATTGTAGGCCTCCTACCAATCCAGATGGTGAAGATTGGGCCGTATATCTGAGACCATTTTTCGAACGTAATCCACGGTGAGGATGTCGGAATGATCAATTTATTGCCGAGAAAAGGGATCGGTGTTGGACCTGGTGGAAGACGGAGGCAAAGGATCAAGTCATGAACTAGGACAAGTAGGAGACCGGACCAGGTCAGGATGGCCAATGCCGAAAGGTACACATGTGATGCCAGACATTGTGATAGTAAACCGATCCAATGGGACTCCCACGTTGACAAAAACGCCATATTTGGCCATACAATCGACAAGGCCGTGCCGTTATTACCTTTTATTACCTATATTAGTTCAGGCGCAAGTTAAGCTTCCCGATGTTATTGTTAAGCTCCTTTTTAGGGGTTATTAATCCAAGATTCCCAGAATCTCCGCAATAATTAGATTCTGTCAGCCCCACCCTGCCACAGTCTCACAGGCGGGGGAATTGCGGGGAGATACGGAGTGGGCAGTAGGAGCCCCAGAGTGGGGATTTGGGGGGGGGGGGGTCGAGAAATTCCGAAACCCTTGACACCCTTGGCTTGAGTATGCATGTGGGGCCATTCATACAAATCAGATTTGAATGTTATTCGCGTTGAAGCGCTGATATATGTCAATTGGAGAATTTCCACCATAATTTCGCCAGCGGAACTCGCATATTGTCTATGTTCGTCCCCGAGGCAAGGCTCTGTCGCGATCCATTTCCGACCATCTCCGCCGACCCTTGTCAGGAACCAACGAATAGGAGCGTTTCAATTTACTCAGGGTCTGCTCGAAATAGGGATGTGTCGATCTTTAAAATGATCACAGACCTTTAGAGCGCCCAAGCATGGTTTGGTGCCCCTGGAGGTGGTCAAGTGATGTGAAAGTGACTTCTATTCCCTCCTACCCCTATGGCTATGAGAGGTTGGAAGTAGCATTTTGTTTCCCTTCCGATCGCCCCATTGCCCAAGTGTCTATTTGGTACATCTAGCAGTTTCAGATTCGGATTTGTTGACTAATCTAGTTAGTTGAGCGAAGAAGTTGGGCAACCCATGCCACGCATTTTTGTGGTTACTTGAGACCCGGGCTGATCGTAACTCAGTTGGTGCACCAACGGTTCTTACTAAGCGAATCTACTAACTTAGTTAACCAAGTGCAGCGCTGGTGCTTGGCTACGAATGGCTACCGGCCGGAGAATGGTCGGAACTTATCCAATGATCTCGCGACATATGCAGATCCCCCGGGGCCGAGGTCGCCGGGCATCAGGGTCATTGCTCGTCCGGAGATCCTTTCAGGAGGCGAAATTGCTTTCATCCCTTCCTGTCAAGGACTTTACTACAGTGCGAGCCATCTGTCCCCGAGGCGGATAACCTGCAAGTTCGCACCAATGCCGTCCCGCCGAAGCCATACCAAGTCCCGGAAGGGATGCTTAGAGTGTAAAAGAAGACATGTCAAGGTGAGTCTTTGGGATCCTTCCCTCTGCGCTTAGAGATGATTACAGCTCGTCTGGAGTCAGTAATCTCTCTCCGGCCTCGATATTTCCCTCCTTTGGTGGTGTATTTGCACCGAGCTCATGATTTGACAGTGTGACGAGAGGTTACCCAGATGTACTCTATGTAAAAGGCGCAGGCTAAGGTGCGACTATCCATCTTCACAGAGCGATATGGACAGCTCACAAGGCTCGCCGCCCACGCAAGGCGATATCGAGAATGGAAACCAGACCCCAATTGGGGCTTTACACATGCCACTCCGCATGCTGGAAGCCAGGCTTCTACATCATTATCTAACGTCGACATCTCATACCCTATGGCAAGACGGCCTTTCTGCGTATCATCTTTCAATGACCATCCCTCAGATGGCTACATCCTTTCCTTATCTGCTGGATAGCATTCTCGCATTGACCGCACTGCATCTAGCTACCACCGAGACTGAAAATCGATTGTCATGGCTCGACGCTGCTGTAAAGTATCACAGCCAGGCTTGCTCAGGACTCGGTCAAATCCTTCCAGATATCCCATCACAACATTACGAGCCCGCCTTTGTATCTTCAGTGTTTATCATGCTTTTTTCCTCCGGGTTTACTGGCATTTCATCGCATATGAGCCACACAATAGACCCGCTTGCAATGGTTCTTGAATTACGAACGCTCATTGCCGGTGCTGCGATGCTGTTTTTGCACTTCAATGAAATGGGTTGCAATGCAGAGCTCTCTGGCTGGCTCTGTAGTCCTGATACTGAAGAGAGTCTGGAAGGTAGAGTGCAGCATTGGTATGGAGTACTGCCGCTTTATACTTAATTGAGGAATGGGATATCAAGCTCATAATGTGTACAGGGATGCAGCATCCTACGAGGACACTGAGAGATTATTTACTCTTCACAAGTATGTACATTATGATGAGAGTATTGTTCGACTCACTCGCTCACTGCCACAGGGGCATCATTGAATCATTGGAGCGAATGCAATCGATCGTCGATGAGATGAAGACTTCAGAAAAAGAACTTTACAGATTTAATTGGCAGCTTCTGCACCAAGCCGTTCAGCCATGGCCAAAGATAGGTCCGCATGGTGGCCCGATTGCTTGGCCCTTTTTTGTCTCCGATGATTTCATTTCGCGCCTGCAGAATGGTGACTGGGTCAGCCGTATCCTGTTCCTCCACTATAGCCTGTCGATGCGACTTTTGTGTCATCGCTGGTATGTTCGCGACTGGGGGCGCAGGTTGGTTATTGCCACCCTAGATTCACTAGAAGAGGTTCCAGACGAATGGAGAGAGATAATCTCGTGGGTCAAGGAGGCGGCCGAAATTCACGATTGATACTCGGCAATGCACAGCACCACTCTGCATCTGCATGTGAGATGGAGCCTCTCTTGAGCATCGAGCTTGATTATGTATCAAGCAACCAGGGGCCGGGGGAGGGGGGCTGTGCAAAATGAAGTTTTTTGGGCCTGTCTTGAACCGTTAGGGTTTGAACTGTGAGGTACCGGGGCCTTTGAGATCAGATACTGCGCATTCTATCTAATCCGTGTTTTCGATTTACAAACGCCTACGCACCCAGATAGACTAGTAGACGATTCGTAGATCACATAATGACTTCACCTGTCGCGTCCTTTGCGCTTCACGACTTTCGCGCCGTTGTCAAGCCGTTGTCTCACCGCAACCTGAGAGAGCGTTGGAGGGGGTTGACAAAGCAGGGAACGGTTAACCCTCCGGGCACACGGCGCTCGCAATTGGTGCCGCAGTCAGCCCCCCTTAGGGATCGATGCAGGGGCGCATGATTGCGGCGAGGCCACGCGACTCGGGCGATTGATAATTTAACTTCAACGAATCGAAGCTTGCCCGTCCGAATGCCGCTTATCAGCGGGGTTCACGCCGACTCTGCCGGTATCTCCCCAAGGGGTCCACAGGCCGCTCCACAGTATTAGTATTCGAATACACGCACCGCCCTTATGCTGTCGATTATTTTGCAACTCAAATATTATATGGTTGACCATTAAGGAACCTCGATTCATCACAAAACACGGATCTAAGCACAACTAGGAGAAACGCGCTGTGGTCGTAGTAGAAATCCTACGCTATCGAAACGCTACAAGGAATGATCGGCGCCCGAGATGTGGAGAAACAGGTAAGAACTCCAATCCGATCCTGGTCAAACCCCGGCCGTCCCCTCATTCTGGCATCCTCCGAAGACTGTTAGATAACGAGATGAGGTAGCCTTTGCTGCTCTCTTCATCTCCCGGAGAACATGGTGATTGTGAGTCGTTGTCTCTGGAAAACCAGCGTATAGCCCGACAAAGCATGTTCTACTCACGGAATTTCCGCGTCTTCGCGATTTGTGCTCTGCTTCTGTTGGTCGTTCATCTGCCAAATGCCTATCCCTCACCGCTGGGATTTTCGATGCGGGGATCGAACGGCCATGGTGGCACAGTTTCGGAGATTGAACCAGGTAAACTGGGTGCCGTCGCGAGCGAGAGTTCCATTTGCTCCAATCATGGAGTTGAAATGCTGAAGATGGGTGGAAATGCCGCCGATGCTGTGAGTTTCTCCTGTTGAGATGTCGAAATTATGCCAAGATGATAGAGCCACTTCGTTAGGTGGATATTGCCTTCAACCAGCCAAATGCCGGAGACTAATAAGCATGATAGTTGGTCGCAGCCCAATTCTGTATTGGTGTAATTGGTGAGTACAGCCAAGCGAGGCTTCCAACATATCTCTCGTGTCTTAACTGACTCGGTCCAGGCATGTATCACAGTGGAATCGGTGGAGGTGGCTTCATGCTAGTGCGCGCACCCAACGGTTCCTATGAATTTATCGACTTTCGGGAAACTGCCCCGGCCACGGCATTTCAGGATATGTACAACAATGATACAAACCTGTCCATATACGGTGGGTTGGCAAGGTGAGTTGAATATCTCTCTCTTAGATGCAATCCATGATGCTGATAGCGATCATAGTGGTATACCCGGAGAGATCCGCGGCCTGGAGCATCTTCACAAGAACTACGGCTCTCTCTCTTGGGCGACAGTGATGCAACCCGCAATCTACACTGCCCGTAATGGCTTTCCCGTGACAGAAGATCTGGTAAAATATATGAATTCTGCCGTGGGTGATGGAGAAGACTTTCTGTCCAAAGATCCAACCTGGGCATTGGATTTTGCTCCTAATGGCACTCGATTAGGTCTAGGGGACATAATCACCCGTAAGCGCTATGCAGACACTCTCGAGACGATCGCTCAACAAGGTCCCGATGCGTTCTATTCAGGTCCCATCGCGGAGACCATGATAAATGCTTTGCAAGCCGCGAATGGTACAATGACACTACAGGACCTGGACAACTACACGGTGGCAATCCGCAACACCTCCCAGATCGACTACCGGGGATATACCATCACCAGTACGACAGCTCCATCAAGTGGAATTGTTGCCATGAGCATTCTTAAAATCCTGAACACCTACAGGGAACTTTTCCATTCCGGACAATCAGTGAATCTGAGTACCCACAGAATGGACGAGGCGATGCGGTTTGGATATGGTGAGGTAGGCACTTGGCAGAGTTTTTCATGGTGTCATTCCTTTCTAATAATTTCCACAGAGAACTGAATTAGGTGACCCTTCCTTTGTGGACGGCATGGCAGCATACGAGGAGGAGATGCTCAAGCAGTCGACCATCGACGAAATTCGGGGCAAAATCTCAGATACGCATACGCTTGACATCTCGGCCTATGATCCTGCCGGCCTAGAGAGCCTAGACACGTAGGCTTACATTTATTTTCAAACTGTGCGACGTGTAGATCGAACTCACCTGTGTATTTCTAGACCTGGAACATCTCACATCGCTGCGGCTGACCATTCTGGTCTTGCTATCTCTGTGATTACCACAATCAATTTGCTATTCGGCAGCCATGTCATGGTGCCCGAGACGGGTATTATCATGAATAACGAAATGAACGGTACGGCCCCTTTGAATGTTTGGATTAAGTGACAAGTAGCAGCACTCATGGTATTAGACTTTTCGATTCCGGGGTCTTCCAACTCTTTTGGATATATTCCTTCCGAAGCTAATTACATCCGCCCTGGCAAGCGGCCGTTGTCTTCGATCACGCCCGCGATCGCCACTCGACCGAACGGCAAGCTGTTCCTAATTGCTGGCTCTGCAGGAGGCAGCAGGATCATCACTGCTACTGTTCAAAACATCATCCACACCATTGACCAGAAACTTAGCGCCGCTGAGGCCTTGGCCAAGCCTCGCCTACATGATCAGTTGGTTCCGAATCAAGTTAGTTTCGAATACGCATATGATAATGGGACTGTGGCGTTCATGAAAAGCCTCGGGCATAATGTGACATGGGTTGCACCGGGTCAGAGCACTGCGCAGTTGATTCGTGTTCTACCCAATGGCACATTTGATGCTGCTGGTGAGCCACGACAACTGAACTCGGCTGGATACTCAATTTAGGCGGGAGCTGCCGGTTAAATATCTCGACCGTCTCTAATTTGTGGGGAAGATCAATATTCAGAGGGGTTTGTAGAGAAAATATGGTGATAGAATCCAACACATACTCCCAATCTTTCAAATTCCTCTATACCATTCTCCGTATAGTATTTATGTAGTATAATTGTGGCAAATTTGAAGTACATAATGATTTTGTTCCACCGCACTTCGCGTGGCGTCAAAGTGAATGCCAGTTCTTTCAGGCACTAAGCGATAAGCTTATCCCAGGGGTCCGTGCGATTCGCGATCACAAACACCGCGGAGGTTTCGAGGTTGTTTTGCTGCTGCTTGTCGTGGTGGCTTGCAGCTGCTCAGACTTTCGTTTGGACTGGCCATTGTGAGCCTGCGGAAATTTATGCGGCTTCCAGTTTTTGGATTAGATAAAGCATGGCCATATCCATTTGCCTGAGCACCTTCCATCAACTCACGTCGGAGAAAATGGTGAATCTTTCACCTTCCGCGAACTCTTGACACATCCCAGCAATCTCCAGGAACCAGACGGTACATACTCCTAACGATCGCTGTGAAACTTTGTGAGTGAGATATGCAGGCTGGTGGCTCAACTTTAGAGATTGATTGTTGATTTCTGGCTGACCTCCGACCCTTTCAGACATATGTATCTCTCACTTCTTCTCGACATCCAAACACCCACTGTCCCTCCAGCCGAACTCCACATACACAATGGCTATTCCGGATGACCGAGATGCCATGGTGATTGCTCCTCAACCAGAGTCTATCGCCTCCTACAAGCCTTTTGGGGATGATGTCAATCGTACAGTGGAAAAGATATTGTTGGAAGAAGCGAGCCTTGATGAGCGACGGGAAGGAGACTGGCATCTCCACTCTGGCGATACCACCGGTGTTTCAACCGGTCATAATTCCCGCAGTGGAAGCGAGTGGAAATCACCAATCTCCCCTGGCCCAAGACAGTCCGTACCGGTCAAGAAGAAACGGTCTGTTGCCACAAGAAATATTACGGTTGTCGACCTGGTCAGAGATGATGAATCTGCGATAACTGACACGATGAATGATGGGTACAACAAGGACCACAGTGCCAATGAGGGGGCGATAGAAGACGAGATCCACGCAGAAGAAGCCCCTCTTACGGATGATTTCTGCCGTGGACACGCTCAGCGTACCATCGAAGGCCAAAGCGAACTCATCACAGAAGATCTGATTTTCTCAACTGTGCCAACTGCAGAAAGATACCGAGTTTTACGGTTTATTGCAACGCATCCCTTCATGTTAAACCCGGTTCAGACTTTTCCCCGGTCTGCCAGGCGGTTGTTCTATAAAGAGCTACGCCGAGAAGCCAGGTCCGTTGGGATGCGGAATTCTGCCGTTGATAAGCTAATCCAGCATGTTTGGCGCATATATCTGGACGGCATTGAGAGTGTTTATCAGCTATCGGCGGATGTGCTGGATGCTGAGGACTGTCCATTTGGAGAGGAATTCGCCGGAAAGATTGATAATCACGTTGGTCAGCCGAATAAGCGTAAGAGATCCCATCATCATTCGTCTTGCTCGACCTTCAAGAAGAGGAGAGCCAAGCGCCATCCCGATGACTTTCCTCTCGCCATAGAAACAACAAATTTGGTGAGTGATGTTCGAGACCAATTGTCGGATTTCGTGTTTTGTGGAAAGGCCCTCGACTCCCCATCAAATGGTGATGGCCATCAGCAAAGCGGCATCCTCCAAATGCCCAGCACGCCAGAAACACATTGTGGGCCTTCTATTGTCAGTCCCTCTGTTGAGTCCAGTTTGGAAAATGAGAATCATGCGAAGTCAACTCCGATTCTTCACGAGACCATTTCCCTGAGCCGCCGCAGAACCAAGAACCCAGAGGAAATCCCAAGTATTCATGTTGGCAAATCTCGCGCTCAAATTAACTCGGAAGAAATCCCAATAAATTCGCCAAATCACCAAGGGCCACAGGATCCCCTCAATGATCTCACACAAGAGAAAGCCTTGTTCGAAAACCCACTACTGCCAATCGATCTGTCTCCTGTTGGACTGACGAGGAAGCAGAAGAACAGGCGAAAGCAACGAAAGCTACACCACCACAACCACAAGAAGAGCTCGCGATCCCGACATACGAGACACCATGTGCAGATGTCTTTAGATCATCCAATGGAACTTCCATCTAGAGATATGACTCCCACCCCCTCCACAGTGTGGCCGATGGGCGATGAGGGTTCTGAACCACTCTCCTTACCCAAACACAAATCCCATGGGAAAAAAGGGAGGAGTAAGGGCACGGAACGCCGAGAAGACAAAAGTTCGCCGAAGCAGAAAGAGGACGATGCCGGCCAGGATATTCTGGCCAACGCTACGTGGGAAGCTCAACCACCCGAGTACAAGGATCAACAGATCAGTGATCTCCCGGTCAAATCAGCGATGGGACACAACCTGAGTCGTGAACGGAAAAAGCACAAGTCAAACCAATCCTCATCTCAACGCTCCGGTCGGCCGATGAATGACTTTGAGAAACACAGGGTCCCGCATGACCAGTCCGGGGACCAGGGTTCTCAATCCTACTCATCCAAGTACCATCCGACTCAAGTACCCCCGGGGCTCGAGACTCCTCGTGAAAATACACCGGCTAGCACTCTGTCCTGCTTTACTACTCCGATGTCGCGAACTTCGACCAAGTCGCGGTATGGACCCCTGTCACCTGATCCGGCGGAGTGGGAAATGGATTTTTGATCGCCAATGATTCGCCAGAGGTTACCCCCAGCGATGAGGTGCAGTCGAAGCATTTACCCGGCCTTGGCCCAGCTTCATCCACACACATGCCACTTTCCAAGAAGTCTCAGATGCTGATTCCCGAGCCGACTCACAAAATTCTAGAGGACTTGAATCTCCCCTCCGATTTTTTGTCCTCGGATTCTTCCCTCAGTGACCCGCCGAGCGATTTTGAGTTGGACGACAGGACCCAGTCGTGTCCCCCGGTTAACCAGTCGCCCTCCAAATTGACCTGTTCACTGTCTTCGGAGTCTTCTCTGGACCCGTCCATCCCCGAGAAAACCCCCAAGAAGAGAAGCACGGCCGTGATACATTCTGAGTCGCCAGTGCCCCCGCCGCCCAAGCTACCCAAACGGTCCCGATATTTCCCCACCGCATGCGATGGTCCAGAATCATGTCTTCCATTTCCCCCATTGACGCCCCATTTTTTGGTTTAATCCAAGAACAATTAGCCCATGACCCATTTCAGCTATTGATTGCGACCATTTTTTTGAATCGAACGCGCGGTGCGGTTGCCCTGCCGGTCTTGTTCACGATCCTTGAAAGATATCCAACTATCGACGCCATGGCCGCGGCCGACTTGACGGAATTTGTCGCTATGATCCATTGTTTGGGTTTCCAGAACCAGCGTGCCAAGAAGTGTATTGCAATCGCTCGAATCTGGCAGACCAACCCCCCGGTCCTTGGTAAACGGTACCGCAAACTCCACTATCCGCGAAAGCTAGATGGTCGAGATGTTCCTGCTGGGGAGTCCATTGATGATGAAGATCACCGCACTGCCTGGGAGATCGCGCATTTACCTGGAGTGGGTGCATATTCCCTGGACAGTTGGCGCATCTTTTGCAGAGATGAGTTACGGGGACTGACCACCGATTGGAAAGGAACAGGGGCTACAGTTCGAGGCTTTGTTCCGGAATGGAAATCCGTTCTTCCCGAGGATAAGGAGCTGCGCGCCTATCTGACCTGGATGTGGCTCAAGGAAGGCTGGATCTGGGACTGCCACACCGGCGATCTGACCCCTGCGGGAGCTAAGACGCTCCGAGCGGCCCAGAATGAGGGCATTGCCCATGAGCAAAATGGTAACTGGGTATTGGGGACATCCCCTATGAAGAAAGCGCCTAATGGTTTGCATACAATGGACTAGATTTGCAGTGCTACAGCGTCTGTTTCGTTCAAAATGTTTTGATGATACCCCTTACAAACAATCAGTGATCCACGGGTCCCCACTGGGATCCTAGACCTTATTGAACTACCTATCGATCTTTGTATCATTTCCCGTAGCGACCAAGCGTCATGTTCGCACCATATCTCTATTGCCTCTTGGGATGTACAGGGACTGCGCCCCAACCCCGTGACTGTCGAATCGTAGTCGCCTCAGGCAGCCACGCGTGACTTCGTCTATTCTCCGAATGATTCGGCCGTTTCAGCCTGGAGGTCGACCGGATCGCAAACTTCAGGCTTCCATGCAGCAATCTCCACGTCAGACAAGCGGGTCTGTCGACTTCACCGGTACGTCGGTCCCCATTTCTCTCCCCACGGCCACCCTAAAGGCTTCATGCACTGTGCCTGAAGACGTGAGCTTATTTCACCATCCTAGTCCAGTTCAACTCCATCGCACCCGTCAAATGCTCGCATGATCGACCCGTCGAATAATCAGATCAAGTCCTTCTCTATGGAATGCCGGGACCCTAGCCCGCTGCCCTCGTGCGATCGACGTCAAGCGCTGTGCTCCTCCCTCCTAAGCGACTAGTGAAATCGCACATCTGCCCAACTTAAGCGCCACGCAGAACGCGTAGGGATTTGGAGACCAAAATAGGACCACATTCTCCTCAGTGGCGCTCCACACCCTCTCCCCGATCTTGTTGGCTTTAGAACCCTTGAAGCGCAGACCGAGAAGAAGGGACAGGAAAGAGACGGTGACCGGTGACCGATGAACCTGCGGGCCCCAGCCTTCGTGAAGGGATCCACCTCGTGCGGCTACGATTTTCTCACGATCCCGCCATGTTTTTTCCGGTGAGACCTAACAGCGCCCGCAATCGCTCAACCAAATCTTCCTCGACCTCCAAAAACAAACAGCAGAAGCGGCCGTCCCAGACTCGCTCCTCCCGCTCTGCAACCAAGGATCTCGAGCCCGACGAACCCACGGTTCGTACCTCCACCCCCTCGCCCTCAGAAAGCGCTGCCCCACGCCGCTCCTCGATGCCGGGTCTTGACGCCGCAGCTCGACCCGGGACGGCCTCCTTCTTGGAATCGAGGACGAGCCTTCCATATCCCACCTTCTCCAAAGCCCACAGCAAGGAGGATGTCCGCACGCGCGAAATTCCCACTCCGGACCCGACCGACCTGACGGAACATCAAGATAGTGGGAATGCCAATGGAACAAGTCATAATCGTACCGAAAATAACCATGCCCCTCCCAGCCCCCCATTGACGGGCCTCGACCAGGAAGAGCCCTCTTTGAAAGAAAGTGTACTTGATGTGAAGGAAGAGGAACATGAAAGGGGCACAGAGAAGGCGAAACCCAGGAAAACAACAATCAAGATCAAGTCATCGGGTGTTAATAGGTCGTCATCGAGCCTTCGGTCTAAGAAAGATGAGACGACCAAATCCAGCAAATCGGCACGGGCGGATACTCCGAAGTCGAAGTCCAAGACGGAGTCTAAACCGGAGAGCAAATCGTCCCCTAGAACTACTCAAAAATCATCCAAGAGCAAGCTTTCTTCGGATGAGAACAAACTACCAAAACGCACCAGTCGTTCTGCGATTTCGGCTTCGCAATCAAGCATACGTGATGCTGAATCGAGTATAGGATCAGATGCCACCTCCGTTGCTCCCAATCAACAATATATCGCCCCGCGGAAACTGATGACCCCTCCAACGAAACCACCATCTCGCACCCAGATTCGGTCGACTACTTCCCATCGCCATACCCCTAGTGATGACTCCATCGATTACGGAAGTCCCGCAATGGCCTCTCAAGGATTTGGGGCGCCGCCGCCGCCGCCTCCTCCTCCGGAGGTACCCGTGTCCATTCCACGGGTCGATTATCTGCTCCAACATGGCGGTTTGGAACATCGCGTACCACGAACCCTGCTTCCTATACCCGCTGTTCCAGATCCTTTCTCCCAGCCGACTACTCAGTCCCGCCAGGCAGCTGCTAAGGTATTCGATCCATTCAATAGCCTGCTTGATGACTATCAAAAGGTGATGAACAAGAATGGTTCATTGGCGGTGGCGACAGGCTATCGTTCAGTTGCACGGCGGCTTTTAGACCGATTAGAAGCCGTCTTCGCCCGCGATATATCTTCGGAACCATGCAATTGTTTGATGTGTGAGCGTGCCGATATCGAAGACCGACCCGAGGGAGTCAGCTGGGGAGAGGTACTGGAACTGGTTTCGGGCCGTCGTGAATTACCCATGTGGCCGCCCTTCGTAATGGCCGCGTCCTCTGCAGATACCGATGTTCCGACTGAGGAACATATTCCGATGCAGAAGCTCGATGTCGATGTCCCTGAAGAATATCGCGAGCACTTCATTCGACAATCTCGCAAGACCAAGGTCGCGGTGGACAAATGGCTATCTGAACAAACTGACCAGGCTAGTAGTGCCCCAGACGAAGTCGACGATGAAACATTGACCTTTGCGATGCTCACGCATCTGGAATCTCATCACCGCTCGTTGTTTTGTGCTTTGCTTGGTATCACTTCCTCAACACCCGTCCCTCGATCTGGCGATGTGAATCCCCGGCACCGTCCTTCGCCACTTGTCTCCTCTTCATTAGCAATCCAGCGACTTTACCGCCTAGCGTCCCCTCCTCGCGACCCTGAGACTGTCATGTTTATGCTAAACAACCCGGGCCTTCATCATGTTCTAGCGACACTGGCAGCCATCACAGATGATGAATGGGACATTCTAATTTCTGGTCGATTTGATGGATTTCTCCGTAGTGGTGTCGAGGATGCGATTCCCCCGATCTCTAATGGGCGATGGAGCGGCAGTCGCTCCAACACCCCCTTCAGCACAGGCGGAATTTCTCGCGGGGCAACGCCAAACAACCATGCAGATGGCGGCTTCCGGCCGGCCAGCCAACCTAATGGGGGACCATCTTCTCCCGCCTCCTTCGGTGGGCCGATTACATTAGATGAGGAAACTGAGATCGCTGCTTTGGCAGAAATCGAGCGAGACATCTTCCTTGGTATGGAGGCATTGGAAGATGCCTTCGAAGCCCTACATCTGAAAGCCGAGATTGTTCGTCGAGCGTTACGTGAACGCGGTGCCGGGCTGTCCGTTGCCAATCAGAGCCGACGAGGTTCTTACGTCGAGGCGCGCTTGGGAACACCATTTTCTGGCATTTGGGAAAGCGGTACAGAAGATGATTTCTTGGATGACGACCGCTCTTTGGCCCCCGATGATTCGGCCAGCAACATTAGCTCCAATCGCCGGCGGCGCCCCAAGAGGCGAACCGAGCGCCGTACGCCCGCTCCAGTTGAAGAAGAAGACGAAGAAGAAACTCCATCTCATTCGGATCGTCGTGATGGGCGGAATTCGCGGCGGAGGTGATCTCATGTCTTGAATTTTAACTGCCTTTGAACTGTTTCAAGTATCAGCAAAGGAAAATAGGATAGCATGCAAGGTGGATATACGGACTATGACATCGGGCGCTACTGATTGATGAACTGATGATACCCACTTCGCCCAACCTGCCCTTTCAGGTCACTGGCTTATTGCCGGGTCCTGCTTCATATGCTTTGCCAGCCTGTTGGCAAATATTTCTTCTCATTAGGTATTATGATTGACGATTCAATGATTTGTGCTTTTGATTTTGGCTCGTCCGTTTATAACTTGAATATAACGTTGTATCGATCATTCACCCTTCCTGGAGCTTGCATCACCTCGCGCTAAAGTGTAATATTAGCAAGCATATGTATATCCTAACCTTCATTTATTTGAAAGTAATCCAATTTCTCTTTTGGTGGACTTGACAGCACTCCCAAAGTGACTAGGAAGGGACCACTAAAGCTCCAAGCAGTACCGCGATTTCAACATCCTTTATGAAAGCATCAAGCTCGGTTATTTCGAATTAAAATTATATTCATCAATGTACAAGGATGCGTCTGGTCAATTGACATCATTTATTTTTCTTCCACGACACGATTTAGCTGATTTTCTGGAGAAAACCGACCGAGAGTCCACCGTTAATTCGACCCCGATGCGCGTCATAGCGAAGCGAAGAGAGTAAGAATATTCTAGCTTATTATATATACTACTAGTCCCTATATAAGTGCCAATGGCACGCGCCGGGCCCCCATCCGCAGCTAAGATCCAGGCTGCATGGAGAATCAGGACCGATCAGCACGACCACGGAAGGGCTTGCGGGAGAACACGCAGCTTGCGAGTGAGCCCGCACAACGGACAAAGTCCTCAGCAGCTCCGGTGCATGCGTGCATATCATGGCAACGGTCCATATGCAGAGATAGCGCTGTGTATTCGACTATTACAGGAATACTTGATTCTCTATTTGCTTTGAATAGTCTCCTAGGTATACTCGAAACTGTAGCGTCGTAACGTACTTGTCATCGACAAGGACGCTGCTCAACCAGCGCTCCCCTAGATATTTGTTCTTTGGGCATTACCCCCATTTGGTCAGAAATCTAGTGGAAGCCGGGTCTTGTAGAAGATCCGTTGCGGACAGGCGTTCCTCTGGCTCGTAAAGAAAAACCTTCGACATAATAACAGTCGCCTCATCAATCATCTCAGGATTGTCTTCAGGACAGACTTGTTTAAAGAGAGAGGCAATTTCTATGCAGTGTCACTTCTTTGAGTAGGCGGACTAGTACTCGCATTTATGTACCAGTCATCACGGCGTGATTCAGGCTGGCAGTAATCCTTTTCCAACTCGCGGGCAGGGGGCCCAACATGAGAGTTATACCGGTCATGATTCCACCATCTAAGAAAGTAGTGAAAGGAGAGATTACGCAGTATAGTTGAGAAAAAAGTATCATATAACTCCACATATCGCAAGCGGTACTTGGTTTCTGTCCATACTACCAAGCGTGTGTTTCGGTGTTCTGGATGCAATACAATAGGGCACAAGATTAATCAATGTAATGCTAGATAGTTGAATCAAATATATGGCGTTTTGGTGGAAAAATTAATATTTTCAAAAAGCAGTAGGTGATGGGGTGCGTCACCCGCTAGTGTGCGTCACGGGATAGTGAGATACGTTAGGAGAATTCCGTGCTTAGTCAGCTTCCCACGCTACATCAGCATCACCTAAAGACATAAATAGCCCAATGGACACTGTTAGCATCTCTGTTAAGTCTTCTCCATATTTTCTTTCTTCTTTCAGGCTTCCTTTTGAAAATGCCAAAAATTGAGTTGCTTCAAGCAGAGGCATCCGACGACGACGAAAGTTACTTTCGTCTCCTAGTTGATGATAAATCCATCAAATATGTCACTGTCGAGCCGGGGTATCTTTAGTACCGACATTATGTGTTTTGGCCCCTCTTTGATCTCATCTTTGCCTAAATTTCCACCTGGAGATTGGAACGATGGAAGAGTGGCTAAGAATACAGCGGACGGTCGGCCTTTTTTTGCGTCTATAAAACGGACCAAGTTCCCTGGCGTTCAGAACACCTGGCATGAAACTTACGTCGAATACCTAGACCTTTCGATCGGAGAAAAGCTACTAGGAGGTCTTTATGAAGCCAAACATTTGAAACTATTTGATGATACTATTGTTGTGAAATTTGCTCGTTTCCCTTGGGAGATTCAATATCTTGAGAATGAAACCACTGCATATCAGTGGATCTCCGGCCATGAGATTGGGCCTCAATTCCTTGGTCACGTTACCGAAAACGGCCGGGTGATTGGGTTTCTCATGGAGCATATAGCAAATGCCCGACATGCCGGCCCTAAGGACCTTGATATGTGTAGGAAAGTTCTGCGTCGGCTACACGACCTGGGAATCCGACATGGAGATACCAATCCTTTCAACTTCCTTATTCAGCATAATTGCAAGGCTACGTTGATAGATTTTGATACAGCTGAGCAATGTGATGATCAGGAGGCGTGTCTTCAGGAGTATGAGGCTTTAGAATTATGCCTCCAAGACGACTCAGGCTTGGGGGGTGTTCATTAAAAGCGGGATGAAGCTTGGAGCTGACGATAGTCCCAAAGTTCATTATCAATATGAGGGTGGTATATGATCTATACCATTAAGAATAGCCAAATTCAAACTCTCTTTACAGAGATACATGGAATTTTCACCAACTGATGGTAATACAAAACCGGTGTGGAGGTCTTGAATGAACACTTGAGGAAGAAATAGTCAAATTGGTTTATATCCCAGATCTCCTGATCATGGAATAGTTGTACAGTTGATCCCACCTAGGCCAGACTGTACAATTACAGAAGATTTTATTTACTCATGATATCAGCAATATTCACAACTTGCCTCTTTAAAAGCACCCTTCTCGTAATCTCAAATTTACGAAAGACATCGAACTTGCGGTTAGATTCTGGAATTACTTTCTCAGAGCTGTCATGATGTTACGGGGCAGACCCGGTCTGCCCGGCGTCGGTCTTGAACATGATATCTGATCTATCAACTTCTACCAGTGCATACGACTGAAGATTACCTCGGTTATCGGAAGAGGTCCTATTTAGAGGAGAATCCTTTATGTCAAATATTAGCGCCTTACACCGCCACCCCCCCCCCCCCCCCCAACCTCCTTCCCCAAAACCTTCCGGGTTGTGGGTGCGCCACGTATGAATTATTACCGACATATGAAATACCCCTTTTCCTATTTCTCCTATCTATTGATGCATCCTAGTAGTATCTACAGTATAAAGAGAATATCACTACCCTAGCGTGCTTCCTCCGCTCTACCTAGTGCTTTATCTTGATTCTATGTAGGATCTAGTGGGGGTGATCTTCTATATGCTTTTATCCACTGCTTCCTTACCCGCCTCCGCTCTGCTTCTGCTTCCTTCTCGTTTCTTTTAGTAATAGAACGATTTTTATCTCTAATAGAGAGCACCCCTGTTTTGTTAAGCGGTGTTTTAACCTAGCGCTTAGTGATTAGGCGCTGCAGCAGTTGTTGAGCTTCCCTAATCTTGCGAATTGTACTACTTGCTATTTGAAGATTCTCTATAGTAATCTTGTTAAAATAAAATAGGCGATCAAGATTGCGTTGCTGGCTTAGTATAAGATCTTCTTATTAATAACTAGTAATCTTTCTTTAATTCTTCTCTAGACTCTATATAGATCTAGGTAGCGATTTGTCGATACTAGAAGAATGTATATGTTATGGAACAACCATATCTGATGTTATTCCGGCCGACCGGCTTGTTTTGGGTACGAATCGTGCATATGACGATATTTTTTATGAAAGAGAACAAGTTGGAATCGGAACCCTTTAGCGTTATTACTTCGGCAAGCAGCGAAATAACGATATTGAGGTCATGGAAAGAGAATTCCCTTTTTTTTCGAACTGAATCTTGAAGAGATTCAGTTATTAGAATAATACACCTTTGCTGTTCTTCTCTGAGTCTTTAACGACATAATATTGTAATTCTTCCTTACCTGACTAATAGGCCGCTACACTGCAAGTAGCATCCTAATAAATAGAATACAGATCAGAAAATATCTACTTCTGAAGCCTCAAAAAATTAGTATTTCTTTTCGATTTTAGTATCAAATACTATTATTCAAAAGTCGTCTTTAAAACGAAAGCAATTTTTCTCTTCGATAATCGTTGAGCAAGTTAGAATTAGCGAACAACTGGATATATTGTCGATCTAGATAGATAACTAGGTAAGCAAGCTAATAGCTGTTTGTATATCTAAAAAGGATACCGACGTGCTCGCAAATATAGGAAGGTACAATCACGACTAGTAAGCTTCCTAGGCCTTCCTAGGCGAGGCGCGAGGGTAAGGTCGTTTCATGCGAGATCCAATGCTCCGTTGAGACCGCGATGCCCGTACCAATCTATACCAATTTTTCAAATAACATAGCGCTCGGTATGAGATCTTGGAGCGCCCAAGATCGAATTTTTCAGTGCGCAGAATCATGGCTTGGCATTCCTTCCCGGGACCCGTACTCCGTAGTAGCGGTCAATACGTCTCATCTCCGCGAAAGGGCGCCACCACAATTGTTCCACAGTCGTTCCACAGGCGAGTCCGAACAGAAAGGGTCCCTCTTACACTGACAATGCAGCACCCGGCGCTTTTCAAATGGGATTCATAGCGGAGTGCGGAGGACAGAAGACACTCGCCGCCACAACCACCACGGCTTCCATTTGAACGCACGGAACCTAGATCGGCGGGCCCAGTGGATTAAACTAGCGGAAACAGGCAGGTCAGGAGAATCAAGAGTTTGCCGCGCTGAGTCGTGCAGAAAATGGGGAACCATGGATCCATAGGGCCACAATGGCCGATGCTCACCGGGTTGACCCCCTTTCTAACTCGGATCTGTTTCTGCAAAATGCAAAGGGAACGTTCCGGATGGCGAGGATAGCTTCGGTCTCGAGAGATTCGGATTGACTCCCTCCTGAGTACCGGGCAGTGAACAACACTGGGATCCCTCTGCCAGTGCTTGTCCGCCATCTCTTTCAGCTTCGCAAACGCGGGAACCGGGAGGCGAAGGGTTCAGCCTCGCGCATGCGACCCCCTGCCCCGTTGCTGGAGTGGCCATGACCATCCACATACAATTCTCGTCGGGGTGCACATTCCTTCCGGAGGACGTGGATTGCAATCTCCACGATCGCTGCTAGCGGCTCTCGAACGGCCACCAGCGTGGACTCCGGGATCATCCTTGGCTAAATGCCGGTGCTCATCATCTCCGCTCGGTCTCCGTCCACGCTAGTCACTCGAGGGCACATTCTACAGTAGTTTGTTCGGAGGACCTTCAAAAGTCCTCCATGGTCCTCCCAATGGCCCTCGGCAGCCAGTTGCCATCTGGGAGCCTGGCAGAGCAAAGACGGGCCATGCAGAAGGAAAATCCCCGAATAGCGTCCGCGACTATGGCCTACGAGCCGTGGACACTGGGGATCCGCGCGCAAAGGCGGCCAATCGCCTCGTCATGACGGCTCGTCACTGGGCGTGGAATAAGAATTAGAATCGTGGAGATACTTTTGGCTACTGTTGGCTACTTGGGCTACTTGGGCTATGTCCTTTTGGATATTTTGGATACTTTGGATGAATGGTGCCAGATGTGCTCCACTCCATCCACCCTTCCCCTGATTTTAATACCCATTGGAGGCTAATTGGACATTAACCGGAGAATCATGTTCAGTGCGGAGCAGTTGGCCACCCATGTTTCAGTCCCAAGGCGCTCACCATCGCGTCGTCCAAGACGGCAGAGATCCACTCTCACGAGGCCACTCCCTCGCTATGGTTGGATGGTGGGCACTAAGCTCATTTTCGATCCAATCGTACCGTGGCGAGATCATTCGTGATTATTGAGTACACTATTGCTCGCTGCTCGCCTCTGTCTCCTCTGCGATCGACAGAAGTCTCCGGGAAGGTGCTCTGGGGGCAGACCCGGGCTTCGTTCGAAGCCCAGCGACAATTCACAATGGGGTCCCCCGATCAACCGGCCAGAGAGCTGATTCGGCCTCGGGTCGTCTTCGCCCCTCATCCCCCTCCTGGTCAATTTGGCGGTTTCGAGCATTGCGCACGAGCATGGAGCACCGAGAACCGAATCGTTTGTCCTGTCCAGGCATCGGTAGGCCACCGCCGATCGTCATGCCCCGCCTAATTATCCAGACTGGACACGGAAGAGGCGAGCTTAATTCTGTTGTTGACAGAGACGGCGCAAGCGCGATAGGTACGCCATTTCCAAGAATTGCATCAGCAAATCGGAAAAGCACGGTGCCAGTGGTGTCCTGGAATCCGGAAATCAAGATCCCTTCTCGGTGGGCGAATTGCGATGCGCTCAGAGCGCAGACAAGCGCCCGGCGGGGAGGGGGAAGGGAGAGGTCCAGCACGGGGGCTGCGACGAAACGTACTGGGGTCTTCCGCTAGCGTTCCAGAAGGCTTTGCCCCTGCGTCGGAAAACAGGGCAGAATCGGACGAGGCGGGAGGAGAGTGGCTAGAAGCATGTTCCAAGCCCCGTTGCGACGCGGAGACAAGGTTTTCGGGGCGCGCAAACGTGGGCGCATGTTCTCCGTCGTCCGCACTCCCGTCCCTTCTCCTTATACATCCTTCAGCTCCGTCCAACAGAGGGTCCCAAAAATGCAACTCCAATAGGGTCGACCCTTTTTGGGTCCGCGCGACGCCTGATATGGTAATTCCTATGCCGCGCAGAGGCCACGGTGATTTCAGGTGGATATTAGCCGTCTGGACCAAACTTCGGGCCCTCATGGTTGATTCGACATGCAAAGATTTGATACGGCAGCGCTCTCCACTCTCACCCCTCTCTTCCCCCGACTCCGTCCTTCGAGAGGGGCTCTGGTCGCCTGAAAGTGGGGGCAAGTGATGGTCCATTCTGGGTCTTGCCAGGCCTTGCAAGACTATGGAGTCATTGGCTTCTCTCATGGGTTGGAGCGAACCCTTGTCTCCTCAACGGGACCCTCACGGAGGTAACCCCCTCCCCCCTAAAGGGCCTATAACCGCAGGGCAAAAGCTCTAGTGTATCCCGACTAATGATAGGCAAAGACGGCCTGTGGAATAGAAGACGCTCACCCTCTTTCTCCCTGTTCTATTGCTTTTAGAGTTCCACCCAGCCCGACATTAGTCGGCAAGTGGATTATCATCCACATCTTTGGAATCTGGAACCAAGTGGGAGGGTCACAGATAATAATAGTCCCCGTCCATCTCGCTCGTCGATTTTGTGTATCCCTTCCCCTGTCGTCTTTTCGCTTCCGCCCGAGGCCTTTCGTGGAGAGGACAACGAGACGGTGTCAGCCAGACCAAACAGACACGCCGAGATTTTGGCTCGGTCGACGCGAGGTTCCTACAACGACTGGTCGTGACAAGCCGCCGCTCGCGAGTCCGCGATCACGGTTGCAAGGCCAGGAAAAACCTCCCGCAACGTGCTGGCCATCCTCGTGCGTTCGAAACCCAAACGGATGAGGGTCGTCGGGCGTCGAAAGGTCTCACAACTCCCACAGCGGCATTCCCAAGATGTCTTCATTCCTTCTTTTGAGCATGCTGCCCCGAAGTGATTCTTCGGCAGGCGAACTAGTGCCGCGACTGACCAGCGATGTGAGACTGGACATCGACCCACTGCCGTTGGCCCAGCGAAGAGGTCTCATTGCAGTCGCCATCATGGCCTTTCTCTCTTTTATTGCGACGGCATCGCTTCTTTCATTTATTACATACCGCCTCATCTTCTGGCGCTCCAGCTACCAGAGATACATTGGTTACAATCAGTATATCATTCTGATTTACAACCTCGTCCTGGCAGATTTCCAACAATCCCTTGCCTTTCTGATATGTTTGAAGTGGATCGTCTCTGACAAAATCAAGTCCGGGACCGCGGCTTGCTTCCTGCAAGGTCTCTGGCTGCAGATCGGAGATCCGGGCAGTGGCCTATTCGTGCTTGCTATTGCCTTCCATACTTTCTTGCTGGTGGTATGGGGACGCAAGATGTCTTATAAATTCTTCGTGTCTTTCGTCTGCGGAGTGTGGGCGTTCATTGCGATCATCGTGATCATTCCCTTGGCCGCATATGGTGCAGATGTTTTTGTGCCTTCCGGAGCCTGGTGTTGGATCAGCGAGGAATACGAAACCGTCCGTCTTTGGACTCATTACATCTGGATCTTTCTCGCCGAATTCGGTACTGTCTGTTTGTATGCGGTCATGTACTTCCAATTGAGACGTCAGATTGCAGCATCGTCAATTCTTGGCAACAGCCAACTCGAGAGCCTAAAGCGCCTGAGACGTGTGGTCGGATACATGACTATCTACCCTATCGTCTACATTGTGCTGTCACTTCCGCTTGCCGCCGGGCGTATGGCAACGGCAAACGGGAACAGTCCTTCCATTACATTCTTCTGCTGTGCTGGTAAGTACAACTCCCTTTGGATGCTTGACTTCCCTCCCTCAAACAATCCAGACGATGTGACTAACCTGGTTGAAGGTGCGATTATTACTAGTTCCGGCCTTGTCGATGTTGTTCTCTATACCCTCACTCGCCGAAACCTCATCATCGATTCTGAGCCCAGCCATGATCGATCTTATAACAAATTTGCTAGCAGCAAAGGGCGACGTGGTGACACTCATTTGACGACCATCACTGCCGAGCCCAAGTCTCGTAACAAGCTTGGTATGAACAACGGAGATGATCCCGATCGTGATGGGTCGACGGATAACATTGTTCAACCGGGCGTCGAGATGGGTCCTATGGGCAAGGTATACCAGGAAACCACCATTGAGATTACCACCGAGCCCGCATATCCATCAGAAGGCGCAAGCGAACGATCCAGCAAAGACGACTTCAATGATACCCCATCCCGAATGTGGAGACGCTAATATGTCTCCTAATATACTACAAGCGTCCTCCTACCCTCGTTCCATACCGAGGCCTTCTTTTTTTTCCCCTCACGCTCGTGCGAGACTTTACCATCGACCCTACATCTTAATAATCTCCAACTTGTCTACCCCTTACGACTTCTACCTCGCTTATGGGACCTTGGTGGCCGATCTCAGATCCACGTATACATACACTTGCTTTTCTTTTTACGACCTTTCAGCCCCTTCTTCTACTCTTCTAATGACCTTCCTGTACATATTTCGAAAATAAAGTCGATGTGTTCTAACTTTCTGGCTGAGGAGAGATAGCAGGGATTAGGAAGATTCCCATATATACATGTCATATATTTTTGACTCGAGGATTGAGAAGTTCAGTATCCGAGATATCAGCATTCACCGATATGGGATCAGGATAGACTTTCAAGAAACCAAAGTGGATAACTATGTTCAAATATATTCCTTGGGTAATTGTTTGCGGCACAAAGGCCGCGAGACCCTACACATCAAGCAAATAAAGTAAATATTTGGCTGAGGAGGCCTGCACCGGCTGGTTGATGCTCCAGCTTGCGAAGGGGTGTCGCATGTTTTTGAGGACAGGGGCAACGGGAACCCTCTCCAGCCGAGTGATGAAGTTGAATTGAAGAGCTTAAATGTGAATAATATCCACCTGAAGTAGAGTGCCGTGTATGTTTCAGTGGAGTAAAAAGGTCTAGTTCGGATTCGAAAAAAAAAAAAAAAAAAACTGCCTTCTATCCAAATTACTCTTTTCCCTCTTAATAAGCCTGAGGCGTTGGTCCCAGTAGCTAGCTTCATCATGTACATGGTATCACCGTAACTTTTATCAGGTGGCTGTTGAAAGTTCACAGTGACCAGTCCCAAGAATAAAGTAAGGCTAATAAATCTTTTCTTTGTCCGGGTGGTATATAGAACGCTTCAATCATCTCGGCCTGGTATTTACTGCTACCATCTCTACGATCCCCGAACGATTTCCCTTGAAGATTGCAACAAGAACTGAAAAGGAGAATCATATCCACCAACTCTACCAAATAATGACTCCATTTTCTGAATTCTGCGAGCATAAATCTCTGCGACCTCAATCACAGCCCTGGGGGAAAACATCGGGCCCATTCCGGGTTCTTAGAGACTAAATGGTACAAAGGTTTCACAGTGGAACGAGTTGGTGTCTCGATTATGTGTGACTCCTCAAGACGCGCATGAAAAAGGGAACTGTTCTCCTATCCCCTTTGAAATCCAGTCTCTGAAGTAACGGGCATATGGTCAGAGAGAAGGTCCAGTATAACTGTCATAGATAGTCCAATCAAAGAGGATAGAATATAACTTTACAGAATTCTGAACCAGCGACAGTTCTAGCCACCGAAATTAGTGGATATTTGATGCACGTATCCTCATTCGACAATTTAAGACATGGAGAGGTGAATTTGAAGATCTAATGCCAACTTCATGTGAGGGTTCTGAAAATCTCGAACATAATAATATCCTCGAATCTGTATCAAAAACTGTCTTGAATAAAAATCAGTGGCCCAATGGTGCCACTAACGTTGTTTCGCGAGATGTGTAGGAACAAAGAAGAGCTATGAAAATACGGCCAGCAAGAAATAACAAATAATTGCAAAAATAGCCAAACCAACTGATAAATGATCTCCGGCTTGGTTATAGTATCTGAGATGGCTGATAATGGTCAGTCTGCTCGGTAGCAATTGAAGCTGAAAATTTAATTGTCGCAAGATTGGACACTGCTGCAGTGACTCTGATATACCTTATCTGGACTGCTCTCTTGCTTTACTATTGCCTGATAAGTCAAATCATTTGAAAGGCAACTACGGCGATGTTAATTTTGAATCCTTGATGTCCCTATAGCATAAGCTTTATGATTTTACGGACCAACCTGGGTCTCCTTCCAGATCACTATTCCGAGGACACTACATTTTCGCAACTACGCTTCCACGGGAATGACGGTCAATACTCAAAGCAATACCACTCAGTGTGATTTGACTTTATTTCTGAACCCCGAGAGTTTTGATCCTGGGAGGTAAGAGAACGATGCGCGAAGCAGCCCTGTTTTCTTTTGGTATTAGATCTAGAAGTTACTATGGCGACCCACCTTGCTTGGGTCCAATCGCGTCTAACTTTAGCAGAAAAGTTTCGCCGGCGGAGAGGTCGACAGCTGGCATTGAATATGAAGATAGCTTTTCTTTTCTTTTCAGTTCTCACAGGTGCGAGGCTGTCCGGAAAAGCCGACCTTCAACTATATTGTCCTACTTCCTATGAATCTACAGATCCACTGCAGGTAATACATTTATCCCAAGATGGTTAGGGAATACGATCTAGATGCGGCCTGTCTTATCTTTGCAGGTTGCTTTACAAGATTGAACCGAGAAATTCTCCACGCCTTTGATAATACTGCAGTATGTACTCAAAAGGATCGACAGGTGATGTAAAACCTGGGCATATACCCAAAGAAATGTGACACGATTACATAGATTAATTGAAATTGAGATCTTTTCAAAGATACATGAATGTAGTATATGTAGTACATCCATATACATGTGACACAACTGACCTAAAGCACCCGTTTAGTTCAACGCAGCGTTGCATCCCTCACTGAGAGGGTGATACTCAAACCTGCCTATGTTTTCGCATATTTCGATAAACACCGGTCAACTGCTCCTTTGAATCATTTTATTGATAGGTTGAGTCTCAGTTTGTCATCTATTGGTAATTGGCCTGGGAGGGTCGATTACAACTCCAGTCATGGCAATCTTTGATACCGCCAAAATTTTGACACCTTCGATACTGATATTTGGTAAGAACCGGCTGGGATTGAAAATCTCCACGATGTCCATGACAGATGGAATTTGAATCAAATGAAGTCAGGTGCTGATATAAAAGAAGGTCTTTTTCTTAGTTTTCATGAGGCCAGTGTTGAGGTTAAAGCTGCCGTGACAGGAGACGCGACTATTCCCCGCACCCATAGTATTTACCAGTCAAAATCATCTTCTCCACAGAGTGATGTAAGGGCAGCGAACCCTTGAACCCTCAGCCGATTTCAGAAAAGACGGACATTGATCATATCAGATTTCTAATTGACAACAGGGGACATCTCAGTCATGCTCAAATATCGAATACAGCTCACTAATTTCATATGGCCCTGCAGAAGCTTGCAGCACCAATACTTCCGTAAGCTCCTATCAAACCTAGCGAGATCTCGACTTTTGATTAACAACCTCATTGAAATAGTGTTCCGGCATTCAACCCGCTTGTTGTACTGGAACATGCGCAGATCTTAGTAGCAGTGTCGATCATTGTGGATCTTGCCTAACCTCATGTGTCAATCATCTATGCCCTGCAACTATGCCTAGCTGTTGCTCAGGAAACTGCGTTGACCTGGCTACAAACAATTCTAATTGTGGATCTTGTAGTAATGCGGTAAGTTATGAAGAACAAAAAAGAATGAAAACCCATTCCGACAAGCCATCACTAAGATAGAATAGTGCAATGGGCAATATAATTGGTGCTGCGGAGGATCTTGCACTAATCTGTATGCTAACTCAACACATTGTGGGTCATGCGAAGCAGCACCGGTGGGTCGACATCTTTGATAGTGCATTTGAATCAACGCTTGATCTACGGCTTGAACTCATGATTACCTCTAGTGTTCTGGAGCACTGCCCGCCTGTTGTGCGGGAAGGTGTCATGATTTGGCAGCTGATCCCCTACGCTGTGGATCATGTAATATAACTGTGAGTAATACTTATCAATAGGTATTTTACTCCTCGGTTTACCTCCCTAATATAGTGTTAGTGCGATGGCAGTGCCCCGAATTGCTGTTCAGGAGCTTGTATAAACCTAAGCAATGACACTGATCACTGTGGATCCTGTACTGCTGCCCCCTGTCTGGGAGTCTTGCCTGCTTGTTGCTCGGGCTCTTGCAATGATTTGAGCTCAAGTACTTTGAATTGCGGCGCGTGTAATCATACTGTGAGTTTTTTTTTAACTCGAAATCTGGAGTCTCATGCCCGGAATTAGCGAACCCTATTAATGCTGTCTACAATAAATCTAGTGCCCAGCCACGTCTCCAGTTTGTTGTTCTGGCAATTGTACCAACGTGGGGAGTAACCCTAGTCACTGCGGCTCATGCACTACACAATGTGCAGCCTTAACTCCCACGTGCTGCTCTGGCGCATGTAAAGATCTCAATACTGACATAAATTACTGTGGATCATGTACAGCTTCACCTTGTATAGGCATAGTCCCAGCTTGCTGCTCGGGTAATTGCTATGATCTCAGCTCCAGCCCATTACGATGTGGATCTTGCAATAGTTCTGTATGTCTTTCTCATCAGTCATGCAGTATGAATAGCTAATGAATTTATGTACAGTGCACAATAGATTTGCCGACCTGCTGCTCGGGTGCTTGCACCAATATAAACACTGATATTGATCATTGTGGGTCTTGTACAGCAACTCCATGTACTGGCGTGACACCAGCTTGTTGTAGTGGGGTCTGTTCTGATTTAAATTCTAATCCATTACGATGTGGCTCTTGTAACTCCACAGTCAGTCTCATTCCTTCGTTATAATACCCCTGCTACGTCTATTGACTTACATATTCTGGATAGTGCTCTACAGCCTCACCTACCTGCTGTTCAGGACTGTGTACAAATCTCAACTCTGATCTAAACAATTGCGGTGCTTGTAGAACGAATTGTACAGGCGTATCGCCTGCTTGTTGCTTTGGTACATGTGCTGATTTGAGCTCTAATCCTGCCCGGTGTGGATCGTGCAGTACAATTGTAAGTGAATAGGATACTTGAACACAAATTGTCACATTCCAATGATGCTTTCCAAAGAAAGCTAATTTCAAAATCATTATTAGTGTCCCGCGACAAACCCGACCTGTTGCTCGGGAAGTTGTACGAATTTAAATACGGATATCCGTCGTTGTGGGTCTTGTACCACGCCCCCTGTACCGGCGTAGTTCCTGCTTGCTGCAATGGAACTTGTGCAGATCTCAACTCTAGCTCAGTGAACTGTGGCTCATGCTCCAATCGAGTTAGTTTGCTTATTGATTCAAGTTGTTTTGAGTTCGAAATTAGAGATCTGTATCTAAATGCAAGATAGTGCTCTGCATCCTTGCCATCCTGCTGTTCAGGTTTTTGCACCAATTTGAACTCAAGCAGCTCTAATTGTGGAGCTTGCAATACTACTGTTTGTGATAAATATTCTGAAAGATCACGTTGAGCTTGATTATTAACATTCAACTCACTCGATAGTGCAGCACAGCACGACCCAACTGCTGTGCCGGAAATTGCACAAATGTTGCCACAGATCCTTATAATTGTGGCTCATGTACTGCCGCACCTTGTAATGGCACAGCCCCTGGGTGCTGTATCGGGATATGCACGGATTTTGATAGTGATAATTTACACTGCGGGACCTGCAATATTACGGTATGATAATTTTTCTGATATATTTTAGGATATTACTTATCACCTGCCTTTCAAAAGTGCTCTATAGTCCAGCCCACATGCTGCAACGGCACATGCACTAATCTCAACAACGATCCTAATCACTGCAGCTCATGTTCAGCGGCACCGTGCTCCGGTGTATCACCAGCTTGTTGTTCGGGCATTTGTTATGATTTGAGTAATACTTCATCACGTTGTGGAGCGTGTAATATAAGTGTAAGATTACTTTACTATTTCAACTCTTTTCATATCGGCATTTTGGTCATAGCGGTTCTAATTGAGGCTAAAATTTAGTGCCCATCCACATCACCTACTTGCTGCTCAGGGGTATGCACAAATTTGAACACAACAGCTGCACGTTGTGGTACTTGCAATACAACCGTATGATCTTGAATCCTTTGCTTTTATTGTTCAGTCGTGCACTCATTGAGATCGTTATGAATATAGTGTCCAGTCACATCACCGACATGCTGCTCCGGTAGGTGTACAAACTTAAACACTAATCCATTAACTTGTGGTTCCTGTAATACAACTGTAAGAGATTTCCATTGAGCTCGCACCAAATTTAGATATTTTAACTATTCAAAGTGTCCTGCAACTGCACCCACGTGTTGCTCCGGAATATGCACCAACTTGAACACTAGCCCTATACGTTGCGGAACATGTAACACAACAGTACTTCCATCTGTCCTTCTGATCTATTCGGGTCTAATCGATCAAAAATTAGTGTTCTGTGGTAACCCCCACATGCTGCTCAGGGGTGTGCACAAATCTAAATTCCTCGGCCACAAATTGTGGATCCTGCAATAACACGGTATGCCCGACAGTCCAAAATAAATTCTATCGGGAAATCAATTAGTTGACTCCTGAATTTCCATAGTGCCCCGCTACGTCACCAACCTGTTGTGCTGGATCATGCACGAATTTAAATACCAACCCTCTGAGGTGTGGGACATGTACCAGGGCGGTAAATATTCATAACATCGATTGATCTCTGCGGAAAGGAATCACAATGGTCTAATCTTTTCTAATCATGAAATTAGTGCAATACCACCTCTCCCACTTGCTGTTCAGGAAATTGTACAAATCTCAGTACCGACCCAAGGAATTGCGGAGCTTGTGGTATTGTGGTATATCTTCCCTTCTGCACATTATTCCAAGATAAAATCAGTATATCTCACATTGAATTAATTTAGTGCCCCACAGCATCACCTACTTGTTGCTCAGGAGTTTGTACAAATTTGAATACGAATCCACTGACATGCGGAACGTGTAATAATACTGTAAGCTCTTATAATTGTATAACAATAAAGCGTGGGAGCAATTATGACCTATATTTTTTCACACAAAGTGTCCACTTACTTCTCTAAACTGCTGTTCTGGCAATTGCACAACTGTTCTGACAGACCCTAAAAATTGCGGAACTTGCGGAATATCGGTAAGAAACTTCTATTCCATGATCATTTCATGGGAATATTCCTCCCCCACTCCCCAAGGCTGGTCACTTCTCCATAACTTGCTGAATTTTCGAAGTGTCCAACAACATCTCCGACCTGTTGCTCAGGCATATGCACAAATTTGAATACAAATGCTTCGACATGTGGATCCTGCACCAATACGGTGAGTTTCCAATGCTCTTCTTTAGTATGGAAAATTAGTGGCTTATTATTTATCTACCAGTGTACCGGTACTTCGTTAAATTGTTGCTCTGGGACCTGTACTAACATGACCTATGATCCGAGAAACTGTGGGACGTGTGGTAGAACTGTGAGATTAATTACCCACTTTCGATGGATTGTAATTTGACCTCGATATTTCAGTGTACCGGAACCCAGAACTGTATTAATGGCAGTTGCGCTGCTTGTCCCACAAACACAACATTCTGCTCAGTTACTAGCGCGTGTGTAAGTACCTCAAACCTCACCAAACTGTCTACAAGTCGAGACTTACGCAAGGACAAGTGTCCGGCCAACAATGTTTGTGTTACTTCGGGGTCGCGTCTGGGCTGTTGCGATCCTGCATTCGCTTGTCCACCGCTCCTTTCTCCTAGCTCTCCAATCATATGTGTGAGTAAAGAATTTTGCTATCTAGAAGTATAGGCGGTCACTGATGGTGAATCAATAGTGTTCCCTGCCATGTATTCTGGGCTTTTGTGCCCTTGGCTTTGCCCGGAACGGAACAAAAATACTAGCACCGTTGTAACAAGTTGTGGGTGCAATGATTTAACGTTGGTATATATATATCGACTACGAATCAACAGTCTTTCTTCACCTCCTATTCCGCACCAACGTCCACGTCATGATTTAATGTAGTTTGATCTCTCCCGCGTATTTACTCAAATTCTTGCGAAAGTAAATGCGGTCGTAACCATCTTCTTCTCTTCTTCCAATTTCTTCAAAGCCCATTCGTCGGTATATTTCCAAATTCTCGTACATTTTAACATTGGTATAAAGCGTCAGTGCCGAGAGGTTTTCGGAATTTGCGATCTCCTCTGCGTACTCCATCAAGACTCGTGCATACCCTCGGCCTTGGCTCATCGGGTCTACTACCAAGTTGTCGATTTTGGCCGAGGATGAGTCGGCATCATACATAAGCACAATGGAGCCGACTGTTTTGATCTTCTCTCTCAGAACAAACACCTCCCGGGACTGGATAACTTCTTGATAGTCTTCAGTCATGGGGGCTGGAGGCTTTCCAATGCGGTCGATATATTTGGCATATGCAGCATCAACCATTGTTTTGATGGCTTTAACATCCTCAGGTGTAGCTCTGGTTATAGTGAGCCCGTCTTTGAAAACTCTGGGCTGGCCGATCATTTTGTGTGATGAAACAGACTGGATTATTGAGGAAGAGGGGAATGATCGACTGGCCATGATGAAAAAAGACGTGAGACTCGCCGAATTAGACACCCTTCAGTGCATTGGAGATTTAAAAAACGCACCTGGTGATTGACGAGGGAGCTGTTTTCGTGTTCATTTCTCACCCAGATCAGCGATTATTAGTCAGTAGTACCGGTGCTCAGGCGGGATGAGTCAGAAGTCCATTTGTGGCACCAACTATGCACGTGGGAGAAAATGCCGTCGATGGGAGATCCAATTGCTCTAGGTTTAGAAGACATGTATCTAATTATTTACCGTAGAATGGTCAATGAGGGACAGCTGTTGAAAAATGCTCTTAGAGTCTCTTCAAATCATCACCACATTTGTTGTCGACTATTCCGTTCGAGCGTCGCTATGAAGCTCTCTCTCTCACCAGAAGAGAACCGTGATGGGATTTCTACGGTTTTATTGCTATACACTTAACTCCAGGCAATCTTTTGGTGTCCTGGAACAAATCAATCCTGTCCAACTCTAGTTCCGCTTACGGGCTACTGTGAGCCAGTTTCCTGCGACCCCTTGAACTGTCGTCCATGCACATGGATCAAGATGACTTCTTGGTCTTAGAAACCTGTTGGCGAGATCCCTCAGTCTCAGTAAACACAAGTTCATCACGCTCCCACATCAATTCGACTGCAGCACCGGTGGGTCCTGATACCACTGTCAGTAGGCCCACCTTGATCAACAAACTAGGCCAGGAGACGGTGCCCAGGATCGGCTTATGGGCCACGGTATGGAGCCTGAGAGCCCATAATAAAATCCCTGCAGACCCAATGAGATAGTCCCACCGTAAGAAGACATGGACACCTTCCGCCACCGTAGCAACCTTGAGACCAGACCAGGGCAGAGGAATCGCAAAGACCTTGGACGGGTGTAGAGCATCCACAAAGCGTTCTGCAAACAGACTTGGAGCAACGACTGTCGCCAGAGGCAGAAGCCAGGAGATCAGATGAGTCAGGGTCGCATTTGCAAAAGCAGACGCATACACCCATCGTAGACCAGACATGGAAGCCCGGCGGTCATTTGGGAAGATCGGGGAGAGAACCCAGTAGGCGACTGTGGTCAGGATGGATACATAAGCGGGCCAGGGTTGCCAGACCGCAATTGCGATTTGCTTCAGGTCAATGGAAATCACAGACGGGGCCGGCAACACCATCATTTGGCTCGGGACCACGTATCCTATCACAAAAACGAGCGGCAGCACCGCCAGCACAACGCGCGGGACCCGAATATTGTCCGCATGGGGCCGACGAGCGGTGATAGAATTGCCGAGTTGAAGAGCACAGAGCAGCGGCGTCGCAAAGGCAAAGGTCATGAGTTGCGCCGTCAGGCCAAAGATCGCCGGGCTGGGTAATTTGTCAGTGGTGTGGTCATGTACGAATTCTTCTTCTGTTTTCCTTCATCTCTTGCCTCTTGAAGACATCGGGGGATCGGAAGAATAGGGGCACAAGGAGACCTACTAAGCCGCTATGGTGCCGGCATTGCCCTTTCGCCATGACTCGAGCACCATCAACGTCCACGCAGCCCCAAAAGTGCCCGAAAAGCCGATACTGTGCAGCATCAGAGTTGAACTCTGACCATCGAGCGATGGGTAGAAAAAGGTTGTCAAGAGAGTTAAGATGTGATCGATGGGCTCGAATCCAGTATAGAGTGTGCGGAGTGGCGCATCGAGTCCCGGCAGCTTGCCGGATGCCACCGCATGGCGGGCCAGCTCATCCAGTCCGTTGACATAGGAGAAGTAGAAAATCGCATAGAGTGCAAATGCACTCAGGGAAAACAGAACAATTTTCATGGTGGGACGGATAGGAGTCGCGAATTTCATGCAGCGACTGCCGAGGTGCAAGGCCGGGGAGGTCTGGGGAACTTGGGGAACTGGGGATGCAGGGATAGGAAAGGGTTTAAATCTCCATGACGAGGGTCCGATCAGTCCAAACCGAGGCTGACAGCCCAACCCCACACAATCTTATTGTCATGAGAGAGAAAGGCTCCTGGGTTCCTCAAATTGACCTCCAAGACCCCCTCGATCCGGTCGGCTGTCGATCCCCGTCACTTTCAATCTTCCATTATCCATTTTCACATGAGCTCTGCTTCGGCCCCGAAGAGACGATTGTTGCATCTAATTGGCTTCGGTCGCATTGGATTTGTAGTCGGAAACTCCACTTCACATCCTGCATACCAAATCGGGATTAGCCTGAGTATTAGCCTGAGTATTACCCTGGCCGAGGGGCTAAGCATGATCGTACTTCGAACCTATTATTCCACTAGCATTGGGAACACACCACCAATCTTCACTCCCTGGTTTTCGTGGATAGACGGCTCCGGGGCTGAGAGCTCTGTAATTAGGTCCTCGCTTCTTCTGAATATAATATTCAAAGGAAAAATCTATCGATATTGATAGCCACTAGTTCAACAACCTACTACTTGATTAGCAACTTGAAGTATCGCTAAACATTTAGATAACTGATAAAGTAGATCTACGATAGCCAGAGAAGGGCTTTTGTTCTTGTGATAATTCCGCCTATATAAGGCAAGTATTGGTTCCCAACTTTGGATATTTTGCTAAATTACAACGCTCGCAACTGGTCAATTGAATCCTGAGCCCGATTGAGATATAGCTAAATCGATATACTTAAATATCTAGAATGATATCTGATCACTCTCTAGGAATCATTTAAACCAGATATTATTTGACCAACTTTCAAACAAGAATACCACTAGCAAGCAGGCTTAGCAGGAGACCTGGGGTCTTCCTACTCAAGGCAAAATATATTTGCAGCAAAGGAGCTTCCTAGGCAGGTCTCATTAGTAAATTTATGATGCATAAAAGACTCACGATCGTTAGGAGGCACAACTGAGCGAGCGCTAGATCAATTGATAAAAAGTTGCCTATTAGCAATGTATAGGAAACCCTTCTAATGCAATTAAATAGAGACTTACGCCAACCTAACGAATATCAAGGTCAAAAAAGTGCACGACGGAATATTCAGATCGAATTCCAGGGATGCCTAGCATTCTTAAGACATTTCTTGGGGACTGTGATCGGCGAACAATATGGGGAGAAACCGGCCGGACGCTGCGCCATGGTTCGAACACTCATGGCTGTGACCTTGGCCTACAAGTACCAACATGACACTGTTTCATGCCCCAGTCACCACAAGACAGATTATGCATTTATCTTCTACTGACGTAGTCATTTACTACTGGTAAATCATGGGAAGTGAAACAATACTGTAATGGCAATTTGGCTTTCGTGCTTGTGTCGGCTTATACTATGCTTGGGAGCTTTTCTTGGGCAATAGCTTTTATTATCCATGATACCTCCCGATCCTAATATTTAATTGTCCATTGAATCTAGGACCTAGAAGGCAATGCAAGTTGCGGGCACATCTTGATCCAATGTTGTTGTCATAAAAGTGTATCAAAAGAAGCTCAGTCGGGGAATCTATCCAAGTCCTCACAATCCCCAAGGTCAACGGGGAGTAGACATTCCACAGTCTGAAATGTTGAAATAGGCGCAATACTCGGGCAAACTAACCATTTCACGGGGCCAGGTCTATATAGAAGCATAACCCCATGGAGCTTTTGCACATCGGCCCAGAGACAGCACCCCAAAGGCAGCCCGGCCCTTTCACTCGGGACTTAGTTCAATTGCACTACCAAATGAAAATTCAGTTGTGATGAGAGTCAGTGGTGTTGACCAGGGGAACGGAGCCCAACAGTTTCCTTATGATGGACGACAGTCTATTATATGGGCGAAGCAAATCTTAGTCAGAATTACATGCACAGGATAGTATACCTCTTGCTGTGACAACATTGTGCTTCTAGATTGTCCACCATGCTTCATTGTTTTCACTTGCGCTGGGTCATGTGAAAGGACAGAGAGTCACACATGGCGGTAGAGTAGTGAAGGAGAGTTGATTGCATCTCTAGCCTCAAAGATATTGGTTCTTACGACGGTCTATGCAACTCAGTACATGGATAGTCATCCGCGTTGAAGCGTCAATCAAGCCGGAAGAGAGTGACAGACTCCAGACCCCAGAGTGGGGATTATTAGCATGGCTAGCATTGCTGGCATGGTACAGACCATAAATCTCACAGGGGTTCAAGTCATTGTGCGAGATTTGTCGACCGCATCTCCGTGGACAGTGGGAGAGGGTAAGAAGAGGTGTGAAAGAAGGTGAACCGACCGGGCCGATGCATTGAAGGAACAATGCAAACTGCCTGTTTCATCACCTGACGCCCCCCCCACCCTCAACCGCGCTGACCGCCTGCCACGCAACTACAAATTTGTTTTCTTCCGCACCGTTTTTAGCAGCTGCCTAGAGGCAAACAAAGCGCAGTTGGGCTTATTTACCCTGATTTGGACCTGGATTGGATGCCGGTGACTTAACTTGTGTTTTTCTTCTTGTAGGGGATAGGCAGATGCCTTTCCGGTGACTCTGTCAACATGCTGAGGGATTCCGATATAGAGTCCCTGAACAATCATCTGGGATCCTTGTCTCGGGAAACCGAAAAACACCATGAACAACTCCAGAATGTCCTCGAGCAGTTCCGGAACCTTCTGAAAGACTACAGCTCCCTCAAAAGTGACTACGAGGAAGTCAAAGAAGGCCGCGAGAAATACAAAAGACAGGCTCGTGGTCAGGTATGAAGCTCTTCGGTGCCTGACGGAAGCAGATCGACAGAGCTGACGATGGGCGATCTCTAGGAACGCAACCCATTTGTGCTAGTACTTGTGGATGGTGATGGGTATCTAGTAAGGGCGCTGTCTGGCAATAGTCTGCATATCCGTTGTTTTTAAATTGCTGACCAATCCCTATTTATAGTTCAAGGACCACTTTATCAAATCCGGGAGTGAGGGGGGGGTCAACGCCGCTCGACAATTGAGCGATTCCATCAGAGAACTGATGCATTCCACAATGGGAATGCAGGCTGATCAGTGCCGGATCATGGTTCGTGTCTATGCCAATATGCTGGGCCTCTCCAAGGTCCTTGCCCGGGCTGGGTTGGTCGGCCATGAGGCGCGGTCATTGGCGCCGTTCACATCTGCCTTCAATCGGGCCCAGGATCTATTTGACTTCGTCGATGCAGCGGAGAAAAAAGAAGGCAGTGATTTCAAAATCCGAGGTACATTCTACTACATTTGAATTCATCTTGACTGGGTACCCATTATATACCAATACATATCCTAACACACTGGACTTACTTTTAGAAATGTTTCGGCTTTTCATCGACCTAAATCAATGTCGGCATATTTACTTCGCTGGCTGCCATGACACTGGCTTCGGGTCTATGCTCACCCCGTATCGGGGTCGTAGCGACCGAATTACACTAATCAAAGCTGCTTCGTTTCACCATGAATTCGAAGCACTCAACCTACCCATAAAAGAGTTGCCTTCGGTATTCATGTCTAATCCTCTGTTACCTATCACCAAGTCAACCACAACTTCAATTAACAGCAAGGTGGCGAGTACTCTGACGAATGCTGCGAAGCCGGTGTGCAAACATTTTCAAAAGGTAACGGTTTGATGTTTAAACGCAATTTTGCTCTTTTGTTTGCGGCTTCCTTATACATCTTTAGGGAATATGCAAGTATGGCAATGTTTGCAATAAGCAACACATAATGCCTCAACAGCTTTCGATTAATTCGGCAGAAGAATCACCTAAACAGTTGTGGTATACCTCAACTATTTTAGGCCGCTCACAAGAGTTTCTCGCCTCTCAGCTCCCACCTCAGACCCTAAAGTCGGAGGATTTCATCCCCGTTAATAAAAATGCGGAACGTCTCGACACTTATTGCCCTCACCCGTCTCCCGGTGCTTTCGATGAGTATTATCGCCGTTCAAAAGACCACAAAGTCTGTAACCGTTATCATCTGTCAGGGGAGTGTGGCGACATGAGTTGCAAATACGATCATAGCGATGTTTCAGATACCATCGTTGATGTTCTGAGATACATTCTCCTCCAGCATCCCTGTCCGAAAGCAGGTGCATGCCGATCTATCAAGTGTTACCTGGGCCATGTATGCCAGAAACCTAATTGCAAGGCCGTGAAAAGCTGGCAATGCCGCTTTAACCACCACTCGCATACGATGGACCTTCAAGTTTCTCAATGGGTTGTCCCCGCGGAGTTGCCTGATGGAGAGCGCTCTTCCATCAGTGGTGACTCCTTCGGAGACACTTCCCCGAGTACTACATACATGTAAGGTGCTCGCACAAGTGTTTAACCTGTTCCCCAAAAAGGAAAACCAAAGGGAAAGAAAATGCTCCATAATCAATCCTCTCCAAACGTGATGACTCATGAAACTTGCGTATCCTGCGCATACGATATTCTGCGAGGCAGCTTTTCTTGGGAATTTGTCTAAAGAGGTGGAGTTTTGAATTGAAAAGATAACTTTTGCTTGACGAATTTCCTAAGATAGAAGGGTCTAGGAACTGGCGGCTATTCCAAAGAAAAAAAAGACAACCGGTGGATTTTCCATGTTTGGGTAGCCAGATACCACATATTTCCCCTATTGAACTTTACCTGCGCCCTCGAGACGTTTTGGTAATGAAAATGGCAAAGAGCCAGAAATGAACCCAGCAATTTTCTTGTTGCCTGTCGTTTTCATTCAAAATTGATATTGGGTCTCGACCTGCCACAAAAACATTATCTACTTCCATATATAGTTCCGGATGAAATGGGTTTTCAAATGATCAAAGCCAGATGATTGTTCCGAGTTGGTTTGACGTATAGAAGATTGAGCTTATCTGAGTCACAAATGCATGTTGCCACACTCGAGCTTACTTTCAAATATATAGACTTCCTCGATATAATGAGCATGTGGGCCAAATGATGATAAGGATGAACAAAAGAAGCGACATAGGCGCAACTGACCCCATCGAAAAACGAAAGGGAGACATACTGCTTGAAAAGATGGTGAAGGTTCTTGCAGCAAGTTTATGCAAGGGGTCGTCTGCGTATCGAACTCTGACCTTATCTGGATTTATGATGAAACCAGGGTTCGTTGGATTAAAATAGGAATCAACACAAATCTAGCTTGCTCGCTCAATCATGCATGGTGTTCTTGCTGAACTACTATATTACCAGGCTTTTGGTGCAATGTTCGGATACCAATAAACTCATGATTTTTGGTATCGGATAAGTGACAATTTGACCCTGATGGATGGGCGAGAAACGGTGCCCAATGAAACAAATAAAATGACTGTTGCAAATCAATATCGTATACTAATCAAAGATGTCAACTTATGCTGACCTAAAAATTCTGGACAAAATTGCGTTTGCCTATCGGTCTACACATGATGGAATTTTCGCATGTCGGATCAAAAAAACGTATATTATCATTTTTGCGTTGCATCAATCTTGAATCAACTCGGACAAACTGCAAGACTCTACGCCATTTTTCTCGAGCCAATCAATTTAGGCTGCCTTTTCATTCAAACTTTTGTTTTTGCTGAAATATAAATGAAGCGGCTGAATTTCACTGATGGTCTTCACCTATTTCTTGGCCGCTGCGCCAATTCTGAAATACGCCTCTCGAACTTCCTCTCGAGTTTCCATGAGACCAAGCCATTTTGTGACTAAAGGATAATCTTCCAAAGGAAGACCGGCGAAGGAATGCTGTCTTACCCATGGCTCGAAATGGTAGTCGACAGCCGTAATCCGACCAGGGAGAATACTTGTTCCTCCTGATTTTTTCAACTGCCCCTCTAAAACATCATAGCATCGGTATGTTTGGGCCGTGTACCTTTCTAACGCGTCTTGGTTCTTTTGGTGATGAAAGTGTCTTCCAATGTCAGGTTCTTGTGGTAAAGGTCTCTTTATTCGAGAAGACATACCTAAACCAATTTGTCTGACCAGTCATGGGCCCCAGAGTACTCAGGAGGAAATACTCCCATTTTTCAAAGTCCACCAGGTCTTGTGCGGAGTCGCCAGAGGGTCCGATCATATTTCCCATGTCGTAGACTCGACGAATATAGTTCATGCAGGCGCCGGATTCCCAACAGATAACTCCTGTATTAGGGTCTTCAAGGGCAGGAACACGTCCATTCTCATTAATATTTAAGAATGTCGCACCTTTTACACCAGTGTCGGAATTGTCGCTAAAATCCCATAATTTTATTTTATAAGGAACATGGAGAGATTCCAACGCGATCGCGATCTTGACAGGATTCGGGCCGGTGGAATGGGCATGCAGAATTAGCGGTTTTATGTGAGCAGCCATGATTTTTTCTGTCAGCTAATATAATAGAGAGTATTGCATCAGAAAGAAAGGCCAGAAGAAAGGAGTGGGAGGTGATAAAGGAATGATGTCATACACTTATTTTCCCGAGGGACGAATGAGATCAAATAACCAATGATTCATGAGGTTTATTTAGCCTGATTATGTTCTAAGTGATAAGTTACGAAAAAGCATACGGCACCAACTCTTGGAATTTGAATCGATCCTAATGCAGGCCTAGAATTCCTGCTACTCCACTATTCAATTTAACCGGTCGTCATGCCGAGCCCAAGATAATCCCTCAATCAGATATCATAACCCAGGTTGTCGGGGTAAGATGCGGGGAAAAAGCCAATATTCCTGGTAAAACATAACTTATCTATATAGAGCAGCAAAAAAGCACAGATAGGTTGGGCCATTCGTGGAATACACACCCCACACTATTTGCACGATGAATTTTATGATACCATTGCTTTGGCTCCTAGCATGGGTTGCTTCATTGCCTTTGTCGGTGTTGGGCGCTATTTCTTCATCGTCTCATCGATCAGGAAATGAATTACAGAATATTGTAAAGATTTCGAAATTGTCTTCGCTGAAGCTGTTACTAACTCAAACGCTGAAAGATCACGTGGGATAAACACTCCATTTTTGTTCGTGGCGAACGAGTGATGATTTTCTCTGGCGAATTTCACCCTTTCCGACTACCTGTTCCGGATCTCTGGCTTGATGTTTTTCAAAAAATCAAGAGCATGGGCTTCACAGGTGTATCGTTTTACGTCAACTGGGGGCTAGTAGAGGCCAATCCAGGCCATGTCATCACGAACGGAATATGGGATCTTGAGAAATTTTTTGATGCTGCCACACAGGCAGGGATATATCTCATTGCTCGACCAGGACCATATATTAACGCCGAAACATCAGCAGGGGGGATTCCAGGGTGGGTGCTACGAACAGAGCCCACCATTCGTTCGAATGATCCTAGCTACCTCAATAACACGATCAATTATATGACGACAGTGGGCCGAATTATTGAAAAAGCTCAGATAACGCATGGTGGCCCGGTAATAATGGTACAACCAGAAAATGAGTATTCTACTTGGCCCGGAGTGACAAGTTTCCCAACAGAAATGAATCGACAATACATGGATTTCGTGAAAAAGCAACTACGTGAAGTTGGCATCACCGTCCCGCTCATCATCAATGATAACGAAGTCATGGGCTATTGGGCCCCAGGATCTGGTCTCGGGGCTGGTGATATCTACGGGATCGATGCCTATCCTCTCCGTTATGACTGTGAGCCACACAGCTGGACTCGATTTGAACCTCTATTGACATGCTCAAGGTGCAAACCCCACTACGTGGCCAACTTACAGGTTCCCATATAACTGGCAGGTTATTCACGAGCTGGAGAGCCCAAACACACCTTTCACAATTGCAGAATTCCAGGGCGGGTCAGGTGGCGGATGGTGAGATAATTTCTGTTGTTAATTTGAAGTTAATTACATGTGCTAAAAAGCCTCTAGGGGAGGATTTGTTGAGGAGAAGTGTGCGGAGCTTGTGAATGAGGAGGCAGTGAGAGTTATTTATAAAAATAATTACAGCTTTGGTGTGAAAATTTTCAATATATATATGGTATAAGTCACCCGACGGAACCCCCATTACATTAATCTTTGATTTCCAGCAGGGGCTGACACATTCCTTAGACCTTTGGTGGCACAAACTGGGGAAATCTTGGCTACCAAGGTGGATACACATCATACGATTATGGAGCAGCTATTACGGAAGAACGAGGCATCTGGCGCGAAAAATTCAGCGAACAAAAACTGGAAGCAAATTTTCTTAAAGTATCGGAAGCATATTTGACATCCACGCCCGGTGTAGGTAGAAATGGTTCATACGGAGCACCTTCCTCAATTGCAATCACCCCACTTCTTGGAAATTTAACTTCATCAAATTTTTACGTGGTCAGACATGCTGACTTCACTTTCACCGGAAAAACACACTACAATATCACACTACCAACTAGCACTGGAAATGTCAGCATACCCCAGCTTGGGGGCAGTTTGCTCTTGAACGGACGTGATTCGAAATTTCATGTCACGGATTATGATGTCGGCGGCATCAATATAATTTATTCATCAGCGGAAATCTTTACTTGGGCACGAGGAGCTGGATCGATGCGTGTGCTAATTTTATATGGCGGAGAGGGAGAAACACACGAGTTCGCAATTTCTGATCACCTTGGAGTCCCAAATATATTACAAGGAAGCGGCGTGAAGATCAATCACCTTGGAAATACATGGGTGATACACTGGCGGGTTGAAACAGAACGAGTTGTCATTCGATCGTCGAACCTGGAGATATACTTGGTTTGGAGGAACGAGGCTTACAACTACTGGTCGCTAGAACTACCCGCTCCCCAACCAGTTGGGAATTTTTCGTCGCCTTCAAAGGATACAGTTATCGTGAAGGCTGGGTATCTTATTCGACACGCTCAAATTTTTGAAGATCAGCTTCGACTGACAGGCGACATAAATGCAACAACTGAGATTGAGGTGATCTCCACACCATATGGAAACTTGCAGAGCATATCGTTCAATGGGAGGCTACTAGAGACAACGACAAAACCAACCGGAAAACTGTCTGCTACAGTCGGATATCAGGCCCCAAGGCTGGAAATTCCACAGTTGTCAAATTTGGAGTGGAGATATATTGACTCCCTACCAGAAATTCAACTTTCATACGATGATTCTGTCTGGAAAAACTGCTCGAATACATTGACTAACAACCCCAGAGAGCTGAACACCCCGAACAGTCTCTATGCTATGGACTACGGTTTCCACACCGGCTCTTTGATTTACCGTGGCCATTTCATGGCAAGCGGCAAAGAGTCCTACATTTGGTTAAATATATCCGGTGGCACAGGCTTCGGCTACTCAGTTTGGTTGGGAGCTGATTACCTTGGATCGTGGACTGGGAATAGTGTGGACCAGACATCAGATCAAAAATTCCTGATATCGAAGTCTCTGGCACCCCTGACACGTCATGTTCTTACGGTTTTGATAGATGACATGGGCCAGGACGAAGAAGCCCCAGGTACAGATGCGATCAAGTTTCCTAAAGGTATACTGGACTATGAGCTTTCTGGCCATGACCAATCAGAGGTTGTGTGGAAAATGACTGGAAACCTCGGTGGAGAGCAATATTTTGATGAAACCCGAGGTCCACTTAATGAAGGCTCCATGTATGCCGAGAGGCAAGGGTATCACTATCCAAAACCACCAAGCTCCCATTGGAATATCTCTAGTCCAATTAAGGAAGGGATTTCTAAGCCGGGTGTTCGATTTTATTCAACTCATTTCCAACTCGATATCCCTGTCGGCTGGGACGTTCCAATGAGTATTGTTTTTAACGGATCCAACATTGAAAATGAAACAACGAAGAACGATGGATCGAACTATAGATGCCAAATATTTATCAACGGTTATCAGTTTGGAAAATATAGTATGCGGTCCTCGGCTTCCTCCTTTGTGGAATCGAATAGAAAACTGACTCTTCGTACAGTTAACAATCTTGGGCCCCAGGTCTCGTATCCGATCCCAGAAGGTATTCTTAATCACAATGGTATTAATTATATTGGGTTGACGCTTTGGTCACAAGATTTGACCGGGTCAAGGCTTGCAGGGCTAGATTTGGTTTCAACGTTTACCATCAAGTCTGGATATTCAAGACCCCGGCCTGCTCCGCAACCTTCCTGGGCCGCCCGAAAGGGAGCCTACTAGCGCATAGCGAAGATGGCCAAATTGCTTAGGATTTTGTTATTCCTACCTGCCTATCTGGAAAGACTTTATTTTCATATAAAAGAGCTTTCGAACAACTGATTAAGAGCCTGAGCAAAGAATTGTTCTTACGTAGAGGCTCGTAGATAAAAATTAATCATACACAAATAATAGAATTCTTCTATTCGAGGAAATTGCTTATAGTGCAGCTTTATCCTTTGTGGAAACATGTTCCGATGGGTCCTGGATTTTCCCTGTTCGCAGACTGGTGGACCCAGTGTAAGGCGGCTTGAAGAATGGTATGACGTCCGCCATATAAGTCGGGCGGTCTATCGCAAACTGGCTTACGCCGAGAGAGCTTAGGATGCTTTGAGTGCTTTTGAACCCATTTTTAATCAAAATTAATTCCAACAGTGATAAAAATTCGTTTCTCTATTCCTCGAGTGTCGATTAACCAAAATGCAAGCATGGCCTTGGTCGGAATTCTATCCCTTGGTTCTGGGCACAATCGATCGGATAAACCGGGGAAGCCAACTTTTGATGACGCCGTTGACAACCGATCCAACCGAGCCACTATGAGAGTCCAAAATCAGGGACCAGCTCATCCGCCACTTCCGACTTCATGAAGACCTGACCTATATCTTGTCTGAAAGCCGACTCCCGGTTGTACTATCGAGCAAAATGGAACGGCCGAGCTTGTCTGCTTCGAATCCTCTTGCATCAAACACGAGCGACAGCGACAATTTGACTGCCATCACAACAGGTCGAGACCACCACGGGCCCGAATATGAGGCCATTCGTGCGGATACACTCAGTCGCCGACAGACTAATTTGAATGATGTCGAGCTAGAGCGTATCGAAACCTATCGACTGCAACACCGGTCTACTGTTGGATCTGGAGCTCCCTTACCAAGAGAAGAATGGATGCCAATGGGTGCTGGAAAGCCTTATCCACCTGAGCTACCTGATCCCGAACAATTCGTTGTAGAATTCACGGACGCGAATGATCCCTTGCATCCTCAAAATTGGCCGTTGCGGCGAAAGATAGCAATTTCCATCGTTCTGGCATATTCGACATTTGTCTCATCCTTTGCCAGTGCTATTTACTCTTCAGCCGTGAGCGAAATAGGGCCTCACTTTCACATTAGCACAGAAGTTGCTATCCTTGGTGTGACCCTGTATGTCCTGGGGTTTGCTTCGGGCCCTACTTTATGGGCTCCAGCTAGCGAATTGATTGGGAGAAGATGGCCTATAATTGTGGGGGTATTTGGCTACTCGATCTTTACTGTCGGGACTGCAACTTGCAAAGACGTTCAGACCCTCATGCTGACCCGGTTTTTTGCTGGATTTTTTGCAGCAAGCCCAATCGCAATTGTGCCGGCCGTTTTCGCAGATATCTACAACAATCAGACGCGTGGCGTGGCAATAGCTATGTTCGCTATGGCGGTCTTTGTTGGCCCTTTTGCATCGCCCTTCACAGGAGGTTTCATCACTATGTCATACCTTGGCTGGAGATGGACCATGTATATCGCATGCATCATGGGGTTTTTTTCTACGGTGCTATGCCTGTTCTTTTTGAAAGAAACCTATGCACCTGCCATTCTTGTGGAGAAGGCTACCAATCTACGCAGACAAACACACAACTGGGGCATTCGAGCAAGACAAGAGGAGGTAGAATTGGATTGGGAAGAGTTGATAACCAACAACTTTAGCCGGCCATTCCGCATGCTGTTCACTGAACCCATTGTATTTTTGGTAAGTGTCTTGAATCCACCTACTTCCGGTGTTGTTCAAACTAACCACTTTTCAGATATCTTTGTGGATGAGTTTTGTATACGGCCTGATGTATGCTCTTCTAAGTGCTTACCCTGTCGTATTCGAAGGAATTCATGGCATGAATCTTGGCGTTGGCAGTTTGCCATTTATCGGGCTCATCATTGGCGAGCTGCTTGCCGGAGGATACATTCTTCTAGATCAGAGATCATACTCCAAGAAGTTAGCAGCTAACAACAATATTCCCATTCCTGAATGGCGTCTCCCGCCATCGATACTGGGAGGCGTGTGTTTCACAGTCGGCTTATTCTGGTTTGGTTGGACTGGGTGGACACGATCAATACATTGGATGGCACCGACTGCGAGTGGAGTTGTCACTGGTTTTGGCATCTATGTCATTTTTCTCCAGTGTTTCAACTACTTGATCGACTCCTACCTCACATTGTAAGAAGTCTTTCTGAGAAGCAAAGTTCTATATTAACATTATTGTCAGTGCCGCTTCCGTATTTGCTGCAAATACAATCATTCGGTCCGCCGTCGGGGCTGCCTTCCCTCTTTTCTCGAAGCAGATGTTCAACAACCTCGGAGTGCAGTGGGCTGGTACTCTTCTAGGTTGCCTGGCTGCTATCATGGTTCCCATCCCTTTGGTATTCATTAAGCTGGGTCCTATTCTCCGGAAAAGATCTAAATTTGCGCCCAGTTTTACTTCCCACCAAAATATCAAGTCCGAGAGCGAATCGCACGCATCCGCATGAATACGCATCATCTTGGTGACAGGACGCTTGATATAATGTGTGTTTGATAAGACCCATCTAGCTGAGCAAATCACCAACAAAACGGAATTTCCAAGGACTTGACATTTACGATGGGTAACAATTTTGATATTTAAGCTAATTCAATATTCAGAGCTGTCTGTATAATGTGAATTCGATGGGAAACTCATCTGCTCTATGTAGTCGGCTTTCGGCGATTTCTTATCGTAGACCCTTGAATCTACTCGATCAGATGAACCCAGCCACCGCCAAGAGGAGTAACTGTAACCTTGGCGTTTCAGCCCGCCCGAGAGGTTGCACTGCGCCGTTGTTGTCTTTATGCTTCATGCATATCAGAAAATTCTCTGGTTTCAGGTACGTGTAATAAAGAATATTCGCAGCCTTTGTTAGTTGATTAATTTGAACCCCTTCATCGCTGTCTGCTGTCAAAAAAATTCTATCGACACGGACCCACTGCCGGGTTGCCGAGGACTGGACCCATGGCAGAGGAACTGTCGGCAACCAAACAGCCAATTGCCTGGCAAGCAAAAAAGCGAGTCCAGCTCGCCAAGCCCGCCAAGGATGTCGAAGGCGGAGGAAGTTAGCCAAGAAGGAGACTTCGAGGTGAATTTTTCCTGTTGCTCTTATCGAACGGACCTGGTTGGCGGAGGACCGGATTGATTTCCTTCGCCTGCGATGTAGTTTTATTTTCCTTCGTTCCTTGCTCTCCGGTCACATAAAAACAGACAGTGGCAGTCCCTTGCATTCTCTCCATTTCGCAGTAGTCTTGAACATAACCAGTATGGGGTTCAAGACCTGGGTTCACGATACCAATCTGCGGGTCGCTCGTAGTCCCGTGGGAAGATGGTTTCGTCTGGAGAATTCCGGCCATGTAAGTGATTCATGATAGAGCATCTCTCCTACTTGCATCATTTGCAAGGCACAGAGAGATCGCAATAGAGAGAAAAGACAGCGTGATTGACTGGAACTCAATTAGCCACTGGAAAGAAAGGGAAGCTTTTTTTTCACTGAGCTTCGTGCGGGTCTGGCCACTTTCTTTGCTATGGCATATATCATCTCGGTCAACAGCAACATCACTTCTGAAACGGGGGGTACATGTATTTGCCCTGCTGAGAGCATGGCAGACAACTGCGCAACCAATTCTGAGTACTTGTTGTGCGTGCAAGAGATCAAGCGCGACATCGTGACCGCCACTGCAGCTATTTCCGCCCTCTCGACTTTCTGCATGGGTCTCTTCGCCAACCTGCCAATTGCCCTGGCTCCCGGGATGGGATTAAATGCCTATTTTGCCTACACCGTCGTTGGATATCACGGATCTGGTATGGTTCCGTATCAAGTGGCTTTGACTGCTGTCTTTGTCGAGGGCTGGGTTTTCTTAGGTTTAACGCTCATCGGCATGCGTCAATGGCTTGCACGTGCACTCCCTGCATCAATCAAGCTTGCAACTGGCGTCGGCATTGGACTTTATCTTGCACTCATTGGTCTTACTTACAGTGCTGGTATCGGATTGGTGCAAGGTGCAACCGATACACCCATCGAGCTGGCAGGATGTGCTTCACAGTATATTGATTCAACTACCGGATTGTGTATCAGCAGCGAAAAGATGCGCAGCGCCACTATGTGGGTAGGCATTTTCTGTGGTGGTGTTCTTACAGCGCTATTGATGATGTACCGCATTAAAGGCGCAGTAATCATTGGCATTCTCCTCGTGTCAATCATTTCGTGGCCGCGGACCACGCCGGTGACCTACTTTCCTTACACTGAGCTGGGAACCAGCATGTTCGACTTCTTCAAACAGGTCGTCACCTTCCACCCCATTAAACATACATTAGCAGTGCAGCAGTGGGATATATCTGGCCATGGGGGTCAATTTGGGCTTGCTTTCATTACCTTCCTGGTAAGCTTCAATATTTCCTTCAATATTCGTCGGTGTCGGACCAAATATTAATCCCGTTTCAATAGTATGTTGATATCTTGGATACGACTGGTACCATGTACTCGATGGCTCGGTTTGCTGGTGCTATTGACGAACGCACTCAAGATTTCGAGGGTAGTGCCATCGCATATGTAAGTTTTCCGATTATAACCAGAAATTCATAGAGCAGTCTACCAACACACCTTTCTTTAGATGGTCGATGCAATCTCTATCTCGATTGGTTCACTCTTTGGAAGCCCTCCCGTGACAGCGTTCGTTGAATCCGGTGCCGGTATTTCCGAAGGTGGAAAGACCGGGTTGACATCATGCATGACTGGCATTGCGTTCTTTATATCTGTGTTTTTCGCTCCCATATTCGCCTCAATTCCTGCCTGGGCTACCGGCTGCACACTCGTGATTGTTGGTGCACTGATGGCCAAATCAGCCGCAGATATTAACTGGCGTTACTACGGCGATGCAATTCCTGCATTCCTCACAATCGCTATTATGCCTTTCACTTATAGCATCGCCTACGGTCTTATTGCCGGTATTTTGAGTTATATACTTCTCAATGGCATTGCTTGGATTCTCGAAAAGGTCAGTGGTGGCCGTATTGTCCCTCCAAACAAGGACGAGTCGGACCCTTGGTCTTGGAAGGTCCCTGGTGGTTTCTTACCTCCATGGGTCAAGCGTGCTGCTACCGGTAAGAAGGACTTTTGGCGTCGGGATGAGGAACGAGCAGCATCTGAGGTGGGATCTTTAGCCTCTCGTAATCAAATTACAGTCGAGAAAGGAAATGACAAGGGGGATAACGAGGATGTTAATAATTGACTGTCGAAGCAGTTTTGATTATCTTTGCATGTCCTGGATGGGTCTTGTGATATAATCTATATTATAATACAGGAACTGGTTTAAAAATCAATTTGTTCAAAGTAGCGGTATGGGCTCAAAGCTACCTCCTCTGTATAACAGTGTGGCACTTGTTCAAAGGTCACATAGTTTGATCGAACGTTGAATGCAGAAGCTACCATTAAATCTATAAATTGAGAAAGGCTTCATTTTTCCGTTTGTTAGGATCTCTAGTCACTCAAAGCGATTGAAGTATCACTTGAAGGCCAGCCATTGAGCTTCGAAAGGGAGTGTGCGATTGAACTCTTATAAAATAAACGTCACAATTTCATGACATATAGACAGTACCCCGAAATTTCCAACAGTTTATGAGAATAATTCTACGCGACACATCGACCAAACTTGACGTATATGGTGGGACTTTTGGGTAATCGATGGTCTACTTCTTCCCAACAAATAATGTTTGGACCCTGTTAGTGGGGAAAGAGGGGAAGCATTAGGTGTTTGGGTCGTCATAGATCTGGAAAACTTTTGGCTGGCGTAGGGGTTTGTGAGTTGGGCGAGACTAGTGTGTTCGGCGAATACTTCCGTTAAATTGCGGTGCATCTTCTTGCCACTTACAGTCTAGCGGTAATAGCTAATTAAACCCAACAAGGTGCATTCGCTTACTGGAGCAACCTTTTCTAACTCATAACTAATCAGTGCCTAGCGTACTTCACTGGCGAGCTGGCCACCCCAGAACACCATATTAAAAGCGATAAATTACAACTTTCGAAGTGCTCAGGCCAGACGCCATGCGATAATTGTGACAAAGTGGGCACAACGTGCTTTATCCACGAAGACGGAGACCAGTGACGAAAACGGGTTCTGAAGCGGAAGATTAATACACTTGAGGAAAGGGGCATCTTCTCTATCGGCTCATTCTCACGCTCCAGGAAAGCGACAATAGCTTGGCCGCGCAGGTAATAAATCTAATCCGCAGCCATGCATCTATAGCTGAAATCAGAGCTTTCATTGACATGAAACGTCCCAAATTGGAAAACAAAACCCCATCTCATTGAAGCTTGCAACGGCATACATGAATAGCATGAATCACAAAAGCGGGCAAGTCGTCCACGACTAAATTCCAAACAGCTTGCAGATATGGTACTGTTTCATGTTACCACTAAGCCGTGGACAACTGTCACGGATGACGACGAGTTTGTGTCTCGTTGGTGTCTGTGGTTTACCTGGTCGCATCCATTCCTCAATTGGATTGATCGAGATCTATTCACTCAAGACATGCAGTCAAGTGAAACAGACTCTTTGTTTTGTTCACAGTTCCTAGTGAAAATAATCTTGGCAGATGCATGTGTACGTTCAAGAAGCCAATAATGAAAGGGTGGCGTGGTGTAATCATACTAACCTCCTAGTTAGGCATGTTCAGACTTCCCGGAAGTATATACCATAGCAGTGGAACAATGGTCATGAGGACTTCATTTTTATAAAGAAGCAAAACGTCGTCTATATGATGATGATGGAAAGTCGAGAATTACAACTGTTAAGGTCTGAATGTACTGGATGTGTGGTAAGTGCCGGTCGCTGCTCCATGGAATTTAACCATACACCTTGCTTGACACCCAATAGTACTTGCATGATAAGCAAGGATCGTACTGGTTGGAGATCTCTCAGCTAGGTAGCATATGCCGTGGGGGAACTAGCCTCCAGGCATAGAGCACGTTCTCGTGATTCAGATAAACAAACGTTGCGTATCGCAAAAGCAGGCGCAATCGCCATCTGGGGATTATTTAATCTGGCCTCGTACGAAGGCCCTCGCCTAACTTTCAAATCATCCTCCTTCACATTTTCGACAATACGATGAGCCGGAATCCTCACACCGACCATCCTGGTTTAGGACAACAGCTTTCTCATATCAAACAGGCGCTTTGATCAAGGTACCACAGATATCTCCACCAACACCAGATCGTGATGTCCACAGAGAAAAGTGATCTAATTACCCAGTCCAGTCGGAGAATACCAAATCCCATACCCAGTGTCTGTTCGGTGTGAGTCGCGGGCTGAACCGTATTACTTATGAGCTGAGCTGGTCTTTATTCGTAGATAGGAAGAAAAAGCATGAACTGAATGAAGAAGTCTCTATGGAGATTGACCATGTATTCAATCATCTCAATACATGGTATGACGGCCTTCCAAGCTGGCTCGATATTAGCAATGCAACGCCACACGTACTGAGTTGGCAGTAAGCCATTCTCCCCTGAGACCAGAATTCGATCACCCCAACCAACATCAAATGGCCACTCTCCAATACCATACCATTATTCAGACCATCTTCGGGTTCGTGAATGACTTGTCCAAAGAGGAAGACGGGGATGAGGATCCAGTTTGGCTTCGGGAAACGCGGAGACGAGCCTAGGAGCTGTGCCTGCAGTCCACCCAAATAAACGGACAATTAGTGGACATACAGCGAGACTTATGGGGCCTTGAACAAATGCCGCCGGTCAATATCCAGTGGGTGACTGTGTCCATGCTCACTTTTCTTCCCCATTTGGAGGACAAGGCAAGCAGTGATGCCTTCATCAATCTCAGTATTGCCGCAGAGGCTTTTTCCCATCGCTGGTCACTAGGCAAGGGTTTGCTGCGGCTCTTCCAAGTTACTCCCCCAAGCAAATGGAAGTTAAACTCCCGACCGAGACCCGTACCTTTTTCACAGACTTTGAAATCAGGCTTTGGAGCATGGAGGATTGGAAAGTTCTGAGCAGCCAATACCCCAACTTTGCGTACTCGATGAAACGAGTGGAGGTGGACAAGGTTGAGCTGGCCTCTTTCTCGCGAAGTTTGATGATCTGTATCTTGCCGAGGAAGAGCAGGAATCATCGTCAGAGCTGTTGGGGGGGACAGAGCACACATCTGCGGAGTCAAGGATTGAGAATGAAGGTGAAGAGGTTGATGAGAGCTGAAAAGAGATGCGTGTTGGATTCTGGTCAACCACAAGCTTCGGAAGGCGATCATGAATGTTATTAGATGACGAATGGTGTTGGCGTACTGCCATTTGACCCAACTGGAGACATTTTACATGAACGTCAGAGAGGGTGAGGTGATTGCGAGATGGTGCTAGTGTGAGCGCAAATATGGAAATATGATTAAGCGCCCTCCTCTGCCAGATCAGTCGGTTGAAACCATGGCTAGTTGGAAGAAGGAAATTCGTCGTACACAAAATGTCTTATTATTCAATATTATTGATTGCGGAAATGTCATAAGAAGCATAACCTCCCTAGTTTCACCCTTCAAGACACAGCCAGAACAGTCCCTCCTTACCGGATTTCCGGTGGGATGCCGTCGCCACGGGTCTAACAATATCATTCCGATTGACGGAAGAATGGGTATTGATCAGAGTAAATAGGAGACATTCATAACAGCTGCCGAAGACAGAAAAAACTCAAACAAATATTTCATGCGCCTGGGAGTCCTAAACAAGTAAAACAGACCATAATGGTCAAGCAAACCGACACACACCATTATGAGGAATTATTATTCTCTCACTCCTTTTGCTTCAAGTTGGTCTGGGTCCAACTAGGGACAATTGTCGTGGAGACGGTGGAGAAGACAGATCTATTCAGCAGTTTCGAAGGATTCCTTCTCTGCTTTGCGTTTCATCCATTTTCGATAGGCAAATAGCGCGATTATGCCGACAGCTACCACGAATACAATGCAAAAAACGAGGATCACACCAGGCTCACGACTAGCCCAATTACCACGTTTCACCACCAAGGGCAATTTGGAGCCCTGGGATCGTTCGATCATGCTGATCGCTGCCATTGTGCTGTGATGGTGGTCACGGCGTAGATATTTGAATTCTGTAATGAGTACCCGTCAGCATGCTTTTCACCTCGAAAATATCGTTTTCTACTGCCGGAGTGGTGTTCTCACTGCTTTAGTGCGTAGGGGCTGATGGATCGTGTGGGCATACTCACAACAGGAAGTCACCAGTCACTTTTCTATCACTTGCCGCAGTCACTGGTCTGGCCAGTACAGCTGGACCCGAAGAGAAACTTGTGATTGAATGGATAGGACTCAGATGATTCGTGATTATGATGGAAGCGGTCTCGTCTTCGTATGTGTGAAAACTGATGAATGGAAGATTGTCGTCTATTGTGCGGAAAGAGCTGTTGTACCAACTCGCCTCGAAAAGACAGCACAGGCGGTCAGCCAGTCCACCACCAACAATATCTGTATCGGTCAAGAGAAGTCACGATCGAGCTTCAAGATCGCAGACGAGCAAGAGCAGTCTTCTTCGCTTCGGCAGCGGACGGGCCAGCACACTAGTCGATGATGCGAACTGAAGACCGCTCACCATTCGGGGACTATTAGCCTCGTCTCTGCCACGGCCACCAAATATCAGCTCACTCTAGCGATGGTGATTGGCTTTCGTCGGGGATTAACCATGGTAGGTTGCTCATCATGAAGGTTTACGGAAGCACCCAGCAGTCATGGACGTCAATAGCTCCGGCTGCCTCCGTTCAGCCTCTGTTCTTATGAGAATCTGTCCTGGGAGCTTCCCCGCAGTATTGACAGCTTGCATCTTCGAGATCTTCGAGATCTTCGAGACTCCAGGGTTTGCACGGGTAACTGCACGGTGCAAGGAGACACCTTAAACAACTAGCTTCATTCCTGCGGCGGACCAAGAACCAGGTCTGAAGCGTCAAGCAAGTTTGGGCGCGATCCGCACCCGTTCCGGCCGCGGCTCCACTGCGTCACCACTTCTTTCATAGGCTACACGTCCTATCCCCGCCCTCCATCCCCTATCCGATGCACACAGTCCTCGTTTCTGGCTCGCTTACACATCGTATCAAATGTCAGAGTCAGCCTCGGGTCATCGCCGCTCGCCTATCTCGGTTATCTGACTAGCAATGACTTGGCCGCGTGCCCAAATAGTATCCCAATAAATCACGTGACTTTCGCGAGTCATAGACCACTTGCAATCCACGGGGATCAATGAACAACTACCAATCCCAGGAAACTCTCAAAGACTCTGCTAGGCTACAATCCTTATATCTAGGCCCACTGACCCAGCCAATATATTAATCCTCAATACTGTGTGACCCTACTCTAGCAACCACAAGGGTATTCTTTTCCGCTTCGACAAGAATTTCACCTCGGACAACTGAATTCTGACGCTCCCAACCATCTTCCATTGTCATCGAGAAAGATATCCTGGGCTGTGCGGCATCTAGATATCTGTATCTATTTCAAGGACAGAAATCCTCGTGAGGTGCTTCATGACTTGCAGTATGATTCGTTCGAGATGTTTCTGTGGAGGTGGAGCCGGCTTTTGGCTCGTAATTCATTCATATTACCGTCAAATTTTTCCTCAACTAACGAAAGATCTCCGGAGTATTGAAATTTAATTTTCGCATTCCACGAATAGGAATGGGGTGGTTTGACCATAAGACAGCGGAAGTGGCGCTTGTCTCTCTCCAGCCTGTTGGGAAGCGCAGTATGTTTTCAAACTCGGACACCTGACAACCGCTTAGGCACAAGATGATTAGGGCTGCTTACTATCACTATACTGTAGGTAGCTAGGTATATTTAAGTGCGTTGCATTCCATCAGCTCCAATAAAGAGCACTTGCCCGTTCTCCCAGCGGATCTGTGTTTGCCCGAGGCACACTGTCGACATATGTTGACCGGTAGCTTCCTTTATCGATCATGAGCAACGGCTTCATTCCTGGGAACCCTTAGGTGCTTCGGGCTCAAATATGGTGAGTGAAGAGGGAAAAAAAGTCTCTCAGCTAACCCACAATGGAGATAAGCCAGAATTGTGAGGAAACGCGGAATAAAATTGCATTGACCAACTGTTGTCCTATTTCTTTTTTACCTATCTGGGCCATTTTGAACATATAATATTACATGCACGTCGTTTTAACCCATCTAGATACTAAACATCTATTATGTTGAATGAATCGATAGGAAAGGTTCAAATTAATCACGTGAAGCTTTTTGAACTCCGATGTCTTCTCATCTACCCTTGGCTTCGCCCCCGGTATTCTATTTCTAGTTGCGACATGGACCAGCATATCTTGTTTTGTCTCTACTTGTAGGACATTGGTATATAGCTTTAGATTAAATTGTACGTATATCGTCTTTAGACTATGTATCAATCAGGTACCAGTTATGCTCTAGATGCACAGTTATCAGTAGTACATACTCTTGTTAAACGTTCTTCAGGAGTAATCTCGCCCCTGTTTTTGTCTTCCAGCGCTCTCTTCTAGACAATCGGTTATAGCGATGTCGTGGACGAAAGACAAGAAATTCAGGGCGGTCGGTCGTCGGTTTTTATCGCGATACAACGTAGGGTTAGTAAACATGTTTTGACCCTAATGCATATTTGCAAACAAACCAAATATGAGTTAGAATGGATTATTTTGCCAAATGTCTGAATTTAGCCCTAAAGACACTTGATTAGTTTAGACTCGATATGCCTCGCATTTTCCAGATTTGGAACTTGTAGGTTTCTTGGGGTAGGCTGATTTTGGACTGCCCACTTCTCGGAGCAAGATGAAACGAGGGCAACAAGTCTGTAGCATGCTGAAAGGAGTCCCCAAAATCAAGGCTTCGACGGCTCAAGTGTCGATTGATTAATCATAAAACGGCTCAGGGTTATCGCGATGATATCTGATCAGCCCTCGAAGCCCCGGATTCCATTGTCTCAAGGCAGAGAATATGAGGTTCGGGGAGTAAAGGCATCCGATAGAGGTTCAAAGGTCAACCCAAGAATCAAAGAGCCCTTATTGGACTTATTGATGCACCAACGTGCGATTTATCAATGTATGCGGAACAGATATGTTCTCAAGGTGTCTTAGCCCCCTCCCCCTTGGCGTCTGACAATATCAATAATAATAATAATTCCTGATGATTATAGCCAATAGAGAACCTGTGTCTGGACCCTTGGCGGTGGCTCTTCGTTTTGTCTCCTGATATGCCAAAATGTTTGCCAAGAATACCAGCGCGTTCTCAAACACGCGGTCTCTGAAATGCGTGTCGCGCTATCCCGGTATCGGTCGGGATCTTCCGATTCCTCATCTGATAGACGGTATTTTCCCCCCGCCCCCTGAAATAATCAGTTTTCGTGAAATTGTCAAGTCTTCGAAATTGAACGGAATATCAAGACGAGAAGCTCGAAACGATAGGAAGATTGAACCACGTTCATTGGAATATAGCATCAAGAATTAGAGCGCTTTGGATATTGCCACAGCCATCATTGGGCAAATATCCGAGTCGGGTGACAATGCGAACGTCCCATATACTTAAACAGTCTGTTCGAGACCAGAAGCGAGATGGCTGCAGAGGAAGCCAAGAAGAGGAGCTGAGAGGGCCCATCTGCATCCAGCCTAGCGGTTTGTGGGGGAGCGGCCCCGTAGACGATTCGGCACGGAGGGGCGCCCCGCGCTAACAATAGTGCCCACTGGATGGGCATCGCCTCTTGGTAGCTAATCTGGGGAGGCAATCCCCAAAGGTCAAGGAATCCAAACGATGGATAATTGAGACCACGATAGCCCATTCGTCCGTCCGCATCGAGAGAGAGAGCGGACTACCCTTCTCAAAAGTGCCTCCTCCGTATTGGCATTCTGAGTATGCATCAGACCCAAGCCGCCTAGTCCACATGGTAACCAATGGAATTCTTGAAAGGTCAATAACATTTCTGAATATTTTCCAAATCCGAATAAAGCACATACTTTAGAGGGCACGGGAAAAACTTGTCAAGATACGCGAGATAATAGGAAAAAGAAAGGGAAAGATCGAGCTTAGGCCGATGGCTCGGATTGGACGTCTGACATTTTCCACGGGATACAGGTCCGATGACCCTAATATCGATCCCTGAATCCTCCTGAGTGAAGATGGAATGCTCCAGATGAGACATGATTGCCCTTATTGAGGATTTTTGATTCCAATCAGGATACGGAGCTCCATATGCAAGCCACAAACCGAGGTCGCCTCATGCTAGTTCGATCTAGGGGCCAAGGGTCCCCTGGTTAGACTCTACCCAGAAAACTCCAAAACTGATGATGGCCGCCCTCTCTGAAATTAAATACAATCAATTTCTCGAACCGATCTGAGGGTCTTGAAACTGGCTTCGTGCGATATAAAAATCTCCCTTTCCCACATCGAGGAGTTGGTACGCCGCACATCATCTGGGTCCGCCTCTTAACTTGGACGACTGTGATTGTAATTATTGAACTCGGTGAGAGGGATTTACTGAAGATGTCGGAGAAGAACGGCCAGGAAGACATCCATGGCGTCTCGGCGGTGGTTGAGGACACTCCTCATGTCATTGCGGGATACGGTGAAACAGCTAAACGCGCGGGTGCCAAGACGAAAGAGGTTCACAATGTAGGTGTTTGCCTCTGTCTGCGCATTTAATTATTACCACTAACTATCTTATAGGCCGAACTTTTTGCTGCTATAGAAGAGACGAAGATAGAGCGGTGGAGCAAAACGTCGCTCCATTTATACTGTAGGTTTTCCCAACCACCAGTGAATGAAAACCCTCGACGCTGGCATCTGCAACACTAGCTAAACTTCTTTATCCCCGCATTACAGTTTGTATATTCGTCTCGTTTCTCTGCGCATGTGCTAATGGTTATGATGGTACGTTGGGCTCCTCGATTTCTTCACCGTTGAGGCCAAAGAATGGCGGAAGCATGGCATATGCTAAAACACCGTTGTTTTAGGTTCCTTAATGGGTTCTGTTCTCGCGATGAGCCATTATCAAGAGGTATTCAGGACTGGCCTCACTGGTGAAAAGGTCTCCGTGGTCACTTCGCTTTACACTGTGTAAGTCCGGGGATGTAATTTTCATCAACTTAGAAAGCTAACGCAGCGACCTTCAATGAATTTTAGTGGATCCATCGTGGCCACCCCTGTCAGTGCTGTTATTTCTGACAAGCTCGGTCGTCGCAAGTGCATGTTTGTTGGGGCCTGGATTATCATAGTTGGATCTATCATCATTTCGACTGCGATGACACTGGCTCAATTTGTGGTTGGAAGATTCATCCTTGGAGTAGGAATTCAGATCATGGTTGTTTCCGCTCCCGCCTACGCTGTTGAGATCGCTCCACCTCACTGGCGTGGTCGCGCTGTTGGTTGGTCTCCAATTCTTGGGCCGAGAGCCTTTTTCTCCATATTCCCCTGCTGACTCTATCTCGTATCAGGCTTTTACAACTGTGGCTGGTTCGGAGGCAGTATTCCAGCTGCGGCGATTACATACGGAACAAACTACATGGGCAATAACTACCAGTGGCGTGTCCCATTCATTTGCCAGTGCTTTGCCTGTGTTCTCGTAATTTGCTTTGTTTGGTTCATCCCTGAATCACCTCGCTGGCTTCTTGCACAGGGCAGAGACGCAGAGGCAACAGCATTCTTGGTCAAGTATCATGGCAACGGCGATCCCAATGCTCGTCTTGTTCGTCTCGAGATCGAAGAGATGAAAGAGGGTATTCGCGTTGACGGAATCGACAAGAGATGGTGGGATTGTAAGTCAAAAACAGCTGATACGTTTATTGGGCCAAGTATATCTAGGCACTGACCAAAATTTTCAATAACATAGATCGACCCTTTGTTACCACACATAGTGGTCGTTGGCGTTTTGCCCAAGTGATCATGATTTCTGTCTTTGGACAGTGGTCCGGCAACGGGCTCGGTTATTTCAACTCGACTATCTACGATATTCTTGGATACAAATCGAGCTCAATCCAATTGCTTTTCAATCTTATCAACTCAATTGTGTCAGCAATTGGCGCAGGAATTGCCGTTTGTTTGACGGATAAGATGCCTCGCCGACCGGTTCTTGTCTGGGGAACTTTAGGTATGATTATTCATATTCACTTCCTTCGATACTGTACTTCAATTGCTGACTTTGTAACAGCATGTTGTATCACCATGGCAATCAATGCCGCAATTTCTATTCCGATTGCGCAGACAGGAACTATCAGCAAATCTAAGGGTCAAGCTGCCTTGGCGTTTTACTACCTCTTCAACGTCGTTTTCTCCTTCACATATACTCCCCTACAGGGTGTCGTACCGGCGGAGGCCCTGGAGACCACGACCCGTGCAAAGGGCCTTGCACTATCGGGATTTATGGTCAGCTCTATCAGTTTCATCAGTCAATTTGCCTCGCCAATTGGTCTTGGAAATATCTCAACCAATTACTTCTGGATCTTTGTGGGATGGGACTTGCTTGAGGTGGTGTTCTGGTATTTCTTCTGGTAAGCTAAATACCCGAGATATTTTGATTCTAAAAAAACAATCGGAAAAATGAGCAGGCTGACTGATTGTTTGTGTCTTAGTGTCGAGTCCCAAGGTCGCACTCTGGAAGAGCTTGAATGGGTCTATCAACAGCCTAATCCAGTCAAGGCGTCTCTAAACCTGGACAAGGTCGTCGTGCAACAGGATGGCACGGTTACGGAGAAGATTGAGACAGATGCTTGAGGTCACTTCCAATTACTTGGACATTGAGACATTTCGGAGCTTATCTCAGGCTGTATTGCAGTATAGATCCCATGGTCTGCAGAAGCATCGTCGAACAACCGGGAGGAGACTTAGACTTTCCTTCCCAAGACCTCACTGGAAGCAGAAATTGATATTGAGGATGTTGATACGTAGTGGCTCTGTTTCAAAGTGGCTTACTATTCTATTTAATTCCCAACCTTTTCATATTGACCTCATTCTGATAGACATTCCACAGTAAAATCGGATCGGCACAGGATCGGCTTTTGAGAGCTGGCTGCCGGTCCATTTTACATATTGTTTAAACATCAAGGTCTTGCAGTGGTATTGCAGTGGTCTTGCAGCTTTGTAATTAGAACACTTGACGACTTGAGTCTGTGTCTAGATTAAGATTCATTTGAACATGAATTAAAGCAGCCTTGAAATCGAAATCTAAGAAGACGAGAAAAAGAAAAAAAAGGAGCCACGAGCCCATATCCCTAGTACATTGGTACATACAAACATATAATCACGACCGGCTGTCTAGGCTCAAAGCCTCTGAAAATAATATAATCTATATATATATATATATATATTTATTTGTCACCTCTGTATGACTAGTTCGTCTTTAGGGATCGGAATGTGGCTATAGGCGGTGGCGATTCTTGTTAGGGGAATTTTCGACGACACGGTGGCCAGAGTAGAGGTTGATCTCGACAATTTTCATTCGGGATGATCTGGAATGGAACATCATGATGCGTATGTACACATTCAAGGGGTACAGACTAATCCAGCTACTCATTAAGCCATCGGCGTCGATTGTTGGCAACTATCGCCTTAGCCTGAGATGGGCATCGAATGAGACAAACTGCAATGCCTTCGATATCCGTGCGCGACGATATACCTTTCTAACAATGAGGATTGTATTCTGCTTGCAGATGGGTTGTACTAGGTCATCCGTACGCCTCTAGTGCCACCTTTCAGGCCTGGTCCTTTGTGGTGGTATCTGTTGTACATTATTCAGTTATTGGTTTTGCTGCGGCTGTTGGGTAGGTTTCATTAGTTTAGAACGGAACTAGCTATGACCCTGGCGACGCTTTGAGTCATTTCAATATCTTCAATGAGATCTTCTAACGCCGTTCAGGCAGATGAGGAAGGCATTTTCCGCCGACATGAGAACCCCCACCTTCGCAACAACATCATTCTGGCGGTGAACTTGCGGGAATGAGAGTGGTTCCTCATCGCGGGGCTCCCGCACATCGCCGCCAAACCCTTTGCCTCACCGATTTCTAGAAAACCGCCAACCCTCTGAAGCAAATTGGTTCTTATTTCCGAGGGCGCTCATTGTATAGACCCGATACGTGTGCTCCAATTTCCAACTGCCTGGATGTGCGATTTCGCCAACTTACCCAAAATCCAGCAGCGAATTGCATCGGGACTTCGATCCTCACCAGAGACGCCCGTGGGGACGGAGTACTAAATCACTAGCGCCACTGCCACGCTGGCAGTCCGTGCTTTTTTGTATCTTTTTCTCTCTACCCCCTCTTTGAGTGGATTCACGGACTTGGCCCTAGCTAGGAAGCTGGTGGTGAAAGTTCCCATTATGGCGTAAAATGAGTTGGCACGCCAATTGCTTGGGATGAGGCGACTACAGGTATCCTGGTCGTGAGCCGCTGCCACGTAGCGCGCTATCTGACCCCTAAGCATGTCTGTTCGCTCGGTACGAGGCGTGTTACTGGCTGATTGATGCATGGGCTGCTGTAAGACAGCAAAGCACTTGCTCGAATGGCGCCCATCGACAAGGAGGTCGGGCGAAGCGCGGGTGAGCATTGCCACTGGCCGGGGCCCTTGGGCAACACTCCATCCCGTCAATCTATTCCCCCCCAGGTGCCATTGTGAAGCCCGACGGAATATAGATCGAGAGGCTGGTTTGGGGAGCAGGCTGGTTTGCGGTGAGGCGTAAGAATCGACCTTCCTCGGTGGGACCACGGATGCTGCTAGGCGAGCTAGGCTAGTCGGAGACCAGGAAGAATGGCTGGTGCTCTGGCGCTTCACCTTGGGCGATGATGCTATTCTTATTCGTTATGTGACTCCGCTGTCCAGCCCTCATCGTCCCCCCATGCGTCATATCAGGGGCCAATCCGTGTAGAGGCTCCTCCGTCCTTGCGTGTCCTTCTAAGTCTTGACCAGAATTCCTCCCCAGGGCACCCTCATCACCCTCCTCGCCTGCTACCATTCGCAATCGCCTGGTAAACGCATCGTGCTTCCCGCTCTTGGCCTCCTCATAGTTCCAACTCGCTCGGTTCCCCGTACCGATTGACCAGCATCAAAGCATCTCCCGACTGTGCGCTGGGGAAAGAGGCATCGTCTCCTGCTGGTTTGACCCTGAGTACCGGATACACGATGCACTCGGCCCTGCGATCTCTCCACGAGCTTCCCCTTCGTCCTGTTTCCGACCGTGCCTTGCGTTGCTAGCTGCGAGACCTTCCGGCGGTGCAGATACCGGTGGTTGAACCGAGGCGCATCGGCAACATTCCATCCGTTTCGTCTTCGATTCTGTGATCTCGCCAGTGAGGCAATATTACAAGGAAGTGGTGAGCGTGCGAGTGTGGGGAAATTGGTGCTCAAGAGGGACTGCTCAGAGTTGTGCGAGCCGTACGCGCCGACCGAGGGCGTCGCCTTTCTTCAACCTTCGCGGTTCAGGTCTAGGGCAAGATCGACCGCTAGAGAGCTTGCAGGTATACTATTCAGGTTCATCCAGAGTCTGTTGATCCCGCCGGTGCCGTCTGTATCGAGCCGGGTGCATTGCGATCAGTCATAATTGTTCCCGATCGCTGTCAATTCGTCCACTCGGGTCCATTGGTCAGTAGTTCCGGGATTCGTGCCAACGAGCATGGTGCAGGCGCTGCGTTTGAGACTGGTTTGATTCTGTCAATTCATCTCTTTTTGTGCGCTTCGCAGGTGAGCAGATCCTATACCCTGCAGTGTCGCAATCGAGTTGCCACCTTTTATGCCTTTGCGTTTCTCTTCGGCTGTATATAGTGCCTCTCTTCCCCCCGGGGCCACTACTCACTCACCCAATGCCATACTTGTGTCCCATCTATATCCAAACCAACGACCACTCCTCTCCAATGACCCTATTGAGAGCCTCCGAGAGGATCAAGAATGAAATGACTGACAATGCGAATCTCATAGCGCTTGATCCCACCTCCCTCTCTCTATGGATGGCTTCCTCTGAGGTAGACCAGAAAGCCTTGGGCAATTTCGCCGCCGGCACGGCCATCGAAAACCCTTTTCTATCGGCGATGCTATACAAGGTGCTTGGGCTCTCGGTCATGCTTTCGAAGAAGCTCCTTCGAGCCCGCCGATTACGCCGACTGGACCCAACTCGGGAAACCAAATCTCTTCAGCTGTATCATCACATAATCTGGCTCTCGCGAGAAGGACTTCTGATTTTAGAAGCCTATATTTTACCTTTAGTGACTCCGTTTGTGGAATTGAAGGTACTCTCTTACAAGCTCCGCGCCTCGTTCTATCATATCTTTGTTCTTTTCCACAACCGTCCCGTTATCGTGCCTCCAGAGGTCGAGCCAAGCGCCAAGTCGAAGCGCGACTCGATGTATGCCGCCGATTCATTAACCATGCTGGCTGGATTCGCGGCTGCAGATAAAAAAAGGATGGCGCTTCCGCCGGGCTTAGCACCAGTCCAGCCCGTCCAGCCTGTTCAGCCTGTTCAGCCCGCGTCGTCCTTCCTCCTCCCTCATGCCGACTATACCGCAACCGCCACCGCATGCTTCAACCATGCTGTTCTCTTAGCCGATAAATTGCTCCCTGGCTCGCATCCCCTCCGCCTCTCTGTCAAGCTTGAATATGCCGCCTACCTCTATGACTGTCTCCAAGACCCGGTCGCCTGTCGCCGCCTTGCGAAGCACGCCATTGCCGATGTATACAATGCGCAAGAGGGTATGGATGACGAGTCTTTCGAAGACGCGGCAGAGATCGTCAATGTTCTCGGGAAGATGGTCAAGCGGGGTGGAAAGCCAGGCAGCAGCACTGCCGGCAGCAGTACGTCGCGAGAGGCTCGGTCGCGCAGTCGCAGCAGTCGTAGCCCTTCACATTTAGATACGAGCGTGCCGACCACGGTCTCACCCGTGCCCGTCACCAAGTCAACACCTGTCTCGGCAAATGGGAATGTAATGGAACCGGCGGTGCCTAATGCGAGTATGATGAATCCGATATAATGACGCATGTGAAGTTACAGCATAGAAAAGCGGATGAGAGTATTCTTCTCGTCGTTTGTTACGTTCATGATCTTGGGGATTGTTTCGCTTGATCCGTGACTCATTTCTGTATATTTCCCTTCCATTTCCATACTTGCCTCTCACATCTGTATATACTCTCTTAATTCTAACCTGCATTCTTCGTGACTCATTCTCTCCGCCCTCCAGCTTGCCCCACGAGTCCTTACTCTTTCGGCGCATTGATAACGTCTAACTGCAGTATTCCTGGGGGCCATAAATACTCCAACGATGAGCTTCGTCCTTCGCATTTCAGTATTTGTTGGGCAGCACATATCCGCCGATAGCAACGAAAAATTGCATAGCCCGGCCCATAAACTGCGCAACGTCTTCTCCGATCCAAGTCGACAGAAGTTGTGTTCGTGATAGCTCCAACTCTCGCAAATACTGACCGGCAACCTAGTTGCTATAGATCAGTACTTCTCCATATACAAAATCCGAAACAGAGAAATTCGGTTTCACCTACCAGAAGGCAATTTCCCTGTCGCTCTCGATCTAAAGCCACCAGGGCAATCGCCTCAGCGACACGGTCTGGGGTGTTCTCGTCTAAACCCTGCTCGAGCCACTTCTGTGCAAACCCCGCTGTGATGTGAGTTGGAGTGAGAAATGGGGCTATGGCGTTTACTCGGACACCAAGCTCGCGGGCTGTGGCTTGTGATGCGCGTAAGAGGCCCAGCACCCCGTGCTTTGAAGCGACATACGCAGCGACACCTGTTCCGCCAAAATAACTAGAGGTGGAACCAATCAAAACAATTGATTTTGTGAATGAGGATGAGGAGGTTTCTGATGGCTGCTTCATATAGAATAGTGCTAAACGAAGGGCTGTGTACCCGATGCAAATTGATTGTCAGTACCCAGCTTGCAGGATTCAATCGAGACGAACGTAGCATACTATTTAAAGTGCCCTTTATATTGACGTCAATTACCCTGTCAGCATCTTGACTTTGCCGCAGGTGTCCATTGCCATCGACATCGCTCATATCCAAGACCATCTGGGACTCCATGATACCCGCATTCGCAACAACCATATCAATGCCACCGAATCGATCCATAGCAGTCTCGAAGCACGTAGTCAACTCCGCCCAGTCGACAATATTCCCAGGAACAAAGAGACCGCGGTTTGGATATGCAAAACTGCCACTGATCAGATTTTCCGCTCCTTCGCGGAACTGGTCCAAATCAGCGATTACGACATTCGCGCCATGACGGTTGAATAGAGTTGCCGTCGCAGCACCGATGCCTCGAGCGGCACCAGTGATGATAACGGTCTTGTTGGCCGCTTGGGAGAGTATGCTGTGATCCATTCTAAGTTGCGTCATCTTGGCTGATGTTCGTTATGACTCAAAGAATGCACCACTTTGCTAGCGAAGGTTTTTTGAATTCCCCGAGCTGCTGGGCGTGCGGGGAGCTGTGTGCCGCGGGGTTCTTGCCGATAGTGACAAGAGCTGTGCTGTGCGATTTCTACGCTGCAGGTAAGGCAAGAGCGAATAATACTGGCATGAGAATACTGCATAATATGTGCAAATGCCTCTCAGGGACCTGGGTCGGCACTACTACAAACGCACTCGAACTATATACATGGCTACCAACGTCTATATCTAGTCCTTCTTCTCCCGGTCTGCCGCTTGTACCTCATTCACGCTTACCCGAGAGGGGGCACGCGAGGTATACCTGGAATCAGCGATTCGGGGATCGAGTGTGCTGACTGCATGGAATGAGAAATCGAGCTCTCCCACCAAGCCTTTCACATGGCTAGATGCAACGTAATTAGCATCGTGTGTAAGGAAAGAAAAGTGTGATAAAAAAAACCAACCGTAAAAGCCTCTCTACATCACCAACGATGCATCTGGTGGAGATCTGCAAGACCGCAAATGCCGCGAAGCCTGGCTCGGCGATATGATGGATGCTAAGAATGTCGCTATCAAGGGCCTCGAGGCGTTTCGAAAAGCTATAGGGTCTGGGTGCTTTCAAGTACGGAGGCAGAGGTTGCCTATTTGTTATGCTGGCAGATAGAAGGCATAGTAGGGATGTCACTTCGTGAGTTGTCACATTGGCGGTTCCGACAAGCCGGCGGAAGTCATGCATCCAGACGGAACCGGAAAAATCACCATCTTCGTCAAGGCGCATCAAGGTGTCGGATGCGTACCCCAGCAAGCTGAGGTAGCTGACGATACTGATGTTAAAAAAGAGGTGTTAGTTATTAGAATTTCGAGTGATGAATTAAGTCAACATACTTTTCCACACAGAGTATGATAGAGTCATACTGCTTTTTAGGAAATCGACCGCCGATGGGGACCTCCCAACGCAGAAACTCGGAGTATGTACGCAGACCATTTAGCATTAGCATCTGCTTAGAGAATACCTTGTGCCGCGCCTTTTCCAATTTTCGACCAGCAGAAGTTTTGAGATTGAGATCTCCTTCATCACCACGCATGCGGGCCGAAAGGGTTTCATGGATAATGGAGTAATAATTCGCCAGAAGATAAAGCGAAGCCCCAAGGCTCTGACGGAGCACAGAATGTTCCGAGATGGGATAAGGAAAGAATGTCCAGATAAAGGCAACAGCGATTCCACCGCTGACAGTAGCCAGCCGATAAGGGGCAAGCAGGTAGATAGGATAATAGGGCTGCCCATTGGATGTGGCAACCTTTTCTCCGACCTTACGAACTTGAAGTTCGTAGCCAATGATCATGGTTGTTGTAACAATGCTGATGATACCGATGACTCGGAAACGAAAGATCTTGATAGGCACGTAGAACGCGCAGGAGATGAAGAGAAACAGGAACACGATGATGCCGGGAGTCTTCTGGCCAGGGATATACCAAACAAGAAGACTCGCCACCATGGCAATCGTGGTTCCAGCAATACGCAGCACAAAGCTGAATATGCTTTGGCCAGAAGTCGGAGACATGCTCAGATTGACCATAATCATAGCCCATACTAGCCGCTGCTTCGTGAAAAAGTCCTGAGTATCATGCAACAAAGCTACTACAGCGATGGTCATGGTCGCACATGCTACCCGAAACCCATAGGTTGACTCGAAAGAGCGAAGCAACCAGGGGAAAATGCGAACTTTGTCCCCAATCTTCTGGAACAGAGTCTCAGGGGGCAGATGTTCTGGGTCTTTCCGGTGCTTATAAGCTTCACCAAGTTCCAAAAGATTGTTTTGGGTATGTAAATCACCCATATTGTCATCTTCATGGGTGTCCTCGGCCTTAAGCCAACTCTTTGCCCATTTCCAGGTTCGTTTTGCCCCAGGAATTATCAACCGAACGCGGGAAAGCTTGCCCCTTTCAGCCACACTGTCCGCATATTGAACAAATTCAAGGACAGTGTGCCCAGTTGAATAGAGTAATTGCTCCATCTAAAACCAAGAAATTAGATTGAGTATGTGATGAGGTGAGAAGAAACATACGTAGAGGAAAAGATATAGTTGTCGTCGGCTTCGATCTTGATGCGAAGCGGAAGCATCGAAGAAGTCCCCCTTCAAACTTTGCACCGATGAAGGATGGTCGAAAAAGTCAGGTGGCAAAGTAATTCCTTTCTCTTCAGCCCACGTTTGCAAAGCGATGCGTTTCGCGTTTCGAAACTTGCCCAACTTCTTTTCAAAGTGCGCTGCAAATCCCTTTTCACCAGGCGCAGTGTTTTCAGCTGAGGCTTCGATATCCTTTTGCTCATCGGCGGATTCGTTGTTCGGCGGAGGGACAGCGGCCGCTCGTTTGGGGGGTTTGGTCAATTGAAAGACATAAGAGGTGTGCTGCAACCCTTCGTCAATGGTTTGAATCATCTCTGCAAATGGGTCATGGACTGCGCGCATAATATCATTCCAATCCCGCACAACACGTTCGCGAACCTCTTCGGGAACGGGTTCCATGTTGGGGTCAATGGGAGCATTCCATCGATTATAGTCTGATAGTCGCTGGAAAATATCGACAACAAAGCTCAAGCCCACAACAGGAATCATGATTTGGCGTAAGTGGCGAAAGATCTTCTGGAGATCGTCCGGTCCCAATTTCCCCAAAGCGAATTCTCTTTTGGCAAAAGAGAGATCAACATGCAGCTTGGCATGCAAATCGGTGATTTGTCGAATCGCACCACGAATGGCTTCCGCCTCTGGACTATATACCTTGCCTTTCTTCCCAAATTTCTCGCGCGAGTCATCATAAGTCTCGGCCCTACCAAACATGTCATCTCGTTCCAAGGTCTCAAAATACACAGCATGTGCACCCAGAGCCGAACGCAGCCCGCCAATGTATCCCGCCATCTGCTTCAAAACCGCTTTCCGCGATGTCATGGGCAGGATGAACAGGGAGACAGCTGTTGAAATAGCCAATCCCGTCAGAAATGTCCGCAGCATTTTCTCCACCATGGCGATTGCGGCGGCCATGGTCGCCATCTGGGGCGCATACACGGAGGAGACGTTGGCAAAGATTGCATAAATGATGACTGGGAATTGGAATTGCGGATATTTGGCACGGAAAGTATGAACAAGCCAAATCTGGAAGAAGAGCCACACTCCACTCACTGCGGAGGCGGATGAATTATATGATTGGGTGTTTCCAGGGGTACTGGTATGCTGGCGAGCCTTGACGCTGGAATACATCATCAAAAGCGCAATGCACCCAGCAATGCACACGGCTAGCACGTCAAAGATCATCATTTGAATAAACTTGGCCCGGGGCATGATCGCAAAGCCCAGAATAGATACGATGGCCACAAGATAGCCCAGAGTTGTATATTCATCTGCAACATCAGTAGCTTGATATCTATGGAGTTGGTCAGCATCAAGTCAGCATCAAGTCCACAGTTAGCGACGGTCGCGCTTGAGCCAGCTTACATAGAAACCGCAATGGCTGGGGCCAGTCCGCCTCTTTTGTTTTTTTGGGATGAAATTAGCACGCTGCAAGTCCTTAGAGGGGGTTCTGAATCCGCCTTACTTCATCATCAGCAAGATGGTGGGTTGATCCAAGCCGGACTTTTCCCACATCTGTTTGATCACGCCCCACGCCGTCTTCTTGTCCGTTCCCATCGTCTCGGCCTGTGTCCCGCGGCGAGACAGTGACGGGCTACTGGAGCTCTCCGACTGACGGGAGCTAGTCCGGTTCATCCTGGCGTAGATGGTAGCAGGTTTGGCTGGCGCAAGAGCCCTCAAGAAATCCCAGTCCAGCAGGCGCGTATGAGGCGCTCAGCATGGGCACGTGATTGCGAGTTTGTCGACGGTTTTACGTCAATTCGGCGACGACGGCATGCCCACACCCTTTAACGGTACACAGTCCAGGGTCTGATGCTCAACGAGAACGGGCCAGAGGGTTGAATTCAGAAAAGGAGGGATGGCAAGGAAGAATCCCCGAGGGGTTCGATCCGCGTTTCGATCCACGTTATCGAGTGGGCCTCCCCGCCTTTGCTCGAAGCCAGCGCCATTTGCCACCATTTGCGGGACATTGACGGTTATGGAATGGGATCCATAGGCAGATGGACCCCATTGGCCCCCAAGACGATCTATACAGGACCAACCAGCAGCCTGCATCAGGTCTGTGACAAGCTGCATGTCAGTTGATCGGCCCGAACGCGGTTCGGGCTTCATCTGGAACCCGGAGGACGTGTTTCTCCTATGAGTTGATTACTGGCTCTTGTTCAGGCCTTGGGGTTGCACAGTTCGACAAATTTCGAATCCCGTGCGAGGGCTGTCATGTTTCAATGGCATGCATTTCATAGTTCCTTATTCAGTCAAAGTGGCTTGAGCTCTCGAAAGTGTCCGGGTGCCTGCATGGCTTGAAACTGCGCCGGGCTTATCAAACCGTTCAGCGCTAACGCCAACTTGAACCGACGAACACTGGAACTAAACCCCCGCAGCCCCTGAAATCAGAAATGAACCCCCCGGAGACCCTTAAAATCCCTTCCAAGCGTCTTCAAGGGTCTGTCTTCTTCTCCACCCGGTTCCCATCAGCAATCGCTTTGTTCACGCCGTCTTTTGGAGCCATATCGGGTTTCAATAATGGGCAACTGAAGTCAATCGCCTGCCACTAGCTCCATTTTTATTTCTACCTCCCTTTCACCCTTTCACCCGAGTCCTATTGCAAAAACCCTTGACGCGATGGATGTCACCTCAACGGAGAAACAGCATCATATCTCAATGACAGAGCACGGTTCGAGCATGTCGGATGCCAAATGTACACCTCACAATGCCAATCCGGCTATCGCACCGCAGGAAGGAGATGCCTGGGCCACAATGCCGAAACGCAAGCCTGTTGCTGACGCGCTGGCAACCATCGGCGCCGAAACGTCGCCAGGATTACCGGATGCCCCAATCGTCCAACGCGCGACCGTTACACCGAAACGGGCATGGCCACTCGCCGGCGGAGGCTGCTTGGCGTTTTTCCACGCGCAGAGTCGGGCACGCAAGCGCCTCATCATCGGCGGGCTGGCGGGCGTTGTACTGATTGCATTGATCATTGGTCTTGCGGTCGGACTAACTGTGGGGAAAAACAAGTAAGGCCTATCTCTATAAATGGAACAACATTGTGGATCTCTGTTTCTTTTATCACTTGATCTTTCAGAAGCTAATTTTAGCCAGACACTCGAATCTGGCATTGCCGACCAACAATGGCGGCCCCTACGAAGGAGATCTAACCTACTATAACCCCGCCCTCGGGTCCTGTGGATATACCAACACCGACTCGGACTTGGTCTGCGCAGTGTCGCATATCCTCTTCGATGCCGCCTCCACTGGTTCAAACCCCAATGATAACCCCCTGTGCGGCTTGAAGCTTAGACTCCGTCGCAATGGAGAGAGCGTGGACGTCAAGGTTGTCGACCGCTGTGTCGGATGTGCTGAGACCGATCTTGATGTTACGGAGGCGGTCTTTGAGAGAGTGGCTGAAATCGATCAGGGTCGAGTGTCCGTGGAGTGGTCATGGTTAGAGAAGTCACCCGTCACGGTTTCTTGAGCATGACCAGGTTGCCACGATTACGAGCCCAAGTTATGACTTGAAGCGAAGTATCTTAATATTCCGGCCATTCAGGGTCAACTTGCTCCCGCCATGAGCGGAATCCTCCACGGATATCCCCGATAAAGCGCTGCCCGTTCCGATCCAAGCCCAGTTCCTTCATCTTCTTGACGGCTATCTGTGAATCATTCCCCAAGCGGCACACCACATAGATCGGATCATTGGAGTCCGATGTGATGAGGTCTGGAGGAAGCCACGACGGCGTTTCGTCAGTGGTTCTGGTCGCCAGAATGCGGGATATGGGAATGTTGATGCTGTGTTCGAGATTACAAATGCCAAACTGCGCCTTGTCCCGTACGTCGATCACTGTGTGCCGAGCGGAGTCCATCGCGTGGCCAGATGATTGAACGTCCTGAGACAGGTGCTGCGTGTATTTTTTGCTGTACTCTAGTGCTGAAATCCGTTCCTCGGGGTCCAGCAGCGCCGGGAGATTTGCAGACCCGCAGAAGAATACATAGTCTGTGGATCCCGAGGTGATCGTGTCCCGAGTCACCGCGGCTTCATTGGAGCACACTGCACAGTTGGGACGACGAGGCCGAAGTCGAATGGTACGAAAGAGGGGACTCGAAAATGCCGAGAATATGTGCAGAGAGGGCGACTCTGACACGCTCGTCGCCGTGATCACCTTGATAGCCTCCAAGGCCTGCAGGACACCCATTGTCCCCACCACCGGACCTAGAATGCCTCCATCCGCACAGCTGACCACGCTGTCTGCGGGCGGAGGCTTTGGAAAGACACAGCGATAGCATGGTCCGCCTTCCTTGTTGCCTGGGCGCCGCGGGGGGTTGTTCAAGACCATCAGCTGGCCCTCCGTGCGCAACGCAGAGGCCGAGACCAGTGGTTTACCCAAGAGCACGGCAGTATCCGAGATGAGATAGCGGGTAGCAGGATTATCTGTACAGTCAAGGATGAGATCGTACTGGTCGAAAATGGCCGGCGCTTCGCTGGGGGTGAGATGTGCGCGGTGCGCGATGTACGTGGGATGGGGATTCAATCTAGCGCAACGAACAGGAAGAGAGAGTCAGCCTCGACGCGTTCTGTTCTCCAATTTTCCAGTTCATTTGAAACAATCACTCACTCGCGTAGAGACTCAATCGCACTGTCCACTTTATATTTTCCCACATTCCGGCTGCGGTGCAGTACCTGGCGATGCAGGTTTGACACCTCGACAGTATCTCCATCAATAAGTCCCAACGTACCCACGCCTGCGCCGGCGAGATATTGGGCTGCAGGACATCCAAGACCGCCGGCTCCGACCAGTAGAACTCGTGCGGCGCGTAGTTTCAGTTGGCCTATATGAAAGCCAAACCAGGCAGATTGTTAGTCGTGTGCCTCCCTTTGCGCGGCTTCGTCGCGACAAAGGCATTCCACTTACCTTCCAAGCCCATCTGCGAGACTATCATCTGACGACCGTACCGTTTATACTCCTCCGGATGCAACGGCCATCTCGTACTGCTGCCATTTGGGCAGGGCTCGGGACTCTCCGAGTTGGCCGCGGTTTCCTCGGCGATTGCGAGATCGCGTTTCAACCCCGCAAGCTGTGCTTCAGTGGCGGCGATTTGTGCTCGCAGTGAGGCGCATGTATCTTCAAGGCTCCCCATCGAGGATGTGTGAGTGGGAGCGTGCTGGATGAATTACAGGGAGAGCAAGGTGCATCGGCGAAGAATTGGAGAAGGTTTGCCTTCCCCGCGGTTGCGGTGGGGCTTTTTTTTGGACGGGAGCCGAACAATGGAGGCTGATGGGGCTTTAAACACATACAATAGGAATACGGGTGCAAGAGACTTGGGCAACACAACCGAAAAAAAAAAAAAAAAACCCCAAATTGAAGAAGTGGTCCTCGAATTGATTTAGGAAGTTGGGTTCATTCTCCAAATTCGAGTCGGCCTTGCTGGCCCACATATTGCTGGTTTATGTACATACTATATTCTGGCGACTCATGCTATCGATAATACCGCCAATGGCACTGCGCCTCATCGAAGTCATCCCATTTGTTGAGGTGGGAAATGAGGGACTATGGGATCATGTTACTCGGTGATCTCTCTCTTCCACATGCTCCGCGTGCGTGAAGTCATGCTTGTGCATGGTGTTTTCCACATCTGCGCGGCGCTGCTCTTCGTCAATGGCGCCAAAGACCAAATCCATCTCTTCCAGGGTCCGGCCCTTGGTCTCCTTGACGAAGATGGTCACAAACAGTCCCATTGCCGTGCAGAAGATGCCGAACATCAGGAAGGTCTTCCAGCCAATGCTATGGACCGCCCGGGGGTGATCTCGGTAATGACAAAGTTGAACAGCCACTGGGTGGCCGCTCCGAGGCCCACGCCATAGGAACGTAGACGGGTAGGAAAGATCTAGAGAGATTCGGAGAAATCAAGAAATTAGCCATTCGATCGATTGAAAGTCGGCGCAACACCTACCTCGCTCAGGTACACCCAAGGAGTCGGACCCCAGGAGAACGAGTATCCAATCACATAGAGATAGATCATAGCAACCATGGCCGTCGAGGCCTTGGAAACCGTCGTGGCATCGGGATCCGGAGGGTTAGTGGCCAGCACTGCACCGATGATGAACATCATCGAGGCCATCCACGCAGCGCCACCCATCAAACTGCGCTTTCGCCCCCAGCGGTCAATGCCAATCAACAAGAAGATCGCGGTCGCGACCACCTTGACAGTGCCGTAGATGCCAGTGGCGAAAAGCGATGCGTTGGAACCGCTCACGCCAATAGATTGGAATATCTGGGGTGCGTAATAGCCGATGCTGTTGGTTCCAGAAAATTGCTGCCAGAACATAATGACGAACGCCAGAAAGAACCGATAACGGTTGCTCTTCTGTAAGCACTCCTTCCAGGTCACACCCTCAGTGGCCGCGGTTTCTTCCGCGATCGCAGCGTGGATCTCCGCCAGTTCTTGCTGGATCGCCTCGCTAGTTTCGGCTTCATTGCGGATATAGGCGAGCGAATGGACGGCCTCTTCGCGGCGCCCCTGCTTCATCAGCCAACGGGCTGATTCCTTGAGGAAGAATAGTCCGCCTAGCATAAGGCCGCCTGGAACGAGCTGGATGCCCACTGGAATCCGCCATTGCATGGTGCTGGGGGAAACATGCAGCGACACCCCATAGCCCAGCCAGTAGGCAAAGGTGCTGCCGATCACCAAGAACTCCTGGAACAGACCCGCGATCCGACCACGGTGCTGGGGTGGGCAATTTTCACTGACGAAAACAGGGGTGATACTGGACATGCCCCCAATCCCCAGACCAGCGATGACTCGACCTCCGTAGATCATCCCGAGCTCGTGGTGCGCGGCGACCTGGATGGCAGCGCCGACTAGGAACACGACGCAGAAGATCATGAGAGAGTACCGACGACCGATTCGGTCGTTGAGAAAGGCCGCGAAGATGGAACCAAAGAAACACCCAGCCGTCAGCAGACTCACAACATTAGACGATACCTGGGAGTTTTTGCCCGAGGCGAACCCGGAATCGCCCAGAGGGAGTCCGAAGTCGGTCTTGAAGCTGTCCAGGGCCAGGACTGAGCCCATCACACCGGTATCATACCCTAGAGATTGAGACTTGAGTATGAGCTCTGTATTGGACCGTGAGACTGCTCCGGACTGAAGTTCTCGAACATACCGAAGAGTAAGGAGCCCAAATAGGCTACCGAGGTGAGTATATAGACTCGATAATTTTTCCAGAAGGGTGTCTGGCCCATGATGACAATGGCGCGACGCGTCTCAGGCGGTATGATGGGGATAGAAGAACCGTTCAAGACAGGGGATTTGATATTTTCACAACTTCTCAAGGACCCGGAGATGAACTCGGCGTGTCTCCACGCGGACCCTTTTATATCGACTCGGGGACCCGGCACTCCTGCAACGGTATCAGTGCGCCAGACCAGCGGGTTCGGCGACTGCTAAGCAACGCCAACGGATCTGGTGTGCTCTGTGCAGCATGTGGAGGGCCCTGAAGAACTTTGGGCAGATTTGCTGGGCCAGTCAGAACCCAGCGAGCGTCCCCCCGGCCAGTCCGGGGTTTGGGGAGGACGATAAACCGGGGCCGAAAGAGATGGGGGGCATCGGCGTGGACCCGTGGGGTTTGGCGCCCGGTTTTTCCGTCCATTCAATGCCTCTGGAGTCATCGTACCAGCCTGATTAGGATCCACCCGGATGCCAGCTGGTTGGTTGGTAGAATAGGGGCTATGCGACGCCCCTCGCGACATCCCTGGGTATCCAAGGCATTCCGTGATTCATGGAAAATCACGACGACTGTCCGTCCGTCGGTCCACTTTTCAGGGTCTTGATGTTCTCTTGTCCCCCATAAATATAGGGAACCTCGCAGGAGTGATCTATGATCATCCTGCATCGTAACTAAGGACTGAAATGACGTCCTTTCCCCCATCAGTCGAGTCTGTCGTGAGATTTTGAACCTGGACCTGATGTCTTCGAGTTGACCCGGCTGAGCTTGGAAGGTGGGATCGATCAAACGCCGTCGGCAAACGGTCTTCAATTGCCGACGCGGTCACCAGCAGCATTTTGATTGTGATGACACGCTCGACAGGGTTCCTGACTACTTCCATGTAGTATGCCACCCCACCATGCCAAGCCTGTGTTAACGCGATGCAACAACCGTCGGGATCGGGGTGGGAGTGGGATGATCCTGGCACTTGAGAATAGAACAGGAACACGGCAACAAATTGGGGAAATGGCAATCGATGGCGTATAGTGAGGCCAAAGCGGCCAGCTCCCATGCGCCATAAGCCATTCTGGTTTTTGATTTGTGATGATTGACCTGTTCACCTGTTCTGGGTGAAGGTGCTGCCGATACTATTCTCACACAATGCCAACCGGGTAGTGGGAATGACGACGATTTCTGAAACCGAGCTATCGATGATCGGAGGTACTATGGAAGTACTTCTTCCCTAAATCTAAATGCTGTATTCTAAAAAAATTATACTTATGTGTCCTAGTCCGAGCAGTAGAGAGAAGATCGATCAGTGCAATTGCTAGATCGTCGAATGCGTCTGATTTTGCTAGTGTATCCACTCATCAAGAATAGATTTCGGCTCCTTGGTTCTTGTTCTGGCTTGGTTGACTCCTTTCATGATCGAAAGCATGCCACACTGAGCTTGGACATTCAGAGCCAAATTCAATGTGCCCCCCCACCCAAAAACACAATGATACCGATTGAACTATTTCATTATCCGCCATTCATCATTCCCGAGCAAGGGTTCAATCTTACCCTCTTCCCATAAAGTTCCACATTGAGATATAAATTACTGTATGAACATCTGACTTGTATGCCATTCAGCATCACTTAACGGGCTTCGGGGACAAAGGATGGTGATTACAATCATCCCCCTGCTTAATTTTGCACCGAGATAAACATTCCTACTTATCCTCGATCTTTTACGACAAGTCCCCCAGCCTCATCGAGCCAACAAGTATCATAGGACTATGAGCATCGCTATGTCAGTCTATCGTCTGTGGGTGCGCTATTCACGCTTTTAATCGTATGAGCGCAGAAAAGACTACAGGAGTTTCTCAAAGGGCGTTATTTATTTGTGCAGCTTTCCTAGCGATGAGTGAAGGTTAGCTTTACATCTTCAGCTGCGTTGGCTTCGTTGGTGGGGCATAAAAATTTCCTGCATATGATTTCCTGGGCCTCAATCGTAACATCATAACATTCGACGCATTGACACATTATCCTTCGAGACAATCTCCTACACACAGACAATGAAAGACTCTCGAGACTGCCCTGAATCAGGACTCTCAGTACTACCCTCCCTCCTGGACACATCATCATGACTGATATCGCCTTCCGACACGTCCATAATTCTTTTTCCATCACTTGAGGAATCACGTCTTCTGGTCCTTAAAGTATGCGCCGTGCTATTTGCGCAACGTGAACTGAGTTCGTGTGTATCTCTGCTTGTGATCTTTCTGCCATTTCTAGATCGAACCAAAGACTTGATACATGGGATAGAGGCTGTGATGATTACCAAATAGGTCTCAATGTAGAGCCAACGGTCATAATTTATGGTGGCAATCGTTGGATCACTGTCTGATGTCGCAAGGACCCGAGTTTGTACCGTCTTGATGATCGCCGCAATCATTGCACTAGAAATACTTCACGTCAGTCTCCAAGCCCAATGGGTAAAAGCCAAACCCGAGTGACAACTCACAAAATTCCCAGCCCTAGCAACGTGACTAGGCCGAGCTTAACTCGCAATTTTAAGTTCAAGTTCCAGAATATGCACGTTGAAAAAACTGCAAGGAAAAGATCAGTTGCTGAATTGAAGGCTTTACCATCATTCATAAGGTTAGCATATTGGCAACAGTTGGTGGGATTGATGTCTCCTTGCCTGACCTCCTTGGAAGTAACCATAGTAAGCTTGAACATGCAAGTTCCAGCACATTTCCTTTCCGTAATGGTCCCAGATCGCAGATTCGTGACCAGGGCACTGGACAAAAATTATAATTATAAACATTCCGTTGATAATCACTTGAAGGACCACCAGTACCCATAATATAACTCGCTGGGATAATCTTTGCACCAGAAGCCCGATGATGAACACAATAAAGGATATGCGACCAAGGGCTCCACCCGCTAGTCCGAACGTTTGCGCGAGATAGTCGTGCAGAATAATCTTGGATACCTTCGATGTGTCAATTTCGGACACCTCCTGGCCGAAACCTTGCTTGATAGCAAGCGTGATCATAATCGATCCGATCGTTGCTAAGCACTAGTGTTGAATGGGATGTTAGGCCACACGCAATGACGCTCGCCGTCTTTCACCAAAAGCATCACTTCCCGATGGTAAAGGGGTTTTACTGACCAAGGCAAAAGTCATAAGCATATCATCTGGTCCAAACTTCCCAATCCTTAATTTCGCAATGATCCTCAAAACAAGGACCAGAATGCCGATTGCGGTTAGAGCCCAGACATCCCTAAGCAATTGTGAACCAGTGTCATATGATGACTTTCTTGCTGAAAGAGTCATGATGGTAAATGAAAGTTGGCTGGTTCATTTCCCCAGCCACACGATCATGGCACGATGAAGCCGCTGCCCAGGGACATGCGACGAACAGCCCGTATGTTGAAGGGTTATAAACTGTACATCATATCAATCCCCAAAAGTGGTTATCAGTCAGTAAGATTGAGAAGATAAATCCTTTCGGAGATCTCCATGGCAGACTTATAAGAGATGTTGAATAAAGTTCTATGGAGTTGAATAGGGTTTGTCGGAGGTCTCCGCGTTCCTCAACCTTGGTTAATCGATCGTGGTTGGCTTCTTCTTTCCCTTTTACGTCTCGCCTCTCGCTGCTTTAGAATCTCATTACTTTGTAAAATTAGCCATGGTCTCGACGTATGGACTTTAGTCGTTGCAATCCCCCTTCCTCAAACTCAAAATGCCTGGCAAATCTGGAATAATGCCGAGATTACTTATTGAGCCAGCCGTAGATCGCAAAAGCGGCGGGTCGCTCAGATCGGGAAGCCTCACCAAACACATGTTAGCGGATCCACATCCTTCGATTTCAGGAAAGAAGCCGCATATGGCCCTGGTATCACGAGCCGATTCACTAAAGTTTGTGAATCTTTCGGTCAGAGGTAGTGATAGTGGTCGGGATTCTAATTGGCCCCCATCCATGATCAAAGCCGAGCATCTCCTATCACCTGCGGATGGGTCGGGCGATGAAATCTCCCCAGATAAAGCGCCACAGGGGTTGAAATACCAGACCTGAGAATCAACTAAAGATTACAATCCGACTTCATATGACAGTTCAATGATATTCTTATTCTTCTTCTTCTTCTTCTTCTTCTTCTTCTTCTTCTTCTTCGCTGTTCCATGATAGGTGATCTTCGATACTTGAACCAAACAAGGCATACCTTATATCTGATTAAAATCAACATGCCATTGGATCGCCATGGACAGAGAAAAGACATCATATTCTATTATCATGAACACAATTAAGAAGCTGTTGGGGCCACCAACTCACTTTGTACGTGTAAACACAACCTCAGAATCACGCTAAGGAGAAGCCTTCGATGTATAAGGTGGCGGCAAACCAGATGGCTGGAAAGGGTTTTCTGCAATTTTCTTGTTTCAATTCGATCTTAACTTTTTATGCACAAATTTTCTTTGTCCTATCAATACATGACTAGTGCGGACAAAGTTGACCCCATTTGAGGTTCATATCAAGGTATACACTACGTTTAGGTTACAGGGTAGAAGAGGAGCTCAGTTCACAAACCTTTTTGCTTCCTACCTGACCACCTACTCTACTCCTCTTTGTCACCCTGCGGACGTGTGGTTGAGACCGCAGCGGGCATATAAGTAGATGAAATGGCTGTTAACTGGTAGAGTTAAGTATAATGGATATTTCTAGGATCAAGGGTAGAATAAGCACTACATCAGCCTCTCCTTGATCAAATCGATATGCGAACGACGGAATCAAATCTAATATTATGAGGTCGCGTCAAGGAGACATGGCGGAATTATATGTTTGGCAATATACGTACGTTTGGCAATGAGAAGCTTTCGACTCACAGAAGCTCATAGAGTAAAGTTGCTATAGGACCAAAAGGGCTCAAGTGGTTTTGTAATAATATTGTATTTGAATATAAACCATTTTTGAGGAAATCCAGGTCTTTGGCGACTGGAAATGATCGCGTATAATTTGAGGGCTGACTCTTTCTCCAGCCCCAACCTTAGGAGTGGGTGCGGTCGAAATTTCGGACGACACTTGACCGAGATTCCTACACCCGCAGTGTGAGTACGCGATTCTAACTAACGCAAGGCTGCGGCTTAGCCAAGTTAAGGAATAGATGTTCAATCCTTTGAGGTGTTTGGGCAATTCCATTTAAGAGACCAGCATTCCTGCGGACAACCGTCAGATCAAGTTCTCGCCCCCTGTGTCCGTTTCAATTCACCTCCTCACACTGAAAGCAATGCCGTTCGTCTCAATTCGCAATGTATGGTCGCAATTTTTCCCTCCGCCACCAGCATTCACCGAGGAAAATGTTTTATCTCAAAAGGGCCGCGTATTCATTGTAACGGGAGGCAACACTGGAATTGGCTTTGAATTATGCAAGATGCTCTATGGCACGGGCGCAACCATCTACATGGCCTCGAGGACACAAGTACGTGCAAGAAACTATAGGGACCGGTGCATTGAGCGTTGATCTGTATCGATTCGGATAGGCAAAGGCTGAGGCCGCGATTGAGGCCATCACGACTTCATCACCATCACCTGATAACCCTGGGGAATTCAAATTCCTTCATCTGGACCTTAGTGATCTCCGATCGGTGAAAAGAGCGGCTACAACGTTTGCCGAGCTGGAATCAAAGCTGGATGTTCTATGGAATAATGCCGGGGCCGGCGCTAATCTCGTACAAATTGGTGACAGAACGGAACAAGGGCTTGAACCCATGATGGGCATCCACTGCGTGGCCACATTGCTGTTTAGTGAGCTTCTTCTTCCACAACTTCGCGCTTCCACGGCCTCCGGGGGCTCAGGCTCGGCCCGGGTCGTGTGGACTTCCAGCTACCTTGCAGAGGGCGCCACTCCGAAAAATGGCATCGACTTCAATCACCTGGAAACTGGCACCCCTGACCGAACCCAGAACTATGGCATCTCGAAGGCAGGTACTTGGATGCTCGGACGTGAATTTGGTCGGCGTTATGGCAAAGACGGAATTATGAGTGTTGTACAGAACCCTGGCAACTGTAAGGCTGGGACATATGGTGGGACGTCAGCGGTTGCTATGCTTTTCGTCAACCCATTGCTCCACGAAGTAAAACTTGGAGCCTACACAGAGCTGTATGCTGGTCTCTCACCAGAGCTTTCCCAGGACGCCAACAACGCTTATGTCATTCCCTGGGGTCGGGTTCGAGCTGAGGAGACCTGTCCCCGGAAAGATATAATCTACGCCATGACTCCCACCGAACAAGGCGGCCAGGGATACGGTACAAAGTTATGGGAATGGTGCGAGCAACAGTGGAAACCCTTCGTATAATAATGAGAGTGCCATTATGTTTGTGGTAGTTGGTAGTCATCTTTCTGTAGAAAATATGACGGGCCGACTGCTTATCTGTATTGTTTCTTGACTGTTTTTGATTCTTAGCAATGTTCCCAATACCATGAAGAGTTCAATCCGGGGCAATTCTCCCCGCGGTAGATCGAAAATAAAGAAAGCAAGTCCATGCGTGTGGAGCCATGGTCACCAACCAGGCTGGCCCGTTCTATGGAGATCAATTGTCCCAAAGCGGCCCATCCCTTCCAAGTATTATTAAGCGCGCGTAACACGTCCATTTCCAGCTGTGCGAGAGCCTGGGTCATCCACCTGCCCGTTTACATCATTCTTATGGCCTCTCCACAGACTCCATTTAGTAAGGTCGGGGTGTTTTAGACAACAATGTACCTCCGATCTGGGGAATTTATAAAGTAGTCAGAGTGCCCCGGAAATTTGAGCGGACGCTGGCAACATCTTTATACTTCTTGGTCGTTGAAAATCCACTCCACCATGAAATCATCCATTCTTATCAAGGCCTTAGGTCTCCTCGCTGGTAGCACCAGTTGCTATGCAACCATGACAGTACCTAACAGTCTGCTACTGAGCTCCATTGCGGAATCGGTATCCTTGCCGATGTTCACCTGGTCGGCAAACGGAACTCATACGGCCAAGGGATATACCTCCAGGCAGGCGAACGAAACAAGTGTCCAGGGCATGAAAGAGGACTGCGATAACATCAATCTTAATAAGAAAATTGCCGTTGACTTCCGCAGTGATGTCTTCGGTCCCGGCGTTATTGGCTTCTTTTACAAATGTGAGAAGATCCGCCCGGACACCAATCTTTACTGGTTTACCATTAGCTCTGGAAATGGCTCCCAGATCGATCAGCTATGCGATACCAACTCGAAGTATCCGATTGTCTATGATTCACAGCACAACACTTGGTTTATCGATGAGCCATTCGACTGCACTCAGCGGACCTCTCCAGCAAACATTTCTTGATCGTCCTGGTACACGTCTACAGGTCTAGAATCTCAAGGTGAGCCATTTGGCATATTTTTGGGAATATAGTAATTGATAATCGTTTTATCCAAAAAAGGAATTCCCGGTGTATACCTTGGCGTGGAGCTCTGTCAGATTTATACGTGGTTGAAAAGAACACTTCTCATTCACCATGCTCTAACCCAGAGGATTCTCTGGCCCTTCGGTCTGTTTAAATTATGTCTTTTGTCGAAGATATTCAGTAATAGTTGTGATGATAATTTGTGATCATGATCTAAACCCCTGGGTGTTTTCAAACTGTTGCCTTAATGCCATAGTTGCACAGTCAACCACATTTGACTCTTCTAGATAATAGCAACGTGCTTTGATTTAATGTGATTAGCAACCTTGCTTCTTCGGAAAATGTGACTTGAGACCATTATAAATTCTTCTTTGATGTGAAACTGGGTGTAAACCATGATATTTATTACCAGGAAACTTCATAGCGATACTCTCAATCTGATTCAGATTCTTGGACTACGTCATAGAGTCTTAAGGGAATCCAAAACGAAAACTGCGAGCTATGGAATTGAGACAAAGTAAAGATATTGATTGACTGGATAAAGTGAGAGTATCGCGAAAGTTCGCAATCCAGTATATGGAGGTGAAGGTGCTGGCCCCTTGTACTTCGTACAGTAACAAGATGACAAAGGAAGCACGAGGAGCACCACAATCTTTGTTCGAGAAAAAGCCAAATACATAACATACTGTGTAAAATACATACTTTAAGCCAACGAGCAATGTTCAAAGTTCAAAGTATGCCTCATTCAAGGGCCCAATCCTTTTTCACCTCCTGAGTGAGGATACCGGATTTCTTCAAAATATGTTCTGCGAGTGAATATACCGAATCACTGGTGAGAATTTCGAGGATCTGGAGATTGGTCTCCAGTTCTCGTGTGATCCAGTTTCTAATCTCAATTGCTACCAGCGAGTCCAATCCATAGACAGAAATCGGCGCAGCAGGATCCAGCTCCTCGAATGGTCGCATAAGAATGCTGGATATCTTATCCAGAAATGCAGTAACGACAACTGCTTGGGCCGCCTGATAATCTCTGGACCGTTTAATGGCAGTTGCAGGAGATATCGCTGCACCGGCTTGTGGACCGCTCTCGGCAAGAGAAGCAGCACTGGCAAGTGTGGATAAGCGAAGCAATTGAGCTAATTTGGTATCATGTACCCAGAATGGCTGTTCTGTGATGGGTTGTGTTTTCACGCCATCAAATCCAACAACGCAATGATCGTCGCAAGTGTCTCGCATCTCCCTTCGAATTGCAACTGTGACAAGGCCACGAATGTCATTCGCATCCACGGACTTTGTTCCAAGCTGAGCAGAAATTTGGGCACGTTTCTGGTCGTCAGCTAAGTAGCCAACACCTCGCACAATGGGTAGGTCAATTGTCGTGAATGGAATTTTGGAAACCTCTGGGTATTGCGTTAATGCTGACATGAACGTTCCGCTTGCTGCGTAGGGCGACTGTCCCATGTTGCCTACAAAACTTGCAGCAGAAGACAGATTAATAAAGAAGTCCAAGTTCTCATTTTTCGTGTTGTTCAACGTGCGCTGTAGGTTCCAAATACCGTGCACCCGAGGCCTCATAACAGTTGCATAATCATCGAAGCTAATTTTTTCAAATAGAGTGTCCTAAAAACTGGTTAGTGATGTCTTTAACAAAGGGACTGGATTACACTTACTCTCAGAACCATTGCTCCAAATATCACCCCGCGCACTGGAGGCATGCGAGATAATAGCGGAGTCAAGTTCTTATCGACACTTTCCTTGTCTGAAATATCACTGCGACAAATTTCCACTGTGACTCCCTCATTCATAAGAGTTTGAACGATTCTCTGAGAAAATTCAGTTCCAGCACCACTTCTGGAGATAAGGACAAGATGCCGTGCCCCTTTTTGTGGCATCCAGCTGGCAATATCGAGACCAATACCACTCGTCCCTCCGACGATGATATACGTTGCGTTTTCTTCGAGAAGGGACTCATCCTTTCTTGCTGGGTGAACCTAGATATCATTTTTAGCAGATACCCATGGATCCTGTGATTATAGTGAATGTACCTTGACCATGGCATTGTCTGTCATTTGAACAACAATCTTTCCAATGACCTGACCACCTTGCAATGCGCGGAAGCCGTTCTCGACATCCGAGATTGGAAGAGATGTGACAGTCCAACGATTTTGCGCGTTGGAGTCGATAAATAGCTGGAACGAGTCACGGAGCAATCGTCTTGTCAATTTTGGACGCTTTTCCCGGACCATGCCCAGGTCCACCGATGAAAATGACACATTCTGGTTAAAATGGGACATTTCAAGGCCAGAGTTTTGCGTAATGTCACGCTTTCCAAGTTCGATAAATCTTCCAAAAGGGGCAACACATTCAAATGTCGCCTGAAGAGCGTCACCGCTCAAGGAGTTCAGGGCAACATCTACACCCTCACCATCCGTGGCTTCCATGATGCCTTTGGCAAAAGAAGTGTCACGACTAAAGAAAAGCTGGTCGTCATTCAGCCCGTAGGTTTCCATCAAGAACTTCTTCTTTTCTGAACTTCCAACCGTGGCGAATATCTTTGCCCCAACCTTCTGCGCGATGATTATGGCAGCTTGTCCGACACCGCCTGCTGCCGCGTGGATCAGAACAGTCTCATCGCGGCTCAATCGACCCAGGTCGATTAGTGAATAATAGGCGGTGCAGAATACAGCAGGAATGGATGCGGCAATCTCAAAGGACATACTATCGGGGATTATCCAGGCACACGACGCCGAACAGCGAGTAAAGGTTGACAGCGACCCGGGAGACATAGCACAGACCCGATCTCCGGTTGCAAAGTTATATACTGCAGCGCCAACACGGGTAACAATTCCACTGCACTCTTGGCCAAGCTTATCACCACGAAGTTGACCCATTGCCATGAGCACGTCTCTGAAATTGAGGCCCGTGCAGGAAACTCGGATCTCGATATAATCCTCGGGTAGAGTATCATTATAGGAAGAATCGTCCGTGAAATATAACTCATCAAGCACCCGACTATCTCCTGTGGTGAGCTTCAATGCACGGGTCTGCTTGAACAGTTGCATTTGTGGTGGCGCATCATCCGAAGTCTCTAGTTGGACACTTCGATTGAGGACATGGTTATCAATCAAACGAGGAACAGAGACATATCCATCGCGAATGACAAATTCCATATCGCCATCCGTGAGCACAGATTTCCGACAAAAGACTCTGTCGAAGACCTTGAGCATTTGAGCCACAGCTTCAGCATCAGAAATGCCCTCTTTAGCACCCAAATCTAGCGTAGCAAATTGCAGCCCAGTTTCTGATCGAACGGTGCGCGCTAGGCCAATAACCATGTTGGCCCCCAGAGAATGAGGATCAGATTTGGTGTGTCGGACCGGCCACAGAAGCCCTCTTGTTTGACTGACCAGCTTTTGGATCTCTTGAAACCTCTCTGGTGTGAGACTTGAAAGCACAGACTGATCCATGCCTTCCAGGAAGACACACCATTTTCCAGACAAATCAGTGTTGTCCATTTCTGTCATAGTCACAGGAGCAACACCGGTCATTTCTTTCAAGCCCGATTCAAGACTGAGGAGGGACAGACTACCAAGGATTTCCGTCCCAATGATGACAATATCTCCGGGGCTTGTTGGGCCCACTTTGGTGGCGTTTGCAGTGGTGATCATCAAGCAACCTGCCTGGTGGACAGCACCAGGAAACTCTTCAAGGCATATGTCAATCCCAGAGAAACCGTTGCTATTCATCACATCATTCCATCCGTTTTTGGTAAGGAGAGGTCCCTCTTTTCGAATCGTATCATTTGCCAGCCACCAACCAGGTAGCAGCGCGAATGGGAAATGTCTTGGTCGAGGGTTGGTCTCTTCGATAAGCATGAGTTTGCCACCGGGGGTTAAAAGAGATCGAATGTTTTTCATGGTTTGGTTGATGTCAGAGGTGGCATGGAGAACATTGCACGCAATAACCAGGTCAAAGCTACCGGCTATACATCCCTGGGCAGTTGGATCAGTTGAAATATCGAGAGTCTGGTACTTCATCAAATGACCCCAGCTGGCAAATTTGGCCTTCGCCTTCTCAAAGAAACCTGGAGAAATATCGGTATACGTATAGTGGGAAAAACGCGGCGTTGACCCTGCTTCATGCCCACCCAGGCTTTGAAGAATCGGCAAGGTAGCTCCCCCAGTTCCTGCTCCAATTTCAAGTATGTTCATCTCAGGGAATTGGTGGGCCATTTTGTCAATACAAATGGAGGCGTTTGCGTATGATTCACGCACGCTATCAACATGTTCATAGTACTTGCTAAGCATATCGTCCTCGAGCAAGACCGTCAAAGCATCAACCTTTCCTCTGAGTATGTCGGGGAGAAGCTTGCCAACGGCACAAGTCAATTCACCAGCGCCAGTGAAACGCCTTGTCCGTTCAATTATTTCCGGATTTAGATCATCTGTCGTGATGGAGCTTTGGCAGGTGCGTTGGGCCCAGCGATAAAACTGTTGGTGATGAGGCTCGAAGGTTGAGATCTCCTCTTCGGGAACAGAGCGGAGTACCTGACGCAGGTAATGCTCTGCTACCGAGTCCACCATGTGCATTCTTTCATCCCCTCGACCATCTCCAGTTTCAATGCGTGGAAGTTGACGATACATCTCCTCTGATAGAAAGTCAAAGCAGGGTTCCCAGTGAAGCTTATAGCAGATGGGGTCAGGAGCATTTTCCTTGTGTCCTTTGATGTCATTAGAGACGGGCACCAAAGTCATTCCATGAAGCTCAATTACCAAACGATCAGCCCTCTCTGGAAGGGTTGCAAGAATGGAATTGCTCTCAGGGTTACTCGCGGACTCGAAACCTGACATGTACCCCGAAATTTCCATTTTGGTGCCAGTGGTGAAGCTCTCATCTAGGGATACGGAGAGCCTCTTAACATGCGAAGGTACGTAGGTTGTCTTAATTCCGGGCTGCCCATAGCCTTGAAGAACCCACATTACCTGGCAGAAAATGTCAAGGGTCGAAGGGTGAAGAATATGTCCAGTCTCGTACTCTTGCGGCATGCAAGTCTTGGTGTTAGGTATGCAAAAGCTGGCATTTGCTTGCTTATTTGGGCCTACCGTGATATCAGAGAGACCCTGGAAAAGAGGACCGTAATCCACACCCCCGGCGGCAATATTCTCATAAAGTGCTTTGCTGTCAACAGGTCTGATACATGCATCGCGGTTGGCTTTTACTCTCCGTGCAATGCTTTGATCGATCGCAATGCGTTGCCGGATTCCATCGACGGGATTCACTTCTTTAGACTCTTCTATCATCACGAAGCCCTTACAATGCTGATCCCATGATCGGCCTTCGGCCCAAGAGAAGATGCGGAACTCATGCCAGCCGAGTATCGATCTTCCCGGAGCCTCACTTCGACAAGGTCTTAGACTGAGCATAGTCTCTATTCCAGAGTTTTCAGGGATTGTGAGAACACGGTCGATATGAATATCGCGAAGTTCAATTCGCGCAGGAGCCAGATGATGCAATTGCGCCTGTTGTGATATCGCTTCCATTGCCATGGCTATGAATCCGGTCATAGGATAGATAGTAGTCCCATGAACCCGGTGTTGACGGACCCATGGTTGGTCATCTGCGCGAATTATGTTCCTCCATCGAGGCTCTAGGTCCATATTTTCCATGCACAGCGAACCGAGCAAGTCATTGCGCGGGAATTGCCGGTGAAACAGATTGTCACATAATCTTGAACTGAACCAATACTTCTCTGAATGATTCCATGGATAAGAAGGTAGGTTTATGAGGACGTTGGGTTTTCTCTTCGTTATGACCATGTTAGGGAAATTGATTGCTTGAAAATTGAGCGTCGTCATGCCTTGCATGAACAATGACGCTGCGAGCTGCTGAACAGCCTCAATCGCATCAAGCTTTCTATTGAGAGTATGACCGAATTGAAGCGCTCTATCAGGAGCATGCAATCGGGCAATATCCTTCACAGGTGTCTGGAGGGCAGGATGAGGCCCAATCTCAACCAAAGTATTAATCTGTTCGTTCGATATCTCAGCATTGAGAAGACTTTGAACACCTTTGACGAATTCCACTCGTGATACAAGATTAGCGACCCAGTATGAAGCATCAAGTGAACTCCCAGTGACTTGCTTCCCGCGCACTGTAGAGTGGAACGGAATCTCCGAATTTCGAGGTGCGATCTCCCCAAGAAGCGACTGATACTGTTCTGCGACCTTCATCATGTGGTGGGAATGGTACGCAACATCGACATGAAGTTGTCGAGTAAAGATTCCTTCCTTGTCGAGAGCCATTTGAAGGTCGCTGATGACATCTCGGTCTCCAGAAAGAGTCACGCTGGAGCCGCTGTTCACACAGGCGATCACAGCCCGTTGGCCACGTATCGCATTCAAGATTTGTTGGATTTCGCCTGCACTCGCACCGACCGCCAGCATAGCCCCTTGCACCGTCTCATCCTTTGCTAGCATATTTGCGGCCACGCCACGGTAGTAGGCGATCCGGACACATTCCTCGACAGATAAAATCCCCGCAGCATATGCCGCAGCGATCTCTCCACTGGAATGACCAACAACAGCTTTGGGGTGAATATTCCACGACGACAAAAGATCCACAAGTGCAAGTTGAATGCCTGTACAGGCCGGTTGACTCATGTAGGCCGCAGACATAGAGCCCTTTTGGGGATCAGTTAGTCGTATTTCATCTGCGACCTTGAGTTAGAAAGTCTCGACTGAGAAGCCCTGGCTGGGAGTAAATTGGATGCATACCGATGATCGAGAACGCAGCTCCGAGGGATTTCAAACAGCTATCGACAGCTCTCATAGTCGCATTGAAGATTGGGTAGGTGTCCAGAAGCTCTTTTCCCATGCCTTGCCATTGAGCCCCCTGTCCGGTGAATACAAATCCAATTGATGGCTCCCGTGAAGATCGAACGGGGTCCGCGTTGTTGTAAAAGGCAGCGATCAAGTCATGATGAGAGGGGGAAGTAGCAGCTAGACGCCAGGGGAAAAAGCTTCTTCGTTCCCCAAGGGTATAGGCCAATTTGTCCATTAATGTGTCGGCAAACATGGGCGGATGGAGGTCAAGGTAAGCCCCGACTCCTTTCGCCATCTGGACTACAGCTTGCTTGTCATAGCCTGATACAACGTAGAGCTTTCGGGTCAAAGGATCCTTGTTGTCAGTGCCTTCACCCTCATGTCTAGGCCCACGCTCCATGATAATGTGAGCATTGGTTCCGCCGAACCCGAAATTATTCACACTGGCATATAATTGACCCCGAGGCCAAGCCTGCAACTTCCTTGGTATCTTTGACATAAGGTTGGTCAGCTAAACAGGTATCTGATTTGGGATCTTGTATTATAAACTCACCTTCATGTTCCATTTCTCCATAGGTATCTCGGCATTGGCTGTCTCGAAATTGCAATTCGGCAACACAAATCCTCGTTCAAGCATCAATGCTGTCTTGATTACCGAGACAAGCCCGCTTGAACCTTCCAAATGCCCGATATTGGACTTAACAGAGCCCACAAGTAGCGGCTGCCGTGAAGTCCTGCCTTTCCCAAACACTGCGTTCAGGGCGGTCGCCTCAATAGGATCCCCAACCTTTGTTCCTGTTCCATGCGCTTCAACATAGCCAACTAGGGAAGGGTCTATTCTTGCTGATTTGTAGACTTGGCGAATTAAAGCTTCCTGAGCTGCACCACTCGGCATCGAGATACCTCTCGTCCGGCCATCCTGATTGACTCCGCTATTCACGATCACAGATCTGATAGCATCGTTTGCAGCTTCCGCATCCTCCAAGGACTTCAAAATGATACACGCCGCACCTTCACCGCGGCCAAAACCTGTTCCTCTCGAGTCGAATGCGTATGACTTGCCTGATTCTGCCAACAACCTGCAACATCAATAGCATTAGCGTCATCCAATCCTTGCTCCGTTCTCTTGCCCGCTCTTACCTAGCCCGTGTCATGGAGATGAATGACTCTGGGATCAGATTCAGATGGCACCCTGCCACAATTGCAATTGAACACTCTCCGTTTTTGATGCTTTGGCTTGCAAGATGAAGAGCCGTCAAGCTAGATGAGCACGCTGTGTCGATCGTGAGACTTGGCCCATGAAGATCGAAGTAATATGATATGCGATTTGACTGCAGCGCAGTCGCGGTTCCTGTTGCTGCATACATTGCGGCGGCTTCCATGTCGCGTGTATTGTTGAGCTCGTAGTCGGCAAATGACGAGCCGACAAATACTCCCACGTCCGTCCCGGCAATCGATCGATTTGAGATGCCGGCATTTTCCAGCGCTTCGTAGGTACATTCGAGGAGTATCCGCTGTTGTGGATCGAGTGTGCGCGCTTCTTGAAGCGTAATATTAAAGAATGGCGCATCGAAGAGTCCGACATCCTCCTGCAAAAAGTGCGCGCCCGCCGGGTTCAGCGAACCAGCTCGGTCCGGATTAGGGTGGTAGAAGCCATCGGCGTTGAATCGTTCTTTCGGGATCGGAGACCAGGCACTTCGTCCTCTGGAGCAGAGATCCCAGAATTCATCGGCGGTCGTCACTTGTCCCGGTAGACGACAAGCCATACCGATAATGGCCATTTTCTTGGGAGGATCTCCCGAGGCATCCTCGCCCTCGCTCACCCCGTTGGTGCCATTGATAACTGGCGTACCAGACCCAGAGGGTGGCTGAAGATGCATTCTCTAGAGAATGCGCTTGCAGCCGGCTGTCCAAGAATCAAATTTGTACACCAATATAGATGCCGACATCAGCATCCGACAAGAGTCACAAGAAGAAAAAGAATGCGCCGGTGTAAATGGTAAAAATGGATATATAGTGGAAGTATGTTCACTGATCAACCGTCGAAGAAGCTTGGTATAATCGCCAACAGGACGACGGAAGGACAAAAGAGCGATCAAGATCACGCTTGTTTTGGAATGGAAGAATGCCCTTGCATAACAACCAACTTCGCGATTGCCGATCTTTCTCAGTGGCAAGCTCTTTTCACAAGGGAGCAGGGAATTACTTCTAATTAGAGGCCCATGCCGTTTTGCTTGGTCACGCAACTCAATAGAGGAACCGACACAAAGAGAGACAGAACTGAAGGAGTGCAGTGCATCAGTCGCGAGGTCCCACAGGGTGAGTCTAGTACCGTAGATCAGATCAGACGATCTCGTCGTGTAGCCCGACTCTCTCCCCCATATTCCTAGAGCTTGACCCGTTTTAGTGAAACAGATCCTGATGGTACTTCAGAGCCGCCCTTGCTAAAGTGAGGGCCTCCACATTCCAGCGCAGGGGCAAATTTCTTTCCGGCCCTCGCAAGGGATTCCAGGTGGCATTATTGTCCGGCGAATTTCGCGCGTCAGTCGTTTGCTCTGGAGATTCAGAGGATATTGTATTTTAAATCTGGCTTGCCATTTTCCTTCTTCATTGATCAGCTGTTAAACGAGTTAGACCGAGCGGTTCTAGGCATTCAGAAAAGAAAAACGCCGCAATGAAGTTTCTATGCTTACCCGGGGGCTTTTGCACTGCAAAGGTATTGAATCATTCGGTCATACCCTAACTGTGGATGAACCACGGCTAACTATTTGAAATCCTGCAGGCTTTCCAAACTCAACTCGGTAAGTCCAACTAGTTGTCCGGCAAGCACGATCCATGGGGAAGATGCAAATGTTAACGGCAACGCCCGTTGTGGGTCTCCAGGGCCATTCTGCGACGCTCTGAAGTCAACTGGAGACGCTAGTTTTTTCTTCACACAGGGAACGAATCGAGTTCACTTGCCACAGGAATATGGGGGGTTTTTCGGGCCACCACCCCATTATACCTTCTTGGAAGTCGATAACCCGGAATCCATCAAGTTCAATCTATGCGACTTCCCTAAGCGCAACACCCCGGAGGCATCAATGAGATCCGCTTTAGACATGGCCAATCAGCCCACCTTCTCCAGCATTCGGGCCGCCTTGGAGCGATTGATTGACATTTTAGACAGTGAGGGTGATATCGAGGGGATCATCGGCTATTCCGAGGGTGCCAAGGTAGCCGCCTCGTTGCTCATGGAAGAAGAAAAGAGACGAAAAGCGACTGGTCGGATACCTCGCCTCAAATACGCCATCTTCGTCTGCGGATGGCCGCCAATGGACACGGTTACCGGTGCGCATCTGCTCATTGATGATATCGCCGACGATGAGATTATCAACATTCCCACATGCCACGTTGTGGGTGCCGCCGACCCGTTCATCGATGCGTCAATGGCGTTGTACAATATGTGCGATCCCGACACCGCAGATCTCTTCGATCACGGCGGCGGTCATGTCGTTCCCCGGGGAAAGCGAGCGGTCGATGATCTGGCAGTTATTGTCCGAGGTATTATCGAGTCTATCACAGTCTAAATCCGTATAGCATCGAGCATAGTTCATTGGTTTATGGTCTTCCCACCTACTTCCAGAACTCGGGGATCACAGAGTCATATGATAGCTTCAGGAAAGTAATACTTCAACTAGTCTAGACACTATTAGACGATTAGAAGAATGCTCATCAAGCAAAATAGTTCGACTCATTCCGTTCATGTTTCATCGAGCCACTGAAGCAACATCGATCTCTGTCTACTCTAACAGAGGTCGGGTCTCCTCACCCTCATCTGGTCCCTCTTCAATCACACCTTGTCTCCGACACTGACCCTGCTTCTGTGCCTGATTTGGTCGGATTTGATGAGCCAATGAGACAAGCCATCTGCAATGAAACAAGCCACCCCATGCCGACCCCTGTCCTCGGTCATCTAAGCGCTCATACTCCGCCTCCTTCCAACGGCATCGTACGCCTTGCGCAATGTAAACAACGCCAGAGCCGACGGCAATTGCCGCCAGTGTTCCCAAGATAGCCACTGCAATAGATAGGACAGTCAACGTGCTAGCATTACATCCAAATGGTAATGCACGGAGCTCCCATCTCTCTTTTGGGCCCAGTGGGCAGATCTGAGCAGAACCGAGTGGTGCTAAAATAGGCAGCCGTGCAGGATTTGGGACACAAGTAGCAGACTACCATCCCAAGTCAGCAATCCGTAGGGGCAAAAAAACGGCGCAATATTAATAGAAGGACGACACCAAGGACGTGGTATAACATGACACGTCAAGCCAGGCTCCAAATCAGATCCTAGCCAGAAAGAGCCCAGGGGACGAGCTTGAGACGCCCTCATTCCATCGGAAAGCATGCAAGGGGGTCCCACTGAAATCCTCCCATGGACCGTTGAAAATCACAGGCAACAAAGAGGCGAAACGGCAGGTCATAGGCCCAATACAGAGACGGAGAGTGACGCCGCTCTAGCGTGTCGCGCATTTTCCCGATCAAAAACATGAAATAAACAGTGTAACCTACTATTGCGCACCAGCTGCACGCGACATCACCCGCCAGGCATTGTGAGCACGACTGGCGGCGCCAGCAGACGTGGAACAACAAGTCTTCCAATGTGCTCAAGGGATTGTTGCCAGGGTGCCCTTTCTCTCGCAAATCGTCGAAGGCCATGGTAGGAGCGAGAGAAGATGGAGAAGAGAAGGGAGGAATTATTGCTCAAGCAACGTCATGTAAGGTGTCACGCAGTCAGGAACAGTAGGCCGCGTTTTCAAGACGATGTCGATCAACAACCACGCTCCTTACGTCGGAAGGAGTTAAAACAACCCACCAAGCAGAATCGCTTTTAATTGTGACGGGGGAGAAGAGGAGTAATCCGAACACGACGGACTATCGGTGTTGGAGTGCGGGGCAGGGCGATAGGAGTATAGAACCCTGGACAGGCTGAGCAGTGCCCTGGGTCCATCCGACCAGGGCAAAGGGCAAACAAGGATGTGTGTTCTCCTTTGGGGGGCTGGTGTCGTAAGGATTGTGCAATTTCCGAGGATTCAGTGCCTTTTGGCATGAGCCGCTCTTGTGTTTCTCAAAGCTGGCTGGACTAAGTAATCGAGTCTGCGGGATTCGTTTGGTCTCAAGGAATCGTTGCTGGCACCTGGTGTTTTGCCTAGTATTCCACTCAGTCCCTTTTCTTCGTACATTTCTACTTTTCCGCACACATTTCTAGTCCCATTAGGATCTACACTTTCCGTCCATATAGATTCAATGACCAGCAGCAATTTCCATTGGGTCTAATCGGCTAGATCGCGGAGGGGTGGTACAGGTATATTAAAGGCTATCAAAGGATGTTTGCATGACACAGTGTCGTGAGATAGAAGAAAAATAAAGAGGCATGAAGTACCACTGGTGATCAGCGGCATGCAAAGAAATCCAATGTCTCGTCGTAGACCCAAACTCCTCGAGACCGCATCCACGTTCAACGTCGCATGTTTCTTATTTGCGGAAAAGGTGACGGGTATAGCAGGCATTTAAACAACACGCTTGACCTAGATGTATCGACGCAGATTAGTCGCCTTTTCCACCAATTCCAACGTCGAACCTGCCATTGCTCGCCATCGGAGACAGGATATCTTACCTCAAAGAATCGCTTGAGCCACCACACTTGAAAGATACCCTCGCCGATCACCACAGCCAGTTGAAAGATACTCCACCACTTCACGCGACCGTTGGTGCTCTCTGCGGTGTTCCGGTGAACCCGCTCGCGGACCACAATGTACGACTGCTCGTCACGAACTTGCGCGAGAGCATCGGACAGTTTGCGAACTAACAGAATACCAAGGATCAGCCCACGGTCCTTCCATACAATATCCATTCGTTGCATTCTTGCTCTATCGTGTTCTTACCTTCCGCCTCCAAGGGATCCTGCGACATCTCCGACTCCGGTACGTAGACGATGCCATGGACGTTGAAGGAGACTTCCTTCGAGTTCGAAGTCCAGCCTTCATTGCTGAAGCAGTAGGTGTATTTGCCGTCGCTGTGCGCAGTAAACGAATAATCTTCGTTGGAGATGGCTTGCTTGTAGTACTGTCGGTTGCGGAGAGGGTCCTCGACCTGCATTGAATATGACAAGTTAGCCGCCGATATCGTTCGATATTTCTTTCAATGGCTCAATTTTGCAATGCGTATGCAGTCGTCGTGGCCATCTGGGCTCGATGCCACCAACACCGGGGAACTCGCGACCTGCATTGGCCAAGCGAACCTACCCAGAAATCAATCTCGAGGTTCCCGCTGCCTCCGAACTCCCGATCGCCAACCTGGAAAGTGACAGTCATCAAATCATCCTTGTGTAGGCTCTCGTGAAAGCATTCCCGTGAGTGAGACTTGAGCTGGATGGAGTGTGCGGTCGTGGCGGAGATCCACCCCAGCGCGGTAACTAAGAGAGTGGTAGCGGAGAAACGCATGTTGGAGATTTTGAGCCAGACTCCTTCGACTGAGGGCGGCCTGATCGAAGGGAAGGAGTTGGAGAGCTGGTGGTGATGGACGGGCAGCTGGTTTGCGGTCGAGAACGCGCAAGGTGTCAATTGGAGACGCTCGGACCACCTCCGTAAACAGCGCTTCTCGCCGCGGAGGTTTTGTGCCCCGAAGACAGTGCATCAAGTAATGAGATTGTAGATAACTTTTTCCTGTTCCTGGCCTATAGCAGCTTTCGTTGCAAATTGATAGATATATCTGATCGTTGGCAAGCAGCTCCGAAAATGATACAGGTATGATCTCCTTCATAAACATATATTTCTGCATGCAAACATCAACTACAAACCCCACAATGCTCCTCCTTCAAGTGATAGCTCTGGCGATTTCCCTGTCAATTTGTTCAAGCTTTATCATATTTTTCATGCCCACGGACTGCTCATAAGTAGGCACGTGAAGAATTGATCAAATTAGACTTGATTCACTATGCTTTTTACAAGAAGGCTGGGGGACCCGCTAAGCCGGTTTGCTGCTTTCAAATTCAGGATTCCTTATTTATTAAGTCTAGAGAAAACCATAATACACAGTATATACATGTACGGGGAGAATCCGAGCAATCTGATTTGAGCTGATCGCTTATCATCTGTGTCTTGGACGGCATATGATCTTGCATGGAGGCACTGGGCTCTGTAAGCAGTAGAGAGGTCGCTTCGACTGTCCTGCTGGTTTGTCTTTCAATGGATCCTACCAGATGTCCCAAAATTTGGAACATAGCAATGGAATTTGATCGAACCCCCCAAAATAGGTAGGCGATAGACAACACTACCTTGTAGTGGTGGCGACTGACCCGAAGCGGCCCACACCGTTAGTAACTTTCTAATGAACCGAACCTGAGAAGTGACTATGTAGCAGTACCCCAACAGCATCACGGAAGGAAACCGCTCGCATGCTTGACAATAAAAAATCCACCATTGGAAGGTCCCAGGATCTGAATGTTGATCATCGTTCTCGCACCGCTTCTAGGCCCCCTCAGCTCCAAATATTACCTGCATCGGTGCTAGGACCACAGCCTATCCCCCCACAATGACACTTTGAGCCCCAGCTTAGGGATACCGCGGCTACGGCGGCAAGCAAATAATATCTATCCAGCCACTGAAAGCAGTCAAGAGCTTCATTCCCATCCTTCGAATGACTAAGAGATTTGTTGGGAAAGGTGAAAAACATTGGTCCGTCGTTCGATGACCGGATGAGCTATGAAATGCCGCTTTGATCTCTTTTTTCTCCTCTTCATAAGGCCCAATGAAGGGGTATAGTGCTTTGAAACCGGACTAATGTCTATTTTCTGGCGCCAGTATATCCTCTTCAAGTGCCCAGCTTGGTTTGAAATGTGACAGTGGAAATACTATGATCGCCTAATTTTGACCTAAGTGGAGTTTCTATTGACGAGCGACATTCTAGATCATACCTGTCTTCTGCAAAAAGGCTTCTCGGATGCGGACCAATTCTTAGTTGAAACCATATAAAACACAGTGAAATGTCCCTGGAAATAAGAGAAAATATAGTGAACCTTTTTCTATCCTTCTCCCTCCGTTTGCTCACAGATCACTGGATGTGGTCGACTTGATGCTCGAATGTCTTTTTCTACCACGAAGTACGCCTTTCTCTTCTCTTTTGCTGCAAAAGTTGATCAGCTATCGAGAATCCCCGAAATATCCCCACAAAATGCCTCTCATATGTTGTCCTTCTCACCCGAAAACACATTTTCCCGCTCACTCGTCGAGTCGGAATCGGAATTGCTATTTGGAATCCAGGATGGGCTTCTCAGCCTGATGGATAGAATATCTTGTCTTCATGTGAATATGCAAAAAAATGGATATTTGGATGCCGAGTCTGTTCCAGAGGCTCTAGCTATCTGGGACAAGCTCGACAACCTACATCCACCAGAGCTTGTTGAGTCATCGAGTTATCTTTCTCTCCATGCCTCTTGTGTCGCAGCTCTTTTTGTCTGGCTCTATCTTTTGATTCATCCGGAAGATATCAGGGATGAAAAGATACAAGCAACCGTATATAGTGGTCTTGTAAATGCGGAGAATACTCATGACCCTGAGTTGACCCCGTTTCTTCTGATCCCTAGTTTTTGTCTTGGCCTAGCCAGCGTCCGACAGGAGGACAGAGATTCGGCAAGTGGCATCCTGGGGAATATTGAGGAGTCAAATGTTTCGTTAGATGTCCAACATTACCGAAATCTTCTTGAATGGTGTTGGAGGAGGCAAGATCAAGGCATTGAAAGAAGCTGGGATTGGTGCCAATATTATCAGCAAGACTGAAATCTGACATGGATGATAACCATAATTTTCTATAGCAACCAGCCGGGCCTAAGTCTCGTTTAATAGAGTAGAGATCTATCATCCAAATGCTCATCCACCGTAGACCCGAATGCCCTGATCATGCCAGAAAAAAGGTGTAACTTTGTTTTTCTTTCTGTGGGGGGTTAATCCGATCAAACCGAGCTAAAACGAATGTTCACTCCATAGGACGAAACTAGCTCAGGCGAGATGAGAAACCAAAGTAGACAAGAATAATTGCTTCGCTATCAACAGGCTTTCCAAGAGGCATAAAAACAATAATCTCATTCAATGAAACAAGTTGAGATCCAAGATCAATCGACCTATAGTTTACAGCGAATGTCTAAAACAGAGGGGCATATATAACAAGCAATATTTATAATGTAAAACAATGGGGAAAAGAGTGGCAGCTTAGCTATTAATATGTAAGTGTAACGATGGGACATGAAGTGTAGATAAAGTGTAGTGTCAATGTACAATGTAGTCACAATAGGAAGTTGAGAAAGAAAATTGCCGAAAAAGGCGGCAGAAGAAACATGGGTGGTATCAAATCCGAAAGGACGTCAAAAAAATCACAGATCTGGAGTCGAATAGAAGACAATATGTATGGGAGCATGAAAGAGTGGCAGTTGAGGGCTGGTAAGGTTTGGATACAAAGTGGGAGGGTGAATGTAGGTATTGGAAATGGCGCTGTTAACATGTAGAAAAATCAACAAAGCGAAAAGGCGTTAAGTCAGGATCACGCAGATCGGAGTTTTTCACGATTGATACTCAAATATAATCTCATTTTCGGGATGAAAACGAAGATTGCGCGAGCAAGACGGGGACATAAATTTTTTTTCAAAACCAATTTAAGGAAAAACCGGAAGGGAGAATGGAATGCGACGAAAAGACAGGTCACTCCACTACTCCTTCCTCGATTGCCTCTGCTACGGCAGCAATCTGGGGGCCGAATGGGCCTTCGTCGGCAGCGTCCTTAGGTGACGCGGAGACCATGCCGTCGACAGTAGATTCAATGTCATCAGCGGTGAAGCCACCATCCTCATAGTTCGCGGGCTCAGCATCGTGATCGTAGCTCGAGCGACGAAGGAGTGGAGGAGTCTTGGGTGCCTCAGCGATGGGCGCTTCCTGACGAACCGAGCCCCGGCGAGGCGTCGAGGTGAGTCCTCTGAGCGGTCGACTTTCAGAGTACGAGCGAATCGGGGCAGCCCCCAGGGGTGCATTCTGTCGGACGTGGGAGCTCGGGGGTGTTAGGAGGCCCGACAAGAAAGTTCCCGCGTTGCTCGACTTGGATGGAGTCTGCTCCGCACTTCCTGCGCCACTGTCACGGCCCTTTCGCCAATTGCCCCAAGCTGCCGCTGCTGCCAAGGGGAGCGAGCGCGGAGATGCAGCGAGATCAGAAATCGATGGGAGCGAGGGCCGACCGTTACCGGATACGGCGCGTTCCCGCTCTTGTTGTTGCATTTGCAGGTTGGCTTTCAGGCGAATAGCTGCATCACGGACAGCATGCTTGTTGAACGTAGGTTGTGAGAGAGTTTTGATGATATCCTGCAAATCATCGATACGCACTCCTAGGAGCTCGCGGAGCCAATTGATCTCACTGTCCCGTTCCTTAATCTTGTTAGGAGCATCCTTGTCCACAGACGTAACCTCCTGCTCAAGCTCTTCAATGCGAGTCTCGCGCTGCTGGAGCTGGTCTTGAAGGACTAGAATTGACTCCCGGAGAGCCTGTGGAGAAATCTTCTCAGGCTCTTGGGATCCCTTGCTGAAGGACATGGACGGCGAAGTCGCGTGTGTCGCTGGTGCTGGGACCTGGAACATGCCAGGGCCTGCTTTGGCAGTTTGGGCTGCTTCGGCAGCAGCTCGGGCGGCCGACTGCGCTATCTCGAGCTTCTCTTCCAGGTGCTGTACACGATCCTGCAGGTGCTTAGCCTTGTCATCGGATAGTGCCAGGCGGTCCAGCATGTGAGCCTCGCCACGCTGACGATCTTCGGACGAGTTGTGCAGGGCACGGGCGTGACGCTCGCGGAGATCATTGAGGACGCGCTCGTGAGTCTTACGCTGGTCTTCGAGAGCAACCTCACGGGACTCCTTGGCGGCGGCGAGGGAAGTGGCCTTGGACTCATTGGCTTCCTCGAGGAGCAGCTCATACCGCTCACGGGAAGTATCGGCATCCATGCGGACGTTGTCCAATTGACTTTGGAGACGAATGATTTGGGCTTCCAGTTCGGCACGGACGATGTTGACCTGGCTGTTAGAAGCCTCAAGATCAGCCTCCATCGAGGTACGGGTCCGTTGAATTTCCATGCGGCTGCTCTCACGAGCCTCGTTGAATTCACGTTCAAAGCGGGCAGCCTTGAGCTGCAACTCATGGTTTTCAGCACGGAGGTTGGAAATGGTGTCCTCAAGCCTGGCATTCTCTTGCTGGGATTGTTCGTGGATAAACTTGATCTTCGCAGCCTCCTTCTCCTGTTTCTCAAATTCGGCCACTTCCAACTCAAGCTGTTCGCGTAGCTTAATCTCGCGGTTATTGGAGGCACGCAGTTCGTTGTACTTGGCAGCCTGCTCCTCTTCCCTTCGGCGCCAGGTAGCCTGCTCGCGTGTGACATCGCTGGTGACAGTCACCATATCGGCCTGAAGGCGGTCGAATTTCTCCGTGAGATTCTGTCGAGCAGCCATGCTGTCTTCAATGCGGGTCCTAAGATGGTCAACGGTCTCGTGGAGAGACTTGTTCTCGCTTGAGACAGTTTCCAATTGACGACGGAGATGGTCGCTTGAAACGCGGTGCTCGTCTAAGGTTCCCTCAAGAGCAATGTTCTTCGAGGACAACTCGGCAAGGGTAACCTTGAGTGTTTCATTCTCCTCATCGAGAGCATTGGTTCTGAATTGCATCTTCTCGAGGTGAGGAATCTTTTCTTCCTTGAATTGAAGGAAACGGGCTTCGGCGTTCTCGGCAGCAGCCATGTGTCGCGCCGCATCATCCTCCGCCAGCTTGAGCAAACGCTGGAGCTCAGATATAGAGTCAGTAGCGTCCCGACGCTGCTTATACTCAGACTCTGCCCGCTCGTCAGCGAGGCGCAACATGCTCTTCAGGCCATCAATCTGCAGCATTAAGCTGTCGGCACCGATCTCATCCGCCTCCGATAAACGCGGGGTCTGCTGTGCCAATTGCCTGGTAAGTGTTTCTTCGAGAATCTCACGCATATCACCAACAGGATCCTGGGCAAGCTTCTTGATCGTTAAAGCCTGAAGTTCGGCGATACTCTCTTTCAGCTGGGCCATTTCACTGTGACTCGAATGCTGGTTACCGCGGTTGGGCAAGTCGTGTGTGACCAAAGCTTCCATCACGACACTCTTCAGCATGTCTAGCTTACGATCCCGCATGTGGGCAGGTGATCGGTCGCGAACAGATCTCTCATGGTCCTCGCCATCGTCCTCATCATCTGCGTCGCTGTCATCAATTTCAGACGGACTGTGGAAAGCCCGTCTGCTGGCGGTGCCAGAAGCAATAGATGCCACAGAGGTCTGGATGACAGCCAAAGCACGTTCCATGGGGCCCAGTCGGTCGTCAATCGCAGAGCCAACGAGATCATTGATGCGACGGTCGAAGAATCGGTTACGATTGAAAAACTTTTCATCTTCCCCGGATGAGATCATATCATCCCAATCGCTGACATGGTCGTTCTCTGTGATCAGCTGACGAACAGGTGACTGAATTCGAGATATAAGGCTCTTCTGGGGCGAGAATGTAGCATTACTGTTGGCGTCGATATCGGACCCAAGTCTGGGAATGTCGAGTTTATAAGTCTTCTGGCCGCCGCCAGGACTTGGGCTGGGCGCTTCGCTTCTAGCCTCAACGGAGCCAAACCGTTGTTCCTTCGTGGGAGCGGAGCTCGTAATAAATTGCGGAGGAAGGGGAGTGTGCTGTCGCTCAATGCCCACATCCGAGTCATCGTTGAGTTGCTCCATGATGGCGTTGAGCTCCTCGTCATCGGGTGATTCTTCCGCAGATTCTTGCCAGCGCGACAAGTCCGCTTGAGGAACAAAGTGCTGTGGGGTTTGTTCTTGCACGCTCTTCTCGACAGAAGCTGGTTCGGGTTTGGGCGGGCTGGCCATTGCAAAGCGAGAAGCCATGAGACCAGACCTCCTCGTCTCCACCGGTTTCGGTTCTGTGGACTCAACCTTAGGAGGGTCTGACTCCCCGAAGCTAGAGGGTGGCAGACTGGCTGGAACAAACTCGGAAACAGCAGGTTTGAACTCGAACGACTTAGCGGTGGGCGACAGCATGGTATTCTTCAAGGAACTCTGGGATTCCTGAGATACATGGCGGGCAGGAACAGCGTCCCGTGTAGGCTCCTCAGGATCTGCCTGTGCCTCCTGGAGAGGCTGTTCTTGAACCTCTGCAGTGTCTTCAATTTGGGCCGGCGAGGAGGTGTGAGATCGAGCTGCCTCGCCCTCATTCTTCGCATCAAAGAGGGTCCAGGTAGTGGCTTCGCTCATGGGAGTACCCTTGCGTTCAATAAGCTTATCAACCTCAGGCAGAGCATTCTCCTTACCCTCGGCCAAAGCGTGGAGATTGCTTGATGTCTGCACGTTGCCAGCCTCACCCAAGGGATGGGAGGAAATGCTGTAGCGAGCCTCGCCTTCAGCATGACCAATGCCACGACGCGCACGCTTGTGGCGGTCAGTGGGAACTGGGCGGCCATTTTCGTTGTCAATGGTTTCCTGATGATCATCTTGAGATGGCTCAGTCTCATCGGGGCGCACGATAGGAATTGCCTTGGATTGCTTGGGCGGCTTGGAAATTTCAGCCAGGTCAATATCACCAAAAATTTTGGCCCGATTGCCTGGAAGCTGTTCGGAGCTAGCATTGGAGTTAAGACTAGCGGATGGGTTGAAAACAGGAGCGTCCACGTTGAATGAAGCAGCTGAGAACTTGAAAGAGCTGCGCCTGGGTTCTGGTTTGGGATTGATCGATCCGTTCATCATGCCTGGCGGAACAAATGGGGGAGCTGGGGCAAATCCGAATCCTTGCTGGCCCATGCCCCCAGGCTGGAACCCGCTGTTTGTGAACGAGGAAGGCTGGGAATTGAAGGAAGCTGTTGGGTCAAACTCCTTAGCCTCGACATTGAGCGATGAAATCGAGAGCTTCGAGTGATGGCTAGCCTTCGGCTCATGCCAGGGACCTTGGTCTGGGACGACACCGCGGACGTGCGGTGTACCAGCAAGACTGGGGTTTGTATCCAAGTCCGAGCCCTCATGAGGGTTGTGCTGCATGAGCTGTTCGTTATAGAATTGGTGAGGTTGCTGAGAAAAGGAATGCGAGGCCTGGCGAGAAATGTGCTGGGCATGATGCTGTTGATCATGTCCGGGCAAGGCCCAGTGAGACTGGAGCACACCGGCATTGAGTACGTGGTGTGTAGCATCATGATCTTCATGTAACTGTTGCTCGATCGTGTCGTCCATATGGTAATGGCTATTGTTCATTTGGTCGAGGCCTCGCTGGAGAGTCTCGCTCAGATTGTGACCATGGCCACGAGGAGTCGGGTGGGCGATTTCGACATTCGAGGCGTGGAAATGATCCGGCTCATGAACGGGGGTCTGTGGAGTCGGGTACGGCGGCTCTTCGTGACCCACATTGATAAATCGGTCATCAAATCCATCCTTACTATCATTGAATCCGGCATGGAAAGTCTGGTCGTGCATCGGCGAGACTGGCGAGAGCATTGAGTTGAAGTTGGACAGGGGCCCTGGTCCGGCAGATCCACTGGCTTGACGAATATTGATCAAGCTCTGCGGGGTCATGGCGCCTTGGGCAGGAGGCGTGGGCTGGAATTGGAATGGATAGCCAGTCAACAGGTTCTGCTCCATGCCCATAAATGGAGTCTGCACGCTGAACTGAGACGCGGGGGATGCCAGAGACGCAATACCCCCACTAGTTGTGGCTGTCGACTGACCGAAGTGCGGCGAAAAAGGATGCATGGGAGCAAGTGGGTTGCTGCTGGCTGAGTCGGTGGGGATTGGCGGCGAGGCCACCAGGCCAGGGAAGGGTGATTGTCCTGGGTGCATGGCTGCCGATGCTGGTGATATCGAGGGTTGGGGCTTAGGTTCATCAAAGACCACGCCGAGAGCTCGCAACTTCTCTTCTTGTAGATCAGCAACATAGGCATCCCAAACAGCCTTGTCGGGGAAGGAAATGTGGGCTTTTTGGCCCTTGGTCTCTTCATGCAGTGTGTAAGGATCGGGGTACAGAGGGCGGCTCAACCCTCCCAGCTCAGTTGGAGCAGATGGATCATCGGTTGCACCGACTGTAAACCCACGCACATCATAACCATCATCCTCCCATTTCTTTAACTGTTGTTCAACTTCGGCGCGTGTCAAAAGTCGGTAGCCAGATTCTTCTGTGCCTCGCTTGTCATCAACGGGCAGGTCGATGATGCATGTCTTCCGATTCCAAATGATCTTCTTCTTTCGCCTCGGCGTTTGGGGGGACGCCCTGTTGATTTGAGAGGCCAGCTCCTTCGCATCATCCGGGTTGGCTGATCCCTCGGGGCCTTCGGCGGGTGTGATTTCCTCCACGAAGTCTCCCGGCGGTGCTGGCAGCGGCTTTTCGGCCGGCGAGGTGGCCTCCACGGGCAGCTGTGAATCATTGATATCCGACATGACGTTCTTCGGTGATTCTTTGTCGTAGGCGAATCCCCAGAAGTCCTCCTGGCGCAAGGTGTCTGCTCGCTTGTGTTGTGTCTTCTTAACTTTGGTGCGCGTGGCAGTCCTTCGGCCAACAAAGTCCGAGAGGGTCGGTGTTTTCAGAAGCTCGTTGTCGCGGATATTGTCCTCGAGACCGAGCCAATCGTCCGACAGATCGTCCGCGAGCTGGTTCTGCGCGGTGAAAAACGATGGCGCTTCACTGCCCGAGTCGTCGCTGAGCCAGTTACTCCGCTCGGTTCTCGTCTGACCGGACAGGTACTGATTGATCCAATCCTGGGTAAAGTCGCGGATCGATTGGGATGCCTGGTTCCCGGTCAGCTCCTGCGCGACACTCGCCCGACGGAACTCGATCTGGTTGGCAATAGAGGAACCCGGGGAGCTTTCGCGTGATTCACGAGTGGCGCCGGCGTATTGACTGAGCGTTAGTGACAGGCGACGCGTGCTGGGTGCCGCATACGGTGACCCCCAGGCTGTGGTGTAGTAGACGCTGCTTTCGGCCCTACGATTGTCGGGGGATGAGGTCAGGGATTCCTGGGGCCGACGCTGGGTGGCGGCGAGGAATGGCAGCGGCGGCGGCTCAAGGGTGATACTCCGCGGGGAGGGCCGGTGGGATGGCGAGCCAGCGGCCGACAGGCTCGAGTCTCCTGATGACGGAGAGGACAGGAGCAAGGAGGGAGCCAGACGCGATTCGTCGTGGATAATGCGCGCGTCCCTGGGGTGAAACGGTGGAGAAGACGCCGAACAGGCGGAAGAGACGGAGGGATCTAGATCTGAGTATCCATCCAAGACCGATTATCAGCCATCGTCTTTTCTGAATTGCTCTTGGGCAGGGGAAGAGAGCGGGGGAGGGAACAGGTGGCTAGAGGGGCCTCGAAGGGGGTGTCTGAACCCAGAGAGTATGAACAATCGCGTGGGTTCGCGGAGGCTGGCCGATGAGCACAGAAAATTCCACGAAGACTCGATCAGAGACAACCACGGACCTCGACGCACGAACAAGGCCACTCGACAGTTCAGCTTTTGGGGGAGGAGAAAGGGGGAGGGGAGGCGGCGGACAAAAGCAAAGCAAATTCACCCACCTTCCGTGTCGACTCCTGCAGCAAGCACTTGCTTGCCGCTCCGCTTATCGTCCAGAATGGTGACGCATGGAAATTCGACGGGGATTGAAGACCACTTGGCAGACCGACGCGATTGGCGCAGACAAGCGGACGAGACCCTGACGTGGTTCGGTGTTTCGAACGTCGATTCCTCCAAAGGAAGGAGAGGAGGAGGAGGAGGTGGTGGTGGTGGTGGTGGAGGCGGGGAAAGAAAGAAGTTCGAAGGAGATCACCACGCGCACGTCTGAAGCATCACGAACCCGAGATGGAAAGGGGAACGAAAGACCTTGTCACGTCACGGTTTTCGATTGTCCTGGGATTGGACGGCGGTACGCCAGTACGGAACCAGGTACGGAACGAGGTACCGGGTACTTGACCCGCTGGCGGTGAACAGGGGCTGGCGTGGGAAAAAGGGGGTGAAGCTGAAGAATAGGGGGCGTACCGAGTACACTGGAGGGGATCCGCAGTACAGCGTACTTGGTACTGCCAACACAACTGCAACACAACTCAATCGGACTGCGATTGAACGTATTGTACAGCTTGTGGACCAAGTCCTTCTGCTGCTTTGATCTTCTCCTACTTCTAGAACTTCTACTACTTCTATTACTTCTATTACTTCTGCTATTCCTGATGCATCTACTTCGGATGGAGGGAACGCTCGACCGAATGTACTATGGGGGTATCGCGTTCGGCCGACGGGTCTTGGTATTGACCATCCCTTCGACTCGGTGCTTTGCCCAGTTGGGCCCAAGTGGTCCCAGTGGTCCCAGTGGCTCGACTGCAAGATGGTTAGTGCCATGGCCCGGTTCGCTCAAGCACATGTCGCAGGCGGGAGGCGTTGGTGGCCGAGACGACCCTGCCCTTGCTTGCGCAGGTCCCCCCGGCCCCCGGGTAGGCTTGACCGCCACCAAAGTCCTCCCGCCAGTCCTCCTTGCGCCGTTTCAGTTTCAGATGGTCGCGTTTCCACCAAGTGAGAAAACCACGATGTGGACGAGATCGCGTTTGATAAACAAACCCCGCGTGTGGTTCGCGAGCAAAGTGGTGTTTCCTTGGGATTCAGGGGGCAGCGAACCGTGGTTCTGCATCGCTTTCCAACGTTACTGGAACTTCAACTGCCCGTTACGTAAGTGGGCGGTGAGGTAACGAGTTAATAAGCAGCGGCCCACAACGGGAACTGCTTCAGGCCGTGATAGATCAATCCCCATTGCCCCCATTGCCCCCAATTCCCCCGTCCACAATCGATGGATCACTTGAAACAGAGACAGAAAGTCGCCTGGTTACACCCCCCCCCCCCCCTGATGCTACGCATTGAAGAACTCTCGTCCACCGGGAGCTAAGAAGGGAAATTCTCGGTCTAATATTCTCAGCATCATGATCGAATATCAACTGAAAACCCAAGTCAGAGCCGACAAGGCAACGAAAACAAACAAACAAACAAGAGCTTCAAATTAACAAGTTTCACAAATTAACCCCAAAAAAATACAATCTGAAGGAAACCGTATCTACGAAGGTTGCTCCGTTTCATTAGAAACACGTGAAGGGCGACACCCTCTGGCAACACTCCAACCCATACCATATTCGCGCTCTCTTTTCCTGAACAGCCTTCAAACAAACGGGGGCATTTATTTCGGGCAGGTGGTGTCGAACTTGGTCTTGCGCGCGGCGGTGCGGAGACCCCAGTGCTTCTCGTCCATGGCCTGGCCATTGTCGCCCACGCTGTCGGGCTTCCAGGACTCGTCATAGGCCTCGAAGTAGAAGAGATCCACGCCCCAAGCGAGCATGCCGCAGACGCCGGTCTTCCAGAAGGTCTCGGCGTTCTGAGTGCCCGCCTTGGCCGCATCGTAGTCGGAGCCACCATCTAAGAACCGGGTGAGAATTAGTATGGTGTGATTCTGTTCCATGTCTGCCAAAGGGAGGCGGGAATGAGGGAGAAGAAGAGAAATAAACGATGCCACGGAAAGAATCAAGAAGAAACAAAATACACAATAATAGAAAACCAAGCAAACGGTATCATTAAAACCATGCACAAAAGTAAAAGAACGTACCAGTGGGCCAGCCAGTTTCGCCGTTGATCACCCGGATCTTGTCGGCGTTGTCACCCGCCACCTGCTGGATGTGCGACATGGCTCCAGACATATCATCGAAGTAGGTCTTGTAGGCCTTGTCAGCGGCAGTGCCCTGCCAGTAAGCGAACGCATTGGCCAGGACGTAGGTGACCATGGGGTTGTCATCGGTATCGGTGGTGAACAGGTCATCGGCGGTGCCGTCGGCGAACTTGTTCCAGCTATCGGCGGTACCGACGGTGATGCTAGGGAACTGCTTCTGGACGGCACTGATATAGTTGTGGAGCTGGGGCCCGGTGAGATCGCCACGGTACAGGGTCTCGGAGCCAACCGTGATGGCATCGACCTGGCTCTCATAGCCGGGAACGGCCTTCTTGAGCGCCGCGAAATCCTTCACGAAGGATGCATCGTTGGTGCTCATGTCACTCTTGTCCTGTGCGCCAACCCTGGAGAGGAGAGGGAAAAAAGAAGGGTATTAGCTTCGCGCGGGGTTTTCGTGACGGAAAGAGAGGGGGCGGAAGGAGGCATTGAGCTCTCGACGGAATGCCGGAGGACGCTGCATAGGCGGAATCTGCTTACCAGATACCCAGAACGACCTTGAAGCCCTTGTTCTTGGCCGCGGGCAGGATGTTCTGAGGGGTGTCACATTCGGTGCCGGAGTAGGTGCGAACGAGGGTGGCCAGATCCTTCAGATCATCGAAGTCGGCCTCATAATCGCTGGTCGACTTGCAAGTGCCGTCGGCATTCTTGTCACCGAGCGAGAAGCCCAGGGTACCCCGAGCGGAGACCACGGCCGGAGCGGCGGCCAGAATGAATGGAAGCAGAGTCGAAACACGCATGATGAAGAGACGCGCCGGTCGATCAAGGGAGGATTATCGAACGGGGGGAGTGGCAGAAAAATGGAAGCGATAACGAAAGAAGCGGGAGAAGGAATGTGTCAAGAGCAGCAGAGCCGGAAAGGAATGACCAGGGTTATAAAAGAAAGGAATGGCAAAAACGTCAGGAAGTGGAGAGAGAAAGGAAAGCCAGAGTTTGGGTGAAGAAGTGGAGGAGTGGATGGGAGAAGTTGCCTCCTGGACTATTCCCAAACAGGCTGCCAAACGGGGGGGAATTGGCTTTGGGGGTCTTTGGGGGTCCTTGGGGATCTCGGGGTCTTTGGGTCGCTGGGCGTTTGGGGGGCGACAGGGTTTGGGCCCTGCAGGCGACAGGGCCGTTCAGGGCCCAGGGACTTCCAGGGACTCGGGGCGTCGGGGTCCAGTGGAGAGCCCCCCGATCCCAAGGGCCCTTTTGCTATTTCGGGACCCGCGGATGAAACAATTCAGGGTCTCGACTCCACTTCGAACCTCCGAACTTCTTTCCAGAACCCGACCATACTACATTGTTGATTCTCCGATGCCCCCAATCGTCTGCTCCAACCGCAATGCAAATTTCTCTTCAAAAACACCCTCTGCACTGTCTTGGGGCCACCTCTTTCTTTCTGCCGTACGGTGCGACCATGAAAATACTTGCCGGGGCTCGCCCGATCCCCCCACCGCTTTTCCCGTCAAAGTCATGATGTCACTCCGCCAAATGTCCAGAAACTCATGAACCCTGGGAGAGACGCGAGGAAACAAGTGGAGGGAGAACCAGACAATGCGATCGGCCGGAGTCCATTGACATAGCCATCCTCTGTCTGCCTGTCCCACGGCTTCGCCGATCCGATCGCTTCCATCGCTTCCCACTTTGCCGAATAATTAAGCCCTCAGCAACCCGGCTTTGCCCATCTGGCGTGGTCCATTCGGGTCTAGAGCTAGACAGATTCTCTGCGGAGATATCCACGTTCTCGAAGCCGCTCGCTCCCTACGGCCATTTCAGTTCCCGGTTGCCTTGCAGACGGCCTAGTCCGAAGGGTGCTCAACGCTCCTCTCCCGAGGGTTTCTCGTCGAGTTTGTTCGCTGCTACATAAATGGATAAGACGGGGAGGAATCATTGCCTGGTGCTCTTCCTATTACTTCTAGGAAAGTGATCCAGTTACGTCCCAGACGTAAAGACGAAATGGCAGATGGGCAAATCGGGAGGTTGGCGAGGCTAGCGCTGGTCGTGTTGTTGTCTCTTCGAGGACCATGATCTGCGACGCAAGGAGACAAACAGAACAGCGAAGTCAGGGACAGAAGCCAAAAATGGTCGGTGGCTCAAGACATCTGTACGAGCACGAAGTCCAGATGCAATGCCTCTCAATTGGCGTGATATCTAATGCATCCCCAGAAGCTATCCGGGACGCGCGACTAGAGATGCAAGCCTAGACTCTCAGTCATGGTATCATAGTGGAGATTGGAAATGTGGAAATCGCCCCCGCTATATTGTACACAATTGCGCCGCCAAGTCTACATTATCGGGCCCGAGGATATCAGTCAAGGCCATGCGAGCATTGGCCTTCCATCTGCCCACGTCTCGGCCGCGAGCCCTACCTGGTGCCCTTGTCATGATTCTGCCTATTCTGCGTTGTGGTCCCTCGAATTCCCTCCTGTCCACCAAACCCAGATCGCTTTGCACCAAAACCACGTCTCAATCGTGCCGAACACGCACAGGATTGCGACCAGAAACCATTTCATCTTCCCGCGGATTCCCAGAGCCTCGAAGTTTATGGTTGGGGGATCCACCGTTGGGGCTTGGTCGTGGCCTTGTCCCGATCCGGACCTTTCCGGGTCGGGTGGAGCTCGGACTGACATCTTGTCCCCGAACGCTAGGCGGGTTGAAAAGAGTTGTGTATGGAGTGCAGGGAGTGTAGGGAGCGCCGGCCGCCCGATCCGCGGAGTTTGGTGGAGTCGAGACGAGGATCGAGTCAGGGTTCGTAGTGTGGCCTCTCTCCATGGCCGGAAAGTCCGGTGGAGAGTCTTTGTAGATATGTTCATGGCGATTATTCAGAGTATCTTGAGTCTCTCAGCTCTATAAGATTGTGCTGCTAGAATGGCAAGCTGATGTAGAAAGGAAGTAAAGAACGAAAGTCATACAAGAACAGTCTGTCCTGCTTATATCCGAGCTTGAAGATGCTTCTCGGCAGGAGGACCGTGCAGCCATTCGATCTGACTCCATTGGGCTTTATAACCCGCTAGGCTCGAACAGTATCAACCCGCCGCTGAATAGCGTCAGTGCCTCCATGTTGAAACAATTGCTGGATTTTCAGGAATCTGAAGCACCACAGGAGCCCGTTATTTGGTTCATTTTCTTTGTTAGCCTGTGGGATATGTCAATCGAAATACCCATTTGGTATGAACGCCCGATCAAGACCCTGATCGATACCAGGAGATCCAAGTCTAAGAGGTATGTAGGAAAAGCAGTAGAGAGAATATTACTAGGAGCAGGAATACTGCTCTTACCCTTGTTTCGACTTCTATGCTGTCTCTATGGTGGCCACTGGGACCGACATGAGATCTTTTTGATCCTCACCAAGGCGAAGCTTCATAATTATCTTGAGGGAAAATGAAAATAGATCGTTCCTGCGAAAGTCACAGTTCCTGAGCATGACTGAGTGCTCAGTTGGCACGTTGATTCGAAGTGAAACATAGCCCGGAACGGACCATAGGGCTACCTAAAAAAAAAAAAAAAAAAAAAAAAAAGGTCGGTCCTTTGCTTGGTGCTTAATTAGTCCTGGTGCTTCTGCTGCCACCACCACCACTACTATTGAACGCCTTAGATTGAATTTCCAGAAATAGGTATCAATGGTATTCCTTCCCTTTGAAATCTACTTAGCTTTGAATGCTCCGCTCGATGGAAGATTTAAAATTCGAACCATGTGTTTTGGAAAATAGAAGCGCATTCGATCACACAAATATTTAAAAGATAGCGTACTACAGGAAGAGAACTACCGGGAATTTTTAAACCTCAAAGAGCATGCATCTCATGTGGGAAAAAGTGAAAATAATAAAAATTCATGATCTGAGGCCATTCTCCAAGAGTAATCGATTCCCACTTATGTGATCGTGTATAACCTGATTCAAATCAAATTTGGCATTGCAAGACCATTCGACCCATTCTCGGACCAATGGTTGCTGCAAAAGCCACTCGCTCCCAAACGGTTGGTGCATATCATGATACGGCTTCACAACCGGCCTGGAGTCTCCTGTCGTGTACGACCATTGTGCAATCCATGCAACATCATATTGTCCAGGAAGTTCAATCAACGGGTATCGGGGCTGTGCATAATATGCTTCGAAATTCTTTCCGTCAAGATGAGGGAGGAGCAGAGCAATCGTGCGTGAAGGTGCCGGTCCAAAGGCATGAACGTGGGGCTGGAACGTTGATGCCCGTATCACGTCCTCTTCAAGAGAGCACAGGACACCAAGGTTCGTAGCGAATGGCCTGTTATGAAAGAGACCCTCTTGTCCTGCTAGTTCCAGCTCTTGAATAACCCATCGGAGCCATGACGGTTTGGGACAACAATGTCCGATTAGGTAAAGCAGAGGCGAATATCCAAGCCTTATATTCTCGCAGAACAGTCGTTTTTCAGACCCAGAGAGACTGAAGGCCGTTCTCGTATATCTCAAAAATTGATAAACGTAATGATATGCTTTCAGTTCATTCTCACGATCTTCATCCCCCAGGAGACAAAATGACCATAGAAGCCGCGCCTTATAGAATGCATATAGCGCGAGCGGCAGACAGAAGTCTGGAGGTATTGATTCCTGGGAGGAAGGAGGAAGAGCTAACTGATTCAAGGCATCGAAATTCAAATCGGGATCAGCCAATTCTGGTATTCCTAACTCTTGGAATACGATCAGATTTTTTGATTTCCAGTTCTCGAGAGCATTCAGCGTGGCAAGAATTTTGTCTTGCGACACTGATCTGAAGTGAGCTGCGTAAGCACACCATATAAGCCTTTTCAGATCTAGATCTGCAGAGGAAAACTCGAGCAACTGTTGCAGCATTTCCGATGAAGAGGAGGAAGGAGGCTGAAAATACGAAGAAGGAAGGTTTAGGGTCGACCTGTCTGCATTCGAGAGAGTGTTAGGCTCCAAAGGACTTGGAAAAGGCCTGACAGCACGACACACTAGTTCCAGGTCGCGAAGGGATGATTCTATTGGTAGGACACAGCAGTCGCTCGGGTCAAAGTGGTGTGAATAATGCTGGATGACTTGTACATGTCGAATGGCGGCTGGGATATTGGCCGAGAAGCACTAGATATCTGTAATAAATATTTGCTCCGCGTCCCAGAAACGGGAGACCAGAATTCAACGACATACCTCGATATACGCCATCAGCACAAGGACGCCGACAGCCAATGGTGTCGGCTTTGCTGTACTTGTCAAGTCATCTGATACACCTTGAAGGGCCTTGATATAAGTTTGGATTGCGACGATCTTCGTGTCAAGACCTTGATCGTGATCGTTTGCATTATCTCTGGACAAGAACAAAGCTGCGCGGTGCATAGATCCAAGGGCGACAATAGTATCAAAAGCCCATTCGACTTCCCAAGCAGCTTGACAGAGAAAGTCGCGCCAGAAATAATGGGTTCTGGGAGGGAAGAGAACGGGCAAGGTCCGGAACAGGTACTGGTGATAGCCTAACATGTCTCTTGCACGAGAGTGAGGGTGCTGAAAGGCTGTAGGATTCACAGGGAGTCCAATCAATGGTAATCCATCTTCTCGAGAGTCGCGGTGGTAAATTCGACCATCAAGTGACGGGGGAGTTCGAGATGTCGATGTAGTAGGGTCGATCGGGGTGGCCACCACGGACGAGCTTTGCTTTGTAGGCTGAATGCTGATCCGGCGCTTTTCCGCATATCCTGCGCATTCTACATTGGCCTTTTCGCAACGCGCACAGGTGGGTTTCCGCTCGTCGCACTTCACCCGCCTTGTACGGCACGTCAGACACCCAGTCTTCCTTCTTCTTTTCTCGTTCATGGCGAATAGATTCAAGACCTCGGTGATGATATCACCGTTCAAATGGAGCAGTTACTCCTTTCAGAATCATTCGCCAGACATAGCTCTTTAAAACTTCATAGCTTTGGGCTATACTTCGCCACCAGTGCGCCGACGGCTCTTTGAGATGGATCGTCGGACGCCGGGGCGGTTGGCCCCAGGCTTGGCCCCAGGCACCACGATTTGTCAGCACCGCCGGTGGACGTGTCCGTCTCGCTGTAGTTGTAGTTACAAGTTGATTGTAGCTGACCACTTGCTACATTATCAGCGATGGATCCCATTCAGGTCCTCATTTAGACTATGTTGTTAAGTGAAGAAATCTTTTGAGCATTCAAAGTGAGATTTGAAATTAAAACACTCTTCTAATCTACAAATCATGAGATATAAGTTATCGGAAGGTAAGATTCTGACCCTTCAAGGTGACAGGATGGTATCAAGGCCATCTCTGTTTGAGAACCCTCTCGCGACCAACGAACCAAAGCCATCAGCACCATGAGTTGGGCCCGGCCAAAACGGGACTCACTATGCCAGCTTTGAATTTTACAAAATGATATTCTTGTCGCGCTGGTAGGTCTCCCTGAGGAGCTTCAACTGATTCACAGACATGCTCTGGCGCGTTAATCCTGCCGGCAAGTCAACAATAGCTTTGCGCATCAGAACAAGTCCAAATTGCCCGAAGAAACCAAGGATTCGTTCACCAGAACCTCGGAGCATCGAATAAAGGAGAGTAATTTGGGTCTCCTGGACTTCGGTGGGGGGCATGGAGACGAGTTTCTGGAGGGAGGTCCAGAAAAGAGTATTGGGGAAAGGATTTTGACGCTGTGTCTGGCCGAATTTGCGTAGGGTTATGGCGGAAAAGCCAGCACCCAGGGCAGTCATACGGTCCAAGTGTGCTTGCTCGCTGATAAACGGGCCTTCGGGATTCTCGCGCCACCAGCCAAGAGCACGTCTCCCTCCTTGGGTCTTCTCGTCTCCTGTGAAGCCCCAAAGCGCGGGACATACCACCCGGTATTTGGCCCACAGGATATCGGACATGTGAATTCCCTGATACATGAACTCATCCGTAGAAAAAATCTGGGCTGCAATTATACCAATCGGTTCCGCATGTTCTGGTTTTAGTGAGGCTTCTGCGAGTAGAGAGGCAATCAGGCACTTGGCGAAGATGTTCAGACCATAAATCAGCAATGCAGGTGCCTTCTGCTCAGAACCAGCAATGGATTCCGGCGGAAAGGCGATGAACTGGCGAACATCCATGGCAGGCTCTGAAATTGCAGCAGCCTTTTTGAGCTCATCTCTGATCTTGTTGAGCTGGTTACGGAATCGCTGTCAGTTTCCGCTCAAAGGCTACATCACGCTCAAGAATTGGAAACTCTTACCTGTTGCTTGTTCGTGGTCGCGTTACTTCCTTTGGCATTCCGCAGCTGACCAACACTCATTTTGATTGCACGTCGCATGCCTCCCATGGCTTCCTTCACGGCAGGATTCTGCTTGCCGATATTACGCAGATGCTCTCGCATCTCCTTCAGTGTTTTATGAAGTGCTACATAGCGCTCTTGGATTCGAGCCTCTTCTGATGTCAGGCGGCTACCTCCAATACTCTGCTTCTGAGCCGCTTGCTGGGCCGCTTGCTGGGCCTTCCTAGCTTCTTCTTCTTTTTGACGGGCCTCTGCAGCGAGTCGTTCCTGTTTTTCGCGCTCCTGGCGCTCCCTTGCTTCTTGGGCTGCCTGTCGAGCCCTTTCTGCCTCCTCTGCAGCCTTTTTGTCGGCTTCGGCTTGCTTCTTGCGTTCTTGCTCAATGCGGGCAGCCTCTTCTTCCTGTCTGCGTCGTTCTTCTGCCTTTTCGCGCTCGATCCGCTCTCTTTCTTTGCGCTCAGCCTCTTCTTTGCGTCTACGTGCCTCTTCTTCGGCACGGTTGTGGGCCCTCAGGGTCGCTTCGGCTTCCTCCCTGACTCGTTCATGGTACGCGGCGGCTTCATCCAGGGCAGCAGTATGGACCGCTTCGCGCTCCCGGTCGATGCGGTCGAGGTTGTCGTAGAAGGTCTGGCGCTCGTAGGCATGAACCTTTTTGAGTTCCGCATTGAAGATACGGACATTCTCCAGATCGCGGGTCAGGTCCAGGATCAGTTGTTTGGACGGACTGTCCAGCGGAGGAACATGGACTCGAGCTCGGGTCATGTTAGCGGATCTGGATCAAACCCGAGAGAGAAGGGACGAAACCAAGGGTGATTCGAGTATCGAAGAAATTGTAGGGAGGGTTCAAAAGATTGGGTTCTCTCGAGATCTGAGGTGAGCCTTCAAGGACAGGAAAGGTCGCAGCGAACGATATGGATAATTGAACAGGCGAGGTGGGAGGCCGGGAGAAGTGGGAGATGTCGAAACGAGAGGCTCGCTAATCATAAGACAAGCAATTCATAAGAGTCATGGTCTCTCCAACGGTCCAGAATCGGGATCGAGTCCCAGAAATGTGAGGGCGGTCGGTTTCGTGGATTGAAATATTCGAGGAGGCTGGAGTGAATGGGTGTCAGGTGAGCTCCCAATGCGCGCGTGAATGTCGAATGGACGGTTGGATGAGGTCGGAACAAAGCTGGCCCAAATGACCGAACACGCTGAACGGATCGAATTGCTAGTCAGCAAGATCGACCTGTTCAAGAACGCGACAAAAGGACTGTGGAAGCCAGGGTAAACGAGAGAAGGCGAGAGTAAGTTGTTCACAGGCCGCCTGTCGCAATTGGGATGGTCAGCGGTAAATCAGGGTTGCACGTGGTGTTCACGAGACCGGTCGAGCTCCGGACAAAATACTTCGAGCTCAACCACGCTCCGTACCTTCAAGCGGGTGCAACTTACCTTTGCCGTTCCTGGCCGTTCCTGAACGAGAAAAAGGCCGATGTTGATCGCGAACTGCCGCTGGGACGAACTTGGAATAAATTACATGCTGACTCAGCCCGGACCCGAGCACCGCGCAACCAGGGAAACTCTGGATCGTTGCATCATCGTGAGCATCATCCACTTTCTACTGCTCGCCAGACCCAAGAGGACTTGGAGAGATATTGACCGGTTCTTTGTGTCCGATCAAGTTGGCCCTCTGGACTATGTGGACCATTTGACCCTGGGATATTGCTTGCTGCTCATTCTATACCCGTTGCGCTAGCTGAACTGGATACCTCTTTTGAACGGTGTACTCTGTCCTGTCGGCTGTTTAAAAAAAACACAAGTGGAGACTCCCCGGAGAACCGACCTTCAGCGGGCTCCAAGCTACAGGGCTGCTGGTCGGCTGTCAAAAAGCTTACAGCAGTCTGCATCCAAGTGCGACGAAAATTCTGTAGATATAGGGTTCCTGATCGGCTCGAGCTATATGTGGCGGGGAAGAACACGCCATTTGATATCTTTCCAGGTCAGAGTTTCACCGTGCCCGCGCGAGTCAGAGATAGCAGCTTTGATAGCCGCTAAAGCCGCCCACGCACTGTTTAGCATGCCTAGCAGGTTTGGCCAGTCACGTAGGAGCCCTGGCGGGGTGTCGTAGATCCCTGATTCCCTTATCGTGGCCCTCGCATGGTCGCGAATTGATTCGAATGAGTGCCAGAGGCCCACACGGGACTTTTGGGCAGCCTGAGATGTCTGGTCTCGTCCCGATGTCCAGCAGAGAATGGCAGGACGATGATGAAAAGTGGTCGGGAGACGGAGATCATCCACCGCATCCGCCAGGAAGAGTGGGTTTGCGGACGGTTCGAACGCCGTCCATACCGTCCCGCGCGCCCGCCACAGGCGCCCCTCCACGGGTTCTGTCACTGGTAATATTACAGTTCGGTCCTGACCATACGTCCCTTTTCGATACAGGCTCTCCCCACACCCGCTTTGTATGGAGCCCAGCATCACCTCTTTCTTTCCTTCTCCTTTCCCCCTCCTTCTTCTTCTTCCTCCTCCATCTCTCTCTCCCTTCCCTTCCCCATCGTTCCTTCAGGTCGAATCAGTCGATGCCTGCATCTTCTATTCCATCCTTCTAGCCTCCTTGTTGTCATTCTCTTCGACGACTTGACCCTGCCATCCGGGTTTCCTCGCTTGACCAAGCTCTAGCCCAGCTTCGTTCGTTGCGAATTCGAGTCCCATCCCTCCGGTTCTCGATCCCAGGATCTCGAGTCCATTGCCTCTCACCCGTTTGTCGGTTCTTCGGCGATCGGCAGTCGGTGCAGCCTTCCAGCACCCGGCCACCTACCCAGTCGAACTCGGTCCTTCCCATCTCGAATCGAGCGAACGTCGTCCCTTTCCAGTCGGTCCTTGGCTTGATCGAGTCAACGTGCATTGTGCAATTGATTCGGCTGTCTTCCCCCTCTCGATTCTTCATTCCCCAGCTTTGCTTCGAGTGGCTCATCCGTCACGGCTTCGTTGGCTTTACTAGCAAATTTCATCCCACGTTGGACCAGCACAGACGTCATTTTTTTTGGAATGCTGGCACTTGAAAGTCGTCATTAGTCTTTCTTGCAGGTAAGCACGTCACGTTTAGTCCAGCGGAATACACACCGGATGGGGAATTGCAGGGAGAATTCGTGGGTCACGGTGCTGCCATCTAACCATCTCCCCCTCCTTCCCACTACCGGACTACCTGAAAAGGTGTCCGGGTCCTTGTGCTTCTCCGCCCGCGATGACACTCGGACGGGAGTATGGAATACGGGGCTCGGGGTACACTCGCTGCACTGGCCACGGACCACTCGCCATCGCGACTTCCCCCTCTCCGCCCATCTGGTCCTCCGGTTCCTCCAGTTTTCGCTGCACCTCCCCTGTTCGCTCCTTCACTTTGCTTTCTGCTGCCTAGCTGTCGCTTCTTCTTGACTTTGTTTTTCTTCTTTCTCTGTTTTGACCGTCACCCTCTCTCCAGCCGCCCCGTTCATCGTGACTGATCCACTCTTTCTCCCCTCCTTTCTAGTATAGCTTGCGCACATCCTTGAATACGATCATCCGAACATAAACAGCCTACCTGTGGTCGGTTTGTGATCCGAATCACTCGGCTCCATTGCCTTTGGCGGCAACACCCGTCTCTCCTGTTCCCGGGTCCTCTACATACGCCCGCATTTTACACTCTACAGTGATAGCCCGTCAACCCTTCATTTGGGATCATGGATCAACAGGGCCAGTCTGGGGTACCAGGCCCCACCGGGCGCAAGCTCCATATCGCTCATCGGAGAAGTCCATCTGAGCTGACCCCTTTGATGAGTATGATCCTCCCGAGCTTGCTACGGGCGCAGGACCCCAAACTAACTCTTCCTTGTTTGCAGTGGAACAACTGGCCATTCAGCAACAAATTGAGCTCCTCCAGCAGCAACAGCAACAGATTGCTGCAACACACCAACAGTACGTTAATATGGGCCTGTTACAGCCACAGCAGCTGGGACAGGTCAACGCCTTCCAAGGCGGCTCGATGGGTGGTGTCTCCCCTCAGGTCAACGCTTTCCAGTTTCCCCAGCAGCAACAGCAGCAGCAGCTTGGGGTTCCAATGAATGCGCCAAACCAACATTCTCACCGTCGCAATCAATCTGCCCTCCCGGGTCTTGCCATGGGCCCACCCCCTGCCCCATCCTCAGGGGCATCCGGATATGCCGACTACGGTCAACAAGGCCAGAAGAACGAGAATAACCACGGTGGCCACGGTGGTCGTGGTCGTGGTGGTCCGCCTGGTGGAGGTCACCAGCGCCGCCACTCTCTCGCACTCCCCGAGGCCAAAAAGGCCGCTGAGCTGGCACAGCAAAAGCGAACCGCCTCTGGCTTCCAATTCCCTGCTCCCTCTCCCGGTGGTGCTAGTGGTTTGGAGAATCCGTCTAGCTCGGATGACAAACCTGGCTCAAGCACCTCTCCTGCTCCCCAGGGTCTTGGATTGCAGCGTGCTGGCAACCTTCGGGCTGGTGGTCATGGCCGAAGCCAGTCGATGGCCGTTGGTGGAAACCGAGGCTCCATCTCTGGTCGTGGTGCTGGCGGTTTCCAATTTCCTGCTTCCCCTAATGACGGTCAGTCGGATAATCAACGCCGCGGCAGCCAGCCCGGCCACGCTCGCTCCTCTTCGCGAAACTTTGACGGAAATTGGCGCCAGCCGAACAACCAGAACCAGGCACAAGACCAACAGAAGTCTTATGGCCAGCAACAGCAAGGCAGTGGTTTCCAACCAGGCCATCGCTCGCGGGCTTCTATGAACCAGTCGATGGGCTCCATCGGCCAGTTCCAGTACGGACAGCCCCAACTTATCCAGCTCCCGCAGGGCCAGGTGATGATGGCGCCGCCCCAGATGTTTGGTGGACAACAAATCAACCCACTTCAGCTAGCTCAACTCCAGGCTCTCCAGCAGCAGAACGGACAGGGCATGGGAGGCCTCGGTGCAAGCCAGCATGCGCCACCCCAATTGTCGGTTCAGCAGCAGCAGCAGCAACAGCAGCAGCAGCGGAAGACGCTTTTCACTCCTTACTTACCGCAGGCCAATTTGCCTGCCTTGATCAGCAACGGGCAGTTAGTCGCTGGTGTCCTGCGAGTGAATAAGAAGAACCGTTCCGATGCCTATGTGACCACAACGGACCTTGACGCCGACATTTTCATTTGTGGCAGCAAAGATCGCAACCGCGCCCTCGAGGGAGATTTTGTTGCCATCGAACTCCTTGATGTTGATGAAGTCTGGGCCCAGAAGCGCGAGAAGGAAGAAAAGAAGAAGCGCAAGGATATCACCGACGCTCGGTCCGGAAGCAATGCTGGAAATGATAAGTTGGGCCGCTCAGATTCCAATGGTGACAGACAGGAAGTCGGTCCGGATGGAAGCATCCGTCGTCGTGGCAGTCTTCGCCAGCGCCCTACTCAGAAGAAGAATGACGATGTTGAGGTTGAAGGCCAGAGCCTCCTCCTTGTCGAGGAAGATGAGATTAGCGATGAGCAAAAACCGCTGTACGCTGGACATGTGGTTGCTGTTATTGAACGCATTGCTGGTCAGATGTTCTCTGGAACTCTGGGTCTTCTCCGTCCTAGCAGCCAGGCGACGAAGGAGAAGCAGGAGGCCGAGCGGCAAGCCAGAGATGGTGCCCATGGCCGCTCCAACCAGGACCGCCACCAAGAGAAGCCCAAGATTGTCTGGTTCAAGCCCACGGACAAGCGTGTGCCCTTGATTGCCATCCCTACTGAACAGGCCCCCCGGGACTTCGTGGAGAAGCATCAGGATTACGCAAATCGTATCTTTGTCGCTTCCATCAAGCGTTGGCCCATCACCTCCCTGCACCCCTTCGGCACTCTTGTAGAGCAGCTCGGAGAGATGGGCGACCTACGGGTCGAGACTGATGCTCTTCTCCGTGATAACAACTTTGGCTCGGACGAATTCTCCGATGCTGTGATCAAGAGCATTGGCTGGGAAGATTGGTCGGTCGCTAACGAGGGTGAAGCTCTGGCTGCCCGTCGCGACTTCCGTGAAGAAACCACATTCACCATTGACCCTGAGAATACAAAGTCGCTGGAGGATGCCTTCCATGTCAAGAAGCTTGCCGATGGCAAGGTGGAGATTGGTGTTCACGTTGCTGATATTGCTCATTTCGTCAAAGGTAACTCTCTTGTGGATCGAGAGGCCAAGAAGCGTGGTACCGCTGTTTATCTTGTCGATCGAGTCATGAACATGCTTCCACCGCGGGTCTCTACAGAGCTCTGCTCCCTTATTCCTGGCGAGGACCGTTTGACTGTTAGCGTTGTTTTCAAGGCTAATTCTGAAACCGGTGCCATTGACGACGATGTCTGGATTGGTAAGGGTATTATTAAGAGTGCAGGTCGCCTCAGCTACGAGGACGTCAACTCTGTTCTCACAGGAAAATCGAGCTCAGTCGGGACTCAAATCACCACTGACGATATCAAGATGCTCGACGTAAGTTTTCGCATCGACAATCATTCTGTTCTGTATTGACATGGTTTTTTTTAACCTATAGGCTATTGCTCACAAGTTCCGTGACGCTCGCTTCGGTAACCGGGCGTCCAATGTTCCCAGCCTGCGTATTCTTCAGCAGCTTGACGATGAGAACGTGCCGGTTGAGTACAACATCTTCGACTCGACTCCAGCTCATGAGCTTGTTGAGGAGCTTAGCCGCCAGGCCAACTTCTACGTTGCTCGCAAGCTGGCTAGTGCGATGCCTGAAAAAGCATTCCTGCGTCGCCAGCCTTCGCCCAACCCTCGTCGTCTGACGCTGTTTGACGAGAGAATGAATCGCCTCAGTTTCGGCATTGATGCGTCCAGCAGCGGTAGCTTGCAGAGTTCTCTCTGCAAGGTTGAGGATGTTGACATCCGCAAGGGAATGGAGACTTTACTTTCTAAGGCTATGCAGCGCGCTAAGTACTTCGTGGGAACTGGTGCTGCGGATGAACAGCGTCAACACTACACTTTCAACGTGCCTGTGTACACCCATTTCACCAATCCCTCTCGTCGGTATGCTGACATCATTGTTCACCGCCAACTCGAGGCCATCCTGTCGGAGGGTGCCATTGAGTTCACTGATGATGCCGAGTCTTTGAACAAGACAGCCGATCTTTGCAACAACAAGAAGGACTCTGCCCACAATGCGCAAGAGCAGAGTGTCCATATTGAGGCCTGTCGCAACATGGATCGGAAGGTTCATGAAATTGGTGGTGACCTTATCAGCGAAGGCATTGTGCTCTGCGTTTATGAATCCGCTTTTGACGTTCTTATTCCCGAATATGGCTTCGAGAAGCGCGTGCACTGCGATCAGCTCCCCTTGAAGAAGGCCGAGTACCGCAAGGATACTCGTGTGCTTGAGCTGTACTGGGAGAAGGGTGTACCGTCCTCTGCCTACATCCCTGAGGATGAGCGCCCCAAGCCTGCCAACTCTCGCGCAGCCCAGGCCGCTGCCGCTGCCCGCGAAGCTGAGGCTGCTAAGGAGCGTGCTCGAGAGCAAGACGAGGCCATGCGCAAGCAGACCGAGACCGGCACAATGTCCGCCGACGACGTCGATGCCCTCTTTGATGATGATGATGTGGAAGAGGTGACTGAAATGGCGGCCGGCGTCTCTCTTAACTCGGCTGACCGGTCAACTCAGAGCATGCCTCCATCTCCCACCCGCAACGGTCATCTTCAGCAGGGACCTCACCGCACTCGCTCGGATCCTAAGATTGCTTCCAGCACTGCCGATGCCCCGGAGAGCAAGCTGACCAACAAGGATAAGTACTTGAAGCTATTCAAGCTCCGCGAGGAGGATGGAGAGTTCATCCAGGATGTTACTGAGATGACTCGCGTGCCCATCATCTTGAAGACTGACTTGAGCAAGAGCCCACCGTAAGTTGATTTCATTTTCACCCCATGGCTAGTTCTCAAGATCTCAGACTAATCATTTCGATATCATAGATGCCTCACCGTCCGGTCGGTGAACCCGTACGCTCTGTAGGAACCTCAGGGCGGTTATTTTCTCCTTCCTTAGGATATATTATTGCATGACTATCCTGCAGATTCTTCGGGCGTGTCGAGCATGGTTTCCATGCTCCCACGCACCTACGGACATAAGCCTCCTTCAAAATACGGATCGAACATATCATTACCAGGAAATCTCTTGGTATTCAGATCAACCCACAAACTCTGCCCGTCCATCTTTCTGACGTGTCTTGGGACCCTCGTATACTTATTTGTTTGTTATATCTTGCGCAGCGGTTGTCTATTTTCCCTTTTCCCTTTTTCTTTTTTGTTTTGACCATCTCAGTTCTTCCGGAGAAAGAGAGTGCTATGTCTGAGCTTGAGCCTCAATCCCCCCTTTTTTTCTCTAATTACCGGATTCTTCGCAACCTTTAGCAAGGCGGGAGTCTGTACTCTTCGACCCTTAACTCGAGGTCAGGGCGAGGAGGGAGAGATTGAGGACAGCTTGACCATTTCCGGAGAGTCTTTTATTAATCCAGGTATTTACATAGTCCTTGTTATTTTGGATTTGCTTTGTAGCTTTGGGTTTATTAGAAACTAGAACATAGTAGATGTCCTGCAACGGGTTGCATGATGGGACATGAATGGCTCCTATCGCGTGTCCAACAAGAGATCTGTCCGATACTAGCAGTAGTTTCGCTGCTGTTGGCAAATAATGAATCTCTATTTCGTCCTTGGTTTCTCTTCTGCTACCCTCGAAGGTAGTTACTTTTCCGGCATACTCGTAAGCCTCTCTATGCCCAGTGAAAGTCTCGATAAAAGTCGATCACCCGGGCTTGAAAAACTAGATCCCAACAAAAGCCCGACGTCCAATATGCGAAAAGTCTAGAGGATGACCAAAGAGAAAAAAAACATTCCATGTTGTTCGTTCCTTATACTCGCTCCACCACATCTTTGATTGCATGCGCAACATAGGCTACATTGCCCTCATTTAACCCACTTAGACTCATACGGCCATTTTCTAACATGTATACATGGTGTCTCGTTTTCAACTCTCGAACCTGCATCGCGCTGAGTCCCGTATAGCTAAACATACCGATCTGCTGTGCGATATGGCTCCAATCACCTTCCACACCAAGCTTCTCCAACTCGACTTTCAGCAGCCATCTCACACCTTGGATCCTTGAAGCCATGGTCTTGATATCTTCCTTCCATTTCAAACACATGTCGGCGTCAGTAAGGACTGTGTTTACGATCCTCGCCCCATATAATGATGGACACGAGATTTCAGAGCGGGTCAATCGGATCAAGTGCGTCATCGCTCCCTCTGGCGATATCGAAGGGGCGGTTATGAGATGCAAAGCCCCGACACGCTCACCATAAAGGCCGAAGTTCTTAGACAGTGATTGGCAGACCAGCATGCCTGTAGGTACCGATAGATCCGACGATGATGATCCAAATAACGTCGAGTAGAAATATCGAACTGGCCATGCATCCGCATCCGCATCACCCGAAGCAAAGCCCTGGTATGCGCAGTCAAAAACGACGAAAAGCCGTTTATGCCTCACCACCTCCGCAATCTTCTTCCATTGCGACTCAGTGGGATCGATTCCTGTTGGATTATGGGCGCAAGCGTGGAGAATCACGACGTCATTCTCCTCTGCCAATTGTTCCAATGCCTCGATCATACCATTGAAATTGAGCGACCGCGTTGCCGGATCATAATATGGGTACAGCCTGCGTGCGATATTTGGCCCAGCCACTTCCCAGATGAGATGATGATTATCCCAGGTCGGATCGGAGATCCAGACATTTTTAGGGCGCAGATAGCAAGCACAGAACAGGGCAGCAAGGTGGTTTGCTCCCGTGCCAGCAATTGTTTGAATACTGGTAATGTTCGATTGCTCACCAATTTCTGGGCTGAAGAGAAGTTGTCGGGCCTGTTTCAGAAACTTAGAGTCTCCCGATATTGGAAGATACTCGTGGTTTGCATGTTGACGATGAAGACTTTCTTCGGCCTACAGAATGGTTAGAGGTTTGCTACCGGGGGAGTTATGCAGCTGGACTGAAACTGACTTGTCTAACACTAGGCAAAACCCAAGGTTGGCAGTTCCCATCACGATAGACTCCTTGTCCGAGATTGACCTTTTGCAGACAGTTGTCTGCATCGTAGGCTGCCGTCAATGCGAAGGATTCAGCCAGCGGGAGTACTGGAAGCTGGTCGAGCTGGAAATCCGGCATTCTGCAGAGTTGAAAATCGCGAAACAAATGCAAACAGTTAATTTACCACATGAATGCCTTCTTTTTAACTCTTTGATTATTTATCTTGAACAATGTAAGAAGGCAACGCTCATCCAGACCTCTTATTATCTACTTCTCCGCTCGGTAAAATTGTCAAGTTGCCGACGAATCGGTATCGGGTCCTGAAGCCAGTCCCCATCAGCCATACAAGCAGTGTTTGACGAGCTGCTTGTACACCTGGACGCTTTCTGTAAGCTCGGTGATATCAATTTGTTCTTTTTCCCCGTGTGCGAGCAAGATAGATCCCGGTCCATAGAGGTACTTTTTATGGTCTCCCTGTAGTCGCGGAGCGTCCGTTCCAAACGCCACAGCCATCGTGCCCAGGCCAGGCACGTCATGATCTAAATACATCTCTGGGTAGCTGAATTTCTTCTTTAGTCGCACCGTCTCATATCTTGACACCGCTTCCTCGACCAATCGCTCAATCTCAGGCAAATCATTAGCCACGCGGACGGCGCAGAGTGCTATGCATTCAGCAGCTAAGATATTGTATCCCACACCTCCTTGGATCTGTCCACAGTGAAAAGTAGACAGCCCGATGGTATCGGACGACGGAAATTGAATCTTATCTATTTCAGACAGAAGAGATGCCATCGTAGCAATCGCACTGCAACCCTGCTGAGGATATCCTGAATGGGATGGGATACCTTTGCTAATGAGCTCAAACACAAAGTGTCCCTTGTGGCCAACAGCAAGTTTCCCCTCGGTCGGCTCGCCAAATATTACGGCATTCCAGGACAAATTCATATTGTTGGCGGCCAGCATACCCGGGCCTCCTTTCTCTTCTCCTACGACGAAGAGCAAGGATACATCGTCTGGCTGGACGAGGTTCTCTTTGCGAAGCTCTTCAAGGGCCGTGACTTGAGCGGCGAGTGGACCTTTGTCATCGCAAGCCCCACGTCCATAAATGACTTGCTCGGTCACCCGTACAGGAATATGGGGCGGAACAGTATCCATATGCGAGGTCAGGCAGACCTTTGTCTTGCGCGAAGACCCAAGGTACGCATAGACGTTGCAGCGAGAGCTATCGGGGCTAATAGGGATCCGCTCAACGGTATATCCCAGAGATTGCAGATGGTGCTCGATATTTAGACCGATGGCGTATTCCTCATCGCTGGTGGAGGGAATATTCATGAGGTTTTCGAGCAGAGTAACAACCGAATTGTTCGTCATTCTGTTCGCCGGGTTTGTAAATGATAGATACGCAAAGATAAAGTTGTATGTCGTCCTCTCACAAGTTAGCCTTGTTCGTCTTTTGAAATTGAAATTTAACGTATTAAAATAATCAAAACGATCGGTCTGGGTCAATCTAGGCCGGGAAAGTGACCGGTGGTCCTGTGTGGTTAACACCCAACGAGTCTGTTCGGTCGGGCCCATATTCCGAGTGGCGAGCATGTTCTAGCTTTGAACGTCTCACTCGGCATGATAACACGATCCCGAGAGGTCAACTTCCAGTGATCAATTGATAAATTTCAAATTCTAGAATCATAAATGCAGTTATTATTATATTCATGACCCTCCAAATAGAAATTCATCCCCCAATTCGCAGGCCAAGTCTCTCAAGGATTGGTCTTCGGGAGGCATTCCGTCCGCCCACATAAATCCCTTGTCAGCAAGAAAGCTATCTATTAAAGGGTGATCCAATGGAACACCATCACCGAATCCCAAGGCTGATCCATCCACTTGCTGATCCATCTGCATATCCATCGACATGTTTCCATCCGCGAACGCCAGTGAGCGCGAACATGTCTCGCTGTTTTCTCGCATCTTTCCAACGCTGGCCCTGGTACGCTGCAGTCTCTCAAAATAGTCGCAACTAGGAAGATTTCCATCTTCTTTCATTGAATGAAGAATAGTGAATGCATAAGAAACCGCATCTGACGTGGCCACGTTGGGGTCCAGGACAGCTGACATGATTAGGATCAAAGTGGACGAAAAGAGATAATGTGCATCAAAATATCCAAATGATGCAAGGGAGCCTTCCACAAACAGTCGTGATAGAATGGAGTTCGATGCCCTAGCCGCTTGTACGCAGCTTTCAGCCAAAGCCAATGTTGTAGGTGAGAATATTCTGGGGTGTGTCTCCCTTAATGGATCCGTGAGAGAAAAGCGGTTTTTGAAAAGGTACAACAATATTGGTCTAGTGGTTGATATGACGCATTGGTTGTAGTGTAAATGAAGGCTTGTGACATTGCGAGGTACATACTCCTGTTGCAAAGTCAAAGATAGAGGCAGCTCTTCATCCCATCTTCTCAGGCTCAGAAGAATCCGGTGGACTCTTTGGACAAAAATCTCCTGTGTTCGCTGTGGAAGACAGTAGACATCAGTAGCTATGAAATCAGTAAAGAAAATTTGCATTATGAATCAATGGGTGCTGCCCGTACTGATTTGTCCGGTGATCCTAGCCAGCTTGATATTTGCAGTCAAGTGGCTGGGATCTGAGAATTCTTCCAGTTGGCTTCGACTCAACCCTTCATTTGTCGGAAGTTCCACATCAATTACCAAGTCACTTACAAGTAAAGGGTAGCCGAGAATTGAACTGCAGAGCCGGTCGAGAACATACAATGTCCACCAGACCCGCTTTCGATGCTCTCGTTCTACCGGGCTCAAAATGGTGTCTGTTGGGAGGCTGCGATGGAGGCCTAATCCCAAGGCCATCCTCATTGCAATGCCACTGTAGGTATAAGCTGATTTCGTGCGCCCGAGGGTATTCGCATAGAAGCACTAGGTGATTGCAATCAGCTATCTGTTGACTGATAGCATCGACGGAATAGTATAGCCGCGTACAAACAGAATCATGATTTCTACCTGTTCTACCGACGCTTCCTCATACTGGTCTTGCAATAATTCCACTGCTTGAAGAAAATAATCGGTTCCAGGGACGTGTTGGTGTGCTGTTCTCCGTTTCCGGTTCGAGTACATTTCACCTAATGCCAATAGAACGTAGAATTTGCACATCCAGGCTGTATTTTGATTTTCAACCCTTTTCCCAGTGCATGTTTGGTCAAGCTTCTCAAAGAATGACCTTTTGAGTACCAAATGATAATCAGTACCGATAAATCGAAGAGCGACCTCCGCTAGCAATCTCGATTGTATTCGATCTGGCAGGTCCACCTCTGGACGTATAAGACGATGAAAAGTTTCGTGCTCAAAGAATGTCCGAGGTGGCCAGGACGTAAGATCTGCATCCTTGTCAACACATTGCAGAAGTGTATCCCCAAAGGCAACGCAGGAAGCCTCGCCAATGAAGACCGGCTGAGATGAGGATCCCGCCGCGACAAACCCAGTGGGCGATTCCAATAGGGGGTTGGAAACATCTGTGTCTGGGACATTGGTCACCGCTGAAAGGCTTTTATCAGGGATATTATCAATCACTTCGGAGTTTCGAGATTGGGTTCTCCGTCGCTCCTGTTGGGCCTTTAGTTCTTGAACTTCTTCCTCCAACCTTTTGATGTAGCTTAAGAATAATCACATCAACACCCATTATATATTTCTCCAAAAATAAGATATGACTTACGTCTCCGATACGGTTACTTTCCGATCTCGTGCAGGGAACTCGCATTGGTCATGATTTTGAGATATGCAGCATGCCTGACAAGGTCGGGTTCCCGAGCACTTGATCTTCTGTGAATTGCATCGTCGGCACCTATGAATATAATATCGCGTTAGAGGCATCTCTTGAATTGAATCATCTGCAACTCACGCTACAAATATTCGTCTTCGCCGTCTCGACGGGGTGTTTTGTTTAGGCATCATTAAATGAGGGGGTTTGGGGCAGGAAAGAGGAGAGCGACGCTACTGGAATGGTGGGTTGTTATCTGCGGAGAAGCTGATGCGGCCCCAAAAGATAAGCGCGCGGCGATAAAATCCAAGGTGTAAATACAGTTAGTGCACTGGTACAGTTCCTTCTTTCTATGAGCCCCACGCATCTTGTCGAGTGGAGTAAATCTTGGATGGGAATTCCGGGCTCTTCCCGGCTATAGAGAATATCTAAAATACACATCGTAGTCTCCTTTCTCTGGCCTGTTTTCTAACACCTCGCCTGCTTCCTCGGCTCTCTGGATCTTTGCTGCTCTCTTTCTATTCACCACGGTCATTCCAATCATCAAGGCACCAACCATTACTAATGCGACAACCGCAAGACCTAAACTAATAGATAGACCCTTGATGTAACGCGGTGCCGACTGGGTTGTGAAGATTTGGCCCACAGCAACTCCTGCCGTATTTCCAAAACATAGCGTCATACCTACCATTGTCGCACGCCTGAAATGACGCGCTGTGTTGTCCTGGAGCCACATGAGTGACAATCCTGTTGTCGGGTAGATACCGAGTGCCACAACTGACAAGATTTGATTAGATACGCTTAATCCACGGTTTTTCTAAGATATCAACCTACCGAAGCATGCAAAGAATCTCACTTTCACATTTTCCACTGAGATCAAGATTGCATATCCAATAATTAGACATAGCAAAGGCCCAGCAAGGAATGGACCTCGCAGTCCAACGCGATCCGAGCAGTATGCGATTGCAAGAAACCAAATCAGTCCAACCATATAAATTGGAACGGTCATCAAATTTGCTTGGACTCCCGAGTATCCAAGCCCGGAAACGATCTTCGGCAAAAATGTCGTGAATCCATATAATGAGATATCCACGCTGAACTGGTAGGTCCAAAACGCGTACCATTTGGGGTCGGTGAATATACTCAAGGAATCAGCCCAGGTAAAATTTTCGTCTTGCCCCCAGTGCGGATCATTGTCGTAACGAGCTTGCATCAATGTTTTCTCTTCTGCAGTGAGAAACCATGCCAAGGTGGGATGTTTGGGGAAGAGAAAAAGAAAGAGAGGGACTAGAACTAGGGTCATAGCACCTTCGACGGCAAAGAGCCAACGCCATCCTTCCCACCCATTCGGCCCGTGAACTTGAGTAAGGCCATATGCGAGAAGTCCACCAAAAGCACTTGAGAAGGCACTGAATGCAAAAATCGTGGCCGACCGCTTTCCGCGCTCGCTCTTCTTATACACCAGAGCAATATACACATTAATACACGGTATAAGTCCGGCTTCGAAGAATCCCATCAACAACCGGCAGGCATACAACCCTTGCCAATTCTTTATGAATGCTATCAGGAAAAATATTAATTGAGCGAGCCCAAAGGTATGAAAATTCACGTCTACTATGCACTTACCCATGCCTAAAGTGGTAACCCCCCAGCAGAATGCGCATGTAGAGAGCAGTGGCTTGGGGCCGATGATTTTCAAGAGCACCGCTATCGGTCCCTCAAATGGAACGTAAGTCGCATAACTGCCGATTGTCATTAGCAACAAAAATCAAAAAAGTCAAAAGTCCGGGCATTCTTACAGGAGAGTTGTCGCTGTGCCAAATTGATTACCAACAAGACCCAAGTCCTCGGGCATTCCTGCTGTATTGGCATTTCCAATATTGGACCGGTCCAGGTTAGCCATCATATAAAACAAGCCCAATAAGCCAATTGCGAAGAACTGCGTTATGGATCAGTGGCTGTTCTCGAATGTAATAATAGACACCTCACGTCAAATTTCCTCATCATTCGCCGTTCCTTGACTGGATCGATGTAGATTCCAGCTGTACCCTCATCTGTATCGGGATCATAGGCTTGAGCCGTGTGGCTTTCTTTTGGGCCTTTCATTTCCATTGGTAGATTATGAAATGGGATTGCAGGGGGGTAGGAGGTAATTGATATTAATTCGTTACTTTTAAGTCATACGCTCAAATATAAGGTCACCTATGCAGGTTGGAAGCTTGCTAATCCCAAGGCTAGACCAGCATTATCAACACAATTACTCTCTCCAATATGTTGGTATTGTCTGGTCCTGATAGGAACTGATAACAGAGATAACCCCAACATCTGTATTTGTTTGGCCCGATCGGCTTGAGCACCAAGTTGCCGGTCCAATCGGCTTTAGGTGTGCCGGGCAAACGTGGGTAAATGTCCAATAGCCGCCTTCTCTCTTGATCAAAGTAATTAGAAAGCTCTCACTACCGAATAGATAATCATTCTCTATTATTCATTCCTCATTAATCTTTGGTTCGTATACTTTCACGAAAAGAATCAGTCGTATGGATTACCTAGAGCATCTCAAGTGGACTTCGGGTTCGCTGTGTCTTGGTTCTACCCTCATAGCCGGCTCGATATGGATCGTCTACCAGCACTTATGCGCTTCCAATACAGGCGCAGATTATGCTTCACGAGTTGACCACATACTGAGCACTACACCACTAGTTGACGGCCATAATGACTTGCCATACCTGCTTCGCGTCGAGCTACAGAATAAAATCTACTCTGACAGGTTTGCCTTTCGTGATGGTACGGAACAACTAAATTTTTTTGTTCAAGCTAGGGCTAATAAGAGGAACACCACAAATATAGGCCTAGCCAGTCACACTGATCTCAAACGTCTGCAACAGGGCCGGGTTGGAGCTCAATTTTGGTCTATTTTCGTTGAATGCCCAGACACGCAGAAAATTGATGATCCGAGCCATGTTGTGCGCGACACACTTGAGCAAATAGATGTAGCTCGTCGTTTTATTGATATGACTCCCGAGCTCAAATTTTGCTCGACAGTTTCTGAAGCTGTGAAGGCTTTCAAATCTGGCAAAATATCATCTATGTTGGGCGCAGAAGGTCTGCACCAAACTGGATCATCAATCGCAGTGATCCGTCAGCTATGGGATGCAGGGGTTCGATACATTACAGTTACTCACAATAGTGACAATGCCTATGCAACCGCAGCAGCTACTGTGACTATGTCTAACTCAGGTGAAGATGCAGGCCTGTCGTCCTTTGGAGCATTGGCAATCCGTGAAATGAATCGGCTTGGTATGATGGTAGATTTATCTCATGCGTCGCATCAGACCATGAGGCAAGTCTTGGAAATTGCTCGATCGCCCGTCATTTTTAGCCATAGCACCTGCTACGCCATATCCAAAAATTATCGCAACGTGCCAGATGATGTGATCAGATCGTTAAAGACCAACGGAGGAGTCTTGATGGTGATGTTTGTCAAACGGTTTCTCAACGCGAGGGACCCCGATTCTGCCGATATCGAGACCATCGTTGATCATGTCATGCATATTGTGGAGCTTTCTGGCTGGGACCATGTTGGAATTGGAGGTGATTTTGACGGGACAGTAACCTTAGCTAACGGCATCCACTCCGTCGCCGATTATCCCAAGCTGATAGAGGCGGTGATGCGAAGAGGGGCCACAGATTTACAGGTGAAGAAAATGGTTGGTCAGAATATTTTGAGGTAAGAAACCCATTTTGTGATCCGATATGCACAAATTGAAGATTAATTGGACTTCCTAGAGCTTGGAGAGAGAACGAACGGAACGCTCAGAACTTTGTGAATGAGAAGCCGATCGAGGATGTTTGGGAAGGGCGGAGTTGGTCAAGGTGGAATAACCCATTACCAAATATGATTCCTAATAATCCTGATCGTTTACCCGCTCAAGACTATCCATGAGTAACATTGAGCCTGTTGGTTCAACAGGTATTAGCTAAATCCTATCATGAGAACTTGGTGCAAGTCGGCAAGAAGAACATTGGCCTTAATATATTGAATATGCAGCTAATAGAAAGCTGGAGAGCATTTTTTATCATCTAAATTTCATTCTATTGCATCTAAATCTTCATATACAATATCAATATTCAAGGTAAACGCTCTAATTACCTGTGGCCGTCGAGTTCTTCTCCGTCAGACTCCCTTGTGTCCGTAGAAGTGCCGAACCAGGAACGAACTTCTCTTTGATCTTGAAGATATCCATGAACTCTTTATCTTTTTTCATTGGGTTGCGACCATAGCCACCACCACCAGGTGTCTGCACGATGATATGATCACCAGCATTCATGTGGGTCGTTGCTTTTCCACCCAAGCTGATTAAACGACTGGTTCCATCCAGATATTTTCTCAACCAAAGATTAACGCCCCGACTGCCCTCTTCGCCGCCAGCCATTCCATACGGAGCAATCACACGTCTCTCGGACAAGATCGATACTTGCATAGGCAGCCGGAACTCGATATCGCGAATGCATCCATCGCCGCCATGGTGTCGACCCGCACCACCGCTACCTTTGCGGATAGAGAACTCATGCAGAATGACCGGATATCTTCTTTCGAATATCTCTGGATCAGATATGCGCGTGTTGGTAATGTGCGTATGCACACCACTTTCACCATCCCAATCTGCTCCAGCCCCGGCCCCGCCGGCGATAGTCTCGTAGTACCCAAAGCCTTTTATGACTTTACCGGTGGTTGAGTCTGTGCCACCATATCCAAAGGTGAGATTGTTGCAGGTACCCTGTGAGGCAGCTGCAGCACGGAATGCCTTAAAAATCAAATCCACGATACGCTGGGACGTTTCGACATTAGATCCCACTGTTGCCGCTTTAAGTGACGGGGATAAGAGAGTGTTGGGCGGGCAGATTAACTTGATAGGTTTGAGGCAGCCTTGATTCAATGGAATATCGGATGATATCATTGATCGAAGGCAATACTAATATGACGTTAGAATATCATTATATCCTTATTTATTTTTTTCAGATAAGGAATGCTCCACTCACCATGATCCCGGAGTACATAATGGCCGGAGGGCAATTCAAATTGCCAAAATGCTCTGGTCCAGTACCTGTAAAGTCAAAAATAGCATCTCCACAGCCTTGGTCAATCGTTATCTTCAAAGCTAATGGGGTCCCGTCGTCGATGTAGTCGACCGCTTCGAGGGGTTGCCCTTCAAATCGGTGAGCGATTATCTTGAGTAGATCACGAGTCGATTGACTAGCATTGTCTTGAATTGCTTTCATATAATATTCAACCACTGGCCACGTGTATTCTTTAATCAAGGCTTTTATCAGATTGATCCCCTTGTTATTAGAAGCAATGGCAGCTTTGAGATCGGCGATATTGTCGCGAAGTGTGCGGGTACCACTAGACCCTGGATATGACGCAGGGATATCGACCAAGACTTCGATTAAACCCGGTTCGTCAAAATCTCCTTCTTTGACGATCTTGAAAGATTCCACTGCGGCACCTTCTTGCCAGAGCTCGGTAGAATGAGGAGGCATGGAACCAGGCTGAATACCACCAATATCTGCGTGATGCCCTCTATTTGCAACAAAGAAGAGAACTTTCGTCGGATTTTCGTCGTCATCAAAGACAGGCGTTGTAATGGTCAGATCTGGCAAATGAGTACCACCAGCGCTAGGGTGATTGCTGAGAAGCACATCGCCAGGCTTCAATTCACCGGGGTTATAGCGACGGGCTTGATACGCGATCGCATAGCTCATCGAGCCCAGATGACCGGGAATATGGGGCGCATTCGCAACCAAGCTACCATCTCCCGCAAATACAGCACATGAGTAGTCCAATCGCTCTTTAATATTCACCGAAACTGATGTTTTTTGCATGGTCTCACCCATCTGCTCCGCGACACTCATGAAACGATGACCGAAGACACTAAGCTGCACCGGGTCGACAGCATCCGTGCTAATTTGAGGCTTCTCCGTCCCTGAAATATCTATCACGACGTGCTCGGGGAGAATTATAGCCTCGCTCGCAGGGTCAACAATGATAGTTTGGGTTTTGTCGATGACCATGGCAGGTCCGTTGATACGAGTGCCAACTGAGAGATTCTTCAACGAATAGAGGCCAACTTCAACCCAGCCAACCTGTTCAAAATAGACTTGAGTGTTCCGGCTTGGTTTGATCGGGGTTGCAGGAGGAGATTTTGCGAGACGTTTAAGCTCCGCTGATGGGCTAGAAAGCGTGACGTCCATCCCTTTCCCAATGCTCCGCACGCGAACATCATCGATCAGGATCTCTCGCGGTTGGGTGAATCCAAACTCCTGCTGATGGCGATTAATAAATGCTTGATCAAATTTGGACACGATTTCTGGTTTTTGAATCATCAATGCTGTATCACTGCCCTGGTATCGCATGTTTAAGAAGAGTTCATGGCAAATCTGCGTACTCGAAAAGCCTTGGGAAACAAGGCCGGCGACACCGGCATCTTTCAATCTCTCGAATCTCTCTTCTAGTCTGGGGATAGCTTCCACACTAAATGAGGTAGCTTCGGGCTCTTGGTTTTCGACTACAACGTCAGCAAGAGCCATGCCATAAGCCGATAATATACTAGAATATCGAGGGATGAGAGCTCTTCTAATACCAAGGTCTCTGGCAATAGCAACAGCGTGCTGGCCACCAGCACCTCCAAAGCAGCACAGATTGTGGGCGGCAGCTTCAAACCCTCTACCTTCACTCAGAGTGCGAATAGGTCGGGACATGGTCGCGTTTGCGATTGAAATAAATCCGACGGCCACTTCTTCAGAGGTCAGTTGGGGCGAGCCATCTTTCTCACTATTTATGACAGCCGTGAGGGCGGAGAACTTGTCCTTGACAACAGTGAGATCAAGAGGCATTGGAAAATCATCAGGAATAATTCTTCCAAGGAAGAGATTGGCGTCCGTCACGGTCAACGGGCCTCCTTGTCCATAGCACGCTGGACCTGGGTAGGCACCGGCACTGTGAGGGCCAACTTTGAAAAGACCATTTTCCCAAAAGAGCATCGATCCGCCTCCTGCTGCGACAGTGTTTATATCAAGTTGGGGGGTCTGGATAGTGACTTGCGCGATGGTACTTTCAAAAATATGCTGTAGGGCACCATCATATCTGGCAACATCAGTGCTAGTACCGCCCACTAGACAGTCGTTACGTTAGTTCTATATAATCCCCAAATAGGTCGTTCCTATTTCATGCTCCTCGACATAGAGTGTTTTTTGACTTACTATCAAATGCCAACACGGGCGTGCAATCTTCTTCATCGTAGCATGTCCTTGACATGCCAACCACACCACCAGCTGGCCCGCTCAACACTCCCCGTAGACCGGAAAAGTTCGTGATAGAGGTCAATCCTCCATCTGATTGATTCACGAAAACCTTCTTGGCATGTTCATCTTCCAGTCCGCCCTTGAAACCCTTCCGGAATCCCTTCAAATACTGCTCAGTCACCGGTGAAAGGTAAGCATCAGCCACCGCCGACTGGCTGCGGGGGACCAGCTTAGCCATAGTCTGCAACTCAGATGATACGGCCACTTTGAACCCAAGCTCCCTCGCAATGGCTGCTACGGCAATCTCATGCTCTTGGAATGTGTAGGAGTGCATCAGCGCAACGGCGACAGAGCGATAGCCCTGCTCCCAGACAGCGAGTAGGTCTTTTCGAACTGCGTCCAGGTCCGGGGATCGCAAGACACGCACAGCTTCACCTGTTAATCCGACTTTCAGGGCTGGGTCTGAGTCAATGCCAATTGTCTTTGGCTCAGGGTCCTCCGAGAATCCCTCGATCGTCACTCTCTCGTCGATCTCGACTACAGTCTCGTACAACTGGGTGAGGCGTTGCACGGACAGATCAAAGATATTAGGGCGGGCTTGGTTTCCAATCTTAAGTAAGTCCCGAAATCCCTTGGTGATCAACAAGGCAACCCGCTCCCCTTTGCGTTCTAGCAGTGCATTGGTGGCCACTGTTGTGCCCATGCGGATGGACTCGACAGGGCTGAGGTCCAACAATGTTCCCCGCGGAATAGGTGATCCGCCTGCAATCTCGAGAATTTGCCGGATACATTCTGTAGGTGCATCCTCATATTGCTGTGGAGATTCAGACAACACTTTGAAGATGATATCTGAGGATTGTCCGGGGATTTGAGCCCAGGCGTCGGTGAACGTGCCCCCGCGGTCAATAGCGATTCGAATTCCCGGCGTGGTCATGTTTCTGTTGGGGATATCTTCTTGCTAATGAAGAGAATTTTTTGGCAGAAGATTGCGAAAAACAGTGTCTTGCTGTTACAGTTTATACCCACCCACCATCATGGAGCTCCTGGGTCGGACAGTACTCCGCAGTTGCGGTTCGGCTGGCAACCCTCTTGCCCAGTTCTAAATCGACTAGATCAGTGCCCATGCATTGGTCTTTTGGTCGATAGACCCAGTATCCACTCGGTAAGTGCCCCTGTCGAACCGGGAGACAGGCCGATCGCCAGCCGGCAAGTCCAACTCGAAGCCGACCCCCGCACAGAGACGATAAGTGACGATAATAACGACAACTCACCGGCCTGCAGTCTTCGCCGCAGACCCCACAGAAGGAACAGTCTGTATGGGCCGAGCTAGCGATGTAGAAGAATTGTGAAGGCACCCATGCCACCTCCCGCTGAAGCAACCCATAGACACCGACCGCCATGATGGTCGAAAAGCCCGTCGTCCTCCTGATCGAATCCACCGTCCAGCAAATAGACCAAGCCAGGCGCCAAGCTTTGGCCCAAAAGGTTTCCTTCTTGACCTATGACTGCGTCTCAGTCGACGAATTTATCGCCCGCCTCCAACCTGGCGGGCCTTATAACAAGATCACCGCGATCGTGCGCACAGGCTGGCTGAAAGCCGGCCCATATGCGGCGCATCAGACCTTTGCCAGCAGAGTCATTCCACACCTGCCGCCAAGCTTGAAGCTGATCTGCTGCAGCGGGCATGGCTACGATGCGGCGGACATCCCGGCCCTGACAGCGCGGGGCATCTGGTACTGCAACACGCCGAATGCATGCACAGAGGCTGTGGCAAACACCGGCATCGCGCTTGTACTCGAAACATTCCGGTATCTGAGCTTCGCGCAATGGTGTGCACGGTATGACTGGCCGAAGAGCCGTGAGCTCGGACTAAAAGCGGTTGACCCGGCGGGCAAAGTGTTGGGTATGATCGGGATGGGTGACATTGGGCTTGCAATTGCCCAAAAGTGTGAGGCGGCGCTGGGGATGCAGATTGTGTATCATGGCCCGCGAAGGAAAAGGCAGGAGGAGGCGCAGTTGAAAAGCGGTGCGCGATATTATTCAGACTTGATAGAGATGCTATCCGCAAGCGATTGCGTTGTGGTAGCGGCGCCATATACCCCAGAGACACACCACTTGCTTTCGCACCGAGAGTTCCAGGCGGCTAAAAAGACCGGCCTTCGTGTGGTGAACATTGCTCGAGGTAAGATCATTGATGAGGACGCACTCGTTCTTGCTCTCGAGGCAGGACAGGTCGTGGGGATAGGGCTCGATGTGCATGCGAATGAGCCCAAGGTACATGAAAATCTGAGAGAAAATTGGATGGTCACCCTCCTCCCGCATATTGCAGTATGTTCGAAGACCAGTTGGGCCAATTTCGAGCGTCAAACGTGGGACAACCTGGAAGGGTTTCTTCGGGATGGCAAGCCTGAGAAGCCGGTCAATCAATGTTGATTGTCGAGGGATGAGCCCAGGAGTTCATGTGGGTTACTTTCTAGCATAGGTTCGAGCAGGTAGATAATGGATCGATGAAATTAAATAGTGAATGTCAAATGTAAAACATTGGCTAGAACCTCTAAATTTAAACTCCAACAAATAAAGGAGAAAATGCACCAGAAAACCGATAGATGCGAGTTATGCAACCAATTCAATGCGTCCCTCGCCGGCCATAAACCGAATCACAAAATCAGGGTATCGTAGTCGTGAGAATCCGGCGAAAATAGCAATATATGCATGCAAAAAGAGAACAAAATCATGATCAAGCCCGAATATTCCAAGTATCTTTACAGGCGACGTACGCCAATCCGTGGCTTTGGTTTCGGGACACCAGCTCTGCGCCCACCCAATCCAGCTTTCTTCATGACTTTGGAAGGGTGTGAGGAATCCGACGTGGAATATGGGGCAGACAAGTTTGGGCTCAACCCCGAAGCGATCGTATTAGCGCTATTGCCTGGCCTCGCGGGATATAGATCGCACTTCTCCCGCAAGCCACTGGTGCCTGCATCGCAGTTTTCTTTGCCATCCGCATTATATCGCGTTCTGTCCGGGACGTCCTCGTAGATCTGGAGGTCATCGCGAAGACGGAATGGTGCATTGACAGCCCTGGCAAGTGTCAATTTAGGAGACTTGCGCTGTGGAGAGGTGGGTCGGTGGATGCGCGTATTGTTGGCGGAAATGTTTTGTTCTGAGGCGGTCACGCTCGGGGTCTGTTGCACCTCGCACTCTGAGTCTGAGTCTACAAGCATCATATCCACATCGGGATCCTCGGGGTAAGGGATGGAGAGGACAGAAAGGGGGCGCTTGCCATGCGCATTCTTGCGCGGGCTGGCTGGTGCCAGGCAAACTGGGACTGGGGACAAGGAGGGGTTGTTCTCTTTGCTTGCACTGGCGGGATCTTCATTTTCGCTGTCACTCATGGTATCGTTCGCATCGTGTAGAGGGGAATGAGAATATTCAGTCGGGGTGGTTCTTCGGACTATCTTTCTGGGTATGCCAGAGTGTAGGCGTTGTTGTTTTCGTGGGCGCAAAGAATGGCTTGATTCGTTCTGACGCTCGGTGGGTATTGAGTTAAGGTCTTCGCCTCGGTTTTTGGCCTCCTTCACCATCTCTTGGAGGTCCAATGGGATCGGGGCGTGGATTGAGGTCATAAGTTTTGCCTGGTGGGCGAAATTGCCATAGTCTTCCCGGAGTAAGGTTCCTGCAGATGAATTGAGAGCAGAGTCGGGGTTCGGGTGGATGAGGAGACAAGAAATGGTCTATTCGACAGGACAGATAGTCAGCCACGGCTGGCCTCGTTGTTGGACTGAGTTATTTAGGGCTTTTACGGCATAAACTTACTACAAGCACATCGCGTAAAGTGAGCTTGGACTGCCAGTCTCTCTTGAGGGTGTCCACACAAACAGCGCCCGTGAGCTCCTCCACGTTCGGATGCCAAATCCGGGTACGGAACGTGGCCTTGGGTGGGCTCTGGGGGTAATCTTCGGGCATCTTAAGATTTAGGCGCCATATCCCCTGTGCATAGGGTGTCCCTGCGGGACCCGTAAGGAGGAGGGTGAGCTGTGATAAATCATCGGGCGCTGCAAATCGGCCATCATCCGGTGGGAATAGGTAGTACGGCGGGAGTTTGTTGCTGTGCAAGGCAGCATGATCTGCAGCCAGACGGCGCAAGTTGGAAACCTGGAGTCACCAAGTCAGCTTTTGTTATTGTGGAATTGAGCGCTGGTGTTGATCATCCATGTGGGGACTCACCATATTGGGGTGGGGATGGATGTTGTGATGAAGCTTTCCGGCGAGGCAAAACAGTCGGTTACTTCGTCGACGGGTTGTTTGGGGCCGCTAGTCCCGAAGCGGTGACGCGTAGATGACGCGACTTCGCGATTTCGCGTTTCCCATTACATTACCCGATCGGGAAGTTTGGGGGTGAACGCCGTCTGTGGCCATTGCGGTCAACGGATCACATTGGCGCATGATTCAGCTGATGAAGACCAGGAACATTAATGCTGGTGGATACCTCTCTTTTCTCAGTCGGTTGGGTATGATCACAATCTCGGAAGAGCCTTTCAGAGACTGTTCATGCAAGAGCTGCTTCTATAGGACCCATACACATTGTCAACTCAGCTCGTTTCAATCGCAAACGTCAAATAACTTGCCACAGTGGAATATCAAGTACTTTTCTTGCACGCCCAATATCAAAAAAAGTCCCCCCTCATTCCAATTGCAAATTGCAGACGAGTATACGAAGATATGCTAAGGTACTCCGATGCACTCATTGTCCGACAGGAAAACCTCAATATCAAGGAATGGCAGTCTTTCAACTTTGTATTTACCAAGAATTAAGCTAATCATCACCCATGAATGGCAGTGTTAAAAAGTAATGGGGCGGGAAATGGGTGCGCCGTGAGTATGCTGTCCGATTCACACGCAAGAAAAGAACAAACAAGATGAGAAGTCCTGATCCGATCCTTCAAGATGACGATGGATAACAAGTTCCTCCCCAGATTAAAATGCGCAGTAAAGAAAAAGAGAAGTAAAAGAAGAAGGGAAGCCTTTCGCCTGCATTTTCGTGTCCATCGTGCCATGGAACCCCCAGTCAAATGAAACCGGAGTCCACATCCAAAGATCTATGATCATAACCAGTCTGGTTAGGCCTCTTCTGAGCCCCAGATTCCACAGAGAAAAATATTTGTGGGGAGAGTCTCAGCTCCGGCCAACAGGGTCATAGATCACTGTGTTTCAACCCCTCTGGAGAGCTAGTTTACAGGGCGAAAACAGCCAGGGCAGCGAGACCAGCCAGGGCAGCAGGGCCGGCAGTCGCGATAGCGGCACCTCCAGTGGAGCTGGAGCTAGTGGCCGAGCTGGAAGAGGAGTCAGTGCTCGACGAGGAGGACGAGGTGCCCGTGGAGGTGCTAGTCTCAGTCGAGGTGGTCTTGCCAGAGCTGGTCTTGGCCGAGGAAGAGAAGCCGCTGTGGGTGGAACTGCTGCTGGGGAGGACACCCGAGGTCAAACCAGCGGGGATGGTGACGACGGCCGGCTGGGAGGTCACCACAGTCGGCTGGCTGGTGACGACGCTGGGCTGGCCGGTGACCACGCCATTGGAGTTGGTCTCAGTCAAGTACTGAGTGGCCGGGTTGCCCTATTTGCACCCGAGTTAGGAGATGTTGGGTGACAACAAGGCGGATAAGTTATCTCGTTTCCCAACCATGGGGGAAATACTTACCTCGCTACTCACGCTGGTGGTCTCAGCGATGGCGCCCATGGCCAGGGCAGACAGAGTGGCGACGATGATGGAGGCACGCATGATGATTGTGTGATGGGGTGGTATGATGGGTCAAGCAGGTCTCAATGACGGGAGAAATCAATGTATTGGCAAAGTAGAAACGACAGTCCAGTGCGGAACGAGCGTGGGCCGAGGAGGAGGAAGAGAGATTCAGGGTTTGAAGAGAGAAGGGGAAGTGGTGAGAGGAGCAGCTCTGGGGCATTTTAAAAGAGCAACACTCATGTCGGTTGTCACGGGAGACAGGAGGCGGCTCGTCGTGGTCCTGGGCCTCCTGGTCACTCCCTCCATAACGCCATCAGCCCTGAGAAAGTGACTTGTCTCTGGCGAGTGGACCAGTCATCGGGCGTGCTAGGGTCTAGCGCGTCTTGAGATCTGCAAGGTCGGCCGTTCTATTTTGGTTTGGATTGTGGTGTCTGGGGGTCACACCGGTTGGCTGCCGTGCAGCTTTCATGCGTAAGCTCGCCGGTTCGTTGTTTTGTTGTTTCGTTACTTCGTTGCTTCGTTGCTTTCGTTGGGAGGCTGTGTCCAAGCCACGGATCGGATGAGGATTCCCATACCTTTTGTGTTGAGTTTGCAGGCGAGGCAGACTTGAATGTGCCAAATTACAGTACAGCTGACCTGAAACATTTATTACAGAGTCCAAAGTCCGGAGGGACATTGCTTGGTAGAGATGATTCACAAGTTGTGGCAAGTCGAGAGTCTAAAGTCTGAAGTAAATCGTATACCTCGTCCTTCGCTAAGATTAGCAGTCGGGGCCCACCGTCAGTGCCCATTTGCCATTTTGCCCCCCCCCCCCCCCCCCCACTCAACAGACATCCGGACATTCTCAAGACCAAAAACCATGTGGCAGTCGGAGAAAGACCCGGCCTTGGCCTCCATAGCTGGTGGAGGGTCATTGGTCTATGGACCTGGTGTGTGTTTGGTCATTGTTCATCAGAGGAAACTGAGTCGAGAATCTTCAGTATAGTTTGGAAGCTCGACTGCTGGGATGTTTGGGTTTCAATTGCGACGCACATTGCCGTTTGGACTGGGGCCGTGGCGTTAGCGCGAGAGCGCCAGAGACTTTCCAAAACACCAAATAATACAAGTGGTGTCAATGGTACCATTCGTAGTATATTATTTCACGTAATACTGTCTTCTTCCATACTCTAGAGAAAACCGGAAGCTTCTCCGACTCCCAACTCCCAGCTCCCAACTCTTCTTTCCAAAAGGGCCGATCCCCCAGGCTAACTAGATATCCGGTCCGCCAATACCACCTCACACCCCCAACGTGAACTATCCTCTATGATAAACAATCATATAGTACTATATATAACTGCATATACCTAAACAGTTATTTCTATCTCTATCTATCTGTATATATTCTCAATGGCCAATTCCCGGGACGAAAGATCTGGAGGAACCTTGGATGCTCGTCCAAAGCTGACGCTACCTCGAAGGAAGTTTGGCTTGGCGGACGGACCGCGTGGAGGCCTACGAATTCCCTTCCAACTCGCGTCCAACGGGCCAGTCAGAGTCCTCCCACCCCCATCCCCTCCCCGCGCGCACGCCGGATGGCAACCCGGGTACTGTCGATCCCTTCTTGGTCCTCGTCCTCTATTCGTATGAATGGTAATAACCACGATGATCCCATCCTCATAAGAACTCTCATATACCATATACCATATACCATATACAATCATCACCGGAAGCTCTGTCGTACGTGGCGCGTATTGGCTGTCGGGTGAGACCGCCGAGCTAGAGGCGAAACAAGGAAATCCAGAACCCAGAAACTCGACAAGTGAGACATTCGCCCAGTCCCCGATGATGAGCTACTGGTGGCTGGTTTTTTAGCCTGTGAGGCCTGCATGATCTCCGGAGTGGATCAGCTCGAACTGTCGGGCTTCACTGCGACATGGTGCCATTTTAGCCAGATGTTCAGCCGTCCATACTGCCACGTCCCCATGCAGGTCGGCCTCCGCCTGTGATGTTCCCTGCCAGAAGGGGCTTGGACGCCCGCGCATGCATGCATCCGATTAGCAGAGGTAGACGCAGCAACAGGGTCAGAAGGTATAAAGTAAAAAAGGAAAGAAAAGAAAAGAAAGGAGAGAAGAAGAAGAAGAAAAACCATAAACCCTCCGTCTCGAATGATCTATTTGGCAGGGGCGCTTCTTGCCGTGACACTCACTCCTTCACCCCATATTCCGTGTCAATCAGACATCCCTTGATGTTTCTAGATCATACATTTTTTGTGGAGTACACAGAGTAAATATTGGGATAGTCAGGGAAGATAGATTGACCTTCCATCTGGATGTGATGTTGTAGCCCACTCTAATTCATACATACTATTACTTCTATTACATACATCGATGATTCCATTATTCATACCCTCGAATCCCCGGTACGAAGGATGATATACCCACAGCCCGTGGTTTCACACGCTTGTCGAAGGTCGAACAGGGCGTCGCACGCTGGAACCCTCGTTGATGTCACAGACGACGCTTACTCCAAAGTCCACCGAGACGTCGTAGTTCCTGCAGGGAACATTGATTAAGCTTGAATACATCGAGAGAGAAACGGTCCCTTGTCCGGCTTCATCGGTCGTACAACGGGCGACGCGTAGACTCTGTCCGGATCCGGGGAACAGGGGGCAATGAAGGTGGGTAAGAGAGACATCATGCAACTTAGAATGGCATACCAAGATACATCCTGACAGCCAAGAATCATAGTCAGGTACGTAAAATTTCGGATGCCGAACATATATGAGACGTCGAGTTGGAGCTGACTTGGCATCATGGTGGATAGATAAATAAGCCACATAGGTCCAGACCTGTAGGCAGCTGCAATAGAATTTACGAAGAGGGAGGGGGGGTGTTGAAGCTCAAAACATCTCAAAAATGGCTGACAAAACAAGCAATAGGCTACAATATGCTGCTGTGCATTACTCCTTGCAGATCAACATGTCTTTATTGTCTTTCTTGCCTTTATTTTGGCTTAACTCTTGCCTCTTTCCCACCCGGCTGATCGACACAGTCAAGGTGCCATTTGAAGCAGTGTGCAGCGATGTGGCTGACGGTAAATTGATATTTTCTTTACAGGCGGAAGGGCGCGACCATATTCATCTTCTGAGAGCCAACAGAAGAGCGACCCTTTCAGCTGCATCTCCGGAAGATCAGCAGAAATGGCCATTCATTCGACCCTCGCTCTCGATTGCCGCCGGCACTGCCACCACAAACATTCAATATGTACTTCTTTCCCACATTCGGTTCTCCCGGGAGAGGAGTGAAAATGATCAGACCTGGCTAGAAGTACGCCCACAGAATGGCGAGAAAGCGAAACAGTATCTTGATAGACAGGAATGTCATATCAGGTTGCTGAGCAATTGTCCGATCGGCAAAAGAAAGCTTTTTAGGCTGAGTAGTATTGATTGAAAGTCCCTCGCAGCAATGCATAATGTACAAATAATCATTGCATGTCATGTCACGACAATCCTGTCAGCCTCCATCAATCCTTGTTCACCATATCCTGTCCACGAATCCAATCCGCAAACTCCTTCCGCTTGGCCTAGAAGATACGGTTAGCTCCAGTGCAAAAAGTCGATGGTAGATACAGTAGTCCATTGACCCAGTGGAGAGAAAGGCAGTTGTCGGGTGCGCGTTTCAATTCAAATTTCACAAAACACCGCACGAAAACAACCGGATTCCTCCAGGGATCAATAGCACGAGCATAGAGAGAAGAGGGCCAGAATCTTACTCGCACATCCCAAAAACCATACCGCTCCTCCAGCCCCAGATACGGATTCCGGGCACCACCATCGCGCTCAATCTCGCCCGCCCAATCACGCCAGCCAACTGGCTTCAGCTTGTCCGCACCAAGCACCAGTCCCACAGATACAACCACCACGGCGACAAGGGTCTCAACAATAATATCGTGGGGTAAAGTGGCGATGCGCGCGCTGAAGAGCACAGTGTGCTCGTGGGCCGAGTACCCGCTGCGGGGAGGAACAGAGCTTCGGGTTAGCTGGGAAAGCCGCGAGAGAATTGGGTAGATTTGGAATTGAAGTTGTCAAGGGACGTACGCGTGAGCCAACAAGACCAGGCCAAAGAGAGTGACCACGCGCGAGAGGAAGCTCATGGCGAGGTCCAAAGGTGGTCAATTTGAGGACGGATTGAGAGAGGGGATCGAAGGAAATCGGCAGTCGATCAGAAGAGTGGCCTTTTCCAGTTCTCCAATTAACAGAAATGCAGATGAAAAGCTCCTTTGCCGAAACAGTGAGCGAGACAGATAGAGAGGGATGGTAGGCTGTGGAACGGAGCTGTCATAGGCAACTCGGGAGGTTCGCTGGTCGCAGGATTAGCTAATCACATTCTAAGTTAGCCAAGCACACACCCCGACGTGCTGGTCTTTGGTATTTGCCATTGGCCAGGGTTCGGTCTTTTGATGGGATTCTTTCCGAGAAACATGATTTTGGGTCATTTGATGTTCAAACAAATACTGGAGAGGGATGATTGCCGGTAATTGAATATTGTGAGGGGCATATCTTATAGTCTGTCTACATATCATCAATGCTCGGAATATATATAATTATACCAGCCATGGATTGAACAAACTATACGTATCAAACCTGGAATATGAAGCTTCTATTAGAGCGTAAAACGATCATTGTATATATAAACAATGTGATCGAGATATTGGGTATATGCAGCACAATGCCACCCCTCCAGGCAATGGCCTAAGAGGAATGCAGCGAGTATTTGCCACATATTACTGGCCGAACCCCGCGCTCAAACCTGCTATAACAGAAACCCCCCCATCACGCTTTACTTTGCCAGGTCTCCGAATTTGACACGCTATTCAATACATTCTTGATTACGAGCCATAAAAAAAAGGTCATAAAAATTTTTGGATTTTTTTCATCAAACCAGCCCTATTGAGGCTGGATTCTAGGTTCGTAACTATTTGGGGGGGGGGGTTCCTAACACATCAAAATTCCATCGTCACACCATTTCTGCTTCGTAAATGGGCATCTCAAAATCACAGCTTCTGCATGGCAGCAATGTCGGTGGACTGGACGTGGTCCTCATCCTCCTCGATCTGGGACTGCAGCTCATCAGTGGAGACCTTCTCGTCCTCGACAACCAAATTGATCTGGAGCTTCTTGATACCGAAGCCGACGGCGACGAGCTTGGAAGCACCCCACACAAGACCGTCCATCTCAATGGCACGGACGTTGGCCTCCATCTCCTCGAGGTTGGTCTCGTCATCTAGAAAAATGGAGTTAGTTTCAAGGGACTCCAATGCAAAATGCTTCGCAGGATCGGGATAGGGAATCACATACCCCAGGGCTTGACCTCCAGGGTGACCAGGGACTTAGCAGCGGGCTTGGGGCCCTTGGCGGCCTTCTTGGCCTTGTAGTCCTCCAGACGCTTGTTACGCTCGGCAACAACGGCGGCATCCTCCTCCTCAGAGTCGGAGCCGAAGAGGTCCTCCTCCTCATCGTCCTCCTCGGGCTTGTCCTTGGGGTTCACGGGCAGCTCAGTGGACTCGGGGCCATAGGCAGTGAAGGCCTGGGAGGCATCGCCGGGCAGGGCGGAGAACTCGCTCTCATAGGAAGCGATGTGCTTGTACCAACGGGCAACGTGGGGGTACTTGGCAGCGTCGGGGGCGGCGCTGAAGGCCTTGAAGGTCACAACATCGGCCTGGCTGGGCTCGTGGCTATCGAGAACAGTCAGCAAGCATGTCCACGAGATGGAACCAGAAGCAGAAATTTGCAATTGGAAAGTAATCAAGATCAGAGACGCGAATAAACGCATTGGATGTAGTCATCCGGCGGGGTCTTAATCCGCCTCCTAAACACGGACCAATTTTTTCTCATCATAGAAGTGGCGATCAAAACACATGGAGCCAAGCAAAGCGAGTGCAATGAACAGAAGAGCAGACGAATTGAAGGATTCATCGCGGGGGAAAGGGGGGTGGGAAAAATTTCTTACCCAACGATGTAGCTCCGGGTGGCCAGGTAGTTGTTGGCCACTGGGGCAACAGGTCAGTTTTTCAAGACACAGAAAGGAAAACGCCAAGGGAGCGCGTACGAGTCAGGCCGGCATCAGAGACGAAGTCGGTGAAACCCATTGTGAATGAAGTTTGGTTTTGGGGGGGGGAAGAGAGGTGGGAAGAAAGAAAAGGGGAAGTGGGAGAAACCGAGGGGTAAAGAGGGAAAGGTTTTTTTCGTTTAAATTGGGCGGGCAACGGCCCAGCCACGTGACCCGAGTCGTGACGGAGCTTGGTCCAGTCGCGGCGGAGCTGCCGCCCTGATGGGCCATTGACCGCCCGCGTGGTGGAGCTTTCGAGAAGCATCGCGATGAGATGCTCCTCCCGCGACGGTCGCAAAGTATTTGCCTCCCCCTAATTCCCCGCCAATTTCACCGCCCTCATCATACTCACCGCCTACTTGAAGCGCGTAGGACGTACGCGTATCATCGTAGGCGAGCATGCAGACGCTGTATTGTCCTTCTCCTATCCTCGCCTCTCTTCTCTTCTCTCGCCTTACTACTACTGCCATCAATATAGATGGGACATAATATAGGTATGTGCGATTTCTTAGCTATCGGATGGGGTTATAACTGCATTCGTACTGGTTACCCCCGCATCCCCTCTCAACTATCCTGTATACAGCTATAAAAGAGCTCAAGCGCCAAAACGACTTGTCCAAAAAACGCTATGACAGGCCACGAATTCTGACTATGACCAACTGTGTCATTAAGTTGAGCGCTATCAAGAAGAACCCAAACATCTTCTTGCGATCGTTTTTAATCGTGTCACATATTGCTCGATCTGGAAGCTTTTGAAAAAAAAAAAAAAAAAAAATAGGCGAAAATAGCGGGATATAAAGAAAATCCTTTGCAATGAGAACGCTGGGCACTGCGATACCTCTATGTCATACTCAAGATAAGAACGATAAAATTGTATTGGCGCAAAACAGCATAGGAAGAGTGAGAAGCACTGGACAATTGGCATTTTAAAGCATCTATCTGAAACCCTTCAAAAAATTCCGTCAGTATTTATTGAGTGGTATGTGGTATCTGCTCTGCTAGATAGAACTAGGGTTGCGAGAGAATCGTAGATGAATGTAATTGAAGGGTTTGATTTTTGACCGGCAGAATATTATATAATACCCAGTGTGGGGCCGAACACCTTTGTTAACGTCACTGTATAAAAGCTCCGGTCGAGACTCTGTATGTCGACGGGGATCTCTCGCACATTCTTCGCTCACCCAACATGGCCGCGAGATTGTCACTCACCTCACGCAGCTGCCACACGCTACGACAACTTCACTTCCTCGGCACCTCGAATCGATTACTATCGACAAGCTCACGCTCACGCTCGTCTTTGCGACTTCCTCAAATTATCGGAAATTCAGCGCTCCTGACCCCGTTGGCGAGAACGACTCTAGCTCTCCCAGTGCGTCATTATGCAAAGGGACGACCACATCCCCCGGGTGGGACCCATCGTATGGATATGAGTGGAGAGCCCGAGAAGTCAGCTTTGGAACAATACGGTGTGGATTTGACGGAGAAAGCGAAAGCCGGCAAGCTGGATCCTGTCATCGGCAGAGATGCTGAGATCCATCGAACCATTCAAGTGCTATCTCGCCGCACTAAGAATAATCCTGTCCTGATTGGTGCGGCTGGTACCGGTAAAACCGCGGTATTAGAGGGCCTAGCACAACGCATCGTGCAGGGAGATGTGCCTGAAAGCATCAAGAACAAGCGAGTAATCTCCCTGGACCTAGGCGCCCTCATTGCGGGTGCCAAGTTCCGCGGAGATTTCGAGGAACGGCTGAAGGCCGTTCTGAAAGAAGTCGAGGACGCCGAAGGCAAAGTAATTCTCTTCATCGACGAGCTTCATACTCTTCTCGGATTGGGCAAGGCAGAGGGTAGTATCGACGCCAGCAATCTACTCAAGCCGGCTCTCTCTCGAGGGGAGCTCCAATGCTGCGGTGCCACTACCTTGAATGAATACCGGTTGATCGAGAAGGACGTCGCTCTGGCCCGTCGATTTCAACCAATTCAAGTCGGTGAACCTTCCGTGGCCTCGACAATCTCGATCCTTCGCGGTATCAAAAACAAATATGAAGTCCATCATGGTGTTCGAATTACCGACGGGGCTCTTGTTGCTGCGGCCACCTATAGCAACCGTTACATCACCGATCGCTTCTTGCCTGACAAAGCCATTGACTTGGTCGACGAGGCGGCATCCGCCCTCCGCCTCCAGCAAGAATCAAAACCAGACCCTATCCGAGAGCTCGAGCGGGACATAACCACTATCCAGATTGAACTCGAGTCTCTTCGCAAAGAAACCGATGTGAGCAGTCGCGAACGACGTGACCAGCTCCAGGAAGATTTGAAAGCCAAGCAAGAGGAAGCTGGCAAGTTGACCGAAGTTTGGGAAAAGGAAAAAGCCGAAATCGATACTATCAAGCGTACGAAGGAAGAATTGGAACGTGCCAGATTTGAGCTGGAACAAGCACAGCGTGAAGGCAACTTCGCCAAGGCCGGAGAGTTGAGATACTCCAAGATCCCTGAGCTCGAAGCCAAGTTGCCCAAGGAAGGGGTGGAGCAGGATGCTGACAAGCAGAGCCTGATTCACGATTCCGTAACCGCTGATGATATCGGCAATGTCGTTTCTCGAACCACTGGAATACCCGTGACCAAGCTAATGGCTGGAGAGGTTGAAAAGCTGATTCACATGGAAGACACCCTCCGAAGATCCGTCCGCGGGCAAGACGAGGCACTATCCGCCGTTGCCAATGCGGTGCGCATGCAGAGAGCCGGTCTCAGTGGCGAAAATCGTCCCCTGGCATCCTTCATGTTCCTTGGGCCTACTGGAGTAGGTAAGACTGAACTCTGCAAGAAAATGGCCGAGTTCCTATTCTCTACCGAGACCGCAGTGGTTCGATTCGACATGAGTGAGTTCCAAGAGAAACACACCATTAGTCGTCTGATTGGATCTCCAGCTGGCTACGTTGGCTATGACGACGCCGGCCAGCTCACGGAAGCAGTGCGGCGGAAGCCATATGCCGTGCTTCTTTTTGATGAATTCGAGAAGGCGCACCGGGATATCTCAGCTTTGTTACTGCAGGTCCTGGATGAAGGCTTCCTCACCGATGCCCAGGGACACAAAGTTGACTTCAGAAACACTCTGATTGTCTTGACCTCGAACCTCGGTGCAGATATTCTTGTTGGTGCCGATCCTTTGCATTCATACAAGGACAGTGGCGAGGCCGAGCTCTCGCCGGAGATCAAGAAGGCTGTGTTGGATGTTGTGCAGGGTGCATACCCTCCTGAGTTCCTTAACCGCATTGACGAGTTTATCATCTTCAAGCGTCTCTCTCGCGAAGCTCTGCGAGACATTGTCGACATCCGCATCAAGGAACTACAGGGGCGCCTGGATAGCCGTCGTATGACCCTCCAGGTGGACGATAAGATCAAAGACTGGCTGTGTGAGAAAGGCTATGACCCTAAATTTGGTGCTCGACCTCTCAACCGACTAATCGCCAAGGAGATTGGAAACCGACTAGCTGACAGGATTATCCGTGGCGAGGTCACTTCGGGTCAAACTGCCCGAGTCTCTTTTAATGACGATAAGTCAGGTCTGCTTGTTTCATCTGAAGGTGGCGAAGAAAATGTATAACAGATTGCGTTGATGTTTGTTTCATGATGTTTTTCAAGGGCATACCAGAGTGGTGTTTTGGATCGTATTATGCATTGGTTGGATCTTCATCCATGTTTTCTCATGAGTTCTGTATATTACCTCACTCCTCTACATGTAAATTAATGATATTCTGCTCATACTACAGTCATCAACTAAACCCGCTTATGGTGTCAATGTAGATTACAGCTATGCTATGTGCTATGTGGGATGATGTAGATGAAAGAACGTGACCTCGTCCACGTCGTCGACCTGCATGCGCTCAGTTATCCCAAGTCTATACACTCACCGCAACGCTTAAACCAACAAAAGCACAATGCCTTCAATCAGGAAAAGAAAACGGTCGCCGGCAGCGTTGAATCCGCCTCTTGTCACGCCTCATACGTCTGAGTCAAGGGCTTGCAATGCAGCCCGGACACTGCGTCAACCATCGACCATCTCAACATCCTCCTTCCAGCCACCGGCATCATTCCCCATCACAAGCCAATTACGAACACCTTTCCCCTCAGCAAACTCTCCACCCGGGCTCGATGAAACAGAAAGCTTCATTGACGACGATCTCGGCCATGTCATTGCCGCCATTGACATGAAAGATTCCGGGACCGTGGGATGTGCATATTACTCGGCAGAGGAGGAGAAGATGTATCTTCTTAGAGACATCCGGCTTGGAGGAATGGAAAAAATTGAAGATTGTAGGCCAATCGTCTTTTCTGGCAGTTGGCAGCTTGATGGAACATAGAACCACTAATCGTGACCTAGTGCTTCTACGGATCCAACCTACTGTAATGTTGACATCTTCTCGAGTCGATATTTCTGACCTTCAAGGCCACCGGCAAAACATTGCCCAAGACAATGGTATCTTCCCATAGCTATCATGCTTCTAACGGCCTTGAACTAATAGTCAATGAGCAGACTCATCGTCATATCTTCCTTATCAGGTAGACATTCGTCCTACGACTGACTTCAGCTTCGTTGGCGCCCAGAATAGACTTGTTGGACTCGAGATATCATCATCTCACGAAGACCGGATTCGATTTTTTGTGCCACAAAGCGGGCTCACTGGGCCTGAAGAGATGAATCCACAAGAGATGGGCTTTACGCTGAATGAAGGGAGACTTTTGTACATGTCTAGCTCAATCGACATGGAAAATCCTGTAACTATTGGCTGTGCAGGAGCCATTCTCACTCATTTACAAAGGCGCCGAGGAACAGGAACAATTATCGGGGTGCTAGATGATTCTCCCTTCAAAGTCAGGCACTTAGAGATGTTCAGCCTTGAGGATATGATGTAAGTATTGTCGGATAACATTCTCGACTAATAAAATCCATTTACTGATGTGAGAAACAGGGGAATCGATAACAACACTCTCTGGTCGCTACAGATCATTCACCCCGAGTCACACCCAAGCATATTCAACCAAGGTCCAGGCACAAAATCAGCTTCTGGTAAAGAAGGCCTTTCTGTATATGGGCTTTTCCACCGCTTTGCATCAACACCTCAGGGAAAAGCCAAACTAAAGCAGATTTTTTTTCGTCCAAGTCTTGATATTGCTGTCATTAGAGACAGACACGACTTTATAAGTGTCTTTTCACGACCGGATAATCTTGTCCCCTTGGAAAAAATGACCAAGGCTCTGAAGCATGTCAGGAATCTTCGACTTGTGATGACCAATCTTCGGAAAGGAATCAGTACAGGGAGCGCTAAGATTACTGGATTTGCAGCAACTGTGTGGGCAAGTCTTCTGGCAGTATGATCTCTCTTTATTATAGGTATGTCATAGACAAATATTAATTTATTCTAGTTTGCCTTCTATTCCATCGATATACATGATGGACTGCGAGAAATTTCGGGTGCAGAGAGTCTATCCCTTCGAGCTAAGGTAATACAATTAGCATTCAAAATTGGAATCTGGAGGGCTAACAATGATAGGCCCTTCAATTGTTCGAAGCGGCACAGCTTTATCGAGTAGGAAAAATGATTCAAGAGATAGTGGGTCTGAAGTCAAGCAAACAAAAGAACGGTGACTGATTCATTCAGGTCGATATCGACAGTTCTGAAGAACAAGGCAGGACTGTAGTAAAACAGGGCCTTGACAGAGATCTTGACCGGATGAAAGATCGATATGATGGCCTGAGCAGTCTTCTTAAACGTGTGGCCATTGAAATAGCTACAACCATTCCAGAGGAGTTGGACATCGATGTGAACGTGATATATTTCCCTCAACTTGGATTTAATATCGCTATACCACTCAATGACAGAGGGCAAGCCCAGTATTCTAATGCTCATGAGAACTGGGAGATTGTCTTTGTCACAGAGACGCGAGCCTACTTCAAAGATTTCCGAATGAGGGAGCTGGATAACAAGCTAGGTGATATATATGGGCTAATTTGCGGTAAGTTTGCTGTTAAATGAAGGAATCTAAGCTTGAAAGTAAATTTTTGCCTCTTTTTTTAGAGAAGGAAATCGAAATCGTGTACGATCTGGCCCAGCGAATTCTTCACTATGAAAATGTTCTAGTCGAAGCATCAGATGTCTGCGGCGATCTCGACAGGTTTGTTGCATACTAGAAAGTAGGGGGTAATGCTAATAAGATTGAAGTCTCCTTGCATTTACTCAAGCTGCTAGCTTTTATAGATTGACTCGACCACGGATGGTGTCACAGAACGTTATCAAAATCAGAGGAGGCCGGCACGAATTCCTATCCTCAATAGCTTCGGTTTTCGCTGACCTAATATTTGTTTAGCCACATACTACAAGAGCTGACGATTTCTTCATATGTGCCAAATAATACTTTACTCATGGGTGGTCCCGAAACCCAACGGACAAATACAATCGCCTCGCAGACGGGCTCAGCTCCTAGCATGCTCGTGCTAACTGGGCCAAACTACTCTGGAAAAAGCGTTTACATGAAGCAGGTTTGTATTTTTATTTTTCCCTTGGGCGCAAATTGTCTTTAGCTAAATATTTTAGGTTGCTCTAATTGTGTATCTCGCACAGATTGGGAGGTGTGTCAGAATATCTTGGTTTTCAAATGGTATTCAAAATACTAAGAAATTGTAGCTTTATTCCTGCCGAAGAGGCAGAGCTTGGTATTACAGATAAGATTTTAACAAAAATGAACACGCAGGAGAGTGTCTCAAAGGTATCATTACAATGAAATTTTGTCCAATTTTATGTCTTTCATAACCGAAATATCAGATTCAAAGCACATTCATGAGCGACCTGCAGCAGATGTCGCTCTGCCTTAAGCAAGCCACCGGGCGAAGCCTTGTTCTTATTGACGAATTTGGCAAGGGAACAAATGAGAGCGGTGTGTCATGAAGCTAATAATCTGTCGTTTGTTCTCTTACGAAAATGGCTGACTTCTTTGCTAAGATGGAATCGGACTGGCCTGTGGAATCCTTGAGCATTTGCTTTGCCTTGAAGATGCCCCCAAGGTCATTGCTGCCACGCATTTTCACGAAATTTTCGAGAATGACTTTCTCCCATCACGATCTAGACTCCAGCTGGGGCATATGGAAGTAAAAGTCTGTGAAGAATCTCAGGATGTTGAAGACCAAGTCATATACCTCTATAAGTCCGTACTCTCGACTCATTATGGTTGTTCAAGGCTAAATTTAAAATCAGCTTCCATCCGGGCCGATGTAATAAGAGCTTTGGCACCATGTTTGCAATCAGTCTAATCATGGTATGCTGGAATTATGACAGACTGACAGACAATACAGATGTGCCGCAATCAATGGTGTCGAGGCCGCTATTGTCGATCGCGCAAATGAAATCGCATTGCTAGCAGCCCGAGGGGAGAATCTCATTGCTGCATGTGCCATTTTGTCTGAAGAGGAAACCAAGGCGCTTCAAGAAGCGGTATGCTAACATTTGACAAATTGATCGGGGAATAAAGGGAGCTAATTCATGCCAGGACCTCTTAGCAAGAAATCTACTGAAAATAGATCTCTCGGGCAACAAGGGACCAGGACGGGGAACGAAAACAGCCATAGGAAGATTATTTACCAAATCAGAATGAGGGCAAAGGTCAAGGAAGCTTGGAAGTTCTCAAATGATGCTTTGCACTACAGCGCCTTGTTGCGCGCTTGGGCGTTGCTTCTATCATTAAGTGGCCAATACCCCCAAGGCGATCTATGCTTTTACAAGCGCGCACTATTCTTAAACCCCTTCACTCAATTCCCTTCTCTTGCTACATGTACGCGAAAATGGGTGTTTGAATCGATTTATCACCTCAACCTGCTTGATTATGTGCAAGCAGTATTTCCTTACGACTACGGCTCGAGAGTTGCTCCATTCCTTCGCTCATCTTTATGCAGCTCATTTCCCCCGGTTATGATTGCTATATCTCAATTTCTAATCAAATCTTTCTTTCTTTCTATGGCTCTCTTCTCTTGAGATCATCGTGCAGATATTTTGATCTCGGAATTTCCACCTGATGCTCCGTACATGTCGAAAGGGTCAGATCTTGTAAAGGACGCAAAACTACCAATTAAGTTCGATTTGGAGCACGGAATTCCTTTCTTGAATCTTCATTGAGTTATGACAGGCCGGATAGGTCCAGGGAGCGAGAGAAACCTAGAAGAAAACGAGACATATTGGGATCGAAATATTTGGAACGGTGTGGTCAGAAGAATACGAGAGCAAGTGCAATAGCAGCAGCAAGCTGCGAGCTAGCAAGGAAGTCAGAGCTCTCCGCTCGGGGGCTTAAATCATTTATCATAAAGAATTTGAGCCTAAATGCAAGTACAAGTCAGAGCACCTACCCTGATTCTAGATTCGGAAGATCACAAGTCTACTGCTAGCAGCATCAGATCAACAAGTACGAAGAACAGTGCGAATTCAGATTAGCCCAGCAAGCGTCTCAATCGTTTAGATAAAAACAAATTATCTTTTGTATGTTATATCCTCCCCGGTCTACAAGAAATGTTTGGAATTGAATTTGAACCGTGAAATTGATTTTAGTATGTACATATCCAATGCCTGTATCTGCCATGAAGACAGTGAGGGACGCCGTGAAGAATACAAAATAAGCACATATCCATGGGACTGACAAGTCCTAGCCTCAACATCAAATTTAGAACTTCGTACTCTTAACCAAGTTCTTCTTAATACCCGTAAGTTCACCACCATAGCCACCGCGGCCTTCCCCACCCTTATAGATCTGACGGATGCTTCCAAGCTTCTTTTTCTTTTCCTCAAACTTCTTGCGCTTCTTAACACGCGGATTACGCGAATCCTTGTTTCGTTTCTGCATGAGACCCTTGTTCTTCTCGATCTGGTAGGTGATGGCGCGCTTGCCGTCAGGTCCAATCGCTTCCTGGATCTCGACCCGGCCACCTTCACGAGCTGCAGCTGCGTGTGCATCCGCGCGGGCCTTCTTGTCGTCCTTGCGTTGTTTGGACCGGGCAGCAACCATGTCGTAGTACTCATCATCATCGGTGCCAGACCCGTTACCTCCTTTGCGAAGCTGCTTAGCGACACGGTGGTCCTCCTCGTCACTCTCACCACCCAGCTCTTCGCCAATATCGGGTCGTTCACGGCCACGCTTCTCAGCTTCGGCATTGAGTCGGAATTGTCGGTCCTTCAGACGCTCCCGGTGCGGTATATCAGCATCACCACCCGCGTCACGTCCAGCAGCGTTGCGTTTGTTGGCCTTCTGGGCCAACTGGGAGGTGTAGAAGCGGAGAGAACGCTTCTGTTTAGCCTTCTCCTCAGCCTCACGGGCAGTAAGGGCATCCTCGTCGCCGAAATCAGAGTCATCATCATCCTGGACAGCGTGCTTGATCTTCTTGGTCTTGCGCTTCTGAGTGGGCTCGGTGACGAGATTGGACAAGTCGGCCAGGCCTTCTTCTGTCTGGCGAAGACGCTCAGCGCGACGGGCTTCAGCCTCAGCTCGGGCTGCTTCAGCAGCGCGCTCTGCCTTGCTCAGCCTCTTCTTTGGCTGTGTATCCTTGGACTTCGCAGACTGCTTCTTCGTCTCGGTCTCAACAGCCGGTTTAGCAATCTTCACAGGCGTCTCGATAACGTCGACGACATCGGGGATTTCCAGGCCCTTCACTTGATTCCAGAGTTTCCGAAACTTGACCAAGGAGCTCATCACAGGATGTTGGCGAAGCTCAGCGGGAGACATTGGAAGGTGGTTGTTGGTCCCGTCAGCAGATGAGGTCAGAAGCAGGAAGTATAGACTGATGGTTCCCAGGTATGTCGACAGTGCGCGCAGTTTTACTACCGCAGCAGGAGCAGGTTGAGGTTCATCTAAAATCTCGCTCTGTGTTGAGGTAGTGACTTTGGAGGTAGCCTTCTGAAGATCTTCATAGGTGGATTGAAGACTGGCAAACTCCTGGGCAAGTGGTTCAAACTCGGGGTATCGTGCGCTCAGAATGTTTCGCTTCTCATCATCGCTCATATCCTCAGTGATTTCCAGCTGGGGGAGAACTTCGGTGACCACTCTGGCCTCCTCTGCTTCATTGTCTTCGTCCTTGCCAGTATCCATCCACTCGGATTCGTCAAACCCGAAATCGGCCTCGTCCATGGCCTGTAGCTGCTTCTGCTGCAATCGCTTCGCCTCTTGTTCCTCTTCCAGGGCATCGGCCTCGGTCTCGATCTGGTCTGCATGATAGAGATCTTTTTTCGACGAGCCCCAGGCCGCAATGCCTTCTTCTTCCTCGTCGGACCCAGCGCCACCCCGGGACTTGAGTTGACCCATGTCATCGTAATCGTCCTCGTCCTCATCGTAGTCCTCCTCATCTTCGAGGTCCTCGTCCTCGTCCACGGACTCGTAACCTAGGATTTCTTCGTCGGAAGGTTGAAGCAACTCCTCTGTGAAAACAAGTCAGATACTATGTTTTAAACCAAATGATCATCAAAAAATCCATAAACCAATGATTCCCTTACCCTCTTCAGCTATTCTCCGTCTGCGCTTGGCATCTGGGCCTTCCTCCAGTAAGATCTGGTCTCGGCTGGCCTGGAACTCATCCTCGGAGTCATCGAATCGCTCTTCAACTTCAAACTTGGTGCGCATGGGGGCTTCGCCCTTTGGCGCCGGGCGACCGCCAGCCTTTCTCTTCTTACCCATGGTGGATGTGGTTTAACTGGCACTTGGTTGACTTAAAGACGATTTCCCGATAAAATAATTTTTTGGGCGGCGCTCACCGCCCCCGAGCTGCAGCGCGCAGTGTGTTTTGTCTGGTTTGCATTATGGGAAAAATGGCTGCGTATTCGAAATACTCTAAATTTCGCTCGTTCCACCAATGCGTACGGTAAATCTGGTAACCGCTATTCCTGATACAGGCATGGCTGGTCTGCGCTTTCCCAACGTGCAAATCAGATGCAAACTGCCACCTCCAAACCCCGTCAACAACGGCAGTCACGCCCCCAATTCGCCTTCTCAAGATCTTGATATCCCTCGTATTGTTTAATCTACCTTCCTGTCGTCTTTTCTTTTCTTTTTCCACATGCCTCACCCACTTTCGTTCATCCAAACGTACAATCTTTCCACCCCAATCCTGGGAATATCGATATTGGTCTGTACTGCCATTGCCTACACCATTGCCAAAATGTTCGGATTCGGCCGAAAGAATGAGTTCCCCGTAGAGGGTCGAGTAAGTAGTCCACATCCATCCATCTATTCGTTTTCAAAAATCGCCACTGACTTCTTCGACCCAGACGGTGCTGATCACTGGCGGCTCTGATGGCATGGGCCGAGCCATTGCCCTGGAGCTTGCTGGTAGAGGTGCCCACGTCGTGGTTGTTGCTCGCACTGTCTCCAAACTGCAAAGTACCGTGGACGAGCTCAAGGTGAGTGTATTCCCATTTTCGCTATACTCCCTCTCCTGGACATTGCTGATGCCTTCCTTAGCATCGGTGTCTCAACTCGCTGAAGCAGCGCTTCTTCTATATCAGTGCTGATCTCACGGATTCGGCAGAGTGTGAACGTGTCGTTGCTGAAGTCACCGGCTGGAATGATGGCTCTGCCCCAGATATTGTCTTCTGCTGCGCTGGGTTCTGTCACCCGGGTTTCTTTGTCGATGTGCCTGTCTCCGTTCAGCGACAGCAGATGGATACGGTCTACTGGACTGCCGCTAACATGGCCCACGCCACTCTTCAGAACTGGCTGGCACCTGTTCCTCCCAGTGGCCAGATGAAGAACCCCCGGCGACACCTGATCTTCACTTGTTCTACGTTGGCGTTCACTCCCATCGCCGGCTATGGACCCTACTCGCCCGCCAAGGCCGCTATTCGCTCACTATCTGACACTCTCAGTCAGGAAATTGAGATGTATAACGGCGCCTATACTCAGCGACACCGTAACTCAGCCCCGGCGGCGGATGTCAAGATTCACACGGTTTTCCCCATGGGAATCCTCAGTCCTGGATTTGACAACGAACAGAAGATCAAGCCCGAGTTAACCAAGATGCTTGAGGAGACTGACAAGCCTCAGACCCCTGAGGAAGTTGCCCAGATCACCCTCAGCGCTCTGGAACGTGGCGAGTACTTGATAACCACCATGTTTGTGGGCAACATCATGAAGGGCTCCGCTCTCGGGCCCAGCCCTCGCAACGCCATTGTCGGAGACACTTTACTCAGCTGGCTCAGCAACTTGGTGTTCCTCCAAGTCATCCCAGACCTTCGTAACAAGGCTTTCAACTGGGGGAAGGCCAATGGACTTCCTAATCCTCCCCTTCGTGACCAAACTTTACCTTAGTCATATCCTTCTTCCTGGTTGTTTGTTCCATTTTTGTATTATACCCTGCATGTTGCCTTTCAGGCATTCCCTTCGTTTGTCTTGATCGAGACGTTCATTCATTTCGGCTGACTTTGATCGGATCCACTTATTATCATTAGTCTTGTGAGAATTGATTCTGCTTTTCTGTATTCTTTGTGTATACTCGCGTTTCTGCACTCCATGCCCTAGTGTCTAAAACTCCGAACCCCGCGTCACCTTGCGGAATGCGGGCGGTGACGTAGCGTGCATTCCTGCCCCCCCCCAGTTTTCTTTCCGCGCCACCACCTTTCAAAGGTGCAAAGCTTCAAAGAAAAGGACATTTTGAGCGAAAACGAGATCTCGAGTGTTTCAAAATGAACCTCTGATGCTTCCTTTTCTGTAGATCACCCAGCAATCATTCCCGCCAACTCGGTCGCAGATTTGTTTACCCGAGCAGTGATCTGCCTAGGTCTCTGTCCCAATTGCCACAGCACCTGTACCCTTCCCTCTCGCTCAAGCTCTTGTTCTTCATCTAGACGACATTTTATTCTATCGCAGTTCTATTTGGCGCCATGGATGCACTCTTCTCAGTTCCTGTCCTCTCTCTATTTCTCCTTCCTGCCATGTCGTCATACACGACGAGCCTCAATCTCATTTTCTTCTACATGACGTGGACGACACTCGTGCTGTCACACCCTCCCATCCGAGTTGAACTATTCGGTACAGCTGCAGTGCGTCTATTGTTCTTTGCGGCCCCATCCGTCCTCTTCTTTCTCTTCGATGTCCTGACTCCGTCGGCTGCTGTGGTCATCAAAGCGCAAGGTGAGCCTGCCCTACCGGGCGGGAAGAGACAGCGCCGAATTCGCCTCAAGGAACTCAAAGTAGCTGGCTGGTCCCTGCTCAATATCTGCCTGGGAATTGCAACGCAGGCAGCTATCGAGGCGCTTCTCGTCCGTCTCTTTCAAACACGCAGTGCAATCAAGGTATCCATGACACTCCCGATGCCATGGCAGATGGTGAAGAGTATGTTCTTGGGGCTGATGGTACGAGAGGTAAGCATCAAGAGTGTTCCGTCTGATCATTGTGCAACGGAGCGGCTCCAACTAACACTACGCCCGTGATCGTCCAGTCCCTCACCTATGTTATACATCGCTATTTCTTACACAATAAGCGAAGGGTGAACATCGTCTCCGTCGTCGCCTCTTATCTGACGCAGCTCCATGAGTCCTGGTACCACGAGTTATACACCCCTTATCCGCTTACCGCGCACTACGACCACCCGCTAGTCTACCTATTGTACAAGTTTCTTCCGACCTACCTGCCAGCGATGATCTTCCGCTTCCACATGCTTACATTTCTCTTCTACCTAACCATCATATCCATGGAAGAGACGTTCGCATACTCGGGATATACCATAATGCCGACGAGTTTCTTCCTCGGAGGAATTGCGCGCCGCACTGATATGCATCTGCTCGAGAATGGAGAAGGCAACTTTGGTCCATGGGGGATCCTGGATTGGGCGCTGGGAACTACCGTCGGAGATACAGATATCGAGGATGATCTCTTGGATGAGATGGATCAACACGATCTCGAGGAGAAAGTTCGGAAGGCTCTGGAAAAGTCGAAAAATAAAGTGCGGGAAGGCACCTTGCGGAGAAACAAGCCTCTTCCTCGTGGCGGGCGTGCGGAGAAATCGTGAAGATGGGAATTGAACGAAATGTTTTATGGTGGGTGTTGGTATTTAGGAGTTTAACGGGTATGATCTATTGGGCTTGCCAGCTATACTATATATCTTGATCTGCTTGGTGTGTGTTGTTTTATAAGACCTCAAAAGATATTTCTGGTGCTTAATGTGCTTCATGTACCGAGTGTATTCGTGTGTTGGGAAATATATATCGAGTCTATATATATTTATGTTACGGGGCTGATTGGGCATATATATCCTTCGACCCCTAACTTACTAAGAAAGGAAGCCAATGACGTCGTTAGCACACAAAGCGACCAAATTGAAATTAGACCTTGTAATAGAACTGGGCTGATCGCCGGATTCACCATACGGGTGATATAGAACGACAATAGGTGGGCTGTACACTTCGGATGCTCAATCTACGATCTATACTGCCACCCCAGGAATCGAAGGAATTCTATGAAAGACCCAATTTTTTGGATTGCCGCCTGAACCTGGAAAATCGGAGTATATAGTCATACTGAACATGAAAAGAGAAATCCAGCCGATCTGCTGGAGCGAGGTATTTTTTAATCTTTTTTTGCTTGGAAGTCTTTCTTCACACCACGGCTGGTCCCCCCAACTCTCGAGGGGAGAGGATGGGAGTCATGCAGAAACCGGCCGCGTGTGCAAGGAAACAGGGAATCTTGAAACAAGAAGGAAAACAACGGATATCCGTATTAAACCGCAGATCCCTAGAAAAGCGAAAAAGCTCGTGTAGACGGATCCCGTGTGTCGAGTTACATGATTCATGAAACCGCTTCCTCCGCCACGCGAAAGGGTTGCCGATATGCAATCGAGCCGCCCCTCGTTTGAAAGATGAGTCCTCCCCAACTATCTACCGAACCCGCGGCCGCCGCATCGCACTTTTTTACCACTTCATCTCGTGGGGCTTGTCGCCGTTCCGGAGGCTGAAGGTGGTGGCCAGGTAGCTGCTGAGGAACTCCTCCTTCTTGACGCTGGCGAGGATGGACTGGTCAACGGCCTTCTGGTCGGCGGCGCGAGCGGAGGCAACAACCTTCTTCTATAGGGACAGAGCAATGTGAGTTTTTGTTTTTCGTGTAGATTCGAACGGGGAATGGGGGCATTCCCCCTCCCAAACAGATGCGGGGAACCTCAAAAAGAAAGTGAAATTGGACACGTACCTGGGGCTTCTCGCCCTGCTGGAAGAAAGCCTCCTCGGTCTTCTTCTCGGCCTTCTTCTCCTTGGTGAAGTATCCGGAAGCAGAGACCTTCTCGACGGTCTTGGCGTCAACACCGGAGATGTCGATGCGCTTGGAGGTGGCGATCACGTAGCGAGCGTTCACCCGTCGGAGGGGAACACCGTTGATCTTGAAGGGGCCGGTGACAAGCAGAACACCCTGGTCGAGGTGCTTGAGGAGAACGACACGCTTGCCACGGAAGCGACCGGCAAGGAGGATCAGAACGGTACCGGGCTGGAGGGTCTCGCGGACCTTAGCGGGACGCAGAGACTTGCGGACCTATATGCACACAACCGCTTGTTAGCCATTTCGAACTCGCACAATTCCATGGCGTTCGGAGATCAAATCGACTGGCAGCATATTTGATGGCGCTCAGATAGACAGGGATTGGATGATTTGCGGTGTAGGCGAGTTCGAAATGTCGAAACTCGTTTTCTCTCCGCCGGAGCATTGAGCCCATTGCCACCAGTGTACGCACTTCTCAAGATGCATGTCACTTGGGCATTCGCAAGCTCAATTCCCACAAACCGGGGCTCCGTTGTCGTCGTGTCTGGTCGCATCCATCCGAGCGCATCTCATATGTCCATGTCGTTTCGGTCCCGATGCTTGATGGCGTGTTGGCCCGGGGGATACTGACTTTCTTGGGCTGCGACTCGTCGTCCACGGGGTACCACTTCTGAGCCTTCTGGGCGGGCACAAGCCGCTGGCCCTTTCCGAACTGCTTCGCCTTACCGTCCGACATGGTGACGAAGATGGTGTGTGTGGTTGTCGGGTTGGGGGTTGGGTGTTGGAGGTTGATGTGCGGACTTGCCAGTGGAGTCCAGTTAGAGGGTTTGTGGGAAGAGCAAGCCCTATCTCACGTGATAGGGGTTAGCCGAACCGGATGACTCAGCCCGGGGCCGTGAAGTTCTTGAACTTTTCCACTTTCCACCGCAAGTTTGGTGGAGTGGGTCTGCCCGATAAGCGGATAAGCAGATAAGCGGATAAGGGGATCAAATGGTGCCCTAAACAAGCTCGTATCGTGACGATGAAAGTGGGCCGTGACCGGGGATGGAGGTATATCGTAGACACTGGTGCAATGGGGTTCATGGGCTCCTGGGCTACTGGGCGATGCTCTGCATTCTGCGACTGCGAAGAGTAGAGAGAGTTTGTATGTCATTATCACTAATTTCAGAAGTCCAGATAAATTGTCGCCAAATTCAAACTCCATGCTCTAGATAATTCAGTCCTTCCCTTCTCCTCACCCTAATCCTCTCTTAAATCACCGTTTCGATACTCCGGCAGCTTCCAATCTCCATCTCTCTCCGCCATAAACCTCGACATAAAGGCAGGGATACGAAGTAAAAAAAGAACTCGGAAGATAAATCGCAGAATCGCAATCCCCCACCAACTCTCCGGCATGCCTAATCGAATAAAGGTAGGATTCAGTTTCTGAACCGTGTTCACGAAGGGTCGGAGAGTCTGGTCATAGGTATCAAAGGCCACAGCAAGCTGGTCACTGTGCCGGTTGATCTCGCCAGCCAGGACATATGCTCCGACCAGCGCACTCGAGGTGCCCATGCCGCTCAACGGCGATGGGCAGTGGGCGGCGTCTCCGAGGAGAACAGCACGACCTTTGGACCAGGTATCGGTGCAGACCTGCACGATCTCCTGGCAATACCAATTGTCTGTGGTTTTCATTCCTTCCAAAAAGCGCTCGCTCTGCCACCCCGCATCCTGGAAGCGCTGAGTCCAAAACTCCTTTTGTTTCTCCACTGAGGCTTTGGGGATATCGGACAATTCGGGGGAGCAGTCTCTGAAGAAACAGATCACTTGCGTCTCGGTGGGATTGTGGCTTCTGCGCATAATAATTCGGCCACCCGTGCCGTTGTAACAATTCAGCATGTTGGTGTCCGTTTCGATGCGTGGGATAAACCAGTAAGCGACATGGATGCCAAACTTCACATAAGGGTCCGAAGCGTCTGGGGATAGAATGGCCCTGCGAATTCGGGAGCCTTGACCGTCGGCTCCAACGAGGACATCAAACACTCCCGATGAACCATCAGAAAAGTGTGCGGTGACTTTGTCCTCGTCTTGCTCAAACTGCTCGACTGTTTTGTCGAAGATGTATTGCACGTCGTTCTTTGTCGCCTCGTATAGAATGCGAACCAGGTCCCCGCGCATAATCTCATACTCGGAGGTGAAAGACTGAGCACCCTTGCCAGTCTTATTAGCCATGAGGTTTCCGATAACCTTACCCTGGGAATCGATGATGGATGTTCCCGCCTCGTCGACCAATTTGTCGCGGATTGTCTCGATGAGCCCCATCCGTTTGACTACCTCGATGCCCGCTCCACGCAGGTCAATTTGTGAGCCGGTTGCTCTCAATGCAGGAAGTCGCTCGACGATCGTGACTTGATGGCCACCCCGTGCGAGCCAGAATGCTAGTGTTGGGCCTGCACAGCCGCCACCGCAGATGAGGATCTTCAAGGGAGCCATAGCAGCAACCGGGATCGCTGTTTCTCTCTCTCTCACTCCTCCGGGTATGATGACCAAGGACGGAGATATTCTTCAATAGCTGTCTGAGAAGCCCTCTTTATATAGTTTCTGCAGTTATGGGTTTGCCCCGGCATTTGCGGGATTTAAACGGACATTTGCAAAAAGCCCGGAGGTCGAAGTGGTAGCTGTCATGCTGGCTACTCGCAGACGGAGATAAAATTATAATCTGGACTAGTCTTGGCGAAGCCCTGAGACCTCATCACTGGACTGTTGGAATGACCAATCATCGATGAAGCTGCAGATGTGAGATGTGGCTGGGACTCTCGACTTCGTATAGTTTGAGACTGGGTTCGGGATATTATGGGGTGAGACAGCCACGAGGCAATTACGGCCATTTTCAGGCCATTTTCAGGCCATAATTTATGCCTGCAGACCAAGGCTCCAATCACGGCTGCCCACAGCCACCTCTGATGCAGGCTTGCTCAGCACAAACAGCCAGGAACTGACGTATCCCGAAGCTTCTCTCCGCAGGTCCATCCATCCATCCCCCCCTCGAGTGAACTCTCAATCCGCCTGGCGTGGACTGATTCAACCATCCCCTTCCTTCCAGTACCCGAGTTCTCTACAGTCCCTTGCCTATACCGTCATGTCGATAACTCCCATCATCACTTTCAAAGCAGGTATCTGCGATTTGGATGTAGGTACCCTCAACTGAGCTTTGCTTGGCCTGCTCACGCTTCCCTTTCCTACTCCATCGCGCTCTAACCTAACTCAAATCATCTGGCCGTGTGATCTGACTGATTTCTCTATAGGGCTCCGCTTCCAAGGTGAAGCCGAAGCCCACGTCGGGCTACATCTACCTCTATTCGGAAGATGACCTGATGCACTTCTGCTGGCGCCCTCGGAGCGCCCCCTTGGATGACCCCGAGCTGGACCTTGTGATGATACCCGGTGATGGAAGCTTCACTCCCTACAAACTTGCCGGCAAGGACGCTATCAACGGTCGGATATTTGTTTTGAAGTTCTCCTCCAGCTCGCAACGATATCTGTTCTGGCTGCAGTCGCAATCACAGCACGAACAGGGCGAGCCGGGCTGGTTTAGCCCCCGGGACCTGAAGATCGGTGAGATTGTAGATGTGCTGCTACAAGGCGAGGATGTCGATGTTGAGCATGAGATCGCCAACCTCCCCCGGCGGTCCTCCGGTGGCGATGACGATGAAACGATGGAAGATGTGGAGGGCACCGACCATGACCCCACCCATAACCATGGCGGAAGCAGTGGTGGTGCCGGCGCCGATGCGACCGGAGGTGATGTTCGGGAAGAGGGACAGGAGTCGCGGGAAGGTGGTGCTGATGGTGGAAGAGCGTAGGTACATATCTCTGCCTTGTTGAGGGGGGGGGAGTGAACTCTTTTGAGACGGAAGAGTCTATTGGGGAGGGAAATTGACCTGAGCTGACCATGTTTCTGGCTCGCTCCTATCTAGTGCCGAGTCCGGTGATGCATCATCGGTCGTGCAAGACTTTTTGCGGTCCCTGGGGGGTGGCCGTGGCCAGTCCCAGGACCCGAATCGACCGTCTACAACTCTTCAAGATCTGCTGACCCCTCCGACCACCCTGCCCTTTATCGACACTGCCGATGACTCCACCGTTGATCACCTCTTGAGCTTCCTCCCGCCGGCATTGCTTCTGCTGGCCCAGGGCAATGCCGATGCCGCCGAGGCGGAGGCTGATCCTGACCTGGCCCAGGCGGCCCTGCTCTCCCTTGACCTGTCGCAAAAGAAAGAGATCCTCCGCAAAGTACTCCGATCCCCCCAGTTTATGCAAAGTTTGGCGAGCTTGACTGTGGCTCTCCGGGACGGGGGGCTCCCCAGCCTCAGCGACGCCTTGCAGATTCCCGTGGCGAATGGCGGCTTTATGCGCCACGGCGGTGTCCCTCTTGGTGGAGGCGATGCTGTCGAAGCGTTCCTGGATGGCGTGCGGCAACATGTTAAGCAGGACCAGTCGGGTTCCATGGAGACGGATTAATTTGTGACGAGAAAAACCATTAATGCATTGTTTTCCATTATAAATATGTCTCGCTATTCTCCCTCTCTTCTTCTTGCTTCCTCTCTTCTGCTCTCTTCTGCCCTCTTCCGTTGTTCTCTTCAACGATGGTGGCTGTCTTCTGCACCACCTATTTTTGGTAAAAAGGGGGCGCCCCCACTTCATTTCTGTGCAGGCAACGTTTTTTTTTCTCGGCTCGGGCTTCGTCAGCGACTACGATAGCCTGAGCCTTTACTAGGCGGGGCCCGTAGGAGGGACGACCGTAGTAATTTCCGGGCAGGATCAAATCAGGGGAGAAACCGAACAATCGCGAAGTCAGAGCTCAATAGGGGAGGGGAAACCGACCGAGTAAGAGCAAGAAAAAGAGAGAGAGAGAGAGAGAGGAGCTGGGGAGCCACCGCTCTCGACTCCATAGATCTGCTATCGATCGTCTCGATTCTCGTCGGTTGGTCTGCTTGTATAGAGACACCCCATAGATCGGGCGGTGCGCCTCAGCCACACGTCGCCGTACTTGGTACTCCGGGCTCCGGGCTCCGGGCTTTCGTACAGTATACAGTCTACAGTCCACCAAGTCCTCCAGTCCTCCAGTCCTCCAGTCCTCCAATGCCCCTGTAAGATCAATACGAGTACAACCGTAGTTCATTGTCTCGGGCCTTCAACCCTTCAACGGCCAAGTGGAGCCAATCAGTGCGGGAAGTGAGACCTGACGACCGAATCCATTGGGGGGGACTTTGGGGCCTTTGGGGGCTTTTGGGGGCCCGTTTTGAGTTCTTCAGCTGTGCCGGCCCCAATTAGTTGCGCGAACGCTTCTCGGCTGGCGACATGTGGCTCTAGCCCTCGTTTCGGTCTGCTCGGCCGTCAACTTCTATCGCTCTCAACCCTCTCCCCCTCTCCCCCTCTTCCCTCGCTGCCCTCGTCTGTCCATCTGAATTCCCCTCCCCCCCCAGCTCCTTCAACCCGCGCTCTCCGCTTGATTCTCTCGGTACAGCAAACCGGTCGCGCCCAGGACCATTCCCGATCCAGCGAGCCACCCCATGAGCCGGCGATGTCTGCAATTCGCTAATCCCTCATCCTCGCGCGACGATGGCGCCCACTATACACCCGACGGGCGACGATGACAGCCCTTCCAACCAGATCCCCCTTCAGGATCTCTCGAGCATGGACGGCTCCGCCGGCGAGCACGGACGAGGGCGCGCCCGCAGCTTGGGACGCAACATCTTCCGGCGATCCTTGATCCGCGGCGGGTCGCGCAGACAGTCCTGGAGGCAGTCCCGCAGCCAATATCACAGCGTGTCGGAAGAGTCCCCGGTGGACATGGTCGCGACAAACAGGGCGCCCTTCCAGCAACCCTCCCATGTTTCGACGGAGGCCGACATCGACCCCGGCGCCCTTGCGCAAGCCATGTCCTTTGGGATCAGTTTCGATGACCCATTCACCCCCATGACTGGCCCCTCCTCGGCTCATGACAGAGACGATACCGAGACCGTGTCCGACCTCGATACCATCCCGTTGGACGGCTATGGCCCCCACGCCTCCGTGGGCTATCTGCCACCCCATATAGAAGAGGACGACACCACACGATTGACGGACCCTCGTCACATCCAACCGATCAGTGGCGCCGCCGAATCAGAAGCACAAGGGCCGCAAAGGAGGGCCACGGCCGGTCACTCGGCTCACTTCGCCGACGGCGCACGACTCGGCGATGATCTCCCTCACGTTGAGAATGGACTGGCACGGCGCTATGGCAGCAGCGCCCGGACTCGTTCCCTCTCGCCTTCGACCTCCGGAGGCGCGCTACAGAGAGCCAGTTCGATGGTGAAATCCATGTCACAACGAGTGGTCAACTTGAGTAATGAACCAGAAGTTGTGCAACAGTCAATTGAGCGGGAGGAGTCTCATAAAAACTCGCGGTTGGAAGGGCCTCCGGTGTTACCGGCAATGATGGACTATGCGCATGATGCCTCTCCTCCGTTGCCCCCACGAGAGAAGCGGGCGTCGGACACGCTATGGAGGGTCCAAAACAACCCTTTCCGAGGCCGCTCGCTGGGTATCTTGGGCCCGAATAACGCTCTTCGATTGTGGTTATGTGACATTCTCGTCCACCCGGTTATGGAACCGTTCATTCTGTTCATCATCGTGATCCAGACCATTCTACTGATTGTGGAATCCTCGAATTCTGTCTTCAACCGCCCGGTGGCGGTAAAATGGGGTAGCTCTAAACTAGATTATGTCTTCTTCGTCATCTTCGCCATCTATACCCTGGAAATCATCGCCAAGATTCTGGTGTCGGGATTTATCTTCAACCCCAGGGAGTATAGCACCCTCAACCGGTCTTTAGGACTCCAGAAAGCCATTGCGGAGAAGGGCAGGAACCTGATTACCCCTCATCGGCACATGACGACGAAAAAAGTGTCGTTTATGACGCAGGAACCGCAGGCTTCTATTTTACGGCAGTTCACCGGCATGAATGAACTGGACCCGATCGCGGAGAATGATCCTCTCCACAAACGTCGCGTTCGACTCGCCCACCGCGCCTTTTTGCGACATTCTTTCAATCGACTGGATTTCGTAGCCCTCGTCTCCTTCTGGATTTCCTTCATTCTCTCCTTGGAGGGCGTGGAGGTAGCACATCAGCTTTATATCTTCCGCATGCTAAGCTGTCTTCGAATCCTCCGTCTTCTCGCTCTTACCAATGGCACATCTGTTATTCTTCGAAGCTTGAAACGTGCCGCCCCTCTTCTTGTTCATGTGGCGTTTCTCATCGGTTTCTTCTGGCTCCTTTTTGCGATCGTGGGCATCCAAAGCTTCAAGTCTAGTTTCCGACGGACTTGTCTTTGGGTTGACCCAGAAGGGGTGAGCAACTATACATCGAACGATGCATATGGTACTCTTCAGTTCTGCGGAGGCTATCTCCATAATGTGACGGGAGAGAAAATGCCCTGGCTGGATTCATCGGGCAATCCGTCGGATAGCAATGCTAAAGGCTATCTTTGCCCCCAAGGCTCTCTGTGCGTTGAAGGGACAAACCCTTACGGTGGAACCGTGAGCTTCGATAATATTTTTCAGTCGTTAGAGCTTGTCTTTGTCATCATGAGTTCAAACACCTTCACCGATCTCCTTTATTATACCACCGACAGCGACTACCTCTCAACAGCGCTTTTTTTCGCCTTCGGCTTGGTCATTTTGAGCTTATGGCTGGTCAACTTGTTAGTGGCGGTCATCACCCATTCTTTCCAGGTTATTCGCGAAGAGAGCAAGCGCAGTGCTTTTGCTGTACAACAGATTGATGAAGTTGAGGAAGACGAGACATCAGCCCGAAAGATCAGTGCTCTGAAACGCGTCTACGACAAAACTGAGTGGCTTTGGGTTTGTCTTATCAGCTTCAGCTTGATTGTCCAAGCCCTTAGGAGCGCCTCCATGTCAGACGACCGGGCTCGATTTATTGACAACACAGAACTTGCCATTACTCTTGTTTTTCTGGTCGAAATAATATTGCGATTCGCGTCTGACTGGCGTGTATTCCATCGGAAGCGTCGTAACTGGTTTGACCTCTTACTAGTCATCATAACCTGCACTATCCAAATACCCCCCATCAAGAATTCGGGCCGTGCCTACACTGTCCTCACTCTATTTCAAATTCTCCGAGTCTACCGAGTTGTGCTTGCATTTTCCGTGACTCGAAAGCTGATCATGGTGGTTTTTCGGAATGTCGTCGGTCTGCTCAACCTGATATTCTTCTTGTTCTTGATGACATTCCTGGCTGCCATTTTCGCAACTCAGCTATTCCGAAGCCAGATTCCTCAGGAAGACCCGGATGGTAATTCTATCAGTATCACATTTGCTGATATCTATAACTCATTTCTGGGGATGTATCAAATCCTGTCAAGTGAAAACTGGACCGATATTCTGTACAACGCCACTAAATACACCGTGCATTTCAATACTGGATGGATTTCCGCCGCATTCATTATTCTCTGGTTCATTGTCGCCAATTTCATTGTCCTGAACATGTTTATTGCTGTCATTCAGGAAAGTTTTGATGTCTCGGAAGATGAGAAACGATTGCAACAGGTCAGGGCATTTTTGGAACAGAAACATGTCGGCGGTAATACGCAGGGCAACCTTGCCCTCACAAAGATTCTTCGACTTGGCCGGGACTCGCAACGGTACAAGGATCCATTGGACCATGGGCCTGCCGCACTGGAGATGTTACTGAAGGGTGCGGTGGTCCGTGAATTCCTCGATGAAGATGAAGCGGCGGCACGGCAGACTGACAATGAAAGTCCACGTCGAGAGCCCACGTCTGCAGCTGAAGCTGGTATTCAAGGGGGTGTTCAGCCCGGGTTGACCTCTCGACTCTACACTAAAGTCACTTCCTTAATAATGGGTCGAGAACCAAATCCATTCTACTCAAAGCTGCAGTTCTCTCGGGCTTACGAAGATCTGGATCCTCGAACCATGGCGAGAGAAGTGGTGTCTGCTGCTGAAAACAGAAAGAGAGCGCAGCGAGAATATCTGGTCAAACATCCCACTTATAACAAAGCTCTCTATATCTTCTCGCCTCAACACCCTCTTCGCAAATTCTGTCAGCGGATTGTTGGACCCGGACGAGGCAATCAGCGAGTCGAAGGTGTAGATCCGTACAAGCCACTGTGGTATGCCTTCTCGGCATTCATTTATGCCGCCATCGTGGCTATGGTGCTGCTAGCCTGTATCACGACTCCAATCTACCAACGACAATATTTTCGAACAAATCGCAATTGGTTCGTGTATACTGATATGGGATTTGCCATTATTTTCACAGTCGAAGCAGCTATCAAAGTCATTGCCGACGGATTTTTCTGGACCCCGAATGCGTATTTCCGAAGCTCGTGGGGATTCATTGACGGAATTGTGTTGGTCACTCTCTGGATTAATGTTGGCAGTTCCCTGAAGAAAGATTGGAACGTTTCGCGAGCTATCGGTGCCTTCAAAGCTCTGAGAGCCCTGCGTTTACTTAATGTCTCCGACAGCGCCAAGGACACTTTCCACTCAGTCATCATTGTTGGAGGATGGAAGGTCATTGCTGCCGCGGCTGTCTCTTTGAGTTTCTTGATCCCATTTGCCATCTACGGCGTCAACCTCTTCAATGGGCAGATGGTCGAGTGCAACGATGGTAGTTTCGTGGGCAATCTGACTGCCTGTGTCAACGAGTATGCCAGCTCCCCTTACAACTGGGACGTACTTGCCCCCGAGTTGCTTCCAATCCTTACTACGACTTCGATGATTTTGGTGATTCCCTGTTCATCCTCTTCCAGATCGTATCTCAAGAAGGTTGGATCGACGTCCAAGACAGCGCGATGAAAATCACCGGGAAGGGGTTGCAGCCGCAGGATGGTAATGCGCCAGAGAATGGACTGTTCTTCGTCGTCTTCAATCTGCTCGGCGCTGTGTTCGTCCTGACCCTGTTTGTATCTGTCTTCATGCGTAACTACACGGAGCAAACCGGTGTTGCCTTCTTGACTGCTGAACAACGTTCGTGGTTGGAACTGCGGAAGCTACTTCGCCAGATTTCTCCTTCAAAGCGGTCATTCGATGAGAAGAGCACGAAATGGCGACTGTGGTGCTATCGAATTGCAGTCAAGAAACATGGCCGATGGGCACAATTTGTGACCAGCGTTCTTGTCGTGCATCTTCTCCTCCTAGTGTTGGAATATTACCCCGAACCCGATTGGTGGGAGAAGACTCGAACGATCTTATTCTTCATTTTCATGTTTGTATATATCACGAATGTGTTGATTCGACTCATCGGTCTCGGTTGGCATCGGTTCACACGGAGTTCTTGGGATCTGTACTCCCTACTCGTGGTGCCAGGCGCATTCATTACGATTATTCTGGACATGTCCTATTCGACTCAGGTTGTGCTCGAGTTGAACAAGCTCTTCCTTGTCTCAATCGCACTCTTGCTCATTCCACGAAACAACCAGCTGGACCAGCTCTTCAAGACAGCCGCCGCCAGTATTCCCGTCATTGGAAACTTGCTTGCTACGTGGTTTGTGCTGTTCCTGGTATTTGGCATCGCTATGAACCAAGCCTTTGGTCTGACAAAGTTCGGCGATAATGAGAACCATAACCTTAACTTCCGTGATGTTCCCAAATCTCTGATTCTTCTCTTCCGTGCCAGCTGTGGTGAGGGATGGAACGAACTTATGGAGGATTTCGCCACCATGGCGCCCCCACTGTGCACCTACGACTCTAATTTCCTCGACGACGACTGCGGTGGAGCTGCCTGGGCTCGAACTCTATTCATCTTGTGGAACATCATCAGCATGTATATCTTTGTGTCGCTGTTCGTTTCGCTGATTTTCGAGAGTTTTTCGTACGTCTACCAGCGAAGCAGTGGACTGTATGCGCTCAGTCGCGAAGAGATCCGTCGCTTTAAGCAGGCTTGGGCGACGTGGGATCCCGATGGAAAGGGATACATCCTCAAGGAACATTTCCCGCGACTCCTCGGAGTAAGTAGCTCCTTTTGCTCCCCCTCCCCACTTGACCCGTCCCATTCCCTTTCCAGTGGCTCATCTCAAAAATAGGAACTTTCTGGTATCTTCACCATGCGAATCTACGAAGGGGAATTTACCGTCGGAGCAATTTTAGACCAGTGTCGTGATAGAGACCGGGAGTCGGTGTATTCATTGCCCTCCGTGCACGGTACGAGCACTTTGCGCCCTCGCGAATCTCTCCAAACGATTAAGGCCAATGGAGAGGCTACTCTTGCCACTGGGGTGGATATCAAAAAGCTCTCTCGCATTATTAACCGGATCCCGGTGGCCGAGATCCGGGAGCGACGGCAGCGGCTGAATACCTTTTATGAGGAAATGCTGGTGTCTGCCGACCCCGAGAAAGGGATCTCTTTCCACTCCTGCCTGATGATCCTGGCTCACTACAATGTCATCAGTGACAGCAAGAGTCTGCGTCTAGAAGAATTCCTGAGGCGTCGCGCGCGCCTCCAGCGTGTGGAAGAGGCTGTCCGCCGAAACACAGTCATCGGCTTCTTTGATACCCTGTACTGGTCCCGTGAATTCCGGAAGGCGGTTGACCGCAAGAAGTCCAGCCGCATGACTGCCATCCCGCAGTTCACCGTGCCGGAGATCTATGTCGACGATCCCGTCGAGGAGGAGGAAGAGACCGAGGGACACGCACCAGGCACAAGGACACCACCTATTCTGTCCGACCCGGATTCGCCCTTCACGCCCATGCTGACCCCAACCTCGACGCACCGCCGGGCCGAGTCCAGTCCCACCGGTCGCCGAAGCGATCTACCTCGCCTAGACACCCTGATGACCGGGCGGGCCTCAGGTACAAGCTCCCCGACGGAATGGTCCAGCATTAGTCCGTCCCGCACCCCGCGCCGGCTGTATGGAGATGCGGCCCGGGTGTCCTTCGAATCTGGCGACACGCGAGGCCCGCCGTCCAGCGCAGACCACTCGCGGCAGAACAGCGCCATGAGTGTGTCGGATGTCATGCACTCGTTGGATAACTCCGCCTGGGGCGAGAGTATCCGACGCAGTTTCACGCAGCGCCGATCTGGTGATCGATCGGCTGAGCCCTAGCGGTTCTACGACCCCCTCTTTTCTCCCCTTCCCCGTGTCTTTGACATGACGTGACTTGATATGTTGAATGATGTTGATATTTTGATGGCACTCTGTCTCTCTGCGAGAGTCAGCAAAGAGTCAGACGATGCGTATGGAGTATACGAACTCAGCGGGGTGCAGTGGAGATTCGCTGAGCTTTTTTGGGACAGAAAGGGCTCTCTTGCTGCATCCTTTGCACATTCTTTGGCATCCTCGAATGATTTGACATCCCGAGGCCCGCTTATTCCTTTCCCTCCCCCCATTTCTTTTGATTCTCTCTCTTTCTCTCTCGATTATCCTTCCCCCCCCCCCCTTTTTCCTTTTTCTTCTTCTTCCTCCCTAGTGATGTTACCGGTGTCCTTTTGTTGTATATTACCCCCTCATCCCTCCTTAGCCCTGGCATCTTCGGGAGCACAGTTTTGCATAGCAGCGGCGTGGGATTCTTCCATTTTCTTCCTCCTATCTCTTTTTTTTCCTTTTCTTTTTCTTTTTTTTTAATTCCGGATCTCCGATGTTTTGTATTGGCCCATAGAATGGAGCGTGTACGAGGCAGATAGAAGTCTTCTTTAGGGAATATCTCATTTTCCGTTTTCGTCCTTGAATAGCGTCTCGCTTTTTCCAATCGTGCAAGTCAGAATCCCCAAGCAAAGAGGCTGAATCAAGTGGGCCTGAGCTATTGGCACTATTGGCTTGACGGGCCCCGGAATCGGGGTCGCGGGCTCCTCCTGCCGATCGCCCTCGTTACTGCATGTAGGTACTCCGTACTCCGTGTAGGTGCAAAGGTACCAAAGTTCTAGGAGTCAAGAACGTCAAGAGCGTCAACCCCCATGATAAGAGAGGAAAATCCTCGAGCGAAAGAAATTTCACCGTGGAATCGATGCCACCAAAACAAGAACATTGTTCTCGTTGTTCTGAGTGCCTTCATTGTTTGGCGGGCGGTTCGTTTGCGGGAAGCCAGGCACAATCACATTCATCCGCATGCGGCCACCGCATTCGATATCCGTTTCGTGTCTCAAACCCTCCCTGCAGCGTCCTTGCAGTGGCGGGCTTCATAATCTCATCGATAGCCCGAGGATTCTCGCCTCGATCCCAGAAATAAAAGTCCGTTCCTCTTATCCCATGCCATTTTCTTTTGTGTGATGGCGAGCGCGCCCGTTTCTATCCCGAACTATACCAACTAGAACTAAATCCACTCGCCCGCTCACATTCCAACCAACCACCCCATCAAACAAGAACTATAATTTGGAACACTTGAATCGAATTCAAATCGGACCAGACCAGAAAAAAAAAACCATGCATCTATTCTCCTCGCCCTTTTCATCTCGAGGTACCCCGGCGAGCGTCACCTCCAGCCCGCCCAGTTCGCGCACGACCTCGCCGCCCTCGTCGCCCTCGTCGCCCTCGTCGCCCTCCCGCCGGGCGCCCTCCCACCTGTTCGACCTGGCCTTCCACCCCCACCCGCCGTCGCCCCCATCACCGTCCCGCCGCCCAACTTCCAACCCCGATGCCCACGCTCACCATTCCACCCTCTCGACCACCACTAACCCGACTCCCACCCACTGCGTGAGCATCCTCCCCTGTGCCGTCCTCCGCGGCCGCTCTTCACTCATGGTTGTGCGCCGCCGTCCGTCCGCCATCGACGTGGCCCTCACTGCAGAGCGTTGCCGTTGCACGGGGGACGCCATTGAGCGGCAGGGCCTGGACTTGATGGAGCCACGGCCGGTGGATGCCGGGTCGGGCCCCGGGACTGCGGGGGCAGCACCAAGCGTGGAGGCGCGGCCGGTGCAGCAGCCGCGGTTTGTGATGGGCGGGATTTTCGAGGTGATGGAGGGTCGGGCATAGAGTTGGATTTCTGAAAAATTGAAGCATTGCGGGGGTTTCAGGGGTTATTGGGAGTCTGTATTGGGGATTCATTTTTGATTTATCTTGTCTTGTTTCGGTCTTTTTCCTTGGGGCTGTTCTTTTGCGTCGGGATTTGCTTTGCTTTTAAGGGGTTTGAAATTGACCGAGATTGTACAGTGGCGGGGAACCGGGATATAGTTCGATCGCCGGGTCCTCGGGTATTGGAGATGGTAGAGATGTTGAAGATATACCGGTGACTTTAAATAAATACGCACAGTACAGAGAGGGCGAGGTGGGGAATGGAAACTGGAGATGGAAATTGAGACCAATTGCGAGCAGTATACGGGGCTCCGATTCGACCCAGTTCCAGAGTGAAGTAAAGTAGAACACGCGAAAATTGTATGGAAACAGCCTATCAATAACTTACATATACGTACGTACCACCACCTACTACTACTACTACTACTACTACTACTACTACTACTACTACTACTACTACTACTACTACTACTACTACTACTACTACTACTACTAGCACCACCACAACCACCAGAACTACTATTATTACCATTATTACCACTCTTACTATTCTTACTATTGCTGCCAATGCCAATATCAATATTGCACGATGCGATGAACAGCTATGCCAGTGCACACAGCCCAGAAAACGCGGAAAGCGTTCGGTCCGCTACATCTGGAGCATCTATAACTACCTCAATATTAAAATGAGGCTCGGGGAGCCAGAGACTTCACTACCATTATTGAACTTTCGTTGTGATTTAAATGACTCGTGTCGGAAGGAGTAGACTGGAGATACGTGTGTAAATGCAATCGCTGTAAAAGAAGGGTATGTTGTACAGGGAATCCCAACCAACGCGGAAACAGGATGTTTGTTCTAGATGCCCGTATTGAACGCCCGCAACAAACAAAAGGAAGTACATTGAAAAAAAATGGGGGGAAAAAGTAAAAAAAAAAAAAGGCTCAAAAAAGTCAAAAGATGTGCGTGGTGCCGTAATAGAGTGGGTAGAAATTGGACAGGGAGGGAAAGAGGAAATCACCTCAAGCCGTTCCTGTTTCAGAAGAATGCCGGTGAACTTGTTCGTTCTACTTGCGCGTATTCGGCCAGAGCTGGCCGCGACAATTATTTTCGCCACAAAGGCATTTCACGGCGTTCGGGTCCACTTTCCTAGATCCATCCCAGGTCGGATGATAGTCGAACGTAAGCTCCGTACCAGCCGGAATATCACGCGTCGCAAAGAATGCCAGGTAGTAAAGACGTGGACTAGGAAAGCTCGGTGTCGTCACGGGAATGATCTTACAGTTTGGGTTGCAGGAGTGATTCATAAACCGAGTTGCGGTGCCAAATTTCTGTCCGTCAACGATGTAGAGCTCCTCGTCATCATCATCGCCGCCGTCATCTCCGCCCATCCAGTCCAGGGCAAAAAGATAGGAATGACCAGTCTCGTCCGCACTCTCGCGAGACTCAGAATCCTTGAAGGGAAGTACCTCGCCGAGGTAGTGATCGATAAACTGTCCAGTCGCAATCGGGTCGGGAGACCGCAGTCCGAGCCCCCGAGCCCCCGTATCAAAGATTTCTAGACGAATCTTCCGGCCACGCTGGGTCACAGAGTTCCAGCACTTGCCGGCGCAGCTACATCGGAAGTTGCATTCGGAAATCATGGCCTTACGTCGTAAGAATTCAGGCCGGAGGACAGTCTGGTGTGAAATGGGAGATTTATGATAGGCCACCATTAATTGGCCGGAGTTCTCGTCTTCGATCAAACACTGGCACTTGGCCGCATCACACGCGCCCTCACACCCACAACCGGCGATGAATTCATCTGAAGGGACATGAACCCCTTCCTGGAATTTGTAGTCGTTGACAAAACTAAAGTTGGCCGAGAGCGCAGCGAGGGTTTCATCGTTCACATCGAAAGTAATGGCGGGACCCTTAATACGCTTCAATTTCGATCGGAATTTCTTACGGAGACCATCTGAGGTAGGTGACGGAGGCTGGGGCTGAGTGGGTTTGGATTTTGACGAGAAGGTAGACTGGGCTCTCGGTGCTGAACTTCGCGTCGAGAAGGGAATCCCTCTGCTCTCTATGCGCTTTGCACTGGGATACGCGCGCCGGGCAGCTTTTTCTTTTTTCTCCGCATCTATTGGGAAGCGAACCTCGCAGAACCCAACAAATTCTGCTTTCAGCGAAGGCTTGACATATTTCCGCTGCTGAGACGAAGGTGATGGGATCACCACACTGACCGAATTCGTTGGGAGGAGATTAGCGGGACTCGGAGTCCTTGGTGAATAGGCCATCCTCTTTCGATCGGCACTTCCATTTTGAGAAGAAAAGGATGCGACATCTGATCTATCGGTGCTTCTTCGCTTGGGAAGGTGCGCCGCCACAGGTGATTTGTCGCGACTCGTTCTCAACGAATGAGCTTTTGACACAGAGACAGGCCGCGCCGATTCAGGATGGTTTGGATCATCCGATCCAGCGAGAAGGGGTGACGGCTGGAGAACACCCGAATTGGGGGGAACAGAGCGCAACGCATATGCGTCAGAGATTTGATGGATCTCTACTTCATTTTTCCGCTTGTGAGAAATAGTGGATGATGAAACCTGGTGGACTAAAGCGGATTTCTGCGGCACCGCTCTCTGTGCCAGCGCCAGCTCTCCCTTGAATGGAGAAGATCCGCCAGACAGAGATGAAGCCGGAAAATGAGGTATGTGGCCATGCTTTTTAGGCACCACGTCCCGCGGCGACTGCAAAAGAATTGGATCAGCCATACTTGTCATTGCGACCAACGGTGCCACGGTCGATAGAGTGGATAGAGGGCAGTGAAAGCCTCACACGCCAGAAGTATTCAGAGCGCCGCCGCCGCCGCAGCAAGGGTTGCGAGGTCGGGATCGCTAGGTTGAAGGAGAAATGGAAAGGAGCAAGGAATGTGAATGGCGAGGGAAGGGGAGAACCAAAAACAGGAACAGGAACAAAGAAAAAAGAACATGCCGGAAGGCGCTGAGCGGGAATAAACCATATTCCAGTTCTACAAACGGCCAAGCTTGGCAAGTCACTTACCCGAGGATCAACTTGAATCATATCAACATCATCATCAGTCAGATCTATCACAACAGAGCCGGGGGGCAGTGGCCGGGAAGGGTGGACAAGTCCCGGCTGGGCCGTAAGGGTCATGACAAACGGCGGCAGCGAGGCCCGCGGGGCCCCGGGGCAAAGGGCCTCTAGGGGGCCAAGAGGAGAGTGCCGAAAGGGAAAAAATCGTGGGGCGAACGAGGAAAAGCAATGTCAGAAAAACAAAATAGGAAAGCCGTTGAGAACGTGGATGTTTTCATCGAAAGCGAAAGTGTGGATAGCTTCGTTTTAAGTTGAATCGGGAATAGTTGACAGGTGCAAGAACGCGAAAATGTGGTGTGGCAAGAATCGCGTCGTGTGAGAGGCAACAGGTAAGAGCATCGCTCAAGGACGCGGGACTTGGAGGTTCCCAGCAGGTCCCCAAACGGGAAAATTACCTAAGCGATACTCTAGGCACGTGGTGATGTTAGCCTAATTGGGAGATACGTGTCGATGGAAACTATCAAGACTATCAAAAATGGTTCAAAATAAAAACGAGGGAGAAACAGGCTAGAAGATGCTTAGCGCGAGGTAAAAAGACTCTTGGACTCTGTGTTATGGGATAGCACAAGCCAGTTCCATCGCTAGAACCTAAGACCACCAGATCAACGCGATAGTTAGATAGATAGACACTCTGGTGCACATTAGATGATTAGCTAGAAAAAGGGTACTTTGGATGAGGAGGAGAGTCTATTTTTCTGGAGGCTGTTTGGCATCAATTCCCGCTGGCCGCCGGTTCCGCCTTGGGGCGCTTCTATGCCGCAGCATAGAATGGGTCTCTGTGAGTAAAATCGATTGATACAAGATACTATAGCTCATGAAGAGGCTTTCGCTCGTTTACCATATCTTGAAAAGAATTAATCCACCGTGGTGGGTGTCTATACGCTGAGGAGGCTTAGTTGTGTTTGTTCGAAGGAGGTCTTGGCAACTTCTTTATGACGCGCTGCTAACTGGTTAACGTAATAGATGCGTTATCGTAATACACCTCTCTCGATGGTTCCGACAGTCTTTAACTCGTAACCGTACCGTTGCCGAATCTCTAAGGCCTTACACGGACTGAAGTCTATACAGAAGACCGAAGAAGTTGTTCAATAGTAGGCACCTATTTGGTTTACTTAAGTAGTTACAGAGCAACTATATAAGTATTCCTCCTAGTAATAGGTATATCCTTATATTGTACTATAGATAGAATTTAGTAACTAAGATAGTTAATTAGTAGGTCTTAAGTAGCAATATATAAACGAACACGAAGAACTAAATATAACAGTAGAAACAAGCGTCCTTTTATATCTAGTCCTTCCTATCCTATCGCTAGGATGGATTGTCACGTGATCTCAGGTGTAATACTGCCTTGAGTCTATGCCTACCTTATTGTCCCGGCAGAACCGCTGGCAGTCTTGTTGCCGAACTGATTGATTCAGACGCGTCCATATTTAGCGCCCTAGGGGTGGGTCCGTAACACGTAGGTTCTTTGCTAGTAGTTGTTGTGACTATAACCACACCACGACTTCTTATCCAAGCCTTCCGAACAATCTTAAACCCCTCCTTAGTTTTAAGGCAGTAGCACAAAATAACACGATAGGTGGAAATGCCACAGGATAAATTACTCAGAAGTGAGGAATAAGAAGTAGGAGATAGCATTCACGGCTCGGATGAGGCAGATTGTCCCTGGTCTCTTCCTAGGAAATGTCGAGCCATTATATAAACGGGAAATGCTTGAGGAGAACTATATCAACTCAACTGTATCTCTCACTGATACTCGATAGGTATAGTGGAATACCATTACAAGAGAGGCAGGCGTCCTAGAACATCGTCATAAATGGGTTCAGTCTGCAGATTTGTCGACCCAAGACCTCCTCGCCTATATGAATGATACCTGCGACTTCATCGACTAAATGGCATCACCAGCCCTTTTTTCATAACTCTCTTTACCCGTCAAGTGTGAACATGGGACGAACGTCGAGTTGTCCCGTGCAGCTTCGGAGGCGACTTTAATTCACTGTGATCTTGGAATATCACGCTCACCGACTATTATTATTGCCTATATTATACGCAAGTTGAACATTAAGCAAGCAGAAGTATTGCATTTTGTTCAATCAAAGCAGAGAATCAAGCCGAGCATGAAATTTACTCGTCAACTACAAGTTTGGGAGGAAGTTGGAGTTCAAGTATGGGAGAATTTAGATAGGTCTGTCCCGAAACTAGCAAATAAAGTATTTCTTGAACATCGGAATGTTCTTCTCCGAAAAAGAGGGCTCACCGGAAATGAGTCACTTGCACCCCAGAACCTTTAATAACGAGTTGCTTTGTTATGCAAAGCTCCTAGTCTTATAGAGATCTCACAGCCTCCTTGTGTACGTTGTTTCTATCCTGCGCTTATTTCTGAGCATGTTCATCCGAAAGTAATACATCAATGCTGGTCTATGGTGCTCGGAAAAGGCAAATAGACACGACCCCCTTTCTTAGGCTTTTCACGGTAATCTGGAGCTATGCAGCATGTAAGTAGCGTATAATGATAGAGTAGTCAAGATATGTACCGTCACAATTTGAGTCTGCAGGTTGGGATGTATACAGGCAAGAATCGTCCGGACTTAAAATAAAAAATCAAATTATTGAGCTAATAGATGCCGTTCACAAGGCTCGTTGGTGCCTAGCTGCTGTAAAGTATTGGCAACTATTACCATCACAGCCTGCCTAAGTCAGTAGCCTAGCTTATCATGACCTCTATTAAGGGAATAAGACCATCGTCTTGTATATGTTATAGACCCACCCATAGGATGCCAAAGATGGACACGCCTAAACCAATCAATTCAGTAACAAGGTAGTCAGAAAAGCCGCGGGCTAAAGAGCGGCAGAACCGACTCAGACAACAACATCTACGGTCACATAACCCGACTCATCAGTGATGAGTCCGGAAGATAGCAGCGATGAGAAGGTCTAGATATATATGGATCTCTCCATGATCCTCAATTTATGTACAGGCTTCAACACTTTTCCACATGACCCAAAGCAAAGGCGATGGATCACATTACAATATGCGGTCTGACGTAGCCCACATGTAACAGAGGTAAGCAAAGGCTACAGGAAAGAGGGGTTCACGAATCCTTAATGGAAGGGCACCGAACCCTCAGGGCCTTGTAGGTCATGCATCTATGTTGAGAAGTGGGGCTGTCATGACGAAGCCTGACCGATAAGGTGTTGGACTGACACCTGAGGCATTGAGTTGGGAATAGCCTCATGTTGCAATATCATATGACACCGCTACCCTGCAAGTAGCGCTCTAACACATAAGACCAAGAAGATATCCACTAGATCACTGATCAGGGTGATCTGAGTGCTAGTAGTATATATGCATAGATATGGATCTGGATAGCTCTGAGATCATGCTACTGTGGCCCCATTTGAATCTTCTATACTGTATCTTCTCACAATCAATTTAGCCAACTGGCGAGTTACCCCGGCCCCCGGGCCAGTAAGCCTCAACCGACACGCCGCCCTGGTACCTAGCAAACGCCAGATAAAAATACTTATCCTCCAGCCCAGCCGGGCCAAGCTGAAGTAATTGTCCACCCCCAAAAAAGCAGCAAAATTTCTCCATAAGATACCATACGTAACCATAATCGTCTTTGGAAGTCTACAATGAAATTTTCCACTTTTTGAAGTGGAAGATCAGAGTTATATACCCGCGTTAAACATCGCATTTATGGAGTGACAACGGAAGGCTCATGATCAAATGCTCCACGAAAAGCTGTACAAACGCCATTCCCAGGTCCTCGCAAACGAAGAAAATAAGAAGCCAACGAAAAGCGAATACCGCAAGGACGCAGACAAACTTGAAAAAGAAATAACAAACAAAGAAAATGCAGGATAAGGGGGAAATCAGCTTCCAGAACATGTCTTCACTCTCTAATATACACATGAAGACTGAAAAAGAGGGGTTTGTTTAGGCTCATGACGCGGTTTAGCATAGTTGAGTCGGACGGAAAGAGGGGGAGGGGGAAATGATGAGAAGCAGGCACAATGCAGACCAGAACAATAGGGCTAATGGAGATAACAAGAAAGAATCAGAGTCCAGAAATAGGACTGCAAACAAATCAACATGGAGTGGACGAGTCCTAGACATGCGAGTGTGAAAACAAGTACGATAGATGCTCATGCGAATTCGTGATTGCTAAATGCAGCTGTTGCAGTTAGAAGCGCCAAATTGAGCTAAGACCGGCGTAAAAAGGAAGAGATAAAAATTCCCCATATGGATTGTAGCTTTTGAGACAAGGGGGTTCCTCTATGCTCCTTTGTTTTTCTTCTTATGCTGTTGTGGGATGCTTGGCCTATCACAGGCGCAAAGCGTCAAGAATTTTCTTCGCCATTTCTCGGTACTGCCACATGCCACCAGCGACCTTCTTGAACTGAATGCCATGGAGTGAAAACAGAGGCACCTTCACGATAAGAATCTCAAAGCGCAGTACCAGATTTTCACCGGTATCACTCTGGACCCGGGTTGTAGTCTCACCGACCACTCGCTCACCAACCGTGCCACTGTGAGGCTGCTCCCGGGCAACGTACTCGTCAGATCCGTCCGAATTTGTAGTGAAGCTCCGGTCCGGTTGGCCCTGAGTTCGACGTTGTAATTTGGGGTGTCCACCACGGCTATCATCACGGCTATCGTCGTGCCCGAGAAGCCCACCAAAACTAATCCGACGACGGTGCGACATCTGTCCTTGCCGATCGGGGCTAGGCGGGCTGATATCGACCACCTTGTCCAGATCGATGCTAGGAGCATGTCGACAGCTGAATCCACCTTTGATCTCGACGTAATCAACAGCAAGCTGTTTTAGAACGCGGATGATATCGGCACGAATGACAGGTAGAGGTTTGCTGCTGGTAGTCGACACGCTGAAGAGGCCCTTGAGATAGACTGGTTTGGACAAATCCTCGCCTTCGTTGGCACTTTCAAGAGCTGTTCCTGCGCCAGAGATATCCGCATCGGTCTCTTCAGGCACATTGGCCTCCCGAGCTGCCTCCCGGCGGGCCCGGCGGGCCTGGATGCTTTCACGGCGGGCGTGGCCAAGCGACATGGTACGGGCAGTATGTGTGCGGGTGCTTGTGGCAGGCTTGACACCAGCCTGGTCTCGCTGGTTGTTTGATTCAATTTGGTCGGACCCACTGGTCGAGGGAGGCTGACGCTCAACATCCAGGGCATCTGCATCACTCCTCCGGGCCGCTCTTCTAGTTCGATATTCCGCAGAATTGACACTGGTCGACCGCCCCAAAAACTTGTTTGATCTGGAAGACTGATCGCCAGAGTCAGGAGCGGCCAGGAGATCTTGATGTTGAGGCTGACTACCTCCAGAGGGCAGGGGAGCTGGAGAGGGATCAGCACGTCGTGTTCGCCGCACGCTAAATCCACGGTTCATTGGAGAAGCGGAATCGGCAGGAGGTTGAACATTGAGCGTTGGAGTGTTTGGAGTACTGGTGCGATCCCGTTCCACATCGCGGCTGCGATCTTTGGTTCTGCGCGTACTGAAACGCCGTAGAATACCGGCCGCAGTGCTTTCTTTCTTGACAGGGGTGTCCGGTTGTGCGATCGTCGGCACTGCGTGTGCCGATGGAGAAGAAGAGTGCATACTCTTCATCCCCTCTGTGACATCGTCCTCGCCATGAGTGCGAGCCCGCGGGCGAGATCGCCGACCTGTATCTCTCTCTCCCGGAAGCTGGTATTGGTTAGTATGAGCAGCTTCCGGAGGCGCCAGCTCGGGCACTTGTACATCACCAGGGGATTGACGAAGACCGAGGGCACCAGGTCGGGTTTCGGCCCGTTCCCGGTCTAGTTTCTCCTTCACAAGATGATAGATAGATATCAATGGGCTGTACGCATTAAGAGGGTCGTTGCCCAGCTGAATTGCTTCTGCCGATGGGGCGGACAGGGTGTCCCGGCTGGCAGCAGAGTTTCGCCGTTTATAGAAGTCAAAAACGCCGCGCTTCTTCTCGGTCTGATTAGGAATAGGGTGTTCACGGAAGTTCAGGCGAACAGCATGCTGGTAATCATCCGATTCAAGCACTTTAGTCAGTTGCGCGTTAATATAGTCCGGAGGACCAAAATCAAAGCCCGTCATCTTCTCAATGACCTCCTGATCCAAAGGAAGCTGTAACGGCTCCCGCTGCGGCAGAAAGTTCTCGGGAGGGGATGTAAAGCCCTTGTTCATCCAGGGATGGTTCATGATTTCGGACAGGCTAGCTCGTTGCTTGGGATCGGTGACCAGCATCCGAGAGATAATGTGGCGACATTCTTGGGTAAGAAGATTAGTGGCAATTTCTTTCATGGATTGGAAGATCATGATCATGAGTTCCGACTTACCAGTGGTGAGACCAGGAGGGTATTCCACTACACCCTTCTTGATTTTCGCATGTAGCTGGGGCATGCTCTGGTCATCGAATGGCACTTTGCCGCAAACCAGAACGTACAATACGATGCCGAAACTCCAAACATCCACCTCCGGTCCAGTGTACTGTCTGGCTTGGAGCAACTCCGGAGCGGCAAAATAAAGACTGCCACAGAACGTTTTCAGAAGGCTCTTGGGCGAGAAGAGATTACTTAGGCCGAAATCAATGATCTTGATGTCGCCTGTCTTGCTGATGAGGATATTCTCGATCTTTAGATCGCGATGGACAATGCTATTGCGGTGGGAATAATCCAGGGCGCTGGCGATTTGACGAGCGAATTTGCGAGCTTGCTTTTCCTTCAACTTGCCGTGGGAAATGATGTAGTCTAGCATTTGCCCGCCGTTGACGTATTCGAAGAGCATGTACCAGTGATAGGTGGTTCGAACCACGTCGCGCATCCCACAGATATAGGGGTGGTTAACCAGGCTGACAATGGCCGCTTCTCGGGCGGTTCGAATTTCCTTTGAGCGATCGGCTCTCTCTGTCTCCCGGCTGTTGCGATGCTCCTCAGTCGATAGCCGTGGAACGATTTTCACGGCAACCTATTTGGAGAGAATGGTTAGAACTACCACCAGATCATCCATAGACAATGCTCTCTACACTCTGGATAACAGGGAAGGGGGAAGGTGATATATTATTTACCTGTTCCCCGGTTTCCATGTTCTTTGCCAACTTCACCTTGCCCATGCTTCCGGCACCAATGGTCTTTCCCAGCGCCCATTGGCCCGTGGGCGTTGTGATGGTCGTGCGGCGCCGAGGTTGGGGGGTGGTGGTGGAAGGCCCATGTGTGGCATTTGCCTGTTGGGAAGAGGAATCCGTCGATTGTGCGGTGCCTGTCATCTCCGCGCTATCGGGCTGGATAGAAGGGGTTCGCTGATGACGGCGGGTGGATTCGGTCCGGGATGCGGTCGATGGGCGCTCCTGGGAGGAGCGCTCGGCGGAAGACTCCCGACGGGAGGGCATTCGCGCTGCATTGGCGGCTTCAAAATCTCGGCGGGCAATTCTGTCCAATGCGGCGTGGTTGGAAGGCGGGCGGCGATCATAGGAGGGGGGTTTTGAATTTGAATAGTGAGTCTGTGGAGGGGGCTGGGAGGAGTTGGACGATCGGACCGCCACGCTTCGTGTCCGATGGGGGAGGTCGGACGGCGCTCGCGGTGGACGAGACGAGGTAGAATGGCTACGAACCACCGTAGGCGACGTCGGCGCAGGCGTCGGGGCCGACATGACGGCCAGGCGAGGAGGTGAGGGGGCGAAAAGACAGAGCGGTCAATGAGTTGTGAGGTGCTTTAGTGGTCGGGAGGTCAAAGGGTGAGCGGGGAGGAGCTGACGAAAGGGCTAGGGATCAGGCCCCACGGGACTCTGCGACCCGGCGGAAAGGGGGGAAGGTGGACAATAGGACACTCTGCAGAGGTGACGACGAGAGAGAAAGCCGAGATTTGGATGCAGGAGCAGGATGGCAGGCAAGCGCCGTAGTGGGAGGGGGAGATGCAGAAGAGAAGTTGGAGGTTGGGTATGTTGCGGAGGCCTACTTGCGCGATTATCAGGACCAGACGCCGCGACCTTGTCGGGCCATCCGTCGTGCAGGGGCTCCACTGGACTTCGCTGGGCTTCGACTGCACCCACGCTTATAACACAGACTGGCCAAAACCACCCCAAGTCGCTTTCCCATTTGGCCCAGGTCCCTGGCCTCGGTTAGGGGAGGTTTCACTACGTTCCCCTGGTTCTTTTCCCCGGTTCCTTTACAGGACCGGCCTTGACATCATCCAGTCTCGGCCAGGCACGGGACTGTTCATAGTTCGTGGTTTCATGGTTTCACGGAGTTATAGTTCATCGATCTTCGATTTGACCCCGGTGATTGGGTGATATGCGAGGCTTCAATAAATCTCAAATGATCCGGCGACACATTCCGCATCTCCATCTTCTACCTATCGCCTCCTGCTCGTCGTGTTGTCGATCCCCCGGTGTCATCATCATCGGGTCTCCGCGACCACGCTCACGTGATCACATACTATAAATAACTATAAATGCCCGTTGAACGAGAGAATCCAAAAAGAAAAAAGAGATTGTGTGTGTGGCTGGCTGGAGAACAGGAATAGCAAAAGAGGGAACTGGGGGAAAAGCGAAGGGAGGGAAGGATTCCAGCGCTGTATAATAGAATAACATAATTATTTTACACATATATACGATGAAATCTTTATTAGGCATTTGGACTCACAACGGAGCTCTTTCACTGCCATGCCCCCACAGTTACAAGCTGCTTCCTCCCAATTCGCCGACCCAAGCCACCAGAGTAAATCGCTCAGTGTCTAAACCGATATACCGCCGTATTTGAAGCCAACCCCTGCTGGGGGATTTTTCGTCGCCCGTTGACAATCAGATGGCGGTTGGATCGCACCGGAGGATCCCATACGACCTCAGCCACGCTAGCGCGTGGGCGGAATACACCACAGCCAGTATCGTCGTGATTGTTAAACAGCAAGAGATCAGCAGATCCCTGGGTCTGCAAGACAAGACTTGGGTCCGACGGAGCCAGTCCAATAGCAGCTCGCGCGCGCGTAGAGACACACTCGTACAGGAGGGCAGCATCGCTCTGCGTCCCGGCCTGATAGACGCCCACACCGACACACGCGAGGAACAACGGGTCTGCCGACCCCCAGGGCGTGAAGGCGTTGCCCACATTGTTGACGCCTAGGACGGCATCCAGCCCGTGCCGGCGAATTATCTCCGGCACTCGTAAGGTGCCCCGGGGTCGGTGGTGAGAGATCACCGGGTCTGGCGGCGAGGCCATGTAGAGATCGCTGGTGGGCAGGCCGACAAAGCTCACCGGCAGGTCCTGGTCCCGGATAATTTGTGCTGCGCGGCTCCATTCTTCGTCGGTGAGCAGGGTGAGGCGGGTACAGTGGCCCAGCATCACTCTCCTCCGGGTGCTGGAGGCGGTCCAACCACGCTGCTGGAGGGCCTCCAGCACATGCCAGAGCAACGCCTCCCGGTTGGGGTCCAGATTGTAGTCAAGATGAAAATCAAGATGTTTGTCAAGCTGCATGGCACGGTCGATTGCCCAATCGATATTGCTTTTGGCCGCCTCGGCGGTGGATTCCACATACGGTGTCGTTCCGATCACATCGATCTCAGAGAAGCGCCCCAGCGCCTCTTCAATTAGGCTTCTATTCTCCTCGCCATGGAGAGTGGAGAAGAGAGGATCTTGCGCAAAGCTCACTACCTGGATCTCACAGACTTCCTGCCACTGGCGTTTCAGCGTCACGGCAGCATCCACACAGGTCAAGTTGACAGTATGGTCCACCTCCACAAAGGCTCTCATCGCCGTGACTCCAGATGAGACGGATTCAGCCAGGAGCCACTCGCCTCGCTTAAGAATATCAGGAAGCGTAAACTGCTGCTTGGCTTTCGTAGTGAAGGACAATGCTTCTTGAAACGTGCCTTCGCAGGGAAGTAAATCCACATATTCACGTGCATTGTGGACAAATGCCTTATCCAGATGAATATGCGGATGTGTCAAAGCTGGCAAGGCCAGTGGACACTCAAGTTGATCAGAACAATCCAAGGAATTCGCATGCGGGGTGACGGATGCGATGGTGCCTCGAGAGGAGTTTGATGGGCATTGGAGATTGATGTCCCAGATGGACGAGGATCCAGCCACCCTCACCCCTTGGATGGAAGTAATCGGTTGGCTCAATTTGGGCGGCGGCATGTTTTCTGTGCCAACCTGGATTATACGCGATGCCCCCGCTGTCATATCACGACGCTGACAGGGCTTGTGCGGTTCCCCACTCGGCTTCCCGCGGGGAAACAGTAGATGTGCCGTCGATTGTGCCCGACTCCCCAAAGTAGTTCATTCGGCATAGGTTGAAAAAGAATATTCGCAACTGAAGAACACCAGATCTGAAGCTTCAAGGCCCATCGAAGTTTAACATTGGTTCTCGGTCGTTTTTTTTTTTTTTCTTGAAGGTCGACGCAGACCACCTTCTAGCTAGATTGACAGACTATTCCTAGTAGAATTAGAATAGCAGTTCTTCTACAGAAAGCTAAAAGAAGCTGTAATAAAAATAGATCAATTCATTATTCAATTCGTGTTTCTCTTCATACAACTACCAATCTCCCTTGAAGGCCTCCATGCAAGTTACATGGCAGTTTTATTCGAATGAGGCCAAGTCCAGTTACGAATGTGCTCAGGGTCAACGCCGTTGTTGAAAGCTTCCGCTTTACCTGCAAGCTGGAAGTTGACCAGCTTCTCCCGAACACTGGATCCGGTATTGCCCAGAGTCTGAACCAGGTCAATCGCATCGATGGCAAGGCTGTATCGGTCCGTTCCATTGCGGAGAGCCAGTTCGAACGGAGTGTCAATGTTGCCCTTCTCCCGGTAGCCGCGGACATGCAGATGCTGCTGTCCAGGTCGTCGGTAAGTCAATCGGTGGATGAGCCAAGGGTAAGAGTGGAAGTTGAACAGGATAGGCTTGTTGTCGGTGAAGATCGCCCGCCAGCGCTGGTCCGACATGCCGTGGGGGTGATGGATCTTGGAGATCAAACGGAAGAGATCCACCACGTTCACAAATCGCACTTTGAGAGCTGGTAGGTACTCACGCAGAAGAGCGGTGGCAGCTAGTGCTTCATGGGTCGAGACATCGCCACAAGAAGCCATCACAATATCGGGCTCCTCGCCTTGGTCATTGCTGGCCCAGTCCCAGATGCCCAAACCTTTAGTGCAATGCTTAATAGCGTCTTCCATGCTTAGGAACTGAATATGATCTTGCTTGTCGGCAACGACGACGTTCACGTAGTTGACACTGCGGAAGCAGTGATCCATGACCGACAAAAGAGTGTTTCCATCGGGAGGAAGATAGATTCGAACAACTTCCGGGCTTTTGTTGGCCACCACGTCGAGAAAACCAGGGTCCTGGTGGGTAAATCCATTGTGATCCTGACGCCAGACAGTGGCAGTAATCAAGATATTCAGAGAGGCGACCTTGGCTCGCCATTCCACTTCCAGACACTTCTCAATCCACTTGCAGTGTTGATTGACCATGGAATCAATGACGTGAACGAAGGGCTCGTAGCTGTTGATGAGGCCATGGCGACCAGAAAGAATATAGCCTTCCAGCCACCCCTCGCAAGTATGCTCGCTCAACATCTCCATCACTCGACCCTGAGGAGATAGATTGCCGCCATCTTTGTCTTCCTCGAAGTAGTCCGCCATCCATACTTTCTTGCCGGCCTTGTAAACCTCGGCGAGCTTGTTTGATTCTGTCTCATCGGGGCCGAAAAGTCGGAAATTGGTCATGTTTTTGGCAACAACGTCGCGAAGGAACTTGGACATATTGGCCATGCCTCCCTTAATAGTTTTTCCGGGGATAATGTCCCGCAACGCATAGTCGCGGAAGTCCGTCATATTCAGAGGCTTCCGCAAGACTCCTCCGTTACCGACTGGGTTGGCTGACATACGAGAGTTGCCAACAGGAGCGAGTTCTTTGAGTTCAGGAATCAATTTTCCATTTGCATCAAACAGTTTCTCAGGCTTGTAACTCTTCATCCAGGATTCCAGGACTTTCAGATGAGCTGGGTTGGTGAGTACATCGGTGATTGGAATTTGATGCGCCCGCCAAAAGCCTTCCAGTAACTTGCCATCGATCTCCCGGGGCGCTGTCCAGCCCTTTGGCGTTCGGAGCACGATCATTGGCCAACGAGGGCGGAATGGCTTATTCGAAGAACGAGCTTGCTGTTGGTACTCTCGGATTTCCTTGACGCATTGCTCCAAAGTGACTGCCATGGCCTGATGCATGCTCTCCAAATCACTGCCTTCCACGAAATATGGCTTCCAGCCATAACCGTAAAACAATGCGGTCAATTCTTCGTGGCTGATGCGGGCCAGGATAGTCGGGTTGTTGATCTTGTATCCATTGAGGTGGAGGACTGGCAGAACCGCACCATCAATGCAGGGGTTCAAAAATTTGGTACTGTGCCAGCTGGTTGCCAGCGGGCCAGTCTCGGACTCTCCGTCACCGACCATGGTCAGCGTGATGAGATTTGGATTGTCAAACACAGTTCCAAAGGCATGTGAAATGGAGTAGCCCAGCTCGCCGCCCTCGTGGATGCTGCCGGGGGTCTCTGGAGTGGCGTGGCTGCCGATGCCTCCAGGGAAGGAGAACTGCTTGAAGAACTTCTTCATGCCATCCGCGTCTTCACTCTTGTCGGGATAGACTTCCGAGTAGACCCCCTCAAGATAGGATTGGGAAATAATACCCGGGGCACCGTGGCCCGGTCCGGAGATGAAGAGAACATCCAGATCGTACTTCTTGATCAGGCGATTCATATGGATCCAGGTAAAGGACTGCCCTGCATCGGATCCCCAATGGCCCAAGAGGCGTGCCTTGAGGTGTTCCAGCTTCAGTGGCTCTTTCAACAGTGGGTTATCCCGAAGGTAGAGCATTCCGAGACAGAGATACAAGCTTGCGCGGAAATACTCATTCATCTTGCGGACCTCTTCGCTTTCAAGACATTTTCCTTGGATGGTGGAGCGAGCTGGTCCATAGGCGGAGATGCTTTTGCCCTCCTTGTCGGATGCTTGAGAAGCCATGATGGCTAGAAGCAACGGATTTCAAAATATTGAAACCCGATTTTACGCGTATATCGGTGCACTTGGGGCAGCCAGTAGATCAAAGTCACGGGCGATTGGCCAGGTTTGCGGAGTGGGTCTGGGTTGATTGAAATAGTAGAGAAGAACGAGGAGAGAAGGTCAATGTGAGGCAACGTGATTTCTTATAAAGGAACATTCAAACGAGGAGTGGCCTGATGTTCCCATCGTCCCCGTTGGGTGATTCGGTGGTTGAGTGGTTGAACGGTAATCGATGACGTTTAGTTGTGCAGACACCGCACCCTGTCATTGAACGCCTCTCTGGCTGACTGGAGATCGGATATTCGCCCACACTGCCATGAATCATGACACCGACAAAACCAGGATGGCCTGGTCACTCGGTCCTTTTATCCGATCCCCTTCAAATCCGGTTCTCATTCCTGTTTCACGCCCTCCCGGCCCTTCCCGCCCGTCACTCTCCCGTGAGAGGATCAGCCACCGTCCCGAAGATTGATTCGCCTGCAGCCCGTTTATGTAGATACCTGGAAACGGTAATTCGCTAATGGATTTGCACAATCATAACAACAATATCCATGGAGCTGGTGATAATTATGCGCTAGGGGCTGTGGGCCATCAGGAGGGCTCTGTGCCTTCGTCTGAGCAACGTGAGAAATAGCACAGACCAGGATAGAAACATGGCCCGCAGTCAGCGACAGCAGTGGCGACACAAGGGTGCTAATGATCATAATCTCCTCGAGTTCAGTCATGATCGTACTTCTGTCTCTTTCCCCTCCCCCTTATTACCCCTGTTCCCCCTGTCCCAGCGCCATTAACTCATGGCTGACAGAGTTCAGGCTCCTCCCGACCGTCATCTTATGGGACATTTTCAAGCATTTAGGAAAGAGAAGACACGCATTGACCTGTTTCGTCGTCTGTTGCTTTTGGATAATTGATATGTCACGCAGTAATCTTTTGTTCTCCAATTTGAGATAATTAAGAGCATCGATCGTTCACTGCGAACCAGCCAATTATTGGCTGGTTCTTAAACAATTGCACTCATTGAGCGAGATCGGGAACAACAGAGTTTGGGGCTCCCTGGACAATTAAGCTGGTCTCGGAGGCCATAGAGTTGAAGACTGGAAATGCAGAACTGCAGCTTGATCCAATCATTGGTCTCCCGGCCTGCGGGACAGAATTAATTGACTTGGGCGAAATCCATTCATAAAACTTTGTCCTTAAAGTGATTTTATGAGAAACAATTTATATTTTCCATTATGTTTTTGGTACCGCGTGAAACCATTTGGAAATCTTTCCGGCCAACCTTTTCCAAATTTTTTGGGATTGACTATCACCCTTGAACATAGTACGAAGCCTCAGCCCAGACGAAATTTGTTGAAAAGGATAGGTTTTCTGGCCATCGATCCTCGATAAATACCTAGGCAGCTCTATTTCCTGCCAAACTGGTTTGACCTATTCTGACCAGATCGGCATTAGACAGGATTTCTTGGTCAAACCCATATACTACCTGGCTTAGAACTGCCGCCACAAGTTCTCTCCGGCTCACATTCGGTAAGGCCCTGGTAAAAATGTTCGTCAAGTCGAAGAGGCTTGCTAGTACGGATCTCAAGAAGGTTGTGTTATTGGTCACAACTCCAGGTCGTGCAATGGCAACTTCCACATTTGTGAACTTTGTAGGCAGTTTCTGGACCATCATCTCTGTTTCGCCCTAGCGATATCATTAGTGCACTGAGCAAAAGACTGAGTGGATAGAGTAGAATCTCTTTTCCAGAGAGAAAACCACAGGCTGTTGGTCACTTACTCGCATTATCTGGTAGTCTCTCATAAACCAAGCCGATGACTCTTCTGCCGGCCCTTGAGATGTACCCTCGGCGCTGAAGTAAAGAAAACGAAACGGTCGCGAAGGCCCAGCTCGATAGATAGCTTCAAACCCAAGCAAGGTACATTCTTGACAGACACGCTTAACTTCCGCGAAGTCAAATCCACCAGTTCTAAACGGGGTTACGGCAACAGTCCTATTATTCCAACGTCAATTAGTATGCCTCTCAAAAGGGGACTAAAGAATGGAAAATCACCAGATACATGCATCTGCTCCTGCAAACTCAGCCATTACGTCCTCTGAATACTCACCGTAGTCGGCTATTACAACGATTCTCAGTTTTGAGGTATTCACGCCACTGTCAACCTGAACAGGTTTCCTGGCTAACGCGACAACCTCGCTGATTTCTCTCATCTCCAGGCTTTGTCTGATGAGCTCGGATCCTACGAGGCCCGTAGCCCCTGCGATGATCACCTTCATAACTTTGGTCTTCAATTTGATCTTTATGAGATTTTACTCCTTATAGGGATGCTATCGAGTCTTATATTCACTGATGGATCTCTCCTTCCATGCATTTTATAGGAACTGTCGGCTATCGGCATGCCGAATGCCGCTTAAAATCCCCTGACACGGAGTTCGTGACCCAAATCCCGACCGTACTCAAAACGAATCCCCTTCCAGCGTCTGTTCTCTCCACAGGGCCGGGTCAGCAAAGAGCGAATACCGGATGCCCGCTTGTATCGAGTATTCAAGATACTATACTTGACATTATGTCGCCGGGTCGGGCCCCATCGCCAGCAGCCAAAATGTATGGCAGAGTGAGTAGCCGGTATCTCCGCTTCCTCCTTTCCGTGGTCTACTGACTTTTCCACCAGGCATGCAAAAATTGTTCGATTGCAAAGTGTCGGTGTATCGCAAGAACTGAAGGGCAAAGCTGCGAAAGATGCCACCGCCTTAACAAGACATGCTTACCTGGCAATGCAAGCCGAGCTCGCACCACGCAGCGAAATAATCCCGTTGCCCGTATTGCACAACTAGAAGGGAAGCTGGACAACCTTGTCTCCCTTTTGGTCGCTGGTAAACCATTGGATGCTCCTCAAACGGGTCTTGTTTCTCCTTCGCCACCACTTTCAAATTCTAACTCCCCTTCTTCGGCGTCGGTAGCTGCCGTTCCAGCTATCTCCGTATCCACCTTATCTGTCATTGAGCCATCCGAGGAACAATATCTCGATTACTTCCGTAATCATATGCTCAAATACTTTCCCTTTCTTCATATAACTGGTGATGCGCAAAGTTTGCGCCAGTCCCGACCATTTCTTCTATCCTGCATCGTGTGTGCCGCATGTCAGTCGACACAGGTAAAGCTTCGCCTGGGTGCGCAAATAAAGAAAAAGGTGACAAACTGCATTTTTTTGGCCAATGATCCAGATGTCATCAATATTGATCTCCTACTTGGTCTTCTCACATTTATCGCCTGGGGCCATGATCAATTACTGAACGGTGCTCCAGCTCTTTTGCCCAGACTCACGCAGCTGGCATTGACTTTGGTATTCGACTTACGTCTAAATAAGTCGCCTCAAGAAGACTCAAACATGCTGCCAGTTGGAAATGAAAGTACAATGAATTCTGATGACCCGATACAAAGTCTTGAGGGAAAACGAGCCGTCCTTGGTTGTTTTGTCATTAGCTCAATGTGAGAACTTGGAACTATTACTCCTCCTAAACCTCATTTTGCAATTTGAGAGCAGCAATGCTAACCTTTCAAAGTGTCTCTGTTTACTTTGGGCATATGGATGCCATGAAATGGACGCCATACTTAGATGAATGTTTGGAAGCTTTGAACCACAACAAGGAATCGCCTTACGACGAAATGTTCGTGCGTCAGGTCCGGTTGCAACGGATTTCCGGTGAGGTGGGGGAGACTGAAAATATGGATGAAATTAGAAAAGCGCCTCCAGCTTTCTATTTGTCATTTCTTCAACAAAAAGTGAAGGAAATAAAGAGCCACATGTCGCCACAGCTACAGCAGGACCGTAAGTCCGATAATGCTCTATGATCTTTGAAAAATAACACCCAAGGACTGCACTTGCTGACTTTAAGATCCATAGGGGTGCTTTCTGCATCTATATATTACACCGAACTGTCCATATTTGCATTGGTGCTTTCAAGAAAAGCTGACAGTGTTCAAAGGCTAGAACACCTCTATACTTGCTTCAACACAGTCAAATCGGCATTGGATAACTTTTTCACAATTCCAATTACTGACTATCCTGGGATATGTTTCCCCTTATTCGCATACCTTGTTCGCTACGTGATAGTTCTATACAAGTTATCAACTCTGAAGGATGCGGCATGGGACGTTAATTTGGTTCGATCAAGCTTGGATATTATGCAAGTTGTTGATCGTGTGATAAGTAACCTTGAAAGATGCCGGAAATACCATGGAGATCAGTCCTCTGGTGGTATTATGGAAAGGGCCATCGGGATTTTTCAACGTTTCAAGTCATGGTGTGCAACAAGACTTCCGTCAGTCCACACGGGAGATACAAATAACATCGATTTTGATCTTCAAACGCAGTGCAATTCGCCCCTTGATGGTCTTTTTTTGGATGACTGGTGGTGGAAGGAGACCTTGGATTTTGGCCCAGTGGGGAATAATTTGCCTTGAAATATTTGAAGTCATGCAATCAGCACACTCAAGCTTACAGGTTGCAATAATGAATTTTGTTCAGAGAGATTCCCCTATTAAAGATTCCACAAATCAAGACAAAAAAAATCTAATGGCCTAGTCCAGCCTATCTCGTGTTATATGGGCCATGTAGGCAGATTCTCTGGGGAGAGCAAGAAACCCAAACACCAACCGTGCATCGAATGTCAAATACAAAGGGAAATGGCAAAAAAACGGTTCCAAAATCATTCCAAAGTCGCCCAAGAAGTTATCACAAAACGTGTAATATAACGCCCGGTGGTATTAGAAGCCCACAGACCCCATTCAGAAAAGATGGACAAAAGAAAGCAAGCCTAACAGCGGCAGACATCGGTATTTCTGGTATGAGAAACAATATTCATCATCATGCTTGAGATTAAGATCTCTATGAACGGAAGGAACATATATAGATATGATAATTGGCTCCTGAAATTGATCATGTATTGCTTTGTTAGTCCTTCCGCTGATGACCCGGGTCTCAACTATGGGACAGTACTTTGGAAGTAGTTCATAAAGGTCTCCAGATGCCTGTAGCTGCAGTCAACCGTCGTCTCTATCTAACCAGGCTGGAATGCTTGACATGGGTATGAACCAATGCAACAAATCACTGCGGGAGAACAGATCCATGTAGTACCCCCCGGCGACTTCTGATTCACCTCTGGTTTGCCCTCCGCCTCCTTGATCTGCTGTCTGCTGTCTGCTGTCGCATTCCGCATTCCGATTGTTTTTCAGCAGCCTGCGGTCTCTCAGCGGTTCTACTCTGAGGGGTCTCCAGCCTTTCTCACTCTCTCAATGGAGCCTGACAGATATATTCCAGTTCAATCGGATCATCTTTAGAAAATATTGCTCTTCGGCATATGGCGAGAAAGCCCCGAAACGCTCGCTTCCGCTTGGGGGGAAAGGAAAGGCGAAAATCGCGTTAAGGAACATGATGTGAATTGGCTCTTCGGGGGATATAACGACTGTCGCCACATAGGACGCGTAAGTACTAATGAAAGGAAGAGTTTACAATGTTAGTCCATTTTATTAATATGCATGATGCAGATAAGTGTGGATCATAGTAGGTCAGATTGCCGACCGCGAATGTCGTGTTTGGTTTAGGAATGATGGCAGCCAACACGCCAAATAAAAAAAAGACACCAACAAATACAGGATCTTCATCTTGATCCTGATAATCCACATTATTGGTTGTAAACTTATAAATATAATAAGAAGGCAGATAATGAAGGGAGCACTGACTGAGAGTATACGTATCAGCCCACCTTTCGCCTATTTGCTCCAAGATCACAAATTTGCCACTGAAGTAGCCGGCCAGTAGAACACGGCAACAATACTAGCTTCAGCTATTTTTTCTCGGTAAAATTTGATGTATTATTTCATACCCTCTGCCAATTTCCTGTCAACTGCCCCGCCTTATTTCAACCCTTTAACTAATTAAGAGGTGCAGGCTGAAAATACTCGCAAGTTATTTTTGGATGTACAACCTGTCATTCACTTACATGCCGATCACAGTAATGCGACTGGTCATTTTCAGAAAGAGGCCAAGCTATAGTTGCATTGAAGATTTAGAAGAGGCCCATTCAAAACGAAGATAATTCTGAAGATCGGCATCGGCAACACCAAGGTCCGATCTACAAGTCTATGCAGAGATCTGCTTCTCCCCATATTTCACTCCCGAGACCCACCTGTCCGGGAGGACATGTTCTACGATTGGCCATCAATATCTCAGCGAGAGACTAGTAGGGCATCAAATCGAACGGTTTACCACGGTTGACTGGGTAAACAAGCGGTGAGCGACGAATGCATGACACTTGGCACTAGACTTAACGTTTCTTGAATCTATTCTGATTCCTGCTGCCCCATATTCAGCCCACCATATAAGTTTTGGGGGACTGGCCAAAGACGGAAATACTAGACCACTAAAGTTATATCACTTCAACTTCTCCTACGAGATGTTTGGCTCAAATGATTTAAGAAAACATTGCCGGGAGTGAGCGGAAGAAGCACGGGTTCGATCCGGTCCCGGGTCCACTTAGGCACTTGTGGCTGGACCAGAGCGTTCTAACTCGACGCCTCTTTACAACCGCACAAACGGAGGGCAGTCTCCCCCTTTTATGAGCTCTGCTCTATAACTTTTCTTCTTTCTAGCTTTCTTTTCTTTTCTTGACTTGGCCTTGATCATGAAAGCTCTCTCTTGAGGACTGGACAGGATTTGGCGAAGCCTTAAACATCACGCGGTAGAACGAACGGCGGAATTGCCAAATTCACCCTGCCTGATAAACTTCCAATACCACAGCCGCGGGGTGAAAAATGAGCATAATGGCTGATCCGGCCTATGTCTACAATATTCGTGAGGTACCACAAGACCAGAGAATTCTCTCGGGCCAGAAGTATCGCAAGCAACTCTACTATGTTGCCCAAGCTGCGGTATGGACGAGTTATCTGTATATTGCCCTGCGTTTGCTGGCACTGATATTGTCCATCTCGGATAATACCTTCCAAATTTGGGCAATGGCATTGACAGAATGCTTTTTTATATGTGGGTTGCGAACCACAGGATTTCCTGCCAAGAAACACTAGAAATCTAACCGAATATCTAGACTTGTCTCAAAAGGAGCAGCTTTTGACCATCAAGGCAGGCAAGTTGAAAAATGGCAGCCCGCGCAAAAGACTGCGACTAGAAGGAAATGAGAATTTGCCTCACGTCGACATCTTTGTGACCTGCTGTAATGAGCCCACTTCGATCATTCTAGCAACAGTACGGGCAGCCTGCACTCTTGACTATCCAACCTCCTGTTTTCGTGTCCTGGTACTGGACGATGGAGGATCTGCCTCGCTTAAGAAAGCGATTTCTGAGTTGAAGACTCAATGGAATCACCTCCAATACCATTCTCGTGGACGACAATCCGGGATGGTTTTCGCCAAATCAGGAAATTTGAACTATGCCCTGACTTCACTGCAAGAAGATAAAAAACCGGAATTCTGTCTTGTCCTTGACGCAGACTCGGTCCCAAAGATCGAGTTTCTTCGGGCCACACTTCCCCATCTACTAGAGAATCCAAACGTGTCACTAGTTTCCACGCGGCAGTACTTTTTCAACTTGCCTGATGGTGATCCTCTTTCTCAATCGCGGAGCCATTTCTATACCTGCCAAAACGCAGAATTAGATATTCTGGGACGGGCCATTGATGCGGGATCTGGTGCAGTCTTTCGGCGCAAGTCCATCATCGATGTGGGTCTGTACCCTACATTCTCCTTCTCTGAAGACTGGCAGCTGTCTCAGATACTACATGGCATGGGGCACCGGACGCTACAGGTCCAGGAGCCTCTCCAGTTTGGACTCGTTCCAACATCTATAACCGGCCATTCTGCTCAGAGAAACCGATGGAACATCGGACATGCACAGCAAGTGACCGGGATGATCTCTTCAAAAAGCAACCATCTCCCCAAAAGACTGCGATGGAGTATTGCGTGCAATGGGCTTGATATCGTAGCAGGAGAGTTGGGATCCTTCTTGGCATTTCTTGTAATCCCGCTTCTGTGTGTGTCGGGCCCACTCATTCCCCTTTCCACGCCTTCACTTGTCACAGCTCAGATCCTCTTGGGAGTGTGCCAAGTCTCAGTTACATGGATATACGAAAATCTACAAGCCGCATCTACCGGTTATAGAAGTGCCCCGTTTGCCCACATGGAAAACAAGTGGCTGGCTGGCTGTGAGTTTCTCTCCCTTCTCCCCACCTTATTGATACCGTTATTATAACTTTCCTATAAAATTATCTGGCGAATCTGATGCAAATCTTTCTATCACAGCAAATATTTACGGTATTTTACGGTTCTATCTTGGCTCTGGAAAGCCAAAAGGATCAGGATCCTTCATCACAGGCAGTACGGCCAATTCTTGGAATCATGCCGCAACTTTGTCCAGATGGACAAGATTATACCATGATCTGTTGGACAACGGCATTTTTTACAATTCTTTCTTGTTGGTGGTGACCATCGGAACACTCCTTTATTCTGTCGCATCGGCTATTGTGGCAAGAGAGAACGAAGGTATGGCCACACAGGTACTCACAACGATAGCTTTTCCGCCATTGCTGCATATCTCCTGGTTATCACTGAGCAATAACTACGTGCCCGTTGCATATATATTCAACCCTCCCCGCTATCCTGACCGGAGATTGACTGCTGTAAATGACAACACCATGGATCTTCCCGGAACCAAGATTGAGAAAAAGCCTACTGTGCGGCCGAAACGACACTATATGAGCAAAGAACTGTTCCAACCGAGCCTGAGGCTGGAGATCGACGAACCTAACCTGTGAATGAAAGTAAATTAATGAGCTCAAGTTCAAACGTGAATGATCCTATTTATAAAAATCTTAGCCTGTTATCAAAAATTTATCCTACTGAACTAGAACTTATTCAATTTAATTCACTATTTATTTTTCGCGAGGGGTGAAGGTAGCGGCCTCAAAAGATATTAAAGTCGCTCGCACATCGTCCTATCACGAACAAAATATTTTGAAAACCAGCAGCCATCAAAGATACCATTTAAAACCATCACCGTCACGATGGCCATACGTCAGCCTACAGATCGGGACAGACTGATACTTAAAAAAAAACACAGTCGTTAGACTCGTTTTACCCCCAAGGGACACTGCAAGATGTAACTCCTTGTTCGGCATCTGACTATAACCTTCGGGTGGTCGTGGAAGAAGGATGGTAAGGTCGAACTAGGAGTAAAGATTTAAAGCAAAGATGTATCTATGAACCTAGTATGGAAAGGTCTTCCCATCACATTAATCAGTCATCGTCATCATCATGGAATCTCAACTATATACACTCTTGATAATCATCATAAACATTTCGACATATATCGATGTATCGAACTCTATTTCAAGCATTTTCCTTCTGTTCAATCTGACTCTTTTCTGCGTGTTGCCATACATCCACTTCAGCAGTTTCACCCTGAGGAAGGTGGCGAGCCATCGAAACAATGTGCCAAGGCGAAGGTGCATCGCGGAAGACATGATCAAGTGCCTCGAGGTTGCGGTTCATGGTCTCGGGGTAGAAGAAGTAGACCGAGAAGGGAATGCAAGCTGAAATTACAGCATAAACAATGTAATATTGGTAACCAATAGTATCCAGTGCAACAGGAGTAATCATAGTCACTAGGAAATTGAAAATCCAGTGAGTGCTGGTTCCGATGGCTGACATGGCAACACGGAGCCGCATGGGAGCAACCTCTGTGCAGTAGAGGAAGTTTCCGCCCAAGAACCCAATTGGGTAGAAGGAGTTGAAGAGGAACATAAAGGCAGCAGAGACAATAGAGGCGGTACGGTTATTGTTGAAGCTGTTAGTGATTGCTAACACCATCATACAAATGGCCATCCCAGAGCCACTGATCATAAAGATCTTGCGGCGGCCTAGGCGATCGATCGCGAAGAAGGCAATGAAGCTGCACAGGAACTTCCAGGTCATGGCACAGGAGGAGAGAATTCGAGCGAGATCACTGGTCATTCCCAGATCTTCCTCAAAGATTGTCGAAATATAGGTGGAAATCAAATTGCCTCCACACATTTGCTGGAAAAACTGCAGCGCCACGCAGAGGCAGAAGCGATAGAGGAGCCGCTCTTCATCGGGTTTGTTAGGGTTGAAGATATCGCGTAGAGAGGTGCTATCAACTGATACTTCGAGAGAAGACTCAACGCCATTGATTTCAACGCGAATAGACTCATCATCGTCGTGCAGACCTTTATAAGTAGCCAAGCTGTGAGTGGCTTCATCAATGCGGCCAACACTGACAAGCCATCGAGGAGACTCAGGAAGTAGAAAGACGCAGCACAAAACCATGAGTTGGAAGAAAAAGGAGATGGCAAGGGGAACACGCCATTGCAATGAACCGTCGATCTTGCTTAGTCCATAGTCGATCCAGTTGCACAAAGCGTAGCCCAAGCAAATGCAAATTCCATCGACGATGACATGCTGTCCACGATGCTTAGCACTAGTGCATTCCGACTGCCAAACGGGAACAGCAACGCTAAACTGGCCAATGCCAAATCCAAGTATAACGCGCCCGACAATGAACTGGGGAAGTCCATAGGCAGCTGTCTGTAGCACTTGACCAATGAGGGTGAAAATGGCGCCGAGGAAGATCGTCTTACGACGGCCAATTCGATCACTTAGGAGTGTACATGAAAGGGCACCGGCGAGGGCACCCAACTGCAAAGATGCAATGACAACGCCTTTGAGAGTCGAGTTCTTTGATTTGACGGCACCGGATGTGTTGATCGTGTCAATCTCAGGGAACACTTCGACCCAGCTTTGCAGCGTGGCCAATGGTCCGAGACCGGACTGGTTGTACCCGAAGGCAATGAAGGCTAGGAAAGAGATATATCATTAGACGCAAAATGTAAGGTTCATGACGAGGAAGTGTAAGAATCACTTACCAGGCGCAACAATCAGCAGCGCCTGTGCTATGCGCGCGGCCTTGCCTCGAAACATGATGTATGAAACAAGAATATATCAAGGTCAGATGAGGGAGGAAGGGGGAGAAGAGATCACATTCGAGCGTCTCCCATTTTTATACGGCCCCCAGGAAGAACCCGAGCACCGTGGAGACCCCGCACAGTAATTTCCATTACATCCTGTGGGATTCATGGTCACCCACCTGTGGAGACCCGGCCTAGGGTGCAAGAATTCACAGATTGTATATGACTTGATCGCAATCCCGAGAGCTCCATCCGGGTGGGCTCGGCTGGATAGGACTTTTCACCCCGTGGGCAAAGGTATTTATGTCATGCGGCATCCGAAACAAGTCAGATCTGCAGTATTTGTGAACCCTTGGAAACTCCCATAAAGGAACAGAAAATTATGTTGATCTTTATTTGTGACGCTAAACTCTGTTTCTTGTCATTTTGCTGTTGCATTCGCTTCTTTTTGGATAGGGCTAAACCTCTGGCCGGTATTCAGAATCAGTTCACCGGCAGTGCCATCATTCTGATCTTAAGACACAGTGGATCGCGGGGGTTGGGACTTAGGAAGGAATCCATTCTCCGAAGTTGCCACGATTATTCCTCCCCGTTTCGTAGTGGATGGGGCCATTTTCTGGAGATCTCTCCTTCGGGCCGGTCTTATTGGCCGTTCGGCCCGGGGGAAAGCGAATTTGGGGTCAGGCAAGATGGCGGGCCCGTCGGTCGACATTCAAGGCTTCGGATTCCATCCGGGAGGGCCTGGATAGAACAAAATCCTCTCGGTAAGTATGGCCTGGAGGCTATTGGATGTCTTTAAGACCATGGGAGCCATCGGATATTTTCGTACAGCCTCATCTGCCCTGGCACTTGGCATTGTAAGGCTTGTTTCGCCTGCTCGCGCAATGTTCCCCCCGCCAAGATCCACGCCAAGCTGTCGACCATGTTTTCAGAATCCAATCTGGGAGAAGAGCCAAGCCAAATGTGGGATGCACCTCCACCCGCTGCACCCCACCATCTCGGACAGCGTCCGGAGTGTCCATATATGCAACCCCGAAGTTGTACGGAGTACGGGGGTGCGGAGTGGGTTCATGACGGCCCCTATTGCGGTCCGAGTACGATGGAAAAGCATCAGGCAAACGAATCAAACAACTCGCCATTCCGGCAGTTCTCGTAATCGGTAAAAGTAGTTTAAGCAGAACAGCAATTCCAAAGATCAAGGTCCACGGAACTTCATAGTGCTATCCTGAAAGAATTGGTACTATCCGGGAAAAATAATTCAACAGCAATCATACTATTCCCTCCTTGTTAAAGGGTTACGTTAAGACGATTTCATGCGAGAAAAATTCGGTGCTCCCAGCCCAATGCGTATCGGGTATAGGAAGGTCTCCCCTCGGAGAAAGCTCGGGATTTCATAGACAAGCACAACCAGGTAACTTGGTAATTGCTAATTTGACTAGAACAGACGCATGAATGTTGATTTTAATTTGTCTTCTAACAATGATGCCTGCCTCAAACTGCCCCTGGCCGTGAGAGTGAAGCAAGATAGAAGAGAGGAAGGCTCTAGTACTCTAGCTGAGCACTCTATAGTGATACAAAGCTTCATGCCGTATTCACTGTCTTACTCGAAATCTATAGCTCCCGATGAGCAAACTTTCCTCTGATCGCCGCTGAGACTCAACTTGTACTAGACACAGTAAATATTGGATTGGCATCCTCCAAAGAGAGAATGAGAGAAAGAGTCCAATGCACATGAAGCTTATCGAAATCTCTGGAGTCGACCTGTGGAGTCTCCGGCACTTTGGCACGCCAATGAATTTCCTAGATCCATCATGTGACTCTAGTGCTATGCATAATGAAAGCATTTTCACAACTAGTGTTGGATTGCAGTCCAATCAATGCACATAGGTTTCACACCGTCCGATCGTTCTCATCTCACAAATTATCATAGCACATCAGAAACACCAAAGATTATGAGACCTTCAAGCTTGGTCATTCGATATTTTTTTCCCAATCCCTGTCACGAGAAGATCCAAATTTTTTAAACAGTGTCATTTAAGTTTTGCCAATACTATTGTATACGACCGCATTATATCCATATTATTCAGCGTCTATTCCACCTGGTCTTGAATATGATATAGTTAGAAAATCCCAAGTCAGATTCAATACTCTTTGCGAACTCACCTTTCCATTTGCCCCTTTATTTTCCCACGCTCTCCTCTTCCAACCTTTCATGCCCATTGTGATGAATATTGCCCCATTCCAAAACCCCCGCAAAGATCCCAGCGCACTCACCGCCAGCAGCAAATCATAGGACTGGTGATCAGGTCGAATAAATAGAGACACTCGGTTGATCGTCGGTGCAACCCACGTTGTCAACAAAGCCAAAAAGAATAATGAAGGCATAAGTATATATTGTTTGAACGACACACGTCTCTGGGCGGTAGGCCTTGAATTTGAGGTATTGGCATGCACTGATAACACTTGACGATGGGTTGAGGGGAGCTCGACCGATGATTCGCTCGTGATATGTGCATTGGAGCCAGGCATAGACTTGACGCGGCCATTAGCCTCCACGATAGTTGTCACACTGCTATCGGAATTATCAAAGGGGTTGGGGGCTGTTGAAGATGATGTCAAAGCAATATTGTCGTCATCGGTTAATTTGAAGTCGTCTCGTAATCTCGAGATCTCGACACCAATAAGGCAGTAAATTATCATCACAATAGTGATGATGATCCTAGGCATTCATCAATTAGTGGTGAGGTGGTTTACTCGGTCGAAGATAGGTGCAGTACCACACGGGGATATAATAGAGGATCAGTCGGATCAGCATCCAGTTTGGTGATATGGAGCACCAAATCTGCCCAAATCAATTCTATTAGCTTGTTACATAGGCAATAATCAATAAATTTTCTCGAAATAAGATACATACCGTTTCGCCGCCATAAATTGGACCCTTATCTGCCGTACGAATAAAGAGGAAAACAAAGGCTGGGATGAAAGTCAAGGCTGAGATCGCTCCGATGAACTTGAGCTCGAGCTTATGTAACAAATGAGCATCAAAATGATGGAAAACCACTAGGTAAGTATCGATCGCCATCGCAAAGGTCCATAGTACATCTGCAATAGGAAACCTATACATTTTGACATTCAGTCTTTTCTTCCATCTCGACAGCTTTTTCTTGGCCTCGAATTTAGAGAAAGAAAAGGCTTACATTTGAAGAGTAAACCCCTGAAACTGACATAACGCGGACGTATCGCCTGCTGCAGGCCCTGCAACAGATATCATGGTTCCTGCCGAGTCTAGCAAGTTATAGAAGGAATTGAAGAAGATGATTCGATGAATGGGGCTTCGAAAATAGCGGGACGAGCAGAAAGTGATGATAATTGTGAAAGACCCCAGAATCGAAAGACTTGAGGAGACTCGTCCGGCTATTCCGATCATCTGCTGTTGTTCTTCACTGAGTAACATGGTGGAGGGTCATGCCCTCTCGGGCGGAGGGGACCAGGAACAGGAACAATCGGCCACGAGGAATTTGACAGGTGCGCATCAAGTTATAGACATCTCTCTCCCATTATTCTCAAAAATCACGACAAATTTTAGCTTTTTTTTCATGTCTCGCGATCACATCGTCCGTGCAGCATGACTTCGATTTGGCCCCGATGACGTGATACCATTCAGGACCGCGATTGGCGACTTTACGCACCGGAGACCTTGTCAACGAGTCAATTGGTTGGATGCACAGTCGATGATCTAATGAATCGATAAATCTATGAGCCCTCTTCGCGCAAGTTAGTGTGGAGCCCATTATACGCGTGAAAGGGGTCACTCTTACGTCCGTCCAGAATAAAAAGAAGCCAACGACGGCGGGAAGAGCCGATCGAGGGAAAGCATATTAACAGTTTCAGGGGTGGGGCTTCGAGGTGATTGAACCCACATCGAAATGCTTTCTCGCATGATGAACGTGAATAATTAACTATCAAGATCTAATATAAGCAGAATTCGGATTTTTCTGTCTTCCGCGACCCTTCCTTGTTGTGAAGGGTAGGTAGCCTTACGATGCTCTGAACCCATACCTCCTATATTATTATGACCCTTGCCTATTGGACACCGTTTGGTCATTATTTGTACTTTGATCCATAATAAGCTGTCTGTGAAATATTTCAATATTTTCACAGTCTTTAAGCGAACAATATTACTTTGGTCTCTCTGAATTTGATTGATTGCCGCACTTGCCGAGGCTAGGTATACGTCGATATTACTGGTGATCAAGCCGAAATTACGTCTTCAAGGTCCAGTAAAAGCATTGATATCTATGGGACCCGGGGCTGAAGATCCTTCTGTAGATTCTTGGCATCACATTCTTTGGGTTCTTTGGATCTGTCGATTGCTGAACAAGGACCTGGGTCTTCGGCTCGGGCCATCAAGCTACTTTTAGCGTCCCAGGTCTCAAATTGATTTATTTCTTCAAATTTTTGAGTGATTGTCTACTGTTTCATCATGACTAGTCACTTCCAATCAATCGCGCCTCCAGCATGACTATGTTCTCGCCTTTCGAATGATACACTTTGAAAAGCTCTAGTCCGGCTTCGGCCAAAATGCCTTTAAACTCATCGAGAGACCTTTCCTTCCCGCCGATGGCAAGCAGAGCAAAATCAAGCCAATACAAAGTCATTGGCCCACCCACTTCTACCCGGTCCGGTACAAGCATATCACCAATAATCAGCCGCGAGTCGGGCGCCATTGCAGATGCGGTGTTCTTAAGGATAGCAATAGCATCTGGATCATAAAAATCATGCAATAGTCTTCTCATGAAGTAGATGTGGGCCGCTTTGGCATTTTTCGGTCAGCAAGGTGGCCATAATATAGTCAGGAGGTTCAAAATGTCCTTACCTTGCACTGGTTGTTGGGTAAAGGCATCATACACCATAGGCTCAATATCTGGTAACTCCTCCGGCTTGAGTGTTTCGATAACTGTAGGGAGGTCTTGCAATATTATCTTCGAACCGAATGTGCCACCACAATATTCTCGGATCACTAGGGAAGCCTGGCCTCTTCCACCACCAATATCGACGATAAACGGTCTTTCGGGCTCTCTTCGGACTTGTTCTTCCATTTCTTTGAAAGGAAACATGCCCAAAATAGGAAAATTCTTCGCCATATTGGCCAGAGTTGCATTCCAAATTGCCCGGCCCTTCACATCCATGTCCACTACTTCGTAGTATTTCTTGCCTTCATGACCCAGGGTCACTGCAAATGGTGTTTTCCTGTTATCGTAGAGATCGATTGGCTGATGAGTTTTAGCATAATTGGGAAGGTTGATCCATGTCTTCATCAGATCAACCGACAAATACACGACTCCTCCAAATACCAGGGGATGGAATGCCTTCGACATTAAGTTATGGGTATATTCATCTTTTCCTACTTCTTCGAATATTCCGTTAATTATAAGAACTCGGAAAGTTCTGGTGATCATCGAAATATCAATGTTGAAATGAGAGGCAAGGTGTGCAGCGGTAATATTTCCTTGGTCTGGAAACATCTCGAAAACGTCCATGCCAATAAGAAAATCTATAGCTGATGCCACACTCAAGTTCTCACAGAGTCTAGTTGCAACATCGTATGGCTCTTCAAGTTCTGTGCGAACCTTATCTGTTTGTCTGAGCAAAGATAAATGCCCTTCTGGCGTTCCATCATATTTCTCTAGTGAAGCTACCAAAGCTTTAGCCTCGGAAAGAGCTTTTTGTATAGATTCGCTGTCCATTTTCTTAGTTGATAGGTTGCCTATAGCTGGATGTTTATTTGTCGTTCCAATGTAGTATTGAGACGGAGGTATATGATGAGAAAAGCAAGCGGGGTATAAGAGGGGGACGTTTCATCCATGATCCCTGTATATATTAGTCACCACTTGCTATAGTTAGTTAGCTGATCAATTTTGCACATAAATTTTGTCATTCGATCTTGGCTCTGCAGAAACATCCAGTCTATTGTGATTGATTAAAGATGCTCATGAATCCCACACACAAACACTTTACTAAGGGCTGTGCACCATAACTCCACCAATCAGATAATCAAACAGTATCAAACTTAACGTCCATAGGAGGAGGGGAGAAGAAGGCCGCTAGAGGAATTGGCTCGAAGATGCTTGGAAAGTAAACATCCAAGCTATCTGTCGTCATCATATCGCTATTTATGAGGTCACATGCATCCAGAGAGATGTTCGAAGCTTGGTTTGTCGGTTCTACAAGATTTGTCATCCCAGAGACTCTCCAGCATGGTTTTGGATCCTTTTGTGCCGTCTTTTGGGCCTCTCGCACATATTTCGCCTTAGTCATGAGACGTTTTATGGGCCTCCAAAGATTTCCCTTGTGCTCTTTAATTTTCCACTGGTCATATAAAATTTGAATATAATCCCAAGCACGATCACAGTCTGCGGATGGTGGACGTGAGCAGATTTCTGAGAGAACAAGGGCAACCGCATGCCACTGAACCTGAGCTTTGGAATGCCATGTCCACCTTCGATCCGAGCTGTTCAACAGAGCAGCAGACAGCTCAAGAATCTTTGTTGATTTGATAAAAATCCTGTCCCGGGTTCCCATAGGCAATTCAGTCTCATGGTGCTCTTGGATTAATGGATAGTAAACTACCAACCAGGTCCGTGCAACCATGAGTCGCGCCACAGTAACGCACACTCGGTAAAATGGATCCGAGGTATCACAGTACTTCAGGTAGCGCTTCTCGAGTCTTTCTTCAAGGTCTTTGGCAAGGGATTCTCGACTTTCAAGTTCGAGCCGGGTAAATGGCTGCCCAGGAAATTGCATACTTGGGCGCACATATCCTGTTTTCCACGCGACACGAAGTACTTCACATCGGATGAGGCAAAATGTCATTTCTGAGACCCCTTCGTGCTCGGGGGGCGCATTTATCATCTCCGGAGTCAAGTCAACATCATTGACATTTAGTGGTAGTCGGGTATCGAATGTTGATTCATGAATTATTGGTTCGAAACCATGATATTCGGATGATCGAATATCTAAAAGACAAATGTGCCACCAAACCCGCCGTCTGATTTCAACATCTAGTGGACGGAGACCAAAAGCGGCACCGTCACGATGTAATCCCATCGCTCGCGCAATATGAGAAACCAGTGCTGTCAGTGACCAGGTTGTTCGTGAAGCATCTTCATTCCGCAGGCCCGATAGGAACATAATTACTGCTTGCAATAGAACTATGCTCTGCGTATTCAATAAATCGGCGCGAGCAATCGCTTGCTGTACTGCAAATTGGTAATGCTTCAGGGCAACTGCTCGCGATAGAGTCAAAACGTGTTCGCATTGCTCCGGTTCCATGCTGATGACAGCAGTATACCAAATCGAGAAGAGCAATGCTTCATTGCTGCAGTCCAGTTCATCCGGCGAGGCCAGTGCATCCCAGTAAGTTCGTTCCAGTGTCGGAACGTGGAAAATATGAACCATGGGTAACACATTTGTTTTGAAGATCTCCAGGAGAATCACAGATTGAGACAGATGCGGATACCAAGGCTTCATTGAGGGTGCCAGTGCTTGAAACCCCATAATTGCTGCGTTTGGGCTCAGGGACACCACGGAATCCAAATCCTGGCTGACAGGGAAGCTGTCATCGTCGTCACTTTCATGTTCCTGAGAGGTCTGTAATAGGTCCTTTAATTCCTCAATCTGCATGAGTTCAAAATTATTATTTTAGCCCTGTTATCAGGTTGTTGAAGTCAACTCAACGCATACCTCTCCCCCTAAACTAGCCCACAGAACATTGCTAACATAGTAGCTTTGGGTGTCATTAATTACCAAGCGGCCAAGCTGCTTGTCGATTTCAGCCTTTGTATGATCATCTTCTTGTGTGGCTTGAGTTGTATTCGGTCGCTCCAGGGCTGTCTCTTCCACTGAGGTACGTCTCCTCTCGGCATTGCCATTCAGATCTTCCATCAGTGCTTCGAGACGAGACAGTCGGACCAGCAGCTGCGAATCAATAGCTCGCCGTGGTTTTTTGGGAGCCCTTCCGGGTCCAGGGGGATAAGCGCATTTGGTGGCAGCACGAACACAGGTTGCGCATGGGGTTTGTCGATCACATTTCACTTTACGAGATCGACAAAGAAGACAGCAGCGGTTGTATCTGACGTCCAAGGATGTCATTTGTTCGCCATATCTCTCATTATTATCCGCTGTGGGTAAATCTAACTGAGAAAAAGAGAAAGAGGACATCTGGAAGTTCATGAGTGAAAGGTTGAAAAGGAGAAATTTTCAAGGCTGGGCTGAAGTCCACGGACGTCACTCTTCAACACCGTGTATTGAGGCCTACCATGGCCCCCACCCCTCAGCGGGTCTGTCTCGGGCACGGATAAGCTTATGCGGGACCGATCCAATGTGGCACATCCGCGAGCAACCGGGGAAAAGTAGTCAAGGATATCAAGCACAGTGCAGTATATTTGCAGGAAATGCAGTACGTTTGTTAGGTAGAATAAGTGAGTCAAGTCCAGACCCCATTTGGAAAACTAATGGCTTCTTGTTAAACCTTCTTACCCCTATGCTCTACAATTGTAACGTAAAACACCGTTTTTGCTCTACTCGGCTCAATCAGACGTTAAGGCAGGCTATATAGACTTCTAAATACCAGCAATCAAAACTTTATCCACGGCCTTTTGAATGTAAGGATGCCACTTGCTGTCTAACATTGCGGAAATGGACGTGATCAGCCTAGCGGGTCTTCCCTGGAAATACCAGAACTTCTCCAGCTCCTTCAATATAATGCAGTAGAAGGCTAGCAAAATCAGTGTTCCGGGGTGCCGTTGCCTGAACATCAACGTGACGAATGCTGATTCTAAGCGCACAGGCCACGTCCCCAGAATGCATGTGTTCCACGTATTATTGGTATCTGACTCCCGCTTGGCGCGTGCCAAATAAGAAAACGATTCAGCCAAAGTAGTTGCAGCGCGCTGATAGATGGCTATTACCTCATTCGTCCAGGAACCATCATCAGGGACTATAGAGAGGAAGTAGTCCAGCAATGGCAATTCGTCGTTGCCCATATCATGCTGGGCTTCCCATGCGAATGCTAAGGCGCTAGCTGGGCCACTCTGGATTTGATCCCAGACATCGTAAAGTATTGAACAACGCGCGCGAATAAAATATAGCCATTGGGGGAGAATAATTTGTTGCCCTGTTCCTCCGCTATAGACATCATCATTTATTATTAGAAACGAGTTGCTAGGGTCTTCAACGTCGGTTGCGAATGAGTATACCACCAACAGGTATGCGAATGCCACGATTGCATCACAATTTTCACTGGAAATGTGGTCAATTGCGGAGCGAAAAGAGGGAAGGGCTGAGTCTTGGTGAGAGCATCCCTGAATTGTATATATCTGACGCTTCGCAGGTTCATTGTGGGCCAGGTGGAGAGCTGAGCACGCCAGCATTCCGCGTAAGAGAAAATCTTGATTGAACGCCAATCTAGGCACGACATCCAGCCATATTTGTACAGTTTGGTCATTCATCACAAGACTTTTATAAGTTGAATGGAAAAAATGTCGCAGAATCTGAAAATCAAGTGTATCCAGATTGTACTTGGCTTGCAGCTTCCAGACGTGTGGGGATTCGCGGGAGGTAAAGTATCGCAACATATTACCCCGGAAGAAAGTCTGTAAAGGCGCGGCACTCCAATCGAATGTTGGATATCCCTTGCAGTTATGCACCGTCGACCAATGCCGTTCCATTCGTTTTCTTGATATACAGAGGTAATCACAGCCCGGAGCTTCACATTGCCACCCCTGCTCCAAATGCAAATGAGGGACAGGGAATTCATATGATTGTGGTTGTTTGACTTCTTCGGGCCTCCGTAGCTTCATACGACTCGTATATCTAATGTATGGGTGGCGTTTTTCACGGTAGATGTGATGGATTTCTTTCAAGTGACGGGCAATGGCTCCTGACTGGACTGCATAGCGGCAAGTGGTACAGATCACGACCTTATGGGCAGAGGAGTAGTAAAACAGTTGCTCTGGTGGGGGCGCTTCCGTGTGGGTTTGCTTTTCCATGATTCTCGGTTTCCCGATTTGGATCATATGATCTTGAGAGCAACAAAGCAGTGTGGCCTTGTGAAACGCCGCAAAGATTCCCCTAACTACAACACACTAATCCAGAGTTGGTAATCGACGGTGCCGTCCCACGCTAGGCCTGAACGGGACCGTTGATCGATGACCAAGTTGGCGGCCTCGGAGACTTGACAGACTAATATGATCCCGAATGGATAGGAAATGGATCCTGCAATCCTCCCTTGTATCTTCTAAACTAAATCAAGAAATAATCGGTTCAATATTCCCTCACTGTAGGGGCATGGTCCCAAATATAAAGGCGCTTGGATCCCACGCTTCATTCTAGTAGACCTCTTCGGTGTTATTGCACTTCAAACACTTCCTACATTGACTTTTCAGCAATCTTCTGTCAAGTTTTATACCTCCATTCTGCAGATGGCATCCAACTTTGATTCCAGCGTTCTTGTCACCGGTGGTACTGTCGGACTAGGATATCAATGTGCGCTTGCGATTGCGCGTCAACACCCAAACTACCAAGTTGTTGTAGCCTCAAGATCGGATCTTAATGCATCTGCGAATGCCATTAATGAAATTCTTGATCAAGAAAATGTTCTTTTTATGAAGCTTGATCTATCCTCGTTCTCTGGAGTCCGCTCATTTGTCGCCGAATGGGAACTCAAAAAGTTCCCTCCAATTCAATCCCTGGTCTTCAATGCTGCTTTACAATTGTCCGGTCCGCTTGAGTACTCGGTGGATGGAATTGAGAAGACATTTGCCATCAGCCATGTTGGACACGCCTTGCTTTTCTCGCTTTTGAGATCTCATCTGGCCGATACTGCCCGCATCGTGATTGTCTCGAGTGGCACACACGATCCTGCACAGAAAACTGGCCTTCCTGATGCCAAATATAGATCGGCTGAGGAGCTCGCTCATCCACCTGCAGCTTTGGCCAGGGCAAATGGTCGCCAACATTACACCAATACCAAGCTGGCCAATGTCCTTTACGGCTATGCCTTGCATCGACGTTTTCAGACGATCCAGAAGAAGAGCGGGAAGCATTGGACGGTCACTGTTATGGATCCCGGTCTCATGCCTGGAACAGGTATTTTTCGGGATGCCAACCCAGTATTCCGTTTTCTGTGGGTATGGCTGGTGCCCAGAATATTGCCGGTCCTGCGATTCTTACTTACGCCCAATATAAACACACCCGAAGAATCAGGGGCAGCGCTTGCTCGATTGGCAGTCGGTTCGGATGTCGAGGGGGCAAGTGGCATGTATTTTGAAGGTAGAAAAAAGATCAAGTCTAGTCAGTTAAGCTACGACGAAGCCAAGCAGGAGGATTTATGGGAATGGACTGTTGATAGTCTAGCCATCAATCAAGAGGAGAGGTCTGCTTTCGCTCTGCTTGATCTTGTTTAGATATCTGGCTAGCTTTGGGGTTGGCCTTTTTTCTTAGTTGCTATTTTCTGCTTTCAGGACATCCATACATGGCACCACAGCTTAGTATATATATATCTATGTACACGCAATGCTACGTATATCTCAATTAGTTACGAGGAAGTTATTTACCACGAATAACATGAACCAGTCACTCGAAAACTCTTCGGATATTTATATTTAATGATACACAAGTTTCGCTCCCTAATCTTACCCTTTGAACGAGGAATGTGAGCGCCTGAAAGCGCTAGCCGCAAGATACGGGCCCAAGCCTTATGTTAATTATCATGTTGCAATAAAAGAGGTCCAGAATATAAGAACAGCATCATTGGTCTAGTGGTAGAATTCGTCGTTGCCATCGACGAGGCCCGTGTTCGATTCACGGATGATGCAAGAAACATGATTTTTTCTGTCCCTTTTTTGTGTACTGGGTCCGACCGCAAACTTATTATATTTCCGTTCTTTTTTTTTTTTTTTTTTTTTTTTTTTACATGCCTCTTCTTCCTCTACCTCGCAAATTTAGCGTAAATCTCATTATAAATCAGATGTTCAATTCAGTTAATTCAACTAGCCTCCATAAGCAGAAACATGCAATGCAGACAGGCAAAATCAAGAGTAAACACGCACCGCGATCGCCAATGAGCTGTTCAGATGGAAAAATAGCACAGGCGGCAAAAAAAAGGCATTATAAAGCATCTCATACTGAGCGTCTCATACTGAATGCTGAATATTTAGTATGAATAGACTGGCTCTTCGATGTGTAGATTTGAGAAGAGAAAGGTGGCAAGGGGCGGGAAGAGTCTTGATTCGGGATCAGACGCCCAGTCCCGAAAGAAATGCGAACAGGTCGCTGAAACCCTGGGAGAACAAGGAAGAATGATTGAAGACGAGGGGGGTATTATGCAGAGAAATTCAGACCAGATAAGAGACGCCGGAACGCAGAAGACCAAAAACGAGTATGCCAAAGACGGGAGAGGGTGAGGGGAAATTGAGGCATACAGAAAACCCCTATGAAAAAGAGCTCCCGGAAGTAATTAAAGCGTTAATAACATGGCCACGCTGCCATCCTTGCTCAGGCAGGGATTCGTGCTCCTTGAGTATATGGCCGAGGTAGGCAATCCGCACTCGGCGTGGGCTGGGGATCTAGAAAAGCGAGAGTATTATGTTAGACACAAGCCCGAGATATAGAGAGACATGGCCTCAAACAGCCACGGGAAAGACGTACGGCAGCTTCTTGTTGAATCTTTCTTGCCAGAAAGCCCACGCTCTGATTTTTGCCGACCAAGAGCACTAGATCTGGGCCACCGCGATCACTCAGTCGGGCCTGAACGCGAATCAAGTCTCGCTCACTCGTCTTCCCTTTCTCATCGCGGCGCCTTTCGGCGTCCTCGGTGATTAACTCGTCGCCCGAGGCATCATCTGTCGCTAACTTCCCATCCGACATCGCTTCCGTATCGTCCTCGTCTCGATCGGCATCTTCTGGACGAGTCGCTTCCGTGGTCGGCGAGGCAGCCTTCTTCATGTTCTCCGGGTCGCTGACAATACACTGTGGGAGGCGATAGAGCACGCCTTGCTCATCGTAGCAGCCCTCGCACAGATCTCCCGTGGGGACGGTCACGCCCGCCGCATCGACGATGCTCTGTGCCGTCGCCAGATCCCCTCCCTGCATCAACGTGATGGCGGTCGACAGGGCGGCCCATACTTCCGGGCGGCCGGTGACCCGAGTCTCGAAAAACTCGCGGCGCTCGCGGTCAAGCTCGATGCGCGACCAGATGCGGCGCTTGCTGTACCAGATGTGCAGGCGCACCGGCTCGTTGTAGTGTTCGTTCAGCGGGAGATTGGGAGCGCGGCGCGAGCGGCGGCGGGCCGTATGGGCGGTAACGGGGGTAATGTCGGCTGTATTGCGCGAAGCCGGCTGGGCTCTGGAGTCGTCAACGATCTCCTCCTGGCCGGTCGGCGGATGGTCATCGTTACGCGACGGCACGGACGAGCAGCAACCCTGAAGACCGTTAGCCTTTCTCCACGCCAAGCCGGCCCTCGGCGGAGAAACGGTGTGACGGGTGGATCGGCGGAAATCCTAGATTCGGGGTCGCGAGGGGAAGAGGAGAGGACGTACCATCTTGCATGCGACTTGAACACTCCATAAGCCGAAGAGGGGGAAAGGTTGGAAGGGTGGAAGGTTGGAGGGGGCCGGAGGAGGACGCAGGGTCCGGACTAAAGAAAAAGCCCCAGGGCCTCCCGTTCAAACCGAATCAACCAAACCGGGAGGGGGCACCACTCAAAGGAGAGAACTAGCGTTAGTTTTTAAAACATGGGTACATATTTCAGTCGATGAGAAGTCAACTCCTTTCGGTTTCTCGGGCGCTTATGCGCCTCGTACAGGATGTTGCACGACTCGCCCGCTTTTACGATCGCATTTCCATAGAAGTGGATCCTTCCATAGAGGCGGATCCGGTGAATACGTTGAATACAGAGTGATATATAGAGGAGTATACAGAGTATAGAGTATAGAGTGTAAATTGTACATTCAAATGAAGAGGCTCATGGTTCTGCTTCATTCTAATCTTCGTCTTCGTCGTCAGAGCCGAAAATGGCCTTGAAAACAGCATCACCTGGTCGTTGTGCCTCCAACGCTTCGTTCCGTTCGGGCTCCACGGCTGGTGCAGGCGGTGCCTTCGGTGTAAGCTGAGGCCCAGACCCCCCGGGATCTGAGCTAGCAGTGGAGGATTGGCGCCCAGACTCCATCATGATCATATTCATCACCTCCTGCGAGACAAGTTCTTTGCGGCCCGCGTCGGTCTCGTAGCCACCGGATTGGAAACGGGGACCCGGCCCAGCATCGGACCTTCCTGGCTGCTCACCCGGGTCGAGTTGAACATGAGCGGGGGGCTTGATATTAAAGCGTTTGCAGAGAAGACGAGCAGGATAGAAGGAGAGAGAGGTTCGGGTCATCGGCCCGAACATGCCAATCTTTGCAGCCGCTACGGCAGGAGGATCGACTTTCTCAGACGGTCGGGTGAGCGGATGTTCGGTCGAGGAATCGGGTGCATCTGAGGCTAGCTTAGGTCCCGAGGACGCCGACGTGAACCGGGATGCCATGACTCCGGACATGGGCTTGAAGACTTCAGCGGCTCGGGCGAACTCGTGCATCTCGTTCACCCAGTCATCGGTGCTGGAACCGGGAATTCGATCTGGAAGAGAGTCGCGAACTTCCGCTCTGATTTCGAGGAATGTGCGGTAACGCGCCCGCTTGGCCTCGTCTTCTGAATAGGGCATCCAGCCGCTGACGGCACGGGTCAAGGCCTGCACGGCGATCTGTTTGTCCAGTTTCGGGACGAGGTCCCACAAATCCTTTCGTTTTTGAGATTCAGAGATTTCATAACCTTTCGGGGCGCCTTCACTCAAAGCCGGGGGGAGGTTGGTTTTCCCTGTGAGCTTCACGATCCTCTCCCGTGCTTCAGGAGTCATCCAGTCGAAGATGGACTTCCCTGGTAGTTGAGCCTCGCCGAGAGCTGCTGCACGAGATGTTGGATTCAGGGATGACGCCTTAGCGGCATCGGCTGTAGAGACGTAATCCGACGGGTCTCGGTCTGTTGACGTAGGTTGTTTGGCAGACGCCCAGCCCTCCGGGATGACAGGAGCTTCATACTTCCTCTCTGAGATTGACAGGCCGGATAGGCTGTCAGCCAGGACGAATCCGTCCAGCGGCAATCGTCCATCGCGGCATTTCCGAAACCCTCCTGCACTCCGGGCGGCCGCAACCTTTTTGGAGATGAAGACAGGCTTAGTATTTAGTAACGGATTGGATGATCCGATGGCGGATTTGCTGTCCTCCACCTTCCCTTTCTTCTTTTTCTTCTTGTCGCCGCCGATGGTTCGGTTGTAGGATATTTGCGGACCTAGCGAGTAAGGGTCTTCATCGTCAGATCCAGTATCATTGAGGATGCCAACGCCGAAGCCACCTCGTCGAGAGTTCTTCGCTGGTGCGGCCGGTTTTTCTTGGGTGGCGAGACGACCACCAAAGAACGAGTCCGAGTCCTCAGGCTCTTCCCGAGATATCTCAGCTCCTCCCAAGCGTGTTTCGCCCTCGAATCCCAGGCCCTTGTGGTCTGTTTTGCGGATGAATGCCACCATTGGTGGATTGTCTGGTGCAAAGAGATACGTTTGCTCCGAAGCATCGCCAGAAGCCGCAGTAGTTTCATCCAATTTGGCTTTGCGCCGTATCTTGGGCCCAATTCCCTGGCCTTCTCGCCAGCCCATTCTCTTCAAGAGCTTGACCCCCATGGTCTCCCCCCGGTTTTGAGGAGATCCATAATCCCTGCCTTCCGGATGGCATCTATCTGCGTTGATCCAAATCCGGCAAAGCCTTCGGCTGTTTGTAAAGTTCGCGACTCGTCCTGTTCGCGGAGATCCTCCTCATCCATAAAATCTTCGGGTCGTTGTTGCACGGATTGTTTCGCATCGCGGGCGCGATTCTGCCGAGACGAAATAAAGGTCTTGGGGGCCCATCCTTCCTTTGAGCCGACGGTATTGAAATATCTGAGGAGACGACAGGCACGAGTTAGCAATTGCGTGTGGGATGCTCCGCGACCTCAGCGGCGCGACGGAACAGGAACGAAAGAACATACCCTGCGCTGAAGCCACCAGTGAAGGCGCCATGCAGACGCTTCCTCCCACGCTCATCGGTCACCTCCTGCTTCCACACAGGCATATATGAGCCGTCATCGCGGACGCCGGCGTCGAGCGGAGGGAGTGGGGTGCCGTAGAACGCGTAGGGCGCCGGCGAGGGCTCGGCATGCCCTGCCTGGCCGGCCTCAAAGGCAGCTCGCGGACGCTTGGCGGCCATGAAACTGGAGAAGCTCAGCCACGAGGAACACAAGAGGCCATGACGGGGAGTTGGCGGCGTATCGAGGGTACAAAGTCGCGGTGAGGGTCCGGCGGTCTTGCCGAATATGCGGGCGGGTCAAGAGGGAACTTGAAGTTGGAAAGCCGCGGGCGGCGACCAATTGGAGACTCAAGGGACTTGGAGACTCCAATGACTACCACTCTACCACTCTACCTTCTAATCGAGCTTCTATGAAGACTCCTTATCATCCACCGTTGCTGGACCCTGCTGCTCACCTTCCAACATCGGACGCATTTGCGAACGCTGGAGAACCCCTTCGGAGAATGCCTTGATTTGGGCCCGAATCTGTGGCAAGCCCGCTTAATAGACTGGCCAGACTATTTCACGATGGCGCAACGAGGCTTTTGGCGGCGGCTTATACCTTGGCGGGACGAGACTTCCGCCTAATTTGCTAATTTGCCAATTTGCCAATTTGCCAATTTGCTAATTTGCCAATTTGCCCAGTTCCCCGTTTCCCCGTTTCCCGATAACCAGAGCCAACCATGTCAACACTCACCACCTCATTTCCACCACCACTGGCGACTTTCCCCTCTCACCCTCCCCTTTCACTCTCTTTGTCTCGCTTTTCCCTCCTCTTGTTCTTTGTTTTTTCCTGGCTCTGATTGTGCTCTCAAGATCGTGTGCTGCTACCCATATTTGTGGCCATGCATTTCCCATAGTTCTTCGCGTCCCCCCCTATTTTCTCCCACCAAACACATTCCTCCCCCCTCTTCCCCTCTCCACCCTTGCATTACGGGGGTTCCCCTCCTCTCAGTGCCCAGATCTCCAGTTTACGGTCATCCTTCGGACCTTGCTTCGCCGGAAGAATGCTTGGCGCAAATAGCTTTGCGGGGAGACGCAGGTCCTTTTACCTGTGCTTGACCTTCGCCGCAGCCCTGGTATGCTTCTTGAATCTCATTTTCTTGACAGATGCCGTGGACCAGGATATCACGCTCCATTTGCCCGGTCTCTCGCTTTTCCGCCCGTCGCAAAAGCCTCTAGAGGGGTCCTACGCGCACGATCGACATCCCATCGAGGGTTTGATCAATGAGGCCAACCAGCAGTGGGAACAGTATGAGACCAGTCGCTCAACTACTTTCCGTGAGACCGTCGCAAAGTACCGCCAGACTTACGGCCGCCACCCACCTCCCGGGTTCAAAGAATGGTATCAGTTTGCGCGCAAGCATGACATCCACAATGTCGATGATTTTCAACAGATCACCGGCGATCTACGACCTTTTTGGGCCATCCCACCGAAACAGATCCGCCAAATGGCGGCCCAGCTGCAGAGCTCTACTGGCATGGCTGGCGTGCGCATTCGCGACCACAAGGTCGTTTCAGAGTCCGAAGGATGGCGCGTGGAAACCTTGTCGGCCTCGGTCAGTCGGCTCGCCAAATACCTCCCGGACATGGATATTGCTATGAACGTGATGGATCAGCCCCGCGTCATGGTGACCTTTGAGGATATCCAGAAGTATCTTGAAATCGAAAAAAACACCCGGAGCACCCCTGGCGATGCAACAGACCTCTTCACCAAGGACATGGACAACTTCTATGACGAGAAGGTGGACGTGAAAGAGACGTTAGATCCGGAATGGTTCTCCATTGCCGGGAAACCGTACATGGAGTTTGCCAAACAGTCTTGCCCCCCAACTCGCCTGCCCAGAACCCGGCTATGACCACAGAAGATGCAGATCGACTGTACAAAAGTGACCTGGGCGGATTCATATCCAATTTTACCGCCTCGTCAGACCTCTGCACGGTGGGACCTACCATCAGCGATCAGCATGGATTCTTATTCACGGCTTCTAGTAATGTCATTACAAGAAAGTTGTTACCTGTCTTTGGAGAATGCAAGGTCAGCGTGAACAATGATATCCTGTTCCCGGCGAACATGTACTTCATGAAGGATAAACGTTATGTCTACAACTCAAAATACGACTACGAATGGGAAGACAAGGCCGACTCGCTCCTCTGGCGTGGTGTTACTTCTGGAGGTGTTCAGTTGGCAGACAACTGGTGGCACCTCCACCGTCAGCGCTTTGTGCAAATGGCCAACGCTACGGAAATGGACTCGAAGAAAGTCTCGATCCTCTCCAAGGACAACAGCGGGCCATACCGAGGGATCTCGGACTTTAACGCGGCCGAATTTGCCTCTTCCTTCTTTGACGTTGGCTTTACAGAGGCTTGGGGCTGCATCCCCAATTGCTCTTTCTATGACAACGTCTGGACATATAAAAAACCCAAGGCATTTAGCGAACAGTTTAAGTCCAAATACCTAGTCGACATCGACGGCCATAGTTTCTCCGGTAGGTGGCGTGCCTTCCACCAAAGCAAGTCCCTCGGCCTGAAGGCTACTATTTTTCGCGAGTGGCATGATTCTCGCCTCTTCGCTTGGAGACACTTCGTGCCTATGGACAACCGGTATGATGATCTCTACTCCCTGATGACCTATTTCATCGGGTTGCACCCACCAGCGGCCGAAGATGCTCTCTCAAGTCATGGTCCCTACGTTCCGCGACATGACTTTGAGGCCGAGGTGATTGCTACTCAGAGCCGCGAATGGGCACATCGTGCCCTCCGCAATGAGGACCTGGACATCTATCTCTACCTTCTTCTTCTCGAATACGCGCGCATAATCGACGACAACCGCGATACTATCGGTTACAGTGGCGATGGAAGTGAACTAGAACGCTTTGACACCCAATATCCAGTCCCTCTGCCCCTCCAACCCCTCGTTGGAGAATGATCTCGAACGACCTCTTCTTTCTTTGATATCGGGAATTTTCCAAATGTATACCCCAAGGGCGTTAACGTGGTGTTACATGTGCATAATATCTGTATATATTCTTTCCCTCACTTGCTCTCTATGTTTTTCGGTTCTCTTATTTTTGATTCTTGATTCCCCTCTTTGCGTACCTGTGCATCTATCCCATGACCTAATGCCTAACAGTACGGACTGTCCTGATTCAAAAATAACCTAATTCGTACGTCGAAGGCGTAGACTTCCTGTTGAAATTCAATTTTTCTCTTCAAACAGCAATTTAGGACTCTGTTTGCCTTAAAAATAATGACTGTTGGAAAAATGCGAGTATGCTCGTTTCAAAAGACTCAAGACATTATGATTAGACCTCCTCAGTGACGCCTTTTCCAGTCAGGGGATCGTATCTCATTCTCAAAACTCTTTCGATACAAATTACCTAAGGGATAATCGTTTTCGCAAACAGTGAAAATTAAACCAGCCGTCCATTATCCGCCTCCTTGCCTTTGGGCGTGATTCCAGAGCGCCGCTTGAAGACGCGGCATAGGAATGAACCTCCCTCACGGATACCACGGACTATGGATGTTGGGTTATAATGTTTCACGCGGAACATGTAGTACATCATGACCGTACCGAAGATGTTGAATCCGATATAGGCCCAGCCGATGCCGAAGTTCCGCCAGCGCTCGCTGTAGTCTGTTGGCAGTTGGATTGATTTAGTGAGACTTCGACCATCAGGGATCGGTAAGGGCAGAGAGCCTTCCGAGATGTCTCCGACTTACAGATGTTACTCGCTGCTAGATACTGATCGGCATTGCTGAGCTGGCAGAACTCGCAATTGCTCGTTGCGCCCGGGTTGTAGAGCTGGCCGCCCGAAGCGGTGACGTATTGGTCGAGATACGCACCACAAGTCAGTCCGGATGGAGGATTGAACACGCTCAGCTCGGCTGTAGAACACTCAATTTGACGGTCATGCAAACCTGTCGCTGTGACGCCGGCAACCAGGTATGTCAGCGGCGAGACGCGGTACATGAAGATCCAGAATCCAGGGAGGGCGGCTATTGCAATGGGTCAGTTTTGAGCGAACCGATATTCGGGCTGGATGGCGGGATATACTCACTTGGAGATTGTAAGACGCCGTTGAATGTGAGAGTCATGATGAACATCAGGGTCGCGATGGTGCCACCCGTTTCAGCATCCGGTAGGGCGGAGATGATGAAGGAAGCGAACGTGGATGTAAATAAATAGAACTGGATAACGAATAGCAACATCAAACCCTGTCGTTGCGAGGCCTGCTCAGCACCGTAGATGGGGTAGTAGTAGCAGGCCCAAGCGATGATGGCAACAAATACTTGGTATGGGATCTCGACAATGACATTGGCGATAAGGAATGCAGACCAGGAATACGCCTTGGAAGGCCGCTCACGCACTTCGTACAGGGAGCGTTGCACGACGAACTTCGGCATAATTTGTTGGACGAGCGTTGAAAAGATCGAGGTCAACATGAAGGCACTAAAAATGACATCCTGGAACCCTTGCAACGAGCTATCCGGTTTGAAGAACGTGAATCCAATAAAAAGAGACGAGAGGGTGGCCAACATGATCTTGGCCCACACGTATGCGGGCTCGCGCCAAAATCCTTGGAATGAACGGTGGGTAACGTACCAGAGCTGGTAGGCAAAAGGCATGGCATATTCACCGACCTGGGACTGATCTTGTTGGCTACTGGCAGGTGCTGAAACTCGGTCGTCATGGATTCGATTGATCTCAACCTGCACATCTTTTGCCTGTTGGCTTTCGTTCCACACTTTAGACCAGTCCTGAGTGGCCTTGCCGGAAGCGCCAGCGCCAATTATCTCCAGCATGTACTCTGCAGGCTATTGGGGGTTGGAGTTAGTAAAATGATATGAAAAAAGAATTTGGAATCTTACGTTCTCAGAGGAGCCGCAGGATCTTGCACCATTACTCTCAAAGTAATCTAGAAGGGTCCGAGATTGACCACCGATTTCTCCGAAGTATACGGTTTTTCCACCTTTGGCCAGAAAGAGTAGACGATCAAACTGCTGAAATAACAAGGCACTGGGCTGATGAATCGTGGAGAGCACAGCTTGGCCATGCTCAGCCAATTTCCTTAGGAACGAACAGATAGCCCACGAACTTTGGGAATCCAATCCACTGGTTGGTTCGTCGAGGAAGATCAGCAGGGCTGGTTTGGCAGCCAGCTCAACTCCGATGGTTAATAGTCTATCAAGGTTTAGTATCCACCATAGAAAACTGGTTAAGTTGTTTCCAGAATGTTTTCACATTTGGGTATGAACTTACTTGCGCTGTTCAACATTCAAACCCTCTCCTGGTGTCCCCACGATCGCGTCTGCAAAATCTTGCATAGCAAGCATATCGATGACATCTTCGACGTAGGCGTACTTTTCTTTCTTTGATACCGATTTAGGTTGACGCAGCATAGCGCTAAACCGAAGAGCCTCACGGACAGTTGTCGTAGGAAGATGAAGATCCTGTTGTTGAACATAGCCAGTCTTCCTTTGGAAACTGTTATCCAATGGGGTCCCATTTACCAACATGTCGCCTGTGACAACTCCAATAGAGACACGTTTGGCCAAAACATCAAGTAATGTAGTCTTGCCGGCTCCGGAGACACCCATCAAAGCAGTGAGAGTACCTGGCTTTACCCAGCCAGAAACATGGTCAAGCAAGCGGCGCTCACCACCCTTGACAGGAATATCGTAGCAAACATTCCGCCAAGTGAAGATATCATGCTGCGAAGGAATTGCCGAAGTATCATTCTCTTTCTCGGTAGCCTTCGAAGTCGGAGCAACCTCTGTTGCGCCGGCCGCGTTACCACCCTTTTCCAGATGACGCAAATGAGCGGGTACATGGCCTCTCCGGAAGACTAGATATTCGGCTGTAGATGAAGTAGCGGAATTGAGTTCTGAGGCGATCAGATATAGTGCCGTGAAGAATATCCAGAATCCAATCAGGATACCGAAATTTCGCCACTCGTGTGCATAGGTGTACTTATACTGTGTTTCAATGTAAGCGTCACCAGAGACGGTTCTTTCTCCGGCAACAGACCCACGAACTGAACAGATAAAGGCATCGCCGGTTAGGCTGGGGTATCCTGGAATAAATTGCGAGCATTCAAAACGCCGGCCATGAAATTCGTTGGCAATCAGGGCTTCAAAGGTATAGAAGATTGGATTGATCCAACGGATCCAGCTAAACCAAGGAATCTTGCTCATCTCAGGTGCGGTAATGACAAACCCAGTATAGATCACGATGCCCAGGACGATCACACCAGCCATAGACATGGCTTGTGCGAGAGTCTTGGTAGATGCGGCCAGCGTTCGAAACACGCCTGACATTGCCAGTGTGCTGAGGAATGTAAAGATGAAGAAAATGAAAAATTGAGATGGCTCATATCTCTGATTTTGTCATTAGTGCCTGCTCATCAAAGTCACACAGGTTATATATCAAGCTTACCAGGCTAGCTAGAAAGTAGAAAATGATGTTGAAGACCACCGCAGACACAAACTTGACGGGTATGTCAGCGACAATACCACCAAGTGCCTCCGTAAATGGATGGACAAAGGCATAAGAAGCTTGCTTCTCAATAATGGGTCTTTGGTCATAAAGTGAGTTGATCTCTGTAATACTGATGAGGGCATTCATCCTGAAGCATGATATTAGGATAAGACGATCTTAATATTGAGTTAAGTGAGCACTCACAGAACGGAAAAGAAGAGCGCCGCGCCTTTACTCTGAAAACCCGCTGTTGCATTAGGTGTGCTATAAATCGTTAGCAAATATCTTCTAATACTCATTTCACAGGACCTCAATACCCGAAGTAAATTGAACCGATAATCAAGGACATGAAAATTCGCCCAATGACGGTCGTCAATGTAGATGGTTTATCGTTCCAGATCCTGCAAGAGTCGTTAGAACCAAAATCTAGAATAGCTAACGAAACTTCATACCGCTGATAAGCTCTCTTGGTGCAAAGTCGCACCTGCATCGGGATGGAGATAATGTAGGGGCTCGTTGGGCGCACATGGCTTGCTTGCCGCTGCCTTTTGACTTCGTCAAACTCCTTGCCGGCCGTGCCTCCAAGAGGGTACTCCTCGCGGTACTGTTTAATTTCCTTTCGCAATGCGGCATAGTGCGGGCTCTTCTTCCAGTATTTCTCGAACTCGTCTGGTGTACGGGGGACCTTGTTCTCCATTCCCTCGCGCGTGACTCGCTCCTGTGGATTAGTGACCGATGTTAGGAAGTCTCCCGTTGTTTGGCGTGGTGGACACTCCCATCCCATATCGTAAAAATAATCTTTCGCTTGGTCACAGGGACCGAAGAATATTTCTCGGCCTTCGTAAAGCACGATGACTTTATTGAAGACATCGTAGATGGCCTGAGATGCTTGATAGATGGCGACAGCATGACAAGCGCCTGTGAGATTGGCGGAAACACGAAGGGATTTGGCGAATTCGAGGGCACTGGCCGAATCCAAACCACGAGTGCTGTTGTCCCAGGCGCCAACCGGAGCTCCAGATACTACCAGATCTTAGATTTGGATTCCTGATGAATTTTCGAGGCATGGAATCGAAACAATCAACTTACGTGCCATCTCAGCGATACTTCACAAATATTAGCCTCGGAAACTCATGATGCTGGAAGGATAATTCACCTGACTCGCTTTCGTTCACCTCCAGATACGCCTCTGATATAATCGTCTCCAACTTTGGTCTCATATTAGTCCTGACCAATTGTGTAGATGCCATTCCAAACCCACCTTTTGTGTTGTATGTGTGGCTTAGGCCTAGGACAGCCATTGCCACTTGAGTGATATGTTTGGCGTAAGACACTCGACTAATGCCATTCAGCCGGCTCTCGGGGGTGCGAGCAGCAGCCGCAAACTCCAATGTTTGGCCCACGGTGAGATGGGGAAAGTGCTTGTCGACTTCCTGGTTGTATAGGACTTCGCCCTTGAATTCCTTGTGCATTCTCTCCATAGGAATGCCATTGTATTGGATATCCGAGCCCTTCCCAACTTTCAGCCCGTGCAACTCGCCGGAGAGGGACTTGAGGAAGGTGGAGCAGCCGCTTCCAGGTCTTCCCAGGACAATGAGCATCTCGCCGCTTTTGAGGACTCCATCGAAGTTGTGGAGAATATGCTTCTGCTGTACACACTTTCCGAGCGAGATATATTCCTGTGGTCGAAAAGGAGCCAGGGGAACCGAGCCAACATTGTTCTGGTAATGTAGCGCAGAGCCAGAGCCGGAGATGCTGAGATTCTCCCAAACCACACCAGTCGACTTGCGGAGCGGAACCCCTTCCTTGTCCATCAGCTTCAGCATCATCCGAGCCCATTTGTAATGGTTGAATTGGTCACTTGTGGGATCTAGCACAGGGTCGCCTAGCTCCAGATCTTCTAGTGTATCCTTGCGTTCAATATTGCCCATTCCAGCCACCCCAGAGTCGGCCGCGCGGTGCCGCGGGAAATTGGAAGCAATACGGGACAGTTGCTGGCGATCTTCGGGACGGATGTGCTCAAATACAGCCTTTTCATTTTCCGGGACAATTTCAGAGCTCCACCGGGAGATCTCTTCCTCCTCATGGGGAGGGGAGCTGGACTGGCCGACCTCATGATTCTGTTGATGGTCAGTCATCGCGTGCAGGAGTTGGACTTCACGCAATCTGCGCGACAATCTGGAGAGCTTGGAAGATTATCGCGAGACCAGATGAGAATGACGGAGATCAAAAAAGCTATAAAGAGGAGGGAAACAGCTAAATGATGACCCGGCAAAGAATTAACGTAGGTAGGGTCGCACTGAGAGCAACCTGCCGTGTTGAGTATTTTTGCCATGGACCTGAGCCACAATTCCACTATAAGCGGCATCAGGGCTTCTGTGATCTCATTTGACCAGCCATGTAGTCATGATGTCAAGATCCCACCCAACTGGGGATGCCGAATGCGGAGATCATTGCGGCGGTGATTTTGCAGGCCGCACAGAGTCAGTTCAGATACGTGAAATTGATGTGCTGCAGCTTGGTATATTCGACCTGCATAATGGCATCTTGATATCTTACTTCCAAAGCCTGGTTACGCACCACCTGTTGTTAGGCTTCTGGTTGATGCGGACATACTTAACCTTAAATCCAGGTATGCGGGACATGCAACCCCATCGACACCTGAGGCCACAATCGCCGATCGCCAAATGCAAACAGTGCAAACCGGCTATCAAGGAAAGAAAAATAATTTATCGCCGAGATCGACGCAAGCTAAACAAGACAACCATTCAATTGCGCCATGGCGGATATTCAAAAGACTCCCTTTGTGAGGGATCTCGCTTCAAGCGGTATGCGCCAAGCTTTTATTGAAGGTCATACCCAGTATACTAACGAGATATTTCCTCAGATCGCAAGACCCGTGACAAGGCGCTCGAGTCTCTCACGCTATTTTTGCGTTCCCAGACCAACCTGACCCTCGTTGACCTCTTGAAACTATGGAAGGGTATTTTTTTCTGTATGTAGGGACTGCAAGGGCGGCTGTCAATGAATGACTCCGAGCATGTCAGACTAACGAATTTGTGGTCGATAGGTTTCTACCACTCTGACCGACCTCTCACGCAACAAGCCTTGGCCCGCGCGCTATCCTACACTCTCGTTCCATCTCTTCCGCACGCCACTCTTCACCGTTTCCTGCGCGCATTCTGGATCACCATCGGCCGGGACTTCCATTCCCTGGACCGGCTGCGGCTGGACAAGTACCTATTACTGATCCGTTGTTACGTCGGAGTCGCGTTTGGGTTGTTCCTAAAGGGCCCAGCGGAGAACGGCAATGGCAAAAAGCGCAAGCGCCAGGATAACGACAAGAAACGCGGTGGCAAGAATCAAAAGAAGCGGGTGGAGAGCGAGTCCCAGGATGTTGATGGCAAGTGGGCCGATCTCGAGGCCTATATCTCCATTATTGAAGAGGGACCCCTGTGTCCCGTCAATTTTGACCCGGATCAGCCGTCAAAGCCGGTCATCGATGAAGAGGACCCCAACTTTGTCCCAATGCCCCATGGACCGGATGGGCTGCGCTACCACATAGTCGATATCTGGATTGACGAGCTGGAGAAGGTTCTTGAATTCGAGGATACTGAGAATGAAGGAGAGGACCGCAAGATTCAAGGTGATGTGCCTATGGAGCTCATTTTGCGGCCTCTAGAGAAGCTGCGCACCGAGAGCCCTTACAAGCCCGTGCGGAGAAGAGCCGAAGAAGCCCTGGAGGATGAACGGCTGGTGGAGTGGGGTATTCGCGCTCGGAAGACGGAAGATGACGAGGAAGACAGTGATGGAGAATGGGGAGGCTTTGACGACTGAGTGTAGTGTGAATATTGCACTTTAATCTCTTGAATGGCTTTTTTATATCTAGCGGAATGATTCAACAAAAGTGAATGGTAGTTTCAAAGAACGATCTAGCAAGATAGCAAATATAAGTATAGACATGTATTGATATCTTCTATTATTGTGTTAACCACTGTACAGGTTGATCATAGAGTTGACTGGCCACATAATCAGACCAAGAGGAAAGTTGTTGAAGTACACAACGGACACCAGGAAAAGGAAATATCAGCTCAAAAAGCTACACTTCTTGCAGAGGGTATCATGAATGGATAGCAAGAAGACCTTGGGAACAACCCCCATACAAAAACATAACGAGTTTATATAATAGCATCAAAAGTCGAGGAAGTATGCTGGCATTCCCCTCAGAAAAACGGTGGGTCGGATCACTTCGGTCCATCGGCTTCATACATGTGCCCGGACTTGGTAAGGACTGTACCTAGGCCCTGATGAATTTCACATTGGAACGCTTCGAAGGGGACCTGCTCGCCGTCAATACTGATATACCCTTCCTTTTGATGAGGCACTAAGCGGAACGCAGTGGCTTTGCGAATCTTGACGTCCGGCATGTCGAAGAAGCCCCCAGTACTAATCTCATTCATCATTTTAATTGACGTAGAGCGACCGACAGTCCCATCAATGGTGACGATGTCCATAAGGCCGTCATGGGGAAGAGAAGCCGGGAAGAAATTGGTGTCTTTCGACATGATCGCCATGTTGCCTGCATAGAAATTGCCCATTGTCTCACCTGGGACGACTTCCCAGTCCTGCGGTAGATCGTCTTGGACAGTACCGTACTGAAGCTCAGGCAGTGCCGGTGACAGCTTGGCAGCCTCGAGGCGGTTCTTGTCAGCAAGAGGATCCTCCTCTCGGGCCTTGAATGCAGTGTAGTGTTCTTTGATTGCTCTCTTATCATTAATATCGACCTTGATGGCCAGGTCGCAAGGCCAAGCTGTGCGCCGTAGCAGACGAACCAGGAATCCATAGGTGAATCGCTGTGCGCCCATCCACCGAATGTTATCGGTGCCTAGATCTGATTCCGCAACGATTCCAAAGGACTGCGAGAGGAAGGAGAGAGTGCGTGTGTTCTGTTGAGTGACTGAGACAAGATCCAGAGGAGTCCTCAGTCCCTTCACAATGCCCAAAGCTGCTATCGAGCTACTCCCTGTTCCAAGACAATTCCAAGTCATGCCATTGCCAGAGCCACAAGGAAGCAGTGCCACCGCTGTCTTAGCCAATGCCTCGCGGGCATTGGAGCGTTTGCCCAGGCCATTGAAGACCTCGTACGGAAGACCGTCACCAGAGCAGCAGACAATTGCATCATACGCGTCGATATCGAGCTGCTCCGCAATCTGGATAGCATGACCACGGTATTCTGTCGTCTGTACATCCACTTGACATCGAGCGGCGGCGAAGATTGGCGCCGCATATCGCTGGTACAAGCTGGCGGCCGTGCCCTTGCCACCGAAGGGGTTGATCAGGATTTTCAGGCGTCTTCTGCGCTGGGCTGATCCGTAGGCCAGCTCTAGCAGCTGTACCACCCATTGTTCAACTGCAGGCTTTTCCTTTTCGCTGATCGGATAGTGAAGGGCGGTCACGGACACATCATTCTTCGTCGAATGCTGCGCATAGGTGATCACAAGGTTCGACGGATTAACCTCGGCATCCAGAACATTGTACAAAGAGATTGCATGGGTGATCTTGGTTTTGGCTTCTATGGTAAGTGAAGATATTGGTTAGCTGGTCTTGTCATTGGCGCCGGACACGCGATTCACCTGAGAGGGTGATCGTCGGAGGGGCAGACGAAAAAGAGTCGCAGCTTACTAGACTTGCATAACCCGCAGCAGCCACGGCCCGATTTGCGAGCACATCGGTCATCTGCGAGAAATATTAGGACCGACCGGCCCATTCTAGAATCTAGGGAATTGCCTTACCGACTATCAAGAGAGAGTCGCTCCCGAAGGTCAAGGAGACGGACTTGTCGACGACGAGGGTCGAGTCATGCTGCAGCTGTCTTTCCGGCTGTTCCGTGACTGGATCGGAAGAGGACATTCTGGAGATTAGACCAACAACAGATCAATCAGCGCATGGCATGAGGAATCATGCGCGGTGAGTGAGATCAGCCGAAAGATGAAAACGATGAGAAGATAAAGATAACGAGGTTGGAGAAGGAAGAGGATCGAAGATCAACACCCGCGGGTTCCGGTTCCTGGGGGCTGCAGGTGGCCCCTGCACAACCTCGGACCTTCATGCAGTGCAACAGCACCCGTCAGCATTATTATTATTATGGTTACATAAATCCGGGCATGATGAGCCAGGCACTCCGTGAGGGACTAACATATAGACTATTGCATTATATAACTGATTTTCCTATGCGCACAGTGGGCAAGTAGAGCCAGGAACCATTGTCTATTTCACTACTCCCCCTTCAATACATAATAGAAAATGATAAAAAAGGGTGAAACACAAACTTGTCTGGGGAGGGGGAAGAGAGAAGAGACAGAAATAATAGGGAGACATCATATAGACTTGCGAACCGCTGGAAATAAAGAACAAAAATCTACTCATGCCGCCGCCGCCTTCAGGCCTTTCAAAGAGCCCAGGCTCAGGGCCAGACCCTGGGAGCGACTTCTGATTCGAACAAAGCCGGTGATGGGACCGTCATCGCCTTCCTTTTCAATGCTCAAGTTGGCTAGAGCATCCTCGCCTAGAATAAAGAAGTTAGTTGCATGGCCTTTCCCGAGGGGAGGGAGTGGAATGGTGGATTTAGTACGTACCGAATACACTTCGAGCATAGAGATTAGCACTGAGGAAGCGGCAATCGCCTTTGAGAGAGGCATCCGGGGTCAAGCAGGCCATGTTTGTGCTTTCCATCAACTGTTTCAGGAACTCGCGGAGGGTCTTGGCCTTGGAGTTGATGTTGACCTTGTTTTCCCATTCGAATTCAGTCCACATGGTCCGGAACTGGGTCTCGGTGCAGTGGGCGGGCTGAATATAATCCATGATGTCGGCGTGAATGTCGTTAAGGATGACCACGTGGGTCTCGGTAGAGCTGGCGCCATCGTAGACAATGTTACCAAAAATGACACCAGTGTCAGTCGAGGACACCTTGACCGTCGCCTGGACGTTCAAGAAGTCACGGGGGCCTAGGTTGTTGGTAGACGGCCGCTCGACAACCTTGAGATCTCCCAGAGTGGCGAACTCCACAGAGAGGTTCTGCAGCGTCTCCGTGGTTTGGTTGACCAGCAGAACGTCGAGGACGATGTCAAACTGGTGGACAGTGACATAGGCCTCGGCGTAGACCGAGTCAGAGAAACCCGTCAATTGCACGACACGGCTCAGTTTGGAGGCGACGTTCTCCACGGTAGAGTCACCACCGGTAGCCTTGACAAGATCCAGCTCAATCTCCTCAGCACCCTCGACGGTGTTCTTCTTGGTGAACTGACGGATGGGGATAGCGTCATCAATCTGAACAGCGCTCTTAGCCTTCTCCACGGCCTCTTTCGCAGCCCGCTTCTTGTCCTCAACCTGGACCATAGCACGGAACGCCTTGCGAGTATCCTCAAGGAAGGTAACCTCAAGATCCTTTTTCTCGGAGAACTCTGCCAGGGAACGGACGCAAGTCATTATGCGATCGACAGAATCTTCGTCAATAGGGGCTTTGACGAAGTGTGACTGGCCAACACGCATAATGGAAATCATAATAAGCATGGCCTCGGCCCGGAGAGCATTGGTGCGAGCAGTATCCTGGGAGACTTCGGAGTGACGCATCACGAGTTTGGTCAGGGTCGAAGAAAGAACGGTGGCAAGGTAGTAGTCACCGTCCAGAATGAGTTGACGGAGCGGCGGCTTTTGCGCAGCCTTAACAGCCTCCAGACGGGCAGCGGCGGCAGACTGACTGGTGAGAGCACTCTCGGTAGCATATGTGCCGTCGGCCAGAACCTTACGAGAGCCCGTGGGTGCGGCCTTGGCCTGGCCGTTGACCTGCTCCTGAAGAAGGGCATTGTCATCAGGGACCTCATCGAGCAGTCGTTGCTCAGAGGCCAGGATGGGGATTTCACCAAGGCTGGCGCGGATCTTCTTCCACGCCTCCCGAATATCATTCTCCTCCAAAGAGTACTCTCCAACAACCCAGAGGACGCCACGGTAAACTTTACCAGCTCGAACCTCGCTCAGAGTAGAGACTAAACGATCGACAATCGAGCCACGCAGATCGGGAAACTTCTCAACAACCTCCTTAACGAAGGAAATGACATCGACAGCAGAGTTGTTGTTGAAGTCGGCAATGAAGTCCATCAGCAGGTCGACAACGCTGGCGGCAATCTCGGAGAATTTGATGGCGCAAGTGTGTATTGACTGCACTAGCAGTTGGCGGTATTCACTGTTCTGTTCATACTGCTCATCCACAGTCTTGGCGAGTTCTTTTTTGAGCAGCATAATGATCTCCTCGACATTCTTGCTCGAAACCATCTCCAAGGCAATACCGAGGGCCTTCCGGCGAACATCAATATCGGGACTAGTGAGGACTCGTAGGATCTCCATAGTCAATTCATCCAGAACACCTTCATTGCGAATGCGAAGCTGATCTACGCGATCCAACACGATCAATTTGACGTTGTTATCGGCCTCCCGAATGGCAAGCTCAATCAACTTGCTCGCAGCGGCTTTGACGGCGACGGGGTTGCTAGTAAGGGCAGTGAGAGAGGTGGCGGCCTCGTAAACGACGGTACTGGTTGACGCATCGAGGAGTTCAAGCATGAGTTTGAGGTATCGCGACTAGGTACATTAGCAAAGTATAAAACCACCTTTAGGTCTCCTCACTACCCACCTTGTTCTGAGTGTTTTGCACAGCATCTTTCCGCAAAAACTCCAGTTCGGCCAATTGAAGAAGCTCGTCGGTGTTGGGAATAGTATCGAAGGTAGTGCGGAGGTATTCGAGCGCCTTCTGGTGGCTGATAGACATGAGCGCGGCAAAGGCATTGCGCTTGCAAGTGCTGTCGGTCTCTGACTCGAGGAAAGTCTGGAGAAGCTCCGGGGCATCGGGAATGAGAGACTCGGAGTGTTGGAAGATGGAAGCAACGGCCCAAGTGGCATTCTTGCGCACGTAGGCGTGGCGGTGTTCCAAACACGAGCGGGCCGAGGAAAGGAGGGGCTCGATCAGTTCGGGTTCGCGAAGCTTGCACAGGAAACGGAGGGTATTTCCTCGGACATATTCATTGGGATGCTGAAGATCGTTACGGATACCATTGCTGTTGGAAAAGGATCTTGTCAACACATCACATTCATGAAAGTTGTTTGTCGGAAACGACCACTATCACCACTTACCAGACCAAGATCATCTCCTGTTTCAACTTGCCATTCGAATCATGCTTTGGGCAAATCTCATAGTAAAAATAGAGTAGTTTCTTCAGGGATTTGCTTTTCGACGGCATGACGAAGCGAATGATGTGCATGAGCAACTGGGGCATAGGGTCGCCATTGAGCATGATTGTGACAATCGTCCGCATTGTTTCCATTTTGGTCTCATCATTGCCCTTTTCCAGTTGAAGTTTCAGTTCCTGGATCGTCGGCTGGTCTGCCGTGTTGTCCAGGTGGATCAGACTGTATGAATTTTCGAGGAACGACGCCATGGTGGAGGGATTGGGCGACGGCCGGAGACGAAGGGGAGCTGCAACTTGTCAGTCCTGGGGAATGTTTTGGACACCTCAGCCAGCTACCACATGACAGACGAACCGAAAGGAAGTCTCCCGGAAGCAGGAGCCTAGGCTAATATCACAAACGCGCAATTAAAGTAATCCAACACCCCTCACGCGCCAAAGAATCATGGGTGTATTGGGTTTGGATGCGCGAATGGGGGGTGGAAGCATCAACCTGTCCCTTTGGTCGCTCTGTGTGGATGACTAAGCCGGTCACTTTTCCAAGTCCGCCTTTCCACATCGTCACTACCAGTTGACTTGCGCCAACCACTTCACGATGACGAACGAGACGTTCTACCTCCGTTACTAGTAAGACTTGTTTGTATGGAGAGCCCAGGTCCTTGGCTGCTGACAGCTTCGCAGCTCAGGTCACTCTGGGCGGTTCGGGCATGAGTTTCTAGGTGAGTGGGCAGGAGCTACGATGCTACGACCGCATGATATCCAGGGAAGTCCGCCTTGACTGACTGGGTTCTAGAATTCGATTTCCGAACCATTGCCGATGGTAACAGCGCGGCTGTGCGATATGCGAACAATTCGAATTACCGCAATGACTCCCTGATTCGGAAAGAGAGTAAGTGAGCGGAACAATCGCATCGGTGACGGCGACGGACCCGGATATCTGATGGAATATAGTGTGTGTCAGCTCGGCGATGATCCAGGAGATCAAGCGCATCATCAAAGATAGCGAGATCATGAAGTGCGTAGCCCTATTTCTTCGAACCACCCACCCGTTGGACGAAATGCTCACCCCGCCGACCCTAGGGAGGACGACTCGAAGTGGCCGCAGAAGAATAAGGATGGACGCCAGGAGCTGGAGATCCGACTGGGCAATGAACACATTTCATTTGAGGTAGGCATTGGGCACATCGCTCTCATTGAAATAGGACCATCATCTGACCACCCGTCTTTCTCTTTCTTGTCACAGACCGCGAAAATCGGCTCGCTCCAGGATGTGAAGGAGTCGTCGGACCCCGAAGGCCTTCGGGTCTTCTATTATCTTGTTCAGGACTTGAAGGCGCTCATCTTCTCGCTGATCTCCCTGCACTTTAAGGTATTGTCCTCTCCCGCAGCGTCTGCTCCTTTGTTTGCCGGGATTGCCATGGATTGACCCTATTCTTCCCCCACAGATTAAGCCTATCTAAACGAGGATTCGAAGGGATATGTGAATTTTGGGTTGTTTCTTTTTATTATACCGGGCGTTTGAACCAAGGATTCCGTGTGGGTTTCATCATGAAGCAAAAATAGGACCCATCGCAGATACAAATCACCAGACAGACCAACCCCTGAAAATCTTTTTGGGCTCCATCACACTTTGGACTGTAGCTAGCGACATAAGCCAGAATATTCTCCTGTATTGTAGCCCCCACCGCCCAGTTGAGGGCAATCGGGAGGATCAGCTTTCGGCGGATATCGCACTATATACAGAGGAGACTGTGCGTAACCTGGTGGAGACCGTCGCCATCTGCACTTCCACCGTTCCCTCCATGAGGAACCCTCATCCGAGGCTCTAGACCCATCGTTTCCTATACACCGACTTTCCGCTGCACGCTGGTCCGCGGTTGCCGCGCGCGCCCACTTAAGTCTGTCTAGTGCCGAGTTAGTGAGTTTCGCTGTACCTGACGTACATGGCGGCCTCAGGCCACAGCGCCTCCCCCGCGCTCGCATGACCCCGACCCAAAGGAACATGGCCCTGTGAGACTTTCCAGACTCTCCGATTCTGGTTCTCCTTCTCTCACACACTCTCTCGTGGCCTTTGTTTTCTGCTTTCTTGGCTAGGATCGATCCGATGTCTGCTCTTCTCTTTTCTTGATTCGCCTCAATGCCGACTCCGAGTAACAGCCAGCCAACTTCGATCGCCGAGGTGATCTCCACTCGTACTTGTCCCCCGGAAGTTGATCGCGTCCCGGCCTGGAGAGCCTCGCCCGATTCCACAGACACCAACGAGCCGATTGAGGAAGATGCTCTATCACCAACGGCCACTACATCGTCCGTGCTGAATCGAGCTGACGATGGCAGCGCGCTCTTGGCGTCCGATCCACTGAAAGTGGAGAGGAAGATGACGGCCAGCACCGACGAGGACGTCGCGCGCGCGAGATCGACTTCTCCCCCGATCTCTGTGCTCGCAGTCAGTCACCGGTGGCGCCGCCCAACTCCTCGCTGTTACGCTACGAATTTTCCAATGTTCGGGTATGTTTAGTTTCTCCTCGATCTCACGGCATCACGGCCTTCGCGCGCCACATCATTAACCCGAGCCACAGCTTCTGCCAAATCATTCTTCCTCATACCTGCGCTCTGGGAGCAGGTTTGCCGGCACACAGATGTCTGATAAACAAGTTTATAATGTAGACGTGGAGATCAAACATGTCGATATGGCTGAGTCCTACCTATGTGGCTATCTTCGCATTCAAGGTTCGTGACTCATGCGCAATGAGACACACCATAACTGGTCCTTCGCTAACCATTTCATTGTTCTGTTTCAGGCTTGACGGAAGATCACCCGACCCTGACTACGTTTTTTGAAGGAGAGATCATTGGCACCAAGCACACGTTCCAGACTCGCAATGAAGAATGGGGTGCCAATGAGAAAACAGACATTCATCACTGGTCTCGGTTTCCAGCCTGGAAACCATTGGCTAAACAGGCCAAACGGACCGATTTCACGTACCGAAATTTCGCTCAGCGGGAGCATGTGTTTATGAGATGGAAGGAGTATTTCCTTGTCCCTGATCATCGAGTCCGCACCATCTCAGGCGCTAGCTTCGAAGGATTCTACTATATCTGCTTCAACCAGGTGGAGGGATCGGTGAGCGGCGTCTACTTCCACGCAAAGAGCGAGCGGTTCGTGAACTACACCTTTCGAAACTCGAGGATCATCTACTGACCTTTTATCCCCTAATAAGATTTCAACAGCTTGAGCTCAAACATGTCGAAGATCGTGGATGTGCGCCAGCAGTCGAGTTCCGTTAAGTTCGTCGTAACTCGAATGCTGGCGCTGCACCATTCATGTTGCTATAGAACAGGATCCTTCAGGTTATCTTCTACAGTGCCTATTCTCCATTCTCATCCTCTGGCCCATCATGACTGAGTCGGGCTTCTGCGCGTCTATATCATACAACTGACCGTATAAGCAACCCGGTCACCCCCACCGGATTGGTATTTCGCTTCACTCTTCTCGGTCCCTTCTCTCTGGCATTCTCCGCCTGACTCTCTTCCGTCTCCTCCCCATTTTACACTTTGGAATCATTGATTTCATGGTTGTATCATCCAACACACATATACCCTATTGGTCCAGGCGCCAGCTTTCCTCAAATTGTATCTCATGCCTCACGAATTTTCGATCTACGAAATGGCGTTTCCTTCTCCCTCTTCCTTTCTTTGGCAAGATGGGCTTCATCCTCTGTTTCGAGAACACATCCTTCATTCATACGATACTTTATTTACTATGACACCATCTATTGTTGACTTATTGTTTTTTGTGATAGTATTCTTCAGGCAATTGACTAGCCTGGCTTTTTTTTTTTTTTTGAAATCAACTCCGCGGGGATTTCTGGACTCACAATTCCTACAACTTATTCCTCGAAAGCTGCCTCTAGCGTTGTAAGCATAATATGAAGTAAAAATAATGAACTCCGTTTTCTGCCAGGTTGGCACAAGTTGCTTTCGATATACTCCGACTTGCCTCAATGTCTGCATAACTGACGGGGCAGATTTGGGAAAACAAATTAGAATAAACAAAGAGTCCGGGAGAATCCAACCACTCCCCAGTACTATTAGTTATTTGGTGTTCTCTAAATACGGAAGTGAAATCATTGCAAATTTTGACGCATGGAATTGATATAAAGAAAAAGTGCAACATGCATACAAGAACTTTGTCAAGCGCCCACGCAAATTCCTGGAAGTCCTCCTTTTTCGTACACAAGCATCATACGTAGTAGTTAACCGATAATGCAAATGCTCCTGCAACGCTCAAAAATCCAAGATGAAGAGAAGAAAAAAAAGTAGAGGAGCCACACAACCCGAACAAGACCACCAAGCTCGACTTCGTATATGTGAGTTATGAGAGAGAGAGAGAGAGAGAGAACATAGATATAGCAGGGTGTTGTATCGACGCGATATAACGGACGCAAAATAAAATGAAGAAGCAGAGGGGTATCACATGCGATGTCGTCTGAGGATGTATACGAGTCAAGTCGAGATCGAGCGAGTGTGTTTTGAAATGTTGAAAGATGGGGAGATGTATTTTCCGCCATATAAATGCCAAATTCACTCAGCATGGTGGAGTTGAACATGCCGAAAGATGAAAGAACGATAATAAAATATCAGGCATGATACAAGGGTAAGTGTGATGTAGAGTATCACAAATATGTCGAATTCTGACGGCTGGTAGAGTTCGAGCTGCTGCTGTAGCTGCCACTCTCGCTGCTGGGAGTTGCAGGCTCCTGGACGATTTGTTGACGAATGGAGACGATCCACTCATGCTGAACGAGCTCGGCGGCAGTCGGTCGTCTCAGAGGATCGCACTCAAAGCAGCGACGCACGAAATCGATACCCAAATCGCTGAGCTGATCCCTGGTCGGCAGAGCTGGCTGGTTACCTTGAGCAATGTTATACATGATCGCCCACTCGTTGTCAAGTGTGGACCAGGGGCGACGGCCAGTGGCCATTTCCAAAATCACACATCCCAGTGACCAGATGTCAACAGCACCTTGGCGGTCGACCAGATTAGGCAAGTCACCGCGAATTACTTCAGGAGACATGTACATGGGAGTTCCTGTTGTTGTCTTTTGATTCTTTCGCTGATTAGGCAACTGAGCATCCTTTCCGGGGATAGGAGGACCTTGGCCATTGGGACCGTCCATCGGAGCAACAGTACGGCCTGATCGAGCGATGATCTTCGCAGCGCCGAAATCCACGTATTTGATGATACCATTGTGATCAAGAAGAATATTCTCCGGTTTGATATCCCGATGGACAATACCTGCTTGATGAAGGTATGCCAGACCCTCTAGGAGCTGCAGGGCATAGACCATAATGACCGTTTCATCTTCAATGCGGCCGTGCTCCAGCAAGCTAGCTAGTGAGCCCCCAGAACAATACTCCATGAAAATGTAGACCTTGTCCCGGTGTACCTCAATTCCGTGGTACGACACAATATTGGGATGGTCAAGGACTTCGAGAACACCCATTTCGTCCCGAATTTGCTGCGCAATCTTGGGGATTAATTGAGGATCCTGCAGACGGATCTCCTTGACTGCCATCAGATAGTTGCTATCAAGATTGATGGCCACGTAGACAGATCCAAAGGTACCACCGCCGATGAACTGACCCTGCTGCCAACGCAATGTGACATTGGTCGCAGAGGATGAGAGTACCGTAAGTGACCGGTCAGCTTCATTGGAGCCCTCCAACACTCGTCCCAGAGCCTGGCGCTTGGCATCCTCCTCCACCCGCCGGTCTTCAATCTCCGTAACCCGCGCATACCACTGCTCACGAATGAGCTTAGATGCCTCCTCGTCGCTGAGAATGCGCCCAGCGCCGACCTTTCGGTTGCCTGCACGCTCTTCCATGCGCTGCTTCTCGGCCTGTGCGGCCAGTGACGACCGGGCCCCCATTATGTCAAAGTGAGAGATGAGGAGAGACATGCAACCTGCCACCTTTAACCGAAGATGGCCAAATTGCTCTTCGTCCATAGAGAGGAGGTGTCGGCTGGAGGTGATCGCCATGGCAAATTCCAGGGCTGCCACTGCCCACTTAAAGGTCTTTCGATCAGCGGCATCGCACTCGTCGCAGATGAAAGATACCCAGTCAAGAGACAGTTCGACCAACCGAGCACTATTCATAGCACGTCTGTTGGCATCCACATAATTGGACGAACGCTTTCCAAATTCGGTTGCAAACGCATAGCAAGCTTGAATCAGATCGTTGTTCTCCCATGTCTTCTTCCGCAGCTGATCCTTGATCACCGCCACACTGTCCATGATCGCCATGGAAAGCTTGAAAGAGATCTTCTTGATCTTGTTTAGTTCCACATTGACCCGACCAAGATTTGCGCGCTTTTCGATAGCCATGTCAAGTTGGATACCGGTCAGCTGAGCAAGCTCCATTCTTGCGTTCTGTAGTCGCTCTTGCATGCCCTCGACAACCAGACGCAGTTTGCCCAGGCGCACGTCGGTCGGCTGTTCCAAGAAATCAACCTGCATTTCTTTTCCGGCCCAGCCCAAGGGCTTCTCGGGGCGGATGACCAGAACGTAGGGGAAGTTGGGGGCGTCTTTCAAAGTATCATCTTCTCGGAAAGAGGTGGCAAGGATTGCTTGAATGTCAGCAGGTCGATTCCAGAGCGAATGATGCGCGATAAGGTAGACACCCTTCTGGCCGACCGAACTCGGTGATGTAACCAGGAAGTGGTCAGAAACGAGGAGTGCCTCGAAGAATTCGTAGGCGATATCGGTAGTCAGGTTATACTCGGTGGCATTTTCGAAGAGCTGGCAAAGAAATCTAGAGAATCGGTAAAGTTTGCGTTGACGGATACGCGTCGAATCCAGAATGCTTTTGTATCGCTTGTCCATGTCGGCCACAGACTCGTTAGCTCTTGGTACAAGCTCGCGTTCAAAATGAATCATGAGTCGCTGAAGTGATTTGGCAGTCAAAGCACTGTCCGATCGCACAATTAGCTCTATTTTTCTGGATTTAAACCCGAGGATGGGGAGTACAAACCTAAACTGCTCTGCGACCTCGATATCACCGCTTTCAAGTTGTCGTCCTATCACATACGAGAACTCCCATTCCTGTTCAAGGATTTCAGCTTCCTTGAACGTATTCTTGTTGGCATTCAGCTTCCAATTCAATAAGCGAAAGTAATATTTCATGGCATCTAAAACCACGGAGTCGAAGTTCTCGTCCACGCAAGGAGGCAAATCCCAGCCAGGCTCGGGCCTTGAGATGGCAAGGTAACGTTGCTTAATCTGGGTAGCGACTCTCATCAGGATCTGGAACTGTGAGATCATCTGATCCACGAGGATGGGCGACTGCTGTGCCGGGTCCTTCATGGTCCTGGCGTATGACAGTCGAACGCGGATGATTTCCTGTATCAGGCGCGAAGGGAAATTGATGAGAGTGAGGAGTTCCTCGATGTAGGGGGGAAGATGTCGAGCGGCAAAAGCTTCTGCATTCTCAATCAAGGTGCTCTTTGCTTTCTGAATGACCTCACCGAGTCCGTTGAGCATGCTGTGGCCACCCTGCAGCGTCTTGAGTCCGTCTTCCTTCATAATGCGATCCAAAAAGGACGAGTCATCCGAGAGATCGCTATTTGCGGATTTTGTCCTAGGCTGGCTGAAGTCGAGGGCATCATTGCCAACCCAGCTCTGTAGCACAGCCAACTCAGTATTAATGAGGGCTGTGATATTATGCCAGGCAAAAATGGCCGCTCGACTGGAGTAGAATTCCTCGGATGCCGTGCGAGGGTTTGCCGCCTCCATTTCCTTGCATGTGGAATACAGAACCTCGCACTTCTCAACCTTTTCTACCACATCTTCGACTTGCTGCCTTGGGGGCTTGCCGATCTCGGTCTCGCCTTTAATCTGGAAGTTGATAATGTCTTCAATTAATGGACCGAGCTGAGCCCGGGAATCTTCGATGAGCTTCCGCTGCAGCGCGATACTTCGGCCACAAGTCTTCGCTCGGACGCCGATCCAAAGGGCATGACCCAGAGCGGCAGAACGCTTGGACTCGGTGGATCCGATCAAGCGCTGCTTCTCTTGCCGGACCACATCTCCCTTTAGCACAGACGCCAGCATTGAATGCCACTCCAGTCGCTCCTGATTCTTTGGGTTCTTCAGCTCTTCGATAGTCGGAAGGTTATCGTCGGCGAGAAACAGTTGGGTATCAGGGTCGTAAGAGTCGTCATCGAAGGGGACCTCCGAGGACGGGGAAGGTTCCTCTAGGTCGGCATCGGCAACCATCATGTTGGGAGACTGCCCGTCGTTGAAATGGTGGTACCAGGCCTGCGGGTTGGCGCGGATCCGCTGGACGTAGGCCTTTTCCTGGGCGCGATACTGGGCGTTAGGATCACGTCGGGTACCCCGTTTGGCAGACGAGGAGCGTGTACGGTCGCTCTGGAAGCTGATGTACTGGGGTGGTCGGCGTTGCGGCGCGTAGGTGTTCGAGGGGGTTCTCGCCGGAGCCGAAGGGCGTTGCGGTCGTAGATCGGGGGCCATGGCATGGCCCTCAGGCGTCTCGAGAACGGTATTGGCGCCCACACTAGCCCCGCGTGGTCGGGTGGTGGGCGTGCTGGACCATGAGGACAGGCTGGAGGAGTGCGATGGAGGGGAAGAGGTGATGGTCGTGGCCGGCGTCTGGATCTGTTCCTCGACGAAGGTCTCGCCGAACGACGAGTTGGCCCTCAGGGGATACTGCGGGGGGAACTCATCAGACGACCCCGAGCCATCCGAGTCATGGCTGACGATGTCGGGATGCTCCATGGTGTGTGGGCCGGGTGTGATGCACAGAGCACAAAAGACTCATGAGCTCAGGGAATGCGCGATGAAATGATAGGGGCGTGTGGCGGTGCGGGCGAGTGGCGGGGCCAATGAAGGCGCCCTCCGCCCGGGGAGAATCCCGGCTGGGATCCGGCTCGCCCATCCTTCGTTGTCATTCTGTGCCGGATCTTAGTCTCGTAGTCCGGTTAACCCTGTTTAGCGGGGTCAATCCTGCTCATCCTGGACCATTCCGGTTTTGCCGCCTGCACCATTCAGCTGAAGAGACACGAGATCGCCCCGTTGTGCTACTGGATTGAGTCGGTTCCGAGTAACGGTCACGTACGTGGCAACAAGTCCGCGTCCAACTTTTATATTAAAAGAGGCGCCCCCTGCTCACCGTCACGGGGCCTGAGAGTCTGCCATTTTATTGATGCCTGCGCAGCGATGATCTCGATCTATATGAAGAGACAGTGACCGCTCATTGTGACAATGCATCGACCCCGATGAAGCAGGTGGAAAATAGATGTTCTAGACCTCGATGGGCATGTCTGCATCATCCTGCTCCAACGAATTTAGACCAGTCATTCACTTTGAAGCCTAGGGTTTGACAAGAAGATTCCGAGAGACCTTCCTTTCTTATCACCATCATGATAATCTCCGTCCAGATCCATACGAACCGACTATACACATATACAGTCGATTTTACTTTCAAATTCGACCTGCCGATCGGTGCCAAGAGAGCAAAACTTACTCCGTAGAGCATGACCTGTAAATATTGTAGCGCCGAATAGGACTCGATGACGCGATATAGTCCGATAGGCTGTGTAGCTGATGTTTGAAGCAATCCAATTGATCTCCCTTAAAAGAGAACATTTTCCTCGTTTTTCATCTCTTAGCTGATGTTCGCTCTTAATGCAGCTTTGAATGTGCATTGGGATTTCCGTGGCTATCTTTGAACCTTTTGCCCTTAGTTCTTGAAGGAAATTGGAGCGGCAAATGTCTGACTGAGCACTAGGAATAGCAACAAGGTAGGGGATTTGCGGTATTGAGTTAATAACAACGGTATTTATATGGTTGCTGTAGTACACGTTATTTCAAGATATCACCCGGAAGGTCAGATGCCTTAAAGCCGTGAGGTATCTCACCAGGGTGCAATGCTACTTGCCCTCTCCACAAACCGTCATGCAAGAGGGATTCTATTCTCCACACGGGACCAATTTACATGCTTCTATGCCAGAGATTATACAAGAAACTGAGAAACTGCTGGGTGTTCCAGGCGGAGAAAAGCGATGAAGGGCAGTCGAGCAGGGACTCTTAACCAGATCATTACAAGGGAAGGCCATATTCACCACACCTTTAGATCCCTTGTCCGCATGTTGCTTAGCTGATGCAAAACCATTTTCGATAATCTCCCATTCTCTTCCGTCGGCTTGTTTGAAGTGACAGAGTACAAACCATAACCAACCAGGCTGTCGGCCATGGAGAGACCCTCTCTTCTACCTATACGAAAGTGTCTTTTTCTAATTCCAAGGATTACATGCTACTTTTGTTGATCAAGAATAGTGGGCTATAGCGCGGCTATAGCGTGCTCGACGGCTCATAAAGTGTGCATGGGTTCTTCGTCATATTCAGCCTCCCACAGCATACAGGGTGTACATCGGGAACACCTCAGGATGGGTCCCTTTTCGTCCTATCCCTGGCAGGCGCTATAGGAATCCTGCATTTGCGAGATAATCTGTGCTTAGAGAGTGGTGACCCAAAGCATGCCCGGGCAATAATGCAGATGATCTACTTCTGAACTGAGCGTTGGACGAACAACGGATCCTCTGAATCAGAGGTGGATCATGAAGACTCCGGTCCAGGTCGATCAGTGGACCCGTTGAAGCTGACGCTGGCCTTGCCAGATGGTACCTGCGTATTGTGTACATAGGGAGGAGGGCGATCGAGAGACGATCAGTCCTGAGTCTGTGGGCGAACTATTATGTTCTTTTTGACTGGTGATTTAACTGCATATACACATTCGATGCTTCGAGCTGGTTCTCCAGGACACCAGTATATCGCTTTTAGTACGGCAAACAACAGGTGTTCGGTGACCACCGGGCCTCATCGAGGCAGGAATTAAATTCTTCAAGGGTGTCCCGGGAGAGAGTTCATCGGATAAGCGGCGTGACTCAATAGCACTAACATGTGTCTGCGCACCTGCATCTCCCTGTCCACTAGAGCCAAGCGCGGCCTTCCCGTCTCAAGATGGGCTTGAGTGGTGCCAAGGCTCTTGTTCCCTTGTTCCCTCTTGTCGGGATACCGACTCCGAGCCCTGTGCATGTTCCAGTCCAGAGGCCCAACAGATGATGTGCAAAGTGGCCAATCAGTCAACCCAGGCTTATCAGGGCTTGGCACCCCGAGGGACCGCGTGGCTTCCCGGGCGCCCCATGCGTTCTCGACTGACCTGCTTAGACTTCTCGAAGGTCCTCTAGTGAACCCGGGGAATGGGAACTGACTAGGGACTGCTCTTAAAGATGATGCGAGGGGCAAAGACAATCATTGATGTCGAACGGTGCTGGGATTCTGTCGAGTACGAGGAACGTGACATGGACCATGTCTAGTATGGATCTGAGCTTCTGGGGGTATCTATTTAATGTAAGAGGTGTTTGGACTCCACGAAAGTGGCTTTAATCACGCAACAACTTCATTATCCGTGTCGCATATATAGTAGTATCTGTACCAACACTGATCGAATGGTGTCGTCAGGGGCGGAGAAAGGACCGAGACCGCGGGGTCCACGCGAATTGGACATCCAAGACGAAAGGGAAATGGCCAGTGAGTTCCCGTGGCTCGCACGTCTCCTTGGGATTGAGAATTGAGCCACATTGTCGAAAAAAGAAAATAGGAAAAAGAAAAGAAAAGAAAAGAAAAATTCGATACGGCGCCCATGACAAGAGGCCGCACGGACTGCTGATTGGCTGCTCTGAACGTTGATAAGACGGAGGTACTTTCATACATCGGAGTCCCAAGTACCGAGTTCGCATACGCTGTACTTGATATCCCCAAAGGAAGGATATCGAACTATCTGCAAAGATATTATAGTATATATTCACCCGACTACTAGCATTTTCCTCTGATGCTAAATAAGACTCCCCCGTTTCTTGAAGAGACCATGACAACTGGGGTCTGCGGTAGACGAGGCACCTTTTAGCAGCAGCCGCGAGCCCCCAGTGGATCCCCTCCAACCGCCCCTTGATAAGCTTTCGTGCCCGATCATTGGCCCCGCTCATGCCCGGTGCTATCTACAGCCAGTGACAGCCCAGTTGCGGGCGTCGTCCCTTCACCTCCCCTGATTTCCAAACAATTTCGCTGATTTTCATTATTATTTCCATTATTCGCCTCTCTCTGTCACCTCCTCCATGCTATCTACTATCCGCTATCCCCTGCTTATCACACCTTTCCGATGCTGGGCTCTCCCCGGTCAGCGCTCAAGCCCAGTGCCCCCCGGTTCCTGAGATGCAGACCAGCATTTAATTCTACGATACACCGCAGGAGCATGCGGATATGCTAGCTCTGTTTTGAATATCTGAAGTTATAGAGAAATTATATGGGAATGACCATGTATAAGGCTTCTGTCACCTTCCACCAATGTTCTCAGGTGTAAAGATTGGATGTATAGTTCGTCCTCAAACCCGGGGTCCCGTAATCCCCCGGGCTAGGTCCATCCAACAACATCCAATGGAACCATTGCCACTATTCCTCGTCCTGTTTGTCCCGGCATGGCTGATTGGGGCGGTCTTGGCTCTGGCTATCAGTCAGATCCGATGAATCATGCTAGCAATCGCCATGACATTTCGGGGTTCCCACTATCTGGGGAGCCCGGACATGCTCAGATCGGAGAGGTGGAGCCCAATATCCCAAACAACTGCAGCCGTATTTAATTATCAGCGTCCCTGCAGGTGCTGGATAGATCAGCTTTCTTTTTCCCCCTTTCCCTCTGACGACGCCTACCTACAAGGTCTTTCCCCTATCCTAGCCCTAACCCAGCTGCTCCACACTTGGTTGGTTTAAGAATTCCGCCTGCTCGGAGCTGTATCTTCGACTCCTCCTTTCCGATCTGGCCTTGTGCTTGAGAAAGAGACATCTCGGCCGTGTATCAAACCCTCGAGCCTATCACTCGTCGCTGGGTTCCTGGTAGTACCAGTACCCCGTCTCGCGTCTGATATCTCGCCGCGCCACTACGCGCCCCGGGTTGTCATTATGTCTGCATACCCGGTCGCCTACAATGGCTCCGCCACCGGAACTGGGGGTGATTCGTTGACAGAGGATTTGAACATCTATTACAATGTACGCGGGACGAATGCTTACCTGATGGTCTGCCATAGGATGTCAACGCTAACTAAGAACCTGGATCTAGGCTGGTGATATCGCCTGGGTGGTAACCTCTTCGGCCCTGGTGTTGCTGATGATTCCGGGTGTTGGGTAAGTTGTTCGCAAAAGGAATGATTCATCCAAGCCATTCCGTTGCTTATATTTTTCCCTTCCTAGGTTCTTCTACTCGGGTCTGGCGCGTCGAAAGTCGGCTCTCTCTCTGATATGGCTGTCCATAATGTCTGTTGGTGTTGTGTCATTTCAATGGTTCTTCTGGGGCTATTCGTTGGCCTTCTCCCACACCGCAGGCACATATATTGGGGATCTGGCCAACTTTGGTATGAAGGATGTTCTGGCGGCGCCCTCTGTGGGCGGCTCCAAGGTCCCTGATATCCTGTTTGCTATCTTCCAGGGCATGTTCGCCGCTATTACGTGAGTTTTCCAATCCAAGTCACATCATGATGCACTATATATCCATGGGAGTATGCTTATTAACATCTGCGCTTCTTCTTCAGTGTTGCCCTGGCCGTTGGTGCCGTTGCAGAGCGTGGCCGAATGCTACCATGCATCGTCTTTATGTTCGTCTGGTCGACCATCATCTACGACCCTATTGCGTGCTGGACATGGAACTCCTCCGGTTGGGTCTACAAGCTCGGTGGCCTGGATTTCGCCGGCGGGACTCCCGTCCACATCGCCTCGGGCTCTGCTGCCCTCGCCTACTCCCTGATGCTGGGCAAGCGTCGTGGCCACGGCACTCACGAACTCAACTACCGCCCACACAACGTCACTCACGTCGTCATCGGCACCGTCTTCCTATGGGTGGGATGGTTTGGTTTCAATGCTGGCTCTGCTCTGGCGGCGAATCTGCGGGCCGTCATGGCTGCGGTTGTTACCAACCTGGCTGCTTCCGTCGGAGGAGTGACCTGGTGTCTGCTGGACTACCGTCTGGAGCGTAAGTGGTCCACCGTCGGCTTCTGCTCGGGTGTCATCGCTGGTCTGGTGGCTATCACTCCCGGTTCGGGATTCGTCACTCCCTGGGCGGCTTTCATTTTCGGCGTCGTAGGTGCTGTTGCCTGCAACTATGCTACCAAGTTGAAGTTCTTGCTCCGCGTTGATGATGCTCTGGATATCTTTGCCGTCCACACCATTGGTGGTCTGGTTGGCAACCTTCTCACTGGTCTCTTTGCTGCGTAAGTTGACCCCAAAAGAGCCTGAATTTTGAAAAAATTTCTATGCTTTCAATGACAGGGAGAAACAAAAACTGACCTTATTCTGCAGTGACTACATCGCCCACCTTGACGGCTCTACCGAGATCCCCGGTGGCTGGATCAACCACAACTACATTCAGCTCGGCTACCAGCTTGCCGATTCAGTGACCGGATTTGCCTACTCATTTTTTGGTACCTGCCTCATTCTGTTCATCATCAACCTGATCCCCGGACTCCACCTGCGTGCGCCGGAAGAGGATGAGATCCTGGGCATTGACGATGCCGAGATTGGCGAGTTTGCCGTAAGTTTATTCCCTCGTCCTGCCACCTGACTAGACTCATGATTCTAACAAAAGTTTTCTTTTAGTATGACTATGTGGAGGTCACTCGTGACATTGTCAACGGCGTCGAGGCCAGCGACGCCGGCTCAAAGCGCACTATGACTCCGACGGGAGATAACAGTGCGACTGTCGACACCAAGGCTTAGACAAACCAAGCCCTGGCGTCACTTCATTTTTTAATACTTTAATATCTTCTCGGGGTTGGCCAAGAGGTGCATCTTTTTCTCTCCTATGGTTTCCTATGGTTTTGTTTGACCATTTCTCTCTTTCTGTCTTCTTCTTTGCGTGGACTTAGCATTACTGGTTACTGGGTGACGGATTCTTCAGGATTACATCCTACATGTTTTCTATTTTCTATTTTCCTTTCTAGCATATTTCAGATACCCTTCAATATCCAATAAAAAGGCTCTTGGTTGCTAAGTCCGTTCCCTGAGTGTGTATAAGGGTAACTCACCCTCTGAGCTATGACGAAGCCTGATCGGAGTCGTGAAGTTTATAATAGCATGTAGGGATGTAACAATACTCTGGATACCCCTTGCCTAGTGTCCAATTTCAGAAGAACAATTTTTTGCATAGCAATCCATTCACTGGACCAGAAAAGCTTTGCCTCTACTCTTTGCATTTTATGTGATCATTCACATATCCATCATCTTCCACCCCCTCCTCTGGAACGCTTCCTTCTAGACCGTCATCCGGAAGAATAGGCACGGAGATTTCCGACTTCGTATACGGGAACCAGAAGTTCAAGCCAAGATACACTATCGTACTGCCAGTAAAGCCCAGAAGCCAGCCAAACTCATACGGATGAATTCCTACCCCGATGGCAATACTTGAGTTGACCGAATGCATCAAACCCGGGAGACTGGGCACCGTGCCGACCACAAAGGCCACCAGAGCATGGCAGTTGAGCCCATGAAAATAGCGATAGATTCCATACGGTTGATACAGGGCCACGCAGTCATACTTCCGGTGCTTGACGACCCAGTAATCGCACAGCATAATGGCAGCAATTGGGCCCAGGAAAATGGCGTAGGCGGACATGAAGTTTAGAAAGTTTCCAGCCGACGCCAGGATCTTCCAAGGGACCAATGCCCAGGCGAGCAGAGCACAAAGCAGTTGACCACGGCGGATGTTCATGAATTGGGGTGCCAGCGCGGTGAAATCATTGGCTGCGGCTATTGAGTTTGCGGAGATATTCGACCCAATGGCGGCGAGGGCAAACGAAAAAGCACCGAAGAACCGGCAGGCGCGGTTACTCCAAAGCGCAAGCAGAACATTTGGGTCCCAGGGAACTGAGTCGAGGTGATATTTCGACTGGCCGGCGGACGAGACGGCGATGCCGATGAAGGCTATGAAGGTGAAGATGATAGGTAGAAGGACTACATAGAGAATATGCCACCGGGGGTTGACGCAGGAATAACGAGAGAAATCAGCCTGGTTGACGCTGAGCGTTGCATAATTCCCAATCACCGACGTTAGAGAAGACATCATGGCCCAGCTATAGGCGGATCCGGTCAACTCGCTTTTCTGCGAGAAGAGGTCGCCCGCGCCTGCGGTGCTCACAAATGCCCAGATGAGCATAGCGACCCATGCAGTTGGCACCACGACAGCCTTGATGAGAAAGAGCCATCGTAGTTTGCTGGGATGGACAAGCAGGAACGGGATTTGAAGCAACCAGAAGAGGAGAAAGCCCACCATGCCTTGCGTGGTGATACCCTCATCGTCTGGAAGCGCATTCGGGATGTCAAGAAAACTGGGCCATATCGCTCCGATCATGACAGCAACTGAATTTCCTCCATTCACCACCTGAGTTGCAAACCAGAAGACAGCTAGGATTAGTCTTGAAACGATGGGGATATAGGAGCCCCAAAAGCCCCAGCTCGCCCGTGCAATCACCGGAAAGGGGACATGGTAAATGGAGGCGATGGCCCCGTTCATAGATATCACAATGGAAAGAATGAAAAAGCCTAGAGCAACCATGCCCAAAGATTCTCGCCAGGACAGTCCAATGGCGATAATACTGCTGGCCAGCTGCCAGTTGGCCACCGAAAAGGAATCGGAAATCCAGTAGCCGATGAAGCTGAGAACTGTCCATTTCCGCATATTCTTGGGAACAGGATCGAGATCTTTGTTCGTCCATCGCACGTCTCCGCGTACAAAGCTAGACTCTGCCTGCTCAACCCGCAGGCTGGGCCAGTTAGGTCGTGTAAAGCGCATCTTGGCTAGCGCATACAGGAAGTTCTTTTAGTAAAATTATGGTAATACATCTAAAATACCCATTATCGCAAGAAGAATTATGTACATGCTTTATAGCGAAGAATGTGCTAGCAGAGAAAGTCTTTCGACTATCTACACGATCTCTGATTTCGATCATGCGCTGATAGACTAAGCGAGGGTTATCAGTCCCCTCGATAGTGATCTTTCGAAGTATTGACTTAGCCGATCTATCATTAACCAGCTTCCGATTGGTCAACCCCGCAATCTCAAACGGCTCGAGTACGTAGGACGATTGGCTCTGCGGCGGCATTCTATTTGCAGGATTGGGCTTATCTATCGGTACTTCACTGTTCTGATAACCCCTGCCCCTGGCTAGGGCTAATCGCAAATGCCGTGGCTCTCTTTAATTCTCACTTGTATCGGCGGATGCCGCCGTTACTAGCTTGAGGGGAAAGGGTGCATTATGTTCGGTCCGCCCCAAAAAGGTCAAAATACAGCTAGATGAGAGAAATTCCTTATAGCGTGCCTCTATTGGAGAAACCTCCATTCCATTTTCTCTCTCTCTAAAGGTGTTTCTTAATCAAAATGGCAACAGAACTGATCTCCGTCTCCAATGGTCAAGGCAGTTTGCCTTTAACGCCAAAGCAGATTGCGGCGAGTGCGGCCAATTGTCTTTCCCTCCAACAATCAGGACGTGAAACTCATTCAAAGCGACCCTTCGCGGCTCTTCTACTGGCCCCTGACAATGAGACCGTGCTGCTGTCATCGCTCTCAATATCCCATGTTAGACATGCCGAATGTGAGCTGGCCCGAAGCGCCGCCGATAATTACGCCTGGGACTATCTGGCCAAATGTACTATGGTCTCCACGTGGGAGCCATGCGCCATGTGCGCTGGAACCATCTACTGGGCGCATATTGGGCGCCTGGTTTATTTGGCATCGGAGAAAGCACTACAGGCGCTTACAGGCCAGGGGAATGCCGAGAATCTGACTCTCGATATGCCGTGTCGGTCTGTTTTTGCCATAGGACAGTTTCCTGTGGAAGTGGTGGGCCCTTTAAGCGCCGAAGGATGGGAGCAGAAAGTAGTACAGGACGCTGCATTGTATTGGTCCAAGCACGTTGCCTAAAATTTGGTTGGGAAATTTATCAAGTTACTACTTCTTCGCCAGCGAAGGACTCCCTTGACTATGTCTGTGGCTGGGACAATGGTTTTGAGTCACAAATTGAACTGAAAATAGAAGTATACAAAGATTCTAAAAGCCACTGGGCATTAAATGAATTCAGATTGTACCCTCCACCTTTGCAGACACCTACATGTGCAATAAATGTCTATTCAAAGGAGACCGACCCCTCAAGGCAAAGCTTTATACATCAGACCGGCACTCCAACATACAAGAGTCATTAAGCATTTGCATTTGTTGTTTTAACTGAAGTCTATTCATATTGCAACGACAACAAGCCTTAAGCCTGCATTGACAATGTTCGAATATCCCTATATTTGGATAGTCGATAAGAACACTCTTCACATGGATTGACGACACAAGGGAAACTAGGATTATTTGATGTCAGATAAAGGGTCACAAGGAAAAAAAAAATTATAACAGCAATCATACGTAGTAAAGTTTATTCTATGAATGAAATCACTCAAGGATGGATCCTAGAAAGAAAATGTTGAGTATTAGACTATACAGGAATAAGTATGCTCAATTGGGGTTCCCATTCATCCATTCACCACATGTTGAGCCCTTATGACAGATTTTAAATCATAATACAGAATCAGGATTTAAAACCTGATTTGAAATTTGACATAGTGCTGTTTGAACACTCGACTATATACAAGAACCTAGCTACTGTAATGGGAAAGCGACCTATGACAGGGCACAAATAGCGAGAAGAAAGTCGATATTATGGTGTAGCTGACCTGCACCATACCGCTTCGCTATACGAACTCGGAAAAATTTTTTACTATGGGTCGCCCTCTGTATATTCGCTCCTCTGGCGTCCTTCATTACCCTCCAACGCTATGCCTTGGTAGTCCCAATCACCTATTCAGAAAGCACCCCACTTTTGACAGAGGCGCAAACTATACAATATCAAAAGGGCTCTGGGTAGCTCACGAATTTGCTCACTCAAAAAGTTTCTAGAAGTCCCGTATGGGAGAAGTACGTCTTGATAGCTAGCAAGGGCAGGGAGATTTCTCGGAGGGATGGTCAAATCATCGAGGTTGTAGTGACGGGATCGACCCACGGCTCCCGCCCCATGTGATGTGGGCGCCAACGACGACTGGCACACGGAAGCTCCGAGCTTGAAAAGCTTCCCCCGCCATCTCATCGCAGCCCACTTCCTCCTCGCCTGTTCAAGCACATGTCTTAACCGGTTGCTTGTACTTGTCGCATTACCCCAACACAGTCATTTAATTCCACAATGTCCTCGTCGGGGACTCCCACGTCCGGCGCTGAGCAGTCGCGCCCGTTCCCGACAGACCCGTCCACATTCGAAAGTGACCCGCGCATTTCCTTCTCGAAGCTTGACGATAAATACATCTTGGAGACGACGGATGGACAGGAGTTTCAATATGATAATGTACTGAAGCGATGGGTCCAGGCAGCTGTATGTTCTGGAATCTCCCTTCCTTGCGCCTAACACTTCCTGCAAGTTCAATTGCCATACACCGCAAGCTGGCAACCTGCGGCCGTTCCGTCACCGATATTGACTGATTCTTTGACCTTAGGTCGATGAAGAGCTGATTCGCCAGCAACAAGAAGCCTATAAGGTCGAGGGCGTGGACGAGGAGGAGGCCATTCACCCGCGCGACAGGAAGAAGCGGAAAAACCAAGCGGGCGATGAGGTTTGCCAATCCTGGGCCTTGTCCACTGGCATCATGGCGCATAATGCTAATTTCCAGTCTGAATTTTATAGAAAGATGGACAGAAACCGAAAAAACAACGAGTCAACACCGCGGTGTTTGTTACCTCACTTCCCCTCGACGTGGATGCTGAAGAGGTTCGGGATGTTTTCTCCAAGTGCGGTGTGATCGCAGAGGAAATCGACAGCGGCCGCCCTCGAATCAAAATGTACAATAATGAGAATGGCGATTTCAAGGGCGAAGCGCTCGTGGTTTATTTTCGTCCAGAGTCTGTCAACCTGGCAATCCAGATGCTCGACGAGACTGAATTTCGCCTGGGCCAGCCTGGCCCACTGGGGCCTATGAGGGTGCAAGCTGCCGATTTTTCATTCAAGAGCGAGAAGGATGCGCCACCTAAGACCAGCATGCGCGACAAGAAGAAGATCATTCAGCGGACACAAAAGTTGAACAGGTATGAATAATCAGACACTGGAGTTTGTATGATCTAAATATCTCAATCAAGATATACTAACGTTTGAGGCAGCAAATTGGCCGATTGGGATGATGACGACCCTTCTACCCTCCCAGAAACCAACACTCGATTTGAGAAGATTGTCATTTTAAAGCACATGTTTACTCTGAAGGAATTAGAGGTGAGGGCCTTCTATCTCCTTGGTCATCAATCCATGAACCATTTGACTGACATGATGATACAGGATGATCCTGCAGCCATTTTGGATATCAAAGAGGACATTCGCGAAGAATGCTCCAAAATCGGCGAGGTGACCAACGTGGTACTCTACGATCAGGAGATAGATGGAGTAGTGAGCGTTCGCTTTGCTGACCCTAGTGCTGCCCGGCAGTGTGTAAAGGTATGATCTTCCAGGCGTCTGCTAGTTGATGTCCTTCTGTCTCCGATTGATCCCTGTATTTGACGAGAATCTCACTTCTTTTTTCTTTGGTTCGTTTAGGTCATGGATGGGCGATACTTCGGTGGCACCCGCGTTGAGGCATATGTCTCCCAGGAGCGTGAGAAATTTAAGAAGACCAATGCAAGACGGGCAGCTCTGGAAGATATGGCCGAGCGGGGCCTTGATGCATCAGACGAGGAAGAGGAGCGGCGATTGGATGAGTTTGGCTCATGGCTAGAGCGCTCTGAGGCGGGCAAGGATGGTGCCCAATAGAGGAAGCGGGATCACGGCCACCACCATGGGATGAGAGGAGGAATACTATTGTCTTTTTGCACCTGTACTATACCAGCGAGTTGCATTGCGAATTCTATGAATGTCTTGAGCTGAATGCCCAACATGCCCAATTTGCCAGAAGCCCCCCAGTCCCCCCGGGACACGGGACAAACAACGAACGGTGGTTCGCACCACGCGGATCGGGCTCTGACTGGTCACCTGATCCCCACCGGTGGGCGATTAGCACACTAGTCCAGATTGGGCATCCCTCTCCCCTGAGAATCGTTTGGCCTGGTTTTTGTTGTTGATCCCCACGCACACCGCTTGACCTCTTCTCTCCTTCTCTCATCTCCCTGACTTCAGGTCATCCAGCCCTCCTCATTCTCTTTTCACCGTCCCCAATACCCCAAAACTCACATCCACAATGCGTGAGATTGTATGTTCTCCCATCCCTCCCGACTCCCGACGCGTCCTTTTGTTGTCTCTCCCCTCACTACCCCCTGAAGCACCGTCGACACCCCCACCCGTTCAACAAATGCTAACCTGATCTTTTTTTTTCGCCTTTAGGTCCACCTCCAAACCGGCCAGTGTGTAAGTTGGCATCCTGAATGAAGAAAAACACGTGGAAGACGTGATCCACAAACAAGAATGTGATGGTGTCGAGAAGCTAAATGGAATTCGGGGCTTTTGTAGGGTAACCAAATTGGTGCCGCTTTCTGGTACGTGCCACCTGAGAAAAACAATCCCTCAATTGGCAACCACCTCAATTGGCTCTTCGATATACTGACCAGATATACAGGCAGACCATTGCTGGTGAGCACGGCCTTGATGGCGATGGCCAGTAAGTTATTTCTCAACACACAATGGGACACGGAATGGCGGTCTGATGTTTTGACAGCTACAATGGCACCTCCGACCTCCAGCTGGAGCGTATGAACGTTTACTTCACCCACGTAAGGAGCCTTGTACCTCATTACCAGAGTACTCAATGGCATATTCATGCTGACGTGACTCGCGTTTTCTCTTTAGGCCAGCGGTGACAAGTACGTTCCCCGTGCCGTCCTGGTCGATTTGGAGCCCGGTACTATGGACGCTGTCCGTGCCGGTCCCTTTGGCAAGCTTTTCCGCCCCGATAACTTCGTCTTCGGCCAGTCCGGTGCTGGTAACAACTGGGCGAAGGGTCACTACACTGAGGGTGCCGAACTTGTCGATCAAGTTGTCGACGTTGTCCGACGTGAAGCCGAGGCTTGCGACTGCCTCCAGGGTTTCCAGATCACCCACTCCCTGGGTGGTGGTACCGGTGCCGGTATGGGTACCCTCTTGATCTCCAAGATCCGTGAGGAGTTCCCCGACCGTATGATGGCCACCTTCTCTGTCGTCCCCTCCCCCAAGGTTTCCGACACCGTTGTCGAGCCTTACAACGCCACTCTGTCCGTCCACCAGCTTGTTGAGCACTCCGACGAGACTTTCTGTATCGATAACGAGGTAAGCATGACCAAGACAGCCAAGGAGGAGGGGAGGTCATGCTCCCGTACTCACTAGATTCGACATGCTAACCAAGTGATCCAGGCTCTCTACGACATCTGCATGCGTACCCTGAAGCTCTCCCAGCCCTCCTACGGTGACCTGAACCACCTGGTCTCCGCTGTCATGTCCGGTGTCACCACCTCCCTTCGTTTCCCCGGCCAGCTGAACTCCGATCTCCGCAAGCTGGCTGTCAACATGGTTCCCTTCCCTCGTCTGCACTTCTTCATGGTCGGATTTGCTCCCCTGACCAGCCGTGGTGCTTACACCTACCGCCAGGTCAGCGTTCCCGAGCTGACCCAGCAGATGTTCGACCCCAAGAACATGATGGCTGCTTCCGATTTCCGCAATGGCCGCTACCTCACTTGCTCCGCTCTGTTCCGCGGCAAGGTCTCCATGAAGGAGGTCGAGGACCAGATGCGCAACATCCAGAACAAGAACCAGAGCTACTTCGTTGAGTGGATCCCCAACAACGTCCAGACCGCTCTGTGCTCCGTTCCTCCCCGTGGCCTCCGCATGTCCTCCACCTTCGTTGGTAACTCCACCTCTATCCAGGAGCTGTTCAAGCGTATCGGCGACCAGTTCACTGCCATGTTCCGTCGCAAGGCTTTCTTGCATTGGTACACTGGTGAGGGTATGGACGAGATGGAGTTCACTGAGGCTGAGAGCAACATGAACGACCTGGTCTCTGAGTACCAGCAGTACCAGGATGCCTCCATCTCCGAGGGCGAGGAAGAGTACCCCGCTGAGGAGGGTGTTTACGAGGAGGAGGTTTAAATGTTCTAGTTTACCCTCTCCCACTTCCGGCTTTTTGAAATTTGCTCGCAGTAATACCCTTCGATAAGCCTACATTCTCTACGTGGTTCGATGGAGGTTCGAGGCTGTTGTGCACCTACGGTCCGGACTTGTGTTTTGAAACCCACCCAAAGTTTTTTGTTTGAGCGCCTAATTTACCCCCTCTTATTCTGTCTCTATTCTTTCCTACTTGTCGGTTTGGCGGTGGTCCAACCTCCAGCCAGAATTAGCACATAACTGGAAAAGCAATTGACGAAATGAATCAGTCTGTTGGTTGGTCTTTGTAGTAGTTCAACCCAATCGCTCTATATGCAACTCCAACACATCATCATGATGTTCATATCTAATGTACGTGCGGAAGTGGCATGTACATCAAGGGCGGTTGGGATGTGGCTTAAGAATGTATTAGTGTAGAGCTCCACGAGCATTCCAGCGCCAAATCCTCAAGCGCCCAAACAGTCCCCTCTAATCTTCCCGTCCGGTCAATGAAACGGACATTTGCCCGTTCGGACCGTTTTCAGTTCCTCCATCATTGTCTCAATAGATTTCCTCCCCCTACCTTCGAAATACTTGGGCCCAATGTCCTGGATCTCATATCCCGCGGGATAGTACTTATTGCCCTCATCACCAGGCACCGGACGACCTAGTATCCGGGTCAGCCACGCCATCGGCCCCCAGCGGTTCCAAAATGTCGGCTTGACATAATACGGGGCGGCCTCCCACTCGGTCAGGAAGAATCGATTGTTCTCATCCGGCTCATCCGTAAATGTCGAGTAACGCAAGAAGCGCGGCCGCGGGAGGGCCAGATGGCGCAGCACAAACTTGCGGATGCCGAGCAGAGTGGAGAAAAGGGACGAGAAGAAGGGTGATGGTGGATCGTAGCTAGGCAAGAATAAGCATTTCGTTATCATGAATACAAGAAGAGAGAGAGGGCAAAGGAGTGGAGAATGAGGGAGGTAAAGTTGAGAAGATTTGAAAATCCTCTCCCAGACATACAGCATCGCCTTGCGCAACCTGTCATCCATCATAAACGAGACAAACTGCAGCCCAATGGGGTGCAGCACTTTGGGTAGCATATACACTAGCACGCGCGTAGTCTGATCGGCTGTCTGGCGGTTCTTAGGGTCCGGTAACATGCAGCGCACCTCATAGGCATCGCTCCACACCGCCAGTTCATCTAGCCAGTGCAAGCCGTCCGTGAAGCCGGTGCGGCCGGATGGTAAGGCATCGTAGCTAATGCCGAGGCCATCGCCGACGCTCTTCCAGAAGGTACCGATGGCACAGCGCTCTAGATCGGACAGGGCGCGCCACTCGAAGCTGGCGATGAAGTGAATCGGCTGCAGCGCAAACAGAGCTAGCGTGTACAGCATGTCGGAATCGAGAATGGTGCCCGAGGCACGGTATCCGCTATGCAGGAAGCGAGTACGGGCAAGGCCGAGATACGCACGCTGTGAGGTCGGGCTGTTGCCGACCATTTCTTGGACCAGAGCGCTGGTGTCGGTGTAGCGCTTGAGCGAGGTCTCTGGGTTGGAGAACTGGCTGGTTTTAGTGAGGACGTGCGAGATGGTCGGGATACCATAGGTCTTTTTGGGACCAAGAAAGGACCGTCGATGTTAGCATCCATGTTTTTCAATTTGAGGGGTTTGGAGAGCTCCTTGCGCTCTTCCTTTTCTTCTGGTTCTGTTCCATCTTTACTGGATGTATAGCATACGTACTCGGAACAGGGCAAACTGGAGGGATTTGACAAACATGAACGGAAACTCCAGCTGCGCGACGGACTTTTGGATCTCGAACGCTTCGTCGTCGGTCATCTTGGCCATGGACTCCCGGGTTGTATAGGGGTACTTCCGATATAGCTGTCGCAATCGCTGGTACCGAAGCGACCTGGTCAGTAGCGGGTATCCCAGTAGCAGGCCGAGAGCGTACGGGATCCACTGGTTCGGGGCAGCATCGAGGATCGCGCGGGCCGTGTCAAAGAACGGATGCGCCCAAAAGGAAGTCATGGTGAATGGACCGATGGGAGATCAAAGTCCAGAGGGAAGCTTGAATAGCTTGAAGACCAAAGTTGAAATCGGGACTGGGGGCTTTTAAGGGCGTTCCCGATGGCGCAGTTAATGTGGAATCCGCAACTTGGGATTGCACGGCCCCGCATCGACCGCCTTGACGGCGTCCGCTAACGCTGCAGCTAAACAGGGACGGTTAGCCCAAGATCTCGATCTCGGACGAATGATGTTGACCAGGCCAGAGTGATTTGGCGTTATTATTGAGAGGGATAGAGGGGCACTGCAAGAGAATCTTGCAGTCGACGAGCACTGGCGATTATTCGGAGGACAGAGTGATTCTACAAGTGAATGATTTGCTTGTGGATACTGGTTTAGTTTGTTGTTTTTATATAGAAAATTTCATCGCCCGCAACGAATGGAACTGGAGATGGACCCTAAACTTCCAGCCGTAGCAAAATCATCAGAAGAATAAGAATCATGCACAGACCCCAGACGTCCCCTCTCCCCCAATTCCTGCGTAGTTCTCAACAATGTCTGTCTTTACACGATGCTATGTACTCGTCGGCCCGGCCGATCTCCAGGCCGCGGACCGGGGTTCTCGGGTTTCATATGCAACGCGCCCCTTCGCGGCGGCTCCCTTGATTGTATAGTGTTCTAGCTCTCCTCCTCCCTAGTTTTCCTCCATCAAGTACGAGAGTTGCTCTCTCACGCGGCCTTAGCGCCGGAAGAACCATAGTTCGAGCACTCGCAGGGGCGGGAAGACCGCCGCCGTGAAGGCGGCGGCCATCCAAAGTCCCAGATCGGCGCCCGAGGCAATTCGCCCGATGATGCCGCTATAATAGGCTTGATCCTGTAGAAACACATTAAGATTAGGGAACCTTATGCTCGAAGAGAAGAGAGGAGACGCAGGACATACCATTCCCAGGATCGCTCCCGCCCATCCGACCAAAAATGACACGCCCGCCGCAATTCCTATGGGCAATCGCTGCGGGCGATTCCACGCCGACCAGTCGTAGCCCACGCGGCGGCGGAAAAGTAAATCCTCCTCGATCGCAATGGTCAGCCAGATCATCACCCAGTACCCGATCAGCGGCAGGAAGCTCTTGAACACCTGGTACAGCGAGTTGCGCCCGCCCATCGCACAAGCCGTGTACACCACGGTCGTCAGGGTGGTGAACACCGGGCGTGGCACGCGCTCGAAGGCGCCGCCCAGCATCTGGAAGTTCATCCCCATCGAATATGCCCCGGGCGTGTTGTTGGCCACGAGCGCGAGCACGTTGACCACGGCGCAGAATTTACCAAACCCTCCGAGCGCGTCATACGCGGCCATCAGCAGACCCCCGGGATCGCTGCCGTACTTGGCCGTGTACACGGGCGAGCTGGCCAGCACCGTGCCCATGCCGATGCCCAGCATCAGCGTGATGATCATCGCCTGGCAGCAGCCAAGGATCGTTAAGCTGAAGGTCCGCCAGCGCTTGAAGTGCGGCGGATAGTAGATATAGTAGTCGGCTGCCAATGGGGCCCAGGCCAGGGCAATGGACAGACACAGCGAGAAGAAGGTCACCCGTTTGGCATTGAGATGTCCCTGGGAGACTTCGGCATGAACGTTGAAGTCGAAGTGTGGACCGGCCGAGCCTAGCATCACACAAAGCACCATCAATTGGGGCAACCAAGCGAATCTAGAACTCCCATGTCAGAAATAGCGAAATAGACAAAAAGGAAAGGGGAACTCCGTGTTCGACTCACCGTTCATAGATCTGGAAGATCCGCATGCCAAACGAGGCCATGGCCCAGCTGGCGACGGCCACCACTACGATCCCCACCAGCACCGAGATATGCCCGCCGGAGACCTTGGAGAGGATCTGACCCCCCACCACACTGTTCAACATGCTGTAACCGATGTTGGTGAAGATGTTCAGTGCGCAGCAGACTTTGCTGGGATAATAACCCATGAAATAGCGAGCCACAATCTGTTCAGTCATCAGCACAGCCCTCAACGGTGATCATATATCCTATGCATCCAGTTCATGCAGAGCAAATGGGACCATTTCTTAGTCATCTTTGCAAGATTGATCTCTTACCAAAGTACGATTCCCACTTCGAGGACCGAAAGTGCTCATATATCCCACGGTCGAGGATCCGAGGGCATTGCCCAGTACCGCACAAATAGCCGCATCCTTGAAGCTCAGCCCCAACACGAGAGTTCCCATGGATCCCACAATGATATTATTCGTCGCCAATGCCATGCTGAACCACATCAGCAGCATATGCAACGAGGTCGAGGCTGTGACGGGTTGGCGCTCATTCAGAGGCACCGGCTCCATGCCGCGTGTTTCCACGCCTTGGAACACTTCTTTCAGTCCGGAGGTCCATCGCTGGAATCGGGACTGTGGATTTCGATCCGGGATTTTATCATTGATAGCGTCATTCGAGGGGCTGTTTTCAAGCTCATGCTGGCTCACGCTGTGGAGAGATGGTGATCCATGGACCTTTTCAATATCGTCTGGTCTCATTCTCAGTTGAATCAAGCCAACAGAACAAGCGTAAGTCAATGCTCTTGTTCGTCAACGCAGTGCCGTCGAGGATATCCGCGTTCCCAAGTTCACCAAGACCACAAACTTAAACTATAGACAAGACTCGAAGAGGCTCGTTGACCCCAGGGGTGTAGATATACCCTCCAACGCGTCCTTCCACACAATGATCGTGCACAAAGAAAGGAGCAAAAGGTAAAATGGCCGGTAACTCAAGGTGCAGGGGCATAGACAGCTTCGGCATGATAGATATAAGTCTGTGAATAAAAATAACGAGAGCCCCCGGCAGATTGGACCCGTCGAACCGGACCTGACATCACCCTGTCTTGCAAGCTCCGGTGTAACACGCACACAGCTCGATACAGGCATTCCACAGGAATCAAGGATGACCAGCTGGTCCGGGCCACGAGCCAATGACCGGCAGCGCATGCTCAGCGCAACGGGCTGTTCATGAGCCGCCGCCGCGACGCGCTGGCGGGTAATTGATCCCTGGGTGTGGAGAAGTGCCACCCAGCTCGATGCGGGTGGGGAACAACAGCAGCGGCAGACTTTCCCAGGTGCATGTTCGACCGGGGTCTGCGATGCCTATCCATGATGCCATCGAACGAGGGATAGCTCGCTGCTGTCTCCGCGAGGCTGGTTGGGAAGAGCGAACCCTTCGTCGTGAGATCGCTGCCCTCCTACCAAACCGGGTAAGCCTGCATACCCTAAAGCTCCGGAAATGCTCTCGTTGGAATGTGAGCTACGCAAGGAGAGGAAGCTTCCATGTCCTTTTCTATGCAATAGTCACACCTGTTGACCCCGAGCCATTGGGGGATATGATGAGATCGGCTTGCGGGGGTTGCATGAACCAACCGGATCCAAGAGTACAGAAATGTTCACTTTCTTTATTGGAGCTCCTGATTCTTCCCCGAGGATGGTAATTCGCTATCTTGTAGGGCTGCAAAGATACAAATGAAGGGAGAAGATTTATAATACGGGATCATCTCAATATCTGATTTTTGATATTCACTATGCATTGTATTTATTGTATTGAGAGTACTGAGAGTAATGAGTGTATACTCGAATTTCTCCCCGGACTCCGTGGCAGGGTACGACAGGAATGTCATGGGCAGCCGAGTTACACCATGCATATGCATCATGGAGAAGCAAATGGGTGATTTCGATTTCTATCGAGTCCCCTTTTCCACCGTGCAACTTCAATAGACTCGAGTGGCTGCATCCTCTCCCACGTTCTGTGGGTATACTAGTTATCTGGAATCCCGAGTTATGTCCCATTACGTATCCAAGTACCCGATTTTTCTAGATTTTTAATAAAAGTTGATGCAGAACTCCTCTCAGCCAAGCTTTCCGCCCTCCTTTCTGCCCCACGAGCTGATTCCTTATGCTCTGTTATGTGTTAGATCTCTTGATTTCTCTTTCTCCTACATGCTTGGCGACACGCGGCCGTTCGATGTGATGAAATTATAACCGTCTTGATCGGCCGGTTTGATCGGCTGTCAATCTCACCGAGCTGCGACTGACCTCATATGAGACAATTTTGGTTTCAACGCGACCTTCGAGTATGCTTATCTGCTATGCTTATCTGTTATGCATATCCTTGTTGGCTCCACCACCAAACATCGCAGTGGAGTTGCTCGAGTATCATCAATGCTAACAGTGTATGTCAACCAAAAAACCTGTTAAGATGGATGAATTGGGAAACTCAGTACAGCCTGCCAGAAGGATCTGCAGTACGTCTTCATCGCGATTCTTCTTCTGACCTTGGAAGGATGGACAATGTACGATCATGACTCGCCAGTCACATTTGAAATGGTCTCATTGGGTCAAATCAGCTGTTGGCGACTGTAATTGTTGTGTACATCTTATATAATTCTTCTATGAAACAATTTCGATTATTGTGGAAGATAAAAGTCCGGCATCAAGATTCTCAATTGTTACTGAAACCTGGTTGCCAGCAACGGATCCGAAATATGCGACCCTCGTCCACGAACCCAGATATCCACAATCTGTGAGGCCTCCGGCTCCCGGTCTGAGTCTACCACGAAATACCACCCATAAAAGGCCCCGGCCACACACGAATGGTTGGGAAATATTTTCACTACCTGTCCAATACTCAGTGGTATACTCTTATGAGGACCAGCCTCCCAAGCGACGATCCCATGTTCCTGGCTGATCCGATCGATGATCAGCCGCGGTGCACCAGGGTCGTCATTCCGACGCCAGGAAGATAATACACCCCATCCAGCGTAGCTAGCACACGGCTCTCGGCCGAGGGCCAAGGTCCCCGCGGCAAGAAGGGCTTCCGGCTTCTCGCGTTCGCCATCATTGTAGACACTGCACACCTCTGCAACGACTGACATGGCTATCTCGTCTTCAGGTTTCCCAGTGCCGATGCGAGCATTTGTAGAAACCTGCTGCATATCTAGGAAAGGATAGTTACCGGCATGCAGCTCGATCCGGACCTGTGCGTCAGCGTTCTCAGCACCGGAACTCCGAAGCAGCGCCCTGAGCTCTTCTGCCTCAGGTGAGGAAGCCCCCTCCTCGACCAGGTTATGCGCACACGATACCTGAGGTGTTGCTCCAACGCTGATAGTTAAGGGTCGGTCCCACGGAAGCAGAGGCAGCCACCTGTTCAGCGCAACCTTGCAGCCGCGGATCTCGCCAATCAAATGGGCCATCGCCTCCTCGGGAGTCCTCGCGCTATAGCTCAGGCTGCTGTGCGAGTATAAGCCAAGCAGGCGCGCCCAGCCTTCAGCCTCGGCCTCGGCCAGCTTCTCCAGCAGCCCGTTCTTGTTGAGCGAGACGGGCGGCAGGCCGGCGCGGTGATAGCCCGTATCGACTTTTACAAAGACCCAGACGGGGAAGTTGGTGCGCTCGTAGAATTTCTTCAGATATGGCACCTGGTCCGGGTGGTCGATCATCACGGAGATACTGTCTTCCCCGATACGCGCTGCCAGCTCCGCGAGGCGGGGCACCTGCGAGGGTACGAGGGGAATACCATAGAGTACATTGACCGACCGTTGCGCAACTTTCTGGGCCTTCAAGAACGGAGCTAGCATCTCGATCTCGAGCAGCGTTGAAGCAATGAACTTGACCTCGGGGTCGCCGTTCTTCATTTGCATCTTGGCGACTTCAAATGTCTGCACTAGGCGTTAGCTTCCTGGCCCGGGTTTGCACTGGCAATAATGCTATTAAGGACTGAGGGCCTACCTTGTGTGTTTTCACATGAGCTCTGAAGCCTACACCAAGAGCCTTGACAGTTTTCTTCATCCGCTCGCAGTGCCGTCGGATGATGGCTCGGTCGACTACTGCAGCGGGCTTAGGCACATCAGCGATGTCCTTGCCGATCCAATGGTTAAATAGTTCATCTTTGGATGGTAGCGTCATTGAATCCATGGTGTGAGGTACCGCCGTGGACTTATCCAGAGGGAATCAATGGTGTAGATTAAGACGCAGAGGCTGGTAAATAGAGGATGGGTTGCTGGTCAAATTGTCAATTGTCACATGGCGGGGGAAACCCTTCGCTCCGGTGCACTCGATTTGGCATGTGGGGCCCGCAAGTATGAGGCTGAATGTTTTGCCTGTTGCCTCGAAGTACAACGAAGTCCAAGGATCGAATTACGCAGGACAGAGGGAACATAGTCTACCTTCTCATATTCATAAACTCATTTTCTGCACGGATGGAAACTGTATTTGAAAGAGAGGTTTGATGTGCACCCTGGTAGGAAATGAAAGATAACCTGCGCGGATATACAACTCTGTAGACATGTTGATAAAAAAAAGCAATTCGATCTCACATTCAATTCCATTGTACGCCGAAAGGAGAGCCATAGAGGAGCAGAGGCCAAACAAGAAAGCCTCAACCCCCCTCTATCCGAGAATGCAAATGGCAACATGTGCGAGACAGTAGTCTATGAAAGGGGACTTTTCCGCCAACGAAAAACAGTTCGCCATATCACATAACTCTCTCCTACAAACCATAAGAAAAGAAGATCAATGTGCCCAGAGATGGCATGTATGCGTCAATGAAAGGTATTAGAAGCGGTACCCGAAACTAAGAAAAACATAAAAAAGAGAATACAGTGACAGCCACGGAGAAAGAAGTTGGGTTGAGAGATACATTAACAAAACGGAGATATTTCAGGCCAGGGATATAAGGGAGAGCAAAGATTTCCGACAACGCCGTTCCCAAGGAATGCTAACTGTTTTTGGTGGGAAATATCCAGATTCCAGTTGAATTAATGATTCAGACCTGGGACTGGCTAGACCGGGATCGCTGGGAAAGAGACCGGCGACCGCGGCTAGATGGAGCTCGCTCCGCTACGGCCGGCGGAGCATGTTCAAAGAATGGGATAAGATCCGGGTTCTGACTGGGTGGAGTTTTGGAGTTGTGGAAATATTCGCCGACAACGCGGTCGTCGGCCGCAGTATCAGGATGAATCTCAATACCCTGTTGATTATCTAATCCACCATGCGCAGCGGCAGTTGGGAAAGTGATCGAGTCAGCCTCGTCATGACCCCGCTCAATAGGAGACCATCCAGCAATACTGCCGGCCACGACACCGGCCATAGCGGCTGCGGGCCCAAATGTTGAGTTGGAACGGGACCGCGGAGTGCGGCGGGAACGCGGATCGGGAGTTGCCAGATCAGGAGGAGGGCTTCCACTATCACCATTTGGCGTAGGGGGAATCGAGGATTCGCGCGAGCGTGATCCACTGCGAGACCGAGGCAAGAATTCCTGGGGGTGTTGCAGCTTGTGACGGAGGTGGCGTAATCGCCCACCCCGGACAGTTTTGATGAATTGCAACTGATCGCGGATTTCTTCCAATGCTGGGTTCCATTCAAACCGACGGTCCTCATCAGAGACAACCAGTTCAGGTCCCTTCTTGTGGGAGCTACGGGTGTGCCAGAGATGTGGGATGACTTTCTTGATGAACTCATCCGGAATGAGACGGATGACCACAGCTATTGGTACCGAAAGGGCACCAAGAACGAGGCTGACTGCCCACTGGCTACCCTGGTCAAGTCGTTTCACAGAGAAGGCTGCGCCGCCAACGAAAATGATCAAAACCTGACCTCCAACGATGATGACTTGGATACCAATGAACCATTTGTTGCGCCAAATACCCTCCATAATGTTGAGTTTATTATCAATCCGGCGAGAGCTGGAGAAAATTAGCTTCTGTCTTGACATAAGGGTAAAGAAAAAAACTTACTTATACTGGTTAAAGATCTGCATGAAAACAAAGGTGTTGAAAACCACTGTCTGCATATGATCACTGTCCCAAGTGAAAATCGATCCGCCGGCAAAATTCAGGACAAAAGTCACAACTAGCTGGTAGATTGACTGTCCAATTATCATTTTCCACATTGTGAGAGTAATGAGGGGCGAGGCTTTAGATTCGGGTCGACGATCAAGGACATAAGGCGATGGAGGATCTGTTGCAAGGGCGAGTGCGGCAAAGGTGTCCATAATCAAGTTCACCCACAACAGCTGAACGGCACTAAGGACCGAGTCCTCAGTACTGCTAGCAACTGCTGAAACGAAAGTGAGGATGACGGCAGTGATGTTGACTGTGATTTGGAACTGAAGAAACTTTTTCACAGCGTCGCTAACAGTGCGACCCCATGACATTGCCTTGACAATAGAAGCGAAATTATCATCCATCAGGATAATGTCCGATGCCTCCTTGGCCACTTCAGTACCGGTAACACCCATGGCGAAGCCAACATCGGCATTCTTCAAAGCCTGAGCGTCGTTGGTGCCATCTCCAGTCACCGCAACAGTTTCCCCGAGCTTCTTAAGCGCATTCACAAGGATCTTCTTGTCCTCTGGACTAGAACGAGCGATAACTTGGAGTCGAGGGATGATCTGATTCATTTGGCGCGTGCTCAGCTTGCGGAATTTGGGCCCTTCAATAGCAATGCCGCCGGGTGTGTAGATACCACACTCTTGAGCGATGGCCTTGGCCGTCATGATATTGTCACCAGTAACCATGCGCACGAAGACACCGGCACGTTGGCAAGTGTGCACTGCATCAGCGACACCCGGTCGAACGGGATCCTGAATACCGAAGAGTCCAAAAATGGTCATATCCTTGAAAACAGGTTCGAAGAGAGCCATGTTGCGATCATTTTCAGCAGTTGGAGCTCCTCGAGGTGGCCATTGATCGAAATCCCGGTAGACGAGTGCAATGCAGCGCAGCGAGCGTGAGGTATAGTTGACCATGATGTTATCGAGCGTAGTTCGGTTCTCGTCCGTCACTGGTACCTCTGACAGGGTGTCGGTGGGATCATTCACGATGCGGGTAGATTTGGACATAAGAATCTCTGCAGCACCCTTGACCAGCATCCGATACTTCCCGTTTTCCATTTGAATGATTACTGCCATACACTTACGACTCGAGTCAAACGGGAACATTTGCACGAGCTTTGCATTGGCCCGCTCCTCAGCAGGCGGCCCCATCCCGAGGTGATCCCGCGCGAGGGTCAACAACGCAGTTTCGGTCTTAGATCCAATGAATGTCTTGACCCCGTCTTGTTCACCCTCGAAAGCAGTCGAGTTGAGAACGATAGATTTGAGCAAAAGGTCCTTGACTGATGAAGAAAGAGTAGAAACCCATTCCGAGGCAGAGATATCTCCCGACTGACCAGACTTGTCTCCAAAGCGTGATGTTGTTCCTAAAGTGGCCGCAACTGCGGTCATTTTATTTTCGGTAAGAGTACCGGTTTTGTCGGAACAGATGGTAGTCGCATTACCCATAGTCTCGCAAGCTTTGAGAAAGCGGACTAAATTATTGTCTTTGATCATTCGCGTCGTTGCAAAAGCGAGAGCAAGAGTTACGGCCAATGGCAAGCCTTCTGGCACAGCAACCACAACGATGGTGACAGCGACAATGAAGATCTGTAAGAAAGCTTGCCCCTTGGCATCGGCACCACCATCGATGTTCTTGAGCCGAACGAGAAACTTGATAAAGAGTACAACAAAGAGCAGCAGACCAGAAGCAAGGCCAAGCTTGGCGATGTACTCGGCCAGCTTGTTCAGCTTTGTTTGCAACGGTGTGGTTTCCCCTTCCTCTTGGAGGGACATCATAGTCCGGCCGTGGGTGGCATGCACGCCAGTAGCGGTGACCAGGAATGTTCCTACACCTTCAGAGACCTTCGCGCCAGACACAATGAATGGGTCCATCTTTTTAAGGTCACCATGTTGCTCAATTGTCCGGTAAACCTCATCACCTGGAGTCTTGCGAAGAACATCCGACTCGCCAGTGGCTGAAGATTCATCACATTTGACGTCGTGCCCATCGATCAGAATGCCATCTACCGGGACCATGTCGCCGGGTTCAAGATGCATCACATCGCCAACAGTAATATCATGGATAGAAATTTCCGCGGTTTTGCCAGATCGTATGACCTTAACCAATCTGTTCTCCTTTTTCTTGTTGAGCTTTGCGAACTGCCGTTCCTTTTGCCAGTCATTCGCAGCGCCAACAGTGACCACGATGATGATGGCTACGAGAATTGCGAGACCCTCCACCCATTCCACACCAGGTTCATCCGGGTTTGCAGGATGTAGGGATTGCGGGATACCGACAGCAAGGGAGATGACGGCGGCAACCGTTAGCAGGATCAAAACTTTGTCGTTATATGCAATCCAGGCAAGTTCCCAAATGGTCTTCAATTTTCGTTCTGGCAGCTTATTCGTTCCGTAGACCCGCCTCCGGTCCATGTAGGATTCATCTGACTCGATTTTCGATTCACTGCCTCCTGCGGTGTCTGGTGGCGGCCTTGTAGGAGAAGCAGCCTTGGGTATAGATTCTGGTGAAGATGCTGATGAAACGACGTCGTCGAACTCCACCACGCCATCCAATGTTGTTTCGTCTACACTCAATCCACTGTGCACATTGGTCCGCAGGCCCTTTTCCAGTCCACGCAGTCCGCCGAGGGCGCGAAAGGCAGCGAAGCTCTTTGGGTTGAGAAGCTTGTTCAGTTGACCCGGTGAAAAAGCGAACCTATTGTCTTCCACTTCAAATTCCGATTCGCGGCCGGGGTCCGGGGTAAGAGCGTCCTCGTCGTCGACATTGCAGTTCTTCACCAGATCAGATCGGGATTCATGCGACGTCGTCGGCACATAAGTCTCTCCGCCATAAGTGCTCGATGTTTGACTAGTATCTTCCGACTCGAGCGAGTTACCCCGGGATCGCGTCCCGGGTACGGACAGGAAATTTGAATTGGATTCAGGAGCCTTGGTCTTGGGAGAGGAGACGTTATGTGGCGACGTCGGTCGATCTTCCCGGTCACGGTCACGATCTCGAGCTTCAGAGGAGGTATTGGAACGGATCGAAGCTGGATACCGCAAGTCAGTGGGGGAGATACTCTCCCCGCGATGGGGAAGCGTACTGTTATCATGAGATTCTAGATTGTCCGTGGAGAGCTGCAGCGACGGCTGTCCCGAAAGCACCTGGACCGGGGGATGACTGGCGTTGGGGGAGGAGTTTACGGCGGAGGTATCGATAGTGATGGTTGGCGCCCGCTCCCTGCGCAGCGGCGTCGCAGGCTGCTGCGCCGACTCCTCGCCCTCCCGTCGCGATTCGGACATGGTGAAGGGTCAAATCGAACCGAGCGCCGTTCACGTAAGTCGGCACATTCAGAGATTTTGGGACGGTCTTTGCATGAGGGTAGAGGCTTGCGAATTCCGGAGGGAAGGGAGACGGAGGTTCGCTGATAGAGAGTATCGCGAGATTGTCAAGGGGGGTGATGAGACGGGAGGTGCGACTGTGGTCGATCAAGCCAGAGAAGAATCCAACAAGCCAAGGAAAGCAAGTCCGTTCGATGTCGAAAGAATTGATCGCGATGTTGGGGGTGTTGCGAGTTGTTAGGTCGAAAAGGTTGCCAGGTCGAAGTGCAGGTTGCAGGACGTGGCCGCATGCAGTCGCCAGACCCAAAAAGACCGGAGACCGTCGCGCCACCCCAATCAACCTTCCTTGTTCATCGACCTCACTTCCACTTTCACTGCCACTACGACTCGGATCGGCCTGCACTACATCTTTTCCCGGAGTTACAGACCCCTTGGCCTATTGCAGATCCACAATGGTCGAGACTGATTGACCGTTTGTTTTGACCCAAGCGACCTTCGGCGTCCACGTACCCGCTCTTGCAGGACTCCACTTCCGAAGCACAGCCCCAGTGGGGAAGCAGAACGATCGTTTTTCTTCGCTGGTCAGGCTCGTTGTCAAACACGATTCCAACATTCACCGACTGGTTCTACAACAGCAGCTAGGCCCCATCATCCAGGATGAGGATTGTCTCCCAGCCTCCTTCCCAACTCCCCTCCCCCTTCCCCCAAGGCCCAGCACTCAGAGGAAAGACTGTCCAACATGATTGTGACACCCCCAAGCCAACGGTCCCCCCTTTTGCGCTGCACTGCCTCGTTGCCAAGACCCGCGCCCGGGGCTCTAGAGGCCAAGGGAGGCGAATCAGGGCGAAGAGGGGCGCCAGTTAACCCGACCCCCGTCAGAGAACAGTGACCCTTCTTATTAGCGGAATCACCAATCCGCGAGAGCGAGAGAGCGGGAACCCCTTACGAAATTTGTGGTACGAAGCGCCATCATTCCCCGTCCTTGTCCAGACCTCCCCCTCGTCGAATGACGTCTCCCAGAGATAATCATGGATGAGGAAATTGACCTATGAGAATTGCCTTTGTGATGGATCACTGCCCGCCATTTTCCATACCTGGAAAGGTTATCGGACTTGTTCCTCCCAGGTGGTCCTCGAGGCAATTTCCAACTATGAGCGCAGTAGTCTGTTGTATAGATGTACATTTGCTGTCCGCGCGCTAAGAGGCCTTCCATTGCAATCTACGGAAATATGACGGTGCTGGGAAATTCGAGCAATAATAGGAAAGTTTGTACGATGTTATCTCCATGCATATCTCATCCTGCACAGGAATTTATATTCAATGCAAACTTTTTTAAAATAATACATACATCGCCTGGTTCGAGATGCTGCGCCAGAGACCTTGAACCCTTGCTCTTTCTCTTCGGTTAGGTTTGGATCTACCTGTCCTATGATGAGATTAGCTCTGTGGCAATTGACCCCCGGGCCGATGCTTGGAAGATGTCGTAGAATTGCCGGGGCCCAGGAAAGCAACGGCCGCGGAGTACGTACATCCTGACGTATGTTGAAACCTTCCATTCAATAGTGTCGTTTCCCGCGATCCTTGACCAAAGTACGAGGGCGGGAATCAACAATAATAATTGGCGGGAACAGAGAAGATTGGCCTCGGCCCAACCGGAGAACTCATGCGCAGAATAATAATACCCAGATTGCCAATAAAAGCAGTTGGAAAATCCCTGCAACCAGCAAGTGGCCGGGGCACAAAGGTAAAATGCCAAATGCCTGCACCTGGAGAGCGATCTACCTACACAGGCTTGTACTCCCATACACAGTAGAGAGTATTTCTATACATGTAGACCTGTTCGCCTGCATTCGCCTGCATGTTTGTGTTGAACCCTTGACTCCTGCTTAATTCGTGGTCCCCAGGATTCTCGCATGGAAATAAGAAACCTGCATAATGAACTGATCCAATCATCGGAGGCGTGCCAGGCAGCTTGTCCAGGCCAAACTATACATCCCACCCCGCCCACAACAGTTACCGACCTCCAGTTCTGCGCATGGACTCTATCATGCCGGAGAGAATTCTTCATAGGAAACCAGGATTATGCAGGACTAGAGAACAGCAGACCGAGAAAGATGTGGAAGTTGTGAAAGAGACTACCTGGGCAGAATGTAGTTGTATGCTTCTAGGATTAAACTCTCCGAGGCCACCGTCATCATCGTCCTCCTCATCACCTCTGTGAACTACACCTCGCACTCCCAGATTCCAACACCAACAAGAAACTAAGAAAATTACCAACCTATGTCTGACCCCATCACTCTCTACGGGTTCACGGCGGTCCCTGCCTCCGCGCAGGCCCTCCTAGCCTCCACACCAGCCTATCCGCGACAGAGCAGTGCCCCCGCTCCGATCCCCGCCCGCGACACGCCTATGCCCAACACGCCGCTGGCGGTCCGCATCAACAGCTACGCCAAAGCTCACCTACCCGAACCAACATACAACCACTCGCTCCGTGTGTACCATTATGGGCTGGCCATCAAACGGCATAGGTTTCCGTTCCCTGACTGGGCCTTCTCCGATGAGACCTACTTCTTGGCCTGTGTGCTGCACGATATCGGGACAGCGGAGGAGCACATCACTGCCACTCGGCTGAGCTTTGAGTTTCATGGCGGGTTCCTGGCGCTGGATCTGTTGCTGCAGGAGGCCGAAGGGTCCGCCGCGCCACGCGAACAAGCGGAGAGCGTTGCGGAAGCCATCATCCGGCACCAGGACTTGTGCACGATGGGCAAGATTACCGCGGTGGGACAGCTATTGCAGTTGGCGACGATCTTTGGTACGTACGCTACCTCCCTGTTGAACACAAGAACATATTCATCCTTCCTCATTGTTTCGTCGTTTCGTCTTCCACGGTCCAATCCAACTCCGACGTGGAGGCGGAGGAGAAGACGACAAAATATGACGCGAATGAGAGCCTTGCACTGCCCCCATCAATCAACTCCTGTCTTCCCCTAGTCTGCAGAGAACTCGGAGCCTGATGATGCGTCTTGCATACTTCCAAACCCCATCCCTCCTCCCACCTGGGTCGACACCGACTTATTTGAAAATTTTGCTCGCGGTGGAGATGACTGATCTACAGTCGGCGGCGGCCTCGGACCACAGATAATACAGGTGCGTACGCGGATCTGGTCCACCCGGACACTATCACGGACGTGTCCAAGCACTACCCTCGCCACCACTGGAGCCAATGCTTTGCGGCAACTATTCGGCGCGAGAACAGCCTGAAGCCCTGGGCGCATACGACGGCATTGGGCGAGAAGGATTTCCCAGCCAAAGTCCTTGAGAATGAGCTGATGAAACCGTTCGAATGAATCGCCAATGTTGAGGCTGGGCTTCGATTAAGTTGTGCTGGACGAGATAGCCATTTGATTCTAATTATGTAGATCTTGGTTCTCAGCGACAAAATGAAAGGACGTTACAAGCATACAGGATGTGATGCCAATCCGCAAATCTAGTATGAACAGATGGTGCTTCAGTACCTTCCCCTGGAGTCTCAATGATTTAACCAGCCTCACCGACAGAATCTATTGAGCTCTGTAGAACCTTCTGAACCTGCCATTGGCTCCAATAAATCTCGCTGCAGTCTATGTAAGTCGAAGCCCCTTGGCCTTCTCCTTTGGCCATGCTCTGTAACTGGGCAAGCCCCCTCATTCTTAAAGAAAACAAAAACAATTAGACTAGATCTAAACTGGCCATCTGGACCTCTTGCGATGTTACTCTCTACTCAACCTGCCTAACAACCCAAGTCCCGCCTATGGGGACAGTATGACCTATATAAATGAACCCCTCTTTTCAGGTTGTTTTCCTAGGCAACCTTTCAATTTATTCAAACGGGTTTCCATTCGGATAGACCTTTTTCCGAGATCAATTCCGATTTCCTGAAGAAGCTCCCATAGAACCTCTCCGGTTAGAAGAATTGGATCGGGATCTGCTTTGGTTTGAGTCGTTCGGAGGCATGTTTCGAAAGCTTGGGGTAGACCCTGGAAGATTCGGATGCCTTCTACAGCCTCCTATATGCTAGGTCAGTTACCCCTGTCAGTGCTAATATTGGCCATATGGAATTTACCTGGTGCGCTATAGCTGCTAGAAGTTGTGCTAAACATCTTGAGGGCTAGATGAGACGAGGATCAAAGAGGGAGGTGATCTGGTAAGAAAAGAAAAAATGTACTTTAGAGTGTTGAAGAGCTGGTTTCTGCAACCCCAAGGGAGAATCATAATAGGAGTCCGGTATTTTTGAGACGGCTCGATGGCATTGCGTCATCGTGTAGCACTTCGATATCTTTCTTAAGATTAGTATATAGCGCTGGAATATCAAGTCTTTTAATTTATCCATCGATGTGATCCACTATTATGATAAAAATAGATACTTCTCGATGCTATCGCCCCTTCATGATTTCTAAAAGAGCTATGAAAATCTGTGGAAGCTTTTATACATCCTTGACATTGATATTGGTGGATATCTATCTAGAAACGTGTTTTCTATGCGACCTAGATTATTGTACTAGTAGATAATTGTAAGATGACTGATTGATAGATTTCATCGCAAGACGCCTACCGAAATTTTCACAGAGACCAACCAACTTATCGACAGAACCAACTTGTAACACCAACATGTGAGACATTCTGGCCCTAGCTAGGATTAGCATGTCACGCGTTGATTCTTCGAAGAAAGAGTATTCGAAAGTTTTGAGTCTTAGTTGGTCAAGCCAAGACTCCAGATGGCTATGAGAGCAGTGCTCGGCGGCCCTTGTGGTTCTTAAGGCCTAGATGAAGGACCTCGAGCTCAGTCACTTAGATGAGGAAAGAGAGTTCTAACTGGAAGCTACCGCGGTGAATCTCCCCTTGACCCATGTCTCTTATTTTCTAGATATTCCAGTGCTTATCTTCGAAATTAGAGAGAAAAGTGAATGCGCACCGGGCTGGGATATTGGAGCCGCCCTCTGGTGTTGGTCCCAACAACTACATAGCGGGCTGGAGGCCAATCTTTCATACGAATTGTTTCCATATAGGTTGATTTGATATTATTAGTCCTGCACCCCAGCAGTATAGCGCTTGAGCAGTCCACTTTTCTTAGAGCTGATTTTTATTATTACCTATATACTTATCAGAAAATATAGTTGTAAATTAATAGGCCGCCGCGAAGCTCCGGTAGAAGACCTGGGCCAGCTTCAATAGAGCGAGACGCCGAATAACACCGCAGTCTTATGAATTACGTGACTTCTTCCTGGTTCCCCTTAATACTATGGTAAATATAAATACCTAATATAGGATCATGTTAAACTTTGATATCATGTCGTAGAATAGAAGTTACTATAATTATCCGCGTCAGTGATTCAGAAATATTATATATTGTTTATCTCGGCCATGTACTGTCACTCCTTTTCTATCTGTCTTCTGTATCTGAAGATTTATCAATCATTTTGACCAAGAGCTTCGTCTTTGCTCCGCGCGATAAGACCGAGTCAATAGAAAGAGGGGCCAAAAGATTGATTGCTTGCTCTTTCGAAGAATCGTGAATATTTGAATCAATCATGGCAACCACAGTTCAATTACCAAATCAATGCCCATGGTTTGGCAACGCCGTTCTTTATGGACGAAAAAATCATATGAAGGTTTTTCTCGACGCTACGGGCAAACGGGTGGAGAATATAAAGCAGATGCGGGCTTTAAAGGACGATATCAAAACATGCGAGAACCATATGAGCCAGCAGCTACTGATTAAGATTACGCAATACCTAGCGTGTGCTCACCAAAATAATTTTGAATTCAAGCTTTGCAAAATTGCCGACCTTTCACAGCCTGGGATGGATAGCACTTACTGGGCATTTCGTCTAGACCTACCTGGTGCCTCAAAAAAAGTAATGCGTCATCTCCAACTTGAATTCACTGACGATGGTTGGGATGTGCAACAAGAGCCATTTTCAGACGACTACAATACTTTGAAATCACCACTCTATGGATTCACTCATCTAGGATGTTACTTTTCAAAGATTATACTGATTTACTTTTACGGAAAGGAAATATTTGATCCCCAAAGCCTCAGTACAGGCTTAAAAATATATTCGAATTTTGACGAGTTCAAGAACACTGATTACTTCAAAATATTGAGCGAGGGTGAACGATTGAAGCTACAAAACCTGTCAAAGCCACGAAAACTGCCAGAGTCCTTGAAGGAGCAGATGAAACTTGGTAGAGTAGAAGAGGTTCGAACCTAAAACCCCAGAGATGGATGTACGTGAAACCTATGGAAATAGCTGTAGACACCGGCATAGTTCAGAGTCTAATTTTCATCCCGTCTAATTTTCTTCATGCTATTCTCCCTTAACTTAATTGCTCAAAACTCTCCGGAGTCGGACCATACGGTCCCAGGCTCCAACTTTTAGAACTGGACCCGATCCAACAATACTGCAGGTTCTCCCTGAAAATTTTTGCAACTACGAGGAACCTGGAGTAAACAACTCCAGATAATTTCCTATTTTGGGTGCATACATTGCTTAGTCATTTTTATTACTGTTATTTAAACATACATATGTTTCAAGCGCATCAAAGCTGGGAACAACTCAGCCCAAGTGCTTAGCAGTATGTCCGACGAGAGTATACAGCATTTAATTCGTTAGGGTTCATCAGAGAAACGCTGGAGACGCCGCATTACTTCTGTCGGTGTAAAAGTCTGTAGTAGAATTCCTGTAACTACCACTCTGAATTTCCTCCCCCTATCATCATGCTAATGTACACATGTCATTACACAGCCACAATGCCCATCACCCCTTTACTTTTGATTCTGGAGAAGGGCCTCTTCCTCGTCCTCGGGAACACTGACCCGCCAGAGACCAAGGGTCTGACCGTTCTCGAAAGTACGGTCATGTTTGGGATCGGTGAGCACCATCGCCTTGGCGGCCAAGGCCAAGCAGTCCATGAACTCAGTCATACGCTGCGCCTCAGTGAAAGCCCGTGTCAGATGCGCGTTGTTGGCTACCCAAATGGACGTGGTCATGCATTGGGTGAGCAGGCTGGGTTTGTCCAGCGAGTGGCTAGAGTAGTACAGGGCATTGTGGTAGTCAAGGAGCAGCTCGGGAAGATAGGTCCGGCGAATGTGCGCGTAGTCTCGTTCTTCGGTATCTTTAAACGGAAAAAAAATTAGCATGAATGTCCCTATTGTTTTTTTCTTTTTCTTTTTCTTTTCTTTTCTTTTTTTTTTTTTTTTAAAAAAAAAAAAAAAACCAATGGGGGACCACTCACCATCTTTCGAGGTCGGAAGCCATTCATCAACCACCAGCCCAACGCTATCCTCGATTTCCTGGAGGTAGCTCTCCAGCTCCTCGAGGAAATCCCTGACTGTGCCTGAATCTCGGCGACGCTTGGTCCTATTCTAGATTAGATCGAATGTTTACTCATTTCAGAAGCGGGCTAGAACTCACTTCGAGATCTGCTCGTACACAATAGCGAACTGCTCCAGCGCATCAAATCCGAGAGCCAGTGATTCAAGGTGCCACATGCGAAGCGCCTGCTGGTACGCACTGGTGTGTGTACTAGTGAAAGTGCCATTGCTGCCGGACAAACTGCGGCGGTGGGCATGGCTCCTCTTGGACTTGCTGGGGCTCAAGGGCACGTCTTCCATGGGCGAAGGATCCAATTCGGGGAACTCGAAGATGTCGACATTGAAAGTTTCGTGAGAGACCTCTGCCAAGCGCATGCGAGAACTGAGTTCACGAGCTGCTGCAAGCTTACCGGCCACTGTGTCAAGTTAGCATTTACATAACGACTTGGCGGAGAATGGAGCTTGCCAGACATACCAAAAAATTTGCGGTATAACCAAGCTCCACGATCACAGATCTTAGACCACTGGCCGCCAAGAGAGCGAAGCCATTCTAGACTGCGGATCAACTTTTCATCCTCATCTTCAATAGTGATCCCGATTAAGTCCTTCTTGGGCGGCATCAGGACGCGAGAACCGTCAGGGAGCCGTCTCACCCTGGAATACCCAGCCAGAGCAGGAGAGCGTTCAATGGAGGAAACACACTCGCTGAGCCAGGCCCATTGAGTGTCGAGAACAGCATGAATATCAATTCCGTGTTTCTGCACAATGCGCACCTGTTGCTTCATCCTATCATCGTTCATCATCTCGACCATGATCTTGGAAAGAACCGCATGACACATCTTTGTCGGCAGGAGAGACGCATAAAGTGGAATTAGGTCAAATAGGCCCTTTTCTTGCAAATCGGCAATATAGCCAGTAATATTAACTGACGCAGTTTCGAGGAATTGAGTATCTGCGCGAACATAGCTGATAGAGTTGACAATAACGTAAATGTGGGTTGCCGCCTTCAATGCCTCGTGATGTGCAGCGGCAGTAGCGTATGCCTTGTCAACAGATGAGGCCTTCATGTCTGGCACAACGGTAGATTTTGTAGATTTCTTCGACTCAAGAGAGACGGCCTGAGCCAAGTATGAGAAGAAAGAGTCATAGCTCTTGCTCAGGATAGCAGCCTGAATAATACGGAACGGCGCCGCTGCCTGACTGCTAACCCGGGTTCGCTCGTTGCCCCGCAAGTACTGGAAGAATTTCTGTAAATCGGAATGCCCTGCTGGCTCTGGTTTGAAAGCAACAGAGGAAGCCGCAAAATGACTCAGTTTGCGTTGAAATTGCCGACAGAATCCCTGGTAACGAGAGAGGACTACACGGTTGAAGTAAACGTAGAGAAAATCGTCCCAGGTGGTGCAGACCCTAGCTGCAGGCTCACTTTCACCACATAGAAGGGCGTAGACGGCTCGCTGGAATTCCTCCGTATTCGGATCCTGAGCCAAAGCAGAGCAGGCGGCGCGCCATGAGTCGTGAGTCCGGCTGTTCATCAAACGCGTCAACCCGTCATCAGCCGGAGTCCGAGTGTTGGCGGTTTCCTTGTCCACGCTGGAGCCACAGAGACTGACAGCCCTCCAATTCTCCAGACGGCCTTGGGCCCATTCGCGAATCGTGGTCCAACTATCGCCTTGGCGGATCATCTTCCAGCAGGTCATCCAGGTTGCACGCTCGTAAAATTCGTCCTGTGGTTGCAAACCATGTTTTTGTCGCGTAAGCGCATCGGGGTCAAGCTGAGTGATTAAAGGCTTTTGATCGTCGGTGGTCAACAAGGAGCGCGAGATGCCGGGGTCATTCGGTTCTAAGGGTTGAGGCCAAGCACGCAATCGCTTGTGGCCCTTGATGGCCTCTTTAGTGTATAGCCAACCATGAGCCCACAAGCCCTGTCCTCTTTGCGCCTTGCTCTCCATGTCGGCAATCAAGTTATCAATCTCCTCGGATTGCGCCTTTGCGGTCTCTTCTAGCCACCGCATAGCCACCACACACTCCAGCGCATACTGATCGGCGTTCAGAAACTCCTCCCAAATCTCGCGATCCGAGGAATACCGGTGTAGGTTTTGGAAAGCGGATTGCTGGCCTTCTACGAAACTAGCGCGGCTAGCTGGGTCGTCGATACTGATGAGATTGAGCAGTAGGCGCCAGGTGTTGACCTCCAACTGCAGATCTTGCAATTGTCGTTGCTCCTCTTCGTTCTTAGCATCGGCAGTACTGCTCAGCCGGAATCCTGTCTTGGCCTGTCTGAGAGTCTGTTGCCTATTGAAGTCTTGAAGGGCGGTTTGCGCGAGGTCCCGGTAGCTTTCAACAAGCCTGTACGCAGCCTGAACGCTTTGGAATTCGTCGGTAGCGTTCTTGCGTTTGAATTGATCGAGTTTCTCAGCAAAAGCTTCAATTTGACGCGTGACGCGGTCGGCGGTTCGGCGAAGGGGTTCCACGGCTTCGTGGGCTGCACCGGATTCGGTGAACAGCTTCGGGGAGCCTGGGAGACCTAATCAGTCATCGCAGTCATCGATCCGCTACATTATTGGAGACAAACCTCGCGCCGAGTTGGGAAAGCTGACCACCGACTTTAAGCTGGGCTCCAGCACTGGAAAAGCGGAGCCATTCTCCGCCAGTGCATGGCCGTTAACATCATCCAGCTCCTCGTCCATTAGCTGCTCGTCTTCATTGTCCAGGTATGAATCATCATCGCCCATGGATTCATCCTCTTCTTCCTCATCAATGCTGATGATTTCCGGTTCTTTGAACACAGGCTGAGCCAGGAAGGAAGCAAGTTAGCTGTGGGTGAAATCTATCAAAACACAGGGAGCACCTACCTGCGAGTGCAGATTTGCAGCACTACCAGACGCTGCCGATCTGGTGAGCGGAGCCATGGCTTAACGTCGCGACCAGCAGCTTTGCACAGTTGTGTAAGAGAGGCACAAGGTAGAGCTCGCGATGAAGATGGAGGAGAGGAAGGAATTCATGTTTGTCTCTTTTGGTTTTGGGCGCGTTAGGCCCTGTCCCAAACGGGACTAGCGTGGTCGGCACGGGATTTTTCTTATTTAATCCGCGGGCCATTTTCAATTTTCCTCTTCTTTTTTTTCCTCTTCAATGTCATTAGGCGATCATTAGAGTCTCGGAACGGAAGTTTTCAATATTCGTTCAGGTCCATGCGGCCTCTCAGCGTGCTCAAGATTGTCTTAGAGCAATCTAGCAGTCCTTCAATTAGCCTAGTTTCCTCCAGATGGAAACTTAGTCTGCAAAGGGGCCGTTACATGCCATTCCATTGAAGCTTCACTATGGCCACTTCTGGTGACATGAGACTGATGACTATTATACAAATTTTGACACAAATCCAGTTTCAACCTGACATCGGTCTTCAAAAACACACTTAAACACACATTGTAGACGCTTTCATCACTGTTTCAACCCTGGTGCTCGGCCGCCTGTGCTCGCTGCTTCATCTTCAGGCGTAGCAAACTTGCCTTGGGACAGCTTACCGTGGATGCCTGGTCGCCTTGTTGCTGGTAGAAGGCATTACAGCATTCGTAGAGGGCATCAATCTGGGCCTGGCATTTCTCCTCCTTGAAGGAATTCTTTGTCAGACAATCTGCGAGTGGAGTCAGTCATTGCAGGTTCTGGAATGTGGAATCTCCCAGTGCACGAGAATTTCCTAGTTCCGATGTGTACAAGGTGAAAGTACCTTGGATTGCGCACTGGGAACACAGTTAGCATGCTAGTCCAGCTACCGGTACAGTGGGTTTTGTGAGATGCATACGGCACGCGGATGACAGGGAGGCTCGTGAGACAGATCTTGCTTGAGATTTCCCTGTCCACATTGTCAATCTCGGTCATTCTCGTTGGCCATCAGGTGCTTTCTTGGATATCATACCATAGTTGTAGCCGCTGTCGGAAGCACTATTTATAAAGAGCAACAAACGAGCCACAGCAGAAGCCCGTAGAACCAGTGACGCAGCAGAGCTCACCGCCCATATTTCTGCCAGTGCAAAATCAATTCTCCGCCCTTTGTGGGGCGAGTTGCCATTCTGCCATCGATATCTCTCTTCCTCCTCGCCTGAGAAAGTTCCGTCTTACAACCCTTGCCAACCGGTCGGTCCTTCCCTGTGCTCTATATCTTATTTTCAAGCCGCTTATACTCTTGATGATAGCTTTTGCCAATCATTCTCTTGTCTCCATTGCTTCATTCACCTCTCACCGGCTGTTGTAAGCGCCCCGCATTGTCTCGCTCGCGCGCCAGCTTGGATCTGATTGATAATAGCCTCACTTTGACCATCGAAAATGTCTGCTGAACAAGAGGGCAGCGCCCCCCAGTTGAGCACCTTAACATTAAGGTGACAGACAACAATAACGAAGTCTTTTTCAAGATCAAGCGGTCTACTCAGCTGAAGAAGCTGATGGATGCCTTCTGTGAGCGACAAGGCAAGCAGATGTCGACTGTTCGCTTCCTCTTTGATGGTACTCGCGTTCGTCCGGAGGATACGCCTGACACGGTATGCATTGAAATCTTGAGATTTTTCTTACGGTGTTCTTCGATCACTAACATATATGACACGACAGCTCGATATGGCCGACGGTGATACCCTCGAAGTCCACCAGGAGCAGATTGGTGGCTAGATAGCAGATTCAATCCCTCCCTACACCTTGCACTTCTGAAATCGCATTTTCCCGGTGGATTGTTGTGAGCATACAGGTGTGCATCATTTGCACCTGGGATCGCCGGTCGGGACCAAAAAAAGGTGGACACTGGAACGTTTCAACATCAGCGGGGGATTTTCAGACCTGTTTTGTTAATGAGTGAACGAATTTACACAGCCACCATTTCCTGATGGTTTCTTTTACATATTACTTGGACTTCAATTTCAAAAAGCAAGCTTGATAAAGCGACCAGCCTGAGCCCCTCTCAAGATGATCGCTCATTGTAAACCGAAGTATGCAGCTGAAGCAACGGCATCAGGCATCTTGTATTAGGGTAAAATCCCATCTCTCCTGATAAGTTGAGCCTCAAATCTTGTATGACCACATGAATCCCCTCTTGCAACTTAGCAAGAACATAGTTGTAAATACCCAGTGAGGCCTCTCATAAAACATGCCCAAATATCCTCAGCTTCTTTCTCTCAACGGATACATACGTATATACAGGCAAAGATTTATTGCAAAAAGTATCCCGGTATCCTGGTTTCCCAGCCCAAGCCCCTCGGAGACAAGCCAGAGCAAATCCGACATGACAAGGGCTAGTCAGTCCAAACAGATGTCTTCAGCCGTTCCTCTTCTTCCTTGGCCTTGGCTTGCTCCTCGCGTTCTCGATTCCGGCGTCGGATTTCCTGCTCCTTCACGGATCGGTCGTAAGCCCGCTGTTCTTCCGTACGTTTTGGGGCTCGAATCCCCAGCGCCCCGGCAATCAACCGGCCAGCAACCGCGGTCTGCTTTTCGGGCCGGCGATTCGGGTCTTTCTGTCGCGCAGCAGGGGACTCTGGCCGGCCAGGACCCCATGGCTGCGAGGTCTGTGGGGAGATCGGGGTCGGTGGAGGATCCAGCGGACCCTCTGCACTAATAGTAGGCGAGGCGATAGATGGAGAGGCCAGGGCCGTCTTCAGCGCGGGCTCATCGTCCGACGAGAGGTCTGCCTCATCTTCCCAGGAGTCGGCGACGGTTTTCTTGGCGGTGTGTTTTGGTTCTGGCGCAGACGTGACATGCCCAGACCCGGCGGCCGCTTTCACACTGGGACGTGCAACATCCTGAATGGGCCCTTTCTCGCCAATGGCTAGACTGCGGAGTGTGGATTGAAGCTCGGAGCGCGGATCAGACATGGCACGCGATGGGGAGGGTGGCAGAGGCTAGAAAGTGGAACATGCAAGGGGGGCGCCCAGGATTGTGTATATATAGAAGTTGGCTAGGAAGAGAAAAATAGGGAAACTGTAGGCATAGAGCCGGGTTGTGGAGTTGACAAAGTCTAGAAGAGAAGATCGCAGGTAATGGCGTCACAGCGGCTAGCGCATCCCTGGTCGATCGTGGAGAAGTTGACGGGGCTAGACCAACTCGGGCGGACCAAGGGCTTCGGGGACCACCCCATTCAGTTGGATAAGAGGTGATATGAATGAAAGGGGAATGGATCTCTACACTTCTAATTGCTTTTTTTCTCTTCAGAATAGAAAAATTGGTTGGTTTTGTGTTTCTTATATGCAACCTGGAGTGCTCAATTTGACTATTAGGCATAGGTAAGCATTGATCCTGCTTTGCTGCACGTGCTTTTCCGTTTAAACATATACCTAGCTCTATCATATGTATCGATTCCAATACTTATACTTAAGACCAAAACATAATAGTCTACAAACTTGCAACAGACCATAGTAGCCCCGAGCACTCGAATCGGCCGCCTTCCCAGCCGAAACTTCCCGCAGCAGGTTGCTTCTTAACCGCTCCCTCCCCTTTCTCAATTTTCGGGGACCACTGACATACGACCAAGACATAAGTCCTTGAAATGATTGAGATATGACATATTCTTATTGAATATATGTATATTCACAGCTGTGGCTGCGTAAGTTCAAACCCCTTCACCACTTCAACGCCGCTCTTGTCGTCTAGGGAGTGACAGAAGCAATCCCAGCCCATTCGTGACCCTAAACGAATGCCTTCAAGACCTCTATTTAATTCTGAATCTTCCATTTGATTTAATTAGGTGAAACAAAAACCAGTAGAATAATAGCTATAGAAATAAATATATTGTTTCGATGTTGAGGCTAAGGGATTCGCTTTCGACCTGCTCATTCAACTGACCAACTTGTCACATGACGAATGTCAAAAGCCAATGGCAACCATTTTCAACTTTAAGAAGCATGTTTAAATTGCTAGCAGAAGTCAATTTTCAAGTAAGTGATCATTCAAAGGTAAGCCTGTGAATCTCTTTAGGCATTGGCGATTTATAGTAACATTCAACAGTTAGATATGGGAAAATTGGCCTTCAATAGGTACAAAACCTCTATTCTAGTGATATCTATATATTCATACATAAATACTCTATCAAGCGCGAGCAAGTGAGATGGCTTTCTTGGCCGCATCCTCAAACCCATCAAATGCATGCAAAGGGAGCCCACTTTCAGCAATCTAAAAAAATGCGATATTAGCAGAACGAACCGCAAATATAGATGAACCGACTTACCATCTTCTGACCAAGCTCCTCGTTAGTTCCACGCAGTCGTACTACAACAGGAACCTTCATATCCAAGTCTTGGAAGGCCATGATAATCCCCTCAGCGATCATATCGCAACGAGTCAACCCACCAAAAATATTCACAAATATGGCTTTGACACGAGGGTCCGAGCAAATGATTCGGAAAGACGACTTGACAGTCTCAGAAGTCGCCTTCCCTCCGGTATCAAGGAAATTGGCGCAGTGGCCGCCGTGGATGGTCAGGGCGTCGACAGTATTCATGGCTAATCCTGCGCCGTTGACTAATAAAGGATCTAGTTAGTAAAAGGGCTTCGGATGAATTGAGAACTAAGACGTACCAAGAGTGCCAATACTTCCTTCTCCTTGTAGTCTGTTCTAGTTAGCAAAAGCCAATCCGAATCAGCACCTTGAGAATCTAGAAAATCGTACTTCACGTAGACAATTCCATCCTTTTCAGCCTCAACTTCTTCTGGAACTTCCTCTTCCTTAGCCCGTAAGAGGTGGATATCCTCTTGACGGCCTGAGCTGCGGAATGCAGCATCATCAAAACCAAACCGGGCACCGTGAACTTCCAAAGCACCGTCGGCTGATGTTCCAACTTGTACTTCCAATATAAAAGCCTCCTTCTCCTTAAAAATCTCCCACAACGCTTGCACTAAATCTTCTAGCTGCCCCTTGGCTGATGCGGGCAGGCCCAAGCGAGATGCCACCTCTGAGATTATGGTATTGTTATCAAACGAAGCCTGGGTGTAGCTGAATGGAAATCTGTGAGATTGAACAGGATCGAATCCTGAACCGGGAGAGACAATTATGCATGGAGACAGGGCGGTCCGATCCACTGAGACGGATATAGATCCATCTGAGTTAGTTACACCTTCTTTGATGTGGATTGATTTCTGCTTCAAGATATCGAATGCCTGGAACTTCTTAAGATAGAGAGTACGCTTTTGCTCTGCAATCAACGTCCTGGAAGACGGGGTCACTCGTCTCATAGTATGATATCCACGCGATCGGGGTGCTGCGCCTGAGATAGGCTATCAAGGCAATGTCAGTATAGACAGACCCATCACTGCTTAGTTGCAGACTCACATGGAATGTGCCTACACGGCTGGTCGTGCCACCTAGTAGAGTCTTCATTCCCTCGCCAAATTTCTCCGGGTGATTGACCATGACAGCTCCTGCGCGCTCGAGTGCCTGGTATTTAGTTTGACCATCGGATTCCCCGGGAGCAGCCCATGCTCCTGCATGTCCCATAACCCGGCCTGGTGGCGCTTCCAAACCGCCAATAAGGGCCATGATGGGTCTATTCCCGATCAGCAAGCGATATACCACGAGTAATATTGAAAATGACTGACTTGGGATTGGGAGTTCGCTGTCGGTAATCTTTGATCCACTCGGCAGCATCCATCTCAGCAGTTCCACCAATCTCTCCAACAAGAATGATACCCTGCGTGTCGGGATCATGCTCAAAAATCTTCAACCCGTCAACAAAGTTAGTACCAGCTAGCACATCACCACCCATACTAATGCAAAGACTCTGACCAAGTCCAGCTCGGGTGGTAGAGGCGACTGTCTCGTAGCTCAGTGTTCCTGATTTGGCCACAATACCGACGTTGCCGGGTGCAAAGCAGGGCAAGGGCTGAAAGCCGATCCGGCATTTACCAATAGAAGAGATAATGCCGGGGCAGTTTGCTCCCACCAGACGGGTTTTAGATTGAGTTTGCAACATGGAGTGAATCTAAAGCTTTCGTAAGAACAGAATGGTCTGTAGCCAGTGAAAATGGAACTTACTCGAAGGATGTCATGGATGGGGACGTGCTCAGCTACGGCGACCACGAGCGGAATTTCAGCTTCAATAGCTTCCTCAATTGCCTTAGCCGTTTGATTTCCTGGAACATAGATGGCAGAAGCATCGGGTTTCGCCCTCTCCTGGGCCTAGGGTTTTCGTCGAACGCGTTAATTTGGCCCATTTTTCCTAGATAGAAGGGATAGATAGTTTGTACATACCGCTTTGACGGATGGGAAAATTGGGAGACCTAAATGCTCTCCCTCAACGCCTGGCTTGACGCCGCCCACAATCTTGGTGCCCCATTCCAAAGACTCCTTGACATTAGCAGTCGCTTGCCTTCCTGGAAAGAAGCTTAGTCTTGCGCCTTGATAATATAGTAAGAACAACCTACCAGTAAAACCTTGGAACAAAACACGCGTATGAGCACCGATTTTGAGGTTTTGTAGAGTATCTGCGTATCTAGCATTGCGGGGAGATGTCGAGAACCGTCTGGTCCATCGCATCCCCAATTGGGGCGCGCGTCTTGGCAAGTTGTGCAGTGCCATGAGGAGGCCGACCGGGACGGGCTTTTAAAGTGGGCTAGATGCGGTTAGTTATACAAAGTATATGATCAATTGGCACCCGATAGTATCTTTATATGCGCCACTCCTTTGAATTGCTGAAACGCCACTCAGCGCGACGGTCAGCCTTGCAAGAAGGCTACTTGCAGCAAGTCGGCTATCCGGTCTCGGAGCTTCCCCACACCGCGCACTGCCGAGGAATTCATGCTGATAGTGAAGCCTGAAAAGCAAGGCATTAAAGATATTTAGTTGTTAGTTGGGCACTCTCGACAGCGAAGAAACATATTATAAGGGGTCTTTGATGGTCCAAAGTTGAAATCTAAGCGGCTTTACGCAGGAAAATTTATTCGTGGGGTTGCTCTGTAAAATTCCAATTTTGTTGGCCACCTGCTCTGGGACTGGCTAGGGGGACTGTATGAGGTCGATATAGAAAGAATATGGAATCTGTTGCGAAATCGAAATGTTGCCGCCAATAGGATATGTAGTAAATTTGAAACTACTTGGGTTTGTGATATCCTGTGTATCTCTCCACTGGAAGGCTAATCCATTGGTGGCAGTTTTCCCAATACCGACATGATACAGAAAGTAATTAGGTACAATGAACTCGATGTCTATGATGATTTTACGGACAGGATTAACTGCTCAACTAAGGCTTCCGTGATAGCGAATGGAGGAAACCTGTGTCCATCATCCGCCTGCCTTAGTTGGCGAAATATTCCTAGAACGTCTTCCAAAAGGCGTATATCTTGACGAGAATGGACTTCTGTTGGCTTTGCAGTGAGCCGCTGATACAGAGCAATCGCGGCAGTCATAATGAATTGCGCGTAAATCCTACAACAAGAAAGGGATGGAGTCAGTCCATGAATTCACAAGGCCACCCACGTAGGAACACAAACCAAAAGGTTTCCGGCATAATGAGATGACGAGCTCGGCTGAGGTATATTAGGGTCGATCGTGATGCTTCGTAGCATAGTTCCATGCTAGAGGATGGTGGCGACACAGCCTTCGGGACCGACGTGATTCCAATGGTACTAGCTCCATGAATCTTGGCTAGACAATGATAGTACTCCAAATGAATGTTAATACCTCTCAAGCTAAGATCGTGAAGCAGAAAGTCTGGAATGCCTCCGCTGACGTATCCCTCTGGTTGACAAACCCCTGGAAATTGGGACTTTAATTCGACCAATTCCTGGTCCAATTCACGAATCAATTGAATTCGGGTTGCCTCTGGTTTGTTGAGGCTGCTGTAAGAATATAATTGTTGATAGATTTTAGATTTCAATAGAGCGAGACGAAGGTCTGTCGGAAAAAGGAGCTCATTGAGCGAGAGTTGGTATTCGAAAAATTGGTGATCGGAGGACACGGAGACATAATTGACCGGAAGATCTAAATCGCAGTCTGCATCGTTGATCAAGGGGGGCTGACATTTCCGAAGCGACATTTCCTTATCAAGAGAGTATAAAAGCCAGAACAGAGCTCTGAGATGCTTAGGATTTTGAATTTCACAAAATTCCTGGGAGTCTGCTTTCGTCTTGTAACCTCCCAAATTACAGAGCACTCGGACAGCCATTGACATCAAAAGCTCGGCTGTCTGTGGCTGGCCCGTTGGGGGTATGTACATGACCTGCAACAGTCAGGGGAGATGAGCGATGTTGGGTGATGGGTAATTTGACGTACAAGGATGAGCAGAGCCTCCAAAGTACGAACATTGGTATGATGCCGAATTAGTTCGGGTATCAACGAAAGTACTGCTTGTACATAAGCGTTGGGATTTGCATGGGCGAAAGCAGTCTCATGGTGCCGGATCCGAGTGATAAATGCTGTAAGAGCCACAAGACAGGCCCGACTAGCTACATCAAAGTTCCTTCCATCATGATCAAAGGAATGGGACTGGAGCAGAACAGCTAAGCTATCGACATCTACCATTGGAAATATGGCATACAGTCTGTTCGTAGAGAAGTACTCGATAGACTGTTGGATCATTAGGTGCGACGGCCATTCTATTTGGATTAATCTTGTCGTTTCGGGCGGGTAGAGAGGCCGAACAGAGTATGATAATTGGTGAGAGAAGGCATCGAAGTCGAATATTGAATCCACACGCGAATTCGGGACGCAATATGCCAAATGCCATCGAAAGGATGATAGAGAAGTTTCAAAGCTGGAGGGGTTAAATAAGCTGATAACGGATGTGGAAGCGCCAGTGATTGATTTGTCTCTCTGTTTCTCTTTCTCTGTTTGCAGGGCTTCTTGTAAAAGCTTTATTTGCGCCCTAGCCTCTTCAAGCTGTCTAAACTCCGGGGCCAAGTCAGCCCAGGGCATAAATTTAGATCTCATGATGTCTTACTCTCTAGGGCTTTTTCGTTGGGGCAAGGGGGTGAATATGCAGCTCACCCCGGCCAACCGACAATTCTCACAAGCTGGTTTTGCGCGGTCGCACCGGATCTATTGTGGGGAAGGATTAGTGACACTTTGCCTCGACAGGGCCTAGTGGATGCCTTTACCTTCCGGTGCCGGCACAGATTGCAGGCGCCGCGCGAGCTGTCTGTGCCACTCATGGGGGCGATATTACATCGATCAGTCCGTCGATGGCTTTTCAATCATGCCCCCTAGTTGGATGTCAATCCGCGGAGAGTGGATTGCCCCATGCTGAGTAATCGGAAGACTCGGCGCCAACAGCCAGATAGCCAACAATATCGAGGAAATTGTTCGTATTGGAAGATTGTAGACGATGTGACTGGATTAAAGCGTTCGGGGAGGACAAGTGGGGTCGCGTTACGCGCAAGAATAAGAGTTCATTGGTGTTGTTAATCCATCTCCACAACGCCCAGCCAGCGGGCTGTCTCGGCGCGAGGCTGCTATGTATTCAGCAGCTCGACAGGCCTTTGATGAGAGAAACCTAAGCCGAAAAAAAGAAAAGGTAGAGATGGTTGAGAATCTTCAAATAGACCGTTCGTGAAGCAAGAATCATCAGAGATTTCGGAATCTTTGCTCGCCCCATCCAAGGGCAATTAGATACATTCAGTAGCTAAAAGAATAATTTCAGTAAATAGAACCATTGGTTAATGTATCAGAATAGCCAAGGAGAGGCGAAAGGGTTCATGAAAATCGTGGGAGCGGGTGCCTGGACACGATAAATTCAACCCTAAGCCCTGTGAGCTCTCTGGCATCCCAGTAGCTACTATCCAAAGAGCTCATGGGGCCACGCGGTCGACCCAATGAGCTTCTTATCTTTACACGACCATCAGAACCCCAAGATTATCCTCATAAATTACTATACAATACTACTAGAATGCTAGAAAAAGGCTAGAAACCCCCAGTAAACCAGCGACCCCCGGACCTTATGACCCTGTGGGCCCCCTTCTCTTTGGCCTGTCTAACGATACCCCACAGGTCTTTTGTAATATGTTTACTTCAAACGGGATACAAAGCTGCATGAAAGTACCTCGGAATGAATATAGTATCGAAGGTCAAATGTCTTACGCAATTAGTTCTCAAACCAGGAGCATAAAACATGGTTTCAAAAATGTCGTGTTAGATTTCATGGTGGAGATGATGATTGAATTGGTTCAAAGACCTATAAAACTGATCAAAGTACAAAATCCAATGACCGTAAACCAGAAGTTGTAAATTGAAGCCCATCATTGCTATGCTAGTATAGTAGATTGCAGAAATATACCGTCAAACATCCATGCCATTCTTCATTAATATTCATTGAGATGCAATTTTTTGCCAACAAATTTCCTCTTGGCGGGTTGATCTCTGCGTTGCTCTCGCTCTGCACTGATGCCCTTCAGCGCATGGAGAAGCATTCCTGCATCAAAGAAACCATCTAGAGCTGAGTGTCAGTCTCACAGTCCCGTTTTAAAGCTCTTGGCAATAGAAATCAAAGAAGATAACCTACATCCTCCCATTCCATCATCTTCTATTTCACCACTATCCGTCGTTGTATTGGGTGTATCAGTGCCCCGGGTATCACTGCGAACAATCCGACCGCGTCGTTGAGAGTCCATCTGTAGCCTTTCAGCTAGCATCTCGGTTTCTCGCGCCCTACTGGTACGTGGGCTGGCGGCCTTGCGATTGGTGGCGCGCAAGAGTTTGCGGATCTCAAATAGGTACGATTCAAGGGTGTGCATAAGGCGCGCTGTTTGTCGGTGTTTGGACGACGCGCAGAACGAAATCGACTCATCTTTGATGATGTATCCAATGCCGAAGCCATCCGCTGAAGTCGGACCGAACCCGAAGTGTCGTAAGCATGGGTTGCCACAATTGGACGTGGACAAAATCGTGTTGTTGATCTTATCCCAGCCAGCATCGCTGAAGATAGTGGGCGTAGGCATTGGCACTGTGCGCATTCCGCGAATACTGCCGCTGTTCGGGGATGAAAACCCGTCCTCTGAGGGCTCAGAGAATCTGGGGGATTCGTGTCCCTCGCTGGGGCTTGAATAGCCCCCTGTTGAGCTACTATCGTGGAATAGACTTTCAAACGATCGCTGCCAAAGGCAGTACAGAGCATACAAGTGGCGATCCTGGCCCTGGCCCTTGGAGCATTCCTTGGTGATGGCCGTGTGTCTTTGGGTTGCAGTGCGTAGTGCATCGATTTTCTGCTCTGCAGGGTTTTCGCCCCAGAAGGTCTTGACGAAGTCGACAGTTTCGGGTGTCACCGTTCGCACAGCCTCCGTCCGCCCGTGTAGGAAGAACTTCGTCATGGCAGGCTCATATGTGTTCTCCACACGACCATAGAGACCGTAATAGGCCGCTTGGAAAGCCATCTGCACAAATGCATCTGGAGAGAATCCCATGGACGTGATAAAGTTCTTGCCAAACCCCTCGAAGTCTAGCACTTGGAACTCATGCTGATACAGTAGGTCCGACAGATGAGACTCCGCAAACCGAAGTGCAATCTGAAGTTCAGGGGTCATGTCCCACTCAAGCTTCCGTGGAGTGGCACTAATGTTCCCAAAGCTGCGCGGGTCACGTTTCGCGGGGTCTGGGCTTGTAGTCGCCCAAAGGCTGGGTGCTTGACCATTGATGGTCTTTGCAAAACGAAGGATAGTATCTGTGTAAACATCGCTAGCAAAACGCAACACGGTATGACCATCCACACCCGTGTGTTCAAAGTTGATTCCGGCACTGCCATTCTTGCAAACAATGATTTGCAACTTATCGTACCATCGATTGGTGCAGGTTCCAACCTGCACGCCCTTAATGACTTCGCTCGTGCCACATAGCATGTTCGCGCAAAGCTCTGCGGTGGTTGATGGCTCGGTATCATCCAGACACAGCACAAAAAGAGCCGTGTCAACAATGTTCAAGCACTCCGCATTGTTCGAGGACTGATCTTTCGTCATTATTTCCCTCAGGCCCGACCATACTTTTCGGTTCTCTGTGCTGAGAACGCCCAATGCGCCCTTGGCGGCTTCCTGAATTGGCGTCTGTGCAGCATCTTCAACGATGACATGCAAGTTGAGCGCGATATCTTTCTCTGTCATTATCAAGTCGCTGTTGTCATCTAATACATCAAACCAATAGAACTGGCCTCGGCACATGACAACCATGTGCTTGGCAGACGGATCTTGGCTAATAACACAGCCATTGTCCGTGGGGAGTCGAGCGGTGCCAAAAAGTCGTGAGTATTGGTACATGCACAGTGGTGTTCCGCGAACGGTGTCAGGGGGAAGTTCCTCTTTCCGCACCGCTCGCACAAAAGAGAGCGCGGAAACCACCAATGAGGCTGCTCTGGTTACCTGGTGGTTTCGCGCAGGGGTGGGGTCATCCTCCAACAAAAAGAATGGGTTCAGATTCAAAACGACAGCTAATAAAATCGTAAGAAAGATGTCCTGCTAGAGACTTTTGGGCGAGATCAAAGGGGAAGAAGTGTAGGACGTACGGTTATCAAAATTCAAGTACGAGTCATACCCTGCATAGAGAAAGATATTAGTCTCCTTGTGCTGGGACGTAGATCTCTGTCTCTCTCTGGATCTGAAAGTGAGATCACCTACAAAACTGTTCAATGAAGCTTGTTTTCGATGTGGCATAGTTCTTGAGCTTCTCCTGGAGAATCGGCCCATCGGTCCTGAGAAAGTCTCTCACTGCAGCTTTGGTCTCTTCGTGTTCTCGGGGCGTCTGTAGCGCAATAAGCGCGTCGAGATGTCTGCGGCAGGTCTCTTCAAGGTCCGGAATTGGGAGTTTCGGCAGCGAATCTTGGTTGGTAAATGTTAAGCCTCGTTTTTTGGGATTGAGGGCCTCCACCCCATTCGAGGAAGGCTGCTCGGTCGGCACATTCGGTCTCACAACCGTATGACCCTGGGACTCTGTCCCGTTCGTTTTTGACGAGTCGGTCTCCATCGTATCCCCCAGTGGTTTGGGCGCAGTGAAGAATCGAACTGCGGTGGGCGAGTAAGACATGGTGCGCTAGTTAGCGGGCTATTCTCAATCAATCGTAGCAAACGGCGAGGCACGTAGGAAGTGAGAGGAGACGCAAGGCTGTGCGGTAGAAATAGTGGCAGTCTTGCGAACAATATGATGGCATTGAGGCTATCTCGTGTGGCAATACCAAAGCCCAATCGATCCAGTGGTGTTCATGAATTCGACATTCAGGAGTCAAGGGAAAGAGAGAGCCTCAGCGGAAGAAACGTCGCGAGAGGCACATATATACAGCAGGTGAACTACGTTTCACACTGGGCCCCGGTCTTCCCCTTTCCAACACAAGCCCGGTGCAACCGGCTCGGACTGAAGGGACCAACGGAAGAAAGGACTTACGGGGCAAATGACGAGCAAAGAGACGGAATGCGGGCTACTGTCCCGGCGTTGGCTCTGGGCCCGACAGTGAATAGCGCCGGGGGAACGGATGGCCGTAGCTGGCAGGACAGTTACTGCGGATCGCCAAGCGTCGCCCCTCGACGGCCGGAAATGCACGTACACTAGACTAACTGTTATATCCAAATACGAAAATAGGCCGATCAAGCGATTAACGCGGGCTTTTATAAAGAAGATGATAGAGGTATCGTCATTTGCATCCCGGAGGCGAGTCACTCGGCCTTCCAAGTCAGACGAGGCGGTCCGAGTGCATGAGCAGCTGAGGTCTCCGAGAAAGACCAGGCGTTCGGGCGGGGATTTGCACTTCAAAACTTACAGCCAAGTAGAGGTGGGGATAGCAACCACACTAAAAATGGCCCACGACCCTTGCTGAATCCCCAAGTACCGGAGAACTGGCGAGCTGGCGGATTCGTTGGATTCGCGGATTCGCGGGGTTGTGGTTGGACGATTTGGCAATGACGTTTCGGGCGAAAGGAGCTTATGTTGTAGCCTGGAATATCAGGTGTCCAGCACCTCTCGGGGGAAGGATAATCCGAGGCCTTATAGATCCAAGATTGAGCGATAGATCGATCTGATCAACTACATCGACCGATTCTGGGGATGGGCCTACTAGGTCTGTACATTCTACAACTAGGAATGAGACTACGACTAGATCCTCTCTGCCATAATTTTCTCAGTTGAATGAGAAGACATGAGAAGATCACATTTCTGACTAGCAGAGGAAAGGGAGATAAATCAGATGAGAAAGAAATGCAATGCTGGGGTGAAGTCTAGCGATGAGCGAATGTCTATGAAGGTTAGTGTCACTTAGCAGCCCAGTCTGGCGTTGACTATGGACACAAGAGGAAGAAATTCCTGAAGAGAAACACAAATGACAAATGAGGGTGGCAGTCAGGTTGCACCCAGTCCAGAGTCAACAGGGAGATCACACTGGCAGACGGGGATCCATCCATCCACGTAGCTTGCCAGCGAGCCGTGGGTCGGCCCATGCGCGTCGTTTGGCGTTGTTAACTGTTGGCCCACGCGGAGGCTTGATCTTCGAAAACCTCAGTTCGAACTCGCGAGTGGGCTCAGGATCAAAGTGGCTTTGCGCAAGATAAGGCCAGTTCTCAAGGATACGCTGGCCGATCGGGAAGTTGGTGAAGTCTTTATGTTCATGAGTGAGTAAACTAGAGATGGAGAGAGAGAAGAGGGGGAAGGGGCAAAGACTCACCACCTGCACAGATCTCCTGGATTCTGGCTTTAGGAACTTGTCTCCAGGCTTGTGTGGAATCAACAAGACAAAGCGTTCCGACCTAAAGCGAGTGAGAACGTGATCGAAGCATGCAACTCGCAACAGAGAGTCCTACCTTCATGGGGTCATCTTCGTTCGGGATCATCTCCGCAATTCCTCGCGTTCTGTCCATTTCGAAGTATGCACCGGCTTCAGGCCCGGGATACCAGCTAATTTTGAACTCGGGGGGCGTGTCGATCTTGCCTTTTCCAACGTAGGAGATGAATTGATGAGTGTGCTCATGACCACCGGTGAGGATGAGAAACGCGGCCATTGTGTCGAAATCATCCGAACCCGGCGGACAAGCCATCATTTTACCGAATTCCTAGACATCATCAGTCTTCAATACAACTTCAAGTTCAAGACTAGCATCCTGGACCTACATTGGAGTTGAAGAATAACTTCGCTCTGCCGAAGTTGTGAGGCTGTCCCACCTCTCTCTGAGTACGTCCAGGAGCACCATTGGGCCCAGCTACATGGTCGATCACGATCATTGGATAATTTTCCCAGAGCGCGGTGTAAAAGTCTCTGACTTGGCCGATGGCCCATTGCTTCACATCCACGGGGCCCTTTGGCTTTTCATCAGCCGGGAGATGGCTATACATCACCCGGGCATACTTAACCAGGTCCGCCTTGGTTTGCGGGGTTTGGTAGTACATTTTTATGCGCGTGACGATCATAGTCATTGCTCTCAACTCATTGGGTTTGGGATCACGAAAATCCTGCCCCCCATGCCAGTGCTTCATCTCAAATGCTTGTTGAGTAGCCATCTTTGCGAATGAGCTGGAAGAAAGAACGCTGAGTCGATCGGGAGTAGATTGAAGATTGAGGATTGAATGAGTTGAATGGTCTACTATCGAACGAATGTCTCTTCATTAAATACTCATTGGCAACACAAAGAAGATATTATCAGACCGTGTTAAGATATCTAAAATAAATCACGCCCGAATACAACCAACTTGATCTCTTGGATGCCTGGTATATCAAAAATAGCTCATGCCCGAGCACACCCTACTCAGTGCTCGATCTGAACAGCGGCCTTGTATGGGCTTCCAGGGCTCAGCCTATCAGCAGAGGTCGCGTGATTCATAGAAGGGGCCTGTATAGATCCATGATTCTCACCAAGTGATGTACCACCTACCTGAATAAGGACAGACCTCCACTTTTCGCGACAACCCCGAAGAGCTTCAGCCTCGCCTGCTAAGTGATAAGCAGTGACGTAAATAGATTCGTTTCAAATAGACAGGAAAACTACAGACTCGAATGTATGCCTTAGAGAGGTGATGTACACACGAAGACCCGTACACTATGAAGAAAAACTTGATCTATTCATGAACTTTGAATTTCGGTATTACAGAATGAAAAGTCACTTTGAACTCTCCCTTCCTCTCCTTCAAACACATAGGCGAGCTGTCTATACGTGCCTTCCTAGTACATACCAAGCTTACTTCGGCGGGGGGTTACCCACCAGGGCCGGCTCAAGGTGTTCTAACGCCCCGAATCCACGAGCACCCCCCGCCCAACTTCATCAAGTTGGAGGGCATTGTAACCAAAACGATATTCTGCTGTCTTTTGAAAAATGCGAGTGATGACAAGTCAGACCCAGCCAATCATTACGCGGGAAAAGACGCGCGGTAAGATGAGCATGAAGACAAGGGGTCTCGGAGGAAGGACACCGCGCGTTCAATTAGCGTTAGATTTATCGTGGCGCTGTAGACCGGGGGTGACGGTACAAGGCAATGGCGATTGTTGTCAGGGGTTTAATCAGCTTTAGTTTCCATTTGGTTGGACCCAAAAGGCATTCCAACTCTAACGGTCAAATATTGTAGCTTTGCCAGTGGATCTATCATGCTGACTCAGATCTTGTGTGAGAATGGCGGGATCCTGTAGCATCGTCGCAAGAAAATAATGCTAACGTTGAGGCCGGGGATGGAGTTGGCCTGAGTCTTGCCCAAAGCTGGACAGGGATGCTGATAGGCATTGTTTGCCAAAATAACAGCATCAAACAGTCCCCTAAGTAAAGGTAAATCCGTTCTATCTTGCAGGGTAGGAAATCTAGGGAACACCAAGTGCTCACCAAGGCTTCGAATGTTGGCTGGGTTTATCATGGGGCTTATTGAGGGGGTACGAAAAAGCCCCCAAAACCAAAACCAACATCGTTGGAGCTGTCATAAAATAAGCAGGATTCAGCCCAGTATCTTACTATATTGCTGAAGGCTGGCGGCAATGTGCTCGAAATAAACGCCCAGGGGAATTTTCGGAATCTGATGCGTAAAGCTATCATTCAACACGTTTTCTGTTCACTGAAAAAGTCACTGGCATTTCCTCAACGCACCATCTAGTCAATTGGTGCATCATAATGGTGTAAGAGATTTGTATATATAGACCAGATAATGTCCGTCAACTCTTGGCGGCCCCCTTCCCATTCTAGTGCTCACCCTCTCGCCGCTTTTGCTCAAGCACGCCCCTGGTCAATCTGACTTAATTTATAATTGATCCCAAAACGCCCAATTTGCAGATCCCAGATCAAATGGCCTCCTCAAAATCCAATTCGGCTCCATCAAAAATCGCGAAAATATCATCCAGTGAGGGGGACAAGCTCTCTTCTGTCAGTGCGTCGTTTGTGGTACTGACATCGTTGTCGTCGTTGCCGTTCGGGTTACTAGTATTGTTGTAATCTGCACTCACTTTTATCTTTAGTTTTCTCTTACAGTACGAGGAGCGCAGCGTCGTGATGAATGCCGGCTCAGCGGCGGAATCATAATCGCTGGGTGAATTTGCTGTCCAAGCCTTGAGCGTTAATTTCCCCGCGGTGATCTGAAGAGCTCCCTCTTTTCTCACCTCGATAAATTTTGGGGCGATTGAAATAGATGTCTCCTATCTTCCTCCAAGTGATATTCAGTTCGGCACGAGATAGAAATCCAACCTTGGCCAGACTGGTCAGTATACACAAAAGTGCGTCCCAGAGGAAGAAGGCCTTGATTTGCCACTGAAAGTTTTTCATATTGGGGTAACTGTAGAGAACGCTGTCGGTATCTAGAACCGTCTGTGCTAAATGAAAAAGCTCTCTCCTTTCCCGATCGTCAATGTTAGCCCGCTTTGTTATTCAATTGCGCAGTCGCACCGCATTGGCCGCCGACCTAGAGATCCCCAGCGTCAGGACGTGGAGTGGGTTCACTATGTCGCAGTATTGCACAACCTTGTTACATGGGATGGGCCAGACGACCCCAAAACCTCAAAAATTGGCCGTCAATCGTCAAAAGGTATTACACCTTGACCTTCTCGGTCTTTACATTCATCTCCCCAGTCTCATCAGCCATGATCGCCCCGGCGCTGGACAAGCCTGGAAAGGACCTCCACATGACGAGCAATATCGAAATCAACCTGGCGCTTTCGATCTTTGTGCTAGCTTTCGCGATCGGCCCTTTGGTCTTTGGTCCTGCTTCGGAGGTGTATGGTCACGTACGCCTCTTTCAGTTAAGCAATCTATGGTAACTGGCGTGGAACCTTGGCTGCGGCTTTGCGCAGACACCGGCCGACTTTTTGTCTTTCGCTTCCTTGCTGGTCTCGGTGGAAGCGCTCCATTGGCCCTGCGTAGTGGAGAGATCAGGTAAAACAGACAATAAAACAAGAGCTTACACTTTCCTTGAGCTGATTCTGTCCTCGTACAGTGATGTTTGGGATGCAGAGCATCGCGGAAAAGCCACGGGTATCTACACCTTAACGCCAATTTTGGGACCAGTTATTGGACCGATTGCGGGGGCCTTTATTGCCCATGATACCACATGACGCCGGGTCTTCGGGTCCTCCAGCGCTGTGGCCGTTGTCATCCAGGTCGTCGGCTTGATCTGGCTAAGTGAGTCCCATCCAGCCACCCTTCTGAGATGGAAGAGGAACCGCCTGGCCCAAGAGACCGAGAATGACCAACTTCACACCGGTCTATGGATGGGGGACAAGTCTATAAGACTTTATCAGTATCGCAATTGGTATCCCAGCTCCAATTATGTTCTGGAAGTATGGAGCTAAGCTTCGTTCTATGTCGACATATGCCAGTGGTTGAGTGTGGCTGCGAGCTCGCTGGCTGATGGAGGTCTGGCAAGAAGTCTACATTCTCGTTCAATTAAGAGCCATTGTTTGATTTATATTGATTGGTAGAAACGGATTTGGAATCCCTTTTTTTCATAGACTGGCGCGAGACCTATGTGGAGGATAGAGTTGTTTCTGCCATAATTCTGCGCAAGCAGTAACAAAACACTACTCATTATTTAAGTCCCATTCTCTATCATTTCAATGTAAATTCGCCACCAAAACACAAAATACAAATACAACCACCCTTTGAGCTCTATGGTGAGCTCCTATAAATTCTCATTGCAGTAGGGACCATGTGGGAGGATTGATTAAATTATACTTTGGGAGGTCAGTCTCGGAAATTGACCACTACCCTTGAGGGGCTAAAATCCGCAAAAGCCACAGAGAGGGCTTTTAGTGTTTTTGGATGTGAATTCAAGTCGGCGTATTATTTTTTATTCAGGTTTTACGTTCTTGCCGATAGAAGTAATGTCTGTACAAACGCGTTTATAGAAATGTCTCAAGATCCAGTGAGCTCGACTTGAGTACATCGAAAGAAAAGAAAGAAAAAGAAAGAACAAAAGAAAGAAAAAAAGAAAGAAAAAAAGAAAGAAAAAAAGAAAGAAAAAAAGAAAGAAAAAAAGTGCTTTCTCACATCTTACTCTCCTCGTCTTATCACACCATTCAATAACTTCTACTACCTGGTCTATCTCAATCCTATATCCTCCCAGCCAAATATCATGTTCCTTGCACTGTTATACGGATTTACCATACTCCGTTCTTTCCTCCCATGGATCCTTTACGCAATGCCCTCGAAACCGGTCTTGTTGACATTCCGGGCCCCTTTATTGCAAGATTTACAGACCTCTGTCGTCTTTACTTGGTTTGACAATGGAGATTTAAGGAAGATCTGCCTTACTTGTATCTCTATTGCCAAACCGATTCTGAAACCGCTATGATAATCGGCCATCAATAGGGAGAATAAGCTGATAGAGCTGATAGAGCATAAACATGTGTTTCCCGATCGTTGAAATTACTCTGCAGATTGAATTTCAGGCATTCACAACAGTGCCTCTGAGATTCGAATCTCGGATATGACCGGGATTAGCCTAGCGGCTATGGACTTTCGAGAATATGATGTCGAGCTATGCTACACACCAATCTAGATGTGCGACAGATTGAATGCGAGGAACCAGATAGCCTAATTGTTTCCAGATCTGCCTAGATTGATAATACAATAATCACTTGCAGCTCAAAGCTCAACACATCCGCCCCATCCTGGGAAAGGGAGGGAAAAGCTGGTTCATCAGTTCCCGAGGGAGATGGAAAATTGACTGCCCTGCTCTGCTATATGCGGTAGGGTTGTCCTCTTCAGCACCGCACAGCAACCTTATCAAGTTGTAATCCATGGTCACGCTGGCAGGGAAAGAAAGTGATTTTTTTTTCTTCTTCTATGCATGCTCAGTAGATGGAAGCCTTTAGCTCCCAGATCAGGGGAAATCAAGGGTACAGGGTCAAACTTCATCTAATTCTGGAGTGGATTGGGAGTCGATCAACATGTTTGCGGACTAAGTAAACGCCCTGGACTGAAACAACCACAATACCCCCTTCCAAGAACTTGGTTTGACTTCTCACTTCCGGGGGTTATGCCCCTGCCTTCTCCTCTAACTTGCCCTCGGTCATTCTTTGGTCAATAAATCATGCTGCTTAGTGAGCTGGTTAGGAACCGACAGTAACTCTTCTTTTTTTACTTTGCCGCCTGGAAGTGATCGCTCAGAGCCTCGTCCTATAAACCCGTTGGCTCCCCACACAACACAAACGCAGAAGCGCCCACTTTCAGGCCAGATTATACAGCCTCATGCGCGACCTACCGGCCAACATGACCCGGCGGCTTCCTGTCTGACTCCATCCAACTAACAACCAGCCACGAACGCCACACACAGAGAGAGAAAGAGAGAACGAGCGACAGGGAGGTACCCGTAGCAATATAGCTCGTCAGCCCAACCAAGAGGCAAAGAACGTACAGGGTATCCCTGCACACCCACGCGTTTGTCTCTTCTTTTTCACCTCTTCTCTCCACGGTTCGGGCGGTCCTCAATCTTGAACAATGATCAGTACCGGGTCCCAGCGGTGCCGATCACCAGCCGATCACCACACCAAGCAACGACTAGCAAGTAACTAACGACTGTGCGAAATTGGGATAGCCCACGGCCCGGCGAACCTGGCAAATTCCAAACAGGCCACTGCCATTTAAAAAAGGTTGGAAACTCCGCTCTACTCCGTCCTTGACAGCGATCCTGATTTAGAAATCGCCTGTCGTCAGGGGGAGAGGAAGGGCAGGGTAGGGGGGAGAGGATCCTTGCATCGGCGGCAAATGTCGTGTCCAATCGTGAGCACTGGTACCCGGCAGATCGGGGGGTTCGTGGGGGTCCCGAAACCGGCCTGGAACGTGAAAAGCTTGGGGGACAGCAAGAGGGGGTGCCGGGGCGCGGTGATTGGGCGTCGGGGGGGCCTACGGTGACGTCTTCAGGGGCAGGGTGTTTAACCACGGGTGGCTGCGACTGGTTCCAGCAGATCGCGGATTAGAGAAAGGGCACGTGACATGGTATGGCAGCGCAAGGGTTCATCTCGCATATCAGCAGTACATCACATTGGTTTTTTGTTTATCCACAGGGAGGAGAAAGCAATCGCTAGTAGACAGCAAGTCAAAGATATTCACAATTGAAACGGATCATACCCCACATGCTCCCGCTTTCCGCGAAGGGTAGAACGGAGAAGAGGGAGATGGGCGAAGAGAACAATGACACATAAATCGGCAGGATGGGGCCCCCTCCGCGTACATACAAGACAAGAATCCCCGAGAAGGCCAAGATAAATAAAAAAAAAATAATCACCCTCGAGCCACAGAAGCGCTCAAGGATGCTTCTCGGGGGTGAAGGGACACCAATTGCCCGTCCTTGATCCTTTTGGGGAAAGAGTTCCACAATCGGGCCATGCAAAGATCGCCGATCGGGAGTGGAACATGCAGAGTATTGAGAAGAAGTGAAGAAATAAAAACAAAATAACACAGTGGTTCGAAAACGAATGCTGGCGTCGCAGGGGAGAGGGGGCGCACAGGAGTATCGGAGAGGATACTCCTGCTCCCGCCCACCCTTCTCTCTCCCGTCGAAACAAGAGAGCGCAAGCAAACCTAACATGTACCGCTAATATCAGGCTCGGAGAGACCTGTTTAAGCCGAGTAGGTGCTCGCGGTACCGGGCTTGAGAACGTTCGTACCGTATTCACCGTCGTAGTTGCCGGGAGGCGAGTAGTTGCAGACGGTGAAGGGCAAGGCGCTGCTGGAGTCGACATTGCCCAGGCTGTCGCAAGTAACGGTTGCGCAGCCGACGTGAGTGGTGCCCTTCCAAACAATCTGAGAGAAGTGACCCCATTTGTCGAAGTTCGTCATGCTGGGGTCGGCCTGACCATAGGGCAGGGGGTAGTAGCCGATCTCGTCGTTGTACATCAGGTTGGTGATCATGACGCCAATTTCGCTGGACTCCACTCCATATCCGATGTTCTGACCGTAGCCACCGCCATCGATGGAGCTGCACAACATAGAAACAGGTTAGGTCGAGTTGTTCGCGAACGTCAAGGGAGATATCAAAAGATCAGAAAACAAAACAAAGCTACTTACGTATCGTGCTCGTATACACACTTCTGGGCAAGAGCCAGAGCGCTGGCTTGCAGGTCGGCGGACCAGTCGAGCGAGGAAACCGAGTGGTTGCTGCGGTGGATGTTGTGGTTGTACAGAACGGCCTGTTGGTAGGAGTTGGTGGCAGTCGAAGTGGCACTGGTTGTGGCGGCCGCGGCCGTGGAGGTGGACAGAGTGGACGAGGGCGTCACGGTGGAAGTCCACGCGGTCGAGTAGGAAGAAGTGGTGCCGTCCTCGGTCTCAGGCTGGGGAGCGGCGGAGGTGGCCGAGTTGGGGACCAGCACGGTCGACTTCTTCGAGAAGTCCGACTTGTCGGTCTCAGCGGGCGCCGGGGCGGCAGCCTGGGAGACGGTGGTCGTCGTGACCTGGACTTGGGCCTGGTGCGCCGGCTGAACGGTTTCGGTGACGGCAGGGGCAGTGACCGTCTCAGTGACGGTGACAGTGGTCCAGTCGGTCACATACACCCGCTTCTCGTAGGCATTGACGCAGCCGGCAGCCAGGGCGGCAATAAACAGAGTGGCGCGCATGGTGGGTTGGAACGATTGAGGATCAGATTCACGAGGTCAGACGAGATTCCAGTGTCCAAGATGCGAGACTGAGATGGATGAGAACTTCCCCAGGAAGTTCGACAGAGAGCGTATAGGGAGGTCAACCACCAACAGATCGACTGTGGTGCGACAAGTAAAGAGTGAATGTGTACGCTTTGGTCCGCGGGGGATGGTAAATGAATGACAGGCCTGGACACTCGGGGCGAGCGCAGGCAACAAGTGAGAGAAGCGATGCAGAAGAGAAGAGGAGGGCGACGAGATGGTTTGAAGTAGTCGAGGGGGAAAGGAGACGCCCGCGGGTCGGTGGGGCCGATCAGGGTCGAATTGGGCAAGCTGGGGCCGGGTTTAATTATGGGGGAGATGAAGGAGGCACCAGAGTTCATTTACTCATTTACTTCGCCGCTGAGAATTGTCCAGTCTGGAATTGTGAGCGCTGCCAGGTCTTGGGGCTCGGCGCTGCTTTTTATTGCGCGCGTGCAGACCGGCCATGGTCGTCGTGCTCGCCCAGCAGGATGCGCTTCTGCGGTCTGGTATTCTCCAACCTCGCGATCTCTCACACATTCCACCCGCCACTCGCAGACGTGGAACGTCCTACATTCCAACGCCCACCCTCTCCCCCGTTCATTGGCTCTCGCCGAGCTCTCTCCCAGCTCGACCATTGTCAGAGGCTGGGAAAATGGAGGGGAAAAAGGGCAAAGGCTGGCCAGAGCCGCCCGGCAGCCATGATCTATGATCTCCCTGTCACTTATTCTCCGAACCCTCAGGGCCTCCGAACGAGCCAGGCCAGACCAGCGACCCTGGACCGAACAGGTCAAAAACATGAATGTGGTGCCCCGTCCTGGGCGGATCCTCAATTCCACTTGCCCACTACGAGCGCTACTCGGCCATCTTAGGGGCACTCCCCCCCCCCCACTCGTGGCCGCGTGTACGGAGCACAGACTTCAGGGTTTCCTTGATACATTGATGGGTGATGCGCAGATGAGAGGCGATCCAAAGATGTGGAAACGCTCCTGAGGAAGGCTCTCTCCGCTTCAAACATCCCCCGAGCAGAAGCCGTCTCGAATTTCCGCCATCTGGTGCCCCTGCGAGATGATCGCGATCGCGATCGGTGCCAGCTGCAGGGGCAGTATCAGGAGCCGAAGCATGCCCGCCCAAAGCTCCAGAAACTCCAGACCATCTCAGGCACCCAACCCGGGCTTCCCCCTCAAACGTCTGTGGTCCCAGGCCGACACACCATTTCCACCGTCTGCGCCCAGGAACCCGGTTTCACAGTCCGGCAGGAGGCACCTCCGACGCGCCAATCACAGCAGCCCAGACCTGCATCAGGGAAATTACCCACCACAACGGCGCCGCCGCTAAGAAACTTGGCTTCGGGCCTGGTCCATTCGAGCCCCGTTCTGCACGGGCGTGAATTTCGGATTGATTACCTGGGCCACCGCTTCATCATTTGTGTGTTTCAGCCCCAAAGTGCCGAGCGGGAGGTGATTGGTGATTGCCACTCGGTCACACCGTCCAGCGGAGTTCCATATCCAGATGGACGGAGTACTTTAGACAGGTTACTCTGTTGTCTTGACAGAACCGCTTTTGGTTATCCCTTACCTCATAGTATATTAGTGTATGGCTGCTATAGAACCAGTAGACGACCTCTATTCCACGCAACGGTTTTTTTTTTTTTTTTTTTTCTTTTGGTTCCCCCGTAATGACCTGGTAGTAAATCATAGGGTATCCAGTGCTTACCTCAAGAGGTACTGTAACTATAGGGTTTTATTGCGGACTAAATCAAATATGGGCGGCGTACAGGTATTTAATAGTAAACTCATTTAGGTGAATCTGGTATGAGATCATTGGGAGGCCCTTGGCTCCCCTTCCCGTGTCGCCATTTCTTTCAATCTCTAACAGAGGGTCCTCATACTCGAGCCAGCCATGGCGTAGAGTCCGAGGGGCTTTTGCCAACCCAGCCATGCAGGGCACGAAGGTACCCCAAGCCAAAAGCCAAGGCCCGATCGGGGGAAAAAAAGGTAAGAAAACCAGAAATCACAATCAATGCGACCAATACCCCAAATGAGAGGAAGAAATAAACCAAACAAAGAAAAAGTCCAAACAAAAACACCAAGAAGCCAAGAGCGAGCCTCGGGGAACAACATGAAGGGATTTCTAAAGGTCCATAGTTCTGCATCGGCCGGCCTCACACACTAGAAGGTAGTTCTTAGCCGGGTCGGCCGCCTTCAAATCCTTGAAGAGAGGGTTGCGCGACTTCAGCCAGAAGGACTGGTTGCCCACAAAGTCCTTCAAGTGTGACGGGCGAATATCCACCACCGATGCGGCTGTGATGGACGACAGCAGCCCTGCACCAGCCTCGCGCCGCACCCGCTGAATGATCAGGTCGCGTGCCGATAGAGGCTGATCCTTGCGGCCTACGAGGCTGTTTCCGTGAGGCGCGGAGCCTGTGGAGATTTCGGCGGTGCAAAACACACCTGTCACGGTGCGAGTGCCGATCTGTAAACCGACGATGACATCCAGCAGTCCCACAAACAAAAACGGGTGCTGCATGATCTCCACGGCGAAGGAGTTGCATGTTTGTCGGGCCAGGCTTCGGTAGCTATCATCCTCCAGTAATGCGGCCAGACGGAGCAGGTTTCGTGCAATGACACCGTTGACAGACGGCGTGGCAGACTCAGTGCCCGTCTTCAATCGTAGAAGAGGGCCAGGCATGCCAGGGATCAGTTCAGACGACGTATTATAGAAGCCAGCAGCGGTAGAGCCGGTGTTCGCGAGGAAAAACTCATTGAGGTATTCTGCGCCCGGGTAGGTCAGTCAATCTATCACGGCAATAAAAGGGAAGGGGTCTCGTACTTTGCAGACGCTCGGCAAATTGTAGGTAGCTGTCATCAAAAGTGGCCTCATACATGTCCAGAAGTCCGGCAGTCAGGTATGCATAGTCATCCGCGAAACCTGGAGTGTCACCACGTTGTCCATCCCGGTAGATGCGCCACAGCTTCCCCGTCGTCTTGTCAAACAAGTGATCTTTGATGAAGCTAATTGCACGGGCGGCAGATTCGCGACATTGAGTGGCCTTCGAGCTCTCGATCTCTTCGAATAAGACACTACACTTGGCCAGCGCACCGATCGCCAATCCATTCCAGGCAACAATGATCTTATCGTCAAGGTCGGGCCGCCCCCTCCTTTTCTCCCGGTGATCGTGTAGCTTTTGCTTTCCGCCTTTAATGATCTTAACCACCTCTTCTTCGCTAAGTCCGAAATCCTTGGCCAGCTTGCTCGGTGTTGCTCGGACAGAAAGGACGTTCTGGTTCATAAATTCATCATGTGGATCGTACTCAGCCGCGACGTTTCCATCCGGGAGTACACCCCAATGGCGGGCACAAACTGGGGCATCTCGAGGACCCAGAACCTGGGTGAGTTCCTTCAGGGACCATACGTAGAAAGCACCCTCCCGTTTCTCTGTATCGTTAGGGCTAGGAAAGCTGTCCGCATCTTCTGAGGAGTAGAAACCTCCCGTCGGTGCTTGTAAGGGAGTGGTTGTCAAATAGGCAGCAAGGTCATAGACAGCACCCAGCAGCTCCGGGTCATGGGTCAGTCGGAAGGCATCCACGTAAACATCCAATAGCTGAGCCTGGTCGTACAACATCTTTTCAAAATGTGGCAGGCTCCAATCGGTGGTGACACTGTATCGGGAGAATCCATGGCCAATATGGTCTCGAATACCACCGCGCGCCATGTTTACCAATGTAGTCACAGCCATTGCAGTCGCCTTCTCACACTCATCTTGTCCCACAACATCAGAAATCTGACTAGGATACGCACCCAGTCGCAGCAGGAAGCCGAGGTTCGAAGGTGTGGGAAACTTAGGTGTTCGTCCGAAGCCGCCGTTGATAGAGTCGTATCTTGAGGCGAAGTGTTGGTATGCCTCTTCTAAGAGTTCGATGTCCAGGTCCTCGTCAGTTTCACGTTCTGGATGTTGGGAATGCGTTCCCTCCTCAGCAAACTCCCGCAACTGTTTTGTGATGTCCTTTGCACTGTCCAAGCACCGTTGCTGCTGAGTTTGCCAGACATCGCTCAATTTCTCCAGAATCTCCACAAAGCCAGTTGTACCGGGACCCTGCGATGTTGTTGAGTTAGGGCCCGGCCAATATGTACCTCCGAAAATAGGCTCCAGGTTTGGAGTCAGGAAGACATTCAAGGGCCATCCACCCGAGCCGGTGGTCGCTTGCACATAGTTCATGTAGATATCGTCGATATCCGGGCGCTCCTCTCGGTCCACCTTGATCGGAATGAAGGACTCGTTAAGAATAGCAGCCACCTCGGGGGACATAAAAGACTCTTTTTCCATGACATGACACCCTTCCAATTGTTAGTGAAATTGCCCTTGAAACAGATATGTCCAAAGAGGCCAGGTGGAACAACATACAGTGGCAGGCTGAATAACCAATGCTGAGGAAGATCATGCGATTGTGCTTGCGGGCAAGCTCGAGAGCCTCTACATCCCATAGCTGCCACGCGACGGGGTTGTTCATGTGTGCCCGCACCTAGACACCGTTAGCGCCGATGTGGCTCCTTTTTCAGGCGGGGCGGCGTAAGAGCTCACATAGGGCGATCTACTCTGCTGCAGACGATTAATCAATTTAAGTCCCCTCTCAGAGGGCTCATGCTGTGACTGCATCCTGAACGCCCAATCTTGGGGATATGGAGTGTATGGATCCCTTCAGGTCTGCGGGGAGAATTCCAGCGCCCGTGCTATCGCGGCGTGGATCGGAGGTACTAACGGGATCCGGCACGATAAGACTCGGGTTGAGACGGGACTGAGACGACCCCACGTGTGTGGCCAGGGTGAGTGCGTTCGATGGGCAGTATTTGACTGCGAGTCAGGACTTACGGTGTAGCACAGAGTAGGGGGTTGTGCACAAAAGGCCGGAAGTGGGGTGAACGCTGCTCGGACGAAGCGCTGCACTTTGGGGTTCGGGAGATCGGCCCTGTGCGTCATCGATGCATCAGGACGGTCACGTGCAAATGCGATCACAGTGCCCAGAGCTTAGGGATCAAGAAGAATGCAGGTACAGAAAAAAAAATATATATACTAATCATTGAAGAAGTCATCCGAATAGCAGTCCCCATACATGCTCATCATATCATATCATCTCGCACTGGGTATCATATCTAATCATCTCCCATCAACTCGGCTAATTCGCGCTCTTCTTCCTCCGTTAACATAGGCTCGTCATTGGCCTTCTCCTCTTCCTTGGGGCCAGTTTTCGCCAATTCAACAGCCTTTTGGAGCTCATCGGGTCTGAGAGACCATTGTCGGACAGTGCCATCGATTCCGACGCTGACCACTGTTGAGCCAACGAGTGCGAGGCCAGTGACCTCCTCAAAGTGGCCGGAGAATGTATGATGGAGCTCTCCGGTCTAAAATGGTCAGCGAATGACCATATTTGATAGCTGGATGATGAATAGATAACTTACCGATCGATTCCACACTCGTACCTCCTCATCCCGACAGGCGGTGACAACCCAGCCACCAGCCTCATAGATGACAATATCTCTTACAAAATCAGGATGCTCAAGGGAGATATTGGCCTTCCAGCCATCCGCTCGCACAAGGCACTTGGCTGTCTTGTCGGCAGAGGCAGACCAAAGATCACCATCTTGGTCAAAGAAGAGCTTGTTCACGCTAGTATCGTGCGGAAGAATCGGCTCGATTTCACCACCTCCGCCAAAGAGCTGGAATTGACGGATTTCTCGGTCACTGCCGGCGCTAAAGATGGTAGCCTGAGATTCCTCCAGCTCGGGGTCAATGGATAGATCCAGAACGCCTCGAGCATGGCCCTTGAAAGTTTCAGTCATCTCACCACTGGTGAGATTGAAAACCAGCACCTTTGCGTCGGCACCTCCTGAGACAAGTAAATCCTGGCCCTGCAATCGAACACTGATCACAGATTTGACGAAATCGCTGTGTCCCTCGTACTTTTGACGAGGCTGCGTCGAGGCCACGTCCCAGCTCCAGATGGTCTTATCCCAGCAACCGGCAAACAGGGTCTTTCCGTCCGGGCTCAGACACACGCTTGTTAAGGGAGCTTGGGGACCCTTGTAGAGTGCCGATGTCTCGCCAGTCTGTAAAAAGACCCTAAGCATGGTGCCTCTCTTCCGGTTTGGGTATGCGACGGGAGAAGTATAGAAACACTTACTGCCAGTACCACCCTTCTCACCACTCCACTACTCTGTGCAAGATAAATAGACCCATGATTTGATGGGTCTGCACGAACTGCGAGGATTTTGCTCTGTAGCCTGATCGGATTCCCCTGATCATTTTGAGACTTGGCATCTTTCCGCTGTTGCTCGTCCAAAGCAGCACTGTAAAAGACACCGACTCGGATCAGTATTTATATATAGCACACCAGACCAATTGAAATCCTCACGAGGTCTGGAAAAAGTGGTCGCGGTTGGAGGAAGTCGTCATCTCCGCAACCTCGCGAGATTCTTCTCGCTTCGCTCGTTCTTGAGGGGCAGGGGGAAAGTTGGATCTCTCACAAACGTGACCCACCGTCGTCCGCACAACCAACCCCGAACTGCTATCCGAGCTCCTGCAGTCCGCCGTAGCCCGAATCCACCAAAACCACAGATTTTGCTTCTTCTCTCTTCTCTTTTCTTCTCAACCCTACCTACTCCCTCCTCCCATCCTCTTCATCCTTTTCTCTCTTTTTCTTTTCCCTCTTCTTTCTGCCTTTTTCCCGTACACTTTCATTGCGCGATTCCGCGCTGCCTGCCAAGATGGATATGAACCATTTGATAGGGTCAGTCATCTGCACCTCGTGGTCGGAACCAGGGTTTGTGCGGCTAGGCTGGAGTTAACACCTGGCAGTCAGCGTTTCAACCTGATCTCCAAAAGTGATATTCGGTAAGCTTCCTCTGTGATCTCATGCTTCCTGAACCCATTGCTGATGGCCTTCAGCTATGTGGGCACACTTCATGAAATCAACCCCGAAGCATCCACGATAGCTCTTGAGAATGTCAAGTCATATGGCTCCGAGGGTCGACGGGGGAACCCGGCTGATGAGGTTCCTCCATCTGCTGCGGTCTATGAATATATTGTCTTCCGTGGTAGCGATGTCAAGGACATCAGCGTCGCCGACGAAGAGAAGAAGGAGAATGCACAGTCAGAGCCTCCTCGGGTTCCCGACGACCCCGCCATTCTAGGAGTAAGTGCCACACGTTATTCTATTTCTGTCTTTCTTACCCATCGCCCTCCTCCCAAGAAGCTGTACGATTCGTCGCTGTCAGCTTCGTTGATCAAATGATGAAATATTTCGGATGTAAACACAGACCTGTTCGGAATGCGCAAAACCGTGTCGAGATTTCCGTTGCCTTCCTTCTGATTGATCAATATTCCATTTTTCTTTTTTTGCACTTTGTACCTTGCTGGCTTGTCTCATTGAGCCTTGTGCTAACTGCAAACATAGAATATGCGACCGGGTGCTATACCCAGCTCTGAGCAGGGACCGTCGGCCCCTGGTCTTCCATCCCAGAAGTCTTCTCAGCAGCCACAAGCCCCTCAGCAGACAGCCCCTGGCTACCCTCAGCCGCAGCAGTTCCAGCAAGGCTTCTATCCTCCGTATGGACAGCGATTTGGTGGCCCTCCCCCATTCCCTCCAGGCCCCGGCGGTCCTGGAGGTCCTGGTGGCTTTCCTGGAAACATGCCCTATGGTGCACCTCCTCCTGGATGGTTTCCTCCTCCTGGCCACGGCTTCCCTCAGGGACCTGGTCAATTCCCCCCTCAGATGCCGCTTGGTGGCCCTGGACAACCACAGCAGCGCCCAGGCCCTCCCGGAGTGCCCGCTTCTCAGCCTACCTCTGAACTCCCTGGCGCTGATCACAAACCCTCTAGCCGCAATGCCACACCCGCGGCCCAGAGCGCACCTACTCCTCCTGTTGAGTCCAAGCCCTCTGTAGCCGAGGTCCAGGCTGGACCTGCTGCTGCTGCTCAAAAGAGTGGCCGTGTGGTGCCGGCTATTCCTATTGCTGCTCCACGACCTGTGGTCCCTATTCAAGCACCTACCGCTGGCGTTCAAGGTATCGATGCGACTGCTGCCGCCACCCAGGCCGTCGCACAAGCCATGGCCAAATTGCCGCAGCCAAATGTCCCGAAGAAGCAGGGACAGGCTGATCCTACTGTTGACGCTGTGACTCGCAAGATGAACGATATGCAACCTTATGGTGGGGCTCGTGCCCCTCGGGGTGGCCACCAGAACCCTCGCGGTGGTCGTGGTGGGGCTCGCACTCAGTACAAGAAGATCGAAGTCCCTGAGTCGGATTATGATTTTGCAGGTGCCAATGCCAGATTCAACAAAGAAGACCTTATCAAGGAGGCTATCGCTACCGGATCCCCTGCTGCAGAGGCCGAGTCTCAAGATGCCCACAGCCAGGTTGAGACCGATGTCACCAATGGCACTGCCCCGTCCTCCACACACCACAGCTACAATCGCACAGCTTCTTTCTTTGATAACATCTCAAGCGAGGCGCGCGATCGTGAAGAGAACATGGGTGGTCGTGTTGGCGGACGTGAGTGGCGCGGCGAAGAGGAGAAGAGGAACATTGAGACCTTCGGTCAAGGCAGTGTTGACGGCTACCGTGGTCGGGGTCGTGGCCGTGGACGAGGCTATGGCCGTGGCCGTGGCTTTAATCGTGGCTACGGTGGCCGTGGTCGCGGCCGTGGTGGCCGAGCCCCCATGTCGTCGTCTACCGGCGTTCCCTCCGCCAGTTAAGAGGAGCCATCCGTGTCCTTCGGAATCTACCTCTCGCAACGATTGCTATGTTTTTTCTATTTTCTTTTTTATTTCTACATCTTGGGGTGTCCAGACCTATGAACGGAACGAATGATTATGGTTGAATCTTTCTCGTCTCTTCGGCGCAATGGGAATGTATCACGACTGGGCATTCTGGGACGGCGACACGATGACTTTTTTCTGCAACAGGCAACTCTAGGTGTTTCATCGGCTTGTCTTGGGTTTTTATTTCCTTTCTCTTTTTTTCTTTCAAGCATACCCCTCTGCAGCGTCGTTCCTGATTTACCTAGTTTGGGCGGGTATCTCATCTCACCTTTCGTGTGGTCGCCTTGTTTTTAGCAGCGAATGGCCAGATATGCGAAGGCGTTGAGACGGTCCACAACATCCAATGGCAAAGATCTATTATTTTCAAGGATCATAGCCGACCACTGGCTAGGGCGAAAGGCCTCCATGCAGATGTAACATAACCATACTTCTGGAGACAAGCTCCAATCAATCAAAAAGGAAAACGAAGACCAATTGGTCTATACTCACAAGTTTCATGTATAACCTCTTGTCCCTTGTAAGGCCTGTCCAAGCTTTTTTAGATCCCCGCCATAACGCGGCAGGGATCTGTCTACATCGGCTAGTGAATTTTCAGTCTGCCGAGTGTGGAACGTCATTGCGGAGAGTTGATGCGGAGAACCACCCACACACTCGCGCCACTCGGAAAAGAAGGCTCCCCAGCAATGAGGCATCTTGAGCACTTCTGATGCTGCGGAGATCAAAGAGAGCGTAGAAAAGTAGACATGATGCGGATCTCTTGAAGAGGCGATAGGTTGAGAGGTTCTCCTCATCGAGAGTCGAGTTACTGCGATACGCACTGGATTGCAGCTTGTGGAGTAAGGTATGCCTCGGACTTTGTTGAAATCATGAAACACAACCCCGTATCCTCGGCTCAAACCATAAAAGGGAAATCTTTCCTCCCCGCACTCCACTTACAGTCCCCTCTAGCCGTAACAAACAACCGAGCAGGTTGTGTTACCTAGTTCCTTTTTGCTTCGCCTGTTCATATCTCGAGCCATTATGACATCCCGGAGTCCCTCCACACGGCTTTCTGTGATATCCGGCCATATTGAGACCAAGCAAGCAACGGCAACTAAGATGACGGCGAAAGTGCAAGTGCCAGATCAACTGCCTTGGGATCCTAATTGCACCGATTTTCCGGTGCGAAAGGATCTCCCTCATTTACCTAATGCCCCCGAGGGCGCAGCATGGGTATGGGGTGAAGATGATCAGGTATTGTCTTAGGAATAGTTCGATCCTCCAGCTCCTTTGTTAACAAGTCTCAAATAGCTCGGCAGGTTGAACCTTTTGACACCAGAACGTGTGAAGGCATCGGCGGCGGAGATCATGACTGGAGAGATGGTGCGGTTGGAGTAGGTCGCATTCCTTAAAACGCGAGAATGAGAACCGAAACCTTATGGTCTTGAAATAGTCTACCCTTGAATGTGCCTGAAAAGCCCGCATTCAATCGCGAAACCTTCCAGCATAGCATCAAGACAATCGCTGAAGATATATCTTACGACGACTGCTATTCTCTAAACACGCAAAGTGGTACACAATGGGATGGATTCAGACATGTAAGTCCTCTTCTTCATAATCAACTAGTTAGTATGTATATGGTGTCTAATTGCTCACGATCTAGTTCTCCCACATCCCTTCGAAGCTTTTTTATAATAGGGTACTTTGGAGTCTATCTATTGAATGTCTTGAACCATATTGACAGTAATTGATAGGCTACCAGTAAGGATTTCCTTGGTGATGACACAACTCTTCGCTGCAGCATTCACCATTGGGCGTCACACGGCATTGCCGGGCGTGGCGTACTTCTAGATTACCGCCACTACGCCCTCACACACAACAAGCCTTATGACCCATATTCGTCTCACGCAATCACCCTGGAGGATCTGAAAGCATGTGCTTCCTCCCAAGGCCTTGACATACGACCAGAATCTCAAGGGGGTGATATCCGTGTTGGGGATATCCTACTAATTCGCTCCGGCTTTGTCGAACAGTACGACCAGCTCAGTCCCTCAGAGCGCTTCGCCGCGGCCACACGGTCCCACGATGACCTTGCATTTGCTGGCGTATCACGAGAGCAACCCATACGTGACTGGCTTCACGATTGCTATTTTGCGGGCGTGACTGGTGATTCTCCGACATTCGAGGTGTGGCCTGTCCCGCAGATGGATTTCTTACATCAGAGTCTTTTGGCGCTCTGGGGTTGTCCGATTGGCGAAATGTGGGACTTAGAAAAGCTGGCTAAGAAGTGTCGGGAGCGTGGAAAATGGACTTTCTTCATGACAAGTGCCCCTGCAAACATGCCGGGTGAGTAGTTGAGCCTCTTTCCTGGTTGCTACTTTTCTAATCATTTGGGTATAGGCGGGGTTGGTTCGCACGCGAATGCAACTGCTATCTTGTGAATAATGCCTGTCGAGAAACGAGGGCGCAAATTCTTTGGAAGATTTAATCGTGTTCTCATTTTTCGAAATTACTCTAGTTCCAAGGGACAAGGTCGAGCTCTTTCGAGTAGGCTCTCCCCGTCACCTCTTTAATCATCCCCTGATTTAGAGAGCTCCATGGTCAGCTTGCAGAGATAGTTTTTCCAATGTAAGCCGTATGGATGAGCATGAGCACCCGCCATAAATCGATATTGAGAATCGAAAGTGGTCTGCAATCAATTTTCATTTTCCTTGGATTCTTTCAGATATAACCCCAAAGCTTTCAAACTCAAACCATGGAGGACTTGTGTTCTTCAGCGTTTGTTCTTTTGACTGATTGATAGGAAGACCGTACCCGACTAGCATAAAACCCTGTAATACTTGTCCCAGTGGCGATATGGAGTGGCTCCAGTGGGGAACATTCAGGTTACTTCAACCCTAGACGTTCGTGGAGGGCTGGAGGAGGGTAAATATTCTTGCTCACACAGATAGACCTGCCCCAGTTTGTTATAAGCTGTATATCAAATTAGCGTTTGACCTAATTTATGTCCTTTCCTCTCTTTGAAGTGAAAACCAAAAAGAATAGTACGCGCTTTCATAGAATGGACTTTCATAGTGGGACATCTTGATCCAGGAAGTGTGTGGATTTGCTTCATGCCGGCACAATGTCTCAACAAAATTTCCCCTGGGTCCATCAATAGGAAAATCTGTTATATACCCAAAATCTTTTATCCACCAGGATCTGGTCGCTACCTACTGCCAGTCTTCCTAAAGCTTAGTTCAATAGCTATCATTCCTCTTGTAGAAACCTTTCTACTAGCTACTATAGCTATGTTACTACTTTTAGATATTTGGTGCTAGTGAATTACGTGCCACCTATGCTATATACAGCATCAAATACTCGGAGAGACGAGAAGGAAAAGGATTTCTGAAAGGAGAAAGATCAAATGAAGATATAGAAGTATGAAGAGGATGATATCTCCTAGCCACATCTCTAGGAAGGTCGGGCTTTGGTTTACATTGAACGACACGTCCCAGAAGTTCCAAACCCTAGACTCTTCGCGATGTACTATGATTCTAAATAACTTTTCTTATTTATGCAACGCGTCACTGGGATACAGGTTGGAAGTATTTGGGCATCATTAGAGCTCTCTGAGAAGGAGAATATTGTCGCAAAAATCTGACTTAGATTCAAGGTAATGCGAAAGGTCGAGTGTCTCTGGCCCGGCTTTTTCGGAGGCTTGGACGGGGGCCTTATCAGTTATAATATATTCGAAAACCTATATAATAGCGATAATCATCGACATCTAGGGCCTTTCCCCGGTGAACCTGCCTTGGGTGCTAGCTTAGTCGGTAATTTTCGAGCATCCATCGACAGAATATGTCGACCAGAATTCAAGGCTCTTTATTACGAAAGATAGCTCGCTTGCGTTCTTCAAGGTCACCAGTTCATGCTGATGCACGAGGACGCTTAGCAGAATAAAATTCTAATCATAGTGAATACAAGTCGCCCGGATAATCAAGGTAGGCGATCATTTGACATCGTACTGGCGGATTGGGAGCATTCCGGTTGGCTTCCTGACTTATGCCTGTAAGCCCCTTAGATTCGGGTGGGAGAGCGACTGGTTCTTTCGATTTGAGGAGGGTGTCCCAGTATTATCCGGCCCGGTGGCGATGATGGAAGAGCTTGACAGGGATCAATGCGGCTTTTGAAGTACGTGCCTAGGCCAATGTAATGTCTAGAACGAAATCAATATGGGTTTTCACCCCTGATGAGAAAGAAATCAATGTCGATCAATCAATATGCGTCTTCCTGGTGTAGGCTTCTCTGCTTACAAGATAACATGTGGGCATTCACGCCTTCAAGGTTCCAGCTCAGTGTGCATGAGAAGTGTTGCCAACAACCGGAAACTTGACCCAATTGAGAGCGGTTGGCATGGACAGATGAAAGATCGAACATAAACAAAGAAAATGACAAGATGATAAGTGCGGGGCTCATCGTCCCTGTATTCCACCGAAACACTTCGAGTACACGTGAATTACGATGGAATGAGCAAAATGGGGTTGAAGGGGTGGCATTGGTCTGGTTGAAAGGAAGTAAAATCCACACGAAGGAATTCCTGCTGTCCGGAGCATCCAGATCATCTCATGCACATTACAGCACGCTTGAACATTATCAACGAAATCAAAACGAAAAACATGGAATAGAGACGCAGTCCCTCACGACTTCCGCATATTGTACCCACACTCTCAAATACCATCTGTCCCGGACCACTGCCTTTGTTGCGTCTGTTTGGTTTCGGTAGATTTGTGATCAGTGATGACCAGAAATCGGCTTCGAATTCGGCTTCCGGGTTAAAAGCGTTTTTGTTTAGAATTTAGCATTGATTATAGCCGCCTTCACGTCCTGTGTCCATTCATTACACTTCCTAATCGGCCGTGTGAATCTGTTGCACGGGCAAGAAGTCGGGCCAGTTTTCTTCCTGTCACTTTCCTCGATCCACACAGTCTTATTTCTCGAAAAGGAGAAGCTATTGAATATCGCGAGGACCCACATATTGCTCTGTGCGTTCCGCCATGATAGAAATACTCGTTCCCTAATAATTTTGTATAGAATCTCCGGTATACTCGGAACGTAGCGCCGTAACACGCTAGTCAGTGAGGCAGGAGATGTTCAACACTCCCTGCCAGATAGTTCCTATATTAGACATTATCACATTGAGCCGTCGGAGAGTAAGGATGTTGTCGTAAATGCGTGGAATCATGAACTGTCTCGGGTTTTGCTTTAAGTTGTTATCTCAGGGGTTCTTTGACTGGTTGAGACTCTTCTTCAGGGTTAGACCCTATTTTCTGTTGTGTTTATATCCATTTCACATGGTCAACATTAGGGTTACTCTTGCTTTTGCTAGAAGAAGCGCCTTCATAGACACTACACCACAAGCTAGGCTACATTAGATTCAAGGAGTCATTTGTTGATGATTGATTGCTTGATTGGCTGTCTATATCCTGAGTTATCAAATAAGATCGGTCAAACGTTCATCTTGGACATATATTCCCGGGTATACTGATCCGGATCCCAAGCGAGAGATCTTGTCTCATTTTCTTGAAGCTTCAAATCCACATACTGCTCCATGATTTCCTTTTCTTCGGGTTCCAAGAGATCAAGTCTCTTCTCCCATAAATCGCAAATATTGTCGTCATATGTATTGGATTCGAAGAATCGCTGATCGATCTCGTTCCAAAAGATATAGTCAAAGGCAAAATTATTCCTTGCAGCGTACATGATCCAAAAGTCTCCGCTTTCCCAGCTCCTTTGCATCCGACTAGAGAGCCGCTGATTTTCTTCGAGCGGTTCATTCCTAGTCCGGAATGCCTCCTCTTCGCAATCCCTCATTGCCTGAAGGAAAGTCGGAAGTCGTTTCTCATACTCTGCGCACCAGTCATCAAAGCCTTTGGTCCAATATTCCGGCTTATCAAGAAGAAGCCACCAAGGTGGCGCGTGAGAAAATTCGGCTGGGGGGTATATGCGAACTCCCAATCTACCGCTCCAACGATTTTGTCATCTTTATCGACTAGAATATTTGCTGGTCGAAAATCGTCGCACCACAGTGGAAATGGATCATTCTCATGAAGTATCCATTTACCCCTAAGTTCGGGATCTCGAACAAGTTTTCGAAAAAGGAACCTAGCAACAAATTTGCGCCGGCAGTCGTCAGCCGAATCTATAGCATCGTTTCTTTGGCTTTTGAGATGTGAAATATGTAAATTCGCTAGGGCTTCAAAATATAACGACGCTCTATCGAAAGTCGTCGTTGGCAGCTTCGATCGAGGTAGCGTCCCTAGTCGCACAATCTCATTCATAGAGATGGATAACGGTGGATATGCCACTTCCCATGCCGATGTGCTAGTCCGCTTCGGGGACCCTATATGGCTCAAAGACAGCGTGGATAAGGAGAAGACGATATCAGCCAGCTCTCTATAGAGGGCCTTTAGCTTTATTATACTGATATCCGGATTGAGTTCTGGATGTTGGCTTGGTTCCATACCCGGCGCCTCAAGAACATCAGACATGCTTCTCTCGTGGTCAATATAGTCCATGATTATAAAGGGGCCCAATTTTGAGGGGCCCTTGTTTCTTTCTCCCCAGCGAGAGATCAAAGGAACTGGAATCGAAATCGTATTTAACGACCTTTCCGCGAGGAATTACATGACAGAGACCTCGTTACGAATTTTCTCTTCAGGGAACATAATAGCACCAACAATTGGGAGCCGTAAAACAGCGCCGCCTGTATCGGTATCAGTAAAAGTCATAAGGAAGCTAGTGTTGAAACCGCCATTGTCAAGGTGCTTGAACTCGGCGCATTTCTGAGGGCTTATGTGCTTGACAAGAAATTGTCCAATGTCATTGTAGACATCTCCAGCAAAGAGAAAATCTACCCAGGACTCTTCGATATCATCGCTTTTTTCCCAGGCAACATCGTCGAAGGGCAGACGTCGTTCCATCTTCAATATTTGGAAAATATCGGGGACAAGTGCCCACTGTCGGTGTGAATTTATGAATGAAATGAGATGATGATAGTGTTAGAAAATAGGGGGTACCAGCTCAAGATATGCATGATCATGCAAGAATAACAACGTGATCGGAGTAATGTAAACCCGACCTAGCACTACTTTGTGATATACGTATGTAAACTACGATGACGGTTAGAAACGGTCCTATGGGGTGAAGTTAAGTACAATAAATCTATTTTTATCACATCATCACTATAATTAACTAGTTAAAAGTTACTATCTTTGTCTCACTCAGCAAAAATCTTGATGATTTCTGATCGGCGGCGTTTCAGCCTCTGATCAGTAACTGTTTTTGGGAACAACAGTTGATACTACAAACGCGAATCGCTCCCAACTTTATGTCTGGCAGCCATTCGGCCCCTGACCACAATCAACATTGTATTTAATAGCCAATGTGATAGAGCCAAATTGCTCCCAACCCCAATGCTGGCGGCGATCTGCCCTCTGATTAGTACCAGCGCTGAGTGCATCAATTGATGTTATCGAGTATCCCTGCTTATACAATATCTACGTCTACTACCGAATGTCTCGTGAACATATATACTGCCTCGTTTCCACCCGTATTCAAGTTAAACAGAGACCAAATATCAAGTTTCCTTCCATTTACTACTGCCATTCTTCTAGAGCCCACTTTCCTTGAGCATTCAAAAATCGCAAAGTCTTGGCTTATTATATCCGATCCACTGATTTATTCTTTGGTACGCCTTTTTCAATGATTCCAGATTTGACTAAAAATGACCACCAATGCTACAGATACCTAATCCCTTTATCGTCATGTCGGAGAAGCTTTTCATCGGGGGTGCTGATTATGATCGGATGAAAAAGCAAGGCAAACATTCTAGGGACAAGCGCCTAAAGTCAGCAGCAGAGAAGAAGGCCGCCGCCGAAAAAAGAAGGCCGGCGACGAACAAAAGAAGGCAGTAGCCAATGCGAAAATGGCGGAGAAAGCCGGAGACATTGCGGGTAGTAGGCGCGTAGGAGCAGCAGGTCGGATAATAGAAATGTACGGCCCCAGCAGTAGCAGCAGCGGTGGCAGCAGCAGTGGCAGCCACCACCGGGATAATACAAAAGGTAAGGGAAAGCAACCGGAGAAACGGAGGGGGTAGAAACCAACGGTTTTGTTTTTAGACTCTGCAGCTCAATCCCTCGTCTAGAAGTGGATTGCATATCATCCTGCCTCGTTTCGCTCCGTCACCAAGGCTTTAGCCAGGAGGTATCGGAGCATGAAAGGTTTTGTAGGGAAGCTGCTCATGAAGAGGCTAGTTGATAACTCGATGGATGCTAGGATTCTGTCGCTCCCACCGATTTTCAATAGTTTTTCCACCTAGATCGTCTAAACAACAGTCCGTTCATTTCTAATTCTTGTGAAAGAAAAATTGTAATTCAAGCCAACGATCATGCCGAGCAAGAAAGGCATTTTCAGAAAATCCAGGACGTAAAACATAGGCGGAGAGGAAAGCAGGACACTCGCCTAAGGCGCGAAGCAGTGGGGAGGAAGGGGTGATGGATGTCGACAATTGTAGAAATCTGGGCAATACTGGTGCTTAATTGAGGAACCCATTTGGCCTCCTTCGACTGTGAACAGACGGCGCCGTGGCTGCAGCAGCACCCACTGACGTGGGCTTGGATTCTCTGTTGGCCAGGCAGCGCCAATACGAGGCATCGGGGGCATTAGGCTGCGTGGGCCGTTGGATACGCAGAGGACGAGAACCTTCTGAACCAATGAGATCGACTTGACAAAGAAGTGACATTGCGATTGAGTCTGCGAAGTGGGGGCAGAAAGAGGAGGAGCGGCAGGACCCTCCGTCCCCATTGGAGCCGGATCCAACCAGATCGAGTGCTAACCGCGGAAGCAGGTTGGTCCCAATCATGGCGAAGACCATTTCCGAGCCAGCTTCCATCGTCGCTGCGATATCTGCCACCACGCCACCGTGCCATATTCGATGGCGTAAAATTTGTCAAGCAGTAGAAAGGCCCTCCCGCCCATTGCACCCATTACGTCCGCATCAAGACAAACGATAAGCCACGCTCCACTGCGAATTATGCCGACCCCCGGGCCTGGGTTAGTTGTTCTCACTTAGTTTGTATAAAATCTATTTTTATACCTGGTTATCGCTACAGTAGGCCATAGTTGTTGTGGCTGCTACAGATTCAATATAGAGGCAAAGAAGAAAAGTATAAATCAAAAAATATCGATGTGTACAGAAATCTGCGTGCGTATAATGAATACTGATCAAGCTCTGTCTTTCTTGTTTTGAACTATTCATTTTGTAATATTGCCATTAGTACATTATTGTCATACTGCTTAGCAAGATGTAAAAGGGTTATCCCATCCGCTCTCTTTGCCTCACGATTGCAACCGTGTTGCAGTAAAATTCGAACGTTTTCCTCTTTCCCATGCTCAACAGCTCGAAAGATGGGTGTTTCTCCACTGCCATTTTCGACATCAGGATGAGCCCCTCTTTCAATTAAGGCCCTACTGATGGAACTCTGATCGTGTATAACAGCTTTATGTAAGGGTGTATTGCCATGAGAATCCTTCGTGTTTGGATCCGCACCGCAGTCGAGAAGAATCAGTGCAGCAGTTTCATGGCCAAATGAGGCACAGATACTTAGAGCAGTAGAGCCATCCTCTTCCCTGCTTTCAAGATTCACGCCGCTTTCCACTAAAAGTCTCACAACCTCGTGGCAGCCTTGTAAGGCAGCGTCGGTCAGGGGAGAGGTGCCCGTTCGATCTTTCAAGTTAGGACCAACGCCTCTTTCAAGCAGGCCTCGGACTATTTCAACATTCCCTTCCAATGCAGCAGTGTGAAGAATTGTCTCCGGAACTTCGTATCCTTCGATGCTTGCATTGTGATTCAGTAAGAGCCAAAACGTCGCCGGTTGCGACCCATAAAGAGCTTGGAGTAGAGGCGTGCTTTCGTTTGAATTTTCCGTTTCAATATTGGCTCCTTGCTCGAGAAATAGCTTGACAATACCAACATGGCCATGGTAAGCTGCAATATGGAGTGGGGTGTTATAGCGAAATAAATTGCCCTCGAAGTTGTTTGACTCTAAGTCCGCGCCATGGTGCAACAGCAGCCTCGCCACTCCCTCATAGCCCTTGCCCGCTGCCACGTATAGAGGAGTTTTGTTCAGCCTCTTACAGTCCACTCCAGCTTCGTATCTGAGAAGCAGTTCGACAAATCGCTCATTTGCGGTCTCGGTAGCGCAGTGAAGGGGCTCTCGGTCCCAGTCAATGAGGTCTTGAACACCATAGCGTAGCGCGTAGTCGGCAGTTTGGAGCTGTTCATATTGCACCGCCCACAATAAAGCCGATCCAGTAAAAACCCGAGCATTCACTGAGTAAAGGTAAGCGTTCAAGATCGAGTAAAGTCGCTGGCTACTGCGAAGTAGGGCGTTAATATCCGCCTGCGATTCAAGGTGCTGCGCGATATTCTCCAGAAGCTCGGTCGGAAAGTCTAAGAGATGCATAATTTGTCGAATCAGGAATCTGGAATGGGTTTGACCTTTTATATTGCGGCTGGCAATATGTTGTCAAACGATACAACCGCGAAAGAGAGAGAAAGCTTGGGCTGGTCGCGAAGTGGGGCGGACGAGGCTGAAAGCTGCCACTCCCGAAATGGCGACTGCCTGGCTCTCTTTGGGCCATTGCGATAGATTTGTGTCGGATTCATATCGGCATCGAAGGTTGATTAATATAAGAACGACTCGTCCGGTTATTGGCTGACCAGGAGTCTCTCCCTGGTAGGGATTGAAGTCTGACCAGTAGTACTCTAACTGCCGATCGCATCTGATGGGTAGGATGGCCTGTGGCTCAATTTATCCAAGTTCACTTGTAGTTAATTATATACTTTCTGCGAGATGGTCGGTCATGATTTCACAGTTGTTGGGATCTAAGATACCGAACGGATTTTGTCACTTTGTCAGCTTTCTCAAGTCAATTTGGGATCCGACATTTCGTCTGAAAATAAGAAGCCTCCAGTGAGTGAGTGTTCTTCAGATTAGATAGACGTCTCCTTGTTTGGTTCTTAGCCGAAGTTTGGATCAGTTCTACTCCAGGTGAGTTGGTAAATAAAAACTACTTCTGAAATCTTCTTTTCGTGTAGCAAATACTAGAACATACGCAGGAAATTGCTTATGTTTGTTTCGACTTCCGATTGCACAGTGGAAAGCTAATATCATAACGGTGGGTTTCTATACTCATTCAGCTCTTTTTATGCCTGACCTCCTTCCATTCTGACTCTGCGGTTATCGTATTCAGCCTCTGGCTCACTACCTTCCCCCTCTCGGTTCTATAGGAAGATTTCCGAGACCACCCTGGCACACTTCGTCCGTTTATCAAGTGGAGATCCGATGGCCTAGTCCGTTTCCCGCATTCGGCAGGTCGCCCAGCAGGTCCCCGCCCCCCTTGGCCAGGGCGATTGGCTGCGACCGGGAGCTTTCCCCGTACGCCACGTTCCCATGGGGAATTTCTCCGGACAGCTGTTAAAGTCGAGTGCGAGTCCTTGAAACTTTTGCTAATTTGATGTGCTGGATCACATTGTACTTTGAGTCGCAGTATCGGCCCGAATTACCGGCTCGCAAGCCCCAGAAATACGGCAAGGCCGTCCTACACCCTCAAGACTGACCGAGCTCCACGACGTTCACCCCGCCTCTTCTCATGTTGCTGCAGTCAATATGAGGACACAGACACAAACACAGACAGAGGCCATCGTTCTCCAGGCAAGTGGGACAACAGATCCTGTCTCGGAAGAGCCTGCGGTGTGGCAAGCTTCAACAGTCGACGAGTATCAAGTGCCCAAATGGCTCTACCCCAAGATCCTCAGCGCTGGCGTTTCGTTCTTTGTGGCCGGCGTCAATGATGGTAGTCTCGGATCTCTCATTCCCTATGTGATCCGAAGTTATGGCATCGATACCAATATGGTAGCTGTCCTGTGAGTCGCCCCATCAGAAGGCCGCATGGGCCAGCCTGCTGTCGTCTTCCCACAAACCCTTCTCCTAACTATTGTCCCAGATATGGCGTGACATTTTTCGGCTGGTTCTTCGCCGCGCTCTCCAATAGCTCTATCTGCCAGCACCTCGACCTAGGTGTGATTCTATCCATCGGAGCCGCGCTCCAGATCTTGGCGCACGTTTTGCGTACATGGCTCCCTCCGTTCCCTCTCTACGCCTTCACGTTCTTCTTCGCAAGTCTGGGCCAGGCATACAATGACACGCACGCCAACACCTTCGTATCCTCTCTGAAGGGTGCACATCGCTGGCTGGGCTTTATCCACGCTATGTACATGGCCGGATGCCTTGTCGGTCCCTTTGTAGCGACGGGGGTGGCGTCTGCCAACGCGCACTCAAAATGGAACCTGTTCTATCTGTTCCCATTAGGAATCGGCGCCATAAACATGGCGCTAGTCGGACTATCTTTTCACGACCGCATGGTTTTTTCGCTCAAGAAAAGAGGAAACAGTAGCCCAGGTCAACCCGTATCCGAGTCGACGAGCCGAACGGCCTTGAAAGAAATCAAAGCAATTCTTTCAACGCGCGGAGTATGGCTAGTGAGCCTCTTCTTCTTTTTCTTCCTTGGAGCCACCATAACGGCTGGTGGATGGATGGTCGAATATCTCGTCAAAGTCCGCAACGGGGATATTAATGACATGGGGTATGTGCCCGCTGGCTTTTACGGAGGCGGATTCCTTGGACGACTTATTCTGGCCGAGCCCACACACCGACTTGGAGAACGACGGATGATCTTCATCTACACGATCTTATGCGTAGGGCTGCAATTGGTCTTCTGGCTGTATGTTATCGAGTTCGCAGCGAGATATGGGAGAATATCGACTCATCATCAATTGCAGGGTTCCAAACATCATCACCGAAGCCGTGGCCGTCAGCTTACTGGGGTTCTTCTCGGGGCCTTTCTTCGCCACTGTAGGTCCTGACACTCTTTGAACATAGATAGCTGCTTGTCATTCGAGTTCAGAGGCTAAGCCAATGATCACATGCACAGGGAATTTCCGTGGGATCTAAAATCGTGCCTCCAGAGATACGCTCATCAGCCATCGGTAAGCACACTTCTTTCTATCAGCCAACAACAATTGGCCCCAAACGGCCCATTCTGAACATGTTAGCATTCGTTTTTGTGCTCGGTCAAATTGGAGGATCTATCTTCCCAGCCATTACGGGGATCATCGCAGCCCAGGTCGGGGTTAAAGTCTTGCAACCAATGCTGGTAGGGTTACTTAGTGCCGCGGGCATTAGCTGGTTGCTTTTACCCAAAGACGCCGGCCTTCACCGGGAATGATCGAAGCAGTATCTGCAAGCGCTACGAGTTTAATGAAGAAGGGATTGCTACGGTTCAAAACATAGCTCCACCGGGAGTGAAAGGGGACAGCAGGGTAAAAATAAGGCGTGCATTAACTCTACGTCCGAACTGTGAAATCGACAAACCCAACCAAACTAAACTCCAGGGTATCAGAAGTCATAACATCGTCAGATCACGTCCACGGACAAGCAATAGACAAGCAAACAACCTCACATTCCAGACCACAGATCCTTCTGCAGATCGTAAATTCCTCGAATACAATCCTAGCAATTTCAGTAGCACAAACCCGCCCATCATCTCTAAAAGATATCTTCCGGCCATGGATAATTCTCAGTCCCAGAAGGCATCTCTAACGCGTCTTCTGTCCCCATGTGACCTTTTTCCGGACTGAGACTCTTCCTAGGCGAGCTGTTGACCTTAGCAGCATTCATGAGCAGCTCTTTCGGAAGCGGGGGTACAGGCGGGATGTCCTCGTGCTGTCGTCTGCGCTTGCGGCTCGGGCTTGATTTGGACGGCGAAGAAGAGGGGGAGCGATTGGGATTCAGCTGGCGATGCGGCTGCATGTAGAACGTGCTATGGCGGTCGGTTTGCAGAGGCGAAGACGAAAGTCCCATGTTAGTAATTGCAGTGTCCGGGTCAGGCACGGCGGTGATGCTCGGCGAAACGGAGCGCAGATTGGAATGGGCGCGTCTCATACGCAGCGGGGGAGGTGATCTGACGGCCTTGGAACTTGGTGAGCGGGTGATGGCCGAAGAAGAAAGTCGGGATTGGGTAGATGGGGACCTTTTATGCATCGAACCTGGAGGGTGGTGCGCGAATAGGTCCAGGTGCCGCTTGCGCTCGACGGAGCCGGGGCTATCGTCGGCTTCGAATTTCTGTAACTTCGGCTGGCGTGGAGGACTGAGAAGACCGAAGTCTATCAGGTCGTCGTCGTAGTCGGGTAGGGGTAGGCTGAGGTTGTCGCGGTCGACGTCGATGCGGCGCGTCGGACAGGACTCATCACGGTGGTTCGGGTTCCGACTAGCGACGACAGGTTCAGGAATGGGGGACTTCCTTTTGCGGGAAGAGCTTTCCTTACCCATGGAGGATGGCCGTGGCTCTCCCGGTCGCCTGTGTGGAGACCTATTCGCGATAGTACCCTGGGATGGTTGTGCTTCCGCGAGCGAAATGCCTGCTCGGCTTTCCATGGATGGCAAAGCGGTTAGTTCAGTGGCGGGTTCAGGTGATTCGGAGAGTACAGCTTGTTGATCGAGCAGCCGTTCTGATGGAAGGGTGGGCAGAGCACCTGGGACGAATTTGCGAGGATAGCTTCCGGGATCCATGTCGAAACTCATAGATTTTCGCTCTGGCGTTGGGGCAGGTAATCGTTCCTCGTTGCCCGTCAATTGACGAAGTTCTCGTCGAGCTCGCTCCAATTTGTCTTCGAGATTGCTGACTTTCTTCAGAAGCTTGGCCTGTTTTGAGAGTTCCTTGCGTGATTTTTGCTTGCGCAGCCCGGTGTTGTCAATTGACTCTTCCGAAGTTCGATCTTGGTGAATGGATGGATAGGATTGGTCGTGTTGTTTCATAAAAGGGAGACCCAGAGCTGTGGCTTTTCGAAGGTCCTGGAAAGAGGATCGCTTCGAGGCCTTAGAGCTCGATCGTGAAGGAGTTGGCGCATCGCCTAGGTCTCCTGGATGCGGATCTCCTATGCCAGGTGCAATACCAGAACCGTAGCTCATTTTCTCCTGGATGGCTTGCCAAGTCTGGTCGGCGTTGGTTGAATCAACACATTGGCTCTGAAAGTAAGCGCCTTTGTTCGTGCCCTTGTAGCCGGCCTTCTTAAGCTCTGCATAAGCCTGCTCTGCCTGGCTGAGGGCATCCTTCTGAGCCTGCGGCTTAGTGACATTTTCGGGCGTGCTCTTACTCCAACCGCCGAACGGGTTGAATGCAGATGCAATTGCCTTTCCAAATCGAAAGATCCCCGACCCTCGATGGTGTGGACCAGCTGGTTTGCTCTCGCGCATGAAAATACTTGGCGGCTTTTCGCTAACACTATCGCTCATCGTCGCCTCAACAAACCGCGAGCGCCGCCCCAGCCGCGTCCGCGGACTATGAGAAGAGATACCACCATATCGGGCCCGCAGGGAAGTTGCCGATGCGCGAGGCGAGGATGTGTGACTCGGTGTCAGATTGGCATTTCTAGCGCCATTGCGCGCGGCGCGGTGGCCGTGATGCCCGTAGTCGGCCGCCTCCTCCGGCAGAGGCCAATCGTTCGAGCGACGTCGTTTGACTGTTTTCGCCGACGAGGTCTTGTAGTCCTCCAGTTCGGGCTCTTCGGGAGCATCGTCAAATCGGCCAGAGACATCTGAGCTCCAATCGGACGCCTCATATTCGTCGCTACTGCGCAGGTGTTTCCGGGAAGAGCGTTGCTGGGCGGGGCTCAGGTCGATGTCCATTTCGACGGAGTCGGAAGGTCCCTAAATCGGCATCGCACGAGTCAGATTCATTTGTCCACCTTTTCAAGATAGACTCTTTGGCGCTCCTTAGACAATCATGAGGTTGTAAATGTAGCTTTTACCTTTGCGCCGAGGGGGTCCATTATCCCTGCCTGCTCCCCCGCGTCCTTGTCACGGGAGGAAAGTGTACAGTTGTTGCGCCGAGGCGAGGACAAGAAAAAGGGTGTAAAGAGATCCTGGAATCGAGTCGCGGAGGATTGGCGATGAAATAAATGCAATTCTCGGGACACTTTTCAAGTCCGCATTGGGGGGGTGAAGGGGGATGTCAGAGAGATATTAAGTCAGAATCACCATGGACAACTGCTTTTGTTTACACTCGCCGCTGATGCGGAGTATGTGCCGAAGGGGGAAGTTTGTTGTGGTACCCGCTACCACCCGTTCCCACCCCTCTCCACGTACCGCACAGGTACCTGTTACAAGAGGCGGTAGAGTAGAATGCTTCTTGACAGCAGGTCTTCAACCCCATCAACTATTGGCATACTAGTGTCCAATTTGTCTAATAAAGTGCAACAAGGCAGGCAATGTAGGCAGGTATACAGGTATACAGGGATTTCAGGGACTTCGACCTTGCGGGGGCAGATCGATCGGGTCTGCACCTGGATTCCGCGTGTCTCAGATGGCGCATCTGTCCAGCCAAGCGCGAGGAATGGAGAATGTGATAGATGGGACAGATAATGTAGGGAGAGGGAGTTCGCAATTTCATATGGGGAGGTCTATATCGGGCTCTTACAATTATACGAGATGTATACAGTGCAGGATTGGTCGTCAAAAGTTGTTTGATTCGGTAAAACAATGCTAGGTATCAAATAGATGCCACAAAACGCCTGATAAGGAACAAAAACACAAGAGATTAAGCAATAGGCCCGTGGGAAGTGGGTCGATATCGCTGTAGTGGAGATCAAGAAGGGAATTCAACGTCCCGACGTAACTCGAGATGCACTTTCATAAAATAGCAATCCCTCTTCATTCGCAGGGGTGGTGAATTGCAAAGGGGGAAGGGGGAACCGAGCGCTGGCACCCAAAAAGGAAATGGACCTGACGTTTGCCGTCCATTTAACCGTCCATGCGAGATAACAATCCCAAGAAAAACGCAAGAAAAAGGGGTTAAAGCCAGGAGAGTCACCGGCCTATCCAGTAGCCCTAAGTCCAGTCCCCTATCAACGGAATGGCGAAGTATGACATTGCGCTCACGGCACGAATCCCTCGGAAAGCCTAGATAGGGTTGGTGGGCTAATAGAAGCATTCGTCGGTTCGACGAAAGGGAAGTCAAAGGAAGAAAGGAAGAATGCAAATCCCAAGAAACGAATGCACGAGATAGAGCTGTTGGAATCATCCAACAGAGGGGAATAAATAAGAGCAACCATAAAACCCCAGCATTGACCAACCGATTTTCCACGCAAAATAGTTGAACATGAAACAAGATCAGGCTTTCCAGAGGAAAGGAGCAAAAATGAAGATGAGGACACAATGCATCGAGATATCTAGGCGCAAAAGTGAGACCGCAGAGCGGGAATAATTCATGTACAGAAAAGGTGCGAAGCATAGCTTGTTCAGGATAAAACAACCCAGCAAACTAGCCTCCTGTTCCAGCCGCAAACAAGAGCAGTCTCTGGAGAGAAAAGTAATTTTTAACAGTCATCTTTCATCCAGGGGGGGAAGGGGTTTGCTTTTGCAAAAGATGAAGTTTATTAGGTACCGGGGGGTACTTTCATGACCATTCGCCCATTAGCTCGCTTGTATGCCATGTCTGGGCCTAATTCAGCCATCAATGCTGCCCGGCTCTCGGCAGAGAAGTCGCGATAGGCAGCTGGGTAAGGCTCCGCATCGGGACGCATGCCATTTTGCATTGACCGATCATCAAGGCCAAATGAGTCTTCGTGAGTGCGCTTGCCAGAAACAGGCCCAGTCTGGTAGAGCATACGTTTGCCTGAGACGGAGTCGTAGCCTGGACTGGGAGAGCCTATCTCGATAGTTGCTGCAACGTTGGCATAGTCATTCGGTACGGTCTTGAGAGACGGAAGAGGGTGAGAGGGATGGGCGGGATTCGGAGTCTGGGCGCGAGGCATCATGCCCTGGGGCATGGCCTGATACATGCTTGGATCGGGCACCATATACGGTTGCTGCATCTTCGGGGCTTCGACGCGGTATGAGGTCATGGCATTCTTGGGATAACCACCTCGTTCAGGTACCTGAGGGGCCATAGGGTACCCAGATGAGGATTCGTACTCTGACGCGTTCGACGAGTGTCGAATGTTGGCGTAACTGCTATGAGGCGAATACATTCCAGGAGGAACGACTGGCGGTGGTGTTGGGGGCATGTGAGCATTAGGATAATGGGTAGATGTTGAACCGAAGGAGAGGTGAGATTGATAGGAGGGGGTTTGGGCGTGAGACATAGGCGCGGGCGGCATGGGTCTCTGGTAGGGTTGGGGGCACTGGAAGCCATAGTCGGGCGCCGATGGCCGCCGTTGAATCTCGGGTCCGAATCCGTACGGCGATTCCATGGCGCTGCCATTGCTATTCGATCGGGGTCGTTCCACCGTTTGGGCGACATATCGATCTGGTGTTGAGTACCTGTCTGACCGAGCATATACCGCTCGCTCCTCATCAAAGTCATATTCCTCTTCGCGCTTGTCACCTCGGCGTCTCATGCGAACATCACGTCGAATGCGCACACGGCATCCTTGCTCTGCAATTATTCGACTCAATGAGGTACTGGTGGCCAGGCCAGGGAACTTCTTCGCACTATACACCGTAAACGGTATTGACTTAACCTCGAGACGAAAGTGAAGAAATGCTTGTGGCGCGCCTGGCTTGGATGTGTTGGTTGGGCTGACTTGATTCGGTAGCGGCATATGCGAGTCCTTATCGGCGTCCTTTGAATCCTTGATCTCTTCATATAGGTGGAAGCTCAGGCGATATCGACCTTCATGACGGACCGACAGGTCCGGGAAGATAAAATAACCTGCTTGTGAAGGGCGATCCAAATATGCGACACCTGCGACAGGCACTCCTGTTAATACGGGGCATGACGGCGGTCCAGCCACCCGCCCGTGTGCGATTGGGCGCGCTGTGTCGAGGGTTGCGTAGAGGAAGAAATTGGCATTATAGGCGAAAGTAATATCGGTCTTTTGGGCCTCATTGCCCGGATCGGATTCGAAAATGCGTAGTTCCACAACAGGCGGAGGATCGACGGGGCGACGGTCAGCCGATGCTTTCTTCTCGTCAGCCCAACTCAACCACGACAAGGACCCAGATCGGATCAATTTAGCACAAGGGCTTACATTTGGCACCAGCGCCACAGGCTCGCGCACGCTCTGGTTGTTGCATCACGCTCAATTTATAGGTTAACTGTTTGCCTTCGCGAGTAATCCGGCTGACGGAATGCTCCGTTTCGTTATGCGGCGGCATCATGGGTGGTCGAGCCGCCATTTTGTCGAGGTCTATATGGTTATTTTCCTCCAGGGAATTTCTGTCGATAGCAGCGACATCAGCAAATCTGTGGGTCAAAGGGCAACACTTGGACGGGTATCACAGTCGATGGCAGGTCGATGTGTTTTTGCGGCGCGCGACGTACGATCGACTCGCAAGAGTCCGTGTATATTATTTTTCCCTTTCCTGCCTTGTTCTTCTCCTTCTCAATCTCTGCCGGATGGAACGTAGTTTTCGCACTGGCCAGCTTTTTGTTTGATTTGATTCCACTCCGATTTGGCTATCCGTTCCAGGGTATCGTTGTTCGGAGCCCCCCCCGGTTGGCTTTCCCTTCGGTCGGGTCTGAGCCCTTGCTGAGAAATCGAGTACGATCGCAGGCGGTCAATCGGCGGATGGCGGGCACGAAAGCTGGGAGGACGTGGACTCGAGATATCCTCAGTACGTACAGGAAACCGATTCACGACGGAATCATGGGAGCCCCAACGTGGACTGCAAAGCGAAAGATCCCCAGGAAACAAGTGGTTGGGAAGGAGAGGTGAAAAGGGAAGAGAGGGGGAACCGGTGACACTAGCCTCAGCCGTGACTCGCTTGGTACGGGCGTTCGTTATGGCCCGCGGCGGCATGGGCCAAGTACTGGGTACTTCCCGTACGCTGTGGTAAGATACGGTATGCCCAGACTCCGTATTCTCTGTATCGCCCGTAACGCTCGATGACACGCCCTGACACACCCTGACACGCCCTCCAGTGGGCGATCAACTAGAGGCCGTCCTCACCAGCAAGTGAAGAAGGGAGTGACGATTACAGGACATTACAGCAGATGACGATACCTCCCATGCGCCGAGTCTCGTCGGGGAATCACACCGATGATGTTCATGATTTTCCGTCCAACTTTGTCCAAAGGGCCCCCACCGTACCTACCCCGTAACGATGCTTGACTCGGTTGGCTTGTATCTCTCGGTTTGGACTTGGATTAAGAAATTAGGAAAGGCTCAATACGGGGAGACAGTAGACGACTACTAATGATGAATATAGTTATGAATATGACTGGCTATACTACTCCAGGCCAAGCTCAAATTCATGGCCGATCCCGGTGACTATGATCATGCAACAATGCATACTCCTCACCGATGATGATGAATCTGGCTCGCAAAGGGCTGGAGATCAGGAATGTGTTATACGGCGAAAAACCGGGTTTGAAGACCATGAACTATACGCAGGACCGCGAAGGCGGACGGAGGCGCTGGTCTGTAAAAAGACAGGACGGAAGTACGACGTCGAGGACGAGACTCTCCTTCGCTCCGACTGTCTGTCTTAAGACAAATTTCGGGGCTATCGACTGGGCGTGATCTGCGGTCTCAGGCAAGCTTCCTCGACCTTGACCAGTTCCGTGCTAGTCGGGCAAGTTTAGGGCTCCTTCGCGTCTTGCCGCCCAAATAACGGAAGGGGAAAAAAAAGTCGTGTATTTTTTGGCTTGACCACTAGGTCATAAGTCAGTATTCTAACGATATGGGATGGTTGCATCAAACAATCCCGCTCCCGATCCATCATCGCCAAAAAGAATCGTGATCGGTTCCCATCGGGTGGTCTTTGGGACATTGGACCCGTAGATTCCCTCGATGGTCCGGTTGATTCTCCCGGTGCCCAATGCCCTGGAGGTCTTGAGAGAGAGAGAGAGAGAGAGAGAGAGGAAAGGGAGAGGGACACGATACGGCCAGATCAGTTTCTCTTCTACTCCCAACATTGTCGTAGCCCAGGGATTGCGGAATTGCGGTGGGCTTTTTCGTGAAATTGCTCGACTTTGCTTGTTTGGCTGGGCGTGCCCGGCCTCTGCAGCCGGCGATCACAGCCCGTGCGTATCACTCCGCCGTGCGACCCGAGCATTCCTCTTCGCGATCGCAGCCATGGGACCGGCTGCCGACTCCACGTTACCCGTCGCCGCTGCTGGGTGGCTGCCCCAAATCCCAGTCCAGCGGACCGGAGAGATCTCCCCCTATTCTTGTTTCCAACGTCAACTCTTCCTGGGGAATTCGAGATCTCAGGTCGATATCAGGATCGTCTCTGCCAGGATTCCAGAACTTGGATCCGGAGCACCTATGCCGTCATTCTTCAAGAGACGAGGGGGCCGAGGGCAATATCGTCTCTGCCTTTTTACCTGCTGACGTGGTGCAGACATGACTTCGTACGGTTGGCCCGATTTCCGGTATTTTCCAGTACAATCGACCCCAATTGGGCCTCTGCTTGGTATCCCTGCTTCTCTCTCCAGCAACCAAGACGCTCAAATTCCGATCCGTGGGTCGCCCAGGTCTAGCCCCCCCCCCCTCTCCGGAGGAAACATAGCTTTCAGAATGACATCGCTCTCCTGCCAGACAAAGGATCGCAAATAGAAAGGCAGACGGACATATTTCTAAAAGAATAGCAGGAGGGCGGCGCGGTCCAGAGAAGCTTCGTTCCATAGCCATGGGAACGGCTCTAGCCGTTGTACGCCGGCTGCAAATAATCCATGTCGAAAGTTTTTTATTTGAATACGTTGGTAGGCATTCGGTGAGGAGCGAAGAGTATCTAAACTTTACCTCTGTCGCTTGGGATAGGCCGCATTGCGTACGGACTACTGTACACGTCTAGTTATCGTGGTTACAAGTTTCACAGTACGAAGTATCTGTACAATAGCCCAACAGTAAACGTCTTTCCCCCACCATCTCCTCTGATCCATTTTCCGTTTCTTTTCCTCTTGTCTCCCCTGGCAGGTCTAAAAAAGAGGGGGAGGGGGGGGGAGAGCATCCACCCAAGGACCCTCTTTTATCGAACCACCGATCGCTGTGCACGGCACGTCTTGGCCACAGCCCGGCACCACCAATGACACCACTGGTAGCAACGCCACAATGGGAGGACTGGACCGGCTAGACGGTTTCTGGTAGGAGCTGGCCCCAGTTGCCAGTTGTCCATCTAATCCAAGCCCATCGGGGGCGGGCCTGCCTGCGGTAAATTCGGATCTGCACATCCTCTTTCAACCCTTTTCATCGCTGGGCCCGTTCCTCGATTGGCAGCTGGTCATCACTAGTACACTCTACATAACTCCGCATGACTCGCAGCCGCGACTTGCTGGTGAAAAGATGCTTGAAGATCCCGCAGCTTGTGAGGGAAAACAAAAAATTATGAGCTGTCGACACAACTATCGACTGTTAGGGCGCCCAGGAATGCTGTTGTGTAGTCGAGAGCACAATGATCAACAGCCTCCTAGTTAGGCGGGGCCACCAAGTTCCCTGAACTGCCCAAGAGAGACTATACGGAGTAAATAGTGAATAGAAGAATTAATGATGGAAGAAGAGGGGGCTGGGGAAGGTATCGGGATCTGAAATCCCCCACTTCGAGGACGGTCCGCACCGAACTGGAGCACGGCCCAATGAAGCCATGTATTTGGTAATACCGTTCATGTTTCCCGCTTCGTACCCAGTACATCTGCAGAGTTGATACATCATTTCTGGCGTACAGAAAACAACACAAAAAAAATCAGAATTGTACAAATCAGAAAAACCAGTATTAGACAAAAGGATCTGTTGGCTGCGTTCTGCAAAGCTAGTCTTTATGTGGCGTGGTGGTGATTCGCACTGCGCAGAGCCTTGATCTTCCGAATCCTGGAAAACCTCAATGGTCTGACGATGCCGCAATGGCATAACAGCACGGTGCAGACCGTAGGCTTCATGATTCAGATGTCATATGTAGATTAAATACCTCCGGAATTTCATTATCCGACATTTTTACTTTATTACGGGCAGATAGTCATGACGATCTGGGATGGTCGATTAATGTACTCCGTGATTTTACGGAGTATCGAGTCCTGTAAACTGCAAAAGAGCGCCGGTGAGGTCTGCAGGAGAGATAATAGAGATAGAACTGCATCGATTTGGGGCCCCTAGTTGATCTTGAATCATGGGGGAGCCCATCCTCTGGAGGGTCATCGCTTCTGGTAAGATTGTGTTTTGGGAATATAGTATGGAGTACATTCATCTAGTGTATCTTTCCCCCTATCGATTCAAGCACACAGACCTAGGCCTGAGGGACATGACTCGATAAGCGAGCCGGCTGTCTTTGCTAAACCTCTCCCGTGGGAAATCAGCTGGCGACGTTAAGTGATCCTCTGCGCTGCAGACCGGTGGAGGGAAGGCCCAGCGGCCCTTTTCGGCCGGCACTGCCATGTTCTCATGGAAGTCAATCAATCAATCTCCCATGCTTTCTCCCCGTGCCGTAGAATAAACTCGAGAAACCTTCAAGACCTGGCTGATGAGATTCGGGGACTTACAGAGACTCCGACAAACACTCGCCCATTCGCACAACATCAGCCGCGGAGGACGTATCCAATCGGAATCTTTTCAAAGGGCAATGCCCTACTACCACTCTCTTCCATCGCCATCCAACTCCTTAAATCTTGAGTTGCAATAGATTGAGGCCAACCATAAGCGAATCTCGAAACTACATATCGTCTACAGCGAAATGCCGACCGTTGATTGCCTGGGCCGATGTACGATTGCCTCCTGTGTATACAAACAAATTAGTACTTCGTGCGGGTCAAGGAATCGACCTAACTGACTGCTGCTGTGGCTGTATTACTAGAAGAAACTCCAATTCTCACTACAGTAGATCGCCATTCCAGAAGAATTCGTTGAGTGATCAGGGGCAACGTAGCTCTTGGCAGGTCGAAGCCTCGGATTTCTTCAGCTCGCATTGGTCTCACGTCTGGAGCACATATTTGCTGATTATGAATCTCTCCAATATGTCTCGTGCTAATCTCTTTCTTTTCATCTACCCTGAATACTTTTCTTTCCGATCCTATGACAAAATCAGCCCGGTTTCACTCGATTTTCCATGTGTTCTTCGCAATATCATACTATAGCCCATATCCAACTACATCTCGCAATAGATTACACTAAGATAATCCGTGTCGGCTCCGAGACACCCCTGTCGGAACCATTACTAGTCTCCTCTGTGCCCGTGTCATCTCTCGCTCAGAGCCTGTTGTTCTTGCGCGGCAGCACTAGTCGATCATGTGAGAACCACTTCGCACTTTTTTCCAAATGGGGATAGTCGGGATCGTTAGGCGGTCGGAGGAGTAATTGGAAGTTGGGGGAAGACATAGAACTCATAATGATTGAGGGGGATAAGAGACAGGAGGTACCCCGTAGCTAAATATTCTTCGGAGGATATTCTGTTGGCCCACCGGCCACGCAGTGGTAGCTGCAACCGCTCCAATCGTTGTCCTGTCACTACATATCTCTATAATCGACTCCGTATGCATACATATCATCAACCCTGTCAATGCTAGCTTACTACTCTTTATGACATGAATGCCAAGCACATACTCACCTAGTAATACTCAGAAATCACCCCATACGAAGTAACTAGACAGACTGCATGTACGAAGAATGGAGTAGCTCAGTAGTAAGCAAAGACTGGCACTTCTGTCGGAGATATGTATAGAATAGGAAGTGCCAGGTAAACACCTTCCCTAGTCGCTTCGAACAGGGATGTGCGCAATGTTTTCCATGCCGAAGGAACTAGGCCCCTGCAAGGCCTCAAATGATGAGATTCAGTCCGCGTCTTGACGGAAAGGAGGCTTTTTATGGCAACCTCTACTTTTAAGTCTCTGTTACTCCGTAAATGATCCCTTGACTTTTCTTCCGTTCGACCGTTTGCCTCTACCTGCGAGTCCGGAATACTATATTCTTTAGTCTATACTAGGTGTTCTGTAGTGCAATATCGACGCCTCGCGATGAAAAATGGGTCCCGCCACGTGGAAAGCAGACCTATGAGGTGAATTTCACTCGATTGTCATTTGCTGCACCTAATAGGAGCAACGGTGACATCAGTTGAGAGACTGGGTCCACCCACTGGGTTGATTGTTGTGCGACAGGGATGCACAAAAAAAAAAAACTTGCAGCAGGATACGTGTCTAGCGCGCCTCCTTCCACTCTCCTCTGATCCCCCGAGACCTACGAGCCGCAATGATGAAGGATCCCGAGTTCCCCGGTGCCAGCTCCGGGCCCTCTCCCCTTCACTGTGGATCCTCTTGGGTCCAATTGTTCAGATCGAAGCCACGCTCTCTCCACCTCGACCCAGAACTCAGAGTGGACGGAGGTTGCCTGTCGATCGCTGTCCTTTACATCGGCATAACACAATAATTCTGTACCGTACTTAGTACGGCTACAGTATACTGTACACACAAGCCTTGTGTACGCAATCATGATCGACTAGTCCGCACCCAGTCTGCGGCGATCGGCTTCCCTCCGCTGTCACCGAGGCACAGACGAAAGGGGCAAGGCACCGACCACGAGTATTGTCGAGAAACAGACCAGGCAGTAGCCTTCCCTAGCCGGTCTTACCCTCGGGGCGTTGGGGCCGGCCTCGTTGCCCTGCCTACAGAGTACCTTGGAGGGCCGCGTCGGCAACCTGGCCAGGCTGGATCCACAATTCAGGACCAAAGTCGACGGGAGATCTGTCCACAGTCATGGCCGTATGGCTCCACAGATCATGACATTTGGGCATGGGAAGTTTTATGAAGGGATCGTGTATGAGGCCTACTTCTTGGTTGGCTGATGCATGAATAATAAATAATAGTAATATTGCGCCTGGTTCGGCCCGTATTTGGACCACCGATCCCTCCTCGACAGCGAACCACGAAAGATGGTGGAGATAGTTGGAGGTAAATATGAGTGGAGGTTCCTCTGATCCTACCTTATCCTTGTGGTCATGCGTCTCTTGCGGCCTATCAACTCGCGCCTTGAGATTCTGGAATGTGAGGGACCCCGGCCGAATCTTTCGGGCTTGCATTTGAAACGCAATGTGTTTGAGTGGGCATCTAGGGATGTACTTACATATTCTGCATTTCACAACCCTTAGATCTGTTTCAAAAATGATAAATTTTCAGTCATTCGCTCTCTACCCAAATGTACACCGCTGAATCGCCAATCTGGCATGTCCATTTCTCCTGTAAAGCGAGGCAAATGGCGATGTGAATGCGACGGCCCCCAAACACAAAAATATAGACAACGCACAAGGGGGCCAATCTACCTGTCAATTTCTATGAGGCCCGCGTATCTATCGGAGGAATACTCAAGCAGTCATGAATGAGAGTTGGCCAGGTAATGCTGTTAGGCAACCGGGCCAGACATGAGTTAGTCACCCGGCCGTCCTGAGCTACTCACGGGGCGAATGAGCTGCTCCCCAAGCAACCTGATCGTTCACCCTAATGCTTAGGCTTATCAGTCCATTTGATCTCACTTCACCTCTCCAATACTCAAGTTTCTCCAATAATAATCGTACTTCTTGCTGCCTACTTCTGGCGTTCCTATGAGCGAGGGCTGAGATGGAACTCTCTATATAGTAACTTGGTCTCATCATCACGTACTCTCAGTTGGTTGTCTCAATGTTCCTTTCATTCCATATGATAATTGCATTATCTCTGCGCTGTATTGCTGAATTTTTCCTTCGCAAAACAGGCTTCGTTGCGTTGTCTATTCCTTAAAGTTTAACATATCTAAGCTGGGCTTGGTGTAGAGCTGTTATATACGCCGATATCAAACAATATCAAACAAACATCATCGCGTGGCCCATCAGAAGTCTGAATCTCGTCGATACAGTATTCACCAAGCAAGAGCACACACACCATCTGTCCGAATAATACACGAAGTCCACACACGATCTATATCAATCATCTATCTAGGAACACGTCTTCCAGTCAACCCACTCAGGCTTGAACGGGGTTTCCCATTGGCTATATGAAAGGGTCGGAAGTTGTGCTAATTATATCTGTAGTCTCATTATAATCCACAGTTTGTATCGCTAAATACTAGAGTATACAGGCAATGATGAGGCTCTTGAGCCATTATTTACCTGCCCATATCTCCCGCCACACTCAGTAGTGAGGGCTGTTTGGGGGTTCGTGGCGGCTACAGTCAACTCATCGGCACTATACCACGAGGGGTCAGTCTATGCACATAATACCTTCCAAAAGGGTTTCTACGGGGATCAAGGTCTTTGAATTGATTACCGGATCTCCCTGGTATTCTTGGGCTTCTTGTCGCCCTTCTTCTCTAAAAGGAATGAGACCCAACCTGCACCGCCCAGAAGGGTGGCTCTTGTCCCAAATTCAAATTCAAATTCAACCTCAGTCTCAATCTCTCATTTTCTCCTACACTGACGAAAGTAAATTGTTGATATTAACCTAGGCGTGAGCCGTTTTGTGATTATCTGTGATGAAGCCCTGAAAAGAGCATAAGACTCTGTAAATATATAATGAACACATACACTACCACTGCATTGTTCAGTGTTATACATGGCCATCTCCGATTCCTCAAAGTCTAGAAATCCGTTAATTTCTCAGTCATTCAGCACGAATCATTTTTATGCTATGAAAACGGGCGTTAAATTTTTTTAAATGTTGAGAATGCGATCTATGAAGTTGTGGTGACGGAACCCTATGATTGGCCCCGCCACGTGAACCGTGAATAATCGCGACGCCAGCAGCTCGCAACCTTGCCGCTGCCTCTCATTCTTATGGATCTTCTATCTGTACTTCCTGACTTCTCAACCAAATCATATACCCATATACTGCCTCCACTCGAGCGAAGTAAAATCACTACCGTCGACCTGGTCACCCTCGACACGCTCGAAATCGCGAAACGCGCCCATGTTCCCCCCGCCGATGTCCGGCGGCTCGCAGCCAAGTCGTTGACGCGTTGCACGCCGATCTTGGATTCGAGAGAGATCTAGTGATCTCTGCAGAAACGTCAGTTGGAGATGAATTGAGCTCAAGTTTTCATCCGGATGCAACGAACCTTCACCTTGGCCCCGCCACAAAGCTCCAGCCGTCGCGATGGAGCTCGATCAGTACTTTGGACCCCGCACTGGATTCACTCCTGGGAGGTGGGATTCCGATAGGATACGTGACGGAGGTGACTGGGGAGAGGTAAGTGTCAAGGATTAATCGGATTGGGATTGATAGGCTCGCTCTGACCATCGCTGCTTTGCCGTTGTAGTGGCAGCGGCAAGACACAATTCCTCTTCAGCCTGCTCCTATCTGCTCAGCTGGCTAGTCCTGATGGCCTCGGGAAAAACGCCATCTATATCTCGACCGAACATCCACTGTCGACAAATCGCGTATCACAGCTTTTAGAATCCCACCCGCGCCTCTCTTCACTCCCCCCAGATCAAGTGCCGTCCCTAAAAAACATCCTGTCCATCAACGCCATGGATTTAGAGACCCAGGACCACATTCTCAACTACCAGTTACCGGTCGCTATCACACGGCACAATATTGGCTTGGTGGTGATTGACTCCATCACGTCTAACTATCGCGCGGAACATTCCTCAAATAACATGCTTGCGCTCTCCGCACGATCCACGGAGCTTGCAAAGCTGGGTCAGATGCTGCGCAACCTTGCCGCAAAAGAGGACATTGCGATTGTACTAGCGAACCAGGTCTCAGATCGCTTCGAGCCCGTGGAGGGGTTCGGCGACCCAGCCCTACGCCCAGGCTTCCCGTCCGTGTTAAGCCAGGGTGCTGTGGCTCGTGAAGTTGGTGCTGCGTCGCCACTGCCAAGATGCAGATTGGATAACGCCGGACTGGCAGAGCCACTGTCTCAATATAGCCCTATGCTCTCCTCATCCCAGGGGATCTCGTCATCTCCTCACCCTGCGCCGGACGATGAGAAATTCGACGGATCCTATATCATTGAAAACCCGGCTCGGAATAGTATTCTGAGTTTGCTCCACCAGGAACGATTCTTCACCGGCTGGGGAGATGGCTCGCCACTTGAGACTTCGCTGAAGACCCCAGCCCTGGGATTCTTCTGGTCGACACAAATTGCGTGCCGCATCGCGCTGAAAAAAGAAGAACAACGTTCTAGTTTACCTCTATGGGATGCTGGATCCTATCCGACTTCCACACCGAGCAGGCAACCAGACTCTCAGGATGTGGGCGGAAAAAATCAACTGTCGCAGCACACAGCAACGATTTCCTCTGCTCGAGAGGCCCACGCCAAAGGGGAGCCTGGCTCAATCATACTCAATGGCAGCGATGGAGAAAAAAGGAATGAATCAACCACAGACGTCTCGGGAACGAACTCTATCTTTCAACCGCCTCCCACGCCTAAAACACTTGAGCATGCTACGCGGCGAATTATGAAGCTCGTCTTTGCACCTTGGACGGCAGGCTTGCCAGAACCTGAAGACGGAATGAGCCAAGTTGGACAAGGAGGTTCAGGTCGGAAGGGGAACGAAGTGGAATTTGAGATCTGGACAGGAGGGCTCCGAAGTATAGATCGTGACGAGTTGTCTTCGAAATAAATCTTTTATTCAATCTATCAAAGTGACATGCGAAGAAACCGGCATATATATGTAATCTGAATGATAGAAGTAGAAACTCCAGTCCATTGTAGATCAAGGAGATCGAAGAAACAAAAGGAAAAGGAGGATATGGGCCCCGAAGACCTGGCTCTCCGTCCGCCTTCTTATCTGGGAACGACGCCCCACCGTGTCTATCCAACCCCGCTGGCACGGAAGCTATAAGAGCTAGCTACATGCCCCGCACCATCTTCAATGCATCATCCCCCTCGCCAGAAACCCCGAACTTGCCTCTGATAGGAACGACAGGATCAAGCCGGCTATGGCATTTCTCGGTCTGGAAGGGTACCATGTGTTTATCACTGGGGCGGCGGGCGGAATTGGACAAGAAGCAGTCAAAGAATTTCTAGGTACGAGAGCTATCCCAGCACCCACTCTCTGTGGACGAATCGAAGAAGAAACCAACAAGACTCCTTCTTCTTAGGACAGGGGTGTAAGGTTACCGGGCATGATGTCCGTCTAGTCCCCGGCCCGTCACCCGCAAACCCGAACTTCCACAGTGTGACTGGTGACATTTCGTCTGAGACATCAGTTGCATCATGCATCCAAGCTGCAGTGGCGCATTTTGGGCCCATCAATATCCTGGTTGCCAATGCCGGAATCACAGATGAATCCTCTGAATACAACATCTGGGAAATTCCACTTGAGATCTGGGAAAAAACGTACAACACGAACATCCGCGGTACCTTTCTGACCATCAAGCATTTCCTGCGCAGCGCAGCAGATATACAGACTGCGACCAAAGCGGAGATGGATAACCTTGCGATTGTGGTGACTGGCTCTGAGACTGGCAAGTTTGGACAGGCCGGGCATACAGAATATGCATCAGGCAAGGCGGGTCTCCAATATGGTCTTGTGCGCGGAGTGAAGAACGAGATCGTCAAGCTTAACTCAAAGGCGCGTATCAACGCAGTGGCCCCCGGATGGGTTGATACTGCTCTGATCGCGGGCCGACTGGATGACCCTCGAGAAATGTGGGCGGAGGCACAGGCCACAGTGCCATTGCGCAAAATAGCACAGCCTCAGGATGTTGCCCGTACTATGGCGTTCCTCGCAAGTCACCGAGCTGCTGGTCACATCACTGGACAATGCCTTTCTGTTGACGGGGGAATGGAGGGACGCGTTGTGTGGAGGGCAGATGAGGTTCTTGAAGGAAGTCATCCTGCCCCAACGGAGAAACTCTCGACATTGAGTATTGCTCCTGTCATTGAAACCAGAAGGCGACGTGTTCAAGTGTTGCTTTCAGTTGATTTCGATGCTGTATCAGGATTCCTGGGAACTGGGGCCTCTCCTACCAACTGCCTTGCTGATTACAGCAGTGGATACTTTGCTGCACAGGTTGGAGTACCACGTTTGCTTCGGCTATTCAAGAAGCACGGGATTTCTTCTTTAGTGACCTGGTTTATTCCTGGACATTCAATGGAATCATTCCCAGTCCAGACCAAGGCCATTGTGGACTCGGGGGCTGAGATAGCATGTCACGGGTATGCACACGAGGGTGCCGCTCAAATGACCGAAGTTCAAGAGAGAGATGTCATCTCTAAGTGTGTGAAACTTGCAACCGAACTGACTGGAAAAAAACCTCGCGGATGGAGAGCTCCCTTGTATTTGCTTAGGGAGCATACAGTGAAGGTGCTGGAGGAGCATGGTTTCTTATACGGTATTCACCTGGACTATCTCGACTTTACTAGCAATTACTTTTCCATAAAAGCTAACTTCAACAGATTCTTCACTCACCCACCGTGACTCGGAAATATACTTCTTGCCCAAACTCCCACCAATCAAGCCAATTGACTTCTCACCGTCTCAAGAAGCTGCCTCATGGATGAAGCCGCTTCCCGCCCCGGCACCCAGGACAAATGAAACCCTTGTGGAAGTACCTTGTAACTGGTACATGGAGGACATGACTCCAATGCAGTTTATACCGTCGGCAACCAATTCACATGGGTTTGTCAGCCCTACATCCGTGGAACAGAATTGGAAATCTCGTTTCGAGTTTCTTTACAACGAGGCCGATGATTTCGTATTTCCATTGGTCTTGCATCCAGATACCAGCGGAATGGCCCACGTTATTGGCATGATTGATCGAACCATCACCTGGTTGAAGCAGAGAGGTACCGAAGTAGAGTTCATTACCTATGAGAAATGTGCCACGGAGTGGAAAAAGAGCCAAGGTCCGATTTAAATGAGATGAGCACATCTGAGGAATTTGGCTATCTCTCGATCCTTCAAATAATGAGAAGCTGAATATTCCAGAAAAAGGCGAGGTATTAAGCGACTGGCTTGGTCCTCTACATATTAACCAATAAATAATTACCACTTCTCCGAAGGATTCAATGGTATTTCGCTGATGACAGTCATTCAAAAAATTAGAAATAGGTCAGGCGTGCTACTCGGAGATTTATGTTGATAATACGAGTATATCGCTACCAAAGTGCTGTGATAGTTTCTTTTATGCTTCCAAGACCATCTGGAACGAGCTCTCAAGAGTGATAAAATCTCTGAGGGTCTGAAATGATTTTCAAATCATACCCATGTAAAATCCGATATTCCCATCATTCAGATTCCCGAACAGCACTTCTGTTTTCTGCTCAAAACATCAGGCCCGAGGTTACTATTCCCTGTTCACGTACCAGCTTCTCGAGCTTAGTTGCCAATGAGCTACCAACGGGTTGCTCTTGAACTGAGGGCTCTATATTTACGGAGAAGAACCTTTTGGTATCTATTTTGTCCTATCAGGTAAGAACAGATCTCGGACCTCCGATCCCACTACACGTGAGTACGAATTATGCACGAGAGCTGAAATAATACTGTAAGAAGAGTTTGTAGATCCTGTCCATCGATCGTCTTCTGGCAAATTGGATGGGGCATTTGGTAAGCTGAACTTTCGCGCTATAGCCCAATAAACCTTATTTGTGACCCACCAGGTGGATGGGATTGAATGCTCTACTTGCAAAATTATCTGCATTATTTTAGCGATATTTCTGAAGTGAAAATAAATCAAAATAGATAAAAAAAATAAAGATATCTTTCACGCTAGTGGCGTTGGTTTTGCAAAGCTGTTGCTGGAAATGGCACATCTCTTTTCCGTGACCCGGGCCTAATCAATATTAACAGCCTTCCGTGTTCTTATCTGTTACGAATGATCCATGCATCTCTCTCACCATGCTATTACCCCTATTCATGATCATTTTTCTACTCATCTGCTACATCTACGACCAAAAACGGGCTGCAGACATAGCAACCAGAATACCATCCCCTCCGGGGTTGCCTCTGATCGGAAACACTCTACAACTCTCCTCTCAACCGCACCGCCAATTCCTGAAGTGGGCCCAGCAATATGGGGAGGTATATCGCGTCCGCCTGGGGCTGATGAACTGGTTCATGCTCAACTCCCCAGAAGCAGTAAAGGAGATTCTTGACAAGCAATCCGCCGTGACTTCGTCGCGACCCCCAATGCCTGTTGTATCCGATGCCTTATCGGGGGGAATGAGGTTTCTTTTTATGCCATATGGCATCGAATGGCGACGTTCAAGGACGATCAGCCACAAATTGTTGACGCCAAGAATGGCGGAGAGGTTTCAGCCATCACAGGAACTTGAAGCGAAGCAATTATTGCATGATTTACTGACAGATAATGCCAACATGAGTGAATTCTATATGCATGTACGTCGATATACAGTTTCTGTGCTTATGACGTCGACCTATGGAAAAAGAATACCGCAATGGGTATGTTGAAACTCTCCTTTATCATGAAATAGGGCTAAGTAATATCGATAGGATTGCGATGACGTACGGAGAATATATCAGATTCTCAAGGACTTCTCCTACGTTTCTACCCCAGGACGTTATATTGCCGACGGCGCACCAGGCCTTGCAAAGCTTATTCCCGACCAACTGAAATGGTGGCGTCGATCTCTCCAGCCGATGCTAGCTCGGCAAAAGACCATTTGGATGAGTTTCTGGTCTCGCTTACAAAAACAGCTAGAAACGGGGGATGCGCCCCAGTGTTTTGTCAAGCAATTCATCCAGTCAGAATATCATAATCTAGGATTTACAGATGTCCAAGCGGCATTTTTGGCAGGGTGTAAGTTTACGAGTTGTACATTCAATGATACAAAGAGCTAACTCGGCACTTAGCGCTAATAGAAGCCGGCGCGGAATCCACTTCGGCAGCAATGAATAGTTGCATTCTTTATCTCTCAGGATATCCTGAGGTTCAGCAACGTGCGCACGAGGAACTTGATTCAGTGGTGGGCAGTTCTCGCTCTCCCAGGTTCAGTGACATGGAACAGCTCCCCTACGTACGAGCTATCGTCAAGGAGATTCTCCGTATCCGCCCTCTCGCCAGCATGGGTATACCGCATTATGCGACGGCTGATGTCACTTATAAGGGATTTACGATTCCCAAGGGTAGCGTTATCGCTATACAGCAATATGCTATCCATCAAGATCCATCCATGTTTCCGGAGCCAGAAAAATTCATGCCGGAACGATACCTTGGCCATCCTTACAGATCTGGTTTTTATGCAGCCTCGGCAAATCCACGTGAGCGTGACCACTGGAACTTTGGGGCCGGCCGGCGTATTTGTCCCGGTATGTATCTTGCTGAAAATAGTCTTTTCATCACGATTGCCAAGATATTATGGGCATTTCAGGTGATGGCACCTGAGAAGGTGGACTTGTCAGATGATGCGTATGAGCCTGGCTCGATCACCGTTCCAAAGCCTTTCTTCGCGCAATTTATCCCACGCAGCGCAGCCATTGAAAGAGTTTTGGAGATGGAATGGCACAACGCAGAGCTTGAAATGCATACATCCTGAGACTTCGAAACATATGTAACTGGTATGACTGTATTTTGAGTTGAACCTTTCTCCGCAGCAAGTCTCTGGGCGATCCTGAAACATTTTATCAAATATTTGCAATATACACAAAGCGCCTCGGTATAAGAGGCTTGTTGATTCAATTCATTTTCCCTGGTGATGCTTGAAATGGACTTCAAAGGATGATTTATGCGAGCAATCTCTAGATCTTCACCATCCATCCAATGGAGTCAGAACAGCCAAGATTCCGTCAGCCGGCACAATGGTTATATTCTCACGAGTCTGTAATTCAGCATCTGGGTACCTTAGTACCATTTGGAAGCGTGCGACCATGGCAGCTACCAAGCAGGCCAGCTCTGCTTTAGCAAAGCCTTGAGCAATGCAGCTACGGGGGCCATGTAGGAAAGATAGATTGGCAAAATTGTTGGCCGCACCTCCGGCATGAGCCTTTCCAGACTTGAGGAAGCGTTCTGGATCGAATATATCCGCATCAGGGCCCCACAGGTCGGTCATATGGTTGGTGATCTCCGGCGACAGGACAATCAGCGTACCTTTTGGGATGAATTTACCGACTATAGTAGTATCCACCACAGCCTTGCGAACAGTTTTGGGAATGGCGGGGTAGAAACGAAGAACCTCGTTGCAGAAAGCGCTCAAATAGTGGGTATTTTCGAATGTGGAGGCGCTGATTTTATTCGGCTCTGTAAATGAGATACTCGGGAGATGTGTGCGTATTTCTTCACGCAGCCTCTTTTGGACACCTGGATACTGACATAAAGCGTAGATTGCCCATTGAAATGAAGCCGCTGTTGTATCGTGACCAGCTCCCAGGAATGTCATTGCTTGGTCGATCAGATTCTCTTCGTCAAACATGCCGCTTTCTAGAGCGACTGATATTATGTCAATATCTCTGCCGGTATCTTGCTTTCTGCCTATTCGCGAGCGGATTACCGCGCGTGCAGCTTCACGAATATGCGCGTTACATTCTCCTATTTCTCTATTCCGTGCTGTCGGAAAATTCATCGTGTAACTTGGATGGGTTAGAACTCCCATCAGAAACAGAAGCTTCTCGCTAAGGGGTTGCGAGATTAATGTCTTATAAGACTGGTGTAGAACGTTGTCTGGTTTTTTCAGAGCCTCAAAGTCGCAGCCCATACCTGCTAGGCCAATGATGTCGAGAGTTGCGCGTTTGGCCCAATCCCCAATCTGAACGGTGTTGTTTTCAACGCTTCCTGAAACCAATTCCTTATCAATGAGTCTAACCATTTCGACACTTTTAGTCCAAAATAAAGGGTAAAGGTTCTTGACGTGACGATAAGAAAAAGCAGGCAACAGGTTTTTACGTTGCATCTGAAGAATTCGTGTTAGGACGAACAGAAACACTCGCCGGAGCTACGTACCCTGTGCTCGTTGCCTTCGGCAAGAAGTATACCCCGGCCAAGGGTCTTCCGTAGGCCATATTTCAAGATCTCCGGCTTTTCAAACTCGTAAGTCTTCGTGACAAGTATCTCTTTCAAAGCTTCAGAACTTATGGGCATAACCCATTCAAGATTTCCGACAATATAGTAGCGTAGAAGACCTTCATTTGGCAGTTCTTTGAGCCAGGTCTTGATTAACGCATAAGGTGTCTCTATCAGGAACGAATTCGAGTTCCCAGTAAGCCAATTTCGTGACTAGGAACTGTCAGACTATATACAGGCTATACTTTATGTATATTCCACATAGGTCAAAATCACTTACGGACGGTGTCTGTATGTGTTTCAGGGGCGAGAAAAATTCAGGATACAAGAACAGCCGATAAATCGTCGTGCACAAGGCCGAAACCCCGCAAAATGCAACGCCACTCCAGATTTTTGATTCCCAGATAAAATATTCTGGGCTGAAATAGACGGTGGTCAGCCCTAGAAAGAAACACACTAAGGCTGCCATAATTTGTGATTTGATGAATGCAAAATGTTGCGGGGGTATGAGCGTTCTTGTCTGATTTGAGGGTGGCACTATAGTGGCAATACATCTGTTGATAGTGATTAGCGAAGGATCTAATTAAGGAAGTAACTCGTCGCATTTCCCACCTTTTCCCCTGAAAAAAAGAGGGAAAAAAGCGAGGGATAAAGGGCGAGAGTCCACGCAGGACACAAGTTGGGTTATTCGGCTCCCTTCCCTCCTACCACACTCACCACGATTTAGACGACCCATAGGAATGTTTGTTGGCGATTCTGGATACAAGGTTCAATAGTCTAGAGGACGCAGCTCATCACGACACCTAAGAAATTCTCAGTTTACACGTGGGGCAAAAAGCCCACTTTTTGCCAGACTTCGTTTAGCGCGTGTAACTTATGCCCTGTTTTCCTATACCTATCCCCACTATTAAATACGGCCTTTACTCGATTTATTTTAGTTTGATCAATCTGAAAATAGGGAATTTAGAAATAGCTTAATAAGCTAATTCTAGGGATAGGAGATAGCCTATGATTGGATTAATCTCTTCTAATCCGGTTTAGCGGTATCCACTAAATACTTAATACCCACACCCCTACTTTCTTTCTATTTTCTTTCTCTATCGTCTATAATAAAGCTCTACTTTCTATAGTAGATAGTTACTAGATAAGAAGCTTAGTATCTTTAATAATAGGATATTCCCTAACGTAATTCACTAGTGAGTGGAACACACTAATGGGTGGAACACCCTACCACCTACTACTTTTTGAAAACACTATTTTTCTACCAAAACATTAGATATTTGATTTAACTATTTGCTAGGGCACTGAGTAATCTTATGCCCTACTATATTACATCCGGAACACCGAAACACGCGCCTAGTAGTAGGCTCAGCGCCCTCGGTAGGCTGCTGAGCAAGCTCTGTATCATCGTTTCGAATAGCTTCAACGCTTGCTGGCAACGTTGGAACTAGAGATATAGATTCGCCGACCGTAGGATCTTGTTGCCTAGATATCTGGTAATTAGACCGTGTGCGCTTTTGACTCTTCTTCTCGTTGAATTAGCGTAAATCTTTTCCTGTGCTAGAAGCGCTCCGCTATGCATCGCTAATTGGCACCCTTTTATCAATTGATCTAGCGCTCTCTCTGTAGGGCTTCCTGGCGACTACGAGCGCTTGCCTAGTAGAGCTTTGATAGATGAAGCTTGCTTGCTAAGCTGCTTAATCGTATATGGCGTAGTAGGCACGAAAGCGCTACTCCTACTGCTAGGCCTACTACTACTAGTAGTAGTAGTAGTAGTAGTAGTAGGTGTAGGTGTTCGAAGCGATATATTAAGCTTCGATAGGACTCGGTCGGCATCTAGCGGAACTAGGCCAGCGCTAGCGAAGCTTGATTGTATAGTGCTAGGTAGGAAGGCTTCCTGGCGTGCTAGTGTATAGGTTTCTAGGAAGTCGAGCTTGTCGATATGGTTATATCCTAGGCGAGCTTAGGCCTCGATTAAGCGACCGTATAAGCGCTTTAGGATAGCAAAACATCCTATAACTAGCGGCTGTAGAAGATGTGACGAATGCGGCGGTATACAGAGTGGTATAACGTTATTTTGCTAGCAGAGTTAGTCGAATTGTGGTGTTAGATAGCTTCTATGACCGTCTAATATTAACAAGCGATATTTGCCTTGCGTACGACTAGTAGTTGCTGGAATAAAGAGCTTTTCTAGCCAGCGTAGGCCTATATCATCGGTAGTCCAACCGTTCAGTGATACTTCGATTCGCTAGTCTTTCGGTAGGTTATCAAACCAGCTAGCAATATAAACCTTCCCTTTGAATACTATACACAGCGGAAGCGAGTAGCCGGTTGCCGATATTGATTCAATTGCTGTTACCTACTCCCGATTTCCAGGTTATGGTAGAGGCTTCCGACCGTATAGATCCTTCCGTGTAACGATTCTAGTAGTAGATATCAAGCCTATTGCAAAGCCTGTTTTATCAAAGTTATAGATATCGTTAGGAAGGATCCCGTTCATTAATCGTACGCTCTACTAGCCTAAACCACGCGCGTAGGCTAGAAGGGTCTTCATTTTATGCACGTCAATAGTCGTAGCGTCTAGAGAATCGTATGCAAAGCTCTAGTCGACGTTTAATATAGCGTGTTACCTAGTTAACTCCTATATTAGGAGGTAGGAGAGGAGGGAAGATATCACTACGCGCTGCTAGTAGAAGATTTGCTATATCTTTAATATGCGAAGGCCTAGGGGAAGCACTACGCGTATCAAGCGATATTATCCACTAGCAAAGCGAATCCTCTTCTTCTTGTGTCAATTTAAGACGTGGTGATCGTGTATCCTCGCGATTTGGCATTCCTTTGATCCGATAGTATAGTGTAGTGGTAGGCACATTATAAATAGCTGCTGCTTTGCGAATAGATAGGGTTGAATCCTTCTGAATAGCAGCAACTGCTAATAAGATCCTACCTTCCCTATCTGGCGATTTTGAACATTTTATAGAGCGTTTTGGTGGCATGGTGTGTGGTGGAAGATAGTAGGTGACGCGTAGGAAGCGCGTTTTGGATGGGGTGTTCCACCCATTAGTGTGTTCCACTCACTAGTGAATTACGTTATTTATATTTTTAAGAAAGTAATTATACTAGATTAATAGGAGGTTATAGTAGATAAAAGGAGGAAGGGATAAGAAGTTTGAAATTTCGTAGTGGAACTCTTTATTTCATAGTATGTAATATTATCGTTTTAGCGAGAATCGTATCCACTTGTCAGGCAACAGTGGGCCTTAGCGCTGGGAAATCCCTACCTAAACGGGTATAGTATATGTAAGATGAAACTCTGTTTATGTCGGCTTGACATATACACTCGATAGTCTACTTGCCTCGTACATAATTGTTGATGTGGATCCCGATCTGCAATTGAGACAATACAAGTAATTGTAAAGCCAATCGCGACGATCACACGGGTCTCAGATGAATATTACATAGAAGATTCCGTTCGTTTAGTGGATCTGGATCCCCTAATTTTCCTGCCCGACAACGGACGATATTTTCCGAGATTTCGAGACTAGGGGGTCCACCAGAAGGCTAATGTATCTGACTTCTAGATCATGGTTTCAACTCTAATATGGGCACCCTGATATTCTCTAATATGCGCCGAAATCAATATTATCCCTATTTTTTAGGAATATGGTGAAGTCTGGGGTCCCATAGAAGATCGTTTGCGGACGGGCGTTTCTCGGATTCGTAGATGAATACCTTGGCCGTATTGACCGCCGCCTCATCTGCCATTACGGGGTCATTGCTCGGACAGGCCTGTTTCATAATGGAGGCGGGCGCGGGTACAAAATCGTTTTCTTGCATAGGTTTGTCTGCATCACTGTACCATTTATCACAGCGTGTCTTAGGCCAGCAATAATCACTCTTCCAACTATAGGGTAGGCGGCCTAGATAGATAGTGATACCCGTCATAACCCCGCCCTCTAGATAGGGAGTGAAAGGGGCAATTCCGCACCAGAGTCGAGTAAAAAGTATCATGTAGCTCCACATATCGCAAGCAGTACGTGGCTTCTTTCCATGAAGTCGTTCTGGTGAGCAATATTCCCATGGTGGAATCGCATTACTGAAAATTTCATCCTGAAAACCAGGGCTATTGGTATCCATTGAGAGCTCAAAGTCCCCAAGAAAGAAATGTTCGGTATCCCAGTAATGCTCGGGGCTATGCATTGGGGTCACGAGCTCTCCCAAAGGCCACAATTGGAAGGAGAGAAGCGTCAGAAGCGTCCTGAGCAGCAGAAGATTTCAGGCTCAGTACTCCCTGATCGCGAATTTCATTTGGGCAAGGGAGGAGAGGGGATCGGGTTAACTATGACATATGCTTCTGATTATGTCCACAAGCCGCTGGGTGAGGCGCCAGAGGCAGGTACAGGAGCCTGCGCTGCTTCAATTGGATGCTGCAAAATTGAAACCGGTGGGACCAAGACAGCAACCTGGAAAATAGACGGTGAAAATTGAGCTACTATTAGACCGTCACGCGCCAATAGGCGACAAATATCTCCTGAAGAGACACTAAATCAGAATTGATCTATCTATACAAGGAAGAATATCTATTCCCTTCTAATTCTTGAAGAAAGGCTAGGGTTGAAGCAATGTAAGTACGCCTACGTAATATCAATCAATACTATCTTAGAATAACGACTATAGCATTATATAGTGGTCAGGTAAGCTCTTCCTATATATCGATCTAAGAACCGAGGCTGAAGAATTCACAGTTTTGAGTATGGTTTTGGAAGCTTTGGAGTTATGTCCGAAAGGATCTAAAAAGAATCAGAGATTGGATTGCAGATTGCTTTCGCTTCTTGATATTATATATTAATATCGTATCAAGAACTATCCCAGAGTCCACAAGCAATACTGCAAAAGAGTTGAATATCTGTACTTGAAAAATCTCGCCTACATTTTGAGTTCAATATGATCCAGTTTCCAAGTCCAGCTCCCCTCGCCTCTTCCCTTCATCTTTCTACCCTTGAAAAGTCACGAGGAAGCCTTGAATGGAAAACATGCAAGTTTCAAAGAGATACAAGTATGTTTTGAGGAGACATATAAATGATGCTCATGTCAAGATGGAAGTGCACATTACTATAGAGGCATAATATGCGAGCTGTAGAATGGCTTAGACACAGCTAAGCCTACTTCCCCGTATGCATTGTTTAATGAAAGCAAGTATGTCGGTATGGTTTAAGTCTTTCGTCTTTCTTTCCCTACAGCCAAGGCGATGTCATATTCGGGCCGCTCAGGTAGACATTGATCTGCATAGCTTGCAGCTCACCATTATAGTATTGAAGCACCTCAAGAGTGTCGCCGGTAGCCTCTGTAGGTGATAGCATCGAAAGAGTACCCTTAGATTTCATCTCCTCGATCCATACTTCCTGCGCTTCCTGCGCTGAAGTCATGGTATCGGGGATAAAGGCAGAGATGTTCTGGTAAGGATAGACTTTACCAGCAATCATGCCGCTAGTTACAACGAAGCCTAACTCCTCATCGATAACGAGGCCCACTCGTGCGTTTGCGTCGGTAGGATGTGAGTCAGGCCAGGTGCAGCCAAGTGGATCACTCGAAGCGTTCCCGTATACTCCAGTATCGACAACCTTCCAGCCCAATTCAGTAAACTGGCAATCGTCACCAACCGTGACCGAGAAGTTACTAGAAGTAGCGAAAAGGGCCTCGCTCAAGGCCAATAACGTTTCTCGGCTAGGATTTGTTCGATTAGCCGGTGGTGACATTAATACCTTGTAGTTCGCCGGAAGTTCTGCAGCTGAGAAAGAGAAGCCGTGGTCGCCACGATTGCGATTGATAAATAGCTCCAGTTCTGTGATATGCTTCTTAACCACCTTCACTCGTCCGCGAAGAACTGTTTCCCTAGCCTGGTTCCCTTCGCTAACATCTAGAGCAAAGTACGCGGTGCTCTGCGTAGTATCAATTGCTAGAAGGCTGGGCGGGCCCGCTTCGATGATGGTGCGCCAAGAAGTCATCATACCGAGTGCTGCAGGGTGCGAATTTTCGGTAGCATAATAAATCTCTGCCAATGGTAGACGATAAGGGTCATGTGCTACCATTGAGTCTATAACCTGGGAGACAATATTCGTCAGGAACTCTCGAGAGCAGCCGCCGTTTGCGTTCGATGCACTCCGGCCAGCCATTGCGGCAGCAGGTATTCCTCGAGATGCTCCTCCCATAGTGAGGATTGCTACTGCAATACCCAGTGATAATCGCAGCATAATGTATAGATCAGTACAATGCATTCCAAACAATGGAAATAGCGTATCAAGAAGCTGCTGATTAGTAGATGTATTATGGGGGAACTGCCTACACTTTATATTTTATCATTTCCCGAGTGAGGGCCACACGGTTTTCGAATAATGTCACTAGTATGTTAACCAGTTATTTAAATAATACCTCCAGTTTACGTAAACAAAATCTTAGGCAGCTCAAAAACACTGGGTCATTTGGATGGATCGAATTGTTGAAGTCGGCGCATTTGTGTCGGCTCCACCTATATTATCTCCGCACTCCACCGTCGGCTCCACCCCCAGATTTGATCTTGAGGGGTAAATACCACTGACGTAAATGGGACGTTCTTTATCTTGAGGCTTGTTGAAAAGGATGCCACGTTTGAGATCCCTGACGAAATGGAGATTGAGAACGCCGGCTGTTAGAGTAAGCAGGGAAGGGTGCAATTTTTCTAGCGGGTACTCATAAAATATCAAACTAAAAATGGTCAAGTAAACCAGTCACTGAATGAGTTTAAGTTTTTGCCATACGTATAATCCATCTGTAAAAAAATTGGATATAAGCTCCCCGATCGTGCTCGGCCCAAGGTGGACTATTTCGGTATGATTCTTACCAGCCGTAACAGGAATATCAGGCAATGATGGGCTTTCTAGTTGCAGGAGAACTCCCGCAGAAAACTGAATCACATTGGGACTAGGTTAATTTTCTGAGACTCCACCAGTCAATTATATCTCTGGCGGCTTTAAACCACCTTGCCATGCATTTTTCAAATTTTTTTCATTATTTATATCTTAGAAATCATCTGGTAGGAACTTAGCTCTATACAACCAAGAATCTAAAACACTCATCAAGACAAGCCGGGAACAAAGACCAAAAATGCAAGATCGAATTTTTGGAGGAGGTAGAAACGAATGATCCAATGCCGGGATGAGGGCAAATTCCACATAAGGTTCAATACTGAGCATAGTGATCATCGTACAGGGTTAGTAGAGGCAGGTCAAAGCTCAATATTTTATGATGCCATTTCAAAATACAAGATCAAAGCACCGCTAAAACTTGACATTGGATTTGAAATCGAAGCAGTCAAGCATGACCAGTACTCTACATGACTTTAAGTACTGGGCTGATTACAGTCATGGGGTGGAAGTTTGGTTGCGTGTGGCGTTGCAGCACAATTAGCTGACCACCAGCTTGACTCAATTGTCTCTCTGAATGACTTATAAGCAGTGACTGACAAACTGTGCACATCACAGAATCGGATGAATTACATGAAAGAAGTGTCCGCACATTAGTAATGTATGACGGAATTGCCGAGCAAACTTTATTCATCACCATAAAGGTAACTATTTTCAAACCCCGTCTCGGCAAAGCTACAGTACGTACACGCCACCCAAAAGCCGGTCACCGACCCCAGCGTGAAGGACATATATTTCTTGACAGAAACCAGAAATTTGCAGATAAAAAGCTGTCATAACTGAGCACCGTTTGCGTTACAATATTTCCTTTTTTTTCCTTGGTGAAGACCTCATACTCTTTCTGCAAAGCCAACGTCCCTCCGTCAGCAAAATGACAACTGCTACTTTCAATTACATCAATCCAGAGTCTTATGATGCCAATGCAATTGAGCCCTTCAAGAAGCCCTGGGGCAAAGTTGATGGGCCTGGGTATTCATACAAACTTCTGGGCGTCGAGCGCCCAGTCGAGAATATTCGGGGCAATGAATCTGAGTTCACAGTCGACAACGCTGGCTTCGCCATCTATAAAGAGCCTTCGAATGAAAAAGAATTCACCAATGATGAGAAAGTAAAATCTGAATATTATGCCGAAATCGAGGCGCTTCTTCGGAAAAAATTGCTCGGCGTCAAGAAAGTTGTCGTCTTCGACCATACCATCCGGAGAAGAGTAAAGGGATCCGCACGCAGCCCTGTCCAACTCGTTCATGTGGACCAGACACCTGGTGCCGCAGAAGTAAGAGTGCGTCGCCATGTGCCCGAGGATGAGATTGAAACCTTGCTGAAAGGTCGATACCAAATCATCAACGTTTGGCGACCAATTCAGAATCCAGCGTCTGATCATCCCCTGGCTGTGGTGGACTGGCGCAGCACGGAACCTTCGGATTTTGTCAAAGTTGATCTGCTTTATCCGAAAAATGCAGAAGAGCTTGGAGAGGTGGCTCCGGATCCCAATTCGGCAGACTCGACGGTCGGATATAAGGTAAATGGGGAGACGTATGCAGTTGCACCCTCTGGAAAACACCAATTCTATTATGTCAAAGACATGACACCGGAAGAAGTGATGTTTATCAAGTGCTTCGATTCACGGAGTCGTACTATTACCGGGGGGCAAACAAATATCGCCCATGGCGCCTGCCATACGGCCTTTTTTGACCCCCAAACTCCTGCCGATGCCCCTGGACGCCAGAGTATCGAAGTGCGGTGCTTGGTTTTCTATGACTAGAATCTTTCCTTGGAAATTGATTGTACAAGTTGTGTGATGCCATCGTACAAAAAATTGTCTTTTTTCCTACTCTTTTATCCAACTAGCGAATTTATTCCTGGGGGCTTGCAAGTTCTTGGTTGTATTAAGGTCGGAATATCTATAAAAGATGAAGTTCGAATGTGACATTTCCCAATTTATTCTTGGATTTGTTGATGCGAAGAACCCATAGCAAAGAGAAGGTTGAGCCAGCATAGCGTGGGATAGTGCGGGGGAACCAAGTCTGCCCTTAACCTTTTGAGTGCATGTTACTCGCGCCTAAACCCAGATTGTTCATCCCCGGCTATTCTTTACCGTTGCGGAACCGCCAACAAGGCCCCGGCTATTCTTATATCTTAGCGAATATCGCGCATCAGCCATCCGGGATGATGTTCGGGAACACTGCAACTGAGCGCATGTGTTATCCTTTTAAAGAAAAAACTGGTCCAATGTTTCATGCGCCGTTCAAGATGGCCAGAGGACCTCTCGCATGGTGCTTATCTTATCTTCCCCTTGTGTAGTATAAGAGACGCGCGGCATCTCTCGCCCTACTGGTATCTCCCAGCTTGCAGGATTCACAGATGACCGTCAACTTCTTGCAGCTTCAAAGATTCTTTGCTCGATCTGCTTTCTTAATTGAAACTATAGACCATCAACAGAATGTCGGCTCTTCACCCTTTCGATCCCCTCACCCCGAGAGAAATCACCAAGGTGGGAAGCAATGATGCCCGGACGGAATTGGCGATAAGCACTAACCAGATACTTGTGAAACAAGGCCGCGCAGATAACACGAGCAACATTCGATGGGGAGTTTCTCAATTTTCGAGTTATAACCCTCCAAGAGCCGGCAAAGCGGGAAATGGTTTTGTTTCTTGATAGAGAGCACAGTGGACAGACCCAGTCCTCTCGCCCTGCCCGAACGGCGCGCGTTCAAGTGACCGCCCGAGGCAAGTCAGGACCAAGCAAGCTAATTGAGTTATTGGTGAATCTCGATGCAGAATCTGTCATCGAGAAACAGCATCTTGTAGGAAAGCACCCCTACATCGATTCTGCTTATATGCAGGCCGCCGAGAAAGCATGTAGAGCGGACCCAAGAGTCCAGGCTGAGATCGAGAAGCTGAAATTACCGGATGGGGCCTCAGTTATGATTGAACCATGGGCATATGCCACAGATGGGATGAAGGATATGTCCGAAAGGACTACCATGGTTAGTCGCGAACGCCCTATGTGGCTTCTTGGACTGTGATTGACAACGACATCTCAGTGTTGGTTTTATATGCGCCTTCTGGATCATCCCGACGCCAACTACTATGCATATCCGCTAGATCTATGTGCGGAAGTGTCCGAGCAGCTGAAGATTATCAATGTTTATCACTTGCCTTCCGCAGAGACGGAGCGGACCCGTGATGAGGCTCGGCCATACGATCACAGCAAGGTGCATCCAACTGAGAGGAGTGAATACCATCCTGATTTGCGACCGCCGCCACGTACAACAACTAAGCCCTACCAGGTCGTGCAGCCCGAAGGGCCATCTTTTAAAGTCGATGAAAATCGACTAAGCTGGGAGAAGTGGACTATGCGTGTGGGATTTAACTATCGCGAGGGTCTAACCATTCATGATATCCGGTACGACGGCCGCAGTCTCTTCTACCGTCTGTCACTATCGGAGATGTTCGTGCCCTACGGCGATCCACGGATCCCATATCCTCGCAAAGGGGCCTTTGATTTGGGCAATGACGGGGCTGGTATCAACGCAAATAATTTGCGTCTTGGGTGCGACTGTCTCGGGCTGATCAAGTACTTCGACGGCTGGCACAACACCGCATCAGGCGAGCCCCTGAAGCTCCCGAACGTGGTGTGCTGCCATGAGCAAGACGATGGGATCCTATGGAAACACACCAACCACCGGACCCAGAACGCCGTGGTGACGCGCTCGCGGATCCTGGTGCTGCAGACCATTATCACGGTCAGCAACTACGAGTACATCTTTGCCTTCCACTTCAGTCAGGACGCATCCATCCACTACGAAGTACGCGCCACGGGAATCCTATCAACCTGCCCTATCAACTCAACCGATAATGTCGGCTACGGCACCATCGTGGCGCCGGGCGTTCTCGCCCCCTACCACCAGCACCTCTTCTCGCTCCGAATCGACCCCGCTATTGACGGGCAGCGAAACTCCCTGCAAATCGAAGAGTCCCACCCACTGCCAATTGACGATCCAACCGTCCACAATCCCATCAGAGTGGGGTACAGCACAAAGGCCTCGATCGTGTCGGCCGAGGGCGGGCTGGACCTCGACGTCGCCACGAACCGAACGTTCAAGATCATTAACGAGAACCAGATCAACCCGATCACAGGCACTCCGGTCGGTTTCAAGCTGCTCCCGTGCTACAGCCAGCTGTTGTTGGCGCACCCGCAGTCGTACCACGCGCGGAGGTCCGAATTTGGCGGGCACGCCGTCTGGGTCACGCGGTACCAGGATGACGAGGTGTTCGCCGCGGGGCGGCATACGATGCAGTCGGCTGGCGGGGAGGGTATCGAGTCGGCGATTGCACAGCGTGCGGGGGACCCGGCGGGGTCGTCAGTACGCAATGAGGATATCGTGGTTTGGCATACGTTCGGGTCGACGCATAACCCGCGCATTGAAGACTGGCCCGTCATGCCGTCGGAAAAGATGGTGGTCGGGTTGAAACCGGTCAATTTCTTCACGGGCAATCCTGGTCTAGACGTGGCGGTGTCGACGCAGGAGAAAAACCGGAGTGTACTGGTGGAGGAGTCGCCGTCCAAGTCGGGTGTGTGCTCGCGGCTGTAGAAGGGGATTTAGGGCTGATGGGGAGATTTGACTAAGTAGGTTAGAAGATAGAGTTAGTGCATAAGTTGGAAGTTATTAAATCAAACGAGAGGATCCAATGGAAGAACGAGAGAGAAAGACAAAGACCGGGAGAAACATCACCAGCCCAAGGGCTCTTCGAGAAACGAGGACGCAAGGTCCGTGCAAGCAAGACACGACGACCCCGGTTCGGCACGCGGCGGAAACTTTTACCCCGCAAGATCCAAACGTCCATCCCCACGTTCTTGTTCTGCTTTGTTTCTCGCCCTTTCTCCTATTCACGTCACTTTGACCGCACAGTCATCTTATTCCTAGAGGGAAAAAGACGGACAACAAGGCTTCGATGCCAAGGTCTTTCGTAGAAGTTACCAACAGGTTGTTTCCCTGCCACTGACGACATCTTTTCGCAACTGGAGACTCCACCAGAACACAGTGGATCCAAGCTACAGTCTAGTTCACCACGGAGATGCTAATGAATACTGCTGCCTGCAGAAGCAACATTGATGATAGTCTTGATATATTTATTTGCCCCTGCCTTCTTGGCCTTCTCGCAGGAGAAATGCTAACCTCCAAAGTCCCCAAATCCACAAGAAAGAATGACGGACAAATCTTGAGCGTCTTTGTCCTTGCTTCGTCCTTAATCAACCAGGGGGCAGAAGACATAGCCGATGACGATATGATAAGATACTGGCACCAGGACCCTGGAATGTCGACTACTCTTCATATTCATCAAACGCAGGCATGACCGCCAAACAAAGAGACACATTTAGGTTTCTCTATCAGTACCAGCGTCGACATTCCCAGTCCATTGTTATTCAATATATTTTGCTCATTTGATTCTTCATCGACAAGACTGGCTCCAGCAATGAATGAGTCCTATCGGATGTGAATAGGACGGAAGAAAAGGCAGGACTGAAGACAATCCAAACCAAGCCAAGATACAACCAAGGAAGACAGAAAAAGACGGACGGACATCACACGGCCCGACGCATACTCTCAAAAAAAAGGGTAAAAAAAAATCATTCAGATCTATGTTCTCGCCAAGTTTTCATCGCAGATGTGTATGCGCACACCAATGTATACACAGAACAATTCTCAAACAGATCAATAACCCTCCCCCTTCCAAAAAAGAGAAGAAACAAAACTAAATTAATTCAAATCGCAGCAGATGCAAAAAGCAGTTGCGTTGGTCTCGTTTCATCTAGTTGGCCTTGGCCGGCAGCTTGCTGGGTGGGACGCCGATGCCATTGGTGTTGCGGTAAAACAGAACACCCTGGCTCTCACCCTGAGCACCGTCGGTAGGCTCAACCCAGTGGCAGACGCGGGCCGAGGTCCAGAGGGCCTTAAAGAAGCCAGTCCAGCCGGTGTGGGCCTCGGTGCGGTAGTGTCCGCCCATGACGCCCTTGATGGCCTCGGAGGCCTCGTCAGCGTTGTAGAAGGGGATGTTGCTAACATAGTGGTGCAGCACATGGGTCTCGATGATGCCGTGGAAGATGTGGCGGCCGACGAAGCCGAAGTCACGGTCGATAGTGGCGGCAGCTCCACGGGCGAAGTTCCACACCTCGGGCTGGTAGTGGGGCAGGGTCGGATCGGTGTGCTGCAGGAAGGTGATGGCAACTGAGAAGAGTGGATGTTAGGATTGTCCCATGATTCGACGAGTTCCCCTCGGGAACGAGATGGAGGGGAAGGGGAGATGAAAGAAAAGCTGATATTTCCATTCAAAGGGAAGGACATAAGAAACTTACCGAGCCAGTGGTTAACCCAGAGGTAGGGAATGCCATACCAGACCAGCAGGTTGAGCCAGCCATAGGTGGAGCCAATATAGTACAGAGCGGAACCAACGAGGAAGAGACCGAGATCACTCAGGGCAATCAACTTGGCATCCTTCGCCTCATACAGAGGGCTGGAGGGGTTGAAGTGGTTAACGCCGCTAAACCAGCCATTGGTCTTGCCCTTGCCGCGGCCCTCGATCTGCTTCTCATGGTTGTTGTGGCCGGTGACGTTGGTAATCAGGTACATGGGCCATCCGAACAGCTGCTGAAGAACCAGGTGGGTGGCCGTGGCGATGGGGGTCTCCTCCATCAGCTCGCCGAGGTCATGGATGGTCCTGCCGACACGGGAGGCATACTGCTCACGGGTCTTCGGAACGAACACCATGTCACGGGCAATGTTGCCGGTGGCCTTGTGGTGCTTACCGTGGGAGATCTTCCAGGAAAAGTACGGCACGAGCAGAAGCGAGTGGCAGATCCAGCCCACAGTGTCGTTCAAGACCTTGGAGGGGGAGAAGGCCTGGTGGCCGCACTCGTGGGCCAGGACCCAGACACCGGTGCCGACTAGACCCTGGACGATGGTGTACAGAGTCCAGAGGGCAACTCGGGCCGGCAACAGGGGGACGGTCTCCGGGGTGACATAGGTGTGGAAGAGGTAAAAGACTGACGCCAGAATGGTCATGTCCCGGAAGACATAGTACAGACTGGTGACCGCGGAGCGGTGGAAGCAGTGGGCGGGGATGGCATCACGGATCTGCTTGATGGTGAAGTCGGGGATCTTGAACTCGTTGCCATAGGTATCCAGCATCTTGGTCCGGTTCTCCGGGTCCGAGGCCAGGGAAGACAGCGAGGTCGACGATGGCGACTGGCGGGGGCTGTCGAAGGGGGAGGCCGCCACGGAGCTGGGGACAGAGGAGTCCGTCGTGGGGTTGCGGTGCAGCGCAACGCGCTTGGGGACAGCAGTCGACGACATGGCGGGCGACAAATCAACAGCAGTATATATCGAACAGGACGAGAGAGGTCTGGAAGCCGTTCCCTCTGCTCTCTATTATAACCCAAAGACCGGCGAAAACGAATCACAACGAAGATGTTGGGACAAAGCGGGCGTTTTGACTAGCGCCAACAAGCACAGGCTCTAGAAGGGGAAAAAAAAGAAAGGAGAAAAAAAGAGACCCGGTCTAAAAGAGCTGAATGTGGGGGGGCGCCAAAGAGGAGTCAGTCCATCGATCATCATGAAAGCGGGTCGTTCCACTTACAGCAATGGCTTGAGATCAAACCCGATTCACAGATCAGACCCTGTGGAAGGAGAATCCTTTCGAGTTTACCTGGTTTGTTACACAAGCCAGGGATCTCACAGACGAGAAGCGGTGGGGAGGGGGGAACAAAGTGGGAGGGAAGAGAGAGGATGGGGGGAAGCTGAGGGGATTGATAAAGTACACCAGGAATCCCCGGCAAAAAAAACCGCGAGCAACGAGATCGGCTTCCCCTCGGGCGAAAAGCAAAGTCCAGCAGAAAAAAAAAAAAAAAAAAAGGGGACCAGCCGGGGGTCCAGGGGCCGGTAATTTTCAGTTTGATTGTTTGGGTCAGCCCCTGGTTATCCAGACGGACTTCCCCCATTTTTCCCAATTTTCACCTCTCTCGCCACGGAACCGGTATTGATATTCTGCAAAGTTACCAGCACGAGTGAGCCGTCTCGAGCTGGATGGCCCACCACAACGAACCGGTATAGGGCCGACCTGCCCCGGTCACAGATCACAATTACTGACAGTACCTAGAAAGGTGACCAAACACGCGGGCTCCGGGTGAGTACAAAGTGTCTCGAGGCCCTTTTTCCCACCATTGTCTCCGTCCAATCCCTCGCCGGCGTCCTGCATGAACTCCCCTCCCGAGCCGATCGCAGTGCATAGTCGACCTGCAAGCTGAACCCACGGCCCTCACCCTCAGCCCCGTCCATTGGGTCGATCTGGCTTTCGCCACACCCCGAGAACCCCCTCCCCTCCCCATGCAGACATGCAGACATGCAGACACATCTCCATTTGAGGGAGGGCCGAGCGATATGCATTGCCAATTGGAGATCTTGAAGATCTACAGTCCTACAACAAAGTACAGGCGTCCATCGGTCCTGGTCCTCGGCCGAAGTGAAAATTACTCGGACCCACGCGTGGTTCTTCAGGTCGGGGAAACAGGCGCCACACCGCCCTCGGGCGCACTAAGCCTTTTTGGGCGCTCAACATTTTCCCTTTTTTATCTCGTTTTTGTTGCTCTGGATTTTCCAAGGATCTGAAGGCGGTGAAGGGCTCCGCGCCACTCCACTCCGCCGCAAGGACGGAGTATGTAGAGTATTATGCACCAAGGATGACCGGGAATTGGAGAGATTTGACAGCCCCATCTTAACTCGGACGGTCAGATTTATCAAAACAGGTAAGCGGAGAAGAAGATGAGGTGATCCCAATCAGTATCCCTCCCCCCTCCCCCCCTCTCTCGTGAGCTGAACATGACGGCGACTGCATGAGGGGCCGTGGCAGAGGTTTCACATGCAGCTGGCGCTCATCAATCGACCTCGGCGGGTCTTTTTTCGTGGGCGCACGCATGCGTGCGATGTCCATCTTGGGATTGGTTCCCTTTCGTTGGATCGGAGTGGCAATTGGGAGAGCAGCAACGGGCAACAGGGGGGCAAAAGCAGCGCATACCAGAAAGCCCCAACCCACCGAGTACGCGCGCAAAGGAGCAGATAGGCGCCTGGCATGTGATGGGGGAATGACACGGCAACAAGGGGGCTGCCGTTCGATTACGCCCATTCAATATCCCTCGTGGGCGGTTGGGGGGTTATGGCATGATGTGGCTCGGTCTTAGAGCGTGTCGTAGAATGGGTGAACGGTGAATGTTCCTTGGGACGTCTGGAGATGGTGCTTGCTGAATGCATCCTGTATACTTCGGGGTACACTCGGGGCTCCAGCGGTGGCGGGCAGGGTGGAGGTCACCCGCAAGTACCTCGGGCTTGTTGGGCGAGCGGGACCCGCTGAAGTTTTGTTGAGGAGGCCCCCGCCAATCAGACAGCCCCCACCAGCCTGTCATTTTGCATTTTGCAAAACGCAAAATGACAAGACCGGTATGGAACGCAGATCATCTCCAGGACATCCAAAGGAGGGTGTACCCAGATGAAGAATTGGCTTGCATGCGATTGGATCAATCTCTACGAAAGCTAGACGGTTTTCTAGTCATGAATTGGAGACCAAGCTAGATCCGAGTGGAAAATAGACACCGCAGGATCCACTAAGCGAAGTCATTCCTACTTCGTCATGGAAAAGAAAATATTCATTTCGTGACTCGTTAATCTCTATATACACACAGGCGTACATGTGAAAGGGGAATATGGGGGTCCAGAGAAATAAAATAACAAAGCCATCAGCAATTATGATATCACAGCCCAACTAGTGGACCTCTGCTCGCCGTTCGGAATCAACGAGCCAGGACGACCCGCCCGGACTGCCCGATGCGCTGAGACTGACAGTTGTTTTGCGCAGATCCGGCAGCACAAGCACAGTCTCGCCATGATTGCGATAGTCCACCTCGGAGGGAATGGGCCGACGCTGCGCGGCAGCAGCGGGAGCGCCAGTCGCCGGATCCGTGGCAGCCGGAGACAGAGTATGCTGCTGGGGCGTTGGGGTGAAAGTCCGGATCTCCAAGCCCGGAAGGAGAAGATGGCCGGGTTTCTGAGGAAGTAAAAGAACAGTGAAGCGGGTGGTCTCGCCGTCGCGAGCAAGGAAATTACCCCGCCGACGTCCACCAAGGAGCCAAAGCTCCGGGTTGGCGTGCAACTCGTATGAGCATTCGAGTGGCTGGCCGGCGTGTTCCTGGTTTGCGGGGGGGCACCATCGGCGTGTGTGGCGGAGACAAAGCTCCGCCGAGATCATCTGGCCCACGGCCGCGTGGGAGGAGCCAGGATTCGAGCCATCGGCGTTGGGGAGGAGCTGTAGCTCGGCCGTGTGTACCACTTGGATCTCAGGGATCTCGACGGGGATCATGATGCTGCGGGTGGGAATGGAGGGCTGTGTTGGGAGCCGGATGATTGGGTTGGTCTGGTAGGCCGCCGTCTAGTTAGCATACACAACAAGGGAAAGGGGGTCAAACTGGGGACGCAGGGAAAAGAACCTACCTCATGCCATGTTTTCAGCCACTGGCGTACATCCTCCGTACGTTCCTTTAGTGCACCCAACAATTCCTCCCAGCGAATACGGTTATATGACAGCATCTCAACCTCTCGAACGAGACCGATAACTTCCATATCGGCGTTAGAAAGCTGGGACCGGAAGGCGCTCACAATGTGCGACGTGAGGAGTGTAGAATACTGGTTAAACGGACTGCATTGGATGGCTGAAACAAAGCGTTTCTCAACCGCATCAAGACATTCATCATCCACGCAGGTAAAGTCCACGCGCAGGCGCAGGTTGCGCTGCTTCGCAGGAGCCGTGGCCGTGTTACCCGACGGACGGATTTTGTAAACGAGGGAAGCCGGCTGTTTGGGGAAAACGTCTAGAGCCACTGGGCCTGTCATGCTCGAATGCACCTCATAAATGTCAGAGCTAGGCAGGTTGCAATTTGTGATCCGCAGCGGGATCAGCATAGCGGGGCTGATTGTGAAACGCGAGAAGAGTAACTCGTCCTTGAAAATGTCCTGCACGTTGACCGATATAGGCAGCGTGGCAACAATACTATGCATGGACGAAAACCCGAATCGGCCCTGTTCGGTCTCATATCCAACTTCCGTGCGTGCAGAAAGTGTGGTAAAAGTCTCCTCCACAGTGTAGGGAATACGTAGGCGGACGAAAGATTGTGGCGGAAGTTGAGCGAATTCAATAATGCCAGAGTCATTATTCGCGGTGACTTCAAGTTTGCCATCCACGATTTCTGTCTCTGCGATACGCAGTCGCAAGCCAGCCGTAGCTGGCCGCACGCGGATCGTGCCGTTCTTGATGTCATTGCGTCCGCTATTTAGTTCCAGCTCCAACGTACGCATAGCTTCAAGGTCGATCAGGTGAGGCGAGACGACCTTTACCTGTAAGCCTTGGGGAGGAGGGTAACAGTAGATATACGGTCGTCGATCAGCTTCTTCATCATCATCGGTTTCTCGGAAGCCAACGGGAAGGGCTGGGTGTTGACCACTGCTAAAAGAGAAGATAATATTACCAGACTTCATCTCGAGCCGATCGACATAGTATTTGCCTTGCAACGTGGTCTAGGCTATGTCAGCTATCAACGCGGAAGTTTTCAGTAGGCGTGCTTACCGAAGAGTCAATAAGGACCTTCGTCATCGACGACTTGACCAGGAATTGTCCCGAGGCTTCAATCCAATGCTCTGCAGTCTGCGAGCCGTTGGCGCTGACTAGACGGACTTTAATCGAGTCAATCTCAATTTGAGGACCAAGAAGAAACCGCAAAGACAGTTGGATCTGAAACCCGTCCTTATCATCATAGAACCGAATCGCTGGGTCAACACGCAGGTCCGTAAAGAATTCAAGCATGGAAGCCGTGACATCCTTTTGTAGAGATTGAGCACCCTGGAAAAGATCAGAGACATAACCAGCCAATTGCTCCAGCTGTAAGATTGAAGGTGGAGTAGACAGGGCTCGCTGTCTGACAGACAACTTCGACTGCGCATACGCGGCGAATTTGGCCAGAAGTCTTAGCATCACCCGAACAAAGTCTTCATTTCTTTTTAGTTCTTTCAAGCATCGCGCGTACAGCTCTAGCATGCTTCCCTCCAAAACCACCCAGAGTTTACTGCCATAGAACGGGGCCATCTGGTGGAAATAAGAAGCGGCAGCTTCGTAGTTAGCTTGTCGGTAACGTAGGATGGCAATTTCAGCTAATGCTGTCTCAGCAGAGTTAGTCCGGTTCGCCACGATATGATGACGGATAATGTGATCGGTAAGGTCCTCATAGAGGGACAAATACGCAGCTTTGGACTTCAGCCCTGCTTTTAGAGCCCGAAGTTCAATGCCCCGAAGAGATACTTGCTGCACGGTTTCACAATCGGAGTCCAGTTTGGAGGCGTCATTCTCGTCCAAAGAGACCTCAGACAGACCACCCGCTTTGGAACGGTGGCTGTCATCAAACAGCAGCGCAAGATCGGTCCATTTCTCGGACCACCCCCGACGCTGGGCAATTTCTTCAAGGCAGCGACGCGCCAGTAAGAAAAGCTCTCCTCTCCCAGAGGCCAATTGCTCAGAGCCAGTCTTTGGAGCAGGACCAGGCGCTGGCTTCGGATGATCAAGGGTTAAACGTCGCTGCAGAAGTCCGACAGTATCAGAAAGATCCTGGGTCATTGCACGACTAGGACGGGTATTAGACGAGGAAATTAGGGAGCTTGACCGACGAGGCACATCAGAACGAGTCTCGGCTGCCGATACAGTGGAGCTGGGTGTATCGTTATTCTGTGTCACACCATGAAGAGAAGATTCAGGTAGTGCGAGGTGCGAGGTGAATGTTTGATGGAGAATTTGTAATGCTGCCGCATATGCCCAGGAGGACACAAGGTTGTTAATGGTATCTGCCTTGGCCTCATGATCCACATCGGCAAGTCCGCATTCTAGGCCATAACGAAGAGTTCGCGCAGCAAGGGTGATAAAGTCAGAGGATCGAGCACAAATCTCAGAAAGTACAATGAGATCTTCTGGTTTCTTGTCCCGGGGTTGAGTTTCATTACCAGTCAAGCATGGAGCCCTTGCAGCCCGAAGAAGCAGGGTAAGCTGTCGAGAGAAAATGTAGGTACGGAAATCGAAAATTGAAATGTCACTGGCGAGAATCATCTCTCGATAAGGCAGCTTCGTGGAGCTGAGCGGGTAATCCTCAGGTTGAATCGCCTTGAGAGGATCTTCATCCGCGTCAGGATCATCAGTTGGGTCGCCGGACTCCAGCACATTTTTCGCCCTTTCCACCCAAATTTTGCTAGAGGACAGAAGGGCATTGCCGTGCTTTTCACCGTTATCTTGCAGTTGATCTCGGATGGCAGCATCAAGCCCAATGGATAATTCATCGTAGCCAAGGAGCGCATCCTCGAAAAGGCCCACATTTTCGAAGCCTCGGGCCAGACCTTCTTTCAAAATGAAGAATGTGCAGAAATTCCACCCTGGTAGACTTCGCTGCGAGTCCTTTTCTTTGATATCTTCCTCGTACTGCGCCACGCGGAGGTCAAAAGAAGCCAATATGCCTTTCTTCACCTTATCGATCAGGTCTTCTAGTTGGTCGGCAAAATCCGGAGACTTGGTGGGAGTTCCCTCTTTCGGGAGTCGTAGCTGTGCAACACGGTCAATCGCAGTTTTTGAAGATCCATTGAAATCCGCTTTGATCTTCTCCAGGACGGTACTGGTGCTGCGGCCCCATTTGGAGGTAGGCGCAGGGGTCTTATCCACACCGTCGCCATCTTGCACCACATGCAGAATCAGCCACTCGAATGCATCGTGTTTCTCCTGGCCACTGCCCGTTGGCTGAGATGTGCTTGAAGACCCCTGCGCTTTGATCCATTCACGGAGTGTCTTTCGAGCCGTGGCCTTGTAGGTGTCATTATCGTCGCATCGGAGGAGATAGATTTTGAGATAGGGTGTCTGTCGCAAGCCAGGAATTTGATGTCGGCGGTGTGGAATTGCCCCCGTGGCATCGCTAGAGGATTTCCGCTCACTGGCTTCTGGGTGCGCGGGCGAGAAGCCGATGCGGAGTGATTCGATTGATCGAACGGGACGAGTTGGAGACTTCCAGTGAAGGTTCTTCAGGGGGAGTTTCGACTCGATGATCGGCTGGACGACAGGAAACAGGCCAGAAGGATCCGTATATTCGACTGTACGCTGTTAGCATGGGTTCGGAGAGGAGCTTGGTCGACGATCCTACCGGTCACATTACTCGACGCTGCTTTGGAAGGGTCCATGGTGCTCGGATGCTGGGAGAGGACCAATGGCACCTAGAACATTCCGATCCAAGCACCACAAGCGACTGTCTGGCTCTCCCAGGATTGTGGCGTCAATGTGAGGGTGGAGGGTGTTTGGAGGGTTCGGGGGTGTTTGGGGAACTCTCGGTCCCGCCGCCAGAATCCCGATTGGGCCCGCACAGGCCGCATTTTGGCGCGCCCGTCGCGCACCACAAACATCATCATGTAGACCTGTTTCTCTACCCGTGACAACCGCCATATAAGCACAGAGAGTAAATAGAGCAGTGATTACCAGGCCCAAGGGTTGCCTCCACCGTCCGGGTTTTCGCCTCCCACTGTGCTTGCGGCCAGCAATTTTTCTCTAGCATATCGTGAGCGAACAGCACCCACATGTAGATTATGGACTTTTTAACTCGATGGGCGTACAAGAAGGCTATCTTGATTTTGCAACCGATACCATGATTTTGAGAGTGATAGGGCTCTTCGGCCGGAGATCTGACATCTGATCCCCGTAGGGTTGAGTCTCCTCCGTATAGATCATAGACCATTCTATAGATCATTTGAGCGAGGCTGCTATGTTTTTGTCTACATCAGCAACTCTACAATAGTATCGTTTTCAGTACAATCTCACAACAAGGGTTGTAGGATTCGGTGATGAGGATAAGAGGAGGAGAGATTCAGTTAACCATACAATCACATTAAGGCTATCTGATCCAACCTAGGCTGGCCAAGCCCACGAGCGCCCGGAAAGCCCGTAATCTCCGACGGGGACATCCGCTTCCCCGCAGACCCAATAAACCTAGGTTCGTCTGTCTGGGCTGTTCACGCCAACTTGGACCTCCCCCCACCCCTCAAGTACGCTATGAGGATGTAATTTCTTGTCTGGATATCGTCACCCCAAACTTGAACCTCATCCTCTCTTTCAGTTACTGCGCTTGCTTCGAAATGGCGACCGATGACCCCTCTCCCTTTCAATCCATCCCCTGGGTCTCTAAGCTCCTTCAAGATGACTCTTTCGTGACAATCTCCATTGCCTCGAGGCAAGTGAAAACTACGTCGGAAGATAGCTTGTTCTCTACGACCATCAAGTCAGATAACACGCTGGCAGCATGCTTGACTCAATATCGCCGACCACCTCAGCCTCCCTCAGACAGCGTGCAGTCTGCCCCGTCGCCCAAAGGGGCAGAAGGCTTTCGAATGTTCTTCATTCTCGGGTCAGATATGAACGGATACCCGGGAATCTTACATGGCGGTATGGTCGCCACCCTGCTGGATGAATGCACCGGGCTTCTTCTCTCCATAAGGGGAGATGTCGGCGATGCGTCGCAGCGGAATGCGGATTCAGACCCTGGACCAGTGACGGCCTATCTGAATACCAAATTTCTCCGACCGGTGCGAACCCCGGGGGTCATTGTCGTCGAAGCCCAATTGAAAGAGGCTAAAGAAGACCGCAAGTGGAAGATTGATGGTGAGATTCGGGATAGCCAGGATCAAATCCTGGCAACTGCCGAGTCTCTGTACGTGAGAATTCGCTCGAAGATATAGACCGAGGGAGGTGATCCATACAATGGTTTTCAATGCACGTCCCTTGCCGTGATAGATACACATCCGATGCTTGACTTGTGCAATTGTCTCGATGGGCCCGAGATGTATCCTGCTCGGTAGAATTAGAACAACCACACCATTCAACCTGTCACTCCCATGTCTTGTATATCGATTCCCCGACATGGATTGATCGTTACAACAATGTCTTTGTTTGGCTACCTGGCTTCCTTTGTCTGTCTACGTAAATATTGGTATTCTTTGTTGAGATGCCAGCTCAATTCAGGACAAAGAGCAGTTCTTTGATCACTCGCTTGGCTCTCGAATCTCATCTACGAGTCCAGTATGGGCTCTGAAGGATATAAGGCAGGCCCTATCTCGATGAATAACAGCCCCGTCATCGATTATACCAAGATTGTTTCGATACTTGGCTTTCTTCAAACCCCCCAACCCGATCCCCCACGGCAGCTCTCTACACCTGCCCAACACTCTCCCTCCTGAGCTCCAAGACCGCCATGAGTGAAAGACCGGAAGGGTTCGTCGTGATCGACGGCCTTGACATCGTCGAGCCAGAGGGCAGGGAGGCGCCCAACATCCCAAGGACCGGGGCTCCCAAGCTCCCACGCATTGGTGCAGATCATCATGACGAGTTCCTGGGGTACAAAACCAAAATTTTGTTGGCATTCGATAAATGCAAAGAGACGCTCACGTTTGAGCCCGGTTCTCACTTTGCCGCGTCAGACATTCTTCTACGCGAGGCTCTATCGAGCCTCATGAAGATGACACTATGTGTGAGAGACGAGCAGGCAACTACAGGCTCAGATGTTCCTCGGTGCCTCATGACCAGACTGCTAGCCCTCGAAGACCAAATTCTTGAAGAAAGCGGTAGGTTACAGGACTCTTGTGGCAAGCCTTCCTACAATCACATAATCCACCGTCACGTAATCCTCGAGATCATGGCCCTCAACTGCGCACGGCTGACCTTGTGGACGCAGAGATCTAATGCTGATAATTATCGTGTCCTGCGCAATCCTGGAGCAGAGCGCTCAGAGAACTTGCTAGAAGATGGCGATCTACTTGTAGTGGGCATGAAAGACGGCCTCGCCGCCCTGAAACAAAGCCTGGAAAATTATGTACCTCCTCCTCTGGGGCACCTCAAAGAGAGACGCCGGCGAAAGCGAGTTCTTGCCGTTCTCCAACGACTCAACGAGCCAGTGGATGACTGTAATTGCTATTCATGCAATGAGCGTCGCCTCGAGATCCACCGTGAGCGCCAGGAAGAGGCGATCCCAGGGATTTTGCCGTCCTTGCGGGCCTTGTTCTCTCCCATCGTCCGATTTTAATTACCCGCGTTTTTTTCTATGTGGTTCGACTGGCTTTCTCTCTTCACTCGAGGTCATTCGCTTCAGTTTTCTAGACAAGTTATGATCCCTCATATTCCCCGCAAGTAGGTATCCTCCCCTTCACCCCCAGCAACAACAAAAAACTTCCTAAAAAAAAAAAAATATATTTTCTCTTATGAAATAAAACCTCCCTCTCATCAAAAAGACTAGAGATATATTCGCCTTCCCATCATACGATAGGTAGTAAAGATTCGTCAAATTATTTTTCTCGAGATTTATATTGCTAAGAATCCGATCTTATCACAGATCTACTATCTGGCCTAAAGCATTTACCAACCGCCATTTGCTACAATCAGTATGTTTTCTCAAATGTGTCTTGATCTCTACATGCCAAATTTAGCAGGCCACCATTCTAGTACTATCCATATACATAGCGTTTCAAAAGTCTGTTCCGATCCCCACTTTCACTACCCTAACATCAAATATATATATCTGTTACACTACACACTACACCACCATCTTTCTAGATATATATTTCTGGTGAAAAAATTCAAATTCGGGTAGGGTTAAACTCGCTTAGCAGCCACTAATATTTTGTATAAAATCCCTTTTCCTTCCGTACAGCTTCTAACCTTCTTCCCATCCCCAAAATCAACCTATCTATCTTCCTCTGATCTAATGCCTCCCAAGCTTCTATAATACATCTTCTAAAATAGCGCCAATCCTCCTCAGACTTTCCCATATCAATAAGCTCAGGATATAACCTAAAAAGCTTCAGTTTTAACCATCTCCAAACGGGTTCTATCGGGTTTAAATCAGGTGAGTGTGGAGGCCAATCCTCGACCCAAATACCGTGTATTTCAAACCACTCTTGGGTTATCTTTGCAATATGAATCCTAGCATTATCTTGTTGGAATATCTTCCCCGGCCTATATATAGGCAAAAGACCTTCTTCTAACGCGTCTAGATAGGATCTTGTCGTATAACCTCGCTTCCGACCGTCGGATTCCTCCCGTTCCATTATAACAAGCTTCGACCGACCACCAAGCCAGATAGCACCCCAAACCATCTGCGATATATCCTTAACATGAACCTGTTTATTAATTAGATCACGCCTATAGGCCTCAGAAGCAAATCTCCAGCACCATTTAGGCCCAGTATTCGACGATCGTTGAACAGAACACTCGTCGGAAAATATCCACTTTTGAATCCTAGAAGAATCAGTAATTCTTCGCCATTTTAACACAAAATACCGTCGTTTTAAAGCAGTCTTTAACCCTATAGGGATCTTCTTCTTTGATAAGCGTTTAAGGAGTTTAAATCGGCGAAGAACTCGACAAATTGTTGACCTAGAAGGATTACTAGGTAAGCAGGCTGATAGCTGTTTATAGGTCCAAAAAGGATGCCGGCGAGCTTGCAAATATAGGAAGGTGCAATCACGACTACTAAGCTTCCTAGGCCTACCTGAACGAGGCGCTGAATCGAAGGTGTAGTCGTTTTGGTAGCGTTTAAAGACGTTATATATAGTCTTTACCGAACACCTAAAATCCTGTGCTAGCTGAGCACGTGAAATATCACCCTTTCTAATAGCATATACAATAGCTTGACGTTGAGCAGGGGTTAACTCACCATTTTTCTTGCGATTACCACCAAAATCGGGGTGCCTAGATGCCATCTAGGTAGTTGTAGAAGGAAAGAAAAATTATGTGTGGGTGGTTGGTGTGGTGATGGAAAGTGGGGATCGGAACAGACTTTTGAAACGCTATGTATCTTCACTCCCAGCACGACAAATCAATGAACAGTCTTCAATGCGCGCTGGGCAGCCATCCCATACTTGTAAAAGGTCCACTTTGCTCCCTTACAATGGCCAAAATTGATCCGTTCATGAGAGAAGTTAAAGACATGCTGAAAGCGAGGGATGCTTAGCCTATCATAAGAAGCAGCCGCCGCATCTAGCGAAATACTGCGACAAACCTGTTCGGCCAGATCCCAACCGTCCTTGAGCGCCAGGTTTGCCCCGACCAATTCGAAGGGGCTGAGAATATGGTTGGCGTCGCCAATGAACATCACTCCATGCAGGCGAGCATTATGCTGGAACGCAGGCTTCTCCTTCGCGGGCCGAATGAAGGCCGTACCAGGGATTGTCGCCTCAACAATCGTTCTGAAGGGCTCCTGGAACATCGAAGCGGTCTGCAAAGCTTCTTTCTTTAATTTGCTGAATTCTTCGAGGCTGAAGCTTGTTTTCTCCTCTCGTTCGAGTCCCACCGTGCTCAGTGCCCAGTTTATTGTCTTGCTGTCTAAGGGGTGGTAGATGCAGCAGACCCCTTCGCCTGACGACATTTGAAGGCTGAAGTCTTGATCAATGGGATTGGGTAGTCCCTCCGAAAGAAACGAGGTTCCACCGATCTGCGTCGCGCCGGCGTAGTGGGTTTTCATGTCGTTGGGTCGAAAGCAGGCCCGAATGCGACTATTTGCGCCATCGGCCGCCACGAGGAGATCGCAGTCTAGAGTGGAGCTGTGTGAACTGCCTGTGTCCTCAGAGAGGGAGACGCGAATCTTCCCGTTCGATAGATGCTCCGCCGAAGTGCAGATTGAACCCCAATTGAAGACGGTCCTTGTCTGCTCGGCTCTCTCCACCAAAATGCGCTTGAGATTCTGACGGCTAATGCGCATGGTTGCTGCTGGGAGGTTCCCGTACACGGTCGGGTTGATCGATGACAGCCATTTCCAATCGCTTGACCAGACCCGGATATCACCGTCGTTGAGCGTCGAGTGCTGACGTACTTCGTCTAGCAACCCCAATTGCTGAATGGCCACAAGCCCGTCACCCTGACTGGCCCCATTGATGCACAGTGTATAGGAGTCCTTTTGAATAGAATCTTGGCGGGAGTTTTGTTCGTAAAGCAGCACTTCTGGAGACTCAAGTGTCGAGCTTTGCCAGAGCTTGTCGAGAGCAAGTATAAATGCCAGGCCCGCAAATCCTCCACCAGCCACGACGATTCTCTTTCCTGCAAGATAGTGGCCTGGTCGTCCGCTCATATTGGAAATATGGATACATGACAATGATGAGGGGACATTGAACGGTCATAATATCTTGTTTCAGGGTAAAGCCATGACGGGGTTGCTTACGTTCATCCTTGCCGGTGTTTCTATTCTCGGGGAATTTATTAGTGTGTCGGAGTTTCTATTCCTTCTCGCTTCGTCGGCTCGTGGCGGCACGGACTAGTATTACAACCTACCCGTTGAGAGAGTTACATTCTTCTTCAAAGTTTGTTGTTCCGACCTGATCGTTCTAATCTAGTTTCGAAGGACAATCTGTCATCAATGACGGTGGTTTTGTCGCAAAGAAATCACAAGCATTTGGAGCGATATCGGTCCGCGACTCGATGGAAAAACGCCTCCCTTCTATAATTTGGACCCTAATTTGCATCCTCTACTCGCAAGTTCTATTCTATATTGACGGAAAAGGGCTACCCGTCCGATTCTCCGACAGTACTGTTGCTGCTCATCCATATGTCACCAACAGATCCCGTATGTCTGAGAGATGACGCAGCAAGGTATGCTAGAGCGGCACCAGAGCCAGCACGCGAGGCTAGGAGACCACATTGTGTCACTGGAAAATCCTTTCGTAGTGCTATCCTATTACCACAATTTTGGAGAGTGTTCCAAAGGAGTGGAAGATCTCAACAACGTAGTTCTAGCTGACTCACCCTATTAATGAGGGTTTGATAATTATATATCTAGAGAGTCTAGGCAGCCTAAAGTCCACTAATCAACCAACGAAACATCAGGCTCTTCCAAAATTCTCACAGAGAACGCGGTTCATTCTTGTTGGGAAGGGGCTATTCTGGCTGCAGCATGGGAGCCTGGGGTTGGTTTCAGGTCTCAGCCGAGACAAATACAACCATAAGTGAGCAAATATTTCAATATGAGAAACTGGTTGAGAATTAAGGAGTAATATGCTGTGGGAGATCTTTTAGTAAAAATTGAGCAAGACTTTAACTCCACTGGCGCTGGTTTTTCCAACGAGACTCCAGCTTCCTACGCACCACTCCCCCGGATAGAAATATTTACGTGAGCTAGCAAGCTACTGGAATCTCAGTTAATCTGTTCATTTCAAAGACCATATTCTATCATGGGATGGGAGTCATTTCTGGGGATTCTATTTATTGAAGGTGTAAATTGCATGGGCGTTACCCTCCGAGTCCTGGAAGTACTGATAGAAAGCCTGATCACCCTCAGCTTCCTTCTCCCCAAGCATCTTGCCGCCATTGGTCTCAATTTTCTATGTTATTGATATCAGCAGATGCATAAAAAAGAAGCAAAAGTAAATCAAGCATACCTCAATGGCGCTTTCGATGTCGTCGACGTACAAGAAGACCTTCGTAGCACCAGTAACAGCGAGCTCTGCATCTGGAACTTTCTTGATAATACCACCACCGGGAAACATTTCCCCATCGACCTTGAAGACAAGGAGGTACTCCTCCGGAGCACCAACGTGGCTTTCAGCCGAAAATTTCCAGTTGAAAACCTTTTCGTAGAAGATGGAGGCTATTTGTGCCGCAGGGCTAGTCAGAAAGATTTAGGACAATTGGAAAACATGTTTGAAAGGTTCATACCACGCTTGGTGTCCTTTACGGGGATTTCAAGGCCCATAGGGGTACCAATAGCTGGGAGAAGCATGATGTCTTGAAGGGCGAGTCCTGATCTGGTATGTCAAGTTAACGTGATGGTTTGTTGAAGAATCTCAACGTCTCCTACGATGAATATATAGATCGCTGTGGAGAAATCTATTTGCAATTTTAAACAGCTATGAAGTGATCTTGGTTGCTTCTTCAGCTCCAAGCATTCTACCTGAACAATGTATACACGTATACAATTTCTATTTCTCCGAAAATATAGTATTTCTGATTCTCCGGAAGATATACAGTTTCTGTTTGTCCGAATGTATACAGTTTCCTTTTCTCCGAACGTATACTGTTTTCGTTTATCCGGCTTGTGTAGTAATTCTAGGAAAATGTTCCGATATGTCAGGGATATCAACAACCGTCCGAGAGTCAATATCGACGAAGCGGAACTCAGCCGCCAATCTATAGGGAACGCGGGAACCACTAGCCAACAAATTAATATTGTGTGATATTTGAAGACCAGATAAATAAGACCGGAAGCATCATAGAATAGACATAGAATGTCCCTACTACAAGAACAGCAATAATATCTGTCAAATAAATTCAAATAATACTTCACTTTTGAAGCTGTCGGATCTCTTGTTCCATATTCGGTTTTCTCCTCGTAGTGCAATTATACTACAGCCCCTTTTGTATTCTCATCTGGATATAGACGAAAAGTCAGATTGTTGCACTTGTAAAGATGGCCAGGGTCAGGAACAGAGAATAGCTATTTCTCACCTTTGCATATTGATAATTACAACGCTCCCCTGATGAAACTCCGTCAGCTGCCAAGGCATTAATCCACACGGCCAGACGAATCCCTGCTTTGAGAATTTGTGCCTCGACAATAGGGGCAGCCCCCTCATAATACTCTTCACCCAGATCATTATCGTGCAGCCAATCAATGCCATTTTTGAAAACAAAATCGCAGTTCAATCTGTTTGACTCAGCGGCCCATATCATAGGGCATTTTAATGGTCTCTTGATGTCAGAGCATTCTGCCTGAAGAGGCCTCACTCCCTGAGACTGAAACAATTTTTCAGCCCATTTCACAGCAGGCTCTTTTTGGTCGTTGTGCTTCGGCGTTTGCTTAAGTCCGTTCAGTTTATGTGGGATGTCTGTATCCCACACACCGTGAAGGTTCTTCTTCTGGGGGCAGCGACCGTCAAAGCAAACGTGGATATCGTTACCTCCTCGACATTTATCCTCAACATGCAGTGGTTGGTGTAGATCACCAATGAAATGCATTAAGTATTTCAATGCGTCAGCTCGCTGCGCCTTCTCCAAACTTTGGTCCTGAACTTGATTTGTCTTTTAATCATCAGTAATCAGTAACGCTTCATATAATTGGGTCACAATATTCAAAGGCGTCTCTCACGAACCATATTTTCAATAGCGGATATGATACATCCATCTTCGCTGCAATCTGCTTCATAGGAAACATGACACGCATCGGGCGGAGTATCATGGGCATCTTTTTGAATGAGCTTAGAGGATCTGGAGAAACTAGGATTAGTACATACCTATGTAATGCCATGGTCTTGTATATGGTTTTTTAAATTTCTGCTTATCGGCCCACACTGAAGCATCCGAGATATCAAATTTATCATTTGGTACAACAAGTTCTTCAAACAGCTGAGTGCCGTGATCGTCCAAATACTTCTCTGCCAAATATGCTACCGTTCGATGACCGAGGTCTCCCCAGCCCCAAGTGAACTGGGTCGTATAACTGAGTGACAGGAGCAACCAGAGGGAATACATTGCTGATGGAGCCGCGACTGCTAGGTGCCTATTGAAGAGCTGAGCTTTGGTTGATCCTTGGGAATCATAAAAGAAACAACAGACTAACACATATAGTGATCCAATATTTATAAGCCTACGGAAATCGAAATAATAATCGGTTTTACCAGGTAGAAAGGTTTCCGAACAGTCTAGATCCAACAAGCTTGGCGGATGGGGCAAAGCTGAATACGAATTTTTCTGCTGTTTGCAGCAGGAAGATGATTACTGTGGTTGCAGCTTGGTTTTAAAATAACCTAATTTCCAGCTCCATAACTCGAGCCATCGCAAGGAGATCGCTGGTGTCTCGATGACTGGATGAACCGAGCATGAAACTTGGATACAACTCGAAAGTCACATTAGATGTACACGATACTCCGAAGCCCTCATCCCAACTCCTAAATGTAATCATTCAACTTGCTTTTCTTAGTTTCTGAATCAGAACAACTATTTTGCAATTTAGCCTAACGGTCAAATCAATAGGGTCTTTTCAACATGAAGAGAGTTCATTGCGGACGTAAAAAAGCTATTCATCGCTGGGCAAGAAAACTCGGGCAATGGCTTCTGGGTGCTGAAGTAGTGTTTGGGTCAAGCCAAGACAGCAAAAGTACACAACTGACTTACTTTGGTAAGCAGAATGATAGGCAGAAATGTAAAAACAGAGAGTCTTGATTCAGCGTCACCATCTAATCAGTACTGCACACTAGTCTTGCAAGGGCAGTAGACAAATTCCAATAAACTCAAATTGTTTCTTAATCTAGGGAAAAGATTTGAGAAATCAGGACGCAATCATGAAAAATGTAGATGGAGACCGAAAGTCTTTTTTCTTTGTGAAGCCTTTTTTTCTTGGCGCAAGTCACTTGATACGTGTGCTTGGCAAAGAATACCCAATATATCTAAGTAGGCTTGGCAGTAGGATCTAGTCGTATTTGAACATCAAATGTGGGGTTCTGACTGGTGCGCTTATTTTTCAAGGTTCTATGGAACCTTGAAACTTCAATTACGGGAAAGCCGGCATTCCGCTTTTGAATATTCTACAGGTTCTAGATTTCCTCGGATCGTGATTAAAGACAAAGAATGGACATAAAGGCATATTCAAAGTTTCGCCCATTTACTAGTGGAATGTTTTCTGAATGAGGATCATATTGACTAGACTGCTCTTACCACTCAATACGGGCGTGCCATTGTATTGGTTTAGGCAGTAGACTAGTGGCGGAACCACTCTTTCAGCTTATGGCGGCACGTCATCTTAATCCCTCTTCACAAGATTGTGTCAAATAGCCTCCACAACAAGGAAAAATCCAGGACGGATCAAATCTAGGAGCCAGACCTTACATGATCTCCCATGGTTCCCATCCATCGCCAGAGCGCCATTTTTGATGTGACCTACTGGCGAACCAAGCTCCTGTATTATCGTTCCAATAGTGAAAGTTGTCGCAGTTGCAGATGCAAAAATGGGTTGCCTTTCAATCAGATTTGAGGTCATTGCTGCAAGCGGGGTGGTGTTAGGCAATCTTTTTGGTTCAACCCCAGTATTTCTTACCACCAACCAAAACCTGCCATGAACCAGAGATTGAGGGTTGATACTGAGACAACTACAAGCGAGGTTATTTCTCTGCTGAGCCAAATTGTAAGACGCCTTTTCACTGTCATACCTTGGAGTCTTTTGAGGTATTCTCTCATGATGGTTGGGCCAGATTTGCCGCCGGGGCCGGTCTCTCGATTCACCTTTGCGGTCAACATTCCCCCGCTGGATCGCATGGCGCAAATGGACACTTATTAACTCTTTATGAGCTCTACTTGTCCAACCATTAGGATTTTTTTCATAAATTCTGTCCCGCAGATCGGCTCAGCATCTTTATTCCTTCCCATCATGCCGCTGGAGTCCACACAGCTAGCATCCCGGCTGGCAGGTTATAAACGTATAATCCTTTGTGCAGATGGAACCTGGCTTGCTTCTGACCTGGGAAACGCGTCTGTACCATCGAACGTCGCGAGAATCGCTCGCACTATCGCGACGAGTGGCCCGGACCCCCATGGCAATATCGTACCGCAAATTGTCTCATATCATTCAGGACTGGGAGCTGGAGAGCTCCCTTTTCAGAAGGCAATCTATGGTAAGACCTCATGATCTCAATTTGATACAGCGTAGTGCTGATTTGGTAATTGCTTCCTTTCTATCACAGGCGGCATCGGTTGGGGCTTGGACAATGAAGTTTGTCAGATCTATGAATTCATCTCCAACAATTACGTGAAAGGCGACGAGTTGTTCTTTTTCGGGTTTTCGCGTGGCGCTTTTACCGTCCGCTCTGTGGCTGGCCTCGTGTCCGATATAGGTGTGCTCTCGTCCCAGCACATGTCGCACTTCGCCGAAATGTGGAAGGCTTACAGGGAGAATTCGAGCGGGCAGCCTTTCCGGAAGACTGAATGGTATCAACAAAATCAAGGTAAACTGCGCTTGGAGGACGATGTCCGCATCAAAGTAGTGGGCGTTTGGGACACTGTTGGTGCTCTAGTATGTACAGATTCTCTTAAAACAGCGAGTGACAGGAGCTGACAATGGAGGTAATCAGGGAATTCCTAATTGGCCGCTGGTTAATTTGGTTTCAAAACTGGGTATCAATCTTTCGAAACAATACGTATTTCACAACACAAATGTCTCGAAAAGTGAGTCCATTGCTCTCTCCGGCGCAATTTTTTATGCTCTAAATGCAGCCCCGCTTACCAGCTGATGTAGACATAGACTATGCTTTTCAAGCCCTAGCTATCGATGAGAGACGTCTCACCTTCCCACCGACCCTTTGGCACAGAACCCAGGATGCACCAGCCAAAGATCTACAGCAGTGTTGGTTTCCTGGCGTCCACACAAATATTGGGGGTGGAGCTCCAGAACGTGAAATCGAGGACATCACATTTGCATGGATGGTATGCTCATTTTACCACCGTCTCCTCTACTTGATATTCTGTCGCGGTTTTATTGACTAGTAGTGTCGGACCTCCAGGTGGACAATCTGTCTGGAATGTTGACTTTTGAAAGTGTAATAATCGAGGAACTGATTCAGCAACACCGGGCTTCGCAGGCCGAACGTAATGCTCTGGACCAAAAAGACGATAGCTGGGGCTGCGGGTATATCAAGTCCAATTTTGCTGGCCTGAAAGGTACGTTCTTCCGGGTGCTCGGGAAACAGGACCGCACGCCGGGCAACTATCCGCAGGTCTCAGGGGATGACAAGAGCGCTCGAACCACTAATGAATCCTTCCATCCAATCGCCCGGATTCGGAAGACCAACCTATCTCCCGATTACACTCCAGCTGCACTGGCTGGATATGTGATCGAGGGACCCGGTGATGATGGTGGTAGCCAAACTGGCTGGCAATGGATCAAAAAGGACGATTCATTGGCATTGCCAGAGTATGTTTTGCGCCCGGATCAACGGATGACTGTGATGCATGAATTGGAGTATGAGACTCGACCCAGCTTATCCAGATCTATGTGTCCAAAGAGCCTGTTGGCGGATCTCGATCGGCATAACGGCATACCCATACCTGCTAGTGAGACGACTGCGACTTGATGGCGTGTATTTTTGCAACTAGTTCTTGTTTATATTTTTGATATGTTTGCGTAGCAACCAAGAAACTATATATGAGTACCAAAACACTGCAACATCAAATATTCAAAAAAAGATTTCTTGCTTTGAGGATCGATTGAACTTGTATCTCCTAGGCCCTTATCATCCCAGCCATGAGTGAGCTGGGGCATATGACTGAGCAACAACATAGCCAGAGATAATACATTGATTTCTATATTCACATTTGGAATGTGATTATTGTACAACGGAGAACTCTATAGATTATGGGAGGTTGCGAAACTAGGAGTATAAGATCACTTAGAATCATCGGCTAATATCTAAATTATCAGAATATCCGCACGAGCAGTCCTCTCCGGTGAAACGCCCATCAGATGGTCCGAATTCAGGAAAAGAATTGCAGCCACATCGGGTCTCAATATAACATCTTGCCGTTTGTGCCGAAATAACTCCTGGATATATTATCTAGCTCTCAGGTGATTATACCGTGACCGTAAACCAGAGACGTCTATTCCATGGCTCTCTAGCACGTCTAAGAAAACTGCTTATGTTTTTGGCGGTCAAATGACTGAGCAAAAATGTTAGGAGCCAAGGTTCCATAGTGCAGTGCCTTAATATGAATTATGGTTGGACCGGCCTTTTACCTTTCACATGGCACTCTAATTTAGCGAACTCGCTCTCTTGATTCATAGTTTTGGTAGTTCCTTTGCAATGAATGTACATGATAAGCAGGCTGGCCAGATAATTGAACTGGATGGGGAGTGGGGTTTGGGGCCAGTGTAACTAATTTTCCATCAGTCACCTACTGGTAGCTGCAAGGCTAGTAGTTATTTCAGATATAAAGACATGGCATGCGCAATTTCAAAACTAAGTGGTGTGCTTCTATTATCCAGGAGCTGTGGCACGGGGGCCGAGATTTTAGGCGCAACGACCTCAGGCGGGCAATTTTGAGCTTGGTCACAACGTCCGCGGAGAAGGTACTAATCTTTATGATTTTCAGTAGATTATATCGAATTCATCGCAAATGCCCAGGTCTGGACCTCGCCCGGGTAGGACCGGCACCGTTTGCGGATAATAAGCGGGGGTCCGCGTGGGAAGATTCCTTGTTACAGGAAACTAAACTTTATTCCATTCTTGGCAAAGAGCTGACACAAACTACGGTTGCTGTTGAAGGTAAAGGCTTATCGATCCCTAGATGCCAACCAAAGTAGATCTTGGTTTACGCGAGGTAAGTCTGTCTACCATCCTGGACACAATCACAAAATGCGTCAAGAAAGATCTTGACCGCACATGATACTGACCGCCTTGATTTAATCGTCTAGTACTGGGTCCTCTGTTGCTCTAGTTGGTTCATCTGAGCCTGTCTGCGAACTCACAGCTACCATACATATCTCGCCCGCACCCATCTTTCACTACGACCACTACAGTCATGTCTCCAACACATGCAGCGCCAAATATGATTCCCGACTACGAGGTTAGGCTCATGCTCAACCCAACTACGGTGCTCAGCCCCGAACACGAGCTAACGGCTACCGTCCTCTCGGCCTTCGAGATGCCGCCAACTGTCACAAAACTGAATGTCCAGTTCCTCGACAGCAGCTCCAAAGAGCTCTATGCCGCCGACTGGAGCGCCCGCATCCGCAAGATCGAAAATGAGGATGACTTCGAGTTGACGTACAAGAAGCGGTATGCCATCACAAGCGGCGGCGTTGAAGCCGCTCTCATTGCGGCTAATAACGATGGTTTCAACGCCGACAACGCGAAATACGAGGCGCAAGTCGAATGGGGCTATCAGAAGCAGACGCTTTCTATTAGCCGCAAGAAAACTGCAGCGAACTCTGGTAAAAGCGGAATGGACTTGCCGGGAACAAGCAATTCGCGTAAAATGCTGATCGACGAAGCACCGGATAAGTTCGACAACTGGAGCTCCAAAAAATGGGGCACTGAAACATTAGCCGTATCTCGCATCTTTGGCCCGATCCTCGTCAGGCGCTCTGTTGGCTTGTGGAACAAGATCCCTCTATACGTGGAGATCTGGCCCCTTTTGAGCTCCGATGATACGGGAATTGAGTACATCGTTGAGGCTTCTTTCAAGACAAAGAGTTGCAAGACAGCCTCAAATGAGCAGACCAACTTAGCCGTTTACTTGCAGAGCAATGGTTGGCTTCTCTCACAGGACTCACTAAAGACACAGCTTATTATGGAGCGCTACTGATATGGATAGTACATGGGCCCACATGTGTTTCTTGGTCTGAACTCCACGATGAAGCATCAAGAAGAACAATGATTTGGATTACTAGTAGCAGATAAGTTACTATAGCTAATGTTATTATGCTGAACACGGGAAGAAACTGCTATCATTTGAGAATATATATGATGTGAAGTCTTAATAAAGGGTTCCGTGTAGGAAAATTACAAGTAGAATAGGGCGAGTTATATCAAAGTTGAAGGCTTGAGGTGGCTCTAACACCTGGAGAAATCATCTTGCTTTCTTCGTTCTTGTTTTCTCTGTACACGCGACTATCAGCAGATGATAGAAAATAAAGACACAGATGAAGTGCCTGATGGTCTACCCGGAGCACTCTGGATAAAGGGGATCTGATCTCTGGAGTCACCATGAGCGCTCCCGAAGTACTCAGAGAGTGTGGGCTATAGAATATTCAGGAAGCAACAAGTTAAGATGGGCCAGTGTTAATCACATTATACTACGATGACTACGATGACTAGGTTCTTGGTAGATTGAACGTGAAATACTATAGCGCATAGAGATTGAGCGTATCGAATTCATGGCTTCTATTTGAATATCCCGAATAGCAAGTAGAATCTTGGGTATATTTTGATGCATGATAGGATGGAAGATGGTAAGAATGCGTCGAGACCCGATATTTGATAGGGTGGCCCCACGGTAGACAAATACATACGCTAAAAGTTCCCCGCACTTTCCCCTTCCCGTGGTGTTGTGGGTCTGCTTCCAATGTGTACACAATTAAGAACGGGTGTTTATATTGGATTTATCACCTCATATTTTGCTCACGAAAGGTCGAAAATCTGGTGATTCAAACCATACAATGATTATCAGGATAAACTAGGTAATAATACTCAACGTAAAGGGAAGTCATCAGTAAGAGCACAAGGGGTCGTTGATGGGACGCTCTCCTGGGTTTCACCCCATCGTGGATTGAATCTCTTCATTTATGGGCTCGTGGGTTTGAAAAATATAAATGTTATGAAGGACGGGTAGAGACCATATCATTATGCCGAGCACCGAGAAAGCAGTTACTCGGAAAAGCCGATCCCTTTTATGTGGGGAAGAGTATGACGACTAAACCCAAAATCTAATCTTTTCCCCGCAACTAATCTGTGACTCGGTATTCATAACCCCGAATATAACATCTAAATCACATAAATTCCGAGAAGCTACTCTCACCTTGAATTGTAACGTCCACTTAGGCAAAATGGGCGTCTTTGCAAGTTGGGCCTTGCTCACTCTGGGTACCCTGATTGCTGCTGGCAATGCATCGAAGTAGGTCCTCCAGTACATATCACGTTGAAGACCAGTCAGTCCTCATGATTATTCATAGTTCGTTCTTACCACGCAAAATTCATTCCGGAACACTTCCCAGCATCAATACTAAAACTCTATCTAAGGGGCATCCAATTACCTTAGATTCGGATGAGAGTACCTTGGTGACACTAGACTACGGATTCGAAGTCGCCGGGTTTCCGTACTTTCAAGTCTCCGACTTGGATCGACCTCTCCAAATTGAAATTAAGTACACCGAGCAGTTCGATGGATTAAACCATGTTTGGGCCGATGGACCTTACTATTTTTCAAATGGCCTCTCTAATTCCTTTCGTGTGGAAACTATTAATATAACGGAGCCCGGGAAATTTCAATCATACTTCATCCAGGGTGGGCAACGGTGGCAATCCATCAAGCTCCTGACCGGGGGGCGCGTCACATTCAGTGAAGTAGGGTTTGTCCCAACTATTGACTATGTGGATCTCGACAAGCTTCCCTCCAAATTCACAAGCTCCAACCCAACGTACAACGAAATCTGGAAGCTAGGCGCGAATGCTGTGACGGCGGCTTGTTTCGATGCGAATTCGCAAGTCTCAACTTGGGATATTACCGAAGATGGAGCACTAATCCGAGGGCAAAAGCCAGGATCTAGTGTTGAAGGGAACGCTCTTGTCGATTATACCTTGACTTTTTCCAGTAAGATTGTCCGTGGGGGAACAGGCTGGTCCATTGCACAGCCGATCGGTGGAACTGGCATTTTGCTTCTCCTTGTCTCTAACCTACCCAACGAGACATCTTATGCCAATACCAATCGAACTCTCACACCACCCAATTCCGTGGTGGTTGCGGCTGGATGGGGTTTCGTGAATCAGACCACGCTAGATAGCCAAGCTGTGGGGAGCTTCCCTGTTCCCTTTACTATTGAGGAGGAGAAATGGTATGAAATTTCCACCACCCTGCTCAACGGATCCCAGCTCTCCGTCAACATCAATGGGACACAGGTGTTGAACATCTCGCTCGCTGCTTATTCTGTTGCAACGCAAAGCGCAGGCAGCTGGGGATTTGGCCCCTATCAGGACCAAGTTGCTGTGGTGCAAGACGTCCGCGTGCACGCCAAAAATGGAACACTTCTGTACGAGAACGACATGCGATCCGAAACTATTTTGTCCGAGTATGGGGTTCGGCACAACACGAAATCCATGTGCATGGACGGAGCTAAACGAGACCGCTTAGTCTGGATGGGAGACCTCTTCCATACCAGTCGAATAATCCCTGCATCGACTTCTCGTTGGGACTATGTCCGAGGAACCCTTGATTACCTTCTGGCAACTCAAATATCAAACGGGCAACTCAACATCGATCCGCAAATGGGTTATAATGCATCTTCTTTAAAGATAGTTTCCAGCTCCTATGCTGGTCTCGCAGACTATCAGGTTTTGGGTCTTCTAGCCTTTACCGGTTATTTCCAACGGAGCGGAGATATTGAGTGGGCCCAAGACGTTTGGCCCAAATTCAAAAAGCAAATATCTTGGATGACGAACCAAATTGATAACACAACAGGGCTTGCTGGCATTGGTGGGTTCCTGGGCTCCGCGAATGGGACAGCCATCAGTGCTGCTGTTGTCCAAGGGCTAAACGAAGCCGCCATGGTGGCAGATGCTCTCAGCGACACAAACACAGCAAGTCTATATCGCAATATCGCCTCGAAGGTCTCCAAAGCCATCAATGAGAAACTTTGGAATGCGAAATTGGGGGTATATGTGAGCAGTATATCGACCAACACCACGTTCTCAGTTGCAGACATTGCCTTTGCCATCACCTCAGGCGTAGCCAGCGATGAGCGGGTCAAGTTGTCGCTTGCGCGGCTTTCGGAACTGAAACTCACCCCAGGCTTCAAAGACAGTTCAAACAGCGACACCTCGTCCGCTAACATCTCTCCGAATACCAATGGATTCCTCTTGGATGCATCCATGGTAGCCAAAGACACAGCCACAGCCAAGTACCTTTTGGATAACCTCTGGACAGCAATGCTGAGCAATGAATTTGGAAGCGGAGCGTCGTGGGAGTACGTCGCTCAAGATTTGACACCTGGTCTAAGCCTATTTACGTCTCTCAGTCACCCATGGGGTGGGGCAGCCACATATGTACTCAGCGAGCACATTGCCGGAATTCGGGCAGCAACTCCAGGTCATCAAACATGGTTGATACAGCCTGCTCTCACGGGATTCGACCTTGACTGGGTCTCGGCCTCTGTCTCGACGCGTTATGGGCCACTGTCGGTCAAGTGGGAAGTAAACAGTGCCACGGTGCATATCGATATCACTGCTCCAAAGGGAACGTCGGGGAACTTGCTGCTTCCTCAAGAGACGAAAGTCAAAACCGTTAAAATCAATGGAAAGGCAGCAGCCAGCACACATGAAATATCGCTTCAGAGTGGAAACTCCCATATAACTGTACATCTGGGCTGAAGAGATCACTGCAGAACATGTACAGGATCACGCTACTTTGAAACACCCACGCTGTTGCTGTAAGCTTCTTGAATTCCGACGGCGCTCGTTATCGAGCACATATTGTGGCTACTTAGATTTAATGAAAGAATTTCCAACTCACGCAAGTCCGCTTGGATTCCACCAAGTGCGAGTCTTCGACGTATACATATTAAGAATCTGCCATGGGAGAGCACGCGGCAAATTTTTAAAAGACTTGAAATATTTATCTATGCACACCTAGCTAAAGACACAATGCTTCGCCTTTGCAAGCTCGAAGTATATATAGTCGTATCCTGTCATTAAGTGCAGAACCAAACAAAAGCAGCACAGGAGCCAAGAAAGAGGGCCGGGTCGAGTTAACTCGCTCAAACATAAACCAAAAAAAAAAACATGTACCCGATCCAAATTATCAATGATCTCGAAAGGAAAATAAAAAGAAAAGAAAAGAAAAGACAAAAGAAAAGCCTCTAGATACCCAAATCCACAGCCCGCTGTGTGTAGCGAGTCTTCACAAAGTCAAAGCTGTCCGTGACGCCTTGCCAGATACCAGGCACATAGTTTCGACTCCAAGCGCAAATAACCAGAACCAGAAGAGGAATCTAGAACACATAAATATTAGAAAACCGGTGGTCAATTTGTAAAAAGAAAACATCGGGGACTTACCCAAAAGAAGTAGAGATTCCGGTCGCTGCCCAGACCCTTCATTCGCCGGGCCTGGTGCTCCCGGAGATGCTTCTGCTGCTCACGCGAAATGACCTTGCGTCCAATAGTAATATCTTTAAGGTCGTCCTTGTCTGCGAGGGGGCTGCTCTCAGTAATAGGGGCAGCAGCAGCAGATGTTGAGGCAGATGCAGCACTGTTTTGTGCTTCAAAGTGTTGATCCAAAGCTGCCTCGGTTGCAGCTTGCAAGAGAGCAGTCTTCTTCATCTCGGTCGCGTCCTCATCGAGTCCCTGCTGGTGGGGGTACAGCTCATCGTAAGAAGGCGGTTGATTCTGGCTCGGTGCGGTGTTACCCTTCAATAGGTCCCACCACCCGTCCCGAGCCGTGGGCCGGTGAGGCACTAGATTGGTGATGCGACGCATCATTTGATTGGCTTGATAGTCGGGCAGAGTAGGCATGGGAGGTAGAGCGGGGATATTAGGGAAAGCGTTGGCCACACTCTGCTGGAATTGGTTGATTTGTGCAGCCAGTTGGTTGCGCCATGCAACAATGGCTGCTGGCGGAGAGAATCCACGGGCATCCGGCGCCGCAGGTTGTTCTCCGGGATTAACGACTGGAGGAATAACATCTTGGTGCATGCTCGACCGGCGCGATGAACTGAAAAATAGTGGGTTGGCATCAGAGTCATCGCTGTCCACATCCTCACTGTTATCCAGGTCCTCTGAATCATCAACAGCATGTCCAAGAGAGCCCGAAGCTGATGACACCTCCCAGAGAGAGTTCAGAGAGGCAGAGCTACTGTGTCTGCGGCGCGAGGCGAGAGAACCAACGCTGCGAGACCGGTAATGACGTGACGGCAACAGAGCAGCCTGGTGTGCGGGAAGTGTTGTTGCCAAGTCAGCAGCAGTAAAGCCACGAATACTGCGAGCATTGGCATTTGCGCCAGCCAAACGGAGTCGGTTGACAATGTGAGCATGACCATGAAGAGCAGCTAGGTGCATTGGTGCATTTCCAGTGTTGTCCTGTACATCAGGGCTTGCACCGCGAGCCAAAAGTCCTGCTACAAAACGGGTCAACCCTAGAGATGCTGCAAAGTGCAAGAGAGTCTGGCCAGTGGTGCTGCGCGAGTTATAGCGTGGCGGTCGAGGATTATCGTCCAGGTCAATGTACTCGAGATAGGTCAGCATCTTGGAGTCAAGATCGCTAAGCTTGCCTTGAGACTCATGGCCAGGTACTTGGCGTTGGTGGCCACCGCCGGAACCGCCCTGCATATCCTTCTGCATATTGAAAATGGCATTAGGGTCGCTTCCCATGATCTGCTGCGCTGTCTGAAAAGCATCCGCCTGGCTGCCCAACTTCTGTCCCAAAATATTCAAGGCGAGACGATACATTTGCAGCTCGCGATCATCAACATATCGGAAAAACAGTTGCTGCTTGGGCATCAGAGGTTGAGTCTGCTGTACTTGACCAAAGGTAGGATGCTCATGTTTGAAAACTACCGAAACCAGACCAGGCTGCAGTGCCGGAGGGGTCAGACAGTTAAGGCACTTGTCACCCCAGAATGTCGTAGTGGTTGCAAGAGTATCACCAAAAACAACTTCCATGCCAGGATAAAAACCACTGCCCAAAAGTGTGACTTCAGTTCCACCGGTAATTGAGCCCTCGGCAGGAACCAGTTTGTGGATGACTGAAGGGAGGCGGTTGGGTGTGGCGGCGAGAGGAGGCCATATTTGATTCGCAGAGTTAGCTCCAAGCGTGAGAGCAAGATTCTGATCTTGAAATCCGTTGTTGCGGCCGGACGCACCAGGGGTTCCAGGCCGACTGGGCTGGGCAGAATTCGGTGCAGATGCCATTGGCTGTTGAGCCAAACTGTCCAAGCTCTGTCTTTGTGCAGGGGTGGGGTTGAAAAACGGATTATTGTCATTGCTCTGGTTCGGGGTCGGAGGACCATTTCCATATTGCCCAGACATCGACGAGGGGGTCACAAATGGTCGCTCAGTTGGGGACGCAAAACCACGTGCAGCCGCGAGTTGGGCGGCACTACTCATTGAAGAGTTGGAGGGTTGTGAGGTCTCCAGGCGGGTCATGGTCAGCTCCGAGGGGAGTCTTCCAGAGCTGCTGTGCTTTCGTCGCTTAGTCTGAGGGCCCGGAAAGTCGGTAGGTGACGCTTGTCGAGAGAGACTGCGAGGAGTCTGTGAGTTGGAGGTCACACTACTTGGCCCAAGCTGTGCAGCGGCAAACGAGCTAGGAGTAAGTTGATATTGTGAATTGAACCTTTGCTGAAGGCCTTGAAGATCCGTCGGGGATTGCGGAGAGGCAAAAGAACCATTGGTCTTGCCATTATGTCCAGATGAGAAGACACCCACTCCAGGAAGCTGGGTCCCATCTGGTAAAGACGGCGATGGACCTGCCGGCGGAGGAGCGGAAGGGGCTTGAGTCTTATGGTCATCTGTGATCATAATTGAATTCGTTATGGCCTGGGCGACAACATTGTCTGTATGATCCTTGACCGTAAAAATGACTTGAAACCCGAGCTTCTCATTCTGGTGACGACAATAACAAGCAATACGCATTGGAAGCTCCACTTGCATCGATCCCGGTGGTGTAGGGTGTATTTCACCATAATCGGAAGCGCTCTTAGGGGATTCTGTCCACTCCTTGATCTCACTGGTGTTGAAAACAATGACCCGCTTCTCTTCGTCCTTTTGGAAAAGCTGGTCTTCCTCGGGTTTTCGTTGCTTTTTCCGAGACGCGCGCTTGCGTTCCCGTTGGATACATCCTGTACAAATTTTCACATCACCGCCATCCAAAGGTCGCTCTTCTTCGATTCCATTCGCACCCGACTGACTTCTCTCGCCTCGTGTGCGGGCAAAAGCGCGCGCCAACTTTTCACGATCTTGCATTGCACTGGTGCATACCAAGCTTGTGAATAATTTCAGAGTGTCGGGGGTCGGTTCGGTTTCAGCGGGAGCAAGGAATTTGAGTTTCGAGATAGTATGCGAGGGGAGGCGCAGCTTCTTCACGCCGGCCGGCAGCGGAGAGAGCGTTAATCGGATTGGGATCTGGGTTTCGACACGCGATTTGAGGGAGGTTGGGTGGACTGTGAGAATGGGTTGAGCTGAATTAATTGAATCCACTTGATGCGGCGCTGGCGACGAGGCGAAATTGCCCGGGAAGGGAAACGACGAAGGCGAGCCAAAATTCATGTTGGGCGACATAGAATGATTCAGGGGAGATTGCCCGTTCATATTGATCCCGCCAAAGCTTTCTTCCAAAAGGGACGACGGAGAATGCCCCGTCCAATGGGGAGCAGCCAATCGTCCAATGCCATTTGAAAACTGTCCCGAAAATGGGGATTCCTCCTTTACACCAAAAGCAAAGAACGGCGATCCGGTTTGGGGAACCTAGACAGAGGAGAATAAATGTCAGCAATTCACCCCCAAGAACGTGCTTGTGAAGGTAACTCACCGAAGCTGCTGCTGCCGATCCCTCGGTAGTGGCTGGTACGGTCGAGGTACTGGACGGGCTCCATATTTGGGACTTGGGGAAATTCTGGGGATTGGGGTGGGATGGATTGTCGGTCTTCAGTGGGCTCGGGCTGCTGGCTGCGCTTTCAAAGTCGAAGGCCGCATCCATGGCTTTGTTGCTTGTTTCCAAGTCCGGATCCATGGAGAAGCCATTGTGTATAGGATAAGACGGTTCGATTGTGAAAGGCGACTCTTCCTTGACGGAGGATAGTTCGGGACGCATCCAATCCTCCGAGGGAAAGCCGGCGGAGGTCATCGGGTTTTCACTATGGGCGGCGGAGTTGGTGGATGCGACCGAGGCGTGTCGCAGATGATTCCGAGGGGATTCCGAGGAAGAGCTGCGACTCGAGTTGTCTGGGGACTCTGCGGGAGAGTCGGCAGCCATCACGGGCGGTTGTCTCAAGGGGTGTTGGTCTTGATAACGTTTGGAAGATTCGGGGGCGGCACTGGTGCGGGAGTTGGCGACTCGGGAGAATAAGTCGTCAAAGTCCCCCCTGCAGCCTCCGAGGGCATGTCGAGGTTGGTCGGGTCGAGAAAATCCATGTTGGCATTACGAAAGGCGGACTCCATCTCGTCGTCCATGATGATGGGGTCCAGGGCAGGAAAGGCGGGTGAGGAGGCTGCCTCTGCTGGTCCCATGCTTCAGAATGCCTCGAGTTACTTGTCACCAGGGCCACGCGTGTTGAATGCGACCAACCACCCTCACGACGGTGCGGGAATTTGGTGGGGAGGGTGGTTTCAATCTGTCGCGTGTGTGGATGGTTGGGGAGGGTTCCAAGCGGCGGGCTTCGGAATGAAGACGGCGGGCGGGCAGCAGGAGAGAGCGAGTCGGATGGATAGGGGCAAGTTGACGATTCCAAAATCAATCACGCGATGAACCCGGACGGTCTCCCGAGACCATGGCTCCCGGGGCAAGACTGATCACGACGGGTCGTTCGGAGAGGAGTAGTTGACTGGGGTCGAGAGAAAGTGACTGCCTTGTGGAGTCGAGAAAGGAGAGCGGGAAAAGTGTGAGCGCCGATCCAGACCGGCAAAGCCCTCAACGGGAGAACGTGGGCGAATAAAACGCTCGTTGATCCGTTTTGGGGGGGGGGGGGGAACACCACCAACGCGGGATGGGATGTGAATAGGAGCACTGGAGATCAGGACGAGAAACACGGAGAATCGAGGATCTCGAAATCTCAAATATCTCAAAACGCTCCAGGGCCTCTCTACCGGGCTTGACTCATCCGAGTCTATTGATGGGAAAACCCTCGCTTTGGGGCAAATCAACAGTTGGTGGCCGTGACACCTCAGGCACCCAGGGCGGTGTCCAAGACGCCCGTGACGACGATTTGTGACGAGGATTGGTTCCGTGCTGATTCGCTGCTTCGCGGATTCGCCCGTCTTCGCTCGTCTTCGCTCTGCTTCTGCTTCTGGTCGTCCTTCTAGTGCTTATAGTGCTTATTGTGCTTGTTGTGCTTGCCGTGCTTGTCGTGCTCGTTATGGTTCTGGCCCAAGCTCATCACAGTCAACGACTGAGCAACGGAGGGGGAGGTGACAATCGCTGTGGACGTGGGGGATGATAGTTCATGGTGCCTCAGCGATCTACATAGCCCTTCACTGATCGCAGGGAGCATCCGACCTGCCAAGTTCCGGCCAAAAACAAAAGTCAAGATCAAATCGACTATGACGTTTTGACTGAATAGCCTAGATGTCCTTGTACTCCGCGGATATACATCTTCTGTACCAGGATGTGAAATGTAAAGTATGGGAACAATCCCCCCACTCGAGATCTTATACGGTGGTACATCACCCTCCAATGCCTCCCACTTGCAAGATCCTCGTGCTTCCAAGCGGCATTTGTCGAGACCGACATTCTCTTGTGTAACGCCTGACGGCCCCTCGAGTTCCCCTGGAAATGAAAACTACTCGTCGCGGCGTACATGATGCGCTCCAAGATCCCGACCCAGGCATGATCCTCCACAAGACACTGACCCCAAAGCCGTCGCGGCAGGACGGCGTCGGCCCTGATTGGGCTCGGCATATGTGACCCAGGCTCACCAACAGCCAACACGAGCCTGGGCTATCTCGCTCTCACACACTACGAGGGTGTGACGTGATCCTAGTCCAACTATCGGAGGCTTCCTTGGAGCCAGAACAGAGAGCTATCGGCCCTCTATCGCCTATCAGTGATGAGTTCGGCCCATCCAGATGTAGAGAACATGCAACTCCCGCTCAAGCTCCGTGTCGCGCATGCGATGTCTACCCATTCTCCATACTCATGGATATGAGTCGAATATTCAATCGCCCCTTTGACTCTTCCTCTCACCCCAAATGGACTACACATCGGTCGCGAAATTCGCCGAACACTTCCCCTTCGGAGTCCGTGTGCTCGGTTCCTCCGCCTCGATTGGCCTGGGTACCCCTCCTGCAGCCAGCCTCCCTGTCGCTCCAGGGCCAGACTTTTCATTGAGAGTATCTTGCATAGGCTAAAGAGGAAAGGTTTACAACTGTCCGGGCGACAGACAATGGACATGGTTTTCTTGAGATGATCCCGCCAACTCTACAATTGCTCCCCCAATTCGGTATTTGACGAGCGTTATACTGAGGGATATATAAATATATCCAAAGATCCACGCCCCCCACAATAACATTCCTTCCACGTATTTCTTGCATCTACGTTGTTAATATACTGATAGTAGGCATACAAGTTCTCAGACGTGTTGAAGACACGTTTATTTATTGATAAAATACAAATGAAAACAAAAGTCCCACCCGGGTTGCTCCTTTTCAAACACCACCCTCCTATCTCCTCTTACCGTTTTTTGCCACTTCGAGATGCACGGCAATTGAGGCTTGCCTACTGCATTTAAAACCCAGGATTGACACCCGTTGCGAACCGGACCCCCCCCCCCCCCCACCCCACCTTCCCTTTCAAATGCAAACAAGAGCATAAATCGGTCTCGTGCTCTGTTGATCCCGCCTGCAATCAACCCGTAGCTACTATGATTATGTCTTTTCCAATTGTGTGCAGAATCATCGTATTGTTGTACGCAATCGTGTGTTTTAGGTTTCCAATCAAAACCGTTTGCGAGATCTACACGTCCAGATGTGCCCTAGTAGCCTCATGGACGGCCCATCCGATCTGCCTCCGAGACAACTCCCCCTTGTGTGTGGCCAATGCCGCAAGGCGTGAGCCTTTCGTGCAGCCGGCCGTTCTCTAGCTACTTGTCCCGATAGCGCAGCATAGCCCATCAGCGGTGGCTCGTCGTGCAATGGCGGCCGCCTCTAACGAAACTAGCAGGTTGGCACCCGTTCGGTCAAGATCGAGTTGTCTGCCACGGATGTCTCGGCCCTCTTCCCCTATCTTTCGACAGATTCCTTAGGGAAGGCGTTGGCCTGGGCAGATCGACTGCCCGCTGAAGAATTCACCGGAGAGCTCTGAGCCGTCAGGCGACAGGGGCGAGTCTGTCAATTGGATTCTGTCCTCGAACTCCGCTCTGCACGGTGTGCCGAGCCCGCCGGATGTTTCAGACTAATTCTCCGCATACGCGCCGCAACAACCACCATCCTCCTCCGTCACTGTCGCGGGAGATTAATGGGCACTGTTTGGGACGGCCAGCGCGTCGAATGCATGTTATGACCTCAATTGCGGATCACGATTCGGTCAGAGGGTCTCCCCCCAGGAATCAACGCTTGAGCAGTGCAGCCCCGACAAACCCGAAGCTCGAGCCCCCCGAGAGGCCCGGATCTTCGGTGGGCCTGAACAACCCCTGCGCCGCTTCAAATGGCTCTAAATCCCGTTGACAGCTCAAGGCCGTATCAAGACTGCTGACCTTGGTAGTCACGGCCACTTGCTGTTTCATACTTCAATCCCCCGCTTTCGAAGGCTCAAACTCCGAAGGCTGGTTAGACACTCGGCACATGAGTTGCAATCAATCCCGGCCGTCTATTTCTATTCTGGATTGCTTGAGAGGACAGAGGCCTTCTTCCGTTCACCCTCTCGGCCCCCTGATCCTGCTTATCCTCGAATGGAATGACACCGAAGTGCAGGAGCTCGCGCAATGATTTGACAGGTCGATGGGAGTGATCATACTATATCTCAGCCAGAAACGCAGGGACCACCTGCCCATCGAGGGGGTGTGGCCGTTGGGGTGAAACCTAGACCGTCGCAGACAGCCGCCCAAGATCGACAGGCACAACCTAGTGGTTGGGGCGAGCTCCAGAAGCCCCTCCTCAAATGGATGCAACCGGATGTCCATGGGGCGAAGTGGCTGTATAGCTTAATTAACGTGGCTAACAGGACCCCCGGCGGTTTGGTGAACTCAAGGAGGTTCATCTATCTGGGACCTCGGTGGACTGCTCTTTCGGTCGCCGAAGATTCTCCACCTATGGCCGGTCTGCTCCCAATGCGGAAACATGCGAGGCTCCCAGAGACATTCTCGAATTAAGGGGTGCCAAACTGGATGGATATGTCACGGAAAGTGGAGGGTTGGTGGTGTGGCTGCTCGAATCCTACAGAAAGCGATGAAGCCAGGAAGCTGGTTCGATAAGGCGCATATAAAGATGCATATCCGCCGTTGACCTCCTGGTCTTTCTTCTTCACCAGTCTCTATACATTCCATTCTTTCTTTTCTTCAAGGGTCTAGTACCTTTCCGTTCCCTCTCGGGTTGACTTCATTGATTGAAGTCCCCATTTCCATTCTTTTTTTCTCATTCCCTTGCGGATCCCACGAAACGCTGTGCGTTCTTTTTCGTTTGCCAACAAAAATCACATTCGACTAAAACAATGTCTCTGTCCAAAATTGCGGGTATCGTCCTCGGCTCTGCCGCTCTGGTGGCTGGCCACGGGTATGTCACTGGTGCCGTTGTTGACGGCACCTACTATGGTGGCTACCTGATCACCCAATACCCTTACGAGAGCGATCCCCCAGATGTCATTGCCTGGTCTGAGGACGAGACTGACCTAGGCTACATCGATGGTTCGGAGTACAGCAACTCCAACATCATTTGCCACAAGGACGCCGAGCCCGGTGCCCTGGAAGCCTCGGTCTCGGCTGGTGGCAGCGTCGAGCTGCAGTGGTCTGAATGGCCCTCCAGCCATCACGGCCCCGTTATCACCTACCTGGCCAACTGCAATGGTGATTGCTCCTCCGTCGACAAGACCGCTTTGGAGTTCTTCAAAATCGACGAGGGCGGTCTCATTGATGATACCGACGTCCCCGGTACCTGGGCCAGTGACCAGCTCATCAACAACAACAACAGCCGTACTGTCACTATCCCCAGCAGCATCGCGTCTGGCAACTATGTCCTCCGTCATGAGATCATTGCTCTGCACTCTGCTGAGAATACGAACGGTGCTCAGAACTACCCTCAGTGTATCAACTTGAAGGTGACCGGCGGCGGCAGCGATTCGCCCTCCGGTACTCTGGGTACTGCGCTGTACAAGAACACCGACCCCGGCATCCTGGTGAACATCTACCAGTCGCTGAGCTCTTACACCATCCCTGGCCCAGCCCTGTACACCGGCGCTTCTTCTTCCTCGGGCTCTACCACCTCTGCTGCCTCCATCGCCGCAAGCACCACTGCTGCCGCCGTCACGACCGCCGCTCCCTCGACAGTCGCCTCCGTTGGCAGCATCTCCTCTTCCACCCCCACCGTTAGTGCCTCCCCCATCCGGAGCCCTTCTGTGATCCCGCACTTCTACAACTCCACCCGCCTCCCCCGTCCCTCGTTCACCCGCGGCTCGGGCTCCCCTTCGGCCCCATCAGGCCAGTTCCAAGGCTCCCAGCCCGGGGGCACTGAGGTTCCCGCCGGAGCCGCTTCCACCGTCACAGAATATACCACGGCGCATGTCACCGCCGACGTTACAGTTACTGACAAGCCCGTTGTGCAGACTGCCAGTGCTGAACCCGAGTACGTAACCGTCACTGCCAGCGCAAATGGCCAGTCCGCCGCCGCCAGCACCGCCGCCGCCCAGGGCGAGGCCCCATCTCCCAGTGCCACCCCTAGCGCTGAATCCGGCTCTTCCAGCTCTGACTCCGGATCCTCCGACTCGAGCTCCTCGAGCTCGTCTAGCTCCGGCTCCAGCTCCAGCTCCAGCTCCTCCACCTCGGACTCTAGCTCCTACAACTCCAGCAACTGGTCCTCCTATCTGACCTCCCTGGATGCGGATGAGCTCCTCACCATGATCCGCCAGACCCTGCGCTGGCTCGTCTCAGACAAGAAGCATGCGCGCGACCTGTCCCACTAAAGACGCTCGCGCGCAGCACTGCATGCAACCAAGAGTTAAGCGTCTGCCATGCCTAACAACCATGATTTGATCTTGATCTTGATTTCGATTGTTCTTTTCTTGACCTGGATCTGCGGTCCTGTTTCTTTTTTGGAGGAGGCGAGGACGAATGTTCCTTCCTGGAGTGCTTGTAACGATATGGTGTTACACCTTGTTTCTTTCTTTTCTTTCCCCTTTTCTTTCTGTGAAAAGGGATTGGAGACTTGGAGTGTTTCTAGGTCTCTCTTTATATACTTTTTTTTTTCTTCACGAATGGATTTGTTAGACTGCTCATTCTTTACATGCATGTTTTTGGAGGAACTTCGTAGTTTTGGTAGTAGATATAGGGTGATTTGAAGCCGGACATGCTGTTTCGTTACAGATATTCCTGGGTATTTCTAGGAATCCCTGATTTCTTGTTAAACACCTCAGCAGCCTTGACTATTCTCAGCAACATATTTCCTACACTTGTAGGCGCTGTAGTATTATAAGAAGTTGCTGTGAACCTCCTCACAGTCAATCAAGAGGCATTATCGACACAAAACCAAGTCCGCTTCAAAATGACTCCACGCTTCAATGGAACCAATGATCTATTTCTTCTTTTTGGTCTTATCTACCACATCTACCCACTGACTCTTCAACCCCCGACGCGTGAGCGCCGTATCAACAACCTTGCGCTGATCACCCTGCACCAGAACCTCCATCACCCCCTTCGGCGCACCAGTGGCCTGCGTGACGCTCGTGCTGCTCGCACACTTCTTCTGCAGCTCCTCTGCCAACAGGGTCGGGATGATGCCAAAGATCTCCAGGTTGCTGACCTTTGTCACCGTCTTCGAGCCCGTGCGCTTCTCGAGTACCACGAGGGCTTTGGGTGTGGGGCCAGCTTTGGGCTTCACGTCTGCGAGGGTTTGGCCAGGCTTCAAGATGGCGTAGTGCGGCTGCAGCAAGCTGCGGTCTTCCACGATGCGCTTGAGAAGACCATCGCGGGTGACTTTGCCACGCTTCAACGTCCCTTGGTCCTCTGATGAGGAAGATGTGAAGATGGTGTTGGCAAGGAAAGGGTTGAGGTTGATGATGCGGCGGTTTTCTTTAGAGACGAGAGGCGGATCCTGAGACTGGAGATACCGATCCAGATGGGTGGAGATTTCGGAGTATTTGTAATAATTTTGGAGGTTACCGGATGAAAGTGCTGGGAAGATATCCGGCATCAGTTTGTTTGTTGGCCGGTACAGGGTCTGCACGGTTAGCGTTTGGCCCACGGATGGATCGGCGCCATCGCCAGTTGCAGTTGCAGCCGGTTTCTTGCCCTCCGATGCCGCTGCTTTGTCGCTGTTCTCGAGGAGTGTTGTTCGCGACGGGAGCTTGTAAGGCACAAATCTCTCCACGCGGTGGTCACCAAAATCAATATCCATGATGAAGGTTTCCTGGCCACTCCGATCTTTGGATTTCACCAATTGCAGTTTATCGAGATGCTTGATGAATTTCTTGACGTTTTTCCAACTGGTTTTCTTTATGTTGTAATATTGTGCCTGTTGGGATGAGGATATTGGGAGGTAGGGTGTGATGAGATTGGCAATCAAAATTGAAGGGGATACAGGCAGAGTCAAGCCATGGTTAGGAGCCGTGGGGTTGTCCTGCTTCAGTTTATAGAGAGAAAATATGAAGGCCTTGACAAATGCATCATCGATATCTAGGTTGGGTTAGTATGCTTGGCTGGATGGGTCGGGCTAAAAGTTCGGGCTTCCTACCTTTTGTTGTAGGTTCTTTCTCTTCCTCCACTGGTGTATCTTCAGTAAACGCGGCTTCCTCGCCTGGGACCTGATCCAGATCATCAGTCTCAGGAGCCCGTTCCTTCTCCTCGATTGCCAAGTCAGCAACCGCTTCTTCCATTTCAGTTGTTGACCCTTCATCCTCGTCCCAGCCCTTCAGATATTCAGGCGCCAGCCGACCAGGACGTGAGGATGAGCTCCAAGCCCACAACTCATCACCTTCCCAATGGAGGCCTCGAACAGCATGTCCTTTGGTCCCTTGAACTTCGCCCAATGCCGAGACATCAATCTCACAGACACCCACAAATAACGGGACGGTATCTCGATTCAGGCTCGCAACCGCAACAACTGCCCCCTTCACAGCACGTTCCGGGAAAGGCGGCTCGTTTGCTAGACCTGGAGTCATCAAGTCGGCACCGCCATGTAGCTTTCCCATAACCATCTCCGGCGTATAGAGCAGAGGAACGAGGTTGGAGTTGTGCCATAGGGTGTACACGGTTGGATATAGCCTCTTGTCTGACCCGGGTCCATGTTCCACCTTGAACCACAGCACGCGTTCGTCTTCACCTGGGTGTGTCCCAACGTAGACAATACCCTGCACCTCGCGTAGATCCGGTCCGGCAGTGGTTGTAAAGCGGGCAGTCAACGAGTTCTCAGGAAGGAGGGCATTCCGGATAGAGGTGAGATTTGGGGTTGACGCGGATGTTGTTTCTAATGGTCCACCAGGTGTTTCGGTCGGGTTTGAAGGGACGGATATCTGGTAGTCTTTGATAATCTGGTCTGCGATCTTCCTCCGATCGGAAGACCGCAGCGGGGATAGATTCTTGATCTAAGCCGATGTTAGCGTATGCTTGAACGCGCTTCATTGTCTTCATCAAATGCATGGGCTGAAGAGCTTCACATGGAGGGGTAGTGCGGGGGAGAGGGGTGATGCGATCACCTACGGTGGGCTTCTTCTTGAACATTTTGACTCAGAGATAAATGGCAATAGCGAGCAGAAATAGACACAGTGCTGCTTTAGCACCCATGCAACCTCCTTTAGCAAATCCAGAGAGCGAGGGGAAGGAGGTGCAATATAATCGGAGCGCGGCCTCCGGAGAAAGTTGGAGCTCGGGCAATAAAAATGCGCGCCGCCGCCTAGCTCCACATCTCCACCCGCCAGGCCCGCCAGATGTTGTATTCATCTTGAGTCATTCGAAGTATTTGTAGTCTCCGAAGCAAAGCGAGCAATAATGAGTCACCCTGAAATAAATCTGAAGTCATACCATGAGTTCCTGCTAATGAACTGAATCTTCGTCTCGCCTAGTAGCAGCCACAGTCGACAACCTATAGTCTACTTTAGCACAGTTTTAACTCCGAATGGCCATAATCGACTAGGGGCCGGCCGTGGATCGATGACAATATATAATTCGTCTGGAAATGCTCTCTCAATCTTCTGGTGCTGATTGCCAGCGGCAGTCTTGGAGCCGGTCCCCTGCCATCTTCTCTCATACTCCCTCCATCTGATGGCCCTGTTTATAGACCCCGTATTTCTTCTACAATCGAAACATCAAATTTCCTACTGCTTAAATCCCCTCCTGGTTCACCATGATTGTGATTGATTGAGCTTGATCCATTATATCGCATCATTCCCTCTAGCCTAGACGATCGCGTCCAACTCAAAATGTAATGTACTTTGCCTCGCCTCCTCCATACTTCCTTGCAGTATGCCTTGTGGCAGATATCGGAGATAGTACTCCAAAGTTCTCTACGAGCATTAAATCAATCAGGAAAATTTCAACGAGCTGAGGTTGTTTCAAATCTTGACATGGATTGTATGATCTCGAGAGAATTCGGAAAATTAACCGACTGCACTTGAGCGGTCCGGTGCCGACCCATCGGAGAATTCCCGACATCCCCGCTCTTGAAAGGTCACCACCAGTATAAGCAGAACGAACCCATATTCCTTTGCAGCTCATTCTATCAAGAGGTTATCCACCAATATAGGTTTTATTCACATCGATATCGAACAATAACAATGCCCGTCTACCATATTGGTAAGCGTGTGCCCGTTCAATGCACCTACGCGGCCTCCTTCGAATCCCTGATTACTGGATAGGAATCCACTAGACTGATACATCGGGACTAACTCCAACCCATCAGTGCTCTTTCGCCTCAAGCAAGGCGTAACTACGGCTCAATTGTCTGCCTGGTCCCAGAAAGCTAAGGACATGGTTGGCCAAATTCCAGGTCGGTTGTTCTAATTCCGTCGTCCGAGCCGGTGAGCATCATGGATAGCTGTCCTAACGCAACTCAAATAGGACTTGTATCACTGCAGTGTGGTGAACCGCTGCCCATCTCAATCCCTCGGGCTCAAGGATTCAATATGGGTCTTGTTGCGGTCTTGGAGAAGCCGGATGATATTGCAACCTACGCCGTGCATCCGGCGCATTTAGAGTATGTTACCACACCCTCGCCGCTCGTTGACGAGTGGAAACAATGCAAACCCGTATCATCTTATTAACCATATGATCTAGGGTGCATAAAATAAGAGAGGAACTGTGTGAGGATACTTTGGCCTATGACTTGGAATTCTAGCGGAATATCTTGTCACAGAGACGAAGGAGAGAAGGAATTTACAAATCCTACAGCGGAGAGAAATGCAATCTACAGAGCAAAAACCCAGAGAACATTCAAAAAGAATATTTAGCAGGGAGTGCTGAAAAAGACTTCTTAGATGTACAACTAATATAATCCGGAGGCCCAGATCAGGAAGAATCCACTGACAAAACGCCTATGTAAAAACCGGGTTTGATAACACTTTTAGATCCCGCCCAGCGACCCATGAATAAATGGAAGAAAAATGCAAACCAAGGTGACGTTCTGGATCTACTCCTTCGCATCGACCTTCTTGGCAGGGTGGTCACCACTGCCCTCGTCTTCGCGAGCCCGCTTTTCACCGGTACTCTGCACCACAGGAACACCCCGGGCATCCTTCTGTACCTCGCGGCTATCCTTGAAGCCGTTCTTCTTGTCCTCATCACGGCGCTCTCGCCAGTCACGATCATTACGGCCACCACCACGACGATCACCGCGGCCACCACGACCACCGCGACCGCCACGGCCACGACCGCGACCACGGCTGGGACCAGCACGTACGTTACCGGCCTTGATCTCCTCGACCTTCTCGTCACAGTACTCCTTCTTGCTCTTGATGACCAGGTCCTTGCCCTTCCACTGGGGCTTCTCAGCGAGAGCAAGGAACGCCTGCTGCTTCTCCTCGGAAGCGAACTCAACGAAGACGCTGCCCTTGAAAGTCTTATCGTAAGTGCGGCGGAGGCGGACGGCCTTGACGGGGCCATAAGGCTCAAAGAACGCCTCGATGTCGAGCTGGGTGGTAGGCTCCTCCTCGCCGAAGGCACCAAAGCCCTTGGCGTAGATGCTGCGGGGCATGGACTTGTCCTCGAAGGTCTTGACCAGGTCGCCGCTGTGGGCGTTGGAAAGCTCCTCAGGAAGGGGTACCTTGCGCTTGATAGCAGTGTCGTTATCGGTCAGCTCCAGGATCTCGGAGTCCTTGAGGGCGGCGACAATGGCCTCGAAGGGCTGGAAGCGGCGCATGCGCTTGAAAGAGTGGAGGAGGTCCAGGGGGACAGGGTTGTTGGTGCTGCCGTCAACCTTGGAGAGTAGGAACTTGTCCATGGGTAGGTTGGAGTCAGAGAAGTAAAATTCAACCTGTGATATTCAAATTAGAGAGATGATTCGATCTAATCACACTTATTTCGGCCTCATGAGTCGGTACCTGCTTGCGGATCTGGACAGGGTCGTCAGTCTCCTTCTGGGAGGAGGGGTCAAACTTGGCATTGTTCGTCCGGCGTCCACCACGACCACGGAAGCCACCGCGCGATTCGCGCTCCTTTTGCGACTTTTCCTCTGACTGCTCCGACTTCTCACCCAGCTTGGCGGCTTCGGCGACGACGCGCGCCTCGTCGGCGTCAGTCTTGGTCTCTTCGGCAGGGGTGCTGTTCTCTCCCTGCAGCTCGGCAAGAACATTCTGAACATCCTGCTCAGCAGCCGTATTGACGGCGGGCTTCTGTTCCTCGGCCATGGCGATGTAGGTGGGAAAATGTGAAGAGATTGTGAGTCAGATCGGCGTACTGTAAGACTCGGGAACAAAGAGCGAGCTAGATCCGTGCGGGATGAAAGGAAGAGCGTATCGACAGAGGGAAACAGTGGGTATTTTATGACTCCCGGAAGCAAGCGACGACTTCACAACTCGATCGACAGGTCAATTTAACGTGCGCAACCTGTGAATGGTCCTTAGCAGGAAGGAGCTCGGCGGGGATGGGATTTTTTTTCAACCGCGGAAGCTGTTTCATGCCTGAGGCAGCAACACTAAACCTGGGTAGGCTTGGTGTCTTTTAGTGCTCTCTGGACAATTGGGTTCCCTTTAGCAGGCTGGACCCAATGAGGGTAATAACTCAACCATTCAGGATCGCCCTGTCAGTTTACATTATAGACATGCATGGACTATGACACTTGGGAACGTCTTCCAGGAAAGTTAGAAAGTCATTCCATAATGCCAATGGGAATAGCTTAATTTGTAATAATAGAAGGAAGAGCTATCGCATGCCAGACATCGCAATGACGAGGAACAAGGGCCACCGTTCCTGCCTTTCTTTTACCATCTCAACCTCAAAATAAGCGCTCTTCGTCTTCATGGGTCTCAAGCAGCTTCCCAGGCTCTATTCCTCTTACTGCCATTTTCTACTACTGGAAAATACCATCGATTTCTCATCTCTAACAGCAAAGTGAAGCGTCCAGTTTGGCCAATCCCGGGAAGTGGTGCATCCTCAAATGAACACACGGTCTTACCACCCTCCAGAGGTTGAAAAACACGTTGGTTTGACAGGCATCTGATACGGCATCATTACTTCTGGTCCGTCTCACAAATACATAGACTCATTCTTCCACCTCTATCTCTGGTACATTTCGAGCGTATGTCGCCAACCAGGTGAGGGAGTTCTGCGACATCCATATTCTCTACCCCGAGGAACAATTATCACAATGGTGGCAACTCAGGATCCAGTACCAGGGGGAAAATGGCTAGCCAAGGACGTACGTATATCTATCTCTGCATATGAAACATTTGCACTGATTATACCGATCAGATTGTCTACTTGGCGATCGTTGGCCCTCTGATGCTGGCTGCTGCATTCGAATGGATCCTCTGGCTCGCAGCCTTCATCTATTGTTTGATCAAAGTCTACCACAAAGCAGACCACTGGACGATAAAGGTCCTAGCGGTGGTTAACATTATCCTCTTCTCTTTACTGCGGTAAGCTTGTATCATTGCCCTGCCGGGCGCAGAGAGTCGCTGACAACGATTGCTAGCCTGGCATTTCTCCCTGTCATGGTGGTGACACTTCCCCTACCACCACAAATCACCCGGTATTTCCCTCCACAAATGACTGTGACATTCCAGTGGTTTGCATTCTGGTCCTTTTCGGTTCTCCTCACTGGACCTTGGCTGTTCTGCGTGTATCGACTAGTCACGAGCTCCCTCGGGAGGACAAAAAAAATCAAGGAAGTTCTTGATGACAGGACAGCTCCCAAGACTGTTGTTGTCATGCCAGTCTACAAAGAGGATGCTATGATCTTGATCAAGGCCATTGATTCGGTGGTGGATTGTGATTACCCAGCTTCTTGCATCCACGTCTTTCTTTCCTGGGACGGCGGCTCCGTGGACGAGCCGTATCTTCGAGTGATTCAACACCTTGGGATTCCAATATCTCTCAAGAGTTATCCTCAAAGTATCGACACAGTTTACAAGGGTGCGCGGATCACAGTCTCCCGATTCAAGCATGGAGGGAAACGACACTGTCAGAAACAAACCTTTAAACTAATCGACAGAGTGTATGCTGAGTATTTGAAGCGACATGACGATCTCTTTGTTTTATTCATTGACTCTGACTGCATTCTTGACCGCTATTGTTTACAGAATTTTATGTACGATATGGAACTCAAACCAGGAAGCAAGCACAATATGTTGGCCATGACAGGCATCATCACGTCAACAACGGAAAAGAATAGCCTTCTCACGATTCTACAGGACATGGAATATATTCATGGGCAGCTGTTTGAGCGCTCAGTCGAGTCTGGCTGTGGAGCGGTGACTTGTCTTCCCGGTGCATTGACGATCCTGCGATTTTCTGCCTTTCGAAAAATGGCCAAATATTATTTCGCAGACAAGGCAGAGCAATGTGACGATCTCTTTGATTTCGGTAAATGCCACTTGGGTGAAGACCGATGGCTGACCCATCTCTTCATGATCGGCGCCAAAAAGCCCTATCAGATCCAGATGTGTACAGGTGCTTTCTGCAAAACAGAGGCAGTCCAGACATTTAGCAGTCTTCTCAAGCAACGGCGTCGTTGGTTTCTAGGATTCATCACAAACGAGGTCTGCATGATCACTGATATCCGCTTGTGGGCTCGATACCCTCTGCTGTGTTTAGTACGCTTCTTGCAGAATACGATTCGGACTACCGCATTGCTGTTCTTCGTTATGGCCATCGCTCTTATCACAACATCAAAAAAAGTGGACGATCTTCCAGTCGGCTTCATTGGTGTGTCTCTAGGACTCAATTATCTGTTGATGTTTTACTTCGGTCTTCAGCTTAAGCGTTTCAAGGCCTGGCTCTACCCCCTTATGTTCATTCTGAACCCGTTTTTCAATTGGCTATATATGGTCTATGGGATATTCACTGCGGGACAACGTACCTGGGGCGGGCCTCGAGCGGATGCAGCAGCAGCTGATGCCACTACGACTCCGGGAGAAGCCGTTGAGTTGGCCAAGGCCAAGGGCGACGAGTTAAATGTCAACGTGGACACATTTCGCACCAGTAGTGTTCATCGACGATCAGTTCCGATCCGTCCTTCGGAAAACATCGAAGGTCGCTTTGCTCCTGCAGAGCAACTTCTCGATGGATTCTATGCCAACGCTAAGGAGGTTGGCCCTATTCAGGCACAGCTAGAGACTCCCCTCCCAACCGTTCCTCGATTCCATATTCCTGGTCAGTTTCGTGATTCCTTGGAGTCCTTCAGCGGATCTTCAGATACTGGATCGAACTCTGTTTCGTTGCCACATTATGTGGAAAGCTTGATGAGCGAAGAAGACCAGCGCAAGCTCTATTATGCACGTCAAGCTCAAGGATCAACCGGCATGCCAATCACAGAGGATAAGCCTAATGGTGCAGAATATGATGAAATGTGGCCTGTGGCCTATGAGCCTACCTTTGTTGTTCCGGAAGCCACTGAGCTTCGTCCTGCATGGAGTCACCGAGCCTCGCGTGATTATGTCCCTCATACGCGTACTTCTAGGCAAAATACGGATGCCCCAGAAGTTCCGGGGAGATTGGTGATAACACCTTCTCGACATTCGCGAGATTTTGACAATGCCGGTGAGATAGTGTGAACAACTTTCTCTCTCGCTGACGTCAAATTCTTCAAGTCCCACTTTTTCCCCCTGCCATACCCTGTTTCCCCTGACAAGTTGCTCTAGTCATTATTCCTACCCATTTTTATGTACCGTGGCCCCTTTCGTGATAAATGCCCATTCCCGTGACTCATAGTTCATTCTCTTGTGATGTTTGATTGCATCTGGACCTGCATAGGCCTTGTGGTTTTTCTAATTAGAACATTGCCTCCAATGACTATCAATCAGATCGTTGAAGCGGTGTCTGGACTTTTTGATGTCAGCCTAAGTGGTCAAATTTTAAATTCTTAGAGCTTCTCCTCTGTAGACCCCATCTGCACCCTCCGGTCTTTCCAGGGGCCACCCTCTCCGCATAGTTCTACGTACTAGTTATTTCCTGGCAATTTTTCATTTCTATTTCTGGATTAGTGCTCACCCTCGCCGCTTTTGCTCAGTGAATAGATCTGGGCACAGCTTCCTGCTCACTGATCAGCTCACTGAGCCTGCTCCCGCTAATAAGGAACCCCTTTCGAAGCATATGTTCAGCTCCCTCTAGGGAGTCAAGCCAGATTCCTAGTAACGTAAATTTCCCCAAGGTTTTATCCTTTGCTTTTATCCAGGGTAGCTCTTCGATGTAGAAACTATGTTTAGCCAGAGTATTGTCCTTGATGATTTTCTCTATTGCCCGGGGGACGCGTGATGCGGTGTGAAATACGATGATCTACTAGCGAAACTACACCGTAGGGTCTTCCGTCAGTCAATTCGGCGTCTACTACGTGAATCAAACCGTCGGAAATGGCTTGTTCTCCAACGTCCTGAATTAAAGCCTGAACATGCAGTTAAACGGCTTCAATGGGCACATCGTGTATGTGACTATACCCCAGAGAAATGGAAAAATGGCTTATGGTCTGATGAGTCTACAGTAGAGCGTTGCAAAGGCTCTCGTCGTGTGTACACTTTTACACGCCCAAAGCATCAAATTACTCTACGTGATATCCACGAGCTATATTACAAAGATGTAAAACAGATTTTTGGGCAGCTTTTTCAGGCTCTGGACGCCTTTTAGGCCTTACTCCACTATCAAAACTCCGGACTCACCCCGTGAAGGTGTGAAACAATAGGTAATTCTTGATTCATACCAGCGTGTCTTATCTACCCTTATAGGTGGTGTGGAAGGTGCAGTTTTTATGCAAGATAACGCCCCTGTACATACCGCTTATTCTGTAAGTGACTGGCTACGTGGCCAAGGCTTCGCGGTTATGGAATGGCCTCCCCATTTACCTGATCAAAACCAAATTGAGAACCCATAGGTCCTGTTAAAACAGAGGACTTAATAGCTTCATAGTGAATTTCAGAACGCACGGGCCACAGAAACATTAGAGCTATTGATCACAGCTGCACAGGAGGCTTGAGCTGATCTTGAACTACCTATGTTAGAAAATTTGGCTATAACCATGCCCCCATCGCGCAGGTGATCGAGAGCAATGGAGTGGATACTAGCTATTAAATTTATTGAGTTATTCGGCAGAAAAATAGTGCGGCAGAACCAATGGCGGTAACGAGAGGTGTTTCAACTCATTTAACGTCACTGTATGCACTCCGTATTGAGTTTGACAATAGCTCCGCGTCCCGAGGTTAGGTGATACCACATGCTCAGGTGCAGAAGGCTAAGGGAAACCAGGAACTGCGAACTTCACTTCATGTTCAACTACTGTCCGGGTTTCAATCACCGCTGGTTTATGAGTTTGCTAACTATCAAAAACGAAGCGTCTTTTGCAGGCAAGGGACAAAGTTAACCCGAAATATTCTCCATATAATACTCCTCGCCTTGCGTCGTCGAACACAACCATAATGTCGTCGAGTCAAAAAGGGCCTCACTCCTCGCTATCCGATACTTCGCTTGGCGGTTCCAAACCAGTCAAAAGCACTGCTTTGTCACGATCGATGACACTTCTAGCGATTCGAATCCTTAAGCGCATTCGACCTCGAGAAGGGAATGTTCTCATGTTGACAAACGGGATATGCGTGAAGTACGGACGCCGTGTTCATTTGTCTGAAGCATCAACAATGCGATTTATATCACAACATACATCTCTCCCGGTACCAAAAGTTATATGTGCATTTACTCGTTCTGGATGGACATATGTTGTGATGGAGAGGATCAAGGGAGATATAATTGGCAATGGTTGGGTAAAACGAAGCGAGAACTCAGAGGCGAAACTTCTTTCGCAATTAGCAGAAAAATTTGCGAGATGCGGTGCCTTCAGCCTCCAGAAGGCACAAGGGTTGCTTCTGTTGACGATGGCTCACTTTTTGACTGTCGTATTCCTGGCCCTTCCTTGCGCTTTGGTCCCTTTGACACTACCCAGGACTTTCATCGGTATTTACGGATAGGTATAGAATTTGATTCAAGGCTTAACACTGATATTCAGGAACTTATTAAAGGACAAAGCAAGTCTTGGCCTTTGATGTTTACTCATAGTGACCTTAGTAGCCTGAATATTCTTGTACGTGGAAATGATATTGTTGGTATTATTGATTGGGAAACTGCTGGCTGGTACCCATCGAAATATACTTCTGCCTATCAAGTCAACCCACAAAAACTCTTTTTGGGTTCACGAGATTAACAACTTCCTGCAACCAATGCCTGAAGAGTTGGCGATGGAACGGATCCGCCAAATACACTTTGGAGATGTTTAAACAACCCTGGCGTGTACCTTATACATTCTAGAAAAAAGGTTTGGGTGCGAAGAAGACAAAATGAAGGAGATATGATGAAATGCCGACCCTATGGAAATGAAGGGCCATCAAGAACCTCATGGAAAATTAATCGACTGGTTGATACTACTTTGTTATACTCCAATAGGCTGAAAGTAGCTTGGGTGCCGAATAGATACCTCCGGACAGCCAATGCGATGAGTCAGCGAACGATCAGGATCAGTGAGCACTCACGTGACCTATTGACTCGCTCAGTGAGCCTGAGCCCCCGACTGCAAACCACTCACTGAGCCTGAACCTGGGCGCTTTCATTAAAGTGGCGGTCACCAGAATAGGAAAGCCCCACCTGTCGGGGAAAATCCAGTACGTACAGTGACCTATATAAGAACAGCACAGCAAGCAAATTCCACTGGACAACCAAATAACCAACCATAATGCCCTCAAAGCCCTCTGATGATGCCTTGTGGACCCTGTTACATAATACCCCACTGGGAGGCGGTGATGATGAATTTTTTCTGCCTTCTCTCGTCAGGCGGTGAGCCGACTAAGGATCCAGTAGCCGCCAGAAGGTTCGATGGGCGCACGCACAGTTGGAATAGATTGCACCGCTATATAGGCCGGCCACGTAAATTTTCGGGCGTGTAAGAATTAAGTGTGACTAGATCCTTACCCTTTTTCACTTTCCTCATCCTCAAGTCCAAAAACGAACCAAATCGACCGAACGTTGCTGGTTATCGTTCCCCGCCAATAATAATAATAGTGGAGTGGCGTGCAAATTCTCCCCTCCAACCTTCTCTTCTTTTCTTTCTACGAACTCCCCTTCCTCATTCTCCTACCCGCCCTTTTCCCTCTCGACATAACCCTCTTATTCTCAGCCTACAATGTCTGTTGTCGGTATTGATCTCGGTGCGCAGAGCACCAAGATCGGTGTTGCTCGGAACAAGGGAATAGACATTGTGCGTGCCTGCCCCGCGGAGCCCAGCCTCACTGAAGACTCCGTCCCTGTCCCCTCGTCCCTCGGACTGCCCCCCTCGCTGTCCTGAAAGGTGGATCGCAACAGATGGAATGCTAACCTGAGATTTGTCTTATCTTTCCAGATCACCAATGAAGTTTCCAACCGCGCAACCCCGTAAGTGATGCGTCATTCCTTTTCCCCTCAAGCCGCCGCTGCCCAACCCCGTTTTCCAATCAGATTTTGAAGGCTGACCAGAGAAAAAAAATTTGTTACTTTCTAGGTCCCTGGTTGGTTTCAGCGCTCGCAGCAGACACATCGGCGAGGCCGCCAAGACACAAGAGACTTCGAACCTGAAGAATACCATCAGTTCCCTAAAGCGCCTCATCGGCCGCTCTTTCAACGACCCCGATGTCGCGATTGAACAGCAGTTCAACACGGCCACCATCTGTGACGTCAATGGTCAGGCCGGTGTTGAGGTGAACTACCTGGGTAAGAAGGAGAAGTTCTCTGCGACTCAGCTGGTCGCCATGTACCTCACCAAGATCAAGGACATCGCCTCCAAGGAGCTCAAGCTGCCTGTCTCCGATGTCACCATCAGTGTGCCCGCCTGGTTCACCGATGTTCAGCGCCGCGCCATGATCGATGCCGGTGAGATTGCCGGTCTCAATGTTCTCCGTCTCGTCAACGACACTACCGCCACCGCTCTGGGTTACGGTATCACCAAGACTGACCTTCCCGGCCCCGAGGAGAAGCCTCGCCGAGTTGTGTTCATCGACATTGGTTACAGCGACTACACCGCCACCGTTGTCGAGTTCCACAAGGGTGAGCTGAACGTCAAGGCCACCGCCTACGACCGTCACTTCGGTGGTCGTAACTTCGACCAGGCCCTCACTGAGCGCTTTGCCGATGAGTTTAAGGAGAAGTTCAAGATTGACATCCGAACCCACGGCAAGGCTTGGTCCCGTACCCTTGCTGCTGCCGAGAAGCTCAAGAAGGTCCTGTCGGCCAACCCCCAGGCCCCTATGAGCATCGAGTCGCTGATGGAGGACACCGATGTGCGCGCCATGGTTAAGCGTGAGGAGCTGGAGGAGATGGTCAAGCCCCTGCTGGACCGCCTGACTGTTCCTCTCGAGCAGGCCCTCTCTGAGGCTAAGCTGAAGATCGAAGACATTGATCACATCGAGATGGTTGGCGGCTGTACCCGCGTTCCCGCTATCAAGGAAACCATCAGCAAGTACTTCGGCAAGAACCTTTCCTTCACTCTCAACCAGGATGAGGCTATTGCCCGTGGTTGTGCGTTCTGCTGCGCCACTCTCTCCCCTGTCTTCCGTGTCCGTGACTTCGCCATCCACGATATCGTTAACTACCCCATCGACTTCACCTGGGAGCAGTCCCCCGACATTCCCGATGAGGATACCAGCCTCACTGTCTTTAGCCGTGGTGGTGTCATGCCCTCAACCAAGATCCTCACCTTTTACCGCAAGCAACCCTTCGACCTGGAGGCCCGCTATTCCAAGGCTGAACAGCTGCCCGGCAAGGTCAACCCTTGGATTGGCCGCTTCTCCGTCAAGGGTGTCAAGGCCGATGCCAATGATGACTTCATGATCTGCAAGCTTAAGGCCCGCTTGAACTTGCACGGTATCCTGAACGTTGAGTCCGGCTATTATGTTGAGGATATGGAGGTTGAGGAGCCCGTCCCCGAGGAGGGTGAGCAGAAGGATGGTGATGTAAGCTCCCACACTTGATTATTATCTTTTTTTTTCTCTTCTGTATTCGTTGCAACTAACCTCTTCATGCAGGCTATGGACACCAATGGTGACGAGCAGCCCAAGAAGACTCGCAAGGTCAAGAAGCAGGTCCGCAAGGGTGACCTGCCCATTGCCTCTGGCACTGGCGGCGTCGACCAGACCACCAAGGAGGCCTGGACCGAGCGCGAGAACTCCATGTACATGGAGGATAAGCTTGTTGCCGAGACTGATGAGAAGAAGAACGAGCTTGAGGCCTCCATCTACGAGCTCCGTGACAAGATCGACGGCGTCTACTCCGAGTTCGCCAGCGAGGAGGAGAAGGACAAGCTCCGCGCCAAGCTGACCGATACCGAGGTAAGCGACGCAATATTGCAACCCCATTCCCACAAAGAAGAATCACGTTGCTAACTTCTGATTTCCCAGGACTGGCTGTACGAGGACGGCGAGGACACCACCAAGTCTATCTACGTCGCCAAGATGGATGACATCCGCTTCATCGCCGGCCCCATCATCCAGCGCTACAAGGAGAAGGTCGAGGCCGAGCGCGAGGCCGTCCGCAAGGCCGAGGAGGAGGCCGCTGCCAAGAAGCGTGCCGAGCTTGAGGCCAAGAAGAAGGCCGAGGAGGAGGCTAAGAAGGCTGAGGAGGACGCTAAGAAGGCCGCCGAGGGCGATGCCGAAATGGCGGACGCTCCCGCCGAGGGCGAGGCCGCCCCGGAGGGTGAGGAGAAGCAGTAGATCCGCTCAAACGGTCTACCGGGTGCTTCCCTGTGATTTTGGACCCGGGGGAGGATTCCATGCGTGCCATATTGCCGTTCGCTGCGAAGGGCAGGCGACCTCCCCCGTGCATGATGACGAAAAGGCTTCAAGAGATGTTTTCACGGACCTAGACATGATTCCATTTGCCCGAGCGCGGGATGATGGATCTCTTTTTTTTCCCTGTTTTTTAATGGCACACCGTTTATGATGTAGATCGATGCCTTTCCGATGCAATAGATGAATTTCCTTCATACAAAAGCCGCTCATCATAAAAACTGAAAATTGAATGCGGGGTTGATAGATGTAGAAGGATAAAAATAGACGCCCCTGTAGGATTGTCAAAAGTTAAACATAGGGTTGATTGTATTCCGTGCTACAAGGGACGATACGTAGATGTAGTATTCCTTCTGTGACTGTATACCAATCTTCGCCCCATCGGTCGCCGTGCGTCGCGATGATCCCACCCAGAATGAAATTTGGCTTTACGATCCGGTGGCGGAGATCATCGCTGAACCGGTGGTGCCGGGTTGTGATCTGCAAGTGCAGGGCTGAGAGACCTTTTAAGGCTGGAAACTCGGCGAGCTTGACAGGCGTGTATCGGTTCGTGGTTTCTCACCGGCTTCGCAGCAACTGGTGTCCCTACACAAAGTAGTAGTATGATCTGGATCTAGCGGTTGAGGTAGAATTGGTACAATTGGGGAACAGCGTTTGGTGCTACGGAACCAGGTTTATGGGGGGAAATTGGATCCTTGAAGTGTGGAGTAGATTGCACTTCTTTGTACGGGACTGTAAATTCCAATCTATACAGGCTTTCTAATCCTGTTTCGCGGGGGAGATCGGGCATAGAATTTCGGGGAACCTGTATCAAATACCCGTTATGCACGGGGCTGATGTAATGGGCGCGATGGGGTCGTAAACGAGGGACACGCCAAGGCCAACCAAGGGAAGCGCCAGAGGACCGGGGGAAACCCTCGATCATGATTCCTTGATTCATCACTTGTAGGTGCCAAGCTCGGACGAATTCGTTGTTGGCCGAAAGTTTTTCTCCATTACGGTGTTTAGCGATAGATTGAAATTTGGGGTGATTGTTATTCGCCCTGACGCATTGTATCGACGGTAGAGTCGTATCGACGGTAGAGTCTGCCGTCTTATTCAAGAGGGTTACGAAGTGGCTCATTAGGGAAAAGAGTCGTGTGCTCGGATAGCCCGGAAGTCGCGTGTTGCAGGTGTAAGTTGTTGGGGACGAGGGACTTGAGGGACTCGAGGGCTTAGGGGCTTAAGGGCTTGGGGGCTTAGGGGGCTTAGGGGGCCTGCGTTAAGGGGGGCGGCCCTTGCCAAGGGCCGCCAAGAAGAATCACTCGCTTTCGCTCGGACACTTCGTTTATGCTTTGTGCATGGGGGCTGATTCTCTTCAAATATACTCCTCTCAGGGACCCCAAAGAATCATTTCGGGCTTCTCTATCGGCTCTGCCGGTACCATTGGGTCTATTGTGTCTTTCTATGCCAGCTATCTCTATTCACCGACTCAACCTCCACGAGGAGAAGGGGGTGCGGCATGCTAGGCTACCGGGATTCCCGGTGGAGCCGCTGACCGAGCAGGAAAGCGGGCACGCGAGTTGTTCAAATCCTAATTGCCCACGACCAGGGCATAACTTGGTTGCTATGTGAATTCTGGGTTGATATACTCAGAATGACCGGTCATCCCCCGGGTCCTCTCGAGTCCCCTCGACCGTCCACGTTTCACTCGTCTCACGAGGGGCTCTATAATCCTAGATTCCCATACCCTATAATCCCTATAATATCCCCCCTCTGCCCCTAAACCCCTAGCGGAAGCCCTCTCGTGCAACCCCCCGGATCATCGTATTCGCTTCCTCTCCGGGTCCTGCAGGGCCGTGGGAGCCACTCTCTTGTTGCATCACACCTCCTGCTCAGCCTAAACCCTGCACACCCCCTCTTCGCTCGAGGCAATAGTAGAATTTATAGAAATAGTGAAATAGCCCGCTACTAGCCGTCATAATAGAACCTTTCATCCGGTTCTCTCCCCTCTTCGTTTCTCTCTCCCCTTCCCCCTTCTCCCTCCGGTGGATCCCTCTATCTGATTCTCCTTGATTCTCAACCGGTTGCCAACCGATTGCTAGGTCGGTTTGGTGGAGCTCCATCCGGTTCAATCCGCCCCGCTCGGACAAGCCACTAGAACGGGAGGCACATTGTCTGTTCATGGTCCATCTGATCTCCGGATTGGTCGGATGAGAAGACGGATGGTTCTTGGGTCTTGCGGAGTCTGATCACTCACCTTACTCCCTTTTTTTTCTCTCGTCTCCTCGCGAGGGATCATAACCTCTTCGACTCCCACTTCATCAACCAATTTCATCTCTTCGGGAAACCCTCTCCACCACGGCCATTTACCTCCCTGTTGTATATACGAAACTGCCACTCGCAACCGGCACACGTCAAAGCCGCATCATACGTCGATGAGCGAGACCGATATCCCGCCCTCCGGACCCTGGAATTCCTTTTTCCCTCGCAACTGATTATACCACCCTCTTCGCCATACGCCAGAGCTCCAGCATGCGACTCGACCCCTTCTTGCGCCCAAAGATCACCATTTTCTAAATCCCGGCTATCGCCTATATCGCCGTTCCTTTTGGCCGGAGATGCAGTGGTTAGCCCTTCTAGCGGTCATCCCTGCACTCTGGTCCGCGGTGACCACCGCTCTGCCGAATTCGCTCGACGATCAAGAGAGCCAGAGCGAGACACGGAGCGTCAAGTGGATCGACAAAACTCTCAAGGACCCACTCTGGCTGAAATATGGACTCAATGCATCGGCTGAGTATAAATACTTCCATGAGCCCGGCCGTGATGATATCTTGGGTCACTATGATGTGCGCTTCTTCACCACTCCCGTGAGCGACTCGGAACGCGCCGACACACTCACCCACATGATCCGCGCCTATTTGAACTTCTTCGACGAGAACGACCTTGAGACATGGATTGCGCACGGGACACTGTTGGGGTGGTGGTGGAATGGAAAGGTATGATTGCAAGCTCCCATACCTTTGTCCCCTGCGGCCAACTAGCAAATAGAGAGTTCCGAACTAATCATAGTCGATTGTTTTTGGAATCTAGATTCTCCCGTGGGATTGGGATATGGATACTCAGGTCCCAGATTCGACTCTCGCCTACCTCGGAGACCACTTCAACCAGACCATTGTCGAGTACATGTCGCCTGACAGCAAAGTCAAGCGCGAGTATCTATTGGATATCAACCCATGGTCACGCCAGCGAGAGCGCGGCCAGGGCCACAACATCATCGATGCGCGTTTCATCGATACTACCACTGGCCTCTACATTGACATCACCGGCCTCAGCCAGCTTGAGCGCGATACCCACCCGGATATATGGCAATGCAAGAACTTCCATAAGTATCGGCTCAAGGATATCTACCCATTGCGCCGAACCACCTTCGAGGGTGCACCAGCCAAGGTGCCCTTCCAGTATGATTTAATACTCATTGAAGAGTACACCGAAAAGGCCTTGACCGCCATGAACTTCCACAAGTAAGTTTGCTCCCGAAACGTCTGTCCGCAGTACTCGAGTGAAGTGTAAACTGACTTGGACTGCTTCAGCCATACCTGGTTTCCCGGGCTTGCAGAATGGGTCTCGGACAAGACCATCGCCGCCTTGACTCTCAAAAAGCCGGATGAGAGGCAATACGAATGATCATGGGTCCTTTACTCTCTAAATCCCCCATGATTCCTGCCACGCCCAAAAACGGACTTTTTGTATTCTTTTTACCCGACTACCCCGCCGACTTCTTTCTCGGCTCTCTTTGGACATCAACGGTTTTTAACATATTGTATATTTTGCATTGTCGACAAGCCCGGTTAGGTACATTTGGCCCATTCACTGTTCATTTCTTTTCCTTTGGGCCCTGCATATATTTCATTTGAACTGAGGCGTTTGGGGGAATATGGTATATCTACCCGGGTTTATTTTTGCTCCATGGCGTCACTTTGGATGTGAACAGGAAAATATTTCCAGATTTTGTGACTGGATCAACACATAGGATGTTCTATGCGAATTATACCACCGTTTTGCTCGCGTATACGAACTTCATTTCTCAGCGCGCAAGATTGACATTAGATTGTCTCTGGAGGAAGCAGTAGCGGAGTTCGCGGCATGAGTTATACCTCGCACACCAACCAGTTGTGAAAACTATAATTCAGAGATAGTCGATGTTGAATTTTGCGTGCGCCCACCTCGGCAGCATGCATAATCAGGAACGATTTTTCTCCCGCTGTCACCCGAGTTGAAGCTGTGTCACCAGGTCATTTTCGCCTCAGGCAGTAAGATCTCTTATCTCCGCGCTGACAAAGCTATCACCGTAGAAGGCCCTCGAATTTGCCTCAGCGCCTGCCTATTTGGGAATATATTTCGAGCTCAGCCGGTTTCTCTCTTCTTCCCTTCCTCTATTTCACCCCGATCTGTCACGTCCCACGCTCTCTTTTCTTGCATCTGGCGCCTGTCTTCATCTGTGCATACTCAGAAGCTGCCATGGAGTCCTCCATCGACTTGACTGTACATCACCATGGGACTCCGCATAGCTTTCAACTCCCCACCTCGGCCACTCTACAAGACCTCTCCGCAGCAATAGAAAGCGAGCTCAATATTCCCGTCGCAAACCAGAAGCTCTTGATAGCACCTAAGCCCGGCATGCAAAAGGCGCCCTTCTCTCCAACGCTGCTCTCCACCATCCTTCCTCTCGACTCACCGAAATTCAAAATCACCCTTCTCGGCACCGCCGCTCAAGCCATCGCCGACCTCCACGAACAAGCCTCCGCCACCAACCGCCGAGAAGAAGCGCGCGCGGCCGCCCTGGCCTCCGCCCGCCGTGCTGCCACAAAGCCCACCCCCCGCAGCAGCGGTGTCCACACCCTCTCCTCCTCCACGACCAGCTATACGTTCCACAGACTCCTGCCGCTTCCCTATCTCCCGCGCCCGGAGCGCTCTCTCGCATTCCTCAAACGTCTCCGCGACGACCCAGGCATCCGTGCCGCCATGGCCGCGCACAAGTTCTCCGTGCCTCTGCTGACAGAAATGAACCCGGCCGAGCACACGACGTCCGAGTCACGCACGCTTGGGCTGAACCGCAACAAGGGCGAGGTGATTGAGCTGCGACTGCGGACAGACGCATACGACGGGTACCGCGACTATCGGACAATCCGGAAGACGCTGTGCCACGAGCTGGCGCACTGCGTGTTCGGTGACCACGACCGTGACTTCTGGGACCTGACGGCGCAAATTGAGCGCGAGGTCGAGCGGGCCGATTGGACGGCGGGTGGGCACCGACTTAGCACCCAAGAATTCTATAACCCAGGCGACTGGGAACGCGTGCAGAGTGGAGAGGAGGTAATTGACGAGGAGGGCTGGACAGGTGGGGAGTTTGTGCTCGGAGGGCTTGGGGAGGGAGGCAATGCGGGGTCTTCGTTGTCGCGGAGAGAGATTCTGGCGCGCGCGGCAGAGGAGAGGATGCGGAAGGAGAGACAGGAGAAGCCGGACAAGGCATAATTATAAAAGGAAGTGGTACATGATTAATGTTGTTCTGGTGGTTTTTTATGGTTGATTTTGTATATATCTTGTTCTGGAACTGATACCCTGATGGTAATTTTGATTTAATCTATAGGTGAATTGTATCACACTTGTTTTGCTATTGATGTAGGAAATTCGAGAGTAGAAGAGTTATAGAACCAATATCCAAAGCTTTTTTTTAAGTCGGTCTTTGATTATTCTTTGACGTCGAAAAATACATATAAAGATGTATAAGGTAGCAGTAGCAATATCAAACAGCGCGTCATGACATGAGGTAGCGTCTGCGCTTCGCCCATTGCCCATAGCATTCGGCTGTTGCCAGACATACTAAGACAGCAACAGCCCAGAAAATATTAAAAAGAAAACTAAATGCACAAACGATTGTCTCTTTTCGACCTCGCAACAATTCCCCAGGGTATCTTATATCTTGCTGTGGCTGATCACGTGTGGCACTGACATAGAGTCGAGTGGGTTGAGGTTAATTCAGCCGAGACGTCAACGCTCTCCCAATAAGCATATTCCAACTACGCCCTCACCCCGCGCAGCCGGCAGTTTACTGTCCGAAGCCGCACTGCGGGCAGAAACGAGACGACATGGCCGTCCCGCACTGGCCGCAGTAGCGGAATGCCGTGGCAGTGGCCTCCTTGGGGGGAGGCGTGCTCACGCTGGCCGGGTAGGGGGCCGGGCTGGCCGGGGAGCGCGGGAACTGGGCTGTCGGGTCAACGGGAGGATAGGTTGGTTGAGGGGCGACGTAGCCCTGCTGGGCTACGGGCTGGGGCGCGGCCATAGGCGCATTGACGTAGGTGATGTTGGTTTGGTTGAAGCGGCGGCGCTGGACGCAGAAGACGATCAGGAGGATCCAGGCGACGAGCTTGCAGACGCCGCCGATGACAATCATGGCGATGCCGCCGTAGAACTCGCCATCGTTTCCATCGAAGCAGGAGTAGTCATAATAGTAGGAGCTGAAGGAGCTGTAGGTGCTGCAGGTAGAGTAACCGGAAGAGAAATAGGTGCCGACGAGGGCGCCGCCGATGATGAAAAATACGACGGCGGCGATGAAGAAGCCGATGCACCACCACTTGGAGATGCCAGGTCGAGATGGCGTGTTATATTGGCTCATGATGGGCGAGGCTTAAGTAGTATGGATTTAGACACTACTGCAATAAAGAAATATGAAGGAAAGAACGGCGCTGCAAACGAAGAAAAAAGAGAGAAAGAGAAAAGCAGAAATCAGCCTCAATTGTTGACAACGGGGAAATAAAGTACTCTGCAAGGCTCAAATCCTCTTCTATGCCAAGACCACTAAAAAGTAAAAGAAAATACGATGTGGCGAGTTGACCAGCTCATCGATCGGTGGATCCAATGGCGTCGAATACGAATTTGGATCAGGAAGGGTTCGAGAGCCAGTATTACTCTAATTGCAAAGTCTAGTCCTGTTCAGGCAAATAAAAAACTTATCCTATAGCTTTGACAGGTGGCTTATACTTGGAATAATTCATTGGCTTTGAGACGTATCATTCAGGACAATATAAATACCACGTTATACCATTAAGAGGGACCGCCTAACCAAGATTTATTTGCTACCGAAGAGGTTTAATTGTTCAATGTTAAACTACCCAACAATTTGCCTTGAATGGGATTCAGAACAAAGACAGAGTTACTGTATTGTTAGGTCTGTTGAGAAGAAGCTAATATGCGCATCGTCGAGAGCGGGCCTAGCGCGGGAGTAATATCGATCGACATGCCCCATGCACTTTAAACACGAGGCTGATTCCTGGGTAGGGTTTGGAAACACGGGACTAGCTCGAAAAGAGACCAAAGATCGCCGTTTTTTTCCAATTTTAACCGTCGATTCCGCCGCCAACCTCGTATTAGGAGGGCTATTGCGCTCCGCTTATGGCCCCTTCCCGTGTGTTTGTGTTGGCGACACGATGCCGGAGCCTCAATTGGAGAATCTCTGAAATCCAACAATATCGTTGAGATGGATTTTGACATCCACTAGGCAAACATCGGATCCACCCACACGAGAAGTGACACATGGCCACTGAACGCCGTCTGCTCCTCCCCTCTCTATCTCCACCGGTCCCTGAGTTTGTTTTCTTGTCTTCTTGTTGTTCCTTCACGGTAGCGAGCATGGCTGTAAATCAGGTACAGGTCTATTGATCACAGAAAGCACCAACTCAGAAACACCGGCCTATAGAATACCACTGAAATAAGTGAAATAAAAGCTTTCTGGTTGACCTAACCCTTTTCTGAATTATAGGAGCCAGCTTATCTGGTATTGTTTTTACGCGGGCTTCCAAGATGGTGTGCTGAATAGCGGACCGGCATTCCTTGGCATTGGTGCGTTTCGTCACCCCATGTTCTGGATTCTTTTAACCATATGCATGATAAGACATCGATGGGCTTCCATAAGGTTGTCTGTCTTGATGCTGTGGGTAGACCATAGGCAACGGTGACTGTAGCGCAAGGCACAATTTCAAGTATGCAGCATGCAACTGCCCAGCATCGTACTTTGTAGTATTATTTCCCTCTAATCCAGCACAATGCACACTATATATTAAATGATTACATCGTCGAATGGGGCGATTGCATCCCAATTACCAGAGCTCCCACTACAATAGCCGTCTTATATGCTAACTATCAAGCCAGCGACCAACAGCTGATGTCAATAGCCGCCAGTGCTATACCAGCATTTGATCACAGACAGTATCGATATTGCACTGAGAAGGTAATGTCACTGAACTGCCATACATGAGTTTATAGAACGCTGTCATTGAATCCGATTTGGACCCACGCATCTGGTACTATCGTGATACCTCTTTGTTGTATATACGGAGTATCGGCAACTCGAGGAGAATGTGTAGGCAGTGTATGATTCAAAAAAGCTTGGGAGACAAGTACTTCTCTTTGCTTGCTCATTTTATTAATTGAATACAGGATGTATGCAGAATGCAAACTTCAGGCCGCCCATGCGCAATCAATAAAGTTCTCAGGAGACGGTAACTTGGTTAAAACGGACTGCAAAATACCTTCACAACAGACCAAATTCAAGGAGACTTATAAAATAAGCTTATCCTTTTTAGGCTCTCCGACGCCCCAATGCGCAGCCGAATTGAGTGCTTGCTGCAGGCGCCGTGACCTGGACCAATCCCACAACTTCCCTCTGTCTCCATGCTGCCGACGTGAGTTTGAATTCTGTATTATCTTGCAGTAGCTCAAGGCAGAATGTCCGATTGAATAATATTTTTGATCCGGCTAGTACAGATTGGTAGATACGTATATTATTTACAGTTGTTCATTGACAAACAATCCAGCCATGCCCTGACCAGTGCCAATGCACATGCTGGTAACCAGGATCTTCTTCTTTGTCCGACGAGCCTCACTCAGAATGGTGGCGATCTGGCGTGCGCCGGTCGCGCCCAGGGGGTGACCAATCGCGATGGCACCACCGCGAGGGTTCACCTTGGCGTGATCGAGACCGAGATGGTTGACACAGAACACAGCCATGGAGGCGAATGCCTCGTTAATCTCAAAAATGTCGATGTCATTCTTATCAAGGTTGAACTTGCTCAGCAGCTTGGGGATGGCAGCAGTTGGGCCGATGCCCATCACGCGCGGGGGAACACCCGCGACAGTGGCACCACAGAATTTGGCTAGGATGGGTTGGTTGAGCTCGATGGCCTTGGAGCGGCGCATCAACAGAACTGAGGCGGCTAGATTATTTTTTTTTTTTAGCATTCTGGCGGCTCCTCGTGAATACGAGATAAAGGGGCAAAAGCGAACATACCACCATCAGTAACTTGGCTCGAGTTTCCACCTGTTGACCTGTCTCCGAACTGGGGGAATGCTGGGCGAATCTTTGACAAAGACTCAAAAGTGGTACCATAGCGAATGCCATCATCCTTGCTTAGAGTAACCTGCTTGATCTCGCCGGTCTTGGGGTCCTTGACCTTGACAGTGATGGGAGCGATTTCATCATCGAACCAGCCGGCCTTCTGCGCTACCTCAGCGCGACGGAATGACTCCGCCGCATAGCGATCCTGATGCTCACGCGAGATATTGAAATCCTTGCCAACGTTCTCGGATGTCTGCCCCATGGGCTGCATGCAATCGGCAGCCTCCTGGTTGCGCAGAACCTCTTCGTTGAACGGACGCTCGAGGCGGTCGCCAGCGGCGGACATCAGCTCAGCACCGAGAGCGATACCAATATCAATAGCACCTAGGGAGATCTGGTTCGCGATGTCCTGTACGGCCTTCAGACCAGACGAGCAGAAGCGGTTTACTGAGGAAGCACCGGCAGTGTGGGGAATACCGGCAGCAAGCGCAGCGGCGCGGACCATGTAAGCAGCCTTAGCCTCGCCAACCTATATTCAAGTCAGCGAGGTTGTTTATCTCATTTAGAAAAGATAGTTCACAACAGGGGAGACTTACGTTACCCAGACAGACATCCTCAACAAGGGCAGGGTCGATCTTCGACTGAGCCAGAGTTTCCTTCAGAAGGGCGTAGACGATATAGTCTAGCTCGGTATCCTTAAAGCCACCCTTACGCGCCTTGGTCAACGGTGTGCGCAACGAAAGTGTGATAACAACATCGTCGGGGTTTTTCTGGGTACTGTTTCGTTCTTAGCCCCTTGTTGAATTTCTATTGCCGAGGTGCCGCGGAACTTACATGGCATTGACTCCGCTGCTAGTGCCCTTAAGATGGCTCAGAAGAGAGCTAAGACGATCTGCGGCCATGATGAAGTATATTCGAGAATACCTATACAGTCAATGAGTAAAGGTCTATTTGTTGGCCAGTTTATGCATATCGGTTCTCCCGTTGGGGCGGAAGTAGAGGGTTTCGGCTTCCTGCGGGGAAGCTCCTCTATGGTAATTTGAAGGGTTGAGGGTGGGATAGATCAGGCATTTTGGAGATCACTGGCGACATGAAATAGCACTTACTACTTATTATATAACACGAGGTCTTTCGGGAATGGAAGGAAGGAAAGTGAAAGAGGGAGAGGGAGGTAAGAAGTACTCCGGTGGAAGGGTGTAACAAGAACTCCGCTTTGAGCTTCGCCGAAACTGCCGAGGCTCAACTGATTATCCGACCAGGTACCTAATACTTTTGGTTGTGCGGAACCAATGAGGCAGAACAGGTAGCCGAGACTTCCCCGGATTTTAGATTATTTCACGCCTATTGTCCTTGACTAGAAGTGCCTAGGTTTATAATCGGGACTTCTTTTTTGCTGAGCCGGGCTCTGGTCTAACACGAGTGGACTGCAACCCGGTGACTTATTATGTTGAATCGCTCCCAATTTCATTTGGGCTCTATATTAACGTAGAAGTCCATACAGGATCTTCATCTACCATGGCACAGCGCCAATCTCATCGGAGTACACACCCGATTCACCATCCGCCGTGAGAGTTGCCAGTCGAATAATGTTGACCGCAGACTCCGATGCAGGCCGTCCATTCCCGAAACCCCGGGTAAAATTGGTATCAGTCAGATTTGGACAAGATGCATTCACCTTCCACCCCTTCTCTTGAAATTTGGCCGCATAGTGCAGGGTCAGCATATTCAATGCTGCCTTGCTGCTGCGATAAACGGGAAATGAGGGACGAGAGAACTTTGCATAGTCCGCACCGGAGGATTCAAGTCGGAGACCCATGGAGCCTGTATGTGAAGATACAAAAATAATCCGAACTGGAGAAACAGACGACTTCTCAAGTAAAGGTGTGAATGCCTCGGTCACCTGAGCAGCGCCAAACAGATTGACTTCATATACGCTACGGAAGATCTCGCGTTGCTGGGCCAGATCTAAAGATTGAGATGATGGCCCGTCTCCCTGTGGCTTCTTTTGTTGCTGAATCAAGATGTCAATTTCGGGGTTGATTCCAGCGTTGTTGATCAGAACATCTAATCTCCCGTGTCTCGACTCGACAAGGTCAGCGGCTTGCTGAATAGAGGTATCATCGGCCACATCTATGGTGATTGCTTCCACTGATTGACCGGTGGGATCAAGTTTTGCGGCAGCTTCAGATCCACGCGAGGCATTCCGCGATCCAAGGAGAATATAGAAGCCTTTATAAGCGAGTAACCCCTGAGCGACTGCATAACCGATGCCTTGGTTGGCACCGGTGATAAGGACGATAGTGCGAGATGCGAGGTTGGTCATAATCGACTTGAGGTTCACAAAGAAATGCTTCCAAGGTCTTGATATATTGTCGTTATTGTAATTTCCAAACCCCTTTTAAGTACAAGTACATTCCACGCTTGGTAGTGTTTTCCCGGAGATAATGACTTAACCCCGATATAGTCCCAATAGCTATGAACCTTACAAGGAATCTGAACGCCATACACGGACATAACATTCATTAGGATGTCTTATGACCACCGGACCTAAATTATATGAAACCGTATCGAAATCGATTAATGTTGCTTTGAATAGTAAAGCGAACCTAGTTACTAAGTACGAGCGACAATATTTGGTTCGGCTCTTGTTACCCTCCAAGCTGGGCACATGACCCTAGTGCACCTTCTTAGCTAGTTTAGAGCGTAACCAATAAGATCACCTTTACATCTCCGAACTCTGTCACAGCTCTGGTGGATAAAACAAGAACCTGGGACGATGGAATGGCAGAGACAAGGCGGTCATATTGAACGCCCTTGGCGGAAAGTTTGCCGGTCTACGAATTATCCATTCTCAGATTCTAGATATTATCATCCATGTAATAATACTCCAGGAGGTACCATGAAGTTCTCGATAAGCTAGAAATTATGCATCGAAAGACGAGGAATCCTCAGTATCAGGAAAAAAGATTTCAAGCAAATCAACACGTCCAGATTTCCAGCATGCCCTTCGTGTTGTCGTATTCTTTAAGATGAACTCCATACTCCTTTGCTCTTGAGCAACCAAAAATTTCCTAGCCCATAACAGCTTATCTGCGCCAAAAGTATCCATCCTCCGCGCCTAGAACAGACAGAGATTCAGATCAACTGGTGATGTCCGGCATCATCGTTGCTCACTACGCTTCCCACATCCGACCAGCTGGCAGGTGTAGCTATACCTACTGATCGATCTCCTAGATCACTCAACGTGCCATCGGAAGACTCATCCGAGAATCTTTCAATATGCCCGTAACTTCCGGCAGTAGATGGTGCAGACGAAACTGGATGCTGGAAATTATTATTTTGACGAAGATCTTCTAGATCTGCAAGCAGATCTTGTTGATGATCGATGCTTGAGTTAGGAGCGGCATAATAGACCTGGTCGTTTTCTTCCGTGTGACTGGAGATTGAAATAGACACAGGGGTCTGTGCCCTTGCTGGCGAGTCAGCAAATGGGTCAAAAATCAATTCATCTGGTACCTCAGATGTTGGGGTATATTGTAATATTGATTCTGAGGGGTGGTGGGACATTGTGTCGGAAGAAATTTCCACTCGTAGCTGATCTCGACTGGCAGAAGGGGTCTCGTTGTCGTTTGAAGCGCCTCCTCGGCGGAGGAGATGAGAAACACCAGTGTCCACTCCTGTGGAATTTGCGGCTGGTACGTCAGAAGCATGCTCTAGATCACCCTGAGACGGACGCAAATGCCCATCCTGATCTACGAGAGTGTCAAAACTGCCTAACAATTGCTGTGATTGTCTCTTATTGTGGCGCGATTCCAAGAGGACTGCTCGCCGCCTAATCTCTGCTTTGGCAATCCTTCTGCGTTCTTCCGCTGCTTCCCCAACATCCTCCGTCATAGATATGTCTTCTCTGATAGGGGACGCCGAGTCGCGCGGTTGGATCTCATCTCCTAAGTTGTGCAGGGCCAAGGCGATCTTGCGTCGAGATGTGGTCACCCACTGCTGAAACTGGGGGGACTGATAGACCGCAACACCAGCAGCGACCAGCACGGAGACCGTCACGATAATGCCTGCGTGATCGTTAGACCTTGGCGGGTTCGACTGGGGAACTGATAAGCCCAAGTACACCGCCTCGGATGACTCGGAGTATCTCAAGATCGCCCAAGGGAGAGTAACAAACCTTTGGCAAGCGGCGCAGGCATCTTGGACGGGATAACGGTTCAGTATGCGTCGTTTTTTCGCTTCCAAACGGGCTTATCCTCAGAGGAGGACAAGCTTGGAAACTCGAACAAGCCCACGCTTCGATGATGCCTGGTCTTACATAACCCCGCTGCACATGACCCCACTCAGCCCTTATCCCCGGCCCTACAAGCACACCGCTTTGGGACGTGTTCCCCGCGCGTCTCGCCGCGGCTTGGGAGCTTCGAAGCCTCCTCTTATCGAGCCTCAATTCTTTCACTTGGCGTGGAGAATATTAGCAAGATGTCTCGACAGTCGATGCAGCCCCAGAGGCCACTATCTCTCACGGAGGAACTTGAGAAATTGGAGCAGTCTATCACTCTTACACTTCAAGGTAAGCTGGCACGTAAACAAAGAATTCCATTTGGTGCTAATGCCCGAACCTGCTCATAGAGATCGATCATAATTTTAGCCAGGCCCATCGAATCGTCACAACAAGTATTCTCCCTCTTGTTGAACAGTACACGGAACATTCTCGCGATGTCTGGGATGGTGCGAAGGTGAGTTCAATTTTCAGGAAGTCTTTGAAACTTTAATAGCAATGACGCCGATATTGATGAAGCTTTCTAGTTTTGGAAACAATTCTTCGAAGCCAGTGCCAATGTGTCACTCTCTGGTTATGAGGAAAAGTCGAACGATGATGATACAGTCCAAGAGCCTACAGTTCCAGAGGAAGAGCTTTCTGTGGACGTGACCCAAAACACTGTTGATGAAACAGATCAATCCTACGAAACTCCCTCCTCCCAACGCCATGATCTGCAACACGGCCATGGAGATGATGTTGACCTTACGTCTCTCACAATATCTTCCCACAGCACACCTCGTGCACCTGCCCAACAAACAGAGGAGGACATCACCATTTCCTCCCTTGAACATTCGTCTTCATATGAAAACTTGAGAAAGCAGATCAATGAGGCTCAAGCTCCGTTTGATATGCCGAATTCATCGACTCTCCCGTCTACACCAGGGCGCCAGCCTTTCTTCCCAGCCGATATCTCCGCAACCCCAATGTCCTCTCCATTTGTCCCTCCCGCCTCAGCGAAATATTTGTCGGCATCGCGCGGAGACGCCCAATACCAGAATTCCTCTGACCCAGTGCTCCACCGTGTGTTAGACAAGACATATCGAGTGCAGGCAACCCCTTTGGGCAAAGGATATCGAAATGTGGGAGGAAACATGCAATCCAAATTCACCGTCACGCCAAAAGCCGCCGCTTCCTCTTCTCGGTATGCATTTGACGACTCCCCAATGTCGAGTCCGGAGCCGGAGGCACCTCAGATGCACTCTGAGATTTTCTCGTCTCCAATCAAAGGCGTTAATGTGACCCCTGGGACGAACCGTAAACGTCGTACTAGTAGTAACCGTGTTCGGGGCACTCCAAAGCCTGGCATGAGCGTCTTGACCCCCGCTAAGAAGTATGGTGGTCACCAAGCTGTTTGGGACAGCGATGATGATCTGGATGATGAAAATATGGGGCCTAGTCCGCCAAAGACGATGCAATTCCATATTCCACAGAGCCGACTTATGAAGACACCTGGTAAGCTAAGCAGCAGAACTCAACCAGCATTTCGAACCTCTATCACAGAAGCTAATTTTTCCCTTTGAATAGCCAAGGAAGCTTCAAAGCGTATCGTCACCGATCTGCTGCTCACCGCCGGAGCGGGAGACCTCACCGATGAAATTGGAGGTGACCAAAGTCCGAGTGTTATACGAAGAGTTGAACACCTTGAGGATGATACTTTCTGAGACGTTGCATGTTTGAAATGCCTTTTTTTCATGGTTCTACTCGAAACCAAGCACCTTTCTTGTATCTCTTTCTTTTAAATAAGATATACATAGCCAGAATCAATACCCATTTCCTTCCATGAATCGTTCCAATTTCTTTAAATATATATACGTCTTAGCTTAAGTCATCAAGGCCATGTTTTACACAAATAATTGGCTCATGTTTCTATCGAAGCGCTGATCTGGACATGATGAGTCAACGAAGACGTACGATGGGAGGATTAGTGGGCATAGACGCTCTCCTTCTTCTCCCCCTCGAGATTAGCATGATCACCTGCCAGGAACTCTCATGTTATATTACTCCTGTTATCCAGCGGACTTCAGCTAGTCTTGAATCTCGAAGGCCTGAACGACCATCTATACGAGGCTTCTTGGGGGCGGCGGAATGCGGGAATGCGGGAATGCGGGTGGCGGGACCCACAGGGATCGCTCGGTCCCGAGCAGCAATTGTTGTTTGGGCCCGAAATAGCGGGCGGACCAAGTATAAAGTTGAGCGAGTGAACGCTTGAGTGTGAAAAAAAGAGAGAGGTTCACATTCAGCCGAGGACTTGATCACAACTTACTTACATTCTTCTACATTTCATACACGGCATTTTTGCCAGTCACGATATACATCTCTTCATGATATCACCGGTCTTGATTACTGGCGCTGGGCTGCGTGGAGTTTGCCTTGCGTAGGCGCTAAAAAAAATTATATATATACCCTTCACGTTATTTGAGCAAGATAAAAGGAGCAATTTGCGCACTCATGGATATCGGCTGAGATCCACAGAGCATGGAATCAATGCCTTGAAAAGTGCTCTTACGCCAGAGCTCGTTGAATTATTTGAGAAGTCGTGCGGCGAGGAACCAACATTCGGCGTTAAGAATGAATCAAGATTGAACGTCCACTCATCAACCGGATGCCTTCCCGCCAAATACGAAAGCCAATACGTCTGCACCTCCAAATAGTTCATCAGATAGGCCTCCCAATGGGCTCCCGGAAAGTTCCCACCAAGCATATACGGTTGACCGCAGCACGTTTCGTGAAGCCCTGTAAACAGGTCTCGATAGAAAAGTGACCCTTGGAAAATTCCTCACGCATTACACAAGTCTCAAAAACAAGGTCACTGCATTCTTTGACGGTGGAGCTTCGGAGGATGGTGCCCTCCTGGTTGGTGCGAATGGTGTTCGATCCAAGGCGCGCAAACAATACGTGCCCGCATTCGAAGGCCTCGATACTGGCATGCGAATCATATTTGGAAAGACTCCCTTGACCAGTGAATGTATCAAAAAACTTCCTAAACAATATTTGCATGGCATGAGCATGGTGAAAAGCGATGATGATGCATCCCAGCCCGTACTGCTCTTTGAAGGCATTTACTTCCCCCGTGCCGAAGAGATCTCGGAAGTACAAATTCCTTACCTCCATATATACTGGTTTCTTATCGTCCACTGCTCCCTCATTCCCTTTTCGGACGAGGAGATGTGGCATAGCAGTGCAAAAGACAGCAAATCTAACGTTGAGACTGACCCATTCCTGGGCTCTGTCCTCACGCATCATTTTCGAAATTCGAGATGGGGCTTAAACCGCGATTTCGATCACTTTTGTCCGCGCTGACAGATATTGCTCCTTGGGAACCGTCCGATCTGGTGACACCTCTTGGAGATGCAATTCATGTCATGCCACCAACCGCTGCAATGGGAGCCAATACCGCTCTTCGAGACGCAGCTGATTTGGCTCATAGGATCACGGCAGCCGAAAATATTGGCAGCATGGGCAAGGCATTGATTGGGGCCTACGAATCTGAAATGCGCGAATTTGCAGTGACGATTCGAATTCAGGTGGAGAGGCGGCATGAAAGGCTTCAGTCTTCGCCCAAGAGAGGAATGTGAAAGTTTTTTTTTTTTTTTTTTTTTTTTTTTTTTTTTTTGATTATGGAATATCTTTTTTCTATAACTATGGTGTATACCTTACTCTAGAGTACATGTTTCTGGCACTCTCAGCAGAGTTTCAAGATGTTGGCTTTTTGATATGTTGTGATTGAGACATCCTGGTTCATATATCAGAGCGGCTGAGCAGGAAAACCATGAAATTGCAAAGGAAGAGCGGTGATATACAGGGAGAGTCGGAAACAGAGGCCAAGGGAATTAGAGATAGTTATATAGAAGTGTTTAGGGTGTTCAAGTTCCCTAAATGAGTGTTCAGGCGTCATGGATCCACATCCATTTCCTACAAGTCTTTTTTTTCATCTTGCATGAAGGGCATTTTGAATGTTCTGGAGGTGTGGTTTTCTGAGAGAGGGTGTGGCAACTATTAGAAATTTGCTGTGAGTCGTCACCTTGATAGTGTGATAATCCTCACTTTGGCCTTCTCTTCTGCATCAACTTCTTGAACCCTTTGCTAGTATTCAACAAAGAGAGAACAGAAAATTTCAGCAGAAAAAGAAACATTATATGTGATATAGAAGTACTGGGGAGATGTAGGAAGAAATGATAGAGTGTGAAATCATGGTTATATTGCGCAGGGTGAAGACAGAACCAATTGAAAGAGGTATAATGTTAGGACTAAAGAGAATATTTCACTGTATTTCACAGGTGTGATGGTGCTAGAAGTTTATTGACTATCCACCATCGCTTCAAGTTTAACAATCGCTCTGTTTTATTTCTTTGTTGCTATCTCTCATGGGCGTCATCCATGGACTTAAATAGTAGAGAATGGAACGATGGATTCAGGCCTTGAAGCATGAGGATGGGCGATATTCTCTTTATTTGGAGAACCCCTCAAACTAGCCTCCAAAATCTGTGTCTTCTGATTTCCAGAGGTTTCAGCATGGGAGAATAGGGGAATGGAAACAACTGAAATACAAAACCCTCTGGAGAGATTAATATGGAGGTAATTTGAAAAAATAGAATAAGAATAAAACCACGTTACAAACAATCGTTGAATAGACTCAATTGATTCATTAGAGTAGAGAAAAATCCCAAATCCGGCTGGTGAAATATCATACACAACCCAATCCCACGACTTTTAGTTCGCACGGACCTTTAGACATGGTGGAAAGGGAAAAAAATGAAAAGAGAAACGCCAATAAGTAGAAATGCAAACACATATACGAGGAATGGACAAGGGAAGCCCAAATGGTCCAGCCTCTTTGTTAAAGAATCCTGTCTCGTCACTCCTCGCAGTCTATGGTAGTTCATTAGGAGAGGAAGAAGAAAAGCAGTCAGCGCCAAAGGACTGATACAGCGGTGGCGAGGCGAGAATTTTGAGATGGGGGTGGGTGCGCCAGAAGATGGCATGTGGAGGTGCGGAGTTAAGCGTGCTTTTTGCTTTCGCTCTTGGCAGGCTTGGGCTCTTCCTCAGACTGAGGCTTGTCCTCGTCTTTGGCAGCGTCAGATTCTGAGTCCGAGCTTTCAGTCTTTCCGCCGTCCTCCTGTTTCTCCGGCTCGTGCTTTTCATAGAGCGCGTGGCGCTTGGACTTGAGGCGTTGCTCCTCGGCAGCGACCATCTCCTTCCAGAGATCTCCCTCGTCCTTGCTACTAGTATGAACAGGGGCAGGCGCGGCCGCATCCTCGAGAAGCTGCTTCTTATCTTTCTTTGCGTTGTCGAGGATGCCACGGCCACGGCGCTGGTCTGAAATCTCAAACGCGGCCGAGGCACAGAGCACAGCTAGAGTCAGACCCTGAGCATATACACGAGCCTGAACGATCTTCTGTTGGCCCGAGAGGTAGGGGTTGCGGCCGACCAAAACGAACGAGCCGACCATGGAGGCGATCCAGGTGGCGCCAATGATCTTGTACTTTTCGCGGCGTGCGAAGGCGACTGCACGGTCGGTGAAGCTCAGACCGCGCAGCTCCTCGGCACGCAGGCGCTCCTCACGATTCTCATACCAGAGTTTCTCAGCATTGTTCTGGACGTCGAAGTTTCGCGAGGCATGGTCGGCGGCGATGATGCCGATAAAGGTACCCGACGAGGTCACCAGGAAACTCTTCATCGGAAGCGTTAGGTTGCGGATTGTGTGGTAGCGACGCGATGCAAGGAGAACACCAGCAAGGCCTCCTGCAAGACCAGCTATCCCGCCGATGGTGCCGCCCTTGACGACAGAGCTTTTGCGAAGGGTTGTCAGTATGGTACGATATCGGGGTGAGAAATGCGAGACCAATTGGGGGCCAATATTATCTATGGGCAGAGGGTAGAGGGTTGACCGTACCGGTAGTGGGCATCTTCTTCAGCCTTAGTGAGGAGCTTCATTATGGATAATGTGATTGAGTTATGTGATAGGCGAGGGAGAGAGGAAAGGCGAAGCTATAAAAGCAGAAAAGCAAAGGCCGAGAAACCGAAAGCATGACGTGACCATGCGGGATCTGCTGGGCGGCGTTGGTTCGGCCGGGGGAATCTCGGCTTCGCTCGGATTCTCGGATTCCCCTCGCAACGGAAAATCGGAGAAGACGGTAGCCCATAATCACAAATATAATACACGTAATCTGACTGGCTTTTACTCTTACTGCTCTGTGCTAGCGTATATTCAAATATCAAATGCTTATTCACCTGCGGCACGAATCTACCGGATGCGATCGATGTTACACGCCCAAAAAGCCCAGATAGAAAAAGTTCCCGGTCAATCCCGAACGCCAGACACATCGTGGAAGAAAACAAATAGGAGGCACCAGACAACGGCAGACCCCGAGACGAAAAAAAAGAATAAAAAAAAGTGAGAGGAAGAAAAAGCCACACTACGTATACAATCATCCGAATTACCGACGAGATGCTCTCTGCGACGCATTTTGACGGGCCTGCATCTTGCGGAAACGATCCTCGCCGCTGGCACCCAACGGTCGTGCAAATCGGCTCTCCTGCACAGCAGTCTGTCGGGGCACGACGGTGTAGCTGACTTGGGTTCGATCGACACGAGCACGATTGGCAAGGCGAGGGGGAAGCATCTCGCGCGCCCGAGCTTCGGCGGCAACAACTTCGGCGGGAGTCTGAGTGCGTTTGGTGATTTTGCTATCCAATCGGTCAGTAAGCGGAGGGGAGATATAATCTTGAGAAAGGAGCAAATACGTACGTAGGGTCGAAGTCGGCTTGCTGGAACACACGCTTCGAATAATCGTCGCTGCGCTGAAGGATAGGGCGCGTCCATTCGGCCAGCAGCTTCTCCGCCATGTCCTTAATGCGCCGCTCCGTGCGCTTGCTCTTCGTATAGAAAACGACCACCTTCCCGATTCCACTGGCAATCAGAGCATCTTTATTGATGGGAAGCTTGGTAAGTGCAGTCAAGAGGTCGCGTTGGATGTTGTACGCGGGCATAGAACCGTCATCCAGAGGCTCGAGGAAGAAGCGGACAGCCTCCAACAGATTGATTTCGGGGTCCACCAGGCTGTTGATGTACTGGTTGCGATTGAGAAGCATGATCACTTCAGGGAGCAGTTTGAGCTTGTGCATGGCCGGCTTTCCTTCCTGGCGGTTAATGGCGTCCATCTGCGCGGCGTGGGTCATGCGCTTTCGCATGTCTTCAATCTCAGCATCAGCCATTGCCTCCAAGTCCTGTGGTACATGTTAGCAGAAGTCCCCAAGCCCACATATCAATATCGCTCAAAAGAAACGTACAATTCCATCCTGTTTACGGAATCGCCTCTTGCTAGGCTTCTTCATAGCTGCATCCATTGCACGATCAAGGGCCCTGCGACGACCTGGAAGACGACAACTCATTAGCTCCAGCCAAGCGTGTTCGTTAAGTTCAAGGTGATTGAACTTACGAGTCTCAGGATCCAGTGTCTCCTCATCTGTATCTGGTGACGCCTCCTTCTTCTTGCGCTCCTTACGGCGAGATGTGCCCTCGCCCTCGTCGTCCTCATCCTGGCCGCGACGGCTCTTCTTCTCACGACGGCCCTCCTTGCGGCGCGAGCGCCCTTCGCCATCATCGGTGCGCTTGCGCTTGTGGCGGCCGATCAGCTTCAAATTTTCCTCATCGATCGCTAGCTGCGGGCGGTCGTCGATATCGACATTCTCCGGATCAAAGTTGTCAAATTGTGCCTCGTCGACTTCGGATAGAATCGACTCGTCGTCTGAGATCTCGCCTTCGTTGTCGGCCTCAACGTCGTCTTGTTCCTCGTCCTTATCTACATTCTCTCCGGCTTCCACTGCTAATTCGGCATTGTTCTCGCCCTCGTCGTCATCACCGGCGATCGGAGTCGCGACTTTTTCGGACTCGTCGTGATCAGGAGAGGCCGCGGCAGGTGAGTCGGCCTGGTGCTCGGGGGAAGCAGACATGGTGGAGGAAGGTATATGGAGTCGAGAAAATTATATGAATGAAGGAAACGAAAGACCAGAGGTATTCGTCAAAGGTGTGAAACAACAAGACACAGTGCTTGATCTGCCCAAACAGCCCCGGTGTCTCTTTGCGAATGAATCTGCACGCAGCAGGTCAGTAATATCAATGGGATTAATCCCTTTAGAGCTCTAGAGCTTCTCAGACAAAGCCGAGAGAAACTTTTGAGATAGCGAGAAAGGATGAGAAAAGCGGGCGTAGACAGAGGCAGAGGCAAAAGCAGAGGCGGACATGAGAGAAGGAGATGGTGGTCTGTGCTCCCGTGATTTCTTTCCCTTCAAGTCCGCTCGACGTCGGCTTTCACTTCACGATCACGCACCGCACCTGCCTTTCTTCCACAAGCCATTAAAGACACTTCGATTACTTCACAATGTTTGCCCCGGGTATGTCCACATCTTTTTCACTCTCCCCAACCCCCACTCTCGCTCAATATGTGTCCACCAATCCCCCGATATCATCAGTACCTAACACCCAATTCTCGATCCCCAGGTCAGGAACAGCTTTCCAAAGAGGAGATTAAGGTATGCATTCGCTATCGTCTCTGGATTCTCCCAGTATTGCCCACAACTAATACATTTTATCTAGGCCGGTGAGGTTGAGGCCTGCCAGACTGTCCAGATGGTCGTTGTCAGCGGTGTTCTCCTCTACCTTTGTAAGTCGAAACTCCAAAGCGCCCCAATTGAGCAACTATGTCCCATGAATGCGGCATCTAAAATGTCCATACTTCTTTGATTTCTAATGAATATCCATGATATCTCCGAGCAGCCCCCTTCGCCGTCGATTTCGTGAAGAAGTTTCTCTAAATCACTCGTCTCACCTCACACCCTCTTCTTGATTGCCATGGCGCTATGGCATACGAACCGCCAGTGATGCCAACTCGGTAAATCTAGAAGGATCGGGACGAATGGTTTCTTTCAGTCACGTCGGGACTCGGTGGCTCGTTCGCGAGAAAGATCGAGGACAGCCTCATCATGCAATACCGGCGTTGATGAGTTTGCCATCGCTTTTGCAATTTCTCAAGCAAAAGGTTTTCTGCGTGGCTGGTGTATTATTATTTGACATGCCTGCTTTAAAGGGTTCATTTGGATATAGAGCACCTTTGGTGAAAAGAACAATACGAATATGTTTAAAACCAAATACTTAGGAAGTGCCGAAGCCACCAAGACAAGGAGGTCCGTAAATGAAATCGTATTGAATATGCATTACAGTAAACCGCCCCGAAAAACGCCAATGCTCCCATGCCCACGGACATTACAGTCACAAACAATGTGAAGAGATACAAGATGCGGAGCGGCGGAGGCCTGAATGGAGACCTAATATTCAGTTTCCATTAAGCTTCTGCGCATCGTTGAAGTCCTTCTTGACCGACTCTAGCTCCTTTTGCAAGTGCTGAATCTGGGCATGGTAATCGTCGAGGATCTGCAGGTGGAAAATGAATCAGTACACATGTCCGCAGTGGGACTTTGTGGGGGAACGAACCTTCTTGGCAGTTTTCATGGTCTGCTCATCAATCTCATCCTCCGCATTAGCAGCTGCCGCAGGTCCAGCGCGCTCCATCTCTGCCTGCAGTCGCTTGGAGTGCTCATGAATGGCAAGCATTCGGGCCCAGATCTCTTCTCCGCGACCATTCAAAGATGGGTCGAAGACGGCGCGCTCGAGTTGAGCCAATTTCTTTTTCAGTTCTTCCTCGGCATCATCCATCGCATAGCCGCGGTTGCGCAGGACTTGTGTCTTGGCTGCGAGAGCGAGGCAGCGCTTGCTTAGGACCAGATGCTTACGACGAGCATCCGCAACCTTGACAGAAATCTTCAAGTCATGTCGTGAAAGAAGGTCAGTCAAGCAATTATTGATTTCGTGGAGGCGTGTCTGCATCATCGCAAGATAATCTTTCTGTCGCTGCGCACGCTTGCCAAGCTCCCAGAAGCCCTTCACAAGCACAGGGACGTATCCAGGAGCAGGCCGTTTCCGCAAAGCCTCTTCCCACTTCGCCTCGTCGTCTTCCGGTCCCGGTTGATAGAAAGGTGCGTTCTCCTCTCCGACTTGATTATAAAGATAGGACCGGAACGGGGATGAACGACTAGGGGCGTCCCACTTATCCTTGACAATGGCGATCTGCATAGGAACTGTGCGATGTACTACACGAAACAATGAATTTAGTCAGTATAATTTACTTCGAGATAATCGCTTTCTGCTGCAGACTGACCTCCAGTGATAGCGCGACCAGGGGACCAGAGGCTTGATGAGAGGGATTGTTGCTGCTGATCAGCCTGGGGCTGCACCATTGTAGTTTGCCCGAATTGAGATTGTTGCGCCTGCTGGTTTTGCTGCTGTCCACCAAGGAGGGATCCCCCAAGTAGACCACCCTGCTGCTGCTGCTGCTGTGGTTGCTGCTGTGGTTGCTGCGTGCTGGTCCCAAGCCCACCTCCGAAGAATCCACCGCCGGTTGCCGGCTGTTGCGTTTGCTGCGTGGTAGCACCAAAGCCGCCGCCGCCGCCGAACAGGCTGCTTCCTGCAGCCGGCTGGGGCTTCTGTCCGAATAAGCCACCACCTGTATTTTGTGTCGTCGCAGCTGGTTGAGGTGTCGAAAACAAAGAGGGCTTCTGCGCATTGGAACCGAATGCTCCAGTCTGCTGTGGCTGAGCCGGAGCAGCAGCATTTGATCCAAACAATCCGCCTCCCGTAGTACCTTGCTGCTGGTTCTGCGGTGTCGAGCCAAATAAGCCTCCGCCGCTTGGTTGAGCTGGGGTGGTTGTGCTGGCACCGAATCCGCCAAAGGAGCTCGGCTTGTTCGCCGTATTGCCAAAAGGACTGGCGCTTGCCTGAGGTTGGGTGCCGCCGAATAGAGACATGGTGTCAATCGAAACAGCGCGTGGGATTGCCGTCAAAAAAAAACCGCAATTACCAAGGATTAGAACGAGAGTCTGTAGATTGGCGAGGTTAACTGCAGGCTATCCAATAGGAATAATGCAGACCAAGTGCAGCTCAAGATCGCATTCTCCGGCGAGTGGAGTGGATGGATGGAGGAAACGAGACACAGAGGGGTGCTGGGAGCTCGCGAGGAAGAACCCGACTTGCTTCGGAGCTGCACTTTGTTTAGGGTCACGTGACATCCCTCGATCCCAGGATGAAATTTGCGGCCAACGTGCCTCAATTGAAGGACAAATAGAAGAAATTATACTCTGATTGAGAAGGCTCTTTAAAAATTTGCTTCAATGGATATACACAAATATCTGTTGCCTTTATCATCTCAATTTCCCTTTATTTCCACGATACTGGCCATGAACAGCACAACCCGCTTACCTCAGCACATAGTATAGACCAATCAGCGTCCGCCCAAAGAAACCGACCTTTCATTCCACCGAAACCCGCAGCTTCACGAACTCACTGCCTCTGTCAATCTTGCCGCAATTCCCCCTCTTCCACACCACCAACCGTCACAATGGCTCAGCGAGACCCCCAGTATGACTGTCTACTCTGTCTCATTCCCATTGCCGGTTTCCCCGGCGCACCAGGACTCAAACTAACCCTCCCTCGACAAATAGGTTCAACCAGCAACTCCTCGTGGACACCACGCCCATGCCGGACCACATCCCCAAGGTGGAGGAGATTGGCGCTACTTCATCATACCTGACCAGCGCGGCCTACTTCATTGGTGACCGATGCAAGGCATACAACGATGACTTCATGAAGTGCAAGGACGAGGCGAACGGCCGCGGAGAGATCGAGTGCTTGAAGGAGGGGCGAAAAGTGACGCGCTGCGCCGCTAGTGTGTACGTTTCTACCCGATTCCGGTCCTTTCATTTAACCAGAGCAATCTGGAGACGATTTGAGAAATAGAGAGATCGCGGGGCAACTGACTCCGTTGTAGCATCAAGGATATCAACACCCACTGCCTCGAGCAGTTCAAGGCCCACGCCGACTGCCTTGAGAATAACAACCACTACCTCTTTGAGTGCCGCAAGGCCGAGGTCTCCCTGAACAGCTGCATCTTCGACAAATTGGTATGATGAGACCCCCAACCCTCCGCGCTCGAGCATATTCCTATCCAACTTCGGGGCATCTAAACCCTGCCCACATTCGGACGTATCCAACACAGCAGAACATACTAACGTTGTATTTTCTTTCTCTTTTATAGGGCCTGAAGAAGACCATTCCGGGTGCCCCCGAGAATCAGGTCCCCGTGCACCTGCGCCCCAAACAGAAGTACGCCCAGTACCCGGGCCCGCAGTACTAAAAGAACAGGACGGCGTTATATCCCCTTGTTCAGCACCCTCTGCTTCAAATCATCCCTCAATCACCTCATCCGCGTGTCTTTCTATTTTTGCCGCCCAGGGCCCCGGCTTTCTTCCCCACCCAGCCCCGTCTGTTTTCTAAATTAGATGCGCAAGTGGCCCTTGTGTCTCATCTACTTGTGTCTGTCTCCGTCCGGTGTATGTTTTGTGTAAATATCTATTGGCATTCTAGGAATAGTTATGGTTTCCGCTTGATCTACTTCTCCTCTTGGCATCTTGTATTCCCATGGAAGTATGCCATGGAAATATCATCTAAGCAACAGATTCCGTTGAACAGGTCCTAGATTAGCGGTGCACAGCTTTGAAGATCTCGAGGTAAGTAAATAAGGGGAGAAAGGAAACGTGATCTGGAGTGTATAGATGATTTGTTTTCTGTCACGCCCTCTAAAGATTCACCCATTGCCTCGTCCTCTTCGAGGGTTCACTATATTGACAGCCCCCTTCTCGGTCTTTCTCCTTCTACCAACAGTCTATATTAGACCATATGATACAAACCCAGTTTGACAGCAGAATAACAATAGCCACAATCCAAAAAGACATGAGCAACAGTAAACCAACAGAACCAACAGAACCAACAGAACCAACAGAACCAACAGAACCAAAAGAACCAAAAGAACCAAAAGAAGAAAACTCCAAACCGCAAATTGAAACCCATATGTACTGAACACAAAGAAAAAGAAAAAGGGTGGCGTCTAGCCACCGAGAACGAATGCATGAAACTCCACAAGGATGTTTTTTCAGACGCGAAGAGATAAGAAATATCTCCAGGGCATACAAAAGTGCCCCGGGACATGCAAAAAAGGAAGGGGAGGGTACCATGGCGCTCCCTCTATATGGCTAACCGATGCTCAACCGAGTCGCAGCTCCTCACTAAAGAGGGATGGAACGAAGTCTCCTACGGCAGCATAGGCGCCTGGCCTACGCGACGCAGAAGCTTGAAACGACTCAGTCGCGCCTTGACCTCGGACCAGCCAACGCGCAAGCGCTCCTCGACACGGCGGTCGCCCCGCATGCGCATCCAAATCAGGAGCACGCCGAGAAGGGCCAGGTCCCAGATGATCTGGCGTACAACGACCCAGAGCATCCACTTCAACCAGGCCCAAACCCCGGAGCGGCGGCGGTGCGCCAGCGTGCGGGATTCCATCTGCTCGCGCACGGCGGCGATTTCGGCCGTCATCTTGGTGAGCGCCTGTTCGACGCGGCGGCGCCAGCGGCTATTACGTGGATTGGCCGGGTCGTGCGAGTCGTGGCGGGCTAGGGCGTCGGTGCCGTCACTGGCGCGTGAAGTGGTTGATTTGCGGCGGGAGGAAAGAGCAGCGCGGTCGTCGCCGTGCGAGGTAGTGCGGTCAGTGCCAGTGTGCGTGTCTGCGGCCGTGCTGGCGCGGTCAACGTCTTCGTAGAGGCTGTCACGCGCCTCTTCGTATTCTTCGTCCTCATCCTCGTCTTCGCCCTGTTCGTCTTCGAGCGCGTCTTGGTCGTCGGCTGCGGAGCGCCGCCGCCGATAATACTCTTCTTCCTCGGGTTGGCTGACTGGGCTCAGGACGCGGAGGCGCGAGTCATGACCCTCGCTGGCGCGCAAGTTTGGTCGTTCATAAGACGGGGAGGACTGAGCTAAGCGGCCGCCGATGCTGCCATATGCACTTCCCTGATATCGTGATAAGGGCGGGACGCCGACGGCGTTCAATGGGCCAGAGGAGGCTGAAGATGAGGCATTATATTTAATCTGATCCCAAACAAATTCAAGCTCGGAGACCAGTTCGCGAGCCTCGGGGGTCTGGGAGGCGTAATTATGCATCGTATCGATCAAGGTTGAAATATAGCGGCGTTTGGCTTCGGTGCGCGAGAGACCGCGCTGGGCGTACCAGGCATCCCTGAATGAAGAACAATAAAAAGAACGTCAGTTACCATAACTCTCTTTGACGATCGAAATAGATATCACAATGGGACATCATATCCAGCATTGACGTACCACTTTTCACACTCCGCATGCACTTCCGGGGTATTCCCAATCGGGCGATCCATCACACCTTCGACGTCCCCCTCTGCGATACGCGCGATAAGCCCTCCAAGTCCGAGACAGAATCCACAGGAATATATGTCAAGTCTCACTCACCCATACTCTGTTTGTAAAGGCCATATAGCTTCAATCGCTCCGCCGCCGGTGGGCGCGCGGTCCCCGTCCGGGGAATCCTCTTGACGGTATTCAGGGCATGGACGAAGACGCGATCTACCACGCAAGACGTGAGTTTCAGCACCGATCACGAGTGGGGGCTATCGTAGCTGCATACGCACCTACAGAATCCGACATGCTGACGCGAGAAGAAGCGGTCCGGTGGTCTGCCCTGTCTTCATGGAAGCGGGGTTGGGCATCGGCAGACGTGGACGAACCTCATGGAGAGAGCGCGCGCGAGGAGTCCGGAATGATGCCAACCGGGGGAACGCCAGCGGATGTCGAGTTGTAATTCGAATTCAGGGGGAAGGGATAGTTGTTTCGAGAGAAGGCGAGGAGGGGAATTTCGAGTCACTAGGGTGTGGTTTTTGGTTTCCGCCGAAAGTCCGTACTCGATTGCCCCCGTTCCGAGTCTCTGGGGGGTCTGGATTGAAGGGGGTCGGGGAAAGCAATGGATCCCGATCACGGGCACGGCGATGATCCCAAGCTTCGCAAAGAACGGAATCAAGCACAGAAGCAGACTAACGGTCAACGGGTTGAGATGAAGAGGCGTCTCGTGCCTCGAGGGAGGGCCGAGAGGTGGCGTGTTGGACCGCGGCTGTCGGCGAAGATCGCCAGGGCACTTGTGATTGTCTTCCGCCCCGGGAAAACTGAGGGAAAACTGACGGGGAACACGAGCTAATTAAAATGATGTGCATTGCATAGATTTCATGATACATGCGCCAAATGTAAATTACTATACACCAAAGAAACGATCCAATAAATATATACCATCCATCTCAACGCGGACCATTTCTACGTGCTGAGATCTTTCTTGACCTCGATCGTGTCCGAAACGTTTTCAGCGTCTGGCGCGGAGCCCGTCATAACGCCTGTCGCCGCAGCAGCCTCTTCCTTGGAGACCGGAGGGCCAGTGAAATGTTTGCGCGCATAGGCAAAGTACCAGACCACACTAATAGAGCCAAACCCAGCGAAGACGACGCTCGCGTAGTTCATCGAGGCGGCCGTGACCGGGAGTGTATACGGCATGCAGAACAACGCGACTGCGAGGACAATCCAGGCGACAGTGATGCCATTGATGATCCAACCAAGTCGCCCGAGGGAAAAGGTCGAGCGCGCAACATCCTGACGGCCACGAATCATGGAGATCAGAATGGGCAAGCCGTACGAGGTGGACAGACAGATCGTGGCCACGCCGGTGAAGGAGTTGAACGCTGCCGTAGAGCCAAAGTAAATCAGTCCTAGTAAGCAGTCCACCAGGGCTGACAGTAGCACCGCCCAGACCGGCACATCCAGCTTCTTGTTCACCCGGCGCCACAGTCGGAACCCCGGGATCGCCCCATCGCGAGCAAAGGCATATGTGCAACGACTGGCAGCCGTCAGGGATCCAATGCCGGCGAAAAGCATGATGCCTAATATCAAGAATAGCAGACCGAATCCTCCGCCCGCGGAGCCCGTCACGATCTTGAACAGTGTCCCAATCGGTTGTCCGTTGGCCACATCCCGCAGCATCTGCACGTCGGGCATCACGAACAGCACCGGAATCAGGTACAGCAGACCGGTAATACCAGCTGCCACCACAGACAGCACGATGGCCTTGGGGACTTCACGGTGAGGGTTCTGGACCTCCTCGCACATCGCGGCCACCATGCCGTAGCCAGTCAGGGTGTATGCTGCCTGCAGCAAGCCCACAAAAAAGCCCACCCAGAGGGCCAGCCGCTCTGAGAGGAATCGTACTCGGCGAAGACAAACTCGCCCGAGCGACGGTGGTCGGCCATGGTTAGCAGGACAATCAATATGATGATGACGCTGGCGGCGGTCCAAAAAATGCAGACCTTATTAATGAGGTCCAGGTAACGCGAGAAGAAGATATTGACAATCACGCACACGAGCATGACGGCCCAGAACATCAGGACGGTCTGCCAGGCGTTGGCGACAAAGTCCTCGTTCCAGAGAGAGATGGCGCTGAGGATCAGCTGTGCCCCGCCGAAGATGATGCTGAGGGTGACCGTCCAGTTGCCGACAAGGGTAAGCCAGCCGTCGATGAAGGACATCAGTGGCGCCCAGCGGCGTGTCGAGAGCATCGCGCTCCAGTAGTAGACACCGCCAGCGGTGGGATAGACGGCACAGATCTCGGCGAGGGAGGCCGCAATGGCGATCGAAATGAGGGTGACAAAAACCCAACCCCAGATAATGGTGACCGAGAGACCATCGTCCAGAGTAATGTACATGGTGGTGCTCAGGCCATATGGCGCAGCCATGATGGCGAAGGACAATCCCAGAATGCTCAGCATGCTCAAGTTCCGGGGCAGTTCGCTCTTGTAACCCATGCGTGCCAACGCCTCGTCGGCAGAGGCGTCGACGGACGGGTTCCGCATATTAGCGGTTTATTCAGAGAACAGGGACTGTCGAGCAAGAGCGAGGAGGACAAAAGGTCACAAAAGGAGGTAGAATGAGCAGGAAGATGAGGAGGGAAAGAGAGCTCGGATTATGTACTGAGAAGGAAAAAAAATAAGATAGGGACCGAGACCTGAGCGGAGCTAAAGTGGAGTCGAGAGAATTGAAGTCTGGGGAAGAGCAGCAGCGAAAGCTTGGATGGAATTTAAGAAGGCCGGAGGGAGTTAGAAGGGAAGACTTAGAAGAGACGGATCGAGGATTCCCCGCATGATAAACGCGCCTGCATCGCGGTCCGAGACCGCGGCGGGCGAGAGTTTTGGAGGCTGCGAACGGGACCGTGGACGCAGAACAACCTCCGAGACACAGCTTATCAGGGTCCAGTGGGTGGGTTTAGGTAACTTAGCTATCGGGGCTGCGCCCGTTTAGTCACTAGGCACATGGTCACTGGCCCGCGAGCGTACGGGGCCCCACTGATACCCAAGACCGCGCGAATCAGCAGGGCGCCCCGATAAGCTGCCGGGTGGTCGTGTGTGCAAGATAGCGTGATAAGGACGAAATTCAGATTACGAGTTCGGCGCCGATTTTGGGTGCGAACAATTAAGCATATACCTTACAGTGAGGTTCTAATATCACGTACCGACTTGACTCCTGCCGATGACCGGCTGCCTCCCACTACGATCATACCAATTCATCCCCGCTGCTTGTGTAGCATTGTTGCCATTTTAGTGACAAGGTTACAGCAGAGGAAATTCAAGGATATAGAACTCAAATGTAGAATTTTGCAGATACATAAAGAGTAGTTCAAGTCACCCAAGGTGACGGCTGCCACATCCTAGAAACGGGGCTTAAGGCCCCCGGATGAGCGCCAAGATACAGCACAAAATGAGAACAATCGACACAAGGGGGGAATACAGGAGCCGAGCATCGGGGATAAAACAGGGTAGACCAGAAAGCTCCGTATGCGAATCAATATCGGTAGCCCCCAGCACCAGGTGTAAGAAAAGAGAAGGAAAGGGGAGGGTATCAAATCGGGGAGGTCGCAGACGTCCGGCGCAGTAAAGGAGGTGGAAATGTTGGAAATATTTTTTTTCTTGTTTGGAAGTATCTAGTCGGACAATTGGGGGAGTGGATGCGAGATTCAAATGAACCGGGGGTCCGAATTGTCCTCACCAGGGTCGGGCGGAAGTAGGCCCTAAATTTCAACATGCGGTGAGAGTGAGGGGTGAGAAGGACATGAGGTGGAACAAGGGAAAAAAGGGTGGGGTTTAACGGACAAGATGAATGGGGAGAGTCGATCAGCGGGAAGAAGATAAGGGAAGGGGACATTTTCAGAGGAAGTAAATAACCATAAACGATCTTAAGATCAATCGAACTCCAGTCTATACAGCCACCCTGGCGATCGGCCAAGCTGACAGTGCAAATGGTATTCGCATCCGAGAAGTGAAAAAATGGGGAGAAAAGGGATGAAAGCGGTGGGAATGAGAATGATGAGAGGGGGGGAAACAATGACGCTGAGTCGAGACCAGCCAGCTAGTATCAACTCCGAAAGCGAGAGAACAAAAAAGAAAAATCATAAGAAACATGACCCGTCGCGCGGAACGATCGTAAATCGAGGTCGGCAAATGGGAGGGGGAGGGAAAGGGGAGGGAACAAAAAACGCCCAGTCATGCAGTCGTCAATCCGGTGAAGTCATTACATGAGAGAGATGCAGCAGTACAATCGCAGGGGAAAGCAAGGACGAGAAGGTGTAGAAGGGAGTGAGAATATATAGAAGCGGGAGACAAAATGGCGAGGCTTCAAGACTACCACATCAAGGACTCAACCCTCCAGTGAGAAGATCATCGGGAACATCGGGTCCAAACCCGGCCATATCGACCGAATGCAGGGACCCGGGCCCTTTGCCCAGGGAAATGTCCGACGATGCGTAGTCATGCTTCAGTCGCTCATGCGGTCCAAACAGGTGGGGTCCGAAAAACGGTCGGTTCTCGTCATTCGGGGTGTTGCCATCACCAGCAACCCACGGCCCATTCTGCCAAAATCGCGTGTTGGCTTGTTGATCCCCAAATAGATCATGATGATCGGGTTGGGGATCAGGGCCGTGGATCGGAAATTCACCTGGGGATTGGAAACGCATGTGGGACCGACCAAAGCTGGAACAGGGGGAGTCCGCGTGCAGGGGCAGGTCCAGTCCCGACAGTGGGGGATCGTCGACAGTGGTGATGTCAATTGTCGGGTTCTCCGTCTGTTGTGCAAGGGCCGATGACAACCGAAGATTTGATGCCGTTGAGCTATGTCGGCTATGAGTGGCAGACCGCTCAATGGCACGTTGCACAAAGCTGCCACACGTCTTCATGATCTTTTCTTGATCAGCCTGCGACAGACTGGCAAAGAAATCATTGGCCAGAGATGCCTTTGGTGGCTCATCCGCTGCTGGGATCAGTCCGTACGTCGTCCTGGCATACTCCGAGAGTCCAGACGGCATGTTGTACGGGGACTGATAGACGTTGGGAGCCAGGGCCCGTTGCTGGTCGAGGAAGGCGTACTTGCCCGGCATTTTGGCCGCGGCTACACTGCCTTGATCAACCGTCTCCAGCTTCACTCCCTCGGACTCTTTCTTCTGAATGACATCCAATCGTTCCCGATGGCTGACCAATGAGAAACGCAGCATCTGAAGAAGTCGAGCCACTTCATCCGCTCGCATATTAAGCGTCTGCGGTGGCAGCAAGGTCCCATCGGCAGCCCGCGGCTGTACCCGTTGCTGGGCCATGGCCAGTTCCAGTTTCTCGAGACCAGTGGACGGAGGGATAGACCCCATCGGGCCCAGAAGGGTCTCTACCACCAATTCTGGGCTGACGATGGTGTACCCCGCAAAGACATTGGCATGTTCGGTGATCTGGGCGAGACGACGGCGAGCAATGATATCCCGAACGTTGCCAAAGGTATTGGTGGAGGTGAGGTGGTGCTGCTGCTGAGCGTGCGATTTGACGACCGTGGGGTAGGGGGCATGGCGGGCAGATTGGTTTGGAAGGGTTCGAAAGGCCGACGGCATCGCAGGTCCAGCAGCAGCAGCACCGGCAGCAGCAGGAGCAGAAGGGGGAGGGGGAGGGGCAAGATGCTGCAGGGAAGAGGCGGAAGCGGAGGGCGGTCGGGCGGATTGGAGGTGCTGCGGCAGTGGCGGGGAAGAAGGGTGATTGGATGAACGGGGACCGGTCAAAGCGGAGGAGAAGTCGTGTTGAGGCTGCAGTCGAGATTGCGGAGGGAGAAGGTGTTGTTGGTGGTAGTGGTGGTGTTGTAGTGGTTGGGGTGGTAGCGGGAGCGGCGGTCGGTGTTGACGTTGGGCGTAAAGATTTTGCTGGTAAGGAGGGGCAGGGGCGGTGGCCGTGAAGGGGTGGGGGGGGATCTTCGATGCACGATGGGCACCAGCCACGCCAAGCGACTTGACGCTGTCCAGGAAATTGGCCCGCGGGTTGTGGACAGGCACGCTAGGGTTGTGCGTATACTGTGCCCTACTCTCCGTCGACGACTCGCCCAGGTAATACCAAATCTGCTCGCTCTGGTCCAAATGGGCCGCGAGTGGGGCGAAATAGTTCCTAGTTCCATCCACCGTTTCGAATTCAGCCCACTGATAGGGAGAGCTGCTGTCGCCAAATGCACTACCTGCAGCCGGCACCGCGGCCTCGAGATCCTTTCGTTGTTCCGGCTTGCGCGCCAAGTGGGCCGGGAGGGGTTGAATACCCGGCACGAGGGGCACAAAATTACTCTTGCGCACCACCAGCATCCAACGATAAGGCATCTCAATGACATCGCTGTTGACAATTATCAGTATCGGGTAGTTTGTTGAATGTGTTTTGAGGAGCCATGGTTTGGCAAAAGTTTGAGGCCGAGGTGGTGGGGAAACGAGAAAAAAAATGGACCAAAGGAACCAGGAAAGATACCAAACTTACCCACGAGGAAGAATTTTGAGGAGTAGAGACCGTTCCTCCGGCCGGTTCTCAAGCACAATGGCGCCATTAATCTCCTTGTCCGCTTGGAATTGAATGAGGTCTCCTTGGACGAGACGGCGAGCCGCTTCGATCACGCGACGATCCAAATCGGAGGATTCGGGCAGCAAACCGGTGGGCCGCTTCTGTCGATGGAACTTACACTTGAGGTCGACACTGGGCAGAGCATATTGCTGGCCATCATCGACGATCACGGCGATGCGACCATGCTCGACTTGCACACCTGCCAGAAGGGCACAAGTTGCATGATACGCACGAGTGCACTTGCCAAAATTACATTGAAAGCAAGCACCCTGAACCTCGCGACAAAATAGACACTTCAAGCCAAGACGAGCCTTGGGAATCTTGTCGATATCGCACACAATCTCCTTGCCGGACCCATCACGCAGGATGCTGGTTTCCTCGATGAACGATGCACACCGCCGATGAGCATGACCCTTGCCATCCTCAGTAGGCAGAAGATCCTCATAATCGAGATTGTTGGGACAGAGCAGGCACGGAATCTTCCGAGGGCCGTCAAGGTGGAGTTTGGGTCGTTTGGTTCGCGGCCCGTCACCCGTGATCTTCCGCTTTCGACCACGGGTGGAGGTCTTCTCCGGTACACTGCGTGGAGGCGTGAGCATATCGGAGGCACCTTCAAAGCCCTCCAGTTCGCTGTCATAGTCGCCATAATACTCGGGGGTGGATTCACCACGAAGTTTGCGCTCGATCTCGTCCACGTCGATCCAAACACTGTCGGCTTCGCAATGGCATTTCTTGGCAATGCGGCCATAATCCAACCATCTTTCGGTTGCGAAATTGACAGACTCAGCACAGTTGTACCCGATGTTGTACCCAGAATGGTATCCGTAGGGGAAGGTAATAACAAATTCCCCTTCATAGTGGACCAGTCGGTTCACCGTGATACCATACTGTGATTTGAGCAAGCTGGGCGAGACTAAGTAGGTCTTGTGGCGGAGAAACTGGTTGCAGTTCTTTGCGTCACTGGACCAGATACTGCGCATTGCAGCCTCAAAACGAGGTGCATCTTCTTGAGAGATGCTATACCACTGCTTGGGGGCACCGAAATGAATATAGTTGATACTGTAAAGATCCACATCTTCGAGATGCCAGGCAAAGGTGGCCTTCCACATTCCGAGATAAAGGTAGGCGGTATTGACGCCGGGCACCTTTGTCCGAGAACATCAAGTAAATTCGGTAATTTGGCCACATTCCAAGAAGTCGTCGAGTCGTCGAAGAGGGATCCTGGCATGTCCGCACCATACATGGGGTTGTTAAACATGAGGGACTTCCAATACGCAGTCTCGAGCTCTTCGCATCGCTCCGCGGTATAGTCTTCATTATCATGGATGCGGTAATCGAAATCTTTGAATGCTTCTTCATCAACAGAATCAACGGTTTCACCACGGTTATTCTTCCGTCGGGCCGTGACAGACTTGGGCTGCCTGCCCTTGGGTTTCAATGCAGGAAGTGATTCACCCTCGCTCAAGTCTTCACTTTTGGGCTCAACGGGGTGGGATTCCGGCGACACAGGGGTCGGAGGACCCTCCAGCTTGGACTTGTCTGCATCGTCATCGGCTAAGGGCTCTTCTTTGATTTTAACTTGGTGAGAACGCTTGGGAGGGCGTCCGGGTCGGCGTTTCTGGCCTTCTGGTCGAACTGTCGGAGCTCGTGGAGTGGAAGCTGGGCGGTTTGCGCGTTCCTGGTTGCGACGTCTCTCTCCGCGACGAGCAGGTGGTTGGTGACTGCTTTCTTCACATAGCCCTTTCCACTGAGGGAGGTTGTATGTGCGCTGACGTTCAATGTTGGCTTGGGTATACGTGCCATGAGATCCATGGAACTCCTGCATAATGGGGTTCTTGACTCGAATAGTCTTCACAGCCTCGTCCAATGCCGGCAGAGACTCAGTCCTTCGTGAGGAAGAATAGATGAGCAAAACGATTCATACCATGATGAATTTTCCCCAGAACTCACCATTCCTTCGGAGGAATCACTTTCACGATTCCCGCCTGCATTCCATACTTGTCAATCTTTTTGATGAAAGACTGGAAATCTTGGAACTGGTCCATTGTCTGAGAAGATTCGTCTGTTAGTCTCGGCTGTTCATGGCTGGGAGCCCATTCTATGCTGCCAATTTGGGTCTCTCCGAGAAATCTGACAGGGAATCTCTAGAGAAAAGCCACTGGAGTGAAAGACTCACTGGCTTGAAAACAGGAATCTTGCCACCGCCATAGTAATGGTCGGGCTCAATTTCTTCATCGTCTTCCGGATCCTCCTGTTTTATCTGGGCCTCGTCGGTCACAGTCGCCGACTTTGGTTCCAACTCGAGATCTGATAACTCCGACGGCACGCCTTCGGGGGCATCCTTCTTTCCGTTGGCGCTTTGGGGGGGTGTGATGGAAGCAGAGTCGACGACAGGGCCGCCCACGAGTGCATCGAGGTGCGGCTGATCAAGTGTTGCTGCCATGGTTGGTGGCAGGAGCAGCTATTGGAAAGAGGCTCACTATTTGGGCGCCGTCGTCGGATAAAGCGACCGCTGATCGACGGCGATAGAAAATGGTTCCCAGCGGTCGGGGAAAGAAAAGGCGATGAGCAACTCGAACCACAAGGTGGTTCCGAGTTGTGACTATCAAAAAAGTCCAAAGTTGATCGGGGAGAGGAAAGGGCGGCGGTATCGAGAGGGTGTCAAGAGTGAGGTCGTACGCAGGGCGATCGCGCGATAAGCTCTGCTCGGAGGCTCTTTTTTCCCTGGAGCGAACGGGGTGAGGGCCAGGGCTGGGTGAGAACGACCAATTAGAAAGATCAGAGGATGTCGGCGCTCAAATGAGACCACACGGGAACAGGGATAAAGAAGGGAGTTGGTGCAGAGGTCAAGGAATCGACTGCTCAGTCGTGGCTGTTCACCTGGCCGACAATTCCAATAAGAGCGCAATGCAACTGCAAGAATAGCGCTAGGCTAGGTTCGCCAGGAGCGCCCCATGGAAAAGAAGAGGAGGGTGAGCAGCAAGACCACGCTGAGTGGGCCAATCATGCAGACGCCGGGACGCTTGCGAGTGGAGCGAGAGCACGATGGCCTGACACTGGAAGGAGACAGGGGTAGAAGGGAGGGTAGGGGGTGAGGAATGGTGATTGGACTAATCACCGTCCGTGCTGGTAGGGGATGGGGGAAAGCATCGTCCGATCAGACGGGAAAGGTGGGAAAGAGTGGACTTGGTGGATTTGGTGGACTGGGCTTGGACTGGACATGTCGACAGCCAGGGAGGAGCCGCGCTGCGACTGGGTACATCCCATCCGGTCTCGGACGGGTAAATGTGATTCCAGGTCTCAACGTGCAGGGGGCAGAATGGGGCGTGCGAAGAGGGACTACCTCCAGCCAAGGTATAGAAGGATCAACAGGGAGAAGGAGTACTTACCAGAGCTTCACGCAACTGGTCAGAATGTTCCAGCCTCAAGTCACGGTTTCAAAAAGAAAAGCAGAAAACAACCGGCAGAAATGCAGCGGCGATGGACAAGTTCCAATGTCCGAGCTTTGGCCCAGGCCAAGTCCGGGAATGGTCACGTGCGGTCATGTGGTTGTATCCAGTCTGGTGCGGCTGCAGCTGGGACAGTACGTAACCGTATCAAACTGCCAATTGTCGATATGAACCCGTCCTGTGGTGCGTAATTAATACAGAGTGCCGTGTTTCAGGTGTCGGATGGCGCCGGACCCGACGGTGACCTCAACTCTCCTGATTCGCACTCGATACTCTGTACTCTCTAATACAAGATACTTGATATTTAACTGCTGTACCTACCTACTTATGTGACTCCCACTATAACGAAGTAACGAGCACTCAGATAGGCACTTGCGATTGCTTTTGCTAAACCTGATTATGTAAGTCAAATCAAATCTTACATCGTCCGTCAAAATGATCTCCGCTCTCGGATGCTAAATGCTCACCTTGATCTAACCCTGCCCGGACCTATTGATCTACATAACACATCTCAATCCATCCGCGTACAAACTGCTCCCCCCCCCTCCCTCCTTTAGAGGAGTCTTCTATACGTACCTACTACGTTATATCTTCATTTGCGAGGCCAGAAAACACGACCGCTATTCAAAATAAAGCTTAGTATTATAATAATAATCCCGAAAAGTCTATGTCTATTTATTGGGCCCATTCCCCATGTAATTTCTCGTCCAGGTTAATATACCCATCCACAATAGCTAATCCCCGCAATCGCTCCTGTTCAATGCGCTCCCAGCTCCATTCCTTGGAGTCCCAAGAGTCAGAGTTGACTTGCTTCTGCTTCTCAAGGACCTCATGTCCCGGAATTTGACCTTCGCTCAACCTGAGGACTTCGCGCACCAGAGAGCCATCCACACCGCCACTGGCAGTGATGCCCTCGCCGCTAGCAGGGGTTCCAATTACCGATGCTTCGGCAGACGACTCTGCGGGAGCATTCTTGGGCTCAATCTCAGGGGGCAGCATTGGCAGAAACCCACCCAGGCGCAGTATCCGTTCCGGTGAGACCGTCAGACGGCCCTTTTTGACAACATACTTGCTGAGCGCAGTAGCTAACAGGGTCTTCTCGCCACCAGGTTTGCTGGCAGGACGCATGAAGCAGCTGAGAATATACATCCACTTCTTATCCCAGGAGATCACCTTGGAATGCATTTCATACAACTCGAATGGTTTGATCTCACGCTTGAAGCTGCAATAGACCGAGCCTAGCACAATAGTAATGGGCTTCTTCTTGGGCGCGCGCTTCCCTTCTTTCTGACTGGCCTCCAGAAACTCCTGGTCAAGTTCCTTGCTAACGAGACCAACTCCAGGACTGTACAAGCGGCTCACTAGTGCCATACGCGAGACATCCAGGTCAGTGAAGTAGGTGCTATTGGACTTGTGCATGTTATAGTCGGTCTCCAACAGCGGAGTCCTCGATGTGATCCCACATGGCACAAAAACTGGATGTGTGGGGTTGCCTTGAGCGTCCACAATGGCTTTGCCCTTCGGAAGGAGGCGAGCGCTGGGTTTCAAGCGCAGGTTGGCCACAAAGTAGTACAACAGGCGGAACTAGATATTCAATCAGTAACGTCGCACGGCGTTCCGAGAGTTCATAGCTGCGGCACGTCTGTTGAAGCCAATTCCAACAGCCACGATCAGATACCGCCTGGATCGTACTTACATGCCAGACAAATGGGAGATTTTTGAGATTGATGAAAGCCAGCACCAAAGCCAGCATCTTCCATGACGCCAAAGACGCGACGGTTGACAATAGATCGCGCACGCTGTCAACGCGGAGGGCGGCGGGAATGAGGGACATGATGAGCAGAGACGCAAACCACAAAGTGAAGGTTGAACCGTAGCCGAAACAAATTCTTAATGGTACAGAGCATGTAATTGTCGAAGCTTATCAGCGATAACAAAGTATAAGGCTGCCCTGCCCGCCCGACTAATAATGGTGTTTTGCTTCAGTTTGTACCAGGGACCGGGCCCGACTCAGCGCCGGAATGGTTAAAGGAGAGACAGGAAGTGTTACAAAGAGCGAAATGGGGCCTGACGAAATCGATCACGATAGCAAGTCACACGCCAAGCAGGCCGATCATTCATCACAGCTATCGCTGTCGTCCGTTAATTTTGTTGGGAAAAGGGACCGAGGCCCCCCGGACCTAGGTACACACGTGATGCTGAATCAGCATTCTTGTGCTGCCTCCGGGCCCAGCGTGCATAGTCGCTGGCTGGTAATTAATTGAAATACGTATATAGTCACTGAGAGATGAACATACAATGAGTAACTGACGAGCGGTCTCGATTTCTTGTCTGTTGGATAACATGTTGGAAACAGGTTGGAAACATCGAGAATAATTCTGATAAATGAAGGTCTCTACTTATATATATTCACTTGAAGTATCACATCATTAGCTGCATGAAAATGGGATGACATGCGGGGGCACCTTAGACGAGGCTGACAACTTTGAGCACAACTACGTTCTAACCTGTTACCAGCATCGCATTTTATCGACCTTACTCAATCCCGAGCATATAACGGAAATGTTGCTCGCCTACAACGCAAGATTGAATACCCCTTTGCACTAACAGCTTGAGAGTGCGCACGTCATGCCATTAAAATCCCCAGGTCCGTGGACTTGACTTAAGCATTTATTGGTGTAAGATCTCCATTCGCTCAAGTGTCAATCCAAAGAACTAACATACCCGTGATAGCACTGCCACTGCGAGCGCTTCATCTTGCCTGCTGGAAAATATCCACCTATAGTTCAAACGCCAGCTTCCCCCGACAAACACAGCCTGCTAGTCTGATGTGTACCTATATTAAGAATCATCTTCACTTGACTTTGGCCTCCTAGATGGTGACTCGATATTCGGTACCCGCTCTAATAGGATGATTTTTATCGTTCTCTAATCTACAGAGATATTCCTGGTCGTACCGCTAAGACTTTGACTCAAGTAGATCATTTCTAGGACAAGAATTAACTGGACGGCTCACTTTGCTAGACTCCGTGAGTCACGGACTGGAAAGGGAATTTCAACCAGACTGCACTTGCCTTGGATTTAAGATGCACACCGTTTTACAGGATCCGCGAACTTTTTGGAAAAAGAAGAAAATTTGGGGTTCGTCACGGTAGATCGCAACTATTTGAGAATTTATCCGCAGCTCTCCGAGTCCAAGCAGATAGTGGACGATAATTTGAAGTGTCAAGCATGATGATGACAAGTTATCGACCACGAATTATGGGAAAGTCTGGAAAAGTGGATGTCTGAGACAAAAAGGGCATATAGAGCTATCTCTTTACAAAAAGGGTATCATTTCCGACTGATGAGCAAAAGTTATCTTATCTGATTGACCATAGTATAGAAACAGCCTACAATTGGTGGAACTCGCACTTTAAATCCACATTATTTGAGACATGCTAGAGCGTTGATGCAGCTTGGCGCCCTATTTAGACCATCTGTCATAGCAAACAACACATAAATCCATCATCTCCTGCCGCCGAATCCTTAAAAAAATTTACTCAACCACTTAAATCTTGATTTGTATCAGAATCTTCAAACACACCATCTACAGTATGCGTCTCTCTGCCTTCGGTCTTATTTGCTCTCTTCTTGTACTTCCTGCGCTTACGAGCCCAGTAGATGCTACGAGAGATTACGAGGTAAGGTTACCTCGAGCGAGGTCACTTCAAATTCTGAGATAATTGCTGTCTTTTGACTAGTATTTGGTATCATAGGCTGCGTCAATTGAAAAAAGATGTTGTATTCTTTGCGACAACCCCTATGCTAGATGTGGATCAAATGACAAGCGCGAGGTGGTCGAGACCGAGGCAGAAGCCATTTTTGGGCTCGCAAAGCGCTGCTGTGTTAATTGTGATGTGAACCGATGCAAGCGCGACGAGACTCCAACTGCTTGGCCCGCAAAACGTTGCTGTATCCTCTGTGATAATCCCTATGCTCGATGCGGCGCCAAGGATAAGCGCGAGGCTGTTGAGACTTTGGAGGAAGCTGTTGAGGGTACAAATTAGAGGTAAGACTGGATCTGCCCAACAGTCTAAATAATTGTCAACGATCAAAGATTGGCAATTGAATGAGGAAATCTGATTTTGGTAACATTGTAGGCTGATTCCTAGTAGTATAAATTGTATCGAGGCCAATATGCATATATAAGCTCTTCGGACTCCGAAAAACCCGCAACGGATATTGATTCAATGCTATATCTACAACTCGTTTCTCCTTCGGGGAAAGAACGTGGGACTTTATTTTGATTGAAAATTTAACACAATAAAAAAAAACCTATAATTAATCTTTCCGTTATTCACAAATCGTAGTTCCAACTTCGAAAAACCTATATATAACCACGAATTATAAACTCCAAAGGCCTTTTTGGCTAACCAGAATTTCCAAGTCCAAAACCTCACGCGCAATCTTCAAAGCCAATTTTCATCTTGCCGAAAAGTGGATAGTTCCATGATTCACAGCCGTCTGAATCCCAGAATTTTGACCAGCAAAGGAAACATTTATAGAATAATCCTCAATTTTGGCCGTTGCCTGTGGGCCAATAGAGTCGCTGAGTTTTGACAATAACTCTTCCAGAATTTTCCGGGAAGCCTCCAAAGCTTTCCTCTCCACTCTAAGTTGTTTAATAGTTTCATTGAGTTCCTCCTCCTCTTCTTCCTCCTCAGCATCCACGGAAACCAATTGTTTCAGAAGCTTGTTTACTTCTTCTTTCCGACTCTCTGTTGATCGAGTGGCCACCACCAATTCAGTTCGCTTCGAGGCTAGATTGGATTTGATCTGTGATGTAACTTCTGAATGCTGAATCGAGTTATAGCTTTATAATGAAAATATGTTCTTAGCATCTTTGACATTCTAGAGTGGGGCCACATTTTGGAGGTCATACAGAGTTGCTATGCTGACAACGGATGTGATTTTGGTATAGCAGCTTTGTATCTCTTCGACCATGGATTTAACACGAGCTTGCTTCCAGAATCCAATTTTCGAGCGGTCCCGCCAGGAAAGAGTACCATCTTGAGAATTGCTGGTCCAGCGCCGGAGGTCGGCATCGTGTCGTTCGCACGTCAAGGTGCATACGGTTATTGTAGTTTTGGCATTTTCTGCAATTGACGGTCCGAGAGAATCCCATTGGGAATCTTCGATTTTCTTGATTGATTCAAGCGCAAGGCTCACGGACTGAACGCTCTCCTCTAACTTCTTGAAATTCTCCGGGGCATCTCTGATTTGCCTCAAGTCTTCAAGTAGTAAGCGACTACCATGCAAAGCAGGGACAACAAGACCCGCAATGCCCGCTGTGATGCTCAAAGGATCAGTCATTGTCGTTAACAACAGTAGCTCCGCCAATATGGGAGAAATGGGACGAAGCCTTTTTGGAGAATTTTCATTGTTTGAGAGCGGGGTATGGCCCAGTCACCTGATAGGAGGCTCAGCTTTGGGGCCAAAAAGTAGGCCGCAAAGTTCAACTCTTCCAGCTCGCAGACGTGCTTGGCAGAGGATCGAGAGACTAGCAAGATATAATTGTCCAAACGTGGAGCCAAATATCAATCTTACGTGAGGAAACGAGAATATAGGGTGCCGAAGACGGAGAAGCAGCCATGAGTCTACATGGACCTTTCCTCTATGGCGCATTCCAAGGAATGTATCTAAAGTCAGAATCAGCCCCATTCATCAAATGCAATCCTGAATCATGTGAGATAATCGGATCATTTTCGAAGAAACCCTGAAAGTGCTGGAATCTATACATTCGGAGAGTCTTGGATCATGTACCAGTAATCGAAGACTGTTGGGCATATCTCTTCAACAAGTGCTCAATTAAACAATTAAGTTTTCCAACGCGAATGTTCCTCAGGCAAGACCTTTATACTTGGTGATCCCCAATACAAATCTCTGCCATTCTGGTTCTGCTTTCCGCGTCTCCAACTCTCAACAAATTCACCTATTGTCGATCGTATCAATCACGTGCAATATTTCATTCAAGGGCCAATGGGGACTTCTAAATACGCTGCAAGGGGACTCACATGTCTCGCTCAAAAAAGGTTGTATGAGGATCCATCACTGTGATTAAGATGGTCCTCAGCTTGTTCGAAATTTGGTGGCATTAAGTTTGAAAACCATTCAGAAATACACCAGTCTGGCTAGTAAAATTCACTGTGGTTACTTTCAAATTGAATACCTTGATAATAATTAACTTTGTGGACAAACTAGAGCATTTTGAGAACCTGAACATGCATAACTCAAGATTAATTACTGGATCGCACAAAGTCCAGTTGTTTTCAAACATTTCGCTTGTCCATATTTCAAATGGAGACATTATTATAGTTCATCCATATTTGGTACCTGTTCATCCTGCTCAACCTGATCCTTTGGCGCTTTGTTGACTCCCTTCTTTGACCCATCTGGAAGGATACTCTCGTAAATATCAGCTTTGTGTTTTTCGATGGTGGCCTAAAAGATAGCAAAATGTTTAGCAACTTTGAGGTCAATATGTATATCGGAAAAAAGGGGTACCAACCGCATCGAAAGTTTGATTAGTTGACGTTTGGTTTCCAGCACCCTCGGCTTTGTTTTGAAGCACTTCAGAATTCAGAGGCGATGCCTCAAAATCGTCTGGAAAAGTCGTATTTATGAAGACTGAGAGTTACTTCCTATCAATACACGTTTCATCGTTCAAGGCACTGTTTGTAACGTACATTCTTCATCGCCTTTGACGTTAGGCTGAGTCTTGCCCGAGACTGAAGCTCTTGCAAGCCTCGGAATATGAACCGCAGCGGGTTTCCGAATCTGATGCTTGATGAGAGCTGAGTACATTATGATTTCCGAACAGATGGATTTTTTGATGTTGGGATATTATCGAGCTTCGTGTCATTTTGAATGAGCGGCGCAGGTACTTTATAATCATAATGATGTCAGTCATATGACCCCCCAAATGATATTTTTGACCTCCAATTATAATTAAAGACCGGTTAGCAGAGCCCAGACCCCCAGGTTGGGTCCCTAAAGCTTCACAACGCGTCGTTGCGGAGGTGGCGACTTTCGAGCTCCGGGCCCATGGTAGCGACCCCAGGCAGTGTGACGTTTTTCCACGAGTTAGACTCAAATATTCTGGTACTCGAATTAATTTTTCTATTACTCATTGCTCAACTAAAAGGAATGAGCCATTGCTAATGACTTATTGAAATATATAGATCTAGAGGCTTCGCGCCAACAAAAAGGCCTCGAAGCTCACCCCTCGCCATAATTTTTTCTCACCATCTTCGGTGAAAAATTTCGGCTCAGGGCTGACTTTTGAGTATTCGCGCATTAGGCGGCGCCAGTAGCACACTTCCGCCGCCTGCGTGAGATATCGCTCGCGGAAAACCTCCACATTGTTGTCTGCGATGCGCTTCGCTTCATCGTCGTGCTTCAATAGCCAGTCCATCCTTTCTGGAAGATCAGACCAATCTCGCTCAACCTCAACAAAGTTCTGTTTTGATCCAGATGAACGCAATAAGTGAAAATGATGCTGAATTGATTCCAGCCTATGAGAGACTATCACGCTTTGACACAGTTGGAGATACTTGAGCATTTCGGAGTATCCAGTCTTCTCAATATGAGCAAGGAATTTATACTTGCAGTATTCTGATATAGACTCATGGCCATTGTCATTGCCGTTATTCTGACTTTCACTGACCAATTCCACATTCGCCCAAGGCTTTTCCTTAGAAATCGTGAGAAGTTGATCCATGACGGAAGTCCTCGGATTTGCTTCTCCGCGCCATAGGATCTGTGCACTTTTATTTTTCCAACGACTGTCACTCTGTCCAGCATGTTGAGCCGCTAGAAAAATGTTCTTAATGGATTCGCCTTCAGTCCCTGGCCAAGCCCAACCCTCAAAATCGGGGACCAGCCAAAAGGACTCGTCTGACGGGCGGCGAGCATATGTCCATATCGGGACATCATTCATGTCACTTTCAGTGCTCACTAGGAACTCAATATTTGGAAGAGGCTCCGATGTAGAAACTAGCGCCCGATTGATAGCGAAAAGTGTCGCAATTTCACGCGATAAAGATTCTCCTCCTGTTTTGATTACATAAAGCTTTCAAACAAGACTCAGTCAGCCCATAAGATTTAGGCCTAGATATATCTATTCAAACTCACTCGCTGCTTATAGATCATAGCTCGGACATATCCAGATTGTGTTGTAACCGAATCGAGCTCCCTCGCCGTGATCGGACGGTCAGAGCGTGCATCTCTCGCCCGATCAATTTCGACGAAAAGATCCGGAAAGGCCTGGTCGCACTGAGCCTGGGTAAGGAGCAGGTTGTTTGCATCTCTAGTGTAATTCCATGACCCATCAAAACTCTGGATCCTGTGAGGCAAACTGAGCGCAGTTTGGGTTGGATGGCCGTGATGAACTCGGCGGTACGGGTTGATATAGAGAGAAAGTCCTACGAACAAAGTAAGGAATGGTGCAATCACAACGGCCGGACGACACGTTATGTGTCTGATGAGCTTCATTATTCCATGGATACTCTTGGAAAAGTAGAAGAGATCATAGCGCAGAGGGCAAACGAAAATGAAATGACAGGCGCGTAAAACAGGTTAGAACCCTGCAGCTATTTATGGTGAAGGTGGGTGGTAGCGTTGATTTCCTTAAGCGCCTGCCGATTGATTTCCACATGTTGCCATTCAGGGCTCATTTTGTTCGTGTTGGATTTGGGGGAGGGGGCGGCTAGAGGGGGCGGGCCTTGCTGCTGAGTAGTAGATCTTCAGTTCAAGTTAATACCAAGAACGATCTTTATGGGGCCGAATTCTGAATTTAAACTCTCTTCTCGTAAAATGCTATGCCTAGGGTGTAGAAGCCTTCCTGGTGAGAGGCTGAGCCTCTGGACCCCAAATGCCAAACCTACACAAATAGAGAACTGCCTTGCACCGCCAACATCGAGATATGTCATATCGGAAGATCAATAATCATTTCTGCTCATGAAGCAGATTCATGACCTATTCAAAAACTCTTGGGGTCCATGATTAATAGGTATTGAGATTTCTAGTGCGTAAAGCACTGAAAAATATCAACTGCTCCCTGTTTGTTTCCCAATATATCTGAGGCTGTGATATGATTCCAGTCTTTGAAGGGAATCTTCCTTTTTCTCCCCTTGAAGAATTTGAGACCAATGTTCAGCACAATTCCCTGAAGTATACCATATTGACCGATACTAGTTGCTTGGCCATTATAAACCGAACAATCTCAACTAGGACAGCAAGCATTTGAGAACATTCAGCAGCCGCCATAAAAATCAAGAATGACTCCGAAAATAAAGCAATTAATACTCATGTTTCCTTCCCTAACTGATATTTAGGCGCTACAGCTAGAAAATCGCCATACAATTCGGTGGACTTGACACACCACGCGCGCAATTCAGCGGGCTGCTCGAGATAAAAAAGCTCCATCGGCCCAGCCTCTTGCAAGTCGCCGCCAACTCGTCCAGATCAAACATTTCACCAATCGGAACTCCCCAGCCCGCCAGCAAATAATGATGTAGATCAAACTCCGGATTCAACGCTGGGAACACCTCAAAGCTCACTGCGTCTGATGCTACGGCCGCAAAGTGGTTGTCCCACATGAACCGCAGGACGCGTTCACTCTGCTCGATACCAGCGTGTTGCGGCATTGGCTGCTCACTATACGACTTTCGTTCCTCGGAAGACATTGCCGCCCACGTTGCTGGCAGGCCGACACGGAGGAAGAAGATATCGCCTTTTTGGAAGGAAATATTGCACTCGCGCGCAATCTCCTGAACCTCGTCCAGCGAGATCATCTGCCGCGTGAGCGCGTTCACAGGGATACCTTTTTTCTCGGCGTACGAGACGTAGTCAATGAGAACGCCACGGCCCGCAATGCCCTTCTTAGCCCAGTACCCAATTCCAATGCGGGGCGAGTCGGTGTCTTTGATTTCCTCGGCAGTAGTGCCGCCATGGAAGACACGCCGCTCAGGATTTTCTGGAGTCGGCGCGGGTGCATTGTGATGGCGGAAGCCATCCCACTGCGAGGACTGCTGAGGATTGAAGTGATATTCGTCGTCGAACGCGACCCCTTCAGCGACCCACTTGATGCGATGTTCGAATGGCTTACGACCAAATCCTAGGCATAGGTGATGAGCATGTTTTCAAAGCCAACCCATGTCCTGAATGTCTCCTCACATTCCCCTTTTTGGAAGGCGTGCTGAAATGAACACCTACCTGGAGGGCTTAAATTCTCGATATCCCAATTCACACAAACGCGCTCGCCAGTTTGAATCTGCGTCCGCGCAGCTTCTGCGACCACATCCGGCGTGAGAAGGCGCAGCATACCTAGGCCTTCTTCTTCTGAACCCGGGACCGCGGGCCAATATCGGCGTTTGTCGGGGAGATCATCGAATTTCTCGGGTAAGGGCGCGGTTCCAGCCATGGTGTTTGTTGAGACTGCTTGGGCCGGGATGATTTGGTTTCGTCAAGAGTGTTGTTTAAGCAGTGTGGCGGATGGAGCTTTCCGTAGAGCGTACAAGTCCTAGCAAGAGTTGAATATGCCCCGAGAACAAGCAGGGTGTGGGGAAAACTAAGAGAGTCCTTCGGGTCTTGAAGGCCTCCTCCGCATGTCGGAGCAAGTCCGTCCGTTGACGTGCGACCCCCCGCAATCCCTGGATTGGGAAATTCGGCCGATCCAGTGCATCACTTACGGTCTCCAGCAACTTGAAATTATATTCAGAACAGATGTTTCTGTTGAAATTCAGGCATCAATTTCTTCATCGGTTTCATCTCAACACAACTAATTATCCCTGGCTCGGCTAATCAATATTCTGGTTGAATGTAGTTCTACTCCAACTTTCACCTAGCATGCGAACTGTACATAAGGGACCAAGACGTATTTCATGATCAAGATAAATATGCTAATGAATGTGTGGTAGTTAGCAGTTCTAGAAGCAAGTTCCACACCTGATAGCTTCTGGGAGTCCATATGTAAGCATCCAACGCCGGGGTACACCAAAGATGAACCGCATAAACACCATCACTCTCTGAACGGGTAAAGGGTCACCATGAAAAAGCAAAAGAAAGGTAGCAATGAGAGAGGATGGAGAAGGTTTACAGCACCAGCCGTTTAAGATTCCGTTCCAGCTTTTCTGGTCCAACTTGCGAATCGCCGCTCGAACCCTCTACAGGAATTTCGACAGGGGCGTCATTCAAGTCGACTTTCTCCATATACCCCAGTCCGCCCTTGACGACTCCAATATCATTATTCCGAACGAAAACCACATCTCCGTGTGCCGAGTCCGGCAACACATCACATATGAAGTTCCTGGAGCTTGTGAAGGAGTCATACGGGAGGAAGAAGTGTCGAAAATATGATCCTCCCAAGTATTCGAGGTTAGCGGAGCATACCCACGAGTTGTGATCTAGAAAGACAAGCTGGGTGCCACGGACACCGATGATGTAGGAAACTCGACCCGATAGAGCCGCATATTCTAATACAGGAGTTGCATCCACTGAGCCTGAACCAGCATTAAGTTCAGGCAATTCCAGGACGTGAATGGCGCGGGCTGTCTGGCTTGTTCGAGCAAAGCCCGGCTGCTCATAGTGCTCGACGACAATCCGGCTCCGGCGCTTTGCTTGACAAGCCACGATACTCTTCATCTTCAGGCCCGAATCTATCGTGTGAAAGGCGAGGGACACCGTGGCGACTTCTGACCAGTCGAGCCAAGAGTAGATGTGAGCGGACTTTTCGTTTACGCAAATAAAATGGGCAGGGGACTGTGGATGTTGGACCCACTTCCTGACTCCAGGTGTCATGAGTCTAGCGCCTTCCTGATAACCGGCTATATTCCAAAAATGAGCCGACTCAAGAGTGGATAAAATGAACTTTCCATGGCCCTGACCAGCCAGGCTCTGGTTGATAGAGCTGGCGCATTCCAGTCGAGATTGGAAGACCATCGTCTCAGCAGAGTACTTTCGTTGCGATGATTTGCGAAGCTTCCATGCAAATATCGTGTTTGATGAGTCGATGCTGATGATCAGCTCCTCCGTGGGCCCGACGATCGTGAGCATTCGAATTAGGCAAGGTGATTTTTGACAGCACAAATTCCCTTCGTTCTTGCCTGTTCGCAAATTATACAAACCAATCGATCCGTCATCCTTTCCACAGAATGCAAATTCACCCCCTGGATGTAAAGCCATGGCGGTGATGTTTACAGGGTGATCCGACGACGTGGACTTGACAGATGCCGTCGAGTCCTCTGATGAGCCGCCGGAGTGGCTATGGTCCTGTTCTGTGTAGTTCCTCTTCAGAACAGATGGCTCCCAAACGTTAGCTTGGGACCCACGGATATCTAAAAAGTGAAGATTATCCGCACTGAATGCCAGTTGTTTGATGCTGGCCATCGTCGATGTAATCCGGTACAGAAGACGAAGTGTTTCAAATTCGTACACAGAGATTGTCCCAAAGCCATCCGCGCCGACCAGTGTGCTCCCATCTGGACTAGCCGCAAGGACATGACTGTTTGCTCGAAAGCACTCCAATGTCTCGTCAGTGAAGGGATTTAGAAGAACCAGGTCACCGTCAGCATAGGTGACAACCAGCAGTTCAATATCAGGATTGGGATTGAACACCAAGTCATTTACTAGGTACGGGCCGGAGTTCCCGCCCGGAAGCCGTTTACCACAAATACCACAATAAGAGTCTTCCTTCAGGTCCCAAAGTGTAATAGGACGCCCGCGATAAGCCACTGCAAGCATCCTATGTGCGAATGAAATCGAAACAGCGGACGGTGTTTGACTCCTGGCTCTCGGCATGGTCTCGGAAACATCATCATCATACCATGGACGCAGCGGTAGTTTTTCCCCAGTGTCAAGATCCCAGGATGCTAAGAAATTGCCGTATGTTACGGCAAAAAGCTTGCTGTCATCAAAGGCCAAAGCAATTGATCTCTGGGGAAGTTGGAACGTGTTGAGTAAGTTTCCACCATGAATATTCCAGAGTCGAATGGTTTTCAACCCACAGGAGGCGAGAACCTTTCGCTCCTCATTGAATTGCAAAAGCCTTACCGGCTCGCCGTGCTCGAAAACTCTATACTCTTGACAGCTTGTCCCGTTATAAACCGCCACTGAACCAGTATTGAGGCCAACCGCAAAAAGCTCATCGCCATGACAAACCGTCATTGGCCTGGAATCGTGATATTCCACGCAGGCAAGTCGATCATCCCACTGGCAGTGGGATATCCCAATTATAGGCAGCATTCTTGTGGGGGTTCCCGCTTTGTATACAGAGGACTCTGTTGGACAGAGTGCCAGAATTAGACAGTATATCGACGATGGAGAAGTCAACAGGGCATCACCAAACTTCGCTGTGATTCGGACTAGGTCAGTGGTCCACCCACGAATTGTTTGCATGTCCCGTCCAATCGGCGAAAATCTCTCCACACACGCATGCAAATATATCCTTAGGTTCTTGGCCGTTCGGATCAGCAAGGTCAAATTTCGAGTCTGGGCAACCCATTCGATCCACGTCAAAACGTTGGACCGGAGAAAGGTGACGACAGAGCCGAACAGATCCACCGACCCTGCATCGCAGTGAGCGAGATGATTTGAGAAGGCTTCGCACGCATAAGTCGAAAATGGCGACCTTTTGGGTACTTTAGACAAAGTGCGCTTCCGAGTTCGCGGCGGTCGCATCTCCTCCTGGGTCAAGTACGCAAGGCATGCTTTAGCAATGCGAGTGTGCGCGTCCACAGGGTTGACAGCGAATTCAGATTCGAGATTCTCCCCCAGGAGAAACTCCCGGGCAGTTTCGTGAATCAGCTGGATTCTACCGACTTTGTCGACAAGGACCAACTGGCCGCACAGTGCGGCAATGCCATCCGACAAGTTTAGAACCTTGTCTTTGGTATCAAGGTGCAGTGCTAATGTGAGCTCAGTCGTTGTGAGGGGCCGGATTGCACAGGAGGCCCACACCAGTATAGCCTTGGCTAATTTCTTTCCTCGATGAGTTTTGGACATGAGCTCCAATGTTCTTAAGTAGAGGTTTCCCATATCCGGAGGAACTTCGTCAAGGATTTGGTCAATTTCCACTTTCTCAAATGCCGTACTTAGCTCGTTTAGCACTAAGACGGTCCACAGAAATGATCCCTTCGACTTTGTGAGTACCTTCTCAACAATGGCAGTTTCATGCTGCTCGTCCCTGGAGGCCCATGACTGTGCCTTTATCTCCACCAGGGCCTTAATGTCAGGGAGAGTGTCCTCCAGCGAGATGGTCTCAGAGCTGTATTTGTGAGATCCAAGTGACAAAAATTGTTTATCCAGATCTAGCGTAAACCGACTTGTGATGAAGACCCGGATTGGGGAGGAATCGGGCAATTTGGCTAGTATTGGAGCGAAGAGGAAACTGAAATTGATGCATTCGTCGAGCCCATCGAGAACCCAGAAATGACATGGGATATCAACCTTGAAAATGCTGTTTAAAAATAGCTTTCTCCATATCGCCCGCTCGTTGTCCTCATCGAAGTTGACGTCGTCTGTGCGCATCTCTAACAGCTTCTCCCGGACTTGTGGATAAACGAGAGCCATCTGAAGAGCAAGGGAGCGCAGGCAGCTGCTAAGATGCGACTTAGACTTATCCCCATACCGGAAAAAGAAGTAGCTAACATTGGCCTTCGAGGCCTGCAGGTCTGCAATGACGTGACCCGAGAGAACCGACTTGCCCGCCGCAGGGTGTCCGCTCAGCCATAATATCCTCGGTTCTAGAGAGCTAATCGATTTCCAATCACGATAGGTCTGCTTGAAAGTGAACCACTCGCAAGTTCCAACAAGCTGGGCATCTTGAATCGTCATGAGATCGTCGTCAGGTCCATCGGAGACACCGAGATATAACTTGAGCTCTCTAATCTGACTGCGCCGGAGATCGTCGCTCTCCCTTGTCAGGGTATGGATCTTTTCATCTCTTGACTCAAGATCTTTGGTGCTATTAGCTTCATTTTCTCTCCTCACGTAGCTGCTGGAGAACCCAAAACAAAAGCCTTACCGTGTTGAATAATATCATTAACCGTAGATGCCAGGGAGTTGCGCAGAGTCCGATAGTTTGGCTCAGAAGGAGAATCAAACTTGCAGATGGAACGGTGATCGGCATTAACGGGGACCTGCTTCTCCTCGCGATATCCTAACGTGGCAGAATCCTTGTCCACGATGATTTTACTGAACAGCTTCAAGCTCAGTTTCTGAGTTTCGTAAAAGGACCAGATCCCAAGGTCCGTAGAACATTGGCGAAATTCATCATTGATGATTTGAATGGCGCTGGAGTTCCTCTCGAGCTCGCCGAGGTACGTTGGAGAGCTGTACGCGGCCTGCAGGATATTCTTCAGGAGATGCGCAGAGTCTGAGCCTCGGTGAGGCGTGGCTAAGAAGTAGATCGTCGAGAATCGCTTTGCTACTTTCTGGTATGTAGCGTCGGTGCGTGCCCGCAGGTAGGCCTGGGTGAACGAAGTCAGTCAGCAATGCGCTGGCTCGAGAGCATAGATATCAAAGAGAGACGCTCGCCTTTTTGATGACTAGGCCGCCCATGCTGTGTCCTATTAGGACAATCGGGGTCTATGGACGAAGTATGCAAAGTTAGTGGCGAGGCCCTAACAATACCATTTCTTCTTCTTCTTCTTCTTCTTCTTCTTCTTCTACGGACCGCGAACAAACATACGTCAGTGGTGCCCAGGTCGGGCGAAGTATGTATCTCGTTCAACAAGGACTTGCCAAAGTCATGAATGTTGAGCAGACTTTTCTTGCTCTTAATCCAGTTGGAGTTGTATCCAAAACTGTGGATGCGCACGTGCTGGAAGGCAGGATCCTTGGGGAGCCATTCCGATGGCCAGAAGTGAGAGCGTGAGGCAGTCTTGCTCCATGTTTTCCGCGAGCCGCCTCCAAAGCCATGAACAAAGATGAAGTCCACGAGTACATCTGGAGGACTATACAGATTATTGAGGCCCAAGGGACCGGTTGGGTCGTCGAAGAGCGTGTTTGTGTTCTTGTCGTAGTCCTCGTCATCAGCAACGAGGGTGGAAGCTCGGTTCCAGTCAGAACCGGAGGGACTTGTCGGAGAAAAGTACTCGGGATCCTTGGACATGATGACATGATCTGAGAGTCATGCCAATTATGGCGTAGCCGAGGGTAATCAGAAAAGCATGGACGATTAGTGAAGTATGGAGAGGCAACGAGTAGCCCGGGTGATAGAATGGATGACAGTCGCTGTATGGACCTCGAAAATTGTGATCGGACAAGGCAAGAAATGATATTCATTAGCCCTATATCAATATTCACGGGCGGAGGAAGATGATAGAAGCTCCAGCCGCCCCTGACCAGCCAGCGGGTCGTCTCAGGGCATTCAGCATATCCTCCTGTCAACTGGGATGCAGGCAGGTCCTGAGAAATTACTGGAACTCAGTGAGATATCGGGGTCGAGGGGGCCAAGGCAGTCAAGGCAAACAAGGCAGTGACCAGTGCTTTTTCCTGGCTTGTGACGAAGCGCCAAGTAGCCTTCTCAGTCTTGATTGGCATCCGTGGCGGACACTGCTGCAATCTCGACGGGTAGTGGTGTTTCACCGTGATATATGCAGTCGTCGTCGCATTGTGTGCAGGGCGCGATGTGGCAGGTGAAGCTGATGACTGGACTGGCTGTCCCTATCTGCATCCTCGTCAACTGGGGAGTCTGGAGCGGCCCTTGTATTAGCCAGTTCCTCGGCCAGATGGCTGTTCCGATATGAGTGGCTTGGTGATGGATCTCAGAACGGCTGACACGAGGCGGGGTACGTCCTTTTCATTCTCAAGCCTCCTTCTCGCTTCTCGTCTGAGATCCTGCAGCAGGCCCGCATCTGCTGGACTGCCACCAATCATTCCAGGCACGAGCATCGCATTGCTTCTTGACGCCTACGACACAAGAACTCCTTCAAATAGAGGCATAACTGATGGTCTTTTGCGCCTCGACTTGTATCTGGCATCGCCTTCCACCACCACCACCACCACCACCACCAGTATCATCATCTCCTCTCAAGCATAGCATCAGACGTGAGCCTCATTCTCATCCACAATGGCAATTGAGTCTTATCCAACCATCTCCGCAGGGGACAATAAGGCCTACATGGAGTATGTCTTGACGCTCGCCGAGCGGTCCCCTCCCAAACCGACCAACTTCCGTGTTGGGGCATGTCTTGTCGACGCGGACAAAAATGAGATCCTCGCCACTGGTTACACGCTCGAATGCGAGGGCAACACCCATGCCGAACAATGCTGTTTCATCAAGCTAGCCCAGCAGCATCAAGTCGAGGAAGATGACCTAGGTCCTCTACTGCCGCCATCCGCGGTCCTTTACACAAGCATGGAGCCGTGCAATCTGCGGTTGAGTGGGAATTTACCCTGTACCGACCGGATCTTGCAGATGGGAGGCGCCATCAAAACGGTCTACGTCGGAGTCAAGGAGCCGGAGAAATTTGTAGGCGAGAATCAGGGCAGGAAGAAACTTGAGGATGCCGGGATCGTGGTCGAACATGTCAGTGGGTTGGAATCCATGATCCTGGAGGTTGCTACCGCTGGGCATGAAAAGTAGATGGGATTAATCATGTCTCATTATGCAGCGAAAAGGCGAACGGAAAGAATGGCCTTTGCTAGGGAAGGGGGCTGGGTGGGAAGAAGGAAGTCACGAAGTCGGACGTGTCGGAGAACATGTAGATAACTATAACTACACTGGCCAAGTGACAAGTCCAATTTATTACGCTAACCATATCTTTCAACCAAGTCCTTCATATCTTGAAGCATTCTGTAAAGTACTGTCAGCCAGACGAGCAATCACGACATTCAGGCCAAGATAGGAGGATTTCTTACTGTGCTCGGTAATTTCGATCATGAGGGAAGAGGGCCGAAACATGGGTATTAAACCGGCTAGTCCAAGATCAGCATCATCGGAATTGGCAGTGCATCGTCGAGAAATTCTGTCTCTTGTCACTCACAACTTGTATAGGTCAATTCGACCCTGGTAATCCTCGGCTGGAGGCGAGATACGGATGTGGGAGTGGTAGGCTTCCACGTATTCGCGGCCAAAGCGATTGCACACCGGTGCCCACTGGCCCAGCTCATATTCGTTATGACCATAGAAGCAACAGGCATCGAAAACCAGGGATCCGTTTGTATTTGTGTCCGTCCCCGTGTTGGCGTACCACAAGTCCCCATGCACCAGAGAGGGCTTGACCGATCGACCCTCGCTCTCAAGTGGGCGGAGCAGTCGAGGAATCACTCTATCGAAGATGATCGGAGTCATGCGGTCAATCTCCTCGCTGGGACCCTGAGCAGCAATCTCGTGCGCGAGGGCGTGCCTCATCCCTTTAGTGAAGTATTCTTCCCAATTATCGCACCACTCGTTATTCTGTGACAAGTTCCCGTTATAGGTCGTGACGTGGAATCCGAACTTCCCCGTGGGCGACGTGCTCGTCTTGTGAAGAGCAGCCAGACAGGCGGTAAACTGATGTACATCCGGTAATTCCTCAGTCATCTCTCGGAACTCGCACAGGAAGAAGTGCGTGTCGGGCACCGATTCATACGTCCCCCAAGCCATGGGCTTTGGGACAAAGTCGGGAACAACATTGTGGATCGCAGTCATTGACTCGAATTCCCCCTTCATCATGGCCTGGCCTCTTTCCTTCGAGACGACCTTCATGAAGAATGACCGGGGCGTACCGTCTGCTAACTCGACATCAATCCTTCCCGACATGGCCCAAAAACTGAGACCGTGGCGCTCGATGGCCACAACTTTACATCCTAGAGGAAGCTCTGGCAATGACCTTAGCTTTGTCCCTATAAGCCCTTCCTAGGAAAGGCAAAATACTACAGCACTTACTGGCAGCGACAGCAGGATCGACTTTGGTGTCTCCAGTCCCGAACTCCAAGCCTTCAGCACCTTCATAGTTCATGGTCACAAGGAAATTTCCGAGAGGCGAGAATGGATTGCTAACAAGCAGACCATGGGAGCCTCAGATTACAAAATATTAACTGCTTCAGGCTCTCAAAAGGCTCAAGGTCCTGAACACCTAAGCTAGTTTTCTGAACAGATGACTGACGAGAAGTGAAGGCTCAGCCTTGGCCTCTTGAGGGGGTTAGTTCCTCTCTCTCCAGCCTGCCAAGATACTCAGGTGTCAGAGCCAGATTATTTGTAATTTCGTATGGACTCAATGCATGGTAAGCTGCGCTAAAACGTGCTCCATATTGCTTTTTGAAGACCATCGATTCTTCACTGGCTCGATTGGCAAGCGACGACACGGCAAGCACACGTAGTCCCAGGGGGTGAATGGGAACATGAGCATGTTTTTGAATGGCATTGGCAACCTGGGGTGTTGTGATTCAAGCCATGATGCCCGAAATAGCCGCTATGGCAGGAGTGGTGTTCCATACATCACTCAGATTAAGATTAGAGTGGAAATGATGTTCTGGAGAAACCGGCAATTTCCGGTGTGGGCAGGCTGTGACGAGGGGCGCACCAGCTTATTCTTCAACACTCATGATCCTCCAAAGATACCTTCGCACACGTTCCAGACACCAAAAGTCGAGGTGATTTTCATCATAATTGGTTCCGAGACCTTAAATCTCGTCGTCTGACTGGGCGTAGATTGGTATGGTTTGAGTTTATCGGCAGTTGTGAAATCTGCACCTCATTTCCTGGTCGTTTGGCTACTCGAGCCGACCCTTCGTATTCCCTCTCGGGCCCGTTAAGAGTCGCTCGGACCTGATAAGGGGTCTGAGTGTTAAAATGATCTTGTGGCAATAATACCCGCTCAATAAGACCTATTGACGTGGTCTTCGCTTTGCTGGCGCCGCCCGAATTCCAATACACACAGAGAGTATAGATTTATTTAGCTTTGAAATAAAAGAAGAATAACAGTATGGGGCCTGAACTAAAACCTATAATTAGAGCTAGCCCTCAAGGGCTCCTAGGTAGAGAGCGATATCTGATCATTATACTTCTGCTTGTATTTCCCACCTTGTCGGAATAGATTGAATGAATGTTACTTTTCGAGCGATATCTAGTATGGTCGTCAGCTGACAAAGAGGAAAGAGGGAAGAAATCAGTTAACAAACGCATGGAAAATCGACGTCACAGCTACTTTTACCGAAGAGCCCTACCAAGAAATAGTAGTTTGACAATATGCTTCCAATTCACCACCTTAGCTCGGTAGGGTTGGATGGATACCCTGAAAAGGCGATCTTTTTTTCATATATCGATAACTCGTGTGCGGAATTCAATGCCAATGCTATAACAAATCTAACCCAAAGAACGGTACAGGATTTTCGCCAGCAGCGCAGCAGAAACTAAATTTACAGGTCATCCAGGTCTTCATGGGTCTTCGAGCCAGAACCACGCTTTGGCATGTCTGTCATCTCATACTCTTCCTTAGGGCTCGACGATCCCCGATCTGATGCTGACATGGCAATGGCCTGTCGTCCAGTATCGGAGGACTCAAGGAACTCGCGGAGGCGGCGTTTGCCTTCTTCCAGAGCCTGCTGAGAGGCGGCCTCAGTCATCTTCAGAATGGGACCCCACAGGTTAAGCTGGTAGGTCACGTAGGCGCCGACCGCGCAAACGAACAGCAGGAAAAAGTAAGCAGGATTGCGGAGAACTATATGAGATTTCATTGGTTAGTCATTTTGGCAATGCGACGAGAAAAAACAATCAGGAACACGGCAACTGACCAGCAATGATCTCGTTCCAGCCAAGGGCCAGCAATAAGCCGTAGAAGTACAAAGGGACTTGAGTCATTCCCCCGATAGCACTCCGTTTCGCTTCGACATACACACCGTCAGCGGCCTTCTTGAAGCGCACGATGAGTTCTTGACGCTTGGCATCACCCAGAATTGTCATCTCCTCTTCCAGACTCTTGCCCTCATCTTCATCGACACCGCCAATCGGAGGCAGGTCCTCCTCATCCGCGGCAGTTGCGGAGCTGGGGGTATGGCCAACCCACCGGTCAAGCGGGGGTGGAGCGTTGGTCTCAACAAGGCGGAAACGAGCCAGAAGAGGAATCACAGTCAGGGTGGACTCGCGAGCGCGAGTGTAAATTCCTTCAATATCATCTGTTGGGCGCCAAATTCGAGGCACACCGGCCTCATCATACCGGAACTTGTCCTCAAAATTCTCTCGCAGCTTCAGAAGCAGATTGCCCTCGGTCATCTCCTCGTCAATTTTGGCGCGCAAAACACCCCAAGACTTGCGGCGCAGACGCCACAGGCCAACATCGACCTCTTCGAGGCTGGCATCGAAGCTGCTAGCACGGTCCGTGAATCTCCGCTCGGCGTCAAGAACAGTCTCCACGAACACATTCCATACCCGATCCCAGAACGCCTTCTCGGTGGGCTTCTCTCCGTTCTCAGGAGCACCGCCTCCTGCGCGTCCAGATCCGAGGTTATTAAATTCAAGTCCAACAGATTCACCCAATCGAGACTGAACCCATCGCTCAACACGGCTCGCCAGCCGTCTCAATTCATCCCGTCGTAGATGAGCACTGACTTCTGACAGCTCCTTTTCGTATAGCTTCAGTTCCTGCTTATAGTTACTCCAGGACGTGCCCTCGACCAATGTCGAGCGGGCAATCTCTTCGAATTTCTCGAGCGAAGTCTTAGACTCCTTGTTCACGATCTCAGCGAAGTCATAGTTACCGCCTTTCTTCTGTCCAGACTTGACAGCATCGGTAACAGCGTCACTGAAGTCCTGAATACCAGACTTGTGCGCAGCTGAGAGCTGGCCATGGAACAGGGCCTTCAGTCGGGTGTCAACTTTGCCCTCCAACTCGGCCTTTTTACGCTGATAGACACCCTTGTGGTACCGGCTCGCTTCTGTTTCAAACCCTTTGAGGGTTTTAGAGCGTGCAGACCGCATGGCTGCTCCCAGGCCACCGAGCACCTCAGGCGCCCCTAAGCGCACAGCGTCGCTCTGTTTGTCTTCAAAAGCAGTGATTGCCTCGTCAAAACCAATCATAACCTCCCGCAAGATCTCATCGCAACGGAATTGCGCCAGTAGCTCCTGCTGCGTGGGCAGGTCCAGGTCCTTATTATTGACGATTTGGTCCCAAATACCCTCCGCATAATGCGAAAATCCATCCGCGGGAATTCTTCGATGATATTCTGGTAGGAAGACACCCCCCTCAGAAAACTCGCCCTTCAGCGCATCCCGCTTCGGGTCGCGATGGCCTTCACGGAAGCGCAAACCCAGCTTCTTAGTCTCAGCCACAAATTGGTCGGGCTGGTAGCCCTTGTGCGGCAGGCCGTAGAATTGGAAATCAAAATAGTCATGAATTGTCGAGTTCTCCAAGCCAGCCGGCTTTGAAATGGTGGACCAGAGTCGGGACAAATCCTCGAGTAGTGTCTTTTGGAGGTTCTTAAGTGGGGTCGAGCCGATGAAGTCACGGATAACGAAGAACAGGAGAGATCGGTGCGTAGTACTAGAAGCTTATTAGCCTTCCATCGCAGCGGGCATGAGACTTTCATCCCTCCACATACTTCTTATCCTTCAGGAAGAGCTGCAGGTTCACCTCAAACACGGTCTTGAGCAGACCCATGTTGGCTCCCTGGTATAACCCCACCTGGTGCTCCCAGATGTTGACAATAAGCACCTCACTAGTTGCCAGCGCAAAGAGTGCGCTCTTTCGCTCAAAGTCCTGGTCCTCTCCTCTCTCGCGACCATCTGTGCCTTCAACATCCATCACCAGAATATTATCCGCCATCCGGGTGCCGTCGGCCTCGGCTTGCTCTCCCTGCTTCTTGTTTTTTGACAGCCAGATACCCTTTGTTGTTTGCCTCCGCTCCAGCTCGGACATGACCGAGAACTGGGTGCCAAAAAGCTGGTTCAGTAGGGTGGACTTGCCGGTCGATTGCGAACCGAAGACGGAGATGAGATGATAATTGAAGCCGGCGGGGGTGACATCTTCGATAGAGAGGTATTTCGACAGATTCGCACTGAGAAGAGATAGCTGTCAGCGTGTACCGTACAATTTCCAGCGGCCTGCAGGTTGCCAGCTGTAGCACGTATAGGATGTCAATGGATCGTACTTGAACTCCTTATTCTCGTCAATGACTTGCACACCGTGCTCGTAGGAGGTGTCATCGGCACCATCGCCGATCGTTGCAAAGTGGCCATTTGCCATGACAGGCGGCGCCGTTGGATTCCTGGCTAGTCCCGACGGACGTTCAGTCATGGTCGCAGCTATCGCACTGGGGAGGTAGTGCTGTGGGGACAGATCGCTGGGGGTTGAGATGTGGCGAAAGGAAGTAAGAGGAGCGGGAGTGGACAAGGTCGGGACGACAGGTGGATCATGCAGAGTGCAACCGCAGGTCAGTCGGAGATTCAACCAGGACGATCACAAGGCCGATGCACGAGTGCCGCGAAAGGTCCGAGGTCGATAGTTCGATCCCTCGTCCCGTTGCTGGGGGACAACAGTCTTACATAACCCCTTTATCGCGGGCCGGAGATGACGATGAGTACCACCACATTTGGACCTGGTCTAGATCGGCCTGTCTACAATGGCTATATGTCAATACTATTGCACAGATTCTAGACTGCAAAAATTATTTCTATGCTCAATAGGTACCTGTCTTGAGAGATTCTGACTTTCCCAGTCGCTCTCGTCTCTGATCCGACCAAGCACGACGTCTTGCTCTATACGGTGATCCCCACATAACTAAAATACAGTTTCGGTGCATTCATGTACAATATAATTCGAATAAAATAATTGATAGTCTATAGTGGAGATTTCTAGGAATCAAATTATCCTCAATAATACCAATTTAGGCATAGATATAAAACTTGCCGGAGATTCGACCACGGCAAAGTAATCTCTACTCAAACCAGTTTAGATTCCAGCCATGGTCTAACCCCAGGTCCACGTCCGGACTTGGCCATGTGAATTGTCCAAAATCGTCAAAAAGTCCCGTGAACGTATTCGATTCGAGGCCTGCGAACGTATTTGGAACGAGATCATCGCCTTGGGACAATGGTTGGAGCGGATAGCCGGTAGCACCGTTCGCACCAAGTATTGGGGTATTCGGGTTCATAGTGTTAGAGTGACAAGTGGAAGCTCCATCTGAGTCTGATATAGGAGGAGTACAGAGCTGGTTTGGACTGGGTTTAGATGATGCAGTCGCAGATGGCAGAGGATTTGGGATGCCTGGGTCCTGGTCTTTTGGTCTCAAGAACTTGGCCCCAGCCCCGACAGTGATAGTACCAAAATATGGTACGGTTACTTTACATGTCGCCAGAGATGTCCAATTTCTCTTTTGGGACCGAGTGTGGAAGATTGCGCCGAGGATATTTGCAGATTCTGCAGCCACAGAGCCACCGCACTCAGATGAAGCTTCGCGAAGAATCCCGACAACCTCCCCAACGAGTTTCCAATCTTGCTCATCCCGGGTTTTGTTGGGCTCTGAAGATTCCTCAGATTGGCCATGAAGATGAACAATGAGGAGCATCCCCATGGTAAAAGCCAGAAAGTCAATCATCTTACAAAGGTAAGACCTGGTGATGGACCGAAGGACTTTGTATAACACTAACCCCTCCCGCGCAGACTGGATGGCTATCTGGTGACAGTAGCTAAAACGCGGATCGAAGGGATACTTCAGCATGAAGGGGAGATGAAGAAGGGCTCGCAGAACTTTAGGCATAAACTGCAGTGGGACTCGTTCATAAAAATGCTCCCGGCTCTCGTTCGGGCCAGGTTCTGTGCCGTAGAAGCTATTCGGCATGGCTTTCCAGGCATCCATAAGCTCTTGATCAAGCTTCAGCGTCGTCTCTAGGCACATTTCCGCTGGGTTCTGATTACGGTCAACCATGTGCCCAGTAATGACGCCCATGCGCAGCAGGTAGGGCTCAGCAGGAGAAGTCGTCGATTTCAGTCGACGTTCTATTTGAGGAAGATAGAATGCCTCTGATACCCCATAGGGAAGACCAAGAATCAGACTTAGGGATCGATCTGTTGTTGTCAGCGCACACCACAGTTTCAGTCGTCTCTCAAAGAGACCGTCTGATGGACGCGGTGTCCGAGTTGATAGGTGCATTCCCGCAAGGTGTGCAAATTCGATAGCTCGTCTGTTCACCAGCCAGGCTTTCCGCAGTCGACCTTCATTCAAATGAAATTTGGACAGCAACATTTGGCATTCGATGCCAGGAAGCGTTGCCGCAAAGTCATCATCACGGACAACCAAGCGATCCACTGCCGCAGTGCAGCGAGCTGCAAATTCTTGTGGATCAATAGGGTTCCTGAGAGCTCCGAAGTCAAATTCTGGAGGCGACTGGATGACACTGACGGAAAAGCACACAAGTGCTTTGGCTATCTCTGCAGGAGCAATAGTATTTTGGCTGAGATGCGCTCTAAGCTTGAACTCGATTCCCAAGTCGGGAAGATTCACATCGTCCCAAATACACCATAATTTGAAGCCTTCAGTGAAAATCTTGTAGATATCTTCTTCACATGGAAATAATGATAGAAGTTCAGCACGTACTGCTCGTGCCTTTGGAGACATATCTTTGGCTCCTGTGAATCGATCATTGCTTGATGAGTCCTCCCGTCGGCTGACAAGATAGTTGTCGAACAATTGCAATACTGGGGCACTCTGGATTTGGTCACTAGATGGACCTAGTTGATCTGACTCGAGACATTGTTCCAGGTCAGTGCCGGGTGCCTCAGCAGCTGTGTGTAAAGTTAGCATAATCGCAGCATTTTAGAGATACTCCACCACAATGACGTCTTTTAGATTTTCAACTACTCACAAGGAACAGCAGCAGTCTGTTGGTCTAGCCTCTTTGCAAGATCCTGCACAACATTCTCTAGGTGCGCAACACGTTCCCGAAGGCTGTATCGCTGGTCTCCCTGTCCAGAGCCAGTGGGAAAAGTGGGGTCATCTGAGGTATTTTCTTGATCGATGCATATGGAACCCCTCAGGCGACATTCATTGCATGCTGCTAGACGACCTGGGGTGAAAGTGCAGCGAATTTTTCGACGTCGGCCTGTCGCAGAGCTGATACTTAGTATACACTAAGATCTGATATGAATGGCTAACATACATTCAGTGCAGCTCTTCGTCCCCTTTCGCATTTTCTTCCGCGGGGGTCCATTTGATTCATTCCAAAAGTCCATTCCGGGCGAAATGAGTTATCGTTGGCAGATGACCTCCCCCTGTCCAGGGTTTATGAGTGTCAGGATAGGCCGATTGTTTCACAGTCAGATGAAGAGGGAGAGGGTGCTACTCCGTGTAAAGGGCCTGTCAATGTATGTTTCGTGGTGACCTGGACGAGGCAAAGAACATAAAGATGGTTGTGTGAAGAAGATAACTCCTTGCACGCGCTGGTTAAATTCAAGAATAGAGCAACGTGGATAGACAGGAATCTTACAGAAGTCATAGTCTTGGGACCGATCGGGTTTTAACCACTTTGGGGAAATAGGGCCTTGTCGTTTAGTATACTGTGCGTGTCAATAACAATATAGCATCAGCTTCTATGCTTGCGAGAAGTTACCTTCCCCTTTCTCAGTAGGCACAGTCTCTATCCACGAAAGATATTTTTCTTACAAAGAACCTTCTACGGAACTGTGAATATTAATTATTACAATAACATCTCGCGATCAGTCGGCGGTCTTGATCGGAAGCTATATGCTCAACCAATAGGTGAGTCTAAGTAGCAGAAAAGCATAACAAGAATGAGCAGGGCCTTCTGTCCTTTTATGTAATTAGAAGCTCAAATACTGTTCTATCCTTTCGCTTGCAATAATTTTTTTCAATAGCGTGCAGATATGTTGTATAATCTTCGGACACAATGCAATTGCGTGGCAAAGCCTTCCAGGAGACAAGCCTCAATTGAACCAGAACAAATTTCATAAAGATGAAAAGAATTCTATACCACTATTATAGAGATGTCTCTGATCAATATGGGCTGCGTTTTCAAACCCGCTTGGAATTCTTTGGTTCATATGCCAAAAACCGAGTATCGCGGGTGGTTAGAAGAAGCTCAATAAACTGGGGGGATATAAGTGATCAATCTAAGTAGAGCCAAAATATTATCTTGGAGACTCAAATACGCAACGCTAGATTCATGATTACAAGAGATCAGTTCTAGGACCAAGGTAGTCTGGTATTTATACCGCACAAGAGATTCTGCATGGGTCTTTATTTCCACAGAAATTCAAGTTCCCACAAAGTCTTGACTATAGCCCGCATAGCTAAGATAAACACTCAGCCAGCCCAAAAAGCCACTAAAATGTGCAGTTCCGAGCAAGAGTCACAAGTCGGCTATTGACCAAGTGTTTACACAAGAACATGGATAACAGCCACAGCCTCAGATTAAAAGCCACGCCAAAACATCCGGCTGGTCCGAAATTTGGTCCGGCGGATCCGCCATTCGTCCGTGTATTTCGGCCGAGCGTACCCTACCAATTACCACGTCGGAGCATATAGAATGTTATACTGTTTCTGTATGATAAATTATCTAGGCAACCCACTTGAGGTTTCTCTAGTAATTAATATTATGTTTTGATGGGAGAATTGGCTGATTGGATTTTATTTTGAATACATTCCACAAAAAGAGGGGAGAAGATACAACCAACATCTTCAATACAACAGTAAAGGTACATGAACAAGAACCAAGCTAAAACTCCGGTTTACCTCCGGATCCTTGTGCTAGTAGGTGATTCCCGCGCTGTGATAATAAGGTGGCAGACAAACAAGAAAGAAGATGGGGGGTGTCATAATACAGGGGTTAGAACAGGGGAAGGCTGTCTGGCCAAAATCGAGCAAGGCCCATTTACTCCTCCAGCACACGAGTGATCAGACCAGTGGCGACGGTGCGACCACCCTCACGAATGTTGAAGCGCTGGCCGGCCTCAGCAGCGACGGGACGGTGGGTAGCGAGAACCATCTCAACGTTGTCACCGGGCTGGACACGGATGGACTGATCCTCACCGGGGAAGGTGAGGTCACCAGGCTCATCTAAGATATTGTTAGTCACTAGGTAGACAATATCATATTCATGTAGGATAGAACTCACCAGCAGTGCGGAGGTAGACCTGGGGGCGGTAGTTGGCACCGAAACCGGTGCGACGACCACCCTCAGCTTCAGTCAGGACATACATGGAGACCAGGAACTTCTGGGCAGCCTTGGTGGAACCGGGGGCAGCAATGACCATACCGCGGCGGATGTCCTCGCGGCGAACACCACGGAGCAGGAGACCAGAGTTATCACCAGCGCGAGATTCATCGCAGGTCTTCTTGAAAGTCTCAATATCGGTAACCTTGGTCTTGATGGGAGCCTCGCTACCACCAACAATCTCAACCTCGGTGTCCTTCTTCAGAAGGCCACGCTCAACACGGCCGGAAGCGACAGTACCACGACCGGGAATGGAGAAGACCTCCTCAACGGACATGAGGAAGGGCTTGTCGAGGTCGCGCTCGGGGGTGGGAATCCAGGTGTCAACAGCGGTCATGAGCTTCTCAATTTGCTCGGAGCCAATGTCGGGGCGGCGATCCTCGAGGGCGCACAGGGCGGAGCCGAAGACAATAGGGGTCTCTTCGCCCTCGAAGCCGTAGGTGGAGAGCAGCTCGCGCATCTCGAGCTCAACGAGCTCAAGCATCTCAGGATCCTCAACAGCATCGACTTTGTTGACGAAAACAACGATCTTCTGGACGCCGACTTGACGGGCAAGCAGCAAGTGCTCACGGGTCTGGGGCCTAGGAGAGCAAAAAATGTGAGCAGTGATCTACTTCAGGTGAATTTATATTGATCCATCCATACATTTGACCGTCAGAAGCAGCAACGACAACAATGGCGCCATCCATGTTGGCGGCACCAGTAATCATGTTCTTGATGTAATCGGCGTGACCAGGGCAGTCGACGTGGGCATAGTGGCGAGTATCGGTCTGGAATTCAATGTGGGCAGTGGAGATGGTGATACCACGCTTGCGCTCTTCAGGAGCCTTGTCAATGGCACCATACTCGAGGAAGTTGGCCAGGCCCTTGGAGGCTTGATGCTTGGTGATGGCGGCAGTCAGGGTGGTCTAGAGATGTTTAGTGAAATTGGCGGATATCTGAGTTACCAAAATGAGAAGTCTCACCTTGCCGTGATCAACGTGGCCAATGGTACCAATGTTCACATGGGGCTTGGTACGCTCAAAAGCAGTTGCAAGGCCACGAGCGGTCATCTTGTCGCTGCTGAAGACATGGCGGACAGGGTTGATGGCGCGCGGGCGGAGCAGGGATTGCCGGCTGGTGCGCGCCAGAAGGTTGAGAGAACGAGAAATGCTCGACATTTTGAACAAGAGAAGCCCCAAAAAACGATGGACAACCAGGAAGCAAAAAGGAAAGTCGATGGGAAAGAAGAAAAGAGTCGCGGAATCAACAGCCAAATTTTCGGGATCAGGGAGTGCTTAGTCATATAACGTCCAATCAGGGGCCCCGAATTGCGGAAGTACTTTTGTCATAAGCCATTGATCGAAACATTGGATGCGAGCAGTCTGCGCGATGGAGAATATGATCCGTGAGGTCTACATGCAAAAAACATGGTTGCTATTTGAACCATCTTTTAAGAAAAAGTTCATTAGCCTAATATGGTACTCTCGAGCCAATTGAGCCCGTTCGACAACAGTTAGGCTTGGATTAGGACAATAGTTATGTTGTGCTGGACTTGTATCATCGTGGGACATGTCCATTGCTGCACTTTATTCGACAGAATGTTTGGCTATGCTACCTATAGAAATGTAGATTTATTTATTCATGATCAATGTAAGCCATTCAAGTCCTTGCCCAAGAAAGCATTAGGTTTCCTTCTTCACAGTGATGATCACCTGCTTCCCCGGCTCTCCTTCCATCGTCTTGACCTGTGTACCACCAGCCTCTCTTGTAGTATCCAACACGCTTTGAATAACCTGCTTGATTTCGTCGACGGTTGGCGGACGCTTTGATCGCTTCCGTTTCATGACGACTTCCACCTTTCGTCCCTTTTCCAGAAAGTTGGTCAACTGCTTCAAGCGGTGCGATAAGTCGTGGGCGTCAATTGCCCAATTCAGCTCAATTTGCTTAAGTTGGGTCTTGCCCGCTTTGGCTGATTTAGCCTTTGCCTTTTCATGTTGCCTGGCTTCCATCTTGTTCAATATTTTGCAGACCGGGGGCCGGTCCGCAGTTGCACCAGAGACCTGCAAAAGAAAGAATTTGCTCCGGTCAAAGGAGGCCAATACCTCGGCTAGTCTCTGGGGCGGTCGGAGGCCCTGCTCCTCGTCGACGATCTGCACCAGTCGTGTGCCAATAGCTTCATCTTTGATCTGGGTGTTGGGAGGTGTTCGTTTGTCCGGGAAGGCGAGGCGACGGGTTTGCTGGATGAATCGAGCTTGGCTTCCATTCGCCAGCGCAAATAGCCGTAATGATGAGGCTTTCGGCGTGCGGAGGGGCGTGATGAAGGTTTGGCGCAGGGCCTGCGCCGTGGACACGAGACCCCAAGTGTGGTTCATTCTTGCAGGACTGGGAGAGAGCGGGGAAAGAGTGATACAAGCAAAAAACAAGTGAAAATATAGGAAAACGAAGTTTTTTTTTTGTTCTCTGGACTCAGTGACAGAGCTCGTAGCAAGATTGTCCTAGCTTTGAAGCTCGCCTGGAAGCCGTGCGGAGTCAAAGACGTGTAGAAGCGGTTCGGTCGAATTGCTGGACGGAGAAGGAAGTCACGTTGTTCGAGAACGGGGGAAATGGCCGGAACCAGCCAAAAGTTCCAAGTCGCCGCCACATGCGATCTGCGCCACAGGTGGAAACCCTGAAACCCTGAATCTCCTTTCTCTCCTGGCTTTCTCCTTCATCGCCCCCGTTATTCCCGTTTCCTTGTTGGATCTGTCTGGTGTTTCCGGAGGATCAATGGTTCTTCGTCTTCTTTTCTGCTTTTAATCCTTCCAGTCGTTATTCCTCTGGCTTCCCGGTGGCCCTCAACGCCATCCGTTCTCTTATCTTCTACCGGTTTGCTCGCATGTCGACTGGAGTTGACGGTCAACAGCCACCCCCAAAACTTAACGACGTCAATTCCGTCGCCCGTCACCGTTCATTCTCCCGGAGTAACGATTCCACAGCTCGGCAAACGGAGCACAATCAAGTGGTAGACAAGCAGTACCCCAATATGGTTTCCCAAAGTCAAAAATCGCGATGGTTGAAGACTGGCGCTATCGTCGGCTTCATCTTCATGGTCCTTCTGTGGCTTTCTCCGTCCAAAACAACAGTTTCTAGCTTCACCAAAGGTACGCGCTGGACCGCAAAGTATGATTGCTAATTCAAGCAAAACTGATCACCTGGATTGTCGCAGAACCAACTCCCTCAAATTCTGGCGTATCAACAAAGTGCACTAAGCCATTCGATTCGTCCAAGCCCCTCATCCAGTATGCACTCATGATTGATGCCGGCAGCACCGGCTCTCGGATCCATGTCTATCGATTCAATAACTGTGGTTCGACTCCGGAACTCGAGAACGAGGTCTTTGAGCAGACCAAGAAGAAGGAGGGCAGTGGCTCTGGTCTCAGCTCCTACAAGGGAGATGCCGAGGGTGCCGCCCGCAGTCTGGATCCCCTTCTTGAGGTCGCCTTGCAGAATGTACCTGAGTCTTACCGGTCTTGCACCCCCATTGCGGTCAAGGCCACCGCTGGATTGCGTCTTTTGGGTCCAGAGATGAGCAAGGACATTCTGGAAGCAGTTAGAACTCGTCTGGAAACTGTCTACCCTTTCCCTGTGGTGTCCCGCGAGAAGGGAGGTGTGGAGATCATGGATGGCTCTGACGAAGGCGTCTATGCCTGGATTACCACCAATTATCTTCTGGGCAAGATTGGTGGCCCTGACGAGACACCGACTGCAGCTATTTTCGACTTGGGTGGTGGTTCTACTCAGATCGTGTTCGAGCCTACCTTTGAGAAGAGCAAGGCCGGCGGTATGCCCGAACACCTGGCGGAGGGTGACCACAAGTACGAATTGAAGTTTGGCGGCCGGGAATTTGATCTCTACCAACACTCTCACCTTGGTTATGGCCTGATGTCGGCTCGCGAGGCCATGAATCGCGTCGTTCTGGAGGCTATGCTAGCCAATAATGACAAGGATCTCTCGTGGCTGAAGCGCCCTATCTCCAACCCTTGCATTCAGCCCGACATGGAGAAGGAGGTCAAGGTGACCTTTCCCAATGATCACCCTCTCGGCCCTGAAGTTACCGTCACTATGGCTGGTCCCAAGGACGCCTCCTCTGCTCCTCAGTGTCGCGCAATTGCCGAGAAGATTTTGAAGAAGGACGGCGAGTGTAAGCTGGCTCCTTGCTCTTTCAATGGCGTGCACCAGCCCTCCCTTGAGAAGACTTTCTCACGTGAGGAGGTATATATTTTCTCGTACTTTTACGACCGCACTGCACCTCTGGGCATGCCCTCCTCGTTTACTATCGATGAACTGCACAAGCTTACCGCCACTGTGTGTGCTGGCGAGGACAGCTGGGGTATTTTCGAAGGGGTTCAGGACGCTCTGGAAGAGCTTCGCGATCGCCCCGATTGGTGTATGGATCTTAACTTCATGATGGGTCTTTTGCACACTGGGTATGAGATGCCTCTGTCTCGCGAGGTCAAAATCGCCAAGAAGATTAAGGACAATGAGCTGGGCTGGTGTCTTGGTGCCAGGTTTGTGTCATTCTTTGATTGTTTTGTTGTAATGGGTTTTACTAATATCTCTTCATAGCTTACCTCTTCTCAGCCAGGAGTCCGGCTGGACTTGCCGCATCAAAGAAGTCCCATAAGCTTCTACCACGACATGATCTTTCAAAATTAACAGTTTTTAATCATATGGTTCAACCATAGTACGTGATGGGTCCATGCATATAAATAGATACTCGACATGCGCTTTTTTTCATTCTATGATTGTCTTCATTTAGACCATTTTTTTTCTCTTTGCTTTATTTGAAGATTTGGCGAATTGCATAAAAAATGTACGAAATTCATATCAATTTCTTTCATATTTTTTCTTATCTTCTGGACCTGTCTGCTAAACTATAATCTTCAAGTGAAACATGAAGTGTTTAGACTAGTCCACTCTTCTTGACTATCCATCTACACTAGTAATAAGCAGCTATGTTTTAAGGAAGATATAAAGATAAAGTTCTATTACTATGAGCAAATAATGATAAGGCTATTAGTGACGATACTATCACGTAGTAATATATACCTCCCTTCGAAAAAAAACTAGCGTCCTGCTAGTATAATAAGCTAGTAATCTTAAGGAAAATAAAACGGAAAGGATATAAAATAGGGGTAAAAAGAAAGCGAAGTTAGGTAGAAAAAGAAGGTGTTTAGAGAAGCTTTAATAACCTATAGTAGTCGTCGAAATTATTAGGGCTAAGGGTCGCAATATCTCTTATTAGGCCGCTAGCTTGCAAGTAGTACCCTCATATATATTAAGGGAAAAAACACTATCGTACGCTACTATATCTAAGTCCTAGCCAGGATCTGATCTTAAGTCGCAGTTCTAGCTAGAAATTAGTCGATTCCTCGTCGTGTGATCTATGCCTCAAACAAAGGTAAAAGCCTATCTTATCCGCGCACCTCAATCTTCCCGGGAGATGCATATTTTTTTTCTAACATTGTGCTCGATACATTAAGAATCGGCAGTCATGCATACAATGTTGAGTTGACTGAGAGTACTATATAGATAAAAAGAATTCCTGAAGGACTCTGCACTTATATCCTGGGGATGGCTATTCACATCACGAGCCAACCGGTGTGTAGAAGTTCAGGTAGTAGTTGACATCCGTAGGCTTTTCTGTAGGGTGACAGGTATGTGAATACATGTGTTATCATGATTCTTGGAATTACAAAAGCGATGGCTCCTTCCCAGGAATAATTGTACCCTTGGTTTGAGCTACTATGGCTTGCGCCCCACCCATGAAAGATAATGCAGCGCGCTAGATATATTGTACGTATCAAAGTCGTTTCAATCAATCTTATCACTCACGCATTTCCTCAATCGAAGGCTTATCCGTAGTCGACTTATCCTCGCCCATCAACTTCCCCAAGACGTCAGAATCAGTATTCCTGCTGGGTAGGCTCTTGGTTTTCTCCAAATCTTCATTTGAGCTTTCGTCATCCCCCTCATCGCCACTCAAATTATCGCCATCGCGCTTCTCTTCTAAAACTCCCAATCCAAGATTCTAGGATAGTTAGCGAAACTTCTAAGCTTCAGATGCGACCAAAAAACCGTTCACATACCATCTCGATGTAGTCCTTCCCATCGTCCCCTGCAGAATCAAGCACCATATCTTTACCCCTACCCGCAGCGATTTCTCTTTCTAAGTCCTCGTTGGCATCCTTCAGCTTTGGTAGAAAAGATGACAATCGCGACAGTAGATCCGAGCCACCCTCCATCCGATGTATTTGAGGCTTTGGCCTGCCTGTGATGCTAGGTATTGATGAAGCTGAGGTAAAGGCTGGAATTTGGTTGTCATCGTGCATCCTTTCGTCTTCGTCATCTGAGACGTCATTGTCACTTTCCGTCTCCGATGATGATGAACCGGACGACGAGGTCGGGTCGTCGTCGGAATCAATTGCTGTCCGCTCATGCGGGCTTTCTGTTGACTTGGACTCTGTGACTCGCATTCTTTTTAGAATCGTGAACCTTCTTGTTGTGTATCAGGCTCTTGCTCGCCTGCAATGCGATTTCAAGGCGTTTCGATCGGCAGGAACTGACGAGCGTTGGTTCGGGGGCAGGTTTGTCTCGGCTGCTGGCTGTACAATCGGGAGAATGACCAGCTCTGGAAGTAATAACAGAGAAGTGACAAGACTTCGTATTCAATCAAGCAGGAAAAGCCTTGTTTATGCAATTCAGGATTCTTCGTTGTCTATGTTAAAAGTCAAGCCGCGCGACGGCGATTTCAACTTTTTGAGTGGAGCAGGCGCGATAACGATAACGCTAAGTCCAAATCGAGTACTTCGGCCAAGACCGCTACGTCGGCGGACATCGTTTGTATTTCATACAGGTTGCAAAGCAGAAATGGAGATAAAAGCGAAAAGATGGGTGAAAAATTAAAAGGCGCAAATGTATTCGCTCCTCTAATCGTACAAGATTATTATTACATGGGATGGTTAAAGCCAATAGCGCGAATTCCATGGTCCTTCGTCACTCTGGTTCATCGGCTTCGACTCCTCCGGCGACTGCGACTTCTCCGTCGGCTAGGACTTCGCCTCCGTCGACTACGACTTCTTCGTCGGCTGGTGCTTCTTCTTCGGCTACGACTCCGCCGACGAGGTCGCCGATCCTCCGAGTCCTTAGCACTTTCTGTCACAGTGTCGACCTCTCCTTCTGTACCAGGCTCCCGAGTATTATCTTTTTCTCGTTCAGACGCTGGTATATAACGATCAATTTCGCCAAATCGTGGAGCCTGCTCTCGATCAGGAGACCGAACCCGGCGTCGGGGTGACCTGCTTCGTTTGCTTGTAACAGGCACATATCTGTCAATGTCTAGAGAACCAGGTGAAGGGCGCCGCTCGCGCGAGCGATGTCGAGAACGTGATCTTTTGCGTGTAGTGGATTTAGAGCGTGATCTCCGTCTAGGAGCAGGCGATCGAGTACGCGAACGAGGGCGGGAGCGAGGGCGATCCCGGCTGCGATGGCGAGGGCGAGATCGAGATCGCGATCGCCTGCTGCGGGAGCGGCGGCGAGATGGTGACCGAGAGACTCTACTTCGGCGAGACCGGTAGCCGTCACCACCTCGATCTCTGTCTCGACTTCTATCGCGGCTACGATCATGGCGGCGTCTTTCAAAGTCTCGATCACGGGATCTGGATCGTGGTCGATCCCGGACTCTCTCTCTGTCTCGATCCGCGCTTCGATTGTGGTCACGATCCCTGTCTCTGTCTCGCATTCCTCGAACAGTAGACCGGCTACGGCTCCGGCGAGCTGGTCGATAACTTCTTTCATCTCTAAAATCACGAAAGCCACGCCGATCATCCATTTCGCGGTCTCGGGATCTGACAGATGCATCACGAGACCTCTCTCGTCGATGGTCTGGGTCAAAACGAGATCCAAGTGGTCGATAACGGCTTCGGCTCCAGCTCCGGTCCCTGAAGGTAGACCGAGTCTGTTCAGCCCGGTCCATTGTCGAATCAGCTCGCCTAGAGTCCCTGAAAGGGCTGGCAGCTCTAGTTGAAGCGTTGGAATACTTCACGTCTGCCTTGGTCACCCCAGACGTTGATGATGGTTTGAGACCATTCTCAATAGCTTCCGCCTCCTCGAAGTCAAACTCAGGCCGTTGCCGTGCCTTTGCAGCAAGCTCTTCGCCTTCTTTCAGAAGCATCTGAAGGGCAGCCTCCTCTAGTGACTTATCATCAACGGGAGGTGCCGGAGCTGGGGTTGGGTCTTTAGATGTAGTGGACTTTTCTCGCTTCGGATCGCGACTGCGTGGAGATAAGCCACGGTCAGAGCGATAGGCAGGAGAACGGTCGCGTAAACGGTCACGATCCCGGTCTCTCGTGCGACTACGGTCACGATCCCAGAACCGCTCCCGGTCTTCTCGTCTTCGTCGTTCATATCGTTCGTCTCGCTCTCGCTCTCGCTGGTCGTCAAGCGCTCTTTGTTCTTCGCGGGCACGCTCACGTTCGGCTCGTCGCTTGTCGTCAATTTCTTTTCGCCTGGCTCGCTCTTCTTCCTCCTTCTGTCGCTCAATTTCACGTTTCTTTCGTACTTCTTCGGCCTTGATGCGTTTCTGTTCGTCTTCGATTTCTTTTTGTTTCCGCATCTCTTCACGATAGACTTCCTCGCGTGCGTCTCGCTTAGCTTTGACGTATGCCTCATAGTCTTCGTCTGTCTTGCTACCAGTCTTTTCCTCCTCTGCAGCTGCCTCTTCGCCGATGTCTTCTCGGCGAATAGAACGGACGGATTCCAATATGGAGTCGAGGTGTCTGGATGCCAGGAGATCAATAGACTGCTCCACGTTCTTGTAAACATCGCCACGATCGACAGCGCCTTCTATCAAAGTTGCAGCTTTACCCCTCTCACGCGATAGGTGCGCCGGTTCGCGTTCGATCTCGGATTCTGCCAATGCGATCAACTCATTGGTGAAGTTGGTCTTAGAGTCCTAAGTAGAGGAATGAGTCGTCTGAGAGGAAAATGGAGATCGAATCAAGTTTGAGACCAGAGGAACATACTCCATCATTAAAATCCGCCCAGATCTGTTTTCGAATACTGTCAAAACCACCCTTCTTCTTGAATGAATGCAAGAGTTTGTCGATGGCTGCATGTTGGGCGGCAGAAAGGGGAAGGTCTTCTGCCTTGAATTTCTTCCGCTTCAAGGGTTCAATTTCCACGGAGGGCCTCTTCGTAGCTGGCTGCACGTCCTCCATGGCCTCGTCAGTAGCCATCGTGGACAGCGCAATGGCTGGGGAGAAAGTCGCGTGAAGACGATAAGCGATAACACGGGTTGCGCGGAAGAATGTTGCTCCGTGCTTAGAACTGCGGGTTGCTGATTTGCTTCAACCTCCTGCCGCCCCAGTGCGACTTCACGCCCCGACCCCATCCTTTCAATCCGACCGCGGGCGACACCTTATCACGACAGCGCAGACCATTGACCTCTCCTGCCTGCGTCGGAACCTGTCGTTTCTGTAATTCATATCTATCCGCCCCTCTCCGGCTACAATCATGGTCCACAAAGTCCTCTTCTGGAGCGGCTTCGGTGCGTGACATATTCCTTCCTCTCAGGGCTCTTCTCTTCTAAAACCGCGTTCCGGATGCTGGAACTGGTCAATTGGGAAATTTCAATTTAGCTCATTTAGCTGACATTATTCTACTCCCACAGGCATTGCCGTCCGCCTTTGGCAACTCGGAATTGAGATGCGTCCTATTCTCGCCAAGGAATCCCTCTGGGTCTACCCTCTTTTCGCCGGTGTCGGTGGCAGCTTCGGCTACTGGCTCCAGGGTGTTGAGAACCGTCAACTCAAGATGCTTGCACAGCGCCGAGAGGCCATCCTCGAGAAGCGCCGACGACGGGACGAGCGGGAAGGTATCAGCAAAGTCGAGGAGGGTGCTATTCTGGCTGCTACCTCATAAGCGGCTGGACTGCATACGATTGGGTGAATAGTGGTGGGGAAGAGCATTGCGTGTATTTCTTTTATTTGTGACATGTACCAAAATTCCTCTGGTTGATATCGGGTTGATATCGGCATACAGCCTCGGAAGCCTTCGTGGAAGATGACTTCGGCAGCGGCGCGCGCCGTAGAATATGAATTAGACTCTTCATCAACTACTTCTGCCTCTCCCTCTGCTTCTGCTTTTCATTGCTCACGGTTGGCCGGGCATGCCGAATACTTGCGGGTGATAAATATGCATAATGGGTTTATTACGGCCATTCAACCTTACGGTTGGTTTGAATCGACATTGCAGGGCATCTTATAATGTACAATGGGATTTCTAAACGTATGTATTGGCGAGATTTCCGCCATATCGGGCTATGTCCGTTCAATAGTAAATTGAAGTGAGACCTCCCACCTCTGCCCGCCAGTGCCATAACCCCCGCCAAGTCGGTTACGAATCAGGCTGGAGATCCTCTCTCGCAATCGAGAGAGATTGTCTTCAGTGCCACTCACACGCACCTTCAAGTTGGCCATGCACAGCCCGTAGTGAACTTGCCAGAATCGAGCATCATCCACTCCGAACACACTGGGGTCTGCTTCGATATCCTTGATGACCTCGGACACACCTTGGCCAGAGTATGACATCAGGAGCATAGACCCCAAAGCTTTCACAAGGCGGACGCCCAAAACGCACATCGACAAGGCAATGGTGCCCGAAAGGAGCTTATCAAGCCAGTCATAGATTCGAATAGATACCAAAGGCAGCAGGAGCAGCAGAACCGAGCACGAAAGAGTCAGGAAATGAGAAGGGTTGCTCAGTACTGATGGAAGGGACTCGATGTAGGCAAAGTGCATGGCCTTGCCAATCCGCGCATGGTTTTTCAGTCCAATTGCAGAAACAAGGGTCGAGACGATGGCCAAAAGAGCGGTGACATCCACATCGCCAACAGAGACTCTGTCATGGTCATGCGAATGATGCGGCTCATGACCGGACTTCTCCAGGAAATGTTGAAGATTATGAGAAATCAAATCAAGGCCCATAAACAGCAGAAGTACACACATTGCAAAGCCAGCAAGCACTTCTGCTCGCTCCAGGCCAAACGGATGGCGGATGCTCGATCTCTTCCATACTTCAAAATTCCCAAGAACGTCGACGGCCACACAAAGAAGGGCTCCAAGTGAGTCAAAGAGAATCAAGTGGGATAGCGCAGTCATCGCCAGTGATCCGTGTGCGGTCCAAAGGGTATAAGCAGCCACGAACATATGGCACACACTCCACCAAAAGCGTGTTTTCTGGTCTTTCGACATACTAGTGCGGTATTCCTTCAGCGTGGGTATCGGGAGTGAATTGGGAAGAGCGAGTGGCGCGCGTGGGGGAGGTTCAAGAAAGATCTGATGGGAGATACTGCTGTGTTTATATTTGTGACCGCGACGTTGTCCAATGTTCTGCATGGTGGGCCCAGTCCATTAGTATGGTCTCTCTTCAAGAATGGGCATTCAACGATACCGATTTGATCACCGGACTTTTGGCCATAACAGTAGTGTTGAAATTGAAGGGCCCCGCCGGGGTCGAGTCGCTTGCAACATGATGCGTCGGCGACGCATGGTCCACAGGCACAGGACTTGGGAAAGAAGGGGCAGTTGGGCTCAGAAAATCCTGGCTTCCCGCATCCAGGGAAGCGCTCTTCGGGAATGTATCTCGTAGTGGCGACAATGCATCACGATCGATAGAAACTCCGATCTTGACCGGTGAGGCGTGTTGAGCCATGCCTTCGTCCGGTGGTGGAGTTGGTGTTCGCGGTGGGACAGGGAGTGGGAAGTTCATAGCCATCACCGTGGCCATCTGAACACGCTTCCACGGAGTAGATGAACTGAGGAGGTCCCTCGCATGAAGCTCCGGGGGAAAAGGAGATAACGATCTGCGGCCTGAGAAACAAGGTGTCTGGCCTAGCGGAAGGGGCGGGGACCCCGAGGTCTCGACCGCATGTCGAGTACATCATCCACTTCGGTAGCTTTACCATCACTACCACCCTCGTCATTCATTATTCGTGAGAGCTCGTGAGTCTGGATATACTTCAACTTGGACTTACGCTCCGCTCCTTTCTGTCCGCTTTTCCCGCGATGCCCACCGTTTCGTTCTGAGGAAGAGTCCTATGCCGACACCCCGTGGCGTCGGGATGGATAACCGCGGCTCCTTTTTCTTTCTTCTGCTGGTCTTCTACCTGCTTCTCAGCTCTCAATCCCGTCCCTCGTTGATCAATGAGGATCGGGAACGCCAGCGTGAGTTCGACCGAGAGAACCATGCTCTCCAGCTGTTGAATGAGTCGAAGTACGGGGACTTCGATCCACCAGCAGATCGATGGCTACCCTTTGCAGGAGTGCGGAAAAATGACAGCTATGCCTGGGATCTCTTTCCTCACGTCAAGACCCGTGTTCGTCATCAGTTGCAATCTGCCCTCTCAGGCGCAGGCCTCGAACCTCCGATCGGTCTTGACGAATCCAATCCATCATCCCCATTGAATCTCACCAAGCTCTTCCTGCCCGTGTATCGCAACGCAACAGGAAAATTAAGAGGGGACTGGGTACGACGAACAGATGGTGTGCAGCGCCAAGAACCGCTCAACACTACCGCTATCGCTCGCGAACACGAATACTTTACCCATGATTTCAGCTCTAACATTACTGGAAATGGCGGGACATTCTATGTTGATCTCGAGGAAGGAGGTGGGGAAGAACTTCTCCATGGGGAAGGCCTTGTTCGAGAGATCCGCGCGAGTCTGACAGTCGAAAGTGAAGACTTCTGGGGAAGCACCTGGTATCTGTCATTATTTGGCGTGCACTTCCCAGAAACTGGAGGGGTAATCTTAACCACCACGAGTGAGAAATTCGGTGGCATATTCTCTCTACCTCATTTTGCCCTCTCTCCTGATACGTATGAATTGTCTCATCGTCTGCTTCTCAAATCTCTCTCGGATACTATGTCACAGAGGCAAAATCGGCCTGCCACCCTCTTTCCATGGTCTTCTCTGGCGGGTTCGGAGCAGGTGGAATTTCCGGCACCGAAGTGCGAACATATCATCTTCTTACAACAACACCCAGTCATGGTTGGCGACACTGTTGCGGACAGACTGATGTTGGAGCGCATGGAACAGGAACTTAGGTATCCCATGGGGGCTCCTATTCCTGATCCTCCTCTCATGGTCATGTCGGCTGTGGTATTCTCCCCCGACTGTGGCTATATACTTGAGACAAAAGGAACTCCGGAGTTCCCACCTTCTGAACCATTGTATCTGGCCGGTCCTAAGCATGAGGAGTACAGTAAATATGCAGCTCGTCTCATCTTCGTGGTATCCGGTGTTTTTGTTGCACAGATAGCGCTTCTTCTCCGCCAGATCAAAGAGGCATCGACCCCCTCAACACGCAGCCGGGTCAGTTTCTACACCATTGCATTAATGGCGCTCGGGGATGCGTTTGTTCTCACTTTTATTGTCTTGGAACTTTATGCAACTGTTTCATTCTTGATCCTGGCAACTGCTTCATTCCTGGCATTTCTGTCCGTCAGTTACATTGGCATGAAATTCATGATGGAAATTTGGGCTGTGCAGGAACCAGAAAGGCGTGAAGAACGCCCGGTCAATCCGACTTCCACGCCGCAGCCTGGAACACTTCCGCTTCCTGCAACTGCTGCTGTTCGAGATTCGGGGGCAACACCGATCATTCTAGCGCCTGATCAGGATCCACCTGAGGATGATCTAGAACCACCACCCACCAACAATCGTACGACTGCGCCGACACCCAGGCAAATGCGAAGCGATGTTGGTGCCATGTATGCGCGCTTCTATCTGGCATTATTCGGCATGCTTATTATATCCATCTGGTCATTCCTGCTGCCACGACGCTTGGGTGGAATCTATGCGCGTGTGATAGCTGGTACCTATCTCTCCTTTTGGGTTCCCCAGATTTATCGCAATGTCATGCGAAACTGCCGCAAGGCCCTCCGGTGGGATTTCGTTATCGGTCAGAGCATCCTTCGGCTGTTTCCTTTTGTATACTTCCTCACGGCTCGCGGCAACGTCTTATTCATCCGTCCGGACTGGACTACAGCACTTTCAATGGCTGGGTGGGTGTGGATTCAGGCCTGGATATTAGCCAGCCAGGATATCTTGGGACCACGCTTCTTTGTCCCCCGTGGTTGGGCACCTCCGGCCTATGATTACCATCCAACACTCCGAGATACCCCGGGCGCTGACGAAGACCTTGAATCTGGCGGTGTACTGTCAATTGCATCCCTTCGGGCCGATGAACGTGATTTGGTGAGCGACTCAAAGGATGATGACAAACATCGACATAAAGATCGCAAGAGAGTAATATTCGACTGTGCCATATGCATGCAAGATATCGACGTACCTGTTCTCCCGGGGTCTACTTCTGCAGGCGGAAGTAGCGTCGCTGATGGAGCCACAAGTATCCTCAGCCGTCGAACGTACATGGTCACTCCTTGCCGGCATATTTTTCATACTGCCTGTTTGGAGAGCTGGATGAGACTTCGGCTTCAGTGCCCGATTTGTCGGGAATCGATCCCCCCTGTGTAGATTACGTTCGATTGTGTGAATATTCAGATTGTACATAGGATTTGGATCAACATTTTTTCGACTTGCTGAGATCACGTTCGGGCCTAGAATATTTTTCTTGTAACCTACTGCCATTTACCAATTACCAATTACCTAGTATCCATTCAATGATCCCGTTACCTTCTCTGACGTTTTCCGATGACAATCAAAACTGGCACCCCCACTGAACTTTTGGTTCAATATCACACGTGAAACCAGCGATTAAGTCCAATCACACATAATTTCAAATCTGGTAACAACTACGAATAACCTTCCAATAATCAAATGGTGCGCCAGGTGTTCAGTGCACGCATTCTCATACCATGTATTTTCAGCCTTCTTTGAAAAAGAAAATGGAAGGAGTCGGGGCCGTGGAGGGCCTGACAGATGTCTATGATTTTGTTGAAGGAAGTTTGCCTCCATAAGACAGGACAAGGTAATATAACATCAAAGTAACCGTAAGAACAGATCCACTACCGATCATTCGCCTCAGTCTAATTCCACCATAACCTCTACAGGCCCACTATCTAGTGGTCGATGGTCGCGTTGTAGGCAGCCTCGTCCAACAGATCATTAAGCTCCGCAGCATCAGCAACCTCGATCTCAGCAATCCAGCCCTCGCCCTCGGGGCTGGCATTGATGGTCTTGGCAGTGTCCTCCAAGATGCTGTTGCCACGGATGACCTTACCAGCCACGGGAGACAACACATCGGAGGCAGACTTGACGGACTCAACGGCACCGACAGGCTCACCGGCGCTGACCTCGAGGTCGACCTCCGGGAGCTCAACGAAGACAACGTCGCCAAGGGATTTGGCGGCGTACTCGGTGATGCCAATCTTGGCTGTAGCTTCGCATTAGCTGTTGCACGTCTCTAATGACTTTGATGATATGATTGATCATCACAGAAAGTCGGGTGAAAGACTAACCAGTGTTGCTGCCCTCAGCGAGCTCGATCCATTCGTGCGACTCGGTATATTTCTTCACCTGAGCTATATAGACCAATAGATGATATCATCAGCAATGTCTTCTTTCATATCGCCCAATTGAGCTCGGAAAGCATGTCATTGTAGTCGGGCTCCTTATAGGAGACAGCTGGCGACCCATCTGACTTCCCTGGAGGGCAGATTTACTCACCCAGAGGGCTCTGCGAGAAGCTCCGGGTTCCCCGCGGGAAGCGGAAAGCAGGCGCAGCACGGCAGGCGGAAGCGAGAGGCTTCTGGGCAAGGGCCCGGGAAGCAAAGGGGCGAATGGAGCGAGCAACAGCGGACATTTTCGAAGTGGAGAGGGGTAATTAAAGAAAGAAGAGAGGTGGGAGGAGGAAAGTGTTTAAGAAGGGAAAGGAAGAGGAGTGCTTCCCCGGCGGAGTTGCGTCGTCGCTGATAAGGAAGCGCCAAGACTGCTGATAAGCGACGGCACTCCGAACCTCATCGGAATTTGCGCAACGCTTGTGCCTTGACCCTTTTCGTCAAATCTCATCGGCCCTCCGCGCCACCATTCCATGAAATGTTATATGAGCTGATTGCCATCGTATGTGGTGTCCCTTTTCTCATTGAATCTATGCCAATTGTGTCGGAAAACTAATGCATTGTCTTGTCTATAGGTCCGTCCGGGCAGCCTCAACGAGGTTCGCGAGTATGTGATATGACAAAATAACCATCCCATCCCATCCCACCCGGGTCAATCAACTAATTTCTTTTGTCAGAATTGCCCGCAATGCCGGAATTCAGGTCATCCGCTCCGGCGGTGTTGTCCGCGGTTATACCAACTGGGGCACTTTCCGTCTACCCAAGGTCACCACCAAGCACCAGGCACGATACAGCGAAGGACACCACTTCATCATGCGTTTTGACTCCTCCGGTCCTGTCCAAGCATCCGTTCGTCGTACCCTTGGTCTCGATCCCCGCATGATCAACTTCTCCGTCGTCAAGTTGGGGGATAAGCTCGAAGAGATCAAGGACGTCGAGGGCAAGGTCGAATGGAACAAGACCCGCAGCATCACCGATTCTATTTAAGAGCATGCAACCAGGATATCGCGATCTTCTTTTTCTTGCTGCCGGTGTAAGACTGGGATTTGGAACCCGGTCTCCAGCAACATATCTCTTATCTGTCCTTTTTTGTATCATTATGGCATGGGAAATCAGGCATAACCACGCGGCACTGTCAGCACGATCGGCGCATTTTGTACAAAATTAAATCTGATTTTATTTCATTTTTTGGTCTCTGATTCCATTTACCCCCATTCATAATCGAACCAGCTATGACTATTTGCCTTGTTCTAATAGGAGGGTTAGTACCACGTGACTACCCCGTGGAAGCCGAGGTTCCCCATTCAACCCCGGCTTTTCAACTCCTACTCGATCTTTAAAGCACTACACGCCCGATATTTCTTTGCCTTGGATTTTCCTAATTGCTTTTGGGCCTATGCACTACGGATGATTTCTTTTTGCTCAAAAAATCTTTATCCAGGTCCTATTTGTGGTTAAGCTCAACCACAGCTCGTGATCTATCAACTGACAAACAAGAGGTCGTCCTTAGCCATTTACTTCTAAAAAAACGTTCTCAGAGAGTCTGTGTATTTATCTGATTTCGGAAAATTATCAATAACTCATGATGCCTTTCGCCGGCGATACAAATGACCACGGCTCATTTGAGTTCACTTCCCCGCTTTCGTTTGTGAAGTTGATGGCTTTGGAACGGCTTGAGGATACGGAGATACCCCATGCCAGCACAACCGAGCCAGAGAAAGTGGAACGTTTCCGCTCGCTTGCAGCTCCATTCCCTCCGGGTGAGGGAACACGTTCATTCGGTGGACATGTATATGCTCAATCGGCATATGCCGCCTCAAAGACCGTCGGAAAGGGATTTGTGGTCCACGTAAGTTTAATTCTCGATCAATTGTACACCTAGAAAGCAAAATACAGTGTAATCGAACTGACTGTGTTGATAGGATATGACTGGTACATTCATTCTTGGAGGCCGGCTGGACATCCCCTATGTTTACAGCGTTCGGCATGTTCGAGATGGCTTCATGTATTGCACAAGAGCAGTCGATGCTCGCCAAGATGGAAAGATCTGTTTCTCATGTCTATGCTCCTTTAAGCGTGATGAGAATCAAACAACGTTTCACCATCAACCTCCACCAGTCCAGGAACGGTTTCGAGACATTCTGACCAGGAAACGGCCTGAACAACAGCCTATTAGCCCCAGTGTTGATGCAGACTGGTGGATTGAGAATGTTGAACAAGGAAACATTGCTGAGCGAGAATTTCCCGGACTTGATGTACGAAAGGTCGACATGAAAGACTCGAATAAAACGAAATCGATCCAAGAGTCGCCAGAGAAATATCGCCAACTCACTCAGTATCGACTGAAAGGAATGCCAGACGAAGATTCCAAGGCAAGTCTTGCCCAGATCAAGGAGAGGGAACTTGCTGGGGAATATGATAATCTTTATGCTTGCGCACACATGTACTCAAGTGACAAGAACTCACTCCTCCTTATCCCACGGGCACTTGGTATCAAGAATTGGGCTGAAATGGCCAGTCTTACTCTGACAGTGATTGTTCACCAGCATGGGTCGGCGTTGAGAATGATTGATTGGGATGCTGTTTCCAACGACCCTGGCTTGACTCCCCCTATGAAGTGGTTCATCCAAGAAGGGTGGACACCACAGTCTGCAGAAAACAGAGCTGTGCATGAGAGTTATCTATGGGCACCCGATGGCACACTTGTTGCTACATCATTACAAGACAGCATGCTTCGATTGCGCAAACTTGGGCGTGCAGGGAATCTGTGACATATTTTTATACTGTACAGGAGCATCATGTTGTCTTAGATACATTAGAATAGATATCTATCTTTCTCTTCTTTTTTTTTTTTTTTTTTTTTTTTTTTCACAAGCCCCAAAAGTGCAGACAGATGATATATTTTCAGGAACGTAGCTTGAAACGAGAAATACGCCTCTTCCAAGCTCAGAATACATGATTGAAGCTATGAATGAATCCTCACGTTGGGTAAAGAAAGTGTTATGATCACGTGACACATGACGTAAGGTGTCAGGCTCTCCCCGAGTCGGAGAATCGAATGATTGTTGCGCGTTGCTGATTGCACCTCCTTGGATCTGCTCTGCCTGGCGCTTCACCCATGATGCGCTATGTCTGATCACTCTTCCAAAATGCGCAAGACGCTTTTGCTAGCCTTTATCCACGGCTTTAAGGTAAGTTGCTCTTCCCGTCCACGGAGCGGCCTATTTCCCCGCAAACATAAGATTCCTCTCCGCGAATCTTCGGTACAAATACATCAGACCTGCATTGACATGTGAATAAATAATACCCAGGGAGATGATGACACTTTCGGCAAATTCCCTGAGAACCTACAGGGCGTAGCAGCCAAAGCGCTTCCTGCCGTCAAGGTTGCAACGGCTGTGTACCCCAAGTATGAGACTAAAGGCGATCTGAAAGAATGTGTGGGAAAATTTAGAGAATGGTAATATAGTTAGTCAGATTATTATATTACGAAAGGCTGATTTTGCTTTCATATGATACAGGCTGCAAAACAAGGTGATTGACCTTGAAGTTGCAAACCAGACTGCCTCTCCCACTGTTGACCCATCTGTTCATGTTATCCTAATCGGTCACTCAATGGGAGGAATAGTTGCTGCAGAGACATTGCTATTACTATCAAGTGAGCAGCCTATTCCTCGGAATCCTACCTCGAACGCCCGAGTTGCACCTCAAGCAGAGGATCTTGCACCTGTCGTGGAACCAGGAACGTTCATGTTTCCTCATATCCAGGGAGTGCTCGCCTTTGATACCCCTTTCTTGGGGATTGCCCCAGGAGTAGTCTCTTATGGCGCAGAAGGACATTATCGCAATGCCACAACAGCCTATAATACCTTGACAGAAGTTGCAGGAGTGTTTGGCTATGGCAAGACTAACGTGTCTGGCAAAGGAGCTGCTGAAGCCACCAAGGAGCCCCTTAAAGCCTTGCCATCCATGGAAGATGCTGCTGCAACGCCATCCTGGCAGCGCTGGGGTCGATATGCTATGTTCGCTGGTGCCGCCGGTGCCGTTGCAGCGGGCGGCGCCGCGGCTTTGTATTCCCAACGACAAAATATCACCGCCGGCTTCACCTGGGTTTCTTCCCATCTTGAGTTTGTCGGATGCCTGGCACGAACATCGGAATTGCGGCAACGTCTTGAGGGGTTGACCAAAGTCCGAGAGGAACGGGGTATCGAAAGCGTCAATTTTTATACATGTCTTGGTCAGGGTGCGGGTAATCTTGTAGAGGAGTCAGCGACAGGAAAGACCTCTTTCACCCAGAGGATCATTCGATCGAAAAATAGAACCTTCTGCACCATCCCGAGCGAGGTCGAGAATAGCGATGAAAACACCCCACCAGCGCTCCTTGGCCTTCAATGGAACAAGGCCAGCAACAATCAGGCAAGCGACGAGGTCAAGGCGCACTGCAGCATGTTTCTGCCCAAAGAGAACCCTGCATATTACGATCTTGTCGGCGAGGCTTGCCAAGCGTTGGTGGCTTCGATCGATAAAGGCTGGTACGGCGCATCAACCGGACCAGGGGAAGAAGAACAGGCCGCGGAAGCGAACGACTTCATGGATGCAGATGACGTTGTGGTTGTGGATTGAAATGAATCCAGATTTGTCATGTTTGTCTCTCCACGAAGCGGGCCTCTCCTACATTTTGAGACCGATGGCAATGCGTGGAAGACTACTTCATACGAATCCCCCTGATCGGCGGTTCCATCTTTAAACTTTTACTCACGTACGCCCTCCGCAAAAACCTTACCTATTATATCCAAAGTATGTATCGCCCGAGAAAGCCATATTCCCCGAAGTCTAGAAAGTCTACCAGAACAGCGTGCTAAAACGAAATATGTTCAGTTACCCCTGTCAATTACACTTTTATCCGGCCTTGGCAGTCGCTTCCAAGAGTCCGTCCTGCTAGCCCGGCTATCTAATATTGGCGGGACTGGTGCGGTGTCGATCTCACCAGATGTTTCAGCCTCTCGTAAGTCTGCGTGCCGTAATGGCTCTAATCATTGGCATTCAATGACGCGATACGCCGGCTTCCGGATTCGTGGGGGCCTAACTTGACGTTTGAACGACTTTCATCTTACTACCCGGGTTCCTTATCCACTTAAAATCCCAGTGGCGAGGCCGATGAGCGATGAAATGCACCTGCTGCGCAAAGATCTGCAACTCGCCTCGGGATATGAGCCAGTATGCAGATAACCCCACCTCAAAACTTGAATATATGCCCTCGACAATTAGCATATTCCATTGATGACCCGCTGTCCATCTCTTTCAACGTAATATTGCCACAGTCTGAGAAATAGCGCATCCTTTGGACCGACTAGTACGGAATTTGTTCCCCGACAAAAGGCTGTTGAAACTTGACATGTGTATCATTGAGACTTGGATAACAATTTACTCTAGAGATCAAATAATAGACAAGATTTTACTAGACAGCCGTAGTCTCAGTTATGTACAGCAATCATAGTGTAAAATCCAGGAGTGTGCTGCCTCCAGGATCGGGCTGGTCGCCTATGCCAAAACAAAGGGAGAGCCATGTTTTTTTTGTCACATCCAGTGGTCAATATGAAGTCCCATAGGGAGCTGTGAATCTCTAGACCGCCAGAGCATGATTCAATCCAAGTGCAATGGAGATTTAGAAACACAAACTGAAACGAATGAAGTCGTATCGGTGCCAACCCTTTTAGTGACCAAATCAGGTCTCTTTCAAATCAACAATGGAATAATTATGAAACTCACTAGCTCCATCATTCCATCCCTTTCTGGATGTGAGTGAAGCTAGGAATCAATAATAGTGTAATCATTAAACCCAGCCGTCGGGACTATATCAGGGCCACGAGGCTCAAACTAGATATCATAGAGAATTCAAAACTATCAACAGGCCCAAGAGGTGCATATACAAACAGCGAAAACGTTGGGAGTATTTAGTAATTATGATGGCCGTGTGTCGACGCGCGATGATGGTACATGCTGCCCGCATACTCGGAGTTGGTATCCTGGTAGACCGTCTGTCGGCGATCTTCTTCCGGCAATAGCTCCTTCACTTCCCATGTGTTCGGCTTGACACCCACCGAGAACTCGAGATCTTCCTTGGTGATCGAGTCCCAGAACTATAAAAAGGGTGGTCAGTATGCTGGTGGTATAATGTCGCACGCTAAAAAAAAGACTCACCTTGTAAACCATCATTACGGCAAGCAGGTTGCAAAATGTAGCGAAAAAGAGTCCGTCCACGTAGTGTTGCACGTTGTTGCAGATAGTATCACTGAATGCATAGAGAAGAACTTGGCCGATAATAAATACCAGCACACCGAAGGAAATGTGACCCAGAGGCCAGCGGTCATCCAGAGTGTTAACAACTAGCAGAAGTTGCATCACAATGTAGACAGCGACAGCGATAGCATTCAAAAGGTAAAGCACAATGAATAGGCCGACTGTGTTCTCCGGTCCCAGTCCGCCCCATGACTTGAAAGTCAGCAGCGCAATCACAAAAGTCATAGCAAACATGGCCACGGATGGGATTCGGATCAGCCAGACAGAGAGGGCCGTGCCATCCTCGTACAGCTGGAAGCCAACAAATCCATTGACAAGTAAGCACGCACAAAGGGCCGATATCAATCCGCTCTGTACAGCCACAAAGTACGGGAACGGACCGCTCCTAGGGGGAACAACACCCGCGTCGATGATCAGTGAGCAGATAGTGAGAGCGAGGAAGAGGTAAAAGAAGGTGATAATTTCCTTGCGACCTAGAATCATGTCATGTTTAGCGCCGATGGTGTACGGCCAGCGGCCGGGAAAGCAGAAGATGCCGACGTACCAACAGCGGTGAATTTGGACCTGATATGCAGGATCATGATCACCGTCATGCCAAGCGCAATAATGTGCATGAATGAGGCTGCACCCTCGAAGATCATGGTATTCGCGACTTCGATATTGCGCGCATAACAGTTGGAGATGATGCCTGTAGAGCCGGAGATGGAGGACGCTGGGCCCACCAGGGAGCACAACGGCAGCGGCACCTTCTCACATATCGAGTCGAATTGACCGAATCCCATGATGTCTGGTGATGTTGAGATGTACGACAACAAACAGTTGGTTTCCTGTTGTGGTGGGCGGTCACAAAGGGAAGGGCTAAAAGGCTGTCTCCACAACGACGGGCACTGTGGAACGGTGGAGAGAGGAGCGAAAGAGAGCGAGCGACGAGGTCTCGAACGGCAACCTACGGTATGTTTCTGCCCTCTTCCTCGGCCCCATGCGTGGGCTGTGCAGCTCTCCCAGTTGTCAAAGTGTCAAACGAGTGTCCTGACTGAGTGTCGGGGCCAGTGGGATGAGTTGGAGGGCGATGGTCAGATTCAGCGAGGGGGCTGCAGTCACGGGACCCGGACGGCGGCTGTTTAGGTGCTCCCCGATTGAGACTAGCGTTGTATATTTCCCCAGGCGCTTTGTCAGCGAGTGATAGACCTCCCACGTGATTTGAGCCCAAGTTCGGCGCACTCCGGACGATCGTGCAGGATTGAACCCTCGAAGAAAAAAAAGGACACTAGTGCTGCCTCGGGCAATTTCGTCTGCTCCGGTTCGTACTCGGCGCGAATCCGGTCAACCCTCAACTCCGATGCAGGTGCAGCACCAGGGGTTGTACCCGAGGCGGAGTCGACGGCAAGCATCTGGAGAACTATCTCCTCAGCAAGCTCCACACAACCCGATAAACATGGGGCTTGGAATTTAGGACCGCGCCGGCTCCGTCTCGCCCCGGGAGGGTGCCATTGGAGCTCACAAGCTGCCACACCATCCATATGGGACCATCCGAGGCAATTGCGGACCGAACGGGCTCGTCGCTCGCTCCTGACAAGAACCTGAACCAGAACCGGCACACCTGAAGCCCTCTCGGTATGTGGTAAGGAGGACCATCCCATCTGCGTGCTCAAAACGTCACGATGCATGTCGCACCATCTGGTATTGCTTGCTGAGCTCGAATTTTGCCCACCTTCACTAGGCTCGTGTCTGATTAACTCGATGAAGATCCCTCCCTCTCGATATTAGATTCGTCCTCTGTTCGGGTTCATCCCGAGAGGATGCCGGAGGGGGGGGAGGGGGGGGCCACCTGCGGACGCAATCCTGCATGAAGTGGAGAGGGGGGCATGAAGCCATTATCACCATCGCTGCCTATTGCGGTTGCCGATAGCCTTAATTCTGTGACGCACGGTGGATCGGTGACGGCGACGAATGTGCCTGACGACTAGCCTGGTCTGGGAAGGAAGCAGAAACCTGGTCCCAAAAAAAGGGGAGTTGTCCAACGAGGACCCTCGCTTGCATTTTTTCCCCTCTCCGGTGGAGCGCTTTTTTTTGGAGCCATTGCGATCTCGAGACTGGAGACTGCCGGGCAGAGGACAAATCTTGTTTGATTCGTGGAGTGGTGCCGGAGGTGCAGACGCGGCACTGTACAAGACTTGGCCAGGAGATCGGCCACTCCGGGCTCTTGACTTCTGCACTGCATCTATTTTACTTTATTTCACTTTCTTTTATTTCAGTTGTCAGATGCCGACAATTACTACCCTGAACGACCCTGATTTGCCTTTCTCTTGCCTAGAACAGTCAACCCTTTTCCCCCTCCTCCTTTTCGGTGCCGGGATGTTACAAGGTCGGAACTATTTCCCGACCATGACTCGCTAGATCGCGCCTTTGATTGCTATCATTATCATGGCCCGTCCTGGTTTGATCAATTTCATTTACTTGATTTCTTTCTCTTAATATATTTCTATATATTCCCTGCTTTGGCCAGATTATCCCTCTGGCCCCTACTCTGCAGGTCGACGCTGTTCCTATCATTCGCCCTCGACCGGGGAGGGGGTGACCTCCAATCAACTGGTGGATGAGGAAATCGACAGGGGTATGGAATGTGATGTGATGTGGGACAGAGGCTGAGGCCAAGCTCCATTTTTTTCGGCTGATTTTTTTTTTTTACTCTTGCCATCCTCGGTTGGATTGGAGCCTATCGTTTGTCTCGAATGCCCAACACATCGGTTCCCGTTGTTAACTAGGTTGCCCAACTCAAAAGGCATTGTCACAAATATCGTCACCGGACTATGTAGATTTTTCCCCCTATCCAACAATTTGCTTTTTGTTGCTCATGATTACGCGCCTGACTCCCTCCGTTTACCTCTTTAGTCTTTTTTTGGATTCTATTTCCACATGTGTCCGAACAGTAGAGTAATGGCAAGTGAGAGGCATATATCGCTCCGTCCATTGAAATATGTATCTAGGTGCGCGATGACCGTATCTCGCTACAACTGATTCGTTTCATGCATGAAGATCCTGACTAGCGCCACGTGTGAGTTGAAGAAGCATCAACGGCTGCGAGGAACCGCGTCGATCTCCCATCTACCCGATAGATAATATACCGCAACGACGGTACGGAGGAAGAGGGACCCGGTTAGCGAGCGAAAAGGATCGCTGATCCTTAATAATCTTGGGCAAATTTCCGGCCAGTGGCTCTCGGGTGTCTTTTTCTAAACAATCATTCACAGATCAAACCCGTCCGTCATGCAGGACCCACATCGATTGCAAGGATATACTTTTTTTTCTCGTTAGGGGAAGGGAGGACTTTTGGGGGGGGGGGGGGGGGGGGCAGGGCGAAAATGCAGAGTTAGTCTCTACCGTTTGTACCATGCACAAGTAGCCTACCTAGCTAGGTACTAAAGGTACGATGAATTAAAGGTACTATGCAGAAGGAGGTAGGAGGTAGATACTGTATACCAACCACTGGTGCCACTGGGTTGAGAGGTGAAATTATGGAGTTAAATAATTTTTTTTTTCATCTCGGATCTACTTCTGGTTCAGCGATTGTTGACTGGGGGGAGCATCTGTGTGTTTCCCCAGTCCTTTTTTTGATTAATGTTTTTTTTACCACTTGATTTTCCGACCTTGTTAGCCTTCGGGCACCGTCATTCAAAAGGCCTTTGGTGCAGCAATCTGTCCCGTAGAATTTCCTTCCCCATGCCACCATTTCTTAACCGTATTAATTCCTCCTCCATATCCGTCTCCATTTCGCATCTTCTTGCTATCACGCCTCTTCCTTCTCCCCATATACCCTCCTCCTCAAACGGCTCTATTCTCGAGACATTCGACTTCATTTCAATTGCACAATCCCGCTTTCCGCAAAATCCTCCATGAGATCATCATGTGCAACTATTTCAAAAATTACTATATCTATAGCGGATGCCAAAACCCCGCTGCCCATTTCCTCCGTACCTCCTTGGATGGCAATAAGGACAGCCGTTGTTCCGACAGCCCGCACGATCGTTTTATTGTGGTGATAGGCAAATGTGATCTCTGCGCCGTGCGATGAAAATGACGACCAAGCCCCCAAAAAAACCTTTCTTCTCCTCTGTGTTATTTTTTTTTCTTCTCTTTTCTATCGGGCGCCAAAGATCAACGCGCGCATCCGCACTCTTTCCTAAAGTGTGTGTGGTCCCGGCCCGCCGTTCTTTACATTGCGAACAATACGCACCACCAGGAACTATGATTCGGCTGGAACCGACCCTCTTTCCTATCCACTCAACCCCCGTCGCTCTCCCGAACCGATGATGAGGATAATGATTTCATCAATTTGAAATTGGCTATTCGTCAGGGCGGCCCTGATCGACATTGTCCTCCTTTACATTAACTGGTTTTTTTTTCTTCTTGCCCGGCCGGGCTTCGTGCCGATTTAAACTTTGTGCCCTGGGGGCACTTCCACTACATTTTCCGATGCTCCGGGAGAGTATTGGCCATACAGAAGTGCGTTTTAGTGTTCGTGTTATTCGTCCCGAGCGTCTATCATCCTTCTATGCCGCTATGTATCTGCGAGGGGAGTTTATTTTTGTTTTCGCTTCTTTTCTCGGTTTTAGTCAGTGTGTTCTTTGGCGTTCAGGGTATTTTTGGTCTCAGCGAAGCGACAGTTCCATGTGAAATTCAACCCCAAATCCCGACGTTTTTGTTTCCTTTTTTCTAGGAGGGGAGGAAAGGGAGAAGGTTTATTTGGATTTGAATTCATGACCACAACCCGTTTATTATCTGATATGTGAATCTTGATTACGTTTAATCCCGTGTCCCTTATTTTCAGATGTTTTTGTTCTTTTTTGTTCTGTTTTGATTTTTTTTTTGGCAACCGATAACACTATTCCCCGCCTCCATGTGTGTATGATTAGGACTCGACTTAGCATACTTCGTCAATTTGATTTGCTCTCAAAAGACGCCCACCCTGGGTATTTTTCAAATCACATGCTATCATTGGGCAAGCGTATCCTTCCAAAAACCAGGATCGTTGTTCCAAAATTTCCGAGCTCGGGTCCGAAAATGTCCAATATCCATCCAACAAAGACAAACGGGAGGGAGAAAAAAAAGAAATTAAGAAATTAAGAAATAGAGAAATTAAGAAATAGAGAAATTAAGAAACTTAACAATTGAAGTCTGGGTCCCAGGGGGGAAGGGCCCGCACGGGCAACGTGGTTCGACTCTTTTCCATACCATCCCGCGGTGCATCGACCAGGGGGGGGTTTAAGGAAATGGGAAGGGGTCTCAGCCCACAGCATGACGACAGCTTGGATCCTATCGGCAACCGCGTCGACCATGAATACAACATTGCCCACAATAGGTGCATAGCCAGGCATTCACAGACTGCACTAGAACTGCCAAGGGATCTTTTTTTTTCTCTCCTCTCGATTTCGAGTCCGTGCTTTCGGTCCGATGGCGCACGCATTGCAGGTGGGGAGAGTGGGAGGGGCACGGTGTCGAGAAGTACAAGTCCCTTCCTGACTGTCGTTAAGAAAATCACAATCTTTCAGCAGGGGAAAGATTTCGGTGCCATTTTTTTCCCACCGAAGGCTAAGGCCAAGGCTGGATGCATTGCATCTCCACGCAATCTCCGTGTGGTTTTAGGGAGCACAGGTCTGAACGAAGCTTCACTGTTGCGCGCTTTTGTGCAGGGGTTATCGGCCTCTTGTTTTCAGGTGGTATTGCAATTGGACGTGCTGTCAATATGGGCTTTTTCAATTAAAAAAAAATGGGAACCCTTTTTTTGGTAATCGTGCTGGTATTGTATACATCATTTCATGCAGGGCGTCCTGGTCCAAGTTCCCAATTCCAAATCTTGCTGATAAATGGTCGAAAGAGAATACCACAAAAAAGAACACCAAGTGTCACCGGCGTAACTTTATTGACCGGTCCGGGGCAGGCGCCAAGACTCTCTATCAACGACAGGGGGGATAAGGAGGCTTCGTGATGCAATTGTATTTCCGGAACCACAGGCAGAAATATCTGGATGGGGTAAGCGCAGAACTTCTTGGGGCTTTATGCCCGAGAGACCCGAGGTTGCGGATAGTAGATGGGATTTTAGACCGGGTCTAAAGGGGGAGGGCCACTTTCGGAAGGTTTACTTTTAGGATCCAGGCTGTGCTCGGTATGTCCCCCGAAGCCTGGAGTGATTAAGTGCCGGCTAGGGCGAAAGCAATGTCTGGAACGCTAAATCCCTCTCGATGGCGCTAGTGTTGGGGGAGGGGGGGGGGGAAGGGAGGAGGGAAGCACAGCAGTCCACCAGGCGACGGTGCTCAGTCCGTCTCACACATGCACCGACCTCGACATCTACCGGGCGTTCGAGTATTTTCCGGAGACGTTGAAGTGTCTAGGTTCTTATCCTGCGCTAGGTTATGCAGCTGCTGCATGTTCCGGCAGAGGACGGGGCTTCAACACCGGGTCATGGCGTGGTGTCTGGGATGTTCTGGTTCTAGGTGCTGCCATGATGCAGACTAGGGGCTTTTATGGATTGTCAATGGACGCGGGCATCTGGTTGACCCGGTCCGGTAGGAAATAAAATTGCATGCCGTGTCGGGCGCTCATTGGAACCAGAGGGTAAATATTGTTTGTGATATTAATATATTAATATATATTAATAACGAGCCCTCAGGGTTTGAGGCTGCCCCACGACCCTCTGTCGGCAGATGCGTAGAAGGTACGTATTGGCAGTTTGCATGGACGTCCTGGAGAAGTTGAAGATTACTAGGGAGGATCCTGCCGGGATCTATATCGGGTAATCCGCCTGCACCTGGACGTGTAATCGATGAAAGCACAGCACAGACACGCATGAGCTTCTCAAGGCGGCAATACCTTGACGGGCCCAAATGCATGAGTTGAGTTTTCCCTGTCGGGAAAACTGGAAACACATCGAGTTCCTGCATTGTGCCCGATGGTCTCGACCGTTGGGCCTTTTTGAGTTCATTGATTCCTACATTCCATAACCTCATAGGGAGAGCACGGCCAGAATGCTGTTTTATCGTCTTCTTCGCCGGTTCGCTTTCACATGCGTGGCCACGTTGCCGCGTTAGCTTAACGATCGTGGCGCGGCCAACGGCTCCAGGCCGAAGGGGGCTGGTGTCCGGGGGGGCTCGAGGCCAAGCCCTAAGCGTCTTGTCCCCTCCCCTTTGTCATTTCGGTGACTGAGCCACCCCGCAGGGGTCGTCATCCTCATGGAAACTGATCAGTCCAGACCCCTGTGGTTCATCAGAAGCCGTCCATCCAAGAAAAGTGATTTAAATTGGAGGTCGGTTCATTCCACTACGAACCTGGCTTCATTTAGCTACTTCCCCAATGGACTTCCGGTGATAGTCCATCAAGGTCCACAATGTGATATTCATTGCTTTTCGTTTTCGTTTCTACAATACATGCTTTTTTTCTTTTTCTTTTCTTTTTCTTTATTCTATTTTCACCTTTTCGGTCATAGCCTCGGTGGTCTTCAGTCTCCACTCAAGCTAGAATGAAACATACTCAAATGGTACCTGTGAATTCCCCTTACAACCCGCACGACTTCGAGTGAGGCTAAACATGCAAACAAGTACTTTTGTCCTATTGTGCTGTCGTATGCACTATGCAATCAGCAAGCACATCATCATCATCATCAAACTGGCGTCTTTCCGACAAACACGCCCGGATTTTCACCCAGGCATGGATCATCGCTCTCTCTCTCTCTCTGTGCCCAGGGATTATTGCCATATACCCCGTCAAATATATTAAGTACATGTCATCGTATGATCATCACTGGATGCAAGAGAGAAAAGAACAAACAATATCCAGATGCAATCAATCAATCCACCTACCTCGAAATTCGCCATCACTAAAGTATGGATTCTACTCTCCAACAAGCATCCGATATCCGATTCGTATCCGATGCACCTCGTACATATTATCAAGGCATATATCCGACACGCTACTCGGCCCCATCGCCAGTATTTTCCATAGCCGCCCCACAGCTCTATCGTACGGTCTGTGTGGAAATTGAGCTCTCGGGTGGAGAACCGAAGCCACAGCCGTTACCCACCTTCCGGAGGAGGAGAAGGGGGAAAAGGCCAGAACAAGAGAGGGAATGATTGATGGACGCCTACGTCAACTGCAGATTCAAAGGAAGCGACCTACAACGATCGTCGCAGCATGAAACCAAGCTACTAGCCAGCCTGCAAGAAGGGGCCTCGGTCTCGGATTCGTCTCGAGCTTTCCACGAGTGGGAATACCACAAGGAAAAGGGCGCTGCAATCCTGTTTGGCCCCCCTTTTTGGTGGTTCTGACCCTTGGCGCCGCCTGCTCCGTACCGTTCTTAGCAGCCGTCGATAATGTACCCGAGCAGGATTTGAAATGCCTTGGCCAGCACGGACGTGATCCTCGTTTGCCCCCATAGCTTAGCCGGATTGCTGCACGTTCATAGGTCCGGTTACTACTTATCCCCAACACCAAAAAAGTACATCACATTTATTCCCCCTCCCCCACGAACCGAGTTCCGGGTGGGGGGAAGTGGTTCTTGTTGCGTGCCTATGAGAAAAAGAGAGAAATGAAGAAAAAGAGAGAAATGAAGAAAAAGAGAAAAATAAAGAAAACAAAATCAAACAGCAAAAAGGCAAAAATGAGGCAATGACTACCAGCACAAACCCTGATCTAGGACCGGCGGAAGGCTCCAATTAGCTTCGGCATCTATTCCATTCGATGGAGGGATGTGAATCCTGCATCCTGGATCTCGCTAATACGCAAGTTTTAACCAGCCGGTTAAAAGAAAGGCCCCCACCCCCTCCCCCTTAGTGCCCACTAAGAGGAGGAGAGGAGGGGACCGCAAGCAACCGGGATCCCCCATCTCTGGCAGGGATTTAGTTCCGACCGAGACAGACCCGACGATCTCTTTCCACTTGGTGGTTGACTTCTAAATGGCGGGGAGGTTGGTTCATGCAGGGTTCTGGCGCCGATCTTGCGCGTACGGTTGGTATTGGTGAAAGAGGCCTTACCGTGGGTCCTCGGGGGAAGGGGACCAAGAGCCACGGATATGAAAGCTGTAAGAGGAAATCCAAGAGGAGAGGGCGGGGGAAAAGGCCGCGTATTCTACATGTTGGATCTCACACATCACACTGTCTGAGCAAGGTATGTGACCAGGATAATCCAAGTATACCATGTATACGGAGATACCAAGTGTAGGAGATATATTATGGAGGGTGGATAGAAAAGAGTATACACAGGATTTCTTATAACGCCGTGGCGAGCAGGATCATTAGCCGGACGCCCACAGCAATGGGTCAAAAGCGTACTTCTGGCCGCATGGTGATTGGCTTCTGATTGTACACGGGAGGGAGGGGAGTATAGCGAGGACACGGCTTGCGCGATATCTTGGAGTGGAAAGGAAGTTTGGGGATCTCGGTAAGACGGAAACTGAGCCTTGATGACGCTCTCTTTCCACCAGGTGACTGGCTTCCTGGGTGCTCAGTGGTCGACGAGGCGGGACTGTGCCCGGGTGAATGCTGGGGGAGACGGGAAGGGATGGTGATCAAACTCCCCAGATAATGGAACGACTCCTCTTCGCGCTCCGCATCAGTCTCGTTCTCGCCACCAGCGGGTCTCGTGTTCAGGGAGTTTGAGGTATAAATCGATGATGATCGGTTGTGCTGAACTGTGGGATTGGAGCTCGCGAGACTGGCCGTGGCAGCTAGCTGCGCTAGCTGCTCGACTATCCGGTCCGTGTCGCTGCAGTAGGGCATATCCCGTTTGGCTGGCAGGGAGGAAGAAAGATCGTGGATATCAAGGACTGGTGGTGCCGATGTGCTTTGGGCATCAGTCTGGTCATGAGTCTTCTCAGTTGTCGCTGTCGTTGCGGGAATTATGATTTCGGAGTCGCGTCTCAATGGCAAGTGCCGGGTGATTGATGCCCGAATCACGGACCAAGCGTCGCGACCCTTGTGAAGTATAATGAATAACATCAGTATTATGAGAAGAGACCTGTTCTCTGATTTGATACTTATTAACAGGGATATCAAAATGGCTCTAGGTGGCGAACACTGGCGACTCACAACTCTAGCAGCCTACAAGGATCTATTTCCGAGGCTTCCAAACGATTGTTATAGGTGGTTCAGCGTTCAGCTTCAGCGAGAGTTGGCCTTGACCCCGTGAAATAAGAGAAGCCGAGGAAGTAGTTATCTGACCCTTGAATTTCACGCCACGGATATCACGCACTGGATTTCAAGTCCAAGCCCAAATTAAATAGGAGGCCGTGTATGCCTTCCCCCCTGACTAGAAGCCTAAAGATATTGAAACGTTCCTCTGATGTAGAGGATGTACAACAGAACGGATCTGCCCCGACCCGACAAAACAAAACAAAACCTTAAATGCAAGCGGCAAACCGAGTGCCTCTCACATTCAAATCGGACCGAGACTGAAACAGCGCGGGAGCGAAATTCTAGGGCCCAAGCGCGCTAATAACAGTTACAACGCCAGCCCGCTAGATATCAAGTGCCAGCGGCTTGGCCGTCAGAACCTTGAAAAGTGGGCTATCCCCATCTCGATCGATGTCAGCATTATGCACATGCAGGCTACCCTCCGCGCGGTACACGGGCCGTTCAACATCGTCTACTACTTTATGACACGTCAGATGTAGTGCTAGTTCGGTACAAACGCGGTACGGCGGCTTGAGGCTATTGGAGCATAGACGCCAGTGGCGACGAAATCTATATCACCATTCGCTGCCTTGCCCCGGTTGTGGGTATGAGCGATATATGCGAGGAGGGAATGGGGTATAGGACAGAGGGCGACGAGGCTAGTTTGGAATTCAACTGGATCGGAGATGAGAATCTGTTTAGATCCGATGGCCCATAGAGAGGACCAAGCAACAAGATCTGTTAGTAGAAAGGGGCACTTATGACATGATGAATAAGAAAGACATGATGGACTTGTGGACAATGGAGCGTCTCAAAAAATAGTATGGGTACGATAAAATAGACCACATGTAAAAAAAATCTCGAAATATGCGAGAATGAGCAATCGGCTAATGACTGAAGAAGATGCAGAACCTCCCCCCAAAGAAACATGAATGTAATTCCGCTGGGAGCATGGGGAGAAAAAAAGGAAAAACGAGACTTTCAGATCAAAAGACTTCATTAGAACCGAAACAGGCGTACACAGCCCTGATTACTCGGTCTTCGGATTTCGCACCATGCAGTAAAGCTACATCCGCACCCAGCCCCAACACAGTCAGTAAGGAAGCAAAGAAGCAGGAGCTTATTGGAATGGCATAGCCCCAAACGTACCATAATGGCATCATCCCCGTCCTTGCACTCCATCTCCCTCCGCATCTCAAACCCCATGCGCTCATAAATCCCCACATTCGGGACCTTCTTCGAGCTCTCCAGATAACACTTCATACCCTCCGCATCTGCCCGGTTCGTCACAGCCTCAAACAACATCCGGCCCACGCCCTTGCCCTGTGCCTCTGGACTCACCGCAACAATGTTGCAGAAGTAGTATCCGCGCGGGTCGTCCCAGATCTGCGCCTGCGCCGCCTGCTGCTGCGCTTTCCAGATCCAGTACCGGTTGGTGCGGAGCCCGCCGCGGCCGCGGTACCGGATGTTGGTGGCAATCTGATTGAAGGTGAGCACCCAGGACTGAAACCAGGAGTACCAGGACTCGGGCTGGGAAGGCGGGTGCGGGGCCAGCCAGCAGGAGACGCCGAGAATGGGCGTCGGACTGGAGCTGGAGCTGGAGGATGTTTCTTTGGCGACTTGAAAGAGTGCGTTATTTATGCCCCAGCGGCAGCGCGCAGCGAGAGAGGAATAGTTTCTTTCTTGGCTGAACTACAGGAAATCGGGTTCTCTCAGGGCAAGTAACGGGCTTGGGTCGAAGACACGTCGGCCGCGTTACCAGAGAGAAAATGAAGTTAGCTTGGATCTTCGGAGAAGGTTAAGCGAAGTCAAAGAGGGAGGAGGCTGCTGAGAATGATATTTTTATTACTTACGGTGGAAGCATCGAACACCCATTTGAAGTATGGGTCATCGGCGAAGGCTTGTTGGATCACCTGGATCACACTTGGAATATCGGCCTCGGTTAATGGAAGAATTTCGATCGCCATTCTTGACAGCCGGGGAAGATAGGGCTACGAAGGCTTCCAGAGATGAGAGTAGTAGGTGGGGAATATGATAGCTAAAAAGCGGTCAATCTCTGAAGAGTCGATATTGCAGCTACATCCCCGGAAGATCAAAGAGATATCGGTCAAGGTTTGGATGGCAAGATACCAGATATGTCAAATGAAGAGCGACGATAAATGTTGTTCAACCGCGAATTAGCTGGACGAAGGACAGCTTAACTGCAATTCGGCATTAGAACTGACGAGAACTCAGTGAAGTCCCGCTTGCCGCTTACTTGGTTAATATATCCAGGCTGCGTGGCCAATAAAGCTATAGAAGCTGCCCAGAAAACCCTGACCAGAAGGTGGCAGGAAGAACAGTGGCAGCTGTGAGGTACAAATAAGGTGTACTAGGTGCGGAGCGCAAGCGCAAGTAGACGATTCTAGATCGGGGTGCGGAGAGAAGGAAGAGAAGAAGGGACCCAGCCGGTGCCATTCCGAGCCAGATAGCAGTGTCATGGTGTGGAGAGAGTCTAAACCGGGGAAGGCAGTTGCACGCGCGTGCTTATCGGTGGTCGCTTATCATGTGGGGTCGAGACACTGAGGTGCTGGATCAAGATCAAGGCACAGGGCATTCAACTAGCCTATCCAATATCTAAAATATAAGAGAGCTCCAGGAGACTGGTATGAATGAGTTTCATTGAGGGATTATATCATGCTGAAACAGTGCAAGAAAATGTATGTAGGCACAAAAGGAAGGATTCCCACAAACAAAACAAACTCCGTTTTCTTCCCTGATAGTGAAAGACCAGGAGTGAAAAGTATCGTTCAACACCCTCACGCCTTTTGCCTTGATAACATGAAAACCCCATGAACTATGGACAGGGAGGAGTCTAGAGGCCAGAATATCCAGACAAGACCTGGGGGTTCAGTGTCCCCTGTGAGATAGACAAGTCCCAAAAACACCAACAAACCCAATTCAGAATGAAACAGTAATTAATGGAAAAGGAAAGGAAAGCCATGTCAAAGGGGAAAATAAAGATCAAAAAGGAGAGGAAGAATGCAGGAAAAAACATCTATAGGGAAGAGAAGGGGATCGCTGGAAACAGATTCGCCATCCATACACCGTTCCCAAAATGGAGAATGTCGTAACTTCATGGCTTCTGACAAGACATCATTGAATAGAAAACAAATATATGAGTTTCTGATTGACAAAGACACCTTCGAAGGGTGGGGGAAGGAGGAAGAAGATCATGACGCAGTGAAGTCCTCAATGCGTACCCACTCTCGTGGAACATCCATACTCCGGTTGACACGCCCGCCCGGTGTCAGAGGAACGTCCACGCGGCCTAGACCCCGGTCATCATCTTGTTCCTCGTAGTAAGATAACCGAGAAAAGTAGTCCTCCAATACAGCCTCCCGGTCGTTGTCACCCACAATTGAGGTATACTCAGGTGGGGGAGTAACAAGAGGCGGGGGCGGAGGCACGTCTTCAAAGGCAGGAGGCGCAAATGAGGGTGTGCGGAGAAGATGCATCGGGCGGGGCACTTCCCGATCGCTTGGTTCATGGGCGAGATGGGCCTGTGGCGGCCGGGCCAGGCCACCCGAGCCGTTAGTGAAGCTGCGCGAGACGACGCGGCTTGTGGAGCCACGCCGATGAAGATTTGAGGTGGAGTCTTCGCGGTCGGAGCTAGATTGAGCGAGCGAGTATTCACGGGATGCGAGGGGTGCGCCGGGACAGCCGCACTCGAACTCTTGTGCGGGGGGATCAGGGTCAGTGGCGGGGTGGGTATAGGCTGGGAGATAGATGTTTGCCTGTGTGGCTTTGCAAGAAAGGATGTGGAATGGAGAGTCGATGGAGATCTCGAAGTGGCGGCGCTTGGTCGGATCTCGTTCGTCAACCTTGGAAAGACGGAGGACGATCTAGAGGATCAGTATCAGCAGGATTCTTGGTGACGTAACATTGGAAATAGTTATCAGGAGTAGGGATTAGTTACCTTGATCCAATGGTTGATCTGGATGTTTTCGTACGTGGTATCAAAGTGCAAGCGCTGTGCCTCATCTCGGCCCCTCATTTCGTGACAACTCGGTAACTGTACATTGAACTCCATTTCCGTGGGACCAACGCCCGAGGAATCGTTGGACAGATTGCCGAGCAAATTGGTGCGCGTACGGTCGACAATCTCCTCTCCGCGCGCTGCCGCTGCACGCAGGTCCCAATCGATCCCACCACCCGCCGTGATGCGCATGGAACTACCGGGATACGTGCTGGTGCTGGCGGACTCGGCGCGCTTCTCGAACAGCAGCACCTTCTTCGCCGGCTGCAGCCGATGTACGCTCTTGTCAGCCGTCCAGTGCTGGATATTCTCAGTGACATAGACCTTGATGCGGTGACATTCCACCTTCGCCAACGGAGTTAACTTAAAGGCAATCGGAATTTGTGAGCCCAGCGGGAACGATTTGCCTGAGATGACGATATCGTAATGGAGCTGGTCCTCCCAGTTCCGTGAAATGGCGATAGGCTCCACCTGCTCCAACGAGCCTTCGGCTGGGGTCCGAATTACGGGGATTTCCATGGTGCCGAGGAGATTGGGTCGGAAGGCTCCAGATCGTTCCACGATGGCTTCCAGGTCGTAACGGACGAAGCCGAGATCGGTTTTGATCGTCTCGGGAAGGGAACCGTCGATGGGAAACTCGAAGCTGTAAAGATAATCGCCGACAGGGAACATGCGGTAGTTGCGTTGGGTTTGATTCTGCGGAGTCACAGGGGGCTCATTCCGGCTGAAACTCCGCGAATGGCCTCGGGTCGTTTGGATGGAGAGGCGCTTAGCATCTTTGCCCGAGATCGGGCCTAGAGAGGTATTGGAGCCGCTCTTGGAAAACAGCTCGCGAGTTGTGGCCGTCACGCCGTCCTTACCCGGGACTGGGGAGACCGGTTTCGCATGTTGGTAGTAGTGTGCCCCGTAATCGTTCTGCATCAGCGCAGTATCGCCATGGTTGAAATAGATGACACCGTGCGTGAAGAGATCTTTCTTGTCGTGAAAATGAATCTTTTTAGGGGGGATGCCTAGACACCGTTTATTAGCCTCTCATGCTTGATCTCGCGGGGATGCGGGGTTGCAGGCGAGAACGAGGGGATTCCCGTACCATCTGGCCAATCTGTCTGGGCATGTCCCCGGAAGCAGATGGAGATCTTCTTGATCTTGACACATTTGGTGACCTTCAGATGTATTTGTCCTCGCAAGATGGCGGACTTTTTCGTAGTCGGATCGTGGTGGTCGTAGCCTTGGAGGTACAGAACCGGTTCGGTCAAGGCAATCCCCACTGTCAGCCCACTGCCTGTCGCGACGATCTTCTCATTACGTAGCGGCGGAAACGGGGTGGACAACTCGGGGGTCGTGAAGGAGGGTTCGGGGATCATTCGGGGTAAAACATCGGTGGTAGCCATCGCGGAGGAATCCGAACGCATGTCGGCCTGGTCCAGTGCGGCAGAATCGTCTCGGGTCAACCGGGTGGGCGAGATGATGATCTCAGAGACCGGCCGGGCGCCACTACAGCGCGGGTTGGGGCGCTGGCGTGGTTGCGGGGGCGGCGTCGGCGGGTGGATTCCCGACGACCGCAGGCGCAGGAATCGCTTCGCGTTCTCCCGTGGGCCCGCCAGCTTTTTGAGTAGCGACGAACGGCGACCGAGGGATTGTTTGGGGAATTGTTCGATGGTCGTGCTCAAAGAGAGCGTGCGGTGCCGCGGCGGCCGGATGCGGATGAAGTTGGCGAAGGAGAATTGGGGAGGAAAGTCGGAGGAAGTCTCGCTGACGGACCCCGACCGTGACGGAATCTGTGCGGGGAGAGTGTGAGCAGCCATTATTGCCGTGAAGGATCGAGTCGCATTATGTGGGAAAAAAGAGAGAGAGAGAGAGAGAGAGAGAGAGAGCAACGCCGAGGACACTTGAGGTCGAGCCCGCGTGAAAGCAGCAAGAGATCACAACTATGTTTCCAAGACGAAGATCGGGCACTTCTTCCGAGTGTTTCGGGGTCTTCTCTGTCTTGTGTCTTGGGAGTTGTGTCGTGCTCACTGCTTTCGGCTCTCGTAGGGCTCTCGTGTTTCAACCCGTCAACTGCACGGTGCAGGCATCAGGTGTAGTGGAAGGGAGAGGATGGGAGACACGAGGATAAAAAGGTAGAAAAGAATCGAGGGCGACGGCGGAGGTCTGACTCCTTAGAGCCCCCGGCCCCAAATGAAAGTGGGAAAAACCAACGCGCGTGGAGAGAATGAGGTATACAAGGAGTGTTGGGGGATGTGATGGGTGACGGTGATGAAGAATGTATGGGCGGTTTGGCGGTATGCGGGGGGGGGGAAGTATGGAAGTACAAAAGAGAGAGAAGAGTTCGATGTAGAGAGGAACGAGACTCACCAGGAGGTCAACGGGGATTTGATTCTTCGTACAGACACGATTCCAGTCGAGAAGTAAGGAGCACGATCCAAAAAAGATGGAATTCTCGGGAGCGCTGACTTCATTGCACGGCGCTGATCATCATGCAGATCGGAGTCGATAGTGCCGGTTTCCTGCCCGGTGGCTTGGGGGGGGCTTTTGGGCGTGGGCGCGAATGTGGGCGGCCTGGGTTTGGGGGTCGGGACCGCTTCGTCCAAACGATGCTGTCCTCTGTCCTCTGTACACTGTACACCACAGGATTCAGGAGTATAGAACATCAATCGGGTCAGAAAGAGCGTCGACCACTGGACCAGCCCAATTATTTAAACCAGATTCCCCCCAAACGGGTTCTCCCTCGCCCTCTCTTTTTCTCGGGCTCCACTCGCAAGGCCCAGCCGATCGATGATGACATGATATCGACGCCGATTGGGGAGCCACGGGAGCCATGTTCCTATCCGGCGATCCGGGCCAAACACCAGACGGAGGTCAGAAGCCGGGCTTTTCTCGGGCTGCGCCATATGTCCAGAGGCAAAACGAGCAGAATTCGGACAGTCGGCGCAAGACTCCCTCCATGGCCTGGCTGGACGCGAGAGACCCAGTATAGATCCAGTATAGATCCAGTATAGATCCAAGTCTAGGGACCCAAGTCGAGAGACCCAAATCTATCGACTCGGAACAACTCTAACAACCCTGTCGTTATATCCGTTGGTTCTTTTACCGTCCATAGTACATTCCCCGAGCCAGCAAATAAGCCTACGGGAGAGGTATTTTCTATGCCATCCGTTCTCGCTCCAGTCAATCAAGCACTCCGTCTCCGAACCCCCCTCCAACAGCCCCAAAGCACCCACTCGTCAGTCTTCCGGATCGCTCGGGTGGTCCCTCGGGATCAGAGATCAAACAGAGCAGCCTGACGAATGCCTCACTCCATTGAGCAAACACCCGTCGCCCCTAAAACGGATAATCCGGCACGGCCTCACGCTTTCTAATACAGTTTGAGCCTCTCCGGCCAAGCCACCGACCCCCCCCCCCCCCCCGAGGGCTTCGAGCCTGAGTCACAGGCAACGGTCGAGCCCCAGTCGAGCCCAGTCGAGGATCGGCCGATCCTCGACAACGCTTGGATGCGGGGACAACGCGGCCTATTCGGCATAGGGGTATATCGCATGTGAGGAGAATGCGGTCGTCGTCACACCGGCTTCGATGCGCTGGGACTAGTCGTCCAAGTGTTTGTTCCTGCAAGACCTGTTGGCTCTGTACTTTGTACCTTCGTTGGTACTGGCGCGGATGTAGTCATCTATACCCCGGCCGACTTCCCCAATTGTCCTCAACGTGACTCCTACTCGGAATAGGGCAATCATTGTAGACGACGGGTTCGTCTTGCTTGCCCATGGCTCTGGTCTTGGCTGAAATCGTAATATCCATAACATCACCGAGCCGTCATTTCTCTGGCGCTGGTCTCTGCCCAGCCAACCTTAAAGGCGTGATCTGCGCGATCTGGCCCTCGACGTGTTGGAGGTCACGAGGGTTGTCGACTGATCGGGCCAACCGTCCCAAGGGCCTCTCGGGATAGACTCGTATACACTCCCCATCCTTCCCATCGTTTTCCACCTCCCCAAACACTTGCTCTCGACTCTCGATAAAATAAAAAGGCCTCAAAAGTGGATTTGCCAGAACCTCAGCCCTACCCATCGTATCATGTTCCCCGTATTCCCCATTCTTTTTTTTTCTGGAGCCTGATTTTCAGAGTTTGCTGCACGGCCCACCTGCAGGACTGGAACCTGCGCAACGATGAACGATTTGAACCCGGAAGTACTCTGTACTTCCACCCCTTGAATTCTTCACACTTAATCTCTCTCGGCACTGAATGGCCGGAAATGTGACCCCGCGGAGAAGAACCCGTTCGGACATCCGGGCACATGAACGCCGGAGAGGAAGTCCTACCTGTTCTAAAGTACCGTCTGGACGCCCCGAGGTTCCTAGAGACAACCACTTTTCCCTCCTGCTTTTCCCCCTCGTACAAACTCCTCACCATCGGGGCCTGCAGACACTCTGACAGAGAAGATAGGCGGTACAATGGATCTGCAACCTGCATGCACCGATCATGCCCCCCCCCCCCCCCCCCCCCCCCGAGGGAGTCACGATGTCGTCTGCCCGTCCCCCCTCCTTCGTAGTCCTGAACTCTGAAACTCGCATCCCCAAAGCCCTCCAATCTGAGTAGGACTACCATGCCGAGCTTCACACACACACACATACACCCGACCCATGTTGTCCCATCCCGCTTCTCCAAAGATCCTGCCATGGTCCTGGACCCGAAGCGGGTCCGTGCCAGTCAATGACAGCTGGCGATGACCTCATCGGGACTAAACCCACCACTCTCCCAGTCCCGGTGCCAGGGCGAGGACGATTTGCAGGTTGTGATGTGATGATTTGTTTCAAGATCTTCGTTGTTCCCTCTCGCCATCCTTTCTCCCCCAATCGCCTGGCCTCGTTCGCGGAATCCACGTCCGTGCTCGTGTTCCGCCCTAGCGAAATTGCAGGGACATCGTCGGGACGGGGTTCTGCCCTGATTTCCGCCCCCCCCCCCCCCCCTTCCCCCCCCCCTCCTCCTGTCATCACGATGTAAAACCCATTTAGTTGTCAGGTGTATTTATAGATTGCAGCCCCAAGGGCGACCGAGACGGCCGGTTCCTACGTAACTGCCCCGGGAAATTTAGACTATGACATACCGGAGGTTCATTACCGTCATTTAAACTCGTTTTTGAGTTCGTAGCTACTCACTAAACTATAAGACCTCCTACGTCAGAGACGAGACAACTCATGGTCTGACGCGCTATCTTATCTTTTCTTTTTCGTTCTCGCTATTTTTCTTTTGTTTTTGGGGTTTGCTTTTTCCTGTTGCTCTCTATCTTGTCTGCGGGCCCGGACCATGACCAGCTATTTGAGGGTTCCAAGTTTCTAGGGCGCATGGAATGGGAAGTTGGAGTCACCCTGTGGCGTTGCACAGCCCTGGCTGTGCGACCAACCCACGGGTTTTGGTGCGGGACAGTAGAGGTCGCCTTAGGTCTAGGCTAGGATCGACCGAGTAGCTGAAATGGTAGAAGACGGGAAGCCAAGGTATCGAAGTACTGCTCACAGAACAGAAACAGGGTCGATTGGATAGGCGGGCAGACAGAAGAGCCAAGAGCCAAAGGAAGGGTACAGAAAGCGGAGAAAGGATGAATGGGAGAGGCCCTGTGGACCATGACCAAAGGCTTGCTGCAGGAGAGCGTCCACATCATCAGGTGCAGCGCAGAGGCGAGCCGAGAAGACTAAAGCGGCGTGGCGCAGTGTTCACGTCCAAGCAGAGGAAAAGAAGAAAAAAAATTTGAGACTGGCTCAGTGGGATCGAAATAGATAGGTCGCGTAGCCGTGATGCCGCTATTTCCCTCGTCACAGACTGGTAGGATCGACACATCTAAATTCATATAGGAGATGCCTGCCATGGTGAGCATCGGAGTGAGCACCTTGGATTAAGATAATGGCAATCTTGCGGTTTGGTTTACTAGCTGACTACTGGTGGTGTTTGGGGTCAAAGGTGAGGGGCCGGGGGATCTAGATCAGCGCCAAATTGGAATGATGGCGTGCAAAAAAGCGCCAAGCGTTGATGGAAGGGATAAAAGACAATGGCCAGATGGTCTCAGAAAGGTCCTTTTAGAGAACTTATCGGGCTATTGGCGGGGAAGGTCGGCTACTGTCCGACGGCCGCAGAGATCCAGGGGTAAAAACAAAACCAGTCGACAGAGAAAAAGCTGCATGCGACTCAAGTCTCCGATGCCTGAAGAAATAAGAACAGGTCTATCTATACTCCACAAACTAGCGATGACCGGTCGATCTGCTGGGGGACGCCTAGCGCGGATGATTGTCGGCAAGTGTCGATCATAGGAGAATATTTCCCCGCCACTGATCATAGAAGGCAATTTTACGGATCATTTATTGGAATGACTGTGGAAGATCCAGCTTCGATCGTGTAATATACATTTTGATCTCCTTATTGCCCTCTCCCCGTCTGCAATCGATTGCCAGGGCTCACGTAAACCAATTGTCATCAAGCTCGCTGATATTCATCAAACTATCTCCCTCCAGCTGATTGAGATCCCCGGCATTATCGCCGAGGTTTTCGGTCTCCATGAAGAGATCATCAAAACTGGATTCACCGGGCGCCATAATATCCTCCATTCCCGTGCCTTGGTCGGGAAAGGGATTGCTGTCGTCGGCTTTTTGTAGTTCGAGGTCGAAGGCGCCTCCGCCAGCAGGGGCTGTCGTCGCAGGCTCGTTAGAGAGAGATGCGTCCATTTTACTGTCTCCGCCAGGGGCGGTACTCCCAAAGGCCGATCCGGACAGGAAGGCTTGGTTGCCTATATCGTCATTGCCAAAGTCCAGATTGAGGTCGAATGAGTTCGGTGCACCACCCTCCTGGAGAACCGAATCAAAATTGAGACCTTCGGTGGTGCCTGGAAAGGCCGCATCGGCGGATGCTGTGCCGCCTGCCGATTTTTCTTCTTTCACTTGTATTTCGTTGCTGGGCTGTTGTGCCAAAGGGGCTTCTGTTGGCGCTGGAAGCTCCGCCGCGACTGCATTATCAGGCGCGGCCTCGACCTTGACCGGCGCGGTTGCCAGGTCGATTTGCTCGGTCGGCGGGGGTTGCGGCTCCGTTATGGTCGTAGAATCCGGTTCGCTCATGGTGACATCGTCCGTGGTGGGCGCCAGCACCGGCACCGGCTCGCGTGCCTTGATTGCGTCGTAGTCCTTCTCCAGGAAGGCTTTGGCAATGAACTGTGAAACGTCAGTGGGGAGGTTGAAAGAAGAAAGACATCAATAGACGCGGATGAATGCGACAAAAAGTTTCCAGGCATCCAATCAGACTCACAATCTGTTCTGAGAGGTTATCTAGTGCATTTTGAAAGCTCTCGTAGTAGGAGGGCATGGAGCGCTGGAGATGAGCGCTGGCGGGGACGGAGCCAGTTTTGCGGAACAATCGACCCGTATCGAGCAGCTATTTCATGCATCAGCAGGGAAGGGTCCCGGGTCCCAGGTCACCCCGAGTTCATATTCTTTTTGTTGGGGCTGGGATATGAAGTCCTTACCGTTCGGTCCACTACCGCGGAGAGCTCGGCGAGGGAGTCGGGGTTCGCATAGTTGGCGGTCGCCATAGCGCTAGAAGAAGAAGACTCGTTTCCAGCTGCGTCGGCCCGCGTCTGTCTCTCACACTTTCTGTCTCTATCTCTGTCCCTTTGTCTCTCAATTATACGAGCACAAGGCGCAGAGGGGAAGCACGAGGAATGGGGAAGTGGTACTGAGGATGAAGTGGTCGTACACATGAACCGGGCGCGCTAAACCTAATCAGGCAAGGCGGCCGTGTGTGCTTTGGGGTGTTCAACTTGGGTTCAACTGGTCAATTGCCGTCTTTCTCCCTTTTGCTCTGTTGCACTTTTAACCTTCAACCTTGTCCTTTTTCCCTCTTGCATCTGCTCTTTTTTTCCCCTTCCCCTCGCGTTTCTGTTCGGCCCTTGGGACGTGCTTCGTTTTTCCTTGTGTTCGGTCCACTTTCCTAGTCTGTGTTTGTTGATTCGATCCTCTTCTCCCGTCGACCCCCCAAACGACCCCCAAACCTTCCACTTCTCGGATCTTCGACCTTTGATCTTGACGTTTCTCGACCATCGCCTCCGCAACATTCGGCTTGATATTGGATCCGCCTCTCGGAGATCGCCATCCCAAAATCCCCGGACAACGAGTTGAAGACTGGTTTTTGCCGTGCTCCATCGTTTGGTCGTTGCTCTTTGTTTGGTTCTTGAAGCTTGTCGAACCACGCCCCGCGCTACCCCCTTATACCTGTGATCTTGGACCTTTCATTCCATCCGGATTCCTTTCTCGTTCCGGTCCCTAGCAATCCCCCGCATTTTCTGTCTTTGGGTCGATCCTGAAAATTCCTGTGGTATTTTTTTGTCCTTTCTTTATACCGCCTGGTCGCTGTACCTCGTTACCTGGACTGCGATCACCTGCTTAAACGATATATTTGAAGCGCCCATACACGATGGCCGAAAACGCTCCCGCTTCCAACCCCGCTGCTCTTCCAGCTCAACCTGCTACAGGCGCTGTGAACCAGCAGTACGACGCTGCTCAAGGCAACGGTCAAAGTAACCCGTCGCATATGCCTCCTCCTCCGCGGCCTCCAGTGGTTATCCCCCAGAACACCAACCCGATCCCCACCGCCATCTCCTCGCCTATGTCCGGCAACATGATGTCGCCCACCAGCGCCGGGGGCTATGTGCGTCGGGCAGCCCCCGAGCCCAACAAGCGAGCTCTCTATGTGGGTGGGCTGGACCCCCGGGTCACAGAGGATATTCTGAAGCAGATCTTTGAGACCACTGGCCACGTGGTGAGCGTCAAGATTATCCCAGACAAGAATGTGAGTTGCTCCATCAAAACTTCCTCCTAATGTTTTTCCTCTGATAATTCCTCCCCCGATTCATATAGGCTTCTGTAAGGGGCCAACATACCCTGTTTTCCTTCTGGAAACAACGATTGCCGTCTGACTGTGGGTACATTCACTGACATTTCTTCACAATAGTTCAACAGCAAGGGCTATAACTATGGGTTTGTGGAATTTGATGACCCCGGTGCGGCTGAACGGGCCATGCAGACCCTTAATGGGCGCCGGATTCATCAGTCGGTGAGAGAGAGTCTATCGATACATTACATGATGGCCTTCTAATACGGTTTTTTCGTCTTCTTCTAGGAAATCCGCGTCAACTGGGCGTACCAATCCAACAGTACCAACAAGGAAGACACCTCTAACCACTTCCATATCTTTGTCGGTGACCTGAGCAATGAGGTGAACGACGAGGTCTTGACCCAGGCCTTCTCCGCTTTCGGCTCGGTCTCGGAGGCGCGTGTGATGTGGGACATGAAGACTGGTCGCTCGCGTGGCTATGGATTCGTTGCTTTTCGTGACCGCGCGGATGCTGACAAGGCGCTGAACTCGATGGACGGCGAGTGGCTGGGCTCTCGTGCCATTCGTTGCAACTGGGCTAATCAGAAGGGTCAACCCTCCATCTCTCAGCAGCAGGCCATGGCCGCGATGGGCATGACTCCCACCACCCCGTTCGGCCACCACCACTTCCCAACTCAGGGTATCCAGAGCTATGATATGGTGGTTCAACAGACTCCCCAGTGGCAGACCACCTGCTATGTTGGCAACCTGACCCCCTACACCACCCAAAATGACCTGGTGCCTCTGTTCCAGAACTTTGGCTATGTTCTTGAGACCCGCCTGCAGGCTGACCGTGGCTTCGCTTTTGTCAAGATGGACTCACATGAGAATGCTGCCATGGCTATCTGCCAGCTCAACGGATACAATGTGAATGGCCGCCCACTCAAATGCAGCGTAAGTCTGTCTGGGCGCTTGTGACCCTATCGTGTCAACTATATTGGCATTGACTAACTTTCCATTGCTACAGTGGGGAAAGGACCGTCCCCCAACTGGCCAATTTGACAACTTCTCCCCTCAACAGGGCAACGCTCCTTTCAACAACACCCCGGGATTTTTCCCCCAGTATGGTGGGCCCGCTAACCCCATGAACCAAGGTAGGCATCTACTTTCTTTATTGTCTAAATTATCCTTTCTCACTGACCGAAGAGGCGTAGGTCCTGCTCCCGCTGGCCGAGGCTGGGACCAACAAGGCAACAACTTTGGCGGACCCGGCATGCCGGGTCCGGGCTACCCCCAAGGCAATGCTGGCGGCTATGGTCGTGGCCAACCCATGTCCCCGTCTGGTAACTGGGACCAGTCCAACAACAACTTCAATGGAGGCTACCAGGCGTAGATTCTCCTCTGACTCATTTCTTGGAGTGAAGTGACCTCTCACATACCTTCGGATGCCACCGTCTTGCGGCTATCAACCCTTGTTACCCACTCACCTCTACCCTTCACTCATCCGCCCTACACATCCCCCAGCTCGTCCCCCCTTCTCCTCTCTCACTGCCTTTCTTATTTTCTTCTCCTTTTAAGCCGCCCGTTTAAGTGGATTCCCAAGCGATCAAACTGCTTTTGCCTGAAATGGAATTTGTGTGTTGTGCACCGAATACCCCAAATCCACTTTGTTGGTTCGATCTTTCTATTTTACTTCCCCCTTTTTCGAGTGTGTTCGGAGCCCCTTTCTAAAGGTTTTCTTGAAGTTATGTGGTTCGTGGGCAATGCTCTCAAAATAAAAAGCGATCTCCCTACTCTTTCTTCTCTGCTGCTTGCGCTTGTCTTTCATTTTTATTTTATTTTTGTTCTTGTCAATTCCTTTGTCTAGCTTTTATTGCATTGTTCCCAGCACCTGTATGGTGCTGTATCAAATTTGCTTCCTGTCTGTCTTTCCTCTTCTTTTCTTAGGCTCATATCCTTTCTTGTTTGATACTGCCTTCTTTTTTCCTTCGCTTTTTTTCTCATTTCTTCGAGGATGCTGTTTGATCAGTGTCCTTGCCATGGATTTCCTTTTCTCGGTTGACAATTTGGTTCATACGGGGACTTTCTTTCCTTTTCTCTCCTTCATCTCCTTTTTTAAGTATTCGTATATGCTGTGATGAATTTCCTTGGACGTGCTTGACACATAGATCAGGCCTTTGATGGTCTTCTTTTGCCTCTCATGCCTGCTGGCGTTCTAGCCGATATACCAATTTGCCTTTTTCATTGTTGTGTCTTAATCTCTCTAGACCTTGGCTGATCGCCATCTTGTCCAACCTACCCTGCTCTTATGCGTTGGCGCCCTGGCAGTGGTGCGGTATGGTGTTACCTACGGAGAATAGGTAGCCGAAATCCATTCTGGATTACATAGGGCACTATATGTACCATAATTCCTCTATTAGGTAGGGCTTTCCTTTCTGAGCTGCCGCTGCTTCTATTAGGACGATTAGAGTCAGACTCACTGACTGCGCAGTAAGTGCGATTTGCTGCTCACTGATCAATCCCTGATTACTCAAAAATTCAGCAAAGGCATCTATTGAGCACTCAGTCGACTGTCACCCCATACCCAAAGGAGCGCCTTGCCTCACAGTTCTGTTCATCTTGCAACCTACTTTTTGATGGACATCATTTTCCACTATGCCATTTTTGGTGATACTCAATCTTCCAATCTTGTCTTCTCTCAACCAATAACGCACTGAAGCACGAAGATATAAAGTGGGTCCATTTTTGGGGTTGGGGTTGTGCTTAGGCTAATTCTTGTTAAGCACATCGAGCTAGTTTTATTTCCATCCTCTACGGGCCCCTAGAAGGTCGAATGGAAAGTGAATCGAATCCATGGGCTTGAATAGGAGTCACAGATGCTTGACACTGTATGTACACACATACCTGCACACCTGTCTAAGGGTTGTATAATGGTCGTAATAGTAGTCTGAATCCCTTACTCCCTCGGCCCCAGCTCAAAAGCAAGCTGTTTCGAAAGAGAACACACCCTCCAGCGTGCAAAGAGCTGCGCATTCTCCACCAAGATCCGCCGCAGCATCTCCCCCTCTCTGCTGCACCAGGCCACACGCCCTGCCATGTGCGTACATATGGCTCCATGATCCCCAAGGCTTCCTTGGCCCACCTGCCTGTCCTCTCCTCGCCAATTCTCCCCTTCTGCACCATCTGTCTCTCTAGCTCCCCGAGGAAACGTTTCCTCTCCTGCCCGTCCTTCACCGCAGCCTGCATGACCGCTAGTAGTATATGTGACCGGATTGACAAGTCCAACTCATCCATTTCCATTCCTTCTAGTCCTAATCCAACTATCTCCTCCACCGCAACAGCGGCTAGGAACTCCACCTCCTCCTCACTCCCGACCTCTTCCTCCCAACCCCTCCACCATGCCTGCGCTCCGGTCCCTCCATCGGGCAACCCACACCAATACACCTGCTCTGACTCGCCATCTCCATCGGCAACCTCTTCCCCCGATACCTGTGCGAGGTACTCTGCCTCCAACCCGTGTATATCATACTTTCCCTGCGCGACCAAAATCCCAAAGCTATTGGGCCCCCATACTCCCCGGGAAGTTATCTTAGCCAGCCGAGATGGAGATGGATCCGGGTCAAAATAGTCAAGCCAGAAGCGCGCATGTGGTTCCGAATAGGGTGGTGCGCTGGGACAGGCCGTGTGCAGGCGTGTCATGGTTGCCTCTAGCGTGTTGAGGGCTACTGTAGTAAGAGTCACAAATGGCAGAAAGGGCTGCCTGTGTCGCGTGCGGGAGACAGTGTAGGCCCAGCGGGGGAGTTTCAGGACGTGTGCAGATACCGGACTGTGACGCGGCTTGCATAGCGGGGAGGACGAGTCGGGGAGGTCCTGGAGGTCGGGCGGGCGGTAGAAGCGCGCTGTGGTGCGCTGGGCGAGGAAGTGGGTGGAGTAGTAGGAACGCCAGGCGGAGGAGTGCAGGAGGGCGTGGTGGGCTGTGTAGAAGGCAGGGAAATCAGAGAAGGAGGGTAAATCCCCTTCCAGTTGGGATGAATAGCGGTAGATGGCTGCTGCTAGCTGTGCGAGGTAGAATATATCCAGGGTACTATTATTTGTTAAGTATACCGTGCTATTGGAGATTACCATAGGAGATAGCTTACCGGTTAAAGCGTAACTCTCCCTCACCAAAGGACCAGCCATGTGCGTGTAGCTTCTCTACCTGATCGAACACCCCGTTGTCGTTCCACAGCCCCTCATCCAGATAGATGAATGCGATCCGCAAGACATCCTCGTGGCAGGTCACAGGTACGATGCCGCTTTCAAAATTGGCCAGAAATTCTTGAGCGCTCACTGTAGCGCTCATAGCACGTACAGTGGCAAAGGAAAAAAAAAGTGGTTATTGAGGAAGGGAATATAATTATCAAATCCCGAACCAGGAGAGGCTGGGATCAGGATGCAGTTGTGGCCCTATCGATAGCCTTGGCACGGCTAGTTGATGTTTTCAAAGAGTCCTGGTGCTATTTGAGAAATTTTTCGTATAGACTGATATCTTTATTCAATCGTCTAATGAGCGGAATTGAAGGGAAAGATCGCTAGATTGGAGGCAAAGTTATATACAACGGGCGGACTAGCTTGTCGCGTTTTATTGAACTGCTTCCTTAGTTCACCCCCCAAATTGCTACAGCTTAGTAAGCAACAGCAATTCTCGGGTTGGGGTCAGTGGTCAGATCATAGTGCTCAAGGTACATAGGAGAATGCCGCGAAAGCTCCACAGCATGATTTAGGTTTGAAAATAACAAAAGTTATTCTTGGTAGACTACACAGCTAGTGCATCGCTCTGTCCTTGGTTTGACTGTATCTAAAGCTCACCATGAAGCTTGATTGTAAGAGTTTGGTGCCTGAGTTACAAGGCCCCACACATCGCACCTGACGCTCGATCCTCTCCTTTCCAGCCTCCGTCATCAAGCCATGTGAGGTTAAACATAACCCAAGCAGAACCAACAATCTTAGTGCCCACATTTCCCAATGTTGGGGGACTGAATGCTGTAGAGCTGACGTCCCAGCTCTCGGTATTCACCTGCACCCAATGGACGATGGCCAAAGCAGCAATGCGGAATCCGCAGCCGTCAACGGGCTATCCAATCGCACGCGTTCTGGCAGCGCCAGCAGTGGCCACAAACGAAGCCTCTCAGGCTCTTTACTCTCGAGACTCTCCTTCCTTCGCATGAGCCAGGCATCTGCGCAACCTGAGTCGGGATCCCATAGCATGGATCAGGACGGGGACAGCGAGGACCTCGCGGCCAACGTGCCGCAAGTCACCAGCGAGGCACCCACAAGCAGCAGGGCAATGTCGGCCGCCATACAGCAACAGCGCCGTACACGAAGGCGGAGGGGTTCGTTACGGAAAACGGCTCTGCTGGGCACACGGTTCGAGTCGCGGGAGAAGAGAGTCACGGCCAAGCTTGCAGACGCGACCCCTCGCTACCAAGGCGAGGTGTCGCCGCCTCAGAAAGATCATGCGTCCGTTGACAACGGCTTCTCGTCGCGGGAGAGCCTCGTCGATGACGATGACGGGCAGCCAAGCTGGTTCAGTTCCAGCGCCGCGCAGAAGACCCTCCGCTCCTCCGTTGCCCGACGCCGACAGGGCCTCGCGCCGCAAGATCTTCTTGGCGGCGAGGAAACGGGGACCGACGACGAAGAGCTCGTCTCCTTTCCGCGCATAACTACCGCGAATAACACGTCTGCGAACACCGGCGCACCAACAACCACCGGCAAAGCCAGCCCAACCTCGGGCCTCCACATCTCGACCCAGTCTTCCGCCTCAGACTCATACTACCCCCTCCCTACGGACACGGCCTACCGCCCTGTGCACCGCAACAAGTCCTCACCGCTCGCCCCCCATCCCGTCGAAATCAAAAATAACGCTGATACATGGGACTACTCGGAGACAGAGTGGTGGGGTTGGATTATCCTGATCGTGACTTGGCTGGTCTTCGTTGTAGGCATGGGCAGCTGCTTCGAGGTCTGGAGTTGGGCCTGGGATGTCGGCGAAACGCCATATGCGCCGCCGGAGCTGGAAGATGACCCTACTCTCCCCATTGTGGGCTATTATCCAGCGCTAATTATCCTCACTGCTGTCATGTCATGGGTTTGGGTTGTTGTTGCCTGGGTCGGCATGAAATATTTCAAGCATGCTAATATCTCGGGTGACGACAGTTGATACCTGTTCAACCTTATCTTTTGTATATATAAATGAATACCGCAAATTACGATTCCCTGCTATCAGTTCACAAGTCAATTCCTGCTTTTAAATCCCATTCTGCATTGAAATTTAGCAATTTCGAGTCTATGCAAATACATGACAACTCTTCTAGATCCCGAAAATCTCTCCAAAATAAACAGAGATATAAAACATTGACCAACTCCACGTTGCTGGATTGAATCTGACGTGCCCTTGAACATTGTCCCTGACGCCAAATTAAGACAAATGCTTACGCTTTCAACATCCTCAACAAACAGTTCATGTCCTGCGCTATCAGCCGTGGGGCCTCGTTTAGTGGGATACTGCACACTCCGCAGCATGGCCGATGCGAGGTTCTTCAAAAACAGGTGCATTGCCTTCCCGGGTTGCATTACTTGTCGAAGACGCCCATGTTTCTTTGGAATTAGAAAGCGGAACAGTGGTGCCGGGTGCGGTGCTGACGAGACCTTTGGAAACGGCATAGCAGGACGAGCGATCATGGTTCAGATTCTCGCCGTAGAACTCGTCCAAGATCGGATGTAGCATAACCGTTTGCTTGTGGATCGTGACCACAGAATTGGTTGGAACCGAGACCCAATTGTCTAGCAAGATTAGCATTCAAGTCTTGCCATCAAAGGAAACCCAGGAGACCAGCTTACGTCGTTCGAAGGTGATTGGCTCACTCGCTACCAGCACAATATCGGCGCCCTTGTCATGGCGCTCCATCTTGAAGTGGCCCTTCGTCTTGCCTTCTTTCCACTTGGTCCCGGATGAGAAATATAGACTGGCAGGCTCATCCGTTTTGCTGCTGATATAGCGGGTGCAGACAACCGTGTGGCCGTCCGTGACCGCGAAGTTCAGGAGACTCCGGGTCTCAACGCCGGTGACTTTGTATTTCTCTGGGATTTCTTGCACAAACTCGTTGATCTTGGCAATGGTCTTCATCATCACCTTGCGCAGGAGTGCCTGGCCAAAGCCCTCAGGCCCGGGATCGGAGCTGGGATCGACACCTTCTTTTTCGAGCAGATCGAGAAATAGCGCAAACGCCCACTCACTATCTGTACCACCCTTGACGCCCAAATACCATTTATCTGAGAGGGAGCTGGCCAGCGTGCGCTTAATGTAACTCCACCCGCCGATGCCACCGTTATGCATCCACATCAGGGTGTTGTGCTGGAACGGGTGGCAGTTATTGTCTGCAAGAGCACCTTCTGTGGTTGCTCGAACATGGGCAAAAATCAGGTTTGAGCAAGTCTTGGATGCAAGTCGCTCCAGGTTCTCGCAGTTCCATGCTGGCAAAGTGGATGTAAAGATGCAAGGCTCCGGGCCCAATTTTGGGTCTGTATAGAAGCCAACTCCAAAGCCGTCACCATTCACTGGGCGCCGATTATCCTGGGAATTATTGTAAGAAGACCAGTCTTGAAAATGGAGGCTCAGGTGTGGACAACGGAGAGAGTGACTCAAGCCATACATACCAATCTTAACCGGGAATCATAGGACTGAGTGAGGATAGAATGACTGGGTTCTGTAATCAACTTGCTTAGACGAATATCATTACGTCCTTTGTATATCTGCAGGCAATATAGTTAGTTTCCAGTTCTCGTGCTACGCGTTTGGAAGCTCCAGCTCACAAGAAATCGGCACATCGCGACTCTTGATCCGGCGTGGCTGTTCTTTCTCGAAATTCAAGTATATATATTGTTGCTCAAGTAGATTCTTGCAATGTGGCCCGTTATTTTGTTGCAATGGAGAGCGTTCCTGAAAGACCAAGCCCCTGATGCTAATCAAGTTGACACAGAGCGTTGGGCGTGGATCGGTGAAGAGTCACCGACTATCGGGAAGCCACAAGAAGGCTTCTTTGCACCCAACACCGATTTTAGCGAGATGATTGTAGGATAGAAGCAGATAAATTAAGAAACAGAACTTCTCAAAATCCCTTTCTAGACTAAAAATCCCCTACAAGCACCTACTCACTTCCCTTGCACAGCACGTCATTTGTGCTCACGTGACAATAAATACAGGTGACGATGCGGCCACTCGCGCAAGTCACGTTGATGTCAGTGGTAGTGGATCTGCAACTTCGCCATCAACTTATCTTGAATGAGATCCAGCAACAGACATGAGCGGGAGGATACTCTCCCACCGACTTGCTCCGCTGATGCGGACTGGCCTGGCACGCCATCTTCATAATGCAGGCTCGCGAACAGGCGGTCTACTTCGCGCGGATAGTGCCACTGTCAGAGGACGTGCTTGGCCGATAGGGTCAAATGGAATTCACAATGTGCCGGCTGTCCGAGCCTTTTCCTTCAGTCGCATGCTCCCAAAGCTTGCCCTCAAGCTTGTCCGCGTGCCTGCCATGTTTGGTGGAGCGACTATTGCGGGGTTGGCTTATTTCCAGTATCAAGCAACTCGTACGTGCTGTTTTGGATGATTTTGGATGATGTTAGAATTACTGGATGCTGACGGTTATCTTTAGAAGCTGGAAACTACGCAATGGATATGTTGAAGACCTTTGGGGAGACCGCCGGGAATACGGCATCAGGTATTTTCCAGAGTATTCAGGATGTGGCGGAACAAACACAACGCGGGTGGGAGAAGACAACAGAGGATGTGGATCTCCCAGAGTGGCTACAGAAAGTCCTCAGACTTGATGAGGAGTCCAAGAATCAAAGAGGCAGCTCAGGCGAAGGTGGCAGGGAGCCAAAGGAGGGCCGAGCTGCCGTGGGAGCAGCAGCAGCAACAGGTTCCGCGTTTGGTTACGAACAGTCGGACGAGGAAGATTCTCGACCCGAAAAGGAAGTCGCTGAAGATGACCAGATGATGCTGTTGACTCGCAAAATGATCGAAATTCGAAACATACTGCAAACAGTTGGCCAATCCGGAACCTTGACTCTTCCATCGATCGTCGTTATCGGATCTCAGTCTTCTGGCAAGAGCTCGGTTCTGGAAGCTATCGTGGGACATGAGTTCTTACCCAAAGGGTCAAACATGGTAACTCGCCGGCCCATCGAGCTGACCCTCGTCAATACTCCTAATGCTCAGGCGGAATATGGTGAATTCCCTGCTTTGGGTCTCGGCAAAATCACGGACTTTTCTCAAATCCAGCGCACTCTAACAGACTTGAACCTTGCTGTTCCTGACAAGGATTGCGTGTCAGACGATCCTATTCAACTAACTATCTACTCTCCAAATGTCCCGGATCTCTCAATGATTGATCTCCCGGGATACATTCAGGTGGCTGGCCATGACCAGCCTCCTGAGTTGAAGCAGAAAATCTCCGATCTCTGTGACAAGTACATCCAAGCCCCCAACGTCGTCTTGGCTATCTCTGCAGCCGATGTTGATCTGGCGAACTCGACTGCACTTAGAGCCAGCCGCCGCGTAGATCCTCGTGGCGAACGGACTATCGGTGTTATCACAAAAATGGACCTGGTCGACCCTGAGCGAGGGTATGATATTCTCACCGACAAGAAGTACCCTCTTCGCTTGGGTTATGTGGGTGTCGTGAGCCGGATTCCCCAAACCACTGCGCTCTTCTCTCGGGGCTCCGGAAACATCACCAGCGCCATCTTGAAGAATGAAAACGCCTATTTTTCAGCGCACCCAAGCGAATTTGGCCCTCACTCCGAAACCTCCGTTGGGGTCTCGACCCTGCGAAAGAAACTGATGCACGTTCTTGAGCAGACTATGGCATCCAGTTTGTCAGGAACCAGAGATGCAATTAGCCAGGAGCTTGAAGAAGCAACATACGAATTCAAAGTGCAGTACAACGATCGGCCTCTGAGCGCTGAGTCTTATCTCGCTGAGAGCTTGGATAGTTTCAAGCATTCATTTAAGGCATTTGCCGAAAGCTTTGGCCGCCCACAGGTTCGAGAAATGCTCAAGGCAGAGCTTGATCAACGTGTTATGGATATTCTTGCCCAACGATATTGGAACAAGCCTGTTGAGGACTTGAATCCTCCAATGACAGAGTTGGACCCTCTCAAGGATCTGCCCAAGGCTGATCCAGAGTCTCTGTTCTGGCACCGGAAACTCGATGCCTCCACGTCATCTCTGACAAAATTGGGTATTGGTCGACTTGCTACCACTGTAGTTGCCAGTGCTTTGCAAACCCATGTGGATCATCTTCTCTCATCTTCTACTTTTGCGTCTCATCCAGGCGCCCATAAGCAGATCACCGATGCCTGCAACAGCATCCTCAATGATCGGTTCTTCAGCACGAGCGATCAAGTTGAAAACTGCATCAAGCCCTACAAGTTTGAAATCGAGGTGGACGACTCTGAATGGTCAAAAGGGAGGGAAAATGTGAGCAAAGTGCTGAAGGAGGAGCTTCGAGCATGCGAGGTGGCTATGAAGCACGTGGAAGATCAGATTGGCAAGCGCAAGCTCAAGGATGTCATGTCTTTCATCGACAAGGTTCGAAAGGGCGATGTGTTATTGGAAGGCAATGGTGCTGGTGGAGCTGGAGGCTTCAGCTCTGCCCTTCTAGAGCGAGGTTTGTTACAGAGTGCTTCTCATATGTGCAGTGGCGTTTGATACTAATGTCTTTCCAGGCCGCGAGGGAGTTTTCCTCCGCGATCGAGTCGATCTTATCAAGATGAGACTTATGGCTGTTCGCTCGAAGCAGTGCGCCACGCTGAAGAACAAATACTACTGCCCGGAGGTATTCCTCGATGTCGTTGCGGATAAGCTCACCTCTACTGCGGTCCTTTTCCTCAATGTCGAGCTTCTCTCCGAGTTCTACTACAACTTCCCGCGTGAGCTCGACCTGCGTCTTGGTAGGCATCTCTCCGACGCCGAAGTTGAGCGCTTCGCTCGTGAAGACCCCCGAATCCGGCGCCACCTCGACATCATCCGTAAGAAGGAGCTGTTGGAGTTAGCCCTACAGAAGATCGAAGGTATTCGTCAACTCGATGGCCGCAGCTCGCACCGAAACTCGGACCGTGCGCAGAGTCCCAAAGAACCCCGAAGCCGTTGGAATATTTTCTAAGGATTATCTGTGATGACCCCTTGATTCGTTTCGCCTTGCCCCTCCATTTCTCTGTCTTCCCTGCTTGATACCTCTTCTATCCCTGGTCTTGTAATTTTGATACCTTTCTCTCGCTCCTCTATATTCCCTTTTCTCCTCGTTCTTCTCTGCTCCGGGCGGGATGCCCCCTCCCCTTTTTTAGACGGCTTGATGCCTGTACATATTCCACTCGCACTAATCTATCAGTGATACGATTTTTGAGCATCGTTTTGATTCAATAATAACAACATATTACGTAACAATAAAGATCCCAATGATTCGCCAGCTAACTTTTCTCCCTTTGCTTTCAAAAAGGCATCTGTATTATCTTCATCATTTCTAACCAAGACCGTTTGGCCTATTCTATATTACACATGCTGATTCTGTCTCGTCTCATTACGGCAATCTCCCGCAATGACAGTTCCGCAGTCCGTGAGCTCTACAGCTTCGTCCTGCACCTCGAGCTGCACAGTTTTCATGATTTGCAGCCCTTGACCACTATGCGCATGGCTGGTGGTAGGATCATCCTCCTGTTCATAGCTTCGTAGTGGATTTGTACTGTTGGTCCCTGACGAGCTGGGAGGAAGGTATTTGCGAGGGAATGTGTTTGAGGAGCCTCGTTTCGATGACTTCAATCTAGATGTCGACGTGCCGTCGGTATATGAAATGCCATTTTGGTCTTCGTAGGCGGCAAGGAATGATTTCAAAAAAGCCGACACTAGGCAAACTACGCCTAGTGCGAGGTAGATTTCTGTGGTGATTGTTGCAAAGGCGCCAGTCAAAATCGGATACTCCGACTCAATTTGCTTCTTTGTAAAGTAGAAGCGAAGCGCCGCAAGGGGGATCAGCCTTGCGAGTTAAAATCCGTTAGTTTGTTTGGAGGCCGTATATATATGTGATCTGACAACTCACACAACTCGGCTCTCAAGACCCAAAAGCACCATAAGCTTTTTTGAAACAGAGATTTTGACCTTGTAGATCGCCAGTCCGGCGTAGAGTAGAAGTAAGACTTCGGTGAAGATGTCCAGGCTGGTGATGGCTTCCCAGCGTGGAAGCTGTAACGGGGGTCAATTGAATAAGCGGGAAGTGGTATAATCTAGTTGAAAACCTACCAGGTTGCGACAGTGAGCGGCACTGATATCGTTCCATGGGTCATTGTGACAGCGCACGGCCAATAAAAGTATGGCAGCGATTATCCATGCGACAATGACCAGGAGAATGGCACGGATAAACCAGCGCCGGATCTGCGAGAACAGAGCCTCGTAGAACAAGCAAGTGGTGATTTTAGACAAACCCGACACTAAAATTGAGAGGATATCGGCAGCATACGCAGCCTTTGTTTGTGCTTGTTAGCATTGAACCGTCGCAATCGAATTGCAGCATAGGTAGATTACCTTGAGCATTCGTTCATCCATCGCCGTGACAGCCTCCATTCGCGTGCCCCAGCCGCAGTGGACCTGCACCAGCACCACACATGCTTGAAGAGATGCTACTAGCTATTGTAGATATGAGCCTGAGAAGAGGATATCATTGGTAACAGCAGAAGAAAGGGAAACCCATACCACGAGCACACCAAACATGTAGTCATCTTTCTGGACGATCCGCCTTTGATATGACGCAAAGATGCGTGCGGCAAGAGATGACAGAATTAAAACCAAATTTAGAGAGGTAATGATCACAATTGATCCACTGTGGTTGTTTTGGTTGTCGATGGTGAGAGGGGCGCTCATTCCCGAGTATATCGCCGTCGAAGAGGCCGCCATGATTGCTTAAAGGCCCAGAGTAAACCTCAACCGCATATCGCGACACTCCTACGACCCATACGGTAGTCGCATGTGGGGTTGGGGGGACGAAGGTTTAGGGCTCTATTTCTCTTCAAGTTTCCCCAGAGAAGGGGGGCAAGGGGCATCATCTAATCATATTTTTTTTGGATGCTGCCAAACGTGAGCCAGGATAAGGAACCACTCAGCCTTTTCCAGGAAACATCAAGGGTTAAACTGGGGGCTTCTCAGCCCGCTGATATCAGACCATTGCTTGGCCCGGGCGATCATGCCGATGGGCTGACGGTAAGAGGGGCGCAGTGCCCTGCTGGCGTTGCACAAGGGATCGTATTAGAGCGCTTTGCTGTCTTCCCCCTCCCCCCTTGCACTCATGCAGATAGCATGTGATGGGAGATACATATATGTACAAACAATGCAGACGGTGCAGCCAGTACAACAACCCGGTACACAGCCTGGATATCGCCCCAAATTCGAGGCCTTGCACTCCTGTCCCGAATCATACCCTATGCATCCTCAACCATGTCCGAATCTAGTAATCGTCAGCAGACTGACTTCTGCAGCGCTGCGGAGATTAAACACTATACGGCTGTGAATAGAGACTCCAATCGCGACCCAGATCATCAGATAGGGTCTTTCTCAGGTTTGCCTTGAGGGCGATCCCGGTATCTCATTCTGCAGCGTAACTCCCCACATGGTCACGGCGCATTGGAATGGACTCCTGCAACTCTCAGTTTAGTGCCACGGCTTGCGACCGTTCGTGACACACAGACCAAGATAATTCGGGTATCTGACCTTTTTCTTATTTTCTTTTTTTTGGGCGGCGGGGGGCCATCTGACAGCAAACCCGCTTAACCAGTCCGAATATCAATTAGACTAGGCTATGCTTGGTCAAGATAGAGTAATATAGTAACCCCCCCCCTTCCCCCCGTGTTCCCCGGGTACCAGCGCGCCCCTAGCGGGCCAAGAATCGGCGCCGGTTGCGGTCGCCCGCGCCCAGAAGATCGACAGCCTCCCGCAGGTGGTCCCAGGTGGTCCCCCAAGGGAAACCCTCCCCCCTCAGGGTTCAGTGGAGAGGGCCTGCTCTCCAGAACTATTCTAGACCCCTACGGGGCGTTCGATACTTATCTCTTCTTGTTAACCCTCATTGCGGTCTTTTTTTTTTTTTTTCTTGATTTCTCTTGCTTTCCGGTTTTGTTTTCCTCCCTGCTCAGTCGCGTCGCATAATGCAGGCCCCTACAAAGCCGCCCAGGCTAGAAACACAAGACACGGAAATCCACCCCATGGAGCCTATGGATCCCATGAACCAGGATGGTTCGCAGAGCCATAAGACAGCGACCGTGTTGGACGACAGTGATATGCACCGCATGGGAAAGGTTCAAGAATTAAAAGTATGTCTCCTCGTTTAGACTTGCCGCCATCGCCCTTAGATCTCACATTCCCAATCAGCGAAACTTGCGACCTGTGGCGGCATTGAGTTTTGCATCGGTCCTACAGGCAACCTGGGAGTTCATTCTGATGTGAGTGGCTATCGTTCAAAGCTGAACATAACTACATCAACGATATACTCTTGAGATCTTGAATCTTGGTTCTCACTCGACCCACCTCTGCCTATAGTTCCAATTCGCAAGGCCTCGAGAATGGCGGCCTACCTGGCTTGTTTTGGTCCTACATCTGGACGTTTATCGGGTTTGGATTCATCATCGCCTCATTATCGGAGATGGCGTCCATGGCTCCAACCTCGGGAGGACAGTATCATTGGGTGTCGGAGTTTTCCTCCCCGCGATATCAAAAGTTCCTGAGCTATATCACCGGTATGCACTTCGTTTTATTTTTTTTATTTTCTCCTTTCTGGTCTCCTACTCTCAACCATCCCATGAGAGAAATTCACAGTCACTCATCTGAATCTTTGCTTGCCTCTAGGTTGGATGTCGGTGTTGGCCTGGCAAGCTGGCTCGGCTTCGGGCTCTTTTTTGACGGGCACGATCATCCAGGGCTTGATCAGCGTCCGCAATCCAGATTATGTGTCGGAAAACTGGCAGGGCACGCTCTTCGTCTTTGCCATGGTCCTAGTAATCTATATCTTCAATGTCTACGCGGCAGACCTCATGCCCGTTCTGAACAACCTCCTGATGATTCTCCATGTCCTGTCGTGGACAGTGGTTCTCATCGTACTCTGGGCCATGGCTCCCCATCAGTCGGCGGAGGCGGTTTTCATCACGCAATGGAAGAACCTGGGCGGCTGGTCATCCATGGGGATCAGCGTTTTGATTGGACAGATCTCGGCCATCTATGGCTCTCTGAGTATGTCAACAACATTCTTGTCTCTGGCCCGGTATCACAAAATACTTCTCTATCACGAAGCCATGCTCTCTGACTACGCAAATGGATCAAAGACAAATAATTAACAAGTATGACTGCTCCCCCAGGTTCCGATGCAACTGCCCACATGTCCGAAGAAGTCAAAGACGCAGGCCGAAACGTGCCAATCGCCATTGCCTGGGGATACTTCAGCAATGGCATCATGGCCACCATCCTACTCATCTCCTTCCTATTTGCGACCCCGTCTGTAGAAGACGCGCTTGATGACAACACAGGCTTCCCCTTCCTCTACGTCTTCAAGAACGCGACTTCCGTTGCCGGCGTGAACGGCCTCACCGCAATCATCCTTATCCCCGTGATTTTCAGCAACATCCTCTTTAACGCCTCGACCTCACGGCAGACATTCGCGTTCGCCCGTGACAAGGGTCTCCCCTTTTCGCGGTGGATCGGGAAAGTCGACGCACGGAGACATATTCCCGTGAACGCCATCGGGCTGTCATGTCTGTTCAGCTGTGCGCTGTCGCTGATCAATATCGGCTCGCTGACGGCATTCAACGCGATCATCTCGCTGAACGTCGCCGCGTTAATGTACACGTACATCATCTCCATCAGCTGCGTGATCTACCGAAAAATCTGGCTTCCCGGGTCACTCCCTCCGCGCCGCTGGGATATGGGGCGGTGGGGGTTGGCGGTTAATATTGTGGCACTGCTGTATTCCTGCTTTGCCCTGTTCTGGTCTCTGTGGCCGAGTAATTACCCGGTGACGGTGGAGAATTTCAACTGGAGCGTGGTGATATTCGGAGGTGTGTTCTTCATCAGCCTGGGCATGTATATAGTCAAAGGACGGAAAGAGTACGCGGGCCCTGCAGTGATTGTGCAGCGGTGAGAATGGAGGAATGTGTATCAAAATGGGGAAGAGAAAAGTTGTTTCTATACATAAGCTACTTGATACCTTTTTTGGCTCATGGAACATACATTGATTGAACAAGATATCAAAAAGAAAAATAAGAAAAGCAAAGTTCATTGGTTAAAATATGGCAGTTTCTAGACAACGATCCCAGGCCCAGTCTATCTGTTCCCATAACGTACAACCCAAGAAAAAAAGAGAATCAAGAGCTTCCCAAAAAGAGGCGAATAAGAAAGAAAGAGTGCAGATTAATGCTTTTCCTCTCCAATCCCAGGCACGAAGAGGTCTGTCAGATGCGGCGAAAGTCCATTTCGAATCCGAATAGGCAGTTATACATGGTTGAGAAAGGGGGTGTGAACAAGGAAGCACCAATAGCAGGTCATCAGAAACGAGAACGGGCAGGGGATATGTCTATCAGGACGGAAGACGAAAACATAGAGGTGGCGGGGGCGTTTCAGAGGGTGAGCACACAGTCAGTTGTGTGTCGAGAGAATGGAGACATAAGGAAATGGGAGGGACGACTGTGATTTAACAACGGTCGTGACAGGCATGGCTTGGTGCATTTACTCCCGAGAGACATCACGGCCGAACAGGCGGGCCTTGATCCAGTCGACGGCGACCAGGACACGGTTGCGGGCTATTGAGAGTTAGTACCGAGTGAAATTAAATGGGGTTGAAAATATCGACGGTGACTTACAGCTGAAACACATGCTCAGGTAGGCACTGCGCCAGAAGAGGTAGGTCAAGGTACCACCACTAGCAATGTTGCCGCTCAGCCAGCTGATATCGGCGACGGCACGCTCCTTGCCAATGTAAGCCAGAGAACCCTGGTGAGAGTACTGGAATGGGCCAATTTGCTTGGTTCTCCGCAGCTGCTTCTGGCGCTCACGGATTTCGTCAAAGACCTGGTTACGCTCCTCGTCGCTCTTGGCCTTCGACTGCTCGCTCGACAGGGTCTGGAGCTCCTTTTCGATGGCATCAGTCTTGGCCATGGTGTTGAACAGGCGAGCCAAGAAAGCACCCTCTTGACCGGCAACCTGGGCAGTCGGAGCGTAGTTGGTGATGGCGCAGTCACCAACGGCCCAAACGTTCTCAGCACCGTTGACGACAAGGTACTCATTGACGGCAAGACCACGACGAGAGTCCTTTTGCGCGGGGATCTGGCTCATGAGGTCGCGGACCACGGGGCGGACGGCGTTACCGGTGGCCCAGACCAGGAGACCGTAGGGGATCTTCTCGATGGACTTGCTGCCGTCGGGGTTGGTTACCTGGGCCTCTATGTACTTGTCGGTGACGTTCTTGACCATGGTCTTGGTACGGATAGTGATCTCCTCCTCCTTGAAGGTGGATTCAGTATAGTCAATCAGCTGCTTGGAGAACATGGGAAGCACGTTGGGCAGAGCTTCAACCAGGGTGACGTGGAAGTTGTCCTGAATCTCAGGAATCCACTTCTTCAGGTCGTCGTTGAAGAAATCCTGCAGTTCACCGGCGAACTCGACACCAGTCGGGCCACCACCAACCACAACCATGTGCAGCAGGCGCTTGACCTCGTCTTCGGTCTGATCCTTGAACATAGCGGTTTCGACACAGTCCATAATACGCTTACGGATGTTCTGGGCATCGTTGACCTCCTTCAGGAAGCACGAGTTCTCGCGAACACCGGGAATACCTGCATTCCCTAGGTTAGTTCAGGTTCTCATCCAAAATGTCGGTCGCAATCCCACAAAGGGGTCATTAAAGAGTCACCCACCAAAAGTCGCGTTCTCGGCACCAACGCCGATCACAAGCATATCGAAGGGAACCTCAGTGTTCGAGATTTCACCCTTAATTTCGGAGTCGTCACTGATGTGAACCACACGCTTCTCGTAGTCGATCTTGGTGGCCTCGGCTTCGAAAAACTTCACATGAGCTTTCTTCTGGCGCAGAATGTTACGGATAGGCTCCATGATCGAGCGGTGCTCGATCAGACCGGTAGTACATGAGGGCAGCAGAGGGGTGAAGAGGAAATAGTTGCGGGGGAGACGACGACGACGTTGTAGTTTTCAGTATCGAGCTTCTTCAGGAGAGAGACGGAGCCCCAGCCGGTACCTGTCGAGCACAATGACAATTAGCGACCTCTTCTGGGATGGGGTCCCTGATCGTGGATTCGACCTGCGACCACGGGCGAAACCTACCAAGAATGACCAAGGTCTTCTTCTCGGGGTCGACCTCGAACTGATCCTCGGGATGACGCAAAGAATAGATGCTATAGACCAGGGCGCCGGTCAAGCCGAGACCGCTCAGCCAGGTCAGACGCCAGGCCCAGCGCAGAGCGCGAAAGCGCTTCTTGGGCTTCGGAGCCGGGGAGGGAGTGGGAGCGGCATCGGCGTAACCGCGACGGGCGACGCGCGAGATGGAGATGTTGGACCGGATGGGAGCCGCGCGAAGGGCGTTGGAGGTCGCGATGGAGCGACGCGACACCGATGACAGCTGCATCATGGACCGGGAGGCCATTGAGCGCATAGCCAGCGTGGTGCCAGCCATAATGAGGTGGGAAGGGGGGGAGGTTGGTGAAGGGGCGCACCAGTGCAGTGGAGCGTTGGAAGGAAAGAAGAGAAAGGGAGAGGCGATTAATGATTAAGGGGAAAAAAATCGATAAGGGCCGTTCAGCTGCGTAAATTGCTGTTTCGGGCGAATCGGTGTAATCGGGGCGGGAACCACAGGCTTTTCTTGCCTTGTCCGAGTCCAGATAGTATGGCCTCGGTGAACCTATACTTCTTCCAGGACTCCACTTCCCTTTTTCCTCACGTCTTGAAATTGAATCAGTTATATTCTCGATCAATTCCTCGCTAACATGATGATATCACGGTCATTATGTCGAGGGCAAGGGCTATGGAATTACACGGGTTTTTTCCACTATGGATCGACAAGGCAGCAGGACCTTCCGGCCCCGGTTTTTTGCTTAGCAGCGGCCAAATGCCCGGAAAAATGAACTGGAAAAAAAAAAAAAAAAAAAAAAAAAGGGCAAAAGAAAAATTGGAGACGTGAGGGGAGCTCGCTCCCGGTGAGGAGAAATTAACCGCTGAGGAGAACCTCCTGTCAATGTGTTAATTGCGCTCCACATCAACATAGAAAAAAAATATATACAAACGCAATCCCCTCACGAGCATTTCTCACTCCAAAAAAAAAAAAGCTCGCTGTGAGCTCAATTGCTCGGTCGTTGAACATGCTCCCCCGCCACATCCATCATAGCCCTACAAGGTCACTTGGTGGCCCCGGAATCACCCGTGGCACCCGGAAGATTCAGCGTAGCTCCCAAGCAGCCCCATCTCGCCAGCTCGACCGGGCGTAAACCTTCCTAATGAGAAGAATCTGGGGAAAAGATTGTCTGGTCCACATGACGAATCTATCACGCCCCGGTTTCTTCCTGTTGCTTCCTTAGCCTATCCTCCAAGTCGCTCGGCTCGGCATAAGTCGGCCCTAATCAACCCCCCCCCCACCCCACCCTTTGCTGAGGGGGGAGAAGCCCCCATCCTCGTTAAATTCCAGATCAATTGCTTTTTGAGAGCTCTGGAGCTATTAAGCGGTAACCCCTTGAAGTGGTCCTGGTCGTAGAGAAACATGTCCCCGGAAGCGATTGTACCATAATGAAACACACCCCGTTCGAAATTTCGATTTCTCTCATTCTAAGGAGTCAGCTGGTTTTTATTGATCCCGAGCCACTTTGGTTGACATAGCTGCACTATACTTGTGGAAATGCGCTTAGGATTGGCTGGAAGTGAGTCAACACCTCCTTTTTAGACATATAGATAGCTATCAGCGTGTTTAGCTAGTTATCCTAGAAGGATAACTATATATCGAGTTCTTCGCCGATTCTAGCTTGCTAAACGACTATCAAAATGTAAGATCCCTTTGGGATTAGCTACTGCATTTAAACGACGGTATTTTATATCAAAATAGCGAAGAATAACTGATTCTTCTAGGATTTAGAAGTAGATATTTTCCGACGAGTATTCTATTCAACGAATATCGAATGCTAGCCCTAAATATTATTAGAGATTTACTTCTTAGGCCTATAGGCGTGATCTTATCAACAAGCAGGTTTATATTAAGGATATTTCGCAGATAGTTTAGGGTGCTATCTAGCTTAGTAGTCGATCGATGTTATGGAATAACCACATTCGATATTATTCCGGCCGACCGGCTCGTTTCGGATATGAATCTTGCATATAACGATATTTGTTTATAAAGGAGAACAAGTTAGAATCGGATCCCTTTACCGTTAATCCTCCGGCAAGTAGCAGGATAACGACATTTAGATTATAGAAAGAGAACCCCTTATTCTTTGGAACTGAATCTTGAGGAGATTCAGTTATTAGAATATTATACCTTTACTATTCTTCCTCGATACTATTTCGATTCAATATTGTATTCATTTTTCTTACCTGACTAACAAGCCGCTACCTATACTAGACCTGACCCGCGGGCCGTGCTATAGCCTATGTATCCTCACGTTGCTTGACAACCAGTTCAAAACATTAGAATACTAGATAACTTCACAATTAAATAAAAGATTCATTTATATGCACCAAGAAATATACTCAATCATAAGGCCCTCTCGACAATATTCAGTGTCAATATCTTAAATCACTTGCCCTACTTTTCCCCCTATAGTTAAGGGTACCCTATGAAAGCATCGTATTACGATCCTTCAATCCCCATAGGATTGGAACGTTGCTAGTGTAGAGAAGACTCAAAGGTTCATTAGGATTAATTGTCGTGAAGATATTAGAAAATTCTAGAGGAAAGCTAGGATGGCTTACACATCGCGAGAATCTATTGCTAATTTTGGTGACAAAGCATAGAAAAACAGTGAACGATATATTTTTATCGCTCTGCGACCGCACTCCTTACTTATGAATGTGTTCAGAGTGGAGGATTATTGACAGCGGGTATCAATTCCTCTACAGGAGTAAAAATGATTTGTTTTTCTTTGAATGCGACATTCTTGTCGGTTTCAAGTTGAAAATGATATAGAAGTAGATTGTCCTTGATCAGGCAAAAAGGGGGGGAGGTAGAGCATCGAAGAAGGTATGATAGGGCTGGTGTCATCCCTGTAGAATCATATCGAGGCTTTTCACAGAAATGAAAAGTCCAAAAAAATAGAGGTGTAGCAAGCAGGAAATTCGGAAAGAATACCCTGCCGTCATGCTGGGCAGCAGCAAATCACGCTGTAAAGAAAGAAGTGCAAAGTCCTTTCTTTGAATGCGTGTCATTCTTTCTGAGTCTACCCAAAAAAAAAATCTGTTTGTTGCAAATGACCAACCCATGGGCCGTCACCTTGTTGGGAACTGTCATTGACAAGAATGGAATCCATTGTTGGGTATACATTATGGCCAGGAATCAAATCAGGCCAGGGCTGAAAACTAAGTTGAATATTCGACTCAAAATCTGACTGGGGATTGTTGAAGCCTGTTCCAGGCATTGGATGAGATGGTATGAATCTTGAAAAACGTTTCAGGATCTTTTTTTCTTCTTCCGTCAGTTGATGCAGAGCGTGACTGGTTTTTATGGCTTCTATCGGGGTCATGTCAGCTTCCATTCATTGAAAGAACGATAGGCATGTGAGCTCACTCAACAGATCCATCCCGATCTCCCAGGTATGTGCGAACTTTTTCAAGAGCCCTTCGATTAGTACGCGACCGAGGCTGACCGATGAATCCAGAAGTGAATCCGGTAGACCACACATAAGGTGATGGGAAGAGATCAAAGTCCATGCTATGAGGGGTTGGCAGGTGGCGAATGCATTACTTGGCCAAGAATCCACTATGTAGGTAAGTTCAGCATTGAAGGCGCGAAGGGATGATATGCGCGAGTCGAAAACTGGAGGAGTTGGGTCCGAGGCGTCCGTTGGGGCTTGCAGGGCCCTCTGTGCAGATAGCAGCAGGTGTGTACCGATGACCCAATTCCTTTCGGTCATTTGATCAGGCGGGAGAAGGATCTGAAAGGGGAGATGGAATCCCTCCGGCAGGGCAAGGCGGAAACAGTGAAAGGACAATTTTATTGTCTGTTTTTCTTGCTCATTTCTGGACTGAGGTGTAAGAGCAATCGAGGTGAGGTAATTTGCAACCAGGAACCAAGCTCGTGGATTTTGATTTTCTGATCCGATCAAAGATTTCCAAGCCTCTTCGGGTGACGATTTGAGGGTAGTTGAAGCAGTAGGCGTCCCAGAAAACCATCTTTCGTCGGAGATGGGAAGAAAGACGGCAAATTCCTCCCGAGGTATGGCGTAAGATCTGTCGCAAGTGAAAGATGCGAAAGTATCAAGTTCCCAAACCAGCCACCAAGCTCTTCGCCGTTCTTCAAGTTGTATCCATTCATTGATCGTAACGAGATTACTGCCTCCACGGTCTGTTTTCTCGAGTTCCATTTCAAATGCCAAACGTACTACGATGCCCGTCAACACCCAGGCTTTCGAAGAATATCCATCGGTTTGGAAGAGAAAGGCAAGAAGAATTGACCCTTGCAAATGACGCATGCTTGGTTCTTCTAGCCTATCTCTACACAATTTGTAAACTCTCACCGCCTCTAGAGTAAATGATTTGCCTCGATCTGTTGGTGACAGGTCTGCGAAGTTGGGCAAATCCGAAAATCGTGCGGCGAGGGCAAACATGCTGTAGAAAATCAAGCTTTCTCCCAATGAAAGCTCCTGTGTTTTAGATCCAGTACCTTCTTCATGTCCATCCATAAAGCTCTGAAAGAAGGTCGGCCTATGAAAAATAGGAAGCCAAGGTTGAATGTGTGAGAAAAACAAATCAACCAGATTCGTAATAACCTCAACGGGCACGTTCAATTGGGAGGATATTGACGGGCAAAATTTTGATTCCTGAGAATCTGTTTGATCCGATACATCAATATTCAGACATTTGATATTGTGTGGTATACTTTGCGGATCGAAAAAACTGGAGGTGGTTCCAATTGGAGGACTTTCTCCGTCTATCGCTGACAGTGGCTCTATAAATCGTTAACATCTTCTTACTCTCCATCCTACTTTCTGTCACACAAATGGTATGGGCAGAACATGGTAAGCAGAGTGTTTTCTTTTCCTTACCTGGCACTTGTAGATCAGCAACTGATGATCCTCGGAGCCCAGGATATAGACATTGCTTATTGATACGAGTGCAGAGGCCACATGAGGGCTGGGCCATATCACCTAATAAGCTCCGCAGTTATTAGAAAGACAGTTCACTACCAAGCAAGAATTTTCTTCAAAACTCGCACATCTTATTTTTTTTCTACGCAACAGTTATCATTAGTTGATCAGAGGAATAAGGTTTTGGGAAGCACTGGTGCAGTTGCTAGCTTACCGTCTACAGGCTTCACAGGCCCTTTTGGCAATTGAGATTGAGTCGTGTCTCTCACCTAGCCCTGCCATATTCAATATTCAACATGAACTTTGACCTTACATTCGGGAGACGTTCGACTGCCAAATTCACGTTCCTTCAAAAGCCGGCGCAGCTTGTCACTCCCCCTCATTCGAAAGCAAGAATCAGGATATCGGGTAAATACTTCGCCGAATTCCCGGGCTTCACTGTGCTCTCCGCTCGGCTTTCATGGAGCCGTACACGCTAATCCTATTATTAGTGCCTTACGCCGCCCCCTAACCCTTCCGGGTTGTAGGTGCGCTACGTAACTTTTCTTAACTATTGTAGTGGGGAAATTGCCAACATAAGGGAGATCTCTGATTGGAGGATATCTTTCCTAATACACAGTCTTTACAGGATATAGCTTCGCGTCTCCGATAGGGAGAGAATCAACTTTCACTCTCTTCACTTCATCTGCTTCCGCTATCCCTTTGGGGAGGCTTCCTCTATCGTGGTGTGTGGTGGTTTGTTGGTCTGTTCGCCGACCTATCTCATCCTGCCTGCATTCTCAGGCTTGCCGTAGAGCGCCCTGGTTCACTATATAATTTTTCCAACTTTTCCTTACCTACCATATCTATCAACGATTTTAGTAGTATCTATAAAGAAAATATCTCCTTCCTAGCGAGCTTCCTCCGCTCTTTCTAGTGCTATATCTTGTTTCTGTGTAGGATCTAGTGGTAGTGATCTTCTATACGCTTTCTTCCACTGCTTCCTTAGCCGCTTCCGCTCTGCATCCGCTTCCTTCTCGTTTCTTTTAGCAATTGAACGATTTATATCTCCAATAGAGAGCACCCCCATTTTGCTAGGCGGTGTTTTAACCTAGCGCCCAGTGATTACTTCCCTGCCCTTTGTACACACCGCCCGTCGCTACTACCGATTGAATGGCTCAGTGAGGCCTTCGGACTGGCTCAGGAGAGTTGGCAACGACCCCCAGAGCCGGAAAGTTGGTCAAACTCGGTCATTTAGAGGAAGTAAAAGTCGTAACAAGGTTTCCGTAGGTGAACCTGCGGAAGGATCATTACTGAGTGAGGGCCCTCTGGGTCCAACCTCCCACCCGTGTTTAATCGTACCTTGTTGCTTCGGCGGGCGCGGGCCCCCGAAGACACCATCGAACGCTGTCTGAAGTTTGCAGTCTGAGCAGATTTAGCAAAATTAGGCGCTGTAGTAGTTGTTAAGCTTCCCTAATCTTGCGATTATAGATCTAGCGCTATAAGATCTTAGTCATCTTAGATAGGAGGGCTATTAATAACCTTACTACTATTGTGGTCCGGACGGTAGGTGGATGTTAAGGTGCTACTTGCAGGGTAGCGGCCTATTGGTCAGGTAAGGAAAAATGAATTTAATATTAAATTGTTGTTGAATCAGAGAAGAATAGCAGAATTAGATTATTCCAATAACTGAATCTCTTCAAGATTCAGTTTGAAAGAAAGGGGGATTCTCTTTCTATAACCTAGGTATCGTTATTCCGCTACTTGCCGGAGGATTAACGAAAAAGGGATCCGATTCTAACTTGTTCTCCTTTATAAACAAATATCGTTATATGCAAGATTCATATCCGAAACGAGCCGGTCGGCCGGAATAACATCAAATATGGTTGTTCTATAACATTTAGAAGCTAAAGTAGAATCTTAAATATTTAAAAGAGAGATGGGTGCGAACTCAAGACATACAAGTATATCTCATTAGTTTATCGCCTTCCCTTCCGCCAAGGTTCTCAGCTGCCTCTATGAGGAGAAAGATTTTTCTCACATAAACTAGTATAGTCGTAATGAAGGATAAAATACAGAAATTTCGTAGGCCGCGCTCCTCAGTGGCCTTTCGAGCTCTGTATTGAAATAAACCTATTAATATTACAGAAATATTTATCGCGAAAACTTGATAGGTTAGACTAGGTAGTAGAATATGATTCGCAGTTGTAAGATCTTCCCTCTTAGACTCTTCTACACTGGCAAGAGAAGCACCTGCCTCTTGGATAATCGTTTAAACTATATCTCAAGTAATAGAAAATCCCAGGATAAGCTTCGGCTTCAGGATTGTTACCCTCTAAGCCAGATCACATGACCCAATGGCACCGTCTTAGCTAGCTTAGAGCATAACCAATAAGATCAACTTTACATCTACTGACTCTGTCACAAGGATAGTGTAATAAGACCTGAATCTAGAGATTAGTGCTCAGATAATTGCGTAGATCCTCGCGGTAAGGACCACTGAGGCAGTGACAATAAAAAAAATCTAAAGGACGAAGTATATCAAATTACACGGGTCGTCTACCGCTGATAGAGATCGCGCAATATATCCAACAATTTCGAATATAAGGCCTGTGGAGGATAATACACTACCAGCTACGGGTCTTGAGGGTTCGATTTGTGTGCCCAATCAGCTTGACGAACCATATTACCGCAAATGCTGCGAGCCCTATCGGTGGCTTATAGCCGTAGATGATGATGCTTTGCGTCATTTGACCCATTGAAATTGAGCTTAGTCAAATCGTTGAGAGCCTTGCGATCATCAGGCACATGGGGGGACTGAATGTTCCCTGGGGACGCTAGTAAAATTGCAAGCCTCGTTTGTCGACAACTACTAACCAACTAGCCAGGGCTAATTAAGCTTCGGAAGGTCTATGTTGAGTGGGAGATATCAGTTGACCCTCCTACTCAATAAATACATTGGTGATTGCGCATTGTTGTCTCTTGTTCAATCTCCACCTAGCTGTTACGCAGCAACTGGGAAGGTGAAGAGGACGAGTTAAGCTATCCGATTACTAGATGTACGCGATTTCTACCAACCCAAACCCATCAACCATTTCACCATCAAAGTCACCATTCAAGGTTACAAATCCTTCGTAACCACCGGTCGCACCCGCAGGGCCGGTAATCTCCTGATCTTCAGTCACGCTAGAGATTCTCAAGGTCGCAAAGCTGCCGATAGCCACAGTCCAGTCCAAAGCGTACAAGGTATCGGATGCATTAGAGTACCAGTGTCGAGTATAGTCAGGAATAAAAGTGGCTGGAACAACATTCTGCGACCCATCTTCCCTTCGAATCGTGGCGAAGCGGTACCGCTGGTGCGGCTTCTCATCATCAATTGCCCAAATACTCAACTTGGATTTGCTTTCAAGAATATGCAACTCAAACCATGTCCAGTTTCCATTTGAAGGTAATCCATCATTCCACTGCCGGTCATACCAGGTAAAGGAATTCTCAGGATCAATCACAACTTCTTTCCCGCCGGCGATTAGAGTACCCTCCGTGTAGCAGCTAGGAAATCCCCATTCATAGCTTTCTCCATTCCCAAAAGTGAACAGGCCCGTACCGCCATCCACAAGCGCCATAGACGTAGCGTTGTATATGATGTTGAATTTTACACCCTCACAATTGCTGAAGGTGCGCATTTGTGACACGTTGTCTTCCGTTAGGCTCTCAAATCCCTTGCCATCAAAAGTGGCCTCCAGAATGGAGCCATCATGCAGAGCCGACTCTTCCGAAGAAGCAATGCAAGATTGATAGTTGCTAGGGTCATTGAGATCCAAAATGCTGGCGCTATATAGTGTCGTATTGTCGGCGGATATCAAGATATGAGAGACCAAGAAGTATTGTTCTAGATTGGTGCCAGTGATATATGAGCTGGTCCAGTACGAGCTAGTAGCAGCATTACCATTCAAAGTATTGGCAAACTGCGAGCTGCTGAAATTGAACAATATGGGGATATCGGGCTAGGAAAAAGAAAAAAAAAACTAAGGGTCAGGAAATTGTCTTTGCTCGAAAATATTCGTCATGGGTAACCGAAGAACCAACCTTCCAATACGACCGAGCGCCTTCAGGTTTGAAGACATAACCAGGGCTGTCTTGACGATGATGACCAGTAGTTACGGCATTCACCCCTAAGGCCAATAAAAAAGAAGCAAAGATGAGGTTTGACTTCATTGATACGGCTCCTTTGAATGTTCGTCTCGGACAGGGACAATAGGTTGAAAGTAAGAACTTGAGAAAGTGAAGACTAGATCAGTCACACTACTTCCATAATATTGGCTTCACATGAACTTTTCTCACCGCCCTGAAGTTTTATCTATCAATTTAATTAATTGCCCTTCTCCTTGGCAATTTTATTTTGACATCACTGTCCAAGTTTTTGACCGTCCCCGCTACGACCACACCCCTGCTTTCGACTCCGGGTATGCGCGTCTACGATCTTTTAGAAGGGCGGGTTTTATAGCGACTAAAGGTTATTATAACTAGACAAGGCACCTGGCCGCATAAGCCTATCGTTGTGAGCTATTGAATAATGATCCATGCCGACATCCACAGGTTAGAAGATGGGGGCTAATATCAATTTTCGAAGTGACCATTGACATGATGATAACTTTGGAATCCGCCTCCGCACCGTACCCACTAATTTATTCACACTAAATACAATACATCAGTATAACTGGCCGAAGTCACTGGTCTCTCCGCTCCGCCGTCCCCACCTGTCCGTGTCCCGAGGCCCCGACCCCACATGCACATGTGTGCACTAGTTGAGCATTTGTAGTCGCTAGGCATGTATTTATAATTAATGAACGAGTAGTTTCGGAACTCAAAGTGGCCCACTATAAGACCTCAACTTGCAAACTCACTAAGTAAACGAATTCATAAAATTTCGGGGTTCCATCTATACCTTCGGGCGCTCCTGAGGTCGTGGCTGAAGGGATTCCAAGTCGAACATTTCGAAGTCGGATAAAAGTTGTTGTAATCGCGTCCGTAACTTCGGTTCCACGCTTGTATATGAGAGACATGTGGAAAAAAATATTTAAAATTAATAATCAGGATGCTAATAGGCAAAAAGCCAACGGGTGGATCTCTTGGCTTTTAATTCTACGGATAATCATACCGTCCCCTTTTCAAGTATCAACAGTGGAGATACCCACCTTTTAAATTCTTATAAAAACTTTGCTTCGCCTCTGCATGAATCACTGTATATACGTTTCAATTCCTTCAATTCATGGCAGACTCAGAAAAGGGAGCTCCTCCCTCCGGGGAGCAACAGACTTACCAAGACCCTCTCGTGGTGGATTTCGATGGCCCAGATGATCCTGAGAACCCGTTCAACTGGTCCACGGGAAAAAAGGGAATTCAGCTTTTATTGATGGCTTTCAATACCTTCATAACGTGAGTTTGGTGCTTATACTGCTGTGTATTACGAGTGCATAGCACTTGAGCCGACTTTGTCAAGGGTCACCTAACATTGAACCAACTCAGTCCCCTGGCATCGTCGATGTTTACCCCAGGAGTCAGTGAGGTCATGAGGGATTTCAACATTACCAGTAACATGTTGGGCTCTTTTGTTGTGTCTGTCTTTCTTCTCGGCTATTGTTTTGGTCCATTTTTGATCGCTCCTCTATCCGAGATTTACGGCCGCGTGCCACTATACCACATCTGCAACTGTTTATTTTTGATCTTCACCATTGCTTGCGCCATATCTCAGTCTATGGCGCAGCTCATTGTATTTCGCTTTTTTGCAGGTATGGCGGGTGTTTGCCCCTTGACCATTGGCTCTGGGACTGTCGCCGACATGATCCCGAAAGAGAAACGTGCCGGTATCATGGCCATCTGGGCTATGGGTCCAATTCTCGGCCCTGTAGTCGGCCCTGTCGCCGGCGGCTTTCTAGCCGAGGCGGAGGGCTGGCGATGGGTTTTCTGGGTGATCACTATCACTGTACGTGTCAATATCTTTCTATAACCTAGTTTCTCCTTCTGTTCCACGAAGCTTACAGGGATAGAGCGGTGTGATGATACTCCTGACTGTCATCTTTTATCGCGAATCTTATGCCCCGGTAGTGCTTGAGCGGAAGGTTATTCGTTTACGCAAGTCAACTGGTAATCCTGACCTCCGATCAATTCGCAATCGAGGAGAATTCAGCCGTGAGATGTTCTTCACGACACTGGCCCGCCCAATAAAGCTACTCTTCTGTTCTCCGATCGTGTTTCTCATGGCATTACTCTCAGCCATGACATACGGCTATCTTTATCTCATGTTCACCACCATGACTGACATTTTCGAGGGCAAATATGGGTTCTCCTCGGGTATTGCGGGCTTAACATACTTGGGCTTCGGTGTTGGAAGTATGATAGGACTTTTTGCTACGGGTGCTGGGGCTGATCGCATCGCTCGAGATCATATAAAGCGTGGCTGCTTTACCCCGGAGTCCCGTCTCCTCCCTATGGTACTCGGCTGCTGGTTCATGCCTATCGGATTGTTCTGGTACGGATGGTCAACCCAAGAAAACACACCCTGGATCGTCCCCATCGTGGGAACGGGTGTATTTGCCTTCGGCTTGATAAGCGTTTTCATGTCCGCGAGCACCTATCTTGTTGACTCGTATCTACCCTATGCGGCATCTGTCACCGCCTCTAACACGGCTCTACGGTCCCTCATCGGGGCTCTATTACCGTTGGCAGGTCCGGCGATGTACGATGCCCTGGGATTAGGATGGGGAAACTCGCTGCTTGCCTTCATCGCGCTGGTAATGTGTTCGGTGCCGTTTATATTTTGGAAGTATGGGGCCAGTATACGCACCCACTCACGGTTCCAGCCAGATTTGTGAGTCAATCGGGAGCTAGGCGGCTGGCCCAAAATTCAATGTTATCTTTGAACGGACATTGCGGAAGAGATTAGAGTTAAATTAGCGCTCCATAGTTCTTTTATCCGCCCTTGGTATAATTTCTCTCAGTTTATATGAAATCAAGAGGTGAAACCCCGAGATTTGAGCTGAAACACAGCCGCACAGAATAAGGCCGTATCTTGGAGGAAGAGTGCGAATCATTGATGAGAGCTGATGTTACAACTGTAAGACATTTGAATGGGTGAGCTGAATACCTGAAAGTTTCATTGATAGAAATATGTAGAAAAGCTTTGTTTATTGTGAGCGAGTGTAATGCGCAAATACAGCCCTACGAAGGGTTGACTTTCTTGACTATCAACCCTCCAAGAGCCGATCCTGAAGGGAAGGCTGGGGCCCACATTCATAGAAAGTCGAAACAACGTATTCCACTATTCTCGATGCCTAGGATTTTCGCCATCAAGTTTGGCCGCGCGATGGGATAATAATATGATTTATTAGATTTTGGCATCGTTCGACGGATATACACTGGCGCGATGTGGCAGCAAGCCGATCCTTGTTCACTCTTTGTTCTTGCAAATTATAGAAATTGACAGTCTCTATTATGCGATCTATTCTCATTCAACCATGTAATCAATAAACAAATCGCAAAATGGAATCCTCAATGTTCTCGCCGACCTGCCGTCCACTCCCTTGGGGCTCTTTGCACATACTGAATTTTCACTGATTTGCGTTCTATTCAAAATTTTGAGCAGCACAGCTCAATCAGTCACATCGATAAGCCAGAGACAGAAAATACCATTAATAGTCATGCAGTGGCTAACGCCTACACGCCAAGACTGGCTGAAGCTTCAAAGTCCCCAAGATTGTCTTCATGCCGGTAGCGATCAAACTGTAGATCACGGTAACACCAATCGTCGCATCCAGTATTAGTGCCAAAGAAAGATATTAGGTAGCCATGATAAGCTCCGCATGTTGAGGAATAGTATGCTGGGCTCCTTCAGACCACCTGAATCTCGCACGGATCCTTTGAGAACTAATTATCGGCCATTATTGCATTCCCGTTCTATCTTAATACCGCTTGGACCTAGAGCATCAATACATAGCCACTTCAGGTAAGCAAAATCGGTTCGTTATCGCCATGTACTATGAACCAATTTCGACTGACTGGAAAAAGCGGTGTGAAGTGTAGTTGCTTCATCGACTTCCACATTTTTTCTGACGCTCAGGTCTATTATCCCTTAGGAACCCTGAGCGAACATTTTGAACAGCCAGCTAAAGTCTTGCTTCACTTAAAGCCATCATCGGCCTCACTTTTTTTTATTCGCTGAAAGCCAGTAGCTTTCCCGTTTGCTGTCCCGTTTGCCGTAGACAGACCATTTATCATCTCGAAAACAGAACATCCTGGGGTATGTTGATAATAAGCAATACCTCGTCCGCAACTGCCTTGCGAGGTATGCTCGGTTTCGAAGTATATTTCCATAGACATAGTATATTGCAAAATAAGACAGAAGTTTCATACTCAGCTTCGATATATACAGCTGGTGACCTTTTTCAATCTTCTTTCGATCAAGGTATCCGGCCCTTAGCGGACACGAATACCTTATTTCGATCATATTTCGGATCGACTCTCCGTACTAGCTATTAAAACCTGCTCTTTTAAAAAAATATTTCCAAAAAGTCTGAATATTGTGGGCTTCAATCTCTTATAAAGAGTATAAGTCGCGTTTTTTTTAATGAAGACTGGCAAATCATCGTCATTCGATCCTCGAATAACTCTCAACAATTACGCGAGCAATGTTTGATAAAACTCTGGATCTTTGGTCCCTGGGGCTAGTGCCGAGTCATGATGCGGAGTCGAACGCCTGGAAATTATCTGACTCTACTAGGGAGTAACCTCCATTAAGGTCCAATAAGGCTCCAAATAAAAATCACCTCAGGTTTAATGGCCCCGGGATGACTATACACATTGCTTGTACCTTGAGCCTGAAACGTCAGAGCAGCGCAAAAACGGGAACGAAATATATACGGTCAGTTCTTTTGAGTATCTTTCAAAACGACAATTTTATTCAATTTTCATTCATTAAGTCGTCGAGCTTCGAAGAGCAAAACAATGTGTTGCTGAGCAGGTTTGCCTCGGTCGGGTCTCGGACAGAGGATAGCCACATCCTCGCTCACCGCGGTCTGCTGTACACCTTGTCGGTACGACCAACACGTCGGAAATATGCAGCAATAACACTAAGAGAACTGAACAACCTTGCTGAGATATGTCTGCCGACCGCCCTACACGAGTCATACTCGATCCATCTCTCCCAACAGGCGGCTGTACCACGTCGCCAGTTGTGGGCCCAGTCTTGGCGATAAGTAGGCATCGCAAGGCAAGGGGAAAGAGGGAATACCAAAAATCTAACGCTCGTGAATGTTTACTTCCTTCATCAAGGATAGCGGGTTCTAATGAATCATAGTCGGGGTCAATTGGTGCTTCGAAGCGATATCGTCGTCGGCACCAAACGAAGCGTGTCTCAGACGCGAAAGGGAAACATCAGCTGACAACAGCTATGGATGCAAGCCCCGTGGGGTACTTAACCTACTGCTATTCCTAACCCTGGAAGAAATGAAGCTCTGTTGAAACAATCAGGTGCTAAAGATCAGGGCAATAGCCCCTTGATAGCGTGTACCGGCTCGGGTAGGGAGGCTAGCGTAGAGGCGCTAGTTATATAGACCTAAATAAATTTAGTATATGAAGTAGTACCTAACTATCACTGCAGAGTCGGCTGTCCTACGTGTAGTGAAAACTACTTTATGTCCTCGAGAACCCTCGTTGCGATTATAAAAGGCAAGATAAGGTGAAGATAATATTAGCTGTTCCTTCACGCATATCGTCGTGTTATAGAAAGAGCGACCCTATTATTTTTAGGCCTATTAATAGCAATTTATTATAACTCTTTTGTAATACGTTTATCAGCTTTACTATTGTGGTCCGGACGGTTGGTGGAAGTTGCATGATATTAGAAACAAGTAAGGATATGGTAGATATAGCAAATAAAAGGCGGCAAATATTGGCAAACCTCTCCGTATATAAACACTCGTATCCTCCGGATCACACTTTCGCAACAACGCAAGATAGAGCTGTTGTAATCGTCGGCGGGTAAAAGTCCGCTAGGCGATAACGGCTTATCGGGTCGCTTAGAATTGTCTGATTCGGCCTGGCCTTGCCACCGACGACCCAAAGATGTTTCCGAGGCCTCGAGATGGCTGCAGGGTCCTGCGACGGTGGGAGAGCGATAGCAATGGCAGCTTGGTGGGCGGTTCTATGTGTGGGCCTAGGTCATTCAACCCACTATCTAGAATCTAGAACAAGTCAAAAAATTAGAGTCCAGGCTGTTGGATATTTTCATTGGAAGCTATTCTAAATCATATAAAATAGTTTTCTTGTTAGATTTGCTTTCTTCGCTCTCTCCTCGGCGACTGTATATTCCGTGTGCACGTCCATAAGGCTATAGTCAAACTTGCCACAATCTTGTTTCGAGAATCCAGATATGCATTCAAATAGGACTCATTTATTCAAAGAAGGTTCAAAGACATCTATCTTCAAATCTAGAAAGACATCAGCCGAAATAATCAGATGCATTTGCTTTCAGAGCATACAGAAGCTGCTAAATTATCCACGGCGCATCCCCTTTGGGTACCTGAACAGCACCATCGACCCAACTAGGGAGCAAATCTCGATTCGCATAGTAAGTAGGATACTAGTCTTATCCTCAACAAGAAAGAAGGATTTGATGGATGCATTTTTGGTACTCGCTACCATGCTTCCCCTGTCCGTTGCTCTAGATTATTTGAAAATCTCCGGAATATAGATTTCTGCTTACTTCAATTTGCTTCCTAGTAGTCCCGACAGATAGCGCTAGAGCAATTCTCTCAGCGTATGAGGACGTAAGATCAGTTTATGCAGCACAAGTTTCATCCGATAAAGCTGATTTCTTTCCCCCCTGGTAATACCAGTATTATTTTGAAGAACATCCGAAGGATATGGAGAGGGTAGGAAGATATGCAGCAGCTGAAAACGTGTTCTTTCTTTGGTTGAATACGTAGCCTTCAATTTATGCATTATTAATCAATTAGAGGAATAATACTAACCAGACTTTTATGAAAGTCAGGCCAATTTGATTAAAGTAAGGATCAACCAGTACTAGTGTCTTATTAAATATTGTCATGATTTGAACTACCGGCTATTGTGATCCGAACGAGCTATTATAAAACAGCCTCGGGGTGCGGTAATAGTCCCCAGAATGCAGCCTTTTTTGGTGGATTAGGAAAATTTCAGACAGCGTTTGCACAGCGTACCCAAAAGTACAGTATGTTGTATCATATATCACCCGAATTGAAGCCCGGTTTAAATCCAAAGCGGGCGGCATCAAGGCCCATCTTTGCGCAGTCAAGTAAGCAAGGCGAGAACCGCTCTAGACTTACCACGCTAGCAAAATCTAAATACCATCGGGTTAGCCTTACATGGTCCAAGTGCGGCGTTCAAGTACTTTCCCCGCAGTAGTCGATTTGCATTTGAGAGACATCAGTAAGATGGGGACAGTTGCTAATGGTCTATGTATCTTTCCTATCCCAGATCCTGACAAAAATGGATCATTATCAGGATGTGTTTCCACAACAAGTTAGCTACAGAACAGGATTGACTGGGCTTCTCTTGCTGAAGTCAGCATTTTACTAGGAGAGGACACCTTTCCTCGTGATGAGAGGGTCTGTGAGTTTAAGAAGCTCCGGGCTTATAGTGAAGATTCATGAGTGACACGGAATCTCACTCAATGCTGTGACAATCTCATTGTACAGAGATGCCTAAGAGGACAGGACGAGTCCATGTCGGACAATATTTGAAATAAATATGCCTGCCCGAGTAAGATGCAAGGAGCTTAATCCTTTGGGTTTCGGCCTGGTTGAGATCGCTTTTTCGGATGTGCCTTTCGTTCTGTGGGCCCCGTCTGCGAGAGTGAATGTATAGCTATGGGTGCAGGGTAATTGGGGAAAGGGATTCAGACTAGGATAGGCTGATTTAGATTCAGGGTTCAAGATAATTTCCCAAAGGCCCCAAAACTATCAACAGGATCATTTACTGATCTTGTCTTTACCGAGACCGTTGCCTAGCAAGATACTTCGCAGGCATTATTGAGAAAATACTAGGCCAAATAGTCCTAATTCCACGAGCTGCCTAGCAAGCAAGTGAATAACGCACCTCAAATGGATCAATTTATGTGCGAGCATAGACTGATTGTAGATTTGAACAACATCGCTGCATGTCAACGAAGACTAGTCAAGCCGGCAAAGGAAACAATGTCGGTGTCAAACCAAATACAGGTAGAATACAAGCAGAAATATAGAGAAATGATCAAATCAATTACTCAATTACTTAATTTGGTTAATGGGGCAGATCTGGTTAAACGTTTAACCCTGCTCAAGTCGCCCCACTTCGATCGACTTCGAGATGGCAGTTAACAGCACATTGAGAACGAGATGACCAGGCATTGCTTGGGAATTAATTAGCTGACTGGATTACCAGAGCTTTATACGGTATAACGGCGAAATTTGAAAGCAACTTCTGAGCATTTAACTGGCTATAATTTGAACGTGAATCAAAGGTTTTCCGAGTCGATTTGCAGCCAGCCATAATTACTTCACTCCTGTCCAGCTCAAAGCAGAGATAAGAAACCCAGAGAAATCGCCGAATCTCTTGAGGTTGAGTCAAATAGCCACTGTGATGCTCAGAACATGATAGAAATTATTATGCCTGAGACTGTTAGGAGGAACTTCACGTTTGAAGCATTTCCAAGACAATAGTGGCCTGGGGTTCACACCAACATCTCACGACTGCGGCTGCTTTTAAAACATAGCCAATATCTGAAGACATCTGCAAATATATGGGGACTATAGATGACAATATTAGGGCCCAATACCATGAGTACTTGGTCGTTCCATTCCCATTCGAGAGGGTACTTCTGAGTGATTCTGATATCGCAAAAAGCTTTTCCACGGGAAAGGCTCCAAGTCAAGGTATGACTTTCTAGAGTAATTAACTAGCGCAACCCCCGAATAGGAGACATAGTCTCTAAAGAACATTGGACATGGCTTGGTTCATGTTCTCTTGTCCGTTCGCTCTGAGTGCAGTTGTATATTGTGGCTCGTTGAAAGACCAAAAGAAGGGGCCTCCCACCAACAAAGGGATCTAGTGAATATGATATATTGTTCTATCCTATTGATGCTTGGAGTGGATAACACACTGGTTGAAAACGAAGGAAAATGTCCCCGCGGCTGTCAAGACTGGATTTGAAATCCTTTGAAGAAACATTATGAGCCGCAGAGGTATGACTCTATCGGGTCAATATGCCGATTCTTCAAAAGACCAGTGGTATTTGGCCACTATGACTCGGATCTTGTATACTCTGAAATCCGTGTAAGCTGATACAATTTACGGAGGCTTAAAGTAGTACATGTTGCAGTATCGAGAGATATATTTTAGAGTACCCTATGATTTATAGTCCTTTGATGTATTTTTTTCTGGTATATGTTTGTGTTCTTGCAAGAGTCCAAAGCAACATTTCAATGCTGCCAATACCCTAAATGTGAATTGATGAATGGTAAAATGATAGTGGGATCCCGCAGCGGACATAAAAGGCTAGATATGCAACTGAATCAACCATATTGTAACTTTATATATACTTTAGTAGATGGTAGATTGGTGATCGAATACGTAGCTACGGTCTACGCCTTCGCAATTGAAAATTGAAGATTCTCTTCCGCAATATACTACATGGCCATAATATTCAACTTGCCTCACGGAGCCCAGTGATTCAGCAATAGCCTGTACTATATTTATTCATAAGTGTACTACGAAAGCACGGATTCCCAAAGCAACTGGATTGCAGAACGCGCGCTTACCGAGGTGCTAGGAAACGCAACTGCAGCCGTTACGCCGGCGTCAGAAACCGGCCATGCACGACGGTATCCTGGTTAGACCGCAGCGGGTGCCGGGTCCGCAGAGCGTCCAAATGAGGCCCAACGGATCGTTGTAAGCCCAGCGCCCTCCCTTCCCGCAAAAGATTTCCCACTCCTTCACCCCGAGCTCCGAAAGCATCGTGGCGAACAGCAGCACGTAGCAAGGCAGTTATGAGGCGGAAATGAATGGATCGTGGGGGCAAATAACTGAAAAACCCATTCGCAGATCAAGTACACCGGAGCTGAAACTCAAACGGGACCGTCTACCATGATTTGGAGAGCTCGCCGTTTTGAGCTCCGATCTGATTTACCTCATTCTCCCGTGGAAAGCCGGGCGCGTCCTCGTATGGGGACAAAGACGGCGGGGCGAGAGTGTCTTCCCGGCGGGTGCCAGTAAACTCGCGTGATTCTCTAATGTTGAGGGCACTGGTGACATCGGCGTCATCATTCAACCCGCGGGACCAGGTCATGGCATCCGCCACTGCACGTCGGGGGTGCGAAGACGCGCTCCAAGTCCAATGCGACTCTGTCCAGCACCGGATAAAGGCATGTTTTGATTTTTTTATTATTTCAGTTGGGGAGCAGGAAAGAGAGGAGTGGACTTGTCTCCGAGGGAATTTTTCCTGGATTCGCCCAACCCTCTTTGCCGTGATCCTTGCATTTTGTGGAATCCGACACGATGATCCAGACTTGTCAAGGGTTGTTGGGCCTGTGTCCCGGGGCAGAAGCAGTGCTCAATGGGCTGAATTGAAGGGATTTTTACAAGCGAACTCAGGAATGGGCGGCAGCGTGTCGCTGTGCTGGCTGGTTGGAAATGTGGCCAGCAACTCTCGGGATTGTACCTGGCATTTTGGAATATCCGCGGGAACCGTCGCGATAGATGGACTACCCAGGTGGAGGAGGGAGGCGTCGTGACTCAGAAGGGTCCAGACTCTCCAGCTTCAGGTCTTGAGTTCTCATCTGCGGAACGAATCGGCTTCGGGGCACAGGGAGTTGCAGCGTTCGCCAGCCGCAGACTTGTAAATTGACTTCCAAGGGGAAAGGGCAAGAATGGTGGCGGCGATACCGGATGGGGACGGAGACGGGAATGTAATCCTACTTGCCTCGGCGCCAGAGGAAGTGCTCCGTAGATCCCAGATTCACGGGCAGGTCCATAGGTTTCCGTATAGATACAAGATCCAGATATCCAGCGGACGGGGGCGCAGGATGGAGTATGGAGTGCACGGGATGGACTGCAGAGGCCGAATCAGTGAGCAGGAATGTCATCTGCCGGCTAGGAGGTGCCACACCGATGCTCCATCTTCGACTAGGACGGCGTTCTAGATAGTTTGCTCTCGTGCTGGTTCAGCCGAGCTGGCGATGGTCTGGAGGTACGCGTTGGCGACTCCACCGATCTCGCCCACTTATTCCAAGCAAAACCCGGGCTGAGTTCGAACTTGGTTGTAGGCAGAATCATAGATGTTCCCCACGCCGAATGATGATTGCGCGCTCCGTTTCAGGGAATTTTCTGGGTCTGTTTGAGCCACAATTGTCTCTGAAGAGTTTAGCTGGATGCCGGATGCCGGGGATTGTGTGCCCCGGCAGACTGGGATGATTTGATGATTTGATCGAGGATGGGCAAGGCATCTGAGCGTCTAGACCACGGGAGCCCCAAGTGTCTTGTCTGCCTATATTGGCTATATTATTCAGGCGGGACGACTCCGTATCCTAATCTTAGACGAGCGCCTGAGACACGGCGACGTAATGGGGGTTGTCTCGCGGTCAGTCTCCCCCCCCCCCCACATTAGAGAGGGAAACAGAGAGAGAGAGACGAATGATAGTCATTCTATACGACATATTTTCGTATATCCTTCTTACAGGATTCATTGATCATCCGGGAGCCACAGTTTGCAACGGGGCAGCCGGCAACTTGAGAATTTGAACTTAAAACAGAAAAAGAAAAGACCCATCGCAATAAATGTCCTTCCGGTTTTTTTGGGGGAGTTTTTTTTTTCGCCCGGGGGAAGTATGGACGGAGCAGACGGAGACGATGATCAGAGGTACATGTACCTATGACGATGTCTGACTGCATAACAAAAGTCCGGGCATGGGGGACATGCGGGAGGGATAGTAACTAGTAGGACGTCTGTACGCTGTACTCTGTACTCGGTACTCGGTACTGTCGGGTTGGTGCTTGGGGCGCTTTGCCAGACACTTCTCCCCACTAGCCAGACAATCAAATCCTTCTGCGAGACGCCCTCTCGATGATTATTATTACCACGGTATTTCCATTGTGGGGTTATTCAGGCGGATTCGGATTTCTGGCGTTGGGGTCCCTGCACGGCACCAGGCAACTCGGCCTGATCAGTAAGAAACCACACCCCCTTCCTACCAAAAGAAAAGAAACCAAGCCGGTCTTTGTTGCGTTGCTGCAACCTACGATTCTTTGATTATTTTGACCATTTGACCATTTCGGCCTTGTCTCGAACCTGCAGTTGAGTCCACTTGGGGCGCTCGAGGGATCCGGGGGTTGGTTGGCCGAGCCCATTGATCGACTACCTCTGTACTCTGTATGGAGTACTCCGTACACACGATCTCTATAGGCTCGACAAGACACAAAAGATCCGACACGACAAAGATAGTTCCTCCGTGGACCCCGTCGACGCTCTGATCCGGAGAGTCAGGCGAGTCTCAGCAGTCGCCGTCCGCTACGTCGGGGACTGGCGTCGAACTCCAATCCAACCTAATCCCTAACCCACCATCCAAACCTATCCAACTCTCCCAAAACGATCCTTGTTCCGCACCTTTGAACTCTGGGATTTTGGGATTTTGGATTTGGAATTTGCTCTTCGAGATCATCCGCCCCCAACCCATGTCATTCGACATATCCCACCCCTGTCTGTTGGGGGCGCGCATTGCGAGCCCCCATTCACTCCACCACCCACCACCCATCACTAACCCCCAACCTCCATGACCATAATGGGGCAGCGATCCCTTTCTTTTTTTTTTTTTTTTTCTCCGACCGACGAAACCATCACCAGGGCCTTTGTTCGTTTGTCATAGCTCTCGGATACGCCGAGCACGCTCTTTGTTACCCGCCCACCTCCGCCTCCAGACCACCCTCTCCACCAGCGTCGTAGTTGATCCGCGCATATCCAGCGCAGACCCCCCCCCCCTCCCGGCCATTCCCTGGTTGCGCAATGGAGCCTGGATGCATCGCTCGAAACGGGGTCGGACATGTCCTGCCCAGAGTGCAATGTGATATCGACCCCCAAACCCAATATGAAGGGGGAGGATGCATGGGAGTACAGTATGTATGTATGTACCTTGGTCGGCGAGATACACCATAGATTTGTTTGACTAGTGGGCAAGGTGAGGCTACATGCAATATGCGTGCTGTATAGGGGAGCTAGATCGGTCGGTATGCTGCTTGCAGGGACCTGTAGGGTCTGGAGGGTTCTGGATAAGTTGCCTCCAGCCGCAAGGATGAGGGCAGCGTTGGTTGGGCCAGGCAATGCAAGGAGCAGCATCGTATCCCCTCAGGCCTCAGGCAAAAACAACATTCACAAAACAGCTAAGGGAGACGCTCTCTACAGTGGCCTGTTGGTACAGATTTTTTTTTTTTGGGTGATTTGGATTGGATTTGGGATTGCATTTTTTTTTTACGAGGAGGGGGCCAGGAAAGCTGGGACCAACCCGTATCAACGCATGAAAGAAGTTACGTCGAAGTATAGGAAATTGATGCCGGGCGCAGTGGACGGAATCGGAGCCCCCGCCCGGGGGAAAAAGGTGGATGTGCTGTGTAATGATGAGGGCAGCTCGGCGGTCTGTGGAGAGAGATTCATGACCCCCGAGTCTGTGCGATAGACCGATGAGAAAGGAGGGGCGTAGAAAGGGAAAGCGAGTTTGTGCAGAAGAATTGGAACTATACCCAACGTGCGCAGCCCCGTCATCTACTCCTGGGATGGAAACCCTAGCATCTGCGCTGATCGGATCGACTTCAGCTCTGCCCGGAAGGACAAAGTACGTCGACCAGTCTGTAGAGGGACAAACCTGCCTCCCCCCTAACAGTGAACCGGGTACCAACGAAGACTAGAAAACCCCGGGTCGTCGCCGCCAATCATTACTGGACATGCTCGTGCGGAAGATAGCTCAGGTACCGTTCAAGACCAGCTCTGTGTTCGCCCCCTCCTCGTGTCCAACAAACTGCATGACCAGAGCAGCTCGGATGACTTCCACGATGGGCGACTACATCCGGATGTGATGACGGTGTAGATTGCAGGTGCCGAGGGCGGCCCCCGAGTATCACGGCCATGGCGGTCGCGGTCAGCCTGCATGCGCCAATAGTCGAGTGTCGAACCCGGCTGTGACCCGGGGGATCATCGGTGGAATCCCTGGAGCTCCAGGAGAATAAATGAATGGGAATAAATGGATTTCTCTGTGATATAGTTCCTTCAATGCCGTTTGTTTTTACTTTTCGGGTCGACTATTGGCGGACAAGGTTCATAGGTCGAGCAGCGAAAGCTTACGACCTCATCCAAAGCCCAAAGTCAAATACAAGCTAAAATCAGATCAACCCCCAAATGTCCCCGGAGACCATAGGGGGGGGGGGGGGGAGGGGGAAGGAAAAAAAGAATAGACCAAGAACAGCAAACCTAACCAAAAAGGAAAACCTCAAACCCAGCCTCGCAGGACCGCAATCCATGATGCGTGCTTGTGACAGTTTCATACACGGACATCCATCTCACGCCTCGCGGTCGAGGACCGAGGACGGAAGACAGCCGGAATGGAACCAGGGAGTGGCGGTTAACGAGGAAATTCAGAAATACAATTCTACGTCTCCGATATATCGCGGTACAGTGGTGGAGCCATAATATGCTCGAAAGAGGGGAGGGGGAATGAACAGACAGGGGGCTCCAGCAAGAGAACCGATAATCAATAATCTATTAGATTTTCACACGACCCCCAAATAAATGGAATCAGGGTAACGAGAACAAGCCGTGAGCTGGAAAGTATAGACACGAAACAGGAAAGCGGTTAAGATCGAGTCGCCCATCAAAATTTGTCCACTCCAGCCCCGAATCCACCCAACTGTGACGAATGCGAAAGATGGACAAAGCTCCGTAGCTGTAAAACGGGATTACGACTTGGTGGCAACGGACCGATTTTTGGACCGTCTCTTTCGATGTTCTCAATTTTCGATCACCACCGCCGTGCAAGTCGAGGGCTGGGGGGGGGGGGGACACTGCTCGAGATGTGCCTCCCCACTACGAGGAGTAGATCCACGGGTGTGTCAGGGAGACGTTGGGTGTAAACATACTAACGAATTCACTCTAGTTTTTCTAATTTGTGATTTTTGATTTTTGATTTTGATTTTGATTTTGGTTTTTTTTATTGCGCAGTTCGCTCGGCTGGCTTGAGCTAAGGGGGAAGAAGTCAGCGTAGATCGGGCCAAGGCGAAAGGGAAAAAGTCCCGGCCAGGGGGTTCAAGGATTCGGGGTTTAGAACTCTGAACGGAGCACGGAGTACTGTGTACATAGCGAATTCGAACTTGGGACTAGGCCATCTCGGTCAATCGCCCCATGCAACAGGCCCTCGCTTGGGCTTCGGTCTCCATCTCATCTGGACGGGTCTTCCAGATGGAGCATCGAGTCCCTCCCAACGTGATGTACAAGAGTGATGGTCGGCTGTGACGGGTCTGCCTTGGGCTGACCCCCCTCGTTTTCTTGGGAGCTGCTAGGTGCCGGGGGCCGGAGGGCAATGGATCAGAGGAGGGCCTTGTACGACATCGCCGTGTCCTTCGTCCTCCGTCCATACCGAAGGACTGAACGGAGTAGGCTCTGTAGGCTCGAGGCCGGGGCTGCGAGTATCGGGCCAGGTCCTCCGCGGCCGAGCGCCAGAACTGTTCCAATTTTCTGCTCTTCCTGTGATGCGGCGAATGAACAGGCGAGATCGTAGTGGAGAGAGATCGTCTCCGGAGCAGGATACTCGTTGGCCACCGTCTCCACCACCATCCCCATCATCTGGGGTTCTGGAAACACCGAAACGAAAAAGCGAGATACCCACATCGACCACTCACACACACCCACCCACCGTGGCGGTGGCTCAGAGACGGGCAGAAAAAGAGCCAACCCGAGAACGACGGGTCGAGGGCGACAAGGGAAAAGTGGACACTGGGCTGGACGGGGAATATGCGCGCTCGTTTTTTTTTCGGGGGTTTTTTTACTTCGGTTTTCCATCTCCGCCCGAACAGCAACAGGACCAGTGACAACGCGTGTCCACTCCAAACCGGCCTTGCCTGGAATCAAAACTCCTCTCCGCCCTCAGCCGACCACTGCGACCTTGTTCCCGCCTCAGCTCGTAACTTCACGTCGTGATTTGCGCCAAGCGGCCAAGGTTCACTGGGGCTTTTTGATCGTCTTGTCGAGTCAGCGACTGGCCTGAGTGGCGTGATGGGGAACCGGATTTCGCTGCAAGAAGGACCAGCCGAAATACCGTACGGAGTATAGAGAGATGTACTGTGTACGCTGTACACAGTATAGAGGCTCAGACTGATGAGGCCTAGCCGGAGGCAAAGCCAGTCGCCCCCCCTATTCGGGTATACCGTTGATACATCATTCGATGATCTAGCTATTATCCCACGTTTATGTCATGATAGGAAAGGGTGTTGTTTTCGGGAACAAGGTATCCTCATCGCGACATTTCAGAAAAGGTAACCGTCGGGACCCATATCTTCAATCTGTTTCTGTCTACGAAATACGGCGTATGCCATAATTGATCGGTAAGAGGATACTATGTCCGAAGTATAGGCCCCCGAGTAAAGACGTGGATACTACTTACTCTGACCGAAGTGACAGAGAGTACAGTCTGCCGACAAATATGGATCCGGACTTCAGGATTCCGTCCCTCCTATGAATCCTCACAAGGACCGAAAAGAACGCATCGCATGAAACTGTAAAGCACTGGGGCCAGTTGGGGGGATCTTTCTTTTCCGCTTGCATCTCCCGCCCGAGTAGGACTAATCACTTGTCAATCACCGACCAGGGTCGGGTTCGTGACATGGTACTGGAGACGCCTATCACTTGCGGCGCGTACACGACCGTGTCGTTGACTCTCCGCAGGAGCGTGGATTCACCCTCTGCGTGTTGGGGAGAAGGAGGGGGGGAGAATCCAATTTGACTTCCGAATCGGGACAGGAAATCTGAACAGCTGGTCCACCGACTCAGATGGATCATGGTAATTTATGGGTTCTTCTTTCTGTACTCTTGATTGGGCCAGCAGTGGGAGGTCACCCTCTGTCCATCCGAACCCGCCCTCAACTTGCAATTTGCAATATGCACATGAGAGGGGAAGGAGGGAGGGAGGGGAAAACAGAGAAATGTGTCCAATAAATCTGCATGAACGGTCGGATCTTCTCCGTTGGGTTGGTCGTTAGGCTTGACTAGCTAGAAGTGCCCCGGTCATATAGTAGGCGCAAATGGATCACAGGTGCAACGACCACGTCCTGGGTCGAACAGGGTTTCGCCGTGACCCAGAGTCAAACGACCGCCATTTGGGGCTAAGCGGCCAGCAAGGCTCGGTTTCCCGGTTTTACAGACAAGGCGCTTGGAGGCCAAAAAAGTACGCGAGACGTCGGAGGTTGCAGGTTGGTCGGGCGAATGAGACGTCCGCAAGTCCGGGGCCCCCGTTTTGTACATGTACATGTCCTCCATACATCTCACACCTGTGGTGGACCAGAGCCTGCGTCAGAGATGCTCCGGGGATGATGTGTGGGAGCGTTAGGTTCGCCTCGAGCGCTGGTCCTGAACTATCAAATTGGGCTATCGACGGGCGCCTCCCCTGAAATCCTCCTACTGACTGCGACGCATTGTGTCCCCCGTACGGGCCCCCGTACGGGGCTGAGGTTGGTTGGCCTGTGTATGGGTTGCCATTCCTTCCCCCCTCTTGATCTTTGAGGCCCGCAGTCAGCAAGTCTTGAAGAAGAAAAAGCAACGAAAGGAAAGTCGTCCGACGGGTTGGGCAAAAGCTAAGTGGGAGGCAAAAAAAAAAAGAGGAGCCCGTCTCCGGCTAGCGAAACCCAAGCCGTAGCGCCCCTCTAGGACCAGTATGAAGTAGTAGACCAGGAGGAGCTGGAGAGCGAGCCCGAGACAAGGAAAAGGTGACGATCCAAGAAAATGGAGGAACGGACGAGGGCGGAAAACACCTAGTGAGCCCGCCCACGGGCTGGAAACCAACACGACCAACAGCGAAGGACACGAAGGGGGCGGGAGGAATCCCACTTTGGGGCCAATCACTAGTCGCCCAGGAGCGGCTAACTGTCGGGGAGTACGCGATTAGTCACCGGGTAACCGTGTCATGATGATTGCAAGTCATCGGCATCATGGGAAAAAAATGGAGACCCAGGTGCAGTGGCCATGAAAGGAGATGATCCCTATCGGGAGGCGTGCGCAATCATCCCAACCATGGGCCATCAGATCATGATTCGGCCGTCGTACATAGACAACGATGACCACCGCAGGGTAGCTCGTAGGGATGCTCGGCACTCTTTGGGTCTCCGTGGGACCAGTCACGACGAGTGAGCGGCCAGTGAGAAATGCCGGCGGAGCAGGGGGGGGGGGTGGGCGCGTCCAGAGGGCGTCGTCGCCAGCTCGCAGCGGCAGCCGGAGACGAAGGCGGGTGGTTCGGATTATAGAGTGAGACGGTGGATCCTCACATCCTGGAATTCCGGCACCAGGACCGTCACTGTTGCCTGCCTTCGGCTGACCGGTGATTGGACCAGCAGGCCCGGTTTTGGTTTGGAGCAGTCGTGGCCAGTGAGCGTTCGAGATCGGTTCAAGTTTTGGTGCGGTCCAAGTGGTCCAGTGGCTGCTCCTGAAGGCGGGGCTTACTAAGGCTCGCCATTCCGAGTGACAGTACCAATACACAAGCACCAGCACCACCGCTGCAGCAATCATGGTCCGTTCACCACTCTGTACACACACGCCTCCACCCACCATGGCTCATTCTTACCGCCGATCAAAAAAAAAAAAAAGGACCCGAGACTCCCGATTCTGTGTCTCGGTATCGTTTCCTTACCGCTGCCTCCGTACATCCGTGCGCCATACCATAGGCTCGCGAGGGACGGAGTCTATCTGCATAGCTCCTTGAGGTCCCCGATGGGGATGGATTCTTCCATAGGTAAACATCTCTTTTAACATGATATTCCTTGATTTCTGGCTATCTGGCTATGTAAATTTCATAGTCCATAGTTACATTTGACATTTGACATTTCACAGTGTCATTTAATATTCTCTCATATTCGCGGTTTCATGCTCGTTGTCGAGGGCGATCCGGGATCGATTTCAAGTGGCCCCTGAAATTAGCCTTCTCAATGGAGTAATAATCATTGATGATGCCGGCCATGCTGCCCTCAGCCATCAAATAAATTACCGTCACCCTGAGTTTGCCTCCCCAGCCTCCCCCAGCCTCCCTCTCACCAACCAGGCAAATGATCTTCTCTTGGGGCAGGGGCGCGTTACTTGGTTGGTGGCCTGTCCCCAGCACCCGTATCCTGTATTACCGGTAAGTTTTACTTGACTTTCTGGGCTTCACTGCCCTTCCCATTCTTTGTCCACCTGGTGACGACTCTTGACTAGCGATCAGCCACCGCTCAAACCCTCCTGCTCGCCCATGGCCCCGCGCTTCTTGGTCAACAAACCCCCCCCCCCCCCCCCCCCACGGTCGCCCGAGGTCCTCCCTTTCAATACCCTTTCCAACACTGGTCGGAGGCGTACATGCCACCACCTTCCCCGTTCCCCCTCACAGCCTATTGGAGGTATAGCCATTACCTCACCTCGCTCACCACTCCCACTAGCTACGTACTCTGTACTTCCGACTTCCGAAATGAACGAACCAAGTACTGTCTTGTACGCCAGATTTTCTTACTTACTCCTCACCTGTAGTGGATGACATTATCACTATGCTTGTCTAGAGTGTGGACCGACCCTCCAACGCTTTTGATTTGGGGGGTTTCTATTTCGGGCGGTCGACGAAGGACAGACAACTATTGCTGGGAGTCGACATAATATGCACAGATGTCTCGGTAGTATAGGATCCATGCCTTGTAATCTATGGTAACACCTCGTAATCCTCTGCTCATTTTTACTGTTCCGTCCCCATCTCGTACCCGCATTTCGTAACGACCAACGCAAAGGCATTGGGCCGACGGTTGCAACGATGCTAATCCCGTCTGATGATTGGATTATTGGATCTGATATGGGTCCTACGCGACGAGGCCCTTCGAGGAGGTCTTGGATCTGTCCTCCGACAAGTGCTGAATCTGTTCCATTTTTTCATTTTTTATTTTTTCATTTTCAATTTTGGTTTTTTTTTTATTTTTTATTTTTTGGGAAACTTTGGTTTGGGAGGGGGAGGTTTTCTGACCCAATTTCCCCCTTCCCTTCCGCGCTACGCCCGCCTCAGTAGGCCTGCGCCCTCCTAGGGCTGGCGCTCCTTTTGCTGCCGCTCCTGTTGCTGGGCCGGGACCAGTGGCCTCCGTAGACATTACCCTGCGACCTACCCTTTTTAGGCCTGCATCCACTTATGACCCTCTCCGCTCTGACATCAACTGGTATTCCCATTTCTTTTCGCGCCCTTGACTTATTTATCTGTATTATTATATTACAATATTATTGTTTGATTATTCTGGTCGGGTCTCTTCTTGCGCTGTGATGTTTCAATTCCATTGATCTGGTAATTTTAGTTGTAATTACCCTTTTGAAAATAGAATAAAAAACCCATTTTTTTTCAACCGCTGGGAATGGCCGAGAGACAAGCCAATCTAGATTGACCAAACCGGAACCAAAACGAGCCCAGAAAGGAGGATCAACCCTTTGGACCTGCGTCCGGGTCAAACTCTGTCCCAGCGGATTGGCTGTTCATGCTTTCTCCGGATGGGTCGACCTACCCTGGCTCCTCTCGCCCTTTAGTCCCAGAGTGGACTTGGGTCGTTTCTGCGCAGGAAGGAGATGATGCCTTGACTTCATCCTTCAATAATAATATTTTTTTTTCTTTAATTCTGGGATTTTCGGACGCGCTCTCGCTTTCACTTTTCCTGTCTAGCCGTGAACAGTCCTTTTTGGGGGGCACGTCTCATTCGTTTTACTGGAGTTTTTTTTTTTCTGAATTTTGTTATTCATTTCTTTTTTTAATTTTCCATGCTCAGTGCCTCATTAATTTGGTCCTTTGGTTCTCTCCAGACGGGTTTAGTCCACTCCTTATATGGAGCGGTTCTTGGCTATTTCCATATACATCATTTCGTTGCCCCTCTGAAGAACCAAGATCGGTTTCCATTTATTCCTCTTGTGTCCTCTATTCACTCTTATATATCACATCGTCACCCTCGTTCCTTCTCTTGATCACGAGCCCTTGCACCACGTCGTTGCCCAGGGTTGCTCCACCCCGCGCTTCACTGCCTTGATTGCTCCGCCCAATTGGGACAAGTTACATACACCTTCATCCTCCGCCAACAGGCAGGCTCAACCACGAGCTGGTGCCTCTCCACCACCTTCACTAGTATATAGGGTCATGGACTGAGGATATCCTTCCCCTCGGCTTTTCCTTCCCCTGCTCCTTCATCGCCTGGGTGGTTCCTGATTTGACACCGTCCGGCTCCTCCATCTCTCCCACATGCGTTCACCTCTCGCTCAGTCTCACTCCTCACCATCCCTATGTCTTCACGAATACTGGGCTCTCAACCTGTCTCGCTTCTTGGCCCGATCCCTCCCACCGTCGACCTGACCTCCCAAGAGTACCACCATTACCCATCCAAGCCCGCCAAGACCACGGGCTCCTGCTGGACTGCTCCCTTCCGGGACGGTCTGCCCACTCCTCCCGGCGACATGACCGGTGTGGCCTACAATGCCGTTCCAACCGTTGCCTACGGAGGGAAAGGGCACGGAATGTCCTCCCACCTGTATGACCACTCGCGTGCGCACTTCGATTCTATGTCGTCCTCCATGATGGCTTCATTGAAATCGACCCAGAGCCATTCAAACCACGCCGCCCCCACGAAGGAGACCTCAACCACCGAGCCGGTAAACAATCAAAAGAAATCGGCTGGCACTTCGAGCGGATCGCAACTGCGGATTCCTTCATCCATTAACTCCAGCAAGGGCAGTTTGGCTGAGTTCGCCGCCCAGGTAAGAATTTGAAAGGGGATTCTGCCGCAGACACAGACATGACTGACATGGTGGGGTTTTCCAGATGACTTGCCTGTTTTGGTTTGAAAAGACACCCAAGCTCCAATCCATCGAAGACCGACGACATGATGTGCCTTGTCTTGTTGCCGAGGCGTTTCCAACCTATGGTTTCCAGAAGTGGGTGGCCGCGATTCTTTCCACCACCCAGGTCAGCCAGAACGTAATATTACTGGCCCTGCTCTTTATCTACCGACTCAAAAAGTTCAATGCTGGTGTGAAGGGCAAGAAAGGCAGCGAATTCCGCTTGATGACGGTTGCGTTGATGCTCGGCAATAAATGTGAGTGTTCCTTATCGCCTCACCGCCCTCGTCATAATTGGCCCTTGTATGCTGACTCAGCTCCAGTTCTCGACGATAACACTTACACCAATAAGACGTGGGCCGAGGTCTCAGGTATCGCGGTGCAGGAGATCCACATCATGGAGGTTGAGTTCCTCAGCAACATTCGATACGACTTGTTCGCCTCCGAGGCGACATGGTCTCGCTGGCAAACGAAGCTGGGCCTGTTCGGGGACTACTTCAGCCAGGCTTTGAAGAATCCCACCGAGTTGGACAAGCCCGCATTGCGCATCTCGCCGCCCCGGTTGCAACAACCTCAATCGCCCTCGTCCAAGTTGCCCTCGCCGCCGACCGATATATTCCGTCCGCACTCACAGCCTCAGCATCAAAAACACTGGTTTATGCCAGGTACCGGGCTGCCCTACCCTGTCCCTTCACAGTCGAACGAGGTTGCAACCGGCGGATCTCGCAAGCGTAGCCGAGATGAGGACGGTGAACTCCATCCTACGAAGCGGGTTGCGATGGCCCCTCACAACATCCCTTCCGCCTTGACTATCTCATCTGCCATGAACTCTGGTATTCCCACGCTCCCACCTGTCTTGACTCCCACGTCTGCGCCCGTTGCCCAAACACAACTCTCGGGTGTAGTCTCTCGTCTTCCTCCTCCTCACCTCCCGCCTTCCTCCAACCCGATATCTCATCCCCTTCCTCCGACCACGGTTTCGCAACTACCAGTGCCTGCTCTTATGCCATCAGTCTACAACCGGAACTCAAATTGGACTCAGCAAATGCCTCCTGCTGCGGTGCCACCTGTGGCATCTGGTGTCTACAATACGCCCGCACTGTCTGAGCTGGCCAGACACAACCCTAGTCCTTTCGCCGTCTCATCTGCGACCGTATCCCCCGCGGTCTCTGCCTACTCTGTCCACACGCCTCAAACTCATCTTTCACCATCTTATTTCCTTGCCAACCGAGACTCCCCGTACCGGCCTGTTCGCTCAGTTCACACCTTGCTCATTCCACCTCCATCCACCTCTATGCAACAGCAACGCAGTGTCCCCTTTGATCATATGCATTACCAGCCTCTGGGAAAGACGTCTGCTGACCGCAAAACCGGCCTACTACCCTACATCTACCCTGAATCTTGGACTCAGACGCCCTTCCAACCTTTCTTTCCTCAAACTCAGAACTTCTCTGGCTAAATCCTTCTGGTCTTTACATATCTTTCTTCTGACGACGTGACCGCGTTACGACACCTCATGAACAGCACCCCTCTTCCCATTCACTGTATATCTTTTTCGTCCATGTTTTACCATTTCGCTCTTACCACTTGCCTTTCTTCATTTTATCCTTTTTTTGTACAGTTCTTTTTTCTCACTGTTTGATGACCATGGCTCGCATTTATCTCGGCGTTGTTTCTCGGCTAGAAGGGGCCATGGTGTTCTCCCTCTTGATAAAACCATAGTGGTTGAGGATGGTAGTCAGGCGTTTAATTGCTTATTTTATTGAGTCGTTGTAACCTAAACCTTGCTATGGTGCATATTATGGCGTTCTACAATGGCGGAGACATCAGTCTCGCAGCAAATGAAAAAAATTAGATTCCCATCCCATGCCTTTATTCCGAAATTCCTTGTAAAACACTATACAAAATAGAATCTACCTGGGTCAAATGATCGAAGCACCGAAAAAGAGTCAATCGAAAAATTCGACTTGATTCCGAAAGTTGAGCTGAGCAACTTGCCTGAATAATTATTGAACGTTGCCCAAGTCCGAATATATCGGCCCGACATTTATCCGCCCCCATCAAAGATCTCCGTCGTCCGCGATCCTGGCCAACAACTCCCAGCACATTATCACCAAGCCCATCATGCCTCCCCGACTGATGGCGCTGCCTATGCAGCTGCAACAATTTGTTGCTCGGCCCTTCCAGCAGGCCTCACCATTGGCCTTCCTCGCCCCAGTATTCCAGCAATCACGCAACGCCTCTATCCTCTCTTCTCTCTCCGATAATTCTTCCGCTTACCACAAGCGCATTCGTCGTGGTCGTGGACCTGCTTCCGGCAAGGGTAAGACGTCTGGCCGTGGTCACAAGGGTCAAAAGCAGCACGGAAAGGTGCCGGCAGGTTTCAATGGTGGTCAGACCCCCGACATCGTCGTCCATGGCGAGCGTGGAGCCAAGAATCTGTATGTGTTTCTTCTCTTCTCCCCCCGTCACCCCCAATTCCTTTCGTCTCCGAGACCTCGATACCATAAGATCCTCACTTCCACAATGAAGTAAAGAAATTCTCGCCAAACAAACCTGCTAATTACATCTTTCCAGCTTCGCCCTTGAAGTGGCTCCTGTCAACCTCGAGCGCATCCAGGAATGGATTGACCAAGGCCGCATTGACCCAGCCCGCCCGATCACCATCCGCGAGCTCTCCCACTCGCGCTGCATCCACCAAGCCAAAGATGGCGTCAAGGTCCTCGGCAACAACCCGGCCGCCCTCAAACAACCCATCCACCTTGTCGTCTCGCGTGCTTCCGCAACTGCCATCTCCGCCGTCGAAGCCGCCGGCGGCTCCGTGACCACCCGCTTCTACACCCGTACCGCCATCAGTCACATCCTCCGCAGAGAGTCGCACCCCTTCGTCTCGCTCGCCTGGTCGCCTGAGAGCAGCAGCCCCGCGCTGCTGGCCGCATCGCCGGACGCCGGCACCACGTCCGAGGCCGACATCATGAAGGCCCAGGGCTGGAAGTATCGGCTGCCAGATCCGACGCGCCGTCGTGATGTCGAGTACTACCGTGACCCGGCGCATCGGGGTTACTTGGCTCACTTGCTGAAGCCGAACGAGGGCCCCAGTTTGTTCTTCCGCTCGCCGGAGGAGCGCAAGTCTGCGGCCGGTACGAAGAAGGAGAAGGTGCTGCCGGAGAACAGACTCTGGTAAAATGTTTGGCGGCGGTGATGTCTTGTGGGGAGGTGAGCATTTTATTGTACATGTATAACTAGCCCTTTTATTTTGGATACGCTTCGATCTTAAATAAATTATATTCTCTTTTTTTGTTGATTCAAACTTGTTCTGGCTACGGGCATCACAATATGGATATATCACTGGGACAGGAAATCTTTAGAAAATGTGTTCTCAAGGCTTACGATATGCTAAAACTCTGGACTGAGGTCGTCAGTGGAAGTGTAAGAAGTGGAAGTATAGATGTTCTGTGATTATCTTTGTCTTGTCTGCCCGAGTAGAAACCCGCCCGTGCGTGTAGAGCCGACTGAGAAGAGATCGCGGAGATAGTGAGCAGAGAACAAAAGCCCCCGGCTAGGATATCAGAAAAAAACAACAGATCCGGACGTATAAAGTACAGCACAGCAAGAAGCAATGTCAAGAAGGAAGAAAGGAGAAAAAAAAACGCAACATAAAGAAATACACGCCTGATGAAAAGTGGGGGGAAGATAAAACGCCATGCTCGCCGCGTCACTCCTGAACAAAAGCCATTTGGTCTTTTCATGTCTCATATTCGTCCATAATGCGCAATACCCAGGAATAATCGGTAGGTCGGAAAAAACAAGGAAAACAGAACCGGTAGCCAATTTCAGAAAGAAATGAATGGGTATCATGATGATCAAAGTTCCCAATAAGACAAGCGCCAGCGCTTGGACAACAGTAGCGCCGAACCATAAAGCAGGAAAGAGAAAAAGAGAACAAGGGCATAAAAAAAAAAATCCCTCTATGACCAGACGGGCAGGGAGATCATATAATAGGGGAGACAGTCGAAGACGTTCATAATCTCCAAACAGAATCCGGCGAACTCTCTTCCGTAACCTCAGCAACTTCACGCAGCCAAGAGCAGGCTAGGATATCGCGAATTGTCCATCGCTTATCGACATCCATTTCGAGGCAGCCCTTGACAAGCTCGAGAGCATCTTGCCGGTCTTTGCGGAGAAACTCGTCGGTGATTTCGTTGATCATGGCATCTTCGTTCCATGTCCCAGCGAGGATGTTGGCCTGGATACGAGGAGCGAAGGAGTCTTGGAAAGGCCGGGACCCAACGACGACTGTGAAGACAATGACGCCGAAGGCCCAAATATCGACAGAGGGATGGATGACTCCATTGGCAGACTGAAGTAGCTCGGGCGAAGCATATTCCAGGCTGCCTGCCACACTGGTGCTAGAACCAGCGGGGCCCATCTGTTTTGGCGGAGGACGGTCGGCGACTTCATCATAGGGATCAGGAGACTCGCCACCATCATCGGTGGTCATCCATTCCGCCATTCCGAAGTCGCATAGCACCAGGGTAGAAGAGGTCATACCGTCAGCCGTCTCGACCGGGTCGAGAAGGCAATTCTCCAGCTTGATGTCACGGTGAACGACACGAGCGTCCTCATGGAGATAACGGATCGCACAGGCGAGTTGGTACGAATATTTCTTGGCGAGAGTTGCGTCGAGGCCGCGTCGGTTTTGGCGAACGAGATCAAACAAAGTTCCACCAATAGCAAGCTTAGTGAAGCAGAAGGTGGCGAAATCGGTTTCGTAGACAGCATCAAGGGTTAGGACATGAGGGTGGTTGAGGTATCGCCAGACCCGCACCTCATGGTCAAACTCTGCTTGAACCTCCTCATTTTCGGTCTCACTGCGGCCGGTAACGTGCTTTTTGACAATCTTGACAGCGAGTCGCTTGGTGGTGCCATGCTCTTCCACTTTGTAGGCTTCTTTGACGACACTAAAGCCACCAAAGCCGATTTGTTTGCCAAGGACATAGTCAGTGCCCACCATCTGCCCTTCCTCGTCAGGTTGCGATGCCGGCTCTTCACGACCGGACCACATAGACAGGAACATGCTGGCAGGAGACTTGCCACTAGAAGCTGTAGAGCGGCGAGAACCACGGCCCGGGTGGCGCAAGCTGCTGCTACGGTCGAGGGTAGAGCTGCGGGATTTGCTTCCGAAAGGTGTAACGACACCCCCGGACCAAGAGGCACTGCGGTCTGGTGGGGATGCATAGGACTGAGAGGGCGATGTGATGTAAAGCGGCGAGAGCAACGTATCGCGAACGCTTCCGGGGGCGTTCGGACTTCTTCCGCGATCGGAGATGCCGTGGACATGGAGGTCAGCGAGGTTGGCTGGTCTATCTCAGCGCCGGAAATCGAGTCACTGGGGCTGCCAACAGGTTGTCCGCGGGAAGCGCCGGTCGGAATACCCCGCTGATCTTGGGGCTGTTTCGAGTCAACACCCCGCGGGTTGGATTTTTGCTGATTGGCCGAGTCATCATCTTGGGAGAGGGCGTTTCGGAGGCCAGAGGTCCGAGACTCAAATTTTTGCGGGGGGCGGCTATCGAGGTCACCTTTGGAAAGAGGCTCCTCTAGTGGGCGTTGGAGGCCCGAGTCCAGGGAGACCTTGGGGTTGAAGGTGATGGAGGGACGACGCGATGACAGGTAGTTGTCTAATGGCGAGCCTTGAACGTCTTCTGGTTTATGGGGAAAACCAGCGTCGTCTGCAGGGCGGCCATCTGGGCGAGGCACTGAGATGGGAGGGGTGGCTGAATGCATTTCATTTAACACACTGCGGTCTTCATTAGTATCGCGGCGTCGCGCGTTGTAATCATGAGATATGTTGGTGCGGTCGCTCTCGATACCATCGCCACCCGTTGTCGATCTTCTCCTCCCCGCCTCATCTTCCTCCGACCATGCTGGTCGCTGCTGGTGGAATGAAGTCTCAATTCTCAAGCCTGCGGCTACCCCGGATCTCTCTGGGTGCGCCATGCCCCCGATGAGAGGGCGCGCACGTTGAAGGACGTCGTTGTGGATGCGTGCCCGTAGAAGGCTGGCAGTAGGATTCGAGGAATCCTCTGCTCTCCGTTGTTTGATGTAATCTTTCTGAGGTTTTGAGTTGCAGGTGCAAGAAGTGGGGCGATAAGCGTTTGGAAGCGGGGTCGAAATGATATCGTGGAGCGATAGACGTTAGAAAGGAAGTTGGGAAGGTCTGGGGAGGTTGATAATATATGAGATGAACTTTATGGAAGAGGTGGGAAGATCACAATAGAAAAAGCCTGGTGAGGTCAGAGGAAATCACCAGAGGAGGGATTGGTCAATAATATGCAGACGATGCCAAGCAAGGGCAAACTGGAGCATTCGGGGAAGTTCGGGTGATGACGGAATGAGCGGTGCCTCTATCGGGAATAGTCGCGGATCATCTGACGATGAGCAGGTGCAGCTGAGTCATCCAAGCTGAAAGGCACGGGCAGCTGGAAGCCCTGAGCCCTACCTTCCATTTGGGGATGCCCTATTTCAGGGGCTTGGGAAGCCCCTGGTTACTTGGTTAGCCGCGCGCAAGGGGCGCTTGTTTTGGGACGCAACCTCCTTTTGGCCGTCTGGGGATGCGACCACGACCCTGACCTTGTGCTGCTAGTGTCATTTGTCTCTTTTTTCATGCTCAATGTCGCTCTGGCAGTAATTCCCTTCTCCTCACGCCCCTTGTGCCCTCCGTGTTGCGACTGAAGTGCCCGACCAGCCCCCACCTTTTCCTTGTCAAGGCGCAGTCGTTCTTTTGGGGTCACCGCTTCATCTCAGCTCCTGGGGCCGTCAGTGGGGATTCAATCGTCGAGCTGCGGGACTCTTACGACGGAATTTGCCCACACGCCACTTTTATCTATTCATTTCTACGTCCGATAGTGCTGGTTCAACAATCGCTTCTTTTAGCACCGGCACTCTGGGGTTCGCCTGCTTCCACCCCGCCGATTCCACGTTCCTTACTCAAAGGGCATGATGACTAGGCCCCAAATGATTCGAGCTGGTATGATTCTTGGAACCTTCCCTATTCATCTGGGGGCCGCCCTGTCATCAGAAATGGAATGGAGTCCAGTACTGACTGCCCAATCGCTGTAGATACCTTGGATCTCCAAGATCACGAAACCCCGTCCGCCAAAGATCACACCAAGCAACCAGAGCACCCTACACCCCTTGGGGGCGGCCGGCCTGCCCCCCACCAGGAATTATCCATTCGTCATGCAGACCAGGATACTAAATCGGAGATATCAAACGGACCCGGTGCCGACGGTAGCCATGAGTATCAAAATGGGGACATGTACGACGACCCAGAAGAGATAGATGGGGACGTAGGACGGAACGGGCACTACGATCATGAAGACGGGGATCTGGCAGATGGCGAAAGTGATGATCTCCTTGATGATGACTTGATGGATAAAATATCCAGCTCTCCCTCGATCGATGACGGTATGTTGTTCGCGAAAGGTCGTACAATCCCAATCACTGAGGCTAATAATCAACCAGAGGATATCGACTTCGAGTTTGTCTACGCGCTTCACAATTTCGTGGCAACAGTCGACGGTCAGGCAAATGCTGCCAAAGGAGATACCATGGTGCTTCTAGATGACAGTAACAGCTATTGGTGGCTTGTGCGAGTTGTCAAAGACGGAAGTATCGGCTATCTCCCAGCGGAACACATCGAAACCCCTACTGAACGCCTTGCCCGATTAAACAAACACCGAAACGTCGATCTGTCTGCGACAATGTTAGGCGATAATTCAGAAAAGTCCAAGAACCCTCTGAAGAAAGCCATGCGAAGGCGCAATGCCAAAACTGTCAATTTTGCTGCTCCTACATACATTGAAGCATCCGATGTCGAATATTCTACGGATGAGGAGGACGAACATGGTGATTTTTTCAACGATGACGAAACAGTCGAGTCGGAAGATGGTGACGCCCAGGAGCAGAATGAAGACATTGTTGTAGAACCTTTGCGTCCCAAGGTGCAGAAAGACAAGCCTACAGAGCAGGCAGAGGGCGCTAGCTCCCCGGAAAAACAAGAATCAGATCGAGCGATATCTGACCCACGGCGGTCAAGCGAGGAGTTCTTTGATCCTGAAGGTAAGCATACACCTCGACCAACTGTTTTTCAATCGATCGGGCCATCTAACCCACATGATTAAACACAGAGCCCACTGTCAGTAGATCCAGAAATGGTACTGTGCGGAACACGGATTCTTTCTTCAAGGATGACACTGCCGAGCCAAAGAAGATTTCACTTACGCCCAATCTGCTGCGTGACGAATCCAGCAGCACTACTTTGACGAACGATTGGAAAGATGTATGACCAACCCTCCAATGTTATTTTCACGCCTTGACCTAACCTATATCTTCTCCAGGGTCGTGGATCTTTCGAAAGCATCGACAAAGCTACTGGGTCCCAGGACAAAGTTAAAGACGACAAAAAACGCAAGGATAAAAAACCAGGGATGCTTAGTGGTCTCTTCAAGCGTAAAGATAAGAAGACCAGATCCGCCGATGATGACTTTGAGGAAGCAGAAAAGTCCCCGGCGGAGTCTGCATTCCGTGCTTCGCCTCAGCCAAAGGCATCTTTGGAGTCTGTGTCACCAGAACAACCACGAACTGTCAAGCCACAGCGGCAAACTAGTAACAAGCTTCAGAAACAACCCCCAACCACCGCAAGTCCTACCGCAACCAAAACAGACGGATCTTCTGATTCCGTGAACGCAGACTTGATCATGGAAAGGGAGATTACAGTCAGAAGCCAATCTGAACAATCAATTCGTCGGGTAACTTCCCAAGATACCGAAAGCATTGGGGATGGAGCTGTAGCATCCCCTGTTGGCCAACTTAACCCTTCCAAAGACTCATTCGCATCCGTTGGTTCTCGAGACCCTTTCGCTTCTCCCGATGAGCAGCTATCCAGCGAAGCACAGTGGCGAGGCCCGTACGACTCGTCTGAAAAAATCTCTAATGTTCAACCATCCGTGATGTCTCCTCCCCAAAGGTTCAACCCGAAGGTGGTGACCGATCACTACGACCGCGCATCGGTATCCCCCATCGACTTCGACCAGGAAGGAGATCATATCCCTATTGCAGCGCCTGGATTGACCAAGGAGACAATCCAGCGAGCACAATCCATCTCCCCACCATCCTCTCCATCATCTCCTGACACTGATGCCAACTATATGAAGGGAGGTAGCGAAGCTACCCCCGGTTCCCTGGACACCCTTTCAGTGGACACTCCAACTTGGAGCGATGCCAGCCTACGATCATATATGGATGAAGAAAATGACATTCGCGATCTTTTCATTATTGTCCACGATAAATCCAATATCCCCCCTGCGGGCCCCGAACATCCTGTCACTGGACGACTTTTCAAAGAGGAGAGCAAGCGGTTGAAAGAGATGAACAATCAGCTTGACGAGATGCTTGTCAGCTGGATGTCCCAGCGGACAAAACACTCTAGTACCATACAAAACATGCAGAGCCCAACTTCTTAATGTTTTTGGTGTATATGTCTTCTCTTTCTTGACCATGTTTTCTGTGGATACATTCACCGGCCTGGCCGGTTCTTGAAAACGGCGACCAGTGGGGCACTTCCGAGGGGTGTGCTGGGCACATTCTCTTTCAGCCAGCTCTGTTACATTCTTTTTTCTTCTCTCTCGCATTTTGTCTTGTGCTTCTTATACCTTTGGGGGGTTTCCTGCGTTTGTGCCTCTTTATCTTCAATGCATCCAGCCTACACTGCCTTGTTTCGCTCTGCGACGAAACGACTCATAGGCTCTGGATTTCAGCCGTCAAGCACTATCTTTTCTTCCCTTGAATTTTCCTGTCTGTCGTTTCTTTGCGTGGATCTATTAGCTCCCACCGGAATACCCCGAGTCATCCGTGTCGACTTGATTTTTTTCCCCTTATTTCCATAGCTTTTTGAGGATCTTGGAGAAGTGACGTAACAATCTCAGTATCTTCAAGCATTTTATGTCTTTTCAGTATACCATCTGAACACCAGCGGTTTTTCTTGCCGGGATGACCCCTCCATTATAGTGTTCTGGAAAACCTTGCAACGTTGATTGGATGTCAGTGCATGCCAGGGTTGCTGCGGAGGGTCGTGCGGGCAGGTCAGCCGCGCCATGATGTATGGCGCCTTCCTGTCAGCAGCCGGGGCTCTGGGTTCTCTTTAAAAGAGCAAGAGTCGGAATCAAGGGGGAAATAAGCCGTGGTTTTGTTTTCGCAACTTCCATTCAACTCTTGCTCGACCTTTGTTCACTATGGCGGATCCTTACAACCCGTACACTTCATACTCAACACCGGCTCCGGGCGGGGTCAGTTACTATCCTCCAGAGGACCAGAGAAATCAACCTCCTGCATATGCGTATCAACAGCAGCCATACCAGCCGCCGTACACTGAGGCAGACGGGCAACCGGAGCCAAACTACACTTATGCAGCGCACCCGAGCCCATACCACCTCACGCCGGAGCCCTATCAGGGCGGTGCAGCAGAGCGAAGTTACACTCCTGTGGGGCAGCCTGATCACCTCGGCCCAGTGACGAATGTAGGAATGCCTCCTGTACAGGGCGACAAAGTTCCAGAGAATATGGGCTACTAGTGAGTGGCAGGTGTGATTACTGCCAGCGCATCAACTTGATAGGCTAACTTCGGTCCAAGCGGCGGCCACCCGGCGGACCAACCACGATTTACTCCCTCTCCCAGCCCTCACCCACCCTCAGTCCATGTGTCCAAAGCAGAAGATCCTCAGGGCTATGATCGAGGAAGCCGCCCCTCGGAGACTGATGCTGACCTTGGAAGCGAACGTGGAATGGGAGCTACTTTGGCGGGTGGTGCAGCAGGATATTTCCTCGGGCACAAGAAAGAACACGGTCTTCTTGGTGCAATCGGTGGCGCGATAGTGGGCAACCTGCTGGAAAACAAAATGAAGGACCATGGCCGGCATGAGCATGGACATCACCATGAACATTTGTCTGGGCATGGACATCATCACCACCATCATCACCGACATGGTCATAGCCATAGCCGCAGTCGGAGCGGCTCGCGACATCGCGGGGAGAACGATTTCTAATTTGCGACATCGATTGAGGTTCATCAATTCTAGAGTTCTGCTTCTGACAAGATGTCATGCTGGCGTTCCACGGCTATTCTCAATCTAAGGATCAAGCCTTTGTGGCTTGTTTGCCTATGCTTGGATACCTTTAATTTGAAGAGATACTCTTAGGTGCTTTCACTTCCAACACGGTTTTACTTAGCCAGACCAAGAAGCAGGCCATGACATAATGTGGTACGAAATTGCTATTCTCCCATAGTCCTTCAGAATACTTATATATTTTGTAATCCGCCCCTTATTTTCTAATCTGCTCTTGTGACAGAGTCAAGAGATGTAAAGGTGTTGTTATTAGTTATCTCTGAACCAGCTAAGAAGGTGCACTGGAATCATGTGACCTGGCTAAGAGGGTAACAGCTCTTATCTAATTTATTTTTATGGAAAGAGATATGTAGCGAATATCTCTTTCTCTATCTCAAAAAAAATAACACAAGCATCACGATCCGGGCCAAGCGGGCCTGCTGGTGGTTGAATCAACGCTATCGGGAGGTAATAGTTGAGAATAGCCCTGCCAAGCAGGTAATTAAGGAACAGGTCTTGGAGACCAGCTCGGGGTGGGACAGAATCGCAGAGTTGCTTAATTTAATTCAATTCTCGATCTGTTCGGGCGTGTGAAAATTTTGCCTTGCTCGTATTCAGTTTTTCAACTAGAATGGTGCACCTCGTATATATCTCCGCCGAGACCCGCACTTATCTGTCGATCAGGGTCCAAGGTAAGCCCATCAGCCTGAAGTCCCGAAAGTCAGAAAAGTACACCAACAAGAACAACTATGAACTTCGAAAATATACAGTTGAAGCAAGATATATGAGCACATCTCGTGCTACAGCCAACACGAAGAGCCTCGTTCCTTGCAAGTCCTTCGAACGGGTCTCTCAAATCTTAATCTGAGCTCAGACGCTACCAGGCCCCGCAAGCGATCTACAATGGCCCAATCTGTGCACCAATGCCCCTTTCTACTCCCCAGAAATACGAGATCTATAAAGTTATTATCAATCACACCAAGCCAAAAAAGGCACAAATCCACGATAGATGCCCGTTCTGGGTTTAATTTTTGGAAACACGGGTCTCCAGCTGAAGAAACAGTGTTTTTGGTTGGATTAGACTTGGGCCCTGAATTTCCGAGTACAGCCTAGAATACCCCGTCTGAACTTGGCGAGTGGGTGCAATTACTTCGCTTGAATTTTTGAATTTGACGGATTGGTTCGGACGGAGCCATGAGCCCACGGAGGCTGAAAAGTGCTGTGGAATACAGGGGAAAGACGCAAGCGCACTTGGACTCAATTGGCTCACTATTACGAGCCGCTTGTATAAAAGACCGTCGTTGTCTTCGCGAAGCACAGAAGAGGTTCTTTACTCAAAATTTCCGCTCCTTCAATTCCACGACCGCTAGCCTTTGTGCCTGTCTCCTATTCTTTGAATATCTCTCTAATTCCCACGGTATCTTCCCATCTCTTTCCAAAATGCATTCAAAGACTCTGGCGATTGTCTTCCTCGCGGCTCTTGCTGCCGCTGAGCTTGAGAAGAAACAATACGGCGAGTATGAGGACGATTACTACAACAGCTTGATGAGCGAGCTGAACAGCATGTAGGTGAATCCCATGGCTACCTGATACCTATTTCATTTTCCTGTATCACTTCATACAATCGCCTCTGCTAACAATGTAAAAAGAGAGACTGATACCAACTATATGGACTATCTCACCGATTACACCAACCTTCCGACAGACTATAGTGACAACCTCCCATCTGCCACAGGCAACTCAGGCTCGGGATCAGGCTCAAGTGCGGGCTCCGGTGAATTCCCTGCCATGACCGCCGACCCTAGTTATACCATGCCGTCTTTGGCCGACGTACCTCCTGCCTCCATTCAGTCCGTCCTGATCACTGCCATTCCGGCCTCATATCTGTCCCAAATCGCCATTCCATCTGTTGCCTCATCCATCTATAGCGAGATCGAAAACGGTCACTACCCTTCGTGGTACGAAGACCTCCCCGAGAGCGTCAAGGATTGGGTTTCTAGCCACTATGTTACTGGCGCTGCGGAGACTGGCGCTGCTTCCACCGCTTCCACCGCTTCCTCTGGTTCTTCTGGCTCATCGGCTTCTGGTTCTGGTGTGCCCGGTGCTGGTGTCCCCAGCAGTATGGTCGCGACTGGCCTGATGGGCGCCGCTGTCGTCCTGGCTGTTGCTGTGATGCTGTAGGTACGCGTCACGTGGACATGCAAAGCCCTGACCTGGGTCTTGGTTCTTCTGGCTTTTGTTTCTTTTTTTCTTTTTCTTTTTTTTCTTCTAGTTTCTTTTTGTGTCGCCTCTATTGAGCTTCGGAGACACAATTTATATCCTTTCATTTTTCACCTTGCTCCGGTTTGTAAACATGGTGGGAGATAATGGCAGTTGTGTTGAAAAATGTGATAATGTCAAGCAGATAGTGCAAATCCAGGCCTGGACGGTACTTATGTGAATCCAGTAATCAACTCGGTATCCTCTCCTCGGAAATGAGAGCATGCTTCGATCTTACTGTTACTTAATGGCTTTGAATCATCACCGGTTCAACCCCGGAATCCATCGGGTGGTTGCTGATAGGCTCGCCGATGCTTATCTCATGAGTCACGATAAGCCCAATCGGGCCAAGATCGTTGCTTTCAGCTCTCGTGATGTGCGAGGGGTGACCTGGCCTCGCGCTCTTCTCCTCATCAACTCCTCTATTTATGATTTAGACTTCTCTCTAGACGTGCTTTAGACTGCCCTCGCATCATTCATTTATACTTTACCTCCCACCCTCTACTGTTGTCGCCGAAATCACCGAGTCCTGCGGCCCCAGATCCTTTGATCGCTGCCCCGGATCCCGCATCGAGTCATCGCCGATAGCGCTTGACTCGCGTTGACCTCATCCCGGCGCCCTCGTTGCAACGAAATCACGACGACAGAAGACCATGCCGCCGCCGCCGCTAGAGAGACTTCTCTCGGGCTCTTTACCAGACCACTGCGAACCAACCTCGCGCTTTCTGACCGCCATCTCCTCCCATCTCCACATCTGTCTCCCCACTCCGCTTGCGCTGATCTCGTCCGTTCTCGGAACCCTCAGTATTGTCTCATGGCTGTTTGCCCAACTGCCACAAATATACAAGAACTACCAACTGCAGTCGACATCGGGTCTCTCGATCTTCTTCCTTGTCATTTGGTGCGCTGGAGATGCGAGTAATCTCCTGGGTGCGCTGTTCACGCGCCAGGCTGGCTGGCAGGTCGTGGTCGCGAGCTACTACGTGTTTGTCGACGTCACGTTGGTAATCCAGTTCTTCTGGTATACGCACTATAAATCTCGCCGATATGACGGGTACGGTGAGCTACCGCATTCGCATGATCATCATACCTCTCGAGGACCTGTCCTGCAAGGCGTGGCTCTTCCAGACAACGATGTCATCCAGCAAGCGCCGGGCGCAGTCGATATGGCCCACAAGAAGACGGAGGTTCAAGATATGGGCGTGCAGACGGGGTCAACTCTCAACTCAACTCTCGGTCGTACCCCGCCTTATACTACGGAGAAGTTCGGTTCCTCGCCCCGACCAGTGCGTACAACCAGCATCTCGTCAAGTCCGCCTTTCGCACTACCTCGGACGATGTTGGTAGCCTCGCTTGTCTGCGCCGTCCTCGCAAACGCAAGCCCCACCGAGTCCACACCCTCACCCCACCCTCCCATTTCCCATGCGCCTCGAGAGACCATCCTCGAAATTGTGGGCCGTATTTTCTCGTGGATGTCGACGATTCTCTATCTCGGCTCGCGTCCACCACAACTCTATAAAAATTATTGCCGCAAGAGCACGGAAGGACTCTCTCCGCTGCTTTTTATGGCCGCTTTCTCCGGCAACCTCTTCTACTCCTCCTCGTTACTCACCAACCCCAACGCCTGGTCTGACTTCCCGCCGTACGGTGGCGGCGGCTGGGCCGACGTCCACGGCAACGACCGCTGGGAGTGGATTGGACGTGCCATCCCGTTCTTCCTCGGCGCCTTCGGTGTACTGGGTCTTGACGGTTACATGGGCGTACAATTTTTGATGTACGGACCCCGGGATACAGACGATGAGATCTATGTCGGCATGGATGACGACGACGAAGACTCGAAGCGCGGCCGAGGTCGATGGCGCCGTGTTCGCGGCTGGATGCGTGGCTGGATTCCATCGGCATCCCCTTCGCGTAGCGAGTGCGAGCGCACTTCTGTTCCACAGGAGGCACAGGCGCTTCTCGGTTCGGACCGTGGGCGTTATGGAACTGTATAAGAGCATGTCACTTGTTTTCTTTTCTCGAATCCCTCGCCCTCGCTTCAGAACTCCACATTCTAGGCTTGGTATGATATATGATGACGTGATGACCGACGTGTTCCAATCCACCGACTTGCATTGAGCTTTGTTTTTTTCTTTCCCTTCCTTTTTCTTTTTATTCGTTAGTCCACTACACTAGGCAATTTGGGCCTATTTCATTTTTTGCATCTCGGGGTTTCTATGATCATCTTTGTTTTTGGTGTTGTCCGGGTTCTGGGGTGGAGGATAGATAGGTGCATCACTAGTGGTTTGGCCTTCTAGAAGGTTGTGGCAGGTCGTTCGACACGATCGTACTACTTGAATTCTATACTACAAGCATCCTCAAACGATTAGGACGAGAATCATTGGCCATTGTTAATATTGATAAACACCCCATAAGTCTCATACGCTTTACCTGTGGATCTCCGACTTTTCATCGTTTCACTCTTTCGGTCCTGTTTTGTTCCTTCTCGTAACTGGGGTCTGGCCTCCGGAAGCTGCACCGTTAATGCTACAGCAACTCCGGCCTTGGTAAAGATGACCAACGGAGTGTCTGATTTCAGGTTGCGACGAACCGAACCTTCTTATTTCTATGCTCAGGCCTGAATCGAACTTATTAACGAATCGATACGTGTTGCGACGTAACCTGTTTTCAGCATCAACAACACCTACGCCCAATCTAGTGTCGTGCTAAAATCCAGATTCAATTTGTAGTGTAAATGCCCTTCAGGTGTCGGCTTTTTTATAGCTCAGTCGTAAGACTTTATTCCTGACTTCTCTCCTGAAGTGGACGATTGTGTACATACAATTACACTGAAGAGAAGACAGCAGACCAGAAGCCAAGGTACCGCTTTCCTTAAGCCTGGTGATTTTAATATAGCGGTCCTACAGCCAGGTTGATCGGAATTTTCCGCGCTTACTCCGTCTTTGATGCAAACATAATCATCCTCATCTTGGTCGAACAGCGAAACGTTGTAGTAGGTGCCAACTGCTGATCCAAATGTATCAGGGGAGATAGACGCGGTCCTGAAAGCGCCGGCATGCTTGCGCTCATCCCACCATCTAATTTTGCGTGAGATTGTAATAAAGATGAAAAGAAATGAGCAATGTGGAGTGATACTACTCACGGAGTAGGCCCGGTGTAGTTGCACTCAGTCCTCAGCAGGGACTCGTGAACATGCACAAAGTATCGATGCCATCGTAGGAAAGGGCCATCCTAATGGACATAGTCCTTCAAGTTTTGATGCACAGCGACCAAGTCCGAGTATCGGCTAGTCACCGCGCGCAAATGGGTCTGAGCAGGTCTATCCCAGAGGCATCGTTCGGCCTTGAGATAGTTTTGTTGCTGAGCGTTCGTGAGGCCATCCCACTCAATACGGGTAACCGGGTCAGTGCAAGCGGACTTGGAGGTTTGTCGGGGTCGAAGGGCAGGTGATGCCAAGGAGGTCACCGCAAGTAGGGCGACTGATAAAGAAAATTGCATCTTTAAAGGGAGCAGAGAGGATGAAAGAAAGAGAGTAACGAAAGGAAGAGAAGAAACATGAAGCTAGTGCTCATTTTTTTGAATCTATGGATGGAGCTCTCAAATGCTATATACAAGCTAATTGATCCTGTTGTTCTTCATGTCTAGCGGTAGAGCTATCTGAACGCATCATCGTTCTCCAGAAATTTCCAACTCTGTCAATAATTTTACTGAGAACCGCGTGCACACCGAGTCGGCTTCTAGAAACAACGCTTTTTGGTGTATTGCTCGGCGGAGCGCCAAAAATTGGCTATTGGGATAGGTTATCAGTCTGTGGGGCCTAATTGACGAGCACGTATGGTACTACATAATGCTATCTGTGTGGGAAGTCACTCATACCTATTGCATCAATGCCAAGGGTGATTGATCATCTCTACTGTGGAACTATCGAAGTCCGATAAAATAGGACGGCCATGCACCTTTGGGATTCCTAGGTCTCGGGAGGAATAGATCACTCGATCCCCAATCATTTTGCGAGGGCTAGGGGTAGATCTCTCTGCTTCCTCAAAATCGACGAGAATTGAATCATCCTCCATAGTAAGCATAGCATTATTTTCTTGCATATCTAAGATTTGGTTGAAAAATTCTAGGAATATACGCAGTCTTATAATATTAGGAATATTATACCGGTATGAACAATCTTAGCTTCTGTGTGAAGAAAGTCGACAGCAAGAAGTATATGGATCAAAGTTGGCTTGAGCAAATCTTCCGGAAGCACCTTTTCTGTGACCCGATTGCGTAGCTCGCATAGACTCATAGCTAAAGGAGGATGCACGAGGCACTGATAGGAGTAGGTGTTATCTGCAGAACTAATTTGAAAGTCATCAATGGCGCGTCGCACGAGTACAAAGCCTGTATGTCTAGACTTGACGTTTCTAAGGTATTTGTATACCTCTCTTTCTCGTCTTCCATGGCTAGAGCTATGTTCGTACATTTTCAGTGTAACATAGGCATGTTGTCTACTACTTTTCAGTTCTGAATCTCAGTCACTGCCATTAGAACTGACTGTTGGTCTCTACAGAGCCACACTGTAGAATGTCCCCCATAGCCAAGTTTTCCAAGCATCTGGTACCTTGATCGAAATACATCACCGATCTTCACTGGATAGAAATGCCCTGGCGAGTACCCTCCAAGCTTTGCCTCCTCTAGTTTGTCGTTTGAGTCGAGTAGAATGCCTGCCTGAGAAAAAAACCTAGCAGGAGAAGGCGGTCGCCCGAAGATAGACTGTTTCAGTCGATGCGTAAGGTGTTGCATCATCATTGGGCTTTATTTGCACAAGATTAGGGGTAGTTAACAAGAGGCTGGTAGGTCACTTTGGACGACAGGCGGAACGATTTGGACATCGAATACAATCACAAGAATTCAACAGAACGAGATCTGGACAGATGGCAATGAGCGTCACGTGTTGCTTTGCAAGGGTTGAACCAAAATGACTCCACAAACATGGTTAAAGTAATATAATGACTAGTTACTACTGTTAATCAAATATAATCAATATGCTAGGTCGCTGGTGTGTTACGCGCTGTAAACGTCAACAAGGGCACCGCAAAATATTCTGCCGTCATTCTGCCACATCTGTTAGGATTCTCCCTTCCTATTCGGGCTTAGCGCCCAGACGTAGCCAGCTGTATATTACTGTAGGAGTTAGTCGCCCAATAGGAACGCAGTGTGCTTCCCGACTCTCACACTGCCCATCCAAATTGCCAAATAAAGGGCTTCTTTGAATTAAGACCGCATGTGGATTCCTTCATTATAGTAGTCTATTGCATTCTTAATTTCATAATTCATAAAAACGTCTTCGAATTTCCCATATTGAGGACTTGCCTCGGCATGGTTTGGTCATCTTTTCGGATCCATAATGCTGCATATCTTTAATGGAATGGACTTAGTCGTCCAGCGTGGTATCACGGTTGGCCATCTTGGAGTTTTCGAGGGAGTCAAAACTCGTCGGGAGAGAGAGGTGTAAGGAATCCCGAGACGGATCTGAGATGCAATTGAGACAGCAGATCGACCTTTAAAAAAGCCCTTCTCTGCAGGGAACTAGCGGGGCTTCTCATTTTTCAATTGATTCCCAGGTGGTCCAGTATAGTCAGCCTCCGGGTGGTCGTCATTGATTCGGAAATAGTGAGTTTGTCCGCGCCGTAAATCATTGTACAGAATTTAGATAATCTTCAAATGTTGGGTGGGGCAAATTAATATGCTGACACGATTCTATTAGTTAAAATATTATTTCCCCTTACGTTCGGACCAGACTGATGTAGTAAAAAACCCTTATTTAAAGTGCCTGGAAAGGCTTCAAAACTACGGGAGGCAGGAGGTTCCGGGGTTCCGGGCCACTTCCCGCCGCATTTCGCTCTGCACTTCCTTCGCGGCTTCGTATCTATTGAACTAGAGCGCTCACAGACAAATCTGACAGGGCAGAAAAAGGGGGAGCTGGTACCAATAAGCCGACCACCCCATTAGATTCTTTATTGAAAAAAAAAAAACCGAATCCCGAATTAAATACAAGCGAATGGCTTAGGAATCATACAGGAAGTATGACAGGGCAAACGGGGGAAGATTTCATGAGTGATGGATGCTTCATGGAGTCTTCCAAGCGTAAGGAGCTATCTTTTTATGCTAAGATCGTGAGTGGTATTGTTTCTGTTCGAAGGAGCTTCAGGCATAGCTTAGACCTAGTAACCTTCTAGAGGGCACGAGCCATATTCCCTTGAAGTCTCCTTAGGATGGAGTGCACGATTGACCAGAGTGCATTGACGTCGGTAAATCGCATGAGGCACTATCTCCGTTGACGTTAGTAAAGTAGACAGTAGTCCCATTTACCCATATAGTCGCAAGGTCATCACAGGCTTTTAGTGGTCCGGAAGAATCATAACCGTCCGGGACTAAGGAAAGAACTTCGTCAGTATTGCTGATACATAAAGAGGGCTTTTTTGTCTTACGAGAACAGATATAGCCGTTACCAGCCAACGCATAACCAAGATTTGTCTCGCCATAACAGCCGTAAACTGTGTCATCCGCGCTACTTCCGATTTGTATATGGCAGCTATATATGTATCTATCGAAATCCTTCAGGACGTCTTCATTCAACTTGGTTTTTATCCCCATTGTTGATGCTCTAGCAAAAGCTATAAAGAAGCCAGTAGCTAGTAAAAGGGTTGACGAAAACATAATCAGCTAATAGCACAGAAAACTTGCAGCTCGAATATAAAATAGAAATTTAAAGCCCACTACGGAAAAGCAGACCTTTTATCTACGTATTTCTTATTATTGTAAAAGAAAAAAATATATATTTAGCCATTTATTCTATTAAAAAAAGGAAATATTTATAGACCAACACCAACCAAAACCAACCAGTATAAGGCTAAAAATGGAATGCTGTGCGGGATCTCCATCATTTGTGCCTGGGCTATCCTGTTGAACTCTGGTTGCCGCCAGTGCGCCTTTCAAAGCGCAGTATAACAAGCGACGGAAGCGGCTTCGAAGCTTGTCTTAGGATTTTCTTCAAAACCTACAGGGGCCGAGGAATCCGAGTCGGACGAGTATCGGGATGAAATTACCCAACCAACAGGTTTCCCAACAGGCCTCCGGATTCCCGCGCGGATTTTCTCCAAGGGCATCGGCATAGTGTAGTACCTTTCTTTCAGATTTTTCAGACCCAGAAACGCAATGCCATAGATACGTACCTAACTGATAGTTCGCTACACTGACAAGTAGTACCTTTGCAATTTACAATTATTCTTTATACTATTTGATATGGTAGATATAGAGCCTAGCTGTTAGCCTAGGGTGCTAAATATGGATACGCCTGAACCAATCAGTTCAGCAAGAAGGCGGTTAGGGCCTTTACCAGATAATTAGGCAAGAATCGGCTCAGGCAACAACATCTAACGTAATTCACTATTAGTGCCTTACACACCCCCAACCCTTCCGGTTGTGGGTGCGCCACAGTCTTTTCGTTTCACATAGTCTTTTCGAATTCTTCCTACTATCCTATTTTTTAATATATGTCCCTGCTATATTAAAAACAAAAATACCCCCTTCTTGGAGTGCCTCCTCCGCCATTTCTAGTGCTATATCTTGATTCTGTGTAGGATCTGGTGGTGATGTTCTATATAATTTCTTCCACTGCTTCTACTGTAGGCCTCGGCACTACCACCTTCCGACCTCCGTTTTGAGGGTCGGGTCTACTAAAGGTAGTACCCTCGCGAGGGTTACCTGCGGGTGACCTACGGGTAGTCAAACTGAGCAAATAGGAGAACTCGTGACTAATATAATTTATATAGATTTTAGTAGTATCTTCACGCATTTCGCTTACTCTATCTGTTTGGGTGCTACTTGCAGGTAGCGGCCTGTTGGTCAGGTAAGGAAAATGAAAACAATATTGAATCGTTTTAGAATCGAGGAAGAATAGCAAAGCTGTATTATTCAAATAAGTGAATTTTAAAAGCTATCCCTCTTCTGATTGTATTGGTTTATAGCTATAAGCACGCGTTTTCTGTCGATATTTTTTGCTATCAATCCGATCACGAGTACAGTATGTAGCGCACTCTAAATCGCTGCTGCTATACGTATAGATAATTTTGAATCGTTTTGAATAGCTTCAATTGCTATTAGGATACTACCCTCCCTATCTGGCGATTTTGGGCGGTTTCACAGTATTTTGGTGATATGGTAGATGGTGGAAGGTGGTAAATGAGAGGTGGACGATGGGAGACGCGTTTTTGGTGGGATGTGCCACTCACTATGTTGTACGACTCGCTAGGTTGTACGACTCGCTAGTGTGTACGACTCGCTAGTGTTTAAGACTCGCTAGTGAATCAAGTTAGTCTACTAGCTTACTATATTACTATATCAGTATATAACTCGAAGATCAGACTCGTAGATCTCTACTTTTTTCAGGGGATCTGTATACTCGTTCAGTACGTAACGTATCATAACATTTCTTCGCGCGTCAGACTTGTGCCCCCTAATGCATGCGTAGACTCTCTATCCCATACCTTCTAAAAGCATTTTCCATCTCTAATTTCTTGATCTCTCTGAGTGAAATTAGAGGAAAGACATAAAGGCTTCTTCTATCATGATTTCTGGATATACCTTCAACGATAGGGATATCAGACTGGGTAGTGCTTCCAGCTACAGCACTTACGTATTCTTTTCATTCGGCTTAGCTGTGCTATGGATTGCGTCCACCGTCTGTTACCGATTATTCCTAAGTCCTCTAGCTCGGTTTCCAGGGCCACGGTTAGCAGCTGCCTCACGTCTATATGAACTATACTTCCAGCTTCTGAAAGGAGGCATATTCACATGGCACATTGACAAGCTTCATGCAAAATATGGACCCATCGTTCGAGTGTCTCCATGGGAGCTTCATATTAAGGACCCAGATTATTATAACACGGTTTACGCCGGACCCGGTAAACATCGCAATAAAGATCCCTGGTTTAGCTTTATCGCATATCCCGAGTCTATATTTTCTACTGCCGGACATGAGCTCCATCGGCCCCGTCGAAAGATTCTCAGCCATTTTTTCAAGAAGAACGTTGTTACCGAACTAGAATCAATGATTCATGAGAGTCTAAGATTACTGTGTCGACATTTTTCTACCGCAGCAGAGACAAATCAACCCTTGGAGTTGCATGCCGCTTTCTATAGCTTTACGTGCGACAATCTTTCTCAATATGCCTTCGGTCGCGAAAATGGGTTTCATTACCTTGAGGAGAACCAGATCACAGATACCTGGAAAACCAGAATGACATCGCTATTTGAGTTTTGTCGAATTAACAGACATATTCCGCCTTTGTCTTACATGGCACGTCTGGCTCCTAGTATAGTTTCTTGGTTCGTTCCACGATTCAGATATGTTGACCAAATGGAGCACGTGAGTCGAATATAATCTTTAAACTAGTACTGAGTTCTTAATTCCTCTACAGGACGTGAAACAGAAAGTCAAGACAGTGCTGAATCAACACTTGAATGACAAGAGAACTCCACAATCACCGGGAGCCATATATCCGTCAATATTAGCTGACCCTGACGTACCTCCGAGCGAGAAAAGATTAAGACGTCTAGAAGATGATGCGATATTCCTTTTGATGGCAGGGACAGATGCTCCATCCCAAGCACTCGCGATTACCATGTTCTACATACTCGACAATCATAAAGTATATCAAACTCTCAGATCAGAGCTTTCTTCTGAACTAAAGAATATTGCAATTACTCCAACACTGAAGCAACTAGAGCAAGTTCAGTATCTAGTAAGTGCATCAAACTTGTGAACTAACAGGACCCCACTAAAAGCCCAATAGAGTGCTGTAGTGCGGGAAGGTCTCCGATTATCTGCAATAGTAACAACTCGACTTCCTCGATCGGCTCCAGATGAGACACTTCAATACCAACAGTGGCAAATTCCAGCTGGAGTAAGCGAAACCTCTTTTAAATTAACAAGACATATATGTTCTAACCAAGCATAGACCTTCGTGAGCATGTCGACATATTTCATACTCAAGGACCCCAAGATTTTCCCTAACCCTGAAGCTTTCATGCCGGAGCGATGGTTGCTCCCCACAGATCAGCTCCGAGAGCTCGAGAAACACCTTGTTCCCGCATCAAAGGGAACACTGGGATGCCTAGGACAAAAGTAAGAGAGCCTGTCCTATACTTTGCATGCCTTAAAGCTAATCCACAAAAGTCTCGCATGGGCATGGATGCACTTGGTTCTAGGAACTTTGCTGCGTCGATTTGATATGGCCTTACATGAAACGACTAGAAAGAATGTTGAAATGACGCGTGATAATTTTATTGGACAGACGGATGTCAACATGAATAACGTGAATGTGAAGGTGCTGGAGGAGTATTCTGACTGACACGGATGATGACTTCAGATTTCGGCAAATTTCTGGAATGAGTTGAACTTTCTGTGGTATTTTACTCATGGTTTAAGAGCAATCTTTAAGTGAAATAATCAAATTCGGGCTTCTTTACTCTCCTCTAGGTGCCTACGTGGTCCACCTAGAGGGGCGTGATCACTTGTGAGGCTTACTGGGGCTTTGACCAATTGGAGAGGTCTGATGCAATAGGCGCCCCACTGCACAATGTCCGCTACCACCTCCATTCGTATGATTTTATCTTATACTTTATGCCGCGTTTACATGGCCGGCCACCCAGATTATTATATTGCTTCCCATTTTTCACTAACCTCCATAGGTAAATTGTGGTATTAGGTAATCTTTGAAATACCACCTTAGGTCTATGGGCTTATACATTCCCATTCCCATCCCCCTACTTTCCTTTCTCCTTCTACTACCATAGACCCACCAGTCTTGGCCGCGTCCACAGCACGCAGGAAATATGTCTTTTTCCGAGGAACTCGTTGCAAAATACCCCTCACTACACAAGTTTACTGGTAGTGACTACGTTGAATCCCACGATGGACGGGAAACTGCTCTTCTCAGATACATCTATAACCACCCCACTCTAGAAGAGAAACGCAATTCGCCCTCCGGCATCCGCCAGCTTATGGATGAGTTCGCAGCACAGGAGGACTTTCTCATTAATATTGGCAAGGACAAGGCAAACAAGCTCGAAGTGATAATTGCAGAGCAGAAGCCGACTGTGGCTGTGGAACTTGGCGGTTATGTCGGATACTCAGCACTCTGTTTCGGAGAGGTCATGCGCCAAGCTGCTGGCAATGCACCAACCAACCTTCGACTCTGGAGTATCGAGTTCGATCCACTGATCGCGTCTATTGCAATGAACTTGATCGATCTGGCTGGGCTGAGTGATATTGTGAAAGTTGTAGTGGGCACTGCGGCGGACTCGCTGCAACGCCTTCATGCGCAGAAGGTCTTGACTACAGTGGATTTCTTGTTCCTAGATCATGTGGAGGATCTCTACGTGCCAGATTTTCAGATCTGCGAGGAATTGGGTCTTTTCAAACAGGGAACATTGATTGTGGCTGACAATGTGCTCCGTCCGGGGGCCCCGGCCTACCGTGAATACGTTCGTCCACGCCCCACACTGGAAAGCTGGAGCATCAAAGGGCTGATCATGCCTGGTGAATTTGAGGTGAGTTATCAAGATCCAAGAATTATCTGGACTCATGAGAAGCTAAAGTCGCTATTTAGGATGAACTTGAGATTACCAGAGTCAAATAATTTATAGGCCAAGGCAGCGCGGCACCTTTCTGTACTAAAAGATAAGATCCTAGCGCAAATACTATATTCATAGCCATAAGAGCTACAATCAATGAAACACTTATAGTTCGCCGTTGATGTTGAGTTATTATATGAGCAAATAGCTGCGAAATCTGTGAGATATTGACATTCCAGGGACACTCATCTAATTATAAACAAGGTATTTTGAAGAAAGGGTGGGCATCGACCTGCCAGAATGGAAACCAGCTCCTTCCAACAAAAAAAATGGGAAGAAGGTAAAAGGTAATACGCCAATGTATTCGATGCCGCCCATAAGCCCCATGATCATTGCGTCAGTAACAAAGGTCATGAAGTACAGTAAAGAAGAGAAAAAAGAATAGATAGTATGAAGACGGCCTGTCCAATGATCGCTCATCCGTTCCAAAGAGAACACGGCGAATAAGGTTGATGAGTTGCGACAGAGAGAAGAAAGGTGAAAGAAAAGAAAAACTGACAATCTCCCATACACAGGAGATTCACAGCCTGAGGAAAGACAGCATTAGGTAATATCCTAGACGAGATAAAAATGACAGAGAAAAGGAACATAAATGGACTAGGAAAGGAAACATCTGCATGGAAGCAAAAGAGCAGGCGGTAGCAGACATCTCCAATGAGCCAGGACTTTGATCATATGGGAAACAGGGGCATATTCATTCGTTGCTTGTTCGAATAGTTCATGACCGTAATTCTTGGGTTCTTCAATCTTCTCCAAGCCAGTCTCATTATGATTATTACCGGTATTCAGATAAGACAAGAATCTTGCACCACGCGACATTTGAGATTTCAAAGTCGTTGAGCCACGTTCAATGCAAGAATACCGACAGACTCAAAATAAGAACAGGACAGAAAGATAGAGGGCTCATACAGGGTTACTAAACCGCGGCAAGGGGCGACCAGCACTATCCGAGCTCGTGGAATAAAACTCTAACCCAAGGCATCATTGAAAAGCTAGAAAGCTTCCAAGGCAGTGTCACGTAACGGAGGATGGAGTCAAAACATCTAGTACAAGGGAGATTTGACATCTTGGACTCCGCGCCGGATCACATCCTCAATACGCCAACGGGGGGGGAGTAAGGTTGGCAGTGCGCTTGCGGTGCCACTCCTTCTCCATCTCCGGTGGAGGGGCCATCTCTTCGGTGGGAGGAATGGCGCCACCAGCGATACCAGTGGAGAATTTCAGCTGAAGAACATTGCCAATTTCGTCGCAAGCGGTCAAAACACGGTCAAGATCTTCCTTGGTGTGAGCAGCCGAGACACAGAAACGAGCGCGGGATGAAACCAGCGGGGTAGCAGGGTAGCCAACGACCACAACTGAGATCTTGCGCCGCAGCATCTCGTGAGAGAAGGCAGGCATCTTAGCCGGGTTGTAAAGAAGGACGGGAATGATTGGCGAGTCATCATGACCGTATACTATAAAGCCAAGACGCTTCAATCCGAGACGAAGGTATCGGGAGTTGAAGGCTAGACGCTGAAGACGCTCCTCGCCTTGGCCGGGAACGAGCTCGCCATTAATGATACGAAGAGCGGAGGAAATTTGGGAGAGAACAGCGGGTGCCGGGGCTTCTCCGTAAAAAATACCGGAGTTGGTAGCCCGGAGCTTATCGATCATTGCTTTGTCTGCGGCGATGTATCCACCATTGGCTCCAAACGACTTGGTCAAAGTGCCCATAAGAATGTCCACTTCGGCGGTGTCAATGCTGAAGTAATCACAAACGCCACGGCCCTTAGGACCGATGGCACCAATTGAATGGGCCTCGTCGACGAACAGGTGGAACTTGTACCGATGCTTCAGTGCAACCAAACCAGGTAGGTTGCACATAGATCCCTCCATGGAGTAGAGACCTTCCACAACCACAAGAATCTTCTTCCACGGACGGTGGGTGCGAGGCTGGCCTTGAGAAATGGCCTCGCGTAGCTTGAGTTCCAAGTCCTTCATATCGTTGTGCTTGAACATGGCAATCGATGCACCAGAAAGACGAGCGCCGAAACGGATGGAGGCATGGTTCAGCTCATCCGAAATCAAGAGATCACCCTTGCCCACCAGAGCGGGGAATACGTTGGCATTAGTGCCAAAGCCCATTGAGAAGACCATCGCAGCATCCTTACCCACGAATTGGGCAATCAGGTCCTCGACCTCAATGTGCAGGTCTTGGGTACCAGCTTCCGCACGGGTACTAGGAGTAGTGATACCGTACTTTCGAACCGAGTCTTCCGCAATATCCGCACAGGGACCTTCTGATTGAGCGAAGCCCAGATAGTTGTAGGAACTCAAGTTCAAAGTGTCGGTCGTGGTGCCAGTCAAGTAGAAGTGATGATTATGGTCATCAGTGGCGCGGTCGATCAGAGTGATGGTACGTCCAGGGACGCCGGTGACAGGTCGCTCGAAGCAGTCATTGATGCGCAACTTGAGACGGCGAACGTAGAAGTTGTCGAAATCGCTGTTCAGCGCACCATAGCCGTTGCGAGGTTTCAAATGACGATAGTTCTCTTCCCGGAAGCGTTTGCCGAAGAAATCACGAACGTGTCCGAATGCAATTAGAATTAGGTAGCTGATGTACGTGGTAAGCAGGTAATAATACGGCGGCTCGTCCATCACCGGCTCCGGAAAGACACCGCCAGGGTGTCGGCTAGAGTACCGGTGACTGGGGTGACCGATGGGACCGAATTGAGCATGTTGCTTGGCCAGCCGGCGGGCCTCCTCCGGAGAGGGGGGCTGGAATAGGGTGGTCGGCAGCTCGTCCATGTTCGGGTTATCGGCCGTGGCAGTCGACAGGGAGATTGTCGGTAAGGACAGTGATGCCGAGCTGATCGGCGGAGAAGGATTGTTGTTAGGATTGGTCCCGCCGGTCGACTGGGGGGTCACCTGGGTCGGTTGGGGGTCGGCCTTGGATTTGGGCGAGACGGAGAAGAGTTGGGACAGGCGATGGGACTTGACTGAAGGCGCCTTGATGGCGATACCGCCCTTTCCCGATGAAGGCGAAAAGGACAGGGAAGTAGAAGAGGTGTCGTTGGAGGAGTTGTTGCTAAACCGACGAGGCATCGCAGAAGGAAGCAGCGAATCGGTTTTAGGGGTGGTCCGGCAACAGGGTTTTACCGTCAATGTTGTCAATGTTGGTGAGAGCGAAGCGCTAATCGTTACGCGTGTAGAGCAACGATCAAGGCAGGCACTACCGGGGGTGAAAGAAGGAGCGTGCAGAAGATCGGTTGGATGGTGAATCCGGCTTCTGTTAGCTGAGCTTGCCGCGTTTCAGTCCAGTTCGACAGCCCAAGGTAATCTGGGAGGGGGCAACACGGAGGCGTTAGTGGATGCGTTTCCTCACGATGACGGTCATGGAGTCAAGGGCGGCAGGAGAGTGTGAAATGGGCCAGAGGGTTTCCGGAAGAGCAAGATGGATTGCATCGAGTGTTGTCTGAGAGAGACGTACCTCTTGGCTGTTGTCCTAGCGGTGGGCGGGATCCGAAGACCTCCGGCAGGTCTTTAGGGGGGGGGATATTGTGGCTTCGCACGTGGAATGGGGCGATGAGTAGGGAAGGGTCGCGAGCCCGTTCAAACCAAAAACGAATCCGACTCTCGCTCACTCACTTGATCCCACAGCTGGTGGATCGAGGAAAGGGAGGAGGAAAGGTGTAGGAGTGAAAAGAATTCCGTTGCAGCAGGTAAATAGCGTACATGCGCTTAATCTCAATCCTGCCGGGGAGGGTACGATACCTCCTGGTATTGGAAAACGGGGCCAATACGACCGTACAGGCCCCCATTTTAGGGTCGGAGGGTGGCTCCGGAGTGGGGCTACTGGGTGTGACTAAGCGAGTGTCGGTATTGTGACGGCATCAATACCTGTTGAGGCTTTTTTTTCAAGTTTTTTGATCTGAGTTTTGTATGGCTGACTAAGAGACTTAGACAGGTCAAGTTCAATTCAGCTGCCAACAGTCGGCTATGTGGTCAAGTCATACAGATCATAGATATCCTGACCCAGGAAATTATCATATATTATTCATATATTATATGTTGGAGGTCCGGAGCTTCATCAAAAGAGGCCTATCCACGAAGCAACGACTGCGCGAGGTTTACACGGCCTCTGATCCACGAGTATCGGAGTAGGTGACCTATATTAGTCCAACGAACACATCAATCGACAAGATCCGATTTCATTTTGGTTGAAAATCAGGGCCACGGCCTCGGCATTGTCTGAGCGATCTAGAAACTCATTGGAAATAACCATTGGACTGAACGGAATAAAATCTGTACTCCGCCGATGGGTCGAAACGTGCCTGTCTATATCAACCAGGGGACCTCACACATGGTCCAAATTGAAAGGACCAGTTATGTGCGCTAAGTGCATTGTCGCGTTCAATAACTGCCAACTGGCGGATCTTGTCATACATAGGGGCGGTGCAGCTTCTAGAGTGACGGTCGCGAACTGCACCGATACGATGGTCGGGCTCGGACACGGTCATAATGGATGAGACGATGATGTCGATGGTGGCTTCCTGGCCTCCCCACTTGTCTGAGAAAAGGCTAGTCTGTCAACCATGGACACCCGGCTGAAAACGGTCGAGACCGTGAAAAAAAAAAAGCAGAAAAAAAGTGGACAGAAGCCCGATTGGGGCCTCAGGCTGTGAGGCACTAAGGCTGTCAGGGACACCCGCATTCCGCATTCCGCACAGTAGGTCCCGCTGGGTTACATACAACCCGGGGATCGAGAAACAAGAGGACCTAGGGGGTCGAAAGGAGTGAGACGTAGCATATGAAGTAGAACTTGAAAAGAACGAATAGAAAGAAAAGAGAGAAAAGTCCTATCAATTAGGTTTCCTCCTACTTTTATTCTGTCCAATTCAGGATCGATAGGCAAGGCTGTATCGTATACCCCTGCATCTCGACTTACCCGCGAAAAGCCGCGGCAATCCATTACCCGCTTTGATCCCGCCTGGAATCCCTTGTTGGACGGCAGCGCATTGTGCAACCTTGCCCCTCTCCATGACAAGTGTCCCGCTCCTGGTATCGTCATTTTAGACTCTCGACACTATCATCACTCCTGGCGATAGAAGGAGTCTCCGGCATCTCAATTGGGTGGTAGGTCCTTCCGTCTTGAAGCATACTTCCTTTCGAGCAGCGGTACTTTCTGCGGAGACACCCTCCTGGTTGGCAAAGGGAGGATAAAAAGCATATCGTGGTTGCATTGCATTACATTGCAGCCTCTTATCAAACCAACTACTAACCCTTCGTCTCGTCCAGACCTTGTGTGAGTGTGTGATATTCCTAAACTCCCCACGAGAGCCTGGATCAAACCATGCCGCACATCGACGAGGCAATCACCCCAGAGGCGACGGAGCTTTGGAGGCCCTCATCCCCGGAGACAACGCAGATCTGGGACTTTATGACCAGAGTAAACAAGAAGCATGGTCTTTCGTTGAACAATTACAATGCACTCTGGCAGTGGAGTGTCTCCGAGCCTGCCAGTTTCTGGGAGGAAATTTGGAACTATACGCACATCAAGGCTCACGAGCCATACAATCAGGTTCTGGAGCCAACACGACTAATGTTCCCTCGACCGGATTTCTTTGAAGGCTGCACGCTAAACTTCGCCGAGAATCTCTTGTACCCGGCCTGCGCCCCAGATGAGGACTCCATCGCTGTGATCGGTGCCACAGAGGCAGATCGTGAATTTATTTCGTGGAAGCAGCTACGTGAGCGTGTACGCAAGTGCGCCAATGCTTTGAAGGAAGCTGGTCTGAAAACTGGTGATCGCGTGGCAGGCTTTGTCGGGAATCACGCCAATACCGTCGTGGCCATGCTAGCCGCCGCCTCTATTGGTGCTTTCTGGACCGGTGTGTCCCCAGATACTGGTGTCCATGCCGTTGTGGAGCGCCTGAAGCAGGTTGATCCCAGAATCCTGTTTGCGGACAGTGCTTCGCTCTACAATGGAAAGGTCCACGGGTCACTCGCTAAGGTGCGCGAGATCGTCTCAGACTTACCTGGTCTGGAGCTTCTGGTAGTGTTTGAGACCACCAAATTGCTGGAATTTGAAATTAAAGAGGTTCGCCCTTCAAATGGAAGGGCCATTACATATGGCGAGTTCCAGAGCGCGGTCCGTGACGAGAATGCGCCTCTGAATTTTGCAAGCTTGAAACCTGAACATCCTGTCTACATCCTATACTCATCCGGCACAACAGGCGCCCCCAAGCCTATCGTGCATGGGTCGCTGGGTACACTACTACAGCATAAGAAGGAACACGTTCTTCACTGTGATATTCGACCAGGTGATCGCTTGTTCTACTTCACAACCACAACGTGGATGATGTGGCACTGGCTTGTGTCAGGCCTAGCCAGTGGTGCGACTATTGTTCTATATGACGGTTCCCCATTTCGGCCATTTGATGTCGAAGGAGGCAAGGGAGAGATGGCCATGCCGCGGCTCATCGATGAGCTTCAGATCACCCACTTCGGCACTTCGGCCAAGTATCTGTCCATGCTGGAGCAAGCGGCATTGAACCCCCGCAAGCACGCCCATCGGCCAGTATCTTTCAAGACCCTTAAAGCCATTTTTAGCACAGGGTCTCCCCTGGCTCCGTCGACTTTCGAATACATCTACTCTTCCATTCACCAAGATATCATGTTGGGCTCCATCACTGGTGGTACAGACATTCTTTCACTTTTCTGCTCCGGATGTCCAATTCTTCCTGTCTACAAGGGTGAGATCCAATGTCGTTCTCTAGGAATGGCCGTTTCCGTTTTTGATTATGCCGGCAATGACATTAGTGCCTCGGGTGAGCCGGGAGACCTTGTTTGCACCACACCATTCCCCGCGCAGCCTGTCATGTTCTGGCCTCCTGGTCCGACAGGTTTAGAGAAATACCGAAAGAGTTATTTCGACGTATTTGGCCCATCGGTATGGCATCACGGTGACTTTGTCCGCTTGAACCCACAGACTGGAGGTGTGGTCATGCTGGGCCGGAGCGACGGGGTGCTCAAACCATCAGGTGTTCGGTTCGGAAGTGCAGAGATCTATAATATAATCATAAAGTATTTCGCAGACGAGGTTGAGGATTCTCTGTGTGTTGGTCGGCGGAGAGAGGGTCTCGACACGGATGAGACTGTTGTTCTCTTCGTGAAGCTAGCACCTGGCAGCCCCTCTGACCTAAAGGATCTTTCGGCACGGATTCAGGCTGTGATTCGCAAGGATTTAAGTGCTCGGCACGTCCCGGGTATTATTGATGCCTGTCCAGAAATTCCAGTGACTTCCAATGGCAAGAAGGTCGAGAGTGCTGTCAAGCAGATCCTCTGCGGACTCAACATCAAGATCGGTGCCAGTGTGGCCAATGCGTCTTGTCTAGATTGGTATCGTGACTGGGCTTCAGGGCACTCATAAGCAAGGCACAATTTTCGTGTAAAATTTCATCAACATTATAATGTGTGACGTTGATAAGCCTAGAATGAAATAGAACGTTTCCAGTATTACCATTATACTATATGTATCTAATAAGTGGCGGTCGGACTGTCTCTGTTACAACAGAGGTAAGATATTTCATGAGGATATGGGAAGGGAAGTCTGATTACTTTTGTTTTTAAAAGTCGGTTGAGTAATCATTGAAATTCTTCTTTCTTTAAGACAGTAGGGTCAATAGATATAGCCAATCGAGAAAAATGAACTTCTCAAGAATGAGCCGCCTTCCCCCAACATCCCCGACTTGCGAGAGCTTGATGCCATACACAACTAGTGTGGAAACGGGTATTTCTGTAAGCGCAAGACGCACAGCGGAATGGGTGGGGCATCGCCGTATTCTGTGGCTTCTCATTCTCGACACATGAATACTACCAAAGTTTGGCTAGCAAATCTCGAGCCCACTGTCATCAACCATGCCGCAGTTCATGTAAAGCTGATGGAAACCATGGGCATTAGAATCAAATGGTCCAGAACCTGCCGACGCCACTTCTTAGTTATTAACTTACGATTCTGGATTAGTCAACTGTAGAGGCCAGAGCTTGGAGTCGTGTTCTGAACAGCCTGTGGTGAGTTTGATTAGGTAATCGACATCGGTGAGGTTCTCCGGAATCGATTCTTCGCCGACGTTGCTTTCCCGTTTCCTCCAGATCTGGAAAGAAAGCGTGCAGAGCACAATATTCCATTTGTTCGAATTGCCGTGTTTATACAAATAAGCAGGCATCATGCGTCGCTCTGCATTGCGGGCCATCGAGTCTGCGAAGCCTCTCACACGAGCTCCTCGCTCAGTGTCGAGAAGCTTTGCTACCCTTAACGACTCGGCGAAGGTATCATGATTTGACATTCAGCTTGATTCTGTTACACGTCTGACCAACCCTTTCTTTTGTTGCAGGACCCTGCCGAACTTGACCAGATCACTACACTCCCGAATGGCATTCGCGTTGCTACAGAGTCATTACCCGGTCCCTTCGCTGGTGTCGGAGTTTACGTCGATGCCGGATCCCGCTATGAAGACGCCAGTCTGCGCGGTGTCAGCCATATCATGGACCGCTTAGCCTTCAAATCAACCAAGTCACATACCGGAGATGAGATGCTCGAGATCCTTGAGTCGTTGGGTGGTAACATTCAATGCGCCTCGTCTCGGGAATCTCTGATGTATCAGTCGGCCACTTTCAACTCGGCAGTCCCTACGACTCTTGGTCTGCTGGCGGAGACCATTCGGGATCCTTTGATTACCGATGAGGAAGTTCTCCAACAACTTGCAACGGCGGAGTATGAAATTGGTGAAATCTGGGCGAAACCCGAACTCATCTTGCCGGAACTGGTTCACATGACGGCCTACAAGGACAACACGCTCGGCAACCCCTTGTTATGCCCGAGCGAGCGACTAGGAGAAATCAACAAGGCCGTGGTGGAGCGTTATCGGGAGGTTTTTTCAACCCGGATCGCATGGTGGTCGCCTTTGCCGGTGTGTCACATGCGGAGGCTATCAAGCTCACTGAGCAATACTTTGGGGACATGAAGGCCAGTGACATTAGCAAGACCAAGGGCCCTGTTCTTTCTGGTGCTGGAATTGATACCACCCTGTCGGATTCTCATTCTGCAGCCACTGAGGGCCAGGTGCCGACCGTCCCGCATTTCACGCCTTCGTCGACAACGACCAGCCCAGCTGCCTCGCAGAGCACCCAATCCTCGCTGCTGTCCAAACTACCGTTTCTCAAGAATCTCTCATCATCCGCAAATAAGAAGACCACCGTCGAGCCTCTCGACCCGTCTTTGATTGAGCCTTCGTCGTTGGATCTCCGGCGACCTGCACACTACACTGGTGGCTTCATTGCTCTTCCCCCGATCCCTCCGCCCGCCAACCCAATGCTCCCGCGCCTGAGCCATATTCACCTTGCCTTTGAAGCACTCCCCATCTCCTCTCCTGATATTTATGCTCTCGCCACCCTCCAAACATTGCTGGGTGGTGGTGGCTCATTCTCTGCCGGCGGCCCCGGCAAGGGCATGTACTCACGCCTCTACACTAATGTCCTCAACCAGCACGGCTGGGTTGAGAGCTGTATCGCCTTCAACCACAGCTACACCGACAGTGGAATCTTCGGAATCTCCGCATCGTGCAGCCCCACCCGCACGACAGAGATGCTGGAGGTCATGTGCCGAGAGCTGCAGTCGCTGACACTGGACACAGGCTTCAGTGCTCTCCAGCCGCAGGAGGTCAACCGTGCCAAGAATCAGCTTCGTTCGTCGCTCCTGATGAACCTGGAGTCTCGCATGGTGGAACTCGAGGATCTTGGCCGGCAGGTCCAGGTGCACGGTCGCAAGGTCGGTGTGCGAGAGATGTGCGAGCAGATTGAGTCGCTGACTGTCGAGGATCTGCGCCGTGTGGCTCGCCAGGTCTTCGGTGGTCAAGTCCTTAACAACGGGAACGGAACTGGTAAACCCACGGTCGTGCTGCAAGAGGGCGAGTTGGAGGGCTACAAACTGCGTTCATTCCCCTGGGAAGAGATCCAGGACCGTATTGCGCGATGGAAGCTTGGCCGCCGCTAAGTACGTATCTTGTCAGGCAATCGAGGCCTCAATGGGCAGATGGTGTTCATATTCAAAGGTTCTGTGAGTGGCAGGAACTCGCATGATCGGTCTTCCATGTCTTGAATGGGACGGATGCCACTATATTAGAAGAATATACTGTATAATAGACAATTGCCAACACATCTCTATGAAATATTGATAATCATCCCCGAATTCTCCGTTAGTTTTTTTCTAGCATCAGACCTCTAGCCGACGTTCGGAGAAGTTGGTTGTTGCGGCCGATGATGTCGAGGCTTCCCGACGGGTCCAAGCTTCTCGCCGCTTTTGCCCGGCAAAAAAGTCGGAGTGTCCGAATTGCGCGCGCTCCGTTCTTCCATCATTCAACTCATCATTCACCTCCATCTCTCTCAATCCCATCCACCCTTCCATCCCTTCAAAATGGTCAAGCTCGAAGTTGTTGAGGACGAGTCCTTTACGGATAAGCCCATGCCCTCCAAGAACGACGCTCTGCTCGTCTCCGATGACGAGGACGACTACAGCGACACCGGTAAGTGTTTGACGACTCCCTATTGTTCTTGCATCTTGAAGACACACGACTTGCACCAAACCATAATTCTCAAATCAAATCATATCCGTCATGAACATTGCGAGCCACCGTGTCTTTTTGATTCTTCAATCCGTCAACCGGACTATGATCGTGGCCTTTGGCTCAAAAAAGAACCATCTGCGGAATCGACCATGAACCATCACCCATTATCGAATTATCCAGTCCAGAACTGACAATTCATATTCGACGTTAAACAGAATCCGAGATCTCCAATGATGATGACAATGACTACGAGGTTGAGGAGGAGACTCTCTACGAGCGTATCTCTGCCCTGAAAGACATGATCCCTCCCTCCGCGCGCCGCACTGTCAACAACTCCGTCTCCACCCTCACATCTTTCACCAAGGCCAGTCTGTCCTTCAGCGGCAAGGCCCTCTGGGTTATTAGCACCAGTGCTTTCCTGATCGGTGTTCCCTGGGCGCTTGCCTACGCCGAGGAGGAGCAGTATATCCAGATGGAGCGGGAACAGGGCATGATCAAGGGTGCTAACGAGGTATGTTTGATCCAAGCATTATGCATGATGACTTTCCATGGTGTCTTTCAATCTTGTGGTGACGTTGAATGCTTGCATTTGGGATTCGTTCGGGTTCCTCTTAATCTCGGGCGACTTGAAAATCTCATGGCAGCATTGCGACGTCATCATCATGATTGCACCGCATCTATTGGGAAACATGAAACTCGGTCCAGCTTGCTAACGACGACCCTTTGCTCCAGATGCTTACACCCGGCGGCGAGCCCGAGAAGGAGGCTCAACCTACCCTGTAAATTAATAACATTTTGGAAACTGGAGCAAATCGGCAACATCCTGAAGACCTCGATTTCTGATCGATATAATTGATTAAATATCGGCAATACAATGAATCAAATGACGGTGGCTGATAGAATCTCGGCCTTTGCGTTGAGATACTCGGCGCACCTGGCACAATCAAACACCTTGAAAACATTACTTCGAGGCATTGTGGCCATTTTATTGTTTTCGAGTATCTCGGTTGTCTACCGGTCTCGATTGCTCTCTGTTTTCTCCTTCTCCCCCGCTTCTTGATATGTTTTTCCAAAACCCATTTTGGCTCCGGCAGCTTATGCATGCATGTATTTGTACAACCACAATTATCTTCTTCCTTTTCACTTCCTTATATTTCTCTACTATTTTCTTTGTCTCGAAGTCTGTATGCCTCAATGATGAAAGCCGGGCGCACCCGGCAGTTCTCCAGAACTATCAACTTGAAAGTTTTGCATTGAGAAATGGATTATTTACATAAAGATAAAAGCAGTAGAGCCCTGGGCCTCAGGGTTTGCGAGACTGCGCTAGGACAAGGGGGTATCATGAGGCATGGTTGCCAGAATAGTGGCTGGTCGTCAATGGTAAATGCTCTCAACATCAAAATATGTAAATTTCTTTATTCCATGGTGGACTTATCAAAGATCAGCTTAAGGTCCATTTAGTGTCTTTTTGGAGATACAAGAACTTACCGTCTTCTCTCGCGCCGCTTTGAGATGTATATGGAAATCACGATAGAGATTCTCGATTTCGCCTGCTGCAGCCATCTGTTCGATGATATCTATCGCATTCCGAGTCTTACGTTTCTGGCTGAGATTGTTGCGACGCAAAACTTCCGAGTCTTCCATGTGGCCCTTGCGTCTGAGGTAGTCCACGACCCATTCGTTGAGATGGTAGCGCCAGTGGGTCAGAGTATGTGCCATGTAGGCATTGCTTTTGCAAGTCCTATCAATATATGAGCCTCTACACTCTGAAATAGACACTGAGCCAGCACCTACCGTCCTAAATAGAAGCGCGTGTCTTCATGAGGCAGGATATGGCCGTCCTTGTCTCGATCAACACCTGGCTTATCCCTTTTATTCTCCGTTTGCTCCGGCTTGGTTTCATCGTCATTGCTGTCTCTCTCATCGCTGTCATCACTTTCATCAGATAGAGGCTCCAACGTCTCTAGGGAGTATGGTTTGCCAAAGAATTTCAAATCGGACGACGCAGGGTGGCCAGACCGGTTGCAAGCATCACATGAATGCCCTACCTCTGTAGGGAAAGCTGTGAGTTCAAGATGGGGTCGAGCTAGGAGCGTCCAAGAAAATTTGGCATTCCATACGGATGAAATCAGCGACGAGCCTGCGCGTCCTTTCACTTCATCCTCCAATTTGTTGAACGCCATCTGGTACATAGCATCTGACCGGGGAAAGGCTGGATCCACACAATTATGGACCATCCAGCCCACGACGTCGCGGAAATACTCTTTTGTCTGCTTATAAGCATGTCGAGTGAATTCAAAAGGAATTTCTTCAATCGGAACACCGAGCTCAGCGGTATCATCTTCCAGCACAAAGTCGTCCTCATAGCGGTCGAGGTCTTCGTTGCCGCCGATTTCAGACTCGGCTTCACTATCTTCGTTCTCGTTGTGTGTATTGAAGAAGTCGAACCTTTGCGGAATTGGACTTGTTTGCGGCTGGTCATCCTCGGACTCCGATTCAATCTCGCTCTCTTCTTTCAACCCTGCACGCCTGCGCCGCAAGGTCTCGAGATGTTGTAACCGCCTATTTCTGGAGGACTCAGCAATCCGTCCACGAGTCCTAGTTTTTCTAACCACTGTAAAAGGATGTGAGCGATTTACTGGGGTTTATTTGGGAGATTGGTGGCCATACCTGAATCCTCAAGATCTCTCAGATCTTCTTCGATATCTAATTGATCTTGATTGGCGCTGGAATGCGGGGTTTGAGGGGTCTCAGTAGTCAAATTTCGCTTGCGCCTCTTCACAGGAGATGAGACAACGAGCTCATCTGAATCTTCAGAATCGCTGAGTGCGACTGGTGACATTTCTGCTTTTCTCTTCAGCCTGCGGCGGGGCTGTATTAATTCTTCCTCCGAATCACTGATATTTATGGCGCCCTCTTGGGAGCCTGCAGGAGAGTGCGCGTGTGAAGTTGTTGGGTTGGGCATTGAGATTGGAGGCACCATGGTCGCCACCTCAAGAGAAGGCTCCCGTCGTCGAAGTCGCTTCGCAGAACGAGGCATGACGACCTCATCGTCGGAAGGTTGTTCTCCTGGATCCTGTTGCACCGGAGGCGCTTTTAAGATGTTAGTCCAGAAACTTCCAACAATGATATTTCGAATCCATCAGGCCTACTTTTCTCCCCCTCTCCCTGATTTCTCTTTTTATCTGTCCTTTTATCTTTCTTCTTGTTTCTCTTCTCTCTCTTCTCTGTCTTGCTTTTGCCTTTCTTGTTCTTTTCATCCTTCCGCTCTTTGATTATTTCGTTTGTCGGAGATTGCGCGCGCTTGAACGACTTTGACGATCGCTCTTCTTTTTTCGGCGACACGGGTGTACCCCTACGAGACCCCGGGTTTCTGACCGTTGATAGACTAGGGTGGCCGTAGGAGAGTCTTGCGAAACGGTCGTTGCCGTCATCATTGCCGCCTTCTGAATGCGGGGCAGGTGCCGGGGCGAAAGCAAGTCGCGTTTGCTTCTTGGAGGATTTGCGGGCCATCGCGGCCAAAGCCCCCAAATGAAGATGAAATTTGCCAACAGATCGATTATTGGGGGATACAACCCGTGTGGTCAAAATATAGAGACAGTGTGGGCTTGACGTCAGAGAAACCCGCTGCTGGTCAACTTTTTTTGGAGTCGCGCGAACCGCGTTTGGGGAGCACGTGAGCACGTGACTGAGATTGTAAATCGCAGGACTGGCCTCACATTGACCACACTTGTTGCTTCCAAATGGGAGAAAGTAACATTATCCAGGTCGGATATGCACCGGTTAATGCTGAACAACTCATTATTTTTACTATCACTATCAATGCGCTGGCCTCTTTCATTCTGGCGCCTTCATAGCTGCTATACGGCAGAAGTCGGATGGACTTGAATTTGATGCCAAGGGGAGTAGCTTATGGAGTGTTCTACATGTGGAAAGACTGATAACAACTAGTTGTGACTCTTGGTTTCTTTCAAATATGATTGTTAGTAAAAACTATGCTGGGACTACGTTGGCCTTCTCGGAGAAAAACGACGGAGCTTAGGACCAAGACAACATCTAAGCTTTTGAGGTGTTGCTTAGCTCTAGGAGAGTTTCTGTGCTGGCGCATCAGGAGTCTGATAGAAGCCGAAGGCTCAATAATCATGGTATTGTACCCAGCTCCCTGTGGATGCATATATGACACATTCACCGCCAGAGATGGCCAAGTCGAATCAGGACGATCTAGCAGAAGCGCAATAGCCATCCTTTAGGCCCACGCCTTCAAAGCGAAGGCACGCGACGTCGTCTATACCCGTGGCGTGGTAGACGCAAATGGCAGTGTAGAACTCAATATGCCCCATTGCGGCGGCGTCCGTTACCTGCGTGTTAGTGCTCACCTGACGTGAGAGGATTCTCTTTCAGGTTTGTCCTTGTTTCTTTAGCCACTCCTAGCCTTCTTTAGGGCCTCGCTTCGTTTCACCCGATCAAATATCTCCACTTCTCTCTTCATTTAGATTTAGCCCCCCGGCATCATCGTGATTCTTCCCCACGATTGGTGGAGTCGACTTTCTCCCCAACCCCGGACCGGCCCGTTGCTGATTCGTGGAATTGGGCAGGACGGTAGTCCCGCGGGACAAAATATCCTCGAACCCCAGATCACCACTACCCCAGGTCCACCAGAAGCGTGCCCACGATGCTGAAGCCAATCAGCAGCCTCCAAGGCGCATGCTTCCTCTGTCCATGTGCGGACACCTGTGAATACCCCACCAGTCAGCGACCGGGGAATGACAGGGCTGTCGTTATCAAAATGCACGCCCATGCTTAGCGTGGTCGGGGGCGTCCTGCTCGAGCATGGCCTGATTGGAGCCGTGACTCTTTTTGCTTAGGGCGCCAGCGAGCTGTCTTGCCCCCGGACTTTCTTGTCAGACATCTATATATCTGAAGGTGTCTCCGCTCGTTCCCCGACCCCCGGAAAAGTGTGGTGTCTTCTATTTCGTCTCCTCAACCTCAACGCTCCCCAAGGACCACTGCGTGTCTGAATCATCCTCAGCCGTGGTGCCCCATTGAGAGGCTACACCGAAGTAGAGTATCTTACGGTCTCCCATCTCCATCATCGAGGTCTTGTCGCCGTGGAATCCGCCTAATTGGCTCCAAACCTGAGCAGAACCTATACCTAAAGACATCCGCTGTCATTACTCAAAATGGCAAGCGGATTGATCGGCTCCAAGCGAGCCTATAACTGGTATGTCCTCGATATGAAGGGAGCCGCAGAATAATTCACTCACGGGTTGATCCCATAGGTTCATTTCGCTGGTCGCGGCGGCCTGTATGGTGTTATATGGTTACGATGCATCCGTTTTTAATTCCGTTCAAGGCTCGGATAATTGGGTCGATTGGTTCAACAATCCCAGTTCCTCAGTGATTGGTTCTATCAACACCGCATACACCGTTGGTGCTATCTTTGGAGGCTTCTTCTGCGGCGGTCCGATCGCAGATTTTCTTGGCCGCAAGGTCGGCATGGGCATTGGCTGTGTTCTGGTCATCATTGCTACGTTCATGCAGACATTTGCCCCCTACCACAATCTCGCATGTTTTATTGCCGGTCGATGCATCATCGGTATTGGCCAGGGTATCGCTCTGAGTAAGTTCACCAGTTCACATCGCTACCTCTTGCACACTAACTAATTATGTCAATATTCTAGCCTCCGGCCCTATCTACATTGGTGAACTGGCGCCTCCTGAGATCCGTGGTAAGATCATGACTTTCTGGCAGATGTTCTACTCTGTTGGATCTTTCATTTGTTTCTGGATCAATTACGCTTGCACTAAGAATGTGCCCAAGCTTGGACAATGGGATTGGAAGCTGGTTGTCATTTTCCAGCTTCTGGTTCCTGTCTTGATTCTGGCTCTTCTTCCGACTATCCCTGGTAGTCCTCGTTGGTGAGTCACTTATAGGATCTTTCGACTCTTGATCATATGGTTAACATAATTCAGGTTCATTAAACGAAACAATGATATTGAAAAGGCCCGTGCTGCTCTCCGGAAAGTGCGTGAAACCGAGGAGGAAGTCGAAGACGAGATCCTGCAGATCCGAGAGGCCATCGAGTATGAGAAAGAAGCCATCTCAGGAAACTACAGTGCTTTGTGGAAAGACAAGTCTCTCCGCAAGCGCATGTATCTTGCATTGATCCTCAACGCTGGTCAACAGATCACTGGACAGGGTTCCCTCAACTCCTACTCTACCAAGATCTACGAGAAGATTTTCACTAGCGACAGCAAGATTGCCCTTATCAACGCACTTAATGCTACTTTTGGCATTCTCTTTACCCTGAATGCTATGTGGATTGTTGATCGCTTTGGACGGAAGTTCTTGCTTATTGTCGGTGGCATTGGCATGGGAATCTGCATGATCATCGCAGCCTCTGTTGAAACGCAAACCCCGACCAGCGCCAGCGGTGCCAAATCAGAGCCTGTTGGTATTGCGATTGTGTTCCTGATGTTCTTGTTCATCTTCTTCTGTCAGTATCCCCATCTTCCATGCTTGACTCCGTGATGCTAACAATCCCTTAGACAAGCCTTCATGGGGTGCTACTGTCTGGATTTGGACGTCCGAAATTTTCTCCATGAATGTTCGTGCGCAAGCCGTCGGTATGGCTTCGCAGACTCAGAATGTCGCCAACACCATATTCCAGCAATTCTTCCCCATCTTCCTCGACCACGACGGGTTCTATGCCTTCTACTTCTTTGCTGGAATCAATTTCATCCTCGCTGTCTTCGTTTACTTCTTCATTCCAGAGACCAAGCAGGTTTCTCTCGAGGAAATCGATACTCTGTTCGGTGGTGCCAACCACGTCACGCAGGGCGAGGAAGTTCTTGCTCACCAGAAGGGTATCCAGGTTGCTCATCAGGAAGGGGCCGAGAAGCCCGGGTCGGTTACTGTTGAGAATGTTCAGAGCAAATAGTGAACTTGTATGAGATATTACTTAGTCATGATTTGGATTGCTTTCTTGGTTGCGTGAAAATTTACGGTTTGATGGGCGCAGTAGGGTTATACAGCGTCCAATGTCGGTACTAATACAAACGCGCCATGCGCGATTTTGGAAACTTTGACCTTTATATTTTCTTGATCAAGAATCGCCTAGCACTTCTTTCCTTCGATCGACTTGACGACTTCAATGCGCGCGTAACTATTGAAAAGACTTCGCCTATCAAGGGGATTTCCTTGCTTTGTATCGCGAAACTCGTGATCCATCGCTCAGGCCCACTTCCACTAGATCAAGCTCGTATTTGAAAATCCAGGGGAGTAAGACAAATCGACCAACGTAATATATGACTCCCAGGGCAAGGATAGCTAGCGCAACAACCGGCGAAAGATAATACGGAAGGCTGGTGCTTCCTTGTCCATTGACAGGCGGGACAAACGGCATGACCAGAAGGAACTGTAGGATCCAAGTCAATAAATATAAGGAATGGTATTCTTTCGGCCAACCTACAATATTTCCCGCAAGATAGAATGCGAGCACCGCCCATGGGACAGTGAAAGATGATTGGAAGTTCTCATTCTTAATTCGTAACTTGATCAGGCCGATCGTGACGAGTGTCAAGAGAAATACGCTAGGATAAGTGCCGAGGCCCACGACGAAATCAAAAGCATCGCCGGCGGGAGGGGCACATATGAAGGCGATAGTCACTCCCAAGTGCACAGCAAGACAGACAAGGGGCGTTTTGAAAGGGCGATTCTGCATCAAGATATTTGGAAAGGGGGTGACGCCATCCTTTGCCAATTCCTGGAGAACACGAGCTACCGAAGTGTGTCAATTCTTGTCCAATTGTTGGAAAATGAATGACTTTGGAAAGAGGTTCAAAGATAACTTACAGACAGTAAACGCAACGCTTAGAAGATGGCCGATAGCAGAAATTGCTACTAATGCAGGTAAGGCTTTTACGGCGGCAGAATGACCGAAGACATTGTTGAAAAGCGAAGCAGCGATGGTCAGATCTGAGCTGAGAAACTCTTCTCTCGGAACGCCGGCAAACTATAAGAATTTTCCATGAGAATTTTACATCAGATGGTCCGCCAAAGAGAACTCACATAAGCTACATTGGCTAGAATATAAAGAAGAGTCACCATGCCCATCGCGGTAGGGAGGGCAATCCGAAGAGTTCGTTGCGGGTTCTTGACTTCTGACAAGACCTAGAGCAACGTCAGCTTGCCACATACACAATGCTGTGCGAAAGAGCGCATACCGCATTTAAGTTGTCGTAGCCCTGAAAGGAAAAGATTGCATCCAACAAGGCGGTGCCGATATTATAGCCATTGTTAGACGTCCCTTTGAAGGAATTTGAAGGGTCAAAATTATTTGCTTTGACTTGAACATGGCCTCCCAACGCCGCAAATCCTGTACACACAATAAACAGTAGAGTGAAGAGCTTTACCGCACTCATAACATCCTGCAAGCCTCTTCCCAGCCGTGGCGCCACACTATGCACTCCAACTGCAAATGAGACGGCGGCGATAGCTAACCCTCGGAGCTTCCAAGTTGTTGACTCCACTGCTGCAGCCTTCAGCAAGTATGAGGATGCTGTAATAGCATTGCTGGCCGAGGTCTCTAGATTTTACTCAGTGAGTCATTAGCCCATAAGAAAACGAAAGCGGTCGAGACTATAGAGTGTGAACACACGTAGAAAAGCACAATAAAAGAGGTATATGCAAGTCATCAATAGCTTGGGCGTGTACGACTGTTCCAGATAAACTTTCATTCCTCCTGAACGTGGAATGCTGGTGCCGAACTCCAACAAGACCATGGCTCCACATGTTGATATCAGACCAGCGATGACCCAAAGCATAAGGGCCATACCAGGGCTCCCACTCAGCTTGAAGATGGTGGTCGGGGTAGAAAATATACTATCAAAAGTCAGTACGCATTCGGTCATTTTGAGCAAGCGAGATATCTAACCCGGATCCAATAATCTTATTCACGATGAGGGAAATGGCACCAAAGACGCCTATCCTGCGCTCTTGTAATATATGTGTTTCCTGGACACCGAGACTCGAAGTCGACACATTTTCGCTGACGGATGAATCCTGTAGATAAGGCTCTGGCTGGTCAGCGACAAAAAGTCTAGGAATATAGAGTTATCCCTCTTACTTCCTGGGCCGTCTTGCTCTTCAGCCATGTTTGAATGACAGTTTGAATATCGTTTGGAAGGCTCAAAGGTTTAAATAAGACAAAAAAATGGTAGGATGCATGCTAGACAGTGAACATACTAGGCGGGGTACAAGAATGGCCATTATGTTACGCAAATGATGTGATTACCCTAGCCTCTGGTATGTGTCCCGACGCGCATGTTCTAGCTCATAGAACCGGGCCGTGGCCCCGATTCAGTCTCTATTCAGAGAGTGCTTGAATCTATTGAGAGTAGTGCTCTTAGTCTCTAAAATGTGGTAGACTCCCGAAAGTATCGAATTAAAATCTTCTTGCCTTTGACTTTCGGTGTGTGCTGATTGGGTTGCTTGGGAGGAATGTAAGGAGGCTGGTATTTGCAGTTGTAGATTTTAGCTGGAGAAGGCGCATAAGGCTTTGCATCACAGTCCGACCCCCAACAGTTCCAGATAGTATGTTCGGTGAATATTTTTTGCACGCCTAAAATAGCTTCATTTGTGGATGCAAAAGCCTCGACTATGTTGCTCCTTGAGGGAATACACTGAACTAAAGGGCAAGCCTGCCTCTCGGTCCCTCTTCGGCTTGCACCGATAGCTTGAATCGTGATTAATGGATGATTATGCCAAGACTTCTTGTAACTATCTACCGTACACCATGCTATCCATCTTCGTGTCGATCGATGCACCTCGAGCGAGCTCGTCGGGAGTGGGGCCAATGTCGCGAAGGACGGCGAATGGTTTGATTCCAATTATTGAAGTCGGCAAGCGGCCGACATGACGCGATCGGGGATGTACATAGTGTCAGGGGAGTACGTAGTGCATTGCCGAGGACGCCGTTCCTAATGTTACGTTGGATATTCAAGGATATTTAAGCGGGGTCGGATTTCCGGTGAATCGAGTGTTTGGTCTTCGTACAGCCATCAGAAAACAGGCGGGTCACTATGTCGGCCGTTCAGACTCTCACACAGCCCATTGAACCGGATATTCAATACCATCCTGACTTTTTGAAGTATCAAGAGCGCACCCGCCGTCGTAAGGAGTCTGAGTCGCTCCAAACCAGCCTACCAGCCGGGTTTCCTCCGAAGTTGGTTTCTCCGCTTGTCTGGGAGGGGAAAGATGTAGAGAAGACAAACGATTGGATTTACAAGCTGAGCGAAATTCAGCTCGACGAGATTGATTCCGCACTAACAAATTTCAAATGTGTGTGTGTATGAGCAAGACCAAAGTACTTGATCGTCTTCGTCAGCTAACGTTGGCAGCACTCAACAAGCCCCTGGGTTATATCAATGAGTCAACCTTCCCACTCCCTAATCTTCGCCCGGTCTTGAGGGACCTGTCGAAAGAAATTCATAATGGGAGAGGATTTTTTGTCCTTCGAGGCTTGCGGATTGATGCATACTCGCGAGAGGAAAACATCATCATCTATACTGGAGTCTCTTCCCATATCGGAAGTATTCGCGGTCGCCAGCAGGACACGCGGCTACAAAATGGAACTTCTCCTGTGATATCACACATCAAAGATATCACAAACACAGTGGATAGAGGACAGATCGGGGCACCTTCTAATACGGCGGATAAGCAGGTATTCCATACAGATGCAGGCGATATTATTTCACTGCTCTGCCTGAGCCCATCGGCTGAAGGAGGCGAGAGTTATCTGTCCAGCAGCTGGAATGTTTACAATATTCTTGCAAAAGAAAGACCTGATCTGATTCACACTCTTTCCCAGGACTGGCCGGTGGATGGGTAAGTGGTTCCCGGTTGTCAAAGCACAACAAAAGCTGAGATTTGTATTCCAGATTCAATAACCCGAAGAAGCCCTACACTCTTCGTCCTCTTCTCTATCACCAACCGGCGACGGAGAATACACCCGAGCGTGTTCTCATTCAATACGCACGACGATATTTTACCGGATTCCTCGCCCAGCCTAGGTCACCCGGTATTCCTCCTATCACCGAAGCCCAGGCCGAAGCATTGGATGCACTGCACTTCTTGGCCGAGAAGTACAGTGCATCTCTGGACTTCCAAAAGGGGGATGTTCAGTATGTTAATAACTTGAGTATTTTTCATGCGCGAAATGGATTTAGAGACCAACAAGGACAAGAGTTCGTACCAGCTCTTTTTGACTGATTTGATACGGTATGCTAATCATAGTAGACGTCATCTTCTACGTCTCTGGCTGCGCGACCCCGAGAATGCGTGGCAGACCCCCGAACCCCTTCAACATCGCTGGGACACTGTCTACAAAGACGTCACCGAGGAGGAGCAGGTATTCCCTCTGGAGCCCATTATTCGAAAGAACGTGGGCTCATAGTTCTTGATGCGCATTCGTTCGAACAAATGCATTGGCAGACAAATATGGGCCATTTCATTATTTTCACAAACATGACCCCTTTTTTTGCGAACCTATCTGCTTGCTTTGAGGGTGATGATAAGAAGGCTTGCACGGTTTGGCAAGACAGCTGCAGATCTTCCTGGAGAAGCGGGGTAACTAGTCCGGGGAAAGCACCAACTTCTTGCCGAGTTAAATTCAAATTTAAGTTACCAGACTTTTCCCGAAATATCATTGGCAGCGTATTGCCTTTCCTGCAATCAATCCACCCGCCATGGCTGCCTGGCTTTTGAAAAACTCTCAGCAAAACGGAACAACATTCCGCTACAGCCAATAACAATCAAAGTGTTTCCCCAAAGGTTCACGGAGTCTAGGTGTACTACGGGCTTGATCGCTTCACCATCGGGTAGTAGGATCACTTGGTGGGAGATTTTTTTATGAGAATATTTTAATTTGGACCTTTTAAGGGTTTATGAGTTCCTACCCCTGCGTGGTCGCCTGGTTTCTGATAATCTAGCTGCACCGGGTTAAACATCTTGGCATCTTGGGAGCGGAATCAAAGAGATTACGAGAGCGGAATAAACGTAAATGAGGATGTGCGGGGGAAAGACGCGCCGCGGCTCAGCCTTCTTTTCGTGCAGAGTTTCAGAATTAGCTCGGCCATATTTAAGTGCACAGCATCGCTTTCTACTTTACTTCAGTCACACCCATAAACACTTGCAAGACTAGTAAAGTTACTCAATGCATAGCTTCTTGTGCTACGTCTTGACGTCAACGATCTTCTAAAACTACTATAACGTTGAAGGTCCTTCCTATCGACCGAGTTCTCTCTTATCGATCAGTTTAATGCCATCGGGGTTTCCTATCTCGAGTTTTGTCTTGCTATAATGGACGATCATGAGAAGCCCAGCGAGCATGAAACGATCGAGAATGTGAAATCAGAGCAGTTTACCGGTGTGACCGACCGCGCTGCAGAGAAGCGACTTCTTTGGAAACTGGATATCCATGTTGTCCCAATTTTGATGTTTCTCTTTCTTCTCGCGTTCCTCGATCGAATCAACATTGGCAACGCCCGTCTGCAAGGATTGGAGAAGGATCTGAATATGAAAGACCATGATTACAACATTGCATTATTCATTTTTTTTATTCCATATATTCTTCTGGAGGTTCCAAGTAACCTCATCCTCAAGAAAGTGTCTCCGTCGTGGTGGATCAGTGGAATCATGTTTATATGGGGTATGATATCCGCCCTTGCAATGCTCTGGGAAGCAATGCTAATTACACGGGCTTGGCTGTCTTTTTAGGGATTATCACGATCTGTCAAGGAGTAACGCAGAGTTTTGGGGGGTTGGTAGCTTGTCGTTTCTTGCTCGGGGTCTTTGAAGCTGGGTTCATGCCTGGTCAGTCATTTCCCTGGAGAGAAGGGAGTTTTTGATGTCCATCAACTGACATTATCAGGGTGTATCTACGTGATTGCAATGTACTACAAGCGCTACGAACTCCAGTGGCGTTTGAACGTGTTCTTCAGTGCAAGCATTTTGGCGGGCGCAGTCAGCGGAGTATGTATCTGATAGATTGTCAAAAGAATCAAGAAAAACACTGACGCCGAGAGAAGCTACTCGCCTATGCCATCGCGAAAATGGATGGTATCGCTGGTTACAGTGGTTGGCGTTGGATCTTCATCATCGAGGGTCTCATCACTGTCGTGACAGCAGCCATTTCCAAGTTTTTGATTGTGGATTGGCCGGAAACCTCTAGCTTCCTGAATGACGAAGAACGGGCGCTCCTTCTTTCTCGTCTCGAGGAAGACCGAGGGGAAGCTCGGATGGACCGGCTCGATGGTCCTGCCAGGCGGCGTGTCCTCCGTGATATCAAGATCTACCTTGGGTGTGTTTGATTCCAAAGAACAAGAGAAACGAGTCTTGTTTCGCGGCTAATACAGATATAGTCCACTGATGTACTTTGGCATTGTGAATACCGGCTATGCCACATCCTTCTTTACCCCGACGATTCTAAAGCAGCTTGGTTGGACATCTGTGCGAGCACAAGTCATGAGCATCCCGATCTACCTTGTTGCGACGGTCATTGCACTCACCACTGCGTTTGTCAGTGACAGGCTCCGACACCGTTTCGCATTTACATTGACCGGCTGCGTCATTGCGACTGTCGGATATGTGATACTGCTCTGCCAGAAATCTGTCCCGGTCGGTGCCCGCTATTTCGCGCTGTATGCGATCACTGGCGGAGGATATATGACGCAGCCCATTCTCATGGGTTGGCTCAGCAACAATATGGCGGGACATTATAAGCAGTCCATTGCGTCTGCCATGCAGATAGGGTTCGGTAACTGTGGTGGGCTGGTTGCTAGCAATATTTTCTTTGATTCTGAAGCGCCAACGTATTCGACCGGTTTTGGTGTCAGTCTGGGGATGGTCTGGATCTGCGGTATTGCATGTGTAGTCTTCTTCAGCTGGTTGGCCCATGAGAATCGAGTGCGAAACCAGGGCAAGAGAGACGACCGGTTTGGTTTACCATCGGATGAACTGAGCAATCTTGGAGACGACCATCCGAGCTTCAGATTTACGTATTAGACGCGGCGAGGAACGGTTTGTGAATATCAATCAAGCTCGTTTATTGTTTCAACAGCCAGCATGCATCCGGCAAGGTTGAAAATGAGGACTGCATGCTCAATATTTCCCCTTTTCCCTGGTAATCTCACTTCTCCTCTTATTACTCTGTTTCCTTTGCTCCTCTTTCTACTGCTCGTACTAGGCGTAGTGGGAGTGATGCTCATAACAACGGAAATGTCGAGGACTGTACCAGATCGTGCGACAATATTTGATGAGAGCGACGAGTGATACACGACTAAATTAAATCGAATATTTTTGAGCTGCAGAATGCTTGTGGTGAAGCGTAGGAAGCCCAAGTACTGCCTTCGCATCGGTGTATTCTGTCAGAACCCGCACCTCTTCGGAGGCAAATCGTGAAACCCAACCAACACCTACAACCAACCACCAACTCACAATTCACAACTCACGAAGACTTCACCAAATCATATTCCGGTATTCTCTGGTGGCAAAAACTGAGGGAATTCGAGGACGAAGTTATTACAGAATCCATGCCAGCACTTTGCTTAATCGAGTACCGATCACCCCCCGCATGGCCTGTCGTTGGACAGATTCGGCAAGCCTTCACGTTTTCCATGGTGTTGAACCCATTGTCCCACGTTGCCCTCGCTGACCGACAAATTCATGAAGATCACTTGTTCGACGTCGCTTCCAAGACTGTTCCTCATCCAGGTACCGGTTGTGCCCGTTGCCATCCTCGCTGCGATCCTGCTCTTGGCCTGAACATGGGTCCCCAGGTTCCACCCCAACAGTTGCGATGCGCGGATCGGCATCTCTCTGCCGAGATGACGTAGTCGAATCAGCGCAACACCACAGATCAGACGGCTTGGGTCGCGCGCATCACACGCCAACTCAACCGCCGTGACCGTCGTGCAGACCCGAAGACCAGGCAAAGCCTTCGAGAGCCCCAGAGATCCAGTGCTCTCCTGCAGCTAGACAACGCACCCCGGCTTTGCTGGGCCGACCCAGAGGGTCTGAGAGGGTCTGAGAGGGTCTGAGAGGGTCTGAGAGTTTGCGAGGTCGATGATCCTGACGAACCAGCGACGCACCTTAAACAGCCTGGGTCTTAAAGCCACGATCCAATAAAACTGCGAACCCCCGCGCGTCCCGCGGAGATATTTTCAGGGCCGGTGATCCCGAGAGTCCAGTTGACCCCATTTTCCCTCATCTACGTCTACTTAACGAGGGTCCTTCCCCCTCTAGAGCCCACTTTCTTGCCTTGAGCTTCGTGATACGAAGACATTTGACGGATTTTTTCCTGCGTGAATCTAGCTTATTCCCCCCATCCCTTTCTTCTCCTCACCCATCGGTCAACATGTCCAAACCTCGCTCGTCTCGCAAGAACTCCCGGTCTGTCGTTTCCGAAGTCCCATGGCGAGTCGATACTCCATTTGGACCGCCTCAGGTGCCACGCTCGTTTCCCAATGGTGGGATTCGACGACTCCGGAACACATTGTCGAAGCTCTCTCCCTCCGCCTTCGCCGAGAAAGAGCTGCTGCGCAAAAAGAATCAATATAAGATTCCCCTGACACACCGGAATGTCGATACCTTCGTGACCGAGCAAGAGTTTAATGAGGCTTGTCGACCCAATCAACACACCCCCGAGATACAGGTGGCCGAATGGCTTGAACATGTTGCTTGATTTGGTGACGTGCAGGACTCCACTCGGCTTTTGTATCCGCGAAAGTTCGATGAGACGTCTTCTCGATTCTTCTCGACGCTCGACCCCGCACGCGCGCGTTGCGATCGGCCAGGCCACCAACCGCGCCCAAACCCCGGCATGTCGATAATGGGGCATCCCGAAGGGCCAATAAAGCCCTATGGAAAGATGCTCACCCACCCTCCTTCCCCCTCCTTCGAGTTGGGGTCGAAGACCACCTGGAAAGCATCGCTTCCTTTCTTTCTTCCTCCCTCTCCCTTTCCTCTCCCTTCCTGGGCATGGGCTTGGCAGGACGTCATGGCGCAAGGCGCACTCGTCCAACTATGCATGCCGAGACAGGCTCGCCCCGTCGACTATGCTACGCCGCAACAAAACAAACTGCTCAGGCATGACCAAAACATACTTTCCCAGGTGCATACCCACCCTAACCGTTGCTGGCTTTGCACTGGAGCTATGTTGCCGGAGACCCGACTAGCATATGCATGTTGTATACCTGGGGCGATCGGTGCTAAAATTAGTCCAGGCTTGGCAAGGCTACCCGCTTCCCTTTCCTAATGGTCTCTATGATGGATTTTGAAAAGGAATAAAATAAATGGCCCGGACCATGATGTCTGTAATAGTCTCTATCTCCATATATTCTATAATCACCTAGGTTTGATCGCATATATCGTTCTAGAGACAGACTCGTATTTCCGCCAAGTAAGCAACGCAACGCTACAGATGCGCTGCATCAATAATCTTCACTTCGAGTCGGATTTCTATTGTCTGACGCCGTGGCCGACAATTCTTGGCGCAGTGTAGAAGATTCTGCTGCAGGAGCTATTGCCCTTGGCAGGTTATGCTCCCATCGGCATACGGCCCGGGCTTGGGTCTCGTATTGAGAAAAAGTACAGATTCAAGATGACTGGGCCAATCCAGCGTTGGTAGTCGGTAAACACTCACAGTGGATATCGGCGACCGGATAGATACCTTTCTATTGATAGAATAGTGACCTAGGTTTCATCACGTTAAGTTCTAAATAGTCTGTCAATTTATCAAGACATGTTGCTAGTACCCAACATGTTCGACTGCGTTAGGAAACTGAAATCGGCTGGCCTCATGATGGCTTTGCCCCGCTGCGGGGAAGTCGACACCTCTTCAACACCAAGAACACCAGGAGCATCGCGGCCGGCTGGTTGGCGTCTTCCCAAGGAGAAACGAAAGAGTGAGAAGTTCTGATTTTTTTATGAAGAAAAAATGAGACCAAAGAAGGTCGCAATCATTGGCAAGTGCCCGTTCTCCTTGGTCATACCAGGTTATATATTCTCGCGGACAGCCTGCTAACAGCACTATCACGGTCCCAGGCGCCGGACCTTCAGGGCTCGTGACAGCGAAGACTCTCCTGCACAACTTCCCACATGGAGCTTTTACGCCAATTATATTTGACAGTCGTCATGAGGTCGGCGGTCTTTGGCCAAATCGGGCGTCGAGGGGTCAGAGCGACGAAGCCCACGGGTCTCCGGGACTGTTAGACCCCTGGATGCGAACTAACCTCAGTCGGTTTACGGTGGCTTTTTCTGATTTTTCCTGGGAATCGGTAATGCGAGATTCTGATATCCCGATGTTTCCTCAAGCATATCAAGTCGGGAAGTATCTGGCTGCCTACACAAAGCAGTACATTCCCCGTGATGTATTGAGATTGGGACATCGAATTATCAAAACTATCCGCACAGCTAAAAGTGATTCACAGAGCACAGCTCAGTGGAGGGTTTTTTGGGCTAAAGAAAAGCAAGTTTCTCCTTTGGACTCTCTTGATAAGAGACTAATAACGTGCAATGAAGCAGTGCTCGGGATCTAAATTCGCAACAAAATCCTTCTGAGAATGATATTGAATCCGAAGATTTTGACTTACTTGTTGTAGCATCGGGATACTTTGCTCGCCCATATATCCCAGACATTCCCGGGTTAAAGCAATCTTCAGCACGGGTGGTCCACAGCTCCATGCTTGACAAGGGCCGAGACCCAGTGCTTGATGCAGCTAACGCAGCCGCGGGTGACATTGTTGTCATCGGCGGCAGCATGTCAGGAGTTGAAACTGCATCCGCTCTTGCTTTGCAACAATCTTCATCTATGTTCGTTCAGGAGCCCACATTGCAGGTGAATAGCAAGCGCAAGATCCATCACATATACTCACGGTCATTCTGGTCTTTGCCCACTTACCTTCCTCACGAAACAGCTCAGGATACACTTGCCTTTCTCCCATTGGACTTGGTGATGTACGATCTGGGTCGTCGGCCATCAGGCCTCATAGAGTATGCCCTCGGCCCGATCCCGGAGGAAAAGGCGAGAAAGACGAATGATTATTTCAGATCTCTTCTTGGTACCGAATACGAACAGTTTGGACATATGCAGGACCTATCATCCGAGCCGGAGACTCATTCTGAACCTCCGTGGGTAGCAATCGGGAATGATTATTCCGAATTTGTGCGGTCTGGTGATATCGAAGCCACAATGGGTCGGGCCATCTCGATTGATCCTAGCGCAAATAGTGCGTTATCCTCGATCAACCTTGAGACCTCTAGTGGCTCAAAAACACTGGAGAATGTGGCGACAGTTGTGATGGCTACCGGATTCACGCCATTTAATTCTCTATCGTTCCTGCCCGAAGATGTTCTGGACCAGTTGGAGTTCACATCTGAGGATCCTTTTCTACCACTCATTTTGGACATGGGCGGTACTATCCGCTCCGAGGTTTCAGATTTAGGCTTTGTAGGGTTCTATCGAGGTCCCTATTGGGGAGTCATGGAGATGCAAGCTCGCTTTTTGGGTAAAATGTGGTCGCAATCACCCGACGAGTGTTTCAAGACAGAGGATCAACGAGCAAGCCTCCGTGTTTTGAGACACCCCAGCCCAGTTGTTCGTCGAGGCCAGTTCCCAATGGGAGACTACGTGGGTTTGATGGAGGAATTGGCAAAGAATCTAGGGATCGATCGTGCAATATTACTTGCTCATGCTGAAAGCCAATCTGGACCGGTTATTCCCGCTCGTTATACCACGTGGAAGAAGTCCTCCCGAGCTCAGCTGCAAGACACGGCTACAGGCGGTGCTGAAGTTCAGCAGACTTTGGATGCTCTTCAGATAAGCTCAAGTCAGGAAAGCCCCAGTGCGAAGGCTGCAGCATCACTGGCCATCTTTCGAGCCTTGCAAGGAACTTGGAATTTTACTCAATCTAACGCGGCAACTAAAGAGACGGGCGAATCAGGAACTATGGTTTTCTATCCTCGATACTCATCGAATCTCAAATATGACAGAGAGTATTATGTATGCGAGACTAGCCGAGGCGCCGACCCGAAACTCCATCAGACCTTCCCCTTTGGTACGCCCGTGTCTGTTTTTCGGCTTGCAGAATTCGGAACCAGCGAAAACAGCTCTGGTATCGAAATCTGGTCCATAAATGAAGGGAGAAGCACTGCAGTCGATAGTCACCTCTATAATTTGCATCTTTCACCGTTTTATCGCAAGAAAGAAAGAGGGATATACATCCCCGGAGAATATCTGATCCATGCTTGCAGCATGCCCACGGCTGCCACAACAGAGGCTGTTCCAAGGGGATATCAATACACCTTCCACTTCCAGGGTGTAACGATCTCTAGATGGGAGTTTGTCGATCTAAGCGATGTTACCTCGGGGAACGAGACCCATTCTGAGAAACATGAGTTGCCCGGTTCGCGAACTATATACACAAGATAGCCCGTTGTTTCACGGGCGAATAGACAGTCAGAAATTTAGCAGGCAGACAAAACCCTTCGGTTCCCACTTGGCCAAGAGTCTTGGAAGAAATTTTTTTTAATAATCTAGAGAAAGATGAAAGGTTTAGAGCAAACAAATAGTTGACTTAAAAAAAAAAAAACAAACCCATGGCCTCGGGTCTAGCCTTGTGTGTTCTAGACCGGACTTATTTTCAGCTTGGGAGACCACTTCACGATGGAACATCAACTTCATTGACAGCAGTATTGACCCACTTTGCTTATTCATACGTTCAAATCAAGGATGAAGTCTACAACTCGTGCAACTGATCTACAATGCTGAGAAATCGCTGACACACGGGCACCTTCGCGCCTGGTTGCCTATTTCTTCACCTCGCTTTCCCCACAAAATTTTCACTGTAAAGCTCTAGGTACGTCCCAACAAAGTTCCGAACAGAATCATTGAAATCCGTATTTCCATCAGCTCCGGCCGAGCAAAGTGGCAACGGCCTTCCCGATGTGACCTTCGACCCAGGGATCGCACCCGACCCTCTACTAGATGCCACCAATCAGATCATCACCTCTCCAGTTATTTTCGCTTCCTACAGCTGATGAAAAAGAGGGTCTGGATCGGACTACCGTCGAAGCGAAAAACTGTCTCTGCCTCGGCTTTTGCGCCTCCTGGCCAATAGCCGCCACACGGATGAAACAGCCCGGCCGGCTAGAGTCCGGGGAAGATCGGCGGGAAGTTCAACGGCTGCGGCTCTGCAGCCACGCCGACTCCGAATGGCTCGTAGGGCTTCGGCCGAAACTGTTTAGGCGTTTTTATTCTTCTCCCCGGCAAACTCAAATGTTGTAAATGATGCAGCAGTTTATCTATATAATTGCACCCTGACACGATCTTAGGCGATCTCTTCTGCTAACTCCCACTCACAACGCAATCCAAATACTACAAGACCCAAAGGACTAGCGCTCGACCGGAGAACCTCAATCTTCGATACTCCATCTCAATCAACATTCTCCGCACACCCACTCCATCACCGAGATGGCTCTCTCTTCACTTCTTCCATCATCCGAGGCTGTAGAGAAGAACATCCCACCTCGAGCATCCTGCAAAAACAAAAACAAAGCCTCCGCTCACCCTCCCCCTCTCATTCTCGACCCAATCTCAGAATATCGCGCCTTGGAAGCCCTCTCCATCTACTTCACCGTCCTCCTTAACCGCCAGCTCCGCCGCCGCTGGCTACTTGAACATACCTGCATGCAAGACAAGCCCGTCACCGCCCGCTTCCGCCCCGTCATCCTCCTCGAGCCCGTGCCCTCGCTCCACAAACCACGCCCCGCCCCGCCCACCATCAACCACCCAAGCAACCCACACAGCGCCGCCAACCTGGCCGCCCTCAAACAGAAAGTCACCTTACTCCGCGCCCGTGTCGAGAAAGGCAAGGAACTGGTCGCCGAGATCGAGCGCCGGCGGACAGACCCGCGTGTGCTGTTCCCGACACACTTCTGCCACACGTGTGTTGCAGACGGGGGTTCGGTCGACGTGCTCCTGACAACGTGTGGGCACCGCGTGTGCCGAACGTGTCTGAGCTTCGGGGCCGGCAAGGATGGTGAATATGAGTGCAGCATCTGCTTTGCGCCGACGCATTTCGTGGCGCGGTCGCCGTTGTCGCCGCAGCGGACTTGCTCGGGGAATGTCTTGCGGGTGGTGGGTGAATCGATGAAGACGATGGTATGAGTTGAGCAGAATTTGGGTTTACTGGAGTTGGCTCGCGGGAGTACTAATTGAATTTAATGATATCCATCTGTATTTAGAACCTTTTAGAACCTCATAATGCAACTAATCAAAATCTATGAGAAATCTCGGGATTCCAGACATAATGCTACGCAACTAGACAAAAAATATCCACAGGATTCTTCTCCCGGTCCTTTCGCATCATACGCCGGGTCAAATAAGAACAGGAGAAAGATACAAGACGTAGACAAGACTTGGCTATCACAATGTCGAGATACTAGAATACTTGGCTGCGTGGGGTTGGGTAGAACATCGACACATTAGGAGGGAGGGGGGAGGCATCATGAAGTGGGCACCAGACCGAGTCACTCAAGAACGCCTCGTTTTCGCGTGCACGCCAGAATAATGGAAGGGGAAAAAAAGCACGGAAAAGAAAATAATAAATGGGTCGCAAATGGGGATAATATAGATCTGTATGTCGGATGATAGTAGCAAAACAAAAGGCATTATACAGGGAAAATGAGGTTGAGGTAAAATTATGCAACGCAACCATGCCAGCTGATGGTCATCAGCTACCCAAAACATGCAGAGGAGAGGATTGATGTGAACTGGTATATGAGACGTGGAGGGGAGGAGTAAGGGATGGGAGGGCGGAGGGGTTAAAAGGATGGGTATATGCAAAGCAAATGTATCTTTATGTGCGTGTGGATCGAGGATGAGTGGCAGGAATCAAAACAAAACGCCAATCAGTTCGCTCATTTCCTCACCGATCCTGAGCATGCTCACCGTCATCAATGATCAAATCTACACCCTTCACGGGATGGAGGAGCATCGGGGGCAGACACATGCGACCCTCGCCCGCCAGCTCTTGCTGTTCGCCGCCATCATTGTCGACGCGGAGTCCCAGCCAGCGGCGCCAGATGTTCGGCGAAAACCCGGCAGAATAGAACCAGGTCGTGCCTTTGAAGTTATGCTCACGGTCGCCGAAGATCGACGTACGGGCACCACCAGAGGCGCCATTGCGTCCGGCATTGAAGACCGACTCCAGGTAGCGCGTCGGCCACCGGCGGTCGACATAAACGGCGTGTGGGACATAGACGGCTTTGAAGCCGTGGTGGAGCGCGGTCGTAGCAGGCCACATCTCGGAGAACATGCTGTGGTGGCGTAGGCTAGTCTCACGGTGCATAGTGGTGAGGAGCTTACGCGATAGACGTGAAGCAGTAATAATCGCGGTACGTCGGGGAGGCATGCCATTCTCTTTGTTGTAGCCAGTAACATCGTCGCGGAGGATCCAGGTTGTGCCTTCCGGGTCGTACAGCGGGTTAAAGACGATCAAGTCAGCATCCTCGCCAACGCCCCACTGATACTGATCCTTCTCGGCCGTTGTCGGCGGGATGCCTTCACCTTCAACTTCGAAGATGTCACGCTCGTCGGGGCGCTGGGGGCCCCAGACTGCTTTATCGCCCTGCTGTTGGAAGGGGCTTTTACTATCGCCTCCATCTTGACCAGGCTTGTAGGTACTCCACATATTGTTGGGGCTGTTAGTGCCAATCTCAGTTTGCACACGAACCATTTGGCGGAAATCATCCCACGAGCCGTGCACAGATGGGACATAAAAGCGAGCATTGCGTTCCCAAAGGCCCTTGCGCGGCTGCTGCTTGGCCCAGTCGCCCACCTTGTCAAAGAGATGGTACCAGTGACCGGTATACCTAGCGTCCATCTCCCAGTTCCAGAAATAGTCGTACTCCGGATGCTGATAGGCGAAATATTGCACGGGCATGTAGGTACTGCGGTAGACGCCGTAAATCGGTAGACCGCGAGTCAACGTTTCCTCCAGTCCTGGGTACATGAGAGTCATTTGGGCCTCTGACCAGAGAGTACCCATACCCCGGAACTCCTCCGGAAGAGAATCGTGAAGGACGCGCTGGTAGGTCTCGTCGTCGGACCAAATCTGAAGATCAGTGTTCTTAACATGGACGAGGAAATGAACGGTGTACTCGCCGCCAGACAGCAGCGCAAGTTCGGAGATGAGAGAGCGCAAGTAGATGATGTCCTCGGTGGTGTACCGGAAGTCGTGCCAAGTGCGAATGATAACTGCGGTTCTCGAAAGGCGATCCGATCCAGCCTGGGCCTGCGCTTTGCTGGTCTCCTGGGCTGAGGTGATGTTGAACTGCGGAACGCCGACGGGCATTGAAAGAAAGCGATTCAGACGCGGCTCCTCAAGCTCCTTGAATCGATGAGTATTCGAGGCCATACAGCGTTGCTGCGCATCGGCCCAGTCGACCTGGCGGAAATCCACCGGAGGGACATCCTCCCAAATCCGCTCGGCGCCATCTCGGTGACCTTCTAAACCGGCTCCGCTGCCACCCCTCTTGACTCCGTATCCCAGTCCATACGGTCCCAGACGACCGAATCGATCGAAACAGACATCGTCGCGAATTCCCAACATTGTATTCGAACCCATAACGGGGTCCGGGAAACCTCTGGGGATACCAGGAAAGGATTGGATTGCGGGGACACGAATCGAGTTGTCCTTGTCCAAGAAGCACTCGCGCTTCTCGCCGTACTTTGCGACATAATCTGGGGAGGCGTAATCGGGATAGGGATTGAACACCGAGCTTGACATGGACGGCTTCGAGTCTCTGGCGGCCAACTTATTGGCCGTGTTGTCCTTGATTTCTTCCTCCGGAAGCATCAATCCATCCGCATTATCACCTGGGTACTCGGGAACATTGTCGCTGCGCGCGACAAGACTGGATAAACCGCCCTGATAGCGGTTCAGGAAGGGGAACGCCTCCCACTGTGGCGGTTTGTTCGTGACGACCTTGGGCAGCTCGACGGCGACTTGGGAAACGGAGGAGGAAATGGTGAAACGGAAAAGGGTGAGGATGAAGAGCACGAGAGCGGCGAACAAGGCGAAGCACAACCATCGCATAATCCGCTGTGGCACGGCGAAGCCCACATTGGATCTGGCGCGGCGCAGGCCCGCGGCACCCCCGATGGGCGGGTAGGATGTGGAGGAGAAATCGGGGCCGGAATCATCACTGTCGCTCAGATGATGATGATTATGGTAATTTGGACGGGCATGATGGCTGTGAGGCTGTTTCTCGACATCACTTTCCGGAGCGCTCGAGCTATAGGGCGACGGTTTGTTGTGGGCGCCGGAGGTTCTCCTCGCCTGGACGGTCATGGTGCCAACGGGTCGAGCGTCAACATTGACTGCCGAGAGGGAGACGGACAAGAGTGGCAACCGATCTAATCAATAAATTCACCGACACATTTGTTGGATATACAGCAATCACAACACAACTGAACTCGAGAGATGGTATGAAAAGGAGAGGTGGCGGTAGAAAGAAAAAGGCACGCGATGGTAAGCGGCAAGCGGCGTTTGTTGGTTTCGGTGGTGGCAGATTGTCGGCCAGGCAATTTGGGGGCGCCAAGTCTAGCCCCGACTTCGTTCCGGCGCGAATAAGGAGAGTTGGGCAAAACCAAGACCGTGGGAGATGGGGGGTTTTTTCAAAAGACTCCTCAAGCGGGGATTTTATTTGTCTTTCACAATCCAAGGAATAATCACTGCTCTGTTCTCAGAAAAAGAAACCAGGGAAAAAAACCAGGAACGAGAGTCTGGGTCGAACGCCAAGACTCGTGGAAAATGGGACGCTGATTACGCACGATCGCCCAATTCGGGACAAACACACATGTCGTCGTCTCCATAGTAGAGTCTTATACTATCACGATGGTCCAGCACGCTACGGAGTATGGTCAACTCGAATTTATTCCATAGTATCTGTATAGTGGCCTTCGGATATCTCTACTCCCCCCCAGCTGACTTTCTTGTTGTTCCCCTCATCGCCAATCCTGGTTACCCCGGGAAGTGGTTCATGTCCTAAACGAGCAAACCCAATCTATTGGACAGGCCCAGTCTACAAGTATGATCCTACATGATAGTACGACTCACGATATAGTGAGGACAATACAACAAAGAGGATCCAGAAACAGTGCATTGCGATCGTGTCTCTCCATGTCCATGATCTACATATATAGTACCCCCATGTCTGGGTCTCCCATCCCGATAGATCTATCAAGCGGTATACATACATGGACCGGGCTCGGTCGTATAGGCGGGCCCGGGATACGAGCGGACGGGCGGACCGATGGAGGGACATTGGACCAAACTCCGGAGCTCGTTCTCGTTCGGGGACTGGTGATACATAGTGTGTTTTTTAACCAATTTCTTTTAACAAAGAGAAACAACAATTTTGACGTGACGCCAGAAGGAGGAAAAAGAACAAATGAGGCTAATAGCATAGCGAAGAGAAATAGAGCCGTGGAGAGAACACACAAAGCACCGATAGAAAGAACCGTTCCCCCTCGACTCCGGAAGAGGGGGCATTTCAACTTGTCCATCCAGAAATCTGGCCTCGCGAAAAAGAACTCCCGTCAGAGTCATCATCCATCCATCATTTGCAGATTTGCCGTTGGTATTTCTCTCGCCCAGCTACATACACGCACACACCTTCCCCTGATATTATATCTGCTTAGCCACGTTCCACTTTCCGGAGGGCATCGGCGAGCCACTCCAGACCCTCATACAGACCGTCACCAGTGGTGGCGCAGGTGGATTGGATATACTAGGACGGGTTAGCTTGATTGCACTTCCACTAACATCTGCAACACATTCCCGTGTTCACAGCCACGGGGATGCTTTATCCTCCAAAAGACGAAAGAGGGAAGAGGAGGGGAGAAAGAGAAGAAGGGGAGGGGGGGCTCAAACTCACCCAAGCACGACGGGTCAGGCTCTGGAGGCCGAGCTGCTGGGTGATCTCGGCGGGGCTCATGGCGTTCTAGAGAAACAGGGACATTAGCAACCATGTCATGGTGTTGACCGACTCGCATCTCCCACGAGAAGGGAGGGGTAGTATGGCATCGATGGAGGGGGACCCATCCGCTCATGGGTTTCGAAGTCCATACCGGCAAATCCTGCTTGTTGGCGAAAACCAGGAGGAGAGCATCGCGGAGCTCATCCTCGTTCAACATGCGCTGCAACTCCTCGCGGGCCTCGACGATACGGTCGCGATCGTTGCTGTCAACCACGAAGATGATACCCTGAGTGTTCTGGAAGTAGTGGCGCCACAGAGGACGGATCTTGTCCTGACCACCGACATCCCACACGGTGAATTGAATGTTCTTGTACTCGACGGTCTCGACGTTGAAGCCTATATGTCACCCAAGTCAGCGTATCGTTAGCGGTCGGGGATGCATGCCAATCCTCCGGGGGGATGATGGAATATTTGTTTTTTCTTTTTTCTTTTTTTTGTTTGTTTCGGAGAGGGAGACATCGAATTGCACGTAGGTGGACGGATGGCGAGAGAAGCGGACTGACCGATGGTGGGGATGGTGGTGACGATTTCACCGAGCTTCAGCTTGTACAGGATGGTGGTCTTTCCGGCAGCGTCCAAGCCGACCATCAGGATGCGCATCTCCTTGCGACCCCATAGTCTATCAAAAATTTTGGAGAAAGTGAGACCCATATTGTCGGAACCTCGAAGCCTAGCGAATGGCGGGAGGCGAACAGGTTAGTGATGGAGATGGAAAGTGGGATAATATGAGGTCAGGCGGCGGAGGGAGAAGTGGTGGATGATAGGGAAAACGTGTGTTGTGGACTCTGCGGTCAGGGGGGGGGGATATTGCGGGCAGTGCAGTGGATTGACGAGCTGAGAAGATCCGGGCGGCGGAAAGGGGGCAGATCCACGAGAGCAAGCTTACCGGGCAGGGAAGAGGGATGGACGTTGGTAGAAGGTGGGATTTCAAAAGCAGGTGAGGGAAAGGGAGAGAGAAGGTCGAGGTCGTCGCCGAGCAGAGAAAGCGAGTCCGGGAAGGGGTGTTTTTTTGGTTTGGGAATGGGAATACCGCAATTACGGCGGCCTGGGCTGGGCGTAGTCGTGGTCCTGCGCCCCTACGGTGTCCACGGCGTACGCTGTGTACGGAGAATACCAGTATCCCGTATGAATACCGTACACCGTCCCGGGCGGTGTGTAGAGGGAAGTCGGGGTCGGAGTACGGAGGTATACCAAAAGCAATGCAGAAGGGGTTCAATCCAAATACAATGCACTATCTCTGCTATATAAATACATGCCTTCTCTCTAGGCAGCCGGGCTTTGAATCCCTGGCTGCATTGGGGCACCGGAGGACAACTAATCCATAACCTCCATGATCCAGCTGGTCGAGTCTGCGCTCTCCATGTCAATGGTTGTTCAAGAGGACACGGTGTTTGCCCGTAATCAAAATACCAGAGGCAACAAGGGAACCTCGCCCCCGAACAATGGCCCGTGACTCGCAGTCACGGGCAGTCACGGGCTCGTCACTGGACCAAGACCCAACAGGCCCAAAGTCTCAAAGCCCCCAAAGCGCCCCCCTCCCCCCCAGCAACTGAAGACCGGGCCCGAAAAAACTGGACCCTCATCCATTCTCGACCAGATCCTGAGTCCCCGTTCCTGTCGCTGATAGGCCCACCTCCCGACTTATCGGCCCAGTCTCGTGCCTTGCGCCCCCCCCCCCCCCCCAAGACCCCCTAAACTTGGTCGTGCGGCGTCAAAGGCGCCATCGTACTGGGCCGTTGTGGGACACTGGGGATCTTTCACCGGCGCCGCGTCATGACACCATCACCATTGAGACTTTATCATCAATCGTGCCCGCCTCCTCGTCGTTGCTGTGAGATTCGCTGTCGGGATCGCTGGAAAAATGTCTTGATCAACGACCGATAGATTGTCTTGCCCTCCACTGTGTCGCTGGCAAACCCAAAGATGGTCAACACCGCTAGCGTCACAACAAAGATCACCGCAAAGGATGCCCAGTAATCTAACTTGGTGTATCCGCCCTTGACCCCCTGCAACTCAGTCGAAAAATACGCGGTCATCAAACTGACTGGCAGGAATAACATGGTTGCCTTAGCTAACAAGATGGTGATCCGTGTCAACTTCTCAACAGCTTGGGAGTCCTTGAGAGCGATCAAGTTAAAGTTCTACGAATCCATGGAAGTTAGTCACCGAGCGATCTTGAAAGCTGCCATAGAAGGGTTTGCCCTCGATTCTCATCTCCCGTCTCCACTGCACAATCAAGCTCATGGTGGAATTGAACACTTGGCATTCAATAGAAGCACACACGGATTCACCACTTACCAGGAATGTCAAGGACTCCTTCTCCAGGAGACAGGTGTCAATCTCACTCAAACAGTATAAATTAATTCGATCGACCAGTCGCTCAAATCGGCCCACGGCTGCCGAACTGAGTGATACTCCGACAAGCTTCGGGTTCCTCGCCGGGGCCCCGCTGTGGCTGGCAACACTCGCTCGTCGTTGTACGTTGGCGAATTCACTCTCGGGATAAGAATTGCTCGATGTCACCGGCGGCAGATTGGGTCCGCGGGCCTCCTCGCGCACCGAACCTTGCCGCTGCAACAGTCGTCGCATGATAAGCTCGTAACTCTGGTACAGCCGCTTGAGCACACCGAGCCGCCGACCCAGCCAGTGTAGCTCGTTCACCAGGTCAACAATTGGGCGGTCTAGCATTTGCCCTCTCTGTATTCGAGAATTAGAACTAGCACTATTGAAGGAGGAAAAACAAGAGACGGCATCATAGTTGCCGACACGTACCAATCGCTCTAACGCCCGTCCATATTTGTGCTGTCGTTTGGCGACCAGCCCAAAACTCGATACCCAGTCGTCAAAAATGTAGTATAAAAGCAGACTGGGGCCGTCCTCTGGCTTGATATTTGCCTGGTCAGGTCCAGCATCGTTGAAATGCCGAACTCGAACTGTCACCAACGACTCGCTCTCAGACGTGTTGGCGTGCTGCTTTGAGATACCGGAGACGATCGATAGGATGTTTCGTCGCACGACCTTGATTACCATTTGTTGGTCTTTTTCTTCCAGATCTTGTAGCTGTGGAAGTGGATCTTCCTGTATTGATATCACCGTTCCTAGAGAAACCATAAGTATCTGGATACAACCAGACGCCTTGGCGAGGCGAAGTTATAACCACATACCATCATCACATAAAACCAGCCAAGTCCAGAGTCGCGTGCCCTCCGGAAGGTCCTGGCCGTTATCCACGGGGACCCCTGGAGCAACAAATAATGTATTATAGCCAATGCACGTATCTGGCTCTCCTGGTCAGCCTGATTGTTTGAGGGGGATCCTGCGCGCGAGACACGAGCTTACAGCGTGGGCCATGATCCACCGAAGAGAAATGCCAGATTTGATCCGTGACATGCGCAAACGTCAGGCCCTGAAATGCGGACGTCTCGAACTTCTCCTTCGCGCTCGACTGGCTCTCGATGTCATCGAGTTCAAACTCCGGCGCCTCCATGACCGTAATATCCGGCTGTGACTTTTTAGCCAGCTTGGGGCTCTTGGGAGGATGCGGGACTGGGTCTGTGCACATCAAGCCCTGTAATCGTTCTGAGACCCCATATGGTGTGGTGATTGCCTGGATCATAACATGGTGAGCATGCAGAGCTCTCTGTATCCATCGTACCTCCCCCTCCCCCACGTACCTTGATCGCTGCCTTTTGCTGCTGCGGGTTCCAGATGTGTCTGTGATCGCATCAATCAGTATTTGACTTCAACGCAAAATCCAACAGGCAGCAGCCGTGAGCTAGTATTCTTACATCCACCGCGTTGCTAAACGACTCGCTCGCTTGCATTGTCTCGGTTAGTCAATTATTCGGACACAAGCGCGCGTGCAAAAAAGAAAAAGGAAAAAGAAAAGAAAAACAAAAAGAAGAACGGGCACCGCGATTATTCTACAAGCATACCGGTCGGCTGACGAGGAGTTGGAACTCTTCACTATTCAAGTTGGGCGCACAAAAAGCATCATCGTTTCCAAAATCCAAGGCGAAATTGATCGTTTGAGAATTCGACAGGAGTTGCATGTATTCGCCGAAATGCGATTTGTCATCGATATCCTTGAATTTGTCCCATAAAGAGTCCCCGGCCTCGTTCTGTAAACTATCATAGTATTCTTGCGGACAGAGGAAATCCCGGGCGTTCAGTGTCTCCGCCATGACGGCGATCTGCAAGCGATGAACGCTGGCGCCGGGGATGACAAGAAGAGATCAAAAATTGAAGATGGAAAAGAGGCGGGTTGGGAAGCAATTTCAGCCGATCGAAGGACTCAAGTTCGACGGAGCCTCACGACAGGCGACACGTGCGGGTCCCTGCGGGCTCGGGGGTCGCAGGATGGCGAGATTGCGGGGAAGATCAAGCGGGCAGGAAACGCTCCTTCGACGACCGGACTGGGCTGGTCTGTTCGCGGAATCGAGCTATGTGAAGGGAAGAGGTGCCCTTGCTGGCCATCTTTATATGATCGCGCGACACGCCGTGTGCCCGAATAGGGGGCGAGTGACCCGTCATCTGAGGCTGGACTGGCCGTCACGTTTAAGCGCTGGGATCAGCTGCAGCCCCCGCAGCGCTCTTGGTTTCACTCTCCGCGACCAAATACAACAGAGCGCACCGTAAGACAGGCCGATCCGTGTTTGCTTAGCAGAAGCTTGTGTCTGAGTTGGTCATCGGGAGGTTGGGGGATTTTTTTTCAGCCCAGGTGACGTTGGGTGGTTCTTGGCTCTTGGTACATGAAAAGAGTCCGGTGTTATAATGACGAGTTTGGAGAAAGGGCCGATCCCACCTGCGAGCATCCTCGATGCCGATTGGGGAATCAATTGGGTTGGATCTTTGTTGGTATTAATTGGATTTTCTCATGTGGAGATAATTTCCTAGACTCGGTGTAGCGAGAATGTGCATTTGTTGGATGTGGGCTAAGCCTCGCCAGGGCGATTGACTGATGGGTGGTGAAAGCAAGAGTATACAAGCCGCCGCTTGCTGCCCCGATCAAAAAGAATTTGGGCTCAAATTTAGCCACCAGAAATTCTCCATGCTTTGACGACTTTTTTTTGGTGATTTCGCAGGTTGCATGCTACTACCCTGAGTACATATGGTCTCGGTCTCTGTGAGTGATGCAATCCACAATTTTCAGCCAAGGCCAAAGTTTTGACCACATCGTGGTAAGCAACTAAAACAGATATCTCGCTGCTTCTTCAGGTGATGAACGGAGGACAGGCTAATCCCACGATTTGGAGGCCTTGACTTCTAGAGTGGCGCTATTATGGCTTCTTCATCGAGCAATTATATTGACGTGGTCGTACCAATATTTACTTGTCCACGAGGATTCTATCTTCCAATATGATACCGCATAACGCTCCGACATATACAGCCATTATTGTACGAAACCCCTTAAAAAAACCTAGTCTTCAGGTAATGGACTGGCCTCCTCGCTTGCCAGATCCCATTTCAGGCGAAAATCGCTAGGCGCCGTTAAAGAGATCTATAAGACGTGACTTGATCTATAATATATGTCAGATAACGATGAAATGAAAACTATATGAGTGAAAACAGCGCAGGAAGCGTGTAAAACATTAGATATTCGGCTGCACTAGGCTGCAGTTATTGAGGGCAAGGGGTGGTAGTCTCCCTACTAGATGGAGTGGTTGTTATTGGATAGAAAACTGGAAGTTTTAACCAGCAGAATACTATCTAATAAAGGGGTGTGGGGCCATTCGTTTCGAAACCTTATGATCCATCCCTGAACTCGTAGGCATTCGTCAAGACGAAGGTATATAACAAACCGATGTAAAACAGGGTTTCGGGCGAGATGGGAAGTGGCCGGAGAAGGCCAGTTCAGGCAGAAACCAGGCAACAACCGCCCAAGCACGCTACTCCCGTTGTAGTCACCATGGATTCCACTCTTCCCAAAGCATATGCATCGAGAGGATCATTCAGCGGCATCATGGTTCTACCAAAGGCAGGAAAGACCATTCGTCCTGCAGCATCCTGCACCGAATGCCAGCGGCGGAAGCAAAAGGTATTCCATCCCATCCCGTTTCGGGACCTCTCTTAACACCGTGATCAGTGCAGTCGTCAATGGCCCTGTAACCACTGCCAGGCACGGAAAATTCCACATTTATGTCAATATCCTTCAAAGAAAGGCTCAAACGGTCTCAAAGCTTCAGCAGGGGCTCCAAGGTGTGCTTATTTGCATCGATAGCTCGCGCATCCCTGACCGCTCTGTGCCAGGAAATTGTCTTCCGACGAAGAGGTGGACGAGATCGAGGCCGTCAAAGCAGAGCAGGCCGGAATCAAGGCAACGGACCTACCAGCACTTGCGGCAAAGGACGAACTTCGCAACCTTGGGTATCTGCCGAGCGAGCAGAATCTACTTTTCGGAAATGCGGCACCGCCGGTATTTTTGTTTCCTCCATGACATGTCTTTAGAGTCTACTAACAAAGGCTCTTTTTTTGCGAAGGCGGCAAGGTCAACCTCGATCCAGGCTACTGACCCCGTCATAATGCCACAAGAGGTGCAGAATGTTCTACGGCTTTTGCCACCTAAACCATACACCGGTACGTCTCAAGGGAAATTGCAGCTGGGATTAAGTATCCTGTTAACAGTCCACCAGATATCCTGGTTCAACAATATCTACAAGTTACTAACTTTAGCTATTATTGTCTCTACCCGCCTACTTTTTCTCACGATTATGCATCATGGTGGTCAGACCGGGTGAATAGCAAACCGCTCACACCCGAGTTCACTTGTCTTCTCATCCGAGTCTGTGCTTGCTCGGCGCAGTACCTCACCACTGAGATTCAGCAGAAGTTCGAGTCGGAGCTGGGTGAATCGGTTCAGAGCCTTTCAGAAGCTTATCATCACGCCGCAAAGCAACTGAGCAATACGATTCCGCCTGGTAAAGGCGGCTTGGCTCAAGTCCAACAACTCTTTCTCACCGCAGCCTGGTTCAAATCAGAATCTTTCTTTGTTGAGTCCTGGCATGCTTTAAGCACCTGTATTCATGAGGCACAGGAGTTGGGGATGCACAAGTCTTCCCCAAGGTCGGGTCTATCAGAGTTTGATTTGGAGATAAGACGACGTATCTGGTGTCTTTTATACTCATGGGATTGGTAAGAAGCACAATATAGCCGGTGTCCCTTTTCGATTGAAATTTTCCTCATCCTTCTTGCAGGCAAATGTCACTTCTATTATCACGTCCTCTCATCATCAACACAACTCGGTATCCATTTGAGTTACCAAATATGCAATTAGAATGTCTCGAAATCGAATCTGGGCCGCCATCTCCTGTTGCCCACATTGCCGCACAATGTGAACTAGGCCAGATCGTCTCCCGGATGCATTCCACTGTAGAAGACTCGATTGATACTGCAAATGCCAACCCACTCAAATCAGATATAGAAAAATGGCTCACTTCTCTACCTTTGGCGTATCAAGAAACAGACCCGGATACACAATGGGATATTGAACACATATATGTGCCTCTTCAGCGACAACAACTACACGCCATAGGCTATATGACGATGTTATTACCATACAAGCCATTTCTCTCCAAAACGTTTGACTCCAGGAGTCCAAAGACAGAGAGAGACCACCGAGCAACTGCAGTCAAAGTTGCCCTCCACTTGATGGAAGTGTCACGCCGCCTCTTTGATCAAGTATTCCCTATCAACGCCAAATTCCATCTCGTCACATTCTTAGTTTTCGATACGGCCGCTTTCTTGTGCTCGGCTATGATTCATGATAAAGATGGCAGTATTCCACAGCGAGAGAATATTGTCCAGGCAGTCAGTCTCGCCTGTTCATTGATGTGCCAACTTGCCCAGGTTACCAAAACCGGCGCAATCTGCTTTCCAGTCCTGGTTCGACTTGCCAAAAGTCTCTCGAGGTTATCGAATAGAGCCGCATCAGTGCCTAATATTGATGAAGAAACCAGTATTCCAGGAGCAGAATATCTTGGCACATCGTTTGGAACTGATTCGCTCTCATTCACGGATAGCATCTCTCCGGATTTGATACCTTTTTTGGATTCCGTAGATCCCAAGGAGATGTTCTTGCCGAATTCTCTAGATTTTTCTATGCCAGACACGGCAACGCCTCCCATAATGGGTGTGGGAGACCTTTTGAATTTGGATGTTGGTCAGTTCGATCAGATTTGGGATTGGCAGAATTTGGATTTGACATTATTTCCCTCTTTTTCGGCATGAGGAGGCTCGAGTCCATCGTTGTTTGTCTGGAGCGGCTGCAGCGATACGTGCATCAACAATATATTGTTCTCAGGACGTACCGTGACTTACTTAGATTCTGGAAGTCTCGCCTGACGAGCATCTCCATGCTGATGACCATAAACAAATATTTAGACTTAATAATATAAATTTCAAAAAAAATTATAAGTTTAAGCCGCTCTCTTTATCATGGTAATAAAGCAAATTTTTATCAGTGTAGTTGAGCAACTTACATATGATGATGTTGGTCAGTCAATGCATTTGTGGTTTCATGAAGACGGGATCCGCTGCCACCAAGTCACATCATTCGACATTCGCACTGAGTCATACTTTGCCTAGTTACGACTCCTTATGAGCACAGAATTCGAAAGTACGATATATGAACCACCTGTGTTATACCTTTTTTCTTCCCAATTCAAGTCTCTGAGCCTCGACTGTGTCTATTACTTAAATTCAAGGCCATGGCAGCCCCGCATCTCCCTTCTGGCCATACCATTCTGGTCCCAAATCAGTTTCTTTCTTTACCACAAGAACAGCAAATCGTGGAGCGCTATAGAAAGTTTCGGCTGTATAGTCTTCAAGTCGATCCTCAGGCTTTCTCTTCCACTTATGATGATGAGTCTCAGTTCCCCTATGACACATGGTTGTCGCGGATTCAGAATCCCGCGGGTAAAACCTTTGTCTCTCTAGGCGGTCTCAGCACTGAGGCGGAGGAAATTTCCAAATCAAATAATCCCGACAGCCTCGATGGCACGAAGTCTTCTCTTGGAGAGTTACTAAGTAGAGAATGGGTGGGCATTGTTACTCTAATCGGGCCAGGTGTGTTCTTGAAGCCTAACGACGATTCTCCGACCGTCAACAAGACTTGGGAGGTATTCATCCAGAATGGGCGATACCAGATTCCTCTGGCTGCTTCCAAATCCGACGATCTACAGGGCGCGCATCTTGTTTATTTGGTTGTCGGAATGTTCGTCTCTCCATCCGCTCGGCGAAGGGGCCATGGGCGGCGACTGTTGGAGGCCACGATCGAGGCTGCCGCCGAGGAAAGCGCTATGCTTGGTGCATCGAAGACTAGCATTACCGTCCAAGTGGAGACGGTCAATCCGACTGCACTGCCATTGTACGAGAGCTTGGGGTTTCACGTGACCGAGAAGATAATAGACATACAAAATCGACAGGGAATCCCATCGCAGGTGGTTTCATTGGAGAAGGAAATCGAGTTACCGAAGCTGTGATTAAATCTCCTACAAACTAGATAAGCGCCATCCAATGGAAGACTTAATCGTTCGTTCGTGTTTGGTCGTTGTAGCCCAGTAAATTCCCAGGCATCAAGGCCACAATGATTCACGTGCATGTTGAGCCTGAGGTGGCCGAGCTGAGTCAGCACCTCGTTCTAGGGCACCGCTAGTCTATTTTGGGCTTAGTCGAAGCCCGGCACCCACAAGCGGAGAAATTCGCGACAACATTTTTCTTCTCCCCTCAGACTTCAGCGTAGAGCCACACCATAAGAAATTCTTTTGGAAGACTGTCGCCATCATGTCGAAGATCACAGTCGGTATGTTCTGAATATTCCTTCCAAATCATTCTCCTTGATTTGATCGCTAATATCCTCTTAGCCGGAGTGCGCCAGAATGTCGATGAGCTTCTCAACTACTCTCTCAACGAGAAGAAGCGTAACTTCCTCGAGACCGTTGAGCTTCAGATCGGCCTGAAGAACTATGATCCCCAGCGTGACAAGCGTTTCTCGGGCACCATCAAGCTCCCCACCGTCCCCCGCCCCAACATGTCCATCTGGTGCGTTTTCCCATCGCCATTCATCTCAAATCCTCCCTGTATTGTGCTGGAAAATCTGGCAATGAAGTGCAGCGGCAATGGACCAGAGATGAACAATCAGCTTCAGAGGAGAATTCATGGCTAACATCCCGATAGTATCCTTGGTGACCAGCACGATCTCGACCGTGCCAAGCACCACGGCATCGATGCCATGTCCACCGATGACCTGAAGAAGCTCAACAAGAACAAGAAGCTCATCAAGAAGCTTGCTCGCAAGTACGATGCTTTCCTTGCTTCCGAGGCTCTCATCAAGCAGATTCCCCGTCTCCTCGGTCCCGGTCTGTCCAAGGGTACGTTTTTTTCAGGGCTCAATATGCCTAGTTTCCCTCGATTTCTCTAGAACCAATACTAACAATTTTTTTTCTTTTCACAGCCGGCAAGTTCCCCACCCCCATCTCTCACGCTGAGGACATGGCCAACAAGGTCACCGATGTCAAGTCCACCATCAAGTTCCAGCTGAAGAAGGTTCTCTGCCTCGGTGTCGCTGTCGGCAACGTCGGCATGACCCAGGAGGAGCTTGTTGCCAACCTGATGCTTGCCATCAACTACCTTGTCTCCCTGCTCAAGAAGGGCTGGCAGAACGTTGGCAGCCTGGTTGTCAAGGCTACCATGTCTCCCCCAAGCGCATCTACTAAATGCTCCGTCGCTTCATTGCGCTGGACTTCTAGTTGGTGTCCGAGAAGTGAGGGTGTCATAGTTTAGTGACCCAAAAAAAAATAAAAGAATCTCACGACTTGGTTGAATATTTTTGTGCTATTGTAGTATATGTAATCCGTATAATCTCAACCGTCCACTGCCTGTGACGATAGGTATTCTTTTGAACAATGGAGCTTCGTGAGAGAAGCTTTTGTTCAACTCATCGTAGAAATTTTTTATCAATATCACAATCAAGAAGAGTGCTGTAGAGTTGTCGCACTTCGGCCGCAGGAGCATCTTGGAGTTCCGTAGACCGCATGGAAAGGCCAAGGACCCAGTTTGCGATACAATTGGTACAATGCTAGGAATAAATGATAAAGATATGCAATGGGTGTTGCTGTTGGTTAGAGAAGTACATTCTCAACCTCCAAAACAAGCAGCCAATTACTAGCATCGGGTAAACCCTTCATATATATATATTTAGGAAGAGGGCAAGTTATCATGATGTGCGTATCCAATAAGACACAGTGATTAATGCTGGGCTGAAACAAACGGATTTTCTACAAGGTTATATATAGTACAATCAAAATCGCTTACTGCATGCCCTCCATCAATTCTGTTTTATCCAGAATCATGCCGCGCATGCCAATAAACTCTCGTAAGCTCTCCCACTCTTCACCTACCTCCTCGCCGCGCATATAGGGATCCTTGAACCCCCAGGCAACAGCAACTTTGTCCATGGCCGCGCGTTCCTCTTCTCGGAGCCATCGGTGTCGCAAAGGAACACCAGGCAGCCATGTCACCCGCTCCATTTGATCATTGGCGGTCGTGATAGCCAAAATACCAATAGATGAAGTGCCACCGACATAAGCCAACGACGCGGCAAACGCAATGCCAGTTGCTGTGCTGGGGTCCATTGTATGCTGGAATGTCGCGGCCCAAGAAGCAAGGGCATAACAGGCAGCTGGAGCTCCCGCTAGACCCGCCAGAGGGATACCAGCCTTTCTAAAGATCTTCGCGCGGTGGAAAGCAGGCGCACAAAAGGTCTTGTCAATGATAGCAAGCACAAGAGGAAGATTCTTTTGTTGAATGGCGACGTTCAAGGCCATGTTCGCTAATTCAGCAGGCACAGCGCTGTTAACATCCTTCGGGTTCGGCTTGAGAAACCTGGGCGGGCTGCTCTTCTCCTCGGGAATAGGCTTGTTGGCATAGAGGTGGAAAATCTCTGGCAGATGCTCAGATTGGCCCAAGCGAGATTGGATTGTCACGTATTTCTCCAGGATCTCAGGGGAGATGAAGACCTTTTCGTCCTTGATAACCTTGGTCGAGATGCTTGCGACGGTGTTTGCTAGTCGAGGGTCTATAACCTGCGAATTCCCCCCTTGATGGTTATCTTCTTTGGCTGTTCTTTTATGACCCAATTTCTCTTCCATTTCGAGTAGCGAGGAGATCGCATTGCCCTCGTCAGTTGTGGATGGATTCTCCGCCTGATCCCGTTCTAGGGAAACAAGATAGTTGGTGACTGCCTCGCATTCGCTGAAGAAATGCTGAACTACATCGTTTTGAGGCACTCGATCCACACCGAGAATCTGGCGCGATGCAATTTCCGTGAGATAATGAACTGCTATCTCGGGACTCTCTTCGACAATCGCGGAGGGTTCGGGCATCGCATTCTCTCCGTTCAAAGCCTCCAGGGGCTCCTCTGAGGCGCGAGATGTCCGTGTAGAGTCGTGGCGTAGGGAAATCAGTGGAACTTTCGGAGGGTTCTGCGCTGCCCGTCTGGACGAATGTAAGGTAAGGCTGCTGGTAGGGGTTCGATTTTCGGAAGAGGTAGACACTCGAGCGAAGGGAAGCGCACGTCGCGGCGCGGAGGTAGAGAATTGGCAAAATTGACAGATCACTCCTTGAGGCCTGGAGGCCCTCTGAGCCCTCAAAGTGATTCGATTCATGACGATTGGTGTGGATTGTGCGTAAAAGGAGAGAAGGCCCGCACGATGTAGACGGGCTATCTTTTTCAGATCGGCGCGGGAGGCTCAAAGGCGGAGACTTCGCGCCAGCGCTGTTCACTGCCCCGTACTCGCTCGCACTGACGTCTTTGCTTCTGCCTGACACTTACAGTCGCCGCTCCTTCTGGCCAAGGAGGTTTCCATTTCCAACAACACCCTTTCGGTAATATCTGATACATTCAACTCTTCAACAATTAGATCACCTCAAAGGCGCACCCTCCGGCATGCCTCCTCCCCCTCCGCCGCCGCCGCCGCCGCCCGGAGGACTAGGTGGTCCTCCCCCACCACCTCCTCCAGGAAGCTTGCCTAATCGACCTTCTAAGGCTGAAGCAAAAGATAGGGTAGGCTTCTAGATACTTTTATGACTTGAATTCTTGCCAAATATTCTTTGTCGGGGCCCATGACGCTGACAAGATGGTAGAACGCTCTTCTTTCAGATATCCACAAAGGTGCCCGGTTGAAGAAGACGGTTACCAATGATCGATCCGCGCCCCAGATCTCAAGTTCAGGAGGAGTGTCGCCCGCACCGTCTGTTGGGGGTGCGCCGCCAGTTCCTGGGATGAAGGCCCCGTCAGGGCTTGCTCCCCCAGTTCCGCCTAGCTCAGTTGCCAACAGATTGCGAAGCAACAGTGAAGTATCGGAGTCGGATGAAGGGGTTGGCTCCCCGGCGGCACAACTCGGAGGTCTCTTTGCGGGTGGCATGCCTAAGCTGCGCAGTCGTGGTGGTATAGACACAGGCGCCAACCGAGACTCGCCCTATATGCCCGAGGGTGATATTCAGCCACCACCAGCAGCTCCAGCGCCAAAGCCTCCTTCAGCTCCTCAGCTGCCCGGATCACGACCACCACCTCCTCCACCTTCTTCAGCGACCCCGCCTGCGCCACCTGTGAATCCATTGTTAGCCAACCTCAAGCGCCCTCCCCCTCGTCCTGGTTCAAGACCGTCGTCCACATTCTCGAATGCTTCGGCGGCGAGTGCGCCGGAAGTTCCTCCTCCACGCGCGCCTCCGGCACCTCCGGCTTCCCGCAAGCCTTCTGGACCGCCCCCACCTCCTCCATCAGCCAGCCCGACAGCTCCTCCTCCGCTCCCTCCATCTGCTCCTACTACATCACGAGCTCCTCCCCCACCGCCGGCTGCTCCTGGGCGTCCGACTCTTCCTCCACCGCCCCCAGGAGCTCCGCCATCGATTGCAGCACAAGCTGCTCGCACTGCTCTCGGTCACAACAACGCCAGTTCGCTGACTGCAGCTCCCCCACCACCGCCGCCTGCGACTGCTCCTGCCGCCCCTCCGCCTCCTCCCCCAGTCTCAGCGCCTGCGCCTCCCTCCATTGACTCGCCGTCTCGGCCCTCGCCACTTGCCTCGCGCCCTGTCTCACATGAACCGCATACTGCATTGGATCCTAGTGCGTATACGCTTACAAATGGTGGCTCGGCTTCTGCTCCTAGCTCTCGAACTACATCCACATATGGTCCTGTCCGAATAGATGATTCGCGGTTCAAATTCCAGGTTGAAGGCTTGCTTCCGAAGCCCCGGCCGTTTGCTGGCGGACAACGTATGTACCGCGCTGGGCGAGGCAGCAGTGTCCCCTTGGACTTAAGCGCGTTGAGTGGCTGAGTTGAGTGCATGGAAAATTGCAGGCGATATCATGCACAGATAGTGAATTGCTGCTCTATACTATACATAAATTGTTTTGATAACCAAGCTTCCACATCATTTATTCACAATAAGACATTTGTAGACGAGTCTTCCGATCTTTTACATCAAGTAATTGCATTATACTCTTGTTCAATTAGTTGAAAACTCAATTCCCACTTATCATTGATTTGGATTTCGATCCCATCAAAGCTAAGCCGTCCCAGTGGCATTAAACGTTAAGCTAGTTCGAGGATCTCATCTTCGGCACGTGATCCCCGCCAATCAGTGCAAACAACCGCGAAGACCCCGAGATTAGCCAGCGTTATTCCCACCTGCCAATTGAGCACCAGCTTCAGGATTCAAGTTCGTTGTCTCCGTACCTGACGCTTTCAACTCACATATGCATCGATCTATCTTGAAGCTGGGTCCCTGAACGTCTTCCTTGACGCCATCATCCCCGCCGAACTAAGTGCAGACCTGGAATTCGGACTTCCTCTTCTTCACCTTGAAGTGCTTTTTCGCCGCACTCGAGCTTCGGAACCGTCTTTCTCGCGGATTTTCTGCAGATATTATTATACAAGGCAATTGCTATTGCTAAGCCTGTCTTTGTCATCTCTTTTCTGGAATTCAAAGTCGAAAGCAGCGGAGGGGCCACAAGTATTATTCCCTTTGGAAAGCTGTGAAAACGCCATTACAAGCTCTCTAGCTTAGGCTATTTCGACACGTCTACGCGCAATCGCAAAATAGTTGTCCGTCTTGCCAGCACCCATTCGCCCATCATGTCTTTTTCCCTGAACCCATACATTAACAGTAAGTTTCACTGTGCCTGGGCCTCTGCGCACCGTCGACTGCAGCCGATTGCTGACCGACTTGCACCCTATTAGAGAAAGTCCTTATCCTCACCGTGGACGGACGAACCCTTCTCGGCACACTTCTCTCCACCGATCAGCTCACCAATATTGTGCTCTCCGACACCGTCGAGCGTATCATTCGCACCCCGGAAGACGACGAGCCCTCATCGCAGATCGAACATGGCCTCTACCTCATTCGTGGCGACAATGTGGTCGTCTGCGGAGAGGTAGACGAGAAGATCGACGGGGATATTGATTGGAGTAAGGTCAAGGGCGAGGTCATCCGGGACACGAAAAATGCATGAGCCGTTGCGACATGGACTTTTGATTTGATTTTGCGAGTTCGGGCGTTGGTGGTCTGGGAACCATATTTGCATACATCCGCCACAGGGGACGAGCATCTGCCCAACACTTCTGCCAAAGTGCAGCCGTGAAGTGCCTGGCGATGCTCAACCAGTTGAGAATCTATCTCGCTCGCGTCTTTTTCGCGTGTTCGACCTGGGCCCGATACTTCGTTTTCCCTCTCCGTTACTCCATTGCCCCACTGCGATTTTTTTCTTTGTTTTCGTCTTTGTCCTATTTGACCTCTCCAATACCCAGCTCGCGTTGTCTTCGGCGACGGACGTCATTGCATGACCGATGATGAAATGGGCTTCTTGATCCCAACCCCGTTCTCTGGCGGCATCACATGCTGCTTTCCGCCGAGGAAGCTCGGCAGTATCGCGGTTGGCCGCAGCCCTACGAGGATCTACAGGACAGACAAGGCAGGGAGACATCCAACAGGGATCTGATATGGACTTGACGGTAGCCGAGGGAAGGCAAATTTGTCGCCTCGCCGTGAGTTGTCTCACGACCGGGCGGTTTACGAGGGTGCATCCCTACGTTCTTTGCGCTGGGGCGGGGAAGAACGGCCGCAGGACTGGAATGGGCCATCCCCTGTTGTTGTTGCTTTTTTTTTTTCCTATTTATTTTTTGATCATTAGGACTTGAGATATCCTGTAATACTGCATCACTACATTTCACTGCTGCTTGGATACTTTGCTGCCTACAAATCTGCAGAATCTGTGAGTAGCCTGCAGTCTGCGCCACCGCTTCGGCACATCGAAGTATAGAAGTATAGAAACATCTACATCCGCTACAACGAGCCGAGTTAGATGAGAGAGAGAGAGAGAGAGAGAGAGAGAGAGAGAGAGAGAGTATGGGCTCATGTCCCGCTCCTGCCCGACAAATGAGGTTAGCGAGATGCGGTCTGGTACGGTGTGTCAAGTGCAGTGAGCTGTCATCTCCGGTCTCCTGCGATCGAATGTAGTAGGTCAGACCGACTTTCGCCCCCACGACTGTCACCCCTCGCCGACAGTCCGATAGCCTGCTCTTCACGAGTTCACCAGTGCTGGTTCATGAGAAGTATCGGTCGAGGCAATTGAGTCTTGGTTCGTCGATTTGCGCCTCGAGGAGGGCCCCCCTTTTTACTTCCCGTTTGCGGCACAAGGTTCTCCACTCAATGCGGGATGCCAAGTCCAGGCTGACACGCACTGGACCGTGTCGAAAGGAGGCGGGTGAGAGGTGGTGAATGCTGGTCTCGAGCGAGTCGCCCGCGAGGCGGCATGGATCGCCTGGAATCACCAATTGGGGGCAGGGAATGGGCAGAATCGAGATCCCATGCAAAGTACCATGGACATGGTCGATGGCCGCGATCCCCGCCGCCCGAGAGCATTTAGGCGCTTGGTGGCCCAGTTCGCATTAGTGTCCAGGCGGGCTTAGCGGTTGTTGGGTGACTGCGCCCGAGCAACCAGAGTGGAGGAGGGGCCAGGAGACGAGGATCATGGGCAATGAATGAGATAGATTGGGAATTTATCAATTTGCACCAATTTGTACCAATTTTGATCCAAGTTAATCAAATTTTCACAACCGGTCGGCAGTCTGTGACTCGTAGTTTTGGGTAGGAATCCAAGCGGATGTAACGGAGACGCGCCCAAGGAAACGAAGGACCCAAAGCCCCCCGAAAGTCGCCAACCCGCCCAAACCGCCCAAACCCGCCGGGGCCCCCCCGTTTCATCCCCTGCTCGCTCTCTGACCTCGTACCTCTGACCTCTGACCTCTGACCTCTGACCTCTGACCTCGTACACTCTCTCCCTTTCTCCTCCTCAACCTCCCCCCCCCTCCGTCTTCTTCGTCCTGCTTCCACCCCCTCGTTCGCCAACTATTCCTCCCTTCGCTGGTCGTCGGGCATCCAATTCCTTCCACTCTTTCCCGCTCTCTTCTGATCTCCGACCTCCGACCTCCGCCACCCCTGATCCCTATCGCGATCTACCAAAGCCCTTCATGTGGACTCTATCACGACACAACACACAACCACTACCGGGTCCCATTCAGCAGATCGCCCGGGCAGATATCGTCTCGTGAACGATCAGTCTTCAAAAAAAACCTCCTTTCCCGAACCCTTATCATCCCGCCCTCCCCAAAAAAGCAAAGAGAAACGGGATCAACCCCCCCCCCCCCCCCCCCCCGCGCCAGCCATGTGGCTCTACCGGGGTGCGCAGTCGGCAGTATTCTACTATGCCACCTGCACTCCCTGTGCGATGAGCATTGATCGCCGGAAACGCAAAAAGGATGCCGTGCGAACCCAGCGATTGAACGCCAAAGCCGATCCCGACCTCGTCACCGACCAACCTCGGCCGTTCCCGCAACCCACCCCATTCAGTACCAACGAAGGATGGCAGGAGGAAATCGTCCTGGGACCCGGCCCGCCCGCTCGTCGACATCGTAACCATCCTCGGACAAATAGTTGGAACACAGATCAAAGCTCGCTGGTGAAGAAGGACAAGAGTGGCGGCCTGATGCAGCCCCTCAATGACAAGTGGAAGTCGATGCGCTACCAGCGGGAGGATGAGCCGCTTTGGGGCCAGGAAGTCCTCGGCTCATCCATTGGCTTCTCCGGCCGAGGTCGGGCAGACCCCGATGAACCGTCCAAGTACTACGCTGCCTATGTCCCCCCGTCAATGATCTTCATCCGCCCATTGTGAGTGGGCCGCGTTGCCGTGCGGAGACGAGATGGATGCTACAGCCGCCGCCAAGCGCCAAAGTCATGGCTGGAAAAGAGCGGTTCGACGACATGTCCCCTCGCGATAGTGTGGGTGGGTTTGCCGCAGACTGGCCGTCTCGCACATACCGAAGCGTCGCGTATCACAACGAGATCAACACCGAAAGCCCCAGTCACGAGATTGGGGACGGGGTCTCCGATGTGAGAGAGGTTCAACAGCAACTACCTCGCCAATCCTCTGTGTCTCGGGTTCGCAGAAGCACGGAAAGCACCCCTCATGATGATTTCGACATTCCGCGGAATTCTCGATCCGACTCGATGTTCTCTATTGCCGACAGTGACCAGTCATTCAGCGCTTCTTGGAGATATCCCGATACTCCTGCCACCCGACCAGCCTCAAAGTCCACCGACGAAAGCGAGAAAGTATACGCTCGGCCGCAAATTTCCAAAACCCTCTCGACTCTGGGACGGGGCGACAAGCACAAGGTACATCTTCTACAACTGGAGATAAACGATGATCCGCACGATGAAGTCGCCCTTGGTCAATTGGAACGTATCCGGCCTTGGCGGTGGAGCATGGATATCTAAATTCCCAGCCTCGTCACCTCATACGGACTTTTTACCAACTCCCCCGATACATACCTCGACTACCAACATCCTTTTTCTTCCTTTGAGGGCCTTTCTTCCCCCCTCTTTTTTTTTGGCTACCCGGCGTTGGAGTAAAAAGATCAGCAAGCATTTCCGGATTTTCGTTTCTTCCCTACCCTTCCAGCATCAACTCCTTGTGTCAGCCTGACAGGCCCCATTAAAACTGCATCATTCTTACAACTTGGGCTAAAGAGCACGGCTGGTCCCAGATGCCCCCAAACCAGGAAGTTGATGAAAAGTAAAAGCCTCGATCGACTGCTATGCAGAAAACTACCGCAAAGGGCGGTGAATTTTGTTCTCCTGCGACACCTCATCCTTACTTTTGGCTTACAGTCCTTCCGATTTCTCACTCTCTCTTTACTCTGGACAAGAGTACCTACAGCGCCTACCCCCTCCTTGCTCTCGTTTTTGACGGACCACTGTTCCCTTTTTTTTAAGGCCCTTCTTTCCTTTCGTCTTCTCAAACCTTCCTTTAGCTATTATTATCCCTTTTATCACCCTTGACCTCCTGTATCATAATCACCTCCGCAATTCGGGTTACATACATAGCGCATACATAGCATGATGAAATCATTGGATTTGGCTCTTCTCGTTAAAAGGTACATTGGGTACCTTTCTTTTCTCCGTGTCTCTATTTAGATTTATTTACTTTAGAGCCATTTCGTTTCGGCCACATTTTGCAATGAGCAAATTTCATTGCTTACATACTAGATAGAGCAAGATCGATCATCCTGGCTGGATCTCTACTCATGAATGAACATGAGCAACCAACGTATCCCGACCGCTATTGCCTGGCAGTTTCTCAGTGTGTGCGCGCACTTGAGCTCCAAGGCAGCGACCCGGATGCCAAATACAAAAGAGAAGAGCCACAAGTGCGATAGGCGCGAATTCGAGACATGCGAAGTAAACTTCATGTGTCGACAATTTCCCTCCAAGACCTTCGGCCGTCTCAATAAGACGGAATATTGTCCTCATATAAACCAGGAGAGTGGATACTGAAAACGACAGGCAGAATACTCGAAAACCCTGCTCCTTGATGCGGCGGCGAGCTCGAAGTTGGAATGTTGTCATCAACACGACGAAGATGCTCATAGCAAACACCTGGTACGCGAGACCCGCGAGAAGGATGTTGTTTGCAGTCTCAGGATTCTGGCGTCGGGACTCCTTCACGCCAACCAGGACGGCGCCGGCAATTTGCACGATTGTCGAGATCACGTCCGATGTTATGAAGAATCCTAGGATGACGGTGGGCCGGAGGAAGGAATACCCGTTCCCTAATCTGGAGATGAGGGCTGAAAGAACGGTATACACCCCTGCGGCAAGGAAAACCGGTGCGGTCACGACAAAGAAGTAGTTCAGGACAAAATAGATCAGGTTGTACGGGTCTTTCTTGGCTGACAGGCTTCTGGCAATGTACCCTATGATCTCGAACACCAAGCCGGTAGAAAAGGTCATCCACCACCAGCTTCGGTATCTCCAAATTTGGGTCGTATGGAGTATCAAGTGGAGAAAGAACCAGGCCGCAGCGATGCCCGCTAGGACGATAGATGGGGTGTAACCGTAAATAATGACGCTGGTATCATTTTTCCCGCCGGGATTCACGAAATTAGGGTCAACATAGCCAAAGGACCGCGCTGTTTACCAATTAGTCCTCTACACATGGCCAAAGCTGTTAAAACTAGAAGTTTGAGGTTGGACATACCAACAACATCTTGAAAGCTCATCTTGAATGCCGCGCGATGTGAGACCGGGGTACAGGTGGCCGTGACCTGTCCAGGACAAGGGAAAAAGCCCCTGCTCGAGGCAGATGCTGAATGAATTTTGGGCTGGCTTTGGTTCACATGCCGGACAGCAGTCTTGAGAGCCCTTTAATATTTAAGTCTGCCAAGTCTCCGTCAGGCTCTGCTCGTAAGTGGCGTCATATTGTATTCTAGGCGAAGAAGCTGAAGCTGGCCAAGGATGAGCGTTCGCTTTTGATTTGGTCGTTAGTATCAAGATACCCCACTACGCTCTCAGGGCCTGAGGACCGATCGCCTCACCATCACCAATCATCGGGCGGAAGATCGCAGAAGTGGAGGTCGTACCCCAGAGAGGAAGATAATCAGGATTATTCTGGCCCGATCGGGTATCTCGAGTCCACGTGGCCCTCGCTTAAATCTAAGCTTACACTGTACTCATTATATTTTTATATTTTGCTTTATAGGTATATAGGACTATATACTATATATGGGAACTGTGGGAAGTACATCGTTGATTATTGGGCGCTTGGCGCTTTTGTCGAGAGAATAGAAAGGCAGTAGTACCATTTGGTTTTTGAAAATTCAAGGCAAAAAAATTCTTGGCGTTGATGCTACTCATCTCCGAGCGCGGCTTCTCGAGTTATGGCGATTGCTCCGTATTTTAAGAATTATATCTACAAGAGGTGTCAACCGTCGAAAGCCACCTTGTTACTACCCAAGTAATTTGCAGCCGGAGCTACATAGAGAGCCAGGGACAGTGTATCAGCTAGTGACGTAAGAGACGATCTACGAAGGACATGTCTTTGTATTCTCTCTCGTATCAGGGCGAGAGAATTCAGATAAGATATTCCGGCGGGTCGAGCATCGGTTACAGTTGCATAAATGCCTGAATAGATTCCCAGTGTTCTGGATCCTAGCCAGCATGCTCCTAGTGAAAGATAGCCGAGACCCGGCATGGCCAAAAAAAAAAAGCTATAGTTATCCATAAGTGCAGTCTTGGCATGATGTCGTAAGATATCTGGTGCCATTTTTACAGTATCCCCAAGGAAATTCGTTGAACTGCCGCTCTGACTCAGATGGGCCATCGATGCAAGCTGTCCAATTATACCCTTGCCACTATATACAGCCCCGATATAGTCACCTTTCAAGCCACACTTTTGATTATTGTAGATGAAGCTCGTTGGCAATGGAGACTTTGTGATTGGAAACCAAAGTATTCTATGATTCCCTGCTTGTTTCTGTAGAGTATACCCGGAGACTATACAGAGATAAGAAGGGAATCGGATATTATATAATGGCGGGATGCGCATTGGGATATGTGGGTCTTCCCCGTGGCGGCATCTTTCCCCTCAACAAGCCCCCTCTTAAAAGAATCATTAGAATCCCAGTCCCTTTGCTCAACTCAGTTCCACATTGCTCAGAGTTTTAATTTTCCATCAAGATGGCAGACAAGTCCCTCAAATCCACCTGCCATTGTGGCGCCATCACAGTGATCGTGCCTCACCAACCAGAGGAAATCAACGAATGTCAATGTACAATCTGTCGACGCTACGCAGCTGCTTGGGCGTACTACAAAGTGAATGAAGTCAAATTTAATATGAAAGAAGGCGCCAAACTCCGTCGGTATGTTTGGGGAGATAGATTGATCTCATTCAATTTCTGTGAGAATTGCGGATGCGTGTAAGTCTTGATCTGCTCATCGTTTGTGGATCTCAAAGGGTCCGCTGAAACTCTTGGCCTGAATGTAGATGCTATTGGTGGCCGCTTGAAGAAAAAACGCCAGATGGCGGTGCAGCTGAATTCGGCCTAAATACGAGGAATATGGATCCTATGGAAATATTGCAAGTTAATCGTAAGATTGACAACGCCTTCCTGTTCCGGCCTCTCAACGATAAAGCTTCTGCGCATGAGCAGGATAAGTCCAAGTACTGAACTGTTTGTGTAAAATTTGTTGTCTAATTTAATTGAAAAGAAGTGTCCTTACATCGAAAACACATATCATGATACATCAATACAATGCCGAGGCAAAGAAGCAGACGGGCTCAAATTAAGCCGAATGTTAAGTGCTGCTTGATTGATACTGGTGATCCTGATTTATTACAAAAGATTGACTTGGGTGCTCAATTTATAATTTTGTCTTTCTAAGCGAACATTATATTAACATGAATTTCAAATTCACGAGTCATGCAAAAGTGGAGGGGAGGACGATGACTAAAAGGAGTGACATCCTGGGCTTGCATGGGAAAAATCAAAAATTGAGCAATAATGAGACAAATTGATGGAAATTGAAATAGAGAAGCCAAAGTGGCAAAACTATCCTGTTTCCTTGAAAAAAAGAGTGAGAGTCAACAATGGTGACCGGATATGGACTTCAATGTCACGAGAGCCAGATCAAATATTCAATATTTGATGTAAGCCCCAAAGGCCCGAAATGGACCACTTATTGGGGGGTGAGATAGCCGCCCCCGCCGAGATCGATGGTCTCACCGTCCAGCCAAGTGTTATAGCTACTGTCGTAGTAGATGGAGTAGCCCGCACTGACGATGTTGGCAGCGGTAGTATCCTCATCGGTGATGACAGTAACGTAAGAGTCGGCAGTCAGGGACCAGGTGCTATTGGAGTCGAGGTAGATGGTAGCATTAGAGGCAGTGTTCTCGGTGTTGATGGCTCCGGACCAGGTTGAATCCGTCAGGATCAGATAGCCAGTGGAGATGTCATCAATGGTGACAACACCGCTGATATCAACATCCGTCAGTTCAAGGGTGAGGTCTCCGCCGTTAGAGCCTGAGGTACCGAACTCAGAGTTTGCAGCAACGTTGGCAAGAATACCAGACTCGGTCGTAACGGAGACATCGTCAAGAGAGACAACTGCCTCGATGTTACCCACATAGATCAGACCATAGGTACCATATGTCTCGGCGATAGATCCGCCCGTGACATAAGCGTAGGCCACATCCGAATTGCTACTACCAGTAGAGACAATTTGGAAAACACCATATTCTTCGGTACCAGAGCTGATATCCGGATCGACAAGGGTGAACGAATTTGAGCCATCGATAACACAGGCAGGAGCGATAGAGGCGGTTCCAGTGAGGCTGCTCACTGTGATATTACCAGTAGAGTAGACAAGGGCAGATTTGCTGCCGTAAGTCATAACAGTGGCTGTATTGACCACAATAGTACCGCCGCCGCTATCGGTAGCAATAGCAGAGCCTCGCTGATCTTCAGTGGTGATAACAAGATTCTCTCCGTAGATATAGCCGCCGGCGGTGTAAATACCATGGGCACCATCACCGGAGGCAGACACAGTGACATCGTAAAGGTAGACATCAGCACCATCCTCGTAGGTGTGAAGACCATTAGCACTACCACCATCAGTGGTGATGGTACTGCTGTACATGTACAGGGTACCATAGGTCTCAACGCCAACGGCTGCGTTCAAGATGGTGAAGGATGAATCATCATCGTCGGAGCTATCCCCAGTCTTGTAGATAGTGACGTCAGTCAGATAAGCAACACCAGTCGCCTCGACAACCACGGCATTCTCGTCGGTGGCAGTAGCAGTGATATAGACACCAGAGATTGTTGAGGTGGTCGAGCTGATAGTAATAGCTCCTTCAGTACTAGTAGCCTTAGCAGAAGAACTTGAAGTAGTCACTGATGAGCTAGCAGCGGTAGACGATGTAGCGAATGAGGATTTGGCAGCGGTACCAGCGATTGCACTACCTTGGAAGCCAGAAGAATTGGGTGGCCGACCCGGCAAGGCAGTGACCCGACTAACGAAACATGCGATGCAGCTAGCTGCACAAACTGCCTTTGAGAGGAAACGCATTTTAAGACTTATGGATGATGAAAAGGAATGTGCGAACTAAAATGCTCAAATGAGAAAGAACGAATGAATGTAAGAGGAAAGAATGGAAGATTGAAATGCTACTAAGGCATGGTAGAGGTCTTCTAGTCTTTTATACAGGAAAAAGGGCTCCAAGCATCGAGCAAGTCTAAGGACCTGGAATGGAGGAGTCAAATCCTACAGTATGAATGAAACACGTTGGCGGGATGAGGCCCACGGAATACGCAAGCCCGCACTATACAAGGCTTTCCACGGCGGATCAACGCCATATAGTTGTCAAGATTTCCGCAATGGGTAAATTGAGAGCGTCGATACACACTCGGGATCTAGGATTGTGAGCCCTTCCAAACAGATGTCTATCTCAAAACAAACATAGATTGCTGTTTCGTTTACAAATTCATGTGACTTCTTACGGTCTGATTCTTCTGGATTGAAGATTCCTGACGGAACCCTTCCGTTTTTCTCAATACGGGAAAAAACCCTGTCAAGGTTGTGATCTCACCCCTGTAGAATCACTTTCTGATGTACCTTCGACGTCGTCAAGTCATTTTCTTGCTTCTGTCGAAAAAAAATCATGGTCGAAGATAGCAGGGTTGTTGAATAGAGAATTTTCCTTGTTCCCATCCAGGGGTAAAAGCTTGCTTCCAGGATAGCAGCCCAAAGTGCCGCGATCCCGACGGCGTGACAACTATGCCACCATGAATAGAGTAACAATGCTTATGCTTCAAATGTGGTCGGAATGTGGAGTAAGTCAGGCTCATATACTGCGGGATTAATCAAGCTTGCTTCAGATGCATTACAATCTAGCCCGATCGCAGTTCGAATGTTCGTTCGCTAACCAGGATAGGGATGGTCGGCTGTTACATGAAGCAATGGTGTGACTCCACCGAGGTGGCTGATCCAGCTAAACGGCTCTGTCAGGAACCCGTTTGTTCCCCCTGGGTATACAAACCCCGCCGCACTGAGCGACTGTTCTTACCACCCCCTAGTTTGATTGGTACAATGCACCTAACACCGAGTTCCTGACGGACCCTCTATAGATTAATGCCGACAACGCCACGTTGACGACGCAACGGAGACCGAGAAAAAATCGATCCCGCCCCCTTCGGAGCATCTAGATCGGGTTTCGATATTGTGACTTTCACTCCCCCAAACTTCTCAACCAATTATACCCATCCGAGAATTTCAAGCCATAGTACTACGGTTTCTCCTGTCGCTGCCACTAGTTTTCTGGAATAATACAGTCCAAAACTGACTTTGCGGTGGACGATACACAGAAGTCGTGGCTATACCTGACTAACCACTCATGATGGCACCTTTTCGGGACAAGATGGCATTCTGTGCAGGAGAGAAATATAAGGGGAAAGCATGAGGTTTGGTGGTGCTTTAAGTCTGCATATCACACGATGTTGGCAAGGCAGAGTAGCATGGAATTCTTGCGAGCCATGTCATATAATGCTGAGCGCCAGGCCCCTTTGATCCACGACAATAACGAATCACACTAAGTTCCTAGAGACATCGCTACTGACTGCAAATTCTGAAAGGCCGAATCCGCTCTATTAACCCGCAAGACGGGGTCTGAGCTGCCTGTCTTTAGCTGAACCTTCCCACCAGATTTGGGATGCTGTTCAACACATCGTCCTCCTTGCCCTCACCCCTTCGAACATACTTCAACTCTGAATACTCCCTAGTCCCCTCAGGGTCCGTTTGTCCCCCACCACACGAGCAATGGTCATGATTGCGGAGTTTATCGGCTTTGTCGTAAGCGTGCAGCCGATTGTGGTCCACGCATAGCTACATGAATTAATTAATATCCAAGCCTTGAGGCCACCCCCGCAACCTTGAACAGCCCGAAGTGGTAAAGTAATAGCAAAAGGTTTCTGTAACAGCCTCATCTCACAATATCCGCAAGCCCGGGGACTTCACAAAAATGCAAGGTTTATTGGGGGAGCCCACCTGCCAAGAAAGTCAAGTATATGAAGTGTACACATATCCGGAGCAACTGAATTTTTACATTGATTGAACACTCGACTTCGGCTGTATGGCAAGACTCGGCTCCACTTAGATGTCGCTCTTCTCACGCAAACCTAGTCGGAACGCCGTCGGTCGAGGCGCGACAGCCTAGTTCGTCAAGCAATTTTGATGTTGTGTCATCGAAAATGGGTTGATGGTGACACTTGATTTTTCTTTACTATATAATTTCCCAGATTTCCTCCACAATTCGACTGTCACTCAGCTACCTTGAAAATCTATCTCGCAACAATCAGCTTATTCAATCACGGCATCATGATCGCACCCGGGCTCCTTCTTTCGTTGATGCCCTATGTCCGACTTGGCCATGGCCTGACTTTGACTGGAGATCCTAGCTTGACTATGGATCTCACAGCCGATGCGGCCGATAACGCTCTTGTGGCCGACTGGGATATCTCTGTTGTTTCATCTTTGCAACAAGCTTTGGAAGCAACTGTTGAATACTCTGGGAGCTCCAAGAGCACCTCCGTTGATGACGAGACCTTGAGTGCCACTGCCAATGACACATCGGTCATAATCATCACAGCTGGAGCAGATGTGAACCTGACAGACGATACCATCGTGAAGCATGGCTATTCTTCCAATCTTTGGGAGGCTAGCTTCTGGGGTATGAACGCAGCAGTGAACGTTCAAAATACGTCTATTTCGTATATCACTGATATTAACGTCACAACCCACAACGGCGCCGCTAATATCTACGCCTATGGATCTGACACAGTTGTGTATGTTGATGGTGCGTGGCTTTATAGTTCCGGACCAGTTGCGCATGGACTCTATGCATCCGGAGATGGAACAATTATTGCCACTGATGTGCGTCACTATTCTGGTGGAAATCGTTGCTCGTCATTCGCTGGTGATAGCCCGGCTGGCTACGTGACTGTTGAAGACTCCGTGGCTCATACTGCTGGCATTGGTAGTGCAATTTTCTACGCCCTTGGAGAAATCACTGCTACCAATGTTACTGGGTGGGCAGAAAACTCTCCTATTCTTTTCATGGATGGTGATCAGACTGCTACCATCTCGGATAGCACCTTGTATGCAGGCTTGCTAGCAGGATTTGTCATTTTCTCTTCGTCGGAGAGATATTCCGGTGCCAGTTTAAGCATTAGCTCATCCACTATTGAGCTTCTCAACGAAGATATTCCTGCATTGTGGTTCGGCAATGTCATTGCTGATGCCACTCTTGACGACGTGACTATCACCACCGAATCTGGCATTCTTGTCGTTGCGAACTACTCCCAAGTCACCCAAGACTTCGACTACTACGCCGGATATGACGATAATAGCGCGCTTTCTCCGGCCGAGGCCTACATTACAGTGTCAGACAGCACTCTTACTGGCGACTTGGTTGCCTACAATGAGTCGCTTATCAGCTGGTCCCTGACTGACTCTTCCTCCTGGACTGGAACTGCTTACTCTGGATATGACACCTACTATATTGGTGTTAGTCTAGACTCCACTTCTACCTGGACTCTCACTGCTGATACTTGTGTCTACAACTTTACCGACACTGACACATCTGTAACCAACGTTAAAAGCGCAGGCTACACTCTTACCTATGACAAATCCTCTTCTGCCAATAGCTGGCTCGATGAGAAAACAATTTCGCTCTCCGGTGGGGGCTCACTGGTCCCTGGTACCTGCAATTAAACTGGGACTTTATCATCTTCAATGCGACTTCCATCTTGGTTTATCGAAAACATGCAATGTACCAAGCGGAGACATGAAGACAATGGGTGTTTATCGTCATGAAGAAAAATTTGCCAATTAGTTTAAGTTTTAGGTTCGTTTGTATCTAATCTTTCTGATGTCATAAGCTGCATTTTGAAAAATTGAACCAGAGCTTCAGCGTATTCTAAGTCTTGGATCAACAGTCTCGTATACTATGTTAAACCATTTCAGAAACCAAAAAATATTTAATAACAAAATGCATTTGACTCATGACTTGATAAAGTCAAGCAGATCTTTGTTGACTTCGCCGACATTGATGTTGTGAATAGCATGGGATCCTCCTTTATAAATCTTCAGCTTGCCTTGGGGGAGAAGTTTTGCTGACTTCAATCCAGCTGCCTCAATAGGAACCACTTGATCATCATCCCCATGGAGAACCAAGACAGGAATGTTAATCTTCTTTAGATCTTCCGTGAAATCTGTTTCAGAGAAATCCTTGATCGAGTCGTACGCTGACTTAAGACTGGTATTCATCGATTGCTGCCACCAGCTCCGAATCTGCCCCTCACTTTTCTGGGAACCCGCTCGGTTGAAACCGAAGAATGGCCCGGTAGGGACATCCAAGAAGAATTGCGCGCGGTCTTTACGCATGGCTTCTCGGAAAGAATCGAAGACTGACTTATCAGTCCCCTCGGGATTGCCACTTGTCTTCAGCATTAGAGGAGGCACGGCTCCCACAAGAACGGCTTTCTTGAAACGACCCGTGCCGAGCTTTCCAAGGTAATGGGTAACCTCTCCACCTCCATGGGAATGGCCAACCATTACTGCATCTTTGACCTTTAGGTGTGCAAAGAGCTCCTCAAGGTCATCGACAAATTGGTCCATATTGTTTCCGTCCCAGGTCTGGGTAGATCGACCGTGACCGCGCCGATCGTGTGCGATGACACGATAGCCGTGTTCGGCCAGAAACATCATTTGATTTTCCCAATTGTCACTGCTCAAGGGCCAGCCGTGAGAGAAGGTGACGATGGCGCCGTGGGGGTTACCCCAGTCTTTGTAGAAGAGCTCGGCTCCATCTCGAAGTTTCAAATGCGGCATAGTTGACAAGAAGCACAATGCTCGGCACTCGGTAGTATTTTCAAATGTCAATCTATTATTTTTGGGAAGAATTGGAAGACTTGGCTCATTTTCCAACAGGATTGAAGTGCCATATTAAATAAAAATGTTGGGCTTACGCTGGCTAGCCAGCAGAGCGCTTCACGAATACTCTACAGCGTCATGTATTGTGTCATAGTGTCATAGTGTCATAGTGTCACGTGATAGATGATCCGCCGGGGAGGTTTCTTTGGACGATTTGTTCACCTGCTTGGTGTGATCATTTATTGAATTGTAAATCTGATTGTGCAAGGGGAAAATGGTTGACATTGTACATGTCACTGTGGGTCCATCTGATCCACCACTTTATTCAGCCTCGCGGCATTTGACAAGTCTATCTCACAGCTTCAATTTCTTGGGTTCTGACGATGGTTCCCACATTCGTTCTAAGTCTCCTACCTTCGACGTACCAAGGTCATTTCAATTAATTCCTCGCCAGTCGATTCTTGAAATGTACATCCAATATTGCGAAGCTGATCTAACAGATTGAATACCATCCGAAAACAGGCGGACCGGTCGGCTGGTAATGTAGGTTCATTGGAGTTAAAGCCTGTAGCTGTTTACCAGAAGTTGTCGAGAAGGAAGACTACATAATACGGGCGAGACCTACATATCTCTATATGCGTCAGGATATTACAGGGATACTCGATTTGCTACATGTTTTGTATGGTATCCCGGGTATACTCGGAACCCAGCGCCGTAACACGCTAGACAGCGAGGTAGGGGATATTCAACATTCCCCCGCCTACACACCTAGATAGTTCAGTCACCTAATACATCACTATATTAAGCATCTCGTTCCATTGGATCCTAGCTTTTCTAGCCGATACCGTATCCTACTATATTGACAGAAGTTATAGTCGAGACTAATTTAGTAAGGCTAGATCTTCGTAGCATCAGATACAGAGACTGTCAAGCGGGGCCAGCTGTGTAAAAGGCGGAATTCATTAAGAATGGTCTAAGTAGAGATGCATATATAGCCTGCAGATCTTTCAATTAGGAATTAAGAACCACATCGGCTCTTTTGACATCTAATTACATTTATTCTCGATGCATATAAGCATATCACATGACCATCCATTTTTCGAGGTGACGAGACGCGGCTGAGGCAAACCGGTATCCGGATTACTTTGAGTGAGTCGACAAATTTATACTACAGACAGACCATCGGTTCAAATATCCCTCTCTTTTACAAATAAAACTACAGTGCCTTGTCGCATATCCAATATCTCCTAATACTTTCCAGAGCTTGGGCCTGAGTCCCAGATGGGTAATCCACCATATATTTATATCACACTATTACTAGATGGTACACATGAACCCACTCCATAAGACCCTATTAATCGACCAGATATGCATACCAAGTTAATTGGAAGGATGACTACAGCAGACGCATCGCATAGACCGAGAAGAGAAAGAAGACTGTCCTATACTCATGCAAAATCAAAAGTCGATTTTTCTTACTCCTGACTTCAATGCAGCTAATCATTCGTGATAGATTTGGTAGTGACCCAATATTTTTTCTTTTTGAAGAAAACCATCGGCGATCATGCATGGGGGCATATCTTTTGCTCGAGACAAAAAAAGGTAGAAAATAAGTGATCAAGGAAAACACGCAAAAAGGCCCGAAAAAAAGGGATGAGGGATGTGGAAATCAATCCACAATCCTTGAGGATGGCAGGAAATTGAGTCAAGAACGGTTGGTGGGTGTGGCAAGGCAAAAAAAATGAAACCAATTTAAAAGATGACACATGCAAAACGAAGATGATACTCTCGATGGCTTTCTTCAGACGAGTCCAGATTACAGACAGATGATGGTGTAAACCTACTTGATGGCTGATCGGGGCTTCCAGGAGAATTGGCACACTGTGTGAGGAGTTCAATTTGAGAGGGTGAGGGATTGGGGGATAGGAGACTCTTCTTTGAAGCTCCCTTGCGGTGCCATGATTTTTTCTTCTGTTTTTGTTTGTTGGCTGAATGGGATTGCCGGGAGGTATATAAAATTCTTGAGCGGATGAAGGTTTCGTGCTTTGCTCTGCTCTAGTAGACCTTCTTCTTCTCATCCATGCTCAATTGGCCCGGACCCATGTTGACCAGCAGAAGGAGACCGCCGCTGTACGAGAGGTTAGCAGGTTGTTATTTAAATACCAAGGACGGCGAAAAATTGAGAATTGGTAATCGTTGAAACATACACGATGGACAGAATCTGGAAAAAGTCGTACTTGGCGAAGTCCTTGTGTGGATGGTGGGGGTGAAGCTAGTTTCAGTCAGTCATTTTGATACAAGAGCCCCACAAGGGAGAGCAAAAACCAAGCCATACCGTCCAGAAGTTGTTAACCAGCACATTGAAGACGCTCAGCAGCACTACAAGGATGATCGCGCTCCACTTCGCCTTAAAGCCGACCACAACCATCACACAGGCGATGAGGCCGAATCCGCTGACAATAACGCGCCACACACTCCACGAGCCCGAAAAGACGAATCCGATAAACAGGAAGATAAGGAGAACGCGCCCTGCGAACTGCACGTACATCTTGCGATCCTTCTCATCCAGCTGGGGCAAGCCGGCCGGGACGAACTTCTTGCGCACCCAGGAGTCAGACAGCACCATGAGCAGGCCACCGACGACACTCAGGTTGCGCAGGAAGAAGTTGAGATCGAAGATTAAGCCGTATCCCAGGCCCTGGGTGATGACCACAGCCAGCAATCCGGCGACGGCGTACTCGGTACGCTTGCGGGCGATCACATGCGCGGAACAGACGCACATGGCGATTATATTGACAATCAAGAACATATGTGTGAGACCCCACGGAACTATATCCAGCCAAAGCAAAAAAAGAGAGATCGAGTTAGACAGTGATTGCGATATATCAGGAGGGGCTTATTTGGTTGTGTAGGTGAGCATCCGCCCGTTTCGGGGGAAAGCTCGTGCAGGAGCCTGGCTCCGAGGTTCAAGGGTATCTTACTCTTCCGGATATCACGCAGGTAGAGCAACTGATCGCTCCATTGAGTGAGCATGCGCAGTGAGTCTTCGATAAAGGTGACCACAATAAGGAATCGACCGATGGCGGGGAGGTACCTGTAGGAACCCGGTTCCAAGAACACGGTGTCAGTGCATGCCTCCAGATCCCTTGTTTTGGGTAGGTGTCCTCGCGACTGTGGGAGCTGTAGCAGGGAAAAGACAGCTTCCTAAACGAGAAAAGACGCGTGAATATTGAGACGTACGGCTTCACTGGGTCGGCCATGGTGTCCAGCCAATCCTCAATCTTACTAGTCTGCTCGCGGATTGCGTCGAGCGGGCTGGGGTCGCTGGTAGCATCTGCGCTACCGGGCCCGCCGAACGGGTTCTGGTGGCCGAGGTTGTAGCCCGCGGTGCCACGGATTTGGGCCATGGCGAAGTCGAGGGAGAAGAGTAGATAGCTTGGATCAACTGGAGGGGAAGAAGGGTTGGTGGCGAGTCCGACCGTGAAGGTTGAAGGTGGTAGAAGGTGCAGGGAGGGAGGGATCGAGGGTCCAAATACAGGGTGGAGACAATATACAAAGCAGTCCTCTTCAGGCCACGATGACCGGAACTCGGCGCTAGTCCCGTTTGGGTACTGTGACGACAGAGACGCCCGCAAAAATGCGAGCTCTATACTGCGAGACATTCTATCACGCCTATAAAAACACTACATTCTCTATAAATTTCATTAAGAAATCGAATCTTCTTTGCAGATATGATTCCATTGTAATACAGTCGGAACTACAAAACACAAGATGCCCAATTGTGCTTTTGTGCTCCCACGCGCGTTCCCGAAAGGGGGTGTAATCACCACAGTTGCGCTGTCAAGCCACTCAAACCCTTCCCATTCCGCTCGCGCAGGATGAAGAAAAGGGAGATGGAGAGGGCTGAGATCATGGGACGCACGCCCGAAACGCCAAAGCCAAGTCAATGGGTAATAAATACAGGTTCAAGAGGAAGAAAGGAGGAAGAAAAGAAAACGGGGCATATAGACTGGATGAAGGCGGAGAGCGGGAGAAAGGAGAAATCAGGCAGCCCAGTCAGAGTCCAGCGGGTGGCCTTTCTCGCGAGACCGGAGGATGTCCGGGATGTAGGTCGGGGTCACCGTCACGCGCGGCTCAATCGGGATCGGAGTCGCAGGAGCAGGCTGGGACTCGGAGGCGCTCGCCTCACTGACGCTCTCGTCTGCCTTGCCGCCCTTCTTCTTGGGCTTCTTGCTGGAGACAGTGGTCCATTCATCCTCGACATTCTCGGCTCCGAGCATGCGCATCTGCTCCTCCTCCGAGGGGAGACCCTGGGCCCACTTCTTCTGGGCCGGAGCGGCGGTGGTAGGCTCGAAGGTGTCCAAAAGCTGCACAGGAGCCGCGGGAGCGGGTCGAGAAGTGCCATTGGTGACATTGGTCACATCCTTAGCCTGCCAGGCGTTGCTGGTCGGCGGCTGAGAACGAGCAGCCTCCTTCCGCTCAGAATCGCGAGCGGTGTGCAGCTGCTTCTCAAGCAACTTCCGGCGCTGCTCTTCCGCTTCCTGGACCTGCTCTTTGCGCGCCTCGTTCTTCAGGCGCTGCTGGCGCTGCTTCTTGGTTTCCACCTGCTTGAAGCTCTGCGCCTTCTGCTTCTTGGGTTCCGACTCCATATTGCCGGTCACCCGAAGAACGGATGCGCCAGGGGCAGGTGCCTCGAGCATGTCGGACACATACCCAGCCGAGGGAACAGTGGCGTTCACCTGAGGAGAGGGGGCGGGGGAGAGGTCATCATCCGCCTCCGCGCCGGTAGTCGAGGAGGCATGCGAACCGCTCTCCAGCTGAGTAGCCTTCTTCTGCTTCTTCTTCTGGCTCTTGGAAACAGGAGCGGCGACCTGAGAGGTGCCGTTCTTGATCGACGCCAGACGGCGGGCCATTTCCTTGCGGTCAATATCCTCATCCGGCTTCTCATCCTCGGTGGTCGGGGGCGAGACCACGGTCTTCACCTCGGGCTTCTTGGCCGCAGCGGGTTCGGAGGCTTTTGTCTTGCGCTTTTGCTTCTTGGGCGCTGCCACGACCTCCGGCTTCTCTACTGCGGACCGAATGGCGGTCTTGGCCTTCGGGGTCGAGCCATTGGTGTAGTACCAGCCGAGACCACCTGCTACCACCAGCAGGAGGGCCCAGCTCAGATAGGGGTTCATCGTCATGGTGCTATTATCGAAATCAGTATCACTGCAAAAACACCTGCCAGTATACCTACTAGCATCCCGCGCTCAGATTAAATACCTACCGATGAGGAGAAACCTTCTTCTTCCGCTCAACGGGCGAGTGGGGAGAATAGAATCAGACGAGCCCAGGGCTTGGAGCTTGGGGTCACAAGGTTTAAAGGAGGTTGGACAGTCGCGCACGCGCACAATGGAATTGGAACGCGCAAATAAAATCCCAATTGGTTGCACACCGTCACGTACAAAGACAAAAACAAAGGGCTAGAGTCCGAGAGGGGGAGCGAAAGATTTAGAGGACCCGGTCGAACATCGAAGTTGTCGGGGCGTAGATCAGACGGAATTGATCGACTCGGTTGCGATCGGGGGATGCCACAGACAGCAGCGGCGATACAGCTTCGGAGCTGGACTCTTGTGCCACGACCTGGGAGGAACGGCGAGAGGTCGCGGAGAACGGGGAGAGGGAGGGGGGAGACACTTCTACCAGAGTAGATTGCGCTCGGACGAAAAGAGGAAGGGTGGAGGGAGGAGCAAGACGTAACCACACGAAGGCTCAACGAGCAGAGGACATGGGCACCGGAGGAGAGATCGCGGTTCCAAGTAGCGAAAGGGAAAGAGAGGAACGTCGAGCGAGACAGGAGAAAAGAGGGAGAGCCCGAAAAGGACACGCTGAGGATCCGAGCCCGGTATCGTACGGTCACCGTATAGTCATGCGCCTCTCCGCCTTCGACCGGTGGGACGGCAGAATGTCGATTGAATCAGATGGAATCGCGCTGCCACGCCCACTGGCGAAGGGGGATAGACAGGATGAGAGGATCTAGAAGAGCTCATGCTGCATTGATTCTGCCTGCCTGACAATTCGTTCGCAACAAACGCTGTCATGAGAGTGCGGGTGGACCGTGCCGGGCCTTTTCTACATGTGTCGCTAGAAAGAGGTATCCCGCCCCAAGTATTCGGGAGGGATTCTAGGCACCTCCGAGATGTACGGAGGATGTACGAAGGGTGTACGGACGATGTATGGAGTGTGGATGTACATGCACCACGCCTTTAAATCGACCTCGCGCGGTATCGACTCTGGCGATGTGTCCCTAAGGGACTGTACAGACTCCTCCACCTTTCCACCTATGAATAGGGGACTCCCCGCCAATGGAGTAATCGGTCACATCCAGGCCTCTCCAGACTCTCTCCCCATTTGCGTCTCTGTTTTGCCTCCTCCTCCTCCCCCTGTCTCTTCGGTCAGTACAGATGGCCCAGGGACCGAGTGGCTGGTCCGACGTGGAGCCGTCCTCTGTACCGACAGGGAGAACAGGCCACGTCTCCTCCGCTCAGTGTCTCATTTCTCCCACTCCGCTCGTATGGAGCATACGCCCACTCTGCACGGACTAGCGCCGGGGGCAAGGACCTATGGGCCCCTTCCTGGGCCTTCCTAGGCCCAGAAAGCCGCCCTCCCCCTGGCCCGTTCAGTCTAATCTGAGGAGTCGGCCTTCCAGTCACATTTCGATGAAGATTCGTGTCGATCCGGCAGGGGATCTGGTCATTTTGCAGCCGCGCTTCCCCACGAGGGCTCGGAACTGAGGGCGCATCCCGAATGGTCAGGGTCCGACCTCAACGACGCCCACTCGCTGCCGGGATGTACACAAGTAAAAGGTACATCTGCAAGATGATGTTGGCGGCAAGTCATTCGTCCCTGTCGAAATTTGGTCCCACAACGAAGCTAGGGGAACCTCTCATACGTCGTGCGGAGGACGTCGCCCATTCTTATGATGTTGGGCTAGACAGCTCAACTTCGACCCCGTAGAGATGAACAAATCAAGAGCAGAGAGATACGCCTACTATTCGGATGACCAATGAACCGGAATTTCTGCTCTTTTCCCCGGTAATACCATTTTCGTACATCCCCTGTTTCCCTCCACAAGATGCTGTGGGGAAGAAGAGATCGATCGCACCCAACTCTGCCTCCGGTGAAAATTTGAGTGCCCGACAGATCAGGTGTCTAGAGATTAGTGGGGGGAGATAAGCTGATAAGTAGATAAGGGACACGTCGACGGTTGATAAGGCGATAAAGTTGATTAAGTTGATGCGATAAATCGAGGGGAAGCCGGCGCGAAGCTTGCCGCTTCTTGCCGCTTCTTCATCCTCCCAGGGAATCAGCTTCCAACCATGGCCCGTAAGAAGATTATCATTGATACCGATCCCGTGAGTTTACCAGCTTTTGCGAGAGGCCGGCAATGAGTGCAAAAACTCACACATACAGGGCATTGACGACATCCTCGCTCTACTGCTGGCGCTCTCCGCCCAGCCAGAAGAGGTGGAATTGCTGCTCATCTCGTTGACCTTTGGAAATATTGAAGTGAAGAGGTCTGTTCATGATATAGCTTCAATCCGTTATTTTGTGGTATTATTGACTCCCGTTGACAGTTGTCTCCGCAATGTGGTCTCTATGTTCCACACTCTCGAGCGTGAGATGGAGTGGCGTCGCGCAAAGGGCCGTCTCGAAGGCTTTGGCACGATGCGTGCATACCGCCCTGTCGTTGCGGTAGGCGCCGAGGACCCGCTTGAGGATCAGAAGATGCTGGCTGATTACTTTCGTATGAATCTGGAGGCCTAAATCGAATCAGACTCTTTCTGACCTTTACCCCGCAGATGGAACCGATGGCCTCGGTGGAATTCACGCCACTGTAAGACTCATTTGATCCGCCCGACGATGGAGCAGCGACTGATAGATAAACATAGCACCCGCACTTCACACCTAGTCACGCGTGGGAACATCTGTTCGACCCGGCCGTGGATTTCGATGGCATCAAGACCGTGCAGACAGGCGCTGGTCCCGATGACCATTCTTTCATTCCGTCGAAACTGCCTGCCCACAAGGAAATCCTGCGGGTATTACGTGAAAATGAACCTGACACGGTGACCCTGGTTGCCGTTGGTCCTCTCACGAACCTGGCGTTGGCCTCGGCTGAAGACCCAGAGACCTTCTTGCGTGTGAAGGAAGTGGTCGTGATGGGTGGAGCTGTGGATAAGCCTGGAAATGTCGGTGATAATGAAGACCCCCACCCACAATTTTCAATCAAACTGAGGATTTTGGGAACTGATTGGATAATAATTGATAGGTCACCCCGGTTGGCGAGTTTAACGCCTATGCTGACGCCTTTGCCGCGGCTCGAGTGTTTGCCCTGACATCCCCCAACCCGAACTCAACCCTGCCGCCTTCCCAGAGCTCACTGCTCCCGCCGTATCCCGATAAACTCAGCCGGCAACTGACCCTCCGTCTCTTTCCCTTGGACATCACATTGCGCCACAATCTGTCCCGTGGCCAATTCCGAGCCGCCATCACTCCCCTTCTCGAGAGCGGCTCTCCACTCGCAGAGTGGGTCTCAGCCTTTATGGCACACACATTCAAGACTCTGGAACGGCTGCATCCTGGGCATGTTGGCGACGATGCCCAGCTGAGCCTGCATGATCCTGTCTGTGTCTGGTACGCCCTGACCGCCGAGGACCCTCACTGGGCTCCCTCCGCGACATCACCAGAAGACATCCGGATTGAAACTACGGGCCAGTGGACTCGTGGTATGTGTGTGGTTGACCGTCGTAGCCGTCATCGCATTGAGGGCGATGAAGAGACTTCCAGTGACCACGGCCTTTGGTTGAGCCGTCGCGCTGGCAACCGTATCTATCGGATGGATCAGTCACCGGCAGAGCACACGTTTGGGCAGATCATCATTGAGAAACTGTTCGGCTAGAGATAGAGTAGGCATGATAAGTAGCATACATAAATCATAGAATAAAGACTATGAAATGATCTTGGAATCTCCAAATTCCTCAATCTCCTTATCGCCATCATTTGTTCTCTGGCTTCTATCGAGCCAGAGCCTGAGTCATGCAGAGCCGCAGCCAATGTCTCAGCAAGCCATCGGAAAATATTTGAAATCGAGCTATGAATAGCTCGATGGAATGGTCGCGTCTATTGATCGGAACTGGGGCCAACAATGTATTAGAACAAGCTTCGGCGGTGCGACTCAGGAAGTGGCTGGGGCGCAGAGCTTGGCCCAGGCTCCCTGTCATATCGCAAGGGGTTCCACAACCCCGAAAGCGTTGCTCGGCAATCGTTATTGCAATTTTTGCTCAGTTCTCCCCATCAATGCGGCATTGACATGATTGGCTGGTCCTACAGTAGTCATAAAACGTCTGGAATGTTGACGACCCATATTGCTCGACCCAAAGAGTGCAATGGCATCAATACGACGGATGTATTCCGAGATTTCAAATCGTCTTCCACTTGTCTGTCCCAGACCTTACCCGTTTAAATCATTACATGAAGCTGATTCAAACTGAAATTCAGGGAATTGTAGCTGTCTCCCCATCTATCTGGGGTGAAATCGCCGACGCCATGCTCAAGAATGTGGAATGCTGTAACCCGGTGATCAGCAGTGCCGCCTGCTCTACTGTAGGACCAATTGCAACACAGTATAATCCAGGAGGCTTCTTTGCAATGGCCTTGAGAATTAACACCCAGCCCCCGCCTCTGGAGACACCAGTGCCAGATAAAAGAAACGAGGTTTATATAAAGCTCCAATGCCCGGGATGGATCCCGGTGTCTCCCCCTCGCATCCCTTCTCCTTCACACTCCGCTGATATTTCAAGATCAGCATCTGATCAATTCCCCGAGACCCTCCTTTCTCTCCACAATCTCTCGAGCTTAAGCTCCACAGCCCCTTCTCCATCATGCAGTTGACCAACCTGCTCGGCCTGTGCCTCGCCGCCCTGGCCACCTCGGCCGCTGCCATGCCCCGAATCGCAGGACCATACCGTGGTGATCGCATCGCCGTGCATGTGCCCACCAACTCAACCGGCGCGCACAATGCTACGACAACGGGCACGCACGCGAAGAAGCCGCTAACAACGGGCTCAGCTCACTCAAACGGCACCAGTGGCCGTCACTTCGGCCACGTCCACCACGTGCCCAACCACATCAAGCACATTAATCACTGCCAGGAGTTGTGCTCTTTGGAGTCGCAGACATGTACAATTGCCGTCCCGGATGACGATAAGTTCTGGTAAGCAACGCGTCTCGTTTTGTCGTTCTCTCGAGAGGCAAAAAAAAAAGCGTGAACTAACTAAACACATGATTTTATAGTTGGAAAACATATTTGCGCTGCATTGACCGATGCCGGCCGGAAGATTTCCAGTAGGCACACTTGGGAGGGACATTGGGTATGATGGTTCTGTGAATTAATTATGGGAATTGATGAAGTCAATTAAATAGCGACATGTAGCGAGATGCAATGTATTTTAGGTCAATAATAAAACAAATATACTACTTTTGATTGTCTGGATTGCATCGATCTCCCTAAAAATAGTGAACCCACCGAAAGAAATTAGTAAATAAATCAACGATAGCAGCGTCTGGATCATTTGCATGATCCCAAGCATGTGGATAAAATGGTGATCAAAAATATAATGAGTTCAGGAAGTCCCATCTCTAAAGTATATGAATGTAGAGCAGATGGAAGAAAGTCTCGTTTTCGTCCTTGATTTGGGACCACGGCAAGTACATGGCAACGCGGAGTACACCAACTTTGAACGATTGGTGGCTAAAATTTCTTCGATACTTGCTTTAGCAGAAGGGTAGCTGGGCTATTTCACACTAGGTCGCAAATATAAAAGCTTTTTCAAAAGACCAATTCGAGAGCCGATACAATCCGTCTTTTCCGTGAAATTCGTTTCATACAGATAATGACTTGTCTATGGCATTTAAAGCGGGCTAGATCGTTTGAGAGAGTCTTAAATGTACTGTACCATACACCGAGGCTCTCAATGTGCTTAGCGCCAAGGCCGTCCCCGAGGAGGAGGCGACTTCAAACTACGAGGGAAGAGCATAGACCGATGGACTACGATATTCCGTTCCCCCCACAAGACCTCCCCCCAGTCACAGTCTACCTAGGGGGTACCACAACGCAATATGGAATCATATTGCCCTCGTCCTGGAACAGGAAGAGTGTGATTGCGGGGATCATGGGAGCGAGCAGTGAATCGGACTCAAGGAATGGTATTGTATACTAGTTTCTCCAGAGGAAGCGGGGCCGACACGAGCTGGTTAGCATAGCCGAAGCACACTGGTTTCAAATGAATGATGAGGGGGCCAACTCCAGTGTTGTGAGAGGATCACACGTGAGTGGAGCTCGTCGTGGTCTGTCTCGCTGCGTCGGATCATTGGGGTATTTCCCGGGCGTATCATTGGCCCGTGGCCCATTGAGAGCCTTGCCGATTCCCAGTCGCACGTGAGGTTCTTGGGGTCTGCTATTTGATCCATTTGATCTGCCGTGGCCGATCCGCTTGAGATCCACGGATCAAACGAGGGGTCCGATGATGGGTGTTGTCGGGACATAATATGGCATAGGGAAGCTTCACGTTATGCGCCATCTGCCCGATATCGTCATACTGGGGTCGTCAAATATCTACCTGGGCCTGCTTCGTGGGCCGTGAAGCTGCCGATATAAGCCCATCAATCCATTCCTGGCCGGGCTGAGCCGAGCAATAGCAGTAGGGATTCACAGTCCCCAATCAACAATCCCATAAACCATCCATCGGCCCGGAAGAAGAGAAGGTGCACATGTCCAGGGCCAGACTGAAACACTACTCACGCCTTGTTATCCTCGTCGGCAATCCGTTGCTTGCCGATCTGGAATACCAATCCAATTGTTCATCATCCACGGGGATGGGCCAGAGTCAAAAGAAGTCTAAAAGCGCTGATCTGCGTTGAGGAGGAAGACCAGCAAAGAGCGACGACTGCTCACGAGTCCAGGGCGCACGTGCATGGCTGCCACTCTGGATCAGTGGAAGACGTGAACGGAGAGGGCGGAGCCAGGACGTGTACCTCCAGGGAGGGAAGGGGGGGATCTCCGTGCCTGTGCTTGCCCCGAGTCGTTAAACGGTGGTTAAAGGACGGAGGGCCGAAGGGGGGGGGAAAGGCCAGGGACTGTTTCCCCCAGGACTCCACCGGACGCCACCGGCCTGGTGGGACCTGCGACGACTTGCTCACTTGCGAGTTCATGCTGATAAGCTCGGGGACGCCCCACTGACGGCCAACAAATGCCCGTTGCTCCCTGGGGCACGAGCTCCGCCCTGGCGCCAATCATCGGGCGCCATTGCGGCTCGTGGGCAGCGCAAGCACGCGACACCTTCTATACCCTCGAGAACGGGCACGTTACTCGTTACTCGTTACTCGTTTGGAGTTCTGAGTCGCATCCGGCATATAATACTTACTTGCCAATCCGGCCCTAGACTCCTCCCCCCCCTTCCCCTACAATCTACAACTTCCTTCCCCCACTCTCTTCACCCTCGCCTTCTCTCCTTTTACCCCAATGAGCATGTCTCGCTCACGATTTCCTCCCACCCCGGCCATGTCGGGTGAACTGGTCATCAAAGAACACTTGGGGGATGGTACCGATGTCTTTGCACTTCCTCCGGCGGCACTGAGTCCCGCCAAAGTCGACTCGGCGAGCCGACGTTCCTCGAGATCCGATCCGACCTATGTACCAGCGTCTCCGACCTCGCCTGAACTGACGGCCCGAGGCCGTAATGCTCAAGCCTCCCGATCAGGAACAGTCGCCAAGCGCCCACTGGAGGATTTTGATCTCCCACCACCGCCAACTCGCACTCGTAAGATCATCCAGATGAAACCCAAGGCCCCGGCATCCAAGTCCCCGACCAAGACCAAGGACAACGCCAGGCTGGCCCAGAGTTCCCCAGACGCTACGGCCAACCCCGGCACCACAAATAAGAAGAAGACGCCTAGTGCGACCAGCGCGGCCGGCCGCAAGATCGCTCGAAAGACTGCCCACAGTCTCATTGAGCGTCGCCGGCGATCCAAGATGAACGAGGAGTTCGGGACCTTGAAAGATATGATCCCGGCCTGCCGAGGCCAGGAAATGCACAAGCTAGCTATCCTTCAGGTGAGTTTGCTCCTTCCTTGGTCCGTTCCTCGGGATTTTCACTAAACGGACTCTCTACCGTAGGCAAGCATCGATTATGTCAACTATCTGGAGCGCTGTATTCAAGATCTCAAGACCGCCGGCACCACCCACAGCACTGCGGCTCCTCCATCCCCCACATCCCCAGAATTCATTGCCGAAGGAGGAACTAGCTGCGTATCACAATCTCAGCCTCCCCAACGGCCTCCTTCTTCAATCTACTCCTACTCTGCTTCTGCCTCCCCGGAGCTTCTTCCTCCAGATGGGCAGATCTCCGATGTCTCCCCATCTTTCTCCCCCCGTACGCGCATGCCGTCGGTGCATACCTTGTCTGATGTCCCGTCTATCCTCCCGAGCCCAGCCCTCGGGCCCTCCCACTCACATCCCTCGCTGGAGAAGATACAAGATCTCCAGGGTAGTGATCATGAGGCGTCAGCCGCGCTCTTGATGCTCACACGGGACCGAAGGGGCACGGCTGATTCGATCAGCGAGCACTTCGCCGGGAGTACGACGCTTTATACGCCCACCGAGGATAGTCGGACGGGTCGGACGAGTTCGGATGCACAGCGCAGGAACGGTATGAGTGTGCGTGATCTTTTGATTTCATGAATAGATGATACGTGTAATGCCTCTTGTTGACATGGGTTGGATAATTTTGGGCGTCATTGGTTTCTGGAGTTTGATCGGTCGGTGTTCCTGGAGCCATGCCATGCCTTTGGAGCGGTCTTGTTTATTGAATACCATAAACTATGTGTCGAATAAGATAATAATTCTATTCTTTCTGATCGGAACTCGATGTCTGTCTCAATTCTATCATGAGTGCGTCCTATCGGGGGATATACTTGACTTCTCCGGACCAAGCACTTGGGTCTCTTGGGGAGAATCCGTGACCCATTGCATCATTGTTGCACAATTACTAGGGAGATTGGCCTTGATTGCATTGAGTCTCGTGATTCGGTCTAAGGTTCAACATAATAAGAAGCAACGTGTTTCACTGTCTTCGCCCTTTATTGTTCTGGGCCTTTATTTCCATGTTTTGCTGTCGTTGGCGTTCGTACTTTAACCACTCAAGGCCGACCCACTTTGCTGAGATCGGTCTCTGTTGATTGGCGGATTGCTCGGTCTTTCAAGCACTTCCGCCCTCCGAACGACCGAGCCCGGTCTTTTCTCCAAGTTTCGCCTCGCCAGTTATCAAGCTTATCGCATCATTATTTGATTAAATTTCGTCTCATCGAGTTTGGAAACTAGGCACATTGCGCCTGGTCATATATCATCTCTTATCTTCACATGTCGATCGTTGGTTGATCTCGTGAGCTCTATGAAAGACATGGACCTTCGCCGCTACAATGTAGAACGGTCGTGCCTTCGCTGCCACGAGCGCAAGGTCCGCTGCGACAAAGGCTCGCCTTGTAACAAGTGTTTGCGCCTCAATGTGTCCTGTCAATATCCAGGACCGAGGAGAGCCAAGCGGCGACCTCCCAAAACTACCGTGACTGACGTTGTTGCGCGCCTGGAACAGCTCGAGCGGTCTATCATGACGCTGGCAGGCAACAAGACTACAGACCAGCCCGTCCAAACAGCTCACTCAGCCCAAGTTAACCCAACCTCAGCCCTAAATACCACGAGAAATGCTCCAGTTATGCCAACACTCGCCAGTATCACTGGTGCGCCCTCAAACCAAAGGTCGATCGATGATCCGTTATCTCACCACGGCTTCCTAGTAAAGGACGGCGCGTACATTGACGAACCGCTCTTATCACGAGTCTTGGAGAAAGAAAAAGATCTACAGACAACAATGAGATTGCCAAATACTGAAAGCAATGTCTCACGAAAACCACCGCCATTGAAAGTCGACGGGATCATCACCAACCCACTGCTAGTCCAAACGAATTTTAAGGCATTCCATCCAAGTCGCTGGCAAGCAACGCTACTTTGGCAGACGTTCCTCAGCCGCGTAGACCCTGTGCTTAAAATTATTCATATTCCAACAACGACTCCCCGTATCTTTACTGCCATCAATCGCCCCGATGCCGTCCAGGCAGATGTTCATTGCCTGCTGTTTGCAGTCTTTTTCGCAGCTACGACGGCACTGGTGTCGGATAAACCTGAAAACGAAGAAACTCGCTCAGACCTCAAGCGTTATCAGCAGGGACTGGAACTTGCAATGTATGGCTCGTCATTTCTGGACTCCCCTACTGTGACGTCCCTACAGGCCATGGCAATCTACTTGGTAAGAGCGTGCATTGTGCACCCTGACTCTACTCACTATAGAACTTGCAATTCTGACAATATCTCGCACAGACATGTCTTCGCTACACGAATAGTGGTCGCTCCGGCTTCACCCTACGAGGTTTAACCATCCGCGCCGCACAGTCTATTGGCGTCCACCGTGATGGCAGACACTTCAAGCTCTCGCCTCTCGAATGTGAGCTGCGCCGACGGCTCTGGTGGACCCTCTACACGACCGACGCCCGCATGGCCGAAGATCACGGCATTACCGTCTCCGAGCAAGAATTTGGGGGCGACACCGACCTCCCAGCGAACATCGACGACCTCAACCTTTCCGAGAATGCCACCGAGACGCCCCAGTCTCAACCTCGCTGGACAGATATGACCTTCACTATCATCATCGCCGAGATAAACCGGATGTGGTTCCCAATTACGCGGTCCCTCGCCGCCTGTCCCGACGGCACACAGTGCGAAGCCCTCATAACCGAGCTTAAAGACCGTCTGACCGAGAACTACTTGCAGTATGCAGACATGGATATCCCCATCCAGCGACAAGGCGTCATGGTCGCGCAGGTGCTCGTTTCGAAGCTCGAGGTCCACATGCGGCAGAAGATGTTGCAGCTGGCGGGCGCCTCTGTCGCCGATGCCTCGACGCCTCTGCTTTCCAAGGCCTGCTGCGCGCTCGAGCTCGGCCTCGATATGTACACGGACGACCTGCTTCGGGGCACCCGCTGGCTCACCTCCACATACACCCAGTACCACATGCTCACCTACCTCCTGTGGCACTTGTGCGTATCGCCAACTGGCCCAGATGTCGACCGCGCCTGGCGCGCTGTCAATACCCACTTCGACCTCATTGAGAACGACCCCTCCTGGCCGGACCCCGGGCCGAAGTGGCCGATAGTGGCGTATCTTCGCGCCAAGGCACTGCGCATCCGCCAGGCGCAGGTTGCACCGGAGCAGAACGAGCAGGATCTCGCAGATGTTGCGGTTGGGACTGGGAGTGGCCTGCAGGAGAGTGCAGCGGGTGGTTTGGGGGGCTCGGATGCGCTGTTGGAGATGGAAGATTGGGATTTAAATTGGCTGGAATTTCCAGACTGGAATTTTTTGGCTCAGAGCATTGCTATAGTGGGGCATGACGGTGGGCAGGGGATGTGATGTGTGGATATGTGCCCATTGAGTAATTTATTTTTGTTTAGAATTATTTAAAGCTATACCCTGGAAATGATTTATCAATTAGTAATTCTCATGAGAATGTGCTCGGACTACTCTAATTCGAAAAGAAGGAACGCCTGGCTGTAGCTCGATTGGCGATACACTACGGGGCGTACAAGACCTTTTATGATGTCGAACGGATCCTAGCCAAACAAGTCCGACGTGCGCGCTGCAGACCTCGCCGCGATGGCACCATAAACTATAGGACCTATTATCTCGTCCGTTAGGCCGGCCAAACAGCTAAATGGGATTTTTAGATCACTGAAGAGGAAGCAATCGGTGCAGAAGAGCTCACTTGCGAATTCGAAGATGTCCAAGTCTTGAAATGCACTATTTCAAATAGACTATTTGCACCTGTTGTTGTTGGCTCCAATATTGCCTATCTGCATTTCATACTAAAATTTGTTCTCCTTCAATATTTTTTTCGTCTTTCACTTATTCCACCTGAGCTTCCTTTCATCTGTCTCTCTGATCTTCCTGAACACCCTTTACCCGCACCACTCCCCTCTCTCACTTTTCATCTTATTTCTCACTTTGAATGTCTTCCTCTGGCGTGTTTCTATTTTTTGACGTTATGTGACCACTTTTTATTTCTAGAAAGCTCTCAGTTTGTAGTAAGTTTTTATTGATTTATTTGGTATTAAGTAATCAAGAATCGAGAGAAAAGAGGAGGGTAGAGTTGAAAACGACAGTCGTCGACGAAACTCAAATCAGAACCGGGCTAAGAGCACGGGTCCAGTACTATAGACCCGTGCGGCAAGCACCAGCGAAGCACCAGCAATTAGGAACACTCCAGCAAAAACCTTCATGCCCGTGTAAGAGCCGTGATCGTGGGAAAGGATTGCACCGGCAATCGGGCTGGTAGTCAAGCCACCGATGGAGGAAAACAGGAAGAGCAGGCCAGTGCGGTAGCCAATTTCGGGGAAGGGAGAGATTTTGACTACCAAAGCCGCGGCAAGGGACACATAGGCGCCGGAGGAGAAGCCGAAGAGGATGGCGTAGACGATGATAGCATCATTGCTAGTGGCTGGGATCCAAAGCGCGAGAGTGACAATGCCTGCGAGATAGGAGGCACAGACGAGGATGTTATATGGGCCAATTTTGTCGGAGCCAATGCCGGCGGTCATTCGCCCGAAGAGACTGTAGGGGAGCTGGAATCAGGGTTTTGTTCTTAAAGATATATTATGGTTGTTGACATGGTACGCACCTTGCTGCATTGAGCATGGGGAGAAGATACTGGGCGAGATTGGCGCTCATTCCGGACTGCATAGCCTGGATCACGAGGTAGTTGATGGGAATGAAGATTCCAAACGTCATCATAAGAAAGCCGAAGAATACGAGACGCATCTTGATCTCGGTGAAAGGGCGGAGCATGCTCTCCCTGTTGAGACGGACAGGCTTAGGGGGCACCCGTGACCGGACGGTGAGGATCGCGATGATCAGGAGGAAAAGCATGAGGAATGCCGCTGTACGCATTGCCCAGGGGTACCCAATTTCATTGATGAGCCGACTGATCATGATTGGGAAGATCACGCCGCCAATGCTGGACCCCGTTGAGACGATACCATATGCAGCACCGCGCTTCTTGTTGAACCAGCTGGGAATTGAGTTCATTGAGGGCTGAAAGATGGCGCAAACACCCATGGCACTACAGACACCCTGAGAAAGAAGAAGCTGATAGTATTTTGTAGCGATGGAGGCCATCATCAAACCGAAGACATGGAGGAAGGAGCCTCCGATAAGGACAGGACTTGGACCGAATATGTCATAGAGACGACCGACGATAGGGCCCTGGGAGATAAGAACGAGAGTTAAAATTGACGTAACACGGCTCGAGAGAGTGTAAATATCGAGAAATATCCTACCATAGCAAACATAAAAAACACCTGGAGAGAGGGGATCCATGCAATGGTGCTTGCTGAGTAGCTTTGAAGCAACGTCGTTTCATAGTAGCTCTGAAATGTCCCCACACCTGTTTGTTATCCATACAAGTTAGGATTGAGGACATTGATGTACCTTTCAAGCTTGGTCCACGTACTGTTAATCCAGCCAAACGTGCAGAACAATGCACACCATGCGCCCACCAGCATCAGCCAGGCCTGCAGGCCCCTATCAGGTGGAGCATCACTTGAATGTTCAGATTTATGGGACTCTGAATCCTTCTGAAGCTCATTTGCGAATTTCTCATGGAGAGTACTGTGTTCTGAGGGTGCAGTAGATGGGAGTTCATGAGAGGGGTCTTCACCAGGTACCATTTTCGAGGACGAAAGGAAATATTGACCAAAGCGATAAAGCTATTTATTAAGCCACGGAGGAAAGTAAGTGGGTGCGCAATCAAAATGGGAACAGCGCAGTTTTTATTTAATTGATCTGAGTTGTTGGTCTGCTCGGCTCGGCCGTTCCTGAACGGCCGTCCCGTCAATTGCGCAGCAGAATCTCCAAACACCGACAAAAGTGCAAGAATCGAAAAAAAAAAATTAAAATAGAATAAAATTGACAGAGTCCCCTTGAAGGCTTTGGTTTGTCCCTGGCAACCTGATGACAAGAGGAAGATGATGCAGCTTTTAATTTCAATACAACTTGAGTAGCTCTGGCGGATATTACAACCATCTAAAGCTTTTGCTCATAACATCAAATGAAATGAATTCACTATCAAAACGACTCGAGAACATATTATATAGCTAACTTCGCGATCTCAATCTCTTATGAGTGGCTCAGGAGTGAGATTTTGGAAGACACATAACATTTTCCCGAACACCACTACGCAAGGATGTGCATTTTGGAGGTTTGCAGCTGCCTTTGAAGATTCACTGGAAGAGTTTTTGGATTATAAGTTGTCTCAGAAGAAGCCTGAAATTCATCATCAATTTGGCTCTTTATCACCCAATTGAAACACGAAGCAATGCGACCAACCAAATCATGAACGGAATTCATGGCCCCTGAGCGGCATTTCAGCCAAGCTCCATTTCCCTGAATGGAGGTTTTTTAGAGCTTTCCATGCTATACTCTCAAAGAAAATCGTTTATTTCTCAACCGCAATATTCTCTGCTTTCCCGGCAAAAATAATTTCGCCGGTATTGAAGACCATTGTCCGTGGAAAAGACCCACTCGGGAATAGAGACTTTGGCCGACCGATGAAAAAAGGCCAACTGGCAATCAAGGGCAGTTGAATTTTAAAGACTGGGTAGTTCCCTCTGGACGTCCAGCATCTCTAATCCCCTCTCTCCTTATGCAGACAGTATTTATGATGGATCCCATCTTGAAGTTCTGCTTCTTTCGCATCTCAAAGACTGAAAATATTGCCTTGTCAGCCCGAAAATATCGGGACCTTCGACTCAAGGCGCTATTGGCCTCTCCAGCCTCGTTTTCGTCCACATACGAGATCGAGTCTGCATTTACTGACGCCGAATGGATCAAACTATTGACTGCTGATGGACGAGAAACTTTTATTTGCGCCACAATTTGTCCCCAAGACGATACTCAACAAGGTTCACATCATGCTGAGTGGGTAGGTCAAGTCACCATTCGCGGGCCTCTTACCCATGAGCTATCACTACAAAACTGCACGCTCGAGGAAGCAAATGCTTCAGGTACTATAAATGGCTATGAACGTTGGCAAATGCTCAGTCTCTTTACTTTTTCTCAATTCCGGGGCCAAGGGCTTGGAAAAAGGCTTTGCCAGGAGACCTTTGGTTTCATTAAAGCCTATCGATCCCAACCAGACACCGCTCAAGTGTGTCTCATTGTCAAATCAGACAACCTCACTGCTATAAAACTTTACGAGCGTCTCGGATTCCATCACGCGGGACGCTGTACCCTCGTTGATGCCCTTATTGCAAATGGGGAGGATCTCATACCTGCCGATATAAGCGGACCCAAGTATACAGATCTAACGGGTTCGATAATGAAGTATTCAATAATCCGTTCAAAAAGATTCGTCTAGGTCTTCGAATTTCAATGCTCCTTGTGATCCTAGCGATTAGACGAATCGGTTTGAGGGCACGCATTTGCAAGGCCAGATTCAAATTTGGGGTCAAATTTTGATTGACTAGCTATGGACATTTCCATCTTCTAGAAATGATACATCGATGTCCTCAAAACTTGCTCCGTAATCATCATCATTCCAAGAGCGGTTCAAAAACGTCTGGATTGTAGGTTCGCCCAGCACTAAATCCGGGTTAAAATTCGTATTCTCGGGGGACACATTCGAGGAAAGATTTTCAGAATTTTGAGGCTCGTTATGATTTTTTTGAGGCGTTGAGCACCTGTTTCTGACTGTTCATTAATTAGATTGATGGGTTAGATCACAAGGGAGGAAGAGAATCCAAACCATTCGAGCAGCCAGCAACACAATCCCAGACTTGGCGAACATGATAATAAAGCGCACTTGCTACAAAATTGCGTGAGAGTCTCAAATAATTCAAAATTTCTACTCCAGCTTCAGCCAAACTCATGTCACCACGACTTTCGGTTGGTATTAGGTCTGAGATCATCAAGATGATTGCCGAAGAGAAGACAAATGCTGGGAAAGAGTAGCTCATCCTTGAGACGCCACCTTGGGTCCATTCCTTCACACACAGGTTCATGGAATGACGTGCTGTGTTGACACAAGCATCAGTTAACGCTAGAGCAAGGCCAGAGGTCGATGCCTCGGTAGAGGAAGCAGTGTGTCTCGCGGCAAGTACGTGTAATAAGACAGGCCTCACAGCCAAGATTAAACACTGGTAATATTAGTTGACAAGCTCTACCTAGTAATGACACGACTCCAAAAGACCTACATAGTTTAATTGAAGGTGCAAAAGGATGATGTGCTTTCCGTTCGGTCGGTCATTTTGAATTCTCATATCCTCTGGAAGAGATCGCACCAAGTCTCTAAGTTGAACAAGAAGTCTCTGTTCCGTTTGTAAAAAGCTCTTGGTTGATTTTTTACGGCTGTATATTTCCCGGGTCGTTTCCCCGGCAATTCTCGCGAGCTGTATTGTAGCCAGATGGTATGAGACATCTCCAGGATACCCTGTAAGTGGGCCAGTTGGAAAAGGAAGATATACATCTTCATCATCGATTTGCATCGGGAGCCCTAATCTGGCTCCCCAGAAACGATCCATCACGTAGATAGTCCACCAAAGACGCTCGTGATGTTGTCTTTTCAGTGCATTTGAAGACTGGAATTCAGCACGGTTCAAACCAAGACTCAATGCAAGCCTCATCGCATTCCCTATCAGCATGTAGGCTGAGTAGCAGCGATTCACAAGCTGATAAAAAAGCGCCTGTGAAGAACACACTGCGATCAGATCCTGGTTTTGACTGAGTAGCCATGCAAAAGTAAAACAATTACTCACAAGACAAAGCACACTCTCAATATATATCACAGTGGGTCGCTCAGGAAATGAATGAAGAAGAGAAAGAGCTCGGGTGAAATAAGCCGAGCCGGCCAGAGAGGGCGGAGTGATGGAGTAGTCCTCCGGCATGGACAAAGCTTGTCCGAGAGCAAAGAGAGAGAAAAACTTGCAGGTCAATACTGGCTGATCAAAGTTCGCGCTATCATAAATACTGTCAAGCATGTCGAGAGTCTCATTGTTTGCGATCAAGTGGAAAACGGGTGCAAAATGGCCCACTGCAGTTTCTACCAGTAAGCGAGCGGACACTAAACTGGGCCACTGTAGTTCATGATTCATTGGACTGATCAGGGAAGTAATCTCGGAAGTATTCCATGTTGGATCTTGAACCTGTTCTAATGAATCGGATTCTCTCAAAATCCGTCGTAATCGAGCGGCAAAGGTGGTACATGCTGCATCGTTCGCACAGATTGCGTGCACCGCTGAGTCGGAGAACTGGCTTGGGGACGCAGGGTCAGTAGATATGATTCGATTCGGGGATCTGTCAGCATTTAAATTTGGCTCCTGAGACCCCGGGAAAGCATCGGCATCGGTATTGGCATAGCCTGCATCAGTACCAGAAGTAGCCCGAAGAAGCCGAAGCTCATCGCTCTCTTGAATGAGTTTTTCCAAAAGGCTGAACGTAGAATGAATTAGTATAACTTCAAGCTTAGGAAAGAGTCTCTGGTATACGGGCTGTTGACACCGAAAAGGAGGAAATCGACGGAAACAGGCAGGGAAACCTTTCATTGATTTTTATCTTGCGGTCTCGGAAAACCACTCGGCATTGAGCTCCAAGACCAACTTTTCGGCATCCAGAACAGGGAATTGCACCAGAACATTTAATTTTTTGATTATGGCATCGATCACAGCTGAGATCAAAGTCAGTTAGAAAGAGCGATGTCCGTTAGAACAGACTCACGCCACTGATCTCTTCTTCGGTCTCACTATGAGCCGGTCTGAAGTGTTTGAGCTCGTCTGCGCAGACCCAGAGTGACGGCTGGTGACCAAGCGCTCATTGGATCTAGAGAAAGTATTCATGACAAGGAAATTATCAGAGTGTACGGTTGTATCCAAAGAATGTGCCCGAGGAGCCGTCGTCCATGCGTCCATGCCAATGGGTCCTCGAGTGGAGTATTCCGATTGGATGGTTGTTGTACAAGTGCAAACAAGGCAAAATTCCGGTGAACAGAAAAATAGCCGATTGGAAAGAGATCACTACCTAAGGTAGGTGACTTCGATGTTAATTTAAGAAACTTATACTGTCCCTAGATAGCGCTTTCTAACCTAAACTAAAACTGGCCATCAGATCATCTCCGGGTTCAGACTGTTGAGGTCAAATTGCTTGAGAATAGAATTCGAACGAAATCACGCAGTAGAAAAGACGCAAGAAACAGCTCCTAGCTGCGTCATTTTCGGCTAATAAAATAATGCCATATAGCTTGCGGGCAGGAAATGGTAAACGGACGTCGGGACCACTTGACAGATTTAAGAGAATAATTAAACATGAATTCACTCTATTTAACGGTAAGGACTTGTTATGAATAATCATTAGAGACTGAGATATTTAACATGATCAACCAGCAAGATGACAAATTCATCTCAAAAATTCATATTGTCCCGTAAACACCCATATGGGATGCAATGCATATGTCAACATAGATATAGATGGTAATAACGGAAAGGTTCAATGCTTGAACATCATTAGTCGTAAACTTCGTCCAGACTCTAGGCCTCCTCAGGAGTTCTTGCGCCACTCGGTGCTTTGAGTATATCATCCTCCATCAATCGCTGACAGAACGGGCTTCTCTTCCGAATCCAAGGTCCATAGTAGAGTAGTGCGAATGGAATTGGAATACAAGCGAGGCTAGCAAACCCAAGTATTGAGGTGGCCCAAGAAACCCCGAGATTCCCATAAAGCGGGTCTGCAGCAAGTGGGAAAAGCGCCCCGGCGATACTGCGCATTATTACTGACGCAGCCAGAGCACTGGCTGAGTAGATTCGGTATGCATCCGTGACATATGTCAGCAGCGAGATGAAGATTGTCTGATATCCGAGACCGAACACAAGACCAGACAAGACGGGGACTATCCAGTGAACGCTTGATTTGGCGGACCATGCGAGCCAGAATAGACTGATGGTAAGCAAGGGTCCAGTGGTGCAAGACAGAGGTAGTCGATGGAACTCGGGGCTTGAGGCCCATTTCTTCCCAAGTTTTTTGGCTTTTTCATAGGCAATATCGTAGTAGAGAGCAAAAATGCAGGATGATGCGGCTCCGATACCCACTATGAACAGTCAGCTATGGTCAAGATTCAAGGCTAGTTCCTAATAGAACATACTTGGAATATACGTCAGAGATACTGTCGCGACACTGAAGTTGTAGGTATCTTATAGAATTTAGTCTTCGTCGCCGATTGTAAAGGGTTCGAGATAAGTGCATACCTTCGAAGATAATGGGATAAGCCTGGAAATAAAAGAACACCATGCTCCAAGCAAGGGAGATATAAATTGCAGTGAAGAGAATAATTGGCTCAAACACAAGCATGGAAAGCGGCCGGGTCACTGTTTGAGCTAAAGTAAAGGCCGCGTCTGAGCTCTTTAACTCCTGTGGCGCAAAGTAATGGTCAGATTTAGATGCTTTCCTTAGCTTCTTGGCCTGTTTCTTCAATAAAACGGGAGAAAAAGTTTCTAAATCAAGTACTCGTCAGCCAGTAGTCTGGTTATAGGGATATAAAACCACGCACCAGAAAAGAACAAAAGTCCAGTCCAAGTGAGACCACTCAGGATCAAGTCAATTCGAAAAGTCCAACGCCAGCCGTACTGAACGGAGCAACCAGAGATAATTGGGCCGATGATTGGACCAAAACTCGAAGCCTGTCCCAAAATTAGCGATGATTGATAAGTGAGGAAGATGCGTTTAGCTAATGAGCACATACCGACATGTACAGGGCCATGGCTCGACCGCGACTTCTCATATCTGAAAAGAGATCCGCGTATACACCCCCTCCCACTGTCTGTGGAGCCGCAGCCATGGTGCCACAGACGACTCGGAAAATTAACAACGATGTCCAATTTGGGGCGAAAGCACAGCCGAGTGTTCCGAGAACAAATACACTAAAAGTCCAGAAAAGAACCGGTTTTCTCCCAATAGTCTCACTGAGTGGACTGAAGATCAAAGGTCCTACACAGTACCCAATCAAGAAAATGGCCGTTGGGAGGACCTTTTGCCCATTTCCTGATAGGCCAAAGTCCTGCATGATAGTGGGGACTGCATTGCTAGGGAGGGACGATGAGATACCGCTGTTGAGTACTACTACGAGACACACAATTGCATTGTATATCTTTTTTTTTCTGGTTTTCCATATATGTTAGTTCATTGAATTGCCGCGGATTTATCCATAGGAATCATAACCAAGAAATGCTTACAAGAGGCCAATTGTTCGGGTCTGCAGCTGAGTCAGGAGAGAACTCGACGAGCGTTTCTTCCGGGGATAAATGAATTACTGTATAGTTCTCATCCTTCTCGGGACTTCCGGGATTTATTGAAACAGTCATATTTTTCTCATCAAAATGAGGCTCAGTGTCTAAGTCAAGTTAGGGGCGCCGTCAAATAGAACCGGGATTCTGTTCCAACCACACCTGAAGCGGAAGAAGATTTCATGATGCCGGGTACAAATAAACAACCTATGTTCATGATTGCTTTATGTAAAGAGCAGACTTTTCTAATATAAAAGAAAAGAGGAAAGAAGATCGATCGGCCATGTCTCTAACAGTTCCTAGAGAACAGGAAAAAGTGCGTTTATAAAACAATGTTTCGCTAGTTCAGAGTAATTAGTGGAGACGAAAAAATCTACGGGAAACCTGAGTCACGACGTCTAGATTCCCACGGCCATGCATAGTGTTGCAAGCTATTATGTTTGAGCCCATTCAATGTACCAATAACGTGGCTGCGGTAGTTCAAAATCCAGGCTGGAGAACCGGGCCCGACACGGGGCCGGGTTTTAGGGCAGTTCGTAGCCGGCGCCGGCCAGGCACCGGGTTTGTGGTAAGAGTCTCCGACGCCTGGATCTCCGCCCTTTACACGCTTTTGGATGGATCCTTCGTTGATTCTTGGTCGTTAGCGTGCGATTTCATGTGAATTATGACAGATTTTCTCTGTGTTGCGGCCCAATTCTGGAACTACCCGTTGTCCCCTCATACTCATATGCTTTGGTCTGGCGCACAGCGACTATCACTTACGGACCATCTCCCGTAACTCAGAACATGGACTTTCAACTACACAAAGGCAACCCATTTGAAAAAGCACGAGGCATATAATTCAAAATAATTGTATTGATATTCTATTGGGGGATAGAGGGCATCATAGGCAAGAAATCAAAAATGTCATTTTGGCCCTCTTCGAATAGGCCAAATGAGTCCGCGATGGAGTTTGACATGGTCCAGGTCGGGACATCCATCGTATCAGGTAGTCTTGGAAGAGGCGGTCTGGTTGTCGCAGGCGCATCGCCACCTGGCATTGTGACCATGCTTGGGTCTTTATCATTCGGGATAGCCGTGCCGTTTCTACTATACCGAGGATCTTCCAAGTGTGCCAAAGGAGGGGCAGTTTGCATAGGACTTTCTGGACCCCTGTAAGATGGCACGGGCCCATCACCTTGTTCAAACACATTGAGCCCCTCTGCGCCATCGTTGCTTTGCCGATCATGGCTCTGCGGGCGTTGGCTAGCAATGAGGGCACGGGCATAGTTCACAAATATAGAAACGGTGCGATGAATGTCCGGGTAGGGAGGTTGCTTCAAAAAATCACATATCTTCTCTGCCCGTTCCAGAAGTAAGTCCTGATCAATCAAGTTTGGTCGCCATCGCGCAATGCGCAGTGCAAATGTAGCTGGCGATACTTTAGCGTTGACCGATATTTAAATGTCGAAAAGCTGAAAGAATAAACTTACTGACAAATGCAATTGTTAAGGCTGGATAGGTTGGAGCCCAAGGAAATTGACAGCGATATGAGGGCTCGCCAATAAGGAAAGCTAATTGATCCATGATGGTACTGACGAGAGATTTCCAAAGATTCATAACATTTTGATCAATGACTTCTGTTTCAAAATTGGAGGAGCTGGGCTGTAGCTTTTGAATGCGCGCCAATGAAGCGCATAGCACAAAGATCCTAGCATATAGAAGCATGAGCTTCAGGCTGCTTCGCTGAAATGCTCCTGCATGGAACCCGTTATCTTTTCTCGACCGTCAGCTTTAGATGTTTTCCAAAGTGAATAGTTTCCCTTTCTGGAAAGCTTACTATTGTGAATTTCATCCCATGTTGTCCACCAATTTTGTAGCTTGGTCATTATTGTAGGTAATTCGGTCGAGATTATCTCGCGAACTGTCGTTGAGTTTTCGATTATTATGCGCGAGTGACCTGTTCCGAATGTTAGCAAAAGACTCGAAGCAGATGACTCGTGTTTGTACAAACCTCGAAGCTGATGAAGTTCAATTATACACACTGTTCGCATGTCACATGGTAAGGAAAGGGGATAGTCAAGAAATTTCCGCAGCTTCATGACATCGACTTCACCAATGCGCGATTTGCGGCCAGTTCCCGAAGCTACATCCAGTTCCAAAGTAAAGCTGATCAGCCAGGTTCGCGTCTGCCAAACCAACTGACGATCAGCCATGGAAGCAGAGAGGGAGCTTCGAGGAAGATTCTCTTGAGAGAGAAGCGTATCCAGGGATTTTTCCAAGCCAGAGTCCAAAGCTGTACGCAAAATGAGTGCGGTTGAGAACCAGGTTTTCTCTGAATAAGCAGCGAGGAGAATCATTCCCTGTACAGTTTCAAGTTTGGTTGGGCGCTCGAAAAAGCTGTCTTCTGCAAGTCTCTGGGCTTCGTCTTGTAATACGCGCTGCATGTGCGTGTCGCTGCGTAGATCAATTACAGCACGGCTGGCCAGGTAGATAATGACCGTGAAACAGAATAGCGAACGTGACCGAATCGAGTCAAATGTATCACGGATGGGGTCGAAGAGCGGTAAAAAGTTTTTGCTTCCGCCGATGAATCTTTTCAAGGTATTAAATAGTGCTCAAACAGTATTCGATTTCAGATGTTCATGGTGCATACCTTTCATACATAATCCTGGCATTTTCCTCGCTCACGATACCACGGGCAATAATATCACCTCGACCGTCACCTTTGCTTGAATTGTCCATGAATATCTGACAGATAAAAAATCAGATAATGCGGTACTTTCAAGAATTTCCATGACTTACATGATTGGAATCAAGCAAGTTCACGGACATCGAATGAACTGCTGACACCGGAGCGATCATATCATTTGGGCTGAGATGCTGCGATTCTGGGCCATGATGATCTGCCGTTTGAGATCTTCTCAGATCTCCCAATGCGGAAGAATCAGGGAGCGAATCGATGGACGTATCAAAGGTAGAATCTTGTCCCGTAACTGGAGAATACTCCTGCTCTCGCGATACCGGGGTATGAAACCCACTCCGCTGATCGAGTGGAGATGCCACCGTTGAACGGCTGTAGCTGGGTAACGTAAGCTATATAGCAGGCGAAGATCAGGGATTGGGAAATTCCGTTACTCTACTTACCGGGCGGGAGTGACAGTCTTTCTTCTGCGTTCACTTCGTCGGCGGGTATCTTCAATGGGATCCAAGATGCAATCGCGCCCGGTTGAGCGACATCGGAAACATGGAACTTGGTTTCGGGCATCACAGCGCATCTTTTGCCGACGGCACCATCGGCATGCCTTGAAGAAGCGAATTGGTATGTTTTCCGCCCTAAAGACAATCTCCGAACCTCGCCCACTCATGGTTACGGTAGCCTGGGTTCAGGATAATCCCACTCACGCTTCCGGTAATTAGTCCTCCGTCATTTATTTTGTGCTTTCCTGTATACAGGACCGTAATTTGATCCAGTCTTGCATACGAAGTGCAATGCGCGACGATGACTCCTTCGGCGACCAGAAGTGACTAGTCGGGAAATAATTAACCGGTCACGTGCATCAACGGGCGCCTTGTCCCTTTTCGGAACGACAAATGGGGCATCCATTATTCGGCCGTGTTTTCATTCAGAATAATCAGTTTCATTCTGGTCGTTAGCTCCGTGAAGTGGTCTCCAGCTGACAAGTCTAATTAATAAGTCCGCATCGCATCCTAGGCCACGCTAGCATCTTCTGGATCAGCCCCTCTTCTCCGTAGTATCTTTCAAGGTATATACAAATCGCTTGGCATTCCAATCTGGCCCGTCTTGCAACCCACCACAAGGACCCGCACATCGGCCCGTACCAATACGCAAGTATCAAAAGCGCGCGAGGATCCTTGGTGTGTAGCAAAAGCTGGAACTTTGTGTCCATAAAGTTCAAAAACTGGAGGAAGCGCACCATCGTTGTCTGGTTACATTCCACGTACCACAGTCGAGTTAAGAGGGAGACAGCGTTGAAGTATGGGCTTTCGGTTGGTGTTGACAGCTCGTCGAGCTCGCATAATTTGACAAGCTCTTGCGGCATGTCTTGTATCTCGTACAATGATGGTTTAGCCATCATGGCAAGATACTCATCCCTCATAGGCCAAAAGACGCTGTCGGGTCGCATAGGATTAGTGGCTTTGTATACCGCTTCCTTGCCATGAGACATGTCTACCCAATTTAAATCCGATGTCTCCAAAGTTTTGAGAGGCCATGCCTCTTCCGGGGTTGCCGCTTCGAGAGATGTCATGCTAACGATCCCCAGCATAGCAGCAGCCGCCCAGACAGCATCGCGATCCTGGGGAGGAATAGGGACTGAAAGTTTCTTGTTAAGTAAGGCCGCACCTCGGGACCAGTGATATGCTTCCGTTAGGGATAGCTTGGCAGTCTCGGGGGACATAGATAAGTGCCGGTCATGTGTCGCTGTAAGAGTTAAGATCGCGTGCATGAGGAACGGATACTAGCTAATATGTCAGCTAGCCCTATAATTCAGTAGGCAGTAGTTAGGAGTAAGGGAGCTTCCTCACCTCGATGGCAAATCTGATTACTTCTTGTTGATAAATCTTGTTACCGCTAGTAGAAGCAAACGTATACACTGTATGGCTTTGAAATCGATTCAAGCGGGCTAAGCTATCAGCGTCCATTCTGAAGGAGCTAGGACCATCTCCAACATGTATTACAGGCCGCAGTATAGCTGGTGTGGGGTTCGTATTAAAGATAACTTGACCAAAGGGACCGTCGGCTGTGATCTTCGTGAGAAAGTTTTGTGATGTTGGTTGCAGATCAAGGTCATGAGGTCTATTGTAATTGCATATCACACCAAACGTTTGGCACTTGGTGCATTGTGGTTGGTTTTCATCGCACTTCAAGATTATTAGTTGCTTGATTTGCCTACAGCCGAGCAAACCTTACTTTGACACGACGGAGCTTACAGTTCCGACAACCGCGTCGTGATTTAGTGTGCGCACGGCGCCGTCGAAAGCTCCTTTCGCCAGCACCCGATCGGATTGAATCCATGCCCTTTTTGCTGATCGAACAGTTCAGACTAGCTGTAAAGAAAATCAAGCAAGGAAATGGAAAGGGAGATTCTCCCTGGTGTCGTTCAGGCAGATTCGCCGCTTAACTCCGGGCGGGGGCGGGAGTGCCTGATTGGCCAGCCTCACGGATGCACTTACCTTTGCTCGTATTTGTTAGTGGCAACCGCGTGTAACTCTTGTTAGATTCACTAAAAACGGCGGAGAGAGATGACGAGCAGTTTCCTTAAATCGTATTCCTGGTGAGATGACCACCCTTCTGGCTCCACGGGCTATGGACTTAATGAAATCTTCAATTTTATGTCCGTCGGTTGACGGATCGATCATGTCTCCGAAAGAGCGTATAAAAAGGCAGAATTCGACATCATAATAAGATCTTTAGCAAAAAAGAATTCTTGATTTTCAAAACACAGTTTTTCAACCAACTTTACTAGATATCAACATGCGTGTCTTTGTCACTGGGGCTACAGGATTCATCGGCCAGGCTGTGGTGCAAGAACTTCTCGATACAGGCCACACTGTCCTTGGATTAGCACGATCCGAAACGTCGGCAGCGGCGTTGGAAGCAAAGGGCGTGGATGTGATCCGTGGCACTCTCGAAGATCTTGATGCGCTCAAGCGTGGTGTATCTGATTCTGATGGCGTTATCCATCTGGCATTCAACCATGACTTCACCAAATTCGCAGAGAACGCCAAAGTGGAACAGCTGGCTGTCACGGCTCTTGGGGAGGTCCTGGCAGGATCTCATCGCCCCTTGGTGATAGCATCAGGCACCTTGATGCTCCCAAAAGGCGAGTTGGCCACCGAGGACAAACGGGCTGACACGTCATCTCCACTGAACGTTCGTGCTTCCACGGAACAAGCAATAGATGTACTTGCATCTCAGGGCGTTCGGGCATCCGCCATTCGTCTGTCGCCTACAGTCCATGGTGAAAATGATCACGGCTTTATCAATATGATTACCCAGGTGGCACGTTCAAAAGGAGAATCTATTTATATTGGAGATGGGCTCAACCGATGGCCTGCAGTCCACCGCCTTGATGCTGCTCGATTATTCCGATTGGCTCTAGAGAAGGGCCGGGCCGGTGCGAGGTATCATGCTGTGGCTGAAGAAGGCATCCCGATGAGGGATATCTCAGAGGCTATTGGTCAAGCTGCTGGTGTTCCAGCAGTTTCTAAAACGTTTGAGGCGGCCTCTGAACATTTCGATGGCGGCTTTGCGGTTTTCCCTGTGAGCCTCGATAACCCGTCTTCGAGCAAGAAGACTCAGGAAGAGCTTGGATGGATCCCTTCCGGGCCAGGCCTCCTTGCCGACATCAGATCAGGCGTATACACACGAGAAGACTGAACAAAGCTCCGCCTCTCTGCTGGATTGGTCAATATCGAGCAACGGTAGTATCTCCTGTCAGATTTTCTTCTGTTATATCTAAATTCCCAGTTTATGAGGTTACTTCCATTATATGTAATTTGACGTTTATTGCCGATTACAATGATTATTTTGACATTTTCTCACGTTGGCAGTTGTCAAGTTAGGAATTGAAATAACCGCCTGGTTTAAATTAGCCGAGCAAAAGGCAGGAAGTGCAGTTAGGTTATGAAATTGTTAAACAAGCAGAGTAGGCGGAAGTGCCCAGCAGTTTTCATTTATTTGTTTTGTCGTCCCATGTACTCATTCCTTTAGGATATAAGCTTGCCTACATTACATGCTCCGCATTACAACCTTTTTTTGAATTGACAATTTGCTTTCCAAATATTTTGCTCTTGTGCTGTTGGTTCAAGTATTTAAATTCTTGCTATAATTATGTCATGGTTCTTGCTCGTGGTAGAAAATGTATATGAGGGACAGCTCTCATTCACACCCTTTAACAACTCTGTTTTCTGTGCATGGTCAGAAAAGGAAGATCTCAACGTGAACCTTTTGGTGCTTCGTAGGGAACTTCTCCGTAACAAGTAATCCCCATCCTTAATATCCAACGCCCACAATGATTGGAAGTAGAAGTTCGAGGATTATGCGGTTGTCTGAAGTCGCACAGTGGTACAGAGGCCACGCAGGGGTTCTGAGATCTGCATGGTTCCAGCCTTGGAGTCATGAATGATTAAGGCACCATTGACATCCGATCTCGTACACCTGCGGCAGCTTGTCTACAGTTGCTGATAGGCATTTCCCTCTCAAATCTATGTCCGCTCTTTATTTTCCCTGTTTTTCCTCGCATTCGTCAAGTCACTCAATCGTCAAGGATTCGCACCCCGTCAATGTCACGATCTACAGAGAGATTGAACCCTATTCAGGACAATGTAGAGCTGGGACATGGCGATAGAGGACCTCGCATGGCCGGCGAAACCCTGAAAAACTCCGGATCGGGTTTGAAGCGACGCAAAATTCGCAAAGGCACGTCCAGTTGCTGGGAGTGCAAACACCGCAAGAAGCGTTGCGAGTTTCGACCAATCTCCAACTTGACCTGTGTTTTTTGCCAGTATCATAACCTTGCATGCGGCAGCCAGGATTCTCCAGACCCCACAGGGAACAAAGGTAGTGATGCGGAGAACATTGCCCAACGCATTGATCATGTCGAAGCCTTAATCACCCGGCTGGTCAACAAACAACAACAACAACAACAACCAGCTGCAACCAAAAAGTCTTTTTCTTTCGTGCTGTCCAAACGGTCCGAAGGAAAGGACTACTACTACCCAAAGTTATCATCTGTCAGCCATGAAGCGCTGTCAAGAGGCCCTTCGCTCGCAGGCTTCCTTTACTCTGTTCTCCCCGATCCATCAGTGGCCATTGTCATTTTGAGCAGCAGCAAGCTCTTCAGGTCACCTCTCCAGATTTCTCAGATGCCCCTTTCTGGAAGATCAGGATTGGATGAAGTATCTGGGGACCTACCTCTTTCACCATTCGCCCATCCCATTCTTTTGGCACGCCGATTGATCCAACTTGCCCTTTGCCTGCGATATTTCGATGCCAAATCATGCGAAAAGCTGGAGCTATTCTTAAAAGGATCTGTGACCGATGTATCTTGCCGCTACTTCAATCTGGCTTCACAGCTTGTCATGGCCCATGATGAATTGATAGGATCCGTGGAGGGATTGGAAAACTTAATGCTACAAGCGCTCTATCACATCTCAGCCGGTGATCTTCAGTCAGCATGGTCACTCCATCGCCGGGCATCTAACATTGCATCTCAAATGGGTCTCTCTCTCCTCGCGGAGACAGCCGGCAGTCGTGCGGAATCGGTTTGGTTCCGACTAGTTTATAGCGACCGCTTTCTATCATTTGCTAGGTCTTCCATTCGCAATCTCCGGGAGTCATGGTGTTCATGATGTAACAGTGCCTCCTTTTGTAAGAAAAACCGCTGCACAGTATTTGGAACAGATCCATGTCTCAGTTGCTGGGCGGATCATTGTTAGGAATATGCGCATACCACAACGTGGCATAAGTACTCCGATAGAGGACGCTTCATGGCATGAAAATCACGACGAGACAAAATATATTGATCAACACTTAAAGAGAGCCACTCGGTTGCTACCATCAGAATGGTGGTTAACTCCATCTCTAGATGATGCAGATTGGGAAGCGGGTGAAGTTGGAGACAGGACTGCCAGGCTTCTTCTTCAGATACACCAGTACTACTTACTAGTCCTCCTCCACCAGCCATATCTTGCGCAAAGTCTCTGTTCTGAATGTGGTGATCATAATAATGGCGTCGACATTACTTACAGCAAATTTGCCGCAGTCTTGGCTTGTCGCGAACTCATTTCTCGTTACCTTGTGTATCGTTCTTACCATCGATCCCCATCTTCACGAGCGATGGATCACAAGTGCTTTCTGGCCTCTATTACGCTGCTTTTTACTCATTTAGACTCACATATTCTTAATGGTATGAGTGTAATTGAGCACCAAAATCCCATGATCTTGGAGTTATTAATAAAGCGATTCGCCTAATGGAAAATGTCTCTCTTTCGGATCAAAATTCCATAGGAATCTCTCCGGTGGATATTCTCAGATCCCTCCTCTCTATTGAAACCGATGCTGCTGATGGTTTTATCTATAAAATATGGAATGAAAAGGGTACTCATGACAAGGACAGAGGGGTGACTTTGGGAAGAGTAGATGGGCTCAACGTTTCAGTCCCATGCCTTAGAACTATCTATATCTCACGCCAAGAAACCTCATCTCTTGACCAAGATGGACAAGATTCTGTGTTTGTCAGCATTGCCGATATTCTTCCAGAGTCATCTTTTCATGCATCATAAAGAGGACCGGAGTCTACGGAATTTACACCTTCAGTACTCTATGTAACTCCAGAGATTTCATGCCAAGTATCCATTGCTTAAGCATGTCTCAGGACGCAGAGCTTTCTTGCTGATAGTCACATGCACAAAGAACTAGTCCCTGCTCCTCTGCAACCAATTCTCCACTCAGCTTGCGACCAACAACTCCTGGTTTGGATGTCATTGACCCAAGAAACCTCGAACCCTTGGAAGTCTACAAAGCTCAGAGGCCTCAACTTTGTAGTCAAAATTACTCGGAAACGGATATTCTTGAAGTCCCTCCGGAAGGGCAAGAAATCAAATCCGAATTACTCGGCGTCGGAGCACATCCAGGGTCTCATTTTCAAATTATTGCCGATCAATTCATCCCTCGTTTCGAGACCGATAGTTCTTACTCTCTCAAGCCGGCTGATCTCAATACAAACGATGCATAGAAGACTCGTGATAGTGTTGCTAACCAGCTACCGTTACCTAACCTATTTTCAATCGTGACCAACGCTATAGACCGGGCTATAGAAGTATCTATGGAATTTCACATTTTGGAAGTGCCTGCTACTAGCTTTACTGCATACGAAGCGAACGAGGAGAGGAAACCCTACGAAACGCCCAACCTATTTCCAAGTCAGGCAACCGCATATGCTCTAATACAGAGATAATGCCAGAACACCATTGCCCCGCTAATCAAAGTCTCATCGATAGGGCCACACCCCTTAGTCTGGATCCAATCACTAGTCTCGATAAACCTCTCACCCGAGCCCAGGCCAAAAGACAACAGCCTTTACAGCCGTCTTCAAACTATTCCAAAGAGAAAACGCTTCGACAGAACCTTTCGCCAAGGGATAAACAGGAGCTTCGTGATTTCAAGAGCCAGAATAACATTCTAAGACATATCGGGTCTCATTTTGTGGGTATAGATACGGTGTCTCGTCTCTGCGGCAAGCTTGGAAGGACATCAAACTTGCTCAGCGATGCACTAGATCACGGACCAACCAGAAGAGTGGCTAAGTAATTGATATTCATAAATCTCTGTTGAAAACATTGTAATGTTAGCCCTAAGAATGTCCTCGCCAGCTCCCAAATAATCTCATCCCTCTACATTCGCTGCGTTATACGCACCCTGGCTAGTGTAGCTTCTTTATAAGTAGGCCAGTTGTATAAAGTGCGATGGCAATTATGCTATAATTTGAATCAATGTATCAAGATCTATGTACTAGCTTTCAGGCTCTTATCGGAGTGACTAAGTTAAAAATCGTAACTAGAACATTTTTCTACACTTCAAAATACATTACCGGATATTTTCATATACAAGTTTAGTACATACCTGCACCGCCACACCAATGAGACAAACTTTTGTCTGAGGCTTTCGTTAGTGGTAAGGTACGGTATAGCGCTTGTATTAGCGTGACCAGTACAAAACCCGCCCTGCGGTGATAATATGTCAATATAATAGGATACGGTATCGGCTAGGAAGGCTAGGATCCAATGGAACGAGATGCTCAATGTAGTGATGTATTGGGTGACTGAACTATCTAAGTGTGTAAGCTGGGGAATGTTGAATATCCCCTACCTCGCTGTCTAGCGCGTTACGGCGCTAGGTTCCGAGTATCCCTGTAACAATCTGACGCACACGGGGATATGTAGGTCTCACCGTATTATGCGATCTTCCTTCTTGACAATAGCTTTTAGCAAACCTCCTATACTGCGCTTAAAATAGCAAAGGCCTAATGCAAGGTTAAACATATGATAGGATTCGCATCTAGTCGCCCACTATGTTCGGCGGTGCAGACCGGACTGATCACTGTAAGTAGAACTGCCGGAGCTATGCTTGCCTAGTTTCACTCCGGATCCCAAGAGTAGCTCACAACCGTCGACATGTTGTTTCAAAGAAGTTCAGAACAATTTTGAGTCACAACTTAAGATATTATAACATTATAACATGTACTTGTATCCCCTTACTCGCTGTTATCCCTATACTTTGCAGTATTTACTCCTATACCCTCTCAGAATCTGAATAGTTTCATGGCATGAAAGGTTTCAGCCCAACAACCCCCATGGGATAGGCAGATGATGAGGTGGTCCAAGCGTTGATAGGTCGCTTCTCAATCGGGACCCTTATAAGCAGCCTAGAGTCATCGATAAATAATACTGAACGAAGGGCATGCTCGTCCCTGACTACGCGTCGCGTGCGTGAAGATTCCCGGGAGAGCCAGTGGGAACTACAGGTGCGGAGCCCCCCACACCCACGAGTACCAGTAGATGTACAGGCTTGCCTCTTCTAAGGCATTATGAATCAGGTATTTACTGTCAAAAAGAGCTCCACATGTATTTTGGATTGAAGAATCCTAGTATAAAAAGCCACGTGAATAGTCCGTCGCTTAGAATAGTTCACTATATAGTGTTTTGCCATCACAATGACGTGTCACTCTCGTCCTTACATATGGCAGGGGCTTAGGACTCGACAGTTCCCACAACCTTAGCCATAACTTTGAGGGCTCCCTCTTTCGGATATCCGAGCCCCAAATCACGGTAAGTCTTAATGCTTTCTGGCGTTGTATTGTATAGCTCCATATCAAACCGACGGACTATATGCGCCATGGTCATGTACAATTCACAGAGTGCTAGACTAAACAATACATGAAAGTCAGATAAGAAACACATAGTAGAACAAGTCGAGATATCTTTACTTACTTCATTCCCAGGCATTGACGACTTCCTTTGCCAAATGCCACAAGGAACTGATTCAGACCCTTGCTCTCAGCATCGGACTCTATCCACCGATCGGGTTGGAACGTGTAGGGATCAGGGAACAAAGTCGGGTCAGAAAGAACGAAATACGTGGATTGGCTAAGTGGTGTCTATGATAGATTAATTTGAGCATTTGATCAGACTTAGAGCTCTCTTAAGAGTGGGAGCTAGGGTAGACTCTGAATCTTACCCCGGGGGGAATAACAAGACCATTGTAAGTCAAGGGATCCGTGGGGGAAACCCGAGGTGTTCGCATTGTAACACCATGTGAAAGCCGCAAGGACTCTTTGATCACACCGCTCTATATTGCTCAGTCGGCCGAAATAGCTTTGGAGGATTACTCAGTAGTGTTGATAAGCACCCACCATTAATGGCAACCGCTCAATCTGTGCCCAAGTAGCATGGCTAGTCGGAGTAGGCATAACTTCTGAAAGTTCTTTGCGCAGTCTCATGAGTAGTAATTTATCGTTAAGAAGATGGAACATCCCCATTGACAAAGCCTTTCCGGTAGTCTCAATGCCTGCAGCGAGGATGATCCATCCTTCATCTGAAAGTCTGCCAGCTGTTCTTTCCTCCTTAGGAATCGTGGGATCGACAAGTGTGTCAAAAATGCTCGGTATGGAGGTTGTGTCACCTGATGGGCCTTTCAAGAGTTCCGTACATTGTTGATGGATGAATTTTCGGACATTGAGAAAACTGGCTGCTTTAGGATGTAGCTTTTGCATCAGCCATGAGGGGACCATATTTATAACACTGTGGAGAAATGGAAAAATTCGCAACGTGTGAAATAGCATCGATGCTCCATCGACGGCTACTTGGAGGTCATTGCTCTCTGCGGTGCTGATAAGGTAATTTGAACCGCGGCCGAGGGAGTATTTGGTAATAATGTCCGCTGTCAGCCCTGCAAAGAGAGCATTAAGGCGAAACACAGTGCCTTCGGTCTTTGCTTCCTCGAGCCTCGTGATCAAATTTGTGATTTTTTCCCTAATCATAGGTTCCAAAGCCACCACAGATCGCTTGGAGAAGAAATTGTTGATTTTTCCTCGGCGCATCCGGTGATGTTCATGGCCCACTGTCGCGATCATTGAACCTGGTGCAGCAAAACCTGCTACGAACTGAGAGTATTTCTCTCTCTTTTTGGCGCTCGGCGCATAGATCTCATCGTAGAAGAATGAGTCTTTGATGTGGAGTTCGTGTGGATTAAATCGTATGACTGGGCCTGTTTCTGTCACTTAATGATGATGATCTTTATGAGATAGATCATGCTCTAACCGTATTTGGCGTGCATCTTCTCAATTTCCCAGATATACATGCCATGTTTGAATAGGTCGAAGTAATATTCATAGAGCGGGGTGATAGCGGCTATCTTGGGCCCAGGGAATTTGCGCAACGGATGGAAGTAGAGATTATAAATCGCCCTCCAAAGGAAACTTATCATTATGCAAATCGTGTATGCCAACGCGTCGGAAAGCTACTAGTTAGCAAGATATAGGCGTATCGTTTTATTCAACGGCTTCCTAAATATCTTCAATTAGGGCCTACTAAGCAATATACGAAGGAATCGAAGCGAATCCTAGCAGAAGATCTATTAGTGCCTTACACCGCCCCCCCAACCCTTCCGGGTTGTGGGTGCGCCACGCAAAGAATGCACAACTACACACAGATACACACTTTTTCCTATTTCTCCTATCTACTACTGCATCCCACTAGTATCTATATAGAAACCCTGCCTATCCTGACGTGCTTCCTCTGCTCTATATAATAATGCCTAGCTTTCCTGTGTAGGTTCTGGTGGTGGTGATGTTCTATACGCTTTCTTCTACTGCTTCCTTACCCGCTTCCGCTCTGTATCCGCTTCCTTCTCCTTTCTTTTAGCAATAGAACGATTTGTATCTCTAATAGAGAGTACCCCTATTTTGCTAAGCGACGTTTTAACCTAGCGCTTAGTAATTAGGCGCTATAGTAGTTATTGAGCTTCCCTAATCTTGCGAATAGTATCGTTTGCTAGATTTAGGTTCTCTATAGCAATCTTGTTATGATAGAATAGGCGATCAAGATTGCGTTGCTGCCTTAGTGTAAGATCTTCTTGTTGATATCTAGCAATCTTTTTTTGATTCTTCTCTAGATCCTGTATAGATCTAGGCGGCGATTAGTCGATACTAGAAGAAGATATAGGTAGTAGTGAAGGTGTTGATTTTGAATAAAGCGGTTGTAGATTGGGCGCTATAAGATCTAGGTAATCTTGGATAGGAAGGCTATTAATAACCTTTCTAATATCGACTAGATAGATCCTACGATCTTTAAACGATTCACGAATAATTCGCTAGCTAAACGCTCTATTCCGAATATCACCGATTATTCGAAGGAACTCTGATCTTCCGATAGGGCTTCCACCCTAAAACGCGTGGTCGTTATTCGCTAAGCGGAAGTGTTGCTTATAGCTTAGAAACGGCTTACCGTCTAGCGGCTGGCAAAGATGTGTAGTATACGGTAGGAATCCTATAGGTAGGATATTGTTCTCTTCGCAAAGGTGTAGGAATTCGAATGTAAGATGCGAACCGTGACCGTCGAATATTAGGATACGTTTTTCACCCGATTTCGTACGGTCGCATGTTGATTCTATAAAGAATCGAAGCTATTGAACTGCTATACTATCGGTTATCCAACCGTTTAGCGATGTAGTAATAGTAGTTCTTGGTGGTAGGTTCTCTGTTTGATTAAACCAAGATTCTATAAAGATACCGTTGCCTTTAAAGATAAACCAGGGTTCTAACTGCCACCCGTCGGCAGCTATACACTCGATAGACGTAATATTTTCGCCTTAGTTTAGCTGAGGAAGGTCTACTACCTTCCTACTACTACTACTACTACTAGTAGTAGTAGTAGTAGTAGTAGATATAACGTTTCTAGACCTTCCTTCGCCTGGTTGAAAGCCGCATTCATCAAAGTTATAGATAAGACGTGCTAGCGTTGTCTTCTTAATCGTTTAGGCTAGTAGATCGTACTAGTGCTGTAATGCTGCTGGATCTTCTGCTAGTATTCGCTTTGATTCCTTCGTATACTGCTTAGTAGGCCCTAATTGAAGATGTTTAGGAAGCCTATTAATAAAGCGATACGCCCACATCTTGCTAACCGACGGCTTCCCGACGCGTTGGCATGCACGATTCGCCCACGCTTCTAGTATCCTAGGAGTGATAGGCATATAGCAATCGTTCATATATTGAATCCAGCGAATCAAGGCTTCTTCTTGATAGGCTTCTAGGGCCTGTTTAGCATTGCGTTTAGCTAAATTAGGCCCTGTTCTCTTTTTAACACGGTCATGTAGCGTACGCCTAGGAACGCCGAATTCGCGCGCTAAACGTGATATATTCGGCTTCTCCTCTCGTGATGCAGCTAGGCAGGCCTCAGCCATACGAGATTCGTCGAAATTAGGCATATTGAGATAGTGGTGTTGGATAGGGAAGCAAAAAATAGGGTGGTAGAAAAATTGGCAGTCTGTGTGTGGTTGGCAGTCTGTGCGTGGCGCACCCACAACCCGGAAGGGTTGGGGGGGCGGTGTAAGGCACTAATAGTAGTACTATAGCATTAGTGTCATATGATATTGCAACATGATGCTATTCCCAACTTCATACCTCAGTTGTCAGTTCGACACCTTGTCGGTCAGGCTCCGTCATAACAACCCCACTTCTCCCCAACATGGATGCATGACCTACAAGGCCCTGAGGATTCGGTGCCCTTCCATTAGGGATTCGTGAGCCCCTCTCCCCTGTAGCCTTTGCTTACCTCTGTTACATGTGGGCCACGTCAGACCGCATGTTGTAATGTGATCCATCGCCTTTGCTTTGGCCATGTGGGAAAGTGTTGAAGCCTGTACATAAATTGAGGATTATGGAGAGATCCATGATAGCAAGAAACAGTGTTTTTGTCTTCCTTACTTGACGTCTATCTTCCTACCTAGTCGACAGGCTTTCTACCCTGTACAAGTAGTTATTCTCTAACACTAAGATAGTCGCTCCCGGAACAGATGTGACTGCTTTACTAGTGGTAGACTGCGCATTGCCGGTGTGGTACGACTCTTTGAGAAGGACTCGCCTAAGACACCTGAGCATAGTGCAGAAAACCTAGTTGATCCACATACTATCGGAGTTACGAACAGTGGCCACTACGATCCTGGAAGTAGAAGCGCGCGTTCTTACCACCGATCTTCGTCTCCGCCACCGAGTCGAATGCACCATCGCCACCCTACCTAGGGAATCTCCGATCAGGCATACACTCATCCCAGTCCTGATACGTAGAAACAATATTAGATCGTACACTCGCTTTCCTTTGGTGGAAGCGCCGAAAACCATGAAAGTCGACTTGGCGAACTAGAAAGAGTTGACTCACGACCGCTACCATCGTGGCATCAATGCTTCAACTACAAAATAAAAAAGAAAGGCGGCCAGCGTGTAAATAAATCCGATGAGAATCCACAATTCCCTATTGGTCAATAAATATGTCATAGCAGACACTTGAACCAACGATTAAAACAATGACGTATTAATACCGTCGCGAAAATCATGGTTTATACCAGAATCAGCGCTGAACAAACTGAATGAAGTATAAGAAGCACTAAACCTAAAAATCAGTGCCGCTAATAGAAATAGCGGTGAAAAGGCAGAGACCGAACATATGTAGCACCAGGTGTTTATAGCCAATAGTTTGGTGGAAATAGATTCCCATTTTCGGCGTCATTTTGTTTAACTAAAGTGCGTCAAAATAAATATAAAAGTCGACTACATTTTATTAGGCTTTGAATCGTCTGTGTGGGTATCTCATTCAAATGGAAAATCTATCAAGTGAAGTAAAAAGTCCACCGAAGATTTAAAGGACGTTCATCTCAAAACAGAATCGCAATCCAAAGGTTACACAACCTAATCATGCAGAGATATGTTAAATATTCTTCAATGAGAGTGCATTGATGTGTGAATAAGCCACGAAACCTTCATTTCATCTCACTTTTGATCGCATTCCTTCTCAAACAAGCGGTAAATGCAACATCATAGGACCTCATTGGGAAAACTCAATCGATCATTCAAGTACAATGAGCAGGTTTTCTCACATTTACTTTAAGCAAGGGGGCTTGTGGTCAATCATGTCTGGGTGGAGTGCGGTATTCAATCTATTGAAATTCTTAATCATTTCTAACTTGGCCTTCGTCTTAATATTCCATGCTAACTTGACCCTCCATCGCCGCCCCTCGCCACGAAGCTGTTGTTCATTATGCCTCGATCATCTAATTTAACACTTGACTCACTGAGTGGGATTAAGTCAAAGCTCAAATATATTGTTGAGGACGAGAGCACAGCCAGAAATGCCAAGATTGAAAACTGTATCGGATCAGTCAAGGTCCCGGTTGGCATTGCAGGTCCTTTAAGTATCAGAGGTCCTAATGGACTGGATGGTATTTACCATGCTCCACTAGCGACCTGTGAACCTACACTGGTAGCAAGTTGCGCGCGTGGATGCAAAGTCATCAATGCCAGTGGCGGCGTTCAATTCAAGCTACTTCGAGACAATATGACCAGGGCACCTGTTTTCTGGTTTTCTAGTACAGAAGACGCCGCCTCCTTCTACGACCTTGTTCCGGACCTTTTTTCTGAGTTTCAACAAATTGCACAGTCGACTAGTAACTATGCCCGCCTCATGAAGCTCGAACCCCAAATTGTGGGAAATACGGTCCATGTCCTTTTCGAGTACCACTGTGGAAATGCCGCCGGTCAAAACATGGTCACACTTGCCACACAAAAAGTGTGTGATGAGTTTGCGACCTCCAATACAGCCTTGGTGATGAAAATCAAGAATATCACTGTCGAAGGCCAGAGAGTTTCGGATAAAAACCTATCTTGGGGTAATATCTTAAACTCGCGCGGGGTTTCTGTTATTGCATGGGCAACTATCACCAAAAAGGATTGCCAAAGTGTTCTAGGATGTTCAACTTGGGATCTATACGAAGTGGTACGGAATAGTAAGGAGGCAGCTACAAGGAATGGGCAGCTCGGCTACAGCATTGACCAAGCCAACATCGTGACCGCAATGTTTATCGCCTGCGGACAAGATGCGGCTAGCGTGGCAGAATCAGCCTGGAGCCACTTGACCGTTGAATTTGATCCGCAAACAAAAGGATTAAGCGTGTCAACCTATCTACCCAGTCTCCCGGTCGGAACCGTCGGAGCTGGTACTATCTTGGACACACAGAGAGAAGCGTTGGAGCTTCTTGGGTGTACTGGTTCAGGATCTAAAGGTCGTCTAGCTGGCTTAATCGCATCATTTGCGCTCGCTCTAGACATGAGTACCGTCGCGGCAATTACCAACAATACATTTGCAGCTAGTCATCGCAAATTCGCCAGATCGTCTGGTGAATCATCAAAACTTTGATAGTTAGACACGGGGAAATCCAAGAAAAACGTTTGAATCACTAACAATATGATTATTTGTCTATGTGATTATTCGACGATGGATAAATTTATTTTCGTTGAGGTGAACTGATGTACGGTAAAATCAGGCTCCTGACATGTGAAATTTGCCTTGTTACTGTACTAAAGAGACTAAATACTGTCTGGATCTGTATCGAATGGATCAATTAAAAGGCATTAAAGCTGACATATCTAACTAGCCACCGGCGGAATGCTTATATGTACTCTCTCTGGTTGCTGTAAATAACCGATAATTTTAATCCCTAAAAAATCGACTAAGTGACAAAATAAAATTGTGCTATTGTTGACTAACAATAATTTCTCGCGATTTCCTTTTCTTTCTTCCGTACTTCACATCCAGACCTTGTATCCCATCGATGCAACATATTTCCATTTGCGCATCGTAAGCTCTGGCGCCGGGGACGGTCCCTTTTGGAACCATAACTCTCCCTCATTGCTTCCGTCCTCGGGCTTAACCCATTGACAATTAGTGAAAGTTTTCCATAGACTCCCGAAAAATGAGGAATTTTTGTCTTCTTGGTACCGAGATTTTAGGATCGGAATGATAGCATTCGTGGCTTCCTCTGCATGGTAAAAAGGGATTTGGCTAAAAGTCGTAATGAGTCTGTGGAATCTTCAAAGTATTGAGCTTGTTGTTAGACCTACGAGAAGAGATGGTGGACCACGTGAAAATCAACAACGTTGTGGAAAAAGAACCTCCCTACCCAGCCAAAGTCGCGGTCAACTGTGGCCAAAGCTCCTTTTATGAAGGTCCAGGACTTCTGCTCATATCTCGGTATCGCAGGATGATTGTGCTGTAGATATGTGACAGCGACTGAAAATGGTCAAAAATCTCATGCAGTTTGGCTTTAGGTATGATTTTTCGGCTTACCTATCCAATGATTAACCCAGAGCCAAGGCAACACGTAGATCAAGATAAGTTTTGTGAATCCAAATGTCTTGTATATAAGCCACAGTCCTCTCACTGTTAAACCTATGCCAATATCCGAAATCACGACAGATGAAAATTCACCAGGGCCAAATAATGGGCTGGTAGGATTGAAATGATTATTCTGCCACCATCTTCCAGGCTTTCGAGGGTGCATGCTCTCTGGTCCCGAAGTCAGATAAAATAGAATATAGCAGGGCCACCCAAATATTTGTTGAACAAGTAAGCGAAGCATGGTAAATCCGGGGGTGTCAGATGCTAGGTTCTCTAGTGCGTCCCTATCGACCCCTAGTTTGGCGGCATACGCATCTTGTCGATATGGAACGTAGTGATTGTCTCTTTCCATATGATTTGCGTACATATGGTGTCGGCGATGTGTTGTTTTCCAAGAAAAATATGGTGTAAATAGCATTGAGTGAAGGCACCAGCCGAGAATGTCGTTGAGCCGCTGATTTGGAAAGAACGCACCATGGCCACATTCATGACCAAGTATCCACAATCCGGTGCCGAAAAGGCCTTGAATGAAACCATATATAAACCATGATAGTGCGTAGAGATAGCTATTAGAAACTCGAGAAGATATAAATAGTTCAATTGTTGCCAAAACAACAACACCAATGATATCTCTCAGCAAGTAGCTTAGAGATTTGACATAGGATGGGCAAAAGCAATGACTTGGAATCACTTTGCGTAGATCACTGAGATTTATCTCTTTCTTCGTAGACTATCTCTCTATTAGGTCTCTGTTCTCTAAAGCCAGCCCATTAAAGCTCACTCACCTCCGTGTCATTAGATGCTTTGGTATATGCAGAGCTCATAGTGTTGATTTGATGAATACAAAGTGAGATTGTAAGTTTGATACGTTCAGTGGGCTAAAAGTCTGTCGTGAAGCAAATTCGTCAAGTTGGATCTGGACTATTTATGCTGAATCATGATATAGTTGACGTATTTCACATCACGCTGAGGGTATACACATTTAAATCGGCGGTGAAATCGAGGCCAGAACTTACGTCGGAAAGCTTTTGAAGTGGAGAATTATTGAATTTCCGCTTGTTCTATCTACGCTTCATCAAGACAGTGACGTGTTAGAGTTTAGTAGACAGAGTCTTCCCTCCAATCTAGAAGCCTGCAGATAATAGTGATGCTATACTTTACTACACCGCTACTTTTCATCTAGCAGCGCTCTTTACCGACGCAATATAATATTTATCGATGGTTAGAGTTTCCTGGAAATACTATCCCTTCCAATCCATGATTCACCAAATGATAGTCAAGTTACAGTACATAATAATGGAATCCTTTATTACACCGCCAATTGTCATCTTACGGCGCTCTTTGGAGCAATATAATATTTATCGATGGTTAGAGTTTCCTGGAAATACTATCCCTTCCAATCCATGATTCACCAAATGATAGTCAAGTTACAGTACATAATAATGGAATCCTTTATTACACCGCCAATTGTCATCTTACGGCGCTCTTTGGAGCAATATAATATTTACCGATGGTTAGAGTTTCTTGGAGATATCATCCCTTCCAATCCCCAATCCCTAAGCATCGAGATAGGAGTAAGATATACTCTCCTACGGCAATGCTACACATTGCCACCTTCCCCCACCCCCCAAACCTTCTCTTTCTATAATAGTGCACTGACTTTAGGGAACAGATATTCAAAACTTGAAATTGAGGTATCCCTTGCTGAAATTTATGTACCCTCGTCGGATCATTTCTTCATTTATTGAAAGACTACGTTATTGACCACCTTGAGAGATGCTTTCAAGCAATGTTATATCTGAATGATGTCTACGTCAACTTAGGCTCCCGAAAGATACTACCTATTGTAATAATTAGGGATCAGTGAAATACATATAATCTATCTTTCTACTTAGGGGTTATCATGACCTTGAGAGACACTTAAGCTAAAGTCTTCATTTCGAAGAGCTTCAATGATCAATTCAATGAAAAGATCCAAAAATAAGCGCGACTCCCAGTGGATTATCCTGAAATCATTTCCCTTTGTTTAATTCCATTTGCTCTACATGTTACGGACAGGGGAACCTTGCACTTAGTTCGGAATTTAAGTTTGAACTCGCATTAGCATCGCTTCTGTGTGTCTTGATTCCTCTTGTTACTCAATAATTCCTTGTTTCTCATATCTTTCCTTCGAACAAAGAGATTGCTGTGCAACGATATCTCATGCAGTCGGGTTTAATTGTAGTAACTGCTTCTCTCAAATCATATGTCATTCAAGTGGCAATTCAAATATTGTGTCTAATATAAAGACAAGCTATATTTTCCAAATATCAGTCTTTCATTAGCAGCGTGCTTTCTATTCATAAATTTTCACACTACCTCCCTCGTGCTGTACTTTAAGAGAACAATTCATTCGTGGAACCATAGAGTCTTTCTTTGTTGTGAGAACCGAACCCTTCCTTCGACTCAGGAACATGGAATACATGAAACCTCAATTGAGGAGAGTTTTGCAAAATTTCAGGAAGTCGAACAATAACTGGGACTTTCTTAACAAAGTCGACTGGTTCGCCGTCATGTTGACGGGTGGCATACCGCTCATGGCACTCATAATGGGGATCATTTGGGTCCCATTGAAAAGACAGACCGCCATTTTTAGCAGCAGTTTTGCGGTGTTTTCAAGTATGAGCATAACCGCAGGTAGGTTTTCTGGGCCGTTTTTGTTACTGTTGACTGACAAAGATTCAGGTTATCATCGCCTTTGGTCACATCGTGCCTATTCTGCACATCCCGCACTTCGTGCTTTCTTTGCAGTTTTCGGAGCGAGTGCCGGTCTATACAGCATTATCAGATGGTGCAAAGACCACCGTGCTCACCATCGCTATCTAGATAGTGATCAGGATCCCTACTCTGCACGCAAGGGTCTTTTTTATGCACATTATGGATGGATCATTTTTAGGCGGGACCCTCACACAATCGGCCGTGTCGACATACAAGATCTAATCGAGGACAAAATCGTAATGTGGCAATTTGAAAATTACTCAACGCTGTTATTTCTAACGGCGTACGTTTTTCCTACAATAACGTGCACCCTTCTTTTCGACGACTTCTATGGGGGCATCATCTATGCTACTTGCCTAAGATTGTGTTTTATTCAACAATCTATCTTTTGCATCAATTCTTTGGCTCACTGGATTGGAGAGAAGCCCTTTGCGGACCATACCCCTCGTGATAATCTTTTAGTTGCTGTGATTACTTACGGAGAGGGCTACCATAATTTCCATCACGAATTTCCAATGGATTACCGTAACGGTGTCCGATGGATGGATTATGACCCAACGAAGTGGTTTATTCAGCTGTGTGCGTACGTCAATCTTGCATTTGATCTCAAAACTTTTCCGGAGAATGAGATTGAGAAGACCCGCTTCCAGCACCTAGAACGTCAAATGGAACAAAGGCGACTGAAGATATCATGGGGAACTCCGCCTAATCAACTCCCCGAAATAAGCATGGCACAGTTTACCAATCACGTGAAAATGGGGCATTCATTGATCATCATTAACGATATTGCCCACGACATATCAAACTTCGTGTTTGATCACCCGGGTGGAGTGAACAAGATAAAAATGAATATCGGCAAAGACTGTACAAAGCTTTTCTATGGTGAAGTCTACGCACATTCGAATGCTGCTGTTAATTTACTATCCACTTTGCGAGTTGCTAGGATTTGCCAGAATCCCTCAGTTTGAATTCTTTCAGCCATGCTACGAAGATCGAATTTGTGATGGATTTCAGTTACTGCGATCATAGTGAAAATGCGTACAGGTCAGGTACAATTCGCAAATAACTAGACTTTGCTATAAGGAGCTGCAAGGCACGGGATACGAAGTCAATACTTTTAGGCACTGGAAGCAAAAGATTAAAAAGGGAACATCGAATAAACACGTTAAGATATTTATATGCTTGATACTGTTGGTTATGCAAACCGGCTTATGTTGGCCATTGCCTCGTAATATGCTCTTGAAGCGTTTCGCGTTTCCTAAGCTCTATTCACTTACACTTGGTCTGGCGATGCCCTCATAGTTTCTATTCTAGTACCTTCGCCCTCACCTATCTACCACCTAATGTCAATATGGTAGGATACGGGTATCGGCTAGGAAAGCTAGGATCCAATGGAACGAGATGCTTAATATAGTGGTGTATTAGGTGACTGAACTATCCAAGTGTGTAGGCGGGGGAATGTTGAATATCCCCTACCTCGCTGTCTAGCGCGTTACAGCGCTAGGTTCCGAGTATACCCGGGATACTATATAAAATATATAGTAAATCGAGTATCCCTGTAATATTCTGACACACACAGGGATATGTATGTCTCGCCTGTATTATGCGGTCTGCCTTCTTGACATATTGTACTATGTAGGTAAAAACTTTCGAGCTATTTTGAAAAGCAGCCAATCTAATATTCTAATTCATGAAAACCTCGTCTTTTTATGAGCTTGTTAATTCTTCACAGCAACTAATGGTAGTCAAATATTCAAATCTTAGTCTCTCGACTCTGGGGGTTTGGGCTCTTGAGGCCAGATTCGATGGCCTTGATTTGAAGCGATAAGAACTTGGAGTAAATACGGCACAATGCGAGGTTGCCGCCAAAGAACCAGAAACCAGGATGTCCGCTTGGGCGCCACATCTAAAATAACTGTTAGAACGCTGTAAAGATCCAAACATATGAAAATCAGAAGGCACTGACCGCTCGTACTTCCCCTTCATTATCCAGATCCCACACATCCAAGCATCGATCGGCTACCTTGTCACCCACCACCTTCCGCACAGTGGTCCGCATATTGTCATACCCAGTAGCAAGAACAACCACATCAGCAGCCAGAGTACTACCATCAGCAATCTGCAGCTCACGAGGGCCAAATCCCTTGATACCTCCTGGGCTGTGTTTTACCTTGATCTTGCCATCAATAATGAGCTGGCTGCATCCCACATCGATGTAATACCCGCCACCGCGGGTGAAATATGCACGCGCGATACCAGCTCCATCGGGTCCAAAGTCTAGTTGAAATCCTGCACGGCGGAGCCCATCTAATGTTTCCTTTTCGGCGCTTGCGATCCGCTCGGTCATATGTACACTGAGCGCAAATTGGACTGGGAAGGGAAGACTTTCGGAGGCAATATCCACTTCTTCAGTTGGAGAACTAGATAGGAGAAGTATTAGTAGGTAATCGATTCCCAAAAGAAATGAAGCATACCCTCCATCCTCGTGGAGTCCTTCATGCATCATAAAGACTCCCTTATCTGCAGTAATAACATATGTTCCTTTGCGCTGAAGCATTGTCACATCTGCACCGTTCTCGTAGTAGTTCTGTGCAATGTCGTGGCCACTATTGCCAGTACCCACAACCACCACTTTCTTGCCGCGAATATCTGACTCAGAGGCATCTGTGTGTTGACTACCGTGGTATAGAATTCCTTGGAAAGAGTCTTGTCCAGGGAAACTCGGAATATGAGCCTCGCCCGAGTGTCCTGTACACCAGACGATATGGCGGGGATGAAGTATGCGTTGGGAACCATCACCTCTAGTCACAGCAACACTCCATTCTGCAGTCGCATCATTGTACTCGGCTGAGATCACCGAGGTTTTCATCCAGACGTTCAGCTCCATTATGCTTGCATATGCTTCAAACCAATCGCCCAGTTTGTCTTTAGGGGTGAACTGTGGCCAATTCTTGGGGAATGGAAGGTATGCCATGTGGGTGAATTCGGCTGGGTCGTGGGTGACGAGGGTCTAGCGAGACAAACAGATTCACAGATTAGAAGTCTTGTTTAAAATGGGCTCATTCTTTTGTGATCATATCCAACCGACTCACCCGATAGCGTTTCCGCCAGTTATCTCCAATACGCTCGTGCTTGTCAACGAGAAGACATGATAGTCCGAGATTCTGCAAACGTGCACCCATGTTTAATCCAGCTTGTCCTATTTCAATGAAAAATTAGCTTGAAGGTCGTGGTGTTGATTGAATTCGCGTCGAAGTATACTCACCGGCTCCGACGACCAGCACTGTGGGCTCGGCATCGAGAAACTCCTTCTGTCGTTCTCTTCGTTCAATCCATGTTCCAGCAGCCAATCCCCCGGGCATCGATTCAGTTGTACCCTCCGGACGTCGTTTTCCAAGAGGCTCCTCTGCACCTTTCAGTTCCTGCAGAGAAGTGTACATGGCATACGCCTTCCATTGTCCATCTTTTTCTTGAGTCAGACGCACCATACCAGTTCCCCGGCCAACAAGCGTTTCGAAGAAGAACATGCTCGATACCCAGCTCAGGCCATTGATTACTTGCTCCCAGTGAGGCTTAAACTGTCCCTGGCTCTGAAGTTGGAAATTTGATAGCTGTTTGGCCTTATTTTCACTGAGGAACTCCTTGATTTGCGTGGCGCCGTGGAGTGTGCGCATATCCCAGTCTAAGGCAAGCATATCTCGCCACCAGGACTCATTATGGAAGAGAGCATGAAGATCAATGGTTTCTGGTCTGGAGAGCTGTGCTTCAAGAGCTTCCAACCATTTTTGTGCGATAACTTGAGCATCGGCTGGTGGGCTACTCGCAGTCGTCGGAAGTTGTACAATGTGTGGGCTCCCACCCGTCAACGTGGCTGCCATGAGGATGGACAGATGCGATGAAGTGAATGGTAAATGAATGCTTGCAGTGAACTTTACTTGAGTTTTTTTTTATAGCTTCTGCCCGTGGGGTGTAAAGAATGCCTTTAAAGAGTCCATCCTCCATTGTTCCGAGGGACCACAATTCCATCAGAGTAATTCAGCCGAAAAGGTAAGAGAGGGGCAAGGTGGAAACCTCGCGACGTCAGAAGACCAAATAACGGCAAGACTATAGGACAACAAGCAGAAAGGTCCCCGCGCCATCTCCAACTCCACACTGAAGTAGATCGCATTCCTCTCCGATGTCGTGTTCGGCTCAAAAGCCGCCGAGCCTTGGGGCAACTTTGCCGGAGTTCGGCAGTGCCTGAACGGGAAAATCTAGCGGGGGTTTCGGCTATATATATGCTTCTGGAATCTTTGGAACGAGCAGGAAAAGGCATGGGGAGGCACCACTTACCAAGATAGGACGCTCTCTACCTAAGAGTTTCCCTGTCATATGAGGCTTCCCTTTCTGAGATGCTGCCGCTTTTTAAGATGGCACTCAGAGTCAGACTTCAGTAAATGTCAGACCAAGCTCAGACGGAGACCCGTTAAAACCTATCACGTGACTATACAGAGGGCACACTGAGTGTTATCAGCCAGCTCACCGATTACTGAGAACCATCAGAGGCATCTATGGAGCACCTAGTCCACGCTCAGCCCGAACTCAACAAAGCACAAAGCCCCACAATATTCTTCATCAGTTGATTCACTTTCATAAAGCCCTCATTTCCCATAATGGCCCCATTTTTTGAGGCGCTACATCCTTTCAAGGAAAAAGAAAGGCTAAAGAAATTATGCCGCAGAAATGGAAAGCTGATTATATAAGGTACAGACAGGCAAATCCAATTGATATTTAACTTGCAATTTCAGCAGGAAAGATTATCATTCTTTCAGTACTTCTTGAGGAAAAAATTCGAATGACTGCAAAAGTCTCACGGTTGACAACATGTCTAGGCCTGGCCAAGTGCTAAAGTACAATATGGGGAAATCGTGCTCTGAACAACACAAGATTCTTCCTTTTCATTCTGAAAACTCATATTCAGAACAAAACATTGTATTTTCGTAGCACAATGAACTAGCATACCACAGCGCTGGATGTTGATCCAGTATAACCCAAATTGATGAGAGTTTCATAGCTCCAATAATCCGCCTGTGTACCCTGACCGCTGACTGTAGTATTTCCCGTAAACTTTACAGTCCAATAGGCGCTTCCTTGAGTATACTTTTTCCATGCAGCAAGACCGGTCTCTAGCGCCTTTTGACGTGAAGAAAAGGTGTTATCAATTTCAGCCTGAATAGACCACTCTCCAACGAATGTTGGGAATTTTCCATCTCCAGCAGAATTCAGAGCATCTTCACAGATATAATCCGTTATGTTGGCAGAGCTTGTCGATCGGCCTTCAAAGTAATAGTTGTGCAAGTCAAAGACTAGGTTTGTTCCCGTACTGAAATTAGAGGACCAGTATGCCTCGCCCTTGAAACTGCCCTGGAACATGACTGGAATTTGAGGATTCACGGCCTCAACCTTATAGATAACTTGGTGAATATAGCTTGCTAAGTATGCGGCCCCACTATCGGTAAGACAATATGGTGTTCCGAATAGTGAAAGATCTTCGACGTCGACAGGCTCATTGATTGGCTCGAGCGTGAATGATTGAGGAGAGCTCGAGTCTTGAATAAAAGCAATAGCCGCATCGACAGCTTTCAAGGAGTACTTAAGAGCAGTTGCATTGTTAAACCAGCCATAGTGTCCATAAGCCTCACCAAACGGGAAGCCATTCACGCCCCCAGGGAGAGAGTGGATATCTATAATGATATGCATACCGTACTTGTTGATAGCATAAGATGAAATACTAGAAAGGAAGGACACTTGGTTCCCATGGTAAAGTTGCGACCCCGGGACATCGACCCATGCAGCATACGTGGTCGGAATGCGAAGCACGTTGATACCAGCTGCACCCAGCCTGTCGATATCGGCAGTAGTAATCCAAGTAGCATATCGTCGTTCAAGAACTGGTCCACATTGGCTACCAAGGTGAGCGCAAAGCCCCCATTCGTCCACTTCGCCACCTGAGTATTGGGCCCACCAGGTAGTATCAATGGTTGATTCCTGCTCTAACCAGCCACCGAGGTTGACACCCACAGCATTGAATGTTTTCCAATCCAGGTACTGACTTGATGCAGCCATGCAAGCCGTGGCAAAGCACGCCAACCAGGAGTACGAAGGAAACATGCTGGTCAATGTCATTATTCTGAGTATTGGTCGAATTATTTGAATGGGTGCTCTGTATGACAGAATAAGTGTGTCTGCTGGCAATAATTGATGTGAGTTTGACGAAGATGTGCTCTCATTTATAGAACCGAGTCAACAGCCGTCGACAATTGTAATGCCTCCATTTGAAGCGGAAATCTATGCTAGTTTTTCCTTGGGACAGGAAGGAGAAACGCCGATCGGCGTAAAATGGGGTGAATCATAACCCCTTTGGAGCTTCTAAAACCCGCGGAAATTACCCTCGTAGCCGTCAATAGAAATTCCTGGAATTTCTCAAACGTTCTCCGGTATAGTCGGCCAGGTCCACATTCCGCACGAATAATGCGTCGGTACGTTCTCCGGTACACTTGACGAGGTTCATATCCGCCAAACATATAACAGGCATTACATGGTTTTATTCTCACTTGTGGGGTAATCAAATAGTTAATACAGCATGTGTAGGCTCTTGCGACTCACACCGAGCCAATCCTGCGGCCCCGTTGCGGGGAATCGGGAGCGAAAGGTTTCGGGCCAACCAATGCCAAATCATCGAGAATGGCCTGGTGATCTCGAGGCGATCAGCCACTCAAACTAAATTCAACCGAGTTATCTCGAAGTGACTGAAATTCGCGGGAATGGTGTCAGCCGCAACATGGCAAGCTCACGTTACCGAGATTAAGGGACCTTCGGTCCCTCTCCACTTACCGGGGTAACTCGAGGTCCCCGGACTCGCTAGAGCCCAATGCAACTAAAAGTGAAGACCTTCTCTAGCTGATACTCTGGAGTCAAATATTTGAGTGCGGGGACAGCTCTGCAAAGACGATGTAAGTTGAAGATAAAACGATCAGCATTTGTCGCCAGTGTCTCGAGCAAGTCTATCATAATCTATTAATATAATTTACGCCCAGCTCAAGAAAACACAAGAAGTGGTAAGTAGTAATACAAGATCTATCTTTTGTTCAAAAATCCAAGCATGTCAAACTTCAAGCATGCATTTTCCTTGTCGTCAGATCAGGTTCGGGCAGCTACTCCCCCGGGCACAATTACTTTATCAGGTGAGAAATTCATTAATCATGTTTATCCTCGCGAAAATGTCTTTGGAGGCTGCCTTCGAAGCTTACTGATCTTTAAATGGTTCAGCACATAACATGCACGCGGCTGAGCTTGGGGAACTAGCACGAAATAACGAGCTGGTGCTCGTTCCTCAACCTAGCTCAAGCCCGGCAGATCCACTCAACTGGACAACCTGGCGCAAAATCGCGACTCTGACTTGCATGTCGCTATATGCGGCTATTGGCAATTTCACATCGGCGTCTATCGCGAGTGCCTTCCCCCTTTATGCCACACCACTGGCCTTCGATCCTCCTGTATCAATGGGAAATCTGACTCATCTGATAGCTGTGCGTACGTCCATAGAGAGTCCATGGAACGAAGACTACTAATGCTGATCAAGGTAAATGTGCTTATGATGGGTGCCGCCAACCTCTGGTGGGTGCCTCTGGCTAATATCTTTGGCCGGAGACCAATCATATTGGGAAATATCTTACTGTTAGTACTCTGCTGTATATGGGCTGGGCTTGCCAAAAGTTTTGGAAGTCTGTTAGCTGCCCGTATCTTTATGGGTATAGCAGTGGCGCCAGCAGATACAAGTAAGAAGTTGCCGTTATCTTTCACGAATTTTTAAAAATGACTAATATAAATGGTATAATTTTAGTTGCCCCAAATGTGATTGGTGAAATATTTTTTACTCACCAGCGTGGTCGAGCTATGGTAAGTTAAACATATAAGTCTTAGAGCTTATAATATACTTATTATTTTGAAGGGCTGCTATACGGTTTCTATTTGCTTAGGACCGATTATTGGGGGTATGTGCGGTGGATACATTGCTGGTACGAAAGGCCTCCTATGGATCCATTGGGTGAATGTGATCTTGGCTGCTATCTTACTACTTGCCTGTGTTACACTTGTGCCAGAAACACTATTAAATAGAGCTCAGGCACCGCCCGCAGGTCATAACCCACGCTTAATGGAGAGTGAAGAAAAGCCAGATGCTGAGACCATTGAGACCGTTGCTCCGATCTCTCTGAATATTAATCTGAATCGGCAGACGATTTATAGCTCTATGCTAAAATTTCATAAGTACGAAGGGGAACTCCTTCAGAAGTTTCTAGCTCCATGGAAAACACTTCGTCTGCCTGGGGTTTGGCTAGTTATGTTTTGGTACGCTGGGCTAGTAGGTGGTGTAGTGACCATCACTACTGTCGGACCAACTCTCATTGCCGCACCGCCGTATCTCTGGGGAAACAATGCCGGCCTAATTATGACCGGTGGGATTATTGGTTCTCTTTTAGGGCTCATTGCAACAAATTTGAGTGCCGATCGTGTTATCATTACTAGAAGTAAACGGCAGGGCTATTCATTTGTGGAACCAGAAGAACGCTTGCCGATAGCAATACCAGGCTTGATTCTTGCAACTACAGGACTTTGGATATTCGGCTTCTGTGCGCAGAACCTTGGACAGGCGCATATATGGGTAGGAATGCAGTTTGGGCTTGGAATGCTTTGTTTTGGCTTAATGCAGGCGCCTTCGATTGGGTTCAACTATGTGAGTGACGACTACCCATAGCTAACAGAAAAGATTCTTGATCCTAGGCTGACATTTTCTTATTTCGCAGCTTATCGATTCTTACGGTCCACTCGCAGCTGATTGCTTTGTGGCAGTGACTTGTATGAGGGCTATCATTAGTTTTTCATGGACCTTTTTTGCGGGTGATTGGGTCACGAGTGCCGGACCAGCTATCCCATTTGGAGTTTTTGGAGCTATCATGGGGATATTTGCCTTGTTTATCATCCCATTTTTGATTTGGGGGAAGAGAATCAGGATTGCTACCGCTAATTGGGCTCAAACCTTTTCTTGATCTAAGGTTATTTTATCACCTGTATCTAAGTTTAGTCAAGGCTTCTATTGAGATGGTCAATCATACAAGCTCAATAGTGTAAGAGCCTGAAGAAGATGTCGAGGTATCTGATGGGACCCATGTGACCGAGTATAGAGCTATATCTTAGCGATGCCATTGCCTACTGTTAGAATGGGCATGGTTCTCGCTCAAGCGTGTCGGTATTCTAGTTCTTTTCAGATGTACCAGCTTGTCTGGAGTCGACGAGACCCTTGTCACTCCTGCTATTTAGCTGACCTCATACCTGTCTCTTCGCCCCTTCTACACTTCTCACATTCATAATAATCCGTACTAACTTGAATCTGTCACAAATGTCACTAAGGACGTGTGCTCAGAAGGACTGGAGCACTAACTGAACAATGTACATACTGTAGTGGGGAAATGGTGGACGAGGAGTGACCTCTGATTGGAGGATATCTTTCCTAGTACACAGTCTTTACAGGATATAGTAGCTTCGCATCTCCGATAGGGAGAGAATCGACTTTTACATCAACTTTTACACATATTTCGCTGAAGCAGCATCTGTTTCCTCTCTGGGACGCTCCCTTCCATCGTGGTGTGGTGTGGTTTGTTGGCTGGTTCGCTGATCCATCTCATGCTGTCTGCATTCGCAGGCTTGCCGTAGAGCGCCCTGGTTCAATACGTAGTTTACGCATACAATGATAATGAATTGGAAGGCCTTTGGAAAATTGAAGGCATATACATACATATCACCTTTTCAATATAAGCACTAGTCTTTAGAAGCAAGCATTTAGCTTCTCTTCTACCGCCGGTTAGTCTGCAGAGTGTTTGTGAAAATACCTGGGCGGATACACCATTCAAGGCAGTAGTCTGTAAGGCCCTTGCAGTCTTGATATCTATTTAGTATCGTACTTACAGTATACTTCGGATTAAACGAGAGCTGCTTTCCGGTATCGGTTGTTTCAAAACTGTTGAGCAAGACTCAAAGCACATTTTGCCGAAGCTAGTATGTACCACTGAGCATAGTGGAGCCGCGCCTCCGAGGGGGCGGGGCCGAAGACCCGATGAACATGCGCTCACAAGAACACAGTATGTATTGTAGAAACATTTGTTCAAAAAGGAAACTCCGATCTGCTCTCGTCTACACTTCCAAGCTGTCAATTATCCTTCGACCTCGATAGACCCGCCACGTCCAATTGAACCCTCACAATGGGCACCAATCAGCTGCAACTTCCCCCTCAAAACCGGTACATCACCACGCATAACGCTTATGGCAAGGCAGTTTTTTCAAATCGGTTGCCAGAAGCCATGCCAAACCAAGTTTTCAACGGGGTACCGTTCAGCTTAGCTTACACGTCCAGCGAATTCCCTGTCCAACTGTCCGCAGACGCCGATCTCGGGAAATACGAAGCCAACCTATCCACCCCTCCTGGTCTGGTTATTTCCACTGGGAGCGTTTGTCGGATTGTCGATTTTGCTCCCCATGTTGAGAGTCCAATGCACCGCACTGTATCTTTGGACTACGGTGTTGTCTTGGAAGGGGAAGTAGAGCTTTCATTAGACAGTGGAGAAAGGAGGATTTTGAAGAGGGGCGACGTTGCAATTCAGCGAGCTACAAGCCACGCTTGGAAGAATGTAACCCCTGATAGCGGGTGTGCCAGAATGCTCTATGTGCTTATTCCTTGTCGGCCTGTTCATGTAGAAGGCTTGGGGTTGCTTGGCGAAGCGGTTGATGGTATCGGTGTTAAGGCCAGCGAATGATATAGCCCACAGGCTGCTGATTGTATGAAGGTATTTAGTATTGCTTGCGTGAAAGGATCCTTCATTCTATTGGTTCTTTAATAATTCAAGAAGGATATTTGACCCGCAGTATTTTGAGGCAGAAAGACGTTGTCTTATTGAAGTTAACAATGCGTTGAGCCTGTCCCTACCCCTGAGAGCATAAATTGGAGAAACTTTATAGTGGCTGTTGATTGGTATTTGGAACACGATGCGTCTCCACACTAGCAAAATATAGTTAAGCGGGGTAACTACCATATTCCAATTACTTATGACCGCTGACTATCGGGCGCCTTCTTTTGCCGTACTTGCAATGGCAGCTGGCTATGCGCATTGCGCATACACATAACAGTCATCTGAGCCCAAGCCATTTCACATTGCTATTAAGAAGAACAGACTTCATAGTGTTTTATTTCCAACGAGGATGTCTTCAAGGCAGCGTAGACGGCCTCAACTATAAGCGATGTGGATGCGCTGCCTATGGTACTTGATACCTCAGTTGCCTCGCCCCCAAAAAGGCTATGTCGTTTGCATCCACGCCGCCTGCTTCTTCCAGCGAGCTAAATCAGCAGCACGGCTAAAATCATCGATACAATTGGGTTGGCATGACAAAATTTGGCTTCATCATTGGCTGCGGTCTGAGGCCGCCGAGGTAAGTGATCCGAGGGCCGGATGTTGTCCACCCTCTTCCGATTTCCCTTAAATAAGGTTAACCCGCAGAATTCCATCAGTGATAACCGAGGACTTTTTTTATTAGCAGTGGCAACTAAAAAGCGTGAGACTGCAGGACCGACTTACTGCCCAACGAGATATGTTTTCACTGGCACTCTTTTGAGAAAGGGTTCCCAGCGTACTGTAGATTGGCCTCTCCAGGCTGACTCAGAGTGAGCAAACATCAGCACCATCTATGGCGTCAGGCACGCCTGAAATGCCTCGGGCCCTTTCTCAGGCCCTTTTCCAATGCAGAACATGCAAGAAAGGATATGGACGAGCTGATCAACTTATTCGTCATGTCAGATCTCGTATGTAACTTCGACATGAATTATATTTCCTGTCAATATCGCGGAATCCCAGTCTAACCCTTCAAACCAGATATCACAGATAAACCTTTTATTTGCGAGACATGTCGCAAGGGTTTCTCGAGAATGTTGGTTCCCTGTCTTTACAAATTGTTCTCGCCGCTAAGTTTTCTGATAAAATACCAGTGAACTTCTCAAAAGACATACTCAGAGCCATAACTCTGAAACTGCTCGCCTCGAGGCCGGTGGCTGTTCAGGGATTAGTGGACGTGTCTTGCAGGCATGCAAGCGATGTGCGGCTTCTAAGCTCAAATGTGACGATAATAAACCCTGCCGGCGATGCGTGCGGCGAAATCAGATCTGTCAATGGTCCCCAAGGGACGAGAAATTTGCGACCCCGCCAGCTTGTGTGCCAACCATGGAGCATGATCCGCAACTCCTGAAACAATCTGGGAAAGACCTTTTGGGCAATGCTGGAGCTACAGCCCCGTCTGGTAATTCGGTGGTGACTCGCACGGTTGACGGTATTTCACACGTTTAATGGCCATAGACTCCTACAACTGGAAGCTAAATACTGGCGCTATAGAAGAGAGCGCAAATTCGCCCGGATTCGAAAGCTTCTGTCAAGAATGGGAAGAATTCAAATCATTGGATACATTTCCATTCACGGTTCGTGACCTAAAATCTCATTCGTTTTACAATTATGAATCATTCTCACCATGAATACAGAGCCTTGGCCAGTGGAACTCAGTTGACAGTATGAACATCGACTTCGGACTTACAAATGAAGATCTGGAGCTACTAGACTCCATCAATAGATCGGCTTCGGCTCGACAAGTACAGGACTACCCGAAGTACCTTGCTTTACTTAATACTCAGACAAATATGAAATCCACTCATCGGATTTGCAAGACTGAATTCCAAGACTCCCCGTTGTCGCACTGGACTCCCTGTAAGGAGGATAATGCACACATGGACCAGCAGTATTTATATCTGCCCCAGCATCTCGACGATTCACATTCCATCGGTGACCTAAACTCCCAAAACCTCACATATCCTCTTTCAACAGAGAGCCGAGATGCCGCTTTCGCACTTGTTGTCCAAATTTGTCAACGGAGAAGTCTCAATCAAATCATGCAATGTTTCCCAAGCACGAAGCTCTTGGATAGTCTGATACATAATTTCTTTATCCACCACAGATCAGAGACCGACAATTGGATTCACGAATCAACTATAGACCTTGACCAAGAACGCCCTGAAATGATCCTCACGCTTGCAGCTGCGGGCGCAGTTCTTGCTAGAGTGGAAGCAATTCAGAGACTTGGCTATGCTATGTTAGAAGTGGCTAGGCTCAAAGTCAATAGCATGGTATTTACTGATGATCATAACTGACAAAATTAAGTACTGATTTTCAGTAGTTTGAAGATGACAACACCCTCACGCGTCAGTTGAAACAACAACAAATGTATACTCTCATTCTGCAAGTTGGACTTTGGAGCGGCGACAAACGGCGCGTCGAAATTGCCGAGAGTTGTTTCCAACCTATTGTGACGGTGAGATCAAGATCTGAATTCCAGAGTTGATGACTGCGGGCTGAATTATGGAGCAGATGCTGCGGCGAGCCTCGCGCTTCAAATGCGAAGCTTATCCCGTTATCGCTCTCTCTGCGACTGACGATGAACAAACCGTCGACCGCAAATGGCGTGCATGGTTAGAGAAGGAATCTTTCAAAAGGGAATCAACAAACGCCTCATCTCGACAAGTTGCATCTCAAATTTGCTGACTTATATGATAGACTCGCTCACTATGTGTTTATTCACGATTCTCAAGCATCTACTTTGAGATATACAACCCCACTCATATCTTACACGGAGTTCGATCTCCCTCTGCCCTTCTCACGCAACCTCTGGGATGCGAAAACTGCCGCCGAGTGGAAAGCCATATACATCCAAGAAGTTCCCCAAATTCCATCGACTTCCATATCTCTTGCCAACATCATGCAAGATATTACCACCTTAGGCCGTATTCCTCGCTACGCCGACTTCCAATTAGCGGCCCTAGCAACCATTCACGGTATATCAAACATGATAGCAGACTGTAACCGGATACTTCGAGGCTCAACCGGTCAATGGACCACTGTGGTCACGAATTTATGGCAGCAAGAGCTGGTCCAGCTTCTGGAGCAATTTCAATTCCTTGCAGTCGAACCTCTCTGGAATTCAGTACCAGCTATATCTCTTATTTACCAGACAGTTTCACTTTCATTATCCTTGCCACTTGGCGTCCTCGAAACCTTTTCGGGCAAAGATGGCGAAGAGCGATCATCTACCATCTACGAATCGTTCATTCAACATATAAGCCCAGCACACCTGCGGAAGGCGAGCTGGCACGCTGGTCAGATACTACGTATTGCAAAGTCCTTGCCTCCTGGATCTCTTATCGTTTTCCGTGCTGCTTGCGTTTACTACAGTGCCTTGGCCTTGTGGTCTCTTGCCACAGTGTTCTCGCTAAAGGGTATGCCTCCGTTGATTGAAACCCGCAGTACCGACCCGGTGTTCTTTTTGGACGGCAAGAATGACGGTGATGTACTACGCCGATTTACCACTTTGGGCCAGGGAAGCCCTGTCCTATCCTCCGCCGGTCAGCATGTTCACTTACAAGACCGAGGGGCGGTCATGCGTCTCTTCCAGCAAATATTTAGTTCAGAGCATGGTGAATATGCAATTGACCAACAAAGTAGGGCTCTCTGTCATGCCTTTACCATACTGGGAAGAAATGGCGATGCCCCGAACGGAGGAATGGAAGACGAAGATACCCAATACTAGCGAGACAATAGCATTCTTTGAGATCAGTATGGAGGATATTCTACTGCTTGTTGATTTGTCGTTGATTTGACAGTTCTCATATAATTAATAAAGAGAAGTACGACACATCTTGTCATTGCTTCTTTGATTGCGATCGTAATTACTTCGCAAGCAAAAACCTCAGTATCCCTGCCGAATCAAACGGCATCTTTCTTGGGATGACATGGACCGCTGTGATTATTCAAACAGTGCATCAGGATTACCCAGTGAGCAAACCCAGCAAGGATCTGAGCACTAAAACAGAAATGGAAAGCCAAGAAATGGTATAGGAAATCCATTAGGTAGGTAATTCTGGCACTTTTACTGCTTCAGGTCAAGCTTGTGACTTGCTTACTGGAAGTATTGTCACGCACGTCCAGCGACAGCAAATACAGATGAAGATACTGCATATTCACAGGGGCATTCTAGTTCTTCTAGTGATCTCATTTTATGTCTCGAGTGACTGGTGAATAACACTCATCCTATAGGTTTCGCTTCGCTCGATCAGTTCGTCGTGCGTTCCTTGTTCAACACAGCGGCCCTCCTCAATGAGATAGATACAATCAGCACGGTGGATAGTGTTGAGGCGATGCGCAATGGCAACAATGGTAGTACGTCCAGCAAGTGTTGCAAGGGATTCCTGGATCCGCTTTTCAGATTCGACGTCAAGGGCACTAGTCGACTCATCCAACAGCAACATGCGGGGACGGCGCACTAGAGCTCTCGCAATAGATAACCTCTGGCGTTGACCACCGGAGAATTGTTTACCATCCCGGCTGCATTGTGTTTGATAGCCATGTGGTAAGGCCATGATCACGTCATGAATGTTGGCCATGCGGCAGGCTTCTTCAATGTCCTCTTGGGAAGGTTGATGGCCTGGGCGAGCTCCGAGTCCAATATTGAATGCGACAGTTCCTTCGAATAGGACATTCTCTTGTGGAACAAGAGCTATATCATCACGAAACCCTGTTCCAAGCCGCTGGGTGATGTTGATACCGTCGATTATAACGGCTCCGGACTCAGGGCGGTGGAATCGCTCCAACATCGCGAATATCGTGGACTTACCCGAGCCACTGGGCCCTACCAGGGCGCAGAATTTTCCAGGCTTGATTCTCAAGCTTAGACCACGTAGAACCGTTTGGCCCGGTCGAGATGGATACTCGAAATATATATTCTGCAATTCTGCCCCAATTCCCCAAGCCCTCAAAGCGGAATAGGGCGCATCCAGGCTCCTTTGCTCAATATGTGCTGCCTCTATGTCGAGGACCTTCTCATTCAAGAGACAGGTTAAGTAGCCCTTTATCTTGCCTGAAGTACCAATATTCAACTCCTCATCTACCGAGCGTGTTGTGAGCAACTCTGCAATGTTCGAGGCAGCGATGCCTGCTTTCGAAATATCTGGCGCCAATGCAAACATTTGGCCGCAAGACTGTGTACTAAACAGCAACGCGGGCAAAACAATGAAAAATTGGGTTTGAGAATATAGACCTGCCACAATCTGCTTGGTGCCCCACCAGTATGCCAAAGCGTAGACCAGGTTGCTGACGCTGAAAGCAAATGCCAGAAATACGTTTCCGATCGCAATGGATCTCAATGTTTCCTGGTATGGCGCGTGCAATGCTCGTTCATAAACAGAATAGGACTGTTTCTCCAAGGAAAAGGCGGCAATTACCCTAATATTGTCGACAGCTTCAACTGTAATTGCAGTTGCTTTTGCAAATGCTTTCTGATGACGCTCTGCAAATTGAGCTTGGGTTCGTAATTTCATCATACCAGAAGCCAACAACACAGGTATTGTAGGAAGAAGCACGATAGCAATCTTCCACGCGATTGCAAATGAGACCACTATCCCAGCAATCAAGTTCACGGCCATAGCTAAGAGTAGACCAATAGTAGTTCCAGTAATACTGCTAAGAGCCGTGGCATCACCTGTGATGTATGTTATGAGGATGCCGGGTGTTCTGTTGCTCATTCCATGCCATTGAATCGTCTGATCCAAGAGAGATCGCAAGGATAGAACACGGATGCGGTATAAAATTTTGTCTGCAGCCCAACCAAACGCACAACCTCCAATCACATTCGTAAACAACTCAACAAGAGCCATAACGAAAAACAAAAGTCCGTAGAGCTGTCCGCTATTTCGGATTGAATCGGATCCAGCGCAGGGGCTCAAACTACCAACTGTGTGCCCAAAAATGACCGCTTCAGCTGTGTAACTACCTCCAATCACCACGGACATGGCCAATCCAAGGGTAATATAGCCCATGTCTGGACGCACTAAAGAAAACACAACCTTTGTCGTAAACCATCGGGACCTCTTGGCTGTTTTTTTTGAAGAATTAATTTTCTTCTTCGCTTCCTGTTCTTTCCCGATTCCTTTATCCTGTGGCTCCACAGTGTAAGTGGGAAGCGCTTCGTCGGTAATATCTGTACTGCCTGTGTCGAGAAAGTTATGTTTTTCAGCGGCAATAAAGGTCTTGTTGGTATCGTCTTGAGCTTCACAAATTGGATCCTGGGTAGGAGGATTTGCTAGGCCCATTTTTCCAAGGTTCTGAAGCTTCACCATCTCAGCGTAAGTTCCACCTTCTGCAACCAGCTCAGCATGAGAACCCTGCTGAACAACTTGGCCCTCTTTAAACACCACAATACTGTGAGCATCTTTGGCAGTAGCTAAGCGGTGGGCAATCGACACTATCGTAACTCTTTCAGCCACTTTAGCCAAGGCATCTTGAATCAGTCGTTCGCTAGTAGAGTCCAGAGCCGCCGTCGCCTCATCAAGGATAAGCAGCGCCGGTTCGCGAACCAGTGCTCGCGCCAATGCTATTCGCTGCTTCTGCCCACCGCTCAATAGATTCCCGCTAGAGCCTGCATTTGTCGCAAACCCATGTGGCAGAGCATCAATGAAGGTCAAAGAATTGGACTCGTTCGCAGCTTTGCGAACCAATTTCACAATTTCGGAAACTTTCGGGTCGTATTTCTCAAGAACGTTCTTTTCAAGCATGCCAGAGCGAATTTCCTTTGCTAGATTCGACAGGGTAGAATCAAGAATGAAGGTTGCGAGGGCCTTATGCTCTTCGGCGGCAGAAGCAACCAGCCCATAAGCAATATTTTCCAAGATTGAAAGGTCCAACAAAGACGGCTCTTGCTGCACAAATCCGATGTTTCCACGCAGATATTTCACATTCAATGCCCGTATTGCTTGGCCACCAATGCATATTTCGCCAGTCGTCGGGTCATAGAAGCGTTCTAGCAGAGCCATGATAGTAGACTTTCCACTGCCAGACGGGCCAACTATGGCAGTATGTTTTCGTGCTTGAATAGTAAAACTAACACCTTTTAAAACAGGTACCTCGGGTCGAGATGGGTAGCTGAAGTGTACATCGCGGAAAGTTATTTCCATTGAACTGAATGAGATTGATTTGTCACCAGTTCCTGATGTGCCATCAATCTTAGACCGTCTATTGATGACTGACAAGAGCCTTTCAGATGCACCAGCGGCGGACGCAAAAATATGGACAAATGGAGCAACCTGGCTTAATATAAATGAGGCATCTATCAGCACGAAGATTACTGTGTAGACAGCTCCGACTGATGTGCCAGTACCACCGGTTTCCACTGAGTTGGCAATTAGCCGGGAACCCTCCCAGAATGCCAATGAATTGGCACTGTAGGCGACGAAATAGAGAAAGCCGATCTGGCAAGCATGTGTTCCAGCCTTTTTAAGAGCGTCAATTCGAGATTCCGATAGATGGCCTGAGAAAAGTCTCTCTAAGCGATCGTTTGAATTAAAGGCATGCACAAGTGTCAAATGTGACAAACTTGAGGCTGCAATCGAGGTGGCTGCACTAACACGCTCCGAAATGCTAGCTGAATACTTTTTGATGAAGTATCCTCCGGCATAAGACATGAGAAAGTAGCAAGGCACCACTGATACCAACATGCCCGCAATGGTCGGAACCTTGATGAAAGCAACGATATAGGATGTGACAAAATATGAGAGTGTGGATATCACTAATCCCACTTTCTCTGAAGTGCCTGATTGCACTACTTCAATATCGCTGGCCAGTCGGCAGAGGACATCCCCTGCTGGAAGGCTTTCAATATAGCCTGCCTCTTGTCTAATAATGCTCTTGAAGTAGTGTCGACGATATCTTCGAGCGATGCGCTCGCTAATATAGCTCCAGCAGCTGCAATGGATGTATATAAAACAAAAGTTGGCAATAGTAATATAGATAGTATACAGCACTTTCTGCTGTACACCATCCGCTACATTTCTGTCTGTTGATGAGGAGTTCGAACAAGTTGCTGTGTTTAGATCGTTGATCAGGTCACCAAAGACAATACCCAGTAGAGGGAAAGGAATGCCAGCCGCAATGGAGAATAAGAGACCAGTCAAAATGAGGAAAACATCGGTCTTTGAATAATCCAGTGAGAATAGCAGTCGACAGTAGTGAAAGAATCTTCCCGTGTTTTCTTTCGTCGGTATAAATATGTTCATACAGTTTATCTGCCCCCTTAGTTAGCATTCATGAATGATATCAATCGGAAATTCTTGACCAACCATTCTGGTCTTCTCTGTTGACTCAGAATCATTTTCCCCGGATATGTCCGACATGGCCTGTTTTGGCCGTTCGGGTAAATGATGATGGAGAATTAATTAGTGCCTCCTTTGATTCAGAATTTCAATAGCACAATCAAATGTCAAATCAAGAGTGGAAGAGAGCCAGCTAAGGTCAGCAACTCGGCAGCTTGACCAAGAGAAATGTTGCTACTAGAAACTAGTGTGCGGCCTAGTCTATGCATATAGAAAGGCCTTCATGAAAACATGAAAGGACATTCGGGGAATAATCAGAGAAACATTTTGAGAGCTAACTTTGCGTAAACTTTGAAACCCCATTTTTCTTTTCCAACGTCGAAAAGCCCAGCGATGGTCCAAGAGTGTTGACGCCATATCGGGAAGCATAATGACAAGTGGAGCCATGACAAGAAACTACGAAAACAACCCCAAGGACACTGCCTTGAGCAGGAGCTCGGATGCCAGTCGTTCATGAGGCCAAGGACAAAAAGTGGAGCGGAAGAGGAGGACAGTTCCACCGAAGTGTTGATCGATTCCCGATTTCGTATGGGCAGACCCTGCGAATCAATTCCCACCTTCCGTTCAGAGGGACTGAACAAAAGCCAAAACACCGGTGAACCACTCTGGCGAGGCCTAAGCGCTTCCAATAGAAGGATTTTGGGACGTCAAACTCGAACACAAAGCCCCTCTTTGCTCCACCGTTTCATCTGATAACCTCCGGTATAGACCGAACATGGCGGAACGTCCCTGCATCAGCTCTCGTGATAGGGTGAGAAAAAGCACAGATTCTTCGATCGACATACGAGTCCATGGCTCATTGCTTTTTTTCTCTCGCAGGTCTGTTCTCAGTGCTCACTATGCTTCAGTGAGATCAGGAAAACTTATGGGCTGGACTGCATGCGTCCTGACCTGATCCCCAACTCCAAATGTTATCTGATCATCTAATCTGATGGATTGATAACCCCGTTCTGTTTGAATGTTAGGATCAAGCCCAGTAGCGAAACATCCTGTCAGCATCCTGTTCCTCGGGTTTAGCTTATGGAGGGATTTTTGTCTCCGATCACGCATTTTTTAACTCGAAAATAAATTCCCCGTCTTCGGCGCTCCGATCGAGTCCCGCCGTGCTGCACGCCTCCTGCGCGTTCCCCGCCCTCGCCGCGGTTCCACGCGACGTTTGGGGGCAGTCCATAGCAGGCATTGCAATTGTCACACTCGTCACTGGCTTCCTCGTGTTGCCGATCAAGGTCCACTCGTTTCATTTCAAGGTTCAAGGATGGACAATGGATCTGACCGTTCGACTACCGCGGAAAATGAAAGCGCCTCGTACACCAAATTACAGCCCCTTTGTCATGTCAATCATTTTAATGAGCGCCTGTGCCAGATGAGTTAATGATATTCGTTATTATTTTATGTGCCTTAATCACCATAATCAGCGCCGCCGCGGCATGGTAAATACAAAATTACATCGAAGAAAAAAGCCAGGGGAAATGAACCAATTAAAACATCTCCAGGCTAGTCGTCTCTTGAGATGTTCACTGGGATCGACGAGCCATGAAATAGGTGAGTAGGTTAAGAGATCCTTCACCGGCGGGCTGGGTGACTTTCTGGACGCGGTCCAGACCAAACTTGAGATTTAGAAGCGTGCATAGCTCAGTTGCCTGCTTGCGCACACCAGGTCGTGGATGAGCAAGTTGTTGGCTGACAACAGCGCCGATACTGGCAAGAACATCATCCGAGATCTCCACGGGCCCTTGTGATAGGGCTTGGTGAATAGTCGCGAGACCCATGATAATTGATCGAGATGCATTTTCGCTCTTCGTGTCCTTATCCAGATCCAGTCCTTGTAGTACGCCATTGACCACCGTCTCTGGTGATATAAGAGATACCAACTGCTCTACAACCTCTTCCAAACAGGTGACGAAATGGGAGCTAGACTCGTAGTGGCCCCGCGCTCGGATAATAGCGGCCATTGCGGGAACATCGTACCGGTGGAAAAGCACGCTAGTACGGAGAAGCATGGAGCGAATAGTAGCAAGGATTTGGGTCTTGATATCATGATCCTTGCGGCTTGTAGGTGCTGACTCGAGCTCGCTCAAAAGAGCTTGGAGCAGAGAATAGTAATCTTGCTCATGAGACACAATATCTTCGCCGTGGTATTGATATAACCCTTGCAGCTTGCGATATCCCGAGATGTCCATGTTCTTAGTCGCAATGCGGCTCAAAGCCTTGTTTAGCATTTCTCTCGCGTTGACAGGGTCCTTCGATCGAGGGCTTGGGCTCCTATGACGTTCAGCCCACTTGCGGCTGCGGCGAAGACTCAATTCTTCGGTCGTTGAAGGACCAACAGATTCGAAGGAGCAGCCACGCATATCCACGGGTCGTGAGGTAGACTCGTTGAGCGATACCTCTTCCAAAGCACCAGATTTAGCTGCTGATCGTGGAGTTGGAGCTAACTCGGGGACTTTGGCGATATGTGTAGCGGCATTCTCGTTATTGGGATTGTGCTCGAATGTATCTGTTCCCATATTTTCAGTTGGCAGGCTTGACTCCAGGGCGGAGATGTTTTGTAACGGGGTTGCCGGTCCACGATTTCTGGTGGGTGAGGGGGTTCCTCGAAGTGGTGTTCTCTTGGGGGATGGGAAACGAGGCTCGTTGACACCGTCAGTAGGGAAATCTTGAACAGGAGCCAATTCAGGGGCAGGTTTCTTGACTGGTGTCTCTCGTAGCGTGGGCACGTCATGCACAGTCTCTTGAAAATCCTGCTCGGTGTTGCGACGAGGAGATCTTCTTGGGGTGAAATGCTGAACAGGGGACAACTCAGGAGTCTTCGCTTCCGCCACGGCTGGCGTAGCAGGATCCTCGTATATAACCATTTCATCCGACTGGGACTGAGGAGCTTGTTCGGGCTCGGATATTGTGTCAGAACGGCGCAATGGTGTCGCAACTTCTAGTTCTGCTTCCTGTGGAGAAGTAGCTAGAGAAGAAGCTCCATCGAGCGAAAGTGGCTCCGGGTTTTCGACTGGATCTAGAACCACTCCGTGGCTATGATCACTATGGTTACTGCGTTGGCTGCTAGTAGGCGGCGGTTGAGATGCAGAGAGAATAGGGCTTTCCAGCACAATATGTGCCCGCTGATTCTGAATATTAGATCCGGTTGACAGACCAGTGTATGATGTATGCACAGAGGGTTGATTCACTATGCTGTCATCAGAATCGCTACGAGCACGGCTAGCTGCAGCAAGGTCCCCATGAGACTTGGATTTTGAAAGGTCAAGCTTCTTGGGCTTTCCCCTGGTAGTGCCAGTCTGTCCAGACTCGTGAGGTCGAAGGCGAGGAGCGTTGATTGGTTTCGATGAAGGTGTGGATGCCTTGGATCTCACTGATCTCGGTGAGCTTACAGGCTTAGATGTTGATTGGGCCCGGGAATCTGGCCTATCTGGCCGACGAGCGTAAGGATCTGCTGTCGCCGGGCGACTAATTTCAGGACGTCGAGGCTTCATAGAAGGTCGCATTGGTGCAGAGTGAAGCGAGGAGAGGGGAGCTCCGGTAGGCACACTCCGAGTGGAGGACCTGGTGGCTGGATCTGAGTCCACAAAAGCCGAGTGGGCAGACTCCGGTCGAGAAGGCATCTGGGCTTTCTTACGAGCGGCAATGGCCTCTTTGAGAGCAGAACGACCAGAGGGTTGGCCGCTGGCAATCTTCCCGGAGATGGTTGAAGTTTTCTGCGCCGCATTGGGGTTTGATGGGTCCTTCTCCAGCAGGCTACGCGATTTGGGATCGAGGTCGGATAAAATCCTTGGGTAGGTTAGCAAATGCGGATTATAATGGTAGAGAGTAGAAGGCGGTCTTACACATAGGCTCGGTCAGGCCAGACACCATAGAAGGTCCAGAACGTGCTACGCACCGCCTCTCGTACGCCGGGATTTGCATCACCCAATCCCTTCTTGAGAGATTTTTCAATGAAATCAAGCCCATTTCCATGTTCGACTGTGCTCTTCTGATGGGCTTGGCGACTGATTAGGGTCTTCAGCCATCCTGCACCAAAGAGACGTAATTGCACATTTTTCTCTTGGCACGCCCAGTGGACATGTTGCAGGATGCGAATGTTGAACGAGACATTTCCAATAACAGCATCAACTGTTGCATTTCCATTCTGTGCCGCAATCTTTTTTAAGGAGGCACATAATTTGATCAAATTCTGCATAATTATTTCGACCATAGAATCGATCTTTGGCCCACAAGTTTTGGCAATATCTTGCATCAAAAGGCAGCCGTTCGTGCAGAGAGTTGTGCGTAGCGAGTTCACCACTTTGAAGATTCCATCCAGAAAACTTTTCACGGCATTGACAAAGTTTTGGGGAAAGTCGTGGGGCGCATTGCCGCGGGTGATTCGGCGAAAGAGTATAACATTCTTCTCTCGCTTCGACCAGTTGTCTTCTGATTCCCTACCTTCAAACCAGGGGAGCATATCGCGCACGGCATCATCGATGTCTCTCCCTGACGAGACAAGGGACGGCTCCAAACTATCATCCTCCACAAGGGATGGTTGGTGGGGTGTGGGTGCCAGGGATGGAGTTTTAGGTCGTAGGGGTTCACTAGGTGCGGAAGGAGTCGAACGATCATGACGGCTCCGTGGGGAACCTGGTCGACTTTTTGATGTTTCCGGCTCTGGAATTCTGTCAGAACAGTTGTACGTCATTGATCTTTAACAATAGTTTGATGAACGAACCATCATCCGGTATTTCCATAGCACGCGAACGAGAAGACATCACAGACATTGGTCGTTCTGCACGAGACATCGGTCGAGTTGAGCTCTCAGATTCAGCGGAGCCAAGCCCGATTCCAGAAAGAATAGTATTGGCAATTGATTTCCTTACGCCGCGAGCAGCCAGTTGTTTTTGCAGATCAGACTTGGCTCGTGCGGAGGCATTTCTGATACAGAGTATTAACATCAAGAGGCCTAGAAACGGCATTTCGAGATTTCACGTACTGAAATAGTTCAACTACGACCGATCTTGCTGTATCTCGAACAGCACTGTCGGCGTCCTCTAGACATGCGACCAGCGAGGGTACATATTGACGGAACAACAGCCCATGGTTTCTCGTCATCTGCGAATTTTGCACATGTCAGATATCAGTCCGCGTAATTAAGATGAATATACGCACGTTAGACAGCCAGAGCATGCTCATCTCTTTGGCCCGAGGGTTCTTTCCCACCAAAGCGGTCTCGAGCACATAATATTCCACTTCGTTGCTGGACACAGAGTTGCTTGACAAAGACCAAAGCTCGGTGAAAATTGTAGCTGACTGAGCTCTAACACGTTCCTTGTGGTCGCCGAGTCGATCCAGCAATATAGGGTAGAGGTCCCGCGCTTGGTTCACAATCCATTGCTGCTGGTCTTGAATTGACAATCGTTTGAGAAAATGGCCAAGGGTCGAAAATCCAGCACTGAGGACTGATGAGTGTTGTGAACTTAAGGAGAGTTTGAGAGTCTCGAAAATGGTCAGAATGGCGCCCTCGGGAACATTTTTCTGTTTGATGTCGGACTTGATAGCCGTGAGGTGGGCAACCTTCGCGTCGACGGAGAGATTAGGGTTTTTGAAGGCTGCCAGAAGTTCCGCAGCCTTTGCCTCCATTATTGACACCGACAAGAAGTTATCCACTTATGTCACTCGAGAATCATAGGAGGCAGCACCAGCGAGGCGATGTGTGAAGATAGTCTTGGAGCGATGAAAGCAGGGACAAGGATGGCCGGCTTGGAGGTCAAGTCGCTGACAGAACACTACCTGGTCCACAAAGGTCAGTCGCAAATTTATAGTGTTCAAATGATCGAAATGGACAGGGGGTTGTCCGTCGAGAAGCGGCCAGGATTCGGGACGCGCAGGCGACCCCGACGCAGTCTCGAGGAGACAAAGATAGATGCAAGATCTCATGAACAAAGCCAAGTCCAAGGCAGGAGATCGCGATTGAAGCAAATTAAATACTTACGCAAACAGTGGGCGAACAAGGGGGCGCGATGGCAGACAAGCGGGCGCGAACCGTGGATGGTGGGATGTTGACGAAGACGAGGGAAAGTCGGAGAGTCAAGGGGCGATAAGCGCGGATAAGCGCGAGGAACTCCACTGATGCGACACAGCCCTTGACCCGTATAGAAGGGGGGAACTTTGCAGGGGACAGAGCAATTGAATTGCAAATGACCGAGTGCTGTCCTATTTCTTTTGTTTTCTTGGCCGTTTTAGTTTGAAACAGTTGATTTCTGGCTGTGGCCAACCATGGTTGTGCCCAAACCCCGCCCAATCTTGAACTGGTTTGTTTATGTCGCGGTCGCAAAGGGCAACCGGTTGCGCAGTCAGAGAAGCTGTCCACACACGGCGATGGGAGGATTCAGGAACAAATTCCTGGACGGAAATAATTGCAAGAGATTATCCTTGGATGTCCGGACTCATTGACTGGTCAAATATCGCATCTCGGGCTCGCGAGGGGGAACATGACGAAAGTCAGTGATTGGGTGAGATCTTGATATAAAGCAGTAACAGGGGCATGTAGTCGAAGATCGGCTTCACGTGAGCATTCACTGTTCGGCAATTCAATTGAGTAAGTGTAAAAGTGTTCCTGGCTTTATTTTGTAAAGTATACAGGAGCATTGTGTCGATTATCTACATGTGGTTCTGCTTGATACTCAACATGCCGACACAAGCCCTCCCCACAAAAGCTGTAGAAATATATCTTGTGTGCACCAACACTTCTGCAAAAGCATCAAGAAACCCCGAGGAAGAATTATTGTCAAATTAGAGCAGTCAGCCACCAAAAAAAGCCAACTATACTGTTGGAGGAACCTGAATATTGATTCAAACTACATTCGATATGCCAATGAAAGTCGATGCGGTGGTGGCTAAGTGGAGCGGAGATACGGCCAGCTCCCCACCTTCTTCCCGCCTTTCTTACCTGTCGATCCCGCCGCAGCCTCGATCAACAGCTCGTGCGTGACGGGAAGTCGAAAGATCACAGCATTCAGGTCCTATAGTCTGAACCCTTAACAGACCCGAGCACAACAGATTGTAACAAATATTGCTGATTTAGGATGTCGAGTTTCATTTCGGTCCCCGCTGCTTCTTCATCTGCAGTCCCCCAGCCAGAGCAGCATTCTGAGCCACCGAGCTTGAAAGAGGATGGCCAAAACCAAGACCAAATACGAAAGGAATGGAAAAAGCATATTCCAAAGCCCAAATTACGCCTTCATGCCGACGAGCTTCGCCACCCAGCGGTGTCCTCTTTCTTCGTTTTCATTCCAGATCTTGCGTCGACCTTAGACATTGCGCTTTGGAATATTGTCAAATATCTATACACGGTCCCTGAGTATAATTCTCCTACCGGAGAATCTGGAAAACATTTCAAACGACCCTATTTCCACCCCTCGATTCCCGGCACTCGTTCAGTTACCGTCTTTCTACGGAATTTCGACGGAGTCGCATACACTCTTGGCACGGAACTGGACAACGACCACAAAGAGATTCATCTGTCTCTCCCTTATATCAAGCATTGTATGGATTCGGCGGCCAGTGCTGATCCAGTCTGTGAGTTAACGGGGGTTCTCACACACGAGCTCGTGCATTGCTACCAGCACACCTCGCCCCCGAGGAACGATGGCAAAGAGACAAAGGATATTCCGAATCCGCCAGGAGGTCTGATCGAAGGCATTGCAGATTTTGTACGGCTCAAGGCTGATCTCTCACCACCGCATTGGAAACGTCCCACGTCCTCAAATGAACGAGAGAAGAAGTGGGATGCAGGCTACCAACATACGGCTTACTTCCTAGCATGGATCGAGGGCGAATGGGCGGGTGAAGGCGCGATTGGGATGTTGAATGACCAACTTCTAAGAGTCGGCTATGAGGATGGGGATGGAGAACATGGCAAGGGCGTGGGTTTTTGGAGGGGTCTTTTCGGGGTAACCGTTGATGAACTGTGGGATGAGTACGGCAAGTATCTTGATGGCTATGAGGACGATGAAAAAAAGACTAAAGGCAACTGGGAGGAAGAGATTGTTAATCCATGATGATGGGCCAGGGTGATATCAACTATAAGAAAAGTTGAAACCTGCTCTTTCAGTTGGATTGCATCGAGAAGAAGTCCACATTTTTTCATCCCGAATATAGATTTGCTCGCGGATCCGCTCAGATATGCAGATTATGCTCCATTTAGTATGAAGCGTCGTAATGAGAGCCGGACAGCCGAAGTTATTGAAGCAGTCAGCAAAGTTTAGATAGTGTAGTGTTTATGAAAAATAGTTTTTATTTCTTGGGATACATTGATGGCCTGACACCTTCTATATAAGTGCCCAGACACGTAGACCTCGATCCATCCTGTTTTGGCCGGTTTCTAACGGGAGAAGAGGGGGGCGTAGCCAAATAAATGAGACAATAAAAAAGAGAAACAATGATGGGGGAAGGGGAGCAGGAAGTTAAAAAAAGATCCAAACAAAAAGACACCAGATGAATCGCAGGAATGGCAATTCCCATACTATACAATATCCAGTCATGCAAAAGACAGAAAGAAATGACTCTTTCACCACTGGCCTGCTTCCCATGCGAAATCACAGCATACCAGAGAGACTGAAAAAAAGGACAATAATAGACAGACATGAAGTAATATGGTACCGCGCCGGATGAGCGCTTGAATTCAAGACCTTCATTAGGCAATGACTTCACCCAGATCAACGTATGCAGGCTTCCAAGACGCAGCACCCTCTTCCTCCATGGAGCTGGGTACGCGCACGTTGAGTGGACTGTAAAGGTACCATCCCTTCAGGGCAGAAAGAGCCGCCCGTTCCCGGGCCTCGATCAGGCTGGCGCCAGCGCCCTCGCCCAGCTTATCCTGGCCAGAGAAGATTCCAACGACAAAAACAGGGTGTCTGCTCTTTCGGCCAGTCTCGCTGATGATTCTAGCGACGGGAGCCTCGAAGTTCTCGCGGGCACACAACCGAGCAAGGTCACGGGCCGGTCGGGAGAAGTTGAACAGCTCCGAGATGTTGAGGTGACGGGAGAGGAAGTGCTGCTCGAAGAAGCGCTTAGCAGCTGGGCGGCCAGCATGAAGGTAGATGGCGCCCATAACGGCGCGGACAAAGGTGGCACTCGCTAGCTCAGCGGTGACACCCTTACCAGCCGCAGCGGGCCCCTTGAGCGCATCACCAAACTCATCATCATAGAATATCTTAGAGGTGACCGTCATCCTCCAGTTTTTCTGAACAGCATACGGTCTCGGTGTCTGGGAGGCTGAGTCTGCAGTTGCCGCATTCACATCGGTGCCAGGCTCTACCCTTCGGAATTGGAGCAAGCCGGGATCAACTTCTCCACCAGGCAATGAGGCATGCTCAACACCCCATTCTCTCGCCATTGCCGCGAGGGTTTTGGGACCGGCGTAAGCGTACATGGCGGTGAAGACGACCGACAGGGGTAGGCGAGGGTAGGTGCAAAGGAGGTGCTCGGAGGTGTAGTAGGCGAGGAGGTCGTGACCGAGTGTGGCCAGCGATTCGTTGTTGAAATCGGCATTTGGATCCGCGGAGACGTCTACTAATGCGCGTGCGAAGGTGTTGAGAGGTAATCGAGAAGGAAGATAGAGTCGAGCGTGAAGGGCAGCCAGTTTGGCGGACTTTGTGGCGGCTTCGACCGGAGGAGAGGGATATTGTAGTTGGTCCTTGCGTTTGTGAACACTCTTCAGGTGCTGGTTCAGCTCACGATCCTGAAGACCCAGACTGCCAATGCCGTCTTGAACGGCAGGCTCTGCCTGAAGAGGAGACGCCGTTGACTGGTATCGCAATCCGGCAGAGTAGATTTGTTGATGCAGCCGATTACCAGTCCGAGCCCGCGGCGAAAGGACTGTTCTGCTCCATCGTTGGAGCTGCAGCCTCTTCATCTGGGCGACCGAGAAGCAATTGGAAACCGAAAAGAAAATTGAAGAAACGACAATTCACGCTGCGTCAATGGGGCGAGACTCGGAAGGCTTGCGGCTAATTCACGGGGAGAGAAAAGAGAAATTGTTGCAGTCACGGGATCGCTGGTCGTGTGAGCTTGCACTAGTATCAAATAGGAAATGGTGGCTTGGCGTTCGACCTTGGATTGACAGCCATTTCGGCTTCAACCCGCTTGCAAGAACTCACCAGCGCTACGCTCCTTTCTCTACTCAACAAATCCCCTAATAACATATTGCTCACAATGGGTGGAGGCGGAAAGATCCCGTAAGTCTGCGATTAGACACGAATTGACCACCCAATGCTCACAGAACCTGCGCAGGTACCCCAAGGAAGTCTGGTCACCCGCTGGTGGTTGGTACGCCCGACCGGCCAACTGGAAGGCCAACACCGCGATTATGGGCGCCTTCGTCGTTGGAGTTGCTGCCATCGCTTTCAGCATCAGTGCCGACCGGGAATACCGTGACAAGATGCCCGAGCCCGGCAGATTCTTCCCCAGCCGATAGTGCGTTGGACCTACGGCTCATTCCGCAGAGACGATTCTTTTACTGACCGAGACTTTTCTTCAATTCTAGCTGGAGCCGACAGATCCGAGAGCACGAGAAGCAGCAAGCTGCCCAGAACCCGTCATAAGTCAAAAGAAGAACCCTTGGTGTGGCTTGAAGGAGGAATTACAGCGTGCCAGAACATTTCTTTTTGTGTTTTTACTATCATTTCATCATTCCCTGTGGCTGTACGACAATAGAAGGGCGTTTCCAAATGGATCACTTGATCAATTGGTCAGTAGGTGTCTCCGGGGAGACTCTTCCAATGTCCTAAATAATCGCTGCGTGTACAGACGGACCCGTTCCGTGAATTCAGACTGATTCCACAACTCTTTCCCATCATTAGCAATGGAGATCTCTGGGACGCCAATTTGTTCCACAACAAATCCGGCAGCAACCGTAGCGCAGATAAGTGCCATTGGTAGACTTCGTCGGGGCTTCCAAGCATTCAATGACTTCTTCCAAGCTTGGGATGTTGCTAGTGTGGACTCGATAATATCGGATGGATCCCGGCTAGTACTGATCATGCCTTGAGCAAGTGCACCAAGAAAGGAATTTCCAGCCCCGGTTGGATCTACTACAACCGTAGCAACAGAATTATCCGGTTGATGATAAGCAGGAAGCCACAGTCCATGCGTTCTTGAAAAGGCGAAGCTTCCGTCCTTGCCTGCTCTGATGACGAGACATCCATTGCCATTGGGACCAATGCCAGAGTCTAAGATTCTCTGAACAAGCTGTTGACCTTCCTTGCTGTCCTGTGTCCACCCAGGTTGGTCGAACATCAGGCCCAGCTCGAGATGATTCGGACTCACCACGTCCACCACTCGATTGGCCGCAAAGAACTTTTCCTGTTCTTCCGGTGTGCAGAGGTCTGGTACAGGCTCCCAGACAAAAGCAGGTCGATCCAAGGCATGCACACTAGAGGGAGCTTGATTCATCTGGTGCAGCTTTTCCCGCCGTTGCAAAATATAATTCACAATGGAAATACAGCGGGATGGAGAGCAGACCATATGGAATGTCCGTGACCAGATTTGAGGATTCGACAGCATTGATGGCTCTATCCTTAGCTTCGGAGTCAAATACTTGAAGTCTGCGTCCTTGTTATTTATGCTTGATTATATAGAAACATAGTCAACACCTAGTCTTACCTCGCTTCTCATCTGGGTGGTATCCATTCCAGGCCCTCGTTGTCAGCCTCCCTTGGTCTTCCCTGATTACACAATCTGTGCCCCAGGACTTGATCACCGCCAAAGTCTCGGGCGGGAAGTCTGATCCAACATCCACGATCCAGCTCACTGACCGTGCATGTTGCGGACCTGCCACCAGGCGGGCACCCAAGACAGCGAAAGAAGCAGCGCCTCCTAGCGCATTTTTGACGTCGGGTCTTGAGCCGCCAAACTCAATGTCATCTGCATATCGGGTTGCTATAAGCATCTGGTCTGTGATGTCGAGAAATGCAGAAAGATAAACATACCGAGAATGAACATCCCTAAAGTGCAAAACTCGACATCGCCAGACTGGGCCATCACAGAGACTGACTCCGCCATACCAGAGATCTGAAATCAAGTTGATGACCAAAGGAAGAGAAGTTGGATATCCCAACGATGGGGCCAGTTGAGGTGGATTCGTGGTGTAATGTCAATACCAAAGTTACCCGCAACGTCATTCTACGGTGGTCCCGCCGCCCGTAATGTACCGTTGCGGGTCCCGGAGCTGCGACTTCAGGAGCTTCCAGACACTATTCCGCCTTTCCACTGTCATCGTTTTGACGTCCGGTGGATCGCAAAACATTGGGCATTGCTTGAAACAGTGTCCTTTGACGAGAGACTCGTATACATCCACATACAGTCCCTTTCCTTCCGATTCCTTCTCCCTTTCTCGCCCCATTGAGCAACGTGTTGCCTAAGATGGCGAGTGGCAGCCATATGCATAATTTCACCACCCTCATCAAGCGGTATGCATGCTCTCTTCGTTAGTGGATGCAAAGCTCCTATCTGGCTGGACTCGTGTCATTTCTGTCTAATCTGTGCGGAGAGCATCCCGAACAGATCTTGCTAATGCCCAGTGTTACAGGCTCGAGGCAGCAACCTCCCGCTTGGAGGATATGGCCATGTCTCTAGATGATCCTAATGTGTCAAAGAGTATGGGCAGTCCTTCTCCTGATTCCTCCGTCGTCCCTGAACCGCCCAAGTCGTTGCCCCCACCCCCGGCAGTCCCTGCTGCGCCGCAAGTTCCACCGCAGATTCAAGACTTTGATGCGTTGATCAAGGGAGACGTCCAGAACTTTGTGAAACTAGGCGAGAAGATTGGCGGGTTAGTCGCCGAACAGGTAAATATCGTGTGTATCTTCAAGGCGCTCAATTGAAGCTAACCCTGAGCTCATAGTCCAAAGCAGTCCTTCAAGCTTTCGAGGCCGAGCGCACCTTCCTATATGTCTCAACAAAGGCTAAGAAGCCCGATGTCCCACCCCCGGAGCTCATGACAGAATTGCACAAGGCGTCGGATAGCATCAACAATATCAAGGAATCCAACCGCGCATCACCGCTATTCAATCACCTCAGCGCTATTGCGGAGGGTATTGTCGCACTCGGCTGGTTCTTCGAGACCAAACCCACGGAGTTCGTTGCTGAGATGATCGGTGGCATTGAGTATTATGGAAATAAGGTGCTCAAGGAGTATAAGGAGAAGTAGGTCATTCAATCTGTCAATCTAGAACGACCAGAAGCTGACTTGGCAGCAGGGACCGAACCCACGTCGAGTATATCCAGGCATACTACCAGAATTTTAAGGCTCTCTCGGCCTATCTCAAGAAGCACTACCCTAAGGGCCTTACATGGAACAACGAGTCGGGTGTGACTGCTTTGGATGCTCTGAAACAGATTAAGAGCGGTCCTGCTCCTGCTGGTGGTGCTGTTCCTCCCCCTCCCCCTCCCCCTCCTGTCCCAGCACTCAATGTTCCTGGCGGCGGCGCTCCTCCACCACCGCCTCCACCAGGCATCCCACCAGCCCCTGCCCCTGCTGCCCCTGGTCCCGATATGACTGCCGTCTTCGACCAACTTAACCAGGGCGAGCAGATCACCTCTGGCCTGCGCAAGGTCGACAAGTCGCAGATGACACACAAGAATCCTAGTCTGCGCGCTGGCTCTACTGCTCCAGAAAGCACCGGGTCTGCCCGAGGCAAGTCCCCTGCTCCTAGCAAGAAGCCCAAGCCCGAGAGCATGCGTGCCCGCAAGCCGCCACGTAAGGAGCTGGAGGGCAACAAGTGGTTGGTCGAGAACTTCGAGGGCTCTGATGAAATCATCGAGATCCCTGCCAAGCAGAACCAGTCAATTCTCATCTCACGCTGCAACAAGTGTATCATCAAGGTGTCAAGCAAGGCCAACGCCATTGCCATCGATAACTGCAACGGCCTTTCCATCATTGTCGACTCGCTGGTCAGCAGTCTGGACGTTATCAAGTCGCCCAAGTTCGCTCTGCAGATCGATGGAACGGTTCCAACTATTCTCTTTGACCAGGTTGACGGTGCCACAGTCTACCTAGGTGAGAAGAGCCTGAATACCGAGGTTTTCAGCAGCAAGTGCAGTGCTGTCAACATCATGCTTCCGCCCAAGCCCGATACCGACGAGGATACCAAGGAGTGCCCCGTCCCCGAACAGATTAAGAGTTACATCAAGAACGGTGTGCTGGTGAACGAGATTGTGGAGCACGCTGGCTAAAACTGTCTGATGGATAATTCTTCTGATGTTTCATCATTGACCCTGCGGTGCCATTAAGGCCTGCAGCAACAGAGCTAGTAACCTCTGATCACTTTCTGTGTGCGCACTCATGATGGCTGCGCACCCTTGGGTCCTGGTGAAGCCTGCTTTCATCACCTGTTTTAATCTTTATTGCTGTACCTAGCGCCTCTGTAGATATATTGCAAGAATAAAGGTCTACTCCTATTGTTTTGAAAATAATCAAACATGTATCATTGGACTTCAACTTTGCATGCCGTCGACAAAGGCTGTAAATGGCTTTGATCAAGCATCCAGGTTTAGAGTACAGATTTACTTTATGAAATATGCTCATTTGCAGCTACACCAAGAGAATGTTTTTTTCGAAGGTATTTCCTGTACACCAGGACCTGTTTTCCATTGGAAACCAGTAGCAACAAAATGCAAAGTGATTTGTTTAGAAAGGACGACCAAGAACCTTCTCAAGCCTACGGATCGATCAAAACATGGATATTAAACCATGGGCTGTGCATCTGTGTATGTATAGAATTCATTTTGAGGAATTAGGAATTGGGAGTAATACCTAAAGAATGTGCAGCACATGTCTAGATCAGGAGTGCAAAATTTTCAGGGCAATGTTAATTCAAAGAAATCGATGAGTAATAAGGAATAGAATCAACGGCGATGTAATAAATAAAAGGGTATATACTCAATGACCCATGCGCCTGGCCTACCCTAATGTGAAAAAAACCCCGAAAGAGGACAAATGGAATGCAACGAGAGACAACCAGGTTACAAAGGAGACGAGAGATGCACCGGTACCAGTGGAGTGGAGCACTGTTCCAGCCAGTGGCTGCTGTGGATGATAGGTTAGTGTCACATCGATATGGCTGCAGACCAGCGCAGCCATACTCGCGGTATTCGTTTGTAATGGAAGGTAAAGAATAGAACCAGGCTTGCAATGATCGAGTAGAAGGTTTATACTATTGGCCTCAGCCAGGCAAGGTGCCATGACAATGTTGCGACCGGTATGTGGTGGTGGGTACAATATGGCGGAGACCTAAGATATCGCCGATGTCAAAGCCCAAATATTCCTTTCTTTTCCTGGTTCAGTTACTGTCAAATGTCTCCTGCCTGTGGACATCCAAACCACGCAGCCTCTTGGCAAGCAAGCTCTCACCATTCTCAGAGCCGCCTTGGCTGGAGGGGTAAGGGTACCCTCCGTACCCAACGTCACCCTTGGTAAGTTTGTTGTAAACATTCGGGTCGGAATGGTGAGACATTTCCGGTAAGTTTATAAGTCCCACCGACTCTGCGGCATCCCAATGCAACGGGCCATTACTTGGCGACGGGGCATATGTGGGCAGATATGACATAGTGCTCTGACCAGCGCTCCGCCTGCGAGAGGCCTTTTCAATTGCCGAACGAGCACTAGAGGCCAAAAGACTGGGTTCTCGGCTGGGCTTATATGGGCTATATCGAGGTTCAGGCAATTGGATCTCGTTCCGTAGCTTCTCCTTTCCATCTGGAACTCGGTTTGCAAAGACAACCCGAATACTCGAATGTAGGTAGAAACGTCCGCGAGCCGGACAGCAAATGTTGAGATGGATCAAATACCGAAGAATCGGTTTATCCTTGGGATCTTCCGTAGCGTTTAGAGAAGCTTCAGGGCGATCCGTTCCATAGTTCTTTCGTACATTCAGTGGCATGTCGATTATCGGACCTGCCGAATAACTTCTTTGCCGGATGAATGTCTTGGTGCCAGGTTCCATGTCACTGAGGTCATATGGCACAAGGAACAGTTTCACTGCAGTCTTGTGGGGGTTCTTGATGACTATTTGCAATTGGCCTTGCTGAGGAATGCGGTAGCTCCCCCCTGAGGGGCATCTGGGCGACTCCGCCCTGCGGCTCTTCTTTTCCCGACGGCGTCGTGTCTCGGTATCTGAGTGCTGCGCAGTACCCCCTTCATCCTTACCATTATCACCATGATTCTTTAATGGACTAAAATGTCTTTTACGGCGCCGGGCCGTGCTTGTTTCATCTTTGGGCAAGGAATTCTCCAAATCAATCTGCCCAACATATGGACTCGGACTGTCATCGGAGATGGAGCGGCCGCTGCCAGAGGTCGGATAGCTATAAAAGACTGCAGGGAAAGGAACTGTGACATGTGGAGGACATCTCAAATGTCCTTTGCATTTGCCTTTTCCTAAAACCCCGATTTGAGCCGTAAAATCCAATGGTTTGGACGGATTCATGGACATACGCCCACGTAGAATAGATTCTTCATATGAGCCAACCATAGGCGCATGCGGTTTGGGCGAGGCATCGGAAACAAAGGAAGGCCTCCGCGCCCTAAAGGCCGAGGTGCTCACTGTAGAAGCAAGCTGAAGACTATAGGCCGAGGTCAGAGATCGGCGAGGGGAGTGATGTGGCTGGAAAAATCCCTCCTGTCGAGTAGCCGCACAAGGACCGCGGAGATTGACAGATCGCGAGCCCGGAGGCGAGGATTGAAGCTGTCGAAAGGTCTCAGGAGGGAGCGTTCGGCGTCGATTAGCTCTCTCTAGGGGCTCAGGAAGCTCGGTCGAGTCAACTCGGGGTGAGAAATCAAGGTCGGTATTATTTGCTTGATAGACGAGGGGGCTCGTGGGAGCTTTCAGAACATAGCTCGAGGAGAAAGACCCAAGCGACGGTGCCCTCGAACGAGTTTCCAGAGGCAGCCTCGGTTCATGATTTGGACGGAAGGGATCTGCCTCTCGTGGGGTGCCTGGGAAGATAGAGGCTGCAAACCATGGGGTGGTCGGAGAAGTACCGAGGCGGGGAAAGGCAGAGACTGGGCTTTGTCCTGCAAAGCCTGGCAGGCGTGATTGTTGTTCATGGTGCGGGGTGCCTTCTCTAAAGTCACCGGAATGTAGAGCCGAGCGAGGCCTCTGAATGTCGACCGGCGACCCTAACTCCTCGGTATTTGATGCAAGATTTTGATCCACAGAGACCTGCTCCTGGAACGTCCCATCGGCCTCCAAGTTGTTAAATGAGTGATGAGACATATAAACTTCAGCATCACCGCGGTCTTGCGACTGTATCATGCGTTAGCTCCAATCATGATACAACTTATGGAGAAGGAAAATCAAGGGGGGAAAGGGCCCAAAAGGAGGGCTTATAGGCAGCTTGTAGCTAGAAAGGTGGTGTACCTTGTATTGCAGCCTCCAGGGCGACGATTCTTTGATGTGTTGTATGAGCTGCTGTCGATCGTTTGCCCAAAAGCTGGTCGGAGAAAGCTCCGCCGATGAGGACTCCATGTCGATCCTATTTGAAGCTGTACCGTAGTCTATACTACTGCCGTATTCGTCTGACAGAGCTTGAGAGGACCCTGGGGCTAACTGCTCCGACTCGCCGCCGGTGCCAGACCACACATGCCGTTGCGGGCGATCGGGGTCGTGAAAAAGGGGCATGGTGGCGATGTTGAGCAGGCTATGGGTTTTGAAACGTCGAGTCGGACATTGCAGGAGGCCACCGACGTGGCGAGCACTTCGAAACCAGACCCGGCGGTGCCGTGGTGGGGTGCTGGCTAGCTGGTTGGGTTGGAAATGCGGTGTACGTCGAGAGCGGGTACACGATCTGGGAGAGGGTGGGAGGGAGGAATTCCGTCCGAGGTGATTGGCAAGGAAGAGAGCGGTATAGAGAATGCGAGATTAAGATACAAAATGAAGGAAGAAGAGTTTAGCAAGGATGTCGGAGGAAGAGTCCGGGAAGAAGAGGGAAAGTTGGACAGTGAAATCATGTCATGGATCTCGTGGGTCTCGGATGATTCATCGGCGTCCGCATGATGCAGTTTCGGAAACCAGCCTTCATGACAAGGCGATTTAACCTTCCAAGACAGAGAAAACCTTGCAAATTTTGCATAGAATATGAATAAATACTCCAACTGTAACTTCGGATTTACTTCTGTTTCTCTTAACTTAATGTATCGTAAGAGGATCGCGAATCTAAATGTGAGCCCGCTTGTATGGGTCCCAGGCTCTCCGCTTTTTTCGGGAGTTCCGACGTCGATCGCCGCCTTTTTTTTTCTTTTCTCCAACCGCGCTGCAGCACGTCCACTCAAACAAAAAGCAACCCAGACTAGACTTGACATTACGATGGCTCCCAAACGCCCTCGTGAGATCGAAAAGACCTCGGCAGAACCCCGGACAGAGAATGCGATCAAGAAGCGCAAGGGCTTCAGTGTCGGTCCTGCGAACCTGCCCGATGGCACATATCGTCGCAAGAGTAAAGTCGACCCCTACCATTGAATTGCCTTGACTAACAAAATATATTCCTAGCCCAAAAATAAAGTCCGATCTGATCCAAAAAGCCAAAGTGAAAAAGGCCTATGCCAAGATCAAGGCGCAAGAAGTCGCTGCCGGCACTCCCAAGTCTGTCTACACGACCGCCGACGAAGAAAAGAACGACGAGCCGGAATCTGCATCTTTGGAATTACACCCCGACCGCGTAGCGATGTTGAATGAGCCAGAACCAGAACCAGAAGCAAAGCCGGCCCCTCGACGAGAACATCGCTCTCGGGATAACGCCGGGAAGAAGGAGCGGAAGCCAAGGCCATCTGCATTCTCGAAGGAGATCCAGCTCGCAGAACAGCGAAAACAAGCTGCGGAGGCACGCAAACGGGAAATTGAGGCAAAGCAGAAAGAGCGCGAAGCGATGGCACGGGCACGGCGACCGGATCAATTTGGAAAGCGGAGACTTGGACGAGAGAGCAAAGTGCTGCTAAGTCGAGTGCAGCGAATGGTTGGCTAGTACAAGAGTCATTACAGCCACACCTGGCATGGGAAAAAAGATAGGTTACGGCTGGCAAACAAAATTTGTGATACCCGATTGTTACTGTTTGGTTCAAAAGAGCAGAGCTATGGAAAAAAGAAATTGTATGAACGCTTCATGATATATAGTCTTTGTCGAAGAACGAGATCTTCCAGATTGAAACATGGCTATGCAGAGACCGGGGGCTTGTTTGCTCCGCTGCGAGGTTTCTTGAAGCAGGCAAATTCTCCCTTTGTGCGGTCTCGCAACCGTTTCAGCACAACTCGCATCTCACTCAATTCCGCCTGGAGTTTGGTACGAGCTTCATTTGTAGTCCGACGGTCCAACTCCACATAAATCTGGCTTTGGATGCCAGAAGCGTCCTCAGTAGAATATTGGGACAAGGTTTGTGCTATGAACTCAGTATCCAAAGTAGCCTGCATCAGGCCCGCCAGGGTGAAAGAAGACCGAGAGCGGAAGGCCGAGAGCAGCGATGAAGAAACTTGTGACAAGAGATACGTGAGCACAGTAACAAGCAGTGATGATGGAGTGTTGGGTGAGGAACGACTAGAACTTGGAGATACAGTAGATGGGATAGTGGTCGAAATCTCCGTGTGCACCAGCACCAGTGTCAGCATGGTATTGTATACATAAGGTCGAACCTGATCAGGTCGATCAGTCACTGGGACCCAGTCCGCAGCTGCTATACCAGTGCTGATGGTCTCATCGAGAGTGGCAATGGTGGGCTTGGTGTAAGATTCGAACAGCCGATCTTCGATCTGTTTGAGCACATCTCGAACAGTCTTGCTTTCTTCAGTCAATTTGACGGAGAATGCAGTCTCGAAGTTGGCAATCAGTTGTGGGACATATTCGGCTTGCAAAGCTTTTAGATTGGACAAAGTCAGTAGAATGCGTACATTCTAAATTACAGTTAGCAACGAGACATCTTGATAATGAGATCATGCTTACCCGATTGCAGGAATCGACAGAATCGGCGGCAAGCACGGACAAAGCGGCGTCAATAGCTTGGCTCGTCATAACCGGCCTGGAAATGACCCATTCATTTCCTTCATCAGAGGCCGTGGGACGCTCTGCATTTTCGACCAACCCACTAAGTGCCTTGTAAACACTTGAAACAAACTGGGCGCGAACCATCTGAAGAAGCTTGGCTGGCGGCTGGGTAACAACATCAATGGAACCAGACTTCGACATGGCCTCGGAGATATACAGGATCTTCTGCATGCCAGTCAGGATAGCGCTTTCGAAAGCTACAAATAAGCCTGGCATTTTCGTCAGGTCTCTCTTCTCCGAGTCACGAGTCCAATCCTCTAGCATCTTGCAGATCTCGGCATCTTTACTCCAGGCAGAGCAAGCCACACGAGCAGAGCGTTCTCGTGCAATGCTCACAAGGGCCTTCAAAAGGTCGTTCATCGGCCCGGAATCGCTAACTGGACGCAGAGCAGCCATTTCACTGGCCGCCGTGCCTAGGATGACAAGAAACTTGCTGAGGTAGTGAACACCGCTGAGTGAGTTGGAAAAGGGTGGCCAGAATGCAAAGCCTTCCCAGTGCTCGCCGCGTTTAGGTACCGGGATTGGTAAGTTCTTTGGGTCTAATTTAAACCGGGACTCAGTCGGAGTGATCCCTCTTGACGCTGGGCTTGTCGGACTGGCCGGGATCGGGGATGAAAGGAGCGAGATATCATCCGTTGGAGGCTCGTTGAAGAGACTCAGAACGTTTTCACGGATGAGATTCACCAACTCTACAGCGCCCCTCTCAAGCTCCTGGACATTCTCGGCAGTCAATCGATGGTGCTTGCGGCTCTCGCCTTCAAATCCAGCAGGGAGAAGCCGTTGTCGGCTGCCATCAATGAAAGATTGTGCCACTTCCCAGAAGTCTAGCACTTCGCCTAGTAGACCACTTTGCGAAGATAGGAGCCGAGTGAGAAATGCCTGAATACAATCCCACAACTCAATGACCTGGTCCGAGTCCAATCTTTCTGGAACCTCAGCTGCTCCATCACGGGGCGCAAGACGTAGGTAAGACGCCGTGACCTGAGGCGTTGGCTTTTCGCCTCCAGCAAGCCTTCTCCTCAAGATCTCAATTTCCACCTTGCATCGTTCGCAGAACGACGTGATTTTTGTTTTGAGGAACTCGTATCGAGAAAGAAGCCATGTCCAGATGGGGTTATTTTCAACACCCAGTTCTAACAACGCGCCAATTAACTCCATATGCTCTTCGATTGGGCCCGAGGCAGTGCTTGTCGTAGAGGTCGTCGGTGCGTCGCCGAGACGTCTCCAGAGATCGCGTTTGAAATTCTGGATTTGCTGGTCAACATCCATCCACATTTTGCCCATGGCGAGAATTGAATGTGTTTCAAAATCGGTCAATTGTCGACGAGAACTAGAAGCTAGCTCCACAATGGTTTTCGCCCGGTTTGCCAGTGTTCTTGCCTTGGTATATTGTTCAAAAACCGAGTCGTAATCTCGCTGCTGGATGGACTTTGACAAGAGGCCCCCAATCTCATATACATCGCGGTTTTTCTCCATGGTTTCCACGACGGATTTGAGTATCTGTTCTCTATCTCGCCCTCCAAGAGCAGGTCCCCAAACTTCTTCTGCTTTGACAGAGGCCTCGACCAGCGGGCCTCGGATTCCCTTCATACCATATTCGCTCTCCTTGGTTAGGGCGGTTTTCTTTGGCACGCCAGATGGTGATGATATGGGGGAGGGGGACACGCTCCGGTGCTGGCCAGAGTAGCTTCGAAAGTGCCCTGACCTGCGAGGGGCCAGGCTTTGCTCCTTGACGACTCCCTGGTCCCGCATTTCCGTGTAGACACTATCAATAGTCGCTTTCGCGCGCACAAAACGCTCGAAGTTCGCCTCAACAAGCACCTTCAGGGATGCTGACTTTTCGTCAATGGACTGCGATAGATGATTGAGGCCATCCATGAGCGATTCTATCGATGCCTCGTGGTGAGCTTGGGATAGAAAAAGGGCTGGCGAGAAGGAGGTCGATGACAGTAAGAATCGTGAACGCTTCCCCCCTCCTCCTCCAAGCGCAACCCCCGACTTTTCAAAATGCGCAAGATGCTGTCCCCGGCTCCCAATGGATCAGGCTCATCGTTCTGTGGCTTTTCCCTGGCATCCTTGCCTCTCCGAGACCCAAAGTTGCTCCTCCAGTCGCTCGGGGTACGCTCTAGTGCGAAGTATCGCGACTTGCGGGGTCGGGACTTAGACTGTTGGGTGGGCTCCTCATCAGACTGATCGGCCTCATCCAACGCTGCCGGCCATTCTTCTGGGAATTCCGAGGGCAGGTTATAGTGGCTAGCAACATCCAAATCGGCCATGGCGACTAGTAGGTGTAGTATTGGGGGTGCTGGTCGGCGGTGGAGACGGATCGAGTTGGCGTCAGGGTCTCCAACGGGAATTGAAAGTCAAGGGGTCAGCACCTCCTGCAGGAGACTGCAGTCGGCAGGAAGAGACCGAGAGAATCAAATACTCCAGCGAAGAACCGACGGTATACCAAGATGTCCGGGCGACAGGACATGAAGCTCCAGCTCGGTGGTCGGCGAGGCGGCACCAATGACAGAGACAAGAGTGGACTCGGGTAGCCGGGGGAAAGGAATCAAACCACCAATGCGGTCTGCGTCCCGGTCGGATCGGGGCGGCGCCGAGAAACTCGATTCTTTCGTCCCCTTCTCCCTCTCCTCTCTTCCTCCCCACCATCCAATTCCTCATTCCACAGCCGATTGTCGGGATCTATTCACGATGCTCGCCGCCAGAAACTTCTCTGCTGCTCGCCAGTGCCTGCGGTCGGCCCGTGTGGCCCCCAGCTTCGTGACCCCCGTGTCGCAGGTATCGACCCCAATCCAACCCCCCTCCTCGCACCGACACAGTCGCTCTCGATATCTTGGACACGCAATTGACTGATCTATTTGAAACTTCTAGCTGCGCGGCTATGCCACCTCCCCCGATGACGCTGTCGCCAAGTTCAAGGGCCAGAAGGGCTCTGATGTACGTTCGAACTGCCAATCTCGTTTTTTTTCCCTCCTAGGCGCCGGCGCCAGCCGCGCGCCGAACTCAGACAGGCACAACTTCCATTTCAGAGACAACGAACCGTGGCTATGATACTGATGCTATTTTCTTATTTGGTTAATAGGGCAAGTATACCGTGACTCTGATTGAGGGTGATGGTATCGGTCCCGAGATTTCTCAGTCAGTTAAGGACATTTTCGAGGCTGCTAAGGTATGAGAGCAACCCTGTCGCAAGGAGCGTATCGCGGCATGAAAGACAAGCGAAATACTAAGCGCATCTGTAGGCCCCGATCAAGTGGGAGCCCGTTGATGTCACCCCCATCCTGAAGGATGGCAAGACCGCCATCCCCGACGAAGCCATCAAGAGTGTGGAGAAGAACTACGTTGCCCTGAAGGGTCCTCTCGCCGTATGTGTTAATTTTCGACGCGTTTTTGACCACAATCGGCCTTGCTAAATTCATTTTACTTTAGACCCCCGTTGGCAAGGGTCACGTCTCCCTCAACCTGACTCTGCGCCGCACTTTCAACCTGTTCGCTAACGTCCGTCCTTGCCGCTCCATTGCCGGCTTCAAGACCCCCTACGATGGCGTCGACACTGTCTTGATCCGTGAGAACACCGAGGGTGAATACTCCGGTATTGAGCACGTTGTTGTTGATGGTGTTGTTCAGAGCATCAAGCTCATCACCAAGGAGGCCTCCGAGCGTGTCCTGCGCTTCGCCTTCCAGTACGCTGAGTCTATCAACAAGAAGAAGGTTCGTGTTGTGCACAAGGCCACCATTATGAAGATGTCCGACGGCCTGTTCCTCAACACTGCCCGCGACATCTCCAAGGACTTCCCCGATGTCGAGTTCGACGCTGAGCTGCTGGACAACTCGTGCCTTAAGATCGTCACCGATCCCACCCCCTACAACGACAAGGTCCTTGTCATGCCTAACCTGTACGGTGACATTCTGTCCGACATGTGCGCCGGTCTGATCGGTGGTCTTGGTCTGACCCCCTCTGGTAACATTGGTGACGAGTGCTCCATCTTCGAGGCCGTTCACGGTTCCGCCCCCGACATCGCCGGCAAGGGTCTCGCCAACCCCACTGCCCTGCTGCTGTCCTCCATCATGATGCTGCAGCACATGGGTCTCCACGACCACGCCGCTCGCATTCAGAAGGCTACTTTCGACACCCTGGCTGAGGGCAAGGTGAGCTTTGATAACCCTCTTGTTTTCCTGGATCTTCTGAACACAGCTAATTTACATACTCTAGACCCTTACTGGTGACCTTGGTGGCAACGCCAAGACACACCAGTACGCTGAGGCCATCATGAAGCGCCTGTAAACCAAGTCGCTCTTTTGGATTTTCTGTACTATGACCCCACCTTTTTGAACTTTTTCCCTTGTACCCTCGAACGACATTAGACTTCCTATAGCGATCGAAATATACCTACTTGTGTAGTTACGCTAGCAGATTGTTAGATCCCGATGGTTTCTGGTGTGGACCTGATCTATAGAATCATGTAAAAAGTATATATAAGCTCTGTAGCATTCCTCCAACAGGCTGAAGGAACTCTACATCATATCGACATCAATTTGACATGCGATCAATCACAAGTCAAAGATCAAGACCCATGGATTAAAACTGCCACTGTCACCGTGAAGTACCTGGCAAAAAACCGAGGCTAAAATACATGATCACACTAACCTGCATGGAGTACTTCATCAAGCCATAAAATAGGCTGGTGGGGGACAAAAAGAACCAATGAGAATAATTATATAGTCTGCGAAGCTCAAGGAGAATAAGGAAGAGTGCCAAAGGATGATGGGACTGTTGTTTTTTTTTTTTTTTTTTCTCATCCGAACATTTTGCAGACCAATCACCGAGGCGGTTGGCCTAATAGTACAATCGATTTAAATGGACAAAACTACTTGATCATGTGAAATGAGAATATATAAGGTTGGAGCTATGATGACAGGTACTGTATATATGTAGAAAGATGTGGTCGGGAATAGGGCTTAAGTAGCGAGGAGTCTTTTGTCAGGATCAAGACAAATGGTATTATAGGTGGTATCTGGAGGAAATATTTCGAAAAAGGTAACAACAGCGAATAAACCCGGAAGACAAGATTGAACAATCTTCCTGGGGGCGCCTGAGGTATCAAACAAAAAAACCGAGGACGAAAAGGTTGGGCTCTTTGAGCATCAACGTCGACGTCCAGTACGGCGCGCTGCTGTACTTGTGGAGGCCTTCTTGTTATCTTTTTGTTTGGACCTTGATGCCTGCGCTCGTGTGCTTCGTGAGCCTCCTTTCTCACTCTCCTCTTCTTCGCCATCGCTATCCTTCTCCCCTTCGGATCCTTCGTCGCCTTCGTCGCCTTCTTCGTTTGCGCCTGTCTCCTCACCAGAATCCTCCTCCTCGTCGGATGCCTTCCCTTGACTTCCAGAGCTAACTTCTACCTGTAACCTTGTTGAACGTGTTTCTCGGGTCGGCTGTCGAGTGCTGCGATTCGATTTACGACCCCGAGACGGGGCGGGCGACGAGCGCGGCTCTGTAAAGGGACTCTGTGTTAGCCTTTGGGCAAAAGCCGAGATGCGAGGTTCTTCAACTGACCATCCGTATCTGCGACGGTGCTGCCTCGTCGAGACTCTGCGGGTTGGCTTATAGGTGACGAAGATCCTTCCATTGCTAACCGCCTCTCAAACATCATGTCGCCATATTCGTCATATGGAAGCTCAAAGGGCCAATATCTTTCACTCGGTTCTTCGTCTTCGTCGTTTCCATCTGTGATGACCGAGTCCTCCTTGAAAACAGTTAGCAACCACGAAGGCGATATCAGCGAAGCCGTTGAATAAATAACTCACCCGCTCGTCAAGGGCCTCGAGGTTGTACAGTGAACCTAGCTTCTTCCATATCCCTGGAATGCGCATATGTTCGGCATACGAAGGAGCATATCCTTGGCTCTTCAAATAGTCCGCGATCGCGAGCATGCGAAAATGTTTATGCACGCCTGCAGGGACAAAGTCTCTTAGCTTGTCGAACCATTTCACCCCACAGAAGAAGCAATTCATAACTCACCAACGGGTTTCCATTTTATAATTGCTTTCAGGAGTGCTGTCTCTTGTTCATCTGTCCAGGGGTCGCTGATCAAATCGTACTCGGGTTTGGGCTCTGGTTCGGCCTTGTCGGCACTGTCGCTTGATCCTGGGGTGTTCGCGTTCGATTGGGCCGGCGCATCATCTTGTGGGCTGGTAGAATGTGCGCGCTTGGTCTTCTTTCGAGGAGGCATTGCAATCGTGTGTAGCCTTTGGAGACACGACACAAGACAAATAGACGATTCCGTTACGCGGAGAATGGGGGACGTCAAGCTGCAGGAACGCACCTCTGATGAGTTTCTGTTATCGGATGGCCCGTGCACGATAGCCACCAGCGGTGCGGGACCGTGTTTTATCAGGTTCAAACGCGTCCAACAACCACACAGCGACAGGACTCGCTGGCAATGGGCTCACAATGGACTCAGGTGATCATCTGCCTGACCCATTCTCCAGTGAAAGCCTCTGGAGGCTTTCCAAATTTAGTATTGAGGCTTTGCAGCCTCTAGAGGCTTTACCGTGGGACGCAGACTTGTCAGGTACGTGACTCACTTCGACAGCGCATCGGCTGGTAATGACGTTCGGTCTTCGGCATAGGCATTCTGGACTCGGGTTTCAAAAACGCATCTTGTGAAACTGGCAACATTGAGTCAGTATGGAAGCTTGATTCCTTGTCAAGCAATCTCGAATCGACTCCATCTTTGACTGATTCAGTCGCCGACCCTTTGCCTGAACTGCAGTCTGATGCGCCGACCGATGACCGCCAAGATAATGACGAGGTCGATGATATCTGGAAGTTAGATTCACTACAGGAGGAGACACCCTATATCGCGCCACTCAAGACATGGGAAAGATATCAAGATCGCTCATTTTGTGAGCCAGTGTCGGCATATTTCAGCGAGTCGGGTGCCGGGGGATTTGATGCTGTCCTGAGACGCAAAGCAAACAGCAAAGGGCAACAAATCGAAGAAAAATTAGTCCGAAATGATATTTTCATTCGCTCGCTATTGCGCTTGGGACTCGGATGGAGCTCAGCTCTCTTTCGATACAACAAAGAAACAAAAACATTTGAGAAATCCATGGACAGCATACGTGTGTCCGGCATGACCTCATCAGTGCTAGATACTGTGATAACGGACGTCTTGCAGTGCGGAACCCAGATGCAACAAGTCCGGACGTTTGTCCAGAACGCGCCAACCAAGCCCAAAGATCTGCCCTCCTTGTCCACTTTGAGAGGAACCGTCGCTGTCATTATCTATAACTTGGAACAACAGATCATAAGTTATTCAAGCCAAGTGGTCTCAGTTTTGCAGATCATGACGCTGTTCCGAAGATGTGGCGACTTGATCGGTGCTTTGTCCGATATTGTTCATGCATCAGAGACGGCTTCTTCTGATGCCCGGATCATATCGATAGTCATGGAACGAGCTATGTTCTTTGCGCACAGATTTGGGTGGATGGAGAATCTTGTGCAAGAGATTGTGATCCGCATACTAGGGCCCTGGCTTGGATTCGTCGAGTGTTGGATTGGATTGCGGCCCAAGGAAGATTCACTTAATGAGTTGCTAGCAAGGGGAAGGACATTCGTTCAACTCGAACATCATAACGACAATACCAAATTCAAAACTGGATCTGCTCGGTCTGAGTACTACTACCAGGCCGAACATATGCCATCCTTTATCCCACGAGACCAAGCACAGACAATTTTTGAGAGTGGAAGAAGCTTGCGACTTTTAAAAAAGTCACATCCACATCACCCTATTGCCCGACACGATGTGCTTGCCCGAGCAGGTCCTCTTCATCTACACTGTGCGACTACATGGAATGATATCGAGCGTATCCAGGGAAGAGTCAATGAGTATGAATCGAATCTCCGCCACGAAATTTTGAAATACTATAGCGGACAGTCGGATGTACAAACTATTGCCTTCGAGCCTGCTTTTCGGAGTGATGACCACCCTGATGACGACCAGGTGCTCGAGAAAACCTTTGAGTTGTTTGACATAGATGAGGGAGAGAATGCGTCGAGCTCTGTCATAGGACAGAAGGCGCTTTCGAATGATAAGGTCGGCCAATTCCTTCAAGAGGCTAGAGACCCAAGCTACAGTTCTGAGGATGCTGGCGCTCAGTTTGGTCCAGACCTGACATCTGGTATCTATCTATCTCTCGCGCCGATCATTTTCTCCCAGGCGCAACTTATTGATTTCTCCTGTTTACATCATCTGTTTAAAGAACACAGGGTTCGGCACCATTTGAACCTCCAATGGCGATTCCAACTGTTGGGAGATGGTTCATTCGCTTCTCATCTCAGCCATTCTCTTTTTGATCCCGAAATGGCAAGTGGCGAACGAAAGTCTGGCGTGGTTCGTAGCGGTGTGCACACGGGATTACGCCTCGGCAACCGTGATACCTGGCCACCAGCGAGTTCAGAATTGCGGCTCGTTCTTATCGGTCTTCTCGGAGACTGTTATTTCTCCGAAGATGATACCGATGCCACCGAAACACCCCAAAACCGAGGTAAAGAACTCCCAGGTGGGCTCAGCTTTGCGATCCGCGAGTTGACAGACGAGGAGATCGAGCGTTGTCGGGATCCCAACGCAATCGAAGCCTTGGATTTTCTCCGCCTACAATACAAACCGCCTGAAGCTCTTGAGCCCCTCATTACGACACGTTCCTTGAAAAGATATGATCGTCTATTCAAACACTTACTCCGTCTCCTTCGCATGGTATCTGTTGTCAAGGGAATTGTCCGTGATTCAACTGCGCGGGGCTCTCTTTCCGGGGACACCCACAATGTCTTCCAACGATTCCGAATCGAAGCTCAACATTTTGTTCTTGCAATCAGTGACTACTGCTTTCAAATCGGCATTGGGTCGACCTGGAATCACTTCCAGAAAACTCTCTCCCGTATTGAACATTGTCTCGATCACGGAGATATTGATGGCACAATCGAAGCAGCTCACTCTGTGCCTCGGCTTCGCGATTTCCATGAAGACGTTCTCGACCAGATGCTCTTTGCATTCTTCCTCAGCAAGCGTCACGCACAAGCCGCCAAGCTTCTGGATTCAATATTCAGCACCATTCTTGCTTTTAGCCCATTGTCTAAAGCAGATGGGCTAAACGGTCTTCGCCATGAAAGTGAGGGTACTGTTCTGCATCTGTATTCGACTTTCCGCAAACAGATGTCAGCGTTTCTTGGCTATTTGCGTAGCCTAGACTCGGGCAAGGGATCTGCAAAATCCATGGCTAAATCAGAGGCCTTCTTCTCCTCGCGTATCGATCCAACCAGTGTCTTTGAACATATCCGTCTCAGACTAGATGTAAAGGAATATTATTGAGATTCGGGGAATCTACAAGGATGACTCTATGTGGATTCCACATCTCGCTTAATGAAGGTCAACACCAAATTAATCAGAAGGTAAAGGGCAGGCCAGCCATTATGTGTAATGATTAATGATACCAAATAAAGCTCAATGCATCAAAGTTTATCAATATTTCATCCATTTCTTATTTTATTGTAAATTTCTTGCGGAACTTTCCTCTCGTAGTTCTCGTGTAGGTGTATGCTCTATTACGATCACTGCTCTTGACCGCATTATGGTCTTGAAAATTCCAGGGCCCTGTCGTTATCGAATCACACCTGTAATGCTCGGGTACAATAAGTGTAAGAACTAAGCCTCCTCTGATTTTTTGATCCGTAGTTGTAGCGTTGTGACTTGCTTCAAACCTCCGTGCATCCCACGTTTGCGTTCCCTCTTCCACCTTTCCCTTTGTTGCTTTACCCGATTTTCTCGTCATATCCTTCATTTCGTCCAAAAAGAACAGTATAGGTTTAACGTCTGCTTCAAGAACTCTCATAGAATTATTCACTATTAATATTACTACACGATTATCAAATATCATGCCCCAGAACTTGTTCAAGGTAAAGGACGCCAAATATGTTACCAAAAAGCTGCTTCAAAGAGAAAGTCTTATTATTTACAGTCAAGCGAAAATCTCACCAAAAATGTTATAGCCTCAAGTTCTGATGGCATATTTCGACTTTGTTCTTTGGGACTGCGGTTGATTAGCTACGGCTTTTACCTTAATTTCAACTATTGAGCAAATCGTGCGAGATCAAAACATACCCCTCAGGACTAAATGAGCTCGTCTTCACACCAACATTATTACCTTCAATAAGTCTAGACCCACTTTCAAATATAATGATTATTATTTTGGCCTCTTGCGTTAAAATTTTCCCTTCCAAGAACGATTGATTCCCATCGACCGCAGCTTCGTCAACCTCGTTGCCTCCCTGAAATCTCGAAGTCACTTCATTTCAGTCTTGTGTCGCCATTCTCCACGCTTTACTTTCCCTCTGATTCCAATCAGAGAAGCCACAAAAGCCACAATAATCCACGTGTGTTTTGACTTCCTTCAAACTATCGTTTACGCTTGATCTCACTCAAAGTTTTCCCATTTCAAAGGTTTCAAATTCCTCTTTCGCATGTCTGTTTCCAAGGTTGAAGTTGAAGATATACCCACAATCGAGACCGAGTCTTCTCATTCATACCCTACTACTATGGTGAATTCCATGAGCACCACCTCTTTCTCAGCAAACAATCAATCCTCAAGACTCTTGACTCCAACCCGTGGATCGAAGAGTGATGAATGTATGTTTTCAAAACTTGCTGGAGACCTCCGATCTTTGATCTCGCCTGATGATCCAACGTTGTCTCCTGGACAACAAGCAAGGAAGCGTAGAGAGGAGTTCTTCAGCACCAGACCTGTCAAAGTCCAAAAGGTCATCAGAGAAGATACTCCAGGCCGAAGAATGCGAGCCGCTACCCAGTCCGTCAAAGATTCTACTCAGAGCTCCCTGCCGCCTTGGCTTGACGACTTCAGCTCAAAGCTTGTGATTAAGAAATGGCCCAAAGTTCTGGAATATCATGAGACATTTGCGGCCTTTTATGAGGCCAAAAAGAGGTATGATGATATCGATCGTCTGCTCAAGACCCCCGAGGGAAGAATATTCACGTCCAAGCTGAAAGAGCGAGGGCCTCTACGAGCCACTCTACTCGGGGCACACAGCGAAATTATGGCCGAGATCTATGCAGAGACGGATCCTGACCTGCGAGATATGTTATTAGAGAAGTACAGACTGGAAGGAGGGGATGAAATCAGCGAGCTTCAGTCCCCTGAAAGCTCAATTGAGGATTATCTCTAGAGCAGCCCTGACTTGCGGGGCACCAAACCAGGCGTTAATCAATATGATTTTAGGAGCTGGATCGAAGCTGATGAAAAATGAAGTATCCCGGGGTAATGACCACCAAGGATGTGCATGTATCGGAGTACGTTAAATGTATCTAGGAACAAAATCTCTTCCACAAATTGATTCAGTCAGTGATATTAAAGACAGATATAACTCCTATGGTATGGGCGTGTGTATATAGAACGCTGTATCAATACAAAAGTCATGCAAACAACAGTCCATCGATGCCACTAAAAGAAATGGAGATCTGACTCCGACCAGCCTTGGTCAAGCAAGATCTTCTTTGCCGACTGCTCCATTGCCCCCGGGCCGCAAAGAATTGCCATACTGCTCTCTGCAGGAGGTGCATACTCTTTGATGAGCGCCTCGGAGATTCGCCCCCGACGACCTTTCCAGCTCTCTGATCCCTTTGTGAGCGTATGCACAATGGTGCACTTTCGGCTGTCCATTGCCTCGTATGCATCAAGCTCCGAGCGACACAAGATGTCCTCCTCGAGCCTATTTCCGTCCAGAACAACGCATCTGGTAGAGTCCTCGGGGTCTTGCATAATCGCTCGGAGGACCTGGAAGATGGGCGTGATGCCAGTTCCACCGCAGATCATCGTGAAAGACGTCACTTTCCGTTTTTTACCGCTGATGAGTACCACGCCGTTTCCTAGGTACTCAAACCGTCCTGTTGGGCCCTTGCAGTCGATCTCAGCCCCAAGAGCGAGCTTGTCGAGGGCCATTGTCATTTTGCCTCCTGGAATTGTTTCTGTGGGAAAATAAATCTTGACCAACAGCTCCAGCTTGCCCAGTACATTCGTGTCTGATATTGGTGTATACGATCTAAGAATGGCCTCATTTTTGTTCTCGGTGTCGTTGACCTTGATCATCAAGTGCTGTCCGATCGGAAGACCCAGAGATTGCTTCTCGTGCTCGAGATCGAAAACAAATATTCGCGTGTCCCAAGAAACATTTTTGATCTCGGTGAGCTTGAGTTTTGACCATACCCGGGACTGGAGGAATAGTGGGCGCGGCTCATCTGATGTGGCTGTAGAAGGATTGTTCAATGCTTCTAGAGATACTTTGTCTAATGTGCCGATATGATAATCGGGCATCATTAGTTTGGCCGTTTCGCTGTCTGTGATGCGAGTTAGAGTCATTCCAATAATCCATGTATTTCATCACAGATAAACTCACGAATGGCATTAAAGTCTTCCGAAACATCCAGTCCAGCTGATGAAGTGATACTGATTGCTCCACCGGGGTGGCCTTCCAGGAATGCTGTGCCATCATACACTTCGCCGTTGACCACGAACCACGGCTTCTCTTCACTACTATTTGCCTTGAGCTCTGCAAGATCGATTTGTCGATTCACGCCCTCTCTCTTCATATTAATTTCCTTCACTGGCTCAGGTGCCGCGGGCTCTTCGCCTTCATGCCTCTCGCCCCAATTGCCATTGGTCAAATCTCCGCCCACTTTCTTGACTCTCTCCATCCATCCACCAGCCCTTGCTGGGTGAGTGGGATGCTCAAACTTGAGCTTGTTGCCAGATTTGGTGATAGTGACACGGAACCATGGATTGTTCATCATGCCCAAAACAGACCAGTACATGTCGCGAGGTTGGGCAGTCAATGCCTCATCCATAGCTCGGACAAGCAAGGCATCGCTGCTCTCCAAGTCTGCAACCGGAATATTCAATGACCAGAAAGACCAGCAAAAGCAAGTCTCTCGCTGCCACATGTCCACTTTTCCTCCGAATAAATCACCTTCAAATTCTCGGTATTTGTCCTCTGCATACTCGATATCGGCAAGACGCCAGGCTAATAGAGCAAAGGTTAGTTCGGGATTGTCAACTGGTTTGAATTCTGGCAGTTCCTACATTTGCCTTTATCCAGAGATATCTCAACTCTAGTGATCCTTCGACCACCACCGGCATATGCATACCCCTTGGCGGTATACATCGACCCTGCCGTAGACAACTCTAATTCCTCTTCATGCTCGGGATATACCGCAACAGAATTGACATTGAGATCATAAATGGCGTAACGCTCGTCGGTCCACCATTTGCGGTCTTGGGCAGACATTTCCGGAGATACCATGGTACTATGTGACTGTGAGTGATTTCTGTCAATGCCACCAAGGAAGTAGATGCACAGGACTCACGGAAGTACACGGTTATCATTTATGTGATACCAATTATCACTTGGAGTGTCGGTCAATATCAGCTTCTTGAGCCATTTGACACTTCGCCCCCCAATTTGGCCTGGAACCACAGCTCGTAATGGTCGACCATGGTCGGGCCGTAATGACTCCCCATTCATTTTATGCGCCAACATGATTCCTCGGTTATAATCCATTACCCAGTTCAACTTCACTGACGTCCCATAGAAACCGTTTGGCTGCACATCTAGTCAGTCTTCCTTCCAATACTATTCATTCATTGCAAACAAGGGATTAATTTGTATTACCAATTTGTCTGCGCCCTCCATGCACACGTATTTGGCTCGGCGGAGTGGCTTTGCGCTCCGAATGATATCGGCCATCATAGGACCGGTGAATAGGGCTGTCGAGAGACCCGCAGGGCCCCATGAAAAACCCTTGGATTTGCGCACTGTGTTTTGCTCTTTTCGGCGATTCCCAGCACAAACGAGGGTGATTGGCGCTGTGATTTGTTCATATTTCTCGAGAATCTCCCGGAAACTGAGAGTGATCGGGTTTTCTACCAACCTAACGAGGGTTTTAGTAGCGAAAAAAATACACCTTGAATGAATTGGCCTACCCCTCGATGCTTATCTCCCAGTTTGGAATGTCTTCATCACGAACCTGGGGAACTGGGCCGTGATTCCGTACATAGAACAATTCCGGTGATGTGAGAAATCCTATTTCAATGTTACTCTTTGGACTTATAGATCTCAACAACCGGACTTTTCTTCATTGTACCTTCTTTATATAGGGATGTGAGAGGAGGTTCGACATTGAAGGGATGAACACCCGTCAATCGAATAAGGCGAGGGTCTCGAGGCACATGCTTATCTGGTGTGCCTTTGTCGACATCTAGAATTTCGGTCGGATTGAATGAAGGCGGCGGTAATGGGATGTCGACTTCTTCTGGAGTTGGTAGATCATGTATCTTAATTTGTGATGTCTTGAAGAGAACCTCTTGGGAACTCTTATCAAGGATAGTCTGTGTGATTGTTGACGCCATGGCAATAGTGCTAGGCATGCGGGCACTAGTTCCGATCGTTGAGCTAGTAGGCAATTACTATTCTCTAATAAACGGCAAGACGATTTGACATTTAATGTTCCGAATCATCTCATATTCTCCGCTGCAAAAAAAAAAAAATATAAAGAGAAAGACAGTTTGTCGTGGCAATCAGCTAAAAAAATTCATCGCGTATAGTATTAGTGTCGCTTACGCAAAATACGGCCCTACAAACCCACAGTCCGCGAAGTCTCTCCACCAGACTTCAATGTGTCATCTCCAGCACATCTCCGCGGGTCCTGGCCTGGGCCTCTCTCATGAAATACATAATGCGAGGATTCGCCGTGAGTAATCGGGGGCTCGGTCACTCTTGACTCTTATCTCTTCATAGATTTGTGACCAATCAGCGACTATGGTTTATCATCCGCGCCAACCGTAAGCCGAACCAGACGATCTCCGCGGAAGTCCAAGCGCCCGTTATCAAAGTGCCGATTGCCTTGTACATCCGCGGACCCTAAATATCCCGGGTCTGTGACACTCGATACTCTATAGGTGCAGAGACCGTATCATTGGAAGGAGGGTTAGTTTCTTAAAACTATCGTCGTAGCCGATTTTCATAGTGTAGTAGCGTCATTTTTTCCACACTTTCCCCTCTGCCGTCATGCCGCTGCTGGATGGGCTGCGACATGGCGAGCCGATCGACGGCAGCGCCAGCCCGAGTCTCAACCCGGACCATTCTAGGCGACAGAAGATTGTAGTGGTCGGATTGGGCATGGTAGCCATTTCCTTGATGTAGGCGAAGGCTCGGAAACGATAATTCCTCAATTCCTAGACTAACGAAAAGACAGCGAGAAAATCATCAAGCAGGACACGGCGCAACGATATGATATTCTGGTCATCGGCGAAGAGCCCCACGTCGCCTACAATCGTGTGGGCTTGTCGTCCTTTTTTGAGCATCGTAAGATTGAGGACCTTTATCTCAATCCGAAAGAATGGGTAAGTTGAACATGGACATCAGCGTGCAGTAAAGAGAGGGGGTTCTAAGACTGGCCTCGATTAGTACGGATCCTTCGAAGAGCGGGCATTCGATCATCATCTCAACACACGAGTCACCGAGATCAACCCGACAAACAAGACGGTGCAAACATCTACGGGCGAAAATGTTCCATATGACATTCTTGTTCTTGCGACTGGCTCCGATGCAGTCCTTCCCACCCACACACCCGGTCACGACGCTAAGGGGATCTTTGTGTATCGCACCATCTCCGATTTAGAACGCTTGATTGAATTTGCATCACAACATAAGGGAGAGACGGCTGTTACAGTTGGCGGAGGTCTCCTGGGGCTAGAGGCCGCTAAGGCGATGACCGACTTGGAGGACTTCGGGAACGTCAAGTTGATTGATCGCAATAAATGGGTTTTAGCGCGGCAATTGGACGGCGATGCCGGGTCATTGGTCACACGAAAAATCCGAGAATTGGGATTGGATGTATTGCATCAGAAACAAGTTGCAGTGGTCAACACAGATGCAGACAATAATGTGACAGGGATTACATTCGAGGACGGAGAGCAGATTCAATGTTGCTGCATTTGTTTCGCGGTATGTTCTGCTTGGCTTAAGTTTGATATGTCAATTATGCTGATTGTCTCTTTTCTTTCATCCCGCAGATTGGCGTTAAGCCCCGAGATGAATTGGGCCACGCTGCTGGTATTCAGTCAGCAGAAAGAGGCGGGTTCGTAATTGACGAGAGGTGTGTATCTTCAAAACATTGATAGTTCACAGTGTCATTGATTTTAACCTTCTCGGCAGTCTGCAAACCTCCATTCCAGATATCTATGCGGTGGGCGAATGTGCTAGCTGGGAGAACCAGACATTCGGGATTATCGCACCTGGCATTGAGATGGCAGACGTTCTTGCGTACAACCTGACAAACCCCGATAAAGAGCAAAAAAGCTTCACTCGCCCGGATCTCAGCACCAAGTTGAAGCTATTGGGGGTTGACGTGGCCTCCTTTGGCGATTTTTTCGCTGATCGAGATGGTCCCAAATTCCTCCCTGGCCGGCGACCTTCCATTCCAAACGTCTTCTCAGAGACGACTCGTGAAAAGGAACCCTCTGTCAAAGCCTTGACCTATAAAGATCCATTTGGTGGGGTGTATAAGAAATATTTATTCACCATGGATGGCAAATTCTTACTCGGTGGCATGATGATCGGTGATACGAAGGATTATCTCAAATTGAATCAAATGGTCAAGACACAGAAGGAGCTGGAAGTGCCACCCAGCCAATTCATTCTTGGGGCTCAGAATGATGGCGAGGAAAACGCAGATGATTTGTGAGTTCCTTTTGTTAACCACCTCATGGATCAATCTATTGACTTTTCTGTGTGTAGGGACGACAGCACCCAGATCTGTGCCTGTCACAATGTGACAAAAGGCGACGTGGTCGAGAATATCAAGAATGGTACCTGTAAGACGATGAGCGACGTGAAATCCTGCACCAAGGCTGGCACTGGCTGTGGTGGGTGCTTGCCACTGGTACAATCTATTTTCAACAAGACCATGCTAGAAATGGGCCAAGAAGTATCGAATCACTGTAAGTACAGCCACCAGGCCAACAAATATTGTGAATAAACTCTGACTTCAGCAGTGTGCCAGCACATTCCATACTCACGAGCAGATCTATACAACGTTGTTGCTGTCAAGCAGCTGAAAACATTTCCAGATGTTATGAAAGTTGCAGGGAACAATCCCGAGTCTTTGGGGTGTGAAGTGTGCAAACCGGCAATCGGTTCAATTCTCTCGAGTCTCTTCAATCCTCATGTCATGGATAAAGGATACAATGACCTACAGGATACAAATGACAAATTTCTCGCCAATATTCAGAGAAACGGAACATTTTCTGTTGTGCCTCGAGTGCCTGGTGGTGAGATCACAGCCGACAAACTCATCGCAATCGGTTCCGTCGCAAAGAAATACGGCCTTTATTGCAAAATCACAGGCGCTCAGCGAATTGATATGTTCGGCGCTAAAAAACAAGATCTCTTGCCTATATGGACAGAGCTTGTGGATGCTGGAATGGAGAGTGGCCATGCCTATGCTAAGGCCCTCCGTGCAATCAAAAGCTGTGTGGGAACTACATGGTGTCGTTTCGGCATCGGTGACAGTGTCGGTATGGCAATTCGACTCGAAGAGAGATATAAGAGCATTCGCGCACCGCACAAGTTCAAGGCAGCTGTGTCCGGATGTGTTCGTGAATGCGCTGAAGCGCAAAACAAGGAGTAGGTGTCTTCTCCAACCTCTTGAAATGTAGTCGCATTACTGACCACTTTATTTAGCTTTGGTCTTATCGCGACAGAGAACGGCTTTAATATCTTTGTAGGAGGCAACGGGGGAGCGAAACCTCGACATTCAGAGCTTCTAATTAAGGATGTGCCGCCGGAAATGGTGATGCCTATCATCGATCGCTACCTGATCTTCTACATCCGAACCGCCGACAAGCTACAGCGTACCGCGAGATGGATCGAAAATCTACCTGGGGGAATCAACTACCTCAAAGAGGTCATCATTGACGACAAGCTGGGTATTTGTGCCGACATGGAGCGACAAATGCAAGAACTTGTAGACAGCTATTTCTGTGAATGGACCGAGACCGTCAGGGATCCCAAACGACGTAAGACCTTCCAACAGTTCGCCAACACCGATGAAACCGTTGAGACCGTTGAGGTCATCCAAGAACGTTCTCAGAACCGCCCTACCTACTGGCCAAAGAATTCAGCCCAGGAAGACTTCAGGGGCCACCAATGGTCTAGCCTGTCCTGGCAGCCGGTGGTCCGCGCTGATCACTTTTCGGACGAGCCTCCACAGGTTTCCTCAGCGAATGTCAAGCGAGGAGACACTCAGCTGGCTGTGTTCAAAATTAAAGGCAAATTCTATGCAACTCAACAGATGTGCCCTCATAAACGAGCATTCGTTCTTTCTGACGGTCTGATCGGTGATGATGATGCTGGCAAGTACTGGGTATCTTGTCCATATCACAAACGCAACTTTGAGTTGAATGGTGACCAGGCAGGTCGTTGTTCAAATGACGAGAGTATGAATATCGCTACCTTCCCGGTGGAAGAGCGGCAGGATGGGTGGATCTACTTGAAGTTACCTCCAGTGGAAGAATTGGATGCTGTTCTAGGGACCGAGAAATGGAAGGTTAGGAAGGGCGAGGCCCCAGATCCATTTCACAAGGTGGATAAACGATATAAAGGAATGAAAGGAAAGAAGGTTGCCGAGGGGGAGAATACACCTAAGCCACCAGTCCAGTCGGCAAATGGTATTGATTGGTAAGGAGCCGGGATAAGCTGTATACGGTAGTATGTGATGATGCATTTGGGTATCGGAGTTCTCAGATTGTTTTTGGAAGTTCCAATGTAATTGCGAAAGATTCAGTCCTAGTACAATTCTACTTGACATGAAAAGCTTTTCAAACAATTCTATTCAAAATCGATCGTATGTTACAATAATACTATAGCCGTGAGTGTATTGATATCTCTCTCCGCCCGACGGTTGTTATCGTGGAGTCGCAAGATCACAATGTACTCCCTGTGGCGTGCAATGCTAGCTTTGATGGAGCGATTGTGTAATTTTCCAAAGATCAACAAACCCCTACTAGATCTTTAATCGATATTTACATATGTAGAGAATGAATCGTCTTTTGTTTCAGAGAAAAAGGATCGAGAATTGAATACCGGAGTGGAGAGGGGGATAGTCATTAGGCTTGAGACCATACTTGTGTAAACCCAGAGTTTTTTTCTTAATCAAAGCTGCAATTTTTGCTGACTCGGCCCTGGTTCGTATCGAACAATCAATCCACTCATCGCTTGGGATTAGTTCAAGTCAGGGTAACGCTTGGGGAATCAGTCCCTCCATCACTTGAAGCCCAGCCTCCAGAGCTACCAGACTCGGAACACAGGTCGCCGGCTTTGCCACCCACTCGGGCAATCTCGCAAGAGAATAGAGCTTCTTTCAAGCTATTTCCGCGGAGTTCTGATGGATCCGATCGTTGTCATGACCCACACTCTGGGAGTTCTCATCTCCATCCCTATCTTTGTGGATGAGAGATTACGTCCAATGAGAGGCGGTGCGTTTATCAACAGCGGCCGGTGGGCCTAGCATGCCCTAGAATCCAGTGGACCACCTCAACCCCAGGAATCAGGCAGAGTTCGGACAGGTGTCTGCATTGATGAGCCCGCGGAGTTACGTGACTGGCTCTTTATCAGTCGCAAGCTGTCAGGGCATAGAATTGACCCGTTTTGTCATAGGCCCCCCCGGTGCATCCCTTATCACGAAGAATGTTATGCCCCAGCCGGTGGCAGTGTTTGCTCAGCTTGGGGCCTTTTCTTTTTCTGGGCCTGTCTCGCTGAAGGGTTTGCTGCAGATCAAAAGGCCCTATCAATTCAACGTTTTTCGATCTAATCAGCACTGTCACGGTGCTTTTTCTGCGTGACTAACCAACCCGGCTTAACCGCGTGGTAATTCCTAGGCCCTGGTAGGCACCTCGATAACTCCGATTGTCAGTCCTGCATGTGTCATAGAAAATGGCCACAATGTAAATTATGTTGTCAAACCCAAACTGCGAATGGGTCGGTCTATATATGATGTTCCTGCCTGCCCGACGAAGCTAGGCCAGCAGCATCGAGGATTTCGAACTTCTCAGCATCCCCTTTTTTACAAACCCGTGCTTTGATAAGCCAATATCTCCCTGACATCCCTTGTTAGCTCTGTCACTAGTTTATAAACGTCTTTTATCTACCGAGCGGCCATCTGAGTGCCAGTTTACCCCAGACATGGCGGCTAGTTCCTTCAAGCTACTGTTCACTCCGCCCGAAATTAATCCTGCCACTCGCAAGGCAAAATCTATTCCCATCTTCAACCCATTTGATCAATATGGTCGGGTATTCTTCTTCTCTTGGCTGGGTTTTATGGTCGCATTCCTATCCTGGTATGCGTTTCCGCCCCTGGTAAGTAGCGAGAGAAACACACCGACGACCAGGCGCTGATATCGATCTTTCAGATGACTGTCACTATCAAGAAGGACTTGCATATGACCCAGGAGGATGTTGCCAACTCGAACATTGTTGCGCTACTCGCAACGTAAGAACTAGACATCAATCCTTGATATTACCGTCTCTAACACCGCCCAGATTTCTTGTCCGATTCATCGCAGGTCCACTTTGTGACCGGTTCGGACCACGCTTGGTCTTTGTAGGGCTTTTGATCGGTGGTTCTATTCCCACAGCTATGGCTGGTCTTGTGACGACTCCGAAGGGATTAATTGCCTTGCGCTTTTTCGTCGGAATTCTGGGCGGAACATTTGTTCCTTGCCAGGTTTGGTGTACTGGCTTCTTCGACAAAAGAATTGTGGGAACGGCCAATTCCCTAGCTGCAGGCTGGGGTAACGCCGGCGGAGGAATCACCTAGTAAGCTTTTCTGAAAAGAAAAATCACCACTCTCTTGGTTACTTCTACTAACAGTTTTTCAATTTAGTTTTGTCATGCCTGCCTTATATGACTCCCTCGTCGCGAGTCAAGGCCTCGCGCCCCACAAAGCGTGGCGGGTGGCTTACATCGTCCCTTTCATCATCATCATTACACTTGCACTGGGAATGCTGTTCTTATGCGAAGATACCCCGACAGGCAAATGGTCGGAGCGACATCTCTGGGCAAAAGAAACGTCTCCAGCCGACGCTCTTTGTGCTGGAAATATCGTCGATATCAACTCTGGGAATTCCTCTGCTGGGCCATCGGCTACTCCTTCTGTTTACAACATCAATGCTTCCGACATAGAAAAGAAGGGCGCGCAATCTCCTCAAATTATTGATCAAGACGCTTCCGCAATGGGACAAGTGGATACGTTCCAACAAGACACCGTTGTCGCTCCCTCTCGTAAAGAAGCCATGCGTGTTGCACTGAGCTTGTCCACCCTCGCCGTGGCAGTCTGCTATGCTTGTTCATTCGGATCTGAGCTTGCCATCAATTCGATCCTTGGTACATATTATGCCAAGAACTTCCCTCACATGAGCCAAACGAAGTCAGGGCAATGGGCCGCGATGTTTGGCCTCCTGAATGTGGTTTTTCGACCCGCTGGAGGTCTCTTTGGAGATTTGATCTATCGGGCTACAGGCTCCATTTGGTCCAAGAAATTGTTGCTGTCTTTCATGGGTCTTTCCATGGGAGCCTTTCAGTTGGCGATCGGATTGTCCAACCCAACTAGCGAAGCAACTATGTTTGGCCTGGTGGCCGGTCTAGCTTTCTTCCTAGAAGCATGCAATGGTGCAAACTTCGCTGTTGTTCCTCATGTTCACCCATATGCGAATGGTAAGCCGTCTACTCCTCACGCTTGAACTCTTACTCGGCGAGAATGCTAACTTCCCGATTCTAGGTATCGTATCTGGTATTGTGGGTGGGTTTGGGAATCTTGGCGGAATCATTTTCGCTATTATCTTTCGATACAATGGCTCCCAGTATGGGAAATCCATGTGGATTATCGGTGTCATCTCTTTGGCGGCCAATCTCGCTGTCAGCTGGATACGCCCTGTCCCAAAAGTTCCGGTTATTCAATCTTGATGGAATGTATGATGGTACAATGCAGTGACTATGTAAAATGATACGCCCAATAATCGATATATTCAATTGAACCTCTTTGGTTGTAGCTCGTAGGACACTCAAGGCGCAACGTATCGATGCCGGTGCTCGGCATCCCGAACGGCACGGCCTTCGGGTTAGCACACACCGAGCACGGACTAACACTCTGGCGAGAAACGGGGGGCAGACCAGCTCATGCTAACCGTGTCCTCTTCATTTTCAACTCCCTCTATAGTCAATTCTGAGGCTGTATCTCAAGCATCTCTCATTAGCCCTCTGGTTGTATGCCTTCTCCTGATTTACCCACAACTCATCCATTTTGTGCTCGAGTTCGTTTCTCCTCCCTCGCCCACATACGCCCTTCCCCGCGGAGCCCCGCATTGAGATAATCTAATCCGGGGGACTAGGCAAAGAAAAAGAGGGACACTATTACCCTACACAAGCGAAAATGTCTCAAGTTCGCCGCATTGCCCAGATTGTCCATCTCAAACCCTCCGCCGTAGCGGCATACAAGGAATGTCATGCCAATGTCTGGCCAGAGGTTTTGCAGCAAATCAAGGATTGTAACATCAAAGACTGTAGGTCGCAATCTCCTCAATTGCTCCCACCAGATATTGGTAATTAACTTTGGTGATCTCTGAGCATAGACTCGATTTTCTTTGACAATGACCGTACTCTTTTTGCCACTTTCAAGTACGTCGGTACGGACTTCGAAGGCGACATGGAGCGCATGCGATCGAACCCGAAAGTGAGAGAATGGTGGGCGATGACCGATGGAATGCAAGTATGTGCTTTTCCATATAAACTCTGTATATTTTCTGAGATTTTTGAGGCTGATATGTTACATTTGCATTTAGGAGAGCCCCATCCCCGGTGCTGTGAGCAGTGCGGATGGGCCGGGCTGGTGGAAGGTGCTAGACGAAGTCTTTTACACCGACTGAAGCCCTCAATTATGATCGGTTAAGAATGTACATATCAATTTACATGTTCCAAGTGGGAATACCTTGTATTTCTATTTTGAATATACGTATGATGTCTTTGATCTCGTGTAAATTTGCTCCTTTAAAAGATTAAGTATTTATATATCTCTCTACATTCATGCCGAAGAGGGTGACCATTCTCATTTAAAAAATTGATCGATCTTTTTCTGTTTCGTATCATGTGAAGCGCTTCCAATACCACCACGAGTCCGGCGCAGGCCAGAAAGGTGAGCTTTGTTATCAATGGCCTGGATCGACATGGACCACCCGTGCAAAAGGGTATTTTGCAGATACTCTTCCTGGGTAGACTTGGGACTCGGGGTCGCCTCTATTGCAGAACTTAGAGCTGCCTGCGGTACATGAGATCCCACGTCCTGTGGTGGCTGCATTCCAGAGTTTCGCTGAATCAACAATTCCATGACGCCTGTATTAGACCAGCTTGGAGAAATTAGAGCAGCTGGCCCGCCATTCCATGTGGCAACCCCGGGAAGAAGAGAAATGTTCATCGGATCGAACAATTCGACAAGGCAGTTCCACAACACTCGAAGAATAATACCGTGAGCCACAATAGCAATATTTGGATGTAGACATCCGCTGTCAAACACAACCGGCAAGAAATGACTATGCAAAAATGAGTTCGCTCGTTGTCTCATTGAAACAGTGGACTCCTTGTCCACGTGTGTTGCGGTAGCGCCATCACTCGAAGATCCAGAAGATGCGCTAGTACTCCCGGAATTGAAGGAAGCAGGCTGCCAACGGAGTCCTTCTAATGACCCGAAGTCTCGCTCTCTCAGCTCTCGCGTCAAAACCGGGCATAAAGGCACCCCGTCAGGTGTTGGAGGTTGCAGACGGCAGATGCCCTCGGCGGTAATGCGTGCTCGACTGAGGTCCGATGCGAACACCCAATCAAGGCGGATCGACTTTTTCATGAAATGTTGCGCAAGGCATTCAATTTGCAACATGCCATGGTTTGTGAGGGCTGAATCGGTTGCTCCGGCCCTTTAATGCGGGTCAGCCATGTAAAGAACGGCGACGAGGCAAGCTATATGCCACCTTACCAAGCTTGCGCTACATTATGAACTGTCTCCCCATGTCTCACTAGATATATTCTCATATTTCAGGGCGTGCTCATTTGGCGAGGTTACATGCGAACGGAAGATTCATGCTGCAATATGACCTGGTGGCTGCCATCTGGTCACGTGATATACATGTTCCTGAGAAACGACACCCACAATACAACTTTGGGAAGAGTAGTGCTGTAGAGCAGTGACAAGCTTCTCGATCCAGAGTCACGCGGCTACGGATTCCCATTTACAATGCACTATTCAATAACACCGAGGAAGCGCTTTTGAGGGAACGATGGATTGCATGGACATTTGGAGCAGTTAGAACTGTGAAGGAAATTGCCTTGAATAAAACCCCAGACTAGTTGCTCCGAGAAAAAAAACACCCCTTAAACGTAACAAAAGTGGTATGTGCCATGAACCCATCATCTACATCACATTAAATAAAGAAACGCCGACTGGCAGAAGCCAATTCCCTCGTAAAATTTTTGGAGGAACTTTTGAGAAGCCTTTGCAGCGAACCGAGAAACTCGTCAGAAAACATCGAAACGATGCGCTTAAGCAGCAAGCTGGCGGATCTTCTCCTGGACGCGAGCCTTGCGCTCGGCGTGGGTGAGCTTGGCGACCTTGTACTTCTTGGACTCGGCCTTCCACTGCTCCTTGGTCTTCTTCTCACCAGCCTCCTCGTCCTTCTTGAAGGGGTCCTCACGGATGGCGGTGTGAGCCTCCTGGTAGAGCTCCTCAAGGTCACCGGCATCAACCTCATCCTCGATGTACTTGGTGAACTGGGACTTGTAGCGCTCCTCATCCTCATCAGCGAGGGTCTCCATGTACTCAGAGACGTGACCACCGAAGATGTAGTTGCGGAGGGTGTCGGCATCGAGCTCCTCAGACTCAATGTCGTAACCGGGGAAGCGGCGCTCGGAGTGGGGGATGAAGATGCCACCGTCGGAGGCACCCTTCATGGCACCGAAGACACGGTTACCGGTGGAGGTGCGGACAAGACCGACATCAAGGAAGGCCTTGAAGGGACGGCGCTCACCATCGTCGGTCTCAGCGGCCTCGGTGAGAGTGTACTCACCGGTGGCCTCCTCGACACCAGGGAACTGCTCAGCCAGACCAAGCTTGGCAAGGGTGCGGCGGGCAAGGAGCAGACCGGTGGCATAGGCAGCGGACCAGTTGGTCAGACCCTGGGTGATACCGTAGCGCTTGAGCTCGTGAGAGTAAGCAGAGGCGAAGACCTTGTCGCCGGAGATCTCAGAGTAGACGATCTGGGTGACGATGTCGCGGTTGGTGAAGCGGACAACCATGCGGTACTTGGGGGCGTTGTACTTGTTCTTGGCCTGGGTGATCAGGCGCTTGCGGGCATAGTAGTCGGTCTTACCCTCACGGCGACGACGGTACTTAGTCTGGTAGCGACTGGTGGGCAAAACGCAGGTCAGCACAAAACGCACAAACCAAGAAAATTCGGATCTTCACTTTGCAAGAGGATCAAGGGGTGGAATGAGGAGATTGAGGCTTACCTGAAGTACGCATCGTTCTTGACAAGCTTGGTGAAAGGCTAGACAAGAAAACTCGCGAGTCAGCAATTTGCGCTTCAGAATCTTGTCCGAAGCATCTTGCGGGGACCCGGGCTCCGGTCGGAGCGGAGGCAAAGGCAGATGCAAATCGAGGAAATCAAGGGCACGATGGTCTTCAAATCAACCATCGGCAATAGCAGGCACACTCACCATTTTGACGGTTGTCGGAGCTGAAGCCTGGTTGACGGGATGGAGGAAAAGAAAGAGAGTAGTAAATTTGGCGGTGGCTTTGTGGGGGATTTCGCTTAGCGGGCTGGCTGCATCCCGCAGGTCAAAAGTGCGGTTGGCGACGACCGGGTTCAAAAGTTCCTCAACTTGGGTGGGTGACGAGCGGATCGGGCATTACATACAATGTATAGCACATACAGTACAACAACCCCAAGAAAGTCGCAGATGACGACTGAAAGTTGCTAAAGAATTATATCATGTATTGCTCAAAGCTCTTGAATTTATCTACACCCAATTATGCAGACTGAATCTAGAAGAGAGATAAAGAGAGCGAAAAAAATTTTTGTATGTAACGCCACAGAACCATCTACCTCTAAAGTCTCGCCTTGCCCTCATCTTCTAGCAAAGAGAGACCGGTGATCCTCTCTAACTCTTTGACGGCATCTTCGATCTTCCCTAGTGTGACTTTGACGGTGCGCATCCCAGCTCGCTTCGCACCCTTCAAGTTCTCTCCGATATCATCAAAGAAGACAATGTCCGACGGCTGAATTCCCGGACTTCCGCGCTGTTTCGCCAAAGCGGTCATCTCCTGAAGCGCGACCTCATAGATCTTCGGATCTGGCTTGCGAAGTCCCGTGTGTGCGGATGAGATGAAGAAGTCAAACTGAGACTTGACGCCGGATGTATCCCCGTTATAGGGATGGCCCTCCGGAAATATGACCGTGTTGGAGAGGGCGCCCATCAGATACTGGCCGGATTTTCGCAGCTTTTTCAGTGCCGGATACATATATGGATCCGGGGTACGCGATATCCTCATCATTTCCCAGAAAAGCCATTCGGCGTCAACCTTCGGGAGCGGAGGGATGGAAGCTAATCCATTCCCCCCATTCTTTTGCGCCAGCTGCTCGTGGAACTGCTTCCATAGAGTTGGGTTTCGCAAATCTTCATTGAATGCGGCGAAGAAGCTGGCATCCATCGGGATTTCGCCGCGCTCCAGCTGGTGCCAACTGCCATTGGGGGATGTCCGGGAAATACTGAAGTTCACCCAGCCTGGAGGGATATTTTGCGACAACTCGTAATCCAGAATAGCTTGAAATGGGGACACAACCTGCGTGACAGCATCAGCCTAGGTTTAAGTGACCACAGAAGCCGGATGAAACGGTAATCCTACACAAACTCCTCCAATGTCAAAAAGAAGGCCGACTGGCCGTGCGTTGTCTGGCATTTTAGAATCCAAGTAACTGATACTCGGGACGCTGGAGTTGATATGCTCTTTGATACCAAATGTCAAGGATCAAAGTGTTTGTATGCAGCCTGTTGATTATCAATTATTTGCGGAGAACCCGAGAGATCTTAAAAGCCAACATAAGTTGCCGAGGTACGGGGAAAATGGAGACCGAGGGAGTATGGATTATACCAGTCTAGAACTCCAGATAGATCCTGCCCTCTTCACAAACCTCATACAGCTCTTTGAATATTTCTCTTGAAGGCCATCAGGAGTAGCGATGTATATAATAGACTGAAAATGCCAACCAAACCCTCGTAACCAACCGTCGTCCTTCCTCGTCGGTGGGGAGGTCGTAAGCACGTGACCTTTAATCGATAAGACAGGGACGCGTTCTCTTCAATGGCACGCGGCTCGTCGGCGATGAACGGCGAGGTACAACCCTCTTCCAACGCCCTTCACAAACATGGACTCCGCTCGAACAGACCCAGCTCGGACAATTTTCGAATTAAAGTCGAATTTTCTCTGGAGTCAAGTTCGCATACTATCCGAAAACCTTGACCTGCCCCACGAGTGGAAGAACTATGCTGTGGAGACGGAGGAAAGCGATTTGGGTGAGAAAGTGATTGAGGATGTTCTGCACAGAGGTAATTCTGCTCCACCTTCTATAAGCTCTCCTTGGAAAATCGTTTGTTGCATGGCTGGCTTTGATGAGCTGTCGTTTACCAAAAATCCCTGGTCGCTCACCATATTCCTAGTCAATGTTGTCGTAAAGCAACATAATCGTGTTGTTTACTCCTCGCAGGCAATCCACCATGTAGCCCAACAAATTGCCAGTCTCTATCGATCCTCCATAAGCCACGGACAGAACCAACATCAACTGGCAAACAGGGTCGAGAGAACGGCAGACCTCTCGAGACACATGTCGGTTACCTCCAGATCCGGGCAAAATGGCTCTGCCTTCTCTGATACTTTGGGACTAATTTCTTAAAAGCAATATTACAAGATTACCCCTAGGCCTAGAATTTCAAGATACAAGCGACCAGAATCATGCAAGGTAGATGGCGAGTCATTCGAAATCCTGTTTACTGGAAATCTAACCTTCACCGTACAGATATAAACAACTCCGAGACCAACTCACCAGTTTAGACCAAATACGTCAGCAGCGCCAAAGACGATTAAATCAGGTGCACCATCTTCGGGGTCTGGTCCGACCATTCGAAGAGCCACAGACCAATATCCAGCCAAATCTTGTCCTTCGAGACAGTGAGCTAGTTCAGGAAGTGGAAAAAATGCGAATGCTGACAGCAAGGCTTGGAGGGCGAATAGCCCAGCGGGGGAAAGCGGGTATTAGAAGCAATAGGGAAGATGGCCAGCAATATCTACCTCCTGGGTCAGACCAAAGACTAGCGCTTCTATTAGATTCAGACCCATGAATTAATGACTCAATTCCCTTATAGCCCAGAGAAGCTCGTTCATATGAAGAGACCTCTTCGCCCACCCAAATAATACTTTGCGATGTGTTTTGACCTCCCACTCTTCCCCAAAAAGGGGATAACGACTAGGTTTTTAAATGATAGAATATGATGAAATTCCTCGATTCTTCAGCTCCACCTTCTAGAGAGCGAAATTAATTTTTTCTTTTGTCTAGGTGTAATTTATGGGGGTAATTGTTCCTTGATGGGGACTCAAAATACCTTCAGTCCCATGAGAGATGCCTCGCTTTAAATTACTTTTGTCTTTTTAGTATGCAATAGCGAGTCACGTCTCATAATTGTGTTTCTTTGTCTTCAACACAGGTCAAACTGAACAAACTTAAAGCGTACTATGCTGCCAAAAAGAATCATCTAATATTTTGGATGTTTTGTTTCATAAACCCCCAACCCGTAGAAGTGAAAAGGCCAGGAAGCGCGTTGATAGATAGATCCCTGTGAGGAGTAACAAATTCAGCCCCTAGCACTGCAGTTCTGTGGAAAGGTGAGAGCCTATCAGCATAATTCCATTGAGGGTCCGGCACATAATTGGAATTGCATCCTAGATGATTATAGAGATAAGGCCAGAGGAGTATTTTTCAAATCTTCCCGTGGGAAAAATAGGTTTGTTTTGCACCACAGTGTTTTATCATGGGATCTATTCGGGTGTAGCAGATCTATGCTACCTGGTTGATTGCTGTGCAAAGTCTTCACGCACGATCTTACGCGACCACAAGGGCGGAAGGTACCTAACCGGTTAAAGGCACTTTCAGCAGGAGCAGACACTCCAGAACCTTAAAGGTTGTTACAGCAGGTCCGATTCAGGGCGAACAAAAAGTTGGTCAGGGCTGAGATTTCCCATCCAAGGATCTCCCATCTTCTCCGTCATCCATTACACTTACACCCGTGGGTTCTCGGAACAGAGCGGTTGGCGATCACTAAGGCCGCCGGGAATGCCTAGGAGACTTTTCATGCACCTTCTCCCTCCTGTACATTGATGAGTACCCTCAGCAGAATGAAGCGCTTGGTCGGTCTGGACGGGCTGAGCGACCATGAACAGGACCACAAGATCCCCCGCCAGGCGAGCGAAGGCGATGCGGTCAGGACCGCCGCTAACCCGATCAGGCATGGCGTTGGCACCCCCGAACAGCGAGCCATCCCACCGCTCGAGGCCTTGGATCTTGCTCTGACGCCAGCTTTCTCATCCAACGACGATTCTGCGATTGACAACGATCCTACCCTTATCGACGCGTGCGCCGCCATCATCGAGGGCGCCGGCTCTTCCTCCTCTTCCAAGGCACCTTTTACGCGTGGGCACCGCCGTCGTTCCACCCACGTTACTCGCCGTGACCTTGAGAAGTTTCAAAAGGAGGTTCTTGGTGTCGAAAACCACGCCTCCTGGTACGACGAGGATAACGGCACCTCGCGCCCCATCAATCCCTACGATCCACAACTTGAAGACCTGAACCGTGCGTTCGCGCTTGCCAATATGTCCATGAACAGCGGTACCGGAATGGCTGGCGGCGGCAATTCGGGCCCGGGCATGTTTTCCGCCTATGCGGACAATTCCCCCTCCCCCAACTTGGGTGGCATACCGCGTCAGTCTTTGACCTCAGGGATTCCCCACTCTTCATCCCAAGTCAATGGCAGCGGTGCCCCCAGTGCTACTGGCAGTGCGAGTGGATTAGGAGCCATGAATGGCAATATGTCTATGAACGCAGGACATCAGATGGATCTCCATCATCTTTATGACATGGTATTGGAGCTGAGCGAAGTCTTGAAGAATAACCGCGAGGTAACCAAGAGTATCGTTTCGAGTGCCGAGGAGATCATGGTGAGTTGCGAACCGAATCAGTTATCCGGCCTGCGACCACAGAACTGACACAGCGACAGAAGCACGGCAACTCCGAGGAAGCGAGTTCGGCGATGCGGCAAGTCAATGGAGAAATATCCGGTAAGTCTTGATTGAGAAAATGACTCATGTTACCTCTCTTTTAGACAGAAATTGACCCAAGCTAACGATTCATTCGCGTCATAATGTAGCGGCCCGGATATCAGAACTTGAACGTGCCCTCGCGAAGGAGAAACGGCTGGTCGAAGATCTCAAGCGCGAACAGCTGGAGAACACCAAACTGATCAGCGAATACGAAGCAAGTGTGGGAACTATGGTTGAACAAATCCGCAACTATTGCCAGAACAACAACATGCACTTTCTTTACCAAAAAAGCCACTACAACAATCTCCTCCAGGCCGAACGGGATGCTCATTTAGAAAGCCGACTCGACCGGGATTACTGGCACGCTCAAACTATGAAATGTGCCGAGATGATTCGTCATGCACACCGGCTCCGATCCGAGGAAGAGGAACCCCCTATCCGCGTGATTGCTGGGCTCCAGAACGAAGTGCGGGCATACCGCAATGCACTGGGGATGGAGCCTGAGAAGCCAGAGGAAGAATATGGCTGGGAGATCCTCCGGGATGTCCCCACCAGCCTGGAATGAAAGGGAGCCCCCTCTCCCCCGAAGATCCTTCGGCAACGGATGCTATGATGACTGCTTGTTCCCCATCTTCTCATTCTTTCCACTTTCCACCCTGGTAGTTCGTGATGCATAGTGCTCGGCGGCGTTCTTTTCGAGTTTGGGTCCCGGTTCTTGACTTAGCGTTATTTTTTCCTTTAGTGGAAGGGTTTACCCATGAACATCCCCATCCATTTTGTGTTTTTCTTCCCCTGCAGATACCCATCCCATTGTGAGACGAATGTTTGTCGATGTGTTTCTAGTAGGGATCTCCTTCGGGCCAGGGCCCCCCATCGGAATGAACAAAATGGACGAATAGACAAACAGACAGATTAGTCTATAGGCCTAGATGGGCTCCCAGCGCATACTAAAGCACTACGGTGGCTCCCAACGATCCCTGCCCCTGCAGTGCCCTACTAGTCGAGAGCGAGAGAGCGCAAGAACTCGAGAGCAAATCGTGCCGGTCCCATTTCGTTGGCTCCACCTGATCAAACTAGTGGATACTCAACCCGCCTCTATGAATAATAGACACCGATAGTTAATCAAAGTAATACATAATACTGTACGGTAATAATGGGGTTTTTAGGCGGGACCACCGCCAATTCCCCCTCTCTCATTACGCCCGGAATTTGGGTGTGTGTCCGGAGTTCCCACTCTTCCCCCCGTCCATCTTTCATCTTCTCTCCACGTCCACGCCCTCGTGTCGGCTTAGACTCCATGACATTAGCAAGGTACATAATTGATCTAACATGTCTAGAATATCCGAAATATCCAGAATACCCACCGAGGAGGGGATATTGGACGAATTCTCCGAGTAGCCGAGTCAAATGTCCTAGCACTGTGTATGGGACCTCACGTGCCGGTGGAGTCTTTTTTACCTTTGCATCTTTGCATTGGGAGGGGCCCGATTATGTCACCTTAAAACGATGCTTAATCTTCCTTATCCGGTCGCTTCCAGTGCCTCGTCTTTTTCCTCCTCGTCTCTCTGTGGTGGCTTTCTCAAGTTGTGTTTGAAAACCTCCCTCTGTTTCTTTCGGTTCCTTACATTATGAATTCTCGAGCCCTGCCTCTGGTGGCGAGACTTCCACACGGTCACCTGTAGACCGAAGTGTGCCCCACAACGTCGCTCTTATACCCGGGAACCCTGCTCGGTCGCAAATCCCCGGATTTTCATATCCCCAACATCGCTTGTCGTCGACTACCGTCCTAGGGACACTGATTAGGGATCACCAACCGACAAAATTCCGTAAAGGTGGGGGATCAGCCAATTATGCGTCATCCGATCTAGGCCTATCCTGTCATTCGACCTCGATTCCGCGCCACACAGCCGGTCACCGTGGAACACAGGCTCTCCGCCAGACCCTGCCACTCCCAACCCCATCTACGTGAGTGAAGAGGAGGCTATTCAAGATGGAGGGCGTTCAAACGGTGGATGTGAGCTGGCTACATCACTCACAGAAAGGTAAGTCCTACGCTCCGTCCTTCTCTCCCCCACCCGCCCACGGGTATGGGTGGACAAGACAACACCCCCGGGCGGAAGTGGGCGGTCCGCCGCTGGGCAGTGTCTGACTCTTTCTTCTCAGACCATCTGTCCCGAACAAAATCAGTATCATCCTCAACTAGTGATCGGCCAAGTACGGATAGAGATGCCGCCACCAAAACCACATCAAACTCGCACCGAAGGTCTCGATCGAACAGCAGCCCGGCCCGCGCACCATCCTCCGAGAAATCACAACCCAAACAAGTGCCCCAGGGCGATATAGGGAAAGCAGAACATAAAGTCCAGGCGACTGAGAAGGTGGCCGAGCAAAAACCACAGTCCACTCCGTCCCCGGCATCGCAAAAAAGTAGTCCCAAGCCCATCGGCGGGAGGCGAAATTCATGGATTTCTTCTCTGAGCTCGAAATTCTCATCCGGATCAACACCCCCGTCGCAGTCCAGTCTTAAGGCTAGCCCTGCAAGTCCGAAGGCGACCTCACCTCTCGATACCCACAACCCGTTTGGCGCGGCCTATTCCCCAAAGGACAAGGAAGATGAAAAGAAAGAAGACCCGAGCCCCTTTACTTCCACCTCTCCGAAAGGGCCTTCATTCATCCATAATGCGCTACGCAAATTCTCATCGAATTCTGGAGGCTTGCCCAAGCTACCGCCAAATGGGGCGATTTGCCCACGGCGTGTCATGAATCTGGACCAGACCCGGGAACGTTGCAAGATCACGGATTTGAATCAAGCCAAATTACATCGTGTCGCTTTTTGTGTGGATGTGGAAATCGCTGGTATTTCCCATCGAGATTCTGACGAAGATGCTCCCCCGACAAACCAACTGCGACAGCATCTTCCTGAATCAAGTCGCCAAAAGTCCAAGAAGGCGGATGCAAAGGAGAAAGGGAAAGAGGAAGGGGGAATTTTGAAGGATTCTCAGGCAGCAGTGGCCGAAAAAGAAGCTCCTTTAATGACCAGCCAAGGAAGTTCTACCCCGGAGGCTCAACCTGCGGCCCCGACGGCCCCGACGGCCCCTACACCTGATATGGCGGACCCAAAGCCTCCCGGCGATGCGAAACCGAATGGCGAAGGGAAAGAATCGACACGGAAACAAGAGAAGAAGAAACGATCCGAGGAAGAAAGAAAAGAACGCAAGGAACGAAAACGCAGACAGGCGGTGGCAAACGGATCTATTCCATTGCAATTGGACGCAGAGAACGATGACGATGACCGTGCCCCTGCAGTCGGTCTGCCTCGCTCTAAGACCCAAAGTCATCCCACCACAGACCCAGTGCGCATATATCGTCGTTGTTGTCAACTACGAGAAACCCCGGTCCTGAAAAGGGTCGTGGACGAGATCTCTTCTCCTTCCTCCACATTGGCTGAATCCCCGGGCACTGTTGCCGCTCTGGATCTGAGCAATTTTCCGATGAGCTCTCAGGACATTGCGACGTTTAGCGACTGGCTTGCTATCGTTCCTGTGCGGAAGCTCATTATGGAAAACTGCGCATTGACAGATGACTCTGTGCGTGCAATTTTAGCCGCTTTGTTGTCCACCAAGACAGTGGAACAGATGCGATGCCGCCGAAGACGAGCGCGGAGATCCGAGTGTCCAATTGTCAAGGATGAACGATGGGGCGTCGTGGAAAAACTCTCTCTCAAGGACAATCCGAAGATTGGACGCGAAGGATGGCGCCATATTGGACTGTTTATTCATTTATCAAAATCTCTTAAGGCGATCGATCTGTCTGGAATTCCTTTCCCCCGGCCACGAGTACCCTCCGATGGGTCTACTGGCTCCACGGGTCAAAGCCAGTCTCAGTCATCTGCCGGTGACGTTTGTACTATATTCGCGAATGCCTTGGCGGAGCGATTCAGCGGCGATCATCTCGAGGAACTCTTGTTGAGCGAGTGCAAACCTTCTGCTGAGCAGGTCAAAATGATATGTGAGGCAGCCTCTAGAATGGGCTTGCGAAGACTCGGGCTTGCCAACAATGAACTGGCACGAGAGGGCCTGGAACATGTTATCGAATATTTCAAAGCCGGCCAGTGCGAGGGATTAGATCTAGGAGGGAATCCCATCAAGGATGATCTTGGTCTCATTGCAAATGCGATTGACCCTGAGCAGTCGCTTTATACACTCAGCCTGGCCGACTGCTCGTTGAGTGCACCTGCTATTTGCCCGTTGCTCCAGTCCTTGACCAGGCTTCACAATCTTCGCTTCATCGATTTCTCGCATAATCCTGAGCTCTTCTCGGTACAACCAAGCGCTCTGGGTGCATTCCGTCGTTTCCTGCCCAAGATGCCTTCTCTCAAACGGATCCATCTTGCCGATGTTAATCTATCACCGGATCATGTTATCGGCCTGGCCGAAGTTCTTCCGGAATGTCCTAGTCTATGTCACTTGAATATCCTGGAGAACCCACAAATCACGGCTCTGGCTTCTGGTACGGATGCTGCTGTTCAGGAAGAAGCATGCGCAGTCTACGCTTCAATGATGGCAGCTGTTCGTGTTTCGCGCACCATTATTGCAGTCGATATTGAAATCCCCACTGCTGAAAACAATGAAGTTGTGAAGGCTCTTGCATCTCAGATTGTGGCCTACTCACTTCGGAACCTTGAAGGTGGTGCTATCGCAGAAGAGCTTTCCGAGTCAATTGTATCGCCTACCACCAAAGATGTCCCTGTGCCTGAAATTTTGCAGCACATCGTCGGCAACGCAAGCGGCTTTGAAGAGCCGTGTTATGAAGAGGATGAACCGGCTCCCGATGAAGACTATGTCATCGGTGGTACAGGTGTGGTAAAGGCACTTGGTGTCTGTCTTGGAAACTTGGACCACCAAGCCAGTGATTCTCTTGGAGATCAATCTGCGCCACCCAGTGGTACTACTACTCCAAGGCGTCGCAAGTCTCGAGGCGTCGTAACGAAGAGACCTCGTGATATGTCCAAGAATTTGCTGGAATCAGCACGCAATATTAGGGCTCGGATTCAGTCTGCTCTTATTCGCGAGGACCGAGCTGGCAATGATGCAAACTATAGTGAGTTTTCAAATTTCAAGATGGAACTTGGTGTTATTGCTGTTGTTTGACGCCACTAACTAAATTTTCCCAATTAGGACGCCTCCAATTCCTGGACTTCACCTTGCACAGAATGATTCAACGATTCGAAGATGAATATCCTGAGACGCGTATTTCCGTTCCACCCATTCCCTCGTTTGCTGCTCCCGATAGTACCTCACAACACTCCGGTGAGGATGCCAACGGTGTCGGTGCTGCCACTGGTAACTTGAGTGGTAGTGTCGTGGAAAATGAAAACGCAATTGATGACGAGGAAACCGACCATTACGCCATCCATCTCTCACGAACCAGTTCTATGACATCTCTCCATGCTCGAGCCATGACTTCGGAGGAAGGCCATGTCCATCGTCTAGGACAGAACCTTCGCCGTGACTTCCTCAACCCACCCGCCGGTCAAGATAATCTCGATGATGATGGCGATGCTCATCTGGCTGCTCTACGGGAGAAACTAGAGCGTCTTCATGAGCAGCAGTCTCAATCGCCATTTGATAGCGCTGAAGCCGAGCAAGCCTTTGAAAAACTCGGATCTACTGTTGATGAACTTTGGGATGCTAAACGCCAGGACATAGAGGGTTTTGAGCGCTTCAAGCAGTCTCAAATTGCGGCACAGATAAACAGTGGCTTCCGCCTTGCCGCTTCCTTATCTGAGGACGGCCGTACTCAAAGCAAGACAAATGATGCTCCTATTGCGCAGAAGACTGAAAACGGGTCGTCCCCGTCTTAGCTTTTTCAGGTGTCCCTTTTGCCTGCTCCACACCTACATAAGTATTTATTACGCGATTCTCTTTTTTGTCTTTCTCTTGCAAGCCCAGTCGCTGTGTATACTCCCCCTCCACGTTTATGTTATATCTTGCCTGGCTCGACTGGGTATTTTTCCATTCCAGCGCTTGTTTCCTTGTTCGTTTCTCGATCACGCTTCAAATTACCTGCTTAGTCTTGTAAATATGTGATTCCATACGTCAGCAGCGAATGTTGATCCCGATGACATTAATATGCTTGAATTTTACTACTTGAAATTTCCTAAGCCAACGAACCTTCACAGGTTTGAGCATCTGCGGCTGAAGCGTGATCCGGAGGCCACCCAGCTAATCGGAGAGCCGATATTTAAGCAAAGTGTACAAATCCTAGAGATATTATGGCTAGCTTTAACGAGATAATAGCAATCCCCATAATGTTTCCAGTAAAGCTGTTTTGAGAGTCGGTCCGATGGTATGTTCACCGCCGACGGCGATGAGACAAAATTGATTCAAACCCCACCCAAATTAAGCCCACTCGGTAATCACCACAAGGAGCTGACTCGAGCAGAAGGTGTATCTCCATTCTTTGAGATCAATGCCTTTTTCAAAAGGGTAAAAAATCACTCAATCCTCTATTATGCCATGCATAACGTTTACAAGCCTTGGCTTGGTTGTTCTTGATGAAGTCCATTTTCCAGAGCGGACCGCGCTGTACAATATCCTTGGCGGCTCTGGGACTTATGGTGCGTCCAAGATTCTTTCCTTCTGATGGGGTAAAAGACCATCGTTGACATAGAATGGTTACAGCGACCCTTGGTGCTCGATTATTTCTCCCGCCTCCCATCAGTCACTCCTTAGGGTGGATGCTTCATGTTGGCCACGACTTTCCAAGATCTGCGGAGGAGCTGCTGGAGAGTTGGAGTACAACATTGATGATAGCCAGACAAGCAGACCAAAAGTCAACCAGAGGTTTGCTTGAATATAAAGATACTACGTTTGGACGTGTGTACAGCTCCCTGTTTCACCAAGCCCTAGTCTGCTAATTTGTCTCCAGCCAAAGACTTCAAGTACACGACTCCGATCCTTGCTGTTCAGGAAGATAACTTGGAACAAATGGACCTGTTGGGCTCGAAGGTGTATCACTACCTTGCATCTCCAGAGGACATCAAGGTCCGCATCTCATCTTTACTTAGGTTGAGAGAAGCTGCAAGCATTTCTGAGCGCCCTCTGATTATTTGGGAACCGGCCCCTCTCTCATGCAAGCCAGAGAATTTCCAAGCATTTTTGGATGCTCTAGCTTCGGTCGATGTGTTTTCTCCAAACCACTTAGAATTAGCCGCACTCTGCTCGGAGCCATCGATCGTCAGTTTTGATGAAGGCAAAATCGAGAAGCTGGTACTGACTTTCCTGAGTCACGGAGTTGGGCCGGGTGGGAACGGTACAGTGATTGTCCGAGCTGGGGAGTTTGGCTGCATGGTCAGTACCCGCGTTCTCTCTCCTAGATGGCTTCCTCCAGTGCATGCATCTGGGCCAGAAACAGAACGGAATGTCAAAGTCGTGGATCCAACAGGAGCAGGAAATGCTTTCCTGGGAGCTTATGGCGTGGGGTATCTCGAAACGCAAAATCCGGTACTCGCAGCATGTTATGGTGCCGTTGGGGCATCATTCGCAGTCGAGCAGGTTGGAATGCCGGGATTGAGTAGAGATGGTGACCGCGAGATGTGGAATGGCATTAATGTGAGGTCAAGGCTGCAGGAGTATATGCATTATGTAGGATCCGCTACATAACAGATTTCCCTCGCCGGGTGGGGCTTTCCTATCTTAGCTACTGCTTTTGTGAGGGCGCTTAGAGCTAGGCTTACTGAGTGAATTTTAGACCAGGCGTAGGCTCACTACGCTGCTTAGTGATATCACGCGATGACGAGTTTAGATAAAGGGAATAGTAGAAACGAAAGAAGGGAAAATACCGCTCTGTTATAGTACCACTTGCAGTGTAACTAGCAACTTATTGAGTAGATAAGAACATAATAAATATCGAGATAGAATCGATACTAAATTAGCATTAAAAGAGAAATTTATATTTTGATTAATAACTGAGTACCGAGGAGATTCATTTACGAAATGTAGGAACTTCCCTTCTAGAAAATAATAATATAATCTATAATAAACAATAACGATAAAGTAGACCTTCTAACAATAATAATAATAACAAAAAAGACCTTCTACTTTATCACGTTATACACCGGTTTAGGTCCGTTTTAGATCCGAACATAATCTGAACATTATCGTATAGTTATTCCATACCAAACAGAGAGTGCTATGATTAACACCAGATTCGCGTGCTAAACGCGCCATGTTCGGCTTTTCAACGCATGATGCATTGGGGGCTTGGTTTCAGTTAAGCTAGGGTATTAGATGATTACAAATATAATAATACTATATACTCATAAAGGCTCCACTCTTGAAATGAAGTTGACGTTTTCGGAAATAGAATCTCTCCTTATCCCTTACTTTCCAAGGTGAGTTGGAAGTATAGTGGTCGATACTAACAAAGAAACCACACAAAAACCACTCCCATGGCCTGAGGTAGACGTAGAGAGTAGTCTTTGAAGGTGTAGACTGTACTGGCCTGATGCTATATCATGAATCAAGAAGTTTGGTGAAAAACTATAGTCATATTGGATGGTTGGATGATTCTCTCCTCTCATGTGAGAAGACTGCATATCTCCTGGGGCATTTGTGGTGCCTCAGGCCACTAATGTGCTACTATCATTGGTTCCACCACTACAATATCCGAATATTCGCTTGCAAAAAAATGAGGACAGCTCGAAATCCAAGTCCGTGGCTACTGTAAAAAGATGCCTTTATATTTCCAGAACTGATGAAAGTGCACAGTGCTTATTGGAGAATGACTGGAGAGATTCCAAGGTTCCTCGGCTGAACTTCCCCAGGAACCTGGGGTATCACATGTCAAAGGATCCATTCCGTCATCCGCGACTCCTCCCTCCCTACGCCATACTCTCCTCTCTTCATCAAAACAATCACCTCACTACCTCTTTCCCAGGGGGTCATGTACGCCCAGATTCCGGCTGATTAGTCGATCGAGTCGCCATGGCCGCTCAGTCCAAGCTGCTCCCGCCCGACCGCTCCGTGAAGCAGATCCTCTCCAGCCTCACCTCCCTCTACCTCAAACACCGAACCCGCATCTCCCGCGCCGTATACCTGGCCCTATTTGCAGCGCTTGCAAAACGAATCCATAATGCTATATCTGAGCAGAAGGCTGCCTCGCAGCAAGTCGATCTGCGCCGACAGCGACCGGGTACCAGCTCACTTGACAACGACGAACAACCGCGCAAGAAGCGTGTTGAGATCAACCGGGAATTTTTTAAGCACTTGCTTCGCCTCCTCCGTATTGTGATCCCAGGTTGGAAGAGCAAAGAGCTACGTCTCCTGGTGAGCCACAGTGTCTTCCTTGTGTTACGGACGCTGCTCAGTCTGTATGTGGCCGAGCTGGACGGCCGACTGGTGAGCAATCTTGTACGGGGCAAGGGCAAGGACTTCTTACTCGGCCTTGTATGGTGGATGATTGTGGCTATTCCGGCCACATTTACAAACTCTATGGTAAGTTGTCCCGAGCTAGGACTTCAACTTCACCATGTTACCGCCATATGCGACCGTTGTGAGGCTTGCCGCTAATCTGGTGCCCTCCGTTATCAGCTCTCATATCATCAATGCAAGCTCTCTCTCAGTTATCGAAAACGCTTGACCGACTATATCCACGACAAATACTTGTCCAACATGACCTTTTATGCGATCTCCGCCCTGGATGATCGAATCAAGAATCCAGACCAGCTCGTCACGGTCGACGTATCGCGCTTCTCTGACAGCTTAGCAGAGCTCTATTCTAACCTTGCTAAGCCGATTCTCGACATGTGCATTTACAATTATTCCCTTTCGAAAAATGTCGGTGGTGAGGGGCTGTTTATCATGAGCCTACTCGTGCAGCTATCAGCCAACGTGATGCGCATGCTGACCCCGCCATTTGGCAAGTATGTCGCGGACGAGGCCAGACTTGAGGGTGAATTCCGTTTCCTCCATTCAAGACTCATAGATTACAGCGAAGAGGTTGCTCTGTATCATGGTCATGAGGCTGAGAAGGATACATTGGATAAGGGCTATTTCACACTGATTAGACATGTGAACCGCATTCTACGTCGGCGTTTATACCATGGCTTTATGGAAGACTTTGTTATCAAATATTTCTGGGGTGCACTTGGCTTGATGCTTTGCAGTCTTCCCGTCTTTTTTAAGATCCCTGGTCAAGTCACTCAGACTATGGGTGATCGCACTGAAAGTGAGTTTCTGTTCTCCTCCTCCTACAACTTCAATCTACTAAGCATTTAACAGGCTTTGTCACAAATCGACGAATGTTGCTGTCCTCATCGGACGCCTTTGGTCGATTGATGTTCTCCTACAAGGAAATCTCAGAGCTTGCGGGTTATACATCCCGTGTGTCTTCTCTGCTCGAGGTCATGGATGATCTGGTCGCTGGTCGATTTGAGAAGAAATTGGTATCTTCAGCCTCAACCGAAGAGAATGCGGCCGTTCTCTCAGGCCGCGGCAAAATCACGGAAAGTGATTCGATTGAATTTACCGATGTCCCGATTGTTTCGCCCAACGGCGATGTTCTGGTGCGCAAGCTGTCATTCACTGTTCATCCGGGTGATCACCTCTTGATTGTCGGGCCTAATGGATGCGGGAAGTCCTCACTTTTCCGCATCCTGGGTGGTCTTTGGCCTGTGTACGGTGGCACTGTCAAGAAACCTCGGTTCGAAGATATATTCTACATCCCCCAGCGTCCCTATCTCTCTCGAGGGACACTCCGGCAGCAGGTAATTTATCCAGATGGGGTGCGTGAAATGCGCGCCAAGGGCGTGACCGACGCCGATCTTCACGAGATCCTTTCCGTGGTCGAAATTGACTCGGTTGTGGACCGCCCCGGTGGCTGGGATGCCGAGGAAGAGTGGCGCGATGTTCTCTCCGGAGGCCTACAACAGCGTATCGCCATGGCTCGGTTATTCTACCACCGCCCCAAGTTCGCTATTTTGGACGAGTGCACATCCTCCGTAACGCTGGAAATCGAGAAGGTCATGTACGAAACGGCCAAGAAGCTGGGGATCACCCTCATGACCGTGTCACATCGTCGCAGTCTATGGAAATATCACCAAAAGATTCTGCAATTTGATGGCCAGGGAGGCTTTATCTTCACTGGGCTTGACTGGGAACGACGAATGAAGCTAGAAGAGTATGTTCTGTCCCCTTTCCCCTGTACACGCCAACTTGCACTAACCCACCACAGTGAGAAGGATGAACTTGAGCTACAGTTACGGGCTGTCCCGGAATTACAGCGACGCGTAGCAGAACTGACAGCATCCTAATTGATCGTTATTACCATACTTGTACAGAACAATGATTGACTGACTGATAGTTTTCCTTCAAAACTTTAGGCTAGTAGGGGGGCTGTGCCTTCACTCTGGGCTTAGGAAGTCGATACCTCTAATCGAACAGCCTAGTAGCAGTAGTAGTAGACTGCATTTAGACAATTCAGTCTGTTAAGGTACAACTAGTCTCCAGTCTCTTGGAGCATCGTTTCTCCAACATCAGAGGACTCAGTCTGTGCATGGTGGCTGCATTCTCCACTGCATTGTGCATGTAGCCAATCCCGAGCCGAGCTCGGCATCGGTGTCCCAAATTTCCCCAGTTTATTTCGGCTGTTCGGGCCTGGACTGTGACTAAGGAAAACAACCCGCCAATCAGAACGATGGCGCTCGGCAGTGGCGCCGAAACAACGGTCCCCGAGCACGTTTTTCATTGCGCCTCTCCTTTTGTCACTTCGTCCTTCCCCCCCCACCCAACCGACCCACCATGATAGCGGTTCACGATCCTACGTCATAGAGTCAACCTATCTTGTTCCAGGGTTTGCCACGGAATGAACCCTGAATAATTAGAATGCCTTTTCTCTAAACAGCACATTCCTCCGGTTTCATCTTTCTTCTCTCTAACTCGTCTTCCACTCTCACTCGTCACTGTGGTACCAGGACTTCAAATCTTACACTTCAATTCCAAGATGACCAACTCCAATATGAAACCCCAGGCTGCGGCGCCTGCGCCTGTCTCACAAAAGCGAAAGATTGTCATCTTCTCAGGTATGCAGCCCCAGCGCAACAAATATCTCATTGACCCTTATGCTTTCGTTCTCGGCTCCTGAGCAATTTCGAAGGATTCCTCGGGTCAAATTGCACTCACGGCATCACTAACCTATGCGCTAGACTTCGATGGCACAATCTTCATGCAAGACACTGGTCACATCCTCTTCGACAACCACGGCTGCGGTGCCGAAGCCCGCCAGAAACTTGATGAACAGATTAAATCCGGCGAGCGGTCCTTCCGTGAAGCCTCCGAGGAAATGTGGGGATCCCTTCACATTCCCTTCGAGGATGGCTTCGTCGTTATGGAAAAGACCCTCGAAATCGACCCGGGCTTCCGCGAATTCCACCAGTATTGCATCGACAACGGCTTCTCCTTCAACGTGATCAGCGCCGGCCTCAAGCCCGTCCTGCGTCGCGTTCTAGACACTTTCCTCGGCGAGAAGGAGGTATGTTTCCACATTTTCAACCCCCCGGTCTCCTCTTGACAAGCTAACCATCATCGCCTGCAAGTCCTCCGCAATTGACATCGTCGCCAATGACGCCACAATCAAGCCCGATGGCTCCGAGTGGAAGCCCATCTGGCGCCACGACACCGAACTCGGCCACGACAAAGCCCTCTCCGTCAATGAAGCCCGCGCCGCCGCCCAAGCCACCTGCCTTCCAGACGAAATGCCCTTGATCGTCTTCATTGGCGACGGCGTGTCCGACCTGGCTGCTGCGCGCGAGGCCGACGTGCTCTTTGCCCGGCACGGCCTGCGACTGGAGGAGTACTGCCTCGAGCATGGCATCGCGTACACACCGTTCGACACCTTCGCCGATATCAAGCGCGAGATTGAGGCCATCAGCCGCGAGGATCAGTCCAAGACCGGCGGTGTCGGCAAGCCCGTACGGTATAACCCGCGCGCCAACATGTGGCGGCGGATTTCGTCGAAGGAGGCGGTACGTGTCGTTCCCTGTCTCTTTCTCTTCTGTTCTTAGTCTTTTGCTTTCTTGTTCTCCCTTTTCAATCTTCTTTCATTTTTGTTATTTGTCTCCTGCGCATCTGGCCTGTCCGTGTGCTAATCTAGTCCTTCGACCTTGTTTAGGTGCCCACCCTCATGGCTGCAGCTACGCCGTCAAAAGAGGAGAAGATGTTCCTGTGGCCAGAAACCTTCTCGGAGTACAAGCCCAAGACGATTCAAGAGGGCGACGAAACTGTGGCCGCGTAAAAGCTGCATCAACCCTTTTTTTTCCTCCATTTTCATGGTCCCAAGCTTGGAACGACGAGCTTGGAACGAGTGTTGGAGATGCTTTCCTTGATGATTTACGGCTTTTTTTTGGAACTTCCATTTCACGTTTGGCTTTTAGCTTTGATCTACATGTATGCACAGATCGTGGTGTTGAGGGTTCTGGCATATCCCATTCATATCTTCTTTTTCCCCTTTTCTTCTTCTCTCCTCACATCCTCTCTTCTCACATCCCCTTTAATTTCATCGTCGTTTTTATTTTGATCATATATCTATGGATTTTGCATTTGCCTATTATATATAGAGACAAATATTTAAATACAAGCCATTCAATTCGCTTGTGATGAGGGGTACTCAATCCAGCTGGTGTATAACAACGATACACGAATCTACACGGACCGAGTATGCCGAGGATGTAAAAGGACTCAATTATGCTGTTGACCTATCATGCAAAAAGAAAAGAAAAGAAAAGGGAAGGAAAAGAGAGAAAAAAAAGCAAGCAGAAAGCCAAGTTAGGGCAACTGGCTAGAACATCAAATTAATTAAAAAGTCCGCAACAATATCAAGGTAAACACTCTCAACTTTCAACCCCTGCTAACATCCAGCGGCTCAACATTCCAGATACTATCCGCATATTCAGCCGTCACCCGGTCCATGGAGAAGAAGCCCATACGGGCGACGCTGGTGATCGACTTGACCAGCCACTCCTCCTTGTTTTGGAACTCCTTGTCGACCATCTCATGCGTGGTGATGTAGGAATTGAAGTCGTCCGAAACAAGATAATAGTCTCCATGCTCCTCGATCGAGGACATCAATGACGCAAATGAACCGGCGTCCCCGAAGGTGCCTGCCTTGATCGCATCAAACACCTTCTTGAGATGTGGATCGAGCTGGAAGTCGCCATAGTAGTGTCGGTGGCGTAGCTCCTCGACGTCTTCAGCGAGGTTGCCGAACAAAAAGATGTTCTGCTCCCCGATCTCGCGAGTGATTTCAATCTGTTGGTCACATGGTCTTAGTGAAGTGATCATTTGCAAAGGGAGAAAAGTGCTTTCGTAGGACTTACGTTGGCTCCATCACATGTACCAATAATCAGGCCCCCGTTGAGGACGAATTTCATGTTACTGGTACCACTAGCCTCGGTTCCAGCGGTGGAGATGTGCTCGCTGATATCCGATGCCGGGCAGATGATTTCCGCTTTGCTGACATTATAATCCTCGATGAAGATGACCTTCAGAAGATCACCGATCTCCTCATCCTTGTTCACTACTGCAGCAACGCTGTTGATCAGATAAATGATGGATTTGGCCATCCAGTACCCGGGAGCCGCCTTGCCGCCAAAGATCGAAACACGCGGGACCACCTTCTTCCGCTCTTCAGCAGACATGGCCTTGATGGTGAGGTAACGATGAATCACACCGAAAATATTGAGCTGCTGGCGCTTGTATTCATGGATGCGTTTTACTTGCACATCGAACAGGGAGTTTGGATTCACAGAATATCCAGTGACATCCTTGATCAGTTTGGCGAGCCGGAGTTTATTGTTAGCCTTGATATCGGCCCACTCCCGGCGGAAATTCTTGTCATCCACGAAGGCCTCGAGTTTATCCAGGAGGGTTAGATCGGTCAAGAATTCATACCCGCCTAGTTTGTCCGCAATTAAAGCGGAAAGCGATGGGTTTGCCTGGTGCAACCAACGTCTGGAGGTAATGCCGTTGGTCACATTGGTGAAGCGATCGGGCCCGTAGATCTTCACAAAGTCTTTGAAGATTGTGGTCTTGATGAGATCAGAATGAAGTTCAGCCACGCCATTGACTTTATGAGATCCGATAATTGCAATGTGGGCCATCCGCACCATCTGCGGGTGGGATTCTTCGATGACGGATACTCGAGACAGCATGTCCCGGTCATTGGGGAATCGCTTCTCCACAGATTGGAGGAAGTAGAGATTGATATCATAGATGATTTGCAGGTGTCGTGGCAGAAGGTTGCTCATCAAAGGAACCGACCATTTCTCCAACGCTTCCGGAAGCACTGTGTGGTTGGTGTATCCGAAGGTGCCCGTCACGATACGCCAGGCTTCGTCCCATTCCAGACCCTCCACGTCAATCAGGATCCGCTGTAGCTCGACGATGGCCAGGGTCGGGTGAGTGTCATTAAGTTGGATGGCAATCTGGTCCGGGAAGTCGCTCCATGCCCGCTTAGTTTTCTTGAATCGTCGCACGATGTCATAGAGTGAAGCGGCGCACCAAAAGTACTGCTGCTTCAGGCGAAGCTCTTTGCCACGCTCGAGGTTATCATTGGGATACAAAACCGCGGAAATTGTCTCGGCGTTCTGCTGGTCGGCCACCGCGCTCTCATAGTCGCCCGCATTGAATTTCTGGAAATCGAACTCTCCGCTGCTCGCCTTGCTGGACCACAGTCGGAGGTTATTGGTCGTCTTGGTGCCATAACCCGGGATGGGCACATCGTAGGCAACCGCTTGGACGGTCTCTCCACCCGTCCAGGAGCTGCATGTTTTACCGGCCTCGTCTTGATATTTCTCCACATGGCCATGGAACTGAATATCAACCGTAATATCGTGACGAGGGAATTCCCACGGGTTGTTGTCGAGCCAATAGTCTGGAATCTCCACCTGGTAGCCGTTGACTATCTCCTGCTTGAAAATACCATAGCGGTATCGCAGTCCGTAGCCCCAGGCGGGATAGTTCAGGGTGGCCATGCTATCCATGAAGCACGCCGCCAACCGGCCGAGGCCGCCATTGCCCAGCGCCGCATCATGCTCCTGGTTGATCGCATCCTCGATCCGGAATCCGAGATCTTTCAAGCCGTCTGCTTTTGGTTAGCCTGCAATCGCTTTCTGAGAGGCGTACACGTTCAGAGCAAACCCACCTCGTGCGACATCTTTCATTCCTACATTGAGCATTGCATTGTCCAGGGCTCTACCCATCAGGAATTCGAGCGAGAGATCTAGAGAGCCGCGTTAGAGATAGGGTCGCGCTCGGGTTCAAACTTGATCTTTTCATCACACTTACAGTAGACTCGCTTCTGATCCGCAAAGGTCTGGCGTTGTTGAGTTCGGTTCCATTCAATGATGAGCCGATCTCGAAAGGCGAGTGCCGTGCCCGAGTAGGCCGCCCTGTTGGTAGACTAGTCAGACGCGTATGCTTGCAAAACACATGTATCTCGATATATGTCTGGGTAGATAGATAGATATATAAATAGATTTCATGGGCTGAGAAGGCAGAGGATGGGGGCTGGGTACAATTCATCGCAATTGTACAGCGATCGAGCGAGAGTCGTCTCGATATGGCGCACAAATTCTTTCTACGGTGCGGGGAAAAGGTCACGATGGTCAGCCTGGTCAGCCGAAACTGTCGGCGAGGACAGACAAACCTCAAATTCCTCCTTGGTCTTGAATTCCGTGGCGGACTATTGAGCGGCTGCATTAGCATACGAGGGCATCAACTCTCCCTTTCATGGTCTCCTGGAGAAAACGGACATGATTGCGCCATCTGCATTTGCCGGGCTCCGGCTCACATCGGTCAGTCTATCTACTTGCGGACGATCGGGAAGGAACTGGGCACGTACGCCTCTCGCAATGGCTCGGGGATGCTGGCTTCGACGCTCTTGATCTCGGCGGGGCCGAATCCCGTGAACGTGCGCTTATGCTTCGGGCGACTGAACCCCGGGCCGACAGGGCCTTGGAGGTCCGCAATGGGAGCTCCGACGGAGGGTCTGCGCTCACGGCCAGTAGACGACATGGGTTCCATGACAGTACGAGCCGCAAAGGGTCACGGAAGATGGATAGCGTGTATGGGGGAACGGGAATGAGGCCGACAGGAAGTAGGATCACGGCGAACAGGCTGGGATTTGAGAGAGTTGGAAAGGGGAAGAGGGGGCAGCGAGAGAAGAGAGAAGAGAGAAGAGAGAGAGAGAGAGAGAGAGAGAGAGAGAGAGCAAGAGGGGCAGGGCGTTGGGTGACACCAGGAAGGAGGGGCGCAAGACCAAGGCCTCGTCCGCTTCAGGTGGAGCAGGACGAAGGGGGAGGGGAACAAGTACAAGTTGCGATACCGAACACGTTCGGACCGAGCGAAAGACGCTGCGACGTGGACGGGGCTGCGCGAGGGAAGTAGAAGACGTCTACGATCTTGCTCTACATGGGTCGCATACTTCGAGGTGTATAGCGGGGCCTCGCGGACGCGAGACTCCGTGAGACTCGCCAGCTATCCGGAGTCTCGAGTCTCTAGTCTCTAGTCTCTAGGCTCTAGTGTCTCGTGTCTCGTGTCTAGGATCTAGTCCCCAGTCTATGATCCTGTTTCGAAGACTCCGTGCCACTCCGCAGCAGAGCAAAGGCCGAAGTCATAGGACATCGTGCAGCTCGAGCTCGAGAGCTCGAGTGGGGCCGCGGGATCGTCACAACTCCGTCGTGACGTCCACCACAGACTCCGCTCATTCCCAACGCGGATTGCGGGATTGCTGGATTCAGGGATCCCTGGATTCATGGATACACGGCAACAGGGGACCAGGGCACCAGGAGACTCAGGGGACTGGAACGTCCTCAGCCAACGCATTCCTTCGTTTCCCTGCTGCATCGCGGGAGTTCCCCCTCTCCATCGCCATCAGGCCACAACGGCGCTCTCGCACGGGCCTCAGCCGAATATCCAAGATCGGAGATATCAGGCCCCATCCACAGATATCAGCCCACTGCCTGCGAGTACATCGACCGTCAGACCATCGCCCATGGGCCGGAGAGGTCCTAGCGGATGAGACATACCCGTCCTCAATCGTCCCCCCGGCGCCCCGCTGGAGCTCGAGGGTGCGGGGAGCGCGCGAGAAGGAGAGAGAGACGCAAAGCCCCAACGGAGCTGCATCTACCTCCAGCCACTGACGACACGGTTGCCGGCCCGATCCAGAAGCTAGCGGACTCGCCCAGGGCAGACATCATGGGGAAGAAATGAAGACGACAAGGGAAGGACGGAGGGATTGCGATTGTTATTTGATTTCTCTCTCTCTCTCTCTCCCCGCATCTACGGGGATTCACTAAACCTAAATGCGGCCTCTCGGACAGCCAAAAAGGCTGCTGCAGCCAAAGAACTCACGGGGAAGGTGACAGGCCAATCAGGACCAGATAAAGTCACAAAAAAAAAGGAAAGGAATAGACAAGAAAAAAAAAAAAAGTTAATTCCCCATGGTTTCGAGGCTGATAGAGCCGAAGCGAGGAATATACGCCGTACCATGTACCACTGGGCAGCGGAGAAGAGGAGAACGGGAGAAGGGAAGAAGCACCGTGCACACGTTCCGAGATGACTGCCCCACCCCGCCTCGAAACAAGAGCAGAAGATCGTCGTCTCTTAAGGATGGCCACGGGTTCGGTCTATGCGAGGAGGGAACGTGAAAGAGAGACCGTTCGGCGGGGAAAGAGCAGAAGGTCCACTAGGCCACTGTACAGGTAAAGGACGCTCGAATAATACAACGAAGAGCATAGGGGGTCAAGAGGGCAAGGAGGGGAGCGAGAGGAGGGAAAGCAAGAAGCATTGCGAGACGGTGAGAGGGAAGGGAAAGCATTAGATGCATCAGATCGCTAGAAATTGCAGGTCCAAGTAGGAGAAAGAGGAAACAAAAAAAAAACCAACCAGAGGAGAGACGCAATCCCGAAACAGACCTGACCGGCGAAAGAGGAAGGAGAAGAAAAAAAAGGCAGATCCGCCGAGGTATGCATTTGATAGAAGGGCTAGAAGCAAAAAAAAAAAAAGAAAATGAGACAGCAAATCAAAAAATAAACAATGATAAATCGATCCAGCGCAAGGATCGTTCATGAGATATGAAAATGGCTGATACCAATAACACACGCCCGTGAGGGTCGATCAAAAAAGAGAAGAAAAAAATAAAAGAGAAAAAAAAAAAGAAAAAAAAAGAGAAAAAAAAATAGGAGGTCCGGTCGACTTTTTGGAGAGTTGAAAATGGAATCCTCGTCAGGAATCGGAATCGGAATCGGAAAATAGAGAAGTAGGGCTGGAGACAACATAGGAAGTCCGCCACCGGACATGGGAATCCTCGAGTCCAGAAAATTCCCACCCAAAGAGGAAAGAGGAAAGGAGAAGACAGGTTTGCCCCCAATGTAAATACAAAGTGGAGGACAGCCGAGGCAGCGCTTGGGGAAATTTCCAAACCAGGGGAAAGGGGGAATCGAGAGAAGCGCCATGAAACGCCAGCAGCTAACCAGTCCAAAGATCCAGAGATAATAAGCAAATAACGGAAAATCGCACGGGTATGGTTGAATCGTAAGGGTTATCTGCAGCGGTCCCCCAGAAGAGAGAGAGAGAGAGAGAGGGAGGAGGGCGAAGGCCAGATAGATGAGAGGGTGAGTTGCGGAGAGGACAGAAGGAAGTCGGAGAATTCGTGAAGGGGGTCAGAAGAGAGGTATGAAGATAATGGAGAGGGCGGCCGGGTTCCAAGACTGTCCAGCAGCTCATAGAATGCCAGAATCCTTCAAAGCGTTCTGCAAAATGGTCTCTTTGACCGCTGCAAAGACCAGTCGGATATTGGTGGTATCGGTCGCCTGGGTGAGACTACAGAACCTCGTGGATCAGCATGTGCGCACTTCGGCTAGAAGGGCGGAGGGGAAACAGGTCCGTGAAAGACTTACTGGGGATATAGGTTCAAATGTGCCCGGTTCACCTGGTTGAATCGCCAAAGGAGATACTTGGCCGCACGGTTGACATCGTTACCACCCGAGTAGTCTGGGAAGTAATTGCTCAATGGGGAGCGAGGTAGCTTTTGTCGGAACAAGTCCACCTTGTTCAGGAAGAGGATGATACTGGTCCGCATGAACCACCGAGAATTGACCACCGAATCGAAAAGAACCAAACTCTCCATCATACGGTTCTAAAACAAGACAGTTAGTTCCATGGAGTCTGATCAGATGGAATGCGCCACGGAGGGAGAGGTGGGAGATGAGAGACGTGGATGGGAGGACTGACTTGATTGCTCTCTTCTAAGAGGGTCTGGTCATATTCACTCAAAGCGACACAGAAGATGATGGAGGTGACATTTTCAAAGCAATGGATCCATTTTTTTCGCTCACTGCGCTGGCCACCAACGTCGAACATGCTATAGACCTCATTAGTGACTGAGAATATAGAGACTGGCGGATAAAAGCCGCGCGAGTGACGTACTGTATGCTCAATTGACCCATGGTGAATCGTGTTTCATATATACCAGTGGTCTTCGTACGTGCTCGAAGCACATCGGACACATTGGGAATATAGTCAGAGGCTGTTATTCGCTTGGCTTCCTCGAAGAAACTAGTCACCAGTTAGCAACGCAGCCTGCAGCCTTTCCCTGTTGCTGGCCGTAACGTGGCGAGGGGAAAAGAAATAGACTAGGACAAAAAAATCCGACACAGCTGCCGGGGGGGGGCTTACTATGGCGCGGAATCCATTAAATAGAATTCATTTTGGCGTTCCAAGACGGTTGATGTGCACGGATCGTTCCAGAGATATGTGACGGCATCTCCGACTTTTGCATCGAGGGGAGTATTGGGATCGGGGTCCACGTGGTATTCTTCTAAAAAGGCGATGTAGTCCTGCACCTTCTGGCTGCTCGGCTCGAGCGAGAAATGATGGTATGCTTCGATGAGAGCCTTGGCACAGTCGAGCAGGTTTTTGTAAACGGTTAACCGGTACAGAGCCAGCTCTTCAACCGTGTAGCCATTCTGGTGAATAATCTTCATCTGCTTGACGATCGTGGACTTGCCACTCTCTCCGGAGCCTGCAATTACGAGTCAGTGTCCGCTGGGAGGGAAGGGGGGGCATCGTGCGCGACGACCGGCGCGAGAGCTACCTACCCAACAAGAGGATCTTGCATTCCCTACGTAGCCGTTTGGAGTCTTCCTCGAGCTTCCGATCAATCATCTGGCTTCTCTTCTTCTGCTCCGCATCCCCCGCGGACTCGGCGCTGAAACAGAGCCCCATAATTCACGACAGGGTGGAATGAAGTCAATTCCTGATTGTCGGTGGAGGTCTTCCGGATTCTCAAGCCACCGGGAGGAAAAGGGGACTTGTTCGTCGCGCGCGGAAGCGATCGGTGTCAGCCCGTCGGGACGGCCGCAGCCTTCGCTTGGTTTCGGACGGCCCGCCCACCAACGGGAGGTCAAAATACTCGACCCGGAGGAGAAGGGTAGATGACAGCTTTGCGCCAGTCCAAGGGTCGCAAAGAATAACGGCGAGGGTGAAAAGGCGGGGGTGAGGAGAAGGGAGGGCTCGGAGGAGAGGAGAGGGAGAAGACCGCAAGGGTTCCGGAGGGACTTGCGACGGGCGGGATCGTAAAAAAGCTCAGCAAGTGCGGAGAGAAGGGAGGTCGTGGAATCGGAAGAGTCGAAGCCGGAGGATAGAGGAGGTTGGAGGGAGGATCAAAGGAGGAGAGAAGCGAGACGGATGAGCGGCAGAGTCATCTCAGAAGTGTCGTGGAGTCAGAGAGGTGCCAGTGCGACCATCGTCATGCTGGGGGAGTGGAGATGCCAGCGATTACGGGGGGAAGTCAGACGTCGTCACCGCGGTACCAGCGGTAAGAAACACAGGCTGGAGGGCTGAGCTGACAGGCCGGTCATGACCGGTACGGACGTGTTTTGTGACCCGTTGGACCCGGACGGACGGGGTCTGCCACAGGCGACGCCGGTGGTCATGTCGGAAGCGACCAGACTGTTCCTCTGTCGTTCGATACGGTCCCGTACTGTCTAGCACTGCCATACCGGCCATACCCAGCCAGCTCGAAATACCTTAAAAAAAACCTTGGGACACTTTCGCCCTCGTGTTGGCAGTAGGTAAATTTGCACTTGTTTTGCTCCTTTGCTCCTCCGCCTCCGCTGGGCGCCCTCTCCCGTTCTCCACCGTACGGCGTACACGAGCGCGAAACCTCTTGAGCGTTGGGGCCAAGTAATTTTGGTGAGGCTTTTTGGGGTGCCAAAATACTTGAATTACCAACAGGTAACAAGACACAAAAGCCCCAGCCCAATTCCCCTCTTCCCCCAATCAGGGCTTCTGGGGGCCATCACAGTCATCACAGCCCTCTATCACAGCCAAACGGGCATGTTGCTCTATTTTGCCCCTTTTAGCCACGGTGCACCAAGGCTGATCCGCACGGGACCCTTTCATCCAGGGCGCCTACAGCGTTGGGGGGAAACCGGTTGAATGGGGGGAACGGCTGGTCACAGCCGCCGATGGCTCAGTCGCAGGCTTCATACTTCTCTATACTTCCTCGAGGGTTTCCTCTTCGTTGCCTCACTACGGGCGCTTGCCCCTAAATACCGGATACGAACACTTGGCAGGATGGGAAATTGTGTTGGTGCTCGGTGCGCCTCACAGTGTGATTCGCCGCATCAGATCATGCGAGAGGTTGCATTGCGGGCAGTAGATCAAATTGGAGATCGATAGATCAGTGCCGATGAGATCCTGACGATCTTGATCGAGACAGGATCTAGAGGACAATGGGACAGGTCCAATGAATTACTCGACGCGACTAACAGTTAGCTAGCTCGCTTACTAACAGACCAATAACGTAGTTGCTAAGTAAGTTAGTAGTAACTGGTCAGTAGTATTAGGGAGTTCACAGTTGTCTACACAGCTGTATGTAATATGGGACTATGTACAGACGAAATCATCGGGCATATACCCCTCCATGAAGAGTCGTGACGCACATGGAAATCGAGCGAGACCAGAGAGAGAGGGAGTTGCAGCCTGGTACTTCAGGCACCAATAGATTCACCGTGTTGGCGTGGGTTGGGCACCTGACTGCGGTTGGTTCATGCGGTAAGGGACTGGATAATACGACATCGTATGCTGATGAGAGAGGGGGGAGGACACACCACATGATTACTGGCCCGTCAGCATACCATAACTGACACCTTCAAAGATCGAGACATGCGGTGTGCCGGGTGTCGAACGCGAGACAGCGTCTCGAGATATATATTTACATCTGGAGTCGGAACGAGGCACCTCCCCCATGCATCATGTGTCCCTGATCTGATGTGACAGAACTTAATTCTCCATCGAGAAAAATCGAGGCCTCCACTTGAAAATTGCCTTTGACATGCAGTAGTGTGGCTCCCCGTGTTTCATATGTCTCAAGTTCGCGATGCCTGACACCTGCAATACCCCATCTGCACCAGAGCCTGGGAAGAGACTCACCGGTATCAAATTATTTAATTGTCATCATTCTATCGAGCCCCCTACCTCCATTCCCCCTCCCAAAAAAAAAAGAAGGAAAATTAGTAGAGCAATCTCCCCTGGCCCCTCCCTAAAAAAAAGGGACAAGAAGCAAAGGAGAAGCCACTTGGTGCTCGACCACCACGTCACCGGGGTTGGGCATCTTATCGGACGGCGCAGTTCGAATCCAACCATAATTGACGGAAGCGGCCGGTCCTCAACGATCCAACGATCTGGGTCTAGACCAAACGGGGACAACATGAGACGAGCACAGGAGCACAGGAGTACAGGAGAGCAGGCCCAAGTACCCAATGCACCACGAATGACAGCCGCACAACGCAGCAGGTGTGATCGAGGTGGGCAGCTCGCGGGCTAAGCGCGGTTAATGGAGGGGATTCGGTGGGGAGTCGGGCTCCGGATCGACAGGCCGTCCAGCAGAGCAGAGAGAAGAGGGGAGGGGAAAGGGGTCGCCAGAGACCACATCAATACTAATGATGGGAATCATAATCATGATCATAATACTATAGTCAACATAGGTATAAGATATAAAGCTGGTAATAGTGGTAGCAGCAGTAGCAGTAGCAGTCATTGGGTGGTATTGTGTAACATATAAATGCTTATATTATGGTATAAAAAGATGAGAGCTTCTGGGATGATAGCATGATAGCATATTAGAATATGATTGTACTGGTGTTCATGTTCATGAATTGTTTGGAGGGAGATGCTCCGATCTTTCGGATCCAGTCGTCGGATTCGGTGATCCTCAAGTCGACGAGTACAGAAGGTCCAGAGGGGGCCCGGTGTCCTCGGGACGAAAACCCTTGCAGACGCTGTCGATGACCTGTCGTGCGACCCAATGGGAACATCAAAATATCATAGGATCGAACGAGATAGGGTGCTCCAGAAGGGCCCGACAGGGACAGGGAGAGAGAGGGAAAGAGAACATTCTGGAGCTCGTAGGCTGGGAAACCTCTTCCGGGTTCATCGACCGGGTCTGGCCTCGGCCGCGTGGTGGGTGGAGAGAGGCTCGAGGAGAGTCCGAGTCGGCGCTAGACACGGGTGGGCTTAGTGGGCTTGGTGGGCTTGGTGGGCTTGGTGGCTTGGTGGGCGAACAAGTGGTACACGATTCTCCCCGACCGGGAACCGAGCTTCTCTCAGGTCAGAGGGGACACGAAGAACCAAAAACCCAAAAGAACCAGAACAATGGACTCCCGTCTGCAGCCCCCGATCGGGTCCCCCTGGCAATCCAGATGGTCCTTGGGGAAAGGGGGAATTGAACGTCCTGGATGGAGCGTGGGAAAATCAAGGAACGCGGCTTGCATTGTAACTTAGCGGTGCCCGGGTGCTGAGTCAGCCGCCTGGAAACCTGCCTGGGCGGTCGCGAACGTCATCGTCCTTGTTTTCTCTGCTTTTCACCGAAAAGGGCCCTTCCCCACATCCTTTCCTGCCCGCCTGCCCGCTTGCCTGCCCGCTACTCTTCTCCGTCATACCCCTTTCTTCTTGCTTTTTTTTGAAGCTTCTCAAACACTCTCTCTGCCTTTTGCTATCCTGTCGCTCTTTGCCCTCCCTCAACATGGCGGAATTCGTACGGTCCCAGATCTTCGGCACCACGTTCGAGATCACCAGCCGGTTCGCATTGCCCTCTTGGCCCCTTGGGGGATTCGATTGCTGAGATCATGGTCTTTCCAGGTATACGGACTTACAGCCGGTCGGTATGGGAGCCTTCGGGCTGGTCTGGTGAGTGATGTCTTCCGCCTTCGGCCTTCGTAGGCTCATCGCGCAGGCCCCGCGCCCGGCATCTTGCCCTTCCCGACCAGCTAACCCGGAACGTGTCTCCGATAGCTCCGCGCGAGACCAATTGACAGCCCAGCCGGTCGCCGTCAAGAAGATCATGAAGCCTTTCAGCACCCCGGTCCTCTCAAAGCGCACCTATCGCGAACTGAAGCTGCTCAAGCACCTGCGTCATGAGAATGTGGGTTGACCCCTCCCCTCCCCCTCTCTCACCTAGACCCCCTCCAGCGCGGGAGCAAGTGAACTGACCTCTCCCCCACAGATCATCAGCTTAAGCGATATCTTTATTTCTCCCCTCGAGGATATGTACGCCTCACCATTTACCGAGGGTCGACGAGAAAACGATACTAATTTCATGGCTATGGCAGCTACTTTGTGACCGAACTCTTGGGTACGGATCTCCACCGTCTCTTGACTTCTCGCCCCCTCGAAAAACAATTCATTCAGTACTTCCTCTATCAGATCCTCGTGAGTTTTCTGTGCCAACCAAGAAACCTTCTCATCTCGTATCTCTTCTGACAGCCGTATAGCGGGGATTGAAATACGTTCACTCGGCCGGTGTGGTCCACCGGGACCTCAAGCCCAGCAATATCTTAATTAATGAAAACTGCGACTTGAAAATCTGTGACTTTGGCCTGGCTCGCATCCAGGACCCCCAGATGACCGGTTATGTCTCAACAAGGTATTATCGAGCTCCCGAAATCATGCTCACCTGGCAAAAGTATGACGTGGAGGTCGATATCTGGAGCGCGGGCTGCATCTTCGCAGAGATGCTGGAGGGCAAACCGCTCTTCCCCGGAAAGGACCATGTCAACCAATTCTCGATCATCACCGAGTTGTTGGGTACTCCACCAGACGATGTGATCCAGACTATCTGCAGCGAGAACGTGAGTCCCCTGCTTCTTTCGCTATACACTCGATCTGGCAGGATCTGAATTTTGCTAATTTTTGACCGATCGATCTGTAGACCCTGCGATTTGTGAAATCTCTCCCGAAGCGCGAACGCCAACCTTTGACGAATAAGTTCCGGAATGCTGATGCCGATGGTACGCCACATCCGAGCCCCCCTCCGATCCCGAATTTCTCTTTACCACCTTTTACATGTGCGCTAACTATTTTGAAGCCGTGGATCTTTTGGAACGGATGTTGGTATTCGACCCCAAGAAGCGTATCCGAGCCGATGAGGCATTGGCGCATGAATATCTGGCGCCTTACCACGACCCCAGCGACGAGCCGGTCGCCCAGGAGAAATTCGATTGGTCCTTCAACGACGCAGATCTGCCCGTGGATACTTGGAAAATTATGATGTAGGTTTTCGGATTCTACCGAACAAGTCGTCTGTCATTTGCTCATCATTTTCATTCTAGGTACTCGGAAATCTTGGATTTCCACAACATTGACCAAGGGAATGAAGCTGGCCAGGCTCTTGTCTCGGGTGCCGTCCAAGGCGGCGTGCCTCCGACCTTTGCATAGGTCTTTAATCACAGCCTCATAGCATTCCCTCTTACTGTTACTCTTTTTGTTTTTTGTTTTTTTTTTTTTTTTTTTTTTACCCTTATTTCTCGGATTTGATTAGGCGTGGAAGCCCCGACTCTCATATATTTTGGGAAATGTGCGCAAAGCTGGCGTGAATGTTGTTACTTTTATGTTCTGTTCTTTTTTTTTCCAGCCCTTTTTGCTTTCCGGTCTCTCCTGATGACTTTCTCTTTATTGGAAGTTATTGTCCATAGCTCCTTCGGCGTCGATTAAGAATTGGGTGGTGAGGGGAAATTTCATGGTCCTGAGCATTTGATGTTGAATTTTTGAATTTTTGCTCTACTCGAAGTATCCGGTTTAAAAAGTAATCTTGAACCCCCAAAAGCAAAACCCGTTTAGTGCGGGGCTCACACCGCCCGCAATCAACACGTGAGCGATAACAGTATTGGGATTCCCCTGTCCGGTTTGCGATCTCCTCCTTGCGCGCTTGTTTATGGGGATCTCAGAACGAATCGGGCCCCTTGCCTGTGGAGACCTACCCTCAAACCCTTGCTTCCGACCTGGAAATCTGCTGTCCACCCCTCAAACCCCGCAGGATCGCCCCCAATGGCGGTCCAACATAAACAAGATCCGATTGTGTTGGTGATTGACTTCCACCATGCGCGGTGAGTCGCTTCCCTCGAACTGTGCATGTCTGAGGCACGATGTCTGATGCGAGATGGCCCAGTGCAGAGCACTGGCGGGCTGAAAACTATCGACTAACGCAAGCTGCAGCGGCCCGGAAATTGAACATTGTATCAGCGATGAAGGAACAAGCCCGGCCACCGATAATGACTGGTCACTACTTCCATTCATGGCCCTTTCTGATGGCGCACACCTGTATGGCCCCTCCTGTTTGAATTGTACCTTCCCGGCGTTCTGTTCAATCAGCTGGTCTCGGAGGACGGAGCCACCCCGGATTGCGTTATTGGACTGATGCGCTGACCTACCGAACTTGCGTCCGACTTTAGTTCGACCGAGGAGTTCTCCTATTTCACACTTCGCCGGAAGGAAACGCCAACGGTCCCCGCCACTTCTCTTTTTGGCATCGCTTGTTCCCGCCAGATCGACTCCAGCCTCCTGATCAATCGCCCGCCTGAAGTGACTCGATCGACGGTTCAAAAGGCTGTTGTGGTTGTGACAGATAGCCCGCAGAGGGTAGGACAATTGCGCGAGAAGCTCTCTGTGGTGACCTCGGCTTGGTTTGCGCAGCGGTATGTTGAAAACCCTGTCTTCAGTTGCAAACAATGCCCGTATCGACATGGTCTGGGACGATCAGACCAGAGCCTTTCTCGCTATATACATGGGGAATCTGGGAACAAGGACATTAGCTAATGCCGAGACCGAGTGACAGTGACTTTTCGGATATTGACATTTTGAAGGTATGCATTTTTCTTTCTGTGTTATATTGAAGGAGATAGTATACTCAATTGGCATATTTAGAAATTTCGCGAGGGCCTTGTGATCAGTCTGTTGAATGATGGCCCCAAGGATCAAAATTTGGGTATGGACCGATGCTTCTTGTTTCAGCAACTGTTAGCTAACCCTGATCAAAGGTCTTTCGCTCCGAGAAATGATCCATGAATTCAAGTACCAGACTCTGGTTTTGTTCAAGGGCTTGTTGTTGCAGCCTAAGGTATGGCAGATCTCATTTGGGCGCCAAGTTTGCCTGCTAATTATCATAGATGCTGTTTTTCGGCACCCGTTGCGAGCGTTTGTGCATGATTCAGTTTTCTCTTATCTCCTTGATACCTGGCCTCATCAATAGTCTCCAGGACTGTGCGGATCCATCGTTCGACGAGTATGCACGGACTGTTGAGAAACCGACATCGCTGAAGACAAGTGACCGAAACTCCTGTAGGTTCAACCCGTGACAAAAATTCGAGAATGCCGTGCTGACTATCTAGTGTTGGCATATATGGGATTGCCATTGCAGATCTTTGGGAAGGTATGCATCAATGCATAACTCCATGCAACAAGATTTGAATTCTAACTTTTCCATCAGGGAAGCATGTTTGGACCGTATACTCCGCTACAGCAGCTGGATCTGTTGGCCGATGACGGGACCAAGTCGTATGTGGTAGGGTCAACAAATTCGCTGCTCTTGCAGCAGAAAGATCGCTATAGTGATATTTTAATCAACGTGAGTGACAACGAATCCTTCATCGACAACAAGAGAAAAGGGTATAAGCTGATCAGTATCCATCGAATGTGATACAGCTTGATGAAGATAGCATCAGTATCTCATCACTTCCCCTTCGTAACGCTCTAGCTTTGTCTGTTGCCGACAGGCGTTGGATCGACCTTCTCACTCAGATTGTCAATGATACATGGGATGACGAACATCCCTCACGGCCAAAGACTCTTGGCTTCATGGGCTCCGAAGAGTTTATCCGGCTCCAATTCGAAGAATACCTGTTGGCGCTCTTATCGTGCATGAAATACCATGAGGAGCTCAGCCAATACACCGCAGGCGAATCCGTTCATCGCAATCGCGCGCAGCTACAAAATTTCAATATTGAAGGCGATCCAGCTCTTGACTTCAATGCGGAGTTCCTTATTCAGTGGCAAAAGACGTCCAACTATGCCCTTTTCTCTCGACTCACCTCGGATGCTCTCCTGTTTTCTATCACCGAGCCAAAGCACCCAAGTGCTGGCGGCTTGACCATGGAAGATGTGCAGCGACGGCTGACGCAACAAGTCGCTGATCTTCATCTGGATGAACGGGTACGCGAGGGCCGGGAGGCGCTGAACCGATCTTTTGCCACGGGCCAGAAAAAGGTTAGCGCCGCGTTCAACAGCTTTTGGTCCGATATCGAAACCATGCGCGAAGCACAAAGGAAGCGCAACGAGGAGAGGGCTGCTCAATCACAGCGTACCTCGGTCTCGATAGATAGAGATGCCACTGGCTCTCAATCACCTGCCACGGCCGACTCTCCATACCAAGCCACTGGTGGCTGGTTCGGTGCTCGACAACGACCCTCTATTGACGTAGGCCAAGCTCAGGCCTCAGTCAGTGCAGCTGGCCAGAAAGCCGGTGCATACTTCAGTTCTTGGGGCAGTTGGGCCAGTGAGAAGCGCAGGGAATGGCAGGAGAAACGCAGCTCCTCTCCCAATCCCAGCGCCGGCATGACTGCGTCCCCTTCCACGCCTACTCTACCTGTCGTTAGTGAGACTGTGTTCGATTCTGACCGCGGCCGTCGTCGCTCTATGCAGCGACATAGCGAAGATAGCGATGGCCTGACGCGCAGCCTCAGCCGCAGGAAAAGATGGAGCAATATTCTCCTGCGTCGTGACAGTAGCGAGCTCAAACGCGAGGATACAGATGCATCCGACATGTATCCGAAATCGCCCTTGTCCCAGAGGTTTCCAGAATACGAGGCCGGAGCCGCGAACAGCCAGGCCAGCTTGAGCTCTCAACACGAGAAGCCTACTGCTGACCAGCCTGCCGACGCAGATGGATTCTCTGCCGTTTCTCTCAATTCTAACGACGGATTGCGCGTGGACCTGAACCCGGGCGAGCGCGAGCCTCATCTTGCACCAGCCGATACGCACGCAGACAACACCATCACTGCTCTGCCCATCAAGGAAGAGCACTCGTCTGCATCACCAAAGGAGTCGATTAAAGCATCTACGACCAGCACATAGGGGCCCAGCGCAAAATTAACATAATCATCCCCAATTAATTCAGGTACTTGGCATTGTTACGCGGCATACCCATTCGAAGTCATAACTTCCTCCACTTCTCTTTCCTGTTCTTACCTCTAATCTTGTTCTCGTTTTTTTTTCTTTCATTTTTTTTACAGTACCCTATGGACATACCATACTCGTGGCAGACAATCATTGACGATGAATGAGTTATGTGTCGAGAATGACGGACGATCAAATGTCCATGTAACTAGAACACGGAAATAGATATCAATTGCATTGCATCCTCCCACAGCATCGAAGGTGAAGAGTTTGGTGAAGTTATCTAATTTTTGCGTAGACAGGGGTCTGCCCGCCTTGTCTTTCACTTATACTCTCTTTTCGCCAGGAGGTTATAATGACCCTCTATCCACGATACGCCACAGCGGCCGTAACGAGTTTAGATGTGGGTGGTTGGTGTGGTGATGGAAAGTGGGATCGGAACAGACATTTGAAACGCTACTGTATGTACGGATCATCCCCACCCCGCGCTTAATCGCGCCTCGAAAAATGAGTCAGAAACAGTAATCACCCAGGCGAACCGGACGCGCAATGTATAAAAGGGCTTCATAGCGCTCCCATGACTCCGAACCCGTGAAGTCTGCTAATTCTCTTTGGCATCATGACTAGTCTCGCATCCTTCGAGCTTCCCAAGGTATGTCCTCATATGACTACATATCGCCATCCTTATATTACTGTCCCCCAAAGCTATAGGTCGCCTCCTCGCTGACAAAAACATCCAGTGGATTGAAACCAATAAGAATAATGGCTTGCTGGTACTGGCCGGAAGCGCGACGCCCGCACTGTCAATAGAGGACCTGATCCAGCTGTCCTCCGACAAGCAAACCACAGCATCCAACCTATCTCTGCAAACCCTAAAACTAACCCTCAGCCCCTTCGACGGGAGCGAAGCGCTCCGTGAGAAGATTGCCACTCTATACAACGCTGGTATCACAGCAGAGCATATCCTCCCAGCCCAAGGCACCACCGGCGCCAACACGCTCGTCTTCCAGAGCCTCCTCAGCCCCAGCGACCATGTCATTGCTATGTACCCAAGTTACCAGCAGCTGCTCTCGCTCCCCACAGCCACAGCTGGCGTGGAAGCGTCGCACTGGATCCTGGACCTGGATAGCCCGGCGCACACCAGCATCCAGGCCCTCAAAGCCCTGATCCGGCCAACCACGAAAATGATCATCCTCAACAACCCAAACAACCCGCTGGGCACAGTCCTGTCCCGCACGGCGCAAGCCGAGATCGTCGCGCTCGCTGCCGCCCATAACCTCACCCTTCTCGTGGACGAAATCTTCCGCCCGCTGTTCCATGACTCGGATGAGACGCCGCTGTCCTTCGTTGAGCTGCCGTACCAGAACATCATCGTCACGAGCTCCATGAGCAAGGCTTGGGGCCTGTCCGGGGCCCGAGTTGGCTGGCTTGCAACGCGAAGCGAGGCGATCCGGGCTCGGTGTTTCGACCGCAGCCTGTATACGATCATGGCGCTGAGCACGGTCGATGAGCTGATCGCCACAGAGGCACTGAGCGAGCGTTGCCGCCCAGCTATCCTAGCGAAGCATCTGGCGCTGGCACAGACGAACCTCGCTCTATTGGACGGCTTCGTCGATCGGCATCGGGACGTGTGCTCGTGGACGAGACCGAGTGCAGGCGGCACGGCTTTTGTGCGCTTTGCGCGTGGGGGGTCGCGGTTGACGACGTCGCGTTCTGCCGCGAATTGAAGGAGAAAAAGGGTGTCCTGCTGGCGCCGGGGAGTCTTTGTTTTGGATTGGGTAGCGATCAGGACTTTCGGGGGTTTGTTCGCGTGCATATTACGGTGCAGCCGGAGGTCATGCAAGCGGCGCTTGCGGCCATTGGTGATTTTCTGGAAGAATAATATTGGGAAGTCTGCTTAATCGAGAAGTTCTAAGATACCGTCATGTCATTGACAGGGAGCTCAATAATTCAAGAAGCAATTTCTGCTCAGAGGTATGACCGGAGCAATCTTGGTGCTGGTGGGAGCCCTGGGGAGATTTAGATAATATGCCATGGCCTAATTTACTGCAATTCCTGTCGTATTGGATTTATAGATTCGCACTACGAAAAATTTCATCTGTGGTGCTGAACCGGCGCTCATCAAGAACATAGCCAACAAGAGACTAGGAAGGGGTAAAAATGCAGTATAATCAATCTTCTATACGTAAGACCGTAGAAAAAGGTCGAGGAAAAAAAGCATAAAGATACACCAGATGAGCAAAAAGGTACACAAAAAATTTGGGTTATCATTGATCTGTCGTCTCAACGCTATGATGAAAGATGGACCATAAAAAATCAGACAATGCCGGCGACTTGTTGCTCCATAGCTCCCGATAATCCCATCGAAGCCAAAAGCCGCTTTTCACAGATCCGATTCAGTCCCGATTCGTAATACCCATTATCGTATGGATGGGCGACAGAGAAAAGGAGATGAATAGAATTATCTGGAGCGAAGGTGGTTCTGAGGAAGAAAGGGAAGAAGAAACCAGCGGAGCAAGGAGTAGATGCGATGAGAGAGGTGTGGCGGTAAATGAGAGGATATTGGGGTGGGGAAACGTCAATTAAGCAATGTAAGCAATCTCATCCCCGTCTAGACGTTCAATGTAGTCCTTCTCCATGAGAGCTTCAATGTTTCTTTTGATGTCCGGAATCTTGGGAGGGAAGCGGGACTTGACCTGCTGAATAACTTCCTGGACCAGCTGGACATGCTTCATCTTTTTCCGGGATTTCATGATGCGAACGATAGCGGACTGTTGAGCTGGTTAACATAACATGATCACAAGTTGAAAATAAGACAAGATGATCTTAGGACATACCTGGAGAAGCAGTTTCCGGTCCTCCTCTATGGTTTTATGTGTATCGTCAGATTCTACTTTTTGCTCCGACTTGATCTGAATGTTAAGGTTGACCTTGATCTTCTTGTTCTTGAAGTTGTAATTCAAGGAGAAAGTGGTGGAAGGACCAGGTTTACCCTCGGTGCTTGCGAGAAGTACCCTAGCTTTCAAGAGGATGCTGAGGTTGGGATCAAGTAGATCAGGGCCCAAGGCAGTGGCCTTTTGGATCTCAGGATATGACAGAGTATCGGTCTCGTTAAACAGCAATAGGATGCTCATTTGGTAAGTTGAGACTTGGAAAGTGTAAGGCACCTTGGCATTCTTAATGTAGGTGGCCTTCACTTCACCCTTGCATAGCTGCCATAGCCACGTTAGCTTACGACCATTATGCTTGTCGAAGTAGAACTTCTCAAATCGCTTGGCGGTCTTGCTGATCTCAATAGGAGCAGTAAAGTCACTAGTTGGCGGGTTCAGAGGCCAGAAACCAGTTCCAAGAATCTGGAAGTGTGCATCAACCATACGCTTCCGGTCATCATCATCAAGAACCTTGTCTTGGTAATCCTTATAGTTGGCGTTCAAATCCTTTGAAATTTGAATGTCCTGGAACATGCGCTGCAACTTGTTGGTGTATTCAAAGCCGCAGGCCTCCTTCAGCTTGCTGATCATGCTGGTCTCTGCATCATCGGACACTGAGCTGACATGCACCAGACGCTTGGCCAGCATCTTGGAGTAAAATTTCTGGAAAACATCCTTATCTTCGATGTACTTAAAGACTGTCATGATTTGAACGAGCATCTCCTCCAGTTCAGACTCCTCAGCCGCCTTTGATCCCTTCTTGAGAAGTGAATCGGTATATCGCGCCAACAATTCAGGAGACTTGGTTGTAGTGGATTTGCAAATGCGGTTGCGGTTGACGAACTCGCGGCAGGCATTATCGAGAGACCGCACGAACTCAGATTCGCCATTGAAGGCCTCATCAACTAATTTCTGATAGCACGTGTGTACCTGGAGAAGGGCATCAACGTACAACTTAGGTTCAAAGTTGTCGCCCTCTGAGGCAACCTTCTCTACTGCAGCCAAACCGGCGCGCCTCACGTGGTTTTCAAAAGTGGCGCGAAGCGGGTCCAGGCCATCCTTGATGCGCGACAGGAGTCGATACATACGAGCCAGATCCTCCTGGCGCTCGTTATCAAGCAAGACCTGGAATTCATCGCGAAGCAAAGTAGAGTGATTGGTGACCAGAACATCAAGACATGTCTCGGTGAGGCTCTTCGCAACGTCGGGGTGGAGATAGAGGCCGACGCGGGCTTTTTCCTCCTCGAGACGAGCTTCAGCTTTCTTCATGTATTCCACGACACTGTTCTCCGCCACAAACTGCCGAGACTCAGTTTCATAGTATGCTCTGGTCGCATCGATGAAGGGTCGCTGGAAGTACTGTCGGTAGACTTCAAGGGTCGATTTTTTGCTGTCATTCTCGTCCAATCCAAGCGAAACGAAGGAATCGACGATACTCTTGATCTGGGATTGTTCAATAGTTTCCCCATTCCTCTGCTTCTCAATCAAATTGAGAACAGCATCCATCACCTTCCCGTGCACGTTCTCGAAGAAGTCATCCTTCCATTTGACCAAATGCAGAGTGTAAACATCGTAAACATTCTTTTTGCCCTCGTCGATCTCACGTTTGACCCAGTGGCGGTTAAGGTAGCTGAACAAATGATTTACGTATTTGGCGGCAGTCGTGTAACGAGTCCACTCGCGGATGTAGAAACCGAGCAGCGCTTCATCGGCATGACCTTGTGATTCCCTGAATACGACACTCAAATGACGTGATAGATACTCTCCAAGCAACTTGTAAAGTTCCTCGCCAAGCAAGTGGGCTTTGGGGATTGTTTGCGTTAGCTTATCAGTCCCTCGAAGCCAAACACACATTGGGCACAAAGTGTTTCAAGAAGAAGACTAACCTCCACGGTGAGCCTGTAAGCCTTGGTTACTAGCCACAGCTTTTTGAGAAGTGCAAAAGTTATGGACGGCACTGTAGTATATCAATGAGCGGAGAAAAGAGGGCAAGGGCTGCAAGGGGAGGCGAACGTATAAAGAGCCATGTACTAGAGCAAGATGATTCAAGTTAGATGCTGCAGGGTGATGGGCGAGATCGTGCTCCAGGCAGAGCCAGTGGAACTCACGGTTTTCATATCAACACCCTCCTCTAACTTCAGCATCACACTGTTGATCCCGGCCTCCAAGAAGGACCACCTAAACCGGGGTTAACTCAGTATCGCAGGGAGCCAAGTCGACCCGGCCAGTGAAATGGTACACAGCACTCACGTTTCATCGAGGTCATCCTTGTGGGGTGTCTGCGGCATGGCTGGCGGCATATTGTCAAGGGGCGGGCAGTAAACTCGAGGGAAGGTTGTCAAGTCTGGATGTTCAACATTGTCAGTTGACTGGCACTTCTAAAGCACAACTCCCATCTTGTTTGGATGCGGTGGTACAGAGCATACCCTATTGTCACTCTCCTAGGCGGGAGACTGATCTAGCGCCACGAGTCCCGTGAAAGAACAAGGCGGGCGCGTAAGTGCTTTTGGGAGAGGGTTCCCGACCCCGGTAGTGGAACGACGGAATGAGTAGAAGCCTCAGAAGATGCCGCCCTAAATATCGGAAGCGAGAGTGAGGAGAGCAGGGAACAATCAGGCTGAAGGTGTGGCGGCAAGAGGTGATGAGGCTGAGAGAAGGGCGAGCAGCGTGGGGAATAAACGGCACCAGTTGAAGTAGGCGGTGAGCAGTGGGTCTCGACCACGAAGCTTGGGTTTGTATCCATGATTATTATCGATCTCCGATCCTGGTTTTGGATCTCAGGACACCATATTTGTGCATGTCTAAATTCCTCATTTTTAGACAAGTGACGAAACTTTTCTTTGAGTTTTGATTATTTGAAAAATTATGACCCTCGGGACTTATCTCGGAGTCAAAAACAAAGGCCTTGTGGAGAAGTTGGTGGTCAGTGTTTGGTGAGCAGATGAGCTGGAACTTGGGCCCAATCCCCAGCAGCCAAACAGCTAATTCGCCGAGTCATAATTAGCACAAGCACATTATGATGAAGTCATATTTTCCTAATAAGCAAAATTTACTCAATAAGTGCTCCGGATGGGTGCTAGATCATGAGTATCTGACATTTGCTTACCCCAAGGCTCCAGAATAACCAGATGACGTCATCTCAAAAAGGGAATGTGTAGCGTCCAAGATTTACTTTCACGGTCGAGATTCTGATACGTTGAGCCAGACTGATGAGATACCCATGGATCTCACCCATAGATTGTCTAAAATCGAAGCTTTCGGCCATGATAGATGCCGTATGAAACATGTGGTTTGCACTGGAGCAACTCTTCAGACCGAACCGCCCTCCCCATCTCTTGGTGAATCAAAGGTTAAATCTCCATAATGGCTTCCTATCACTACTCATATATTCTCTTCCCCCGAACGAACAATTTCCGATTCAAGGTATGCATCTCATCCTCGACATTCAATGTAGTCTCCTAAAATGGACTTTCAAGATGCGATTTAAACGATTCCGACTGTAACTGCATGATATAAACATACAAAGAAAGTATTTATGTACGTCAGAAAGTCTCAATTTTTTCAATTTCAATGGTTGATGCTTCACCATTCACCACTAGGGTTTCGCTCGTTACGATTTAAGTGTTTCCTTGCGGATTTATAGTTGGTCTATATAGTTGGATGCCCAGCTAGCATCCGTGATCTAGAGATTTCTGGTTCTCGTTGACATGCAGAGGCCACTGAGGCCTCTTGAGCCTGCGTCGCAGTGGATAGGACTAGGCATAGTGTATAACACGACCAATCTCCTCACTTCATTACCCATGGAAGGGTTCGAGAATCGCAAGGGAATCAATGCGCCATTGAAGGGACAACATCTCACAAGAGTTGCCGATCGGACGCGGGGCTTGATTGCTTTTCTTTATCGGTGTTGTGTGTTAGCTGTTGGAGAATAGGTGAGAAGCAACGGGAGCCTGTCGGCTTGTATCTCCCCAAAAAATGGGGGTATTTGCAATGAGGAATCCGGCCATCAAGAAGCTCAAGACGTCTTATGGTACGGTATCACCCCCTGAAAATTCACTGCAGCGAGGTAGTGAATCTGCCCTGTGTGCATAGAACAAGATCGATGGGTCTTCTCAAGACTTCTCAAAGGAAAGGAGGAATATTCCGATATCCAGGACTGACGAGTCCTTTCAATCTCAATGTTTCACCCTCTCAACGAGTCTGCACGACCAATTAGCTAAGATCGTAAGTCCACTTCAAGATAACAAGGCAACTTTACCGGAGAACGCTAATGCAGAATGTCATGAGCCAAGCAAGCAAAGCAACCAGCAAAACGGATGCAAGGGCCTTTTGTCGCACACAAATGCCGTCATTTCGAGGGTCCAGTTCCTGATTGACCTCCGCTTCAGTGCAAGAGCCCGTGACCTCCGACAAAGAGGCGAACGCCAGGCTCAGATTGGCAGAATCAAAGACAATGAAAAACAAGTCAAGTAAAATCAATCGTGCCTTGGCCGATGGAGAACGCAGGCCCAGGGGTTTCGAGGTATATTCGTCAAAAGTGATATAGACGAGATATACTAGGGCGACTGCATCAACAATGATTGCCATCAGCGCCGATGGACCCTGGCTACGATGACCTTCATTGGCCAAGTGTTGAATCGATCCACCCAAAGCCAGAGCAGAGAGAGAGAAGCACCACACAGTGAGTCGCAGGATCAAAGGCACAATTGGACTCTTCAACAATGAATTCTGAAAGCGTTTGATCCAAACCTCGCGCCTGCGCGCATTGATGTGCAACGGATGCTCAGGGCTGTCGCCGTTGAGTAATTTGCCTCGCCATGGCTCCAAGTAACTCCCATGATTATCATTCATCCAGTCTGGCGTAACTTCTTTGGCCTCGTGTCCATATTCCCGGGGGTATTGAATGGTGCGCGAGAAGGTTTTCCACCGCGACTCATGGTTTTGGGCGGCTCTTTCAAGGAGGGAGATGTCTTGTGTTTCCGAGTATTCCGGACCAGATGTTGCATACGGGGAGTGATTGTGCTGGGCGACTCGCGCATCATTTGGTTGGGAGGGCAGTAGACGATCGGTTGCTCTCGCATCCTCAACGTCGTCGTCAACATCTTCGACCGACCGAATCCAAGCTACGAACGAGGATTGTTAATCATTAAATACAGGTCTGCTATCTTCGGGTACCATTCATAGCTTACCAGGGAGCGTTCGCAAGGTAAAGTGCTGAGATCGGGTGACATCGTCCATCATTCGGCCTTCCGGAATGCGCGGTGTGGTGACTGGAAAGTCGGAGCCTCCGGTGCGAAGGATACTTGGTTGCGTATTGATACTCAGATGGGTGGCATTTGTAGTTGCCAAGTCGGTATCCGGAAGGATTTTATCGGGTACACTCTCGTTGACTCTCTCGTTGGATGTTTCGTTGGCAATACGCGCCGAAGCGTGGCCAGCCTTGGAGCTCTGCATCGGATCCACAGGAGCCTGGTTCAGGGGAGGGAAGGATCGGAGATGTCGAGAGATACCAACTCAAGCTCCGCATCCCCTTTCCAAGTAGACAGGGCGAAGATCAGAGGGATTGTCTAGTTGAATTGCCTGTGAAGGACGGGGGGAAATGGATCGTGGAGCAAGCGCCAGAAGCGAGGCTGGGAGCAAGTTTATCGCCGAGGATCAAGCGAAGTTCGCGGCAGAATGACGTCTCCCTGCTTACTTTCCACCCGTGATGGATCTTCGGCTCCCCTCGTTCCAAACAAAATAACAACACAAAGTCTCCAATTCTCCGGGCGCCCGGGACATAGGGCATGCTACTGCACATCGTGTCTACCTTCCCTGTCTTGCTGTTTTCTTTGCAATAGCCCTTCTTTCTGTTCTCGATAACCCCCTGTCCGTGACCCCACGCAATGCGCCTCTTCCTGATCCCCATTTCAACCCGACGGGCGTTGATCTACGCCCGTCCATTACGCAAAGACACAGCGAAAGAACTCTCCATGATCGATCGCGCCACAAGCAAAGCTGCAGAGACCTGGGCAAAGTGGGAGGAAGCAGAGAACGGGTGGAAGAAGCATCTGGTGACCTGGGGCAATCGAGTCCAACAACGTATCCCCTTTGAGGAATGGGGCCTCAAGAGCATTCCTTCTCTCAACTCCCAGCGCCGAATCGATGAAGAACATGGAAATAAGCAGATCGATGTGCTATATCCCGGAAATGCCGTGCGGTTGGAGCAAATCCCAATCATCCTGCGCAAGATCGCGACGGAAAGACAGGTCTTTCACAGAAAGAAGATGTGGTGGAGCTTTGGCATTGCGCCTCTTACAGCACCATTTGCACTGGTTCCAGTGTAGGTTTCTCAATAATTGAGACTACTTGGGGGGACTATTATGCTGACTGGGCTTCCTTCATGCAGGATCCCAAATATTCCATTTTTCTATATGGTATACCGAGGATGGTCTCATTGGCGCGGTATGATATACACCCCTAGGACCCTTTGCTCTTGCAACCGAAGTTAAGGGACTGACTAAGCTTTTTATCTGAATAGCATTGAACGGCTCGCGACACCTTGAGTTTCTGGTTGATAAGAATCTTTTAAAACCTGTGTCCTTACCCGAGTTGGAGCAGCTATATGCCAAGCGTGCATCGCGCGTACTGCACGCTACCCCGGTTGACGCCCCGCCCGAGGAGATGGTTGAAGGCATAGAGCAGAGTGATGATCGTCTCTTACTGAAGATGTCTGATGCTAGGAAGTTGGCTTCAATATTGGAGGCTCCAGAACTGGCACTGGAGGCTGAACGAGCCATCATTCAAGTCAGTGAACAGCTGGATGCAGAGAAGAGGCAGCAGAAAGAGGCGCAATCTAATCAAAAGAAAAACTCCTGAGTCGACGATCTTTTTGCCTTGGGGATGGAACCAATAGAGAATCACCCACTTCATATGTTTTTTTTTGACATCAATGTACCATAGCCCACAAATATCGGGCGAATTTATTCAATAGAGAATTTATTGACTCAACTCTAAGTCTATCCTTCGCCTCGTTCATTGATTGATAATCTAAACGATTGCATTTTCTTTCAATTGTGCAAAAGAACAGTTACCTAAACACTATATCATGTAAGCTAGTACGCGTACCAAGGTAAGAGGAACTTGGGCAGCCAGCCTCTCACCACTTCACCAGAAGAATTAATTCCGACCTATATCTAGGGAAATTCTTTGGACGTTGAGGTATTGAGTGTGGACCTCCACGCCTGTTTCAATATATAGCGCAAAGAATCCAAGTACAACGCTTCGCACATGAATGGCCGCACGATCACGAACTTGATGGGAGCAATGACAGGTATGATGGCTTCTAAATTAAGACTTGAAGTCCACAGACAACCTTTGCAGCCGCGAGGTAGGCCAAGAAGCGTCATTTATAATAGTTCTGGGCTCTGAAGGGGAACTATTGGAATCGTTGGAAATCGACTGCCGCGTCTTCTTAGCAAGGATAAAGTCAAAGTATGCGCGCATAGAAAGTCCAAGAATTTGTAAGAGAATGGGTATTAATTCGGTAAGAGATTTCATGCTTCGGTAACGATCTATGGCACTATTTCATATGGAGTCTTCATGGCCAATCTTCGGATCTACAGAGTACACTCTGACGAGAACTTCGAATGTAGCTTTCTATACTTGAGATAGGATAAATGTGTATTGGAGTATTTTGATTTTGTTCAGTTTCCTCAATCTTTGGATGGCTCAGAATGTACCTGATAATGCTTCAGTAGCTTGAATCTCAATACTTTTTTATCGCATAAAACTCGTCGCGTAGGACCGTGTACATGTCACAAGAATAGTCTGGCTATTTATGAATGAAAAATAAAAGATACATTATACATGAAAGCTTTAGTAAAGCTCTTGACATGTGCACTTTTCTTTTTGACCTTCAACTGGTATGGTAGAGAGTAAAATGATAAGAGCTCCTAAAAGGGGGGCTTGCGTGGTAAAGTGAGCTTTACTTTCTATCATTATACAACATCCCAGCACAGTCCAGTCTCTTCAGGTCGATGGCAATCTTCTTTCTCAAATGACAGGTGTTTTTCACCCGAACAACAACAGAGAACTGTGAAGTCTCGAAGGACTATCTGAGTCCCCAACCTCCAACCACCCTCCAAGATGCTACACGATCGGCCTCTTAGAACTGTCTATCGGAAGCTTTTAAACATTGCAAGTGAGCCCCCACTGGGAGAAAAAGGCCAGTCTTATTCCGGGTTGCCATTGCTGCTGCAGCCTAGGTTCACAGAGCCCTGGGCTGGTGACTGGAGCAATGAATTCGACTACTATGGCGAGGATGAAACATCTTTCCTTAGAGATGCTGAAGGCAGTGATGTTCATGTTTCTTTGTCCACAAGTGACAAGGTTTGCCTCATGAGCAATGTTGGCCAAGGAAGTTTCCGGCCTATGTCTGGCCAAACCGTCCAGAAGAAGCACCCAATGGCGGGTATGAAGAAGTTTTGGGAAGACTGGAACAAACTATTCGAAATATCAGATGAGCCAGAAAACCTTGTCAGCGAAGAAGAACGGCCTCAAGTTGAACTTTACATCGGCACCAAAGGTCAAGCTTCAGTCCAGGAGCAATCTCGGCGAGTTGTCATCCCACGTTGGCTTCACGATCCGCCAGTTAGTCAGTTTCGCTTCACTCAAAGGATCAACCAGGCAAGATGTGAAGCTCAGAAGAAGGAGTATGAGTCTCAGAACACAGCCAGCCAGACCGCCATGGAGGAACCCCCAGTTCCTACTTCTGTCCGTGGGATACATGAGCAGCTCTGGCAAGTCCTGGCTAACGACGCCAGGAAGCTTAGCTTAGATCAGAATGAGAATTTCGACATTGATTATGATATTGACAAGGCTATGATTGAGCTTGAGGACTTCCAGGAATGAGAGATAGAGGGCCGTGACCGAAGGACTGTCTCCATGATCAGGAAATAGAGTCGCAAGCTGGAACCGATATTGATACTGTGGACACAAAGATCAGAGTGTGCTTGCAGGATCTAGGATGAATGTCTTGTCATTTAAAGCATGCAAAAGAAAATAATATGGGCCTGATTATGAATTATTGAAATTGTTGAGCTTAAATTCACAAGAAGTAGACAAGTGGAGCTTATCACTGCCGCGCGGTTGTGTGGTAGACAACAATGACCTCAGATCCCCTGAAGGCGGACGGGCGGGTAAATCCGACCTTCCCCCCCCCAAAATCCCGCCCCGTCATCCACCTCCGCCTGATCACGATATCACGATGAGTGCCAAAAAGATCGAACAATGGGAAATTGAGAGATATTGGGAGATATTCTCCTCCCTTTCAAATGGCCAAGACCGTCTCAACAGCTCCCAGGCCGCCTCGGTGTTGCGCAACAGTCGCCTGCGTGATGACCAGCTCGAGAAGGTCTGGGACATTGCGGACGTCGATGGGGATGGAGAGTTAGACTTTGAGGAATTTTGCGTCGCAATGCGCCTGGTGTTTGACCTAGTCAACGGCGTATGTCAATTCCAAGCACTGCCCACCGTTTACCCTCATTGATTAGGACAAGGATCCGAACTGACATGGTTATAAACACAGGAATTACAAGAAGTTCCACCTGTGCTGCCCGACTGGCTCGTTCCAGAATCCAAGTCACATCTCGTCCAAGCCACGCGAGCATTGAATCGCCCAGAACAGTTCGAGCGGATAGAAGATGAGGATGAATCCCTTGGTCTAAAGGATGGGTTCGATTGGTACATGAAGCCCGCGGACAGGTCGAAATACGAAGAGATCTATAATGCCAGTCGGACTCAACGAGGTGACATAACATGTATGCTTTGTGTCTAGTCTCTTCTCGTTTTGCTTGCATCGCTAAGTTGGAATTGCAGTCGAATCTCTTCAACCGCTTTACGAATCGCTCGATGTCCCGGATACCGATATCCGCTCTGCTTGGAATCTTGTGAACCCCTCCGCCTCCCAAGCTATTAACAAAGATGCAACACTTGCTCTTCTCCACATCCTAAACTTCCGCCATGAGGGCTTCCGCATTCCCCGCACTATCCCCGCTTCGCTCCGTGCCTCATTTGAGAGCAACCAGATCGATTACCAAATTGACAATGCCCCTGCCCAGCGCTGGGGTGCAGATGGAAACCAGGAGACAAGGACTGGCCGCAAGGCCAAGTTCGGTGACACCTATCTCAGCCGGCTGGGAGTTGGTGGCAAAGGATCGTACCAACCGAAGGGTACCAACTTCAGCGACACGATCCAGGACGAGGAGTGGGAGAAAGTGCGGCTGCGTCGCGAACTGGCGGAGATGGAGGCGAAGCTTCAATCAGCCAACCAAGCTTCGGAAAATCGACGAGATCGTCCTCGTAACGATGGCCGGCCAAATTGGGTACTTGTCAAGAAAGAAGCCCTTCAGCTTTTGGAGTATAAGGAGCGCGAGTTGCGGGAACTTCGAGAAGGTGTGGGCCGGTCAAAGGAAGGCCAGGATTTGGAACGCTCCAGGGAGGACGTTAAGACCGTCGGTGACCAAGTCGAGGGCCTGAAAAGTCATCTCGCCCAGCGCAAGGGCGTTCTTGCGGACCTCCGTCAGCAGGTCGAAGAAGAGAGGAGCCGGCGATAGGCATCGGGCCTGGGCTTGTAGTGCTATTTGGCCCGGTCATTGATATTTTTATGTATAGCCATATTCCTGGCAGGGAGCTCCAGGCGCTCAATGGACTTTTATTACTCGTGTTTGAATTTGAGAAATTAACTGTAATGTGTGAATAATCTAAATCAAGTATTGTACAACGAACAGCTTATTCCGTGCTGCTCATATTGCGATGTAAGAAAGTTGAAACTTCTAGGGAAGCCCTGTTGAACATTATCATAGTAAGTTGGACCGGGGAAGTCCAACCGAAGACCGCAAAAAAGCGATGTCAACACATTAAAAAAAGGGAGACAAACCGAAAACAAAGCGTATATGTTTGCGCTGTGAGGAGCTGGAGGGAAAAAGCATTGAAGAAAGCAGAACTCAAGACATAAGACTCTCTCCAGCATCACGCTTGGTTTCAACAGCAACAAATGCAGCGCCACTTTGATCAAGACCCTTCTCAGCGCGGGCATAGGCTTCCTCGCTTCGATCTGTTAGAATTTCAAGCTCTTTATCGGACAGAATTGAAGCAGGGTCGGCTCCAGTCTCGAAGCGTTCAAACTCATCTTCACCGAGAACCTTGCGGAGCTCCTCAACATCTTGGGCGTTGGTAGTATCCAGTAATGATTTAAATTTCCCTTTTTGGATAACAAGGCGTTCGAGGCGGCGCTTGGAGTCTGCCTTTTCGAGTAGAGTCTGTTCAACGGTGCCCTTTGTTGCAAGACGATAGACAATCACAGGCTTGGTTTGTCCAATACGATGCGCTCGATCCTGCGCCTGTAAATCCTGCTGCGGATTCCAGTCCGAGTCAAAGAGAATGACCGTATCTGCTGCAGTAAGATTGATACCTTGACCGCCAGCCCGGGTGCTCAACAAAAAAATCTTGTGTTTCTTGTCCTTGTTAAAGGCTTTAATTTGAGCCTGTCGGTCTGCTTGGGCAATTGCACCGTCGATTCGGCAGCAGGGCCAACCACGTAGTTGGGTCGCCCAGTCTTCAATGATATCAAGCTGCGTTTTAAATTGCGAAAAAATAAGGATCTTGTGACCTCTTTTCAGGAGGCAGGGAATAAGACGGTCTAGCAGCAACATCTTGCCCGATGCTGACACGAGTGACTCGTCCACAGGGGAAGCTTCGTCCACCCAGGGCCAATAGAAGTTATGAGGCGAATTGCACGCAAGACGAGCTTGCAAAACAGGGTTCTGCATTTTCTTCTGGCTAATCTCTTTTTCTGTGCAGCTGGTTAGCTAGCCATAGATGATGAGGAGATGGGGCTGATTGGCACATACTGGCAAGCTTCAGATTGTTAGCTCTTTCGATCTCTTCTAGCTCGGTATCGCTCGGCTCGAAAGACTGTTCCTCCTCTTCCTCCACCCCTTGCTCCAGCATACGAAGCTTGGCATTAAACGCCCGATCTCCGATCTCCTTGTAGCTCGGAGGGGCTCGGCGACGTCTGCCTGGACCCGAACCATTGACTGGAGTGCCATTCCGGGTAGTTCTCTGGCTTTTATTCGGTGTTTCCGATTCATCACTTTCCCGACGACGCTTCAAGCTTTGGGAACGGGTGGGCGTGGGATTCTTAGAAGTCAGACGTTCGAGGGCTTTAGATTCGAGGTACTGGCGCCCGGTGCCATTAAGAATCTCTCGATATAGTTCTTTCTGCTCCGCGGTGAGTGGAGCATACAAAATGTACTCTCGTTTCTTAGGCAAGGAAGTTTCCACATCGGTCTTGACACGGCGCAGAAGGAAGGGTTTGAGAATAGAATGCATGGTGGTTACCAAATTGCGCTTTCGGCGTTCGATCACTTCTGCTTTTCCAGAGTCATCCAAAACAGATGAGAAATCAAACCAATTCTCGAAGCTTTTCAAATCATTGAAAATTTCCGGCAACAAAAAGTGCAGCAATGACCACAATTCAGAGATATTGTTTTGTAAAGGTGTGCCAGTGATCAATAGTCGGTTCGCAGAGTCGTAGCTCATCAACTCCTTAATCAAGCGGCAATTCATGTTCTTCAGGCGATGACCCTCATCCTGCATGATCAATTAGCTTTTCTTCTACATGATCCGTATCAAATGACGTACCACAACAATATAACGCCACTTGTATTGTCTGAGGAAGCTCGCATCATTTATGCAAATGTCGTACGAAGTACAAACGATAGGGAAATCCATTTTCCCTTGGTCCCGCAGCTTCATTTGTTTGCTGCGGATATTCGCGCGGTCCTCCTTGGTCCCGTGATAGAGCACAGTTTCAATATCTGGTGTCCATCGTTTAAATTCGTCGATCCAGTTGCTCAAGGTGCTCAGGGGTGCTGCAATTAAGTAAGGACCAGAAACATTGTTCTCTTTCATAAAGGCGAGCATGGAAATAGCTTGAACAGTCTTTCCGAGTCCCATTTCATCTGCAAGAATACCACACAGACCGTTCAACCACAGAGTTTTCATCCACTCTAGACCTTCGAGCTGGTATGTGCGCATCTTTCCACCCGTTACCAAGGCAGGCTGTTGGGTAGCGACAAGTTCTTGTCCACCCAGGGCCGTAGGATTGGCTTCATAATCTTCAGCAGCTTGCTCGAGTGCCTCTTGAACAGTTGGGTTATCCTCGGTGACCTCCACGTCTGCTTTCTTAAAGTAGCTGGAGATGGTATTTCCGTTCGACCCGGTCTTGCGTGGGCGACCTCTTTTCTTTCCAGTGCCCGAGTCGGCACCGGTGGATGCTTCCTCTGCAGCAGCCTCCTCCTTGACCCTAGTTCTTGTCGCACGGCGGTTGGTAGCCGCAGCACTGGGCTCGGCTTTCTGTTCTGCTGTTGTTTTCTTCTGTCTCGCAGCCTGTTGTCGGGCTTCTTCTTGCTGCTTCTTCATTTTTTCGGACATGATGGCAACAAATACCTGCAGTTTGATATCAGTCAGACTATGTACTGAGGAGCTAGCAAACAGAGATTGCAGCTTACAGAACTGGTTTTCAGCAAATGCATCAAAGCCTTAGCCTTTGTGTCCATGCCCTCTGTGTCTTCTGCATCCTGATCTGTATTTGATTGCTTGCGATCATCTCCAGTATGCTCCGTTCCATCGCTTTCATTTCGATCAACATCAACATCTTTCTCTGAGGGCGCTTGCTGCTCTTGAATCGTGAGTTCTGTCATGGGCGAAGAGGGGACTGTGGACTCGGGCTGAGTCGTCCCGGCGCGGGAATCGGTCGGAGTAATGGGAGAGTCTACCGCGGACATTGCGTCTCGGGGGAGAGGAAATTGGTTTAGTAAACGAGTGCGGTCGAGAAAGCGAGGAAAGAGTGCAGGAAATCGGGGGGTTCAAGTGAGGCGAAACGTCATTCCAGGGATAAGAATTCGCGACCAAACAAAATTTTGAAAAGATAAGAAATCGATTGGCGATCCTCTCAGTGAACCTCCAACCACTGTGCGCGAGATAAACGAACAAAATGACCGAAATCCGCGGCAAGTGCGCATTCAACAATAAATCGAAGTCGAGATGATGCCGAGAGCACGTTCGACGCGAAAATCCGCGTCGGTGCACGGACCTTGCTTTAATGAGTACAACAGGGTTCCGATCTACTTCGCGCATGTCCGCAGGACTTGGTTTACTATCTTTCCAATTGTGTTTTGATTGGTGTTTTGTTCGAATGATTGTCTATTAATGCATTATCATACACCTCAGGTATCATTATAGAAATATTATTACATGATCATCGTGACATAAACTCATTCCCTTAGCATCGGGCGTCATCCTCATCCGCAGGCAATAAGATCCACACAAGGTTCATCTTGTGCATCTTCGGGCCTTGGTTTTTCGACCAGATTGAGTGTGCTTGATAGCTTTGGGAATGGGAACCAGTTCAACCTCATCATCTGTGTCGTCAAAAAAGGCCTCCTGGTGTTTTTCATTGAAGTAGGTTACTTTTTCCAGCATTGCACTGATTGCATCGTCGTCAAGGTCGCCTTCCCCATTGTGATCATCGTGTGGAGGATGATCTGGGTCTAGACCGAGAGCCTTCGCAGATCGAGCCAGCTGCGCCCAGTCTTGTTCAACAGGATGAATATGCTCCCAGTACTGCTCAGGGACATCACGAGCCGTAGTAGAAATCTGTCCATCCTCTTCTACGGCTTGATCTGGCCAAGTCTCGCTTGTGGTTTGCTCCCTCTGTGCCTCGCGATAAGCCGTGGTCAGATTGAAGTTCACAGGAGTAACAAGAGGATTGCTTGCTTTTCCTGCGCCCATGGCCAACTCATCGCCTCGCGGCTCCTCATATACCCGAGAATAGTCGATGCCGGCACGCTCAATGAGCTGATCGGGGGTTGGACTTTCCGGAGCTTTCAGGTGAGAATAGGGTCCCTTATTGTACTTAAGCTTTTTGGTTCCCGGCTGAATGTATCTGTAAGGTCTGATGGTTTTTTCGCCGTTGCTCCAGAGGTCCCCGGCCAAAATTGTGGGCAGTTTACGCTGTTCCAGGAATCTCCAAGCTGCATGAAGCTCGCTCTTTTTGCAACTCAACAAATTTTGCCTCGTGTTGAGAATAAGGTTTCGAAAGGCACTTCTGGATATCTTTTGAAGGGCAAATTTGTCCGAGACCTGGCACTTGACGCTTTTATCCATACGCATGAGTTGCTTCAGCTGCTTGTCTCTCATAATCCTCAGGTGCATGTCCTCTTTATCCCTTTGCCTGTTCCGTTTTTCCAATGCTTCCTCGGCTCTTTTTTGTTCCCTGCGTGAGAATCCGAGCTTCTGGCAAGCACATTCCCACGTGATTTCTTCCAAGAGATTATCCATGATCTCTGCTTGAAGCGACGTACTTAAATCTGACCACTTAGGGTTGGGGCGCTATTGAAGAGATTTGTTAGAGCATTTTAACGGACTGCCAATATTCCATCAAATGTTACTGCAGGGGCCGGAGGATAAGAGCTGGACTCACATTTTCTCTCTCATCCCGGTGTACAAAACTTGACTCATCAAGATCACTATCCGAGAAGCTGAGATAAATTCCGTCTCCCCCAGGCCATTTTGGTGTCGAATCTTCCGTAAATCGTCGGTGTTGATCTTGAAACCCTGCAGTTCGAATTCGCTGTTCAATGGTACTTGCTGGTTTCCTTGTGGAGCTGGAAGGAGAAGCTTGGATCCCAAGTACAGTGAAAGCACGGCACTCATTTTTGACGGGTTTTTTCACCACAGATACAGTTGAAAGTTCCTCTTGCTGGGGAAAGTTACTTTCTGCTCGCGGGAGTTTTTTCTCTCTTTCCTCTCTAAGAGCACGCAAGTGATCCTCTCGTGTCCCCTGGGGTACTGACTCGTTCACGCACGTCAGGCTCGGGAAGGCAGCAGGAGGCAGGTTCGGGTTGAATTCAGGGACGTAAGGCCGCGCCGATGGGTGCCTTTGCCGTTTCCGAGATGATGCAGACGATTCCGCGAGCTCTTGAAGAGGTTCATCATTGGCGATCTTCTCACGGGATTCATGCATCGATCGAAGTAGATCTGAAGTTGTGCTCTCTGCCTCGGCTTCGCCATATCGCATTGGGGCGCGGATTGTAGAGCGTAGCTGCCTCTCGTTGTACATGGTGACTGTATATGTGGTAAGGCAAATTGAATGAAATTAGCACTTCATCTGGTTTTTTGCGCACCTTGAGACGAAGCTGCGCGGTTTTCACAGTGTTTGTTTTAGCGCACCTTCCACGCGATCAAGAGGAGAGAGAGAGAGAGAGAGAGAGGGAGGGAGAGACGAATAGTGTACTTTTTAAGATTTTGACACTGAGGCCTCAGCGCTATATCTTATGTGGGGTTTGAGTAGTACCTTATCAGGCATAAAGGAAAGTAGTTGAAAGAGATGGAAAATGAGAGGTGAAAAGACCTAGAAAGGATGATTGTGAGGATTGTGAGGAGTTAAAGGCGAAAGGGGAGTAATTGAGAAAGGAAGTATGAAAGATTTATTTGCAAGGTAGGAGCCTGTACGTGGCTTGGATGATGCTCTGGAGATTTTTATAACAGTCACGATAGATTTTCAAGATTGACATGTTTACGGACTTTGAAAAGTGGCAAAAACTACTGCTCTACTGCTCGGGGTGTTTTCGTCAAATAGCAACATCAGCGATAGTTGCAGTGTGTTAGCAAAGAATACAAAAAGATAGCCACCAAATCCCAAGTTTCGCTAACTTCAGGGTCCGTCTATGAGAGAGGCATGATCCAGAACTCTCGTTTCAGTTTCCATAGGGGTCAAATACGCGGAGAAGCCCCTAGACTCATCGGTCTAAGTTGCAGCATGATACCCCAAGGCGGCAAAGACTTGGCGAGAAACATAAAAGAGGAGATCATGCTACGCGGTCTTGGAATGGAGCAAATGGTCTCCGCGCACCGAGTAAATCCTCCTCCCCATCGACGTCCATCTCCGTATCAAGAATATCACTCTCTTCTTCTTTGCGATCCGCGAAACTGCGCTTCTTTGCCAGAACCACCGGCGGGACCGGAGGAGGAGCAAGCATTGTTGCTCCAAATTGTGGATTGATGCGTTTAGCCCTTTCAACATCGCGCTTGGCAGCGAGAATGGACTCAAATGCAGCGAGGATCCGCTTCAGTGGATCCTCGATGGAAATACAAAATCGATGTTGCTGGACCATATGAGTCGCGCGTATAGCATCCATGTTCAACATCACCATAATATAGGCTATTGCTACGGCTGCAGAGCGCTCATTGCCAGATTCGCAGAAGAGGAGGACCTTCCTCTTATCGGAGGATGAACAGTGGGAGGTCAGCGAGGTTGAGTTGGGGGCTCCATGACTAAGCGCATCCGTGCCTGCAAGGTGGTCGTTGATGCGGCGAATAGCACGAGGAAAGGCTGATATGAGCTCCTGGCTGTCCAGCACATCTATCGTGTCGGCCTGAATGCCAAGCGCAGCCGCGGCTTTATCACCGGAAAGTAGGCGCGCATGGGCAGAGTGGCGGTTGCGTATGGCGAGGAGAAGGGTGAATCCTTGTTTGCGGAGAAAATCGTAGTTTCTCAAGCATGAGAATGGACCCAGCGAGAGGAATGGTAGTACAGGCTGTGCCTCGCGGCGCATTTCGTAGTTCCACTGAGCGTAATTGAAACGGCGAGTGAACCCATCCAGAGATGTAAGGCTGAAGAACCCTGGACAGATAAAATCGCCCTCGGCAAATTGATGAGTACTTGCATTAAAGATCTTATTGTCGACAACAACGATCTCGCTCTCATCCTGAAGTTGCTCCATGTTGAAATAGTTCAGTGATGATTGCATTCCTGCTCCCGGAGGATACTTCGGGGCGGAAATATATTCCTGAGTGCGGACATAATGTGCATGACCACCATGGGACATGGGGGTTTCGGTTGAAGGGAGGAATTCAGACATAGTGTCTGATGGAGCTGACCGTGCTCAAGCAATGGGGCCGCAAGGTGTCGCGTGCTCAATCAAGGATTTTGGGAGAATGTTCAAAGGAGACAAGATGAAACAATTCACCAGCTTACATGCCCACGCTGTTGGCAGGACAAGCTTGCCCTATTTCCATCGGTAGGATCCGCGATAGACCTGTCACCACCCCCGCGGCGAATGACCAATGGCGACCAGCACCGGCAATGATATTTCTTTCGAGTAGTCAAAAATCAAGATGCCGTATCGAAGGTCGAGAAGGAGCTGCTCTTGACCCTGGTAATCCCTGGAGCTCTGCGGTTGTACAAAGAAACAGCCGGTGACTACGGAGGGGAGGTTGGTTTAACCTTCCAATGAGAAGCCGATCGCATGATGACATAAGACAACACTTGCCTGTCCCACACTTACGCCTCGATATATCAACCCGAACTACGTTATACGATTCTGATTTCAAGCCCCAGAAGGCTGGTCCTGGGGTGCTTTAGCCAAATGAAAGCGAAATATAACATATTATCAATCCTACTCGGAGGTTGTGCCAATCTCGAGACTTGTCCTAGAAAACGGGACTTGAATTACTATTGCGGGGAGTGGTCCTGTCATCGATTGTCGCATGAAGCAACGAAGCATCATGGGCAGAAATTATCGAATCTAAGGGAAAACTAAACAAAAAGATTGATGCCATAGAGACTAAGGTAGAGGGTAGGGGAACAATGGCATTTTCAGTGAAAGTTCTCGTTAATCTCAGCTGTCGACCGTGGATAAACAAATGAAGGCTGGGTACATCAATAAAAAAATCTGAACCTTGACAACATCATATCTCTGACATATTCTTTACAGGGGCTCGTTAGAAAAGATAATTGATGGAAGCTGTCTACCTATCTACTCTTTCTTCCGATGCTTGCGCCTATCCAGCCTGAGCGTCTTCTCCGTAGGTTACCAGGGCCGAAGACATGAGTCGACGAGCCGAATCACAGATCGACGGCAAAGAGGACCAACCAAGGCACAGAGAAGCAAATGTAACAATAGACCTGGTCGAACTGTTTGGCCTTGAGGGCTTGGGAGAAATCAAACGCCGGGTCAGCTGGCTTCAGATGCCAACACAACCGTTCGAGTCACCACATGCATCCCATGACTCTCCGTTTCCCGGAATTTAGAGCTGCGAAAGAGCATCATCGTGGAAGCCTATCCCGTATCGACAACACAAGGACCCAGTGGGACAAACCCACAGCATCAGGTCCACGCAAGGGCCCCGATCCCGCCACCAAAACCTCAAGACGACATCCATCCCATCTCCCATCTCCTCTTGCGCCGCGGAGCATAACAATCTCCATATCGTCATCTCCATAAAATCCGACCCCGAGAGCGTGTCGCCGCGCGCATTACAAATCCACTCTAGGCCGGACGTCGCGCATCCTATCTCCGAGATGTGACGTTGGCGACGGAGCTTGAGGCTGTCAGCCGTGTCGTGCATGAGTCATTCGTATTCCGCGGGCCCCGGGCGGCAGCCTTATGAGAATCGGGAGCCCGGAGGCGAGAGAGCAGGGTGAGGCTCAAGCGTTATGGATGGCCCGATTGGAGTCCGTTGGATATCGGCGGCCTCAGGTTTGGAGGTGGTTGCCTGAGCGGGAGTGTGGCTTGGCCCCTAGTTGCCCCGTTTCCCAGGCGCGGAATCTCGACCGAACTATAGTGATCTACCGGAACTACAAGTCTTGGCGAAGACAGTGGCATGATTCAACGATACGGTAATATTGAATTCACGACCACATATGGGACGATCAGTGAGCGGTTCAATAAGGCATTACAACTGTGGAGCTGTTGAAAGCTCGAGGCCGAAAAGGAAAGATGGGAAGAACACGAGTACTGCAGGTAGCAGATGGTATTTGACAAAAAGAAACGGACATGATCGAGAACATAATACACCTGGGGGTATAGGAGGTGAGACACCCCGGACTGGAAAGAAAACCGCCTGGCCCATTGAAAGTCACAACTCAAGCAAAACGCCATACTACCCCTATCAAATTGGGTAGGCAGCGGTCTTTAAGACTAGCCACCAGAGCCGAACCCAGATGCAGTAAACTGAAGGAGGGGGAACAGAAAAAAGACTAGAGGTAATTTTAAACCTCACAGCGGGAAGCCTTCTTTCTCTTCGGGAAAATAAACGCCAAGAGGATGCAAACAGCAAATTAATCACAGCCCATTAGTGGAGATATTAGAAAAAAAGCAAGAAGAAATTAGACTTGAGGAACCGTCTGGGGGGCTGGTGGCATGGGAGCAACGAGCTGAGGATCATGTTCGGGTGGCGGTTGTGGGATGGCTTGCTGCAAGCCCGCAACGATGCGCTCCAGCTCTTCCAGACGACGATCTTTCTCCTGGACCTCGCGGCGCAGTCGCTTCACCTCATTGTGCAGATCAACGCCGTTCTCATCGGTCTCTGCGAGGTCTCCGTTGGGTGAGTCATGCTTCCGCTTCATGCCAGTGGCGGGAAGTGAGTTGGCGCGCATGCCTTCCAGCTCATTGGCGCGATCCCAGGGCATGTCGACCAGGATAGAGGAGGGACCCCCGTCATCGGTGTGCATGTGGCGACGGCGAAGATGTTCTCGCAGGTTCTCTTGGCGAGTGAAACCATTACCTGTGCTGCGGTTGCAGTCGGCATACGGGCACATCAGAGGCTTCTTGGCGTCGGTGTTCTTCTTGTGGACCTCACGTTGGTGGCGAAGAAGACCGCCTGAGTAGGTGAAACCTTGGATTTTATCGCAGCCTGGTTCATAACACTTATAGGGTCGATCATGTTTATCCATATGTTTACTATGACGCGTTAGTGATGATTTCAAAGATGAGGAGAGGACGGAATGTACTTACTTCCATTCGCAGGGACGACGGAAGGTCGGGGGTGCGGCCTGGCAGTCGGGGTGGTCGCAATATATCTGGTTGTCGGCGTTCTTGGGGGGATCTCGTGCGCGTCGGACTGAGAGACGCGGACGCGCACCCTCCAGGAAAGCGAGAGTAGGCTGTTCGTTCATTCTGGCAATCGATGAAAGAGATTCGGTAGCGGACGCGAGGACTGAGGCGGCCACGCCGTGCGGAGCTTCACTTCGCGGACTAGGATAGTCAGACCCGTCTCCCATTTCGAGCTTGACCCCACACTAGCGGAGGGGGAGGTTGTGATGGAAGAGGAGATACCGACAAGACGCGTCCACGGGATTCACTCAAAACCACACAAAGGCGAACTCTGGGAGAGGGACAGGAGAAAGGCAAGAGGAGAGATGGTAAATAAAGGGAATCAGACACAACTAGAATCGAAGAAATGGACGCGACCAGCAGCTGGTGGCGATCGGGGAAGGTGAGGGGATCGGAGAATCGATGGATTGTAAAGAAGAGGAAGAGCCAAATTTCTCAGGTAGCAAGGCATCCCCCCCTCTTTATAGCCGGGGCAGGCAGAAACCGCCACCTGTGGCGCGCGGGTGGCGGTGTTCGGGTACCCGCGCTTCTCGGAGTTTCTGTGTTGCGCGGAGTTAACCGACCAGCTGAAGAAGTTCAGCAGGGCAAAAACGCAATCTGGCTTAAAAATCTATATAGTTCAAGTTGCATATGCAGGACCGGACCTGGGATGTGCTGGTCCTTTTGAATGTTTCCCCCTGCTCCGCCTAGCACTGCGGTACTTCTAGGTTGCCATTCCTGGTCCCCCACCGAGGATCCTGAATGCATTTGGCCACCGCTGGGAGAAAGTCGTGACTCATCCCCACTAGTGGTGACGGAGATCCTGGTACCAATGAGAATCGTGTAGTTCGCTGGTGTCGGGCCCAGTATTGGGTCTCCAGGGCCGTTGCCAACACCCGTCAGGCAGCCATTCTCCCTCAGAATAGGACAGGAAAGCAAGGTAAGACGATACAGGATTTTCGGTGGGCGAACCATCCACCCATCGGATGCGATCGACCTGAATGCACATCCAGCATCCGGCAGCAGTGTGGCGGTGACCTTCGGAGCCCTCGGGACACAGTCACGGGACCGGGGGATCTCCCATTAAGGTCACGTGGAGACTATTCAAGTTAGCTAAGCGCCATTCAATCCTCGGCATTCAGGCAGTGCTGCGTCTGGACTCCCCAAATGGGTTAACGGCTCGCATGGGGTTCGCGTTTACTGCGTCGTTAGTTTGTTCGATCTCCAGGCTACCAAATACTTACACCCTTTCCGTGTGGAGACTTTCTATTAAAAGACGGCCGAATCGGGGGTTCGACATGCAGGAAACGGCGGAAAGCTTGCGAATCTCGTCCCTGGTCTCAAGCTCGTCAGGGCTATGCACCAGAGCCTATCAAGATAGTCAAATGGCATTAGACTTATTCCTGAAGCCCCATCAACGATGGCTGTGGCCATGAAACGGAGTCCATCAGGCTTGGCTAGGATAGGCTACAAGAATCCTCATACGCCTCACTGGCATTTGCCATGATCTTCAGTCTTCAATCCAGATCGGCGAGGCTTGCAACAAGCCAAAGACCACCCCCATAAGTCAAAAAGCTTCAGGGTTGTAGAGCTTCAGAGCTTCACAGCGTCATTTCCTCTCCGGCTCTGCAAATGATCAATCACCCACTGCACTTCATCTGCCACAACGTCCGGCCGGATCAGATGCACGTTGTGGCCACAGTCTGGCAGGTGCACGAAATGCGTCGTCGAGGACAATCGAAGCTGCTCCTCCTTAAGCTCTTGGTCAATAGAATCCCATCGGTCTAGCAACTCCCGGAACGCTTGCCGCTGCGTAGTCGTTCCATTACCAACCGCTACGCCCGCCTCGTAGATGCGTTCGAAGTCTCGAGCGCTATTGCATCGAATCACACTGACCGGCCGGTCTCCGAGGGCCTGTCTCTGAAACTGATGCTTCTCCGCCAACGTCCGACAGACGTCCACGTAGGACTCGGCCTCCGCCTGCGCAGCGGCCGCCCCGCGCGCAATATCGATCGCTCGGTCCCGCCATTCGTCCCGCGTCAGTTGAGCGTCTGCCCGTAGTCCGGTCACCTGCGCCACCTTCAGGGCTCCTAGGACCGCTGTGATATTGGGATCCGGTAGCTGGAAATAGTCACACTGGCGCTCGGTGGAGCCGTCAGCGAGTACCAGCCCGGCGACCTCGTCATCGTACAGATGGACATACTCACGGGCTACAACGGCGCCATAGGAATGCGCAACCAGGACCAGCGGCGGCTGCAAATTTGTCGCCTGGAGAAGGCTGTGTAGCTCTTCCGCAGCCCTGACGGCCGTGCTCGCCCATCGCGGCGGGTCCGGTCTCGGGTCACTGTGGCCGAGGCCCGTACGGTCGTATAGAAAGACTCGAGCGAATCGGGCCACTAGTGGTGTCAGGGCTGTGTAGGACGATGCGACATCGCCAGCGCCGGCGAGCACGACGACCAGTGGGTCATGAGGCGCGCGGGGAGGCCCACTAATCGAGGTAAAGAAGCGGTGGGTGCCAATCGATACCATTGGCATCGCGGGCATGCTGAATGGCGGGGCGAGGGGCAACTGGGGCAGAGCTGAGCGCAGCAAAGCTGATCCAGGCGGTTTCAGGCAACTCAGGCAGGGTTTTTCGTTCGTTCAGGCCGTGTTCAGGAAGCACAAATCGGCAATGGGGAAAGGGGATTGCATAGGCCGCTGCCATGGCGTCTTTGGTCTCGTGGCACCCACACCGCCCATCAGGGTCTCTGGGAATTGGTCTTTCGCCCTAAAAGGCTCTAGTATGTCTCGTAGAACTTAGAACTCAGAAAGTATTAGTGACGTATACAGCAGTTATTAGCATTGCGGCCCAATGATCTCGGTTCTATGAAAAGATGTCAACACGGGCTCGGGCTCAGTAACATTGAATTGATATAGAGCCTAGGGCACTTTTTGATATTTTCGAAAATACATACATTGGCTTGTCGAAAATGACATTCCTTGTAGGTTATGCATAGTAACTAACATAATCGGTACCGGGAATCTACCTCTAGAGGGAAGCCGATCCAATGATGCCCAATCACTATCTCCTGGTCTTCATGGCCTAATGCTCTGGAGAATGTGTAACAGGGGCTCCGACGGTCGAAATCCCCTATGCCTACCCAAATATTCGTCTTTCCTGGTTTCCCGTTTCTTCCTCCCATTCTCCGTTATACTCGGAGACCCCAAATCGTCAATATCATATCGCGTAACCAGGTGTTATCCCGAGACGTAATCGATCACCTAGCGTTCTTCGGAGAGGAAAGGACTTCCAAATAACACAAAAAGGAGTTTGTTCAAGCGGCAGGAAATGTGCTTAATGTTAATCAAACTCCAGATTTCTAATGCAAGCCTCTCATCCATGGCCGCATTGAGAAATATTTCACAGAGCCAACGATCATCTGTCTTCGAGCTCTCGCCCAGCTCTGGTCGGCATTGGTAATCCAGATCAAGCATAAGGCTGCGATGATAGTGAAAATCTCCCAGAGTATTGTAGATTTCATGGTCTATTTGTTGATCTTGAACTTGGCAAACGTAACTCTTTTGAATTAGGACAGGGGGCGCCAATGGACGAATATTGAAAGCATCTCATCTAGGATACAATTCACAGGTCCATTGTTTACAATCTATGTATATACGAATCGGATAAATTACCTAGCTCTTCCTTTTTAGAGAAGCAATTCTATTTAATGAGACTTTGGTAATTGATGCGATGCTTTCTTGCATTACATTTTTTGTCATCTTTTTCACCTCTCTTCAAAGAGACGTCCAAGCGACACAGGGTAAAACAATATCAATACAACGAATCTATCCACCATGTCGGTTACGGAGTTTTGGGAACATCTTCCCAATACTACTCTGTTCAGTATCCAAATACCCGACATCGCGGGTTCTTGTAGTAGGCAGGCTGATTCGAAACCCTATCCAAAAATTTGCTTCAAGATAACAAGCACAGGTTGGTCCTTTATAATTGCAGGGCTACGTTTAGATGCACGAGTATTAAATACGAAAGGCATAACTGGTCACGATTTCTCAGCGCAAGGAGAGGGCAATCTAATGACTAAAAGACCGCTAGGAGGCTATCAGGCCCAAAGGGGGACCAAATTAACTCGCAAGGCTGCACTATAGCCCGCTATCAGATTCATCTAGGGCGAAAGAATCGATAATCGGGCACGGCTTATTTCATATTCAAGCCTTAAAGGAAGGGAGGCTGGAATATCCATGCTGGTCGCCTCAACCCATCGACAACTGCACAGAATGAGGAATATCACATGGGGCCTCAAAAGGCCAAGAGGGCCCCCCTGCTTCGAACCGAAGACATGCTTGATATCGATCTCGAATACCTGCCTTGTAGGAACTTTCGCGTTCCCCGAGACAAAAGAATAGCGGGCCAGTCTTAAGCTTTACCAAATCCACGTCCTGGTCGGTATGGAATAAGTGGACGAGCAAGACTTTAGTGGAAAGAACCTGGACATTTCAGGCAAGACTCTGCTTCCTCGGGAGAATATGAGGCAGACCTGTTGGAGGTTGCCTAGGAATCAAATGGCACTAGAATAGCTCACTCAGTCGTAGTTACCACCGACCTGGCTAGCAAAGGCAGTAGAAACGCTGCGGGCATCATCGTCGTCATGAATGTTGTGACCTGGGACACCACGAGTGACACGAAGGCTAGCGGAGCTGCCGCCAAAGACACTGCCGTTGTCGGGAACTCCGGCGCGGTAGGGTTCCCGTCCACCGGATTCAACGTACCGCTTCAGACGGTCAGACTGGCTGAGACTGGGTTGCTTGCTCATGTCGTTGATATTCAAGCCAGCAAGGCTGACCCCGCCCTGGTTGACACTCTGTCCATCGATAATACTGCCAGTAATATCTGACTCGGTGGCTGCAACGGATTCTCCAGCAACACTGGGGGCGCCCTTTGCCCGTCCAGCATTTGCCCGACGACCGCCAGAGAGAGAGGGCCACTGGTCTGCGAAATTTTGAAACATCGGCGGATATCCGGAAGGGAGGCCAACCCCGCCTACAGCAGAGGAATGAACCGAAGAAACATCATCAGGAATATAGCCAACCACGGACCCAGTATCTTGATATTCATTTCGGTGACCATTTCGTCCGTTCATGGTGCCACTTGATGCATTAGATGATGCATTGAAGTTCATCTGGAAGCGCTGGGGACCGCGATAGGCCTGCTTCGGGCGGCTGAACTGAATCAGAGACTCTTGCAGATTGGACAGTGGACCCTCCACCAGGCAATGGCGTTCTTTAAAGTGCTGCAAGAGACAGTTCCAAAGAGGATGCTTGGATAGCACCTTCGGGTTACCCAGAATGACCAGACCGAATCGCGCACGAGTTAGAGCAACGTTGAGACGGCGCGGGTCACTCAAGAAGCCGATACCTTGGTGATCGTTGGAACGAACGCAAGAAAGAATAATGTAATCCTTCTCACGTCCCTGGAACGCATCGACGGATGCCACTTCAATTTCCTTGTAGTGCTCCTTTTTGAATGTACCAGTAGCCTGCATAGAGCTGACGATGTAGCTGCGTTGTCCTTCATACGGAGTGATGATACCGATGTCCCTGGGTTGAACGCCTGCCTTGAAGAAGCGCGTAACAATCTTCTCGACATTGGTGGCTTCAGTGCGGTTGAGATACGATGTTCCTGAGGCTGAGATCTCTTCATTGCCAAGATTCGACCAGAACATCATAGGGTCATCCATCATAGGCCAAGGGAAATCCACGTCCCGACGAAGTCTGTCCTGGATGGTGATACCGTTCTGCAAAGATCCCTCATAGAACATGTTGGAAGGGAACTCAGAAAGACAGGGGTGCATACGGTACTGGACATTGAGGCGGATAGGCGAGCATCCTAGGATGACGAGTCGTTCAAAGAGGGACTGGTTCAAGCCAGCCTTAGCGGCCTTCTTGTTCATAATGACGGGTCCAAGCTGCTGGTGATCGCCAACAAGGACAACCTGCTTACAGCCGAGAACCAAGGGAATCATGCACTCAGGTTCGGCAGATTGGGTCGATTCATCAATCAAGACCGTGCGGAACTTGAGCTTTGCCAAACGAGGATCACCAGCACCAACGCAAGTACAACAGATCACATCGGCATTGTTGAGAATTTCACGCTCGGCGGCACGAGTCACCTGCTTCAACCGCTTCTCATCTTGACTGGATAGCTCGCCAAGCTCTGCCTTCAGTTGATTGAGTTTCACCAGTTCAATGCTGCTATCATTCATGCGAACTTGCTCATGCAGGGAGAGGAAGCCGACAGGGGACTCAACATCCTCGCGAGATTTTGCTGTTACTCGAGCTGTCTTGAGACCAGTGCGGTGGATGCGCTCACAAAGCTGATCAACCGCAACGTTGGATGGGGCACACACCAATACTTGGCCACCGTTGAGCTTCGCAAGGTGATAGATAATGGTAGCTGAAGTCACAGTCTTTCCGGTACCAGGAGGACCTTGAATCAAACTTAGTGGCCGCTGGAGAACACTTTTCACAGCATTTATCTGACTGCCATTGAGATCTGGCAGTCCAGGAACACTGAATTTCTTGGGAATTTGGGTCTTCATCGGAGCGGCGGCAACTTCATGTCCAAGGAGACGGTGGAAAATATAGCCTGACACACTTTGTTCATCGACGGCGAATGTTTTCATGGCCAGTTGCATGCGATCGAAAGAGGTAGACTTCCAAACGTAATCCGCAGTAAAATTGTGTGTACATTCGGTGGGTACAGACTTGTGGTCCCCCTTGGAACGTAATTCGATGGTGACCTCATCGGACTGGTTGTTCGGGATTTTCATGACATATCCGACACCTTCCCACTTAGATCGCAGCTCGCCAGTGTACTTCAAACGCATCTCATCACCCACGGCTAGCTTGACATCTCCAAGCTCCAACTTGGGAAGGACAAAACTGGCAAGGTGCTTGTTGTTCAGACCCAAATCCCATCTGACAATCAACCCATCCTGGGATTGAGATTCCTTGAGTTTTCGGTCATAGTCGGCTTCAATTTTTACCAGAGGACCAAAAATGTTCTGGTATTGATACGCATCATCGTAGCGCAGCAGGACTGGTGCAGGTTCGTCATCTACCGCAGTTGCCTTCTCCAAATCTTCCAGAGTCGCCTGGGAGTTCTCTTTCCACATCTCCTCAAGCTTGGCGATCAACTGCGGGCTAAGATGGCGTGCGCGAAGCTGTTCTTGATCGGACGGCACAGCCACAAGCCAGGGCAGGAAAGATCGGTCCTCAATGAGGGGCTGCCAGCGAGATGTATCCCAATTCATATCCTTTGATGATGGCATTGCGGCGCATGGTTGTCGACAAAGAAGAACCACCACAGTATCTGATTTCGCAGGGATAAAGCCAAGCAGGAAGACATTCTTTGTACCGCAATTATAACATTCGAGGGTAGTATCTCCGAGAGAGGAAGCAGGGTGTAACTGGACTTCCTTATGGCGAGCACGAACAAGGTGGTTGACGATATGCGAAGAAGACGTATTGCCTCTAGCACTGCAGAACCACTTGTTGCACGATAGACACTTCACCACGCTGCTAGGGTTATGGATACCACAGTACCTGGAATACCACTCATTTAGTATATGAAAAGACCAGCTCTCTGAGATGCGAGCACTTACGCGCATGCGTGAGCAGGAAGCTCTCTCTCCTCCTCTGCACTTCCATGCCCCTTCTGATGTCCATTAGTTGGGCCGCCAACTATGCTCTCCAAGTCATCATCCTCTAAGATATCAGAGCCATCATCTTCATCATCATGCCGACGAGGTCGTGCTCTACCAATGTCGCCCACATTATGATCATCCAGCTCCGCTGTCCCGGAGGTGCCATCTCCCAACACCGGATGATAGTTTTCCATAGTGGTTTTGGTTTGTTGATATGGTGGAAAGAGTTTAAGGGTAGACGTCGAAAAATGAAATCACTGTAAGCACAGCATTCGTTTCAAATCAAAAGAGCGTAAGGGCAATCCGGTTGTCCTGTGTGCTTCTCAAGTGCACAGTCCGAGTCTGTGTGCCTGAGGGGCAAAGGAACAGGGGGGCTCTAGAATGTTACAGTGTGAATTAGTGGATTCAACAGATATGAATATACAAGAACTCACATCCAGACCAGCTCTTTGACTCAAAAGCCCGACAAAAGAGAGTGGGAAAGTGCGGAAGGACAAAAAGCCTCTCCGCATTGCGATCCGGATTCTCTATCAGTGGGATCCCACTACGGCAACCAAGTCGGGCCACTAGCGCAGCCCCGGAGTTTGGAAAAAAAAGTTGCCCGCCTCCGTTCACTCGGTGATCAATCAAGCAACATTAGACAAGATCAATATGCTGGTAAGTTCTATTGGCATCAAATCATTTCCAGAAAATTTACTAACCTACTCATAGCGTCGTCAAGCCCGGGAGCGCCGCGACTATCTCTACCGGAGAGCCCTCCAACTTCGCGATGCTTCCATTGCTGAGAAGCGAGCCCAGTTGAAGGCTGCGTTGGCCTCTGGAAAACCTCTCGATCCTTCGATTGCAAATGACAAGTCTCTTCGAGAAGATTTTAAGTTTGACGAATCGAAAGATTCAAATGAGGTTGATATTGACGACGAATATGCCTTGACATCCGGCGTCGTCGATCCTCGCCCGCTGGTCACAACGTCTCGTTCGCCCTCTGCTCGCCTCGGTGCCTTTGCCAAAGAGATTCGCCTCCTCCTCCCAACCTCTATTCGTCTGAACCGTGGTAATCTCGTTCTTCCTGATCTGGTTTCGAGCGCAACCTCGGCTGCTCTTTCCGACATGATTCTGCTGCACGAGCACCGTGGTACTCCTACCGCTCTTACAATTTCACACCTTCCACACGGCCCGACAGCCAGCTTCTCTCTCCACAATGTGCTTTTGCGAGCGGACATCCCGAATTCGGATCGTGGCACGGTTTCCGAGAGTTATCCTCATCTCATCTTTGAGGGCTTCACAACCAAATTGGGCCTTCGTGTTGTACAAATCTTGAAGCATCTCTTCCCGCCGCGTGAGCCCAGCAAGGTTGGCACTCGTGTTGTGAGCTTCGTCAACAAAGAAGATAGCATCGAGGTGCGACACCATGTCTTCGTGAAGACAGATTACCGGCGTGTGGAACTTGCCGAGGTCGGCCCGCGCATGACAATGCGTCTGTTTGAGATTCGCGGAGGAACTCTCGAAAAAGGTTCTACTGGTGACGTTGAATGGGCTCTCACACAGTATACCAGAACCAGCAGGAAAAAGGACTACCTTTGAATTCCCCACAAAGTTTGCATTATGGTGTCGACTGTCGGCGTGAAAAGTGCGGCACAAAGACCTTGATTTTGGCAGAACATGGGTTCGTCCCTTGGCGCATTGGTGTTTGAGGTTATTTTAAAAAAGGCATAATGGCCAATTTATGTACATCATTTCTTTTTATTCAGATACCCTATTTGGGAAAGGGGTTGTCTCAAGCCTTGAAAAAAAAAAGTTTCATTGCATCAACGTTTCCGGAATACCTTACTTGAAACTCCGATTACAGAGTTCAATAGAAATATAAAATAATCTAGAATATGTCCATATATCTCCAGCATCAAACTTTTTCCAGTAAATTTGCTAGCTAATACGTATGTTAAAATTCCTTGCATGTGATGAATATGCCCCCGTGGATACTAGATTAAATGCATGCTGAAATCAGTATATCGCCAATCCATTTAATTTCAGTCTGGTCCAGGTTCTGCATCTAGTCTCAATTCATGGGGTTCTCCACATTTTCACCTTGAGTTCATGTTGACACAGAATTTTTGTTCTTGCAAATGCCGTCAAACCTGCTATGTAAAAAAAACCCTGAGGCGAAGTAGGGCTTTTTGCACTTATAGGCCTAATTGAGCCCTCGTGTGTCACACGTCCTGCAGCTTGGAGGGGCTCTCAATGGGAACATTTGAAGTCGAAGAAGGCGAAAAGTTCATGAGGTAATTCGTAAAAATGTTCGTCCTGGATTCGAAGGAATACCAGTTTTGGGGAACAGGCGAGGGCTGGCCTTCTGGATCCAGTCTAGGGCCAGGCAAATTTCCATCTTCTTTATTCTCCCATTCCTTGCCTGTCTGTAACGTGAAGAATGCTTTGAATGAATTGATGGCCACGGTCGAATTACTCTTCGGCGGGGCGAGTTGTTCGACTCTAGAAGTGCCCACTCGGCTGTACTTCGCAAAGGTGGAGTAGGTTGGAGGCGTTGTAGGGAATTCGAAGATCTATGATTTATTGTTAAAAGCCCATTCAAGCAGTTAAAAACTTAACGCAAAATCATTAAAACTCACTGCCAGACGGTACTTCTCTCGTGAACGTGGCAGCTGGCCCAATCGAATTAGGGTTGCATCCCAGGCCTCCCCTGTTTGTGGATCTCGATGGATTTTTTTCTTTGCTGTGTGGACATCAGTAAGTAGAACCAATTTGATACTTGCTCAAACTAAGGCTAAATGAAAATAAGACAACATCCTTGTTCTTTGCACTTCCCCACCTTTTAGACCATTGGATGGCTTTCGTTCGATAAATGGGTCTTCTGTGTTCCGGATATATATTAGTGCCCTAAAGACCTGGATATGATGATACATGCATACGAATTTGTGCCCTGGAGGCGCCAGAGCCATTATTGTCCGCTTTGGCCTTTTTATTCCCCTTGATCAAACTTTCAAGAAGGTAGGGGCCCACTGGCTTAGGTCGACGGTTTTTGGAGAGCAATGACTCGGATAGCCAGTCGTAAGACACGATCTTGATGGTGCCCACATTCTTGGCATCTTGCACTGTACCCAGCATGTTAGGTCCCTGGGCAAACTCTATCAAACATATTATGAATGATTCAGCCTTACCGAGTTTTTCTTTATCTTTGTAAGCTTTCCTCGTTGTAATAAGATGCGTGACGGTGTTATCAACTTCCACTGAAAACTTGCCGCCGTTAGCACGGATCCACTGGGGAATCCTATCCTTGTATGCCAGGTTGCCAACGCAACAAGCGTGAATTTTGTCGAATGTTTTACCCATTTTGGAGGCTCTTCGTAGAAGTTCATGAGTGATGGTGATGAAGGATGAATTGTTCAATTGGGTATGTCGCGGATGTTGGCAGGAAGGGTAGATATTCTCCCAGAATTTGTGGGGAGAGAAGAATGATGGGATTGAAAAGGATGTTGTCTCTGAGAGAGAGGAAGTTAGGAAATCGGCAAGGTTGAAATGACGGCCAGTCAGATCGTCAAGTGGATTTTCGATGAATCAGTAAATGGGGCAGGCAAAGGGTCAGGTAATGAAGGATGTCAAGGCTTCGAGTGAGTTGATTGTGTATTGAATCTGATATCACTCACATCAGCAGTGAATCAAATGAGGATAAAGAAATAAAAAAAAGAAAAACTAATGTAGGTGAATGAAAAAATGAGATGAACCAAATAAGCCCGGTAGATATCACATTTCTATGAAATAATGCGAAACATGGTTCGAGTGAGAAAAGAAGTCACCCCATTAACCGAAAAGAAAGTCTACCTAAATTCAAAATTGAAACCCAAATCCCCGATTCAATCATGCACGAACGCTTTTGGCAGCCTTGACGAAGGCATGGATCTTGTCTAGATCTTGAGTGCCATTAGTCTCCACTCCAGAGCTGACATCTAATCCAACCACCTTTGACCCTGACTCGCCAAGCTTCTTGACGGTCTCCACGACATTTTCAGGGTTCAGCCCTCCAGCAAGAATGACTCGTAAGCCTTCATCGCTGTCAAGGACCTTCTGGACCCCGGCTCCCTCGAGCAACTGGCCTGATCCTCCAGCGCCAGAGTCGAGCAACGGAAGAGTGTGATATGCCCTTCGAGAGATACCAATGTCCCCAGGGGCAAACTTTCGGATAACAGGGACAGGAATCAGGCTTGCCCACTCCAGAGGCTCCGACCCATGGAGTTGCACAACATCGAGTTCTAACTTTTGTTGCTGAGCAAGAACGTATGATAATGGTTGGTTCATAAAGACACCGACAAGCAGCGCGCGTGAAGGATGGCGGAGAATGTTAGTTGAATGCTCAAACCATTCCGTAGATGTAGCTTTGGATGTTTGCTGAGATATAGCCTTAGTATCCGGTCGTGGGGTTGACTTGACAACTTTAGAGATGCGCAAAGCTACATCATCCGGGACGCATCGTGACCGTCCTTGAACCATTATCATGCCAATGAGATCAGCCCCAGCATCAATGGCAGCCTTTGCTGCGTCCTCCGAGCGGGTTCCACAGATCTTCACCAAGGGGGTGGTGGCTGAATAAGTTCGATTAGTGGAACCTCCCAAGAGCTCCGCTACAAATGCCGATGTATCCGGTGCCCGCATCAGTGCTTCTCCCACGAGGATAGCCTTCACACCATCTTTCTTGTAAGCCTGCACATCATTGGGGCCCGTGATGCCACTCAGGGCACAGACAATCGTGGTCTCCGGTACTTGGTCCATTAGGCGACTTGTAGTCCCCAGATCAACCTCGAAGCTAGTGAGATCACGGTTGTTGACACCAATTACCTCAGAACCGAGATCCACAGCAATCTTCATCTCCTCTGGAGTATTGACTTCGACAAGAGGCTCCATGCCGAGGCTGCGAGAGTAGTTGTATAGCCTTGTAAGAAGCTCGATAGGAAGCATTTTCACAATGAGAAGAACAGTATCGGCACCAGCAAGACGTGCCTCCAGAATCTGATATTCGTCAAATACAAATTCCTTTCGGAGGATAGCTGGTCGATTAGCGAGGCCTTCAAAGCTCTGGCGGACTGCCCGAAGGTCGTCAATGGTACCCTTAAACCATTCCGGTTCGGTGAGCACAGAAATGACACTCGCACCAGCCTTAGCATACTCGCGAGCTTGAGCAGGAGCACACACATCCGCCGAAATTATGCCCTTGGAGGGTGATGCCCTTTTAATCTCTGCCATGAGAGAGAGGGGGTAGTCTGACTGTCTCAGGCGGTCAGGGAAAGAAATCTGGGGCGGCGCAATGTTCAAATCATAAGCTGCCTGAAGAGCCTCCGGGCGCAAAGCATGGATCTTCTTCTGCTCGGCGACGGCGTTCCTGCGATGGGCATAAATCTTCTCCAGGATGGAGACTTTCTTGTCGACCACGACCGGGGCAGCAGCCTTGGAGGTAGCGCTAGTCTTGTTTCCCTCCCAGGTTCCCGAGGTGAGCTTCAGGAAATTTCGGAACATGGTTCGACCGTACTCAGTTAGGATGCTCTCGGGGTGGAATTGCACACCTTCCACGGCGAGCTCTTTATGTCTCACACCCATGATGACGCTGTTGCCACTACCATTCTCGAGGTCGGCCCACGAGGTCACTTCCATGCAATCCGGAACAGTCGAATGTGTTCCAGCGAGGGAGTGGTACCGGGTGACCAAGACCCCACTCGGCAGCCCGGCATATACACCCTTTGAGTCATGCTTCAAAACCGAGGTCTTGCCATGAAGGATCTCACCAGTAACGTCCACTTTACCACCGAAAGTAGTGATCATGCACTGTTGTCCCATGCACACACCGAAGATCGGGATTTTGCCGCTGAAGTGTTTGATCGCAGCATTGCTTATTCCAGCATCGGTCTCCGGGTGGCCGGGACCTGGGCTGATGACTAGTTGAGTCGGGTTCTTTGCAATTAGGTCTTCCACAGTAACCTCGTCATTCCGGTAAACTGTAACTGTTGCACCTTCGAGGACGAGGTATTGGTAGACATTCCAGGTAAAGGAATCGTAGTTGTCAATCAGAATGACATTGGTGGCCGTGTCCAAGCGGGCAACTTTGGTGGGATGGTGGGGGGAGTGGTCGACAAGATCGGCCATGGCTGCTTGAATTGCCGGAGTTGGGGATCTGGAGGAGAAGTACGGTCAGAGAGGAGGGAGTAGAAGAAGACACTATTCGAAAACCAATTTCTCGACTCACCAGGGGTAGATATAGTCAACCTGCAGCCAGCGCTCAGGAAGTCTCCGGTGACACAAGGCAAAAAGGAAAGCGGGCGACTTTGCTGACGCTCACCGCCCGGCACTAAACCCAGATAGGCAGTGCGGATTGTTGACCCAGACGCGGTGAAAGAAGCTGCAGGCTCTGTTTTTGGACCTTTCCGGAGCTATAAGAGCGATCGCTTGGTTGGACCATCACCTCCCTAGGAGGAATCCTTTGACCGCTTATTCAATCCTATGATGCTCTAATTGCCTTGCCAAATGGCTCCCGTCCCGGAGGCTTATTTCCCGTCCCTGGACAAGTGCTTTTCCGGGGACATCCAACTCTTGTACGCCTCCCCGACCCTCATTTGTTGCTTTGGAGGGAATACTGATGTGCCCGCAGGTCTTGGAGAAGAGCATTCCTGTATACTAATAACCCCAACGCACACGTCGATGACGAAAACCATGTCGCTGCCTTCCTATCGCATCCCGAAAGCACTCGGCTCCTGTCTGGAAGCTTGCACTCTTTCCCGGGTCCTTCCAAAGCATTGAAGGGCGACTTCGATTCGAAAACAGCTGCAATAAATGTCGAGACAAACTCTAAAAGCTCTTTTGATCTGAACGAGATCAAGGCGGACGCACAATGGCTTAGTGAAAAGGCCAAAATCGACGAGATCACGGCCCTGCGCATCACGATTCTTGAATGGCAGAACCGTCCGGCAACGCGCTTGACAACAACTTTTTCCAGCGAGGAGGCTACAAGCCTGCAAAGTGCAACAGGCACTGATAATCTTCGTGTTTCCGTGGCAGGCCCAAATTTAAACAGCATTCTCAAACAAACTCCGAACGATGGCGGTGTCTCCTCATTCGACTCGGAAACAAACAGGCGGTTGCGGCTACGAAGTCTCTATCTATCTGAGAGAAGCCACCTTTTGAAGACATTTCGCAAGCTCCTAGTTCTGTCTTCACATGGCTCGTTGACCAATTCAATCCAGCCCACCAAACACGAAAGCGAATTGATTGATATGGGAACAACACTACTCGCGGAGAAGTCGACTGGAGGTGGAATGCATCCATTTATTGAAGAATGCATCAAGGCAATCCGTGAGAGGTTGGAGGAGTTGGAGACCAACGGCTCCTGGTTGGGAACAGAGGAAAGCAATAGGGAAACAGAAGATATCTGGAGGACGACTCTTGTTGAAGAGATCATTCATATCCTACAGATCATGTTTCACCAACTTCGCGCATGCGAAGAAATACCGACAGGGGAACTTTTTGTGTCTTGGCTCAAACTCATGGCAGAGTATGACTTCTTGGAGATATTACAAGTGGTATGTTCCAGCTTCGCTTACTCCAGAATCAGAACTAAAAGTTAACCCCTATTTAGCCATGTGAGCAACCGATCGAGGTCTTGTTGCCTCTTCAGTCCTTTGTGTTATTAACCACCTTGGCCTTTCTAAACCTCCCTCGAGCTATCACTTCCATCATAAACCAGCAACATTCACAGAAGACCTCATCTGGAAAAACGCCCTACTTCCTTGCCAAAGATACAATTTCTCAAATCAACGAGATTCTTCTGAGTGCATGCTCTCGGCTAAATACAGTCAGGCCCGCTGCATTCTCATGGGGGTTGATCTTACATACGCTGAGCGAGATAGCCGTGAATGACAAGGAAATCCGAGAAATGGAGCAGTTTCGCAATGCGGTCGATTCATTCAAGTCGAACACCCAAAATACTGGCTTTTCACAGTCCTCAGAACCCTCTGTATACGAGAAGCTACTCGAGGCTGCCCAAACACCACATTTTACCGTGGAAAATGCTGTCAACGAGTTAACATCCGAAAGACTTAGAGAATTGGCATTCGAGCAGATCATTACTGTATCCACCAAATCCGGGTTGATGTCTGCAATTGACGATGGGTTAACTAGCCAATGGATTCGTTTAACATTCCTTGACATTATCCAAGCTGCTACAATGTACTTGGATTACTCGCCAGAGATCTTGGAGTCGGTACTGGCTATCTTGTCAGGCACCTCTGATGGCTTGTCATGGGCCCCAGCAAGCTCTTTAGGATCTGCTCATGACCCTAAATCCGTTTTCGCCAACGATAATACCTTGATGACCAAAATCTTTCGCATCGCCCGATCTCGCTTCCCTTACGAAACAGTCCCCTTCCTCAAACTCTGCCGCGCTCTGGTAAGCGGTGATTTTATCAACGACGATGGGCTGCCTGATATTCTAGAGGAAATGGAAAACATGGACACTTTCACTCAGATTGTTCCGACGTCGTTTCAAGGATATGAGACAATCCGTGAGGATGAGAATGCCGACCTTGTGTCTCTCACTCGCGCTCTTCCAATGTTTGAGTCTAGTTCTCGCAATCGCCTGCTGGAACATGAGACGAGCAGCGCTTTGATCATAAGCGGCTCGTCAGAAATTCCAACTGCAACTGTCGGCCAAGTCATCTCTGAATCAAAACCTGCGGTCATCATGTGGCAGCATCAGTACTCATTTTTGAGCTACCTTGGAAGTTGGTTGGAAGAATGGAGTGAAAGCGGCGCTCATTCCTCGGGCTGGGATTTCGAGACTGGGACTGAGATTATCGGGCTCCTGGCAGATCTTGTTGCGAATGCCAAAGATGTCCGCACGCATAGTTCACCAGGTGCAAGCGCCAAAAGGATTCTGGAAATGGCCAGCGACGGACTTTCTCGACAAGGCGATATTATCTCGGTTATTCTAGATATCTTCGAGCGCAACCTACAAAGCATTGGATCCCGAGCTGACTCTCTGAACGGATTGGACCCGATCATGGCTTGTTTGCTGTTTATCCAGGAAGTCCTCAAGGTGATCCCAAGCCGAATCTGGCCTTTCCTGAGCCGTAGCAGCTTCATTGGGTCGGATGGTAAAGGTGGAGTGATGTCCGCAATCACATCGGCAATGGAAATTCCAGCTGGAGAATACCCATTTCTTCTGAGCTGTGTGAAGCTTTTCGAGGCAACTGTGGATGATGCTGCGTCCCGCGCAGTGTTACGAAAGAGCCCCGGCAGTGTTGCGGGCAAGTCCACCATTGCCTCTGACTGGAGTGCCGGCATTCCCTCCCATGTCATGCGAACCATTCTCTTGAACTTTACCCGGGTGATGGCAGAGATCTTCAACAGCAATGGAAACTGGAGATTCAATTCCCCAGAGCAGCGCTTCCAAATCAATCGAATTCTGGCAAATTCGTTTGATCGGATTTTGTATTACGCCTACGGAGTCAATGATACCGTGAAATTGGAAGCCAAGATCTCCGGAGTCTTCTCTGAGTCTGCAGTCTATCTCCTGGATATGCTACGGCCTAAGTCTACAGCTGACTTGCCTTTCAACCCAATTCTCCGTCTAGTTTCGGACGGCCTCCAAACGCCGCCGACGCTCCACCTCCGCTATCTTTCTTTGGTTGAGAAACAAGTCACATCTACATTGGACCTTTGCATCAAGCTGGTCCAGGCGGCGCGCCTTGCAGAACAGCCGGCATCCCTTCTGGAGGAGCAGCTGTTCAAAGCGACACCAGTGCTGGTCAAACTTTATGCACTGCATGATAACTATCGACTGCCGGTCGTGAAATTGCTTGAGATCCTTATCACCACAGCTGCGGCAGACCCAGATAACGAACCTCCATCTCTTGTCGGTCATCTGGGTGCCGAATCATCCTGTCTATTCCTCGACGTTCTCTCTCAGCTTGACAAGCCGATTACTGATAAGACCCTCCTGCTTTCAGTGTGGGACTTATTGTCCACCTTTGTCAGCAAGCGTCAACAATGGCTGGCAGTCTTTATTCTGACTGGTGCTTCTCCTCGTCAGACTTTGAAAAAACTAAGTAAGACAGATAGCCCTGGTATGAGAGGCGTACCGTTTTTGCGAATGGCTCTCGATAGATTGTCCACTATTGAGAACGAAGAACCTCAAGTGGCTTTAGCACTTCTGGAGTTTGTCTCGCGGGCCCAAGAAAACTGGCCTTGGGCCACGCCCCATCTGAAAAATCACTCGTCATTCTTCAACAGCATCGTGAACTACGTTTCAAAATTACAAATCTCATCACTTTCTGTGACGAATCAAATTTTTGCCACACGGATTGCCGCTGTTGTCGCCGACATTTGTGCTGTCTATTTGCATTCGGCGAAGGAATCAAATGATTTGAGTTTTGTCAAGACATTGATTCCTCTGGTTCAATGGTACGCTAAGGATGCAGTAGAGGTCTCAGCCTACAACTCATCCTTGCATGCCAATTTGAAAAAGAATTTTGAAATGCGGTACTCTGGCTGTAAAGTGGTTGATTTCAAGAGGACTCCTCTGGAGAATCGCACCCTAGGACGTGATTACTACTACGATCTTACCATGGGACAAAAATCACTATCTTACGACTTTGCGTGGGCTGGATCTCGAAAGGACGGATTTCTTCAGGAGTTTGAGCGTGCCAACATCAACCTCTCACTTGTTGAAGCGCAAGTGGTACGTTCCTTACTGTTTTCTTATGATTCGTTTCCAACACTAACATTTCTGGCGAACAAATAGTCTCTCCTCAACAGTTGGAAATTCTTTGCCATTGAGCACTGTGCAGACTTCATGCCAGACCGTGAGATCCAAAAATCCATGGCTGTGGTGGCCCAGAACTGTCTCGAGGCAAACACCCGCAGTGTACCCCCAGAAGCTATCTTTGAACGTATCCAACAGGTACGAGTAGACTTTGCTCAGGCTCTTCTGCAACGGTTAGTGGAGGTTCAGGCCCACGGGGCGGAGGCTTTTCGATTACTCGATGTTGTTTACAGAACACTGCGTTCCCGTCACCGGACGTATGAAGAGGCTTTGATCAGTGACGATACAGAGCATTATCGATCTTTGCTGAATATTTTGTTCTTGGCTCTTCAATTCCACTTGCCAGGGCTCAATCGTACCAATCCTGAAGCCCTCAACAAACAGACCGCTATCTCATCTGACGTGAATGTGGTTGTGGAGATTGTCAAGACAGTTGTCGCGCAAGGCTTCAAGTCTCTCACCACCTACCTGCATGAGCAGCCGGAAAAATGCACACCGAAGGATTTCGCTATCATTATTGCCATTTTCCAAACCTGTCTGCAGGTGAAGAATGCGGACCGGTTCTATGAACACATTGCCTTCCAAGTTGAGGACAACGACATCGCACGCCATGCCACCACTTTGTTCTCCTGGGCTGATCAGCTGGCTGTGGCCGGTGACCCGATCTATGGCGAACTCAGTCTCTCGATCCTGGTCAAGATGTCCACCCTGCCCCTGTTGGCGGAGCATCTCGCCGTGGAGGCCGTCTTAATGAAGTTGTCGACATGCCGTCTGACCAATATCCTGCGCCAACCCAAGGGCTTCGGTCCATTCGACCCCATTCCCCGGCTATATACCATCTGGACGACTGGAATTCTTCCCTTATGTCTGAACCTGCTTTACAATGTCGTACGCGCCGCTCCCGAGGTTGCCGCCTTCCTCAACCAGTTCGAAGGACAACTGAACCGTGCTGCCGAGTCCTTCTCGACTCCCCATGCAACCGCATCCTCGGTCCCGTCCACTCAATGGATCAGCCTGAGCATGGCTTCTGAGACGTATTCGCTGTCTCTCATCTCCTTCATCCTGAATAGATTCCGTGAGGCCGGTCCCAGCGCTGGACTGGACTCCCACTCGATCCAGGAGCTGCGGTGGGATAAGAACCAGGTCAAGGAAGATATTGAAGATCTCCTTGGGCGCCCTGCTGTCTTGCGCACTCGTATTGTGGCAACCAACGAGAAGGAAGTTGAATGGTCGCGGCAGAAGCCAGCGGACTCTGCATCGGGTGCCGAGACCCGACTGGAGGAGAAGGTTATTGCGGAGCTGAAAGCAGCCGTGGCATGTTTAGGTGGAGAGGAGGAATCATGATGCTCATGTCTCTTTTTATTTCATAGCCTCTTTTTGCCTTCGGCTTTCTATTCTTTGCTTTACTTTTTGTTGGTTTGGGCTGGGAGAAGGGGTGTCGCAGATCCAAGAAATCTTTCTTGACTTTTTTTGCATGGGGTTCAATTGAGGTCATTTGCATTCGCCCTCGATACAACTGTAGCTAGATTCAATCTAGACACATTCTTAATCGTGTCGCTTGTGCGGTTCATCATTTGGGGCCTTGGGGGGCTGTGGTGTTTTGTAGTTGAAAAAGCGGAGGAGCCCCAAGCATACGTCATGGGCTTTTTTACCCCGGTTTTCAGACATTCAGATCTCACACTGCATAGTCGAATTGTTGATTGTTTTCACATCAATCGCAAATTTTGGATTCTTGAGATGAATACCATTACTTATATCTGAGTCTTCGCTTCTATTGCCCGCCTTTCAGTTTAGTAACTTCCTCTTCTGCTTTGTCCTCGGTTCAAGCACGCTCCACCTCGGATCCCCCGCATGCATAACCGACTTATGCGGGGAAGGACCGACTTATCCGGACGACAATTTGGCCTTCGCAGCTCCAAGACCTGGCTATATGGCTATATGTAGTTATGCAGCGGGAATAAGAGCTACTTTGTGCAGTTTTCCTCTTGCTCGTCTCAACATATAAGCCTAACAGTTTCAGGTCATCGATACATCCTATAGATTGACCACACTCGAGTCCGTTTTGTTGTTGACACTGACCTCTTCTTTTGCTCCTCTTCTTCTACGCCCCTGACATTCGCAATGCCACACAAGTCTCGCTGGCAAATCGACATCCCCAACGGTCACCTCGCCTCGCTCCTCCTTACATCCCCAACAGCACCACTCTCCCAATCACAAAAATGCTACCTCGATGCTGCCCGCCCAGACACCCACTATTTCACCCCCCATGAATTTCGTCTCTGGAGCCAGCGCTTCGCTGCCGGCCTCCGCAAGTCCGGCCTCCAGCCTGGTGACCGCGTGCTCCTCTTCTCGGGCAACGACTTGTTTTTCCCAGTCGTCTTCATGGGCATCATCATGGCTGGTGGGATCTTCACCGGCGCGAACCCAACCTATGTCGCCCGCGAGCTGGCCTTCCAGCTCCAAGACAGCGGCGCCACGTATCTAATCTGCGCCGCCACCAGCCTCGACACTGGTATCGAGGCCGCCCGGCTGGCCGGCCTCAAGCGCGAGCAAGTCTTCGTCTTCGATAATGCTCTTTACGAAGGGCGCGGGGCCTCGCAGAAAGGCTGCCGGCACTGGGGGGAACTGGTCGCGTCGGAGGCCGAAGGGCGCGGGTTCGCGTGGGATGCGCTGGACACGCCGGCGCTGGCCGACACCACGCTGGCGTTGAACTACTCGTCCGGCACAACAGGCCGGCCCAAGGGCGTTGAAATCACACACAAGAACTACGCAGCCAACATGATGCAGTATGCGCACATGGGGACGCTGCACCCGGACTGGGAGGCGCGCCGGGCGCGCGCCCGCTGGCTGTGCTTTCTGCCGATGTACCATGCCATGGCTCAGAGTATCTTTATCTCGGTGGCACTGTTGCGCGGGACGCCCGTGTACATTATGCCCAAGTTCGATTTTCTTCAGATGCTGGAGTATACGCAGGCGTATCGAATTACGGATCTCACGCTTGTGCCGCCGGTGGTGGTCATGCTGGCGAAGCATCCAGCTGTGAAGAATTATGATTTGAGCAGTGTGGAGTCGGTGGGGAGCGGTGCAGCGCCATTGGGAAGGGAGGTTTGTGTGGAAGTGGAGAAGCTGTGGCCGGAGGGAAAGATCAATATCAAGCAGGGCTGGGGCATGACTGAGTATGTTGCCTTTCTTTCTGGGGAGGGACGGGCCTTGGTCCAGTTCCCTGCTTTGCCATTTTCTTCATCTGTGGCTTGTCTTTCCACTTCATCCTCGTCTTATGGCTAAGGCTGAGCTTCTCGTCTTGGGAGCTTTGCCTTGTGCGCATTAGAGAGATCAAGATATCATGACCATTGACAACAGACAGAAGTCGCTGACTGTTTTTCCTCTCCAGGGCCACATGTTCCGTCCTTGGCTGGGATCCGACGGAAAAGTCACTCTCTGCATCTGTCGGGGAGCCTAATGCTAACTGCGAGGTCAAGATCATGCGCGAAGATGGTACTACCGAGATCACTGCGCGCAACGAGCGCGGCGAGCTGTGGGCACGCGGGCAGAACATCATGAAGGGCTATTGGCGCAATCCGGAGGCTACCAGGCAGACCAAGACGCCGGACGGATGGCTCAGAACCGGCGACATTGCATATGTGGATGACCAGGGCAAATTCCATGTCGTAGACCGGATGAAGGTATGTCTCATTCTCATCAGCCTTTCTTTCTCCCCCTCCTCTCTCATCCCTATCTGCCTCTCGCCCTGGGAAGAGCAGGGAGGCCAGATGGCCGGCGAACCAGGGCTCTCATGGCCGAAACAAAGTTTGTGGGTGGTCCAGAATTGCTAATGGATCTTCTCTGCAGGAGTTGATCAAAGTCAAGGGCAATCAGGTTGCACCGGCAGAGTTGGAAGCACTGCTACTGGAACACCCGGCGGTGGCAGACGTTGCCGTCGTGGGAGCTGCGATGTGAGTGCACAACCAAAATAAAGGAGCGTTCATTGAGATTTATTACCGTTTCTTTTGATCCTCGCTGGGTGCTTTTTCCCTTCAGCTCATGTTCATCATCTGTGGTTCCCCCTCGATGCCAACCCTTCTCTTTTGTTGTACTTCGCAGTTTTTGCTTTTCCTTGTTTGACCTCGGCTCTGCTGTGCTTCTTGTGTTTCTTGCTCCACTTTGCTCCATCCCGGACAAGACGATTGGAGACTCCAGTCCTATTTCTGTGCTCCTGCACGATTCCTTTACTGCCTATCCCTTTGTGCATGCAGGTCGGCTAATGACGGGTGTCACCAGAAACAACGACGAGCGCCCTCGTGCCTACGTCGTCCTCAAACAGGGCCAGTCCACTACCGCCGACGAAATCGTCCGGTTCATGGATGGCAAGGTCTCCGCTACGAAGCGGATCACCGGTGGGGTGGTCTTCCTCGACGCCATCCCCAAGAACCCGTCCGGCAAGATTCTCCGCAAAGTCCTGCGCGAACAGGCTGCGGCGGAGCTGAAGCAGGTGGCGCATGGTGGTGCTACAGCGAAGCTGTAGAAGGGTGGCCACAGTATACGTATATTACTTTGGGTGGATATGTAGATATATTATTTATCTCTCAAGTTATGTTAGACAATTGCGCTGTTATTCTTTTCTTTTTTTTTTGCTCTCTATCTATTTCCCTCCGTCTTTCCTCGTATGTTCTAGGTATGTTGCTGGTTTGAAAAACTTGTTTTTGTCTGTTTTTTTAAGCCACGCATGAAATTTAAGAAAATAAAATGAAGAAACATATGGAGGCACATAGGTGGAGTGATGTGGGTGTGTTCATGAAGTGGGCCATGTAAAAAAATAAAAAAAATCAAAAAGTAGTGTGGCCACTCAGATCCCAAACCACTTGGAGAATAAAAGAAAGAAAAAAATATGGGGCGTTACCAATGATGAGACCATCAAGGCTGTACGCGCCAGAAACGAGGACAATCAGTTGAACTTAATGGCTGGGGAACATCCTTGCACAGAAGTTACTTTTTGCGCTCCCCCCCCCCCCCACCCCCTTTCTCACCGGCATCGTCCCAGATCCCAAAGAACGAAGGAAAATGAACATCCCGGGATCCATCCGACATGTAGATAGCGGCGATCCCTCGCGGGGATCCGTGGCCCCGGGGCGAAGGCAAAGTCAAACAGGGCAGACACCACCGAGCCGAGCGCGGCTTGGGGCTCGATGATTCGTCCGAGCGGCCCTTAGCGCGAGGCCCTAAATCGCGTTGACCCCCAGCGCCCAGCTGAAAGAAAGACGCCCCGATCGAGATCTTCGATCGGTGGAAAAATGAGCGCCTTGAGGGGTCGGGGAAGGTAGGGGGGTGTAAGCAACGGAGAGACGATGACCGACCCAGGACGACAGAGACGGGATGATCGAATCCGACTTGTCAACCGGGACTGATGAGCACGATCGACACGGTAGAGCCTAGAGGTCTCTCCGCCGTCATCGCTGGGGCCATGAGTTCTTTCTTTTCTCTTTCACTTTTGTTCATTTTGAGGGAGTGGATGGGTTCTTACACCCCATCCCTGTGGCAATCTGCAGCCATGCGGGCGGATAGAGCAAGCGAGACAACAGGACAGGGACCCATTCGTAGGATGTCCAGTCCCCGTGTACTCCGTCGTAGATCCCAAAGTCCAAAGTACCGCCGTCATGTATGACTGCGTGGGCACGTCCCGGAAGCCCGTTTCAGGCTGGGTCAATTGGGGCCAGACCGCAGACCTCGCGCTCGGCTCTGCTGCCCGCAGTGGCGCTTTGGGCCTGCAGCTGAATCCCTCGCACGAACAAGATCGTGGCTTGGTGGGTGCGGAGCTGGAACGAGGGACCGGTTGCCCTCTAGTGGTGCTTGGTTGCTTGTGGGATGAATTATGGGTGTCCGGTTTATCCACTTTGGCTTGCCTTTTGCCGAGAAATATCCCAAATCAGCGAGCCTTCTCCCGCGAGGGGGGGGAAGGGCGAACAAGAAAGGCAATGATGGCGATTTTTCCCCTTATGTCATGATGAAAGGCAAATGCTGTTGGTGGGTGGGGGAAAGATGCAGTCGTTAGGTTGGGAGCTGGTCGTTTAGAGGCTTCGGCGGGCGTGGAGGGTCCGGAGACCCTTCACTGGGGGTGTGGACGCGCAGACACTAGAATGACGGCTCGCTCGCTTGTTCATCCTGCTCGACATTCATGCATCTTGCTATTTTTCTCCCTCTCATTTAACTGGATGTTTGGATTGTTCTTTCCTAGGGGCAGTAGGAATAATAGCCGTGCGGTTTTCGATGGATCACAACGTTTACTTTTTTTATGTTGTTCTATACTTCGGAGTGGAGGGATTTTGGAGCATGGAACAGCCTATCCATACAGACTTACAGACCTACAGACCTACAGACTGACAAACTTGCAAACTTGCACACTTCCCAATGTACCTGTACAAACATCGAGACAACCCGCGGGCGATGATTGAAATTGAATTTCCTGCGAACCATGGTGTCACTCGAACCCCTGGCCGCGGCTGGCGTATAGATCGGATCTCGGTTTGCGCATGTTCCAACTCTGATGTCGGATCTGCTCAGGTGCGCTTGAGAGCGCCTCCGCCCCGCCAATGCAATCACAATAAAGTAATAATAAGAAAAAAAAAAAAAAAAAAACCCCTAGGAAGGCCCTTCTTTTTTCTTACAAAAAACAAACTCGCTGTATCGTCGATCCTTGGATTCGAGGTCAAGAGGACTCTAGTGCTAGTTCGACGCTCTTCCTCAGGCCTCCCCTCACGCTCTCGATATAAATAACTATACTACAAGCCCTAGTCAAAGGCTAAGTGCTCTCTCTTCCCCTTCTCATTTCTGTCGCCCCTCTTTCTCTTCGCTTCTTGCCCCCCCGCGGATCCTTGCCAAGAGCCTCAATAGGCCCCAAAAGCTGCAGGATCGTAGTCTAGCCCGGTTCTACTGCCTCTGGATCACACAGTTGAGCCATTTCGAGAAACGCACCGTATATCAGACATTATATCTCTGCCGCTCCCCGCGATCCAGCTCGTCCAGCACGTCCCGAAGCCCAGCTCATTCTATATACTTTTACTGGACCCCTCCCGTGTCTCCTCTTCCGCGGTCCAGATCATCTAAGCGCCTTCACCGTGTGGGTGGGCAGGAAAGGAAGAACCGCCCCGTCATGATCCCGGCCATACACGGCTACACGCAAGAACCCTGCCTGTTCCTGTTCCCCTCCATCACTGCGTGGACGCCCCTCGTCCTCGCCCTTCTTGCCCTGTGCCTGTGTGTCTTCCTGGCAATCCAGCTCCTTATCCGCTACTGCCAGCTCGCCCTCCCTACGAACCCCGACAAGATCCAGCCCGCCTCCGACGCCTGGGCCCAGCTCTCCGCCATGGAAAAGGGCAAATCCTCCACCTCGCCGCCTCCGGCCTCCGCCTGCGATGTGCTCAAGCCGCTCTCAGCCAACGGGACGTTCCCCAGCAGTGGGGCTGTCGCAGCCCGCGCGCGAGAGCAGATGCAAGCAGCTGCGTCATCACCTAGCTCGACGGGCTCACCGCGCTCCTCCGATGCTGGGAGTGAGGCCACAGGTCCCGTACAGAAGCGCAGTCAATCGGTCCAGCAGATGCGTGAGGTGGATGCGAACGGAGTGCGGACCTGGCGACGGCTGGTGGTCGAGTACAGGTAGCTAGCGAGCTAGCGAGTGGTCGAAGGATGAACGGATGGCTGCGTCGTGTATGCCTTCATGCTTTCTTGCGTAACGTGTGTTCTGGGTTTGCTCGATCTTTCCTTGCTTTTTTTTCTTTCCTTGCATGTTGTACTTTAGCACCGGAGGCACTCTCATTTTTTTTATGGTTTTGTTGTATGTTCGTGTCCTGTTTCCTGGGTAGTTACTTGATATCATCTTCGACTGCATCTCTCACTCTCACTCTCACACTCTCTTCTTTTCTTTGTTTGCTTTATGTGTCTGTGCCATTATTGTCTGCAAGGTTCTGACCAAGCCCCAGGATTTGCTTTGGTGGAATCCTGAAATGGTGTTGATGTTATGCCCGAGGGCGCTCTCCGCGCGCCTGATGTTGTGAGGTGATTAAGTAAGCGGGACATGAACTGGAGGCTGAGTCAGCAATGACATCGGCCCGGTGGCATCTTCGTGTGTTTGCTTTGCGTAGCTGCTCCCTGCAATTACATTACCTACTTAATTTTGCTCCCCTCCTTTCTGTTTTGTGGCCAGTGAAAGCTCTTCTCAGCCATGGCGGTCACCGCATTTCCCTCCGCGGACTCGCCCGACCTCACTCTTCTCAATGTGGCCCGACTCTTCACTCGCCTCGAACATAACCTCCTCTCACCTGGCTCGGAGCTCCAGACGCTGCGCAAGTCGGAATTCCAACACCTACGCATGACGAAGGTCAAATCCCCTTTCTCGCTTTTTCTTTCTCTCTCTCTCTCTCTCCCTCTCTCTTTTCTTCTTGCGCTATATCTGGCTCAGAACACAAGCCACTAATACCCTACACAGAATGTCGAATACGCCCGCACTCTACTCTCCCAGCTAGAACGTTCGCTCCCGCAACTAAAGCCCTTAGACCGGCGACACGAGGCACAGACGGAGATTGCACGGGATCGATTGCTTCTCAAACGGCTCCAGAGCGTCCTCGACGATGCAGAGATACGCCACGCTGACAGCGACGAGGATGAGGCCGCCGCTGCCGACGACGAATGGAAGGAGCTCTTCAGCAAACCCATCAGCACAGCGGGGGAATCCACGCCGTCGCCAACACCAGCCCAGCCCTCAGCAAACCGCGCACAAGATGAGAAGCAAGCTGCACCAGCACCACCAATCACACCCACAATACCCTCCACGACGGCGCCTTCAGCATCAATAAGAACCTCCGACCCGACGCCCACCTCCACGCTCCGCAATCGCATCCCTGGCACCCCAAGCTCGCATAACCCAACCCAAGTACCCACAACCAGCCACAGCACCTCCGCCCAGCCCTCTTCCAATCCACCCCCAGCCCTCAATCCCAAACAGTCCACTACAGAAGGGGCCCTCAGCGCCGCCCGCCTCGAACAAGAAGACCTCACCAACTCCCTCCTCTCGCTCGCCAGCCAACTCAAAGCCTCGTCACAGTCCTTCCAAGCAACCCTGGACAATGAGAAGTCCATCTTGGATCGGGCCGTGTCAGGCATCGACAAGACCAGCTCCACCATGGAGGCAGCCGGCCAGCGGATGGGCATGTTGCGGCGGATGACGGAGGGCAAGGGCTGGTGGGGGCGGATGATGCTGTATGCGTGGATTTTCGGTCTGTGGGTAGTGGCCGTGTTGATTGTGTTTATTGGGCCGAAGTTGAGGTTTTGAGCTGAGAAGAGTGGGGTTAGATAGATCTACGCAAAGCTTTCCCCCGTGTAGGAGATTTGGCGCTGGTGGACGTGAACCCGAAGGGAACATCTATGGTTCTACATCCACGGTTCTCTTGTTCGGTTGTCACTGAACCTTTTTGCCTCTGTTTTTGGTTTGGTTTGGGTTTTCTGTCCTTTATTCATTGAGATACCCTGGGGTCCATAGACTCGAAAACATGATACATTGTTTCTGAACGGTAAATGCATTAGTTTGATCCTTTTCTACTATATTTTCTCGTGGCGCAAAATTCCAGCTCAAACATCTCGGATTTTGCATAGCGCAACTGCTGCAATCTGCTATTGAGCTGGTGTTGTGTTTGCCAGGAACAGGAGAAGACCTGCCGGAGAGAGAGGCACTACAAAAAGTGAACAAGTGAAGGTCGGAAACCCGATGGTTAAATTCCTGTCTGACTATAACCCAACGACCGACCTGGCATGACACATGAGAAGAGACATGATAAATCCGCATATCCTGTCCAGTTCCCTGTGCCGGTTGGCCCAGAGGGTCGCTCGAGGCTCCCAACGGGCGCGAGACCAAGGAAAGGGGAAGGGTGACGGTATGGTTACATACAAAATTCAACACAAACAAGGGTGGAGGGAGCAAATAAGAATGAGACTGGGGAGGGGTCGCAGGTGACGTGGAGTGATGTAACCAAGAGAGTAGTTGATGATAGGATATCCAGCATTTCAAATCAGACACAAAGGGGAAAGACGAGAAAGAAAAAAAGTTAAAAAGACGAAATGGAGAAGAGAGAACAAGAAAAAAAAAGTAAAGGAAACAGCGGAAGCAAAAGGACGAGCAAACAAAAAAAATGGTCCTGTTTCGCGTCGTCGAGAGCAGGAAAAACCGGCTAGATAGAGATCGTGTCAATGTAGGTGGGCGGACGAAATTAAAAAAGAGACACACAAGAAGGAAAAGGAAAGAGACGGATGGGAAAGAGGAAAAAAGAAATGTTCAACGCCGGAATTTCTTGGAATGAAGACAAGGATGAGGGCTTTTGATCATATCCCGACACGATCCGATCGACAAGCCGAAAATGAAAATAACACATGCCATCTAGATTCAACAGACTGCGGCACTTGCGGAATTGGAATTCATTAGATCAAACCGCAGAGACGAAGGTTCTCTTGGATGATGATATCTAGAGACGAAGTCAGTGAGATGCAACAGGGGAAGAGCAATAGCAAGGAACAAAAAGAAGCAGACAAAAAGGGGAATTTTATGGGATAGAATCGAGACACATACCGTTGACAGCGGCCATGACGAACCGAATTTGGGTGGTGTCAGTGGCGCAAGTGAAATGAGTGTAGATCTGCTTCTGCTCAGCCTGGTTGAGTGAAACGAAGCGGTTGAGGATGTAATCGCAGGCAGCGGCATAGTCGGCACCGCCCTCGTAATCGGGGAAGTAGTTCTTCATGGGGCTGACAGGTAGCTTCTCCTTGAAGCGGTCGATCTTGTTGAGGAAGAGAATGATTGAAGTCTTGACGAACCACCGGGAGTTGCAGATCGAGTCGAAGAGGGTGAGCGCTTCTTGCATACGGTTGACGGTCTCATCCTCGAACAGCAGCTGGTCGTACTCGGAGATGGCAACGAGGAAAAGAATGGTAGTCACATTCTCGAAGCAGTGAATCCACTTCTTCCGCTCGGAACGCTGGCCACCAACGTCAAACATGCGGTAGGTCAGATCGCCGATGATGAAAGTGGTTTCGGTGATACCAGTGGTCTTCACACGGGAACGGAGAACATCCTGGTCAGTGGGGAGATAGTCAGGTTGGGCGATGCGGTCAACGGCATCGAAGTAGCTGGAAAAAGGGGAGCAATGTCAGTAAATTGACCAAATAGTGTCAAATCCATTGGCCAGGCAAACCTCCTGGTTTTTCACTCACTATTTGGCCGAGTCATTCAGCTGGTATTCACGCGAGCGCTTGAAGCACTCCTGAACACCGGTGTCGCGCCACAGAGCACCAATGGCGTTGCCGACTTCCGGAGGGATACTGTCGCCCTCAATCTGCGGGGGCTGCATGAAAATGGTCTGGACATGGTATTCGTTGCGCCCATCCTCCAGAGGCAATTCGAGCGACTCCATCGCCTCGAGGATGACCCGCATCGACTGAACGGTGTTGCTGTAGATGATCTCCTTGAACGATTCGCGCTCGTCGCGCGAGTAACCGCCCTCGTGAATGAGCTTCATCTGCTTGAGAATGGTGGATTTGCCCGACTCTCCGGCACCTGTTCCGCATCAATCCCCCTTTTGGTCAGCCAATTCGTGCTTTGATTCTTTGTCGTCACCATGGGATCGGATCTCCTGTCTCGGTTCTCCTTTGCTTGTCTTTTGGGGGGGGGGGGGGGGGGACAAGGTATCATACCCAGCAACAACATCTTAATCTCATTTCTTTGCATCAGCTTGTCGCGCTTGAGCTGATTCTCAATTTCCTCGTTCCGCGCCTTCCCCTCCTTATCCTCAGTGCTCATGCCACAACCCATGATGACGGTGTTGTGAGGTCTGTGTTAACGATAGTTGTGTAGTGGTGTAGTGATGCGAGCGCGATCGCCTCGTATAATGTGTGAGTTCAATTACAAGGGGCCTGTTCATTCGAAACCTTGTTAGTGGGCGATCAACTTTTTTTTTCTGGTGCAGCTTTGGTCTGCTCCTATTGTGCTTCTCTCGTGATGACCGATCGCATTGAATAGCCGAGGACTTGACCCAGGTGGTACAAGCCGCTGGAAGCCGACGTTTCAGGATGCAATCGCGCGGACGCAAGGGTGAAACGGAGCAGGGGAAACTCGGAAGTCCACGAGAGCGACGGACCTGCAGATAATAGGGAATTAAGTGAAGCACACACCTGTCGAAGAAGAGCCCTAGGGAGAAGGATATGTCACAGCCACTAGAAGGAAAAAGGAATGGAATCAAGGGACCGATTATCGAAGAGAGGGGGGGGGGGGAGGGGGAAGAAGAAGAAAGGATAAGGAGTTTGAAGCCCAGCTGAGCGAGAAGGGGAGGTTTAAGGTAAGGGGGGAAAGCGAACTGAGAGGGGAAATTGGGAAGTTTCAGCAGGGAAAGGAGAGTTTGTATTTCGTATTACCGATCGGAGCCGGCGGCAGGATCGAGAGATCTTTCGAGGGGAACGAAGATGGTGGGCGGTGGAGAGTCAGTGGATTAAGGGGGGGGGGGAGAGGGCATTGTTCGGGGCAGATTCAGGCGCTGTTTAGGGAAGGAGAGGGAGGAGCGCCTCGGGGGGTCCGGCCTGGGGGATCGTGTGTAACCCGGATACCGTACTGGACGAGACAACCCCCATACGAGTATTGTTACGCAATGGTCAAAGTCTAGCATCGCTGGAGGGATTGCGCCCGCTGATTGGGCGGAGTCGAACGCGCGAAAAGCGGGTGGGGCTTTGGGGCAGCCAATCATCGCTCATGACAGACGACCTTCTGGTGGGGCCCCCTTTTGTTTGCTCTTGCTCTTTTGGCCCCGTGTTGGTCCCATACTGTCTACTGTCTAGCTACTGTCTGGCTCCTCTCTGGCCGTGACGGGAGGCCAACTAGATAACAATAATCTCCGGGAATCCAGGTCTAGATGAAGCTAGATTGATGGCTCCAGGCATGCTCGAGAAGATGGCAATTGGGATGATGGGCGATCTCCCACCACAGACTCATGGCAGAGCACACCTGAACTTGGGTTCACCACGATCCCGGTAGACATCGAGACGCTGTCGGGCAAATCAGGGGCCCATTATTCAGTCGTCTTTCCATCAGCCCGTCATCTTTTCCTATCTCATGAGGCCTGATTTCGCCCATCTTCCGCCCATCAACTGTAACGCCGTCCTCGACCCAGAATATGACGATAGGCGGGACCATTCAACCCAATACCCGCCGATCCTTGTGTGGGGACCCGGCGAAACGACTGTTATTGTCCGACCCGGAAGCAGTCTCATTCGGGGGTTGGCTCAATAATGCGACCATCACACTGGCCGCTTCTCGGTCACTTCTCTCTCCTACCCCGAGCTGTCCAGAGCCCTGACAGATCCACGATACCTCTCCTTGGGGACTTCGCTGGAATCAGTGCCCCCCTACCTCCACACGGGTTCAATACCTGTGGCTAGACGTTTGATACAGACAGGCACTGGGACTGGGCCCACCCTTGTGTTGCCTCCCGGCGAGTGGACTGCCACTACCTCAGTCTGGAACACCCGTTGAGGATGAAAGAAACGGAGTCCAAGACGGAAAATAGGGTGCGAGAGTTCCCCAGTACTAAAGTATTATAATACTATACGACTATACAACTATACGACTATACTCATAATCACATACCTCGTAACATCAGTCGGTGGTAATATCCAATATCGCAGCCAAACTATCGCGAGACGGCCTAGGAACTACTCATGCCCTGCCGCTAATATAAATAGATGAATCGGACCACCCAGCTCCTCAGCACAATGGCCCTCCTCCTGAATCAGCCTGCAACGTGGGAACGCGGCCTCTAATCAGGACCACATCCTTGGCGTCTCCCAGTCCCTCGCCTCTGGTCTTTGGCCCCATACCTGACTACAATCTCACGAGCGTGCACTCGTACATCAATCGGCGTGTGCCCACAAACTGATCGTTCTGCATCAGGAATCCACGCTCCCGCCTCTCGGGCGGTGGCGCTGAGACGTTGCGAAACTGGATACGGAGTATGCTGTAATGATGCACCTTGCCCCATCGCTAGTAACGACGCAACTCCACTAGGACATGGAGTATGAGCACTAGGCTCCGCCGATCCTTTGGGGAGGGGGGCAAAGCAACCCAGGGAGGGGGAGGGGGGGGGGGGGGCAAACGGCACGGGGAGCATGGAGCCCACGCAACCCCAACCTGCTCCGTAATCGAGGGACCATGTGCACTCGAATTCCAAATCGACCATTCTGTATACACATCCCTATTGGCACGGTGTCTGAATTATCCCGATCGTGATGGAAGCCGGTTGATGACTGGTGGTGACATGCCAGACAACATTTTCGGCCCCATGATTCATTCGGGAGCATGTTGCAAGTTTGCTCTTTTGAGAGGCCCAGTTGCTTCGATGGTTGCGCCACAAAACTTTTCTACGCAGGGGCGGGTCGGATCGTCAGGGCAGCCGAAGCCCTGAAAAGAGGCACATGGAGAGGCCCGGGAACATGAAGGGCTCCATAGAATGGGCGAGGATGAGTAATGGGATGATCGCCCTCATGGATGCATGAATGATCAAGCTCTCGAGTCTCCAGTTTGAGGGGGGGAATGTTTCCTTCCCTTCTTGGCCCGCTTTGTTCTCCCCTGAATAAGTGATGGAATTTCTGGAAGCCCTGCATTGCGAGGGGCGCTATGGCGCTATACTAGACCGCCCCGCTGGCTAGTGCTTCTAGCCGGTCTTTGCCGCGCGCTATCCCCTGTCCCGGTGGGCCGGTAGGGGAGACCGTAGACAGACCCCCTTGGCAGAAATCGTCATTGAGAACCGAATGACAGGTTCTATGGCTTTGTTCACAGACTCCTTTGGTATGAATCCGTCTATCTATACATAGATACACCCACAGGCATATATATATATATATATACACACACACACATATATAGTTATATTCACTTCGGTGGAGCGACGTCGACGTGGATGAATCTATAACCCCAATTGCACGCGATGGCAATGATCGTGCACTTTCGTCGTTCTTTACTATTTGTAAGCCACCTTGACCTTAGTTACAGGGAGGTCTGTGTAATCACTGTCCTACATATGCGGGAAGTAAGCCAGCCTTCCTAGCCGGTAATTGAAGAAAGAGGAGCATACTTCTCTACAGTATGTAGTTAGTTATGCTACACGTATTATCTAAAGGGGAGTCAGCATCTGAATAATTGAGCTGGCACAAATCCTTCGGACCTGTACGACGCGTGCAACCTGTTGACCCAGGGGCCCCTGGTGATGATATAGACTTGAGGCGGAGCAGTCGTCAGCTGAAGCTGGGAATAGGACATTTTGTATGCCGTCAGCTTACCAAGGAATGATAAACAAGTCACCGCACGTAATCCCTACATTGTATCAGTGTACCTGTAGTCGTAACGAGAGATGCCCTCTGGAGTCCTGGCTGTAACGTCTATTGAGAGACCGCAGTAGTGCTTGGTCTTGGAAAAGTATCATGGAGTCTAGGTATCAGTGGCGATCAAAATTAACCAGAACTCTTCTGGGCTCTTGTGATAGCTCTCCAAGATGGGGCACATGCACTCTGCCCTGCGCTTCACGATGTCCGGAGTATATTATTATTGTGCAGCAGGCGAGCGTCTCAATTTGACGGGCGTTTATCTGGTGGGTGTTGAGAACCAGAGACTCCACCAGAATCCCCACTGACTTGCCAATAGTGCGAAGACTATTGCAACGGGCTACCAGTGGGCGACTTGGTGGCGGGTCAAATGTGTGTTCTGGAAGGGAATACTCGGTTATCAGAGCCTTTTTGCATTTTTCCGGAGTTTTGTTGATTTTTATTTCTTTTTGAACTTCTACTTGTTGTGGATATATACCATGGTCGTAATACCGTGTCTTGTATAGGACACAATACATCATTCGGCAAGTGGAATTCCATACACCAACAAAACATGAACTTGTAGATCAGTCAGATCATCTCAATGTCGACTCCAAACATATTCTCTTCCCAGTGCGAAACGTAACCCACCATATCGAAACAAGAAAAAAATCCATTGCTTCCTCCCTACCTAGCTTTAACTCACGAAACTTCGTCTGGAGTGGTTGCTTGAACCATGGTTCCTATGGTTCCTGCGATCTCTCCCCCGCCCAATCGAACGAGATCGGGATCTGATTTTTCGGGACCCTGTCTCCACTTTTAAAGCCTCCATGCCCGCTGCCCCTGTGAAGTCCGCGATCACAACTCCAATCATCATCATCATCCCACACCACCATGTCGCACGAAATGTCCCACCTAGGGCCTCGCGGTACGTGTGAATAACACCATTCAACTCACTTCCCTGCATCTCAGAGCCCTCGCTAACCCACCCCGCCCCCAGCCTTCAACCACGAGCAGAGCACCGACGCCGAGCAGGAATACGACCGGCTGCGCGATCTCGCGCGCCAGGAGGCCGCAAAGCGCGGGCAATTGTTCGAGCGGGTACGTACGCGGGCAATTGAGTCCTGCCACTGGGGCCTCATCTCCATACCCCTTCTCCTTCTCCTTTCCCTCTCCCTCCAATCCCCGCATTTGCGTCCCAGGTGTGTCGAATGTTTCTCGAAACCCATGAACTGACCGCTCACACCCCCGATGTAGTCGAAAGAGGCGTATGCGAGTGGTGATGGCGCGGGCGCCAAACAGCTCTCGGAAGAGGGCAAGGCCCACGGGCGCAAGATGGAAGAGTATAACAAGCAAGCGTCGGAGTTCATCTTCCGCGAGAACAACGCCAACGGGCGCGTCGCGGCCGACACGATCGACTTGCACGGCCAATTCGTTGAGGAGGCCGAGGAGATCTTGGAAGAGCGCATCAAGTATGCCAAGGCGCATGGGCAGAACCACTTGCATGTGTACGTTCCCACCTCCTCCGCGGACCTCGTTTCACGACTAGAAGCTAACCACCTCCGGACCCAGAATCGTCGGAAAGGGCCACCACTCCGCCGGACACGTGCAGAAGATTAAGCCGCGTGTGGAACAGGTCTGCCGCGAACTGGGCCTGCAGTTCGCGACGGAGGAGAACGCTGGCCGGATCTACGTTAACCTCACCGGCGGCGAGGCCGTCATGCCAAGCTACCCCGAGCACCACCAGGCCCCGCACCAGCAGCACCAACAGCACCAGCAGTACCCCGGACAGCAAGGGTCGACACAGACACATGGACAGCAACAGCCGCAGCAGCAACAGGACGAGATCGAGCAGGTTGTCAATGCGCTATTGCCCAAGGTTATGCGCAAGCTGGAGAAGGCGTGCTGTGTTGTCATGTAAAGCGATTTGCAGTGGAGCTTTTGGATCTGATTCCCTTCCCCCTCCGACCTCCCTCCATTTCCCCCTTTTTCTCCTTTAATTTACATATATTCGGTGTTGGGGATATATAGAGATGCATGAGTGGATGTGTATACTCGACGGTGAATGAAACGATTTAATACTAGACCTCAAAATATATTGTTTGATTTTAGGAACGAAAAGCGGATACTCAGCCCTGGCAATTTCACGACTCATGAGGACGGCATAGAATTTGGGTAGTTACGGTGCCCTTGACCTAGCCGTTGTAAATGGGGTCGCGGGGTCGACCCTATAAGCTTTTTTATATAGTTATTACCATAGTTTTCTAGTAATTGCTAGTAGGTGTTATAGATCCACCCCTTAGATGCTAAATATGGATGCGCCTGAACTAATCGGTTCTGCAAGAAGGCGGTAAGGAGACTTTGTTGGACGAGAAGGCAGGGAACGGACTCAGGCAGCAACGCCTAATGTTACGTGATATCATATCTCCCGATAGGATATCCTAATTATAGGTAGGATCGGATCCTATAAGGGGATAGGACTCGAGCCTATCGAGTAAAGGAAGGGCTGAATATACAAGGACGCCTATTTACTATCTATATTTAGTTCTTCGCGTTAATGAATACATTATAACTTGAGACCTACTAATTAACTATCTTAGTTACTTGATTCTTTCTACAGTATAATATAAGGATATATCCACAACTAGGAGGAACACCTCGTGGTTGTTCTATAACTATTTCGTCGACTAACTAGGCGCCCACTACTAAACAACGTCTTCGGTCTGGTTTATAGACCCGAGTCCGTGCAAGGCTTCAGCGATTCAGCAACAGTACAGTTGCGAGATCAGATCGTCGGAGTTACGAGAGAGGTATGTTACGATAACGCACTATTTACGTTAGCTAGTTAGCGAGTGCGTAACAGTTTGGTGGTCTCAAGATGTCTGACTAGTATATTTCGGGGGTTAGGTTGCTATTCAAAATGTCATGATGGAATTCTTAGATGCGGAGAAAGCAGAGACATAACCAGTCGCAAGCACGCGGTATTCTTCAGCCCTGATATTTTTCAGCTCTGATATATTGCAGGGCACTGAGTTTGGGGGCCGACCCGGTCCCGAGAATTTCAAAAACGGACCCTAGGGATGGGACCGGGAACGGTCCCCAGGCTTACTGGAACTCAAATGGACGAGACGGACCAAATTATAAGAGGAGAGCAATCGAAAAGAAATACTAGAAGCCCAGAATTTGTCATTTATCTAATCTTCTATCTCCCGTAACATCTCATTGATAAAGCGCTCCTCCATCCAAATCAGTCAACCAGGCTCTTTCATCATATTCTCATTTGACTTGCTTTGACCAACCGCCACGGACAAGTAATCCTGAACCGACAAGATGCTGTTACAACAAATCATATGCTTCGTTTTAATGTCGACCCTGATGCAACAAGTGCGGGCGAGTGGCGACGCTTTGCTCGAATTCTACGACGAAATTAAATGTCAGGGAAACAAGATGTATTACTATGTCGATGACAACTACCAGAGAGACGACCCGGAAACCTTGCCCCTTTTCACTGTGTACAGCGTCAAGATTCTTTATATCGATGTCGCCTTTAGCGGAGCTGCTATCTGGCTGTACAGATTCTCAGGTCAGCTTACAGGGGGAGATTCCTACATCGTACCTTCCAGTAGCAACACGGGCGACTGTTTCAGCAATGGTAACATAGGCTGGGTTCACTTTGAGACCACTACATTCACTGGAACAAAGAGAAACGCAATGACCGATCTTGTGCAAGCGCCTGATTCTGTGCAAACGCCCTATAATGCGACAGAGATAGTGGAGCGTGCAGCTACACGTCCAGAAGGATACATGAGTCTCAGACATAACCAACTGTACATCGTTGGAAAACCTACGTTCTCTCAAGTTCAGGGCAAGCCAGCCCTATCAGTGGGGCTTTTTAGAACAATAGTGCTCAGCGTCTTTTACGGCATAGAGGTTGCGTCCGGCGAGAAAGACATTATCCCTTTCCTTATTGCAAGTCTGTCGGGTGGCACAACTCTAACATGGCTTTCCGAAACATCAGAGGTGGTGCCGCGCTCAGTTGTGGCCTTTGCAGCTCGGTGGTGGCGGGAATTCTACCTTGATAGCTGGAAGGATACAATGGCAGTGTCTGATATATACAGAGAAACGAAATTGGGTTCGGGGGTATGGGAGAAGATTGGTAAGATGAGTCAAGCTGTGAAAACGCATAAGGGAGAATTTGAGCATTTTAGAAAGCATCAAGAAGTTGGAAAATAAGGCCAGTGCAGTCATGAGCCCCTGAACCAGTCAAATTCTCAGCGTGGTGTCCATTTTTGATCCTGAAGATGACGGGCGTTGGCTAAGATTCGCTCAACTTGGTTGAAAAGGGCTGTAATCGAGGTATCAGCTTATGCCGAATATTCTCTATAGATCGGTGGTTCTGTTGTAGCGAATACTTTAGTGCTCAGCCGAAAAGTTACTTAAAAAAGCGTGGCTGGTCCTGCTGGCCATTCCCTTGACTAGGGCAAAGCTGCGCCTCACATCGCTAAAGCCCTCATTAGTTATCAGCATAGGCATAAGATAACCAAGGGCAGGTATCAGCGAGAATCTTTAGTCAAACTTGTTCCACGATGAAACATTAGCCTGATTATGGGCTCAAGAACGATTGGCATTTAAAAAGTGCTGCTCGTATCATTGTATTCAACTATGCAGTGATCTGAAAAACGTGAAATCGGTAGAGAAGATTTGAGTTATTGCGAAATTTCACAAGTCGCATAAATTGAAGTAATCCCTCACTTAGTAATCGACTGTTGATTTTTTAATTGATTGGTCAACTAAGCTCATTTGTTGCTTTTCAAAGATATCACCAGTAAGATGCCTCTTCTGGTAGAATTCGTGTAATTGATCCGAATCGGGCGCTGGAAAACCAGGCGGTCCATCCTATGATTGTGGAGTATTTGTGGGAAGGACACCTGACCTCATTCGAGGAGCTGACTGCTTCAACAACAAAAGCAAAAGAAACTCAAGCTAAGTGCAATCTAGAGGGAGGAGTAAATAAAAAGGAGATACATAGTATTTGTATATGTATGTATGTATATGTGTGTGTGTGTGTGTGTGTGTGTGTGTGTGTGTGTGAGACCTGGTCACCTCGGGACTAACAATTTTCCTTTGGCAAACAGCCACTGAAACTCAAGAGGCGGTGGTTGCTGACGTTGTGCAATCAAATTACTGATTATTTTAACCGATGTTGCCGATTATTGGGATGATTGTGATAAATGCACCGCGGCGCTGATGATTACCACTTCTGGACTCATATCTGCTTTCAGCTGCCTCTTTTATCATAGAGCAGAGATATGATCATGATAGTCATAAATTGGTCTACAAGGACCTAGCATCGCGAGGGTATATCAAAAAAAAAGGAAGCAAAAATCGAAAGGAAAAGAAAAGGATGCTCCGTCCTCCACATCAAACACAGACTGCCACCTAAACAAAACTGCCGCCCAAATGTCAATTCGCTTTCACAATCTCAATCCCCCCAATATGGACAAACATATGTATAGCAAAGACCAGGCAATGGGTCATTGCGCCACCTCGTCCGATAGCGTGGTATCCACAATCTTCTGCAGTACCGCACGCACCATGTCTCCATCCCCGGCCCCGTTGATGCGGGGCGTCGCGTCGATCATCTCAATCAGCGACAGTGCGCGGTCTCGCAACTCGGCGACAACCTGGCGCGTGTGCAAAAAACTACCGGTGCTGTGCATGTACTGGACGGCGTAGCGCTTGACCTCGTCGTCCTGGGTCTTCTGCTTCAGGATGCTGAGGAGCTGGTGGTTGGATGGGTCGGCGCGGATGCTGTGGATGATGGGGAACGAGAACTTGCCCTCGGTCAGGTCCTCGCACAGGCCTTTGTTGTGCGTGTACGTCGTGTTTGATAGGTTCAGGTAGTCGTCGCAAATCTGGAAGATTAGGCCCATCACGTTCACCAAGTTCACGCAGTCCTTTCCCGTCGCGCTTTCGGCCTGCATCAGCTTGACGGCGAGCCGGAAGAGGCCTCCCGTCTTATTACCCACCATTTCAAGGTACTCGTCCTCCGTGGGGCATGTTAGGGTGTCTCGCCAGAAAAGGTCCATGCCCTGGCCGCGGTGTAGGTTTAGCAGCTCCTTAACGTAGATGTCGATAGCGACGGGGTTGTGGAGCTGTTGGATTTCTTGCAGCGCGAGGAAGTAGACGTAGTTGGCGGAGTTGATGGTCTGCGCAGTACCGAAGATGTTGTGGGCAACGGGGATGCCGCGGCGCAGCACGGAGTTGTCTTCTACGTCGTCGATGCTGTAGAGAGGAGAGATTAGCCACCAGTCATTTTTCCCTACGAAGGAAAAGGGGAGGGAGAAAGAACAGGTAGGGCCGCTTACAGGAGTGATGCGGTATGCAACATGGTCACCACTTTCTCGATCACCGCCAGGCTCTCTGGCGGGACCTGCAGCCAGGAGTTAAAAGCCTGGATTAACTGGCGGCGTACATCCTTGCCCGGATGCTGGTGCATGTAGTCATAGGGACCCATGAGGATCTTCTCATTCTTGGAGGACCAGGTTCCATCTTTATACTTGGTGCCGTCGACGCTGGAGCGGTTGCGCTTGTGCCTCAGTTGCGACTTGATCGGGAGTGCGGCCCCTGCCGCGGACTCGCTGTCTGCGACCGACTTCCGGTGACGATGGGTCGGAGGGCTCGAAGGGCCATTTGTGGCCCCTGCCGAGCTGGTCCGTGGCGGGACAGGGTTGGGAGGTTGGAAGGCGGGATTCATGGCTGATGAGGAAATTGTGAAAGCAGCGGGTGAGGGGAACGATGGAGGGGTTTGGAGGGGGAAATGCGGAGAAGAGGATCGCCAGGTTGCAGGCACCAGCGGTCCGGAGGAGGAAGGTTCATAACATGGAAACGGGGCAGCTTCGGTGGGCGGTCATAGTGCTCGAGAGGGATGCACGCTGCGTTCAGTTGGGCTGTTCTCGATCCTCTGGATCTTCTGGGTTGAAGTGGGGAACCGCTGCTGAACGTGACGTGCTGAAGTTCAAGTTCCATCTCGGAGGGGCTGACTCAGCGGTTGCTGGGTACAGCAGCGTTCGCGCGCCGACCGTTTGCGACTCCGAGTTGCCGGGACCGATTCGGCGTATCCGACACACTGCGTCTCTCTTCAAGGTCCCCGAGGCGATCGGAGCTACCACTCCAGACAATAGTTGGAGCTGTTTCGGTGGGGCTCGAGTAGATAGATCAGATCCGACTCGATGCAGGCAACCGATCTATCAGTTGATGTGATTTCTGTATGCTTCGCTACGAGGGACCCAGGGATCCGGGATCGTTAGTTGAATAGTAATCCCCATCCGCGGCTGTTGAAAACCGAGTGCCATCCACGGTTCCGAGCGGCGGAATGGGGGCCTTTTGGCCCACCAGCTCGAGGATCAGACAACCTACCAAGAAACCAGGGACGATGAAACTCAAGAACCCCGGATTTCCAAACCGGTTTTTCAGCAGCCTGTCAGAAAAAAATAAATAAAAATAACCTTGGACGCCATGAAGATCCTCCCAGCCCCCCTTGGGTTCGCCCTAGCTTGGGGCTGGGGGCGTAGTGCAGTGGGTCGTCCGGGGCAACGGCCCTTTATTTACCTTCGGCTCGGGTTGGACCAGTCGACTTCGCGGTGATATTGGCCCTGACCTCATCGCAACACGGACCACCTGCAAACCCGATTTTTGACCCGATGATTCTGGTCTTCAGCTGAGCCTGGTTGACGCCTCACGCGCTTTATTATCGTCTTGCACCCGCCCTCTTCTTGTTCTCACCTCTTCTCCCCCCTCCGAGACCCTTCTATTCTTCGTCTATACACACCCTCATGGAGACTCTGTTGGCGCACTCATTCGACTATCTTTCCTCCTACGAGCCCAGCAAGGTCCGCAAGGGATTGCGCCAGGTCGAGGGTCTTCTGGCGCAAATCTGTTTATCCAAATCCAAATGCGCAGCAACACCCGACCGGAGGCGATCCTACTTGGCCGCGTCCGAGACCCAGCCTGTCCCCAAGGCCCTGTCGGAATTGCGCGATGACCCGGCCTTTCGAGAATTTTTCAAACTGCAAGAGAGCTTCCAATGGAACGGTATGAAGTCCTTGTTCATTTCCCTAGATCTCCCAATCAAGTGAACCAAACAATATATCATGATATATATATAATCCTTCCCCCTCTTCCCCAAACCCACATCCACTCCACCGGGGTCACCCCTGCGTTTCAGAACCGACCGAATGCATTGAAATGCTAATGTTGCCGTTGAAAATAGTCGCAATGCGCTTAGTCTCATGCCTCGAGCATCTCCTCGGCCGTGGGAGTAATGGCACCAATGACATGCTTATCGTGTGCACCCTCGACCTCATCCAAGGCGCCCTCCTCCTGCACCCGCCTTCACGCACCCTCTTTGCGCGCGAGATTTATATGAACCTTCTCCTTGACCTGCTCGACCCGATCAACTGCCCAGCTATCCAGTCCGCCACCCTCCTCACCCTCGTCACAGCACTGATCGACTGCCCCGCCAACACCCGCACTTTTGAGGACCTGGACGGCCTCCTCACTGTAACCTCGCTGTTCAAGCAGCGCGCCACCTCGCGCGAGGTCAAGCTCAAGCTGGTCGAGTTCCTCTATTTCTATCTCATGCCGGAAACCCCAATCCTGGGGCCTGGTATCAGCCCACCCGGTCTGCAGCGCAGTCCGAGCAAAATCTCCTCCCGGCCACTATCGCAAAGTTCCCATACCGCGGCGGCGGGTAAGATGAGCCGTGATACACGGACGACAGACGAGAAGCAGGCGCTGCTGGGCCGGTATCTGAACAACGTGGAGGACTTGGTCGAGGACCTCAAAGAGACTGCTCCATTCGGTGCCACGGTGTATTAAGAACCTGCCGATTTACCCGATTTTCATGGCGATCCACCTCCGCCGTCATGACAAAAATGTCTCTGAAAAGTCGCATGGATGCGATTCAAATCCCTTTTCTATTTCTTTTTCACCCTTTGCTTTATCTTTCATTTCTTCCGTTCTTAGCCTTTTTTTATTGGTTTTTTTTATCCTCTTCGATTCTTCACGAGCGTTATGTTCCGTCCGGTACGGCGTGATTATGTGGTCAAGACCCTGATGCTCCTCCCGCTCTGGTTTTTCCCCCTTCTTTCTCAGCCTTCGACTTTTCTCTCAACATTTCTTCCTTTCCTCTCTTGTTTCTTTGGCTCTCCTTTCTCCTTGGTCTCTCTCTATCTCCAATTCTGGAATTGTGTCGATCTCCTCAAGGAGCCTCAGGCTTCCCCAATTTTCCTTCTGTCTCTCTAATGGCGACATGATTGTGTATGATTCTCTTTCAAACTATCTTACCTACATACAATGAAACTGAAATTCAAATGGAATCTGAAAATGGCGCACCTTTCCCTCTTCTCCCTCCACCACAACTGGATCTTCGCTTTCAGTGCCCTTGACAGTCCCGCCCCATCCCATTTAAGCTTATCTCGGGTCCTTCTTACTAATTTTGGGTGCCGAACCACTAGTCTGGCCACTATTGGCCCGCCCCGATCCCATAGTGTTCCTTGTGCCAAGACGATCGCAGTTCGCTTTGACTCATCCCATAGAGTAACTGGCACAAATCGAACTAACTTAAATACGGGCAAATGAGTCAACGATCGGGCTTTATTCATGCGCGTGGGGCCGATGCACTAGAGGGGAGAACCCCCTGGTTCCCCGCATAAAGACTCTATATCTCCCTCCGTGTCATCGCTGGACCACCATAGGCGCGCTATTGTGTTCCGGTACATCGTGAATATTGATTACACGGAATTCTGATCCACCTCGAAAGCCATGCAGACAATCCAGCAACTGCTGGCTTCGAAACCAGACAACGGAGACCGGCAGCCGGTCCAATATATCGGAACAGTTGAAGCGTACGACAAATGGGCGGAGGTAAGTACCAACGATACCAGTACTCGGTCCCAGTGCAGGATGCACTGGGAGCGTCCATGAGGTTTAAGCATCGAAGCCTTCCACCCACCTCGTCCATTTACTAACAAAGTATCCCCAGGTCTACGACTCAGACGGTAACTTTCTCCAGCGTCTCGACACGCTCGAGATGCGGACCCTGCTGCCTCGATTCCTCAACCGCGTGTACGCCCGCTTTTCAGCCCAGGCAGCACGACCAGACAACAAAATAACCCTGTTAGACCTGGGCTGTGGCACCGGCCGCAACACAATCCAGCTTTTCGACGCACTCTCGCAAGCCTCATCCCAGCCTGGCAACCCGTCAACGTCCGCGGTCGAAATCGTCGGCCTTGACGCTTCGCCGGGCATGCTAGACGTGGCGCGCACCGCGCTGCAGCAAGCCACCGCCGCAAGCGATAGCCCCAGCCCCAGACCTCATGTCTCGCTGGGCATCCTCGACCTTCTCAATCCAGGTACAAGCCGCACGCAACTCCCAGCCTCGCTGCGGGACTACGGCGCCGCGGGGGTGCTGTCGACGCTTGTGCTGGAGCATATTCCAGCCCGGGCGTTCTTTGAGGCCGCGGCCGGGTTGATGCGGGCCGGAGCGTATCTGCTGGTTACCAACATGCATGCAGACATGGGGACGCGGAGCCAGGCTGGGTTTACGGATCCGCAGTCCGGGGTCAAGATCCGACCGACGAGCTACTGTCACAGCATTCAGGACGTGTTGGCGGCGGCGGATGCTGCGGGGCTTGAGGTGGAGGATATAGTTGGGGGAGAGGGAGAGGGCGGGGTCTTAGTGAAGGCTGTGGATGAGCCGCTGGCGAAGGCGTTGGGTGTGCGAGCAGAGAAGTGGATCGGGGTCGAGGTGTGGTTTGGAGTGTGTTTTCGGAAAAGGGAGGAGATGAAGTAAGTTGAGGGTTTGATGATTTGATGTCTTCAAAAATTGTTGCAGTGGGCGTGGTCCTAAGTACACAGACAAGACAGTAAATCGCATCTTCATCACCCATGTATTTCGGGTTGCTTGGTGCAAACAGACCGATTTGCGCGCAAGGGCTTCGATCATGCTCTTAGCAGCTCAGATAATGGATAGAGATATTTGAGAAATTATAAATTGCAGGGGGTAAAGAAAAGCTATCGAACCATATTGATTACGTGCCCATTGATTGCATTGTGTGTTAGGCGCCCCATCATAGATGAGATTGCACTTCTACTGACACTAGATCCTGTTGTCTTTGGGAATGAGCATAAATTAACGCATCTCAGGCGTCCGACTTTCACGAGTCAGTCCTGAGGCACCAACATGGCGGCCGTAAATTGCCCTTTTGAGACGCCGACAGCTTCACATACTTCTTGGGGACCCCGATTCGTTTCCCGGGCACTTCTTCGCCCCATCCACACAGTCCGCATATAAAATCCGGAGAGAATTCCGATAACTTCACCCAAACCCAACACAACTTCGTGCACTGAACATGGGGTGGCTCGGGCGGGTTCTCAGGTATCTGCGCCTCAAGATACTTGTCACCTTACTACGGACAGCCTTCAGATTATCACGACCGTTGCCGATTGCAACGAATCCACACACAGTCCTCGGAATACCCAGTCGAGATGCCAAGAGAAAGATTACCGCCCATGTATATGCACGAGAGAGCGCATCTCTACCTTCTCAGCCAGTCCTGATCAATTTCCATGGCAGTGGGATGATTTTCCCCCATTTCGGGTCGGATGATGAGTTCTGCCATTATATTTCCCAAAACACCGAGGTCACTGTGCTTGATGTCCAATATCGGCTGTCCCCCGAAAATCCCTTCCCAGCGGCCCTGAACGATGTCGAAGATGTCATCCGATGGGTGCTGGGCCAACCAGACAAGTATGACCTGACACGACTGAGCATTTCTGGATTCAGCGCCGGTGGAAACCTTGCACTGGCTGCATCGGGGGTACTCTTGCCTCAAGATACGTTCCGCTCGGTCCTGGCTTTCTACCCCGGAACAGATTTGTTTAAGAATCCCGAGGGAAAGGCAGCATTTGAGGACTGTGGTAAAACATTGCCGCCACGCATCTCTCGTCTCTTCAGCGCTTGTTATATTCCCGAAGGAGTGGATGCCCGTGATCCTCGCATTTCTCCGATCTACGCAGACCCGGCGCGGTTCCCGGCTCGAATGCTGATGATCACGGCGAGCGGAGACAACATGGCGCCCGAGGCAGAGGAGCTGGCGGCTCTAGTGGAAAAGCAGGCAAACCATCATGTAGTACTAAAGAGAATGGAACACTGTATTCATGGGTTTGACAAGAATACAAAGCCCGGAACGGTGGCAGAGGAGGCCAAGATCAGGGCATACTCCATGGCGGCGGAGATGTTGAAGGAATGAAGAGATTGCACTCGGCGCCCGTTGAAGAACAATTCGAGGGAGGAATATGGTCTGTTTGTGGATTGTACGTTAATACTACGTAGAATATAATCAATCCATTGGACCTCAATACATCCAAGATAAGCTCTTCCTCGGTAAAACCCCACTCCCCAACCACGCACCGGGGGCTACATACCATAAACTCGTACCGTAGCATGATTGGTTTTGTCCTCATTTATAATTGAAATCAAATAGTAAAGCCAACAGCAGGAGAACTGGCTTCTTGATTGGTCAGAATGAACAGAAAATATATAGATTCGATCATTCTTGTCGCTAAAATACATGTCTAGAAAAAACCCAATAGTCTGTCTCGGTGTTGTACAAGGTTAGTATGCTTACGGAGCAGCTGCGCAAGGCGATTTTGCTTCCAACCCATCGTCTCATCCAGGATAAGATGGGTATAGGCAAACACGCTGGCATCGAATAAGCCGGGGTTGGGTCTGCCAAAGAAGTGTTCGTCCGCGCCGAGGAGCGAAGAGAGTGCTTCAAAGGCATTCCCTGCATCCCCTTCCAAGCTGGCTACGTCGATGTACTGTGATGTTTTCAGAAGCTCTTCGCGAGCGGCGTGTTGAAGCTGGAAAGCCAAGGCACCTCGCACAAGAGAGTTTGTTGTGGAGGGGATCACGTAAAGCCGCCGCGCAACAGCTTCGAAGTTCTGCTCGTCGAGATACAGCATATAAAGCTAAGAGTTCAAGTTAGCCACAAGTCCTTCTAGAATCGCGACAAAAGCGCATATATTCATGACGTACCCAAGCATTGCGTATCCGTTGGTCCAGGAGAGAGGCGTATACTTCAAATCGGAGGTTCAATTGCTGCTCCTCCTCGCAGTGGACTTGCTCAATGGCCCATTTTTGGAGCTTGTTTGAGGGAATTGTTGTAGTTGTATCAGTCGGGAGTGCTGGAAGAAGGAAAGGTAGGGCGCCAGTGGGTGAGGCATGATTGTTGGATGGGGTGATTTCAAAGTCGATTCCGACGAATTTCAGGTATGCCTAGGGGGACGGGGTTAGTACGGCCCGCTCCTGACTGCGCTCTTCACCATCTGGGAACAAACGAACCTGCCACTTGAGACATTGAGGGTTGAAGGAGGGTCGACCGCGTCGCGCACTCGCGGCGTCGCTGAAAACAAACAGCTGGTTGTCATGTCGCCGAGACGGAGCCCGTTGCGGGAGGTCGTTTGCCGGATATGTGGTCAAGGGGAATTGATCGAAGAGGAGTTTGATCGGAGCAGGCACTTTGAAGAATGAAGAGGCATCATTGCTATCCGCCTGCAGACCCTCTGTAGCCGGTGGCGGCATCGCGAATTCGTTGTTGGTCGGAGCAGCAAGGAAAACCGCCTCGGAGCTGTCAACTTGTCCGCGACGCCAAGCCCGAATAGGCTTAGGTAATCCGCCTGCTCCCCGCATCGTTTTCTTCGTTCTCGACTTCTCGGACTTATGGATCTTCACTTCGGCGCTGGTACCTGAACGCGGATCGATCCTCCCCACCTCTCCTTCCTCATCGTGCTGTCGTCACTGAACGCTCTGGTCGAAACGACCTATTCCACTCCGATTCGGTGAACCGCCTACAACAGCCGCTTTGGTTCCGGTTGACCCCGCTCCGAAATTTGACAGACCTGACGTCGGTCTCGCCTATGGGATGGTTGCTGGACTCTGAAGGAAGGCCTACACCAAGTTTTCGCGCACAAGATAAAGTCAGCATACTCGATTACCAAGACTAGGATCAATAGCGCTCCCCGAGATTACGCCTAAGCTCGAGACACGGCGCTTCCGGCACGGCGGACTCGGTTATCGTCATCGGAAGATCATTCAATCTCTTTCGACGTAACTCCATTTCTTTATCTGTGAACTGTCGTCAACATGCCTCTCGACGAAGAAGGCGCCAAGTGGTCTTGGTAAGACGAGCATGCGACTCCCCTCGAAAGCTGTAAAGGTGCTGACGATTTCTTTTTTTTTTTTTGGGGAATTAGTGAACCCTGCATTCGTGGCCACCGATCCTCGAAATGCCAGCACTTCGACCGACTAATGATGAAAGTACCAAAGGCAGGACGCCCATTAGCTAAATGCCCTCATCCTAAAGGCACCTGCAGCTGCCAGAAGACCTATGCCTTCATGGTCCGAATTCCAAAAGGTAGGTTTGTTCCCAGGTCTGCTCTTTGATTTTGACTAATATTCTCAAAGGCTCGAGCTGTTTATGTCGTCCACTATATAAAGTACCTGCTGGAGCAAATGAACCACAGTCTGCACAAGCCTCTATGGCCCCAATATCTTCACCCTCCGGCAAAGTTCAAAAAGCTGGAAGACGGCAGAGCAACATTCAAGTCGCCCCCGAGAACATTGTCAAGGCGTTTGAGAATATGCCGGAGAATCTCAAGTTTGAGGATGGAGTATCGCAGTATTTGACCAACTTGCCTCCATATAAACCCGAGCAGAATGGCTCTTCGCCGACCATAAATCACAACAACTCTTTCCCACCATCGTCATTGAAAGAGCCTATCTCAAATACTCAGCCGAAAAATGAGTCTAGTTGCTGCTCCCAAAAGCCCTCGGCCCCTTCGGTTACACCAGCTGGCGGAGGTTCTTGCTGTAGTGGAAAGTCCAGCATATCCGCTACACCACCCCCAAATTCTCGAGAACAGAAATCAAACGAGCAAATCCCGTGGAATGACATGTCCTATATGAACTTCTCAGCCCAGCAAATTTCTTCGTGGGAGAGCCCGATGGTATCTACCCAAGGATCGTATTTGCCATCGTTTGAGGTGCCGGGTGCCCAGGTGCAACCTTTCTATATGAATGGATACACACCGAACTTGTCTTCTGTGTCCTACTCGAATACCATGAATGAACTCGGTATCAGTCAATCTTCTATGACACAATTCGCATTGAACCACTCACATAACCCTTCATACGCACCCACAAACTTGGGCGGAGATGCTTGCCATGAGTGCAAGTGCGGGGATGAGTGTCAATGCTTAGGCTGTGCTGCCCATCCATTCAACAACACTACCAGACAACATGTCCAGGAAATGGGTGTCATAATGACCTTCGACGGAGACGAGAGTTCTTCGGAAGCAATTGCAAATGGCTTCCGACCCTCGCATTTCCAAGGAAACACTCCACATACCCCTTTGAACTTGTTCACGCAACACGGGCATGCTTTGGACCATGGGGTCTCACAGACCTCCTATGAGCCATACTCTGACCCAAGCTCAACTATGCCAAGTGGCTACTCGTCACCTATACCCGCTGGTCATCACCTGAACCAGCAATTGATGCATCCCTCGGAATACTACACTCTCGAGTATCCGGTAGGGCTCCCAAGTGCCTGTTCAAATGTGACCGGCAGTTGCCAGTGTGGCAACGATTGCAGCTGTGTCGGCTGTCTCACCCACAGTGGCCACAACGGCGTTCCACTCGATGCACCTATACCAGAAACATCTGCTACTCATTCGTCCTCACAGCAACATTCTGCCCAAAGCCAGACGCCCGTAACAACAACTGGCAGCCAAATGTCCCGGATCCCAGTGCTCGACAATGTTTCTGTTCCGTGCCTAAGTCCACGTACGCTAGAGACGTCGATGATTTGATTCTAGCTGATGATTGCTTTTCTTATCTTGTTTATTTTTCTTTCTTTCTCTTTGATCGCGCCTTCTCAAAACTTTTCTGCATGACTTACGATGTTAATGATACCCCTTAGATATCTCTCCTCTAGATGGCCGGGGGCCAAGTGCCCATTTGCTATTCTCAATGAACTCTTGAAGTTGCTCCGCTCTTTATTCCTAGTACTTAAGGTCCCTCACCCAGGCCAGTAGACCTGATGAGGCGGCTCTACTTCCTTCTATACTTCAACTATAATTACGCAATTTCGTATATTTAAGAGAAAAGGCCACTTGAAGCGTCCAGGGATATCATGAATCTAAAAGAAAAATCTAGTATGGTACAGAAATAGAATGACAAGGATAGAGGCAACAGTGCGCAATCAAGCCTTGTTCCATTTTCCAAACTTCACATAGTCATCATAAAGAGACTTGAACACCGCGCGACCCGAAATGTCCAGTCCAGAGTTCAGGGCACGCATCAAGTCTCGTGACATAACATCCAGCGCGGCATACATGCCAGGCATAAGAGCGGCCTTTACTTCTGGAACCAAAGATCCACGCAATGAGCACTGCGCATACGCCATGATGACATACTGCAAGTACTGTCCAGCAATGCGCTTTGCTTTCTTCGTTTCATCAGTCAGCGCGTCGCGCGACGCGCCCGGCTGCACGCGCAGCACGGCCGAGACGGTTGGGTCGCAGAGGGAGGTGAGAAGGCGGGTGTAGTTTGTGGTGTGGGAGGCGTCAAGGGGAGCGAGCCAGAAGGGCTGCGAGAGGGTGGCCTGGTTCCGCGATGACCGGGAGCGCTTACGTGAGCGGGCGAAGAGACAACCCAGCAGACGCTGCATTGCGTTTACGATCAGGTGGAAGCGTCCGCCGATCTTGAGTCGTTGGAGGCCCAGGACTATACCCATTAGCCGGCAGAGGCGCGTGAAGATGGTCGGCGCATACTCGGGCGAGATATGCGGGCCGGCTCTGGAGGCAGAGCCGGCGACGGCGGCGAGGACGGCGTCGATATTGCACTGAGCCATGCTACGGGTGTGCAATCGCAGAAGGAGGGCCATTGTCTCAGCCGCAAAGCAAAATTGGTCGATAGAGGTGCTGTGGAGGATAGTGTCTGCGAGACAGACGCCGAGTTTTGAGAGCTCGTGAGAAACAGGGCTGGTCTTGTCTGCGACTGGCTGAAGGGAGACCACTGCCAAGTAGATCACGAGCAAACGGTATGCCGCGTTGTCGCTAGTTAGCCCCTGCTCTCGAATCTCTCGGATAACTTCGGTGATTCTCTCTGGGGACATGGAGCTAAAACGCTCGGTGGTAGCCCGGATAAAGAGTTGCTGGTCCTCTGCATACAAAGAACGAAGGGTGAGAGTCTCTGCGCATCGTAAAATTGGCTCAGTGACGTTCTTCTTGGTGTCTTTGGTAGCGAGAAGACGGCGACGAATGAACCGAGAGGGTTCCGAATCGACAGACATCTCCATGTAGCGCTCAATCTTGGACAGAAACTTTTCCACCTCGATATTATTTTGGACCAAGTCCTCAAAGTCCTCCAAAGCGTCGATGGTCTTGATGAGTGTGATGGTTTCCTCCATCTTATGCTTTCGACACTGCTCCTTGACAGCCTTCATATCTGCTAATACCAAACCAAACACCCGTTGGCGACAGGCAGCTAGCTCATCCTCGGAATATGACTCGAGCAATGGCTTACGGTGGACCCAGAGTTCCGACAAAGACAGACGTAAAAGGAAACAAGCCATTGAGTCACGGTCGATTTGTCGGAGTTTGGAAGCCTGCTTGGAGACTCGCCCAAAAAGCTTCTTGAATAACTCAATTCGGTCATTCTCCGAAAGAAGAAGTAGCTTGGTGATGATCGCACGATGCAAGCTTCGGAATGACTTCATAATTTGGAGATCAACGTCAGTGCCCTCCAAGTTGATAGCGCGAGCCGCAGTCCAGATTGGTTCCCATCCACTAGTGAGGACAGAGTCACACTTTGGCATCGCAGCTAGCTTGGCCATCATGGTGAGGATGCCAACCGTCACTTCAGGTACATTATCTTGCTGGACAATGACATCGTGCATCTTGTCCAAAATAGAGGTTCTGAGACCTCGGGTTATCAAAGCCGCTGGAATTCTCTGCATGCTCTCCACATAAAGGCGCCGATTAGAAGTGTCATCTTGGATGCTCTTGGTGAGCAGAAGAGCCAAATCCGGCACAATAAAAGGGGCATTGAGCAGGTACTCGTGGCATAAAATGCTCGCCCAGGCTTGAAGGAACCTTGCTTCATCAGCCACAGCTTCGAGAGGTAGTGACGAATCGCAGTATTGAACGGCAGCTAGAGACAAAATGTGACCGAGTAGACGGGTCCGATCATCGGATCCAACGCGCTCCCAGACCTCGGGTTCTCTTATCAGCGCGAGGACATAAGCCAGGGCTAAAGTGATTGATGAATCCAGTGTTTCTATACGGCCATCCCAAGGAGATTTCAATGACTTCTGAGCCTCACCAGAGGATATGGAAACAACGAAATCCGTGACATCCTTGGAGATTTTGTCAAATGCTGCAAGTTGGTCACTAGAGGGCTTGTCTTTGACAACCATCAGAGCAAATCGGTAAGCCTCCCATGATTCCAGCGAAGCGAGAGGCACCTTTGACAGATTCTTGTGATTGCGGTGAATTGTTTTTGCCGAAATGCTGAGCAGGTGCCTGATCGCCTGAAACAGGTTGCTATCAGCAGGCAGGAGGCTGTGCTGGAGAAGATTCCGAACAAAACGCCACAAGCGCCAGCGCCAGTGCAGAGATTGCTTTGAGGATAGTGTGGAGGTAAGCGTCTCCAAAACATAGCCGAGTATTTTCTCGGAGTTAGGAAATGTCAATTCTCTGCCCCGAAAGCTAGATTCCATGAGGACAAAACGAGCATAAGATAGGGAGGACTCGGAAATCTTGCCATTCTCAGCTCTTGTCTCGGATGCAGCGGTTTGCATATGTTTTTCAATGGTAGTTCCAGTCAGAGCCGTTTGCGTCAACTCAGAATATGCATCACACAGGTCATCGTCTTCCCAGACAGAGAAGAACGGCAGGCTGGTGTTCCGGGAACGAGCTTCCTCCAGAATGACGAGTTGGTCATGCCAGACATCCATGAAAACTGGCAAATCGCGAGCAGTCGCAAATCCACGCAAAAGAGGTAATACAATATCATTTTTGATGACCTTGTAGTCCCCAATCTTGGTAGTAGCTCCACTGCGCCATTGGAGCATTATTTTATCAAGTAATGCAGTCAGAAGTTTCGCTGTATCGCGTAACCCCGAGTTCGGTAGGAAAACATCGACGCCGAGACTGATCACCAGGGCTGTGAGATTCCATTGAACCTGCTCTAGGCCTTGCTCGAGAAGACCAGTGTAACCGGCATGGGTAAGAATCGTGTGTAGAGATAGACCAACGTTTCGGTCGAGAGCAACCCGGAAAAGTGGTTCCAGTACCGAAACAAATTGAGAGGAAAACGTGGTTGGCTCTTCTTCTTTCGCAGTGGAATAAGCCAACTCCGCAACAGCCACAAACAATGTTTCCAGCCACGGGGCCTCATGGGTCTGTCGTCGGAAATTATCCCTTGGAACGGCACGGACAGCGTTATCAAATAGCTCAGGTAGAAGCTCGATTGACCGCCATGAGGGGTGGAGAGACCGACTTTTGGGGGTTTCAGGCGCACTCTGCTCTGGAGAGAACTCGCCAATAATTGGTCTGAACATATCTGTAACGGGTTTAACCGGGCTCCAATCCGGTTCCTCTTTCGAATAATCGATACCAGATCCACCACGGTCAAAGAAGGCCTCACGCGCAGGGAGTAGTACATGAAGAGAAATAACGCGCTCGATGGAATGAAGAAGGTGGGCTCTCTCATCAGTATCTAGCTTGATGGCCCTCAAGCAAAGTTGAAGCCTAAGTGCATGGGAAAAGCACGATTTAGCGAAGCAATCATTACTTGAGTTGTTGCTAGTATCGTCTTGGCGATATGATCGTGATTCCCATACTTCAAACATTGCCGGAAACACAAACAGTAGATGCTGAAGATCGGTGGTTTTACCCGCGTGTGAGAACTGGGTTACGGCCACAGCGGCCAGCTGCAGTGCCTGACCTAACAAGCGTGCAACAACCTCTGGTTCGCCTCTTAATGCCAGTTTAAGGTGGGAGTTGGCAATTTCATCGGTGCTGAGGGTTCGCTGAGCCAATGCCACCACTCCATAAAGGCAGTCTAGGGCGCGAATGAATGTGATAAAGCATGATGCAAGATTCTGCGGCTTTTCATCAATATCCATAGCATCCACATCATTATTCCCAACTTCTCTTTTCCGTTTCGTTCCTTGCACTCCTCGGGGCTCTTCCTGTGAAGGAGAACTGGCTAGTGTGTGACTCGAATCGGAATCGAAACTCGAGATTGATATGCCGCTCCCCAACGTCGCATAGATATCAGCCTCCAAATCGGCCACGGTGTCGCATAGAGTTGAGAGAAACTTTTGATCTTTCAGAATAGTCGCGAGATTTTTGGGCGAAATCTTGTCAACAAGTTGTTGAAGCAGGAGGAATGACGCTGGGTCCACGCGGTAGGCTTTTCCACTTCGCAGTTTCTTCAACACCCAACGAAGAACCCATTCTTCCTTTGGGGTGGCTTTATTCTGTGTTCCTGAATCTCGGTGTGTCTCAGGATGACTCTCACACAGACTGAGATCCACACCGATAATCCGGGCTGCTTCGTGAACTTGGGTGTTGGGGGAGGCACTGCCTTTTTCGAGGCGGAGGAGCGCCTCTTGCGACGAGCTCGAGGGCTATTGAACCATAGTTAGACGCGAATAAAAAATAGGAAAAGGACCCAAAAGGAAAATTTGAACTTACCCCCGCAAGCAAAGGCATCTCGAAAACCAGACAGTTCACCGATATGAGGGTTGATAGTACTCGAGGGAAAAAAGAGTACTCTACCGAAAGAGAAAAAAACGCGGCGAAATTCCCCGACCGCCTTTACTTGCCCGACTTAACTCGGACCTCCCGTCTCCTTGCACCCTTCACTTTCCGCCCAAATCAAACCTTCAATTCACAACTGTTGTCGATATGTGAGCACCTCGGCATTTGAGAACTGTATGATTTTATCTTCTAATAATAAACTAATCTCTAGACCCTTCGCAATGGCCGATTCCAGCGAGTCCCGGCCGGTCGCGCGGGCCACCAAGCCCGTTAGCGAGGCTCTGCTTAACGAGAAGGTACGATCACAATTCGCAGAACCTATTGCCATAGAAAGATCTAAAGCTGTCTGCCATCGATGCACGGCGAGCTAGAGTCTTCTCCGGAGAGAACCCGATGGATTGGAAACCAGAGACTAATCGTGGCTGCATAGTGGGACCGCGCCATCTCCTCGATGATCATCAAGTCTTCACTCGGCCTGTCCTTCGGTGTTGTCTTTTCGGTTCTTCTCTTCAAGCGGAGAGCCTGGCCCGCGTGGGTTGGCCTTGGTTTCGGTGCTGGACGTGCCTGGGAAGAGGCAGATGGTATGTTTTCCCTATGTTTACTTTTTATTCCAACATGCTACGAGTGCACCATCGAGAATTGCGAAAACCACCACCGGTTGCCTTGCTCGGCTTCACTCCTTCCAGGGGTGGAGCTCCGGTTGACCCGACTTTGTGTCGGATTTTCGGACCTTATACCCGAGAAACGACTAGCTGGCGACTGAAGCATTTCTGAGCGTTGCAAATCTCGTGCTTTCTGGAGTATCTTAGTCAACGAAAATGCTAATAGATGAAATAGCTTCTTTCCGCCGGGGTGACTCCCCTATCAGAGATGCTCTGCGCCGGTAGAGACATACCACGGCTTCCTAGACGTGTACGATACTATGTACAGAAGTCGCGAGATTGATGCAGGAGAGAGGAACATCTTTACTAGACAGAGACCAAAACAAACGATCCTAAATCGAGTTCCAAGTTCAGCGATGATTGGCCATGCCACGATATCTGCATTTCACTCTGTAAGCTCCTATATTATTCTGTAGGTTATCAGAGCTATTTCGAGACCTGGTTTCGTCGGGGTTTTTTTGATAATTTTGTATGGAAATTCCTGTCTCTGGGATACTGTATAAAACGATCCCACTGGGATCAAATTCATGGGTAGACAGAGAAGATAAAGGCAAATATAGGAGGAAGATGGGAGCAACTTGAAGTATGGTACTTGAATTAAAGAAACCCCCGTGACCAAATGCCGTTAAGCATTAAACCACCTGAAATAAACCTCATCACGTGACTGATCACAACCCATTACTCGATCACATCGAGTCAGCGCATAATCACCCTCGTCAATCTTCGCTCCGTAGCTCCAGGTTTTGCTCATGATTAGATATGGGCACCCTGGCGGCCAATCAGCGAATCGGTGGCTGTTTGCGGAGGGCAAAGTGGAGCCGTGTACACCCGCTTATCGCTGATAAAGGCGTCTTACTCGAGCAACTCAGGCAATGGAAAATGATAGGCGCAGTACTTTCTCCTGGGGGTGCTCGACCCTCCCCTCCAAGCCAAAATCCTGGGGATCACTGGTATCGCACATGGCAGAACCGGGCGCAAGATCGTCCCGTCCAGCCAATCTCCTGGGTCCCGTTATCGCACCCTGTCCTAGTGGAGCAGGGTTGCGATGTAGAAGGATCCGGTTCCTCATGCTCGGATGATGATATGGGCTGGTCGGCTACACGACTTATTATATCATAGTTCCCAGGTCTTAAACTTGAATGTCTTTTCATCCTACGTGCCCCCTGTGTTTCCCCAAGCTCGACTTTGTCTGGGCTTGTTGTTGTTTGTCTTGTGCATTTACGTATATTTTCTTCTCACTTTCCTGACGGTGTTTGCGCATACCAAGTACCAGCACCATGTCCAGGATCAAATGGATTCTCGACAAAGCGACCGTGCACAATGAACCCGGGCTCACAAATGCCCAGTTGATGTTGACGAATGATGACTTGCGACCAGGTGAGACCGTTGCCGAAGCTGGACGGCCTTCTCCTGCATCGCTTTAGCCGTTCTATATTTTCTGTTTAAGATTTGAATGCTGCCATTCTTGAGAAGCATATCTGTCTTTTTTATGTCGATATTCAAACCCGTACACAAGTTATTCCATGATAAGCCAGGCTGACCGGTGAGACCTATGTGATTCCTTGCGCTATAGTCGACCCCGAACGTCGCCAATGGAGATGGTTGAACTACATCGCATTCTGGATTGCCGACTCGCTGAACATTGTGAGTCCCCAAGAACTGAAAGGAGCATTATAAATGTGGTAGCGACATAGACTGATGCAATATGTTCAGAACACATGGATGATTTCATCGTCTATGATCGAGGATGGCCTTTCCTGGTGGCAATCATGGCTTTGTGTTTGGATTGGATACTTTATTGCAGCTGCCTTTGTTTGTCTGACCGGTCGCATCGGTGCTGTCTATCATATCTCCTTCCCTGTTACGGTACGAGCGTCATTCGGAATCTGGGGATCTTTCTGGCCCGTCATCAACCGTGTCGTGATGGCTATTATTTGGTACGGAGTGCAGAGTTACATTGGAGGTGCGAAATTCCCCCCGGGCCTCGAATTCAATTGCAGATCATGCTAATCCTCGGGATTTCCAGGCGAATGTGTGACTTTGATGATTGAAGCGATTTGGCCCAGCTATAAGAACCTACACAATGGCCTCTCTGCCAGCGCTGGCGTTGACACCAAGAACTTCCTTAGCTTCTTTTTGTTCTGGCTTCTTTCTCTTCCAGCTCTCTGGTTCCCAGTGCATAAAGTGCGCCACCTTTTTACCGTCAAGGCAATTTACTCGCCAATTGCCGCAATCGCCTTTTTCGCCTGGGCAATTTCGCGCGCGCATGGTATCGGCCCTATCGTTAAACAGGGAAATACTGTACACGGCAGTACACTGGCATGGGCTTTTGTCAAGGGCGTTATGAGTTGCATTGGGAACTTCGCCGCTCTGATCATGAATGACCCCGATTTTTCACGTTTTGCTCGGACACCAAAAGATGCATTGTGGTCCCAGCTCTTTACCATTCCTATCGGATTCGGGATTACCTCTTTCATTGGTATCATTGTGTCATCATCTTCATCAGTGATCTTCGGAGAAACTGTTTGGAACCCGTTAGACTTGCTGGGGATGTTTCTCAATGGCGCTAGCTCCGGCCAGCGGTTTGGAATATTCGTTATCGCCACTGGTTTCGCTCTTGCTCAGCTGGGTACCAATATCTCGGCTAATTCGGTGTCTGCCGGAACGGACCTGACTGCGCTGATGCCACGGTATTTGACTATTCGCCGTGGCAGCTACATCTGTGCGGCTATTGGCTTGGCCATGTGTCCCGTAAGTGGTCTCCCTCAAAAGCTCATATAAGTTTGAATAGATGCTGACTTCCCTTACAGTGGAATCTTGTGGTCAGCTCAAACCAATTTACGACCTATCTCTCTGCATACTCCGTGTTCCTTTCCGCTATTGCTGGCGTCATGATCACCGACTACTACATCGTTCGCAAGGGTTACCTCGACATCAAAGCGTTGTATAGCGGTCGTAAGACAGATCCTTATTACTATACTCTGGGATTCTCCTGGCGTGCTTATGCTGCTTATCTTTCTGGTATCATGATCAACATCGTTGGTTTTGCTGGTGCCGTTGGTCGTGATGTTCCCGTTGGGGCGCAGTACATCTACAACATCAACTACTTCACTGGCGTGGTCGTCTCCGGTGGTGTATACTTGATTCTTACATATTTCTGGCCCGTGCCAGCTAGCAGCGATCACTGGAATGAGGTTGACATCGATGTGGATGAATTCCAGGTGGCATATGGCCAGCCTGTGAGCGATGAAGAGCATAACGGCTATGACCGCCGTTCCATTGCGGACTCTCTGCCACCAGATGACCAGAAAGGCTTGAGCGCTGCCTCAAAGAAGATCTAAAAAGCTCAAGCTCTATTCTATTTAATTTATCCATTGGCGTGGGATTTTTTATTATTTTGCTTTTTGTTTGATATATATCGTTGTGGGATCTGATATTCGCGATTGCCTCCATACATACTCAATACGGAGAGCTGGACTCGTGATGCACAGTACTTGGGGTCTCTGTTGATATTCCTTATGATGGCATGATCTTGAATTTTATGAGTATTTGATGGACCTGAAGCTGCCTGGACTGGCAGTGCTCATGACGTCCATTGGCACAGCAAACATTTCATTTTACCTGTAGACGGTGATATTTGACTTACCCACTGTATTCTGCACCTCGTGAAGTACGTAGTTTCAGTTAGTCACACCGAAAAATAGTTCCATGTTTCCACATAACTACATGTGGAAGTGTCCGGATTAAAGGAAGCTACTCTAAAAACCTCTCGGTATATACATTCTCACATATGGTCTTGGGGGTTATTAGTTGATTCAAGAGGAACGACTAGCTACATGGAGCCCTCCTGGGGTATCCTGTTTTTCTTGCTTTCTCCCCCCATTTTTTCCCTGGTCATCTTGAACGCACTGAGATGATCGAATCGCTCCTAGCCTCGATTATATCGGACCCTTTCCCAAGTCTTCAAAATGGTCACTCATAATCTCACCTTATAAAACTCCATGTGAATTACAATCTAATTAACTTTCAGAACAGTTCAAGACCAAACACAGAGCTCGACAAAGATAATCAGTACACCAATCGCAAGCTGACTTGGTTCTAACCGAATTAATCAAAAATCTCACTACACACCTGTTAGCTCTCCTTTCACCCCTCAAACTCATGAAGCATCCTAAGGAGTCTCTCTTTCTCCACCTGTCCCCCAAAGATCGTCTCCACGGCTTTCGTACACAGCTTCAGGATGTCAGCCCGTCTCATGCCAAAGTTCTGGGCTGCCAGCAGATACTCGTTCGACACGGGACTACAGAAAAAACCCACGTCATCCGTCTACCAGTCCACGCGTCAGCCAATTCCCCCTTTGAAACAACACCCCAAACACTAACACGGTCACTTGAAAACGAAAGACAAACTTACACACAGCGCAATAGGGCACTCCTCGTGCATCCAATACCCAAAATGGTGGTCCAGGAACCCCCCGTCAATCAACTTCGCATGGACATTACATGACATGCACAGTTCCAATCCGAGCTTCCGCCGCGCGATCTCGCGCTTGAATTCGTCCGGAACATGGATGACATGACCGAGCCGGTCAGGCTGGAACGACAATAATGCCGCTAACTCCCGTGGCGCCCCCGAGGCAGGCGTCTCGGCGAAGTGTATTGTCAGGCCAAGCCCGTGAGCTTTGGCGCGGGCAAATGCATCGCCGAATAGCGTGACGTCGCCCTGCGTCGGGTTCCCGCACAGATCGACACCGACTACCCCTCGTGGCTGGTTGGCGATGGCTAAGTCGACGATCTCCTGGGCCTCGATGGCGGTAGTCTTGCCACGGTCGAGGGCCAAGATCAGGTAGACGGACATCTGCTCGGTTCGGGCACGAAATTGGGCGATGGTGTCGAGGACGGTTGTGAGGTAGGCCTCCCGAGAGATATGCAATTCTGGGGAGGCGCGAGGGATCGTGCGTAACTCGAGGTAACGGACACCATCTTGGAGGAAGTCTTCCAGGACGGAGTTGGTGGCGTATGCAACACTCTCGAGGTCATCGCAGAGCAGATATATAAGTCTGGAGAACACAGAGAAGAAGCTAATATACAAACAGGACATCAGCGGCCTGAATAAAAGAAACCATGTCGCACCCTGTCGACTTACGTTTGCAGTGTATAATCGACTTTGCCCGGGGGCATCAGAACCAAAGGATCTTCCACCGAGAACGAAGGGTTCCTCTCTTTCTTGCGTTGCCAGATCTCATGCAGACACTGGCGGCTAATGCTGCCGCTCAGATGAGCATGCAGCTGTGGACAAGGGGACCATCAACTTGGAACGACCTGCAACCACAATAGGAAAGGAAGCCATACCTCGACCTTTGGCAGTGCCTTGGTAAACCCGATATCCACGGGCGCAGAGAGATCCATTCCAACTCAAATGGTGTGATACCAGACCAGCGTCCACAGAGGAGGTTGTGCCTGAGAGGGGAAGAACAGGTGGGACAAAAAAGCAAACATGTAGTATCGTATCAACCACTGCAGACGCTATGTACGACCTGCCAACTATAGACTGTTTTCCTACTTCGCAAACCCGATTCCCGAACTCTACGATATAGAGCAACTGAGCCCTAGTGAAATCAAATACATGTCCTCTACAAATCCAACACCGTCACCTCTAGCAGATCTACCCGTTCCACAGCGCCAACCCTCCCCCGCTACCACGGGTCTGTCCCTCGTATTCAATCTCGGCATGCATACACCACGATAGCACGTCGAGCTCTCCACGCCAGATGCAAACCTAACCCCCAAGGAAACTAATCGTATCGTACCTCTCTCACCGCGCAACGGTAGCGAGATAAAGGGCCCGCGTACCAAACCTCGGGACGCTGAACCGCAGAACGGCCCGCCCGATACGGCGCCTAACTAGGGCAATGCTGTCCACGAGGCCCCCGCGCCGCGGTAGCTCAATTAAAACTCCCGGCGAGATCACCGACGCCATGGTGAGATTCGGTGCTCACATTGTGAAACTAGCTATATAGGGTCTAGATGTATCATTGCTACTATTTGGCCTCTAGAACGAGGTCCGAAACAGAATCGAGTTCTGTATGACTGAATCGGTCCTGTGTATTTTTTTTTGGCTGAACTTACCGAGTATGATTTTAATTACCGGCGGGATCCGAGCCACAGCTCATGTTCTTGCTAGGGCTGTGATTTGATCGTCTTCGGGTTTCGCATAAATTGCACTTAATGTTCCAGATATCGAGATGAAAGTGGAGCAAGACACCCGGAGAATTTTAGTTTCTTATTTCTTTTTCTCAGGAGATTTGTGGTGTTCGCTAGACCCGGCTGTCAACCTTGCGAGATGTATCCTTCCGCTTATAGTGAGTATGGTCGCGTAGCAAATAAAGCAGCTCGCAATTTTAAAATGGCCCAGGAACATAAGTCTTATTAATTCGGTAAGAGGGATTCCGAGGAGGCTCATGTCGGCGACCCGGTCACCCGGATCTCTCGTTTCAGGCATAAATCCAGGAGGCGTCGATGAAATGCATGCAATGGAAGGATTCTTGACCGGGGGGGGGGGGGGGTTAAGGGTTCGGGGTCGAAGAAAAAGCAACGTTTGAACGAGTGCTAAGAATAGGTTACGATCGGGGCTCAACTGCCATGGGATATGTTTCTACAATACCCATCCGTACCCACCCCCTGCCCCCCGAAGCTGGTATGAATGGACAACGGTCATGTATGGTACTCAAGAACTCGCGAAACCTGTCATGGAAAACTTGATCCACCACGATGTCTCCGATACTTGGCCGCGCGACGCGGTAGGCCGCCCGCTTAGGAGCGAGGAAGCGAAAAATGCCAAGACCGCGGTCGAGCAGTTTCCCAGGCGGCCCTCGGGGCATCCGATCGACCCGTGCCGTGTGCGCGCCGTTTCATTGTAGTTCCTGTGCGCTGGGATAGCAAAAAACAGGGAAACGCAGAGAAGGAAGCAAAGCTAAGGCCTCTGTTGAAAGCTGGTGTATGTCCTTCGGTGAGGGGTTGCGATGCATCCTGACGTCCCCATGATGGCCGCGAAGACGGTCACCACAGCAGTTCCTGCAAGTAAGATGTGAGGCGGATCCTTCGATAGGCCTTCTGGAAGCCACGTTGTCCACAACAAAAGTCTCAGTGGACGTGCCCGGTTCAGATAGGGGAAAACCCACCCTCATCCAATTTTCAGCCCCAGATCCGCGATAGCTCCTCGTTGGAGCCCACTCTACCGGGATGGGGTGACTTTTTCGAGTCCAATCCCTCCGGACTCCCCTCTGCCCCTCTGGGAACTTTCCGCATAGAGCTGGATGTGGATTATATTATATTTGGTAAAACATATAATCAGTGGAGAAGGTATCAGCAGGGATTCGACAATACCGGCATATCGATCCATCGTCGGCCAATACAAGTATCCCAATGCTTCAGATAGATCAGCTGTAAACTCTCTTGATATACCGCCGGCGGGCCGGTGCTGAAACATCACATTTTCCAGAGAGCTTTTTTTTAATTTTTTAATTTTTTAATTTTTTAATTTTTTAATTTTTTAATTTTTTTTAGCTATAGTAAGCTCGGGAACGGCGCGCACGCTTGGCCGGAATGGTCCTCCGACGAGACGCTGAGCCCACTGAAAGGGCACTCCGTTGGGTGGGCTAGATGGGGATTGGGTTCTGATGACCTCGGACACTGGTGTGGGCGCAACACCACCGTGGCTGAACGGCAGGCATAACCCTGGTCGGTCCCACATCTCTATGCGAGAGTCCTGGAATCCCGATTGAGCCGCTTCATGAATGGAATCGGCTGCTGGGACCAGGGTACTGGGTCTGATGGCAATTCCCTGCTGCATATGATGGGTCTTCGTTTTCAGCCCTGAGAGTCTGCGCCCCCAAAGCCCGCGCGGGGGAAGCTCGGTCTGAAAGCCTGAAATCATGCGAGTTCTGGGGGTCCGCGGGATGGTTGCTTTTTTGACCGCGATGGAGGGTCTGGAAAAGTAATCATATGGCGCAATCGCTCGGCGGTTTTTAGAGGTTGCTGAACCTGAACTATATCCGAGCTTCTATCATAGGCGGTGGAAAAACCATTTCCGTTGGTCGCATGACCTACTCGATGAGAGCACTGGCAGGCCGAAGACTTCCGGGGGACCCTGCAAATTATCACCCGTGTCGGCAGCTCATGGATGCTTCTGGGATCTGATCAGGCAACCGTATTGGCGCCATTGTGCGTGCATATGGCCTGTAGAGTAAGGTGAGGGAGCCGAGAGACCCGACATTGAGAGTTGACAGTGTCTTCAGTGCAGATGATAAGACGTCATCTCCAACGAGTCTAGGGAGGCAGACTATCATTGCAACTGGTTACACTATCGTTGCGAACCATACTCCCAGTGCCGGTGTGGCAGTGTTGCACCGACAACAGTGGAAGGAGGGGAAGACACTGCATAGTCTGTCAGAGTCACATGTTGTGGGCGTCGATAGAGAGAGGAGTCGAGCGCGATAGTTGCACGATCATGCTCGCCCGTTGCGATTCGGCCTGGGGTTGTTGAGCCACGCCATGAGACCCTCTTTTTATTTTTTTTTTCGAACAGAGGTCCTCCACCGAGAGACGGGGAACTGCATTGTAGAGGGCCCGAGGATGACAGAATGACCCTCTTGCATGATATGGGCGGTGGAAGTGGGGTCGTGAAACGCGGGAGCATATTAAGCATCGAAGACGCATCGAAGAATGCAAACGGGGCTGAGCCGAGGGGGTGGCTGCAGGATGAGACAAGCCGGATATGTCTGAGACGTGTTGTCTAGACGTCGTTGGTTGAGGGGAGAAAGTCGCGCCATGCGCGCCCTTCTCGACCGTGTTGGTCTTCTTGCACCTCCTTCGCGAGGCGCTAAGGAAGGGTACATGTCGATGGAGACGAAACTGGAGATAGTGCCTCGACAGGAAGCCGACGTGCAGCGGACTCTCACACAATTGGGCTATTCGGTGCGAGAGCGAGATGAAAGATGACGGCCATGCATTCCGATGAAGATCAAGTAGGCCCTCCCCCCCTTAGCAGGGTGCTCTGATGTTCGACACTTGACCCCGATTGGAGGAGTTGAATAATCTGCTTTCTCATCGGCCAAGGCGGATTTCTGGCTAGGGATTTATCATCTCCCGAGGCCAACAGAGTGACGGAGTAACCGCCCAGGTATGTGATGTATGTTGGCCCGTGAGCCAACAGACGCAACAGTCGAGATGACGAAAGATGCTAGTGGCCGAATGAGGCGCAACAACGTTCCATTCTGTTGGGTCCCTATGGAGAACAAGGATTGTCAGTGCCTTGTAATCTTACCGAACGGGCAGGGGAGCAGACGGACTAGACTAGAGTAAAGAATAAGAGCAAAGTGGTGAGGGACAAGAAGGGGTATCGACCGATCGAAGTATAGAGTCGACGGGGTTGAATGGCCGGCTGGGAAGGATACGTAGGACAGACACCAGATCCTCGACCCCCTTCTTTTTCTTTTTCAATCTATGGACGCTATCGCCCATTCCAGTGTTGGAATGGAGCCATCATGGAGCACGGGAAGCCCCTTCGTTTCTTTTTCTCTTTGTCGCCAATCCAACCCAACTCGGGCTGTGTTGGGAAGACTGTACAATTGATTTTTCCCGTGGCCTCCACACTTTATTTCTGTTCTTTCCCTCTGCCTCGAAGAAAGAGTTGTCTGCTTACGCTCTTTTGGGACCCCTTCATCTCGTCCGAGGGAGGTTTAGGTTAGTAAGGAACTATGCGCTCGAATCCCTATCCACCATCTTCTCTGCAGTAGATTCTCGACGACCCCGACACTGTCCTCACGTGGAACTTAGTGTGCAGTCCTACGAGCAACCATACGTACCCCATTCCCCTGACAATCAATCGTGAATGGCTGGTGTGCGATCCCCTGGTTTCTATTAGCTCCCTTTAGCTTCCCAAGTTGTTGCACATCAGATAGTATCCAGGTACACGACGACCGGTACGGGATGGCTCGTACGGTGGTGTGACCGATACAATACATGTATTTCACCCGAGGAAGTTTCCTGCAATACACGATCCGTCATCTGTATTCTGTATGCAATTCCGTACCGTACACCTCCTTCGCGGCGTCGTCATGATGTCATCTAGGATTCATCGCCCCGACACCATTGTATCGTGAGGTTGGGTATATAGGGGGCAAAGAGGAAGACGGCCCTCGATTTAAAAAAGGAGAGACACCTCCCGTCACAAAACTAGAGCGGTGGGATATTAGGGCACTACCCAACGATGTTCACGGTTTTTCAGGAGTATGTCTCCGGCATCAGCTGAGTCCCCGCAGAATCACAGAGACTAAATGACCCAGAGCGGGACATATTATCATATTTTAATTTGGGCGGATTGGGACTATCATAAAGTGGGTTGTGTC